AACCCTAACCCTAACCCTAACCCTAACCCTAACCCTAACCCTAACCCTAACCCTAACCCTAACCCTAACCCTAACCCTAACCCTAACCCTAACCCTAACCCTAACCCTAACCCTAACCCGAGTTATGACTTCAACCCCTTTCCTGCTCGCTACGGGTTCGCCTATGGGACTACACTGCAAAGCTTGCCCTGGCCTCGGCGGGGTCTGCTAAGCGCTTCCCTACTTTCGGAACTACAATCTTATGCTTATCCGGGCTGCGTGTACGCTCGCTGGGCCGCCGCCGGGGCCTATTACGACGGATGAACGAGTTGCGAGTACGCTGTGGTCGCCTCTCAACGTGCGCTCGTCTCCGACGGGCACATTGCAAAGTGCAGCAGTAAAGAAGTCGCTAAACAGCTCGTTACATTCTGCAGCCCGATCTGTCCGCTTCTACCTAGTCTTATACTGTTCCGAAGTCGCGTACGGGCGCCTCTGCCTATGCTGCAAACACGTATACTACAAGAGCGTACAATGCCGAACGTAGGACAGCCTTCGGGCTTAGTCGACTGTTCTGATTCGCAACCCTTATAAAAATAGTCGTAGTAGTGGACGCTAGTCTTTCGTAGTGATGCAGTATAATACATGCGCTTCGCCGCCTACGAGCTTCGTTTGGGGTCCTTTTAGCATACTTGGAGAACTTCGAGAAGCGGAAGAAGGCTAGCAGCAAGAGCCCCTTAACGATAGCAATGTACAACTCTTTCAAGACGGAATTCCTCATTGGCGGCGCCTGTTAGCTAGTCGCAGCATGTTGTCAAGTGCTCTCGCTATTCACGATGAAATACGTGATTAGCTTCGCGGGAGAGGCATACTATGCGAAGACTTACGGCGCTCCTGCACCGTCGGTAGGCCGTGGTATCGGCCTTGTCATCGGCATCACCTGCATTTCTATTAGCGTACACTCCCTTGCGCAAGGAGACAGAGATGCATTACCGTTCGGTTACAGCCAAAACTGTAGCTACGCGGCCAGCCCTTGCCTAGCCAAAGCGACATATGCTGTTACTAGTACATAACAAATTCTTGGTGCCTCCCGGCTGTGTATAAGGTAAGTCACATGATTGGTGCTGTCATGTCCGTTATCACACCCGGAAAGCAGGGAAGTGCACTCGCGGTGTGTTTGTGCTATAGGCATGTCGTCGTAGTCAGTCTTGCTATTTGGCAGTAGCGTGGGCGGCAGGGCTGGTACAGCAAGTCACTATGCGCTAAGCTTTAGATGCAGAGGAATAGTCCGACTCTGAGCGCGCAACCTTGGAACTGTGTATTGGACATCCCTCAGAGCTCTTAGAGTGGCTCACTTGTACGGGAACGTCGAGTGGCCTCTCTCGGTGGGGTTGGTGGTAGGTACTGCTGGGCTAAGGCTGATATACTAGACATTGATTGTAGAGGGACAAATCCAACTGGCACGCATATTCTCCGGTCTTTGCACTGAGCAGTGCGTAGAGCATCCCAACACTATGCCCCTTCTCAAGCAAGCTTCCGGCCGCTGGCGCCGGCGGCATAGTTAGTGACACTACCGTAGTACACTTCCGCTAGCCAAACTTCGTCTGCTCCGGACATACCCAATTGTTATCGCATAGTCTCCGGTCTTCGCACAGAGAAGCGGGTAGAGCTATGAAGCCTACATGCTTAGTCCGGGGGTCCTAGTGATATCCTACGGTGATATGTCTTGGTGATATCGTTACGAACACTGTCGCAGTGGACCACCGCCAGCCAGCCATCAACTAATCGGACAGTGGCAACTTCGATCACACAGCCTGCGCACTTGGTACAAAGAAGCGAATAGACCTATTAGACCTCCTCACTCAGTCCGGGGGGTTCCAGTAACATCCTCCAGTAGTACCTCTACAAACGGAGCCGCAGTACCGTCAGCCGGCCATCAACCATAGTGGGACAGTCGTAACTTCGATCACACAGCCTGCGCACTTGGTACAGAGAAGCGGATAGACCTATTAGACCTCCTCACTCAGTCCGGGGGCTTCCAATAACATACTCCAGTAGTACCTTTACAAACGGAGCCGCAGTACCGTCAGCCGGCCATCAACTATAGTGGGACAGTCGCAACCTTGATCGCATAGCCTGTGCACTTGGTACAGAGCTCTCCCTATACTTTCGAAGTCACGCTGTCATTCCGAAGACTTCTTACCACCTTTTACGACTATGCGACCGCGGCGCATTACCACCAGCAAGTTTGACCTCCACGACGACAGTACTTCAAGGCTATATTGGCAGGATAATTGCGGAGCTTAAGTATATGCCACCAATGCATATCTGCCTGTTCGAGGACTATCTGTTGAATGCTTGCATTCTCTTCTAGGGCTGAATGCTGAAGCGTCTCCGCCGTCTGAAACCGCTCGTACGAATGCCCTGTTTCCGAACCGCACTCGTGTCGACGCCTATATCTTGCTTAGAAGGACTATCAGCATGATCTCTGCGCCGATTCTGCCTTCGCACATGCGTGCATTCCGGTCAACGCCATCAACACCCGTCTCGGTCAACGCCATCACCGTCCTCCTTCGTCCGCGCCATCACCTTCCGCCTTCGGCCCCGCCATCACCTCTCGCCCTCGTCCACGCCGTCAGTTTCTCCTTGCTTGGCCGTGGTGGCAGCACCTGCAGGCATTGCCTCTCTTGCAGCTTTCCACAGTCAACAGACTCGCGAAGGTGGGTGGAGGATACGCAGGACGAAGTGGATTGTTGGGGCACACTCAAGCACACCTGTCTATGAAGAAGCCAAGCAAGCCGAACCTCTCAGCTTGGCTAGCTTGCTCCAAATTAACCGACAACTTGGCCTACAAGCCAGCCGTTGTGGGCTTTCAACTTGGCTTGCTGGCAAGCCGTTCAATGCTTGGTTCGAATTATGGAGCAAGCCGCGCATGCCTTCAGCTTAGGTGGCTTGCCTGCCATATTTGACGGCTCAGTTTATTCGCTAGCCAGTCCGAGACACTGAGCTTGGCTTGCTTGTAAGCCGGCTTGTTTGTCAACAGGCTTGAAATATATATAGAAGACAAGATAGAAGCTACCGAGCTGCATTTGCTACTCTGTGTAAGAAAAGTTGCTACTCTCCTTAGCCCGTCCGCAGTACGGCAATGAGTTCGGCTACGTACCACCGAGCCCTAAGCGCGCTGCCTGAGCCCCGCATTTGGCAAGGTTCGCGCCAGCTGACACCGGGCATAGGACGCTTATTCCTCACATTACTCCTTGCCTATTTCCTATTCTTCCTTGCATTTCTCCAATTTCGCCAGAATTTCCGGGCACCAGCGATATCAGTCCACACCTGGGTCACCAATCGGCCATGCAACCACAACGCCGCAAGATCGTTAGTCGCGCGTGCGATGCTTGCCGTCGGCGTCGCGTAAGGGTACGTGGCGGCTCTGTCATGGGAGCTGGAGGTGTGTTGATGCTGGTAGTGTGATGCCGCATTACCGACGTGCTCGAGCTGCATCGCAACTGGCGACGCTTGCTCGTTTGGCCTGCCTAGCAAGAAACGGGGTCCCCGCCGCCGACCGAGGACGGTACTATCTCCCGTAGAGTCGATCACTCTCTTCGCGTCGCACGCGCAGCAGACATCGCTCGCAGGAGTCTCCCCGGGTTCAGATGCCTCCGTTGCACGGTCGGCGTCAGGGACTATCCCAGCGCACGGCACTATTTGCACGAATATTTGCGATGATCTTTGGAGGGAGCTCACCATCATCTGGGGTAGTAACCACATAGTCGAGCACTTCAATACCTGTGTCGACCTGTATATGCGCCATTTGTTCCCGATTACGCCTCTGGTGAGCGAGGGTCTGCTTAGACTCGTGGCGTCTAAGCTGGATTTAGCCTCTCTGAGCTCCGGCTCGCACGAAGGCACGGCCTTTCTAGTGTCTCCCGAGAACCCCAATCCCGGAAGCTCGATCCTGTTCTCAAACCTTGCCCGGACCAGCGAGGTTGTGGAGATGTCATGCGGCATTTTATCTGCTGAAAGAGCTCTGGCCTTACTGACCGCCGCGGGTGCCAAAGTGGCAAGTCACGTCCCGCGCCATCTCCTTCCTGCAGGCCTCAGAGATGCGGCAGAATGCCTCCTAGCCGCATCTAGAAGGATGCTCCATTCTATTCAGGACCCAGACATAGACAGACCTTGCGCAACATCTGTCATCATTCGATACTTCCATTCGTGCTGCGTTCACGCTGCGGGGCACCTTCGCCTCGCTTGGTATATCCTTGGCGAGGCGATCCGCATGGCTCAGGACCTCCGTGTCTACGATGAGACATCAATGGCCGGACTCAGTCCGATGGAAAGCCATTTAAGACGTAGCGTCTTTTGGCAACTTAACACCGGAGACAAGTCTGCTGCGATACTGAACGGCCGGCCATTTGCATTCAGCTCTTCCAACCTCGAACAACCCTTCAACGTCCTGCCGTTACCACTGGATCACAACAGCCTGTTGGATAGCCGAGGATATCACGACCCGGCAAGGATCGCATGTCATATTAACACCGGCTTTAATCTCATTGCGCGCATCTTCGATTGCGCTTGTGTGGTGTTAAGCAAGCTGAGATCGCTCGGCGATTATAACGAGAACCCGATAGAGCCCGTCGGTGTGTCGCAGGTCCAGCGCGCATCTATTACAGGAAGTCTTGGTGTATTCCACAGCCTCACGGATGAAATGCCTGAATGGATTGTGAGGCCTTGGCAGTCCACTTCTCCCAATATGGGAACAGAAGATATTGATTACATCCAGCATTACCACTGGATACAGCATGCCAACGTCATGCTCACCTATCATTGCCTACATCTGATCATTGTGGTGGAAGCAGCTAAGCTTGGGCACGCAGACATGCTCGGATATAGCCAAGAGCCACAGCTTCTCGCTTTGCACAAGCTTGAGCTCGCGCGGCACGCAATCTCGATCCTTCGTACTGCGCCCTTCGAGGCCTTGCAGATCAATGCCGAACCATGTGTATGATGGCCAAGTCGACCACTATCGCTGCGTCTTCGCTAACAGTCTTCTCAGGTTGAAAAAATCCGACAAGTCGGTGCCATCCTTCTAGAGTTGTCCGAAAACACTGTCAATACTTCAGTTGCAGCTAGAGCCAAGTCGAATCTTGAAGAAGTCCTCGGAATATTGACTAGGCTGGACTCGAAGGCTTCGGACACTCTCTGGCAGCGGCTCAACACTGGCCCTCCGTGATGCCACCAACGACTTTAAGGCTTTGCGATGCTTGATTCTCCGACAGCTAATGACATCGACAGTGCCATGCTTGTCATTCAGTCGCGTAGACACACTACACATCTTATAGCTTCAGGACTTGACTTTGGTCTTGTCCGGTTACAGTCAGATGACTGAACGTCACCCAATCACCCTCGAAATTTTGCAGAGTTGTGTTGTGAGCGAACACACCCAAGATGGTTCCTGTGAAGTCTCGGCAGGTTAGATCGAGAGTGTCAACCGAGCCGAGTACCGTCCATGGCGAGGATGGATCCTCGCGGTATTGGAAGGTGTAATGAGTCTGGCATGAATCGATCCCAAGCTGAATCTTGTCACCAGGATGATCTGACAACACTGTCTGGTTCACATCAACCTCTTCGGGAGGCTGAGCTGCGTCTTTTGTGCGACGTTGTCGAAGGATGATGGTGCCTTTGCCAAAGTCGACTGCAATGGAAGCGCTCCTGTAGTCGTCTTTGTAGACAGCCAGTCCAGCAACAACAGGCTTCCCAAGGTTTGCTTCGGCCAAAACAAGGCTCACTGTGGCTTTGTCGTTGATCGACCGCTGACGCTTACCGACAAAGGATGCAGAACCTACAGGCACAGCAAGGGTTGCATCTGTTGGTCGCAGGCTGACTGATGTACTCTGTCGGCGGTAGAGATTCATGCTTGGGGTCCGAATGTGGCAATCATCGACATGTAGCTTCTGTGGCAAGCATGCCCATTTCGCTCGACTTCCGCATGCTTGGCGTTGAAATTGGAGCTGCGGGTGAGGCATTCGTGGCCACCCACCTTCGGGCCAGTCAACAGGAACCAGGAACGATTCTCGCCCAAGCGGATAACGGTCGTCCACCTTCCGTACTCCGAGGACGGTTGCCCACCATTGGCCTTCGCTGTCTTGGAACAGCTCACCATGGCCAGTATCCTGTACGAGCTCATCAGGCTTGCCGGCTGCGGTCAAGATCGGATTCTCTTGACAGTTCTCGTAAGGCCCCAAGATATCCTTAGACCTCGCAATGGATATCATATGGTCTTCAAACGTCCCGCCTTCCGCGACGAGTAAGTAGTAATAGCCGTCCTTCTTGTATAGATGCGGTCCTTCTGTATAGACCTGAGCCGACCCCTGCCACAGCTCTTTGGGTTCGGACAGCTGTTGGCCCGTGTGAAGATCGATCTCATATTGCTTGATAGTCGAGTACGGCTGCTCTGTTCTATCCAGACGCCAGGCGCCCTGGATATATGCCCTCCCATCATCGTCTATGAATAGGCTGGGATCAATGCCTTTGAAGTTCAATGGCTTCGGGTCGCTCCAATCCCCTTTCCAAATGTTGGTCGTGCTGATGTAGAAGTTTTCGGCCGCGAAGTCATCGCCCTCCTCACTTACATTCGTGCACACGATGTAGAAGGTGCCGCGATCATAACGAATAGTTGGTGCGAACAAGCCGCCAGCTCCAATCATTGTCTCCCCACCGTGCAGTTTGACCGCTTTCGTGATTGTGTTGGTCAAATCTACTTGCTCCGGACGATTGATCGCATTACCTACCAGCGAGTTCAGCCTGACCTCTGAGAGCATGTTTCTCCAGATCACTCACCAATTTGTACCCATGTCTGCAAGTCTTTCGATGCGTATATCGGGATGCCAGGAAATATGTGGAACGACGACGTTACGAGAAAGTATGTGCCGTCAACAAGTACAACAGATGGGTCCGGCGCAAAACCCGAGATGATCGGGTTGTTGTATGTCTGCATCGTTAAAGAGTTCCAGAATGGATCGTTCAACGCAGGCTTTCGAAAAGCGGTGCAAAAGATTTCGAGATGGTGTCGGAGATAAAGAAGTTGAACTCGACGGCGCAAGCAGCTCAAATCCAAGTTCCTCAGAACTCTTCGCGACTTCTAAGACAGTTTCTCGCTCGAATAGGTGCCGTGTCTCAGCGCTGCTGCCAGTTCGTCAACCGGAGTTTCATCAGGAGAATTAGAGGAAACTCCACATCACACCGGAGAAATCGGCTGCCTCGCGTGGCCATAACTCCGCCACTCCACCATACTTTATCCAGGAAGTCTGGGGCGCCAAAGCTCCACAGTCCTTGACGGAGTTGTGCAAAACTATTGCCATCTCCCATTTCACCCCATGTACCCGCCATTGTGGGGCTCAAAGGTTCTGGAAGCTTTGGCGGGATCAAGTGGAGATATGTTCAGCCGATGCCTCAGAGGGTATATGGTTGAAAGATATATAAAGTCGTTTGTCGACCACGCCTGTTCTATGTTCTTCTAACCTTTACTGTCAAGCATCGAACCCCCTTATGCAACATGGCTCCCGCTGCTGCTCACGCCACCGAGCATATCACATCAGCCATCGACCTGAAACAGCTGCCTCCCTTCTATGCTCGCAAGAATGGCATCCTTCTCTACTTCCTCCTTACCTCATCCTTGCTGTCCAGCATGGCCAGCGGATTTGACGGCGTAGGCTTCACATGTCTACCAAAGTTTGAGATGCTGACATTCAATACACAGTCTATGACGAACGCTATGCAACTCCTGCCTGTTTGGCTCGATCGTTTCAACCACCCTACCGGCTCTACTCTTGGATTCTTCGGCGCATCAACCGGCATCGGCGGCGTCGTGGGCTTGGTCCTCCTGAGCTGGGTTGGCGATAAGTTTGGTCGGAGGGCACCCACTGTGATTGGTGCACTTTTGATTGTCATCGGCGCCCTCATTCAAACTTGGGCCAGCGACCTGGGCATGTTCATTGGCGGCAAGATCCTCCTTGGCTGCGGTGTCTCGACCGTACAGCTTGGTGCTCCGGTCCTGGTCGCAGAGCTCAGCCATCCGAAGGAGCGAGCGACGGTCGGCACATTCTACAATACCTCTATCTACCTTGGGTACGTCGTGGGTGCTTGGATCACCTTTGGTGTTGCAAAGATGAACAACCAATGGCAGTGGAAGATTCCGACCCTGCTCCAGATCTTGCCATCGGCTTATCAGTTGGCTCTAATCTGGTTCTGTCCGGAGTCGCCGCGCTGGCTCGTCGCTCATGGTCACGAGGAGCGAGCCAAAGCGATTCTAATCAAGTATCATGGTAATGGAGATCCCGCCTCCCCACTCGTTGACATCGAGTTCGCGGAGATTAAGGAAGCAATTGCTCGGGACGCGGAAGCCAACACCACCTGGCGTGAGGTTTTCAGGTCCAGGACGAACTGGAAACGCATTGGGCTGTGCATTTGCGTTGCAGTGTTTTCGCAAACGACTGGAAACCTCCTTGTCTCGAATTACCTCTCCAGTATTCTGATTGATACTGGCCTGAACTCGTCATTCGACTCCACCTTGATCAACGGCATGGTAACTCTCTGGTCCTACATTGTCACCCTTGCAGTCGCTGCTCTCATTGATCGCTTCCCGCGACGAACCTTCTTCCTCTTTGGATCTGGTGGAACAATGGTCGTTTTCATCGTCTGGACGATCTGTGCCCAGCAGTACAGCGAGCGAAACTCTGTCACCGCAGGCCGGGTCGTCATTGCCTGCATTTTCCTCTTCCAGACGTTCTACTCCATCGCCTGGCTTAACATGGTTGCGCTCTACCCACTTGAGATTTGCCCGTACACTCTGCGAGCGAAAATGTGGGCTTTGGTGTTGCTGGTGATCTATGCGGCGCAGATCTTCGGCAATTACGTCAATCCTGTTGGAATTGCTGCAGTGGGATGGAAGTTCTATATATACTACTGCGTCTGGGTCACGATCATCTTCTTCATCGTTTATTTCTGCTTCGTCGAAACGCAGGGTCCGACTTTGGAAGAGCTGGCGCTGATCTTCGACGACGCAGCTGCTGGTGACAGGAAGGCAAGTGTCAACGGGTCGGATGTTGGGCATGAGAAGACTTCTGTGAAAGTGGTCGAGGAATCTGCCAAGATTGAGCAGTATGATCCCTAAGACATCGATAACACAGTGGAAGAGTCAATGTCACGCATGCCTCTGACGGTAATGCTAGTACGTGATAGACTCTGTCTAGGTTTTTGTAACAAAGAAGTATATAGGGAGCCATTACTACTTATCTGACAAACAAGAATCGTTGTCGGCTGATCAAGACAAACCCGATCTACTACAGCGAGGATAGCTAGAAATTTCCATACAAGCTCTCCCGTATAATAAAGGAATCGTTCAGTTAAGAGTTCCTACATTTTACTCTTCTACACTTAAAGGTTCATTCCAGATCACTCCTTCGTACACTGAGTCCTCCCTTCCATCCAATCCAACGTACCTCCCGGGGACCTCGCGAGAGCGCTAAGATCAACGCTGCCCCTAGCAGGCTAATGTTAAACAATCCACTACGAGTCCACCTGCCTTGTGCGTACAGCCTATTGCCAATACTCGTGCCGGCTAGTCGGCCAGCAAATGCGCTGACTGTGTACGCGACATTCACGCGATTGCGCGCAGACGGAAGCGAGGCATATATGGCCGCGCGATATGCGACGCTGGCCGTTTGAACGCCGAAGCGAGTGCTAGCGCCTGGATAACAACACCCGCAATGCTAAGGGTAGCAGTAAATGCACCGACTAGGACACCGGCCATGGCGTACAGAATTTCAAGTGTGACGCTGAATGTGGGTACGAAGCGATCGATGACGAACCGACTGTAGGGCGGCACAAGAAGCAAGGGCGCCACACCGATCAGCGCAAATAGTCCGACTTGCAAAGGTGAGTAATTGTAGGGGCGTGAAGTAAGCAACGCAGTGAGAGTAGTCCAATATGAGGCAAACGCGGCATTCGAGAAGAACACCATGATGCATGCATAAACCAGGACCGGTTGCCTGTAGACCACCTCGACAATGCTCCATAAGAAACGCACATAGGGCATTTCGTTTGTGTTGATGGACGGGTAATCTGGCAGGAAAATCCAGAGAAGGACAAAGAGCAGGCATTGCAAACCGAGGGCAATCCAGTACACGGTCCGCCACGGAGCAAACTCAGTCACCACACCAGAGAGCACACGCGGGAGTAAGACACCGAGCATCAAGCCGGAGAACACGATGGAGATTGCAGCCGCTTTGCGAGCCGGAGGTGCGAGACCGCTTGCCAAGGGAAGCATGAGTTGCGGCGTAACCGTAGTAAAGCCTGCAATGAAGCTGAGAGCGCAGAATGCTCGGAAACTGTGTGTCAAGCACAGCGCTACCCAGATAACCATGGTGAAGCTGATCAGACCCAGCAACAAAAACCGCAGTCGCAAGCTGTCGCCCAGTGGGCAGATGAACAAGATGCCAGTGCCATAGCCTGCTTGGAGGAGGGTTGGAATCAATGATGCTCGTTCATAGCTGACCTCAAAGCTGGCCGCGACCTTGTCCAAGATTGGGTAAGTGTAGTACATATTCGCAGCGGTTATGGTACTGGCCAAGTGGAACAGAAGATTCAGCCGCATCGAGAGATGAGTGTTGTGCGCCTCGTTGTACCGACATCGCGGCGGTGTCCATACCGCGGTCTTGAGTATTTGCTGCCATACTTTGTTTGGTATGTTCTTGTCGCGGGCGGCTGTGTCATAGGGTCAGGAGCGGTCGAGCAATCCGCAGGTTCAGTGGCGGCCATCTGCAATGCCATCTCGGGTTTATCGTCCGCTTTCAGAATTGCAGCACACGGATTGTGGCGCGAAGTAGTGTGCAATCTTAAGGTGGACACCAAAAGTGCCAGCGTTGGGGCCGTGAATCATGTATGCGTGTCGGTTGTGGTTGAGCAGTGATTACACTCCGGTCCCAGGACTAGGGTAAGCCGCTTCATGTTGCTTGCCCTTAAGCCAGTCGGCTGCAACTGACACATATTCCCGCGCTCTTGGCAAGGCCTGCGCAGGAAACGTCGCTCCTTCCTCCGGACTTTGAGGTTTTCGCTCCGACACGTACCATTTTTCTTACTACGTTTAATCATGCGCAAGGGGAAGTTATTCGTCTTACGCGGCCGAGAGAGCCTGCATTGATCCGAGAAAAGGTCGCTTTGGCTGAATCAGCATTGGCTAACGACGTTCGAGTTCTGAAATGTTACATGTCTTCGAGCAGACCAGGATGCAGTCGAACGACTTCCTACTACACCGGCCACTTCAATTTACCGTAGAACGTAGTCTACGTCTCTGTACCGCGTAGGCGCGAAGGCTGCATCTGCAAGGACCCATTTTCGGCGGAGTTTACAATGCGATCCGGGCGGGCTCTGCTTTCGACCTTAAGGCGGAGGGTTTCGAAATGGACACAATGTTCATGGTCACACTAATGCGACGGCGAATGATGTAGCCTCCATTATAGGCGGCCACACTGACGAAAACGATGTTGGTAATATGGGCAGGTTTGCATGCAGTGGCGCGCACGGGCATGATCGTGTTAACCGCACTCAACCGATTGTGGGTATTCCACGCGAGCGAGTTCGAAATCTGGAATACTCTTTCTCGCTACGCCGAGGATAGCGTACCATCTGTCCCGTGGATCTGTTGCACGACGGTGACGCATTTCGTAGGCGATATCGAGCAGGCCAGGCAAGGGATGCTCGGCTCAAGATTTGGCCTGCTTGGTGTCCGCATTTAAGCTGCATTGGGCGAGGCTGTAGGACTGGGTCCTGGTTGACGTCTCGTAGTCCCGCTTCGCGCCACGAAGGAGAGAGAATCGCCACCTTGACGGATCGCATACACTGCAAAATCAGCGCCGTGCGACTTTCCCACCCGAGATTGAGTACTCTAGAGTTGATGATGACATTTGTGTGCAAGAGCGGCCTTCTGAAGTACCCACAAACGCTCGAACCAATGCCTGCTCAGCACATCATCTTGTGCTGCCTGCAACATGTGATCGAGTAACTCCTTCCAGGCCATACGCTCCTTTGGTAAGCTCGAGCTAGCCGCTGCAGTACAAGCATTCTAAGCTCGGCGAGCTCAGCCCGATTTCTAAAGTAAGGGATCACTCTAGACGCAGTGCTGTATATAGCATCCATTTTCGACACCATTACGGACCTCTTTTCGATGTCACACTGATTGATACAAATAACGTTGACCCAGATCGTCCGCTTCTGGCTTGACAAGCGGACATGGCGTAACGCGCTCCGCAGACTCGGAGTCGCTCCCAATGGCACGCCGTTCACGACCACCGGTTGTCTGTTCTGCAAGTCACCCGAAACGTAGGATAATGCTTCATACTGAGAAGCCGAGTTGCGGGACTCGCTATTCGGAAAGTCCACGATCCGCATCAAAGTGCGTATGTTGTCAGAGTATGCACCTGGCAACAGATCTAGTACCCGTATTTGACCTGGTCCTAGTCTTGGAACAGGTCCACAGTAAGCTTACAATGATCACCGACCGTGTGGAAGAACATCCGACAAACATCCAACAGCCGAGCCTAATCGTGCCCTATATCGTTCAATACACAAGCATGCATAACGACGAATCTCTGACGGCCCTGTTTTCCGCGCTTTGCAGACTTACGGCACGCTCGCAAGGTCCACCGTAGGCATATGCAGACCGCCCGCCATATCCTTAAGTTGCGGTAAAATCGGCCATATTTCTTTGGTGCTATAAGGGTGCGCAATGTAGACCGAAATCCATGGACCACCCAAACCACGGCCTGTAAGGCGACGATCGTGCGGTGAGTAAGTGGTCAGAGAAGTATTCAATCTCCTTTGCACTAAAATAGGCCTCAACCACGGAGAAGCGGGGCGGAGGCCGGAGTGTTGGCAAAGTTGCGCAAGGCTGCGGTGTAGAAATGATCACAAGGAAAGGGGACGATGGTGTGATAAAGATGCTCGTCGAATGACCTTGCAGGTTCGTGCTATGTGTGTACACAGCTGTCGTACGCCGAACGCCGTGCAGATGCTCGTGCGGATCGTGATTACGGTCGTCAGCAGATCTACTTCTCCGGAACTGTACAGTATTAGCAATTTCTCACACCGCACGCTCCCTAGTCGGAGTCGCAACGTACTCTCAATCTCTCCCGACAATACGTCCTCCTGCACCGCCTTCGGACTCCGACCGTCGACCTGGCAGCCAGTTGAGAACGCCGTGCCGAGGATCTCCATCACTGTGCCCTTCAGGTCCTTGGCCATCGACTTGTGGCGCATCTTTCGTGCAATCTCAATGATCTCATCGAGGGGAATAGACTTGGTGTGCTTGATGTTCTTCTCCTTCTTGCGGTCACGCGGCGGCTCCTTGAGCGCCTTGATGACGAGCGAAGAAGCCGAGGGAACGACGGAGACAGCAGCTTGACGGTTCTTGATGGTGAGGCGAACGGTTACGCGGAGACCTTTCTATACCTGTTCTCAGCGATGCCATCTTCAATTGAGCAAGAGAAGCATACCCAGTCACCCGTCGCCTTCGCAATGTCTTCACCGACCTTCTTCGGCGACAGACCAAGCGGGCCGATCTTTGGGGCAAGCGCAGAGGATGCACCAACCTCACCGCCAGTGGCGCGGAGGTGGATAATCTTCTCTTCATTGGGGTCGAGCTTTGGCGCTGGATGAGAGCGGCATGGTCAGCAAAGGCGAGGTAACTGGAGATGCCGCCTCAGATGTTGTAGGACACGCTGAGGAGCCATTGATCAAGAAGGCGATACTTACCCATGGCTAGAGGGTAAGGTGGTCTGCCTTTCTCGACTGTTGAAGATGGTGCGCTTGAATGAAGCTGGTCGTTGTAAGGATTCGCTTCTTCCACCGCAAAAACTCGAAGAGTGAGGGCCTTGTGCGGAGCGGAAAGGGGCCGCTGGTTGGAAGTCTTGGCGTATCACGTGTTAGAATTAAGCTGTCGATGAACACCTGTGATCTCCAACAACGCCCACACCTGCTTCGCAAGCAGCATACACCGTCCGCCAAACACAGACACTATGGCACAACCAATGCCAGCAGGCGCTCCTGGCGGGCCTATGGCGCCCCTTCAGCCCGGTCAACAACCGACACCAGAGCAGATGCGCCAGATGCAGATGCAGATAGCAGCAGAGGCGAGAAAGGCCGGCCTCTCCGTCCCACAGTACATCGAACGAGTGAAGCAGCAAGCGATGCAGCAACATCAACAGCGCATGCAGATGCAGCAACAAATGCAGCAGCAGCAACAAGCGGCACAGAGTCAAGGCCAGCCCGGTGGTGCACAACCCGGCCAGCAAGTACCCATCCAACCCGGGCCACCCAAACCAGAAGCATTAGCTGTTGCAAAGTTCCTACGAGGCCAAAATCTCAAGCTAAGAACGTGCATTTTTCAGGAGAAGCGGAAAGACATGTTCAAGGTCAAGCGTGCAATCCGAGCTCTACATTCTCCCGCATATGAGAAGGCACGCAAGAAGAATCCTCTTCTACCGGAAGTGAAGGACCGAGTCACGGCAGAAAACACGTTCAAGTTGCTACCAATGTCATTACTCGCGCTCCGTGTCAGCAAGATTGACCCACATGAAGGCCACAATCATGCGAAGAAGAAGCGCGTCAAAGGCTTGTGGACCGTAAAGGTAGAGCCTCAGCAGGAGGCCAGCGATGAATACTACTACGTCTGGCTCTATGAAGGCTCGCAGTGGAAGAACAAGCTCTACGCCGTGCTTGCACTCCTTGGCATTCTCACGGTGGTCTTCTTCCCTGTCTGGCCTTACTATCTACGTCTCGGAGTCTGGTACCTGAGTATGGCTATGCTAGGACTGCTCGGTCTATTCTTCGCCATGGCCATCTTCCGGCTAATCTTGTTCGTGGTGACGATGTTCGCAACACCACCAGGATTGTGGCTGTTCCCGAATCTGTTCGAGGATGTGGGCTTCTTTGACAGCTTCAAGCCGCTCTGGGCATGGCACGAGGACGAGAAGGCGATCAAGCGGAGAAAGAAGGCGGAGAGGGAACGGAAGAAGGCAAAGAGAGAAGCGCGAGGAGGCGGAAAGACGGAGGGTGGCGAAAAGGGTGAGCCGAAATCGAGTGGCAAGGCCGCTGCGAAATCGGAAGACACCACGGCTACTAAGACTCAGCAGCCAGCACCCCTGGAGGATGCGCCGACCGCGGCAGCTATCCAAGTAAGTGGTGTTGTAGCAGGAGAGCACCAGGGCTTGAGCCCGCGCGTTGAGGAGGTTGAGGACGACTGAAAGTGATTGATCTGCTGCGCGGGGTCACAGCATGATCCTCAGATTTGCGTTCTGTTGGCTTGCAACGAGCGGTGGCATAGCTGTACCTGTCCTTCTGTCCATCGGCACTGTCAGATAAAGCGACCATCTATGACTAGCCGCCACCCGTGACCATCCTCTTAACTTTCTCAAGCAGCACCTTACTCTCCCTTCCCAACTTCCTCTGCCCGTTCGGTCCGCCGGAGCGTGCTTTGGCCATTGCTCTGCGGAAACGCTCCCTTTCCTCCAGTTTAGTCTGCCTTTGCCGCAGAGCTTCTTCGCGAGCTTTGCGTCGTTCTTCCGCTTCGGCCTTGCGGCGGAGTGCTTGCTCGTGCTCGAGCTTGAAGGGCTGATGTCTGGGTCGCCGCTCTCTGCGTGCTGGATAATCTGCGCTGGCATCGCCGACTTCTGCGGAATCTAGGTTCGGAGCAGTCTGTTGTCGGTCTATGAGCGTCTGGCGGTCGGGATGTGGTGCTGTGCTGGGTTCTGGTCCCGCTTCGGAACTTGATGGTTCATGTCTGGCAACCTGTTCTTGGTGGTCTTTGGTAGTAGCTGAGTCGTGCTCGTCAGCTGGTACCGGTAGGCGTTTCTCGTCGTTCGCTTTGCGCAGCCTCTTGTCCTCAGCATAGGATTTCGTGGTCTTGGCTCGCTTGGGATGGGTAACAACGATAGTCTTCGGTCGGCGTTCGAATACTTGTTCCTCATGAATTTGAGCTTCGTCTGCTGTAGCCGCATGTTGCATAGATGCAGGTACTGGTAAGCGCTCATCATTGACGGCTCCACTTCGCTTCTTGACTTTGGCATAGTCCTTCTTGATCTTCGCTTGCTTGATCAGCGTGTCTTTGAGCTTTTGCGCTGCGACATGTCAGTATACGGTTCGTATATGCCAGAAGGCAGGATCGCACTTTTGCGCTTGTATGGCCCATCAGGCAGATTTGCTGGGCCAGTGATGAAGCCTCTTTTTTGCTTCTTCTTGCCCGGTCTGTAGTCTGGCACATTTGCGCCGTCTTCACGCTTCCGCTTCTCAGCCATCACTATGCCACAAATTGATATGGATGTGGTATCGAAAAGTCTTTGTAAAGTTCGAGGTTGCAAGCGCCACTCCACCCTCGTCTCGTGGCTGGCTCTTGCCTTCACACCTCCGCATCTGGGCGAGCTTGCATGCTTCCAAGAGTGGAACACACTGGCGCCGCCCACATGGGGCACGGGCACGGGCGTTAACAACGTCAGATGACTCCTACCACCTTGCTGGGCACCCGGATGATCACTCTAACTCCTCCCTACAACTCTGACACAAGTCCGAAGTCACGAATGCCTAAGATGTTCGCTATTGGAAGTTGGCTTTATCACCCAAGCTACCAATAGCGCCTATCGGGACCAGTGAACCTGAAACGACTTTACGTCTCCCGCACTTCGGGCTAGCGACAGTAGAGTCTGCTGCGACTGAAGGTGGTTGAGTCCCACTCTTGGATGCTGGCGAAGTTGATGTGCATCTGTGAGACGCTTCGATCTCGATCGAACTTGATACGGCTGCTGAGAAGGCCACCCTCCACTCACCGCTGGTGGCGGGCTCATGGCGATCTATAATGGGCCTGCCGGACAGCGAGATGGCTGGACCTCCAGAAACGCGAGTGTAAACAGCGAACGAGACGTTGGGGAAGAGCAGAACGTAGGCTCAAGCGGCAAGACCGGCAGAGACAGTCCGACTGCTGTCTTCAATCCGTATTACACTGGGAGACTGCGGACGCCTGCAAACAGCAGCAAGCAGCCATCTATAGATCGACAAGAGCTCATCAGAAAGATCAAGAGCAGAGAAAGCAGGCCTACCTCACCTGAGCTTGAACGGCTGCAAAGTCAAGATGGCTTCCGACGTTCTTCTCCAACGCTTCAGCCTTCTTCGACGGTACCCGGTGATCGGCCGCAATCGCCTGGCAAGCATGTCGAGAACGAGAGCATCGGCTTAGAAATTGAGAGGCCAAGATCGGCACTGCATCGCGGAGACTTCCACGATAAAGAGGACTCAACATCTGCGTTTCAGCACTTCGGTGATGGACAGCACAACGACCATGCAGTGCCGTCACTATCAACATCGCCTGTAGCGCCTTGGCATCCTAGCTTTCCAACTGCCGTCTTCCGACAAGCGTGGCAAGAGCGATCGAGACTACCCTCTCCGCCTGGTGTAAGTCACGCACGGCCGGCACGTTCGCGGGCGACCTCCGCAGCCTCCCCTGCCAACGGCTTCGTGTACAAGCCTCCAACGAGTCCGCTTGTGCAGTCTTCGCGTCCAGACACACCCGAGCCAGCGCCTAGACGTAGCTCGCGAAGTCCGGACAAGTCACGTAGGCATACCTTCTCGCCCACCTCAATGCAAGACTTCTACTCAGCGCTTGAATATCCAGCTTCGGCACGGCACCATGCATCTCGGCAGCCACCTAGACTACGCGCAGAGCACACGTTCCACTACCAAGCTCATCAACCAAGAAGATCAATTAACTCGCTTCACAGTCTGCCGCACACGCCAGCACCAGGCTCACGAAGGCCATCATTTGCAGAATCAGCTCTTCACCATGCGCCCATGGTAGGATCATATGAAGAGTCTATACTACGCGGACGCATGTCTACTGTTCCGTCCAAGCCACTCAATTTTGTGGCGCAGATTGGCGTGCTAGGCAAGGGCAACTGCAAGGCCAACCTGCGGTGTCCACCACATGTCACCGTGCCGTTCCCAGCAGTCTTTTACAGCTATGGCTGCGCAGCGAAAGTCACCGATCAACCCAGTCCGTACGTGGGTCTAGTGGACCTCGAGAACAACTTGCCCAGCACAGAACCTTCCCCTGAGAAGCGGAGGCAGAAGCTTTATCGGGCATTGAGTGACGACGGCAGCCGAGCCGACTCACGCACGCGCGAAGACGGCTCGGCTTCGGATGCGCACGCAAAGCGAAGGCGCAAGGCGAAGGACAAGCGCCGTTCAGGTTCGCCGAGGGCGCCACCTGGCGGAAGCTACCGCATACCGCAGCAGGGACAGCTGCAAATTATTATCAAGAATCCGAACAAAACGGCTGTGAAGCTCTTCCTGGTGCCATATGACCTGTCCGACATGGAACCAGGGCAGAAGACTTTCATCCGTCAGCGCAGTTACTCCGCCGGGCCCATCATTGACATGCCGCTGTCATCCCGTAAGAACCTTGGCACGGACCGACCTGAAGCGGCCATAAGCACAAGCGACGACCCAAATGACCGACCGATGCTGCGATATCTAGTGCATTTGCACATCTGCTGCCCGTCGAAGGGACGTTACTTCCTCTACAAAGCGGTACGCGTGGTCTTCGCGAACCGTGTCCCAGACGGGAAGGAGAAGTTGCGAAACGAGATTCAACTGCCCGAACCTAGGTATAGCACGTACAAGCCGGGCAGAGACTCCAACGTCAGCATGTCGGCCAATGCTACGCCGAAAAATGCATTAGCCAATTGTAGCACGCAACATCCCACGAATCCGCCGGCGGCAGTGGCTGCGTGGGAAAATTATACGCCACCCCGCCGCATCGGTGCGCAGTCCCTCCCATCCATGGACTATGGCCCTTCGTTTGGACCGCCCATGCAACCACTCCCTTTGCATGTGAACGCGCTGCCACCGCTCGAGTCACGTCCTGCTAGTCGGCAGATGAGCGATGCGATGGACTTTGACTCGGACCAGTCACGATCCGCATTCTCGCCCCCTACCTCGCCGCAGACTGAGAAGCACGCACCGGCACCTGTATCACCGCTGTTGCAGCGATTATCAAGCGTACGGAGACTGGATGACCCTTTCAACTTTGAGCGGGACCGGAGCCGCGAGCGGCAGCCTGAGCAGAGGGGTGAAAGCTTACTGAGTAGGAGGTTGAAAGACATGGCAGTGCAAGCGCAAGGGCGGGAAACAATGCTGGAGTAGTTAAGATACTAGGTAGGCGTCTCATCTGCGGCCCCTGCGTGCCGCGAGCGATCGTCCATCATCCGAACGCCCGACTTCCTCCGACCATGGAGAGCCTGTCATCTCCCTTCTGGGAAGCGAAAACCCGCATAACGCCTCGCTAAGTCGATAGAAGTCATACCTCGTCATCGTCATCCTCGCCAAAGCGCATAGACGTCCTCCGCGCCAGGCGTCCAGCGCGGACGCCAAGCCCACCCAGCGTCACCGCCATGCAAGCCCACACCGGCCACACCCTCCTGTACACCCAAAGCGCCATATGCATAATCCCTAACCTCACCGCGCGCCGTTCATGCAGAGGCTGAGATTTCTAATCCGGCCTCAACTTTTCCACGACGCGCAGAACACTGATGCTAAAGGTTATCAACCACGCCAACAGACCAATGAAAAGAACCGAAGATAGCGTTTTCTGCTTATAGCAAATGTTTGAATTGTTGGGGCACGTGGCAGGCACGTTATACGACGGGCCATTAGTGCCTATGATGGCGAATTGCTCATCGTAACAGGCCCAGCGATGGTCGAAAAGGGCGTCGAAGGCGAGGGAAAGGTTAGAGGCGGCGAAGACGACGAAGTAGAGGTCGCAAAGTAATAGCAGAACTTTGGTGGGGACGGAGCGGAGGCCGAGACTATGTCACGTCAGACCCTGACCAGATCTAGGAAGTACATAGGGGACGTACGGTTTGCTCATGTACTCGTCCCAGGTGACGTAGCCAAGGTACGGGATTGCTACGCTGCCGATGCAGATGGCCATGTAGGTCGAGGCGCGAGTGGCGCATTGATTGGCTGGGTTGGGGTCGTGATTGACGAGACGGACGCGGGTAAGGATGGTGCCTGCGATGCCGAGGCCTGCGGCGGAGAAGGCGAGGACGATGAGACGGAACACGAGCGGGACGAAAGGGTTCTTGAGGAGTAGTCGCTGCGACCGAGGTGAGCATACAAGTACATAGCAGAGTAACAGCGCGTATATGGTGGTGCGCAGGCTTACCCAAAACACCCGCACCGTTCTCTCCTGCCTCTCCGGACTGATCAGCCATTTGCCACGGTACATGAGTCCCGAGAAGCCCTTCGGCTCCGCTCCTTTAGCGCCAGCCTCCAGCTCGTCCTCGGGTTGCCACGGGCGGTTGAGGTATGGCATATGCTCGTCCAGCCATGCTTGATCCACGACCCGCGCTTGCGCTGACCGGTCCTGCGGGTTCGGTCCAGACACCATGAAGTCTCGCCATCGCGCCTGATGGTCGGCGATGGGCATGCTGAGGAGCGCTGGCTCGGCGCTCCGAAGATGATCCCATTTCCGACCGGCTTTGTAGTTGTGAGCCGGCTTGTGGTGTCTGGTATTTGGTCGCGCTGGCTCGGGTGGTTGTGATAGTAGGCGCGCATTATCCGGTAGGATCGTGCCATCGTTCGGATGTACCCACGGTGGTATTGGCGAGGGTACATGCGGGTCTCGGTCTGCTTCCTTATGCGCGGTGCTGTTCGGGAGTTGGGAGCTGCTGGCGATGGCGGTAGGTAGCACGGAGCCGGTCTGCCGCATCTCCGGCATCTTGACGGTCGCTCACTCCTGCTACGAGCGACGGAGCCTGTTGTCTCTATATGATACCAGCATAGTTCTGCTTGTCAGAAAACTTGTAGCCACGAGCCATGAAACGCGGATGCGCGCGGCACCTCGGCCGTACTATAAATGAGAGGCCGGGCTTAACCGAAGCCATCAATCCGGGGTGCGTTCATTAGCGGTAGATCGTTACCCTGTCCAATCAAAGTCCATCAACATGTCCATGCCGTCACTGAATCTGCTGTTTAGCTCGACTCGCCAGGCGGCAGCAATTGCGTCCCTTGTGTCAAGAGCACCTCTACTGCTCAACACATCCTCCACCAGATAAGTTGTTGTACAATGCGCGTCTTTAGCCTCCCGGCGGTGCTCTCACTGCTCGCCTTCACCTCGGCCCTCCAGGCCGATGTCCCTCCTAAGCCGCTGCCTCTGCTGATGTGGCACGGTCTGGGTGACAGGTATAACGCAGAAGGCTTGCGGGTTACGGGAGCATTGGCAAGGAAGATCCATCCGGGCACATACGTTTACACCATCCGGCTGGATGAAGATGGCGGCAATGACCGCACAGACAGCTTCTTCGGCAACGTCACGACGCAGATCGATCAAGTGTGTGAGGAGATCAAGAAAGACCCGAGGCTATACGCAGCACAAACGGCAGAGGGAATCAGAGTGGATGCGCTGGGTTTCAGCCAAGGTGGCCAATTCCTGCGAGGGTTGATCGAACGGTGCAATGTCCTCAGTGTGCGGAGCCTGGTCACATTTGGAAGCCAGCATAATGGCATTGCACAGTTTCAAGTTTGCGGCCAGCGAGACTTTGTCTGCAAGGGCGCCGTCGCCCTCATCAAAGGCAACGCCTGGACGGACACGGTGCAGAGCCGCGTTGTACCAGCGCAATATTACCGCACGCGCAATGAGACGACAGGCTTGGCGTCTGATGAGTACCTGAAGCACAGCAACTTCCTCGCCGATGTTAACAACGAGCGCGTTTTGAAGAACGCCAAGTATGCGGCCAGGATTGCCGAGCTGGAGCACTTCGCTATGTACGTCTTCTCCGAAGACCAGACGGTTATACCGAAGGAGAGCGGCTGGTTCGCCGAAGTGAACGCTACATCCGGCCATGTCACCCCATTACGCCATAGACAAATGTACAAGGAAGATTGGCTTGGGCTGAAGAAGCTCGATGAGCGTGGTGGGCTCGCCTTCAGGACGGTTCCTGGCAAGCACATGGAGCTTTCGCAGAAGACGCTTGCCGATGCTTTTAGGGAGTGGTTCGGTCCGGAGACGGACCAGAAGGATCGCAGTCTGCTGTACGATGGACATAATCTTGACGAGACGCCGTTGATGTTCTTTGAAAGAGCTGAGATTGCAGGCCCGAAAGAACACCTGTGAGCGGACTCGCACAAACATCCAGTAACTCACTCGTTCTACATATTCGTGCCCATTGCCAAGCCGCCGGAGCCTGCCGAGCCCTTTGCAGGCGTGCTGGCCAGGTGAGAGAAGGCTTTCCACTGTCCAAACCCGCTGCTCGCCTTACCCCACCTCACCTCCTAGCTCGCTATCTGTTGCCCTATCGTCTTTCGCTACAACTTCCTATATCTCGCACCACCGTATCTGCTCGTTACAAGCCATAGTATCACCAAGTATCTCGCTGACGGTCGATATCATAGTCACGATGGTCGCTCAGGGCGTGTCAACAGCGCCAGCGAAAGAGTACCAAGCGATCGCCAGTCGCGCACAGCAAAGCGTGCTTGACTCGCTACCGGCACAATGCAGACTATCTTCGACGGCGAAGGCTGATTTGCTCAGCAACCTACCAAGCGCAGTTGAAGACTGCGGCTTGCTGGGGCCTAAGCAGTTGGAGATTACTTCCCTGACTGCTTCGGTACTCCTACAGCGTATTCATGCACGGGAGCTTACTGCCGTCGAAGCGACCGAGGCCTTCTGTGCGCGTGCCGCGATAGTTCATCAGCTGGTCAACTGTCTCGTCGACTTCTTTCCAGATGAGGCCATCGCATCCGCCGCTGCTCTTGACAAAGAGCTGGAGAAGACGGGCAAGCCCGTCGGTCCGCTTCACGGCCTACCCATCTCGATCAAAGATATCATGAATGTCAAGGGGCACGTGACAACTATGGGCTTCACGGCTTGGTATCACAATGAACCTGCTTCGTCCGATGCTTCTGTAGTCAAGGTGATGCGCGATGCAGGCGCGATCATCTTCGCTCGTACGACCTGTCCGCAGTCGGGTATGGCACTTGAGACCGTGAGCAATCTCTGGGGTCGCACATTGAATGCCATCAATCCGGACTTTGGGTCCGGTGGCTCGTCTGGTGGTGAAGCCGTTCTTACGGCACTAAAAGGAACGCCTGCATCTCCATTGAGTACTGACATAGGCGGGAGCATCCGGGGGCCAGCTGCGTTCAATGGATTGTACGGTATGCGACCTAGCCACGACCGTGTGCCGAGGACAGGGTTGGTACATCCTGCGCTCGGCAATGTTTCGATCAAGAGCGCTGCAGGACCGGTGTGTCACAGTATGGAGGACCTTAAGCTGTTCATCAAGTTAATCGTCACGCATCCAACGATGCCGTACGAGACGAGTTGCATACTACCCTTCTGGGACGATTCAGCGTCGGCACCGAAGAAACTACGAGTAGGCCTCATGACGACCGATGGGGTTGTAGAACCACACCCGCCCGTTCAGCGCGCACTCCGCGAAAGCGCAGCCAGGCTGCACGCTGCCGGTCACGAAGTCGTGGATTTTAGAGCTCCTTTCGACTGTTGGCAAGCGGCAATGACGACGTTTGCGTTATACTTCCAGACCGGCGCGAAAGAGGCCAAAGCTCTACTGGAAATGGCCGGAGAGCCACCTATACATCAATTCGACTACAACCTCAAGATCTTCGGTGTCAAGGAGCTCACTGCGCCCGAGATCTTCCACCATAGCCGACAGCAAGCGGCGTGCAAGGCGCGTTTCCAGCAGGCTTGGGACGAGGCGAAGATAGACTGTCTGCTGTGTCCGGTTGCGCCGCAAGCGGCAGTACCGCACGACTTTCCGGTCTGGTGGGGTTACACCAGTCTCTTCAATCTGTTGGACTATCCGTCTGTGGTGATGCCGGTGAAGGGTGTGAAGGTCGATCAGAAGCTGGACGAGAAGGACGCGAGCTATCAGCCGCGCGACAACCCGTTTGACCGGCCGAATTGGGAAATTTGTAAGTCTAAGCGATATGATTACCGAGATAATCTGCTAATAGTGAGACCAAGATGACGCCAAGCGGTGGAAATCACAGCCTGTGTGCGTGCAGATTGTGGGGAGGCCTTTTCGAGACGAATACCTGATCGCCGTGTCCGAAGCGATGGATACTGTTATCAACCCCAGATAGAGCAGTCACTTGGCCTCCAGTCAGCTTGCCCGGGCACCTCGCCTTTCACCTAGGCATGAGCTAACAACCACCCGCCATCGATCACAAGCGTGCTGCCAGTGATATAGCTATTGACCGCAAAGTTGAGTACCGCCTGCGCGTAGTCTCTAGAACTGCCAGCTTTGCCAAAGGGGATACCCCATTTCGTGCGGAAGTGCTCCTTGGCCTGGCCTGCCTCGACGCCAATAGGCGTCATCTCGCTTGGGAAATACCCAGGCGCGAGCGTGTTAACCCGAACCTCCAGATCTGGCCGCTTGAGATCTACGGCAAGCTGCTCGGTCAGCGAGATGCATGCTGCCTTGGAAGCATTGTAGCTGAACTGGCCGTTCTGAGATTCTTTCGTTATACCGCTGATGGAGCTGATGTTCAATATGCTGCCAGCCTCTGGGTAGCCATGATCCCGTGCAGCACACAGCAGCGGCAGGAAGGCCACAGAGGTGAAGTAGTAGCTCGCGACGTTGACCTTGTAGATCGAAATCCAGTCATCGAAGGTTTGATTGTTCAGCATTGCGTCAGCGACCTCCTGAACGCTGCCAGTGGGTTGCCCGGCCTTGCCATAATTGACGCTGGTGACTCCCGCGTTGTTGACGAGGAAGTTGATCCATTTCTCCTTCTCGGAGACGTGCTTGACAGCGGACACAATACTGTCTTTGTCCGTGACATCCATTTGGAGAGCTATGATTGAGCCGCCTGACTTGGAGTCTTGCATTTCGGCATCTTTGAGCTTCTCTAATCGTCGTCCGGTTACGTAGACTTTGACACCATTTGCTGCAAGTGATTGTGCGGTGATCAGGCCAAGTCCAGTACCTCCACCAGTCCGCTCAACGTCAGTATATTTCCATGCATGATCGTAGGTTTGACCACATAACCTACTACGACTGCCACCCAGCCTTTCACGTCGAACAAGGTCTCTACGCTTAGCGAGGTCGGATCGTTTGCCATGATGTTGGCGATTGCACAGACTACTTCGAACAAGACTTGTTCGAATGTAAGAGCAGACCTACACGATATCACTTTGGCGGCATGGGCGCTGTCACCCTCGCCGAAGATGTGCCTGCACGGTGACCCACCGGGCTAGTTCATCCGGTGTGTGGCAGCAAGATGTGCTGCAATAGAACCACATGCGGGATGTGGAGGAACAAAGAGGTGGATGGTTCCGAGCACGCCCCGGCAGAGCTCGTCCTGTCCCATTTCGCCAAGCAACACACACTTCCGTGTACTTTCTTTCAGCATTGCAACGATCGATGAGTCTTTTCTGTACTCTAGGCTCCTGCTCAGACGTTCCACTGGTATCGTAACGGCTAGCAAATGCTATAGTATAGGTTTCCTAGCCCAACCTTGATACCTGTAGTATCCCGCAGGTATGCCGAGGTTGATATCTCCGCGTTGTCGAGCACAACAGCATCTTACCGCAAGTGAGCTTCCTGATATTCATTGCGATCTTGGACTTCGAACATTGGTTGTGTCTATGAAGCTCTGTGATTCTTCACGCCTCCTGAGCTCGGTTCAATCACAATGACCAGGTTGCGGCAAACGCCGATCATTGTTGGTGTTGGCGATGTCGTGAACCGCTCTCGGAAGATCGAAGATGCTGTCGAGCCTCTAGAGCTCATGCTACAAGCAATCAACAATGCATTGCAAGACACCGCTTTAGACAACGCAGCAGCTGCAGCGGTTCAATCTAGTATTGATAGCATCGACATTGTGAGAAGCTGGACTTGGCCCTACCGTGACCTTCCAGGCTTAGTAGCAGACCGCCTGCATGTCAAGCCTCGACGAAAGCACTACAGCGAGCATGGTGGCAATCAGCCAGGCTTTTTGTTCGATGAGGCAGCCAGACGGATCTCAAAGGGAGAGGGCAGGGTTGCCGTACTGACGGGCGGAGAAGCGTTGGCATCGTGTAGGCATTAACTCCTCGTGGGAGTTTGTCTAATCTGACTACTGCAGTGACCGCATGTGCTTCAGCCAAGCGTCTTCCACCTCCGCATTGGACGCCTGTTGATGAAGAAGTCAACAGCGTCTTCTCGCCTACCACTCGCGAGCTCAAAGCCAGTGCGTTACCAAGCTCGTGGACTCCGGCAAAGAGCGATTCTAACGGCATAGACCTTGGAGCTAAGCATGGCATTGGCAACCCAATACAGGTATATCCTCTCTACGAGAACGGGTTTCGCGCATATCGACGGCAAAGCATCGAAGACAATAACGTCGAGTCTGCCAGGTTGTACAGCCAGTTTGCCACAGTTGCCGACGGCAATCGTTTTGCATGGTCCTACGGTACTCCTGTGACAAATGAGGATGGCATTGGAGCAGTCTCGGGCAAGAACCGAATGATTTGTTTCCCTTGTACGTACAGAAAAACCTCAGCGTTCGCGTTCATGTGGTTAGGTTGGCTCGACTGATGTCAACATGTAGACCCGCTACTCATGAACGCGTTTAACACGGTCAACCTAGCCGCGGCATGTATTGTGACCTCGACAGACTATGCTAGAGAGTTGGGCATACCCGAATCAAAGTGGATTTACGCCCTTGGTGGAGCAGGCACAAGAGACAACGACGAGTGTAGATGCGTCCGAATACACTCTGATCACAAGGCATACAAGCTGACCGTGATCAGTCTGGAAGCGGCCAGCTTACTGGTGGAGTCCTGCAATCTCCCGCTCGCTTGATGCGGGCATCGAAGCGTCGGCGCTGCAGAAGGAAGACATTGATCTGTTCGACTTCTACTCGTGTGTACAATCTACGTTAGCGGAGCTTGCCGTTATTGACAAATGACAGCTGCTTCCCAATCGTGCCAAAGCTGGCATGTGAGCATCTCGGCTTGCCGATAGTCAATTCACCTAAACCTATCACGTTGCTGGGAGGACTCACGTCTTTCGGAGGTGCAGGAAACAACTACTCTATGCATGTAAGTACTGGGTCTGAACGCGTTGTACCTGCGCTGGCTGAGACACTACTAGGCTATTACGGAGATGACACGCCAACTCAGAAGTGGAAAAGGCAAGACCGGTCTTGTTTTAGCGAATGGTGGCGTAGCAACCTACCAGCATGTCGTATGCTTATCGAGGAGTCCGCGCCGAGACGGTTTGCCATACCCGGAGAACAATCCACTGCCCGCGGCGATTACGGACGTTCAGGTACCAGAGGTGGACGAGCAAGCGGAGGGTGATGCTACGGTCGAGGTAAGGTCCTGCAAGGCCACCTGCTGTACTCCAGAGTAAATTAACATGCGAATAGACGTATACGGTTGAATTCGCAAGAGACGGCCAGCCCGCACAAGGGTTCGTTGTTGGCAGACTGAAGAAGACGGGCCACCGTTTTGTTGCAAACCACGCCGACGATCAGACGCTTCACGAATTATGCAGCCGCCAGAGCGAGCCGATTGGCAGAAGTGGCAGAGTAAGCCGTGGTGCAGACGGAAGGAATGTCTTTACGTTTGCGGCCACTATGGCGCGGCTGTAGCACAGTTCGCGATAAACTTCAATGCTGTGAGTCTTCACAATCTCGATGTGACCGCCATTGCCATCACCTAGATGTATTGGGGTGTCGCCATCTTCCCTCTTCCCCTCCCTCCTCAGACGGATGCGAAACCCGCACCCTTAATATCAGCCTCCGTACGTGGAGTCGAGAAGTCTGATGAATCATTCCTTGACGCGAGCCCACACTGCTCTCGCCAACGACGGCGTCTTGCAACCTGGGAGTGACCAGGCAACGGCATGAGTAGACGCTGACAGCCAGTTTCAGAGTAACGTCCAACTGGCGAGGAAGTGGATTGCTCGTCAAGGATGCACATGATATACAGATGTCAATGCAGACTGACCCATGCCCGTTCTTTTGACCAGAGCCGATACATGAGACCCGCCCACACGCTTTCCCCGGTGTAGACGGCATCCAACGCCACCTATCAACACCACAGCAATGCACCGGAGACGCCACCGTCGTTACCCATCCAGACATTTTCCCTTACAACTGCCCGCTCAAAATCGCCTCAGTCGCGCTCCCAATGTACTGCCTCCGATTGTCAAGCGGCACACCGAACCGCCTCTCCAACTCGGCCTTGATACTCTTCTTCGTCACGCTCATAAGATCTGCCGTCCGCAGGATCTCGCGGATCTCTGCCAACAGCGCATCATCCGATGGCTGGTCCGACATCATCTCCATATCTGAGCCGGAATAGTTCCTCGACAGCAATCCGGTCTCCGAAGGTGCAAGCGACATCCGCGAGCCGTTGTGCTGCATGGGATGCAAGAACGGCGACGCGGGCACGCCCAGCTGGCTCATCGGTCGCGAAGGTGGGTAACCGCCCACATTGTAGTCGGAGGCGGCAGGGTGCCAGCTTTTAGTTGCGTAACTGATCCCGCTGATCTCGCTGCGGGCGTCATCCTTCATGGTCTGCGCCTCCCACAACTCAGCCTGGTACTCCTCCCACCGCTTGCGTGGGATGGTCGACGGGTCGAATTTGCCCTCGTCGCTGACAATGATCTGCTTGCCCTTCTCTCCGGTCACCATACGCGTGTTGCCCCAGCTAAAGTCGTCCATGTGCCAGAACGCGTACAGCGGGAGTCCGAACGAGAACACAGGCGTAGCGAGCATGTATATCAGCATCCAACCGATCATCTCCCACTTCCGTCTCAGAATGAAAATGATCGCTTGCAATCCGTAGATCGCTCCAAGGAGAATAAAGGCCGTGATGGGAATACTGCTGGGGTTCTGCACCACCTCTACGATGAGGTAGGCGATGTATCCGACAATGACCGGTTGTACAATCGTGCTCAGCAAGTCCAGGAACACAACGAAGCGCATACTGAAGCAGCAGAAGCCACACAACTGCTGGAGCGGGATGAGCTCGATGAGGTTGTGCACGGTACTGTTGATCCAGCGTCGACGCTGCGACATGAACACCGTCCAGCTATCCGGTGCGATCGTCCAAGCGTGGGCGCGCATGATATACTTCGTCTTGTACTTGGGATGATACTTTAGCAGCAGCGTTGTCAGGTACCGATCCTCACCCAGGTGCAAAAGGTTCTTCATATGCAGCGTATCGACACGGATCTCGGCATAATCGACCACGATCTCGCGGCTCACGAACAGTGGTTTACCGGTCTCGGCGGCGCGGATGCGGTACATGCTGTAGCAACCCGGCAAGCAAGTGACGGATCCAAATAGCGATTCGAAGGCCTTGGTGAGGTTGTGCGAGATGTAGTATTCGTAGACCTGCATCATAGTGATCATCGAGGCTTTGGCGTTGGAAAGGGCCGTCTCGCCACACACGCCGATGAGCTTGGTGTCGTGCAGGAAAGCGGAGACGAAGCGCGTGGCGGAGTCGGGGGCGACGACGGTGTCGGCGTCGATTTGCAGCAGGAACTCGTAGAAGGTGGGATTGACACCAATCACGTTCCGGATTTGGTGGTGGAGCTCGAGTTCGAGGGGCGTCATGGGCAGGTTGTAGTGGATGCGGTTGAGGAAGCGCATTAGGATCATCTGCGAGTCACGCTTGCCTCGATTGCCAGGTCTAGCAATGCAGTGTCAGTCATACAAACTCTGCGCATATGTTCACACGGATCCGCACTTACTTGGACACCTCAGACGGTCGCCCGACCTTGACGACAACAATGAAAGGCACAATGTGGCCCTGCACCTCGTACAAGCCCGAGTAAACCTTGCCCATGTTGTGCTGCTTCATGCCTTCACCCAGCGACTCGAAGCTCAGCGGCTCCGGGTCGACGGTATCCGGCACGCCGAGAATGTCAAGGACGATGCGAGGAGTTGGTCTGCCAAAAAGCGTACAGTCAGCACCCCCGAAAGCCGTCAACCAGCATGCAAACGTCTGTGTACTTACCGATCGTTGCCCTGCCCGATGATCATACCATCACAGATGATGAAAAGCAGTTTGCGTTTGTCATCATACCGCATCCTCGCCGCCGAATCGATAGCTCGCCGCAGCGAGTCCTCGTCTTCGGTATAAGCCGGCACAGTGGCGATGATGAACTTGTCGAGGTTTTCCTTTCGCACCACCAAAGTCAGCACAACTCACTACAGCTTCCCCACCACCATTTTGTAGGAGGGTCTAGAACTCACCGGCATATTCTTCTTCCCAAACTGCAACGCCGCCAAGAACTTGAACCCAATAACACTGACCAACAGCAAGCTGATGGCCAGCAGGATGTATTTTGCGAACAGACATTGCGCGCTGTTCCGCGTATCCAGATCGCCGACATAAAACAGCCGGTCGAGACAAGTCTGCATGCGCGCCCGCAGTGCCGGATCCAGGTTCAGCGCCTCCCAGCGCTGCGTCACATCCTGTCCGGCACTCTGCTGAAACAAGGCCACGACGTTGGGATCCATAAAGTTCGTGCTCGGCGGCGTGTAGTCGGACGGTCGGGTCCAACCAGGCGGATACTGCAATTGCCTGCCTCCCGTCACGTAGTCGGTGAAGTCATAGACGCGCTTGTTCAGGTATGCGATGCTCTGGCTCTTAGAAGCAAGTGTCTTGAGGTACTGGGCCGAAAATCCCACGTTGCCCTTCCAGTACGTCCCGCCGAGGAATATCATTTGCTCCTCGAGCCAGTCCGGACGCGAATCATTCGTGGCCCAGCGGAAATCGTGGTACTGCGCGTTATTGTCCGTCGTACTAATGATATTGCTCGAGCCGGTGAAATTGTAGCTGCGGTAGTTCAGCTGCACGGCCGGGTCGACTGTCCCGTCGACACCCTGACACATGGCGCTGACTTGCACGGGAAAGAGGTTGGTAGCGTCGGTGCCGGCGTACTTCTTCAGCGCGCTCTGCGGGACTATGTTCGGATAGTGCACTGGGATGAAGGCGTCCAAGTCGATGACCTGTCCTCGAATCGCCATGTAGCTCCTCGCGCCGTCCTTGCCGTCGAATGAGCTCAACTCCTCAGAGGAGTAAACATGCTGCGTCGGACAGATGAGCCGTGGGAAGCCGACCATGAAGAAGACCACAAAGCCGCAACTCAACCAGATGATCAGATTGATGGCCAGCTTTTCCCTCCATGCAGTCCTGACATCCTTCCTCTGAATCCGTCCCACAATTCGGATAGCGAAATCCGGGACGAACCACGTCAAAGCGTAGACGATAACAAGCCATCTCTTCCGACTGCCGGACATGGGATGACTGTCGACTTCCGCCATCTTGACCTCATTGCCCTTTTCAGCCATCTGCTCGCGGGTCTCCAGATTGCGGAACATATCTCCATCCCGATACGCACTCGCGCCCGCCTCGCTCCTAGCGTCCATCTCGCGGCTGCCAAAGTACCCACTCGCCTGCTTATCATCATGGTACTGTCCTGGAGTATTAGGCAGAAGAGCAACCTTACTCTCCCCAAACCCACCCTTCGGGCCCGGAGTAAGCGAGCCAGACTCATTGTACTCAGCACTGTACACCGGCGCAGGCATGTCGCCCAATTCCGGCACATGAGCAACCTGCCTCCAACACCTCTCACTCAGAAACACCCCCGTCGCCCCAACCCTCGCCTCATTAGCCGGCCAACTCTTCTCCTCGAAGATCATCTCCGCCTTCTCTTTCTCGCTGCCGACGACACTCACCTCGCCCTCCGCCGTGCCGAGGAATTCGCCAAACGGCATAAAGAGGCTGAAATCCGCATTCCGAAGCCGCTGCGAGATCTCCGCGAGTCCGAACGTCTGGATCTGCGTGCGCACGCACTTGCTGTCGAATTGGTTCGCGATGCGGCGATCGTTGGGCTTGAGACAGAACACGAAGTACGGGTTCGTATTCGGCGCGGTTAAAGAGCGGTTGATAGCGTCCAGACTGCTCAGGAACTGCGCCGCGGCGCCTTGCTGCTCTTCCTTCCCCCTGTTCATCGTCCTCGAAAAACTGCGCGTCCCGGCATCATCTTCCCCACTATCCTTCTCGTCCACTTCCCTCCTCGCCTGCAGTCTGGCTTGTCGCTCCGCCTTCCGGCGCGCCATACTCGGCATCCGGCTCGGCTTACTCGCCACACTCGCCTGGGTAACGGCAGTGCGGTCCTTGGGATGCGTAGTCTTAACCAACGCCTCCTGTCCGAACAGCTCCTGCACAAACTCATTCCCACTCGTGCCGAACAAGTTCATCAGATCACCCGAGATCACCTCGCCCGTCGCCTCCACAAGCCCTTCAACGGGATACTCGACCTCTCCCGCGAAATGCCTCACGACAAACCCAGCGCTCAAGTTCTCCGTCTTGAAGTTAGTCCCGGGCAGAACGGTCGTAGCTGCACCAACCTCAATCGCCGGGTTCTTGCCCTCAAACCTCCGTCGAATCGACTCAAGGAACTGCATATCGCTCTTGCCCCTCCTCATCTGATCATCAAGGATACTCAACAACCCATTGCCGGGCTTCAGCAGTCCCTTCACCGCCTCGCTGTTATCAAAGTAGCTCGTAGCCGGGACCTGCACCTCCTCCGACTCCAGCAAATCCGCTTTACGCTCGAAGAAAGACTGCAGACAGAAATGATACAGAGACTCGGTCGCGGCGTTATTGAGAAGCTGGTCCAGCGTACTGCCCGTGGAAGACGCGTTCGCGAAACCGGGAAAGTCGACGATGGAGATGGTATTAGCGACGCTCTCTTCTTCGACCGAAATGCGTTGGTTGATTTGCTCCACGATGTAGGCGACGAGAAGGGAGTACAGCGTTCGCGCCAATTCGTCTGCATTTGCTCGGGCGCCGGCAGGATCGAGCATGACGGTTACGCGTTCGCGGTGCAGCGTCTTTGACCGGAAACCGAGGCTTTGCTCCAAGTCTCTCGCCGGAACACCGCAGAAGGCGGCGACGTGTTGGAGTACCTCCTTGTTCTTCACGACAGTCACTTCCTCGCCACCTTCGTGGCCGTAACCGCCGCTTTCGTCCGGGGCCGGAGTGGTAGATTGCGTGGTCATGAATTCGAGTTGACCGATATGTAGGATCGCCGCCAAGATCTCGCAGATGTGCGCGACCTGCTGTCGCGGGAATTCCAACTTCCTCAAGGCGGTCTTGAAGTGCTGGAAACCCTCCGCATCGTTCACACCTATCTTGAGTTGTGATGGATGGCCGAGATACCGCCATCGTCGCGGGTTCCCACCAACCGTGTCCCTCACCCCGGCATCGAGCCCAAGATGCACCTTCTCATCCGGCGACGTGCCAGCAAGGAGGTAGTAAAGGATGTGAAAGTTCCGCTCCCCAGGCGGTACAGTCGTGACTCTGCTGCGCTCAAGCCGATGATCAAGTAGTTTGCCACCGATGAGGACGGGATGCGTGCTAGCCTCCGTCTGATACTGCAGCTCAAAGAACAAGCCCGCCTTACTAGCCGTGGGCGTCGTGGTGCTCTTGGTCGTCGTCAATGCGTCAAAGACGAAATGCGCGTAATCCAGCCTTTTACTCAAAGGAGTACTGCTGTAATGCAACAACTGTCCCAACAGGCGACTCCGAATCGTACTCTTCCCAGACCCCGTCTCGCCAAGAAACACGACAGCCTGGTTCTCCTGCCGGGCGGAGAGACGCGACCACATGCGCTGGGCGAGTTCCTTCGCGGCTCCCGCGGCCGAGCCTTCTTCGCCGCCATGGGGACCCTTGGAGGGGGAGGTGTAGGTGTTGACGCTGATGTAGGCTTGGGAGCTGAGGGTGGTGATGGGCTGGTTGACGTGGAAGCGGGAGGCGATGTGGGAGGTCAGGCCGGTGTCGGATTGGAGGTGGGTGGGGAGGGCGCAGAGGTTGGGTTGCGTGGTTGCCGACATGACTGCGGTGGTGGTGTCGGGAGGCCACACGGCCTAGTTGAGGATGGACTTCAGCGCGGTGATGGTGAGCCTCGAGGGCTGGTGTTGCGTATGATGGATGTATGGCTGTTGCTCTTGGTACAGGCAGCTCGGTGCCACTCTTGATGAAGCGGTTATAGTAGCAAGGGCCGAGTCTTGCGTGGTGGATTCCGTGCCTTCCGTTTCGTCTCTTCGATTCAATCCCTCCCAGCGAACGTGAGCAGTAGCGAATGACGAGTGAATATACAACGTTGGTGCTTGGCGGGTAAGAAGATGAAACGGTTCAACAGCGTATGTACAATTTACACAACCCAAAGAACAGAAACAGAGGCTTCGAGGTGGAAACACGAGAGGCAGACGAAAACAGTGGCACCTCTCGCTCACACACGCACCAGCGCCTCCGCATGATGATTCGCCGCCCATCGCCAGGAGACGCAAACGGTCGACGGGGACAGGGATCTTGACGCAGGCGAAAGAGAAAAGAAGGCTAGCCCATTCAAGCTCATGGTTCTTCAGCCAACACCCGTATTTTCTTACATACGCCCGCTTCACATCTCACACATCATCCCCACTTGAACCAACACGATTCTCCTACATGGCCCGTATGGTCGGTATCGTAAAAGACATCTCCGTTGCTTGTCTCCCAGCATCAACAACATCTCATGGCGCGGTGGATGGAATTGTTTTGCTGCTGCGCCATCGTCCCAAACAAGCGTTTGCGCGCCCTTCTAGCTTCCGGCCTATATCTGGGGATCCCGCTGGTGCATGCGGCGATCAATCCCATAATAATTCTGTGGCGAAGGGTAAACGCTCCACGAACCCGTTCACGGCCTGGGACGGACTCGAGCACGACACTGCTGCTTCCAGAAGGGGGGAGTGGCGTGCCGCATTGTATGCTGTTCACGAGGACTACAGACAGCAACCTCGCCAGCAAATGTTACGCTGAGGAGAGATGACATGGGAAAAGTGGAGCGAGAGAACCGTGAAGCTACTGTTTGTTGTGAGCCGACGCGTAATGGATGAGCTGACTACATGAAGCGTATGCAGGTCACATGTTGAGCTTCTTGCCGTGCTTCCCTAGCTACGATTGAATGGTGGGTTGTTACGTGCATGATGTGAGGCGAGAAGCCACAAAGGTACATGTAGAGTTTACTGTAAGAGCGAGCTCGAAATAGCCCGTCGCCTAGATCTGCATTGCGGAATACGATGTAAGGCGGGTACATGTACGTACACAGCTAATGTATCTACTGTGGCGAACTGAAGAGCCAGGGTAAAGCAAAGCGAGATCCGATCAGGCACCGAGCGTGCTGTATTGTATTCCATGAGTACAGACGCTTGGTAGACGCGGACAATGATGTGTGAATCAATGAAAGCAGTCTTGTTGTGACCAAGTCGCGTATGTATGGGCATTCGAGTTGCGTACTCTCCGCACCATCACCCCTAGAGACGCCACTCAGCAAGCTTTCTTTGCCGTTTTAGCGTCCACGTTCTAACCATTCACGGAGCGGCGTCTTCTTCGACGTTGTTTGTCTCGCTACAGTCCAGTCCACTCTCACTGCCGTGCGCCAGCATCAGCCTTCTCCTTCTCACATCCTGTACCGCACATTTCAGCCTTGCGAGGTCTTCACAATCGTTCACGACTTCACATCACTCGCTTCAACCAATAAATATAGCAGGCACGAAGCGAGTGCCACAGAAGGCTTGTCGGTATACAGAGCGTAGCGTATATCTCTGGACGAGACGCACCACTACTGGCCGGCACCCATTGACGCGCCCCTCGCGGGCCTAATACATTTCCAACATGGCACACCGCATGTCACACTACTCGGGGGTATCGAACAATCAGAGCAGGACGAACACGATGCAGCACAACATCTCCCAGCAAATGTCCACCTCCTCATGCCTCAACGCCTGCCACAGCGCATACACCGCCTCTCACGCACACCCGCTGGAGTCAAGTACGAGTCTCGTGGTCAACACATGGGTCACCGGCTCCTCCACCGGCCCAGATGGACGGTATGGCGGCACAGTGGATGGCGAGTTGGCGCGGAGGGCGTGGGAGCACGCACGACGGAGGGCAGAAGATGGGGCGGTGGTGCTTGGCTCAATGCATCACTCTACGCCATCTTTGCTGGCACCCTTCGTCTCCGCCCTCCCGCTCAGCGTACCCGGGGCCTTTTACACAGCACTCAACGCGCTGCGACCGTTTCTACACACAGTAACCCCCTTCAACCCCTCACTACCGCGCTACAGCAGTCTCTCAGCCGTCCTCACCTTCTCCCTCGCCGGCGACATCACAGCCGCATCGCTCGGTCTCAGCACCTCCGGCATCGACACTAAGAATGGTCTGCTCAACGTCCCGGCCGAACCCGGCTACCGCGCCTTCGACGTCTTCTACTACCTCCTCACATCTCCTTCGCAGCAGGAGCGCGAGTATCTCGGCCTCAAGCACCCCTCTAAATACGCACTGCTGCGCAAGAGCGAGACGTACACTCCGCCCTCATTCTTACCCACCGCAGACGATGCCGCAGCCGCAGAAGACTTTCGCGAGTCGCTCAAGCAGATTGGCGTCAAGGGCAAGAACTTGAAGTACCTGCTCTCCGTCGTTGCGGCTATACTGCGTCTGGGCGACGCCATCGGCTTCTTAGTCGATCAAGAAGAGCTCGAATCAACATGTGAGGACGTTGGCGGCCTGCTAGACGTAGATCCGGAAGTCCTCCTCAAGAAGTGTGTAACGGAAGAGCGCGAGGTGCTGATCGCCGGCCTCTATGAAGCCCTTGTCGACTGGGTCATCGCCCGCGCCAACGAAGCCATCCGCTTCGAGCTCCAAAACGGCCGCGCAATCGGCTCCACTCGCAGCGGCGAAAGCGATTCGGGCGTCGCCACACCACCGAGCAGCGACGATGACGGCGACAGCGTAAGCATTACAGTCATTGAAATACCGAGCCAGACTCTCGGCAAAGCCGTGGCGCTCAAGACCGTCTTCGACGACAGCACGGGGATTAACGCGGAGATGCGAGAAGACGGCGTGCCATTCGTTCCCGCCGGATCGTCGGTGATACGAGAGATGAAGGATGCCATCTCCCACACTGAGCCGGATCTGGACATTATGACCGGCTCTCTTGGGCGGGAGCGCGAAAACGAGGTGGAGAGACGGCAAGCCGTCCTCGAGAAAATTGGGCTCGAGGCTGAAGCGGATAGCTTCGTCCGCACCATCCTCTTCCCAGCCTCCGCCACCGCCGGCATAACACTCGGCAAAACCAACCGTTTCAGCCTCCCCCAAGTACTGGAAAGCAGCCGCGTCTGGTTCCACCTATGCCTACACCCTTCTGACGACTCTCCTGCCACCTTCGCATCGCAGCGACAGAATGCCTTCCCCTGGCACGCCGCCAGCGTATCCAGCCAGATCCGCTCCTGGCGCTTACCCGAGTGGGCGAACCACAGGAATAAGCAGCTCGACTTCACCGCCGACTTCGACATCGAGGAGTTTGTGGATCGGTATAGTCGGCTAGGCTGTCAAGGCGGGCGCGAAGGCGTCGAGGCGTGGATCTTGGAGCGCGGGTGGAGCAATGGCGAAGTCATTGTAGGGAGCGAAAGGGTTTGGATCCGAGAGGGCGCGTGGGGGGAAGCGGAAGGGATGCTTGATTTGCTACCCCAGCTTCAACAACAACACAGCGCTGGGATCGAGATGGATCCCTTCGCGGATACACCTGGACTCGAGACGGGATATGGCGTGCAGACTCCCGCGGGGATAGGTGAGGGTTTTTTCGCGCCCAATTACGGAGAGTCTCGGGAGAACCTCCTCGGCCGTGCCCAAACTCCCCTCGCCCCGAGCAGGATGGGTGGCAGAAGTCTGGCTCCTACGATCGCGGGAGCGCAGACGATGCGTAGTGTACATACTACGGGCGGCGATTACGGTTTGGGACGGAAGGGCGACGTGAACCACGATATCGTCGACTATGGCGACGGCGTGGACGATGGCAATCTCGCCGACGGCAAGCACGTCGAAGTGCAGCGGACGACGTGGGGAAGACGAGCCTGGGTCGCTGCGACTTGGGCCGCTACTTGGTGGATCCCGTCCTTCGTGCTGAAATACGTGGGCGGGATGAAGCGGCCGGATGTGAGACTGGCTTGGCGGGAGAAGGTCCTGCTCGTCCTTCTCATCTTCCTTATCAACGCGACCGTCGTGTTCTGGATCGTCGAGTTCGGAAACTTGATATGTCCAAACTGGGACAAAGTCTGGGATCGACAGGAAGTATCGTACCACCAAGGCGACAACGATTTTTGGGTCAGTTACCGCGGAGGCGTGTACGATCTGAGCCATTTCTGGAAACTGCAGCACTCCGACTCCAGCATCGAAGTGACGACCGATCTCATGCAGCCCTTTGCCGGAACGGACGTGAGCGAGTACATCGTCCCGCCCCTCACGATCGCGTGTCCGGGGTTGGTGAACGATACCAGCGTAGTGCTGCAGTCGAACAACACTCTCACCTACCCGCAAGCGACGCACGTAAGTGGGCCGTTACAAGGTGACACCACGACGAAACTCCATGATATCAACTGGTACACCGAGTACTTCCTCCCGCGCATGAAGACGATGTACAAAGGCCCGTTGGTGTACCAGCGGAGCAAAATACATGCCGATGGCCAGGATAACAGTCACATGTGGTTCATCATCAACAAGAAGGTCTACGATCTGACGGATTACTTCTACACCCTCAAGATGCTGAATGGTTATCCCACGTACGCTTTCTTCGGCGAGGACGTGGCGACGCTGGTGCAGAGCAACCCGGGCGCGGATCTGAGTGAGTTGTGGTTCAGCACGCTGAATTACACCATGGCGTACAATGGCCTCAACTGCCTCAACAACGCCTTCTACATCGGCGACGTGGATTTCCGCAAAACGGCCCGGTGTCAGGTGAACAATTACATCCTGCTCGCCTTCACCATCATCCTTTGCTCAACCATCCTCATCAAGTTCTTGGCAGCGTTACAGCTAGGCGGCAAGCGGCGGCCAGCGCAGCAGGATAAGTTTGTCATCTGTCAAGTCCCCGCCTACACGGAGGGAGAGGATTCGCTACGGAAGGGCCTCGACTCGCTGACGGCGTTGGCGTACGACAACAAGCGGAAGCTCATCTGCGTCATCTGCGACGGCATGATCGTCGGAGGAGGCAACGACCGGCCCACACCGAAGATCGTGTTGGATATCCTCGGCGTGGACCCGAAGGTCGATCCGCCCGCGCTACCATTCAAGAGTGTAGGCGTCGGCTCTGAACAACTCAACTACGGCAAGGTGTACTCGGGCCTCTACGAATACGAAGGCAACGTCGTCCCCTACCTCGTCATCGTGAAAGTGGGCAAAGAATCCGAACAAGCAAAGTCCAAACCGGGCAACAGGGGTAAACGCGACAGCCAAATCCTGCTCATGTCCTTCCTCAACCGCGTGCACCACCGCAGCGCCATGAACCCGCTCGAACTGGAGATGTTCCACCAGATCAACAACATTATCGGAGTGGATCCGGAGCTGTACGAGTACCTGTTCATGGTCGACGCTGACACGAAGGTGAAAGAGGATTCGTTGAATCGACTTGTGGCGGCGTGTAGCCATGATGCGAAGATCGCGGGCATCTGTGGCGAGACGAGTTTGGAGAACGAGGAGCGCAGTTGGTGGACGATGATTCAGGTTTATGAGTACTACATTTCGCATCACCTCGCCAAGGCTTTCGAGAGTTTGTTTGGCAGTGTGACTTGTTTGCCTGGATGGTACGTATACCCCCTTCCCATACCGACGAAGGTGGCGGAGAGGGAGAAGACACAGATGGACGTGTGCTAACGTGGTGGTTGGATTATAGTTTCTGCATGTACCGCCTCCGCACCGTGGACAAAGGCCGCCCGCTCATCATCTCCGACAAAGTCATCACCGAGTACGCGGACAACAACATCGACACGCTGCACAAGAAGAACCTGCTCTCGCTCGGCGAGGACCGTTACCTCACCACGCTCATGACCAAGCATTTTCCAGCTATGTCGTACAAATTCGTCCCGGACGCTTACGCCCTCACCGAAGCCCCCGCGGAGTGGTCCGTCTTGCTCTCGCAACGCCGGAGATGGATTAACTCGACTATCCACAATCTGGCTGAGTTGGTCTTTCTCAAGGACCTTTGCGGATTTTGTTGTTTCTCGATGCGATTTGTCGTGTTCATCGATCTCTTCGGAACTATCATCTTACCCGCCACCTGCGCGTACCTGGTCTACTTGATCGTCCGGGTAGCCACGCATACGGGCCAATTCCCGCTCATCTCGATCATCATGATCGCGTGCGTGTACGGCTTGCAGGCGGTCATCTTCATCATCAAGCGGCAGTGGCAGCATATCGGCTGGATGATCATCTACATCCTGGCCTACCCTATCTACAGCTTTGTCCTGCCTGTCTACAGCTTCTGGAAGCAGGATGATTTCAGCTGGGGTAACACGAGGATCGTCATAGGTGAGAAGGGTGATAGGAAGGTGGTGGCGACTGATGATGTGGGCTTTGACCCGCGGAGTGTACCGTTGCAGCGGTGGGACGACTATGCGCTGCAGAATGGGCTGCCCGGGCGGAGAGGCCTAGCGGCGCAGGAGAAGGAGATGATGTATGAGGGTGGTATGGCTGGAGCGGGATATGAGATGGATGACATGCACAGTGTCTACAGCTCCGTCAAGCCGGCCAGCACGATCTTGACCGGCTTTCCGGGGATGGGCGGCCAGCAACATCCGCAATCGCAATCGCAGATGGGCATGTATCGCCCGCCACCGCAGCACCGACAGAGCACGTACAGCCACCTGAGCCGGTACACGGACCACCCGCAACAACCGCAACAGATGATGGATCTGCAGCAGCAGCAACAACAACACCTCATGTCCATGGGCGGCTACCAATCCCCGCCACCCCAACAATACGCACCAAGCGGCATGCGCTCCCCCTACGGCATGGGAGCGCAAAGTCGACCCGTCAGCACCGCGAACCTGACCACGCTGTCCGGATTCCAGACACAAGGGCCGACTAACGAGGCCATCATACAGGCCATTCGCGAGTGTCTGGCCGAAGTGGATATGGACAGCGTGACGAAGAAGCAGGTCAAGGTGTTGGTGGAGCAGAAGCTGCAGTGTCAATTGGTTGGAGAGAAGAGGGCGTTCTTGGATGAGAGGATTGATGTGGAGTTGGCTAATATGTAAACAAGAAAAGTTGCTTTGTTTTTGGGTAAGGTGATGAGGCTGCATGACTGGGCGGGCGGGCGGGGTGGCTGGATGGGATGGCGTTTGCGCGTGGGCGCCTTCGGGTGTGGATGCTGTATTGGGAGGAAGGCGTTGCAGCGCTGTCTACATGTAAGGACGTGCGGAGGGTCCTGATTTGCAGCGCTCTTATATCACAGCGTACAGGGCGGATAATGAAACGATGTTCATCGTTATTCTACGAAATACCCCAAGTATAATATTGCCTGCCTGACTTGACGTTTGTTGACAAAGGGACATGTACTAATCGTTCATCACTATCTTCCCTCCCATGTCGATCCCAGCCCAACATGCGTTGATACTATCGCTCATCAACAGTACTTACTGTTGTTGCCACATGGCAGGTGAGTGGATCGCAGGAGCAGCAAGCCTGCACGACTCTATAGTCCTGATTAAACGGCTACTGATGATATGTATCATAGAACGCAGTACGCGCACACCAAGGCGATTCGCACACGAGACTGTGCGGTGGCCGGATACAGTTGCCGTTTTGCCGCGCCGTGTGCCTGGCATCTGGAGCGAGTCCAATCCCTGTCTCCACGTGGGATACGTCAATCCTTGCACTCAACCACGCTAACGATAGACATTGTCTGGTTGAAGATCTGCTCCCCGTCCAATGAGCAGTCGTTGTCTCTGGCTATTTCGCTCGCTTTGGCACCGTCAACTCATCTCGGCAGAACATGTCTTTCGTTGCTCCCGCTTCCTGGTCGCTTGCGCACAGGGCGCAGTTATCTTGGGACAAGACAAGCGAGCCGCTTTGCGGATGACGAGCATCATGATCGATGGGCCAAGGCCGTCCGTCTGGGATCATGAGGCGTGCCGTGCTCTTTTCTATCAGCTGGACTCGTTCTGCACCGTCAGACAGCAATGCGCGATCAAGGCGCCCCCTGAGTTCATGTAGATCCACCTCTACCGCGGCTGCAGTCGGCTCTAGCGACTAGATCCATCCAAGAACGAGCCGCGCGGATGTGTAGTATCCGTAAGGGGAGAAGTCTCAGTCTAACCACGAACCGCGTCCCAAACGCTAATGGCTCCCCCATGGCGGTGATGGGTCGTCTGAAGCGGAAGGTGAGGCAAGCGAAGACCAACCAGATCCACACTCTCTTGGCCTTCCTTTGTGTTGTTATCCATCTGCCGAGTTTGCAGACGCAGATATTAGAGTTTGGCGCATTACTTTCCCCTAGAATGGTTCCTGCAGCCTTCGAAACGCGGGTTTGACTTCTGTTAAGAACGCCTGTTTCGACGCCGTCATTCATCTCTGCTCGGCTTCCTATTGGATCTTCGACATCAGTACTTCAAGTTCATTCTCCTGCGCCGCTACGACAGACGTCTATCATCGCTATGGTTCAATCCGGTCATGCGTCGGGCGACGCAGTCATGGGTGTGACCATTGCGACAACCATCATAAGTCTCATAGCTGTCATATCGCGACTGGCCACACGATTGGGAATCGTAAGGAACGCAGGCGTCGACGACATCTTCATAGGCATCGCATGGGTGTGTAAATACATCCTCTTCAGCTTGGAATGTTGGCTTACGGTGTATAGCTCTTCTCGGTCGCAACTACGGTCACTATGGTTCTGCAGGTGAAGCACGGTATGGGACGGCATCAGTACGATCTTTCTGAGCACGATCAGCTGGCTCAGCTCAAGCCCTTTTGGTACGTCTCGTCCCACTCATCCAAGCAACAACACTGCTAAAGACCGCTTCCCTCGATAGGGTGTCGGTCATCGTTTACAACCTTTCCATATCATCCGCGAAGTTCTCGATCCTTTTCCAGTATCTTCGCATCTTCCCGCAACAACGATTCCGTCAGGCTTGCTACACGCTTATGGCCGTCGTTGGCATTTACAGCTGTTGGACGTTCTTCAGCGCCGTCTTCGCATGCTCACCTATATCATTCTTCTGGAACCCTATGCAAGAAGGCCACTGTTTGAACCGCTTTGCCGTCTGGTACGTATCATTCTACAGGAGTTGCATGTTGTTATTCCGTTGACGTCCTCATAGGTTCGCCAATGCCGGCATGAACATTGTTACCGACGTTGCTACTGCGTTATTGCCGCTTCCAGTGCTGAAGAGTCTGGAGCTGCCTCCGCGACAGAAGCATGTACTACTGGTAATCTTCGCTCTCGGCGGGTTGTAAGTTATCCACTCGCAGTTCGAAATTTGGTGTACAAGCTGACCCTTCTACGCAGCACCTGCATTGTCTCCATCCTTCGCCTCTACTCTCTCTACGTAATCTCTGCCACAACAGATATCAGCTGGAACAACCCCCTCGCCGCAATCTGGAGCAGCGTCGAAATCAACACCGGCATTCTCTGCTCCTGCCTTCCAACACTCAAGGGCTGCGTAACGAGGTTCTTCCCGAACCTCTTCGGCTCGGCAAGATCAAGGACGCGTTCATTAGCGCCATCGCATCTGGGCACTTACGGCCGAAGCAAGATGAGCCACGACGCCTTTGGTCGTGGACTCAGCGGGCGCGAGACACCTGTGCATAAGACTGTCATCCAGAGCACATACGATGGGACGAGTTCAGACGAGCACATCGATATGACGGGCATGCCATCTGGCAAAGACCGAAGGCAGATACAAGTGACGACGGTGGTCGAGCAAGACTTCGGCGGACGCGCAGAGTCGGTTGATACTGAGAGCATGAAAGGCTTGGTGCGATAAGCCCAGCTCCTGTCTAGATATGCGAAATGTGTAATTGTACATGTCTGTGCAACGTTCCGTACTCGTGGTGTCCTTCAAGGATGGAAACATATACGCGGGGTGCCCAGGAACCTGGAAATATGAGTAGAACCCCCGATGCGGATGCCAAATGTGAAAGGGGAAGGCGCGATCAAGGTTCGATACCTTGATGGTGAAAGTCAGGACCTTGACTTCAAAGATGAGGTCTCCATCATCAAACGTCCTACAACCGTACTTCGCATGCTCGGGATGCCTTCAAACCTGCGTCAAACCGCATCAGATTTCGCCGGAGCTTCGCACCAAAATCTTGACCTGATTGTCCTTATCCCTGACCAGCGCCTTGAATCCCTCTTCCACAACCTCATCAAGTCCAACCCTCTTCGTGATCATCTTCTTGCACATGTCCAATCTCCCATCGGAGATAGCATTGATCACTTCTTGGAAATCACCAGCCACGTACGTCGCTACACCGAGATAGCTTTTCTCCCTGAACACCAAATCATTCGGGAAGAAGTTGCATCTCTTCTCCCATATGGCAATATTGACATGCGTGCCCCTCGCTCGCAGAGCCAGGATCGCCTGGTCAAGGCCAGACTGCACGCCGGCGGCATCGAAGGTTACGTGTACGCCTTGGCCGTCCGCGAGCTCACGGCATCTTGCCACGATGTCATCTTTCGTTGGGTCGAGCACAACATGGGCGCCGAAGTCTTTGGCGTACTGCTTTCGCATTGAGGAGACCTCGGAGACGATGATTTGCTTGCAGTTGCGGGCTCGGAGAGCTTGGATGACTGAGAGGCCGATCGGACCGCCACCGAGCACCAGGACGGAATCTGTTGGTTTGAAGGGAGAGGCATTCACGGCATGCCAGGCTACTGCGAGTGGCTCGACCAGGGCTGCTCCGGCATCAGCTTTGGACTCATTGATCCCGTCACAAGGACCTGCAAACCTGCGACATCAAGGCCAACGTTATCTGGTATGTGGAACACCGCATACTCAGGAACCACAATGTGCTCACTCAAGCCGCCACCCCAGCCTGAGAAGACGTCAGCAAGACCGCAACCATATCCCCGATTCACCTGGCGGCCGCCCGACTAACCGCTCAAACCCACGAAGCCGTTTTGGTAGCAGCAGTTGATCAACCCGTCCTGGCAAGCGCCACAGTCGCCGTCGTAGATGATGGGTTGCACGCACACTCGATCGCCCTTCTTGAACTTGCTTGAGACTCCATCGCCGACTTCCTCGATTACTCCAGAGAACTCGTGGCCGAAGGTCACCGGGACTTCTGATCGTCAGTACCTTCGCTAGCTCGACAGGTTGTCCAAAGCTACCTAATTCTCCGGTGATCGGATGAGGATCGGTTGGACATATTGACGGTCCACCTAGGTATTCGTGCAAATCACCTGATGCAACCTCAGCTTGTTTGTCTCACGGATTCAGATTGCGAGAGGTGTCTGGAGGCGCTCACTACCGCAGATGCCACACCAAGCAGGCTTCACCTTAATCTGTCCCTTACCGCACTTCGGTTCCGGGATGTCTTCTACCCGCAGGTCCTCCTTGCCATGGAAGCGCACTGCCTTCATGGTGCCATTACCGGCTGGCGCTGGTTTATTCTCTACTTCATGCGGCTGCGATGCATCTTGAGTTGACCCTTGAGGCGGGATTGTAGATGACGCTGACATACTGAAAAGCTTACGAGGTAGGAAAGATGTGAAAGGAAGGAAGGTAGATTGCTCGATATCACTTACATTGCTCCTACTGGCGGCGCCGTTTGATACCCCTTGGCCGGATATCTGTTTACAGGTAAGCGAGTGGAAGTCTGGCAAACCGCCGCAGCCCCTCCCATTGGCATCTATTGAGCGGGGAAAGCAGAGCTGCCCTGCTGAACGGAAGATTCTCCGAGCGACCATCACGGCGACCCAATATGGGAAAGCCAGAGGTTTGATGGCCAGTCCTACTCTCGGCTCCCACAAATAGCAACATACACCGGGGGATGTTGGCCGGCGCAGTGGTGTAGTAACCACGCTCCTGCGACCGTTGTTGTGCTGAATGCGCGACAACGACGAGCCACGAGGGTGCCGGCACTGAGATAGCCACAATAACAGTGTGGAGCACTTTGTAAAGTTGGCGATGGCGTACTGTCAAAACGCCCTCAATGATGAGCAGCGTGTCGAGTTCTGGCTTATCGTCGTCTTCACGCCCATGCGATGGAAAACAGACTGAGAGACGTCACTAACGCTTGGGCCATGGATGGTGGGGTGGCGGGGTTGAGGTCGACTGCATTCGGGTGCCCACGTACAACATGCACCCATCGCATGTGGTATCGTCATGGCACGCGCGACGGACCTGAGAGCGACGGGACTCGGGTGTCTATTGGCTACAAGTCTTGTCATCGACCGCGGCGAGACGTAGCGCTGCACGGATATGACCGGTAAGAAAAGGTTTGGCAATTCTGCCGCCGCTTGTAGGCTTGAACTGGCAGATTAGCTCAAGCTAAAGCGAAGGAACACGGAACGTCTGGCTTTCTGCGGCGAAGTGCTGCATCAGCGATCTCGACGGTGTGGTGACGTACAGGAGCCTTTCGTGCCTGCGTGGGAAGTTTTTCCGTGTACGGAGTGACTGGCATTTGAAACCCAACAATCACTCCTCGTCCTCAACAGCACACAATCCTAACAAACACTTCTCTTATCCACCCACCCATCCAAAAACAATCAGATAACAGCAGAGATGCCTTACCCAGAGACAGCAGAGGGTTTCATGGTCCAGAGCCAGAAGTAAGCGAAGCTGCAACATTGATGGACGCTAAACACGAGCATGTACTGACTTCACACGGCATTCAGGGACTGGAAGAACTTCAAGAAGCAAGAGTTCAAGCTCAAGCCATTCGAGGACCGCGATATCGACATCGCCATTGAGTGCTGCGGTGTCTGCGGGTCCGATGTCCACACCATCAATGGCGGCTGGGGCGACGCTCCCATGCCGCTGTGCGTGGGTCACGAGGTCATCGGCAAGGCAGTCAAGGTTGGCAAGGACGTCAAGACCGTCAAGGTCGGCGACCGCGTCGGTGTCGGTGCACAGATCCAGGCAGATTTGACCTGCGCGAACTGCAAAGCGGACCAGGAGAACTACTGCCCGAATGCGGTGGATACGTACGGCGCTCCGTACAAGGATGGCACGATCGCTCAGGGCGGCTATGCTTCCCACATTCGCGCACACGAGTACTTCACCTTCAAGATCCCGGACGCCATTGAGAGCTCCATCGCCGCGCCCATGATGTGAGCATCTCTCCACTACGACGTGGAAAGCAAAATTCACTGACGATCGAGTAGGTGCGCCGGTCTCACCGTCTATAGCCCTCTCGTCCGCCTAGGTGCCGGTCCCGGCAAGAAAGTCGCCATCGTCGGACTCGGCGGCTTAGGCCACTTCGCCGTCATGTTCGCCGTCGCCCTCGGCGCCGAGGTCTACGTCCTCTCCCACTCGCCCAACAAGAAGGACGACGCGCTGAAGATGGGCGCGAAGCACTTCGTCACCACCAACGAGGAGGGCTGGGAGAAGCCGTACGCCTTCACCTTCGACTTCATCCTTAACACCGCCGACGCCATGCACCACTTCGATATGAAGAAGTACTTTAGCACGCTCAAGGTCATGGGCCGCTTCCACACTGTCGGCCTCGGTGACGAGCCCATCCCAACCTTGATGGCGCAAGACTTTGCGCCGAACGGCTGCTACCTGGGTGCTTCGCATATCGGCAACCGCCCGGAGATGCTTGCTATGCTTGACTTGGCGAGCAAGCAGAACATCAAGTGAGTAACCGCGTGTAGAGTCAGCACTGAGGAGAATGTCCACTGACGGTTCTACAGGAGCTGGATCGAAGAAATTCCGATCAGCGAAGAGGGCTGCGCCAAGGCTGTTACCGGCGTATCTGAGAACAAGGTACGGTACCGATACGTGCTCACCAACTACGACGCCCAGTTCGGCGACCGATCGTAGGAGACTGAAAGCAACGAAGTGTTGTTCATACACCAGGCGCTTAGACGGCCTCAGACGTGCGTTGCTCGAGGCAGGAAACACTCTGTGGCTGGCATCAGCGGACTGCATTCTAGCACGCTAGAGAACGAGTGGGTCCATCACGCCGGCAACGCCGAGATAGCCGGCCATCAGCATCAGCAAGTCGAAGTGTAACCCTTAGCTCAAATCCAACACCACCCGTCCCTTCAACTTTCCCTCATCCATCTCCTCAAAGATCTTCGTCAGATCCTCCATCTTCGCCGTGCGGAAATGCGTCTTCACCACCCCTCTCTCAGCCAACTGCAACGTCTCGATCGCCTCCCTCCTGTCCCCAACAGCCACACCAACAATCTTCTGCGCTTTCGCAACCAACATCTGCGGGTAAGCCGTGGCGATGGGTTTCAGCTCGCCCTCAGGCAAACCGACACAGACGAGCGTCCCGCCGAACTTGAGTAGAGTCATGGCCATGCCGTAGGCGGCGTTAGCAGCTGTAAGGACCAGAACGGCTTGTGCGCCGAGTCCGCCGGTGATGCGTTTGACTTCTTCTTCCGCGTTGCCTTGGGTGTGGTCGATGAAGTGCTCCGCGCCGCAGTCCATGGCGATGTCCTTCTTGCTGCCGGCGTCGATGCCGATGACGCGCATGCCCATGCCGCGAGAGGCGATTTGGGTGGCCAGGTGACCTACACATATACTGGTCAGCAGGTGTAGGATGTTTCTGGCATCAAGGGCAACGTACCAAGACCGCCACCGGCACCCATGAGTACGACCCAGTCACCGGACTGTGCGTTGCTCTTGCGTAGGGCGGAGTAGACCGTCACGCCGGCACCTGTTGAGCAGCATGTCAGCTCCACGCCTCCTGCCTTCGTTGCACGAAGGCCAACTTACACAACATCGGCGCCGCCATATCCGAAGCCAGCGACTCCGGGATGGGAGTCACGTAGCTCGCAGGCCCGAGGACATACTGCTGGAACGTGCCAGGGGTGTAGTAGCCGCTGACCTTCTGGTTGAAGCAAACCCCATCGTGGCCGGACAGACACGCCGGGCAGGAGCCGCAGATGGCCGAGATCCATTTGATGCCGACTCGGTCTCCTACCTTGACCGCCGAGCTCTCAGTGCCAGGACCCATCTTGACGATCTTGCCGACGCCTTCATGGCCGCCGACCTGGCCGGGACTGGTGGGGTGCGGGAGGCCGGCCCAGCGGTTGGTCATGACTCCGAGATCTGAATGGCAGACCCCGGAATGTGTGCTTCATAGTAGCGTTAGTTATGAAGAATATGAGGTTTGGTGGGGGAGGAGGAAGAAGATGCTGGAGACTGACAGGTTGATCAAGACTTCGCCAGGTCCAGGCTCCGGCATGTCAAGCTCGACCACCTTGGTGGACACCTTGCCGGGTTCATCATAGACGACGGCCTTGTACTTTTTCGGGAGCTCTCCTTCTCCTACGGAACCCATCTTGTCTGTTCCAATTCCCCTTTTCCCACGTCTTGAGCTGAAAGCGAATCGGTGGTGGTAGTGACTACTTGTGAGAAGAACAAGTTGTGAAGCGAATGAGAGAGGGTGAAAGAGGCAGGAGCGATAGAAGAGAAAAGGGTAGCCCTCCTACTCTACATGTACCTACAGCTCAGGTGTGCTTTGCCGTCTACATCAAGCGATCCTCCGCACGACTTCGCGATTAAGGTCGCGTTGCATGCGCGCCGAGGGAGACAGGAGGGGTATCTCGAAGGTGGGGTTTAGGGTCACGCCAGCACTCCCGAAAGATTACCGCGGTAAGTGCAGTGTGCCTTGGAAGGCAGAGAAGCCGGCATTGTGATCATCGTGCTTCGGCCTGAGAAGCGTGAGGTGACGGTATGGAATGAAAGGCTACATCGCCGTCAGAGCTTGGATAGAAAGCATGGTGGTATCCGGCAAACGAGTGTTACCTGGATGGATGAGCTCGGAGTCGTGCTCGGACCGTGGCTCAAGGATAAGTCGATGGGACGACCCGTTAAGGCGTCCATATCAGCAACAAATCCTTCGTAGGGATGAATCATAAGGTAGAGCCTTAGACCAAGACCCAGTGGCCAACCATGGCGAACCCTGCTCCAGGCGAAATGTCGCTGAACAAGCTAATCTCCTCAATGAACGCATCTTTATCCCCTCCCACCTACGTCTTCCTCACCCTCCCTTCCAACAACGGCGACACCCTCCTCCAGTCACTTCGACGAGCCGAGATGCTCTTCCGGGAAGATGAAGGCTGGACCGTGATCATGACTCAAGAAGACGCCGAATCCATCGGTCTGATCTCCAATGACACCTTCCGCTGCCGCAAAATCACTCTAAATGTGCATTCAAGTCTCGATGCTGTAGGTTTCATTGCCGCGGTTGCTACCCGGCTGGCAAGCTTGGGCATGGGCGTCAACCCGGTTAGTGGGTACTATCATGATCATCTTTTCGTACCCGTAGGAAAGGAGGACGCTGCGATGAGTGAGTTGAGGGCGATGGCTGCTGAGCAACATGCTTGAACGTCATGAGTACCGTATCATTCGTCCGCTCACGGACAGTACGAAAACCAGCCATCTGCCCGTCTTTACTCGGTACTACGCACGAGCAGTCCATCATCATCAGCCAGCCGCATACCGCCGAGGCTCGCCGGAAACACTGGGAGATCAACCTCAAGCACCCACCTCAACCATCCGCCCGATAGCCTCCTCGACCCCGATCCCCACCCCAAACTGCTCAATCGCATCTTGCGCCGTCGGAACACCGATCAACGCAATACTCCTCGGGACTACAACGTCCCTCACATCAAAGCATCCAAACGCCACCAACTTCTTGAGCGCCGGACAACTTTTGAAGATGCCGGCAACGACACTCGTATCGACTTTGTTGCAGAAACTGATATTGATGTACTCCAACGAAGGATAAGTTTCAGCGCCATTGAAGACGTCGATGAAGGCGGAGAGCTCGATGAAGCGGCAGGAGGCGACGTCGAGGTGTCTGAGCGCGGCACCCGAGTGGGCCATTAGTGCGCGGAAACCGTTGGAGGCGAGGCCGATGGGCGCTTCTTCGGGACCGGTGGGGTTGTTGTTGTCGACGTCGCGGGTGGAGTTGAAGTCAGCGAAGGTGAGCGGTGGGTTTCGCCAGTCAGTAAACAGAGCGGCAAAACCGGCGTCGGTGATTGTGTCGTTTTCCGAGAGACGGAGCTTCGTGAGGCGGTTGCAGTTGTCGTGGATGGTTTGGAGGACGGCGTCGTCTACGTCGAGGAATTTCTCAAGGGACAGGGTTTGCAGACCGCTTCCGCGCAGCTCGATGAGGTTCACCAAGGTGTCATTGGACACTTCGCGGCTGATCTGCAGTGAAAGATGCTTGAGCTCTGGTAGTTTGGCTACGCAGTCGACAGCGTCCTGTCCTAGCCGGCGACAGAGCTTCAGCTTCAGTCGCTCCAGGTTCGGGCAGTACTTCACCACATCCTCCATGACAGCGTCTTCAAAGGCAGCATCCAGCCACTTCAGCTTGAGCACTTGTAGCTTGGTACCCACTTCGCGGAAGAGTCTGTGCCACATGCCTTCCGAGACAAGGTTCGCACTGTACAGTGAGAGGTGCTTGAGATTCCGACATCGCTCAAGCATGTAGTCAATAGCGTCGTCCTTTAGCTGGCAGGCATTACTGAGCACGAGCTTCTGCATCTTCGGCACGACAGCAAACATCTGCCGGTAGTCGTCCTCTTCGAGGTAAGCCGCATCGTGCACCACTACCGACTCCAGGTCCGGGCGCAGGAAGAGCGGCAAAGTCTTGCTTTTCATCACACGCTTTTTCGAGAACAGCTGGCTGAGGCGCTCAACAAGAGGCTGCGGCAGGTCTCCCAGCTCTTCTATGCTGTCGTGGTGCGCTGCAACCTTCTCAATGCAAAGCTGCACGAGCGACTTCGCACCGCATCGCGCGACACCATCAAGTCTGTCACTCTCGAGCTTGCGCCTCTTCTTCCCTACCGGCTTGCTGCTAGTCGCCTTCTGCTCCTTCTTAATGTCCTTCGCCAGCTCTTTGCCGCAAGGGGTACATAGCAGCCCGCCATCCGGCCCTTCCTTACTATAGGGAGTGACGGTGAAGCGCTTGCTGCAGATCTCGCAGTGTTCGAACTGTCCCGGTGCCGGGCGAGCTTTCTTGTAGAAGTCGTCCTCGTACTCCGACTCGTCGTCCGGATCATCCTTCTTCGCCTTCTTGCCCTTCTTCGTGGCTTTGGCCTTCTTAATCTTGTCGATCGCTTCCTTTTCGGTGCGCTTGCGCTTCTTCGACTTCTTTTCGTCCTCCTCCGCCTGTGCGGCTGCTGCTAGAGCCTCGTCTTCATCCTGAACTGGTGTCTGCGCCGACGAGCCTTCTCCGGCATCGCCCGCTTCTGGTTGCGTCCTCCTACGCTGGTAATCGTCGCGGATTTGCTGTGCCGAGATGTTGTTGGCCTGTCACGTTTCAGTACCATCGTTCTTAAGTCTTGTGGCGAGCCTGCAGCGTACAGCGAGAAAGTCTGTCAAGGCGCTTCGTGGCCCGCGGATTGTGTTGCCTGCCCTTCTACTCGACATGATGGTGCGGGTACAATCGCACACGTTTGTTATCTCTATCACGGGTCGAGATTTGCAATATTCCTCTAGGGAGCTGTGTAATAAGTGTAGTTGGTAGAGCGGCAAAGGTACGAATCCAGACACCCAGCGCTTTGACCAATTGGAAGACGTGAACCACTTTACGCGCACTCACGTGACAAGGACTCGTGACACGTGCGCTAGCACCAAGCAGTATACATTCAATACGATATATGGCAGATATGGCTAGTTCTACAGCAATTGCCTGCTTGTACTGAGCGTCTCGCAGCTCTTCAAACGCCAGACACCTTGCATAGCCTCCGAGGCACAATCCCTTCGCAGTTGCAACGCCACCATGACAGCCGCGAAGGCTACCGCCTTTCCTGATCCCTCAGCTCACGCCATCTGGACATCAACGGACCCATCTCCTCCTCACAGTTGCGATTGCCGTTGTTCGCGCAACCATGAAAGTTGGCCACGAAGTCGCCTTCTTGGTACAGACCTATGCACACAGACACGTTAGCGAACGTCATCACGACTACACATATGCAATGGCTCACCACTCGAGTCGCCACCTCCAACCTCCCTCGTGTAGCTATTCATCACCCTCTGTGGCACCAACGCCAGCTTCGCCAAAATGGTCCCATGCCACTGCACAATATGCTCCAGCGCATGATTCTCCGCCTTCTGGAAGTTATAACTCCGGTACATCGGATCAAACCAAGCATCCAAAAAGTACTTGGCCCACTCTCCGGTCCGGATCAACATACTGCCCCCCGCCAGCCCTTCCTTGTCCTGCGTCAGCACAAAATCCACCCGCTCTCCGCGTAAGTGGCTGAAAGTCTTGATGACACTGTCCGGTGGTACGACGGGCTGGTCCGTGATCATGAGGGATTCGAGTTTGCGCGGCTCGACGATGCTGGTGTAGATATCCTTGCGTGAGTTCATGATCAAGGCTTCGGAGGTGAGGTACCACAGCCACGGCGTCTGAGGCCACTTAGTCATGGCGTGGCGGAGGGCAGGGATCGTAGACCAGGAGGAAGGGCTGTTGGGCATGAGGTCGTAGTCTGTCGTGTTGGGAAAGAAGGTAGTGTAGCCATGTCGCGCGGCATAGTCGCGCCGGTTCTCGATGATGTTGTCCCGGTATCTTGGGCTGAGGTGCGGTTCTAACGTCGTAACGATGACAACTTCGGGTATGCCTGCTGGTGGACGCCGGTATGCGTCTGGGTTTGAAGGTCCGGAGAAGAGGTAAATCAGCAGCCAGACGAAGGCGATCAAGCCGACTACGTAAGGGGCGAGATTTCGGAGTCGCCGTCTTGTTCGGTATGAGGTTGATCGCGATGAGATATATGGCGAGTTGGGTATGGAGCTCTTGCGCGGGTATGGAAACTGCATGCCAGGCATGGTGTGATGTGCCCGCCGAGGGCCAGGAGAGTGGCCGAGGGGTATGGTTGGTTCTCGCGCAGACGATCGACTTAATCTCAGCGATCCGGACTATCCATCCATTGCGCGAGACATCGATAGCGGTTATGTGTGGTTGCCGGTCAGGTTCACCGCAGACTTGGAATGGATTTGGCGGGATAGATGTTGTTGCAATTTACGAGCCGACGTCGTATCGCGTGCACTGCGAATAGATTGAGTGCGACGGCGCAGATGCAGGGATGAGCAATCTCTCGCAGAGCCGCAAATGGCCCTGTAGATCTCCTCCGCGCTAGCACGATCTCAGCATAGCGCCAAACGAGCAGACATGTTTCAAAAGTCTTCGACACCGTTGTCGATGCATGCAACCATCCACAGCAAAATCATATGTTCAAGCGACTTCTTGTTGAGTCGGTAGCAGCAGGCCCGCACTGTCGAGCAGTATGCACAAATGCAGGGCGCGCATGGAGTGAAGGATTCGCGATCCCGTCTCGCCACCAACTTCGAAGATGGCTTGACCATGATCGACGACAGTTCTCTTGCGCACACTCAAGCCGACAACATATTGCTCCAACCGCGCGAGATGGCTCAATTCTCGAGGTGCCAGCATCCTATGCATTGCACTCGGCTGATCGAGCCAAGCGTCTCCCTACGGTGTGCCCCGGATGCGGAGCGCACAGTCAGACAGTCGACGAGGCTAGCCCAGGGTACTATAATGTGCGACGGGGGAGAAATCCTGTCAAGAAGCAGAAACCCGCTTCAGAAGATGAGATCTATCAAAGAGCGCTTGTAAGCAACTCCGCGCTAGGCGGAATCGAAGGCATCAATGACCCTTCAGTACCACCCTCACCTCCGCCTCGTGCAGTGTCTATCTGCGATCGCTGCCATGAGCTCATGTACCACTCGAAAGGGAATTCGGTTGTTCATCCGTCTATGCAAAGCATTCAGGCCATCATCGAGGAGAGTCCGCACAAGCACAACCATATCTACCACGTCCTAGACGCCGCAGACTTCCCGATGAGCTTGATCCCGAACCTGCAGCACGCACTCGACCTACCTCGTCTGCGAACACAGAATCGTAGATCGAAAAGTATCCGCTACTTGCATGACCGCGTTGCAGAAGTAAGCTTCATCATTACTCGATCCGATTTGCTGGCTCCGAACAAAGAGCAGGTTGACAGTTTGATGCCTTACCTGCAGGAGGTGCTACGTGATGCGCTTGGTCGAAGCGGTCGACGCATCAGACTGGGTAATGTGCGATGTGTCTCCGCAAAGCGAGGATGGTGGACTCGCAACGTCAAGGACGATATATGGGCGAAAGGTGGCGCTGGTTGGATGGTTGGGAAGACGAACGTAGGGAAGAGTGCACTGTTCGAAGCTGTCTTTCCAAAGGGGCGGAACCAGAACCAAGATCTCAATCCGGATAGGCTCAGGTCGCGGATGCAGAATGAGGACGCGAACATCACGAGTGATGGGCCTGGCGAGGGTGACGCCAGCGATTTGAGCAGGGAGGATGGTCATCAAACCACAACCGCTCTGGCATGTTTGGAGCCGCAGCTTGTCCGTAACCGAACAAGTCTAGACGAGGAAGACGCGGATGAGGAAGTCTTGATTGATGCCGGTGACTTTTCTCTATTACCGCCAATGCAACCGGAGACGGCATACCCAGTCATGCCTGTCGTTAGCGCCTTACCTGGCACTACTGCCTCACCGATCCGAGTACCTTTCGGTAACGGCAAGGGCGAACTGATCGATCTCCCGGGCGTCTACCGCTCTTCGTTGGAAGACCACATTCAAGACAAGCATCGCAAGGAGATTATCATGCAGTCCAGGGTTGTGCCTGAGCAGTTCACTATCCGGCCCGGGCAATCGCTACTACTGGGTGGACTCATACGCATTACGCCAAAGCTATCGGAAGGCCTGGTGATGCTCGCCTATCCCTTTGTGCCCGCGGCCTTCGAGCCGCACGTCACGGCTACGCATAAGGCGGTTGCTATCCAGACCGGCGTGTATTCTGCAGACAGCATAGACAAGGAAGGTGAGACGTATACCGGCACGGTGACCAACATTGCGAAGGATGACGCTAAGAACCAGATCGCTAACGCCGGCAACTTCGCGCTCGAATGGAACATCACCAAACGACGTGCTGGGCCCCTTACAGATCGTGCGGCAGGCAAGCAAAAAGCGGATAATCTGCCTTTCATCGTCTACGGCGCCGACATCCTCATCGAGAGCGTGGGGTGGGTGGAATTGGTGTGCCAGGTGCGGAGACGGAGCGAGTCGTTGCTTTCTGCTGATGCTCTCGGTGCGCTTGAGCTGGAGGCTGGCGGAGGATCAACAATACCGGAGGTAGAAGTTTTCAGTCCGGAGGGGAAGTATATCGGGGTGCGGAGGCCGATGAGCGCGTGGTTGTTGGGCGGAAAGCGCAAGGTGGCGGTTCATAAGCGGAAGGTGAGGCCGAGGATGAGTATTGGGATGCTGAAGAGACGGCAGGGTGGGAAGGGTGCCGTGTTGGCTGAGTGAGCGGGTAAATACTCAGAGATGACCGACACCGTTCCGCAATAAATGAGGAGCGCTCAACATAGCCCATCCGTGGACTAGCTGCATTGGACAACGTGCTCGCGTCGCAGGAAAGTAAACACCCCATGTTTGTTCGAGTCTCCACACGCTCTAAGCGCAAGCAAAGGACGGCCCACTTGACATGGCACTTGCTAATGCTAGCCCGCTAAGACGTGCCTTCCTCAAGCGGCAATCCCGCATTTAGCTGGCAGTTGGCGCAGACTCCTCCCCCATCACCTCAAGCTTAATAACGAAACCTTTTCTCGCAGCCAGCATACCGCACACAGTTCTTCTACGGCAGCATTCTGCAGTATAACACGGAACAGTACAGTAAAGCTCCCTTGCCATTTCCTTTTACGCTACCTTCTCTACTCGCAATACCGCTTGTCTAGCCGCTTAACCGAAGCAGTCACAGGGCAGCAGGCTCTCGGCATCGCCGCACCTCGTGCTCACCGTCACTACACGCAAGCGGGATTGACCGAGACTTGACCAAGGACAATGGATACTCCTGTACGAAGACGCACCTTTGAAGTCTTCTGCTTGCAACGCATCCTTCGCTTCGCAGACCTTGTCGTCCGACTCCACCGACTGCATTGCATCCGTCTTGCTGCCTTTCCCCTTATCATCAAGGCAAGCTATATCAGGATGTCAGTACCGTCTTCGCCTTCGCTTCCGCCGTCACCAGGACAGAAATTGCTGGTCATGCGCTTCCTAGACGAGCATCTAGCGCAAAGTGGCATTGAGCGGAATGCCTACAACACGCTGCGTCGTATGGTGCTGATCATCTCCGCTGTTGGCAAGAGATCCACGTTGTGACCAAGTCTGGCATCGCACACGCTAGCGTTGTCCAGCGTCTGAAATGGTACGCAGCATGTCTTCTGCAAGGCTGCGAATTATTCCGTAGGCACTTCGACAGCAAAGCAAGGCCTGCACTGCAAGCGGCAAAGCAGCTACCGTCCCTGGAGAACATTAAAGGGGAAGGACTTGCTGATGTGCTCAAAGTCTGGGAAGCGGAGCTCGAGTGAGTCCAAGCGGGTATTCGACATTATACAATAACTAGGCCCAGAATTAACGATCGCTAGAACGCTGCACGTACCGACCGGCAATGATGCACGGCTACTGAGACACCTTGCCAATCATTATAATGACACATTATACCAAGAATTCCTTCAGCTTCATCGTCGCAAGCCAGATAGCCCAATCTGGGCGGTAAATCAGCAGCTCACAGCAGTCCAACAGCTTCTCGAGAGCATTCGCGAGATCTGCGAGACCGCCGACAGCGTAGTCCAGATGCTGGATCGTGAGTACCATTCCGCAGCCAAGCGGTACAGGAAATGGCTACGACGCCAAATTCAGCCTATCCTTATCCGGCTACCACTTACCCGGCAGCGACATGACCTTGCGACGCAAAGTAGGTTGAAGCAGTCCGAAGGGCAGCAGCCACCCAAGTCTCCAATACCGGATGAGCCGCCTCAGCTTCCGCCGTTGCCGTTTGAAAGGGCACCGGCAGCTGCGCCTGCCGGTCCTGAATTGTTATCCAAGCGAGACACGTCCACGGTCAACGAGTCATTCAGCGTCGTGAAGGACCAGCTCGTCCAGCGTAATCACTTCCGTAGCGCTACGGTCGCGAACATACAGTACGGACCCACAGCTCCCATTGATCGAGCGGTGACTACTCGCCACCACCCACGTAACTCGAAGGCCGCCATGGGTGTACGTCGCAAGAGCAGTGCCAGTGAGGTGGATCGTGTCTTTACTGGCTCCTTTAAAGAACTCGAAAGCCAAGTTCACCGACTGCGCTTGCATAAAGTCAAGACTCCAGAAGACGAGCCAGCCTCGCCCGTGGACAGCTCTGTCGTGCCTTCCAGAGACGAAGGGCCAGTGAAAACCCGCGACTTTGCAGAGACTACCAATAGCCCAGACGGAAGCTCAAGCCCAGAAGCAGCGTTGCAGCGACGCGACGCTATGCTGAGCAGAGATGTGCAATGGGAGAAGCGGCTCGTGAATGGTGAGGTCGTTTGTAGCCGACGACCATCTGACAAAGAGCAGGAGCAGCGCGTGCAGACCGTTGAGGATCCCAGCCATGGCCTCCAGGCGTGGCTCAGCCAGCAGTCACGTCGTGCGCCAGGCACGCCGGACTCCGCTGCAAAGCGCGGCCTGCTGCGGCAGAGAGAACACACACTCTGAGGATAGCATGCTTCCAAGTTAGCAGCACAGGATCTTCGCTTTGATGATGACGTTAGTGAAGTGCATGTTGTCGCCATACTCATCGCCGACCTTGATGACGGATGGGAAGGTCGCGCAACGTATGATCGGTTCGATGCCAGGCGGTGCCTCGACGTCAACCGCGATGTTCTCCATGACCTGGTGGTGGAAGTCTTCGCCAGGCGATGGCAAGTCGAATTGGAACCTTGCCCGCTGCACGCGGAACATGTGCTGCAGCTCGATAGCACGCTTGACAATGTTCATCAGACCGTACAGTCTCGCCTCCGTCTGTTCAATGTCCGTCAGCTCGGTGAGGGTGCCGCAGATGCGCTCCGCCATGATCTTGACCGCCGGCGCTGTGTAGCTTGCCATGTCTTCGCTCTGTCGAATGACATCGAGTGTCGTTGCGCGAAGGCGGTTGTGCGCCATCGGCGTCAGTACATTCTCGATCGCGTCGACGGCTTCGCGCAGCGGTCGGCGCCACGGCAGATTCTCCGGCAGACCGTACAATGAGACGTTGTCAAAGATCTCCATCAACAAGCACACGGCCGTTGCTTGGTAGATAGCGAGCTTGGCCGACGGCGTGAACGTCTCGAACATTGGTCGCAGGTGGCGCAATTTGGCCTTTTCGGCGCAATGGTCAAGCTTCGCGCACAACTGTTCCGTGCCAATGTCCGTCCTGGCGCGTCGGAAGTTGTTCACGATCCAATTCTGGAGTTCGTGGTGCAGCACGCTCATTTCCTGCGCGAAGACAGAGTCGGTCACTTGGCCTTCCATTCGCGTGGACATGGCAATGGTCTGCTTGAGATCTGCCAGTTGACGTTGAAGCAGGACGACTTCATCCGAGTACCGTTTCGCAACGCCTCCACTCACGTCGACGGACATGCGCCGTGAGGCCGGTGAGTGATCTTCTTTGAGCATGCCGTTGGCTTGCATGATCATGCGCTCCTGCATCATCTCGACTTCTTGCTCGAGCATATCACACTTCGCCTCGTACTGCTCGAGCAAGGCGCATCGCTCCTCCCACACCCGGCGCAGCTCCTTCTCCTGCTGCAGTTCCTCCCGCAAGCGGGCAATTTCCTTCTCGTGCTCTGCGTTGTGTTCCGGCGTGACCTTGCCGTTCTGCTCTGAGCTGATTTTGCTGTTCCGTTCTGAGCTGACTTTGACGCTGTGGTCTGGGCTGATCTTGCCAGTGAAGCGCTCTGTGCTTGAGAAGCGCCGTTCGTTGCCGCCATAAGTGCTTACTGAAAACCGCTTGTCATTACCGCCATGGGTGCTGACGGAGAAGCGCTTTCGATTTGGACTCGCATTCCGCTCGAAGGCAGCTCGCAAACTAGCAATTTTCGAATTCGAACTGCGCAGGCTACCGTTCGACGTCGAGCCGTCTATGGCGGTCGGCGATACCGGCGAAGTCTCTCTGGGTTCCTTCAAAGTGCTCTTAATAGCCGGTAACCCAGGAGCCTTGATTGACCCGACAAGCGTTGGCAACTCGCCATTCGAAGCGTCTTCATAACGGAAAGCTTTCACAGGGCTAGTACTCAGCCGGTTCCTCGTCTTGCCCGCCATGTCACTGTATAACAATACTAATAGTGGCGACCGGGCGCCCGTATGCTCAACTTCCTGCTGAGTCTGGCTGCCTAGTGTATGTTGGTATCGAGACAAGGCAGGCTCACCAGCGGAATAAACATGGGCAAGCGCAGCAGGTTTATCGCTCGCGCCGGCAAGGCCGGCCAGGGTTGAGAGATCCTCCACCATGCCAGCCTGGCGAACATCCGAAGAGGCGTATCGTACCGCAATAGGTATTGGCTGGGTCAGCTTACATCACCGTTAGATCCATCGCTCGCTACCTGCTACGCAGCATGAGCAATATTGGGCCAAGGCTCGTAGCGCCCCTCCAGTCGCATAAGCCCGGCTCCGCTTCAAAGTCCGATGCACGCTCGTGCTTGGTAACCTTGTTTCCATTGAAAATGCCCGATAGCAGAAGTGCGGGACGAGACGATCTCCCGCTTGGCCACTTACACGCCAGACCGGTTCTGCGCGCTGCTGCAGTGTCATAGCCAGTATATCTCGGCATCCTCGACCATGCGCAGTGAGCATGGCGGTGCTGACCGCCGTCATCAATCTCCTGCGAGGCTGTAGGATGGTGGGTTAAGCTTGACCTTAACGGCCCCCAGGATGTCTAATTTGGAGGTGGGCCGCTGGGAAGTAAGATCCCTGCCCTGCATGCTCCGCTAGATGGACCGCTAGCCTAAAGCTTTCTCCGAGCTTGCATGACGCTGATCATGCCGTTGTTTGTTGCTTCGAATGGCATCGGCAAAGGGGTGAGAGTTACAGCCAAGGCGGAGAGTTGGAGAAAGTCCAGATGCTACGACAGATGCACGTCCGGCAACAATGTTGCTGTCGGGACGATCACGACGAGAGTCGAAGACTACTTCAAACGTCCCCTATCCCCAGCCCGTGAAATAGGACGTTTTGGTGCAACGTTCCTCCTGACATCGTGGCGTAGAACCCGGTACGGTAATCTCGACTGTTGGTCTTACATCGTAATATCACGACTTTCGTGTCGACATCCTGAAGTAGTCGCTTAGTGAGCTTCAAGTATGACCGTCAATCAACCTAATCATAATGCAATTGGGAGCAACGGAGCGCCAACAATGAACGGAACAACCACTACTAATGGCTATACAACGAACGGGGTGCACCCTGCGCACGCGGACATCAACGATGCAAACGACGCAGCTCCACCGCAAGACAGATTGATCGTTGGCGTTGACTTCGGTACAACATACAGTGGTGTCGCTGCTGCATACAGTGCAACCCCAGACGATATCGACATAATCAAGACTTGGCCTGGAGGCAACGGCATCACATCCGACAAAGTCCCCACCGAGATAGCGTATTTCGATGCTGCTCCGCCAACAGAACCGAGTCCTGTATCGCCATTAGAAGGACCGTCAGACGGCTCAACCGCAGCGAAGACGATACGATGGGGCTTCCAGTTCAAGCCCGAGGAGTCGCGACTGCGATGCATCAAGCTCTTCCTCGACCGCAATCAGAAACTGCCGCACTTTGTCTCGCCCTTGGATACGGCGGCTCAACTACGAAAATGCGACAAGACGGTCATGGACGCGGTGTCCGATTACTTAACGAAGATCTACGAGCATACGATGGAGACCTTGAACAGGAGGTACGGCGAGAGCTTTGTTAGCACAACCAAGATCGAGTTTGTCCTGACAGTACCGGCCGTGTGGTCGGACGCTGCGAAGAATGCCACGCTGCAAGCGGCAGAAAGAGCCGGTATGGGCAGTAGGCATGAGTTGAAGCTGATTAGCGAGCCGGAAGCTGCGGCAGTGTACACTCTGAAGAACATTCAGCCGAGTGGACTGAAGATTGGCGACAACTTTGTTGTTTGTGATGCCGGCGGTGGTACGGTCGACCTGATAGCGTACAAGGTCACGCAGCTGAATCCATTGCGTGTGGAAGAGAGCGCGGTCGGTACAGGCGGTCTCTGCGGGTCTGCGTTCCTCAACTACCGCTTCGAAGACCATGTCAGAGAGCGAATTGGCGCAGAAAGGTACGACAACATGCGGGAGCGCAAGCCGAAGACTTGGCAGATGGGTCTGCGGTACTTTGAAGAGTTCGTCAAGCGCAACTTCAATGAGGAAGAGCATAGCGAGGTCAACGTGCCGTTTCCTGGCTTACCGGATGACGAGGAAGCTGGTCTGGACTCTGGGTTCCTGATCATGAGCGCACAGCAGGTAAAGGACATCTTCGAGCCCGTGATTCGACAAGTGCTGGAGCTGGTCGATGGCCAAGTGCAGGCGATCAAGTCCAAGGATGGCGTCGTATCCGGCATTGTTCTCGTCGGAGGCTTTGGCCAGTCGAACTACTTGTACACGCGGCTAAAGCAGCATTTCAACTCCGTGCCTCCGCCGCCGTATACCGAGCAGCCAACGCATGCGGTTGCGGCCGCCGCCCAGCACAGTGTTGAGGTGCTGCAGCCCATGCATGCCTGGACTGCGGTGGTCAGAGGAGCGGTCCTACGAGGCATAGAAGGTAGCGTAGTTGATAAGCGGCGAAGCCGGTGGCACTACGGTACCAGCTATGCCACAGTGTTCGATGAAAAGAAGCATCCGGTCGAGGACCGGTACTGGAGTCCGCTCTGGGAGAGGTGGATGGTTAGCGATCGGATGCAGTGGCATATCGCCAAGGTCGGTTATCTTCACATCCTAACTCTCTTCTGCATTTATTGACACCAGCAGGGCACGCCCATCTCCGCCGACCAACCCATCTCCTTCCACTACACTCGCAACTTCCGACCCGGTCAGTCTCTCATCGTGGAAGACGACCTCATCGGTTGCGAAACCGAGACCGCGCCCGACGCGTTCGGCAAGGCGTTAGTCAAGGTCTGCACGCTGACTACTGACCTTAACTCGGTGCCGCGAAGCCTGTTCACGCGCTTGACGACAACTAAAGGCATCGAGTTCGACAACCTGGACTTCGAGCTGCACATGAAGATTGAAAGTGCCAACCTTGTGTTTGAGTTGCGCGTGGACGGTGTGAAGTACGGTAGCGTACAAGCCGATTTTCACTGAGGGCGCACGACATTCTTATCACTGTCTTGTAGGTGAAGAGCGGGATGCTGGATGACCTCCTGGTTGTATCTTGTAAGTTGGCCTGAGGCTTTACCTTGACCAGATTTGGAGAGCGGAACTGGCAGTGGCGTTGTGGGAGTGCAAATACCCGGTACGCTGGAGTTCTGGAGTTTCGGCAAAGCTGCATCAAAAGGACGAGTGGTCGGACACACTAGGCTGCATATACTATACTGTAATACGAAGTACTATGGCCGGCCTCCGCGGTCACACTAAGTTACGTGATAGCACTCAAAGCTCGAGCTTAGTATCTGAACAACTTTCTAGGTATCTACAAGTTTTCTATGCTCTAGGTGCCCATGATCCCCAGCAGTAATCTGCTTCACACTTCGGAACATGTGCTCATGCTCCTGCAGTCTATGCACCGAGGTACCAGATGTCTTCCTCAACCCCATCAGGAGTAATTGTCCACAGGATCCACCAAAGCCGCGATAGATATCATATACAGCGCGCCTCACGTACTCACTCACGCACAGTAGACACGCTGACTCACAACTCATCCCCAGCCCCATCATTCTGCGCAGCCAACTCCTCCGAATACTCCCTGCCCTCCTCACTCTTGATCCTCTGCAGCTGATCCTGCACAAACTTGTTAATCGGATCATCCGGGTCGTCGTGCACATGGTTCGCATGATGGTCGCCAGCACTCGTTGCATCATCCTCCTTGTAGATCGACCAAGTCCGGGCCGGCGTGGGGACACCATTCGTACTGGCTCCGTCATCGTCGCCGTTCTGCGAGGTCGCTTCTCCGTTGGTGCTGCCGCCCCAGTCGCTTCTAGCGCCGATGGAGCGCGTGCGGGTCATGGAGCGTGCGGGGCCGGGGCGGTTGCGGTTGGCGCCGCCGAGGGAGGCGCGGCGTTGGCGGCTGAAGGTGTCGTCGAAGTAGTGAGAGGCGGCTTGGGTGGGCGTGCGTGGGGTTTGGGGGAGGCGGCAGTTGACGCTGTTTGTAACGTTAGATACATCGCGATATGTAGCGGACGTGAGTGAGGAAGGGGAACTTACCCAGTATCGTGGATCATCTTCGCCATCAGACCCGTCCAACCGCACTGATGACTAGCACCAAGCCCGCGTCCCGTATCGCCATCGAAGAATTCGTAGAACCAAAGATGGTCCTTCCAATTCGCGTCATGATCGAGCATCTCGTTACCATCGTGTATGGCGCGACGACCTTCATTGTTGATCGCCATGAGATGCTGCAGCCGATGCTGGAGCTCCTCCGCCACATGACCCAGATGCATCTCGTCGCCGGAACCGGTCGGACACTCGACTTTGAACGTATTGCCGTAGAACATGTAGAAGCGCAGAAGCGACTCGATCAACAGGAAGTTGACCGCAATCCAGATGGGACCGCGCCAGTTGCTGTTGCCGCCGAAGAGGCCGCTGTCCGAGTCGCCAGGAACGTAGCTGACCGAGTAGTTCTGCCCATTGACCTCCATGGAGACAGGATGGTCCTTGTGGTACTTCGACAATGATCGGATGCCGTAATCGCTCAGGAACTCCGTCTCATCCAACATATACTTCAAAATCGACCTTAGCCTGTCCTCATTGACAAGCGACAACAGTAACCTCGAATCTTTCCCGCGTCGCTTCATACTCGCCAGATTTCGGTCGGCCACATCATGCTTGTTCTGGATGAACCACTCCACGTGCTTCTTGAAGGCCGGGAAACGGTTAATGACCTGCGGCTCAAGCGTGAGCGTCGCATACATCGGGATCAGACCCACCAGCGACCGGATAGGCATCTGGTGCGTCCACCCGTGGCCCCAAGTGATGGCGTCGTAGTAGAAGCCGTCCTCTTCATTCCATAGCGACTTGGCTTCGCTGCCTTTGCGGTATTGCATGGCGTCGGAGATGAGGATGAAGTGTTCGAAGAACTTGGAGGCGATGTCTTCGTAGATGCGGCGGTGCTTGGCGAGCTCAAGGGCAATGTTGAGCATGCTCAGAGCGTAGAAGGCCATCCAGCCGGTGGCGTCGGCTTGCTCGAGCGTGCCGCCCGTAGGCAGTGGGTCGGAGCGGTTGAAGAGGCCAATGTTGTCCAGTCCGAGGAAGCCGCCTTCGAAGACGTTTTTCCCGTCGGTGTCCTTGCGGTTACACCACCAGGTGAAGTTCATTAGTAGTTTTTGGAAGACGCGCTCAAGGAAGTCGAGGTCCTCACGACCGTACATCTTGCGCTCGATCTTGAATGTCCGGAACGTCGACCAGGCGTGGACGGGAGGATTGACGTCGCTAAAGTTCCACTCGTAGGCCGGTAGCTGGCCGTTGGGGTGCATGTACCACTCGCGAGTGAAGAGATCAAGTTGCTTTTTGGCGAAGTCCGGGTCGATGATTGCAATGGGGATGCAGTGGAAAGCTGAGTCCCAGGCGGCGAAGAATGGGTACTCCCAGGAGTCGGGCATCGAGAGAATATCGTCAAGGTGCATGTGCTTCCATTGAGAGTTGCGGATCGCTTTCCGTTCTGGTGGCGGTGGTGGCATGCCTGGGTCACCGTTGGCCCACTGATCCCAGATGAAGTGGTAGTACTGTTTACACCAGAGCATGCCGGAAAAGGCTTGGCGCTGGATGTTGCGCAGGTCGTCGGCCATCGGCATCGGGTTAATCTTGAAGTAGAACTCGTCCGCTTCGGCGATACGCTGGTCCATTACGTCGTCGAACTGCTCCTCGTCGAGATAGCTATCGTTGCGCGTGTTTGAGATGCGGAAGCGGATGACAGCGCACTCGCCGGGCGCGACACCCTCGCCCTGGTTGAAAGCGAACCAAGCGCAGCTCTTCGTGCCGGTCTTCTTCGGGTTGACGGCCTTCTTGTCGCCTTTGACAACTCGCTTGTGGAAGGCGTCCTTGACATATTGTGTCTTGTTGGACTTTGCGCCCCATAGCTCCATCTCGTTGGTGTCGTTGTCCGTGAAGAGGAACTCGGGCTCCACGTCGTCCTGGCCGCCGCAACTATTCGGCGAGGGCGAGCACTGGAAGTAGTGCTTACCGAGCTCGCGGTGGTCAATCTCGCACTGCAGCGCGTCGATCTGCTTGACGCTGGGCTTATAGTCATCGTAGCCCCAAGCCCAGGTATTCCTGAACCACACATGCGGGAGGATGTGCAGCTTGGCATGATCCGGACCACGGTTGTAGGCCGTCACACGGAACAGTAGCTCATCTGGGTTGTCGCCTTCCTTCGCGGTCTCAATGAAGCAGTCCCAATACCGATTGTCGTTGAAGATGCCGGTATCGACGAGGTTGTACTCTCGCTCCTGCTTTGATCGACGAGCGTTCTCTTCAATGATGTCCTCATACGGGAAAGCCTTTTGGGGTAGCTTGTAAAGGAACTTCATGTAGGAATGGGTGGGCGTGTTGTCGAGGTGAAAGTGGGCCTCCTTGATCGACTCGCCGTGCACACCTTGCGGGTTTGACAGACCGAACAAACGCTCCTTGAGGTGACCACTGTCCATAGTCAGTATGGTCGGGTGCTTCTTGCGGCGAGAGCGCAGACTCACTCTTTCTCGTTCCAGAAGGCGAAGGCAATGTTCATGCGGCCGTGAGTGTCAGAGACGCCAGCAATGCCGTCCTCGCCCCAGCGGAAGGCGCGACTGCGAGCCATGTCGTAGGTGAAGTCGGCCCAGGCATTGCCGTCGGCGCTAGCAGAAGTGGTCAGTGGAAGGTATGATACAAATGGCAGAGGTGGGTGAATGCTCACGAGTAGTCCTCACGGACTGTCGCCCATTGTCGCTCTGCCACATATGGACCCCACTTCTTCCAGTACTTTGTGCGTTGCCGGTCTTCTCTCAAGCGCGACTCCTCTGGACTGAGCACATCCTTGTCGTCAATGAGGACCATCTTGCCGGCCTGGTCCGGTCAAGAGTGTTGCCGGACACCGCTCTCTGTCTGTGATCACTGAGTCCGCGGCCTAGCTTGTGGTGTTGTGAGAGTGGTGTATGGGTGGAGTGTGGTGGCCACGTGAGAGACGGTGTGGATGCGGTGGGCGTTAAAGGCAAACGAAGGAAGTGTACAATGCTTGTCGACGTGTACAAGCAGCAAAACAGGTACAAGGGCGATATGGGGGTTGTGTAAGATGCGAGCGATCAGGAGATCTATGTTTACTAGATCTACAAGCAAACGACTCCAAGCACAAGAGCAGAGCAGATGGAAGGAGGCGGCGGCGGGATGTGAGGCTCTTTCGCCTGTTCCTGGATCAACATGCAGCAGCAACCCACCGCCCAAAGGTGCAGCCACACTAGAAAAACCGCGGGCATGCGGGCAAGCCTTCCGCCTGCGTCACTTGCGCCGGCTGTTGCGGTGGGCCATGCACATTCAAACTTGGTTTGCTCAACGCTTCTGCCTTCCCTTCTAGATCCTCGCAGTATCTCACACCTACAAGCGTGACCGCGCAGAGCATCCACTAATGGCAGCGACGCCGAACAAAGGTGCTTTATCGCTGCTCCTTCGAGCCGTCCTCTTGCTCGTGTGCCTGACAACTTGAAGCTTAAAATGAGCCGCACGGTGATGTGGCGTCCGCGTGGTTCGGGCAATTGCCGACTGACAGTTGCCGCCTGTAAGGCACGCCACGAGGCGACAAGGCCGGTACAGGTACGTACATGTACCCAAGTACAACCTGGGTACGAAGAGCATTCGGACAGATGCGAACAGTCGCAAACGAACGGTAAGGCAACAGTATTGCAAGCGTACAGTGACAGCAACCGGCCCTTCACCTTTGCCGTCGTTCAGACTCGCCATGGCACAGATCGCTGTATCCCATATCTTATCACCACTCCTCCCTGCCAGTCTAGGCGGCTTCCTACTTGTGATCATAATCTTACTGCTTATTTACCAACTCGCGATCTACATATATAACCTCTTCCTCCACCCTCTCCACAAATTCCCAGGTCCCAAGCTCGCAGCAGCCAGCTGCCTGCCCAAGATCACCAGAAACCTCCAAGGCAACCTCATCTTCTGGACCGTCGACCTGCATTCAAAGTACGGCGAAGTCGTCCGCATCAGCCCCAACGAGCTCTCCTTCAACGGCGCAGATGCCTTCAAAGACATCCACGGCCACAAAAAGGCCGGCGAGTCCACCCTCGCCAAAGACCCAGCCTTCTACCTCGCGCCTGGTCCTCGGGACCCAAGCATCATCAACGCCAATTTCGAGGGCCATGCGCGACAACGGCGTATCTTTGCCAACGCTTTCTCGGACCGGGCACTGAAGCTGCAGGAGCCGCTTTTCTTGACGTACGTGGACAAGCTCGTTGCGAAGCTACAGCAGCGCATCACGGCCAATCCAGACGAGAAGATCGACATGGTCAAGATGTACAACTTCACGACCTTCGACATCATGGGCGACCTAACCTTCGGCGAACCGCTGGACATGCTCGAGAACACAGACTATCACCCTTGGGTCTCCGCCATCTTCGCCCAGGTTCGGTACGGCACGATCCTGCACAGTATTCGCCACTACCACCCCGCGCTGGAGAAATGGCTATTGAAATTAGTACCCAACCGGGTTCGTGAACAAGGGAAGATGCATCACGCCTTCTCCCATGCGCGTGTTGACCGCCGGCTGGAGAAGAAGGACAGCAGGCCTGACATCTGGGGCTTGGTGTTGGAGAGGGAGGGTCATGATGGCGGCTTAAGTAGGGAGGAGATGTACGCTAACTCGAGTATCTTTATGACTGCAGGGACAGAGACGACGGCTACTCTGCTGAGTGGATTGACATATTATCTGCTAATGAATCCGGACAAGCTGGCCAGGCTGTTGGCTGAGATCCGCTCCGAGTTCGCGAACGAAGAAGAGATCACCATCGAGCGTCTGCAAGGGCTGAAGTATCTCAATGCGTGTGTTGAGGAAGGACTGCGGATGTTCCCGCCTGTGCCGAATGGATTGCCAAGGGTTGTGCCACCTGGAGGTGCAGTGATTGACGGACATCACATACCAGCCGGAGTAAGTGACAGTGGAGAGCTTGTTTCATGCTTGAGTTCGCTTACACTGAAGCCAGAGCCAAATCTATGTCACCCACCTCGCCGCTTACCGCACCCCCAACAACTTCCGCGAGCCTTGTTCTTTCATTCCCGAGCGATGGCTGCCAGAGTCCACCGACTTCGACAACGACAAGAAACACGCATTGCAGCCTTTCTCGGTCGGCCCAAGAGCATGTCTCGGGAAGAAGTAAGATATGCAGCTCCGTTCTGCAATACTTGACTCGTGCAACTGATTGACTGACTTAATCTGTAGCATGGCATATCACGAAATCCGCATCATACTGTCCAAAGTACTTTGGCACTTTGATCTGGAGCTTTGTGAGGGAAGTCGTGACTGGACTGACATGAAGATCTTGATTCTGTGGGAGAAAGGGCCGTTATACTGCCGTTTACGGCCTGTTAAGCGTTGAGTGAGAGTGCCTCACAGGTGCAGTGAGTCTTGCGCTTCTGAATGGAGACTGATGCGCACTACGCTCGTCGTCACGACCTGTGATCTTCTTGCTACTGACCCGGCTGTTACACAGTCTCCGAGAACGCTGCCTCTTCGCTCTATTCGAGATCATGGAGTCCAGGGCGGGAAATGACTGCCTGCCGGTCTTGCAAATACGCTAGTTGTGCAAGCCCGTTTCAGGTCGCTCTTCCTTTCCCTTTGCCTGCGAATTGCGCTGATAACGATGCAGGCTGAGGAGCAGCTCCGCTGCCCGCCTCTGGTTGTAGGTCGTCCTCCTCATCGTCATCATCTTCATCCCAGCCAAAGAAGGTTGGACCACTAGCGCCTTGCTTTGACACCTGACCTTGCTCATCCGAGCCCGAAGACTCACCACCCATCTCCGCATCGTCGCTTTCTTCTTCGTCCGCAGCCGAGCTTTCCGAACCCGTCCTTTCCAGCTCCATATTACCCTCCCTCATAGCCTTCAGCACAGCCTCCCTCGTCTTCTCCTCCGCCATCTCCTTGCCCTCGACATACTCCGCATCCAGCCTGCCTTGATTAGCTCCACTTTTGCCGGACTTGATCTCCCCCTCCCTCTTCTCCGCTGCGGCGACAACAGCCTCCCACCGCTGCTTCCGTTCTTCCTTCTCCCGCTTCTCCATTTCCGGCTTGATGGCCAGATAATCTGCGAGCCGCTTGGCCTCATCCACTGTCCGCAGGCGGCGACCGTCGAGGTTTCGGTTCGAGCCATTAGGGTTGGCTTGTTGTCCGTTGCGGTTCTTGCGGCTACTCATGCGGCCACCTGCGGCACGGAGCTGAGAGCCGAAGCCGCCTTTGCCGCCGCACAGTCGGGCGCTCAATCTGCATGGCAAGAAGGAGTCTGTGTTATCTGACAACAGTGAGGAGACTGGTGCGGTGTCGGAAGCGAGGAGCTGCTTGTTGGAGGTAGTGGTGATGACTAGTGGGTGGTCGAAGGTAGGTAGGCGGGCCAGGATCGTCTTGACGACATCGCTGATGGGTGTGCTGGCGGCGATAGGAAGTGCTAGTGTTCGTGGTAATCCCAGGCCGGCGAAAGAGGTGAGTAGAATGTTGATGTGCTGTGCCTTCTGTTTTGGTATCGCGGCAAGGTGCGCAGGTGATACCCCGTGCGCATCAAAGGATACTGGCTTCTCCACAGCGGCCATCGTGGTAGCAATCGTCGTAAAGTACGTGGTCGGTGAGACGGTTACTTGTTTATGTGTGTGACTTAAAAAGACCAACACGAATGGAAGTGCAACAGCGCTAAGCCACAGTGTAGCCAACGCTTGCGCGCAAATGTCACGTGAACGGAGTCTTCCGAGAGCTCCTTGATCCGGGCTTACACGCCTTCGATCCCATACCACATGCATAATAAGAGACATGGAAGCTCTTGCCGTAAAAGATTGGTCTCTGGGCCATGTGTCTGCCACTCACTCTTCGGGTAATTTGTCATCCTCGTCTGTCGTGTTGACTACACCTTCGCCTTCCGTCACTCCAGCATGCCGTTACTGAGCTGCGAAGAGTGCCGCAGTCGCAAGGTCAAGTGCGACAAGGTAGCCGACGGCTGTTCGGCTTGTAGAAGTGCTGGTCTGAGATGCCACACCGTCCAGCGCTCGCGTCTACCGCGCGGTCGAAGCGGCAAGACTAAGAGCAAGAATGTTGAACTCGAGGAGCGTGTAGTACGCATCGAGCGGTTGCTCAAGCAAGCAGCAAGTGCTAGAGGACCGGATCCGATTCAGTGCCACCCAAGCTTCAGGACTGAAAATCCACCATCGAAGCAACCCGCTGGTAAACTTACTGACTTCGTTGCTCCCATCTTCTGGACTACGCTAGCAGATGAGGCACGTCTGCACGTGCACCAAGACTGTATTGAGCTAATGATTGACAGGTAGCGGGCTTACGTACTACTCTTGAGGAAGGCTCCGAAGACGAGGCTCCCAACGATCCGCGTAATCGCTCCTGTTACCAGAACGATAGAAGCAACGGTAGCCGCTGTGACTTTCAGTTTCCTCCTGCACTATCCCTCCCTCGGAGTCTGGGTGGTCCACAAATCGCCCCTGGCTTTGAAAGCACCTTATGTGCAATCTACCGTACGCGAGTGGACAGTGTCTTCAAGATCCTCCACTGGCCGTCCGCGCTACTTACCGTTCAAGAGAGTGCTGTCTTGGACTCTGTCGGACCCGGACAAGCGCTCGCTTCCGCAATCTACTTCATGGCTGTTTGTGCTTTGAGCGACAATGAGTGCATGCAGGTCTGTGGCTACCCTCGGCTTTCCATGCTGAATGCGTACTGCAGTGCGACTGAGAAGGTTATCTCGGACGCCAGGATTATGCAAGCTCCAAGCATTGTAGGACTTCAAGCATACGTCATCTACCTGAACGCGCTAAGGGCGTCCAAGAAGCACGCGCTGAGCTGGACACTGCTCGCTGTGGCAGTACGTCTCGCAGATGCGCTCGGCTTAGGACGGGAGGACCCCAGTTCGATGTCCGCGCTTACTCTTGAGACTCGCCGGCGTCTCTGGTACGGCATGAGTCTGCTTGATACTCAAGCTATGCTGGACCGAGGCTCTACGGCACTGGTTATGTCTACTGCGCTTGGACCGCCACCGCTCAGTATTGGCGATGAGGTCTTAACCTCTTCAGCTAACCCATCAGCACCACCAACACCCGCACCTGACATGTTGTTCGCCTCCATGACTTACAAAGCTATGGTATGTCAGAAGCAGATGAGTGAGGTTGTGACTGATTCACAGGACGGTTGGAGCGGATGGAGTCGTAGAGTCGCGCTTGTCTCAGACTTCGAGCAAAGCATCCAAGTGGAATACCTTTCCAGCCACACGCTAACCGCACCTATAGCGATACTTACCAAAGTAGCAGCAGAAATCATACTTGCGAACATGCATCTTCTACTGCGAAGGCCGCCATACCGGAGGAGCCTGACCTCAGTACCACCATGGGACGACTTTGACGTGCTGCAGAACGCCACTACGGTGTTGGAGCGACATCTGCAGCTTTTCGAGCATGCTGACCCGCTCTCACCTTGGGCGTGGAAAGAATGGACGCCGTGGTACGCACTTGCCGTCGTGTTGGCAGAGCTATGCCGTGATGTGAGACAGCCAGGAAGCGAGAATGCTTTTGTGGTGGCTTGCAGGGTCTTCCGCCGGCACGCGGTGCCAGCAGATGACATCGAATCTGGTATGCTCTGGAAGCCAATTGCGCGATTGTTACGCAGGGTCAAGCGTGAACGCGAGGCTCTCAAGGATCGCAGCAGCTCATCCCTGACAGAGAGTGTCGGTAGTCGTGGACCCAATCACAAGCCTGTGGACGAAGACCACGCTCGGATGACAACGGCGGCGCAACGTGCTGCACTTGACCGCCAGCCAAAGCCTGCAATTGGAGATGCGTCACCATGCACTGGTCAGGAACACCACGAAATGGTGGACGGTGCGTTTGACTTCCTGGACATCGACTTTACTACATACGATTATCTCCCGGGGATGGAGCTGGATGAAGATGTGTCGTGGCTGGAATGGACACTGCCATCCTGAAACCCGTTGAAAAGCATGAAGCGTCTCAGCCTACGACTTAGTACAAGAAGCCTGCAGCTTCTACGTCGATCTGCTTGATACGGCGCACCAACTCATCCCACAGTGTCCGAGCAATCATCGTGCCTCGGTCGCTGTTCATGAACGCGCTCTGTGGCTTGACCTGACACTCAGAAAGATATTGTCCGTCCATTTGCCCTGGAGCCGTCACGCCGTGGACAAGCGTCCGAGCGCCCTGCTCGGTTGTCCTGCCCAGCATAAAAAATATCAACCGCTCTACCAAGCCCTTGGATCTATAGCGAGTGAGCTCGCTTGCGCACCAGCCTGGATTGACCAGATTGATGATGATTCGGTGAGTTCCGGCGGATGTGGAGACCTGCCGTACGAAATTCGTGAAGATGAGATGCTCAATCAGCTTGCTGAGCGGGTATCGCGACTTCATGTCCGCGGTCTTCGAGTCACTGAGTGCGCTGAATGTGTCTCGGTCCGTCGTAACATCGAGCTGATCGTCCGGTGCGAAGTAATGAATCAGCGATCCCACCAGCGTCAGCCGGGTGTCTACGCCATACTTCTCTGCCGTCTCTTTCAGCTTCGGCAGAACAACAATGGCAGACAGGTAGGTCGAGATAACGTTGACGGTCAGCGTCTGCTCTAGGCCTTCGGCAAGCGAGAACTCTGAAGGTTCGATCCCAGCATTGGCAATGAAGCCATCGAGCCTGTTCAACTCCGACCTGACACGCTTCCCAAAGGCCAGGACGCTGGCGTACCGGGCAAGATCTACCTCCCAGATCTCAATGGACGTATGGTTCCCGCAGGCGGTGTCCTTGAGGATGGCAAGCTTAGCCGCTTCGCCTTTCCTGACGTTACGGCAGGCTAAGATAAGTCGAGAGGCTTGCATACGAGCACTACTCCGATGTTGTGTCAGCAATGGACCGACAGATACATTGTGCCAAGGAACATACAGATGCTTCGCCGCCTCGAAGCCCAAGCCGGTATTGGCGCCTGTTACGATAATCGTTTTGCCTGCGAGGTTAAGTTGGGGCACGCTGGTGGTGCCGAACGCCTGGCAAGACAAAAACCGTGTGATATCTGTAAAGGTCGGCATCGGTGTCCAAATTGACTTCCTTTTCCGATGTGGACTGAACGAGGGTAAAACCAAATTTGGGAGCAGTTCGAAGGCAAGGCGTCGAAGACGATGGGTAATGGGGAGAATGATTGCCCACTGCTAGCGATGCTTGCACTCTGATATATTCCAGCACGGACAAGATTTCACTACCGACGGACTTCGCAGAGGCCGCAGAAACCGTGGTGAGGGAGTATTATTGGCATAGCGCTTGTACTTGTGTCGAAAGTTGCAAAGGCCGCAAAGACCGTGGACGTTGCAACGATGACAAGCCAGCTCGTAGTCGTAGGAGAGATGCTTGATGCTGCACCGAGAATACTTGAAGGTCGTCATGATCGAAGAAGTACCAATAAGGCACCATGATAGGAAGCATTGTGTCACTAACTAGATAATGTGTTCGTATCTCAGTAAGTCGCCGCTTGCATTTGGTAACAGTGGAGCTCCGACACAAGCCGGAAACTGTCGCGTGACGGATTTGCCGTTGCTCCTGCGCTCATTGATGGATGAACCTGCAAGGCTGTCTGAGGCAGGTGCCTTACAATGCACGTCGGGCGGATCATTTTCCACCACGGCTATTGAAACCTTTCGCGGATATATATCCGCCGGCAATTGAAGCGTAGATACTCCTCAAGCTCCTATAAATACAGTTGCACTGTGTGGTAGTCCAGTGACCCCCTTGTCATTCAAGACTCACGATCACAATGGCTTCAACAGCTACTCTCACATTGCCGACACGTACTGTCCTGCCAACAGTGGCGGATGAGGACGCTCCCAAACCTGCAGCCTTCAGCCATGCACACTACCCGTCCATAGAAACGTTCTGGACGATCGAAGGCCTACTCAAGAGTCATGCAGCAGACTCTGATCAGAAACCATTGATCGGCTATCCTGCTCACGACGTTGACGACTTCGAAGAGCATACTGCGGCACAGCTCGATCGATACACCGATGCTGCAGTTGACTACTACCGTCAACATGGTCTTCAACCAGCTGTAAGTGGGAATGACTTGGAATGTTGTGTGACGGTAACCTGAGTTGGCTTTAGGATTCTACGCTTGAGAAAGCGCCAGTCATAGCAATCCTCTCGCCGACGAGCTTCGAAGTCATCGTGACCTTCTTCGCACTCAACAGACTAGGCTATGCCTGCTTATTCCTTTCTACAAGGCTTACTGCACCAGCCTATGCTCGGCTCATGCGAATGTGCGAATGCAGCGTCGTCATCCACCCTCCCTCGTTCGGACGGATGATTCCGGAGATCGGTGGCGAACTGCCTGGCTGCTCAGGTAGTCCGGTGCTCCTACGACGGCATTGGTATGAATGTACGCAGTCGAAGAGTACTGTCGCCGTGTCGGAGACAGACAGGAAGCGACGAGCCAGCCAGGTAGCATGGATTCTTCACTCATCCGGCTCAACAGGGTTCCCGAAGCCGATCTTCCTCTCCAACTTGCAATGTCTGGCAAACTTCCGCAAATCCTTTGGCCTGCGCGCCTTTACCGCCTCTCCACTGTTCCATTCCGGAGGCCTTATGGAGTTCGGTCGTGCTTTCTACGCCAAAGCACCAATGTACCTTGCCAACCATGCATTTCCGGTGACAACTACTAACATTTTACGGGCTGTACAGGCAGCGAAGCCGCAATTTGTTATTGCTGTGCCGTACGTATTGAAGCTGCTGGCTGAGACAGAAGCCGGGGTGCGCGCTCTGGCGGCAACAGAACTCGTGCTCTTCAACGGCTCCGGCTGCCCTGACGACCTTGGCGATCGACTTGTCGCAGCAGGCGTGAACCTCGTAGCGAACTATGGCGCAACGGAGACCGGCCAGCTTATGACCTCCTATCGCGGCATGCCGCCAACAGACAACGAGTGGTCGTACCTGCGGCTGTGGTCACCCGTTGCTGAACACACCTTGATGGATGAGATTGCGCCTGGAGTCTTCGAAGCTGTGGGCCTAGAAGGTCTGCCTTCCAAAGGGCCCAGCAACTCGAAGCCGCCATATAGCGATAAGAATCCGCAGAACAGCTTCCGTACTGCTGACCTGTTCACGCGGCATCCGTCTTCCACGAAGAACAATTATTACAAGTACCTGTCGAGGCTCGACGATCGGATCACGCTGGTGATGGGCGAGAAAGTACTGCCTCTTCCGATGGAGTCCAGAATAAGGCAGGAAGACATTGTGCGTGAGGCTGTGGTGTTCGGTTTCCAGCAAGCAGTACCTGGCGTGCTGATCTTCCGCTCCACGGAACACGGACTTGCCATGTCAGACCGAGAGTATCTGGACGCTGTGTGGCCCGCTGTCGAAGCAGCCAACGCGAAGGCGGAGAGCTTCTCGCACATCATGAAGGACCTTGTCATCATCCAGGGTTCCGAGGTCGAGTATGCAAGAACAGACAAGGGCACCTTCATCCGTGCGCAAGTGTACCAGCAGTTCGATACCGACATCAAAGCAGCGTACGCCAGGCTCGAGTCCACGTCGGAGGGGCAGAAGAGGCTCGCACTGGACGTCCCTCAGCTGGAACAATGGTTACTCGAGCGCTTCCAGCAGGACTTGAGGATACCGCTAAGTGATTCCAAGAGCGACATCTTCGCTGCAGGTGTTGACAGTCTGCAGACAATGCGGATCTGGCGCACGATGAAGCAAAAGCTGGATCTCGGTGAAGATGGTGACAAGTTGAGCGCAAACATCGTGTTTGAGAAGGGTACCGTAGCCGCTCTGGCGCGGTATTTGTACGCTTTACGAGTTGGAGCATCGACGGATGGCGAGGCTGATGAGGACGAGGTCGAAATTATGGAAGAGCTCATCAAGAAGTATTCGACTTTTGCGAATCACCATCCGACACCTCATATTCCACAGCCGGCGAAAGAGGTCGTTCTCGTGACAGGTGCTACAGGGAATCTAGGTGCATACCTTGTCGCGAGTCTGCTGAAACATCCTGGGGTCTCCGAAGTCTGCGCCCTCGTCCGAGCTCCTGGTGAAGGCTATGTCGCTCAGAAGTCCGCAACAACGCGCGTTCTTGCCGCCCTTCGCGACCGACAGATAGACGTGCCAGTGGAAGATCTTGGTAGATTGCGGATACTCGCTTCCGACTTCGGTGACAGCAACCTCGGACTGGGTCCGTACACCCTCGAGTATCTACTCGAGAACGTGACTTGTGTCATTCACAGCGCCTGGGCCGTCAATTTCAACCTCGGCGTCCGATCTTTCGAAGACCAGCATATCAGAGGCACGAACAACCTCATCAACTTCTGCCTGCGCTCGAGGCTACAGCAGCCGGCTCGCTTCTATTTCTGCAGCTCCGTTTCTACCACTAGTAGCACGCCGAAACCGGCTGTCATCCCAGAGAGACTGATTTGTAATCTTCGACATGCGCAGAAGACCGGCTACGGTCGGTCTAAGATGGTCTCGGAACACATCACTTCAAATGCTATGCGCGAAACTGGGATGGAAGCACGCGTCCTTCGCATTGGCCAGCTGAGTGGTGGCAGTGACACCGGGATATGGAACGACACGGAGGCTATTGCACTTATGGTTCGATCTGCGTTGACCACCGGAGCTCTGCCGGCGCTTGATGAAAGACCAAGCTGGTTGCCGGTAGACGTCTGCGCTCAAGCCTGTGTGGACATCGCTCTGCCCGCAGCTCGTGGCCAGGCTGTCACCGCCGACAGGAGGGATGTCGAGCTTGTGTATCACGTGCTAAACCCGCAAACATTCAGCTGGAAGGATGATCTGATACCTTGTTTGCGTGCCGTATCCGAGAAGGGTCAGTATCCGGCGTTCGATACTGTCAGCCCTCAAGAGTGGCTGCAGAGGCTTACAAATAGTGAGCAAGACCCGCAGAAGAATCCGAGTATCAAGCTCCTAGACTTTTGGCGTGGCAAGTATGGGTCTGCGTCGAAAGTGAGAGCGGATGGTGAGATGGGCACGACACCGCCAGCTAGTGACGATGATGACCAAGGAGCAGCCGGCTTGACCTTCGAGACCACTGAGACGATCCGCGATTGTCCTCTCCTGGGTTCCGTGAGGCAGCCAGTCGCTGAAGGTTTGATCGAGAAATACGTCAAGAGCTGGATGAGCCGCTGGGTCACCTGATTCGTGATTGTAGGGTTGATGAAAGCGTTATGGTTGACAGCGTAGGCTGCTTAGCCGTCGAGCACTCTCAACATTTCGTTCACTCGTGTGATCTTCTCTCTTACTTTGCCCTTTGCTTCTCCTCGCCTTCTCTCTTCGGCATCAATCTTCTCCCAATCCGCCCAGCTCACACTTCGGATGCCTCTTCTCTCCACTTCATGCTTTAGCGCATCCCAGCCGCCCTTCTCGCCGTCACCTTCAATGAATTTTGTTCCCTCCTCCCAGTCCTTGGCGATGATATCGGCGGTAATGAAGGCATCGTCCATCGTACTGGCTATCACTCCAGTTGGACCTCGCTTGACCCATCCTGCACAATACATGCCTGGCACATGCCCAGCGGTCAAAGGCCCCGCCGGCCCTTCTGTAGGATTCATCACACGACCCCATCGATCATTTGGTATGATTCCAAGCTTCCGGTCGAACGGCACGCCGATATCTGACATGCCGGCAAGCGGCTCGGACAGGTAGCCTACGGAGCGGAAGGCATGAGTGGCATGGACCAGTGACTTCTTGCCGCTTGGTTGCACGCGCAGGGCTCGGAGGGCATTGAGATCTTCTTGCGGGTTACCTGTTAAAACGTCTTGCGCAGACTCAACATACTCCGTCTGCTCGAAGCCGACCGCTTCCAGACGGTCATTGCTTGCGGAGAGGAACGCTGCTGGTGACCGCAGATAGCCCAACTGCCACGCTTTGCTTGCAGCCTCTAGCGGCGTTTGGCCGCCTTTCTCTAGGAGTTCCGCGATTCTTTTCAGCTGTCGTGGCAGCCTCTTCCGCTCCACCCCAATCAAATCGTCCCAGCTTTCTGGCGGGGACTTGAAGCCCACCCCAGGCAGATGCATCAACTCACGCAGTTCTCTGATGGTATACGGTGCTTGTAGTGGGCCTCGCCGCCCAATGACTTTGACGTCATTGACTGTGCTTCTCGACAAAGCGTCGAGGGCTTGTTCGGAGATGTCAGTTTTCCGCAGCTCCTCCAGCGGCGAAACGAGGATGCGCGTTACATCCAGGGCGACGTTACCTTGGCCAATGACGACCGCAGTGTCGCCAGCTGCCAAGTCAGGATCGAGATCAGCGTGCTCGGGCAGACCATTGTACCACCCTACGAACGCTCTCGCGCTCAGGACACCCTTGAGCTTCTCGCCCGGGATGGCAAGCTTCTTGTCCTTGCTAGCGCCATACGCAAACAGAACAGCATCGAAGTACGGCACCAGAGCGTGCATAGGCAGCTCGTTGTCGCCGCTGCCTATTTGGGTATTACCTACAAAGTTGAAACATGAAGAGGTTCTTGCAACATCCTCAAGCGTTTCCGTACATTTCTACTGTTTACGCCCAGACATCAGCTTTCGTTAAATCACTGTCAGCGCGCTATCAAGTCAACACACCTTCACTTCGGGATGATCTGGTGCCACACCGTATCTCGCAAGCCCATACGGCACCGGCAAGTGCTCGAACATGGTGATCCGCGCATCCGGCAGCTTCTTAAGCAGACGGTATGCCGAGTAGAAACCCGCTGGACCAGATCCGATGACGGCGACATTGATCGGTCTCTGACGAGTTTGTGCTGTGCTATAGGCATGGTAGGTTCCTGGAGACCATCTTGCCACGAAGCCAAAAGGAGACAGGCTAAGATGTTGCGCTCGACATGCGTGGCAGACATATTCATTCCTGAGCCTGTTCCGCATGCGCACCGAGGCTCCCGACATCTCCCGAAGGATTGCAGAGGCTCGCAACTACAGCTGTGGATAGATCACACGGTACGGCGAGGAAGGCAAGATGAACCGTGTCTGAGATAGATGATGTCTTGCATGACTCGTGCGCGATAGCGATTTCGCGGAGTTCGAAAGGAGGGGCCGAGCCAGTTGCTATGCGACAGGGCGCTAGGGTAAACAGCCATATCCTTGCATATGAACATTCGAACATCCCATTCGTCTCTGAGAACAACTCACATCCCTTACTATATACGTAAGAACAGTGATCCCAGTCCGTCGCTGTTTTGAGCACACATAGAGGACCCTACTGTCTGCAACCATGGGTGGCAGTGACATGCCCTATCTGTACCCAAACACCCAATCCAGTACACGCATCGCCTACCCCTACTCCGACTACAACCCCAAGTCAGTCACGGAAGCATCATATGAGCGGCTCTCTCAACAGTCGCAGCCGAAGCCGAAGCAGGAGGGTCCGCTCATTAACTTCAACCAGCACCCGGACAGCTATGTTCTCTTCTCAGGCGAGCAGAAAGAGTTCAAGCCACTGCCAAAAGGAACGAAAAAGGCAGTGGTGAGCGTCAGATGGGTACAATTCGCACTGCGGATAATGCAGGAGATTTGTGCTCTTGGCTTGTTGACAACAACGATATGCATCCGCGGTACAGCGGGCGCAGAGACGTACTTGTTGCGCATCCCGGTATGTCGTACCAATGTTGTGAAGGGCCTCATGGAGAGCTCAGTGGCGTGTGCTAACAGCGCTGTTAGCAAGCTTGGGATTCATTGATCGGACTGTACGCCATATACCACCTCGTTCGCCCAGCAAAGGCTCGCATGCCCGGATCGAGCGCCAGCTACCACACCTTCGCGTTGATCATGGACACCTCCCTCATCCCGCTCTACGTCTACATCGCCTTGCTTGTCAACAACAACCGCCAACTGCCGATACCACAGTACAGCGCCAGCGGCGAATTAGTAGAAGGCGACTGGCGTTGGTCAAGCTTCTTCCCTGCGCAATGGAGTACTGACCTACTGCTGCTGGTTACGTATATCGGTGCCACTGTGATTGGCGGACTGCATCTAGTCAGTTGTGGATTGGATGTCTACCTCATCATAGCATTCCGCCAGATCGCCAATTTACCGCCAGATATGAACCCTCTGGAAGACAACCTCACAAGCCGCCGCATCCGCAAACACAAGCACAAGAACAGCGAGCTTACTCTGACAGGCAATCAGAGCACGTCGGAGGTGGAGACGAAGAAACTGGCCTACCTAAGCGGCAGTACGCTGTCGGTTGGCAATGCTTCACGTGTGTCCATTGCAAAGTCCATCGGCAACGACGACCGCAGCGTGCCATTTAACAGCAGCAGAACGGGCTCCACGACCAATCTTGCATTCTCGCCGCACAATCCAGAGTCCGCGCGCTGGAGCCGTCATCAATACGAAGGTCAGCAAAACGTCTACCAGCAAGCTATTGCGGAACCGAGACGATCAAGGTATGAGGTCCGCCCGGACGGCAAGCTTGAGGTGCGCTCGCGCCGCGGATCGCAAAGCCCGAGCAAGCGCGAGCCCACGGTTATGGTGGAGAGCGTAGACATTACTGCAGCCGAGCGAACCGTATTCGAGACCCCATCCAAGCATAGCGTGTTCGTGGAATCAGCCGAACTGCAGGACGGAGCGTACCTCGACTCTCCGAGTATGATGTCGCGCCAGGCCGCTCGAACTGCCAGCCCCGCCGTTTCGAATGCGGCCCGGAGCAGAGCAACTACGCGCTCCGAGCAGAAAGAGCAGCTCCTGAACGACAATTGGTATGTCTTAGACGCGCCGGACCCGGACGAGAGTGAGCAAGTTCCGCCGCCAAAGCATCCTGCGCGCAGCCCCCCAGCTCACTACGGTCGCCACGGCTACAAGCCGGTTTACGATCGGCACGACTCTTTCGAGCCCGCAGGCTTTGCAGACCAGAGAACGCTGATGCCGCTGGGAATGCATCCACCTACTCCGCCAATGCCGGAAGACGAGTACTCGGATCCGCTCTTCGAGCAGAGTGCGGGCGTCAAACGCAGTCTCACCGCTGCAAGCAAAGATACGAACTCCTCCTCCGTGTACAGCGAGTCGGCGCCTTCGCTCAAGTCCAGTGCTGGCCATGCACGATCCGATACGCCGAAGAGCAAGTACTATGGCGACCTGGCCGCGGCTCAGCGCGGGATCCGCAACGGAGGTGCGGGTGGATATGGCTTGCCACCGTCACCGCAGCTTTCCAGGACGCCAAGTCCGGAGAAGCAGGCACGTGTGATTAGCAGGACGGGCGCGGACATCGCTGACGAAAGCGTGTTGTATGTGTCTGAAGGCAGGCACGGTATGCGGTCACGACGTGATGTTAGCGGCAAAGTGGCGGAGGAGGGCAGAGGTAGCTGGGGGCGGAGAGCCTAGGAATCTTTCCGAACACTGGCAAGAACGTAACAGAGCCGTGAAGGGAGCGCTGGAGGTAATGGGGCGTAGAAGGTTGGGGTCGGGTCAGCAGTACGCCTGCGGCCGATTTACAACGATGCGACCGCGGGAGGCGTTTCGGGTACATGATAATGCGTACATAGCGTGTATAAGTATAGAGAATATATAGTGTCAATGCATCTATACGTGCCGTCGAGATCGCTCGAGTACATCTTATTGTGCAGTAGAAGTGCAATTCCCTCGGTTCGCGGATTGCGTTGCCGAGTTCGGATATAACTTTAGAGCTACACTACCAACAATACACGCTCTCGTTCACCTTGATATGCATCTCTACGGCTTACGCACGACTGCGCAGGACGTTCAAGTGCAGTTACTCTGACCAATAATCCGATCGATCAAGCAATGTATACTGGCTACGATGGCATTGTTGAACGCAGTAGGAGAACGCTCGAACGGACACGGACGCAGACACGTCGATGTTGCCGTTCGAACGTGCGACGTCCGCCATCAGGCGTCCAATGAGATCTAGGTCTTTTGCCAACCGGTATGGGCTTGGGCTGTTGCATCTGTTCACGTTGGACATATAAAGGTAAGTAGTGAGCTCTCCACAACACATATTTGTGCTGGGACGGCATCGTGAGGCAACCGGACACTATCACCTGCTTCTTCGATTTTCGCACGTTTCCATCCACCCTCACATACCACAGTACTCATAGACCACTTTCACATCGCTGCCATGTCTGTATCTAGGCTTGTCGATTCCTTACGCCATCCGCCAAAAGAAACCCGACCTTCTTTCGCGGGAAGGACCATCGTCATCACCGGCGCCAATACTGGACTCGGTTACGAAGCGGCACTGAAGTTCGTACAACTTGACGCGAAGCGTGTCATTCTCGCCTGCCGTAGTGTCCAGAAAGGCGAAGATGCCCGAGTCAAGATCGAAGCAGCAACCACACGCAAGTCAGTGGTGGACGTTTGGGAGCTGGACATGCTTAGCTATAACGGCATCCAAGCTTTCGCTAACCGTACAAAGACGGAACTTGATCGCCTTGACATTGTCGTCTTGAATGCCGGTGTGGTTATGGCGACATATCAAGTCAGCGACTATGGCTGGGAGAAGACGCTACAGATCAATGTTTTGTCGACGTCATTGCTCGCGATGCTGCTTTTGCCGAAGCTGCAAGCGAGCAAAACCGCCGAATACACACCGGTCCTCGAGCTTGTGAGCTCTGAGATGCACGTCGGCGTCTCCAAGTTGAAGCAGCCAGAAGCGAAAGGCCAGGGCCCATTGCATGCCTATAACGAACCCGAGGGCTACTTTATGGCAACGCAATACGCTGTATCGAAGCTCTTCCTCGAGTATGCGAAGGCGGCTTTGGTGCAGCTTGCTGGCGGATCATCAGCGGACCCAAATGTGCTCGTCGTGTCCGTTTGTCCCGGTCCAACAAAGTCGGATCTTGCGCGTGACTCCAAAGAGTGGTACATGCGGGCTGCGCTGTGGGTCTTCTCGACACTGGTCCAACATTCGACAGAAGTCGGCGCACGGATATACATCAGCGGAGCCACACTTGGGCGCGAAGGTCACGGTGGCTTTTGGCGCTCAAACCAGTTACAACCGTAAGTTCTTCTCTCATATCCTGTAGTGTAATTGTAATGGCGTTCCTGACCACCTCTCTAGGCTGGCGCCATTAGTGAAGGGCGAGCAGGGCACAAAGCTGCAGGCACAGGTATGGAGTGAAATTCTTGAAGCGTTGAAGCCTCACGTTCCCGATTTGTCAAAAGTACTTGAAGCCTAGCCCCAAGGGCGGCGCGCTGTGCTGTCTTCCGGGATGGATAGCATTACGGAATGCAGCGCCATTGTTGCCTCGTGGTACATTGCTTTCGTAGAACTTCATATCATACCAGACCCGCTCGGTATCAGATTTAGTCTAGACAAGATAGGAGACGTCGTGACTTCGGCTTCCTCGCCGGAGAGGGGGCAGTTTGGCCTGAGGCTGCAGGCGTGATCGTTTCCACTCTATTGGCTAACAAGCCGTGGTGGAAAAGTCAGCGATGACCGATCGTTGCTAATGCCATTTCGAATTCTACGTCCTTCGGCAAGCCGCTACGGGAACCACCATGGAAGTATAAATACATACCAAACGTTCAGTATTTCAGCAAGGTAATGTCTTCGAAAGACGTCAAGCCATCATCAAGCAGTCAACCCCAGAACGAGTATTCTTCTCTATTCAAAGCAGTCGCCACTCTCGTAGCCGTCATCGCCATACTGGCTTTTTATCGCACAGCAATAAGCAAGCAGCTTCCTAAGCTTTCGTCCACCTTCTCCCCATCAACAGCCGTAAAGCGAACAATGGCGACCAACGGGACGAATGGCACTCACGGCCCAGCGCCACCTCTCCGCATCACCAAGCGCCCATGGAATGCTCGAGGCCACGCTGACCACGGTTGGCTCTACACATTTCACACATTTTCGTTTGCCTCCTACTATGAACCCGAATTCGAGCAATTCGGTCCTCTGCGTGTGATCAACGAAGACCGCGTCGAGCGCGGCACCGGCTTTGGTACTCACAGCCACGCCGAATTCCTTATCTGGAGTTACATCGTTAAGGGCGAGCTCGAGCACAAAGACAGCATGGGCAACCTCGAGAACCTCCGCCGTGGTGAAGTCCAGTTCACGAGCGCCGGCACCGGTATCAGGCACAGCGAGTACTGCCGTAACAAGAAAGAAGACGTGCATTTCCTTCAAATCTGGGCGAAGCCGAACGTCAAGGGCCTTAGTCCAAGTTACAAGACTCGCAAGTTTACTGACGAGATGAAGACCGACAAGCTGTTGCGGGTAATGGAATCTGTCGACCGGCATTCGGGCAAGGATGCTGAAGGCGAGCCGATCCCAATGCACGCTGACCTGTCCATGGACGCAAGCATACTCTCACCCGGCAAGAAGGTCGAGCATCAGCTTGTAGCGGAAGGCCCGAGAAACGTGTACCTTCACGTCATCATGAGCGGCCGAGAGCAGCCGAAAAGCGGTGGCGCGAAGATCAAGGTGCAAGGCGTGCAGCTGGGCGAGGGTGACGGCGCCTTTGTTCGTGGGGCAAAGGGTCCTGGCAAGATCGAAGTGGAGAGCGTGGGCGACAAGCCTGCGGAGTTCTTGCTATTCGATATGGGCCAATAAATCACAAGCCTCGGGTCTCCGAAAAGACCTATTAGCCGTTCAAGCAGGTTCCGATGTTCACATTGTAATGGAGACACCACTAGAAATGGGTAAGCGTTTTGCGTGTTCATTGGCTGCCATCCTCACTTCACGAACGTTAACACACTTGTCGACGTCCTCCGCCACACCTCCTTGGCCGTTGTTCTTGTTCTCAGTGCAGCTCGGCATGATTAGGTCTTTTGAAGGCGTTCTCACTCCTAGCTTAGACTGGGTTGTATGTCATTGGAGTATGTACATATAGTTACGCCGCTGACGGTAGACATACAGATGGTCACTTTCCAAACGCTCGCAGCCCCTGCGTATCTGACCAAAGGTCGTCGTACGCTTCGCTGAGCTGCAGCCGCACCAATCCTTCCAACTTTGCCAATCATCTACTACACCAAGGGCGTGCGTTGTATGTCTATCGCGGAGAACTCTCAAAGTATGCGTCCGATAGCCCGCAACATGCGGGAGGCAGCTGCCACACCGAAGGCATGGTACAGGAATGCGATAGCAAGCGGAAGCCTCGAACCTCCCACTTAGGCCCATTTGCCCAAGAGCGCCATGATGCCCGCACCGAGCAACACACTAACTACCATGAAGGCAAGCTGCCTGTCGTCATGGGTACGGTCAGGATTAAACAGGAAATCTCTTGCGAGCAGCTCAACCAGACCGGTGTAGATCAGAATGCCGGCCGAAGTCGCGTCAAGAACACCAGAGACGATATTGGCCGTGAAACTGCCAGCATTGTATGTCGTACGCACACCGAGCCCGATTGCAATAGCGATGGGCGTGGTGAGTCCGTAGCCGGCGCAGAGCCACCACGGCAACCATTGCAAGCGCTTGGGAAATGGAATGGCCGACAAACGCGCACCGAGACCGAGACCTTCGAACGACTGGTGGAAAACAATAACCTGCGGCGATTAAGTCAGTAGGAAGCTCATTCACGTGTGATGGTCACAGAACGCTTACTGGGTATAGAACGGTGAACTCATCGCCTGCCGTGCTCAGCGTCAAGCCGATGATGACACTGTGGAAGATGACACCAAACTCAAGGATCAAGAACGCTGCAATTTGTTGCTGGAAGGCCGTCTCGATGATATGCTCCTTCTCGGTATCGATACTCTCGATATCGGTGTTATTCGGCCCTGCGGACTTCGGTTGCATAGTGTTACCAAAAGGTGCTGTTCCGTCCTGGTCACCCGAGTGCATGGCCTGATGCGAGTGGCCATTGGGGACGGAAGACTTACGCCGCGACATTTCGTACTGAAGCGCTGCGAAGTCCACGGAGCCAGAGCGCTGTCGCATGCGGGCTTGGTCGGTCTCTTCGGCCTGTTGGCCGTGCGGAAGACCGTATCTCTTCTCCACGTATCGCTCGGCGCCGAAGTCCATGAGGAAGACACACACGCACGAAAAGAGCGCAATCGCAGGCGGCCATGCGTATTCCGCCCATCCACCCGTCATGCCGACGCAGGTGTTGGGTCCAATCTCACTGTATGCGGGATCGAGAAGACTGGACACTGTCAGCTTGCTCCATCGCTTCACCATCACAGTCGCATCACAACTCACTGAATGAAGGCCGTGGCCACGATGACACCGGCACCGAAGTATCTAGCGAACAAGTAGACGTATAATGGGACTTTGAACTTTGTCGTCCTTGTTGCGAGGACTGGGAAGAAGGTCACGGCCGAGGATACAACGAGAATGACGAACAGCGCCGAAATACGAGCACCGAGCTGGCCATTGTACTCGTTTCCTGACGCTTCCAGGTAGCATACCACCTCCGCAGGATCGGCATTGGTGAGGTCGACGCTCTGTGGGTTAAAAGCGCTCGTGGCGTCCTGCCCTGGGCTGGTCGCTGATGCCATGACGGTGGAGGTCGGTACAACAACGTTGGTCTTACAACGGTCAAATTGTATCACCAGGCTGCGTGACGGTAGAGAACGTGGTGTACCGGGCAAACGGTTCAGTGACAGGCCTATTAAGTGCAAAAGCTTGTGTTCCGGGGACGCTGAGTTCTCATCTTCGCGCTTCCTACCATCAAGGTGCTTTCTTGGCCGACGCTAACATCATTGCGGAAGCTGCGCGAATTGACGTTGAGTTTGTTGCCATTGGAGTAAAAACAGTGACGATCATTCCAGAGTCAGTGGCGATCAATTCAAGAATTATATCTCGTCTTTGTCACTGTTGAATGGCGATGGATGTTGCCGTACGTATACTGTGTGCATGCGACGTGGAAGGATGTTCCAATAAGCTCACCCTTCACATCTGTGCCCTCGGGGACCCACCATTGACCTTCACGGTGGTTATATCATGCCGCGCCCAATAGTTCAGACGGCTACACGGCATCATTACGGTCGCTAGAGCGATCGAATCGACTCGCTCGATCGCAAGGTCAATGTGAAGTACGCTCGGCATAGTCGCAGCGTAAGGATTCGCCAAACCATGACACATATGCATGGGTACAGCGATACCTGCGACCATTCGTGGATATTTTACAGACCCAGTGCAGTGCCGAACAGTGTCATCAATCCTCCCAGTCCACTCCGCTCCTTGGTATGCTCTCGACACGCCATCACCAGAACTTCGCCAGCTCTTGTTCACTTGTTCTTCAGTGAGCACGACGTGTTACCGGACGAAAGGGCGCAAAGGACGATTAGCTAACCGTACAACCCCCTTGTCCGCGCCACGAAAGAGCCTCATAGGACGCATTGCCCAAGCCTTAACTACCGCACCGTGCTGTCGTCCAGTGTAGCCAACAGTCATTGCCGTGCTACGAGTTCTTTCTTCGAACGCAAAGCTAACAATGACTGCAGTGTCTCCTTCTTGGCCTTTAGAGGCTCCTCTGCAGTTTGCGCTGTTCGCTACAATGGGGATCGGTTTGCAACGAATTTCCAGTGACGCAAGCTCCACGTTGGTTGTAGGGTAGTCACCGACTATTGGACGCTCTTCGGCATAACGGCACCCATCCGCAGCGCTGTCTGATCACCTGCGTTGAAGATGTCGTTGAACCAGACGGCAGGTATCGGTCATCGAAGAGATGTTAGTGATAAGATGAAATCGACCAATCTGGTTCTATAAGTGAATATGACAAGCCGTCTATCCTCGGATGATGCTACGAGCACCACGTTCAAGATGCGCATCTGCGGAATAGGAGCGACCAAGACGGAGCCCTCCACAAAGGCGCTTGCCACGGATGTTGCTGAGAAACGAATTCTGCATATCATGGGAGCCGATGCCGACAATTACACTTTTCGATGGCACAAGGAGCGGGTGACGTGCTATGTCAACCGCAGATTGAACGCAGTCTGGACACTTGGTCCCTGCACCTTGGAAGCTCTTCAGACTCCCATCGACGGATAACCTTAAGGCGAGGCCGCTGACAAATTATGCCAGCAAGTCCGAGCTCGCATCTAAGCACTACAAGCCGTACATGGAGGCGCATATCGTTCCCGCTCCGCGAGTATTCCTCGGCCGCATGCTCTCCCTCTTGGCAAAGGCTGACAATAATGCATGATAGCGTCCAGAGGCAGGGGCGGAAGCGGAATCGGCAAGCTATGCTACCAAGTCTTGCGCCTTGTGGGCGCAAGCGGTCCATCAACGAGATGGATGATGACGGCCAGAAGCAATCCGAGAAAAAGAAGAGACGACACAGGACTCCGGAAGTTGCCGAATATGCAGAAGATCGCGACCAGAGGCGATCCAAAAAGGAGCAGAACCGACCAAGCACTCAGGGTTTTGTGAACCATGCAGAAGACGACGAGAACGATCCTGTTGAGTCTAACTGGGATGATGATGCCAATGAGGTTTGCCAAGAAGCCTCAGTACTGTCAGGAAGGGATCAAAAAGCCGCAGAGCCGGGAAGAGGCACGCCAGCTCTCCTTAACAAGTGGTGCGCTCAACGGGCATCAAGTCGATGGAGGATGGTGATACGCAGCGTGTCCCAGCAGATGCAGACGGGGAGGGAACATCTGAAAGTGATGGCTGAAGAGTATGTCTGGTGACTAACCTGCCGACTGCTTCGGGCGCCTGTCGGTATGAAGGGTGGTTGCAGAATTCGGTCTTCTATGACTGGCGTGGTACACTTCTCCGAGCAGTGAGCCGCACGCAGCAACCTGACTTGTTTCCCCGAGTTCAGTTCTGTAACATGTGAACGTGACGCTGCGCCGCGTCGCCTCACTTCACGCAAAGCCCAGCTGTCCACTTTCCACGTCCTCCCCAAAGCATCCCACGAACATTTCGCCTGTTTGGGTCCTCCATCTCTTCCTGCACAGCTCATCATCCCAACAGTGATCTGGCACTACGTCCCAAGAGAGCGTACCGACAGATATGAGTCCAACGCCGGAATCCCAAACCTCGCCACTACCGGCCTCTCCCGACCGCAATGCTGACTTCGCTGACGCCTCCGATCGCGCCATGGCAGCGGCTCTGCCTAGCAATCTCCGTGGGACTCCATTATCATCTCGAGCTCCGTTCTCATCATCTCCTGCTCCCCTTCCTCGTCCTGGCCCGCGATCCGGGTTCAAGCTTAATACGGGTGCCGAATTTGGTCGTGGTCGTCCCCCGAAAAAGAAGGCCAACACAGCGTCAGTGGTCGACGATGAACCCACAGGCTCTCGTAGCACCTGTCAGAAGAGAGCCGGTGACGATGGTGTCTTCGCTCGTCCCACCACGCCGGCTTCAGCCACGGCGGAGTCAAAGCGCACCACGGCGTCCAAAGCTGAGGGCGGACGCAAGCGCAAGGTAACGCTCTTCCACTCCTTACCCAACATCCCCACCACCCCTCTGACTAACACACTCAGGCGGCCACCGGACCCCGCGAAGTCCCCGCGAAAGCTATTCCCCTTTGCTACGACGACTGCGAGCCCTTCGACAAAATGCTCGTCGACATGCGCGCCGAGAATAAGCCTTGGCCAGAGATCCGCGAAGCCTGGAACAAGCTGACGGGCCACAAAGCGCCCTTCTCTAGCCTGCCGAACCGCTACGCCCGCATGATGATCAATTTTACCGTCATCAAGGAGGAGGATAAGCCGAAGATGTTGGAGGCGAAGCAGGAGATTGAGAGGGAGTTTGAGGAGGTCAAGTGGGAGAAGATTGCTGAGAGGGTGGCGGAAAAGGGTGGGGATGCTTACAAGGTATGTTTGAAAGCCGTGTCGCATGTGGTCAGTGTATTGTATCTGTGACTGACAATACGGACAGGGCGGGGCGATTTGCAGGCTGTACAAGAAGATCATGGCCGAGGCGAATATCATGCCCCCGGAGGGCGTCAGGGATGGAGACTTCGAGGTTGACAGCGGAGACGAGTGAATGTTGCCGAACAGGTTGGTGTGGCCGCGAGTGCTTATGATGAGGGATGCGAAATGACAAGGGCTCAGTAGCGTGGAGAAGCAAGCGAGGGGAGAGTGTGTACTGATTGCTGCAGCGTGTTTTGGTGGTTTGCTGTCTTGCATTGCAGCGAAGCGGAGCTCGACTCTCAGGTATCAGCCATTTGCAGCTGCCACATCCCGGAGTCTGTCCTCGCCAGCGTCGGTGTCCGTAGGCACAGCGAAAGCACTAGCCTCAGCGTCTTGCCTTTGACGTTTGCTCATAGCTTGCTCCCACAACTTCTCAGTATTAGCCCTTACCCACTTCCCCTTCGATTCCCACGCGGCATCAGCATCGTGGTGATCCTCGCCCGCCTGCAGCACATCCCAGCACCGCGCGTCACCAACACGAGCAAGCTGCGTCGCTAACCTCTCAATCGTCCCGAATCGCGGCATCCAGTCCTGCGATTCGTCAGGGTGATGGTCATCGTCAGCGTCGGGTCGGCTGGCCGAGACGGCGCGCATGTCGGCGAAATGCCGGAAGGCCCAATCAAGAAGCTCTAAGCCGCGCTTCTGCTCTGCCTTTGTCTCCTCCGGACTAAGTTCGCCGGATAAGGCACGGTCGGTGGCGTGCGTGCCTGCTTGGACGAAGACGAGGATTAAGCGATCGTATGTCAGCGCGGTAGGTCTGATGCGCAGAGCGAGGAGCTCGGAGACCAGGAAGCTAGCCAGATTCTCGTCAGGCGGGTCCGCGAGACGACAGCTACGGAGGAGGAGATTGAAGGTGTCAACGTTCGCGAGCGTCTTCCGAGTTCCGCCGCCCTCGGCTGGTAAGAAGGTGTGGATCAATTTGTACACATTCAGCGATTCCGTCAGGTTGTGCTGCTGAGCGTAGCATTCGATGAGTAAGTTGAGCGCCGCGATTGGTATTTTGCGGCCTTGCTCGTGCAGGTCCCGGAGGATCTTGAAGGCCTCTTTAACAAGCTCGGGATTTTCGCGTAGGTAGACATATAGGGACCGAGTCACGTCCGGCGTTGGCGAGGCGCCTTTCTCGAGCTCCATAATGCTGAGGATGCTGAGCGCACGGGTCAGATCCGGCGGCGAAGCGGCGAGGTAGCAGTCGATGAGCAGCTGGTAATGTATGGTGGTGAAGGCTGTGCCGCGCTTGGAAAGGTGCGTGAAGACATCGGTTGCAAGGATGGCGTCGCCGGCCCGTGACGCTGTGGTAAGCACGTTGAGACAGATGCCTGATGACGGATTGATGTATCCGGAGTTGACCTGCGTATTCCACACAAGCGCCGTGCTGGCAGCGTGCCGATACGAACTACCAGCGTCCAACAATGCGTACCATACGTTCTTGCTGAGTACAGGTTCGCCGGCCTCATGGCGTTGTCGCATCACACGGTACGCTTCTTCGATCTCGCCAGCCATGCACAGCACGTGGACAGTCATGTCAAGCAGCCAAGGCTGTACGTGTATACCGCTCCTTTGCATGCCGTCTATGCGTTGCATGGCTTGTTCGAACAAGCTTTCGCGGAGAAGACCGGCAGCCACGTCGTGCGCGCCTTCCTCGCTAAGAGACAGCCAACGAGCCCGCATGTATTCCAAAACATCAGCACGTAGGAGATGATCTGGGTGCACGCTCAACACCTTCAAAGCAGCATGGCATATACCGACGTCCGGCTGTAAACCTGCTTCTCGCATCTCCTCGAGGTATTCTGTCACTCGCCACGCTGCACCCTCGCTCGCGTCGACGTTGCTAAGAATCAGCGCAGAGTAGAGTTGGAGGCTGGGTGCATCGCCACGCTTCTCGATGATATATTCGGCCAGCGCCCTGCACGCCTCGACTCTGCCCTCAATGGCGAACATGCGCAGCCTGGTGCGCAGCACATGGGTGGGTTCCTGCAGGAGCGCCTCGGTAGCTTTCAGAGCCTTTTCTCGCGCATAGGAAAAGCCACGTTTCATGGCCTGCGCACTATCCGCTGGGGTGAAGTGCGCACACAGCTTCTTAGCGTCTTCGATGAGGCTGTGCCTCCATTCTTCGTTGTCCACGCCTACGCCTAGATTACCAGTCGTACTTGGGCCCGCTGTCTCGATAAGTGCAGGTAGAGCAGACTTCTGCCCGTGATGGCCTCTTACTTCCTTCGCAGCACTCGCAGCTGGAATGCGGGAACTGTGGGCTGCCCAAGGCGTCACGGGCGGTCCAAGAGCGGAGAGGAAGTCTATTTGTGCATCATCTGCGCTTGATGCTGCACGTTCGCTCCGCCTTACCCTGGTACCTCGTTCTTCAGCCGCATTCGTGCTTTGGCGCATGGGCAGCGCATAAGGATCATAGGGTTGCTTGCGCGCGCGAGCACCGTAACTCGCTTGGGCGTCCTTTGCCTCACGGCTCGACACTGCATCGTCCTCTCGGGCCTGAGATCTGAAGGGAGCGGACTCCTGTCTGCCATTCTCAGCATCATTGGGCGTTCGGACTGCAGTCTGTGTCGATGCGCAACGTTGCTGGACGCGAGTGGTAAGGGAGGCAGGCCGTTTGCGACGTACCAGAAGACGCTGGGCCCTTGTAGGCCTTAATTGCTGCGTCCAGGTAGGGCAGAGGCACAGCCATAAGGGATCCAAGGCGAGTTTGACGTGGCTCATGTCATTGTCTCGTTGTCGCAAAGGTCGTGTGCTCGAATCAGCCAATGCAAGGTGTGTCAACGTGAGCTTGTCTTGCCTTAGGCAGACATTTTCAGAGCTACTGTCTGGAGCTGCACTTTAAAGCATCATAATCCTTCTCCCAACCAACCTCTCCCGTGCCACCCACACTTTCCGGCTGGGTGTAGGCGCCTCTCAATGGTCACCGAGGTCCCGTGAGGCCGCACCATATGCACTCGCCACGTCGAGAAGACGGGGTTGAACGAAACGCATGCGGTGTCCATCAACTGCGCCACCGCCCTGGCCCTGCATGCCATGCATGCTGCACGAAGCTGACTGGAGCTTGTCCGTCTGCATGCTCCTGGGGAATGCCTATCGAATCATCCACTGCCTGTTACTGTACACCACACCGGTAAGGCAGCCAGCGTCTTGGTACCTTTGACAGTCATAGCAGTGACCGGTGACTCCGCGCTAAGAGTGAGGAGCTGGGATTCTAGCTGCAGCTTCCTCGGGAGCCTACTGCAGCGCAGCCTTTGTGGCACTGCACATATCTGGAGCGGCGTTGATGTCCTTATAATGTCCTGTTCCTCCCCATTTTCCTTGTTTATCACCTTGTTCACCACTGTACACTATCTCACATTTCCAGTCACTGCATCTTCTCGCATAATCGGAGTTGGTCTCTCGTTGTTCCCAGCGTCTACGTACCCTTCACGTAAGCGGCAATGTCAGCCGCCATAAGCGACTCGTTCAGCAAGAACAATCAGGAATCGGTGCAAGCGTCTGAAAACGTTGGCGAGAACTCCTCTGATACCATTGCCAACCTACCCCACCGGGAGCGTAGTATATCCAGCCCCCAGGCACGTGAGGCTCGCACTGGAGGTAAGATGGATGAGAAGCGTAAGGAACAGACAGCTGTTTCGCAAGCCTCGGAACAGGAGCAAGAGCAGCCACGAGAGCAGGCTGGGACTGCAGACTCCAGGGCGAAGGAAGACCCCGAACCAACCAAAAGCAAGAAGTCTGCGAAGCCAAAGAAGGCATGCAAAAAGGCATCTCACAAAGCACATAAATCTGTGAAGAAGACAGCTTCGACGCAGCCTCCTGAAGAAGCTTCGGATGCCGAGACGTCAGACGAGAGCTCGGAGGCCAGCTCGGAATCCAAAGCGGATTCTTCAGAAGAAGAAGAGCCCGTCAGGCAGAAGAAGAAAGCGAAGAAGTCCAGTAAGCACAAGAAACGTCGGAATGCAGTCTCTGACTCAGCAGAGTCGGAAGACAGCGAGTCAGAGGAGGAAGCGGAGCCCAGGAAGAGGACCAAGAAGGCCTCGAAGGCCAAGCAGAGCGACAAGAAGGCTAAGAAAAGCAAGAGCAATGCCGTGGTCACGAGCACCTCAGACTCCGATGAGAGCGAGTCGCCTGGCGAGGAGCCGCCGAAGAAGGCCAAGAAGACCAAAGGCAAGAAGCTCAAGAAGCACGCTGAGTCCGACGATGAAGATTCGAACGAAGGATCCGATGACAGCGATGAGGACTTGATAACCAATCTGCTTCAAGCGCAGATCGAGGCTCTCAAGGCAAAGCTGGGAGCTGCACGTAAGGGTGGCTGCAGTAAAAAGCGGCGAACCATCGAGCCAAAGTCAGCCAAGCTTGTGAAGAAGGGAAGCAAGACGAACAGCACCTCACCGAACTTCAAGCGCGTCGACCAACTGTGGGACTCGAAGACGCACAATTACCAGCTCAAGGATTCCGCTGATGTCGACGAGGCCGAGTATGCCGAATACGCATTCCTGGTCCGACGCTGTTTCAGTTGGGAGAACAAGTACACGGAGACTGTCATCGACGTCAAGTCCAAGTCGCTACGAGCCGCACTCACTGAGGTTATGAAAGACTGCAAGAGCGTGTCGCTGGAAGCCGAGGAGCCTACACTCGATCCCAACATCCTCTTCCTGTACCTTGAAGAGCTTAGGGCATACTACAAGAAGACGTTGAAGGTGAAGATTAAAGCCGAGAAGAAGCGCAAAGCCATCAAGAAGCTTGAGCAGCAGCGAAGCCTGACCAAAACTCTAGTAAGCTACATCGACGAAGATTATGCCGACATTAAGAAGAGATTGTATCCGCTTCTGGAAGCCGGCAACATCACCTTCGACCTCATGTGGGCATTGTTCAAACCAAACGAGATTGCTCTGACCTCCTGCTATGGCGCTTGGGATGAGGCGCGCTGCTTCAAGGTCGAGTATGCGAATAAGTTTTGCACCATGCAGCGAGGCGAGTGGTACTGCATCGAGGGCAAGTATCTCGAGTACGACGGCAAGGCGTTTGGCTATGGTGACTTCGAAGTCGACGTTGACGCATTCAAAGGCCCGCGAAAGATCACCAGTCTCGCTACCTATCCGCTGAAGTACCACAAGGAACCGGAGGCCATTAGGAAGCAGCTTGTAGCCCGCGGCGAGCGCTTCGTCAACATGGAGGGCATGCAGTACAGGTTCCACAAAGGCTTGGCTTTCATGAAGAAGAAGCGACAAGTCGCTCGCATAAACATCAACGGCCGTATAATGGTGGATCCAGGGACTTTCCGACGCATCAACCCCAACTACCCGATATCACTCATCAAGGCCAAGGATGCTGATGAGCTGTTCAGCGCCGAAGAAGACGAGGACGAGGAGTGCTCTTGCAACGGCGCCGACTCGGAAGGTGAAGACGAGGATACCGGCAAGAAATTGAAGAACCCTGACCACAGCGACAACGTGCCAAAGTACAAGTACAAGTGGGAGCAGAAGGACGGACGCCACTACTTCGTCGCCGTAGAGGTAGACGAAGACGGCAATCCCATCCGCTCCCAGCGAGTCGACGGTCTAGAAGCCAACCTCGAGCGGCGCAAGCGAAAGTACACGGAAGAAGAGCTCCTCCTCACCTCGCCAGTAGTACTAGGGTTCGCCTTCAGCGAAAAGCTCTGGCTCGAGTTCAGTCTCTCCGGCGTGCGCGACATAGAATGGAACGAGCACGCCTTCGACTCGCTCGTCTTGCCGGACAACCAAAAGGATATCGTCCGCGCGCTCGTCGAAAGCCACAAATTCAACGCCGCGAAAACCATTGACGATGTCGTGCAAGGGAAGGGTAAAGGCCTCGTCTCTGTCTTACACGGCCCGCCAGGTACGGGCAAAACCTTGACCGCCGAGGGCATATCCGAGCTACTCCGGTGTCCGCTGTACATGGTCTCCGCCGGCGAGCTCGGAACAGATCCAGCCAAGCTGGAGTACGAGTTGCAGACGATCCTTGACATTGCGCACAGCTGGGGCGCGGTACTGCTTTTAGATGAAGCGGACGTCTTCCTTGAGGCCCGGCAGAACCACGACATCCATCGTAACGCGCTGGTGTCCATCTTCCTGCGACTGCTAGAGTACTTCCAGGGCATTCTTTTCCTCACCACGAACCGCGTCGATACCTTCGACGAAGCATTTCAGTCCCGGATACACCTCCCGCTACGGTACGGTGAGCTGACCAACAAGGCGAAAAAGAGCGTGTGGAAGATGTTTCTGGATCTCGTGCGGCAAAGCGATGAGACTTCTGTTGCGCAGTTCTCCGAGTATGATCTTGATGTGTTGTCGAGGCATCAGATGAATGGACGACAGATCAAGAATGCTGTTCGCACGGCGCAAGCGCTGGCGCTCAGGGAGAAGAAGATGCTGGATATTGGCCACGTGAAGAAGGTTCTTGAGGTGAGTGAGACGTTTGAGCGGGATCTGAAGGGTGGTACGGGGTATTTGGATGCTATGAGGAGCTATACATAGACCGTTCTGCGGTGCAGAGAAGACATCGCTTGTGAGAGCGTTTGAACTCTGCCCATTGTATACGAAGCAATGGTGTTATGTTCCAAGCCATCTGCAACGAAGTTAAAGCATCCCGTCATCTCACATATCCTTCATGAGCTCCGCCAAGGTTATAGGCTTCCGCACGGCGTTCGAATACCCTTCGTGGAACGTTACCCACACTCTGCCGCCCTCTGACTGCGTGTCACCCATCTGACTCCGCTTGGTTGACGCCGCTGCACCCGCCTCCGACACGGATTCGACGACGACACGCCCAAAGAAGTCACGCTTGATCACTGTCTTCTTCGTCGTCTCATTCTCTTCAGGCCTTCGTGCGACTGCCGAGGCTTCGCTACAGGCAATGCTGCCTTGAGCGACGACGTCACCACCACCACCACCTCTAAACCTTGCCATCCTAGCCACCTCCGCCAACCGACTTTCCTCCTTCCTCCACTCCTGCTCCAGAACCTGGCGAACAGCGTACCTCTGCTTCCCCGCCACTGCCGCCTCGCCAAAACCCTTCCCACCTGTTTCGAAAGTGCCTAGAACATCAATGGCAGGCTCCATCCGGTACACCCACTGCGCAGAAACCGTCTGCCAACTCACAGCCTCGTCGTCAGTGACTCGCATTCGTTCGAAGCGAATGCCCGACGCGGCTATGGCGTTTACTGCACGTCTCACAAGAAGTTGTTCAGAGGCTTTGCGGACGGAGGCAGTGGACTTGGGACCCTCTTTGCTGTCTCTGCTGTTCGTGGAGATTAGGACTGGATTGACTGTGGGCGAGAGCATGCGGAGCAGGTAAGGGATCAGATCCGTGGAAATGGCTGCCGGACTGCTGAAGGAACGGGTTAATTCGAGGGAGAGGGCTGAATGAAGTGATTGGAGGACGGATTCATTATGCTTCGTCGCTTCAAATGCCGACCATGCCGCTTGCGGGCCGGTGAAGAGTTGTTCGGTAGGTTCGGCTTGCTCAGTAGTGTCGGTCGTGGTGGCTGGGTTGCTATACTGGGCGCGGGTGGGAGAAGCGAAGAGATGGTGGAGAGCGAGCACCGGACTGCTTAGGTACGGCGCGAGCTCCCATTCGCTGCTGCTATAGACGGCGGAGGAGAGACGGTCGTGGAAGTGGAGCCATTCGTACGCCGAGTCCGGCTTCGACAGGAGCGTGTCGTCTTGGAATGGGTGGTCGGGATATGAGGTGAAGCAGTCCGTAATGATGCGGTCTGTCTCGCCGTGTGTGTCGATCAATTGTCGCAAGCGGTCAGTTGCAGTGCGTTTCAAGCCTTCTGCCACGCCTTTAACGCCCGTCGAACCATGTGGCTCACTCGACAATGCTGTGCTTCTTGGGAAGCCTGCACCTTCGCGAAACACGCGTTCCACAATGTCTTTCGGTCCACCACGGCCAATACCTCTGACCGCGCCTCCTCCGTGCGAAAGATCTTGCAGTATGTGGTCTTCCACCCATCGGCGTGTTAACGTCGCATCACCAGTCCGCTCCCTCTGCGCTCGCAGCTTGCCTGCCACCCACTCGCCAACAACCATAATCCCGCGCATGTCACCTTCTCCGGCTCCGCTTCCTGTCCGGTCTTCCTTGCGACTACTGACGCCCCACGCAGCTTCACATAACCTGCGGACGCCGTCGCCTGCACATGGGACGCCTTCCTTGTCGAAAATTGCTTGCATACGTGTGGAGATGGTCTGCAGCTGCGCTTTGCGGACGTGGATGACTTCTGCGTGAGGGCTTTGTCGAAGCGGTCGCAGAGCTGGATGGTACACATCATTGCAGATTAAGATCATTGGCCGCAATAGCCTGAAGCGTTCGCCTTTCTTCTTCTTCGCGGGTGCTTGCTGTAGGGTACTCAGTCCTCTTGAGTTCTTCTGGTCTAGCATGATGAGGTCGATCAGTGCTTTGACGAAGCCGCCTTCACCACCTCCACCGCTTCCCCCAACCACGCCATCTACCTCATCCACGACCACACAGACCGGTCTGCCGGCCTTCCGAACCTTCCCATCCACCTTCTTGGTGTCCACACCCCTCACATTCTCCGTGCCTACCATATCTCGAATGCGTCCCTTCACCACCGCCGCGCTTCGCTCATCGCTCGCATTGATCTCCTGCACCTCATAACCAGCCTGCTTAGCACACACATGCGCCAGTGTTGTCTTGCCAAGACCAGGCGGACCCGTAAGCAACAAGATCTTCCGGTGTGGCTTCTCCTCCGATTGCTCGGTGGAACCTTTCGCCTTCTGCTTTGGTCGGTAAGACCCAGGGAAGACAATCTGATCCCAGCGCTTGAGCCAATGCATTACGGCTCTGTGTGTACGTTCATCGCCAATCAGATCGGTGAATTTGCGAGCACGGTACTTCTCTGTCCACAACAGTGAGTCCTTCTTGGATGTTGCGGACTCCGGAGGTGGGGTTGGCAAGTCATGAACGGCTTTCGGTATGCTCTCCTCAGTTTGCGCGTCCTCGAGCAGCTGATGGATGTCAATGCCATAGTAAGTACGATGTGCTTTGGCGGGCCGCGTGAGTATGCTGTTGCCCAGATCTAAGTCTATCCGCTTCCTCTTACGTGTTAAATGCGGTGGCAATATTAGAGACATGCTCGCCTCCAAAACGCCGTGCTGGCTTCGCTGTCGGTTGTTGTTCTGAGAATTTGGTTGTGGTTATCGTTAGGGTTAGCGAGAGCGCGTCGCGTAACGCGTCTGATTGCACTAACCGCTTAAGAATGGGTGCGGAATTGCCCGCTTTCCTCCTCGCGTGCCTCTTGGCACTGTCCACAGTTTTGGTCAACTTGCCTGTCGTTGGTTACGACGCAGTCACTCATTAGACCCGCCGAACAAAGCTGTTCATCGCACAAGTCCACCACTCCAATGTTCCGGCAATGGTGACTAGTTCCGAGGTGTGACTCGGCCCATCTACATCAACTTTCTTTCGAAGGAAGACAGTGGATGCATCCGGCGGTTCAAGCTTGCAGACTTCAAGTACATACTTCTCGACATCCACAGAGATGAGATCTCCGTCTTCGCGCCACTGTCCAAGCACTTCGTCTTGTAGGCGAAGGCCCAAGCAAGAGTTTGACGGTGCAGTGTGGTCAAGGCAAGCGTCGACGACACGATGATCCGCGATTTCAATCCTAGAGAGGAAAGCGAGTAGCTGAGGGCTTCGCGGCATCGCTCCGATAGGTCTCTGCGTAATGCTGACTGGCGTGAAAGGCGCTGAATACGTCGTTGTCGCCTTGACAAGAGACACGCCGAGCCGCATCCGACTTTGGATCTCATCGTGTGTGCTCATGTGAAACCCCGATACAATAGATTCTCGCGTATCGACTAATCGCTGGTGCTTGTAATGTCTTCGAATATGCCGCACGGGTTGGTACCTGGCGAACGTCGCCACTCTGCTGCAAGTTGTGACGAGCTGTACGTTGTGAGCTCATATTCCGGCAAACCCTTGAAAGGGCAACGTACACTCAGGCCAATCTCCCGCGAGTCCCCAGAATGCCAGTGTACGAAGACCTCTCTGATCTCCTCTTCCTGCCGCAACGTGAACGATAACCAGGTCAGCCTTCTTTGCAGCTCGGATCTTTGGCGGTTATAGATCGCGAGCTTTCCAGGCTTTCCTGCGTGGATCTCCATATCGATCAGTTCAAAGTCCGCAAACACAATGGTAATCGTCCGTCGTTCTTTCGTCACCGGATTCCACCAAAGGCGTATCGGGCAGGTCTCGTATTCTTCAGGCGACATATCCGTTGCTGGCAGGCAGTAGCAGTTCCGAGCCTCCAGTAGTGGGGGTGAGCGCACGTTGTAGATGTACATTTCTTGGAAGACATTCGCGTTGAAGATGTCCCTGACGACTGCACCCTTGCAAGGTCGTCAGCACGTTGCGTAAGCAGTAACAACAATCAACGTACACAACCTACCTTATATTGGACTGTAAGCGGATCCTGCTGGCTTACTGGAATATGTCGGTACCATCTTGCATGGCGTACAGTTGTGTCACCCCCGTTCCGAACGGACAAGCAACCGATGTCATCGTAGCAGACCAGCAAGGGAGAGTCTCGGTTCTCGCATCTTCCTTTATTGTTAGCAACATGACTCACGTACTTCCGTGTCAAAACGCTCTCCGATCTCAGGAATAGCTCACGCCGGCCATCAACACGTCCTGTTCGCCGTTCGGACGGATGTCGTGTCGCGATAAGTTGAGCGTTGTGCAGCAGAACAAGCGTCGACGTGAACGGAGAGGCACCGCACAATTGACCCAGTGCTACTCGTAGTTCAGGAGGCAGCTCCCATATCCTGCGCCATATGGGAGCCGCCGTAGCTAGGTTGCTGGAAAGCTCAACAACCGACATGTTAGCTCCCAGTAGTTCTTCGGTGAGCTCACTGAGGTAAGTTCATCTTTCCAACTCAGAAGTCGGCCACAGTGGCCACATTGTGCTGTTCAGCCATTTCAGCTTCGCCAGGGTAAGTTCGTCCCTCCTCAAAGTTCGGATGGCGGCACGCATGCATGTGTTATGCACGGTTCCGGGTGGTATGCTTGCCGTGAATTGATTCTTGCTGACCGTAGGGCCAGCTGAGCGGCAGGGAAACATACTGGGAACTTCGAAGTCTGAAAGTAGCCAAGTGCCGCCGGCGGAGTTACTCGCATCATCGTCGGTGATGCTGCCAAGGCACAAAATACAGAACCTGCTTTGACCAGTTTTCACGTTGAGTCGAGTATTGGCCATCGCTATCGGACTGTTTGCATGCGTGCAGAAGCAAGACACAGTCAGTCGTTGTAGAGAGCCTGGCCGTGACTTGTTGAAGGGCTCCTCAGCGCTGAACCTGCTTATATTGTGATATGCTGTTATCTACGCTTGAGTCATGCGCTTTGTGTTCCTTGCTTCGTTCAGGTAACACAGCACGTGTCGGCTCTGAGCCCGCCAATTGCGGTCGGTGCCGTGAGCTTCTACTTCCGTTCTAAAAAGCATTGGTATTGCTGTTCGACCATCTAAATCGGGAATCTTCCAGCTCCTCGTACAGTGGTCGCAAGAACTAGCATGATCCGTCGAGTTTAACAACTTCGTCAGGATCGGGGCTGGTCCACAGACCTAGCCAACTGGCAGGAAGCACACACTCGTCCAGGTCAGATGTCCGCTTCAAGTGGATCGATCCAACTGATCGTGCAGTCTTCACGCCACCACCTTTGCCACGTGATCTTGCAAACGGTGACCCATACAAGGCTCTCAGCCCTTCCCTTCGTCTATGCAGACTTCAATAATTCCTGCCCCAAGCTTTAGCGCGTACCTTGTGACACAATCAACGGTATCTAGCATGAGTTACAAACAGAAAGTCGAGCTGAGGGCCTCCAAAGGTTTGATGATACCACAAGAGCTTTGGAAAGCACATTTGAACCACAGTTGTATAACGCGCAGGCGACCAGACATAGCAGGTGAGATGTGGCCTTCGCATCTCAAGTCTTGTCTTGACGGTGATGTCGTTGACAGCATTTCGGAGATATTGGTAACCTAGAACTCACGCCAGGGCACGGCTGATCTCTACATCATGCTTCATCCGTCGTGTAGACTCGATGACCTAATCCTAGGGCTTGCTTTACGACTTCGAGGCTATATAGCTGCGCAATAGAGCCCGTGAATAGGCACGAGTTCAGCATCGAACGCACCTGTCACATTTTAATCACCGGGTCGGGAGGCGCCGGATCAACCACTCCACCACCCGCAGCTTAAGCATCGTGGCAGGGACCGAGGCGGACCCAGTCGCGTTTCAGAGCAGGAATCTATCCCGGTTCCTGCATCGTCCACCCCCAAGTGGTTGCGCATTGCTCGCGCATCATCCCCATCTCCTCGTCGCATTCCATTATGCTGAGCCCTGCCCCTTGCTTCACTTGCATGTACATATTTCACATCCTCCCCGACCCGACATGAACGACTCGTCCGCTCCCAGCTGGCAACAGACATTCGAACATTACAACCCGTTGCCTCACTTCCGTCGCAAAGCGCCCACAGCACCCCCCGTCTTCTTCCAAGACTGGGCCTACGCGAATCACGGGCCGGTGGTTTTGGGCGATCCAATGCGCCGTGAGCGTGGGCAGGTAAATGCTGCAACGAGCGCGAAAAGCTTCGCCGAGTACGTCTAATCTTTACCATCTCTTTTTCACTACGGATGGCGCATTTCCTAGGCACGCCAAGTCGGTCGCACTTATGGTGGACAAGCGCGCTGAATGCTACGGTGTGGACGAGGCTAAGCAGTTGCACAAAAGGTTGCTTTCGGGTCCGACCGTCGACATCTACGTTGGGAAGGAGCGCAAGCACTGGAGCTTGCATCGCAATCTACTTTGCCATCATTCAAGCTATTTCGAGACGGAGTTCGAGGGTCACGAGGTGCCAAAGCATGAAAAGCGTGATGGCAGCGATGACACGCTCGAGCTGCCGGATGACGACCCGCGAGGATTTGAGTTGTTGGTGAAATGGTTATACCAGGGACAGCTGGAGGATGCGTCGCTCTTGACAGAAGAGCAAAAGTACGACTATGCGGTTGCATGTCACAAGTTATATATGCTTTGCGACAAGTTCGACATGATACCCCTCAAGAACTTGGCAATGGATCAATACAGACTAAACTTGAATGCGGCGCAGCTTGTACCGGACGCGGACGAGATAGACGAGATATACCGCGCCTTACCAAGAGGTAGCCCTTTCAGACAGCTCATGACGAAGATTGCAGCAAGACAGATCATGGACCCGGAGACCGAGAAGGATGCCGACTCGTACCGCAGATGCTTCGAAAACAACCCCGACTTTGCCGTCGAGATGGTCAATGCGATCCGCTTCATGTCTGGTGGGATGCTGTTCGAGGACCCAACTGAGGGTGACGATTGCGACTACCATGACCACAAAGACGGCTCTTTCTGCGGCAAGGACAAGAACAAGACGAAACCATTGGTAAACGGCACAGGTAAGAATTTAATGACAAGCGAATGGTGCTGGTATGGTAACGGATGCTTACAGGTTGAAGGTTCATCGGGAAAACAACTGCCTGCAGAGCTTTCGGCGGATCGCAAAACGCCGCGCAAGCTGAACTTCGAGGAACCGCCGTCGACACCCACGCCCGACAAACCGTCATCGGGGCAGCGACCGCATCCGCCCGCTCAAAATACTGCCCAGAAAAGGACGCCGGCAAAGCTGAATCATGTTCAGCTGAAGACACCCATGTTTAACGGCACGCTGCAAACTCCAGCCAGCAAGGCACAAGCGCGACACGAGCTGCCTTCAGTGACCGAGCGCAAGCATACGCCAGCGAAACCGAAATCTGCCCTTACCCAAGCTACATTGACGAACGGACACACTCACGCAGCATCGCAAACCAACGGCATGGCAAGTCAAACCTCAAGCGTAACCTCCGGCCCTCGCAAACTCCAGCGCCAACCAGCACCAAATCCCACCGCCAACAATACATCGACTGTACTCGGCAAGCGCCGTGCCACGGAAGGGAGTCGGAGTAAAGCTGCAAACACCATTACTACTAACGGTTCCCGGCGCAACTTCAGCCACGGCGTGAACGGCATGGTGCAGCAATGGAATGGGATGAACGGGACTGGTGCGTTCAGCGGGAGTGAAGGTTCTGTAAGTCAGAATGGGACGAGTGAATTTGCTTTGAAGAAGGCGCCGCCGAAGCTTAGACGGCCGGTGGGTGGGTAATGGAGTTGGAACGTCGACGCCTTTCTCGACTGAGCAATGAGTGGAGAATTCTAGCATTTACGACCATGGATAGCCGTTTGCGTCTTCATGTCACACGATGAAGGCCGGACTGCTTGACCCAGTGGGTACTCCCGTACCACTCCGCCGAAGAACGTGTACGCCATGAGACTCGGTATGGTGTAACCCAGTCGTCTCAAAGGTCAGAATGCCAGTGCCCGCCGACCACAATCGAGCCGGCTTCACCAGTCCCGCAGTAAGGACGCGTAGAGAGATCGTTCGAGCATCGCGAACAAACCTGCACGCGCAGAAGGGCGTAGAGATCTGAGGACCGAGCCGTTCGTGGCGACGATGGCGGTTGCGGCGGCGGTGGTGGTCACGGCGCTTGGAGACGGATAGGAGAGTTACTGGCAATGATCGATGGCCATGAAGCAATCCACGCACCGTTGAGTTCTTACACCTTCCGGCCACAAGTATGGCACTGGGAACAGTCCAAGAGCTAACGAGCTCCGGCCCGATGTAGAAATGAAGACACGGGGCAGGAACACGACGATAGTCAAAATTTGTTTGATGTCACGCCGGAGCAAAGCAGCATGGATGAAGGCAGGCAGAACAACAGCGCACTTGCCGGGGTGGTCACAGTGAGTGTGCTGCGAAGCAGACGGTAGTCTTGGCATGGCCGATTGTAGCGGTCTCGGTCAAGTAGATGATACAAAGTGACTACTGTTTGTCCCAACTACTATGCTGAATAATGCTCGAAGCCCGTTAAGCACATACTGCTCCACGCCACGGCACCGTTGCGGTCCCAGAGACGCTCCGCAAGCGTCAGCGACTCAACCGGTCCACACCAGCAAACGCACAGCACGTTTGCAGAATGCCAAACGCCAGCAGATCGGGTCTCGTAGTGATGGCTGAACCCGGCCTTCTCAAGCCTGAGACTCTCGCTTGGCCTTCAACACACTGTGACCGCCAGCAGCTTCATCTTTGACCGCGCTTTCAGTTCCCTCAATCTGACCACCATTTCCGTTCCCAACTCCGATTTCGACTCCAGCTCCTCCCATATCCCTCACGTCGCCGCCCTCAACGGGCTCAACGGCTTCTTCAGGCTTAATCTTGACCTCAAACTTGACCTTCCTCTCAACTCTCCCATCATCGCGCACTTCGGTACTCTCGCGCTTCATCGCACGCTGAACCCTCAGCTGATCGAGCTTATCAGATTCCGCAGCATGACGGAGCGGCACATGAGCCGCGTCACCGTTGCCATCGACATTACCCGTGCTTGAGGAAGGTCCAGTGGCAGCGGCATCCTAAACCGCAACCCCGTCCTCCTTAATCTTCTTGGTTTCGGTTGTGTCAGCACCAGCATCATCACCATTCTCACGGGCGCGCTTCTTGGACGGAGCAGCGGCGTCTTCTTTCTTCACGTCCTCTGCGCCAGCGGCAGCATCGCCATTCGCCTTGGCCGCTTCCGCCTGCGCACGAGTCGGTGGCGCATCATCACGCTCACCCTCGCCATCATCGTCATCGCGGCGGCGCTTGCGGTCCCGGTTGTCGCGATGATCGCGCGAATCACGATCGCGATCACGGTAATCGCGTCCACCTCTCCCACCACGTCCACCTCTACCCCGCCCACCACCTCTTCCACCACGCCCACGCCCACGGCCACCTCTCCCGCCATCCCTCCGCTCACGGTCACCATCCCGCTCATTATCGCGATCCCGCCTACTCCGCCAATCATCATTGTCCCCTTTGTCACCCGCACCCTTTCTCTCACCACGTCCCCGGTTGTGATTCCTCTCACCCACCCCCCTCGGCTTAACCGTCCCTTCCAGGATCCCCTCATGCTTCATATCCACATACTCCTGCTTACTCATCACCTCCAACTCCTTCCCCTCGCCCTCCAGAAACTGCGGCTTCGGATCAAGTTCCAGGAACTGGCGCTGCGTCTCCTCGTCCGCAAACTCGACAAAAACACTCCCCTTGAACTCGCCGTCGTCGTGACGACGCAGACGTACGGCATTGATGGGTCCGTATGGAGCGAAGAACGCTTCGATATCGAGGTGCGTCTTCTCATTCTCGTCCCCGAAACCCTTGGCGTAGATACTCCGGCCCATGCTGGTACTGTGCTGCAGATTCCGATTCTCCTGCGCGTTATCCGTGAACTTGTCGCTGAGGGGCACTTTGCGGGTAATCTCATCGTTGTCATCTAGGTTTAGGAAACTGGAAGTTTTGACGGCATCCCTTACAGCAGAGAAAGGCTGGAAATGCCGCATGCGCTTGAAACTGTGGATCATCTTCAAACTGACGGGTTTGTTGCGGTGCCCGCCCGTTTCGGACAAGAGGTAAGCATCGATGGGTAAGTTGGAGTCGGAGAAGTAGAACTCGACTTGGCGGCGAATCTCGTCGGCGTCGTCGGACTCGGGTTGGTCTTCGAAGCGGGCTCTATTCTTCGACTTGTTGGAAGAGTGGCGGTCACCGTTGTCACCGCGGCTGCGCTTGGGTGCGTAGCGGTCGTGGGCGGAGACGGGGTGTTCCTTGCGCTTGCGGTCGGGCGACTCGTCGCCGGCGTCTCTGACGTCTTGGACTTCTTGCGCTAGGCGATCGTCTTCAGGTTCGATCTTGGCGGCGTCATCTTGAGCTTCGGGTTGAGGGAGGCCATGGTCATTTTCGCCGTTGGTAGTGTTATTGTCGTTGTCGTCGGCTGCGGGTTCGCCATTGGCGCCGTCTTGCTTCATGACCTCGTCAGCTTGAGCTTCTTCCGTCCCACTGTCTGGTTCAGTCGCATTCGTCACTTCTTGCTCGGGCACATCCGCCGCCTTGACTTCATCCTGCGCTGCTTCCGCCATGTTGCTGTTGTTATTGGAGGAAGAATATTGCGGCAAGGCAGTAGCAGAGTGAGTCAATGGCTATCGAGTCAATGGACAATGAGTGAAAGTGAATTCTCAGAAATCCAGCGGGGCTGGCAATGCATGAATGCCTCACCAAGGCCATCATCTCCGCGGCCAAACCTTCGAGGTTCGATATGCATGCGTTAAACATGGAAGCACGTGAGCATTGAACTGCCCATTCTATCACTCACGGACACAATGCCTAGACGCTTTCATGGTCTAAAGAAGCCTGTATGATACTACTACCCGCTGTTTACCTTCCTGCATAGTTCAACGCTAACGTATCCCCACAGAGAGTCCGCCAAGACTGGTCGAAAGAAACGCTCTACAACCTCTCCCGCCTCACACTTCCTCCAGCGGCGAACAAGACTTTCTTCCAACAGAAATGGCTCGCCAAATCCATGACCCGCGCCTACCACAATCCTTACGTACGCGAAGGCCAATGGACCCGCATGTTCGACCGTCGATTACCTAGTGTAGTGTCTATGGACCATCGATACCTGGCCCGCCATGATGGGAGTGAGATGGCTGGTGGTAGAGGTGCGGGCGCAGAAGTACAGGGGCGGGAAGATGAGGAGGGTGAAGTCGGAGCCAGGGTAACACCCCCGAAAACGCCATACATGCACATGACTTTTTGGCCGCTGGAACGGAGACTAGATACCGCGATCTGGCGGGCGTTGTTCGCGAGCAGTGTCAAGCAAGCGCGGCAGTTCGTCGTGCACGGCGCGGTGAAGGTGAACGGGAAGAGGATGGTTTATCCCGGGTATGCGCTGAATCCGGGGGATATGTTTAGTGTGGATCCCGAAAGGGTGATGTTTGCTACAGGGGCGCGGAAGAGGAAGAGGGGTAGTGCGGTTAGTGAGCAAGACTTGAGGGAGGAGAGGGAGAGGAGTAGGGCGGCGAAGGCGGCTGAAGAGAGGGGGATGGAGGAGGGAAGGGAAGGGGAGGAGAGCGATGTCGGTATGGCGAATCTGGAGTCGGATGAGGAGAGGGAAGCCTTGGCGACGAAACCGGAAGAGGAACAGGATGCGCGGAAGGCGATGAAGAATCTCATGACTCGCGCCAAACGCATACTAGAAGATGCCAAGCGCCAGCTCTCCGGCAAGCGACAGCAGGAACTCCGCGCGTTCGCACAGTCAGTACGAAAGACGATGTCCAAGTACCGGCCCGAAACCGAAGCAGCAGCAGCAGCAGGATCAGAATCAGGATCAGCAGACACCACAATCGAAAGCCTGGAAACGGCACTAGCAGAAATCATGACCAAAATCCCCTCCGACACCCTCTCCACACTACCCACCTCCGAACAACAAGCCGCCATCACTGCCTCCGCCTCCGCCTCAAACGCTCAAGCGTCACCAGAAAGCGAAAAAGAAGACGCCTACACCGCCCGCAAGGACGCCGAACTCCTGCACGCCGCCCTCGAGCGCGCGCGCGCCAACCCCCTCGACGTCACACGCCCTTACGCCACGCCCTGGAAGCCACGCGAATGGATGAGTGCCTTCGCGTTCATCCCACGGTATCTCGAGGTGAACCAGAATGTGTGTTCGGCGGTGTATTTACGACATCCCGTTGCCAGACCGGGGTTGGCGGAGGTGCCCACGCCGTTTGCGGGGGAGACGGTGGGGTTGGCTTTCAATTGGTATTTGAGGAGGCGATAGTATGGGGATCAACGTGTATGGGTATAGGTAGGGGTTTCATGAGTGTGTACTGTACTGTACTGTAACTGTACGCTAGCGTCCTGCCCCTACACATCCCTACTGCGGTGCTTGTATATCTACGGCTAGGGTTCGCTGTTTCGGACATGCTGCTAGCGGCTGGCTGCAGAGAGGTGCAGCATGCAACGAGCCGTTCATCATTGTGCCTGAACAGAGCGGCCTCACCAAGGCATACACGGCAGGCATGTAACAAAGCGAGAGCGGAAACGGGAGGCACCGCCCCCACGAAGCTCATACGCCCTCGGCAACATCCGACTGACGGGTTGCAAAGAAAGGGTCGACCACTTTGACGTACTCTTCTCTCTTCTACTCTACTCACTCACTTTCACTGCCGTCAATCTCTCCATCTACGCAATACTCAGTGCCCCATCCTCCAGCATTCGCTCGAGCAATGCGATATCTGCGCGACACAGTGCGCGCACGCCGTAGTAGCTTCAACATGCCCTCAATGCCCGTCGCCCAGCCTGCCCACCCGCACCCTTCTAGTGCAAACGGGGTAACAACACCATAATACGCTATGCATGCGAGCACATCATACCCCTCAGCATCCTGCCGTGAGCCATGCGCAGCGACGCGCAATGCCAGAATCAATCCCAAGACAGTATTATGAGCGAAGCGGCGCATTGAGAACCACGCCATATGACCGGCTGCCACGATGACCTGGCCATGGCGACGGCACGCTCATGCCCGCGGCCGCTTCCAGTAGTATTGCTGCACACACACACCCACACATTAGCACAAGTACAGCCAACGACCACAATCACAAATCACACCCCATAACACACGCCAACAAGAGAAGGGTTAAAGCTCACCTTATGCACCATCCTAGCAGCCCTCAACCCCGTCTTCCCCAACCGCGACCCCACCGCCTCCCGCCTCATCACATCCCCGTCCTTCTCCGGCACATAGTAAAACTCACTCTCCAGCAGCTTCCCTGCCGCATCCTTTCCCTCGCGACGGATCTCGCCTACGCACGAGATTTCGTCTAGGATGGTTTTGAGCTCGGAGCTGGCGAGGGTCTGGCTTTGGGCATGCCGGTTCTCGGTACCCGACGTGTCCGACGGCTTGCTGACCACAGCGCCGCGGAGTTCGGCGGGGAGGTTACTGTGGATAGTTGAGAGAGGTAAGGAGTGGATGCGTGAGTAGGCGAGTTGGTTGATGACGTGGTTCTTGATGGGGCTGAGGTTGATTCTTGATGAGGCGGTGGTGGTTGTGGTGGTGGTTGTGGTGGTGGTTGTGGTGGTGGTGGTGGTGGTACGGACGGGAGAATCGAGTGATGAGCTCAATGGCTTCCTCCGTACCTGCTCCGGCGAGCGTGACTGGAACGATTGAAATCGACCGAGAATGTTGTCGCCAAATGGACCGAAGGAGTGCACGATGGGATCGTTTTCTTCGTCGTGCTCGGAGAAGTCTTCGGACTCGGTCGAGTGCGATAGCTTCAGTGAAGCGTCGATCGATTTGGCCTGCTGAATCTCTTCATCGATGGACTCTAGCACCGGCGTCGGCTCGAGCGGGACCTCTTCATCATCAGAGCTATGGTCCTCATACACCTGCACCGGCACCTCATCGCCCTCATCCCGAAACGTGGACGTGAACGTATGATCCAACAACCCGGCCGCAGGCGAAGGGGAGACCGGCGACCTCGGTCTCGACCCTAGCATAACAGGCGGGCTGGACGCGAACAGCGGCGCCGAAACCGTCCGCCTCTTCGTCGGCGACTCCACCGCCCACGGCGACCTCTCTCCGACCGCCCCCACCTCGCGTGCCAGCGACGCCTCCTTAGGCCACGCCAGCAACACCCTTGTCTCCTGCACGTCCACCAAAATCTGCGCCGCCGGCTGATCCGAAACGAAACACCCCCCCTTCACCAACTCCACCACCTCTCCGCGACAATGAACTTTAGCTCCGTTCCAGCCCAAACACTCGACCTCCACCTTCCCAAGCGGAAACTCGGCATCCGGGCCATGGTATGAGGCCCGCACGTGTACGCGTGAGATATGGCGGTTGGCAGGGAACTGGTAGTCGGAAGAATTACTCGAGCGGCCCATCAGTACCGGTTCGCCGGTGGACGGGAGGTGGAGGGTGGGTACGTCGGTTAAAGGAGCGCGTTCGGAGAGGTGGGAGACGCTGCGGTGCAGGCCGGGAGGTGCAGAGGGACGCGTGTTGTGGGCGTGGGTGTGTGAGGGCGAGGAGGAGGCGAGGATGCCGGTTGAGGAGGTCGGGATTGGGGTTGGGTAGTAGGTTTTGCCGTGATCGGAAAGGAGGTCGTCGAGTTTCCGTTTGGTGGTTGCTCGGGGGAGGCCGGTGGGTGGGGAGGAGGAGAAGGGTTCGAAGGCGGGGAGGAGGGAGGGTCGACGTGGTGGTTGTCTGGCTGTTTGGCCGGATGATAGACCAATGCCCGAAGGTGCTGGTAACTCGGCCATCGCGTCCGCTACTCTGCTATCGTACAAGGACGCGTTGCAGTCTCTGCAATGGCACGTAGATGGTTCATACACGTGCTGTAAGTATGCTAAGTGACTCGGCGCGTATGTTCACGAACGTGTACTCAATTAGTACCGGTAACAATGCTCAAGCACATCTCTGACATGAAGAGATAGGTTAAGGAAAAGGTATGAATGAACGAGGTGACGGACGAGGGTCACGAAATGAAGGCCCAATGTGTGGAATGGGGAATTCATGAGGAAGCAAAAGCGCGTAGGTGTCGAAGCAGCATCCTACTAGCGTGTCTGAGCAGTGGCCCGCTGGTGGAGTTTCTTCGGCGAAGCGTGCATGCGGGCACGATCCGCGCCATTGGAACGAGCGTCATTTGTTTGATTTGAGGTTGTTCGATATTTGATGAAGAGTGGATTTAGATTTGGTTACAGATGGGATGGCTATGGTGCTGCATTGGAGCGAATCCTGCTCCCCCAATCGATAGATATTGATTGCTCTCGCCACCCAACAATGCCATCACTTTGAGATCGAGGTCCGCCAAGCCTCGTACGCAGATTGAAGCCGATTGCGGGGCATGTCGGGTACGGGTGAAGAAGCGTGCGTTAGTGGCGTCCGCTCGTGTTGTCTATGGAGGAGGGGTGGAAGATGATGGAGGACGAGTGCATAGCTTGCCCTACCTTCAAGTCAGCGTGCCGAATACTGTTGACTAATCAGGGTTGACTCTAGATTAACCGAGGGGGAGTATGAGGACGTCTTGTCGTACCTTGCATGTATTAATGTTTAAGATAAGAGGCAGGCAAGGACACGGATGCTCTCACAATTTACTCGGAGCGAAAGCGAGCGGATATAAGCGGCCGCATTCGAAGCTTCATGTTACATGGCATTACTGATACGCACTACCTGCTGCCTGCTCGGAAGAATGTGGTAGCGATACGGCCATAGGGACCAGCATCCGTTTTCGTGCCGACTGACGAAAAACAGTGCGAGTCCGTCACGAACCCGCGAAGACGTACTTGATTTGCCACACAAGAGCCATTCTATCAAGCATACAACAGCATCCCAACTCCATTCCGAAATCGTGACACTACCCTCCAACAAGTCATATCATCACGATGTCAATCTACTGGGACGCCATTCGCCAATGCTTCTTCATCCCCGCACCCACCTTCACCGAAAACGACCTCCCCTCCCAAGCCGGCCGCGTCTTCATCGTAACCGGCGGCTACACCGGCGTCGGCAAAGAACTAAGCTCCATGCTCTACCAGAAGAACGGCACCGTCTACCTCGCCGGCCGCAGTAAAGACAAAGCGGACGCGGCCATCGCCGACATCCAGAAAGCCCATCCATCTTCCGACGGCCGTGTGGAGTTCTTGAAACTAGACCTCGCCGACCTCACCACCATCAAACCCTCGGTCGACGACTTCCTCCGTCGAGAACAACGCCTGGACGTCCTGACCAACAACGCCGGCGTCATGACCCCACCCCTCGGCTCCCTCACCGCCCAATCCCACGAACTGCAAATGGGGACAAACTGTCTAGGCCCCTACCTCTTCACCACCCTCCTAACCCCAATCCTCCAAAAAACCGCCGCCACATCCCCACCCGGCTCCGTGCGCGTGACTTGGGCCGCCTCCCTCGCCACAATGGGCGCACCAACCGGCGGCGTGACCTTCGAAGCAAACTCGGGCGGCGTAAAAATCTTCCACGACCGTTTCACAGACTACGCCCAATCCAAAGCCGCCAACGTCTTCCTCTCCCGCGAATACCAATCCCGCATCGGCAACGCCTCCAACATCGCCTCCAACGCCTGGAACCCGGGCAACCTCCTCAGCGAATTGCAACGGCATCAAAGGGGGCTCGAGGCGTGGTTCACGGCGAAACTGTGCTACCCGCCCCGTTTGGGGGGGTATACGGAGCTGTTTGCGGGGTGGAGCGAGGAGGCTGGCGCAAGGGAGAATTGGGGACGGTATGTAGGTCCGTGGGGGAGGTTCGTGGGGTTGAGAAGCGATATTGAGGGGAATGGGGAGAGGGCGGGGAGGTTTTGGGAGTGGTGTGAGAGGGAGACGAAGGCGTATCGTTGAGCGCTCTTGGTTGATATTGTGAGCGGGCGCGTAGAGTTATTTGTGCAAGTGATGGGTTAGACTTGAGCGTGCAGACAGCGGCTTCAAAGATGTGCCGAGTTAGCTATTGACAAGTAATTATATGTTATCATAACCTACTAGAAAGAGGATAGCTAGAAGTTACTAAGATAAACTAGTATATTTCGTATTTTTACTTCCTAATATGTTAGAAATGAAGAAGCCAAACAAATTCCAAGAAGCCGGCTTCCATCTCCCGGTACCAAATCAGCAGGCGTTTCGCTTTCCGGTTTTCGCGGTTACTCTGCCTAACCCTTTCTGCTTCTCGGTTTCTAACTCCTAGTAGTATTTCATAATAAGCGACAAACGCCTCTCGAGGTGATTCGCGCTTCTCGCCTCCAACACCTTGCCCCTTCGACCATTTCGACGACCAAGCAAGAAGCAGCTCATTGTAGTCAATAAGCAGAGTGAACAGTACAGTGGTTCATTCTGAGGCGCCCCCCCGGCCCCCTGGTCGGCTTGACGTCCTTCCTAATATACCCGTCGACTAACCTGCCGATCTCGACTGGGGGCGGCCGCCTCAACATGGACCACTGTACCGAAGCGAGCGGATGTGGAAGAGCCGAAGTTTGGGCCAGACTGTTTGCGACCAACCAAAAGTGACTGACGTGCCGGGTATCACGAATCCCTTAAGACCTTTCAGCTCGCCACATACAGGCCTGGCTGTCTTCGCGACGAGGCGGTCGGTGACTGTCCGCTTGACCTCGCAGAACAGGGCAGATCTGCATCCGGACCATATAAGAGAGATCCGGAGTGACATCCTAGCCATCGTACACGCGACACACCACGAGGGCGAGGCGACGGCATTGATACGTAGACCATCCCGCGCGAATGTGAGAACGCCAACCTTGCACCGCACTGCGGTATCTCTGTACCGAATCCCGGACTTGCCAGAACCCTTGCAGCCACCACTGAGGCCCAGTCTAGATGCGCACGAGGATTTCCCTTTCAGCCAGCTTCATATCAATAGGCGCCAATTCAAGCACACTACATGGCGTGGTGGCGGACTGGACACGCCCAGATGCTCTTCCGCATTGTCACCTAGGAAAGTTGCATCAGCACCCTGGCCTTTCCAGCACTTCAACGCGCAAACAGGGGTTTGGTATGTCTCTACGCTACAACAACGAAAGGCTGGCGCCCCAAAAAAGATCCTGAATGCAAGAGCCCCCAAGTCCTCCTCCGCTTCCTCGACCACTTCCTCAACCACCAAGAAGACCAGCACTACAGCTAGCCCATCGACCACATCGACTTCTACGTGTAACCCTCAATGCCAGGCATGGTCAAGTGTTGTCAGCCTAGGCAGTGCTTTCGTCAGCACCCTATGCTCCTTGTATCGAGACTCCTATCACCAACACCTTGGTAAGTTAACGGTGTTCCGCCATTTTGCCTTGTCGACTAAGTCTCAATAGACCTCCACACCCCATACCACTTCCATTAGCACACCTGTGTCTGCTACAACTACTACGCCCACCAGCATCACGACCACAACTCCGACAGTCTTTACCACTACTTTCGAAACAGCGACAAGCACCACCACGTCCACAGTCACTACCTCGAGCGCCTGTCCCGCAAGTAACCCGAGTGTTTGCAACAATGTCTGCGTCAATTTCTCCAACGACAGAGGCAACTGTGGAAGTTGTGGCAATCGATGTCCCGCCGGCTACCAATGTGATAACGGCGTTTGTGATCAGCCATCACCTTGCAACAGTCCCAACAACCATATCTACGACTGCAATGGGAACACTTGCGTCTGCTACGACACTATCGATGGAGATGGATATTGTGACAACATTGGTGCCAATGGAGCAACGTGTGGTGCAAGCTGCAATACTTCCCTGGACTGTCCCAACGGTTCCGCCTGTCTGACCCCGGCCAGCACGGGCTGTGGGTATAGCAACTGTGCTGTTGCACAATGTCCAAACCCTGGGTCTAAGCTCAGACTCTTCAAGCCGAGGGGTGTGGGTCGCACCTTTGGCCAAAAGGCTACACCTCGGAAACGAGCCGATAGCGCTTCTACTCGGAAGATGAAGTTACCGAGCGAATAAGTTGCGGTAGTGGCTAGATTGTCTTGAGAGGACTATAGTCCACTAGAAGTCAATAATTGAATGTTAAGTCTAACTAGGTGTTACGTGCCGTCGTACTCATATAATAGAAGCTAGGTGATTCCGTTGTTATGAATAGAGTTGGTACTCGTCGGGTAGTCTAGTAGTCGATAACAAAGTATTACTTAGTTAGAGATTCTACATATATAATATTCTCTTAGTTTAGCTACCCATCCCTCAACCCCTCGAAATGGCCCCTCACCTCCTCAGCCAACTTCCCTTCCGTCTCCGCAACAATCGTACAAACCAACGAGTAATTATTATACAAAAACCTCTCCCTCTTCCTCGCCTCCGCGGCAATCCCTTTACTCATCTTCACCAAGAACACCTCAAACTCCGCCCCCAACCTCCTCAGGCTATGCGACACCGGCTCGTCGTCTCCAGCCTCACTACTCAGACACAAGATCCCGTGCACGAGGTTCGCGAACCGCTGCGTGAGCGGGTGTGGCGCCGTTGTCTGCGCCGAGGATGGGGATGATGTGAGGTTGAGTGCCGAGCCGGCGGGTTTACCGGGTAGAGAGGCAGTGAGTTTGCGTATGCTATCGCAATGCGCGTCGATGATTTGCTGGAAGCGGGGCCAGAGGAGCATATTCGTCGCATTCACATACCCTTCCATGGCGGGTACTTTGCGACGTTGCAATTCGAACGCGAAATGTTGTGTCAGACGCACGCAGAGCAGGACTCCCAACCCATCGAGCGTGGATTCGATCAACCGCTTTGTGAGCTCCTGGCCCATTTGGAACGTCGGGGCGAAGACGTCGGTGAACTTGCGGTTGGTGGTTTGGAAGGAGTGTTGGGTGAAGAACTCGGTGAGGAAGCCGTATTCGGCTGTGGCGTTGTCGATGAGGGCGAGGTTGAAGGCGCGGAAGGGGATTTCGAGCGGTCGGATGGATTTGTCGTCTTCGGCGGCGAAGGAGGGCAGGGCGCCTTCGTGGGTGGTGGCGCGGAGGAGGTCGCCTCGTCGGCCGATGGAGAAGGGGTCGAAGCTCATTTCGGCCTTGGCTGCTCGTTTTGCGGCCGGGTCGGCTGCGATGGTGCAGGTTTGATCTATTGCGTAGATGTTGAGTTTGTCGAGAGCGGTCTTGTAGCGGGAGAAGTGGGTGGTGTAGTACCAGCGCATGGTGTTGATGTAAGCTTGCGCCATCTCCTCGGCCAGCTGCGGCTGCCGACTGGACAGGAACCCGAAGACATTGCGATAGCGCAGCATTTGTTGTATGACTTGCGCGTTGATGTTCGGCGAGCGAAGTGCTTTGATCTGAGCGACTACGTAGTCTCGTATGCGCTCCACAGCTTTGGTGGAGACATCGTTGATAAATGGCCGTATGTCCTGGACAGCTTTGATATCTCTACCCTCCTTAACCTTAGCTTCAAGCAGTTTGGAACGCTTTTCGAACTCCTCCAGCGCCTTGACCCACGCTTCATCGACCGTGCCTTCTGTAATCTTACGCACAATGACCGGCGAAACAGCGAAAGCCTCGACCTCTGGAGCTAGTACCTTCTCAACAGCTTTTCTGTTATTTAGCTTGTTGTTCAGCTGGGTCGATCGATCCTGCAAGTGCTCGATCTCGGACGAGACGGCAGCCAGATCGGCTTGGAAGCTGGTAAGGTACGTCTCGACGGACTTTAACACTTCGTCACAAGCTAGAATTGACTTGTGCAATTCCTCGAACTTGTCTCTCTGGCGCTCAAAGTCTTCCACAAGGGGTGATTCGGCAGCCGGTGGATATGATTCGGCATTCGTTCTAGCAAGCGTGGAGTTCGCGAACTCCTGCAAGCTGCGCCCACCAAAATCAACATCTTCCGTAAGCACTCGAGGCCTTATAGGGTCATCGTCCAGGGCAGCACTGTCAGTCTGTGCAGCATCGCTGTCAACGGCGCCAAGAATGCCATGTAGTACATCTAATGGATCTACAACGTCGATATTCGGCGGATTCGTAAGCTCTTGCTTGAGACTGCTGCCATTTGATAATCTAGCTGCGGCCGGCAGGCTCTCTAACGACCCGCCAAACGATGCAATCGACAACGAAGACGACCGAGGGTTCAGGCCTGGCCGCCGGGGTAATGTGCTGGGTCCGAGTTGAACAGCCCTCCGCGGAGCCGGAGAAGATGTTCGGTTAAGGGATGCTGCTGTTGCTGGCGACTGGTTAGGTTGACCAGAGAAGCGGTCCAACCACATCGCCGCCGCTTCGCGACTATTGTCGGAGCATCATGAGCAATTGATAATCTTCCACTGCAGTGAATGTCGACCTGAGGTTCTCGGTCGATGTTCGCGACTGGCCTATTCGCCACATGCCGGCCCGCCCCGTCACTGCCGCTTCGCCATCACTGCACTTTCAATCGCTGGTGGGGTCAATATTTTCGATCTTCTCCACCACCTTCTTCGCTGCAGGTTGCATATCCATTTCCTCCTTAACCACCTTTACCTTCTCGTACAGTCTGCTCACCTACTCATCTGCTAGCAATCATGGCGGACGCCGCGGAGCAGGCAAAGAACGATGCGCAGGTATGTCAGAGCCATCCCACACTTCCCACCGCGCGCACCGCCGATGGAATGCACTCGGCTTCCATTGAGCAGTCTTGGTCGCCTTACAGCGCCACGATGAGCCACCAATCTTGACCACCGTGCTGATAATCATGACAGCATGAGCTCACCTTCGAGTCGGCCGACGCCGGCGCGTCCACGACCTACCCGATGCAGTGCTCGGCCCTGCGCAAGAACGGCTTCGTCGTGATCAAGAACCGCCCGTGCAAGATCGTCGACATGTCCACCTCCAAGACCGGCAAGCACGGTCACGCCAAGGTCCACTTGGTCGCCATCGACATCTTCACCGGCAAGAAGTTGGAAGATCTCTCTCCATCCACCCACAACATGGACGTTCCGAACGTCAGGCGTCAGGAATACCAGCTTGTGCGTTGCAGCATCATCACGGTTTGGTGTGTCCTTGGCTAACGAGTGGCAGCTTGACATCACCGACGATGGATTCCTCTCGCTCATGACTGAGGGTGGTGAGACGAAGGATGACGTTAAGGTCCCGGACGATGAGGTTGGAAGCAAGATTAAGAAGTTGTTCACGGAGGATGGCAAGGACACCAGTGAGTTGACCAAGCCAACCTATCAGGTCCCAAGCTAACAGAGACACCACAGACGTCATTGTCCTCACTGCCATGGGTGAGGAAGCCGCCATCGACGCCAAGGAGGCGCCGAAGGGTTAGACGTACTTCGACTATGCTTCATCATGCGATGCGACCTCGAGTGTAGCACGCGTCCAAGAGGTGGCAGCACCTCACGAGCAAGATGGATAAACGAACGGAGAGGAGTGGGTTTACAGCGTGATGTGCATTTGCGTAGGCTACGGCCTGAGCGCGCAAAAAGGTTAGGTTGGCGTCCATCTTGTTGATCCGCTTGTTGCGAGCTTCGTCAACAGTATGTACGCACTGCATGTTAGTCACAATATGTGGTGCTCATGTAACGAATCAAGTCGTTGTCACAGTTACTCTACCTTCATATTCGCTTTCTGTACCTTGTGGCTTGGCGCATGTTGTAGGGCTCCGTGATTCCGGCTGCTGAATCATAACCACCACCTCACATGTTCACTCGTGTGCACCGGTTTGGTGCTTAAGGACTTGACTCACATATGAGAAATCAGCAGAAACAGTAGCGTACCATGCCTTTCCAGACTCATCTATAACTCACTTCCACAAAATGATCAATCAAGCTTCGAGCCTCTGAGAACAAATGCGACTCATGATGCTACACTGAGCACTCTTGTGCCCAAGCATCGTTCTGTAACATCTGGCATGTCGTCTTCGCGTTTCAGACGACCCGAACCATGCGACCAGGAGAATTGCGGCTCCCATCGCTTTCATGTTGGGGAGGATGGTTTCACGTATTGTGATCGCGGGCATCAGCAGGCTTCGGTAGTCCTGCGCCTGCCTATACTCCCATCGAAAAGTCGCTAACAGCATGTCCAGCGCGGTACACAGATTGCAGAAGACACTGGCGAGTTCGTTGTCACTGGTAGAAAGGCAAGGCGGAAAGACTCTGACGCAGAGTCTACCACGACCCAAGGTGAGTGAAGGCCGTTTCTCGTCCATTAATGGCGACTCGACTTATCTGCGAATAGCATCTGGCTTCAGTGGCCTGCGAGCATACGAGCATTACCTCCTTTGTCTCCAGCTCGTTCTGCGGAAACAGCTACGATGGCTGATCGAGATACAGAATCTCCCGGAAGAGCTTGAGGTATGCGAAAGTCATCTTCCACGCGACGTCTATCACGATTGACGATTGGCGACCACTAGTCTCTTGTACGCGACCTTTGGGCGTTGCGTCTGCAGAAGCTACAGAACCGGGTCTTGTACGACACGGAATCGGAGACAGAAACCCAATCCCAGCAAGTGTTCAGCTCGCAGTCAGAGGGAGATACATCGGCTTCCGAGTCCTCGCATGCCAGCCGCAGACGGAGCGCAAAGAAAGCAAAAGGCACGCCGAATCTATCAGACCTACTAGCCCTCTGCTACGTGGGCACGCTACTGCTGCGTGAACCCGTCACCGTCGCTGACCTCCACGGATGGGTTACTCATGGAGAACTGTTGTATTACCGTGCTGCCAAGGAGGTTCCGTTGGACATGAGAGAGCGCCTTCCTCCAACATATCAGGACCAGTTCGAGCCGCATCATGTTGGACCTGCGCAGAAATTGCACCAGAACGTTGTCGATACGCTAAAGGTGCTTGACGACAGCTTTGGCATGGCAATGCCGCCCATCAACCACCCGCTGATATTGTATCGGTGGGTTCGTGACCTCTCATTACCGATCGAGATCTTTGCTGCCACGACAAACTTAGCCCGTGCGCTCGAGCTCGACTTCGCTTACAGGCTGGACGTACCTCCAGCCACGAAAGGAGTTGAGCTTCGCTTCCCCGAGCTTAGGCTGATGACTCTGTTGGTTGCCGCGACAAAGCTGCTGTACCCTTGTGATGAGATTGCACGCTATAGTACGTCAGCCACCAACGTATCTGCAATATCCATGGACTGGTCCGCCTGGGCAAATTTGCAGACGTTTGACGACCGAACTGATCGCCACGACGAGCCGCCTTTGCCTTTTCAGACTGCCGTTGGGTTCGGTAACGCCGACATTCTCGCTGCATCCGAGCAGCAGCTGGACGGTTACTTGGACTGGTTTGAACACAACTTGGCTAGCGAAGACATACGTGAGACCAGAAAGGCTGGTAAGGATATTGAGCTACGGCGAACGCTCTTTGGCATGTTTCCAGCGCACGGTGTCGACGCGGCGTCCACCGAGCGTGCCGCCGTTTCTGCTGCTCAATCAGATGATGTGTCGGACAGACTGAGACGGTCTCAAACTCTGCTAAGATCGAGACCTACGATCAAGGTCATGGGATCCGGAGACATGAAAGAGATTGGCAGTTTCTACCGCCGTTTCAGGAGTGTCGACGAACTTGTAGGTCCGGTCAAAGTGTTGTACCAACGGGCGGCCGGACTTGCGGGCTTTTCATTGGCCGGAATGGTAAGGGCGGTGGTCCTCGTCGAGCAGAAAATGCAGAATATGGAAGAAAGCATGAGGAAGCCACGATGAGTGGAAGTGATTTAGCCGTCAGACCTGCTTCTTGCATGTTCAGGTGTTCTGGTAGCAGTCATCTTGGCGCCAGTTGGGAGGGCGGCTGGCGTCCGTTGCGACTATAAGAAGGTGGTTAGGTGACGTTGTAATAAGTATGTATCAAAATAGCATCGTCAGGTCGCAATCTCGACTGCCGTTACTAGAGTCCAAAGTGCGGCTCGTACAAGCGCATTCGGCAATTGTACTACCGCCGCCGTTGGCGTGGCGGCAGACTCGTGAGTCTGAATCGCGCCATATACGGGGGCGTAACGGTCGAGTGACAGCGGAGATTGCCGCATACGGCATGGGAATTCGCAATGGTCGCCGGTGACACTTGCGAGGTGCAAGCCTGTACCCCTCCTGCTGTGACTTTCACGAAGAGTGGCGAGCATGCTGTCACCTCGCTTCCTTCGCCCAGCTGAACAATGAGCATGAGCACCTGTCGTCTGGACAAGGCCAGGTCAAGCATGCAAAGCGGTTGACCAACAACAGCCGAGAAGCATGACAAGGCGAGCTCGTGCCTGACGATCTACCACTGTGTAGATGGTACCTGCATCCGAAGTCGCTTCCAAGGCACGGAAATGCACCGAATGTGGAATCTGTTGCCCATACAGTCGTTATCATGGCTGGAAGCAGTAAAGTCGCTTCTCCTTTCGTACCCCGCCATAGCGCCAAGAAGATGCTTAGAGACATCGTGGCGTCAAGCACCGCCCGCTCTAAGTATAGATATTTGCCCAAATCAGACCCTGTCGCCGGGGGGAAGGTAGGAACATCAACTACCACCAATCTGCCTACTTTCTTCGTGTTATAGGCGGGGTCCCTTAGCGGAACCGTCAACTCGTCACGAAATCTCGCGCCTGGTTTTCGAATTTGCGGCAGAATTGAGCAACGTGCAGATTTGTCGCGCGCCTGCAGCCGCAAGGGATAGCCGTCCAGGAACCTCTTGTGTATCCTCTTTGCCATTGCAATGGCTGGTCGACGGCTCCCCTCTTGTGCTGCGTCTTGACAATTTCAGCGGCGACGGCAGAGCACGTCGCCGCCCAGCATCGCGCTTCCGGTTAGGCCTGCAGCGTTTGCCCTGCTGAGGGGGCATCCGCTCCCCCCATGATTCCGCGGTCGCTCTATCGGAGCATCGCTCATCGCTCTCCGGCAGGCCGTCTTTAGTAGGTCTTGTTAAAGTTTTAAGCTTCTCTCGTGGACGCTATTCTACGCAAGGATATAGCCAAATATAGGAGCGTACCTGCCGCTACCGGACGCCTTTCTCAAGTGCCCGGCCTGTCAGGGTGTGGGCAGTCTCCGTCTAGGGCTTCACACAACGCAATGCGGCGTTCACTACGAGAGGTCGGCTGGCGTCATCGAGCCAGTGAGCTTGCACGCTCGCTTCCCATGGACGGCCGACTGCCCCTCTGGCTTGCCATCCCAACTGCTCCAAACGTCTTTGACTGTTGTCGATACAGATCGTCAACATCTCTCCTTCGTTGGGTCGTCGCTCTTTCCTGCCTTATACTTGATCCTTGAACATCCCCACACTCTTCGCAGACTTCCTGTGCGACTCATTGCAAGACAAGTGTTTGGCAAGATATATTGACTGTTCACTCATGGGAAGCTACTCCAGATTTTCTGAGACATTCTGAAGCCATTGATTCAGAGTCGGACACAACAATCATCGTTCCAAAGGACTAGACCCGCCTACCTGGAACAACACTCACCCTCGACTGGGAAGCAGGCTGGGGACCCCGAGACCACACAGCATTGCTGACACACGCCCTATCGTGGGTGAGGTCACCCTCGCAATATCGACCAGCTCGCGCCAGTACTCTCTCTGTGTCGTCGTCGTGTGGCTACACTCGGCACTCATTCTTCGACTGTAATAACAACTTGAGGCACAAGTTCTGCAGGCAGAACCCCTCCAGCTGCGCGAACATCTATCGCAGCTTCTCCGGCGAGAACAACTTTGTTGTGACAACCCACAGTTCCATCGGCTGTGCCAGGGCAGACTGTCAAGACATATTGGACTATCCAGCAGCTGACATCGCCACACAATCCGGTTGCCCCACCTGGTTTCTTTGTTGTTGTGGTAAGTCCATGTTTCGATGGCATGAACCCCGGCAATCTAGACTGGGTTTCCATGATGCGTGTGTGCTGACGAGTTTTGCATTCAATCAGTAATACCAGCGTGGCTTCGACTCTGTCGCGCTAACATTGCGATTGCAAACCGGGTCGGAAACGTACAGTAGCGGCGCGCCAGCTCCTGGGTACAACCATCGGGACAATCCTGCAATCTCCTGCGAACGATTGCATGCTCTTTGAGCTGTTTTCCGGATAGTTACGGCCTAGAGCGGTTTGCGTGGGCCTGAGTCCGCCATCACTGTCATCTGAAAGCGAGGCACTTCCGAAAGGTGCATGTCTCGAACGGATAGTTGCTTGCACGCACGGATCAAGCGTTCATTCGCCCCTGCCTCATCTGCATCTGATCGCACCAGTTTAAGTCTGTTCGTGTGCCTAACATCTGGGTCGTACAAGTTGCAGCAGACAGCACCTGTCGTCTGTCAACTGTTTGACTGACACGGTCACTCGCAACGCTGGCTTTCAGCGGACGCATGCGTCACCAGGTACGTTCCACCATCCGCACCAACAGCTACTACGACTCGGACACCCATCGCTCCTGCATCCTTGGGTGATGCTGCCTGCTCACTCAGCCACAAGCGATGCGCATCCTCCCCGCTGACTAAGGCATACAGACTCATCGCAAAGATAGCAAGTACTTTATTGGCGTTCATGAAGATAGCGGCATACCCACATCGACCGTCGGGAGTTGTCAAGCGTTTTGCGAAACCGGGCCGTTGGCCCAGTCTGATCCCAGCAGCTTTCTCTTGTCAATGTCGGAATACGACAAGCCTCAAGCTTACAATGTCTACGGTAAGCGCGACCCTTCAGATGTGCCTTGATGCCTGATGGGACGAGTGCGCGGCACACGCGGCTTGGACCAGGTCTATGTGCGCATGTGAAAGTTGGTCAGTCAGGCGGATGACTGACAGTATGCGTCACGACTAGAATACTCGCCAGCCACACGATCCGAACACGGGCACAACTACCCTACCTTCAGTGCACAGCAGACCACCTACCCGGCCCAATATGTAGGCGCTCAAGGTTCTCAGGCGCAGGTACCGACCGGCTTGCCCCAGTCAAATGCACTGTCGATGATACCACCTGCGCCGCAGTATACCGGCCCGCATGATCCCACCTACTACGCTCAGCAGTATGCACAACATCCTGCCGCTGCATATCTTCCGGCTCCTCGCCAATCGCCGGAGATAATCTCGGTTTCACCTACCAGAGGACATCAGAGCACGAGGGTGACGGTCTACTTCCGGTCGATTTACGACTTCGAATCTCCACAGATACGAGCATTCCTGATGTTCGGACAGTACAAATGTGAGAGCACGCTGAGCAAGACATCTCACCAAGGCTCGATGTATCAGTATGCCTTGTCGGCGGAAGCTCCGCCATTGTCGTTGACGAACTCGCAATCGCCGGTACCGCTTCATCTAATCCTCGATGACAGTCTGCTCGCCTGGGAGTCACCATCGATCGAGTTTGACAAATTCGTTTATCTTGAGCCACCGAATTTCTATGCCATGGACTCTCCACAGCTTGCGGTCAGGAAGCGTAAGCTCTCGACCGAAGCGTCTCCACGTCGTTCGCCAACCAAGAAGCAGTCCATGCCGCAGCTTTCTGCGGCTGCTAGAATGCAGCCTTATGGTACGCCACTGGCCGGAGCCGCACCGGTGTCGCCGTTCAGACGCCCAAGCTTACCCGAAGCGTACACCCAACCTCGCCGGTATGTAGCAGAGCCTCCCCAAACCTATACTGCGGCGCTGCCTACAGGCCAGCAGCTCTACACTTCTTCGGTTGGACAGACGACGCCGTCATTGCAATCCGCCGGCAGTCCGTCGTGGACATATCAGCATGGGATCTCTGCAACACGGAGTCCGTCAGCCGCGACGATGTCGGCTAGCAGCAAGACTTCGAATCTGCTGCCTTCACCAGCCACCGGAAACAACCCGCAATTGATCCGGACATCGACATTGCAGTCATCACCTCCTGCACCCGGACTCGGTGCGGGATTCAATCCGTACGCTATGTACCCAGCCAACGCAAAGGCGATCCTGAAGATCGAGGGCGACCTCAACACAATGTCGGACAACTGGACGGAGGCCGAGCGCGAAGCGAAGCGCCGTCTGGTGGAGTTCTCTCGCAGCCAGTCTGGCAGCGTTATAAGCGCCACGTTCAAAGCTGTCACACCAGAGACTCGGCAGCCCAACAGCATCTGTGTTAGCTGCATCTGGTGGGCCGAGAAGAATGAATGCTACGTTACCAGCGTCGACACGATTCAGCTACTTGAGTCGCTGGTAGCTGTTCGCTTCACCGTTGAGGAGAAGAACCGCATCAGGCGCAATCTCGAAGGGTTTCGGCCTTCAACAGTTTCGAAGGCTAAGCAAGAGAGCGAAGACTTCTTCAAGCTGATCATGGGGTTTCCGAGTCCGAAGCCACGCAACATTGAGAAAGATGTGAAAGTGTTTCCTTGGCGCATTCTACCAACCGCGCTGAAGAAAATCATTGGTAAATATGTAAGTCACCCCGCCCGCACATGCAGCATGCATGCACTGCACCCAATCCGTTATTGGCTGGTACTAATCACACTTCTTACAGTCTGCGAGTTACTCTTCTACTTCTGGACCACTCCACGCTGGAGCAAGCTCGAGCTATGCAACCGCCAAAGGCGCAGATCTCGAGCCACCAATGCAGCAGCGACCTGGTGCCTCTCCCCACTTGACCGTAAGCCCTGCGCAATCGCACAACCCTGCTTATGCGGCAACCCACACCCTCACGCCGCACTCATACTCGCCGCACGCGTCAGCAGGCCTCGGCATCGGGCCGTCAGCAGGGCAACCGGACCTGCGTCTGGCCGTCCCGGTCTCCGCGCCAGGGCAAACGCCATCCTGGCAGCAACAGCAACCTTCCGCAATAGAGTACGGCGATCTATCAGCAGCCAATCGTGCATCATGGGATTACAATCAGTTCCTGCCTGTAACAGGGGTGCCAGGTTCGGTGCAACCATACCAGTACCGACTGCCATCATTCAGCACGCCCCAAGCAGAACCACAGCACCGCTTCGTGCCTCTGCAGGACTACCAACAGCAGCCGGGTCAGCCGACCTCGACATCATGAGGTCAAGACTGTTTCGAGCCGCCGTGGCGGACCCAGAAGCGGTCATGGGGCGAAGACCGCCCCACTTTCAGCATGCACCACACCATCCCCGAACACCGGGGCCTATTCGACCTGTTTCAGTACCCTATGTTACCATAATGCTCGACACATCCTTTGTTTCGACCCTTGCATTTCCGACAGATAATCAGCGCTTTTGCCACACACCTCCCCAGCTTTTCCGACTGGCTTGTCAACCGGGCGGCATTAAGTACAAAAACTAGCCCTCGATGCGTTTCGCCCCTTTGCATGATTGAGCATTTTGTTAGAGGACATCAGCATTGCGACGGCGTTGCGATGACGCGCCGCCTTAGCGCGACCAAGCATGAGAGAGATAAACATACAACCCTCACAGGACTCCACGGCGTAAGGCGCATGCATGATACCCTTTGCTTTCTTGCTTTGTGTTTTGGACGGTTTTGGGTGGGGAGGACTGTGATGGGGGCATGTCACAAGCGTTGCATTTGTGAGTGCACACAAGGAAAGCCTGGAAGTAGGCGTACCGACACGCATATCAGCTATTAGCGTTAGGATTGCCACTCAGGCATGTACCACTTGAGAGGCCTGTAACCATATCATTCGTCCTCGTACGCTGTATAAGCGCATTTCGCGCACCCTCTGTACTTGTGAAGCTTTCTGCTTGGTCGAGCCATCTGTTGACTATGGTGTGTCGCTTACTCTAGGTTCATCGAATAGTGACACATGTAGTCGTTTGAGCCCAGTTAGTGTCGCACGGCATCACAATCACTTTGTCACAAGGCTCCATTGAGATGATGGTGTGCCACCACTCAAGGTACTCATCATCAGCGTGCAATGCAGCGAACGAAAGCCGCGGCAAACTCCGAGGCAAGAGGACGTTCTGCCTAAGGCCATATCTTGGCGTTGCGCGCACCTCATCGGCCATTTTCCACCTAACGCCACGCCGCTGCGACAACGACAGCAGAGACAACAGATCTAGCGACAAAAGTACGAAACACTCAATAAACGTCGCTGCGTTCTTGCTGACATCCGTCGCAGTGCAGATCTTCGTCAAGACCCTAACGGGCAAGACCATCACGCTCGAGGTATGCACGAGTGATGCCGACTTATCCTATCAGCAACGGGGACTGACCAGATCGTTGGTTGCAGGTCGAGAGCAGTGACACGATCGACAATGTGAAGAGCAAGATCCAGGACAAGGAGGGTATCCCACCGGATCAGCAGCGTTTGATCTTTGCCGGCAAGCAATTGGAGGATGGCCGCACGCTGAGCGACTACAACATTCAGAAGGTGTGAAATGAGCATAGCGATAAGACATCGAATGTAAGCGCTGACGAATCTGCTGGAGTAGGAATCAACTCTCCACCTGGTTCTCCGCCTACGTGGTGGTATCATTGAGCCATCCCTCAAGGCTCTAGCTTCAAAGTATAACTGCGAGAAGATGATTTGCCGCAAGTGCTACGCTCGTCTGCCGCCGAGGGCAACGAACTGCCGGAAGAAGAAGTGTGGGCACACCAACCAGCTCCGCCCGAAGAAGAAGCTGAAGTAGGCGAGTGCGTGGAGGTGTGCGAGGTGGAGTGGTTCATTACGGCGTACTGGTGCCAGACTCAGCTGGGGTAGTACTGTACCAAGTTCGCGACCAAATACTCGACGAACCACTATGATCGGCTGCGTGTATTTTCAGGTTTTCGCGTGCACTTACTTGCACTGATTTCAGCATGCCTGTTCCGTGGCCGCTCCGCGGTACTTCGTAGTCTGTGGCAGCAAAAATGTCCTATGACGGAGGGCAAGGATCAATTGTCCTTGCTCTGGTCCGCATGCTTAGCAGTAGATTTTCGGCGGATACCGACTCCTGATACAGCCGCGAAAAGTCCGCTAATCCCACATATCGCCAACATCGGAAGACGTGTTGCGCTGAGCGATATATGGTGACCCAGAGAGCCAAGAAGCGGTTAAGAAGACGGCCGCATGTATGTGTAATATGTAATGTGCTCAATACCATGATAGATCGAGTCCGCGGCCGCAAGTCCGCTGTTCTGCGGGGCAGGTGGGGTGCTGCAAGGGCCGAGGGGTAAGCTGCCGATAGGCGCAGTTAATGCAGAGCTTCGGCATTAAGCCGGACTACATTAGACATCAAAAGTACTTCCAATATAAAGAGTGAGTGCTCGCCCCAATCGTTCTAGCAAGCAACACTCGCTACCCTTTCGCAGTGTATCAACCTCCAGACCGGCAATAGTCCTTCGCCATGGATCTCTTCGCCCCAGCACCAGAGCCAAAGACGGAATTGGGACGATACCGAACCCTATCCAGTCGCGCAGGTATCAAATGCTCTCCGCTTCAATTGGGTGCGATGTCTATCGGTGATGCTTGGCAAGGATTCATGGGTTCCATGTCGAGAGAGGCGTCGTTCAAGCTGCTTGACGCCTACTACGATGCAGGTGGCAATTTCATTGAGTGAGCTCAAGCACCATCCCTTCTCTGGGCTGCAGAAACAGAAGGCTAACAGGACGGACATAGCACTGCCAACAACTATCAGAATGAGCAGTCCGAGACGTGGCTCGGAGAGTGGATGGAGGAGAGGCAGAACCGCGACTACATTGTCATGGCTACCAAGTTCACAACCCCCTACACGACCTACCGGACAGGCAAAGGTCTGGGATCCGTGAACTTCACTGGCAACAACAAGCGCTCTCTCCACGTCTCCCTCCGTGACAGCTTGAAGAAGCTGCGCACAGATTGGATCGACATCCTCTACGTCCATTGGTGGGATTGGACCACTTCCGTCGAAGAGCTCATGGACTCCCTCGATGAAGTCGTCAAGCAGGGTAAAGTCCTTTACCTTGGCATCAGCGATACTCCAGCCTACATCGTCTCCGCCTGCAACATGTACGCCATTTCCCACGGCAAAACGCCATTCTGCATCTACCAAGGCCGGTGGAACGTCATGACCCGCGACATGGAGCGTGAGATCATCCCCATGTGCCGTCACTTTGGCATGGCCATCGCCCCATGGGACGCATTAGGAGGTGGCAAGTTCCAGACGAAGGCCGCCATCGAGGAGCGTAAGAAGAACAACGAGGGCTTACGGTCAATGATGGGCAATAGCGACCAAAACGAACAAGAGGTGAAGATGAGCGCTGCTCTGGAAGAAGTGGCTCAGGAACACGGCATTAAGAGCGTCACAGCCATTGCTCTCGCCTACGTGATGAGCAAGGCGCCATACGTCTTCCCTATCGTCGGTGGCAGGAAGGTGGAGCATCTACAGGACAACATCCAATCGCTCAAGATCAAGCTGAGCGACCAGCAAATCGAGAAGCTGGAGGCCGTTGTACCCTTCGTGCCAGGCTTCCCGAACAATTTCGTTGGCGAGGATCCTCACATCACCGGCAAGGCTGGCTTCATCATGGGCGGCGCGGCGCCTTTGGCTTTTGTAAAGTCTGGGAAGCCGATTGGGCATGAGTAAGGGCTTCTCTCGAGCCATGCCGACACTCGCGGAGCGCTCAATGGAGGTCGATGTGATCTACGTGATTAACGATAAGACAAATTAGCAACGACTTCACCGAATGGGGCTCGAGTACGGTAGTAACCGTGAAACTTAACCACACGAACCAACGATTTATGTTTTACATACTTGTCCGAATGTTCTCTTGCCTCACTTCTCATCCGCACCTCTCTCGAGGCGCCTCAAAGCGTGCCTTCTGTTGCCGGCGATCGAATGATCTTCACTCTCCCAACGCTCCGTTCCGATGCGATCCCATAGTGATAAGGAAGAAAGCTCGGGCAAGTCCTACGACCTGCGACGCTGGTTATTGCCACTTTGAGGCGATATGTTTTATAGGACAGTAAGCGAATGAGAGCATGTGGACGACCTCGTACACATTTAGCGCTACCTTCGCACTATAAGCCCAGCTAGCCGGCCCAGGCCGTATCAGTATCAGCATTAGGTGTGCCGCCTTAAGCGCACACACTGTCCGATGTATAATCTGCTCATCGCTTTGGCAGCGCAGCGTCTTTCCCAAACGCCAGCGCTAACGCTATCCTCGAATACTCGCTCGAACGCTACTCGCCATGATATTCAGTCATAATAATGGTACAGTTGGCTGATCGACTCGCCATGATGATTGCGTCGGATCGCTTCGCTCAGCAGACCGCTGACATCCAGAATCACCAGCTTGCGAGTTAGCCTTCTCTTCTCTTCCGAAATCGGAAACGCGTCCGTGACGACGATCGCCTCAATCTCCTCGCACATATCCAGCTCGCTCAAGGCGTCTTCGGCGAAGATGCCGTGCGTGGCCATGCAGTAGACTTTCGTCGCGCCACCACGCTTGACGACCGTCTCTGCCGCGGCGACCCACGAGCCGGCTTTGTCGATGATGTCGTCCACGATTAGCACGGGTCTGTCGCGCACGTTGCCGACGAGGGTGACGGTGCTTTCGGTGTAAGGGTCTTTGAGGGCTTCCTCCTCTTCCTCGTCGGACGCGGTGGCGTCGCCGGTGCCGCCGAGGCCGTGGTGGGGCGGTTGCATGCGGGAGTGTGTCGATGCGGTGGACATGAAGCTTTGCATCATGGCTTCGGGCATGGGTTCTTCGTTGCTGGATTGTGATCCCCGTTGCCCATTGTGGTTGCCTTGCACGGAGCCGGAGCGGATGGAGAGGACGGGCGATGGTGCGTCATCATCGACGATATGTCCGTGGATCAAGCGACCGGTGATGACATCGCGCGCACGCTCGTCATGGTCTTCATCGCCCGCTGGCTCCTCGTAGCCGTCCATATCGTGCGGTGGGCGCTCAATTCCGGGCGCCGTGCGATATCTGTGCAAGCCTAGATCTGGTCCGCTCTCGGGCGAAGAAGCTTCAGTGCCGATTGAGTCCAGTCTGGTTGAGCGTGATAGTGGGCTTGGTCCCGAGGTTGTGTCCAGGTGACCGTTGGTCAGGCGTGGCCGCATGGTAGGTACACCGACTGCGGTAATTGCACGGTGTCTGCCAGGCCTGACTGGCGTATCCGGATGATCGCCGTTCGTTCGCGGAGAATGTGGCTGGTGGGCGAAGTCGACCTCGGTGGGACCGGGCGTACCACGCTCGGACGTCCGAATGCGAGTCTCAGCCTCCTCTGCATCCTTCTCCAGAGCTGTGCTGTCGATGGTGCCGTCCGTCCCCATGCTCTCGAAGATGGTACTATTGAGCAAACTGCTATAGTGGTGCGGTCTCCGCCTGTCCGTCGTCACAACGCCGAAGCTCAGCTTCAGCGAGTCTGCCAGAGATGTGACCCTCTTCGTGCCGCCCGGGTTCTTACTAACAACCACTGCCTCCATCCAGTCCGGCACATTCATCCTCAGCCACTTCGCCAATATCGGCTCGGCAATCAGGTTGTCCACTGGACACTTAAAAAAGCCTTGCATTTGACTGGCGTGAAGATCGATCGTAATGACATGGTTGACGCCTGCAACATACATGAGGTTGGCAAGCATGCGGGCCGTAATGGCTCCTCTGTGCGTCTTTCTCTTGGATTGCCGCGAGTATGGGAAGTATGGCATGACCGCTAGACCTCCGCTCAGCAAACACAATCAATTCGTCCTTACGGTATGGTACCGACCAGTAATCGACCTCGCAGAGCCTCCCTTGCAAGCACTGATCATGATGAGCATCTCCATGACATTGTCATTGATCTGACTGCTTCCGCTCTGGACGATGAAGACATCCTGATCTCTGACACTAGCAGAGATCTCCACGGAGGTTTCGCCATTGCTGAACTTCCTAAGCTGCACAGGAGAGGGCTTCGTGCCCAGACGCTCACAGATCGCATCGACCAGTGCCGGATGGCTGCTGCCGGAGAAGATGCACCTGTGTCACGAAGTACAGATCAGCAAGTTTCTTTCCAAGCGATCCCTGGCACGATTGCTTACGTTCTCCGCATGCTGTGGCTCTTTGGCTACCGTAGACCGGTATGTGAGGTTGATTGGTATGATTGAATCAGGAGCAGCATCGGATGGTAAGCAGGGGTGGATGTGAAGAGAGCTGGGCGTTTGGAAGCAAATATCTGCTGTGAAGTGAAGCTACAGAAAACGCTTGAGCTTGAAGGTCGGAAGGATCGGCGCGCGTCACGCGATAACCTGCTTTATCGGGCGACAGTGGACGAATGAATACTCTACGATGCAGCAAGAGTGAGGCTGGTATTGGGACAGCATCACATCTCGCAGAGATAACAGCTCTGGAATGGCTGCTGATGTCGGATAGAGAGTACCGCATGAAAGCAATGGCGCCCAGGCTGGGGCACTTGGCAGCACTTGGATAACCGTCGAATGCACATCAGGACTGAGCACAACGTAGAAGCTCTTTATGATTGTATCGAGAAGAAGGAGGATATGGAAGAGGAGAGGAACGGGAGGAGGAGGAGGAGGGAGGGTAGGTGGCGCGTGATATGGAGGAAGCACAGCACGGCGGTAGCCCGACATGATCAAGTCATATCCCTCCAAATGCCTTGGTAGCACCCTGCCCATTCGTGACTGCTTACTATACTAATACCCGCACCTGGCAAGCTAGAAGTATGACTTCCACCGTCAGCCAATACTCATTGCAATGGTCAGTTATTGCAGTTTGTTGTACGTTTCGAGGTCATAATTGTGCCTGCCTGCCTACCAGCTCGCACGGGCCTTTTTCAGCCATGACGTTGAGGGGAAACGCAAGCGCAAGCGCAAAGCGCACGCACTGCTGCCCACTTGTCCCCGCTATGTTTTCCCTTCGACACAACCAAGGAACCTCCTCCTGCCACGTTGCTTATTTGTAGCCTCCGAACCCGCTTCACCGCAGCCTTGCTTCGAACATCCTCAAAGCTTGTTACCTCTGAAGCACATCCATCAGCAAAGCCATTGAGTGCCGGCGACGAAACATGGCCCCACCTCCTCCAGCACAGCAGCCTTTGCAGGAACGCTTGTTGAACCTAGCCAAAACACTACAGTGAGTAGAAGAACCAACGCGGAGTCATTCGTGATCAATTGGAACTGAGCTGATATGGCTACAGATTCGCGTGGTTTGTAGGACATGCCATCCTACTCATCTGCACCCTACGCTATGGCCTGAGCTACGTCGCTTTCCACCCCTACGCACGGTGGGCGCAGGTCAGCTACCGCACCGCCTTCGTGGCAGCCGCCGCTACATATGGCATCGTGGTGTTCAAGAGCTTCCGGGCTCGCCAGAAGAGCGGGAAGCCGCAGGGCTCACCAGTGCAAATGATCGCCGACGAGAACGTGCAATATCTCAGTGAGTTGCAGTCGTGCAGTGACTTAAGCTTCCCTCCAGTGCTAACGCATTGTAGTCATGGCCCTCGTATGGCTCTTCACCCGCCAGGTCGCTCTGGCCCTCCTGCCCTTCGCCGTGTACAGCATCTTCCACGTTGCGACATACACCCGCAGCATGCTCCTGCCAACCATCCAACCACCGCCACCGACTCCGGCAGGCCAGAAGCCCAAGACTTCTGCCCTCTCGGACGCCATCGGCCGCTTCGTCAAGGACTACTACGACCTCTCCATGTCCCTTGTCGCCGGCCTCGAAATCGCCCTCTGGTTCCGCATGCTCGGCTCCGCCATCCTTTTCCAGAGGACTAGCTGGATCGTACTGATCGTCTACACTGTCTTCTTGCGCGCCCGCATCAGCCAGAGCACCTTCGTGCAGGGCATGCTTCACCACATCGGCGCCCGCGGTGACCAGGTCGCTCAGAGGCAGGATGTTCCGCCTGCGGTCCGTCAGGGTTGGGACAGCTTCAAGCGCGTGGCCAAGCAGGCACACGATCAGACCGATATCAACCGCTACGTGCAGGGGCAGCAGGCTCCGCCTAAGAAGGCACAGTAAGCGTGTAATGTCAGGCCTGGCGGTGAAGGCTGGGAGGCTGAAAATACGAAGAACGGATTTAGATGGTGTAGAAATGCACAGGACGGGTGAATGTGACGACAAAGAAGTGATGCGTATTTCGAAGGTGGGTTCGTGCTCAATGCGCGCGGAAGGCAAAGTGGTAGAAGGAGCGAGGCGCCTGGAGCCCTAGAAGTGTCCATCAAAACGGAGGAGGAATTGACAAAAGACCTGAGAAATTCGGCATCAGGTTTGTGCAAGCATAGCGGTAACACTTCCATACTGAGCGTTGTGAGTAAACAGAGAAATGTTGCCCTTTCATCTCTCAGGCTGTCGCGCCTTCCATTGTTACACTTCCATGTCCGAGCTTATAAGCTTGCAAGGAGTCCACAAGCAATCAATCAAATCTACCACCGTACTTAGAATCACAAAGTTCGAAGGCTCTCGAAGGGTGTGTTACCTCTGCAGAATTGGCGCAGCACAAGGACATCGACCATGGACGTGTCTTACCTCAAGGCCGTTGCGAGAACGTACTCCTACATGACCCCACGTGTGCATTTGACGACGTGAGACTGACAAAGCTTACAGTCCGGACGGCGACTCCACGTTCGCGGACTTCACCATGAAGTGCGGCAGCAAGGAGTACAAAATACATCGCTTCACAGTCGCTTGCCGTTCTCGCTACTTGTGGCGATGCTCGGAAGGCGAGTACACGGTAAGCGAACGCTTGCTCTATGAAGTATGAAGCCGGGACGTTACCCTGATATGAAGGGTACGGTTACCGGCCTGCTGATCCGTGCACCAGGAATAAAGGACGCGAGTCCTTGAGCTGAAAGAAGAAGATGGCCAGATCGTCGAGCTTATGTCCCGCCATTTCTACATGATCGACTACGATGACAGCCCCGGGGAAGGCAGCCACTTGACCAATGCGATGGAGATCAATCCCGCCGTCTACGCCATAGCAGATAAGTATGAGGTTGAGGGGTCTCAAAGCCGTCGCTGTAGACAAAGTTGGCACAGCGAGTCCCACCATTTCCACGAAGAACGTGAATCCGTTTGGTGCGATCCGCTTGGCGTACGAAACCACTCCATCCTCCGACTGCGGTCGCCGCGACCTGTGCGTGGATCTCTGGGTCATGGGGACGTCGACCACCATGTCCGTTTGTCGGAGAGGCGCGGGTCAAGGAGCTTCTCCAGGGTGTGCCGGAGTTTGCCACTGATTGTGCAGTCAGGATGGGCAAGCTCCTATCCGAGGGTAAGTTCCTGGGCAACCATTGTTCCCATCATCAGACCGATCACAGTCCCGCTTCTTTGTGGAGTCGACACCGGGCAATGGCTTGCAAGCTATACGCGGGTGGGGAGCATAGCGTTCGTGTTGCGTGGACGCCAACATGCTTCTGGAAGAAGTGGGTTAGCAGGGACTCTGAGTGGCAGCAGTGACCAGGGAGCTTTCAGTCTTGCACTGCACGGCAGCGAAGAAGGGTGGGTACGCACCTCTGATCCCAACGCGAATGACATGGGGCGGCTGGCCGCCGCAGTATTGAAAGTGCGACGAGGAATCAGAAGCTGCACCAGGGTAGGCAACCCTGGCCACTGCAGCTTGTGGACTCCCTAGCGGTGTACTCTGGGTCTCCAATGGGAACGTTGAGAGAGTGTTTACAGGTTGGCTTTAACAGCAGAACTGCCACCTACTGCTTCAGCAGCCTCTTCAAAGTCGGGCACATCGTCTGCACTTTGAGCAGCCCTTCCCCATCGTACCACGCCTTCGCTATCAATCGCAAAGAAACCCGAAGTCTGCCACCGAGAGCCACTCTCCGTTGGTCGGTTCCAGATCCCCTCCTGTGACCCCATCCGCCACACTTCGTAGAAACTTGACGGACTGAGCACATGAGCAAAGCTCGACGCTCCAAGCCCGTATGCAGAGTACAGCTCCAGCTTGTCATCAACGATCACTCTGAGGTTGCCGGGCTCACTGCCAGTCTGCGGTAAAGCTTTCAGCCATGTGTTTGTCGCTTCGTTGGAGCTGTGCGAGATGGCTACAAAGTCGAGGTCGCGATGTTGTTTAGCACAGTCTCGGAGTCTCAGATATGTCTTTTCCGCGAATGGGCAGCCGTAGTGTCGTAGGAAGGCGATTATTGTAGGTTTGCCAGTGTCGAGCGGTAGTAGTGCGGTCGTTGGCGCCTGACTGCCAACTTCTGGCACGTGGGATGCGGTCGTCGTTCCCTTTGGCGCAAACCAGGACGACAACTCTTGTGCGGAACTCATTGCTTCGGCATGAACGTTCAACCTGAGAGACTGGACGCGGAGTCTGACGAGGTACTCGTGTTGGGAAGTGACACAGTAACGAACGCCTTTCGGGATAGACTTCACACCAGCGACTGTCGACCTAAGCTCTCAACATATGCAGCCGCAGGGCATGGGGCAACACATCTTATCGGCTGCTCAAACTCACTGACTATTGGTAGATGACGGAGCGGAAGCTCAATGAAGGCTTCGTCAACGTCGTATATTGATAGAAAGGAGACATGAGCAATGCCGAGTCCCCGCGGCAGTGAGAAGTGGAAAGAACGGGCCTTCGTCTACGCAGTATTTTAGAAGCATGCACACCTCTCACCTGGCAGCGTGGTTTGTATGCCAACGCGCATGAAGGCGCATCATTTCACTGTCCTCTGCCGATAGCCTGCGCCTCGTCGTGTGCTTCTCTTTCCGACTTTCTCGCTTTGCTTCGTCAACAATAGGCTCGTATCCAAGTATACCCACTGCCCAATTCATGTCACAAGCGCTGCAGAAGATGCTATAGTCGTTTCGCATGACGCCTACGACCAATTGAACAGGCCGTGAGCAGCGGAAGCAGGGGAAGTTACACCGCTCACAAAGCCTGGTCGTGCAACGGTCTGTTGAGATCTGCCCCTCATCGTCGACCTCAACCCGCACAGGAGCGTTGCATATCTCGCAGATCCCTGTCAGTGACGCTCGAATGGCCATACATCGCTGTCGGCACCGCACGTCGAGCAATGGCGCAAGCCGTGGGATTTGGGCTTTTTCCGGGCAGTATGGACAGCACCCTGCCAGCCCAGCCTCGAATAGCTGCTTGCAGTCGTAATCTGCGACATCGACTGGTAGCAGAGGTAGCGCGCGAAGCGAACCCGGTATGCGCTGCTCCGATCGATGGGAGTCAGGCACTCCAATCTCCAGATCGACAAACCGCGGCAAGAAACCGCAATCAAGGTTGCATGCTCCAATTGATGCATCAAGGCGTAAACGTTGCTTCTGCTCGACATGGAATGCTTGCTGCGTTGACTTTGCGCTCGATTCCAGTTCGATGAATGCGTCATGTCTGCTCTGCAGTCGCTCTACAGCAGCTCGGGCACTTTGCACGCCGTTCTCGGCTGCGCGAATCTCGCCGTCCGCCTGTGAGCTTGGCACGACATCGGTTGTCAGGCCAGCTAAGAAGTCTTGCTCCCGGTGGGAAAGCTTATCAAGTGCACGTTGGTACGCCTGTTGCGCTGCAGTCCACTCCTGAGCTGAAGGCTTCAGATAAGGCCCGCTGTATGCCGGACCTTGTACGGCCTGCCTAATTGGCAAAGCGCCCATGGATTGAAGCTCGATTTGACCGGTGCGGAGAAGCTCGTGCGCGGCGCTGAAAGGCGGCTCAGCCTTCTTTCCAACTGGCGCTGAAATCAACTTGAAGGTTCGTGAAGGAAGGACCGTACCATCTTCGTCGATATTGTCAATGCTGAGGAGGTTTATGCGTCCACATTCTTCGCCTATGAGTAAGTCTGTAAGGTCCGGGCTAAAGGCGCCTGACATGATTGCAGTCCGAAAGGATGCCACATCCCCCACATGAGCGTTGCTGGTAGCCATGTATGGGTTCCATGACTTGACAACTCCGTCGGACGATGCTGAGAACAAGCGTGAGCTTGTAGCGCCCCACGATAGGAAGCGGACACCGGTGTCGATATGCTCACGATCTCGGTCATGGTCCAGCACGTTGAGTGACTCGTCATGGCATAGAGTGTGCAATGGCTTCTGGTTGCGGCTCGCAAAGCGCTGGTCCCATATGTAGACCCTGCCGTCTGTCGCTCCAACAGCGATGAGATTGTCATCGTAAGGGCAGAAGACAACGTCGTTAATGTCGAAGGCCGGACAGTCCCACTCAAGGACTTGCCGTATAGCTTGTCCAGGAGCATAGCACTGAATAACGCTCCGTCTTGACTTGCGGGATTTGCCCAAGCTGGGAATGCCAGCCACACAGAAAGCGATACTCGCAGAGCTTGCAATTGGGTTCCAAGCAACGTCGAAGACGTTGCGCGTGACATTGCCCAGGTCAATGCGCTGGCCCGTCTCGACACTCCAAAGGACAGTCTCTCCAGTGGCGTTGCGCTCTTCTTCTTGGCTATCGCTAGCAAAGCCAGCAAGTAAAAGGCTCTGATGTCGCTGAGAGACACCCCATTTGATAGCAGACGGGAAGGTCGGCAGGCCTGGCTGCGTATCTGCACGAGGAACGGACAGCGTAAGCCCAAGTTCAGTTCTACCATTCTTGCTCTTGTAGATGCCGACGCTGCCATCAGCGCTGCTGTGGCAAGCAGTGGCGACAAGCCCTTGTGCACTGACCTGAAGCAAGTCAACGGCCGCCGCATGTTCGAATGTATTGCGGCATTCCGCCTTCCCATGGTCGTCGCCGACGTATACGCGCATATATCTGTCTTCACCTGCAGTGTACAGTAGCGTTCCGTCGGGAGAGAAGCCGAGCGCCGCCACAGTCTTGAACAAGCGATCGTCTTGCGACTCACGCATCGAGTGTAGCGCGTTGACATTGTTCTCGTCAGAGATGGTTGGACGAGACACGTGGTGTTCTGGCAACTCATACAGTGACCCTCGCTTGCAGTCGCCTTGTAGAAGATTGCAGTTTGAGTTATACTGCATACTGCGATAATCACTAATGGCTATTGAGCCTGCGGCGAAACGAATGCCATCGTTGGCCCAGTCAAGGCAGCATACGTCGCCAGACATTGGTAGAAAATGCTTTCGAAGCGTGTATCCAGAGAGCGCATGTTCCCGAAGCTCGTTGGGAACGCCCTTCCGCACCGACATCCATCCCCTTCTTCCTACACCACCAAGTTCGCGTCTGCGTAGGATGCTAGACACGGGACTTTGGAAAGCACGTCCCTGGTTAGGAAACAGTCCATCATTGTGCCGCTCCTGCGGAGCATCCGACTCGCTTTCAGCCGACTTAGCTTCGTCCAAGAGGCTCTGACTGATCTGGCTCCATGAGACGAAGCCATCCAGCACAGAAGGACCATTGCTGCGTTTCCCACGCCTACGGGTTGGTCGGCTGACATCTTGTCTTCGTGCGGCTGCAGGTTTCAATCTCACAATAAGCGAGGCACCTGGCGGCTTGGCAGGGGTAGTGTCCAGGACTGCAAGCATGGTGTGACGGCCTTTCACTTTGGTACTATAGTGAACTTGCAGAGACTCTCTCGTTCGATTCGGAAAGTGCGATGTGATCTGGTCCCAGCTGAGATTCTCAACTTCCTTCAGTCTCGCAAGGAGAGTGGACTCATTGCTGGTATATCGCACTCTAGGTCCGAGTATTGTGGTCGAAACTCGTTTGGTTGGGAACGCAGGTGTGTTCACAAGGCAGGTCGGAGGTGCAGGAGCATTACTTTCTAATCTCCCGGCTTGGGTCGGTATTCCACACGGTGTCCGTGGAGTAAAGGACGATCCTGATGGAGACCTTTGGGACAACTCAGATTTCAAGCTGGCAATGTTCTCTCCTCCCAATCCCGTGGCATGAGATCCTCTGGCTCCATCTCCGGCCTCAGCATCAGGCATTCCCGTTCGTCGGCGCTTAGATGGAGGCGCCTGCCCTGCTAGATCCAGTTGCGTTGGCGTGTTTGCATCCAGCATAGATAGCATAGACGCTCGAAGACCGATGCGCTGTAGTACGTGAGATTGTGAAACATCCCGCGCCTGCGGCAAAGGCATTGTGACCGGCAGAGGAAGTCCATGGCTTGGGACGTCGTAATCGACCAGACTGTCATATAAAGGCTTTGACCGTGGTTTGTCGAGGTTATGCTTGGTGACACCGTTTGAAGTGTCGCTCCGTCCTTGTTGTGCGGCTCCGTCGGTCCGAAAGCTTTGGTAATTATCAATGCGCTTCGACCTGGCCGCCTCCGCTGGTGCAGGCGACACATATGGCGCTTGGGACGCTTTGTCCTTTGTAGCCCTGGGGTGGTTGATATTTGCTCGCGCTGCACTAGGAAGCTGTTGAGGTACAATCTCCCGCCAGTCTCTCCAGGTTTCTCTGGCTGGCATGTATTGTTCGGGTTGCCCACCAGGATGAGAGACACTCGCTCTTGATACATGGCCAGCCGATGGACGGCGCTCAGCACGTCCGTACAAGAGTTTGGGGCCACCACCTGCGGATGCTTTGGCACCACTCGCACCGTGGCAACGGCGTGGACCAGGCTGCCCTTCCTTGCGCTGTAGGCTTGCACGCTTCTCTAGCGAAGAACAATCATCGGAGTCTGACAGAAGGTCTATCACTTCTGGCATCATGTGAGTCGATCCACGCCCACCAGCAACAGTGATGTATCGAGACTGGCATGGTTCTAAGCCAAGATCTGAGGAGAGAGGTAGCGTTCAGAACTCTCGCTCAGGAGTATCAGGTGAAGCTCACTTGCGACATTATGCGAGGAAAGCGCGCTCTCTGCGCGGTTCACTGACGCGGAAGGCGCTCCACGCTGTCGTGCCTGCCGTATTGGGCAGAGCGCAAGTGGTGAAACGGCACGCGAATGGACGCGCAAAGCGCGAGATGGCTAGTGCGCGTGGATTGTGCCGGCGGAACCCGGCGCTAGTGATTGTACGAAACAGCTCAGGCAAGTGAGCCACACACACACTTCGCAATACCACTACGCACAATTGCTATGTTTCCTGAATGCTTTCAGGTGACTCCTCGACATAATTCCATGGAAGTGCAACGCGATGGATGTGTGATGGTAAACATGCTGATTCCACGACTCTACTCCGACTCTATCCACCATTTGCATCGTGAACGAGCATTAACATCAGTCATCGGTATTGCGGGAAGAACAGTACCCGCAGATGCTTGCTTTTGCCCTTCCGCGCGCTCTACGGCTCCTCTCACCGTTACCAATTCCACTCTGACTCTCGTCGTCCTCAACCGCTTACAACTTGTCATAGTAGTTCTCGTAGCCCGGCACTTCCGGCTTGATACCCTTCCGCTTCCGCATGTCCTCCACAATCTTGCCCGGCATTGTAGTCTTGTCCAGCGGGCTGCCACCGGGCAGAATCTGCCAGTGGTCGAACACCATCTGAGGGAAGGCCTGGCCAGACGTAGCAGAGCGTAGGTCGGCGTTGAAACCGAACGACTCGTTGACGGGCAGGTAGGCCTTGACGTTGAACAGGGGAGTACCTGGTCGCTGCGCTTCCTCGAACACATGGCCACGTCTGCGGGTCAGGACGCCGTAGATACCGCCCATGGCTTGCTCGGGGACTTGGATTTCAACCAAGAAGACGGGCTCCATGAGACCTGGGTCGGCAAGAAGGGTGGCGGCGTAGAGCACGCGACGCGCGGTTGGGATGATCTGCCCACCACCACGGTGAATGGCATCAGCGTGGAGCGTAACATCCATAATGTTGAAGCGGACACTGCGCATGGGTTCTTCGGCCACTGGTCCTTCCTTGGTTGCCCACTGGAAACCGGAGACGACGGAATCCTTGATTTCGTTGAGGTACTGCACGGCCTTAGTCTGGTCAACAAGCAAGTTGGCACCGTTCGTGTCTGGGCCGAAACACCAGATCTTGCGCGCATCGGTGATATCCCAGCCATGGTCATCAGCGAGGATACGTGCACGAGCCTTGAAGTCGTCGCGCGGATTGATCTTGCCGGATTCGATGTCCTTGGCGACCTCCTCAGCAAGTGGCGTGGCGGTGACGTAGAGGCGGTTGTGCTTGTTGGGCGACTTTGACAGCGCGGTCATCCTGGAATCGCCGCTAACCGTCTCACGGTACTGCACGACAGGGTCGGAGATGCGGAGTGGGACACCAGCGTGGTCTTCCTCGAGATCCTTCAGGCAGATTTCGAGATGCAGCTCACCGGCACCGGCAACAACGTGCTCTCCAGAGTCGGTAATCATGACCAGCACGCAAGGATCGGATTTGGACAGACGCTTGAGACCTTCCACGAGCTTAGGCAAGTCGTTGGCGTTCTTGACTTCGACAGAGCGCTGCACGACAGGCGAGACGGAGAACTTCATGACCTTCAGGTTGTGTGCCGTCTCCGAGGTGGTGAGGGTACCAGACTTGAGCAGGAACTGGTCAATGCCGACGAGGCCGAGAATGTTGCCAGCTGGGACATCCTCGATGGGCTCAGTGACTCTGCCCATCATGAGTACGGTACGCTGGATGCTCTTCATGAACATGTCTTCCTTCTTGCCGGGTGTGTAGTTCGGGCCTTGAATGCGAACCTTCATACCAGACTTGGCAGTACCAGAGAAGACACGGCCAAAGGCGTAGAAACGACCCTTGTCCGAAGTCGGTACCATCTTCGACACGTAGCACATGAGCGGTCCCTTGGGGTCGCAGTCGCGAATACCGATGGCAGACTCGTCGTCAGGCGGGCCCTCGTAGAGAGTCTCCATGCGGTACTTCTGGGCAACCGCAGGGGAGGGTAGGTGGAGAATCATCATCTCCATCAGCGCATCAGCGGCCGGAAGGAACTTGCGCATAACCACTTTGAGGAGCTGCTTGCCCTCGAGATCCTTCTCGTCACCAGCGAGCTTGATCTCAAGCTTCTCAATAAGCTTGGCGGTCTCCTCCTTCTTGAAGTTCATGATGCAGTCGAAGATTCTGAAAATCGGATCCAAACAGAACTGGTTGAAGGCACGCTCAACGCCCTCTTCCGGAGTCTTCACCCACTTCTTCGTTTTGGCGTTGAAGAAGTTGTCACCCTACGAATCTGTCAGCAAGCACAGACGGATACTCTCATAGCTCAGCATTGCATACCCATAACCTCTGCATCATCTTGTTCTTGTCCACGCCGAATTTCTTAGCATATCTCGAAGCAAATTGTCTGACAGTGAAAGCCCAGCCATGTAGACCAGAGCCGAATGCGATTGTGCCTCTGTCCGGGTACACCTGGACGTCACCAAGAACCTTGTCAAAGTAGGTGGCGATCACCACGTTGACAGACTCGATGACACGGGAGAAGTTCTGGTACAGATCTTCCTTCGACACCTGCAGTTCGAGCAGAGCACGGTCAACCTTGTTGATGATGACAACAGGCTTGATACGCTCACCGAGCGCCTGGCGCAGCACGGTCTCAGTCTGCACACACACACCTTCGACGGTGTCCACGACGACAAGTGCACCGTCAGTAACACGGAGAGCGGCCGTGACCTCAGACGAGAAGTCGACGTGGCCCGGGGAGTCGATGAGGTTGACTAAGAAGTCGTTCTTCTCGGTCTTGATTGGAATGTCTTTAAGATCCTCGTCATCAACGAGACTGCCGTAGAGGGAGATGGCAGTCGATTTGATCGTCACACCACGCTCCTGCTCGTCGGGTCGGGTGTCGGTATATCGCTGAGCGCCAGCGTTCTTGGCGGAGATGATACCAGCGCGCTGGACAAGCGAGTCGGTGAGGGTAGATTTGCCATGGTCGACATGGGCAATGACGGACATGTTCCGGATATTGACCGGGTTGTCCATGAGACCACGGATCTCTTCGACGGTGAAGCTGTGCGACGCTTATTGTCAGCCATATTGCACCTCTTAATCATGCCGCTGCGAACCCAGCCACAGCCATCGCATGCATGCTTGCAAGCCGATGGTCTGATATAGACTTACTTCACCATCTTGACGGTATTGAACGCTTCGTACTATGGAAGTGGATTGGGTCGATCGCTGTTGGGACGCTGTTCGGTGCCCCACCTCGAGTGCTCAAGTGGCACTGGTGATTGAACGTAATGAGTGCCTGCCTGTAAGATATTAGTGATGATAAGGGACGAATTGGATATCAAGGGGTTTTCATACCTCCCAAGAGGATTGTGTGTGGGTGTAGCGCTGCTAGCGAAGATGGCGGCAAAGGTGTGAAGGTGGAGGCATTTGTCAAAATTCGGTTGCCCGCACTAGTCCGCTTGTGGTGAGTCGGTGTTAAGCGGAGCATTAAATGCAGTCGAGCCTCCAATAGCCAACCATACAAAATGTGAGTCGAAAGCCTCGATGTAGACAAGCTCGCGGTTATGCTCTCGCGGAGACCGCATCCTACCTATATGTCTGACTCATACAATGAACGTTCAGACGGGCTACACAGTCCACCCAAGCGCCACGCTCGAACGCTGCATCTCAATAATATGCCAATTGAGTTTTAAGCTAGGATGTGCCCAATATCTTCCCATAAGCGTCCTCAACCTCCTTGACCACCTCCAACAGACTCACAATAACGATCTGGTGAGTCACGTTAGGTAGTCGGTCCCTATGCAAGCCGATCCACTCCAATGGAGGCGTCGCCTCGCCCATGTCCCGCAACTGCGGTGTCTCAATCACAGGAGGCTCAAGTGCCTGGTATTCGTACCGTGATTGCGGCAGGTTCACCTCAGCCATGATCTTTTCTTCCTTCTTCTCGCCTTCCCTCTGCCCCTCGGCGGCTGAGATCTTGACGGCGGACTGCGGTAGTGAACGACCCAACCTAGAGGCCAGCGCGCGCGTGTGGGTTGTCCACATGCCTTGAATGAAGTTGACACGAGACAAATTCCAGCCCACGTCAATCTTGCCGGCGAAGAGGCTCTTGAAGATGTAATCAACGCTGTTAGTGTCGGGCGTTTGCCAAGTCTGCATGGACGCTACCACTTTCGGTACACGTAGGATTGTGCCGCCTTTTGCATTAGTTGCGCTGCCCACTACGTCGTCTACCGAGACTTCGAGCGGCCGAGCCGTCGCCGTCAGTCGCCTCACGGACGGCAACCCAACCTGAAGTTGACCGAGAGTGATGCCAAGTGCGCTATGTATCCTCCCACGGTCCGGATTCGCGGCGAAACGGGCTTGAATATTGTTCGCTTCCAGCTTGACCAGCTGTGTGTCAAAGAAGGTACTTGGGTACACTCCAAAGCTCAACTCCCCGAGTGTGACAACCACATCGGTATGTAGCGAGATTGCCAAGCCCTTGTCCTGCAATACGGCCGGCACGTTAGGCTTGTCGTGAACTTCAGGTCCGAAACGAGTGGGTATTACCACGCTTTCTCGTCTTACGTGCTTCTCAATATCTCTGAGTGATTGCATATAAGCCACTTGCTTCTCTTGTATGAGCCGGTCGAAGGCCTGGTAAAGGCCTACGGCTTGCGCAGAGCTTGTCGACGTACAAAAGACATACGCTTTCGAGCAGTCTAATACGGCCACAAGTCGGTCACGGTCGCCATGTTCGGGATGGCCTTCCCGCACGTTATACATCAGGAAATCGAAGCCTTCAATATCGCCGAAAGCAAATGCCTGGTACTCGAAAGCCGCTTTTGCGCGTAGCTTGCCGAACCCCAGCGAGGCCTGTATGAGTGGCGTCTTACCTTGTGACTTCGTGTCGTGCGGCCACTGGATCGATGTGCGAACACCAATGCGGGTCAACCTGATGAGCCCACTTACGCGTCCGGTACTGGTCATGGCAAGCTCTTCCAAACCCACGCACAGATTCTGCTCCCAGTTTGATGACTTCTGTTGGGAAGCCCAGAGGTTCTTGACCACGAAGGACGTCTTGCCTATGCTTTGGCCAAGATCCAAGTCCACGTTCAGCTCAGTGATAGTGATAGTGGCGTTCCACGGAAAAGCAGCGGCGGCAGCGGCGAGCTGGTACCGGTGGACTGCAAAGTCTTCAGGCCGAGTGCTGGGTGCTGAGGCTGGAGCAGAGTGCGCATCACGAATTTCTGGAGGCAGCCACACCTCGCGGAACAGCAGCAAGTCCTGGAGCTGTTTCCCGTTGACTGACAGTTTTGTGGGGTTGACTTTCAAGATCGCGGAGATTCCGTTGACGCCGCTGAGGTGCTTACTATTCATAGCTGAAAGTACCACAGAGTCAATGATGAAGCTAAAGGTCGGCTCGCGGGAGTACACATGCTTGACCTGTGCCGAGAAATTAGAGAGCACCGCCGACATGGCGAAGAAGTGGCCATATTCTTCTGTCTCGATGGTGTTCATGGTAAAGTAGAAGTCATCAAGCACGGCCTTGGCGTCGACTCGAGCAATCGGTTGACAGCTCAGGCCGAACTCCTGTCGGCAAATGCGGAGTCCTAGATCAACTTTCATCTTGCCGAAGAGAGCGGCAGGGTCTGCAGTAATGATGGATTCCTCCTCAAAAAACCTCGGATTGGCCTTTGACTCGGCATCCTCGGCCGGTTTCGATGGAGCGGATTTGTCCTCTTCCTGGCTTTGCTGAATGACTTCTTTCACACTTTTGGACACCTCTACCATGAGTGGCACAAAATTCGGAAGCAGCATGTTGTTCGACGCATCGATTCGGAGCTCTCCATTTAATCTTGGCTGGTGATCGCCTGTGTTGTACTCCACCTTTAGTGCAATCCCAGGTGTCTGTAGCGTAGTACTCATCAGCTCGCCTTCAGAAGCAAATTGGCCGTATCTGCCATGCTGAGGCGAGTGAGGCGAGTGCTCTTGGGACAAGGCTGCAGCAGCGCTGAGCGACTTGTTGGCCGATCCGACTCCCTGCATGTAAACTTGTGCTCCTGCAAAGTCAGCCTCGACAAGCAGTGAGGCCAGCCGCTTGGTATCGAACATCTTCTGACGCGGAGCGCCACTGGCAGTCGGCGTGCTTTGCCAAGCTGCAGCTCCCACTCGCGCCTTCTCAACTGCGTACTCGACCGAGCGCTGCACAGCATTCACTGGCACAATGAAGCGAGTCTGCAGTCTGAGATCCAAAGGCTTACCAGTTGCCTTGAACGCCAGACTGCGATTCTTTCCCTGCGTCCAGTATCCGACACTGAACCCCACCTCGGGCAGCAGAGCAGAGTTCAGCGCTCGTTGGCCCTTACTCTCATTCTTTTTCGCGAGCTGCAGAAGTAAGTTGTTGATAGATAGGCGGGCTTCGTGGCCACCGTGTGTGGTAAACTCAATGCTCGACAATGTAAGTACAGCATCTTTCGCTTTGCCGCGCGGCACGATCATAAAACGTTGGTCGACGAGCCAGCTGATTTGGATGTTAGTCAGCGAGACGGTGGTCTGTACAGAAAGTAGGTCTGCAGCAGAGAAGGTGGCTTCTTCATCCTCCGGCACAGGATGGCTCTTCAGGCTCTGGACGATGGTATGGCGCCGGGAGTCGCGCAGTTTCTTCAGATACTCGATCTCATGCGAAACATCAAGGTCGCGCAATCTGTCCTGCATGTGGTTCACCACGTCGACGACCGTAGGTGCCGTGTCTGGGTATGCGTTCACCTCAAGGCCGTCACTGCGGACATCAAGCTGGCGTGTAACGCTGCCATCTTTCGAATAGATATTGAAGTGCAGCTTTATTCCCAGAGCAATCTTGCCGCATGGGTAGTGCTTGGCGCGATCGTCCACCCACAGCCTAGCGCCAATGTCTTGGACAAGTGCTCGAATCTCAGGAAGTAGAGGGTTGGCGTCGGAGATGGTGCTCCTATTACTCGCAACAGCATGCAGCGGTCCGATACCGAACTCCACTTCTGCCGTCGAGCGGCCTCGTACTCTTGGTGTGCTTGCAGCGATTCGTACGCCGAGAAGCGCAAACCGTATGCTGTACAATGTCTTCTTGCGTGGATTCAAGGCGACTGCTTCTGGCTCGGGGTGGGCAACGTCCAATTGCGCAACATGATCCTGGATTGTCTTGACATTTGCCTGAACCGCAGAAAGGACATGGCGCACTTCCGGCTTATTAACCACAGACAATATCCCTTGTAGCGCAGCAGCATCAATTTCTAGCTTCTCTACAGTCATGGCAACGTTGATTGAAGCGCTGTCCGAACTCGAGGCGTGATCGACGTGACCATTGATTGGCGGCTGCTCAAACAAGCCTTGATCGTGGCGTTCGCCCTTGCTGCGATTCACGAATGCATGGCTGAGCCTGCCGACGTCAAAGTCGACATCTACTGACTCGTCGGCTCGTAGACTTGGGTGCAGCCGTAGGCTAGCTGCTGTGCCTTCTAAGTGGTAACTCAGCGCTTGCAGAAGTGATACTTCGACTTCAAGCTTGCCGGCTAAGAGTGCCACATTGAGATTCGGAGCTGGTGTCTCCACCGATCCGGTTTTAGAGCTCGCCTGCGGTAGCCTTGACTCTGTCGGCGCTGGCATTGCGCGCTTGACGAGCTCCAGTGCTTGTGACACTTCGTCTATGATTACAGCATCGACAAGATGCAAAATGCCCGGAAGCTGCTCGGTGACTGCTATCTCAAGCTCATTGTAGGCTACAGCCACCACGATTGATGCTGCAACGTCGGCACCGGCGGCTGGCTGGAGGTGATCAACATATACACTTGGCGATGTTAGTAATGATCGCCAGATACAGCTGGTCAGCCCGTGGAGCTCGGTGACAGCACGGTCGACATTGATCAGCGCACAAACGGCTTGCGTATATTTCTCGCTAAGGGCTGTCGTCCCAATCAATGACATCTTCAGACCTTCAGCACGCGACAAATGGCGCAGATTGATACTCTTCAGGATAATGTTGCCGTCATCAGTGGACAGAACGATGTGAAAGTCGTGTCGACCGAGCTCTTCTCGTGGTCTGGGCTCAGCAGCTTTGCTTGGCGACCCGGGTTTAGTGATGGCGTCGGCCAAGGTCTTGAAGTCTTCAAGCATGGGCACAACGCCGTCTACGAGATGGTAGATGCTCCAATCAAGAGTGAACCCAATCGAGCTCGTATGGATCTGCAGCAGGGACTTGGTACGCTCGTTCTCTTCGACCAGCATCAAACCAGTCGGCATCGTAGGCGGCATCATGTCCATGCCAAGCGACATATCCTCAATCATGACCATGTTGGACTCAGACCCACTTTTTACGCTGACGCTTATTGCGTCTGACCGGACTGTCATTGTCAGTGGCAGCTCCGGACGCTCCTCCAACGGCACTGCTTCCGCTTGGCTGTAAAGCATGCGGAATACCAGGGCTTGTTCGATGTTGATGACATCCCAGTTTCGCCACTGCGCCCAGCTCTGGAGGACCTGAGCGGAGGCGTCTCCAGGGCACGCAAGGTTATCAGTCTTGTATTTCGCTTCCAGATCCTGCCTCACTCTATCTGGAAGGTTCTGAAGGATGTGACGAAAGCGTGCAAGAACCTTCCAAGAGTCCTGGTTCCTGAAATGGTCCTGAAAGGCTCGAAGGATGAACGTCATTCGTGACATGAAGGGTGGGTCGTTAATGCTCTCACTATGCTGGGTGAGAGTGTACATAAGTAACAGCAATTTGTGCCGAGCATGCTCTGAAGGCTGCTGGAAGCGCGAGGCCGTATCTCTCACACGACTCAATATCCGGAGTGCAAGGCGTCCTAAATATTGCGCTTCTGTGCCCATGATGCTAACGTCCGCATCCCTTACGGAAGCATGAACGGACCTGACGTCAGACAAGACCACCCAGGCAAGAAGATCATCCAGCCGCACGCTCATGGCTTCTCGCGAAACTGATGGCAATTTAGCACTCTCAGTTATCTCGATGCTTTCGACGACTGAGTGAAGAGCAAGCGACTGCTTTACGCCATTGGATGAAAGCTTGTTGCGTACCCGTACCATTTGTCGGAGGTTTGTAATGCTGATATTGGCCTGATCACTCTCACCGTTCTCGCTCTCTGACGGATTCGACACTCTGAGCTGTGCTGATGGCAGTGTTGCATGGATCTCTAGGACGGTGCTCTGACCATGTCGAGCCTTTTGCCGACCAGAGATGGTACCCATTACATCGAGCTGAAAAGCGTCCATGACGTCCTCCGTACTGCCGGCGATGATGTTGTCCATAATCTCGGCAGCCACTTCAAGGACATTGGGCTCAACATAGGCACGGATGCCGGGTTCAATTGATATTAGCACGCTTGTATGGTCTGCATCTTGGTCGGGCTCAGGGTCCTCTATGACTTCAGCGAGTGAGGACGTCTCCGAAGTGTTGCCAGAGGCGTTTAGAGCGGGCGGAAAGGCCGGGACTGCCGATTCGTCGGGCCCTATAGAGTCGAGCGGAAAGCAAGGCTCTGCGAACGGACTGGAGAAGGCCATTGTGGGTGGCGGTAGGCCAATATTTGTACCGCCATCGTCGTCAGCCATGTCCGCCTTCCCAGGAGAACACGAAGATGCTCGGCCTCGAACATTGCCACCAGTCCTAACCGAAGTAAATATTGGCTGCTTTGATAGTCGTAGCTCTTCGCGACCGCCAGAGCGACGAATGCTGCTAGCAATGGAGATGGAGGATCGCTTCGACCGCGAACTTCCCTTGCCGGTAACGCTCGACACACTCTTGACAGATGACGGTCGCCTCATCGGCGTACCTCTACGATCCAGAGGAGGGGGCAGCGGCGGGTACGGCGCGTATGGCGGTTCTACGTTTGGCTCATCGGCGTAGCCCGCGGGTAGCTCGTGGTCGCCGTACTGAAGGAATGGTGCACGGTGGGTTCTGAGATCGCCTTGCCTCACATGAGCCTGTTGCGTCTGCCTCTGCTGCTTGAAGTGCCGCTTGCGTATGACGACATCCAAGACAGCGCCAGTCTGCAAGAATGCGTATGTATGGGCGCGCTGTTTTTGGTGCTCGCGAAGACGCTGTCTTGACGCACCACGTACGTCCACGCAAGCCAACGTAATACGTGGTACCAGCACGTTGATACGCTGAGAGAATCGATCATTCGCCCAGTCGCTTGTGTCCACAGCAACAGGCAAGGCGGAAATGATGATTGCCTCACCTCCAATATGCACCCACAGACGCACATGACCTGTGCGTACCTGCACGAACGTAATGTCGTTGAAGATGTTGGGCGAAAATACCGGAAGTGCGTTTTCACCATCTGTGAAGGCGAATGGGAACGTCTTAAATAGCTGTACAAGATCGTGGACGAAGACATTCGAGCACTCTCCGGTAATGTTGCCGACATTGATGTCCCATTGACTGACATACGCAGGCTCGTTGGGTGGAAGTCCAAATGCGCGATGTCCGTGTAGATCCATATGACCTACGAACAATTGTGTGCTGCTTGTGGGCTCATTCGAGGAGTGGCTTTGGCTGTCTTCAAGTCCTCCTGAGCTCGTAAGGATGCTGATTGGCGAAAGATTGAGGGTCATGTCGAGGTAATAACTGACGATACGCAGGTCAAGGTTGGCATGCGGCACGTCAGCCCGCACAAATCGATCAGCGGCATACAGGTTGGTCGGAAAGAGAACAGTCGAGTCGTGCACAACGATGCAAAGTATGACGTCCATCTCATTTATCTCCTGAGGGTGCGGCAGAGATGCAGTCTTTGCGTTCGCCTCTTCCAAATCGTCCGCGGCATGCTGAAATTCTTCTAACGTCTTGAAATGGATGTAGTCGCCGAAGAAGTTCTCTTTGACATTGATGAGCAGACGGATCAGCTGCCCATGAGCCCTTAGATTCAGACCCCAAGAATTGATGTCGAAGCGCAGAATGTTGATCAAGCCTGGCTTTTCCTCCGAACACTGGTCAAACGATCCGAACAGCGTTAGCTTAGGCAGATCCGCAACTCGCTTCTCTTTGATCAGAGTGTGAAGGGTGCTGCGGGGCGGGTTTAGCATGCGCATACCCATGTCCAGACTTAGAACCTCAAAGCTGATCTCGTTCCTCTTTGGCCGGAAGTACTCAAGTGGGATGTGGATGGCGCCTCGCAAGCTCCGGCCCTCCAGGGTGACGTAGTCGTTCAGGTCAAAGTCGGCAGGGTCGTTGATTATGTTTGCATCGTTAACGTTGAGGTACATGCACCAATCCTTGAACTCCATGTTAATGTCGTAGTAGAACGGCACGAAGGTATAGAATTCTGGCGGGGGTCCGGAGGACCAGTCGTTGACCATATCAATGATTAGAAACATATGATCGCGCAGAATGAACAGCTCGAGATCATGCACCTTTATGTTAAAGGGCCACCTCCGTAAAGCATTCCAGCACAGAGGGTAAGACAGGTCCGCATCGAGCGTCACTGCATTCGAACGCCATAGCAGGCCATGGTTGACACTTGAAGTCATTTCGACACCCTTCACATCAAGATCCAAGGAGTTGCGGAAGCCTCTAGAGCGCGGATACATGTCCTGGAAGTAATTGACAACACTGTCAGGCTTAACGGTGATATCGAGCCAGCCGTACGGCCGAGCGTCAACGCCAGTGATGCCTTGCTTGCGTTTGCGCCCACGCTTGCGTCTCCGACTGTGCTTCCCGTGTGATTTGCCGTCATCCTTACCTTGTGCTTGACCTACGTTGGTGCTGTCTCCGCGCCCTTGCCATTGGTCATCCTTGCTTGGTTCACGCGTAGGGACGCGCAGAGTCACATCTTCTTCGACCACCACATGGATCTTGAACACGGTATTGAGTCGTGTGTCACCCGGCTTGAGAGGCGCATGCGGTTCCGCGTCCACGTACTGGGCAGGAAAGAACATATGTTGCAGATTGACGCGCTGACGGTCGGCCCATGGGCCGTACACAACGAAACCACCATGAACGCCAAACTCAAGACCATAGTCTGGGGGTCGAGATCCATTGATATCGTCGTCACTACCAACCCCAAGCAAGGTGTCGCCGTCTGTTAGTCTAGTTGGAACTTTGCCGGGTATGTCCCAATAGAAGCGGAAGCTCAGCCTTGGGCAGTCGATCAGTGTCGAAGACTTGGCATATTCTACCTCGCGCCACTGACCGTGCTCGTCAGCGTCCATATCTTTGAGGTACCGGGCGAGACCGTGCCATTGGCTTGCTCCGGGAAGCTTATCCTGGAGCAGTGTAGCGGACGGCTGAACGTCAGACTTCATCGAGGCGGTGCGTACGGAGCCAGCAGCACTGCGTCGCCGCCGAAACCTGCTTGCGAACTGACTCCACTTTGGAGTTATTCCATCAGCAAGCCGAAGACTCCAATTCCGCTTGACTGTAACTCGACCTTCTTTCTCACGCAGAATACGTTGTGCGGCTTCGCGTTGCAGCTGCTTGAAGTCCCTGTTCGGCTTCATCTGCGCTGTAACGTTCTCGATTTCGAAGTCGAATAAAAGCTTGAACAGATCTAGGGGAGACGCAGCCTGCCCTGCATCTATGGTACCTGTAGCTTTATCCAGCTTTGCAGTAATGACACTCGTGGTGAACTCGTTGCCCACTGCAGCAGCTGCACGCCTACATTCGATTCTAACGGGTAGCATTCGCAACAAAGAGGGCACCTCCGATCGCTGCCCGCTCGCGGCAATCGTGCTGGGATCAGTATCTTGCGTGGTAACTCGACCAGTAGTCGCACCAAATGCAGCTGCCGACTTCTCGTTGTCTCCACTAGCAGAAGATGGCGAGCTTGTATGACCGAGTGGTTGTCCATCGTCTGGTCTGGGAGACGGAACCGGCGCATCTTTCGCCTTTCCCAACGTAGCATCGATAATGGAGTCGTACAGAGGACTGTGATTGTAGACAAAAGCTTCTACACCGGCAACCTTAATCGAGATCCGGCACGGCTGCTGCTTCTTCGCCTTGCCACCAGCTTCCTCGGCCTTCCCTATGCTGCAACTTCGACCCGACTTCTTCTCGTCCTCTGATGTACTCTCGCCGTTCTTCTCGCCGTCTCCGCCGTGCTTTCCGTCGCCTTGTGGACCGTCATTTTCGAAGACCTGAGCTTCTTGTACGGCACCAAGCCAGTATCGCCATGTGATATGCCCATCATGCGCAAATGCTGTGATATTATGCGCGTGGTATCTGATGCTTTTGAAGAACACCCTCCCACCCAGCAGACTGATCTGTAGCGCAGTGATGTCGATGTAGGCCCGATATCTGTGCCAGGTGTACGCACGTATCGCATATGAGACTACGGTGGCGAACAGCCGGTTGAAGTAGAACAGGAAGAAGAGTGCTAGAATGCCGCAGACGAGAAGTTCAATAAGGAAGACCCAGTTGAAGCCCTCGCTAGGTCCAAGAGGTGATGCCGTCAACGGCATGTCTCAAGCCTTGACAACTACCGCTTCGTCGCCGTCTCATTGCGGTTGTAGAAGTCCGCCAACTCACTTTCAGCCGCCGAACATGATCTACAAAATGATACTTTTGCAGGAGACATAGTCAATGGAAGAAGTCGCAACTGATCCTGAAGTCGACTTCCTTCCAATGCGGAAGTCTTGGCAACGAAAGTCGCGAAGTCAAACACGCGTCTACTTTAGTTTCAGCACACCATTACACTGCAACTCTCTAACACCACAGAGTCTATATATCAATCCATTCAGTCATGATACTGGATGATGGCGACTCCGACCTGTTTCGCATGTGGGTGGTGAGGAAGCTCGAAGCCATCTCAGACGCCGACAGCGAAGTCCTTGCCGATTATGTTCTGGCGCTCGTGAAGACGGATGACCTGCCAGCGGTGGCGAAAGTGAATTGCACACAAAACCTCCGTGACTTCTTAGGAATTAATGCCGAAGGCTTCGTGGAAGATGCTTTCCAAGCTATTGCTACCAAATCGTATGATCCAAGCAGGCCACCACCTCCAGTTAGCGCAACCGCGCCGGTCTACAAGCCGCTCCGGCGCGCGAGCTATGATGCCCCAAGCCTACCTAATGAGGCTCGAAAGCGTTCTCACCGTGACCGGGATGCTGACGATCTCGAGGAGCTCCGTTTCACAGCCTATCAAGACCAAGGCCGACCGGGGAAGCAGCTAAGACGTGGTGGTACCAGAACAGAGGGTAGAGGCTATCGGCCCTACGAAGCACCTCGCAATGGGCCTGAAGGCGCTCCTGCATGGCGAGCACTTCCACAGATGTACGGACTTCCTCCTTTGCCGTCACCGCCACCGGGTATGCCCGCACTCGATGCCAACAATCTAGCTCTGCTGTTCGTTATGCAACAGGCTATGGGTATGCTTCCAGCTAACGCTGGTACCGACCTATCACTTGTTACAAACGGGGGTGGTCAAGATAGACCTAGCCGGCGCTGCAGGGACTACGATCAGAAGGGCTTCTGTACCCAAGGTGCTGCTTGCCCGTACGAGCACGGGGAGAGTGCTTACATTGTTCAGCAGCAGGCCGACGAGTATGATCCTACTAATGCGTTAACGGGTGACATGCTACCCAAACGCATTGGCAATTCTGCGCTCATGCCCACCGCCCGCGGTAGAGGGGCCCACCGCCCCCGCGGGCGTGGATACGGTGCTCCTTTCGAGAGTGGCAACGGTCGTGCTGACTTCTCCATGACTGGCGCAAACCCTGGCAAATCACTTACTTCGATTGTAGTTGAGCAAATACCGGAAGACAACTGCAACGAAAGCAGTGTCCACGAGTTCTTCAGCGCATTCGGCACCATCGCAGGGATAACAATGCAGCCGTTCAAACGGCGCGCGATCGTAAAATACGAGGATTACGATGCGGCAAAGGCTGCATATAGTAGTCCGAAGAGTGTATTCGATAACCGCTTCGTCAAAGTCTACTGGTGCAAGCCAGATAAGCTTCCTCAGCTGCCACAAGAAGGCGAACCCAATGTCCAGTTTGATGGTGCAGTCGCAAAACATGAGGACACAAACTTCGATCATGCAGCCTTCCTTCGGCAGCAGGAAGAAGCCCAGCGCAGATATGACGAGGCTAAGCAGAAACGCGATGATGTCCAGCGACACAGGGCTGAGCTAGATGAGAAGCTCAGAGCGATTAACCAGGAGCGCCAGAAGTTCGTTGCGATGCTAGCGAAGAAGACTGGCACGCTTACAGGCACTAGTGATGAGAGCAGAGAAGGTGAGGAGAACCGTTTGCTAAAGGCGAAGCTCGCCGAGGTTCTAGCTGAAGCGGAGGCTCTTGGCATTGATCCGGAGGGTGATGGCCCTTCGTCGAACGACTACGCTATCGCCACTTCTTACCGTGGTCGAAGTGGCTACAGAGGCTACTATAGCACGCGGGGGCGTGGTGGGCACTACCAGTCCGCTCACCGCGGCGCTTACGGCAGTAATGGCTACCGTGGCGGTTACGGAGGTACTGCGCGAGTCACGCGGTCACTGGACAACCGACCGAAGACAATATCCGTGGCTTTCACAGACGGCTCGCGGTACGCCGAGCGTGAAGAAGCGCTTAGGCAGTACCTTATGTTCAATGGGCTGGAAAGTGCCACGCTGACTGCTCATCCGGGAAGAGAAGACGCAGCGCTCATTGCGTTCCAACAGCGCTTCGAGGCCGAGAACTTTATGTCTGCAGCTCTGTTTGAGGGACCGTCGGCTGCATCAGGCTTGCCGAATGTTCTTGGTAAGGTCGAGCTTGCCTGGTGGAAGCCCGAAAGCGCGTCAGGCTTTGATGCCATCACAAGCAAAGTCCAGGCTGCAGTGGCAAACGAGAACCAGGATCCGGTCTCTGCTGCTACACTGCGAGCGGTCGAGTCTCACCTGGTGAAGGAGGACCGGGATATGGATACGTATGATGAAGGGGATGATATTTAAAAGCACCGTTCCCACCATACGAACGAGGGTCAAGTGTTCTAAAGAAGCCATCGACGCCTGACTGCGCGCAGCGTGGTGCAGGGGCGACACGTTCGCCCAGAGCTTGCTTCTGACGAGGGGCGATGACTGGTCTTTGACGTGATGCGCTACGCTGTGGCTCGTGTCTGACCATCGTCCGTTTGTTTGCTAACATGCAGGTTGCACAAGTGGCCGTTACTGCAGCTTCCCGCTGCGAGTAGGTCGGGTATGTTCCAGCCGAACCCATATGGCTGACCAGCTGATGCGGTGAAGGCAACCTTTGTAGTTTGACGTGTGCAACGATTTTTGGGCTGCGGGTGGCCCAGCGTTCCCACAGTAGGCAGCTGACCGTGCAATTTCGTGGCTCATTATCACTTTGACCTCTCTTGTCCCTTCTCTATCTCCCCTCACTCTTATCTTTCTGGGTCCTATTTTCGCGCATCTCATATTTGGCAAGGCAAATCATTATGAGACGCCCCTTTCGAGAGTAAACGCCACCATGATATCTCCAGAACAGGGACAAATGCAACCTTCGCCGCCCTATGGACCACCCATCCTACACCCGTGTGGCGGTCGAGCGAACAATGGCCCCTGGCCACCACAACACTGGGGACCCGGGTGTGGGCCGCTCCCACCGTCGTGGTATCCAGGCCACCCAGCCTCTACATCCATAGCATTCAACCACGACTTGCTACAGCGCTGTTTACCGGTGCTTGCACACCTCCTGGCATTCTCATCTATGGACGTCTCCGCCACGATCGCACAGCTTGCATGGCAGAGCGATCAGATCTGTGACCGCGGCGCTCGGAGCGATCTTTCGTTTCACGATCTTCACAACGTCTATCACAAGCTGTACGGTTTCATCTCCCAGTGTGCTCCCAACGAGCCGCCAAGATCGGTGGGTGACTTCCTACGCAGAATGTTATTCGACAACTACAGGAAGCCAATGGCTGGATCACACTTGTCGCTCTCCAGGCAGAACATGTCGCTTCTGCGTCTGTGCACTGCTTTCTCCGCCATATCACATCAAACGCACAGTGCCCTAGTCGGCAGCGTTCTAGAGCGATTTTGGCTGCACCACGGCGCTGGCATTGTGGCCGAGTGCAGCGTGATAGAGGCCTGGCCCTGGGCTGATGCTATATGTCGGGCGCGCATGTCTCGAGCGAACAAAGACGCCTGTTTGCAACTCTTCAACGAGCAGCATCCGCATCTTAGCTCGATCGTAGAGACCACAGGCTTCTGGAGAGATCTTGAATTAGGGGGAGCGCTCAGACGGGCTGCGAATGGGGCCAGTACGAGGTATCGTCCAAGGTCATTGAGCTTAGGCAGCCAAGGAACTACCCAACGATCACGGTCATTGAGTAGGCCGGCGGACCACGACCACAGGTTGAGGAAGCTCCATGACTCTGCAGCACAGATAATGTGGGAAATCAGCGATTTGAGATGAGGAAGGCAACGATCAATGCGGGCGGATCTGGTATGGCTTCCATATGATGATACCAGCTTTATGTCATAACTAGCTTGTTTTCCCCCCTCGAATGATCCGAAGTTCATACAATCATTGGCAATGGAGTTCCAACCAGAAGCATGACCTGCTGTTAGAGCTACAATCAAGTGTAAGCGGGCGGTGCCTCACTGGCCTGCCACCCATATTCTTGCGAGCCACCATACGCTCCACCGTACCCGCCACCTACCAACCTCTCGAAGGCCTCCGCGCGGATCCTTTGCAATTCGCTCCTCGCCTCCTCCAAAGTCTGGCTAGCCTGCTTCGCCTGCGCGTCAGCATCTCTCAGTCTCTCTACTTGCTCCGCAAGCTGCGCCTTAAAGTCCTCCGCGGCTTGCTGCATTTGCGCCTCACTCTGGTGTATACGTTCATGCTGTGCCATGTCCGAGAAGATGTTATCAAACATAACATCGCTCAGGAAGTGCCCTTGATCGATGTTGACGGCACGCAGGGGCTTAATGGCCGGCTGAGCTCGCATGGCTGAACCGATATGGTGCATCGCTTGCGTGAGATTGTTCTGCGCGCGAGACAGTGCATCGCGCTCCATCATGTCGGCGAATGTTCCACCACCCCACATGTCCCAGGTCGAGGCTCCCCGGGCGTCGGACATGTCTCGCAGCGCCATCGTCAGTGAGCTTTTCGCGGACTGTAGGTCGTCCATGGCCCGCTTCTCCGTACGCAGACGAGTTTGGCATTGCTGAGCCCACTGCTGTGTGTCCTTGACAGTGTTCTCCATCTGGTCTTCACCAGGCACTTCTGGCGTAGGGCCTGTGAAGATTGAGTTGTACAGTTGATCCAGTTCGCGCTGCGCTTGATCATGCCGGGTACTGTCGCCATCAAGGTGCTGCTTGTCTTTCTGAGCATTTTCCAGGGCTCGAGAAAGCTCCTCACGGCGCTCCTTGGCTTCTCGTTCTTTCTGCCATGCTTCGAGGAACTCGCGTTCCTCTTTCTAAAGGTTGTATTAGCTATCTATAATCGTCTACGGCGAGATAACGAGGTTTACCTCCGACTTGCTTGCGAACTTTGCTTTGCTTTTCTGGCCGCCCATCTTGTACGCAAACCGCTTGACGGTGCTGTCGCGATACTTGACATGGTCCTTACGCTCATCCTCGGTCACTTCATGCAACTTCTTCAGCTCCTTATCAAGTTCAGAGACTTGTTTCTGCAAATCGCTTATGAAGGCAACGTTCTGCTTCAGTGCAGGGCCGGCATAGTCTGTTTGTGCTAAGATGGACAATAATTCATGATTACGCTGCGATGACTGCGCCAGCGCCTGGGAGAGCTGTGACATATTGAGAACGCGATGGAAAAGCTGCGATGAGATATGATAGGAGTCTGTGAGTAGGAGTTGGAATGAATAAGAAGAAAGCTTACCTTCAGCTTCTTATATACTGCTTTCGGTGGCAGTGCCTAAACATGTGTGCACGGCGACCATTGATCGAAACGATGGACGGGTGGCGCAGCGACGAGGTTCACGAGCAAGCCATGCGCCGATCAATTGGCACAGGATTGTAGGTTCGCCTTGGCATCTTGGCCCCATCATTCCTTCCACGAGCCCGAGGAGCGAAGACCAAACGCTTTCCCATCAGTTTGTGCTTTACCGATGTTTCCGTCGCAATGGTGTGAACCGTAGTCGAGCCGAGTGGTGATTCAATCCGCAACACGAACCCTGTTGCGGCGCAATTTTTTTAACTGTGCCGCATTCATCCGGGCTTGCCTAGCGTCTATCTCGGCGACGGTCATATTCGTCGTATCTCCTACCGTCCCTCCGGTCATATCTGTCGTCTTCATACCTACGATCGTCGTACCGCCATTCACGATCGCGCTCACGATCTCTTCCGCTAGGTCTTGCATCGTGCCTGCCATTTTCGCGCTCCCAATCCCTCTCTCTACCGCTATCGCGCGCCCGATCACGAGCCCTTTCCGGCTCTCGGTCCCGTGCTCTGTCGCGCTCCCTCTCCGGCATTCTGTCGCGCTCCCTATCGGTGGCTCGGTCTTTCGTTCTGTCGTCTCGATCTCTGTCTCGGTCCCGGTTGCTTGCAAGATCACGCGACTTCGATCGCGTTCTCGGCAATGGTACTTCGATCTCTTCGTCATACTCCTCCCACTCCTCCTTGAAGTACTTCTGCACTTCCGTCTTCTCCTCAGCTACAAGCTGCGGGTTCAGCATAAAGCGAAGTGTGCCTCCGCCTTCGGGTACCGGTGGATATTGCAGACCTGCAGCGGGCTGTTGTTGAGCTTGCGTACCGGCCTGCGGCGGTGAGACCGGGGTCGGGTGGCCGTTTGCCACTTTCAGCGTCGGCCCTTGTTCGCCATTTTCTACCTTGCCTTTCGCCTGCGTATGGCGGAGTAAGGCATTCTCTTCGCTCTCCTTGTTGAGCCCTAGGCGGATGCGGAGGAAGTGTTCCAGGCTGTACTTGGTGCCGAGAATGCTGCCGGCGGTATGATGAGTGTAAAGGTCGAGCAAGTCAAGCAGCGTTTCCATGACCTCTCCCCTTGAGGTGTTCGCCTTCTGGTAGTTGAAGCTGTGGATCTGGTCACGTATGGCGCACTCCCCACTATCGCTGGTCGCCGCAGTTAGTTGTGCAGCCAATTCCAAAGCAGCAAGAGCCATGGTCTGGGTCGTCTGCTTGAGTGGAGCAAAGGTGCGGTACAAGTCTGTCAGTACCGTCCAGGCGAGACGAGCAACGCTTCTTGTACCTTCGGGGTCGACGTTCGTTTGGGCCAGGCTCTTACCGAGCTTCGTCATGAAGTCATGCGGGTACTTGGCACGGAAGTCGAACCCAGAAGCCTCGAGCATCATACGCTCGAGACCTATGACAGCTTTACTGGGCATGTCAAAGACCACATCGTCTGAGCTCAGATTGTCGTGCGTCTTGAGATTGTAGGCTGCGGCCAGAATGTCTCTGCTCTTCTTGAGTGTATCCTCCGCTTTGCATGCCAGCAGAAGGGCTGCCGCTGCAGTGTCTGCCCATGCTTGATCGGCCACGCCTGGATTGGCTAGACGAAAGTGATGGTAATAAGAGCATGCCGTTGTGTATGTGCGAATCGGCAGAGACAGCGCGCGACGGGTCTGGTCGATCCAAGTGACGCCTTGAAGTCGGATACTGTCCTCGCGAGCCTCGGCCGAGGAGCGGTCCTGCGGATTGTCGACGATGTGAGCGAACAGCTTCTTTTCAATAGCCTCGTGGCTCATGTACTGCGCTGCGACATGGATGACAGACGGGTGAGGCCCGATCAGTTTGGCCTCGCCATTGCTCATGCGCTTCGTTGCGCCCATAACTCTCTTTCCACCTTTGGCAGCAGTGTTGGCGCCGGTATCTGTTGCCCTTAAGGGTTGTGCAGAAGGAAGCGTGGTATCAGGCCTCTTGGTAGCCTCGACAGTTTCGGCCTTGGCAGTTCCGCTTCCGCTCGGCTGAGGTGGAGCAAATTGCCCGCCGAGATCTGAACCTCGTACCTCTTCTTCACCTTCACTCCCGTTCCCAGGCTTCGGCTGCGCTTTCTCTTTAGACCTCCTCTTCGCCCAGAAATCGTTCCTCGTCTGCGGCTCCTGCGCAATCATCGTGAGCATGTCACATGGGCTCGAATGGTCCTTGTACTGCGGCCTCTCCCACACCGTACGGCATGCCGCAGATGGGCTCCAGCTGGCTGGCAGGCTGCTGCAATAGGTCGCATGTGCTTGTTTTGTCAGTCTGTTAGGCTTGCCCAGGGGCATACGGTTCGCGTTCTTCGGCATTTTGCCCAGATTGAGATCACTCGCTGCGGTGGCCTGCTCGACGCAGTCACTGCGTCCAATGTTGGCTGTTGCATACGGATCAGAGTTGTCAGCAATGAGAGACAATAGCGATGGAGCTCGTCTTTGGATCGTTAACGCGGAGGCTGGCGGCTCGAGCTGTTCCCTGCTGCCTGTGTGCTCCGGTACGTCGTATGTCGTGGGCTCCGCTTCCGCTTCAGGAGAGAGTGCCTTTTTGCTCGGCTCCGCCGTTGCATCGAAACTCTCTTGCTCAAAAGGACCATCAAACCGTACGCCATAACTTCGCTCAATCCCTGCGAGGCGTCTGCGAGGCCTAGCTGGCGGCTCCGCCACCAGTGTCTCCCATTGCACGACGGGCTTCCCGTACGCCAGACGCGCCTCTTCGTTGTTCCAGAGTTTCTTAATGTCCGACTCTGGAGGATGTATCCAACGGCACCTGTCATACTCCTTACAGCGGTTTCGTCCACCAAGCATCCAGAACTTGCATATGCCAAGCGCCTGCCAATCCACGTACACCATTGTGTCAAGATACGTTCGAGAGTGTCAACTTGTAAGACGACTGTGTTGAGGCAAGGACAGTAGAGCCTGGTCTAAGTGTTCTTTGTTGTTGGCCGTGGCCAAGAGACATGTTGTGCTTCTGCTTGGGTTGAGAAGGATGTATATCACTCTCCACCACTTCGGGAGCTGTAAACCTCATTGGCTGCTCGATATACTGCATACCAGATGTGGAAGGAACAATACTAGTATCATCACAATAAGATAAGCGTGGTTTAGCGCTGTGTTACTGCAAGCTCAGATGTCATGAGTTCACTAACAAGGCTTCAGACTCTTGCCCAAGGCGCTGTATGCGTAATTCCGCACCTGGTGAACGTCTACACCATGATGATCGTACGGCGCGGTAACAAGAAATATACATGCCGACGCACATAATCAATAGCCAGGCAACCAGTATTATCCGTTACAGAATCCCGTGTTGTGGTGTCATCTGCAACACGTACTGCGAAGCCAATCTAAGAGGCATCAGGCCCTCGGTGTCCCGCATACATACCTTTACCACATCACGTATAGCACTATTACGAGTAGATGTTAAGCTCTGCGATAGTCTACTGACCAATACTCTGTCGACACGCGAAAGACCTACCGCCGTTCGGGCTCGGCGAAGACATACTGGGCTTGCCGCAAGGTCGGTCGCATGATGGCCCGTAGCACTTTTGAAGGAGGCCGTTGTGCTCGTTCCTTGCAATTCGTCAACTGGACCGCCTAGTTAGTGGGTCGAATAATTCATCTCCCGCAACGGCGGTCGTCGGCGCTGCATCTCTAATAGTGACCGAGACGAAGTGCAAAATGAACATGTTGTGATGCCAGACAAGTAGCAAAACCAAGAGCTGATAAGCGAACAAAAAGACAAGAGATTATGAGCCCCCGGCGTTCACATGCTAGGAAATGGTCTGTTGAAGACGTACATCAACCCACTGCTACTTGCACTCCCCTGTACCCTGGTTCCCGCGCGGCTTCGTTGAGAATCAAGCCCAGGACCTGGCCCATTGCCTAGTTGTAAGACCTCGGCAGGTAAGCAGTATATAGCGTTATCGCTGACAGCCGAGATTGGGCCGCCAGAAATCCATGTGTCCGGGCATCATGGGATGGTAAAGTGACGTTGTTAAGGAGTGATTGAGGATGAGGAGGGGTTCGTTAATAATGGCATCCGGGAGAGGAAAGAGCAATGCAAGGTCGTTCCTTCCGCAATTGTGGTCCAGGGGCATGGCAATGGTTATTTCGTCTCTTGTTGCATCAATGCCATCCACCCGTACCAATCGCCTCCCGCCGTGTTCACTTCGGCATCAGTTGCACCACGAAGAGCATTTATACTCTGCTCATAGCACCATGCCTCATCTGCCGAACCATCACCGTCGATGCCGTTAGTACCGCACTCTCTGAGCTTCGATGTGTCACTCTTTCGTAGCGCCTGCTTAGCTTGCACGAAACTTGGTGTTAGGTGCTCCATGGAAATGCACGCTCTGATTGAGCTCAACCGCCTCGTCCCCTCCCTCTTCCACGTCCGCCACGTCCGCCTCGCCCTCCTCTGTCACCCCTGCCGCCGTGGTCACCTCGGTGCTGCATACCGCCTCTGCCTCCACGCTGCGACTGTTGACTCTGCTGCTGGTCCTTGACGATATCCACGATTTCGTCCGGAACTCGTAGGTATTTGATCTGGGACAAGTCAGCCTACATATCGAGGGCGCCGCAGAGCTTGCTTGCGTACATTATTCCCGCGAACGTAGCATTCTGGTAACCGGAAGAATTTGTCGCCCTCCGGACTTGTTTGAACGACTTCTTTCAAAGTCAGGTTCATGTATGTGTCGCAATTGACAAGATGGCCGTTCAACGTTTCTCCATTCTTGAGCTCGACCAACATGGGGTGGCCTTGCGCCGCAGTAAGCAGGCCGAGGGGAAGCTACAGCGGTTGGAGATCAGTGCCTGGCTGGTGAGCGTACGTCATATGCGCCGGAGTTTGGTTGGACTTTACCATGGTTGAAGCAGCAGATCTGGCACTCGCCTTTCCTCTCACATGTATGCGCAGCGGTGCCAGTTCATTGCGACTCAGTGCACACTGACAAGAACATCGAGGTTCGCTAGATGTCAATGACTCGCATCATGCAGAACTTCGGCCTAAGGCACCGAGACCGCGGCTCGCATTCGCACTTCATCCCGCTTATAGACGACTGCGCCTCAAACTAATTGGACGCCGCCCTAATACTGCTGCCTGTCCTCTGTAATGTTCGCATCTTTCCCTCCGCTCGAGGTAAGCATCCCCCGAACGCATTCGTTTTAAGCGGTTTCGACGATTGCTATGAGCATGTAAGTCAAGGTGGAGTGGGCTCACCATGCGAGCATTCGCATTCGTCGCCACGTTGAGTGTTACTGGGCTGCACGTGGTTCGCGCCATGGTACAACCACAGCTGCTTGAGTACAGTACGCTTATGTTCTGATGATCGGTGAACCACCGCTAATTAAGGCACTCACATAGACGTCGAATCGGCATTTGTGAAATTCAGTATCCCATGCCCACCTGCTACCGTTTGCAACGGTAATGACGAGTCCTTGGTATGTACACGTAACGCTTGGAGTATGCCAAGCTATCCTTGCGTACACCAGCTGTATACAGTCTTGCAAGATCATCTCCTTCTGCCTTGTCTTACGAGCCACCACTGATGATTTATTGTGACAATAGGTGTTCGATATCCAGCTCAAGGGTCCCATTGGCACGACCAATGGTGCTGTGCTACTCAATGGCAATACTCTGGCCTTGGCTCGGAACGAAGATAACCTTCTGGACTTGGGCGTTGAGGGCTATTTGTCTGCAAATGACACTTCTGGAAGCAGTCACAGCATCTACTACTTCGCGTCCCATAATCTTCCCAGTGATGGCGCTCTCGGCTCAGATGTTACCATTACTCTACACGCCGTCGACGCTCGGTACATGCCCCTAACCCGCTTAACTGTACATAGCCTGTCGAAGAGCCAACCACGTTTGCAGCGGATACTATTGCAGGGCGGCGGCGGCGAGGACTTCGAAGGGTTCAGCCTTGTTACCGACTTGTCTCAGCGTAAGTCGTTCGTGGTACCATACCTCAACCAGACGGTGGAAGATGCCATGCGTGAGGCCGTTGTCGACGACTTCAATCTTGAACATGAGCTCGACTCCCTCCGCCTCCTCTCCGCCCAGGCCGAGAGCTTACGAGATCAGATCGTGGCTCAAAAGCTCAAGATTGCTCAGTACCTCAAGAAGAACCGCGGCCATGTTTCACTTCGTGATCAGCTCAAAGACTGCGATAGTCTTGTCTGTGCGGCCCGTGTGGTCGCGCAGCGTATGTGCGATAAGATAAGTGCAATCACGGCGTCGCCATCCGGTTACGCGAGGATGCATGATGCTCGCCTCCAGAATACTGTCGCCTTCCAGGGCGACCAAGTCAAACCCCAGCAAACCTCCCGAAACTGCACGAAGAGCAAGGCATTCCTCAACGGCCCGAAGATGCCCGAAAAGCACACATACGGCCACGCCCAAAGGTTTAATCTGTCGATGACAATGACTAAGAACGCAAGCTCGACGGAGTATCAACTGGTGGACCTTGTCGAAGCTTCAAACCCACTCATCCGTGCGCTTCAGATCGTTGCAGCTATCCTTGGCCTCACAGCACTCTACGGCTTCATTCGCAAATCTTGTATGTCAATGCGAACACGGGTAGAGCGTGCCGCAGACCGGGAAGAGCGACGCAACGCCCGAGCGTACCGAAAGGCGGCTCGCCGTGCTGAGATGCGACGGAGATGGGACGATTTCGTCAGCGCCATTAGCTGTTTCCGAGCCCAGTCTGAGCCGCAGATGCAGGACTACGATGAGAAACGGGCCCTCATCCTGCAAGATGCCTTTCTGGAGCAGCTTGCTGATCTCGAGCAAGCCGAGAAGGGCGAGATCATGGAGGCAGAGATTCGGGAGCTGAGACACGCGCACGACATCGTCGCTAGTCTTGTCCGAGCGGACGAAAGGTTGGCGCCTATGGTCAACGACCCGCCACCGCCGCTCGTACCGCTGCCCTTCACGCCGGAAACTCGAAGTCGAGCGAGCACTAACACCTTACCTTCTTACACTTCCGAAAGCTTGCCGGACTACTCTTCCCAGCCGGACACGTTGGTCGGCAGCAGCACTGGAGGTAGCATTGTAGATGGCTTTGCAGGGTACACTCCAACGAGAACCGTCGATCATGATTCGGATGCCAGTGAAGCCGCCAGACGGTACACGCCTACGAGCAGTGTGCGCGAGACATCAATCAGGGCAAGCGAAGACACGATGAGGACGTTGCAGAGCCGAAGCGATTAAGCAGTAGCTCGATCTACGCCTCCCGTTGAATAGTTCCGGAGATGGGTGGATGTAATGCCATGAATACGAAATCTTTGATGTGGACTTCTATGCGGCGTCGTGGAAGGGCTCGGTATGAATACACCTTGTAAGGGAACCGAAGCGCTGCTCGGGTATTGTATACTATATACTTCTTGCACGCATAGCTTCCTTCGCAATCAGCGCCGCCATGGTGCATAGCATACTTTGCGGGCTCGTCTTCGAGCTCTGAGCATGACAGCGCGGACAACGACTTTAAGCAGTGCTGTTTGAGGCCTTCTGTTTCCGCTCAAACACGAATAGCGCCTCGTCCTTGGCGGCAAAACTGGGCAGCGGTATCTGTAGGAGTCTCTCCCATTCCGGCGCCTCCCTTGCAATCCAGTCTGCAATCGTCTCCGTGGCGAAACCGGTGAAGCCGGATGTATTCTGCGAGCCGGCGCAGACAATCGTCGTGCCCTCTACAGCAGGAGAGTGTTAGCACCAGATGTGTGACCGGTGGGATTGGGAGAGGGAAGCTCACGATACGCCCTGATCATCTTACTCGTGAACTCATTCCCCACGGTCGGATACACCAGCAGTAACACCTCTTCCTTCCCGCCATCCTGCTGCTGAAGATATTTCGCTCCATCCGCCTCAACCGTGTCCCCGACCCACAAAGTCCTCCACTCACTCATCCCACTGTCCACCGGCACAACCTCTAGCTTCCTCTCCTTCTTACTCCCCGGCTCCATGCGCCGCAGCATATACGTCCAGTAACCATTTCCACTGCCTACATCCAGTACCCTCCTCCCCCGCGCAAGTTGCCTGATGATCTCAAGCGCCTCGTACGAAGGACACACGCAGCCGAAATGGTGATATATGACCGGTAACATGGCATGGCTGATTTTAATCTTCGCCGTGCCTTCCTCGGGGCCGCCCCATTCTAGGTTCTGGTTCGTCCAGGCCCAGAGGTCGAAGTAAGGATTTACATGCGTTTTGCTCTTGTTCACCACGATGCCAGTACTTGCTGAGGGCGGGTGGTGGTGTGTCTGGAGGTGTTTGGCCACGTCCGCGCGGATGGAACCTTTCTTCGCGTTTGATGCCAGCGCAGTCAATGCTTTCGCTGTGCTTGTGGAAGGGCGGAAGACATCGGTGTAGGCTGCTACGTCGGTCGCGTTGGGGTTCTCTCTCTATCGCAGAAGCAGCGTCTCAGAGTGCTGTTTCACTTGACTCAGAATACCGCTCGGTTTCGGCATCGCAGTGGGATTGTGGCTTACGACTTGGTTCTCGCCATCTCTGTACCAAACATGCAGGTTCCCTTGCCCGCCAAACTCAACATATGTCTGTGCCTGGAGCAATGTAACGACGGCCGATTGGGCCATATAGCGATAGTCATCTCGGACAGGGAGACCAAAGGTCTTGATGATGAATTTGCGGAAGTCGTTGTCGTAGGGTGGGGTGTACTCGTCCTTGCTCCATGCTGAGAAGTAAGCGTCGGGATCGAAGGTGGTCGAGTCCTCTGTTTGAGGTTTCTTGGGGATGGGTGGCATTGCAGTGGCAGTTTGGGACAACAGACAATACGATTAGGTGGAGAATTGATATGGAGGGTCTTTCGTATGTGGGGTACAGGATGAAGTGGGCTGTAATGACACGAAATGGTAATGCTTCTTGAGATGCTTCGTAGTATAATTAAACGGAGGTGGCACTCTTAAGTCTTGGTAGCTATGAGCTGCTTCCGGTCCCCACAAAAATGTCAACGACAAGCCTGACCGGACTGGATTGTATATTCAGGACGACTACGCTCAAACCATCCGAGCCATGGATGTCGCCAGCAGCATCTTGTCCGCTAACTTCGCGCTACCAGACGCGTCCTACGTTGGATGCATACGAGCCGACTAGGAAGTCCATCGAGTTTCCAGCTTTGGAACCTGCGGCCATGGGTTTCAGGCTACCACGTCTCATACCTTCCGGCTCATCATCATCCTTCTGGATAATGCCGTAACGGCAAGAAGCAGCGAACCGTTGCAGTTGCGTAATATTTGCACGATGCTCCGAGCCTGTGAACGGCCGATCTTCGCAGCGCCCAGCCCCATTGTGGTGTTGCTTCCGCTTTCGCAATGGAGAAACCGGTTTATTCGCGCACTTGGAAGTACTGTGTGCGCAAAAGTCAATGGGGATTTCACAAGATATCGTCCATCAAAGCGTAAGGAGCAGTGAAAGAGGGAAGCTGGATCAGATTGAACGATACCCCACTCAGCTCATATTGCTGCGTTAGCACCAGACACGCCGGTAAGACCACTCAGACAGAAGCTTGGGAGTACTGTACAGGCGACTGTCCCTACACCTTATTGTGAAGCAACCGAATGCGCAAAGATCTGCCGCTTCCGTAGATGTACTGGCGTCTCCTTCTCCGGTGTGCCAGGAATGACCTTTTCCATCTTCTGCAGTACAAAGTCAGCAACCATACACCTGCAGAGACACACCAAACACTCCATAGCTCTCACAGTGCTCGTACATACCAAGTTCTCGAACACGCACTTATTCAACGCCCTCTCCTTCTTCCGACATTGCCACAACTGCTGATTATTGTCATCCAAGCACTCCCAATGCTGCCGGAACACATCCAGACAGCTCTTATTGATATCCTCCAGCACACTCGTCGCACACCGCGTCACCTTCCGGCCTTCCCGCATACAGTCGATCTCGCCGCTACCGTTGGCCTCGGTCTTGCATTGCATGAAGTCGTCATTGTAGGCTTTGCAGCGGGCGCCGATGAAGAAGGAGGCGCTGAGGAGCGGGGCGGAGGAGGCGCCGATTTCCTCGACTTTTGGGACGGAGTCGGGGAGGGGGGTGGTGTCGATGAGGATTTGTTGGTTGAAGCTGGAGTAGGTGGTGAGTTAGCGCGCCATCTTGCGGTACTGAGTTGCGTGCGGCGCTTGTCGGCCACGATCACAGTAAGGGCCCTACATACCGTGGTTGTCTCGCCGACATGGTGGCGGTGGTGAGGGCCAATGGCAGATGTACGCAGTTGTAAATAGCAGAAGCTCGTCTGAGAGGTCGGAGCTGCACTGGCGGAAGGTGCCGACCAGCTCTCGTTGGCCAGTGCGCTCGGTATGAATGCTCTGTGCACCTCAGACTTCCACCAAATATTAAAGAGATATACACCGATCCTACTCCTCCCTCACAAACTCGTCACCATGTTCGGCGGCCGTGAGTTCCCCAACTGGTCTGTGTTCGGTCACTTCCATATCCGCTAACGAGCAGCAACCGCATGTAGAACCCCCGCCACCTTCTCCTGAAGAGATCAAGCAGCAAGAAGCCATCGCAACGCAGACTGTCTACGGCGCCGTAGGCATGTGTGTATTGCTATATCTATGTATGTCATACATAGGGTCCTTCACTCTTCTACGCTAACCCATAACACAGCACCATTTGCGGTCCAATGGGCCAGCAAGCTCGTTTAGATATCTGCCGAGTGAACCCATTTCGCATTGCCTGCTCCTCGCTCGCGAAGCTTGTACGATAGCAATGGAAGATGCTACGTAAACGTAATGCTGGCTAGCGAAGTTTCAACGTACGGACAGGCGCGGCTGTTCGCTTAGGTTCTTACACATACTCTGCATATTGCTTATCAAGACCAGTCAGGTCATCATCGCTATCGCCTCCGCGAGCTCCAACGCAGTCCACCTGACCTCCCCTTGCTCCTGCAAAAGTTGGCAGTCACATTTTGCCCGCGACTTCCTCCACGATCTCCGTAATCTTGCCCATCTTGAGACTCTAATGGCTTGCACGTCACCACCGGCGTCTGGCAATGCTCGGACCTTTTGCCGAGATGCCTTTTATCATCATGATTGCCCCTCCCAGTATCGTTGGGTTCATGTTTGAATTTGCAGCACATCAACAACGCCAGACACAAAGCATCACCGAACCCCGAAGTCGTCGTTCATGCTCTAATTGCTCTTGGCGGCGGTGTTGTAACAACGCTGGTATTATGCTGGCTTCGCCAAACCCGACAGCACATCGAAGGGAGGACGCACCAAGCTGCTCTTACAGCGGATATGCACCCTTCTCGTATCAGAATCGAACCATTGGCGGGGCAGCTCGGTCGTCCCCTCGCTTAGGTACGCGGCTTGGTGCAATAGCCCATAGTCCCTCTGGTCTCCATGACTCGAGTGCGTGATGCTTTGAGTCACGCTCCAGCCAGCATCTATCACCAGACATAAGGGCCGTAGAATGTCATCCGGTGGTTCGGGCGGAAGCGTCGACAGCCATGTACTGGAAAAGATCTCAGCTATCGCGGACCTCCAGTCACCGTGACTAGAAGCATGTGCAGAACAACGCAACATGCTCCCCGGGCTCGCGAAAGGATTGATGCAATGCCGCAGTAAAAACTTGACAACATCCACGCGCCGTGGCCCCGAGCGCGAAATGTAATGGCCTACGAAAAGTCGTCCAGCAACAGCTCGTCATGGAACTTTCTCAGGCTATGCGTCACGTTGATAATGGCCACCCGCTATCCAACAGACGTTGCACGATGTCCAGATCACCGAAACATGCTGTTAGAGGGATCAGACAGTCCGGTTGCCCCGTCCTCAAAACTTTGCCGCCGTCGATCATGGAAAGACAGTCGGTTATTCGTCCTTCGCATATAGCTTTCTCGAAGGCCAAATTCGGCAGAGATGGTGCGAAAGAAAACTTTGACGATGAACCTGCGTTGTTCGACGTCGGCGCGTCCCTCGATAGTGTTGGCTACGCGGTTCTGCGACTGGTCATCTGGGACGGCGTGGTAACTTGCTAAGATTCCAGCGTTGCCCCGTAGCGGCGTCTCCATTACAGCCACCGACGCATCCATAACTTCCTTGAAGATGACGAGACTAGTTTCGTACAGACTTTCCACGTTCCCAGGCCAGTCTGCGACATTCGGACTCCTTTCGAAGCGATCAGACATGTCTACAGCCGAGTCCACAAGAGACAACCTTCGAACTCCGTGGTGGACCTCCGACAAGACGTCTCCGACATACTCAATCGCGGCGTTGGTAAACCCTGTCCCGCTTGAAGCGTAGAGACGTTTAACGCGTGCCAGGCCATCGCGGAACCCGACAATAGCATGTTGGTCAACCGTGGTCGGCCGCACATGCGCCACAGATCTATTTCGCTGTAAGTACATGCCTGCAGACGACGTGGAGGTGTGAATCACCTCTGAATGATACTTACATTGTTGCTACCAGCAGTAGGACTTACATGTTCTGACCATGGTCTGTATGCGGTTTCGTATGGCTACGAGTTTCTCTTTGTTCTGGCTCAAAGTCCTCTGCCTATTGATTCGCTCGAGCAGGGGATCTTTAGCGCCTCCTTGAGTCGCCTCGACAATATGGCCCAGCTCAGCAAAAGTTCTCTGGCACTTGTCCAACCTCGGAAGTGATACATTTGGTCAAGTCCTCGTTACGGTCATACACGTGCTGCCGTCCGTGCTGACTTCGCACAATCGGCTGAAACCTGATCCTGAATCAGATTGTACGAGTCGTCAAGGGACTCGACCTCGTCCGGCAGGAGTTGCACAATCCCATCGAACTCGCGGACTTCTTCGCAACGCTTGCGAAGGCTACTGGTAACTTCGTGGGCGGCCTGGACGAGGGCTATACTTGCAGACACACCCCCGATTATGGACAATGGATCCATGTGGAAGAGGATGTTGGCGAAGTGTGTTGTTCTTACAGTTCCATCAAAGACAAGCAAGCAGCTGGTTCAACTGATGGCAAGGCTGAGGCTGCCCGTGCCCGGCTAGCCGGTTGGCTTACAGCTCTCTTCACGGCATAGGGGCCAGTTGTGCATACGCGGGCCCAACTAACACGAGCAAGGCTGGTCCACGGGATACTCGCCTGCAGATGTATATGTGGAATGGATCGCGATTTCGAAAGCATTGTGAACTGGTAAAGTGAGGAGAAAGGATGAAACAAGAAATGTGAAGTAACCACAAGTGGGTCAAGCATTGACAATCCGTGCATGGAAGGCACAGCCACCAAACGCCGCGCTTTCCGAACCTAACCTCAGTAGCACCTTCTTTTACAAGACTATGACCACGCAACCAACCTCACCGCTTTCCGCCAACCCTCCTCACCGCCTTCCCCTACCCTCCTCCCAACCACCAAACTCCCTCTCCACCTCCTCCACCTCCTTCGCCAAATGCCGCAACTGTCCCTCATAATCCCTCAATATCTTCCTCGTCCGCTCCAACACGTGCTCTGGCACCCCACCACTGCCACCACCACCATTAGCGCCACCGTCACCCTGCCCCCGCGTCTGCGCCTCAGCAGCAGCACCGACCCTCTTCCCCTCCTCCTCCAACCACCGTCCCCTCTCCCTCAACGCCACCATCCGCGCCCAAATCTCTTCCTCTCGCCCCGCGAAAGTAGGATCCTGGATCGAGGCAGAGAGGGAGAGGAGTTGTTTCCTCAACCCCTCCTCCGCCGCATCAAGCGCGTATCCTCTATTCCTCAGAACCTGCAACTTCGTAGCCAACCGTACCGTCCGTTGTGTCAACGCCGTATGTCTTCTCCTCCCCGCCTCCAACGCCACCACGACTCGTTGTCTATGCGCCTCCATAACCGCCGTCAGGCTGTTATTCATCTCATGCAGGCGCTCGAACATCGCATTCACCGTCCTCGCCTGAGTCGTAAGTCTACTCTCCAGGTCCTCGAAACCCCTCACCAACACCGGAACCATCTTCACGCCCTCCTCCGTCTCCACGCTCGGCGCATTTCGTAGGGCTTTCTCCCACTCTCCCTCATTCTCCCAAGGCTGGCGTTGGTAGAAAGGCGCGTACGCGGCGCTAGTGGCATTGTAGAGGTACGTCTGCAGCAAGCTGTCTTGGCTGCGCGGGTCCCATTTGCGCACGAGGGTGTGGACCTGGGTGGTGATGGTCGGATCGTCGTTACGGGTGGGCGCGGGGAGGCCGGCTTGGGTGAGGCGGGAACGGGCGAGATCTTGTTGGTCGCGCAGGGATAGGTGAGGTGGGAATTGGGAGAAGGAGGAGAGCGGGTTGAAGGTGTTTTGGTTGGGAGGTGCGGGTTGGTTCGTTGAGGCGAAGAGGGAGGTGTTGGGTTGGGGTTGGGGTTGCTGTTGCTGCTGTTGTTGGGGGGTGCTTGTGTTGCCGAAGAGGGAGGTATTGGCGGGTTGATTGTTCGTCCCGCTGAACAGAGATGCGCCTGTCGGTGCGGTTGTGTTTGTGTTCGTACCGCCGAAAAGAGAGGCGCCGGTGGGTTTGGTGGTGTTGTTGCCAAAGAGCGAGCCCCCTCCGCCGGACGCGTTGTTGCCGAAGAGGCTGCTCATCGCGGCAGCGGTTGTGGGGTGTTTTGAGTTATAGCAGGAACTGTAGATGTCCAAGGGGTAGCGAGCGTGATGTCAAGCGAGTGTTGCAGCTCGTGAGGATCAGCTCCGCGAAGTCGACGGGGTGCAGGTTCACTAAGCTTCAGGCATGACCTTTTGTGGCCTTAGGCATCACAGTCAGGCGCGTCTTCAACCTCTGAAAGTGAACACTCTTTACCTACAATAGCGCTCATCGACCACAACAGACTCTGTCCTTCCACGTCTAACAAGCGACAACGACAGCGAATACAGGCATATCTATCCGAACACATACTGCACGTTATCGATCTGCCATTTGCTGCGAACGAACATGGAGGATCTCGAACCGGGCAGCCCCTCGCTCCTGCCAAACGAAGAGCCCGAAGGCAACAACGACCCTGGCGACCCGCTCAACCCCGACATCGACGAAGAAGCGACGGCCGACCCTCCTCTCGCCGACCCCACCGCAGACACTGAAGCCTTCGAAGATGACGAAGCGCCGGAGACAGCAGCGGCCATGCAGGACAATGAGGACGTCGCAGACCGGGGCCCAGCTGCCACCGCTCTTGACGACGATGATAACGACTCTGAACTAGAAGAGCTCGATGAGGAGGAGTTCGCAGACTTCGATCCTTCCGCGCTCAATATCCCCGACAAGCCGGTCGCCGTCGACTCGGACAACGTGGGCTTACTGGGCGTACACAAGCGGAAGCGGACGGAAGAAGAGGAGCGTGAGAGGGAAGAGAAGCGGAAGCGCAAGAAGGAAGGTCGGAAGCGGGATCGGCCGAAGAAGGCGCGGAAGGTGCGAGCGGGTGCGGGTGAGGATGAAGATGAGGTCGACGAAGGCTTGGCGATTGAGGGGAAGAGGAGGCGAAAGGGCAAGGTGGGCGATGACGGGGTGCCAGCGAGACGGAATGCCGCACCAAGGCCGGAGGTTGACGATGAGGAGCTGTCGCCGGAAGAGCGTACGTTGGACTAAACACTCACCCCACACGCATCTACTGACTATTTCTTGTGTAGGCCGCCGCCGCGCCCTCGACCGCAAAATCGACGAAGCACTCAAATCCCACCGTGCCCCCACCCGCCGTCGCGCCGGTGGTCTCGACCTCGAAGCAGCCGCCGACGCCGAAATCGAATCGATGCGTCAACGCATGGCCAAAGCCTGCGAAGCCGACGCCGAAGCGCGCGCCCGCGGCGAGATCGCCACGCAGAAACTCGCCATCCTCCCGGAAGTCGTCCGGCTAATGAACAAAAACACCATTCAATCCTCCCTCGTGGACCCCGAGATCAACCTCCTCGAAGCCGTGCGTTTCATGCTCGAGCCCGCGGACTTCGACGCCGCGTTACCAAACTACAAGATCCAGCGCGAACTCTTCGCGATCCTGAGTAAACTGACCATGAATAAAGAAGCCCTCGTCGCGAGCGGGATAGGCAAAGTAGTCCTCTTCTACACCCGCTCCACCCAACCCCAACCGGACATCAAACGCATGGCCGAACGGCTAATCTACGCCTGGATGCGCGTCGTCCTCGGCCGCGACAAGTCAGACGGCGGCGCCAGCAACGCCCTGAAGACCAAAACCTACGACCCTCTCATCGCTCAAGCGTCGCAGCGTCGCACGGACGCCACGATGACGCAGCAGGAGAGGCTGGCGCTGGCGGCGGCGAAGCGGAGGAAGATTCTCGCGCAGCCGATTCCGGGCAATCGGGCACGTCCGGATGGGAGTGGGTTGGCGACGTATACGGTTGCGCCGGTGAACAATATGAGTAATATGCAAGGGGCGCAGGGGCAGGCAAGTGGGGATGCGGCGTTTAGGCGGTTGGTGGCTAGAAGTGCGGGGGTGAAGAAGAGGTAGGAGGGGTTAGTGCTTCGAGAGTGGCAGGATGGTGGCAACGTGTTAGCTGTAAGAAGTATGTGGCGAATAGCTCTATTTGCGTCTCATAGCAGGTTCTCGTGAAGTGCTTAGGAACAGATACCGAGCACTGCTCTTCGTTTTCAACCCGATGCTATGCGATGCACTGCATCCCTAGTATGAAGCCTGACTTCCCACGCCAGAGGCTTCATAACAGCTCACAGACTCATCCGTTCGTGGATTTGTGCAGAGGCTTACCGCCCTCTATCAGGCGATTCGCGCGCTTCGATGGTCTTTGTTACAGGCCAACTGCAGCGAGCTTATGCCCCCCACCATAACTCATTCACAGAGTGCGCATGCTTCCATGCGACAACTAATACTCCATCAACCGCAACTTCTTGCCCACCTCCCGCCTCCGCTGCACCGCCTCGCTCTGCCGCTCCGCATGATCCTCCTTTGACTTGAGCGCTTGCAACAGCATGCCCGCGTCGAAGAAACCATCTGCATCGTATAGTCAGCACCGCGTCCACGCAATAAATAACAGGAGATTGGATGGGTTAGATGGTCGACTCACATCCGCCCAACTCATCATCACTAGCAACTCCACTCGCCTCGCCCTCACTGCCCGCCACCACCGTCTTCGCCGCGCCCTCGCCACCCTGGATCAACCTGCCGCGACTCTTCAATCTCGTCCCCCTCGGCCGCTTCTCCTCCGCCTCCCTCGCCCGACTCGCCCCCTTATCTCCACTCGTACCCCTCCTCTGCGTCTGCCGCAACAACTTCCGCATCTCCAAAAAGTAACTCTCGATGGCATCAATATACCGTTTTGTCTGGCGATGCTTACTTGACGCGCAGATAGAGACACTGCCGTCTTTGATGATGTACCCGATGCCGAACCCTTCACCGGAGGTAGGGCCGAAGCCGAATTGACGCAGTGAGGGGTTGCCGCAGTTGGAGGTGGAGAGGATGGTGTTGTTCAGTTTGTCCCAGCCGGCGTCGGCGAAAATGGCGGGGAGGGCGGGTTGGTTGTGGCGCGGCGGGCTGCGGGAGGCGGGGATGGAGCCGTCTTCGCTTAGCATGCTGCCGCGGTTGGGGGAGGGGATGGAGGAGTTGGGTTCGCCGCGCTCGGAGCTGGTTACGGGACTGCTGCAGCCGTTGGTGCTGGCCATCTCGCCGTCGCCGTTGGTACTGGCTATTTCGCTCTCATCCCCTGCAGCGTCGACTTGGCGCTGCCAGAGACACATCAGCGCGTACAAGTGCCTGTCTTGCCCTTGCGCTTTGGCGCATTCTTTCGTGATCGCGGTGTGTTTCTCGCAGGCTTTACGGAGCATGTCAATCTTCTTCTGCGGCGGGTTCTCTGCCCAGAATGTGCGAACAAAGTCGACGCTTTCATTAGTCACTTGCCGGATCGCTTCCGTACGGCCGTGGTAGAAGACTTTGGTCATGGCGGGTTCGTAGCAAGATTCCATCCGGCCGTACATCCCGTAGTAGGCGGCTTGGAAGGCCATTTGGACGTAGGCGTCTGGCGAGAAGCCCATGGAGGTCATGAAGTTCTTGCCATACTGCATGAACTCGAGGGTATAGAACTCGTTCTGCTGGATCAAGTCCGCCAGGCGGGTTTCGGCGAAGCGGAGGGCTGTCGAAAGTTCGGGCACCATGTCCCATTCCAACTTGTGAGGAGTCGTGTTGACGTCGCCGAAGCTGGCTGGGTCGCGCTTGGACGGGTCTGGAGAAGTGGACGCCCACAAGGAGGGAGCCTGGCCGTTGATGCTGCGCGCAAATCGCAAGATCGTATCGGTATAGACGTCCGAGGCAAAGCGGAGCACGGTGTGTCCGTCCACACCAGTATGCTCGAAGTTGATACCAGCGCTGCCGTTCTTGCACACAATAATCTGCAGCTTGTCGTACCATCTGTTTGTGCACGTGCCAACTTGCACTCCGCGCTCAATCTCCGACGTACCACAGAGCATGTTCGTGCAGAGCTGAGCGCCTGTCTTTGGCTCTGTGTAGTCCAGGCACAGTATGAAAAGTGCAGAGTCTACGATGTTGAGGCAGTCGCTGTTGTTTGAGCCTTCATCCTTGCTCATGACGTCTCGCAGACCTGACCAGACTTTGCGGTTTTCGGTGCTCAGCACACCAACTGCACCTTTCGCAGACTCCTGGATGGGCGTCTGCTCTGCATCGTCAACAATGACCTGCAAATTCAACGACACGTCTTTCTCGGTCATGATTAGATCGTAGTTATCGTCCATGACATCGAACCAATAGAACTGCCCTCTGCAGAGCACAACCATATGCTTGGCATTGGGGTCCTGACCAATCTGGCATCCATTGTCGGTCGGAATGCGTGCAGTGCCGAACATACGGGAGTACTGGTACATGTCGAGGGGCTGACCTCGAAGCATGTCTGGTGGCAGCTCTTCTTTTCGCACCGCGCGGACGAATGACAAGGCGGACACGACAAGTGAGGCTGCACGAGTGACCTGGTTGTTGCGAGCGGGTGTTGGATCATCTTCGAGCAGGAAGAACGGGTTCAGATTCAGCACCACCGGGTTGTCGTAGTTCAGGTAGGAGTCGTACCCTAGGGAAGGTCATCAGCAGGCCATCAATCCACTGCAAAGTAGGCAACTTACAAAACTGCTCGATGTAGCTGCTCTTGCCAGTAGCATACTTCTTCAGCTTCTCCTGTAACTCTGGGCCATCAGAGCGGAGGAACTCTTCCACCGCCCGCTCACTGTCTGCATGCTCGCGAGCGGTCTGCAAGGGCTCAAGTGCAGCGAGATACTTCTTGCATGTTGCTTCCAGCTCCGGTATAGGCAGCTTGGGAAGCTTCTCCTGTGCCGCAAAAGTGACGCCTGGCTTGGATTGCGAGTTAGTGTGAGAGGCGAAAGGCGCGAGTTTCTCTTTCGAGAAGCTCTGGGTGGCCTCTTTGGCGTTGGCTTCTGAACGCTCAGACATGGTAACGGAGTCCTTGCGGGTGCCTCTTGAGAGACGCTCGTCTATAGACGGTATGGTTCGGACTGGCGACATGATGTAAGTGAGCATTAGCTATGTAATGGCGAGACCAGCGTGGCTATAGAAAGACCACGCAGGCAGGTACGATAAAAGTAGTGACAGTCCTGGTGGTAATAACACGGCATTGGGTGGTACTCCAGAGGTCAGAACCAAGCACAACGGTCAGCGTCCAGACCGACAGCGCTCGATGTTGGTCAGGCTTGTAAAAGCTCTCCACTATATGTTAAGTCCATACAAGAAGCGTCCATTAAGGTAGACGAGGTATTATGTTGTCCCCGGTAGTATGGCTCGAGATCCTTGACGTTGCACGTGAAAAGCCGTTACTCCGGAGCAGGCCTCTACCGGCAAATGTGTATACAACGAGACATCGAAATGGACTGACCTTCTCGACCTCGGGCAAACGAAGTACTACTGCCCCGCGGGAGAGCTTCTCCACGTTAATGCGCGACTTTGGGGGCAGGAGGCCCACAGGGCGCTCCGCCGGTTCGGTGGACCGAGTCGTTGGCGGCGGCGGGCAAGTGGAACAACGTAGCAGGGCGACTGTTAACAGGCAAAGCACGCTAGGCCAGGTTGCGTCGGCTCGTTGCTCGTGGGAGCGGAATGCGTGGGCGGCCGGGGGTAGCTTGAATCGTGTCTTTATGCTGCGGATAAATGCGAGTAGAGTAGATTGACATGTAGTGATAAGTTAAGAGCGCTGGAACAATCACAAGAACAGAGGCCGTGACCTACCAAGACGCATCACCCCGACTGACCTCGGAGCCGCATATAAGGGCCAGAAGCGCCTTAGCGATTGGACTGTATGACGTCCCTAATCGAAGCTCACAATTGCCAACCTGCTCGGACAACAGGAACCCGCACGGACCAGGCATCAATTAGCCCCATTCTACCGCGTGCTCGACGCGTGCTGCACCTGCACGCAACAATTGTCACGAGGTAGACGGCGGCCTGGCATCTCACGCTGAGACGCCGGCGATGATGGTCGCTGCACATGACCAATCTGTTGACTGTCCTTCCTGACTTCCAGCTTGCCGCCTTCGCACATATCTTGCCATCCTTGGAGAAGACTTCGATCTCGACAGCAGACCTGCTCACGCTCGACGCGTTTGACATCGCAAAGAGAGCTCAAGTCCCGCCAGGAGAGGTATCAAAGCTTGCAGCTGCCCTACTCGAAGGGCTGCATGGGATTGACCATGCTGCGGCTCACGAGGAATCAACAGCGTCCAGCCATGGCCTTTCCCACTTGAACGTTGATGTAGCAACTATCAGCTTGCTCGACGATGGCCTTGATGCCGCCTTAGGGGGCGGCGTAAACGTGGGATGCATTACGGAATTCGTTGGTGAGAGGTGAGTCGATTTGTAAGACATCCCTTACCTTCTGATATTCGCTGACATGACCCAGCGCAGCTGGCAAGACCCAATGTCTTCTTACACTGCTGTTATCCGTCCAGCTACCGGCACCGCAAGGTCTGGCGAGCTCTGCACTCTACATCTCCACTGAGGCGCCATTGCAGACTCTGCGCTTGGCGCAGTTACTGAACGCTAATCGAAAGCTTACAACTTTACCTGCGCATGAAAAGCCTTCTCTAAGCAGGATACAAAGCACGCATGTTCATGACCTTGAAGCTCAGGAGCATATCTTACGCTTCCAAGTTCCTATAGCAATCAAGCGTCACAATGTCGGCCTGCTTGTAATCGACAGCATTGCAGCTAATTATCGATCTGAATTTGACAAAGGCCAAGCACGCAAAAGCGCCGCAGACGCATTTGTGAGACGCAGCAACCAGGTCGCACAGCTTGGTATGCTTTTGCGAGACATTGCGCAAAAGTACAATGTGGCGGTCGTGGTAGCCAACCAGGTTGCAGATCGCTTTGCAGCTGTCGAAGCTGCTGTTCAAGCGCCTACGAGCCAGCAGACGCAGAGATCACGTCCGGCATCACCACCACAATCATTGGGCCAGAGACCAGGGTGGATGTGCCCGGACCAGCAATCCGATATAGTGGACAAAGAGCCATCGGTTTCGACAGACGACCCTCTTGCGCTGGACCATCAACAGCGCTTCTTCACGGGATGGGGTTCTGATCCAGCCATGATCAACATGAAGACACCGAGTCTCGGCCTAGCATGGACTAATCAACTCGCCACGCGTATTGCTCTGCTCAAAGAGCCTGTGTCCGAAAGGGCGCTTGCTCCGTTGACAGCGCAGTCACAACCGTCATTGTGGAAGCGCACGTTCAGTGTGGCCTTCGGTAGCTGGTGCGCTGAGAGCAGCACGCAATTCGAGATTACGGAGGCTGGGCTTCGCTCATTGTCCGTGGCGCAAAATGCGGAAGCGCAACAATGACTAGCAACCCTGTCCACGACAGCATTTCTACAATGACCAGGTTTCAGGCTGCGTGTCCCGGACGCATGCTATCTTGTCTGAGGTCGTCACGAGCTTCCTGTAAGCTTTGCAAGTAAGAAGTCGATCGTCAGTCGCAACCCCACACTTCACGTCACCAATCTTCAGACGCGTAGTTGATAGTTCACAACACTCCCGAGGTTCTTGATAGAGCGGGCAGTCGCTCTTCTTTACGGTAAGCCGCTTCACCACGGAGCGATTCTCTGCTATCTCCTAAATCGCGCCAATTTCACTATGTCTTTCGATACTGTTCCCTCCAAAGCTTTACTTAAGCCAACGCCATTTCGCGCGCATGTCTCGGACGAAGAGCTTGAGTCCTTCAAGCAGTGCCTCAAGTACTCGCGCATTGGTCGGAAAACGTACGAGAACCAGAACACGGACGTTAAAGACTTTACTAGCTGGGGCGTCGACAGGCAATGGCTGGAGAACGCGAAGCAGTCTTGGGAGACGAAGTACGACTGGCGGAAGACTGAGGACAGGATCAACAGCTTCTCCAACTACACCGTCACTATCCAAGACAGCGGCTTCGACTTCGAAGTGCACTTCGTGGCCTTGTTTTCGAAGAAAGCAGATGCAGTGCCTCTAGCGCTCCTGCATGGCTGGCCGGGAAGCTTTCTCGAGTTCTTGGGCAGTTTGGATGTAATGCGCGAAAAGTTCACGCCTGACACGCTTCCATTCCACGTCATTGTACCCAGTCTGCCAGGGTACGGATATTCCAACGGTCCTCCACTCGATCGAGACTTTGACGTCCAAGGCATGGCGAGGGTGATTGACAAGCTTATGGTAGGCTTAGGCTTCAGGGATGGGTATATTGCGCAAGGAGGTGATATTGGCAGCTTCATCTCCCGCGTGCTTGGAGTCACGGCCGATGCTTGCAAAGCTGTGCATCGTACGTCAAGCAATCCAAAAGTATGCTTGCTGTCGACAGCGATTCTGACGTGTGAGGCTTGCAGTCCATCTGTGCATCGGTGTGTCGCCGGAGGGTAAAGACATCGACGCGCTTAGCCAATCTGAAAAGCAAGCTCTGCAACGGTACAGCAATTTCAACCAGATGGGCAATGCATACGCCCGAGAACACGGCACTCGACCTTCAACCATAGGACTCGTCCTGTCTTCCAGCCCGATAGCCTTGCTTGCTTGGTGTGTATACCTGTACTATGACTCATGAGGTCCGCAGGTTTCGATGGCTCACAGGTTGCAGGGTCGGCGAGAAGTTTCTGCAATGGTCCGACGTGTCTCCGCCCCTGGATGAAATACTTGATTCGGTGACGCTGTACTGGTTTACAGAATCGTTCTCTCGCTCAATCTATCCCTACCGCCAATTCTTTGGAGCCAAGCCAACTTTCTTCCATCCAGACCCGCAGTATAACGTCAAAAAGCCTCTAGGCTATTCATGGCACCCCAAAGAGCTCGCACCTGTTCCTAAGGACTGGGTGGCGGAGACTGGCAATCTGGTCTGGCACAGAAACCACGAAGAAGGTGGTCACTTCGCAGCGTGAGTTCAGCCACCTTTCGAGCTGCTCTGCAAGACTCAATGACTGTGATGCTGATAACCAATCATTCAGGATGGAAAAGCCGGCGCTGTTTGTGAAGGATATGGAGGATTTCGTCAAGGAGGTGTGGCCGCAGGCTAGCAAGGCTAGGATGTAAAGGCAGCTGTCAATCAGCCACACCAGACAACGCGTATTATAATCGAGGACACTAGCTGTCAGAGAGCGGGCGCGCCGTTTAAACGGCACGATTCGCTTAAGAGAGTGAATGCGTGCGCCGCGCTACGTCTTTGCACACCTATTATCTTAGCGTTCCTGTTTTACACACAGAAGGACCCAGACCGAACGCTTCTCGCTAATGTATACGATTGCGCTCAAACGCCCTATTGGGCCATGACATCTACATAGCGTCCTTTCTTCTTGCCTTTTAATGTCCCGGATGCCCCCCTTCGCCCAGATCCGGCGGCGAGCAGATCATCCAGGCTACTAGCATTGCTCATGCTCGTCGGTGGCCTACTAGGCGGTGCGGAGGATGAGCCTGCTGCATCGGCGTTGATTCCGGCCATCGTCGGCGGCGGATGACTTGCACTGTCTGGCCCAGCAGAGCGGAAGGATGCCGGCGTACCTGCTCGCGACGGCGGTCCTGAGCCCGGTGGGCCGAAGCTGGCAGAAGGAGGCAGGGAACCCACTCCGCTTCCAACTCTGCTTGGCGGTCCGCTAGGCGGAGGCCCTGCCGCGACACTGCCCGCCCGACTACCTGGAGCCCGTGGCGGAGGCGGAGTAGCTGCAGCCGGTGTTGCCTCCTCCATCCCACCCTTCTTGTTGACCCACTTCTTCAGCTTTTCATCATAGTGGAACGAGCTCTCCTCGCCCAACTTCGCCTTGATGGGCTTGTTTAGCTCTGCACTTGGATCCTTCTTGAACCAGCCGCCAAACCAAGTGCCTCCAGCTTTGTCCTGGCCCTTGCTCTTGTCACGGGCGGCATCCGCTTCGGCTGCTTTGCGGAATGCTTCATCTGCTTGGCGGTCAGCCTGAGCCTTCTGCTGCGCTGCAGCACGCTTCTCCATTTCACTGTCATCTTCGTCAAGGTCCATAATGCCTTTCTTCTTCGGCTTGGGCGACTCATCTGCGGGCTCCTCCATCTCCGGTTCTGGCTGATAGGGCTGGTATGAAGGTGGTTCATATCCTGCAGTTGGCGGCTCGTATCCAGTCGATGTGGCATCTGGTACGTCCGCCATATGCTCGCCAACATCTTCGTGCATGTGCGCTCCGTTTGGCCGTCCATCGAACCCGTCTGAGCTGCCAGCGATACTGTTTGGATATTGCTGGGGCATTGGGTGTAGCCGCGGGCTATCTTCTTGCGGTGCGAAGCTGGACGTTGGCACATAGCTCCCTTGACTGCCCGGATCCTGCGCGGAGCCTCTTCTTGAGTCAGACGCGCCGTACGGCACACCATAATCAGAGGAAGGTCGGCCGATCTCAGAGTGTTGCGTATTGAGTCCGGTACTTTGCACGCCTAAACCAGCGCCTGTGCCACCGGGAGCGTAGCGCGAGAATGATGGTGCTCGTGGCGCGGAACTCGGTCGCTGATTATCGAAAGACGGCACACCGAGGTTACGTGTCACTTCTGTCGGGCTAGTGAAGGCACTGCCATCGACGGGCGACAACCCTGTCGAAAGCTGCGGAGTATACCTTGGGCCCGATGCATGTTCTGCGGCAGTCTTCTGTGCAGCGCCGTATGATGGTGCGTATCGCCCATTCGGCGCAGTGGATGGCATAAACGTGGCAGAAGGAGGCGTGGCCGCAGCCTGGGGCATGCTGCCTCCCATCATTACAGAACCGTACAAGTCTGACCCGGATGCGGAGCGGCTGACCTCGCCACTGACCCTGCCGAAGGGTCCACTCTCGTCGGTTCCAGCTATGCCCGCTGCAGCATTAGCGGCTCCTCGCGCATCGTCATCGCCAGACACGAATTTCGTAAACCAGTTGCCTGCATTGCTCGAGACGGTCTTCATAGCCGGCCTGCCAAACCAGCCGCTCTTGGCGTCCTGCGGCGTCTGGCTGAGGAAGGCACTCAAATCGCTCACAGCCTGTGTGAAGGTGGGGTGATAGTACTGGCTAGGTCGCGTAGTGGACTGATAGGCCTGGGTGATGTGATCGCAGTACGATTGCGCTTTCGTCTTCATGCCGTACGCCGCCAGTTGTTGCGCATGCAGAAACTTGAAGGACTGGAGATGCGGGACGTATGCGCCTGTTACGCTGGGTGCGGAGAGGGAGGAGGCCCACTCGTACACCTCCGTTAGAAGGATGGCGTCCAAATCGGAGCCGAAACTCTCATCTTTGCTTTGATGGTTCGCCCCCAGTAGGACGAAGTTCGCCTCCGCGTCGTCCGCGCCAGAATACTTGGGGGAAGTCCTCGCGAACAAGAAGCACGTATGCGCGGCCTCGATCCTGCCGTAGCTAGTAAGCAGCTTTCCAAGAGCCAGAATGCTTGGTCCATCGTTCGATGTGCGATTGCTTGTTACGAGACCCAGCGTCTCGCGCCATTGGTCTAGGCCATCAAGAGGATTACTGCTAGCCATCCCATCCGTCTTGCTCACCATCTGGAAACCCGCTCTTGCACTCGGAGGCACAAGCTCATCCACACACTCTTCGCTGTTGCCTGCAAAGATCTGATACAGAGTGGCCAGACTTCTCCCGTCTGGGCCCACGCTCTTGACTTGGCTGCGCACAAACGATTGAATGATCTGTTTCCAGGTCTCTGGTGCCATGGTTGATGCGATCAGCATAGCGTGGCCCCACAGCTTCTTGTCTTCTGCAAGCCACACTGCGCGCTCGCGATGACCCTCGAGCAAAGCTTGGCGAAGCTGCGCGAGGACCTGCCGGTCGATGGGCTCGCCCGTAACCGCGCTGGTGGCAGACGTCGGACTCTGTAGCTCCATCACTTGGTTCATTTGCGCGAGATGCGGCAACAGGATCTTGCGGACTTCGTCGTCGATCTTCGGGTTGCCCTCCAAAGCGCCATCATGCTCGACGTACAGTCGCATGATCTTCCAAAGCAGCACTCTCTCTTCGGCCCGCTTCTGCATGTCAGGCGAAAGGGTGTAGTCCAGACTTGCCGCCTCAGCACTTTGCTCCAAATTCTCCACCTTAACACTCAGCCAGGCAAGAACATCCTTCTTCTTGCCCTTCGACCGCGCCGGCAGCGGGCCCGGAAACTTGACGTCTTGCTCCCCTAGCGGCAGAACCGAGGCAATGTCTTGTATCTTGACATCTCCAGGCGTGCACTTCACGTTCGGCATACCCTGACCGGAAGCGTAGAAAGGCGTCTGCTTCGGAAAGCTTGTCACGACGGAACCAGCAGCACTCCACACGAATATGGGGCCACCTTTCCAACGCTCCAGCGGGTCCTGGGCTCTCTCGTCCTGCGGTGCAGCGAAGGTAAGCTCGAGTGAGAAAGTCCGCCGGTGAGGCAAGGCTGGTCCCCTCGGTGGCTGTACTGCAGGTGCAGCAGGCCGAGAAGCATACCCTGATGGGGCGCCACCGGCGGCGGATGTAGGCCGCTCCGCACGCGGGATGGCGTGGTTGGCTTGCTTCACGGAGGCTGTAGGGGACTGTGTCCATGGCCTTGGCGGAGGTGGTTGGGTGTTCTGCTGTATGTTTGCCGGGTCGGAAGGTGAGTACCTGTTCACCTTCCGTTCTGGCGAGAGCGACCCGGCGGCAGTAGTTGTGATACCGTTGACCTTGGATGGGCTTGTCGCCGTACCACGGTGTGCATCACTCGGAAGAGGCGGGTGCGGTTTCTCAGCGAAGGCAAGCGGGCTGCTAGTGCGTGGGGCGAATTGATGTGCAGCGATGCTAGGCGGACCACTCACAGGAGCAGCAGAGGCGTGCCGCTTGGTCGGAGGCTGAGTCGTTTGCGCAGCTGACGTCGGCGGATACTTTGACGGCGCTGACTGCTGAGCGGACAACGGGTTTGGGGCAGGAGAGTATCGCGAAGGTCCTGGGGCTGGTTGGAGGCTTGGTGAATAACGTGTTGGTGCAGTGTGTGGGGGCGGATGAGTCGGGGCTGCTGTGGGTTGATCGGGCAGCAACGGCATTCTGTCCGGTTGTCTTAGGCCGCCATACGTGGCTTGCTGTTGCTGCGGTTGAACAGACTGTTGTATCGCAGAGACTGATCCCCGCAGTGATTGAGCCTGCGGCATTCCAGATAGTGCTTGTGCTTGTCGCCCTGACACCACCGCGGACATGCCTGGCTGCATTGCTTGAGGCAAGGCGGGGGAAGGAGTGGGCTGCGGAGTCGGAACTTGAGCGGATCTTGCCCTTGCCTTTGCGGTCGTCGGCAAGTCAGCAAAGAAACCACTACTGGCGCCGGGCGTATCTTTTGGGTTAGCCGTTGCGGAAGCAGCACGAGGTGCGGTCGCACTCAGGCCGTGGCTTGACGTAGGTGGGCTGAAGCTACTGGTTGAAGGTGGACGTGCAGCGTTCTGAGGAGGCATTGCTGGTGACGGGGCAGGTTGACTATAACTGCTCGTCCTTGGTGGTGGCGCTGGAGCGGACACAGACGGCTGCTGCTGGACTTGCTTCTTCCTGGGTTTCACGACCTCCATTGGCAAATCGTATGGAGACTGGTATCCACCTTTCGACTTGTCCGCAAAACTTTGCGCACCTTGTAACGCTGGCCTCGGAGCAGCTTGTGTAGTCTGGGTAGGCTGGTTGTTGTAAACGTCATACAACCCGGTGTCAGGCGTGCCACCTGCTCGCCCATGAGACTGGTTAATGAAAGGTGCCGGAGCTGAATAGGGACTTTGCCGTGCTGCTTGCTGTGCTTGCTGAGTGTTTGCGGGCCGGTATTGGTTTGTTGAACCTCGCGGAATCGGCTGAGTTGGTGCAGATGGCTGTACTTGCACAGGCTCTGACAAGAACGGCTCATCCTCCAGTAGACCTTCATCATCGTCGCCAAAGAACTTTGAAGGGTCAAGCTCGTTCGACTCGTCTAAAAAATCGTCGTCAGCTAGCGCAGCTTGCCATGCGGCCGCTAAATCCTGACTTTCTCCCAGCGCAGATTCCGGTACAGCATCCGGCGCTGCTACCTCGCCAAGACCTTGGGCCGCTGCATCCTGCTCTACAAGCTTTTGTGGTGGTTCGGCTCGTTCGTATTCTACAAGTTGGTCCAGCTCATTGGTTCCAATATGCGTTGGCCATGACTCTGCTGCGCCGTGCTCGCGCACACTACCATTCTCTGCATTGTGCTCGCGGTCAAGGAGCTCGCCAAAAGTCTTGTCATCGCTAGCAGCAGGCCAGACCTCTTCACTTGCCTGCTTATCATGCAGCTCCGGTTGTGGTGGAGGCTCGGTGAAGTTGGTGGTGAAGCTCCGATCGATCGACGGTGCTGCTTTGTGCGCTTTCGAAGGCGACTGGATCGGCGACTCTTGATCGTCTACCGGCATAGTAGAGGCTCTGCTCGTGGCGCCTATGGTTGGTATCTCCTCCTCATCCTCCAGGAGTGGTGCGACTGGATCCTCGTCTTGCGCCGCCTCCATCTCGGTAACCTCGCCCTGGTGCTCGTACCGTTCCTCAGGATGTGTCGCCTCCTCGTGATCTGGTGGCGGCACATGCGCGTGATCCGTTTGCTCCGTTTGCTTAGCCACCTGCTGTACCGCTGCTGCCTGGCCTAACGGAATATCTGGCATCTTCGCCTTCAGATCGTGCTCTTGCTCTGCGATACTCTCATTGGGGCCTCGGAACACTTGCTCCTCATCATCATATTCTTCGGCTCCATTCGCAAGAACAACACCCTCTTCCTCGTCATGCTCATGATGCGTGATCGGGCCTTCAGCCTCCGTGAATGTTCGCGGCCCTTTGCTGAGATCCTCGGCTGATGGTTCATCGTGCGTGATGTCCAGTACATGCTGGACGCTAATGCTCTGTCGTCTTGCCGCGTTGTACTCGTCATGCGCCGACTCGAGTGCCAGTGAAGGGATGACACTGCGCCGTTGTTGCTGCTTCTTGGGAGTCGCGTCGGGATACCGTTGGTAGAACTCGTCGTCGCTTTCTGGTGGACCGTCTGCTGTGTGCACGCGATCTACGTTATCAGATCTGAGCGCAGGGTTCCAGGATGCTGACTGCGATGGCGCATCGGTGGCGGTAGTAGGATATGCGCTGCCAAAGTTTGGATAGTTCTCCTCCTCCTCCTCCATTATGGGTATGCCTTAGCTATATTACAATCGTCTAGTGGTACTGCAACGGGTTACCATTAGCATGCGACTACCCCAAGACATGTACGGAGTAGCTGGTCCAAGGGATGACGCCGCCTCGGTATATTGCTTACCATATAATGACGCTCAATCGCTCGACTAATGCATTGTAGACCGTCCCAAAACCATTTGAACTATTCCGATGCGCATTCGAGTGTCGCTGTCGGTGGTCCAGGACGGGGTAGGTAAGGAGAGAGAGGTCACGTATCGTGCACGTATCTAGGTGCGGCTGGTCGGGAATGACCGGCTTAACCCTTAACTCCACCTCCACCACCCTGCTACGATGTTCTTCCACGTTGCATGGTTAACCACGACGAGTCATCGCTGTCAGCACTAGTTAACGAGATCAAAATCACGGCTACGTTCGTCGGCGGTATTCAACTGTCGCTGATATTGAATCCCATCGCATCTGGTGAAAGCGCCTCAAGTGTATCAATCTGTACAAATGCATCTATCCGCGCTTTCTACTGAGCTCAACTCATCTCAGGCCTTTCGCCTTTTGGCCCCAGCGCCCTTCTGCGCCCCGGAACTCACGGCCCCATTAGCCTTCTCCCTCAACCTTTCACTCTCGTCCTTCTTACCCTCCGTAGCATCCTTCGCATCCGCCGGCGCCTTGAGCGGCTGCGCAGCCTTCTTTTCCTCCACCGGCTCATCATCACCACCCTGCCCGAACTCGTTGACTCTGCTGTAGTCGACCTTGTAAGCCCACGCTTGATACAGATACACGAAGAAGATTACATCGTCCCGCAGCGTGGCGAGACGGTGCAGGACCGGCATCTTGATTGTGAAGGCGAAGAGGTCATCAATGAAGGTGTTGAGGAATTTGTACATCATCGTTTTGGCGGGCATGTGGGCAACGGATTTGAGGCGGTAGTTGATGTATAAGCTCGGAACCTACACAATTGTGTTAGTTTGTTGGTAGAGGCTACTAGCGCGAGTGTGACGTACCATCATAAGAAATCCGTAAGCGTACACGGAGCCGACCAGGGTAGTAATGATGAAGCTGTACCAGCTCTTGTGGCTTTCGTAGATGAGGGAGTAGACGGCGTAGGCGAGGAGCAACGGGATAGCGAGGATGCCCATGTACTTGAAAGCAATGGCGTCATATTCTTCAGTCTTCTCTTCCGTTTCAGAGAGTTTGTGCTTGTCTTCGAACACCACCGTCTTCGGCAGTCCAAGTTTAGCCGCCCAGCTGTTGGGAGGCGGATCGCGAACGCGGACATTGACTGTTTTGGTGACCTTCCAAGCTTCAATTGCAATACCCATTCCTTGTCCGAACATGATCATCCACGATGTGTTCTCGTTGTTGTCGAGAAGATAGAGGAAAATGATACCTTGCATAACGACGTTGGAAAGAATGGTCCGAACGGAGACACCAACATTGTCCTTCTTCTTGCGCCAATGCCCGACATCGGATTTGAAGGCCAGCAGCTCGAAGACCATATGCAGGATCGTCACGACAGTCGTTGTACCAAGCAGCCAGGGGTTGGTATTCAGAAGTGTTTCCTTAATCAATTCCATTTCGCTTCCATCGCCGCCCCCAGGGGTAGTTTGGCCTTGAGCAGATTTGCGGGCGGTCTCCTTCATGCCTTCGTCCATAGACGCCATCACAGTAAACCGCCAGTTGGGCAACGCGCTGACTCCGACATTAATGGGTAGTACATCCACAGGGTCCGTGGCGTTCAGCTCGGTCATGTGGGTCTTGAGTTGCCAGAAAGTGTTGAGATAGACGACGGGGTAGTACCAGCCATTCTTGCCGGTAGCGTCCCGTGCGCCGGTCGCTTCGAGAGTATAGAACTGTTTCACTGCAGGATGTAGCGATCCATACTGTGAGGGTCCAGCATCCGGAATAAAGTCAAGCGTGAAGTTCGGGTGATAGTACGATGCAATCAGCGGTCCGGTCTCCTCGGCCGGTTCTTCGGTTACGTCTGTTCCATTCTGCGCTTCCAACAAGTTACGCGTCTTGCGAACCTTCTTCTTCGCCAGATATTGCGTAAGAGGCCGCAGCATGCGATACGCTTTACTTGGGTCGTATGCAGAACTCGATGGATCCAACTCCGCTCCAGACTGTGCAACGAAGATGTGCGCCCAAAGTGTGCCATTGTCTTGCACGGCCTTGGGCACGCGGAAGCTCTTGTGAACCTCCCTGTGGTCCTTCTTACCCTTCTCCATGCTGAAGCCCTTCTCCTCAACAATCAAGCTGTCTGTGGGCATGCTGCTCAGTCTTGGTATCGCAATACTCGGGCTGATGTACATGCTCACGTCCACTGACACATTACTTGGCCATAACGGGAAGACGGTCTCCGGTACCATACTATAGTCGGTAATTGGTTGTGCCGAATCCATGGGAACCATCTCTGGTGTTGCCGCGGGTTTCTGCCCGCCTCCGCCCATAATCTGACGAATGAGAAACTGGATGCCAATAAAGATGGCAATGTTCTTGCCAATCGACCATGCTTTGTCCTCCCAACTCTGTCCTGGCTGTGCTGCGGCAGCATCGCCGGCGCGTGCTGCGGACATGTTGGCGGTGGAGACTGTTTGTGACTCGCAAGTCTATCCCAGGTCTCCCGTTGTTGTGGCCGGAGTCCAATGCTGTAGCTCCCTAAGATATTCTAGTCGCCATGTTTTTTAATAGGTGTCAGACAAATATGGAGGCATTGGAGCATACGTGGGGCATAGCGGCGCCACTCCGGCAGTCAGCCTTATCGCGGCTCCAGTGGAGCAACACCCGGCTTAGTAAGGTCGTTATCCATCATCACCGGTGCAGCGCTGCCTGTCTCAGACTCACTCTCGTGACCGCTCAACTCTTCCTACGATCATCTCACTACTCGATGACGCTTGATGTAAATACATCATAGCTTTGTGCTCCGCCAATCGCACATTGAATAAATGAGTTGCAAATTGTAACATTGGTGATTGCATCCGCATCCGGCACTCGGCTGGCTGGCTGGAACGACTCCCGCAACGTCCATATCGCCCTTCAACCGCGCCAGCTGCGCGACCTGAACGTGCAGCATGTTCTCCGAATATGCCTCCCGCTTCCTCCAGCAAAGTAACGCCCGTCTGTCCTTCACGCAAGAGCAGCAGCAACAGCGACCCACATCCCGTAACCCGCTGGACCGACGGCGTCAGTACGCGCCGCGACCGAGCATGAGCAATCCATACCAGCCTTCAGCGTCGCAGTCCCGCTTTCCGTTTGCTTCGCGACTCGGTAGAACGAACGAGTCGCAAGCACCGCTATTCTTCAGCACAACCGAAGACTTTCCGGAGGAAGATGATGAAAGCGAGCAGCACGATCGAGATGTCGCGGATGCGTGGGCGTTGCAGCGGAGTCGGCAGCACTTTGGCCGCAGCAACTTGACCGAAAGCTCAGAGCTAGATGACGATGGTATGGAGAAGGTAAAGCTGGCAGGACAGGATCACGATAGAGACGAACGCGGGAGGGCGCCGGCATCACGAGCTACGAGTCGAACGACGAGTGCGCCGGAGTCAGTGGCAAGCTCGCCACCCAGCTCGAAAGGACGAGGGAGGCTAGTAGACGTCAATCTGGCGAGCACAATCCAAGAAGATCCATCCGAATCTCTTGTCGGGGACTCGCCGGTTGACGTGGACGAGCCTCCTGCACCGTTCCAGACATTCAGAAGTTCAGCGAAGGATGCGCGGCAAAGCTACTTAATGCCCATGGAGACGGACGAGGAGGCGAACATTGCCATGCCTAGGCCACCATCACCGAGTGGAGAAAGTGTACCCCCGACGATCATTCTACCCGCGCAGGAGCCGCCGAAGCACGACGTATTTTGGGCCAATATCTTCCAGATATCGCTCTTTGCGATGTTCGCTGCATTCGTACTGATCTGGTTTCACACCTCTTCGCCAACCAAGAAGACCCCACTTGGAGACACCATCTACAGCGCGCTAAGAGGCAGTACTAGCATGCTTCTTTGGGACACAATGATCGCAACCACTGTCGCTCTCGTCTGGCTTGCCCTCCTCCGAAGCTATGTGCGTACCTTTGTGTACCTGATTCTCCTAGCCGTGCCGGTCATCCTTTTCTCCTTCACCCTCTATCCCCTAATCAACTCCTTCCGAGGCACCTACCATGGCGACAGCATCCAGGACCGCGCTATGCGATGGCTTTCTCCGATACCCGCTGTTCTTGCTGCAGTCTGGACGTGGCAAGTCATTCTCTCTCGCCACAGCCTCGCCAAATCCATCAGCATCCTCGAGTTCAGCACTAAAATCCTCGCTTCTTCGCCTTACCTTATTTTTCTCGGCTTTGCCACGCTCGGAGTCGTAGTGGGATGGACCTGGCTTTGGATGCTCATGTTCGAGCGCATCTTCCTGTCTGGCCATTTCAGCTCCACAGACACGAAGAAATGGCTGATCGACGCCAACAGCTGGTGGCTCGGCGCTTACTTCATCCTGCAGTACTTGTGGACTCTCGGCGTGATTGCGGGCATTCAACGCACTACCACCGCCGCAACAGTGAGCCAATGGTACTTCCACCGCCTCGCCGTGCCGCAGCCGAGCAGCCAGGAAGTTGTGCGGGCTAGTTTCCAACACGCGACCAGTGCTCTATTCGGCACGACGTGTCTGTCCACCTTCCTGTCCCTGCTTGTCCGACTGCCACTCATCATCCTCCCAGGAAGACTGTCCAGTCTGGTCAACATGTGCGCTTACTGGATTATTCCCACCTCCCTGGCCACGCTCACCAATCCGCTTACCCTGACATATGCGGCCATCCACAGCCAACCCCTCGGCATCGCCGCTCGTGGGCTGGGCCAGTTATCCTTCATCTCCCGCACCAACCCCTCCAACACCATGGGACCTCGCAACTTCGCACCCAACAACGGAACAGTCGTCCCATACCACCTTGCCAAACTCCTCCTCACCGCAACACGCTATATCATGTCGTTTGCCCTAGGTATGGCCGGGTGGGTGCGCACAGCGCATAACCTGCAAATCAGCGATGGCGTGAGGGGAAGCCTGTACGCTTACATTGTCGGCTTGGTGGCGGGTACGATCGGGTTTGCGGTGCTCGGGGCTGTGGAGAACGTGGTCGGCGCGGTTGTTGACGCAGCGGTGATCTGTTGGGCTAGTGAGACCGGTGGGAGGGGGGAGGCGAGGTTTTGTCGGGAAGCTGGGGAGTTGTTTGGAGGTGAGAATTTGGATCAGGGTGTTATGAGGAGAGGGAGGTATTGAGTTCTGTGGCCTGGAGTGGTATCTATTTGGGACACATACGCTTCGTGAAGTAGTGCGACTCCTATAATGAGACCTTGAAAGCCATGTGAATCCCATGCATGAACATATTGCATTGCGTAGGACTGGGGCTGCCGCGCGTACTGAACGTACTACTACCTGCCGAATCTGCCGTGCTGAAAGCCTCACGTGATGCTCCCCCGCTCGGAATTCAGGTACTCTGAACTTTCTGAATGAGTTCTCCTGCTTCCGAGCCTGTAACGTGTTGCAACATTTTTTTTGGTGCGATCTACCTCGTATTAGACTTCGTATCGTTGCCCTGTGATCGTTGTAGGAGCAACTGGATAACGCGGCATGCACATACCGTCTCAACGCTTGTCGCACGTCTGCTGGCCGATAGATGCCATTGGTTAACGTTTCACGAAGTGTGGGTAAGCGCCACAATCCTTTGTGCATTTGGTTGCAGCTGGCCACGAGCACATCCACTTCAAGCGCAGTGATCGTCCACGATGGGCGAAAGGCTCGATGCTTGTGGTGCTTATCTCCATGTCAGGCACAAGTAACATCTCTTTCGTACTGTTCTCTTTGTTTGTCCTTGTCAAGAAACATCATTCGCTCATTACAAGAGTCTACAGCTTGCCATTCGACATGGCGAGCCTGGTCCAGGCAGTGCTCTTTACATTCGCTACGCACACATTCGCTCAATCCATCTCAGATCTTGGTGTATCTGGTGGAAATGGCAGCCGAGGAGGCATCGGAGACGGTGACCACCCAGTCATGCATGCCCAGGCATACATCACGGACGCCATGATCCCACTGGCACCCAACACTACCAGACAGCTAGCCCAAGGGACAGCACCTGTACTCTCTCGCACTAACAACAGCGGAACATGTGGCAATTTCCGCTTCGTCGTCGTCGATTCCACCAGCAACGGCGCAAGGCAACAGATGGTTGGCTTTGGTCACGCGTGGACTGATAGCGCAGTGGATGTGTTTAATACCCTGCAGCCTGCCGTCCTTGATCAGGTCATGAACGACCTCTTTGGTCAAAGCGGCAACAACATGGGCTTTATGAGACACACCATCGGCTCAAGTGATCTCAGTGGCGCGCAGTACTCGTACGACGACAACGGACCTAGCTTCAACGAAGGCGAGCCGGATCCAAGTCTCGCGAACTTCTCACTCGGCCAGTATGGAACAGCAATGGCTCAAATGATTGCAAAGATGGGCACCTACAAGGGTGACGTCTTCCTTTTCGGCGCTCCGTGGTCGTTACCAGGCTGGATGAAGAACAACGATCTATTCATCGCTGGAATCACCAATACGCCTGGAGGACAATATCCGTTGCTCAACAACTCTTTCAATATTGGGTACATCCCACAAGCTGTGGAGTACTTCACGAAGTACATCGACGCCTTCGCACAGTACGGTGTTACCATCAACGGTCTGTCGCTCGAGAACGAGCCCTTGAACTACCAGGGTGGCTATCCTACCATGTACCTCGACGCTGCCGATGAGGCGAACATCCTCAACCAAGGTCTAGGAAGTATGCTTCAACAGCGAGGAGTGCTCGCAATGGCATACGACCACAACACCGATCAGCCTGTCTATCCGTACCGGGTCTTGCAAGGAGCACCGAGCTACGCCCATGCCGTTGCATGGCATTGCTATCAAGGGCCGTATCCTAACTATACCGTGATGGCAGACATTTCTCGCGCCTTCCCAGGCACTCTACAATTCATGACCGAGTGCTCCAATTACCTCCCGGCCGCTGGCTCGGTCAACTTTGAAGTCGCTGAGAACTTCATCCCACCGGTTCAGCAGGGTGCATCTGGCGCTGCAATGTGGGTTATGGCCACCGACCCCGACTTTGGTCCGCATTCACCTTACGGAGGATGCAACGGCTGCCTCGGAAGCATTGTTGTGAATTCCAGCACGACATACACGAAGACCAACGACTATTACATGATTGGCCAGTTCTCTCGCTTCGTTCGCAGAGGTTCAGTCAACTACAACGTTTTGCGGGGCAACGAGGGTAGCGGCGCGACGAGCAACCAGTTCTACGTTATGTCAGTCCAGAACCCGGACGGGTCATGGGCTGTGGTCTTCATGAACAACATGGGCAGCGACCAAGACGTTGTGCTTTCATTCACTGGTCAAGGCAACCAGTTTTGGGAAGGCGTGGTGCCGAGCCAAACAGTGACTACCTGGCTCATCCCGTCGCAGCAGGTACTGAACCAGGTGAACGGAACCAAGGCTGCAAGCACTGTACCTCCGTACCCATTCACCAACACCACCTCCATTCCGTTGACCGGATCAACGACTATTGCTGTGTGCAACATCACCACCGCAACAACATCGAGCAGCAGTAGCTCTACGAGCACCACGGCACTACCAGTACCGGATACCACGCATACGATTGCTACAACGAGCATGGTGTAAGAGCACTTGCGAGAAAGGACGAGTCAACGGCAAATTATAGAGATAGAGGCATTACAATAGATGGGATCATGTGTCTCGGGTGCAACTTAACGTGTGAACGAAGATCATAACGATGTGTAAAGCTACGCTAATGAACCGTAATTGGTCGCATACCGTATCACATCACTCCTGCGAACCCTAAGTCCAACCGAAACGTTCACGAATAGTTGCAGTGTACCAAGTTATCAATGTCAAGCACCGTCTGTGAGGTGGTGATCGCACCGTTCGCCACGCCGAAGGTGACGTTTTGCAGCTTAACGTAGGTTGAGGGAAGGGTGGCGAGGTTGAGCGTTGCGGCGGTCGGGCTTGTCGGCGCAAAGGCAAATGTGACTTCAGGAGCCTGCTGGCCATTGGTGTAGTAGCCGGTGACCGCGATCGTACATCCCTCGGAGGCGGTCACGAGAGAGGTATGGTCGTCCAGCACGCAGCCTGAGCGAGTCAGCGGGTATTTTACCGGACAAGGAAACGTAGACTTACCGAAGTAGAAGCTTTGGAGGTTGAACGACTTTGTGCCGGGTGCAGCGGTGATGGTGCCGAAGGGTTGCAGGCTCACAGAGCCAAGCTGAAGTAGATCCTCCGCCATTGTCGCCGCGGCAATGTTCGGGCTTGATTGGGGGATAACGCCGGCAACGCCGACGACAGGTTGCTGTATAAGCAGTTAGCCATTGGGACAGCGCTGTCGGGAAGATTTTAAGCCACTCACAGCCACGACGAAGGCACCATACTGGAGACCATGGTAAGTGCCCACAGGGCTAAGCTGCGGTGCCACGAGGTTGGCAGTCAGGTCATCGTACTGCTTTCATATCAGAAAACAACTCGGCAACGGTAGGATCTGGAACTTTCGAACCGTGTCGGTGTAGGTCTTGCAGTTGTTGGAAGAGTAGGAGGAGGAGCCCGAGTTTCGGTTCTCAATTACGGCACCAAAGACGCCAGCACAGAGGGAGAGGATAGCGGCAGATGTCTTCATTTTGTAATGTGAGGAAATGATTTACTGGGAGAGTAGAAATCGGAGAAGATCGAGCTTGGGGATATAAGAGTTGCGAAACTGGTTGCAAGCTGCTGAACACAGATGTTACGAACAGGAGCGAGAGGCAGACTTTGTAGTAGCTCTCGCGGTTGTTGAACGGCCACTAGCATGGCATCACTAACCTCGTCATCTCGCCGAATACGACATCCCTCAATTCAAGAGCGTAGTCTCCCCATCTGCACAGCTACATGGCTGGTGTCCGCTCGGACGGCTGAGGGCTTGCATTAACACCTCCCTTCGTGCTAACGGTAAGTTGTAATGGTGCAGACCTGGTGGTAGGAGTGCTGCATATCGTTACCGGTCAGCGTAATGTTTCGTGCAACGGTCCGCGTTTAGCACGGAGTGGTATACAAAGGTCAATCGAAGCGTGGTGCCACAATCGTCATATAATCGACGTCGTGTCACCCTTGGGGTAGCTTGTATGCAATAATCTCTTGGAAGATTACTCATACGGTGTGCCGTGTGGAGCAATTTGCCCATGGTCTCTCCACGCTTGCCTGGCTCTTAGCCGGAGGTGGATTCGGTTGGTTACAGTAGTTCGAGGATCGACCTCTGGATCGACGTCCGAGGAACCTCATAGGGATACTGCAAAGATTCGCGAAGTTGTTCCGGGACCGCGATCTCGTGCATTAGTCCGCAACTTCAACCCGGTGGTCGGCGTAAGCAAAACCGACGAGATGTAGACGCTGGATAACGTCACACGCCTGCAATGACTCGTTTCAAGGTTTGATTGTCTACGAATGTGGCGGTTCGTAGATACTTAGTTGTACGGAGTTCGTAGTAGCTACAAGGATCCAAGATGACTAGGCAGTGCACAGATTATGGATCACGTGCACTACGCCGAATATACACGCACAGACCATCATCATAGGGCTTCGGCAATTTGGGCCGTAAAAGACGTTCGTTCTCGACAGTCATGATAATGGTGCATGCAGTCAACCACGAATTATTACTGTTTCCGTTTTGAGGGAGTAATCTAAGTGTGCAGGAATGCTCCATACGCAGTTGCCGTGATGCGACCCCACGTTAGCGCCGTCCGGGCGCTTCGCCACCACCCCAGGATATCCCAGTGCCGCTCATTGTCATCTACAGCGTCGAGGAGAGCAGATTTTACACATGCGATTATAGGTGCTGGAGCGGTCGGACTTGCGATCGCCCGACGCTTACAGCAGGTAGATGGGGCTCAGGTTCTGCTCATCGAGAAACATGGCATGGTTGGTACAGAGACAAGTAGCCGTAACAGTGAGGTATGCCTCAAACGTCTCATACATCTCTGCTCCAACGCTGAAGCGCCTTCACTAGGTCATCCACGCAGGACTGTACTACGGTCATGATTCTCTCAAGACCAAGCTCTGCCTTCAAGGCAAACAGATGATGTACGAATACTGTGAGCGTACAGGTGTACCTTATATGAACTGCGGCAAATGGATTGTCGCTCAGAACGACCTCCAGATGGAGGAACTTCATAAAGTGCATGATTTCGCAAAGTCCATTGGCGTTCCGATCCATTTTGTACCCAAAGATGAAGCTAAGCGACGTGAGCCTGACGTCCGAGCGGAGGCAGGCGTGCTCGAATCGCCTAGTACGGGCATTGTAGATTCGCATGGGTTTATGCGACAGCTGCATGCCGACTTCGAAGATTTGGGAGGGATGACAGCATTAGCGAGTCCGGTCAGCAAGATCCAGCCGCCTACACATGGTCAGCGACAGTGGAAGATCTGGACTGCACCTCCCCGAGCCAGCGAGCCGCAAGCATCATCACCGAGTGCTGCGACGCCCGAGCAGGAAGGTGCAGGTGATGACGAGGCTTCAATCACCGCAGAGACATTGATCAACTCTGCCGGCTTGTATGCTTGTGGGATCAACAATATGGTCTTGCCGCGTGATCGGCATCGAACGCCTTTCTATGCCAAGGGAACGTACTTTTCGTACTCGAAATCCCATCCCAAGCCGAGAACCCTCGTATATCCGGCTCCTGTGCCCGGCCATGGCGGACTAGGTACGCACTTGACGCTCGACATGGCAGGCCGTGTCCGTTTTGGCCCAGATGTGGAATGGGTGGACTCACCGAACGACCTGGCGCCCACTGGCAATAGTGCGCGTTTCGCAGCCGCATTGGAAGACATCAAGTCTTACTTGCCGGGCATCGACACCGAGTCGATCGCATTGGACTATGCGGGCATTCGACCAAAACTCGGTAAGCTTGGTGCTGTTGCAAGCGGAAAAGGCTTCCAAGACTTCTACATTAAGATGGAGGAAGGCTACGATGGGTTTGTGAATCTATTGGGTATTGAAAGTCCTGGCTTAACAAGCAGCTTGGCGATTGCAGAAGAGGTTCATGGTTTGCTATATAAGTGAGACTTGCTTATCCGGTAAGTGCTGACCCAGCCTGATTGTAACAACTCCAATGCTGACAGAATACAGATGTCCACAATACTGTGCCGAAACCACCGCTTTTCAATCCTTGTATATCATTGTGAACCCAACGCCGTCGCTCAAAGCATCTCGTTCGATCATTACCATGGAAACCGGAATCCCACTCTCGTGCTCGCTTTGCTCAATACGACAGCTAGACTACGACGAATTCTTCGAAGTCGAGCTAGGTTACTTCAACGCAGCAATCATTGCCCTCGCTTCAGCCCGTCGTGCTCCGGCTCTGGTGTCTTCCTGGGGCGGCGACGGTCTGCTCTTTGGTAGGAACTTTGACTTGAGGAGTTGAGCCGTTGAGCTTGTGGTTGATGTAGTCGTTACCGATGCGGCATCTGATGTAGTAGATTTAGACTGCTTCGAAGCACCGTTCTGCGAGTCGAAGAGGGTGACACCGGCTGCTCTGAAACCTGGTGGCAACATCGTTGTGTTGGTGGTTGCGTTGGTGAGTTGGTTGGACGGTAGAATGATTCTTGAAGTTTATGTAGAGTTGGAAAGCTTGTAAGCTTTGCTTGAGGCTTGTTTGTGAGAGTGTGGGTTTGGGAAAGCTTGTGCAACGCCGAAGGATCATGAGCATATATATACAGGACATTAATGCCTCAAGGCTTCACTATTCATGACTGCTTCTTCATGTCCGAAGCCGAGGTCATCGCATTGCTCAGCCTGGTGGCTTTGCCGAATCAGACCGGATTGAGTCACAATGAGGCTTCTACCGACCCGCGATGGAGCTCACGAGGCGTCTGACAGACACATCTCCCGCCCTACCGTCAACACCGGAGTTCAGGAAATGGAATGCACACAGCCCTGAAGGCCAACCACGTTGTCCAGGTTGATCAGGCAGAAGCTGACACCAAGCTTGTCATTGGCCATTGAAAGTCCACAGGGCTGTGCGGAGTTCGCTTCGAGCTAGGCGTCCAATATCCGGTGACTCAGATGGAGGGTTAGAAGAACTGCTACTCACCGCTTACGCGACCTCGCTCTCGCTCTCGCATGCCAGCCGCTGAGTCAGGCAGTCACATTGTTATTGGAACGCCACGAATGGTGAGATCGATTTGGGCCCAGGCGTGACGGGACAGTACGGTTACTGTACGGACTTCGCAGGGGCGATGCTGACTGGTCGAATAAGCGACTTCAAACCAGAACGCGTCTGGCTAATCATGGTCAATCCCGCTGTCGTCGGCTTTCCAATGGGAGTCATAGTCAGCTAAGAAGTCCGTTGCATAGGCGAACCATTCAGCCAACATTCTCAACGCCGTGCGAATGCTTCGTGCTGAATCTACTGCCAAGCACCTACGTCGTCCCATCTTGATGACACGTACTAGCAACCCTGAGCAATGACTCCCGCCTACAGCACGGAGTCTGCTCTATGGCAAGATATGCTTTGAGCAAAGCGGGAACACATCGATTGCTCAGTGATGGCAGAGTTCAGAGCAAGCAGAGGCTCAGTGTGAACCCCTTTTGGTCAGCGTACGTGATCTGGAACACAGTCGAACGCTCTCGGCGCGGCTCAATTCTACCTGCATAGAAGTGATTGCCCCGCACCTTGGTATGTTTCCAAGAGCCATTCTGTAGGTCTACCAACAGCGGTAGGCAGCAAGCATGTCTCTAGATGGGCAGCCAGGTGAGCTACAAGGGAGAAACTTTCAGCATTGCCAGGCATGAAAGAAATCACTTTTACAAGTTGACGAAGGCGATCACACGGCTATATTTTCGTGGACGCCGACCTTATGATCTGTGCAACATCACCACCATGATAGACGTAACCCAACAGACCTACCAATGTCCACAAGCGGACCGTCAGACGTGAACATAAGATAAGCTGCTGACACAGCATGTGAGCGTTCTGACAACTATGTAAACTCTATACATGTAGGCTACAATATCTGCTTTGCCAAAGGTACAGCTTGTATGGCTTGGGGCACCCATGTGTAAACACCACTCGTTCATCTTGGCCACCGTAACTGCCAAGATGGGAAGCGCGGCCCGGTGACGTAGATGTGGGGAGTTCTGTACGATAGAAACGCAGGAACAGGGAAGACCTCACGTGTGACCAAGCTCAAGCTCGTCTTCAGTGTCGCGTGAGCTACCCTATACAACGTTGCTTCAAAACGGATGTGACTTTCTAGCTGGTAACCCTGTGCGCTCACGAAGACAAACCAGGCTCACTGTCAACATGGTCTTTGGCAAAACGCACGATCGTGGCAGTCTAGATGCCCAGGGTAGTGCACAGGACGGCGCCACCGGCACCGACAATGAAAAGCAACATGGCTTCATGGATAAGCTCAAGGACAAGTTCAAGGATTCGAATCTCCATGAGATGAAGGTTAGCGCGGTCCATCTGAAGCATCGAATCGGGAAGTTTGGGAACCTGGTCAACCGCAACCACAGACACGACGAGGAGCATGAGCAAATAACAGATGCCAAGCGAACCCGCATTGCCGAAGGACATCGCTTTCAGTCCTACGCACCCGAACGGGATGGTAACTGCGTGAAGTGGTACATTGATGGCCGTGACTACTTTCACGCAGTTTCCGTGGCACTTGAAAAGGCCAAGGAGACCATATATATTGCTGACTGGTGGCTAAGCCCGGAGCTATTCCTGCGGAGACCTCCGCACTATCAACAGAAGTGGCGTCTGGACTACACTCTCAAGCGTGCCGCCGAGCGAGGAGTAAAGATATACATCGTCGTTTATAAAGAAGTCGAGCAGGCAGTGACCTGCAACAGCGCTCATACTAAGCATGCACTTGAAGCTCTTTGTCCAGAGGGCACTCCAGGGCACCGCAACATTATCGTGATGCGGCACCCAGATCACAACGTCTTTGAAAACGCCAGTGACATGACATTCTACTGGGCACATCACGAGAAGTTCATCGTAATTGATTACGACCTTGCCTTCATTGGCGGTCTAGATCTCTGTTTCGGTCGCTGGGATACCAGACAACATCCCCAGGCCGATGCACATCCATCTGGTGTCGAGAGAGAGGTCTTTCCAGGTCAGGACTTCAACAATAATCGCATCATGGACTTTCAGAGTGTCGAAGACTGGAAGAGTAACGAGCTTTCGAAGGCGGAGTACGGCCGCATGCCATGGCACGATATCGCAATGGGCGTGATCGGTCCATGCGTGTACGATATTGCAGAGCACTTCATCCTGCGCTGGAACTTCTGCAAGCGCGACAAGTACAAGCGGGATGATCGCTATGACTGGCTCACATTGGAGGGAAGGACTGACGAAGACGAGGACTTGGTAGGGGTGCAGAGGCCGAAGCACCCTGTTGGTGACTACATACATCATCCCCTGTCTCCACTCGCGCAGAAAGCTGGCAATCCAAGGGCAATCCACTCGGTCTCGCATGAGCAAGACGGTACTGGTGAGGAAGAAGTATTCCATGATGCACATGAAGAGCTCGACGAGCATGGCTATACCCCCGAACAGCACGGATTCGGTCATGGTGCACAGAAGCGTCTCCATGAGTGGCAAAGACAGCATAGTCATTCACATCCAAGTGAAATCACGTCAGACACTGCTCAGAGCCGTCGAATTGATCCGCGAGACGAAAACGAGCAGACAACTACTGGAAGCAAGCAGGAAAACGACAAGATGACCGGTAACGCTCCGCAGAAGGAAGGTACGGTGAGTGCCTCTGGCGGTGTTGCGGAGAAGAAAGCCGCGTATGCTTCTGATGTCGCGGGCACTGGGCACATCCAAGGCGGTCATGGCACCCTGCATGCTCAGCTCGTGCGAAGCTCTGCAGACTGGTCCAGTGGTATCTTAACAGAGCAGAGCATTCAAAATGCCTATTGTCAAGTCATCCGCGACGCGCAGCACTACGTTTACATTGAGAATCAGTTCTTCATCACAGCAACGGGCGACCAACAAGCGCCCATCCACAATTTGATCGGCGCCGCCATCGTTGACGCGTGCATCAAGGCGCACTCGGAAGGTCGGAAGTTCAGAGTCATCCTGCTTATCCCGTGCATACCAGGATTCGCTGGTGACCTTCGGGATGACGCCGCGACGGGTACCAGAGCTATCATGGACTATCAGTACAAATCTATCAATCGCGGAGAGCACTCCATATATGGCCGCCTGAAAGCTGCGGGCATCGACCCAACTCAGTACATCTTCTGCTTCAATCTGCGCAGCTACGACCGCATCAACAAGACTCCAGCTCTCAAGGAGCAAGAAGAGAAGTCTGGCGTCAAGTATCAGGACCTGCAACGTGCGCATGCCGAAGAAGTCATGCCGACAGGTGTGCATGGCGCTGCAGGCGAAGGTACTGAAGAGCATCCTGCCGCACCCGATCGACCAGAACTAGCCAAAAAGCAGCAAAGCACGCAGCGAGCGTTCGAACAGAGACGTCAGGATGTAGGCCTTGCTAAGGAGGGCAAAGACGACACTGTGCAGTCCGAAGACTCTATTGCCAAAGATGCCATGCTTGGGGAGAAAAAGGTATCGGAGGAAAACTGGGCTGGCCGTAAGCCAGGCTTAGGCGGCACGGACGATAGAGAGAACGACCAATTGCGGGAGCAGGAGTTAGAGAACTTCATCTGCGAAGAGCTCTACATACACGCAAAGGTACCCTCATCCTGCTAACGTCTATTCTGCCTGAAGAAGGGACTAACAGATAATCGCAGTTGCTTATCGTAGATGACCGGATCGTCATCTGCGGGTCCAGCAATATCAACGACCGTTCTCAGCTTGGTTTCCACGACTCGGAGCTTAGCATCGTCATGGAAGATACCCTTCCATTGCCCTCGAAGATGAACGGGCGTGACTTCACCGCAGGTCACCATGCTGCAACCCTCCGTCGCATGTTGTGGCGTGAGCACCTAGGCCTACTGCCCGCGCAAACGCTTGATGCCGAAGATGATGTTAACGCTCAACCCCCGTCAGATGGTGACAATTACTGGTTCGCCAAAGATGAGCACGACCAGCTAGTCGAGGACCCGCTGTCAGATGAGTTATGGCAACGGTGGACTGAGCAGGCGACGATCAACACCAAAGTGTTTCGACATCTCTTCCATTGTGATCCGGACGACAATGTTAAGACCTTTGAGGAGTACGACCACTTCCTTGGTGTGAAAGGCAGCAGGAAATCGGGTCATCTCTACGATCTATATCAGCCGGTCGATCATGCTAGGAAAGAACTCGACTCAATCCGAGGCCACCTTGTCTGGATGGCGCTCGACTTCCTGTGCGATGCGGAGATGGCAGAGAAGGGATTGCAGGTCAACCAGATGACGGAGAGCGTATACACTTAAGCAAGCAGCGACCGTCCGTCACCGTGTACGACGAATCATTTCCGCGACTCAGTGCGCAAGTGCAGGCCTTCCTGCATACACTGCAGCACTGGGCACAACGCTGATGATGCACCGAAGCACGCCTTGGGAGACCCATATTCACCGCTCGCTGATTGACCTTCATGCACTACTTCACTTGCGAGCCGCCTCTGCCACTTTTGAGATCTTGGAGCTCAACGCTGGCATAACCACTACCTACCAACAGCACAGTCTCTCCGATCCATGTATGCATATGAGCGACATCACTAACATGCCGGCACCTTCAGCTTTCGAAGCACTTCCAGCGGAACTTTAGAAAGCGATTGCATCATACATACCGCGACCCACACATCTTGCATCGCTACTTCTGACAAGCAAGCAGTTGCGGGTCATCGCAACTCCCTGCCTGTACAGCCCTGTCATGCTACACCTCGGTTGCCTTTCAGGGGCGTCTGGCTTCTTTGATAAGCACAATGCCGGGCACAAGCATATAGAGGAGCTCTCGTACCGCCTTGCACCATCCAAGCGGCTAGGATCCGGCGGAACACTACAGCAAGCTCAACCACTGCTGCGGAAAGCGTTGACGGTCATTCCCTAGGACAGCCTAAGTCGGGTAGATGTTAATCCACCGATAAGCCTCGATGAGGAGGCGATCGTACTCCTTTGCACATGACAGAAGGCCGTTACCTGCTTAGAGAGCATCACCCGCAGGCGATATCAGTGATGATCTGCTCGCAACGGCCTCCACATCGCTGTCATCTTACAGTCCTTCACCATGTATCGCGATATTGACAGCACTAGCGGTCTTTAACTTCATGGAAGCTTGACTCGCAATTGCAAGGAGTTGCGAGGTCTGGTACTTCATAACGCCTGCGACACTCTGTTCCCCAAGCTGTGCGCGCTGCTTGTATCTTCACAGTCAGCGTCCACCTGTCAATTGTGGCTGGAGCATCTTCACCTTACTGCCTTCAGCCTTGAAGAGGCTGAGCTTACATGCCTGAAAACATTCCATACCTCTACCTTGCAACATCTGAGCTTTGTAGGATATACTGCATCTTTGGTTTTGTGTCGGCACATCACTTACGCGGTTCACTGTCCCAAGCTCACGAGCTTTAATTTGGTCGACTAGAGAGATTCGACTGAGCAGTTCATTGACGTCGAAGCTGTCTGCGGCTTTCTGACGACCTTCACCACTTCGAAGGAGGTGTTCATTGCGGGCTGGAGCGAGAGAAGCCTGGCATAGGCGTCTGGGATACTTGGCACCACGGAACATTGCTCATTGGAGACTCTTCACCTAGGCTTGTGTAGCCTTGACAGCACAGAGGCTGTGCGCCACCTTGTCCTCGAACTGGACGAGCATTAACATATCGCACGCAATTGCAGAAGATTGCAGCATGGAGCGATCGACTTCCCAAACTCGACGACCAGTGAAGCGAAAGATGGCCGCTTAGAAGTGCTTCTAGGCTATACGGTGAGTCTAGATCCCTTGCGCGCCCTCATCGGTCTCTTGGCCGTGAGCGTCGCCGTGTGCGCCCGGCTATTCTTCATGACAAAGAATGGTCTGGTTGAAGCGTACCGGTAATGCATGTGCTGATATGTTGTCAGTCATGCCCTGGTAATCTTGCCATGCTAGAGATCGTCCAGATACGTTGGATGCACCCCATCAGCGCTATCCTAGACAGCACGCAGAAGGCGCGACCAGCATCGACTTCCAGAAGTCGCGCGGGCGGCGCATCTCAGCCATAAACTCTGGGAAGATCATGAGCTGGCCGATCGTACCTGCGTTCTATAACTGGCAAGATCCAATCGATCGTCACTTGCGGCAGCTCTACTCATATCAAGCAGGTGAGTATTCGGATCGGCCGATAGCCCTCTGCGCATCGTGATCGAGGCCTAAGCTGCTTGTAATGGGCGATATCGGTGGCGGTGACGGACCATGAGCTCAAGATGAGGCTATCTTCTGCCGCGGCATGACGGTAGGCACCTCGAAGCCACAATGGTACGTGGTCGGTTGGAAGAGCGACCGCTTTGCAGGCGCTCGACCTGCGGCATTACCAGTACCTGCTTGCGATTCCCCCGTACCTTCGCCGTGGAGCTTCACGCTTCCTGTAAGAATGCTGGCCCAAGCTTCGAGTCAGAATGCATCTGGTGATGGCTTGGGTCTGACTGGGGTACATATGGCTTATGTGGTGCGTTAGACATGAGTAACACTTGTGAAATGCCGTGGGTTGATGACCGGAGATAGTAGCCTCTTCGAGTTCCACCCTGGTCACGTTGTCAGAATGCTCTCATGCGCGCCTTCCGTATTCGTCTGACGAAGCTGCACGCCAAGACTCCACTGTTGCCTAAAGCTGCAGCGAGCAAACGGAGCTAGCGTCAACGTTCACAGCTTTGGTAAAGTACCTCACATTCACAATTGCTTTCCCGCCTCCGCACTGCATGTCTTCTCTTCGCTACATCACGCGCGATGATCTACGACGCAAGGACAGCAATCTGCTAGGCTCACGTCGACAGCAGGGAAAAGCCGAGCTCAACAGCGAGACGCCATGGCGCCATCACCGCTAGAAGAACTTGCGCCCGAGCTGAAAGATATGATCGTGCTCTACATACCGCGTCCGACGGATCGCAAAGCACTATGTTTGGTAAGCAAGCAACTGCGCGAAACCGCCACAAAGCATCTGTACAAACACGTTGTACTGGATCTGGACCGGTTGTCCAAGGACTCAGGACTGTTCGACTGCACAAACCCAGGAATCAGGTATACCCGAAAACTCTCGTTTTATCAGAGTACGGAAGACGCCCTCCAGCTGGAGCTGGAAAGGAAACAGTGGCTACTGCGGAAAATGCTTGACGCCATACCAGAAGATCGTTTAGAGCATCTTTCTCTGAACGGAGCTGTCACCTGCAACACGCAGACGTTCGCGCGGCTATCAAGGAAGCAACGTGAAATACGTTCGCTCAAACTTGGCCTTGTCGACAGAAGCTTGGCTAGCGATCAAAACCATCCTATTTCGTGGCTTGCAAAGCTTGAGTGTCTTAGAACTTCGAGTGGCATGCAAGTTGATGAGGCCGGACTTCTTCACGGCGCTCGTGCAGCATTGTCCCAACTTACGAGGTCCTGATGTCAGCCTTCTGACCAGCGGCTCATATTGGCAGGACACACCTTCTGAAGACGGGCCGTTGGTTAGGAAGCTATTTGCGCATCCCGTCGAGGATACCGACAAAGAGCTGAGAAGTTATGCTTTCAACGTGCTGGAACTCTACAACATCACTTTGACTTACGCCAAGCGTACCTGGCTCAGAGTACTCGACCTAAGCAAACTGCACACCATAAGCCTATGCTGGTGCGTTGACTCTGAACTCATTTTGGAGGAAATGCAACCACTGTTAGAACGCGGAAGCATGTCTCTGCGTAGCTTGCGGCTTAACGGCCGCGATCTCGACATGCAGTGCATTACCCGTCTCTTGAGGAGCTTCTCGACGCTCCGATCTCCCCATATTTCAGGCTCCGCCAAGGCAGACACTTTGACTCTTGACCCTGCAGGACTTCTGTGTCACTCTGCAACGCTGCGCAGTCTCTATATTGGCGTTCGTTTCGAAGGCCTTGGGCAGCGTTTGAGCCTAGGTATCGATGAGGTTAAAAGTCTTGTGCGCTATTCGAAAAACTTGCGACAATTGGCACTGCCATTGCCCTCAATATCGATAGAGGACGCCTGCTCAGGCCGGTTACAGGGTGCCCATGATTACTTGGTACGTTACCTTCACGATCAGCTGATGCTCTCTGCAGCGGACGGTCCAAACCCGCTTTTAGTCTCCCGCAGGGTGACACTGCCCGTTCCCGTATCATGCACTGACTTCATCCAGGCATACATACGTAAGCTACCCGAGCTCGAAGTATTTCGTGTCCTGAGTTGGCCTTGCGTAGAAGTTGATCACGAAGCGTCCGACCACATTGCCCTGCAGCGTTACATCCACAGCATTGACGAATACGCCAACCATCTGGTTGCAGTTCTTGTAGCTGAGAGCCATTGAAAGCTCAGCTTCCTCGTCTTTGGAGACTCACTATGCAGGGATGACGGTCCATGCGACGAATCTGGCGAGTTCCCAGAGTTGATCATTGAGCCGCGGTGCTACACCTTCGGTCGCAGGACGGACTGCTTCGGTAGGACGAGCCCAGCCGCTTTGCCGCTGTGCCGCCATTCTGCGCGATACATTGTACCGGAGTTCAACTTCTTCTCCAAGTTTGACGACGGTATTGACTCGGGCCTGGGAACACTTCAGCGAAGCAAATGCGATGATCCTTTGGCTCAACAGGTGCAGACTGGGCGAAGCCGTTCTCAGGGATCACGTAGGGCTTGTCCAAGTCAGCTTTGCGGTTCATCATTGCCTCCAGCGTAGCGATGTGATCACCTCACATATAGGTGTTACTTCCATTGAGAAAATCTTGTGGTCGTAATTCGGTTTCCATCTTCATTCGCTACGTGAAACGAGATCGCCTCAACCTCGGTTCTACAGTAAGAGTACTGTAGCTTTGGCTCGCGCGCCAATCATATCACTCCATCTCCGACACCACTGTCGCATGCTCACTGCTACCGCCGTATCCTGTTTCCCCATGCATCACTGGTCTCTTGTGAATCCTACATCGCCGCCATGGAGAAGATCAAAGAACCCGCCCACCACACCAAGGTCATCGTGAAGCTGCCACCGAAATGGATGAATATGTACAACGAATTCATCACGAAGAATGCCGGCGCAGTCGGGCAGGTCGAAGGTGCATTGCGATCACTCACATACATCCTGCCCGGTATGCCCGTCTCTTTACAATCCATACTCGTTTTCCTACTAATGCTAGGCAGGCCGCTTCAGAGAGTCCGAAATCGCCTCCGAATCACTTAACTCCGGCGTGCAACTCCTCTCCCTCTACCACGACTCCCTTCTATCGCGCGCCTTGGCGCAATCGCTCCAGCACCGGAAACAACATCAGAGTCCACACAACAGATACACGCGCTACTACTGCCAGAAGAGCCCGACCTACCGGCGAACGGCCGTCACGCTACAAGTGATCCAATACACCGAGCTTCTACTCGAAATGATGGCGAAGCGCAAAGGCGAGAAGACGCGCTGGCGCGTCATAGTCATGCTGGAAGCGATCAAGGCCATGTGCAGATTGATCCTCATGCGTCTAACCAACTCCCGGCCCCTCCTCAGTCCGCCATTACCTGAACGCGAAGCAGTGGAAGAACCCCAGCAGCCCGCCCACGACGAGCCCACCATCATACCCAGCCCGCCGTCCGAACGCTCAGAAGCCGGCAGCGAGCAATGGACCATGCCACGTACCTCCCTCACCCTTCCACCCCTGCCAACCTCCGACGACATATCCACCTACCTCCTGTCTAAAGTACTGACAGCCGACGACATTAAGCCGCCGAAACAGCTCCTCCACCGCACTTCAGGGCTAGGAAGCACCGCCGAGATCCTCTTCATACTGCGACCCGTGATTTACGCAGCGGCAATGTCATATTACTGCCAACAGCCCTCCGGCCGGCGGAAAGCGGACTGGCGACCCTGGCTCCTCGGCATCAGCCTGGAATACGCCGCACACCAGCTAGCGAAACACGACATGGAGACACGGCGACCAGGCGGCGCGAGAGGGCTGACACAGCTCGAGCGCGAAGAGCTGAAGAAACGCGGGTGGGCGATGGGATGGTGGGCCATGCGAGGAGCGTTCTACGAGAACGTCACGAAAGGTTGGATCCAGGGTTTCGCGAATGGGCTGAAGAATAAGCCGTTGCTGGATGTGGTTGGCAATATTGTGGAGGACTATGACTTCCTTTGGGATCGGTATTACTTTCCAACAGCGACGTTGTAATGATGAAGATGAAGGATCGAAGCAGTCATTCTTGTGGCTGACTACTTCGCATAAAGTCCACACCGGCCTGCATGATTCTTTTCATGAGTTCGACTTCATCCGCCGTCCGCGGCACATACAGCATGATATAGCCGTACGACAGCGGACCGACGCCAGACAAGCGATGTCTCTCGCCATGTCCATTCGCAATGACCTCTTTGGCATCCGCAAACGATAGACTCACATGAGCGGAGTAATCGCTCTCATGAATATGCGCGATCTCGCCGTTCCGTGTCGCGCCCAGCGGTGCGGACAACGAAGACTTCAAAAACAAAGCGTTCCCCCGCCGTTCCAGCCCCGACACACGGACTTCGATATGCTCGCTGTTCCGCTCGCAAAGGTCCGCCCAGGCGGCCCTATAGCCATCCACGACATGCGGTGCCCTCCACTCGCCAGCCTTGAACTCCCTCTGCGGCGCCACGAAATCCATCGCTCGCCCTTTCCGTCCCCGCCGCCGAGGCACGGGCTCCTTGAAGTAAGACTTCATCAGGCCCGCTCGCCGGGACTCGGAAGCCTGCTTCCAGCCCTTGACGTACCGCTCAGGCCGGTCGTAGCACTCCACACTTTTCGTGTCGAGCGTGCTGACGTAGTGTAGGAAGCCTTGGATCATGTATCCACGGAAGTCGTTGGGGAGTCCCCCAGGTCCTAGTGACAGCCAGTAGTGGTACCGCGACTTTATGTCGAGGTAGAAGTAGTAGCCAAGCGGGAAGGCGAGTATTGATGCTGCTTTCGTCCAGATGGAGGTTGATGTCCATTGCTGGATTAGGATAGCGTAGGTGTCATGCAATTGCGTTGTCAATGGCGAAGTCATCGTGTTGAATCTCAACTATACACAGACGTTGTCGACGTTCGATGTATTTCCGGTTCCCGGTCGTCGTTGCTACGAGCGAAAGCTTCGGGTTGCCAACGATATCTAGGTAAAGTACTGCGCAACAGCACAAAACTCGGGATCAAAGCCTGTCTTCTCAACTGTACACCAGCAAACCAGAATGTCCAAGAAAGCTGGGTCGACGAACACCCCTCTAAATGCTGCTCCCCGTATCGGAAACGCACGGCCAGTGGGCGCGCAAATGCTATGGCTTGAAGAAACGTTCTCTGGACCACCCTCTCCAGTGCTGAAGGATGGGTAGATGACCCTTAATCGCAATATAATCGTCGCCAAAGTAGAACGCTGTCGCTCCAAGTCAACGCATCTCGATGAAGTACTTTGGTCCTAATCTCAGTGTAGATACAAGAGTAGCATACATGTACATGTATAGAAGCAAAGTCTATATCGGACTAAATTCAGGGCGCAAGCCAAGCAAGCAGGGGCGAAAGGTCATGCTCCAAAGAGGCAACTCTTGGCATATCCAACGACATTGCTTAGCGCCGTATATCCGGCAGCCAACCATATCTGCCAATAGATATGGACGACGCATGGGCGTCGTTGTGCACAAAAACCAGCCTACCAGCATCGGTACGTATTCCTACTTGCGTGGAGTCCGTCGGTCTCACACTCGTCGCGTGGTGTTCATGTTGTTCACAAGCTAACCCTTTCCCAAATATTCGTACAAGGTCACCACTGCGGCTAGCTGTATCCATATGCCCATCGTGCCCCATCTTCAAAAGCGAAACTTCAAAATGACCGCAGCCCACCATATCGAAAGGGTTCACTGCCTCTCCAAAGTTTCCAAACCGCAAGTGAGAGGCAAGAAACGCCACGCTTGACGAACGACAAGAGACGACACGCTGCTGAAGCCGCCCGCCAGTCCGATTCCCCGCTGTCCAACTTAGAAACCGCCCCAACGCCTTGAACGCCGCGTCAAAAGCGAGAAAACTACCCCGGCTTACTCTTCTTCCCCATCCGCGGACTAGGCTTCACCCTCGCCTGCCCCTGCTGCTGCTGCTGCTGCTGCTGCACCTCCTCCTCCCCCGTCCCCTCAACCTTGACCTGACTCCTCCGCCTCTTCTGACTAACATTCGGACTCGTATTCGCACTCGCCGCACTACTGCTGTTATTAGTGTTGCCCCCTTGCTGGCTATGCTGCGGCATCATCTGCGGCGCGGCCATGTGTCCCTGTCGCGGGGAAGGGGTGTGGGAGGACATTTGCATCTGGTGAGCTCCTTGGAGGTGGACGGGCATGTTCATGCTCATGTTTGGGTTCATGCCGGGTGGGCCGAGGTTGTGGTGTTGATGGGCAGGTGAGCCGTTGAGCATGTTCATTTGCTGTTGCTGCATGTTGCCTGCTTGCGGGCCATTGGGCTGCTGCTGCATGTGGTTGGGGAGGTGTTTGTTTGGCATGGCGGGGGAGGAAAAGTTGCCTCCTGCATTCTGGGGTTGCTGCTGCTGGCCGGGCATGGGCATGTTCTGCATACTCGGCGTGCGGTTGCCCATCGGCACACCGTTGGGCGGGAGGTTGATTTGAGGGTTCCCTTGCTGCTGAGCTCCCGCTTGTTGCTGTTGCTGCTGCTGCGCTTCATGCTGCACCGTCCACGCCTCCAGCGCTTGTTCCGGGCGCAGCTTCTTCTCCTGCGAGAAGAGCATAAGCTCCGACATGATGTTCATGGTTTCGCCAAGCTATGTAAGGTATGTTAGCAACACACCACCTCCTCATCACAAATGAGTACGCCTACCTCAAGAAACTGCTGCACCCGCGACGTCACGCCCATCGTCCCCTTCGGCGCCTTGAAGAATTGATCAACCGTCAACCCCTCAAACCTCTGCTGCAATTTCTGCTGCGCCTGCTGGGCCTTCGGGTTATTCTTCTTCGTCATCTTCGGGCTCTGAACCTTCGCATCCAGCGTGGGCGGCCAACTACTCAACAACCTCTCAATCTCCGTCCGCGAAATGGTCTCCTCGCTCTGCATCTGCTGGATCTCCAGACACTCTATCACATCAGACGAAGGCGCAAACAGCGCATTCAGCGAGCCGCTCATCTCCAAACGTGCTCCAGACGTGTACGCCACAGTGAGTGTGGCGTTGGCGAATTGGGCTTGAAATCGATTGCTCGGGATGGGCCGTTCGCTGGCGTGTTCAGTGTGTAATCGTAGTGATTGCGCGCCGGATTCGAAGTAGGTGAGAAAGTATCGCGCGATGGTCGGTCGCAGCACTTCAAACGTTCGTGGCTTGGCGCCGCCGTCGGTGAAACTGTGTAATAGCCGACCATCAGGCGCAAAGTGTCGGTCTACAAACTCGTTCCATTGAGCCAAATCTTTGCCAGTGACTTGGTTGAAATTGCTGAGGTGATCTGACAGCAGACTTATCCGCAGGATGAAGGCTCCGTTTCCAGCTGCCGGTCGCTGCTGCTGCTGCTGCTGCTGCTGCTGCTGCTGTTGCTGCTGTTGTTGCTGCTGTTGCGCTTGTGCTTGCGCTTGCGCTACTTGTTGTTGCGCCGCTTGCTGGATCTGGTGTTGTCGCATTTGCTGTTGCTGCCGTACCATCATCTGTCGTTGTTGCATCACCTGCATTTGCTGTGGATTGAGGCCTTGTTGCTGGGCTTGAGCCTGGTTCGGCTGCTGGCCGGCTTGCGTTGTCGGAGTCTGCTGTGGCTGAGATTGTTGGCCTGGCTGTGGATGTGGCGGTTGTTGTGGCGTCTGATCTGGTTGATTCGGATTCGCCATCCGTGACTGTGGCCGCATCTGCGCTGGGTGGCCGGGTTGTCCGGGCTGCGGTCCCGACTGACCTTGATTGCTTTGCTGGGAGTTGGCATGTTGCATCGCAAGTTGCTGATGCTGCTGCTGCTGCTGTGCCGCCTGTTGCTGCTGATGCAGTTGTGCTTGAGCTTGCTGTTGCTGCTGCATTGCCGACTGACGCATCATTTGCTGTTGCAAATGTGGTGTGAGCTGTACCGCGCCGGGGTGACCGACGTTGCTCTGCTGTTGGAACAGCGCCATCTGCTGTTGTGGAGTCATTCCGGTCATCGCACCAGGTTGCATGCCCATCATACCGTTCGCCTGTGCTTGGGCTTGGGCTTGAGCCATCTGCTGCGCCTGCTGTCGCATCATCATCATCATGCGTTGTTGCTGTTGCTGCTGCTGCTGTGGATTGCCTGCAATGAGGTGCTGAATTTGTTGCTGCTGTTGCAGAAGCTGCTGCTGCTGGTTCATATGTTGCGGCATCGGGTTCGGTGCGCCGCCGGGCATATTCTGCATGCCCGGTCCGGGATGGCCTGGTTGTCCCTGCATGTTCATTCCCGCAGGATGCTGTCCGCCGGCCATTGCTCCCATGGGACCGTTTGCGCCCGGCTGCATGCCCATCATCGCGCCGGCCTGGGATACATGTGGTTGTCCGGGAGTAGCACCGGGCTGCATCATGGGCTGAGCCATATGTTGCATATTCGGCGCCATACTCGGGTGTCCATGTGGCATGCTAGGATGCATTGCCTGAGGGTATGCGGCCATCATATTGAGCCGTCACCGTGTCGTCTCGCCCCAAAACCGGACGTTGTTGAGGGTCTTGCCGGCGACTGTGCACTGGTGGTGGACGCTCGCCACCGGCCGGAAAGCGGTCGCGTAGCTGCTACGAGATCGATATTGCGATGCATAGAGGATCTGCTGCACCTGCCGCGTACCTCGACACCGGTGAGTGCTGGACACGTGCCGAGGCAAGACGGGGCGTTCACACGGCAGCTCGAGTTCCTATCCTTGTCCAACGCGATGGTATAGTCGTCTTGAGCAAGTCCGTCTCCTTCTGCTACCACCAAGGCCTCGAATAGTTGCACGAGTGTAATCGCGAGCGCATCTATCCTATTATGGGCTCGGCAACTGTAAGCTTAGTAGGTGGGAATCCGGAGATAACAGTATGCAAGTCGTCGGTATATGCAAGTGGATGTGAGTATATGAGCAACGTGTGTGCTGTACAGAGTGTATTGCGTTGGAAAGGAGCAGTGCGGTGTTGGCGGCGCCGAGGAGGAGGAGGAGGAGGAGGGCGGGCGGACAATGGTCGCTGTCGAGTGGTGGGCACCGCCGTGTATTCGGGGCTAGCAGCGGCTGCGGTCCGAAGGGTCCGTTCGCCGCCGACGGCTGATCTTCAATTTCTGCCAGCCTTTCACAAACACACCACACAGCAGTCTTGAGTCTTAACAACCACCTCCGTCCATCATACTAATCCTTCACAGCCATAGCCAGCGTAGAAGAGCTTCCGCTGGACTCCGGTACGTACACCCCTTACCATCCTTTCATACACAACATACTCGCTTGATGATATCCAAGAATATGTCTTCTTTTCCCAATTGATTCGACCATGAAAAGAACAGTCTGCCCGTCTGCCTTTCGCAGGGCTGGACGTAATACTTGCCAGTAGCCTTGTCTGACACGCAACACCATCACCATCACATCCCATACCTTCATACACACTCAGCGGCTCACCATCGCTAACCTTACGACAGGCATAATTAACACAGCAGGTCTGGTCCGTCACTGAACCACCACCCACGACGAGCAGAGTCTTCAACAGGTCAGTCGTCTCATCTCCTTCTTCTTCTTCTTCTTCTTCACCTCTCTATTACGAGGGGGGGAGGTAATCGCTGTCCTGATGAAAAACATTTCCACATTCGCAGTTTCCACGTGAGCCCTCGCCTAGAACCTAATAGAGGAGCCGTTGAGCGTTATATCTTCCTTGGATGTCTGATCCCACACAGCACACATTTATATCACCACCAACTTGAGCGTATATCTGTGGCTGAGCATCTATGCTGACTTACCTCTGACCTACAGATTCCGCTGTTCTCCTCGTGGAGTCTCGTCCACGTGACTACGCGTCCACTTGCACCGTCTCATTGCGCTCTTCGGGTTTTCTGCACATATTGCCGTTCACACAGCGTACATAGCAGTGATTTGATATACGCTCGGCATTGATTCAGCCTTCCCTGTTATGGATTGCAATTGCTTTGTATCTTCACTCTAGCTTCAGAAACGTACTATACGCTCACGTTTACGCCACAAACGCCTTGTATCTACAATTGCCACCCACTCACTCACACGTGTCACCACTCTCTCAACCCACTCTCACCAAACACTCTCCTTCCCTCACAACCACACACTCTCCCGAACTCAGCATTCTATATCAAACTCTCCTCCCCATTCTGCTGTGGCTTGCCATCCTCGCCATTATCCTGCGCCCCCTTCCCCTTCTTCCCCTGCCTCTGATAATACTTATCCAGCACCTTCTTGGGAATGCGATTCAACAGCTCCCGCGGGTAAATCCTCAACAACTCCCACGCCATATCCAACCCATCGAAGATACTCCTCTTGTCATACGCCCCCTGCGAGATATACGTCTTCTCGAAGCGCTCCAAAAACTCCAAGCTTAGCTTATCCTCGTTCGAGAGTGCCTCCTCGCCGACGACGGCTTTCATGGACGCGGCGTCACGGCCGATGGCGTATTTGGCGTAGAGCTGGTTGGAGACGTCGGAGTGGTCGCCGCGGGTGTGGCCTTCGCCGATGGCGGATTTCATCAACCGGCTGAGGGAGGGGAGGACGTTGATGGGGGGGTAGATGCCCTTGTTGTGCAGTTGGCGGTCGATGAAGATTTGGCCTTCGGTGATGTAGCCCGTGAGGTCGGGAATGGGGTGGGTGATATCTAGCCAAGCACATCGTAATCAGTAACCTCACTCGAATTTGGAGATGTGGGTGGTGCTGGTTGGGGTGGTTGTTCTTACCGTCGTTCGGCATCGTCAGGATAGGAATCTGCGTGATACTCCCATTCCGCCCCTCGACACGACCGGCGCGCTCGTAGATGGTCGACAAATCCGTGTACATGTAACCCGGGTAACCGCGACGACCGGGCACTTCTTCACGGGCGGCGGAGACTTCACGTAGCGCGTCGCAGTAGGAGGACAGATCGGTAAGGATGACGAGGACGTGCTTTTCCAGCTGGTAGGCGTAGTATTCCGCCGTCGTGAGGGCGAGGCGGGGGGTGATGATGCGTTCGATGCTACGTCCACCAGATTAGCAAGCGCACAGAGATTACCTAGTGTGAAGGTAGTGACGGATGGAAGACTTACGTCGGATCATTAGCAAGATTGAGGAACAGCGTGACGCGCTCCATACTCCCATTCTCCTCGAAATCCCTCGTGAAGAACCGACTCGTCTCCAAATTCACACCCATCGCGCCAAACACAATGCTGAAATTCTCCTCATGCGCATCCTGCGTGCCCTTGTTCGCCTGCTGCTGCACCAGCCCCGCCTGCCGACAAATCTGCGCCGCGATCTCATTATGCGGCAGACCGGCCGCGGAGAAAATGGGGATTTTCTGGCCGCGGGCGATGGAGTTCATGGTGTCGATGGCGCTGATACCCGTGCTGATCATTTCCTCTGGGTAGACGCGGGAGTAGGGGTTGATGGGACTGCCGTTGATGTCGAGGTAGTCTTCCGCCAGCACTTTGGGGCCTTTGTCGATGGCGCGGCCGCTTCCGTCGAAGATGCGGCCCAACATGTCCTCGCTCACTCCCAGCTTGAGGTTGTGGCCCGTGAACTCGACCTTCGTCTTCTTGACATCGATGCCGGAGGTGCCCTCGAAGACTTGGACGACGGCGCGGTTACCGCGGGCTTCGAGGACCTGGCCGGAGCGTTCGGTGCCGTCGGGGAGGGTAAGGGAGACGATTTCGTTGAAGCGCGGGAACTTGACGTTCTCGAGGATCACGAGGGGCCCGTTGACGCCGCCGATGGTGTTGTAGCGGATGCGGGGGTGGACGGTCATGCGGCGCGGGTCGAGGGTGGTGGTCGTGTCGTTGTCGTCTTTGGCCATGGTGGGCGGGCGGGCGGTGGGAGGTGTGAGGCGGAGGTGGAGTGGAGGGTGGCCTGGCGGCGAGGTGGGTGTGAAGGCCAACGACGGTGTTGGTTCGAGTGAAGGGGTGGAAGTGGCCGAAGGGCGAGTGTCCCGTTCTGTGCAGTGCAATGGCTTCCTGCTGAGAGCTCAAAAGTTACGGTTGAAGCTCTTGACGTACGTAGGCGGAAATGTCCAAGCTTGCAGCCGCAGCCCCACCCTATCAAGAAGCAATGCGCCAGGCTGCAGATACGGCACTGCTTTCAACGAACCACGCCCTATTTGGGTACATGTATGCAATATACACTCGACACTTGCTTAGGCTTCGATAAATACTGTGGAAGCACTCAGCTTGCTGTTATGTGCAACTGCCAGCTATACAAGAGATGACCATTGCAACCGTCTGTTAGATTCCCTTCCATCTTATCCTAAGCTGCCCACGTAAGGCGAACCGTTTAGAAGGCACCATTATTGATCCAGTCGCGGATTCCTCAATCCCAATCATCTTAATCTGTTGGAGAGATAGGCGGACGCCGAGGCCAACGTCGTGCTCATCCCAGGAGCAGAAGGGTCAATCGCTCGCAGGATCGTTGTAGGCTCGATCGTCTTGTGCTGCTGGCGAGCCCCATCAGTTCTCCTTCAGCGTTGGCTTGGTAAGAGCTTGCATCGAGCATCGTCATCACCGTCGTGCTTGTATGAGCTGTCTAGCAGCTCGCCCAGCCAATGCGTCCCTATGACTGACGAATCCACGAATCACTCAGTCATTGTTGCCGCGTACAATGTTGACTGGCGTCTCGGGACGTGGCGTGACGTGGCACTCATCAAATCCCCTCATCCCCCATACCAGCCACCGCCTCCAAGCCCTCCCAAAGCTCACTCCAAGCCGTCTTCCCAAGTGCCATCAACGGCTGAATGACCGGTGAAAGCTGCTGCTCCGGCGTGGAAGGAGAGGTGGTGATGGCGCAGTCAAAGTTGTCGTCATCATATCCGTCGTCGTCGTCGTCGTCGTCTCGCAAGCCAGCCGGATCGGTTTGCGTTGTGCTATCCACGTAATTGCTCGACGGCTTATCCGGTTCCGGTCGGGGAGTGCTCGTGTTGCTGGTAAGGCGACGGGAAGCTTCCGAGTCTTCGGTGGTACCGTCCATCTGCTGCTTCAGCGGCGAACAACAGTCTCCCGCATCGAAGCGGCGCAAAGTAATGCTGCTGACCCTCCCCTGCCCCTCTTGCACAGTCTCGACCCGCCATTGGCTCTCCGCACCCCCTTCGTCATTGTCTTCCAAATCCATCTTGAGCATCGCGTCCCGATGCTCAGCAGACAGCACGCCATACCTTCCCCTTCTACTCCTCAACCTCGCATCCACATCCCGCCAATCACTTCGCCACTGCTCCAATCCCCTCAACACCCTCCCCGTCTTCACCCTCATCACCCCTTCCCTGGCCGCGTATGGTGCATTACGTACACACTCATCCTGATGCACCTCGTCCAAACCACCGACCTCGACCTCCATCGCCTTAAGCCTTAACTTCAGAAACAACAACTCGCTATGATCGAAGCCCAAATCCGACCTCAACGCTTCATTCTCAGAGCGCAGTGTTTCGAGTTCGGTCTCTTTGTCGTCCATCTGCAGCACGTGCGCGTCGTTGAGCTGGACCAACTCGGCATGTCGACGGCGTAGTTCCTCGTTGGCGCGCGTCACGTTCTCCAAGATCCGCTGAGCTTCAAGGATCTGGTAGTCCTGTTCTGCTTGCTTGTTCTCGGGCGTTATATCCGATACCTCGTCCTCCACCGCTTCCCTCTTCTGCTCAACTGGCCTGGCTTCATCACCTCCACCGCCGCCGTGGCCAAAATACCCATCCTGCTGCCCTTCACCCTCCTCCTCCTCCTCCTCCAACGGCGTCTCATCATCCAAAAACAACCCACTATCCTCCAACTCCGGCGGCCGGCGCGTCTGCGCATGCAGATCATCCCACTCCCTCTCAATCTCACTCATGCGCCTCCCCACCACATTCAGAAACTCCGGCTCCTCCTCCCCAAGGCGCATGATCTGGGCTTGCACTTTACTCATGCGCACGAGCAGTTGCTGCATGGTGGATGAAGGAGCGTGGGTGTGATGGTGGTAGTGGTGGTAGTTTGCGAAGGGGGGGGAAGAAGGAGAGGGGAAGGTGGTGGAGCGCGCTTCCTCGTCGGTGAAGTAGTCGCTGAAGGGTGAATCTTGCGGGCGGTGCGCTTCGTGGAATGCATTCACGGGTTTGGCGGGCGTCATGGGGCCGGGAGCGTGACCGGGGAGGGTGGACATTGTGGGAATGGGTGCGGAGGTGTAGCTGTGGAGTTGTTGTCTTCGCGGTGCCACCGGGTGCGGACTCGGACTGCTGTCGCTTAGAGGTGGTGTCAGGCTGCCGTACGGGGCCATAGTTGCGGTCGCGACGATGCTTTGCGCTCGCTTCCTTTCGGCGCGTCGTTCGGTGCTCAGGTTGGGCGCAATGGGGATCGTGGTTACGGACTTGAAGCGCGTGTGGTAGGTGGGACGACTTCGTTTGTGGTAGCGGGCACTGGGGCCATAGGGGTAGTGCCACGATGGGGATGTTGATGTGGATGTGGAGGGGGAGGGGGAGGGGAAGGGGGAGGGGAGAGGGGAGGAGGTGAGTGTGAGATCGGCCATCCTTTCTGCGCCCGCGGAGGCCGACGGCTTCACTCGAAGGCTGGTTGGTCACGCGTTAGACTTCGCACGCGCGGCGGAAGTGACGATGGCTGGCAGGGCAGGGCAGGGCAGGCGCGAAAGCAGGGGAGACGGGAGGAACCGTCAACAGAAGGTGGGGAAAAGAGAGTGTAAATATTAAAAATATGGCTTACACATACATATATTATTCTACCAAGTCGGAGATATATGTATATATGCTAAGCACGAGAGGTGGATAATATTAGTGTAGCTTGTCAGGACGATCCATGAGCTGGTTCGTGTTCTTGACAAGCCCGAGACCTGTTCCCTAACAGCCTGAGACGCGAGCATGGCTGCCAGTAATGTTCGTCTGACCGTTGTAAGACACACAATCATATACTGACAATGCCTGCAGATTGCGGTGCGGCCGTCGCTCGAAGATGTACACAAAATCGTTGAGAAAGGCAAAGGACTGTCAAATGCGCCGAACTTGATCCCACTCTGCGCTTCCATCTCCTCAGAGTTCCTGACCCCTTCCAGCATATACCTTAAGATCGTGGCGAAGTAAGCAATACAGCCTGACACCAATCGATTGAAACTGATATATAGATATATATCAGCTCCAAGTCGAAGCTGTCCTTCCTCTTCGAGTCCGCCGCAACAACAGAAACTATCGGCCGGTACAGCTTCATTGGAGCCGACCCACACAAGACACTCCTCTCCGGACCGGACCATGGCCTGGAAGCCGACCCTCTCCCCCGGCTGCACGAGGAACTATCTCAGTATCGAGTGGCAGACATCCCCTCCCTTCGTCTACCACCCATGACCGGCGGTGCCATCGGGTACGTCGGCTACGACTGCGTCAAGTACTTCGAACCCCGGACCAAACGACCGATGAAAGACATCCTGCACGTCCCCGAAAGCCTCTTCATGCTCTTCGACACCATCGTCGCCGTCGACCATTTCTTCCAAAAAGTGATGGTCATCATCTATCTCCACGTGCCCTCCCCAAACGCCACCCCCACGGACACAGCACTCTCAGACGCCTACCACACCTGCCAAAACACCATCGCCGCCACGTTACGGATCTTGAAGCGGCCGGACCTCCCTCTTCCGCCTCAACCACCCGTCAAACTAGACCAACAATACTCCTCCAACATCGGCCGCCAAGGCTACGAATCCCACGTCACGAAACTAAAAAAACACATCGTCGTGGGCGACATAATCCAAGCCGTCCCCTCCCAACGCATCGCCCGCCCCACCTCCCTGCACCCCTTCAACATCTACCGCCACCTTCGCACCGTAAACCCCTCACCATACCTCTTCTACCTCTCCTGCAACTCCTTCCAGATCATCGGCGCGAGCCCCGAACTCCTCGTCAAAGCCGACCAAACCACAACCCCGCACCGCATCATAACGCACCCGATCGCGGGAACGATCAAACGCGGCGCCACGCCCGCCGAAGACAGCGCTCTCGCGAATACACTCCTGGAATCCGCAAAGGACCGGGCAGAACACGTCATGCTCGTCGATCTGGCACGGAATGATATCAACCGCGTCTGCGACCCGCTGACGACGCGGGTGGAGAAGTTGATGGTGGTGCAGAAGTTCAGTCATGTGCAACATCTCGTCTCCGAAGTGTCGGGGGTGTTGAGGCGGGGGAAGAATCGGTTCGATGCGTTTCGCTCCGTGTTCCCCGCGGGGACCGTCTCTGGGGCTCCGAAAGTGAGGGCGATGGAGTTGATTGCTGAGTTGGAGGGGGAGAAACGGGGGGTCTACGCCGGAGCGGTGGGGTGGTTCGGGTACAATACCGTTGACGTTTACGATACGACCATGACCACCACCAACCGCTCATCCACCGGTCTGACATCCGGCGCGGAAACGGAAGGAGCAATGGATACCTGCATCGCCCTGCGCACCATGGTGGTGAAAGACGGGATCGCGTACTTGCAGGCGGGCGGGGGGATCGTGTTCGATAGCGATGCCGGGGAGGAGTACGAGGAGACGATGAATAAGGCCGCGGCGAATATGAGGGGGATTGAGCAGGCGGAACGGCTGCATTGGGAGGAGCAGCAGCAGGCGCAACGGCAGGGGGAGAATGGGGAGGGGGAAGGGGTGGGCGCGACGGAGGAGATGGTGGGAGGTGGTGTGGCGGATGCAGGGGTTGAGGGTCGGAAGGGCAAGGTTGATCTGGCGGGTGGATAGAGGAGATGAAGTATGGAGTGGTAGCTGGATTGATGGCCCCTTTCGGCGTGTTGTTTCTGACTATATGTGTAGACTTGTCAGCCGTCCCCGGTTGAAACCATCTCAGCAGGCTTCTGCCCGCGCACGTAGCCGTGGTCTGGACAAATGAAAGATGTCCATCGCCAGCCGAAGCTGAGGAAGAGACGGTAGTGTGAGCAGTACCCGTCTTCACCGTCACCTCCACTTACAGCACCAACTGTCTTCGCAGTCACAGCCATTCGGCGCATACTTTCACTGCCTTCCTCACTCCGAATCGCTGTCAGAAAGCTGCACACGCGCATCATCATCCTCAGCCTGACGCTTACGTGGGGCAGCTTCCTCCCTCTCTTGCTGCACAACTGGTAAATTCATCGGCTTCCAGCCCTGTTGAGACTGCTGTCAGTACATTCATCACGCAGCCCGTGCTTAATAGTGCAAAACTTACAGCCTTAACCTTAGCGAACTTGCCGCCACCCGACGTGCTTTCGCTTACAGTTGACTTGGCGTAGCTGCGGTTGGTGCTGTTACTGACCGTCGACGGAGCGTACCCGCCAACCACAGACGACGTCTGGGTGAGGACGGACTCGTTCGACTGCTTCTTGCGCAAGTGTGGCGGGAGGTTACGGAAGGTCGGACCACCCGTGGGTGTGTTGTTGCTGCTTAAGCCTGCGGCAAACGTGTCTCCGCGGCTGGAGGGTGGATTGAGCGCGATGCCGCCGTTGGAGTCGCTCGAGATGGTTGCAGAGCCAGAGCCGTGGTTGTAGCCGCTACCGTTCACCCTCACGCTGCTGGTGATTGAGCTGGAGATGGCAGAGGAGCCAGCCAAGGACATGCCGCTCATCGTGCCGGTCATCGTGGAGGCACCGCCGTCATCGCTATCGTAGTCATGGTCCTCATCATCGTCGTCGCGAGAGCCGCCGCTGCCGTCTGAATCGCTGTTACTCCCGCCCGGTTCGATGTTCAGCCTGTTCTGTACGCATGACCAGCATTTCTGCAAAGTAGGAGTGTTAGTACAGGGTTTCCGTGCGTCAAAAAATGCAAAATCTGAAAACGCAACCGCTTCCCAACATGATCACCTTCACTCTGCGAAATCATCGCAAACAAAAGCAAAACATACAGCAGCGGGTATTCCCACGTGGTCACCCACCGCAGTACTAATCCACCGGTTCGCAGCTTAAGTACAGGAGAGCGGACGGGATCCTCTGTTCTCTGCGACCTATGGCCGTATGTACTAGCAACAGCAGTTTTTATTGTTTATATACCATGCAACTGACCATATCTTGTGAAGCAGGAAGGTAGTAATAAGAAAACAACACTCACAGCCTTGTCCGGATCCTTGAGCTGAGCCTTGGAGAATTTATCGCGCGACTTCCACTCGTCGCAGTCGGTGCACTGAAACTCGACGCGCTGACTGGGCGTGCATGAGGAACAGCAGATGAACTCGGCGCGGGTAGCATCGAAGCGCGGATTGTCCTTGATCTGGCGCTTCAGCTCGTACTTCTGCTTATCCGAGAACGCAGCGAGGTTCTTGCGCTTGTGGCAGCCGTTGCATGGGATGCTGGGGCATGTCAGCGAGGTCAGACTACGGCTGGATGTGTAAGGCAAAGATCGCCTACGTCTGCGGTAGCTGGATGCGGCTGTAGGATATGATTAGCAAGGTAAGTGGATCGACAAGTGCGCATCGGTTGCTCACTTGAGCTCGGGTTCAGTCTTGCCGCTGTACGCGGCCTTGATGGCCTTCTTACCGGACCTGTCGTAGGCCATTTTGCTCGCCTCGTCGCCGGCGTCGGTGGTGTTAGCTGAGTGAGGGTAGAGGAGAGCTTCACGACACCGCACTGAGTCTTGTGATCCTCGTGAAGAGAGCCGCGCTGGGACTCTTGCTGGCTGCGGCAGGCTGATAGGACTAGTCTTTGGTTTGGTCTCGGTCTTGGTCCTGGTCTAGGTCTTGGTCTTGGTCTTGGTCTTGGTCTTGGTCTTGACGAAGCTAACAGCGTCCCTGGTATGAGAGAAGCTGATGCAGATATTGACTTAGCCTGTTCCAACCCGGTCGAAGTCAGTAGGCACGCTGCACGAATTGTGCGAATGCACAAGCACGAGGAGGTCAAAGGTAAATGAAGGATGTGAACTGATTAAGAGAGCAAAGACAGTAGGAGAAGTTCTTGAGTGCGCGGTGGAGCTATGGCCAATGGCCGCTTCAATGTGCAACGGAAGTCTCCGGAGCTTTTGCTTTGACCGAAATGGAAGGAACGATGGCTGCACTGGCTACCGTACGTACCTAGAAGGCGCGAATGCCGCCAACGCTTGATTGTGCTGATTTGACGCTGTTCTGTCCTGTTCTGTTCTGTTGTAGTGACCGCTGATGAGGAGAAGGAGAAGGTGCTAGGATGACAAGACTTGGCTGACTAGTGCAACATTGCCACTCAACAGGTCGAGATAATGCTTGCTTACTTTAAGTAGAAAGGACTGACATGCCGCAATCAGCGTCTTCATTGGCATGTGATTCAGCGAGAGACACTGAGGTGATAATACATATAGAATGACCGGGAACAAACAAGTGAAGATTGGTGATACTGCCAAAAAGGTCCTGTGATGCTTGAACAGAGTGAAGAGATCTAGTACACGTGCAGGCCATTGACGGCCTGAAGTCGCTAATGCACGGAACCGAGATTTACAGATGCAGAGTCAGACCGCGCGCGGTCGCGTGCCACCGAGCTTGCCATACGCGTCCCACTGTAAAAGTATAGTAGCCGGTTTATCGAGTAGTGGTACAGCGCGAGGTCGAGATTAGAGTACAGATGGTAGACGGGTTGAGCAAGCCAGAGGTACTGCTTTACTTCGTCTCCTCGCGCAGGAAGGTGATCAGGTCGTTCCTGTCCTTGCCCTTCTTCAGACCGCCGAAGGCCATCTTGGTACCCGGGATGTACTTCTTCGGGTTCTCAAGGTACTCGAACTACAGTCCACTGTCAGCGCGTGTTCTCGTCTTGTAGACACTGATCTGCTTCTTGCCACGCACAAGGGTGTCCTCCTTCCATACGAGATCCTTCGACTTGTTGGCGTCCGTGTACGAGAAACCCTCAACCGAGCCGGTGTGGCGACCGAAGAGGCCGTGGAGGTTGGGGCCGATCTTGTTGCCCTCGTCCGCCTTCAAGTTATGGCACTGTGCGCAGCGGGTCTTGAAGAGGTTGGCACCCTTCTTCGAGTCACCTGTTGCAGCCGTCAGTCAATGCAAAGGCGACGCTAGTTGCGCCGGGGTTGGTAGCAATGCAGAACGTGGCGCAGAGCATCCTCCGATCACCCGACAGTGCTGCCCAAGCGACGACAGGTATCGGCTACTGTCGAGATACTGCTGGGCATCCGGAGATGGCACGCGCCACGCTTGATAGGAAGTGCTGCCGTCGCAGCTGAAATTGTGACGTACCGTCTGAGAAGGAGTCCTTGCCCATGGTTGGTGTTGTGATTGATCGAGGTGTTGGTGGAGATTGAGCGAGTGTTGACTGGATTGTTGGGAGGAGGTGGTTAGAGATGTGTGATAGGATAGTAACGAGCTACGAGTGGATGATGCCAACAGAAAAGTTGCGCCCCTAGATCTCTACCGGGTCGTCTGCCATTGGCTACGAAAACTGTTCCGGAAACAGCTCGTCGCCACACTGTGGCTGGCAGCACTGACCGCACCGACATCCGGCCGGGTTACAGCCGAGTCAGTATCAGAGGTAAGGCTCTTTGTCGACCGACCGACCATCAATGTCGCGCCGGGTATTTATTCGAGTCCAATGTCTGGCCTGCACCTCAGCGTATGGCTTGTCGTTCGGGACTGACGATACTGCCTGCCTGCGAACTGCAAGATGGTCTACAGACTCTTGCAACCTTCCGAGCGGTCTGCGGACCTGTGCTCTCTCGTGAGGCATGAAGTCATGCTACGATGCTGTGCCGCCATCTCAGATGACCATGTTGCCTGTTTAGCAGCGAGATCTGATCTACAGACAACTTTCTCTTACCAAAGGACAAGATCGAGACATGAAGCACTCGAAGCTCGGCCAACCGGCAACATTGTCACCCCGCAGACTGCGATCCATGGTTGGCTTCCAGACCCGGGCATAACGAAGGTGCAGATGCTGGTTAACTAATTCGTTTGGGAGGCAGCTCACAGTGAGCCGGAACGGTTGGATTTATATAATGAGGTAACTCGTTCATATACGAAAATTCTACACTTCGAACACTCTCCCCGTCGCAATGAAGGTCGTCAGAGTCGTCGGCTACCACAAGAACCTTGAGCTTGATGAAGCGCCGGAGCCCAAGGTCACTGGTCCTTTGGATGTAATCGTCAAGATTGGGGCTGCGGGTGTCTGCCGTGTTAGCATGATCCAACCGGAAGAACGTCGAGGAACGACTTCATCTAACGTTCGATTAGACGGACATCCATATCCTCGAGGGTCAGTGGGCTGAGAAGTCGAATGTGAAGCTTCCATATACGATTGGACATGAGAACGCAGGTTGTCGTCTCTTCTTCTGTCTGCCGAAAATTGTTCGCTGAATGTCTTACAGGATGGGTACACGCTCTCGGTGATGCTGTGACTGGCTTGAAGCAGGGCGACAAAGTCCACCAATATTCTGCTATCGTTGGGCAATGAGCAAATGCTGACTGAATCAGGTCATACTGCACCCTCTGGTGACTTGTGGCTTGTGCACTGCCTGCCGGTTTGGCGACGACGTGCATTGCGAAGACAGCCTCTTCCCAGGTATCAACTGTGACGGAGGTTCGTATTCCACAGAATTTTCCGGGTTGACGCGTATAATCACACCAACTCGCTTGCAACAGGATACGCGGAATACCTGAAAACAACAGCCCGCAGTGTAATCAAGCTCGACGACTCTCTCGAGCCCGCCGACGTCGCAGCACTTGCAGACGCCGGCCTAACCGCTTACCACGCTGTGGCAAAGGCCGCGAAACTCCTGCGTCCGGGCAACATCTGCGTCATGATCGGAGCAGGCGGTCTCGGCCACATCGGCGTTCAAGTCATGAAAGCCATTAGCGCGGCTATCCTTATTGTCATCGACAGTAACCCAGATGCGCTGAAGCTCGCCAAGGATCTTGGAGCAGACCACACGGTGCAAGCCGGCGATGATGGCAAGTTCGTCCAAGAGGTTCTCGACTTGACCAAGGGCAAAGGCGCAGAAGCCGTCATTGACTTCGTTGCGGAAGGCGGCTCTACCGCAACGGGCGTGAAGATGCTGCGACGTGCTGGCAATTACTATGTTGTAGGGTATGGTGAAAACATCAACGTGCCGACGATTGATATCATTTCGACGGAGATCAACTTCGTAAGCAAGGCTCGTGAGTGCTTCGTGGCTGGACACTGACGCTTTGTAGATCGGCAATCTCGTGGGAAGCTACAACGATCTCGCGGAGTTGATGGTGTTGGCAGCACAGGGAAAGGTGAAGCTCCACACCAGCAAATACAAACTGGACGATTTCCAAAAGGCAATCGACGATCTGTCTGCTGGCCAGGTTAGGGGCCGAGCTATATTGATGCCATAGCCACATGCTATATACTCATCTACGTTTCGTTATCACTTCGTTCATAGTAAGTTCTAAGGACACGCCAGCGCTAACGTTACCTTCCAACGCCGCGCCGTTAGCGTACATCCGCGCCACTCAAGCGCCTCTAGCCTTCTGAAACATTCCCCAAGCACCCTTCACCCGATCCAACTTCCCCGGCTTCGTACCCATGCTCCCCTCCGCGAGCTCGCCATCCTTATCATACCAGCACCCATCTTCCTTCGCCCGCCCGTACTGCCTTGTATTCTGATTCCGCTCAATGCCCTCCCGCCACGCCTTGCATACCGTCGGACTGTCGATCATAATGTTGACTTCCTGGCTGTGGAACCACGACTGCGTGTCTTGATTGCCCGAGCCTTGCACAGCGACTTGCTCGTCCGCGATGAGTAGCTTAATGTGACAGCTGCGCTTTTTGAAGGAGTTGTGGATGGGGTGGTCCTGGTCCGCTGCGACGTAGAAGTACACCTGTAATCGCTGCTTTTCTGCGTCGGTGGAAAGACCTTCGTAGAGCTGACGAGCGAACATCTCATTCGTTCCATTCTGGCCTGGAAGGAGCTCGCCTAAGTCGTTGTAGCCGAGGCAGACGTAGTACGTGACTTGCACACCGCGCTTGACCGCTTCGACGATGGCAGGCAGCAAAGGTTTGGCGTTGAGATCAGGAGTCTGGATGAAAATGTCGCGCTTGGCATTGCGGATTAGTGATAAGAAGCACTCGTTCTGTGGAACGTATTCGGAGGCATTGTTGGGTGGGCCGTACGGCTTGCGGTTCGCCATGGCAATAGGAACCGCGTCGGTAGGTGGACACGGGATGAAGGGGAAGAAGTGGAGGTTTGGGTCGCGGGCGGGCGCGGTGGCCTTGAGATCGAGCTTTGTGGGTTTGTTGAGATGGCGAGCGACAGCGTCCGCGTGGGATTCGCCTTGCTGCGGGCGGAGAACGGAGCGCATGCGGTCAATCTGGCCTGCGATGGAATCATCGTAGTGCGGGTGGCCGGGATCGTGCTCCGGTAGCTCAGCGTCGAGAGGTTTCTCCGGCAATCTGAAGGAGCCGTCTGGCTCGAAAAGGTGCATGAAGCTGTCCTCGCGGAAAGTAGGTGGAGGCTTCGCTGTCGCTGTCTCGTTGCGGCACGGAAGCGGTGGCTCGAACTTGTTGTGCCATGACACGATGAAAGTATCCCATATCGAGTCCACAATCGGACCTTCGACGTGCGACATCATCTCGACATTGTCATTGTCCATGATGTTATTGCTGGAAATGGTAGCAATTTCACGATCAACAACCATGAACTTGCTATGGAACGTCCCGAGGGGCGGCTTGTGAAAGTTCTGGACAGCCAAGTCTATGTTCGGTATCTTCTCCGGTGCGGGCAAGCCTACCACCTCTGAAGTCCATGTCTTCGGCTTGACCTCGAGATGGTTCTCGGCGAACTGCTTCAAGTCTCCGCGGTCATACATCAGTTTGAACACGATTCGCTCGCCACGCTGCCCGGCGCGCTTCGAAAGCTCGATCATCGCATCATTGATGAGCTCACTCGCGCCAGAATGTTTCCAGAAGTTGGTCGCAAGCAGCACTTCCCTCTTCGCGCGGACGATGAGGTTCGACATATGCCGTATCTGATCGTTTAGAGGTGCGATAATGGTCAATGGTACAAATCCAGTGCTGCCGCACAACGAGGGCGAGACGCAGTTGGCGAGAGCATCGTGCTGTAAACACTGGAGGAGGTCGTGGTACGCTTGGAGGAACAGTTGGCTGGGCTGCGTGTTGCCAAAGTTGCCGCATCGCCTCGCCCATTCGAGGGTCTCCGGACTCGCCACCAGTCGCTCCGTAGGCGCCTTTGTTGACGAAGAGTGCAGATGATGCGAACCAAACAACTTCTGTCCAATGTCGCTTGGCGACTTGGTAGGGTCCTGCGCATAGTGAGAGCTGATGCTATCCTTGGATTGGCACCATTGTAGAATTTGGTCTTCTGCCTTCGCACCATTCACATGTTTGTCGCTAGACGGGTGCATGCTGTCGCTTCGCCAAGCGAATTAAGCAGGCCAAGCTCTGTGCCAAGGTGAAGCCAAGAGGAGCCAAAGTCGTAAATGTCGAACGAGCACGCGACCAGCTTTTGAAGGAGCTTCAATCGGGCCCAAAGCCGTCTAAGCCGAGCAATAAACAGGAAACTTGGACCGATGGAACCTGCACATGGGACACAAACGGAATAGTGCGGAGAAGTCATGTTCAATGACGTACGTGTGTCTACCATCTAACGCGCTCCAAAGACGCGCAACCAGCTGCTTGTTGTCATACAATTCAGAAGGCAACAAAACATTGTATGAATGTTCGCTTTGCATTAGGCGATTGTGTCAAGATCCTCTTTAGGTACTGAAGTTGAACCTTTGTAGCATGATTACTCACGAGCAATGCCGATACAGCACGTATTGGAAAGAGGAGTTGGTATATCAGGTCACGAGCTTACTGAGCCGGCGCTCGTGCTTACGCCTGCACTTACTTCGTTTGAACGCCTGCCGTGTCACCTCGACAAGACCGTCCTAGGTCATTAGGAGTCTTCGCATCGCAATTCCTTTCCTCGTCAAATACGGATACATGTCAGCCAACGCCTCGCCTAGTACATCTCAGTTAGTACAGTTGCAGAATTACATGTCGCTCAGTCCGCCTTCATCGCTGCCGCCATCGCCGGAGCTTGATCGCCTGTTAGATTCGCTGGCGGAGTCAACAGCGGTGAATGATGGCTAGGAGCGTGCGTCAAGTTCGCCGCTGTTGACGACATGGCGCTCGGCGAAGACAGGTCGGAGACTTGTCGCTCTGAACCCACATTAGCTCGTACCCCCTCGCCTTCCTTGCGAAGTAGCTTACCCAGCTCCCGTATCCTAAGCTTCAGCATCTGATTCTCTCGAGTCAACGCATGCGTCTCCGCCTGGTAGAAGGCGCATTCGTCCCGGCTCCCACCCAGCAGGAAGTCCTCGGTCAGCGGCCCAATGCTGGAGACAGGTCGGACAGAGGGAGACCCGTTGGCGCTGCTGGTCCCTGCTGTTGAGAAGCGGGCGGAAGATTGGCGGGAGAGGCTTGCGGGTCGCGTGAAATGGCCTTGGGGGAGATGAGGTGGTAGAGTCGAGCGCGGCGAGGAAGGGTGCTCTGTCGCTGCCGAGCTGGTAGGTGTGTACAGAGCGAAAGAGGGGTGTGAGAGCTCGGTTGATGTCGGCGAAGAAGGGTCCACCACCGCTTGCTGTTGCTGTTGTCGCTGCATAGCGGCTAGTTGGTCCTGCTGCAGACGGATCATGTAGAGTAGCCGGTTGACCTGCGCTTCTTGTTCATTTTCCAGCTCCTGGTGAATCTCACCCAGACTCGACGTGCGCTGGTGATGTGGATCCGCTGTTGCCAGTGCGATCGACCGCCTTCCCACTCGAGGAGAGCCAGCGCTAGGACCGCCGTTGCTGTGCTGCATTTCGCCTGGTGCGGGTGTGGTCGGGTCGTTTATGGAGAGGTTGTTCATGAGACTTGATCTTCGGCGCTCGAGGCCTTGTGGATGTCGATGTGGTGAGTGACGGCTTGCGTTCATGGCTGCTGCGGCTTGCAGTGACGACAGAGATGGTGAACGAGGTGATGGTGGGCCTTCAATGTTGCTGGTGATTGATATGCGCCGTGGTCTCACGACGGCCGGGGCAGCTGCGGAAGGAGGCGGAGAGTTCGGAAGGGTGTTGAGGTCGGGCATCTCCGATTGCGCTGACTATGTTGATGCTGGTGCGAGTAGAATTGGGAAGTGATGCCGCTTAGTGATGTGACAGGTGACGCAAAGGACAAAGGGAACGATCCACTGCTGTCAGACAAAGCATTGGCATACGACTTACAGTCGACACGTTCTTTGAGGCACACACGTATGCCCCCACCTTCACTCACACGGTACAGTACTTGTCACCTGAGCTGCATAAAGGTGGCTCGGCTCGTTCGCTACTGCAGTAGGCCGCGGCTGGCCGCCGGCAGTGACTCCGGGTTACTCTCAACTGCCGACCAAATCAAAAGCTGTGGCTTGACCGATTGATTGTCTCTTGGGTTTCGAGCTTGCAGTCGTCACTCTCGACATGAACTCCAACAATGCCAGCACGCCAAGAGACACGTTTGCAAGGTCAGTGTGTCATAAGATGAGGAATGGCGTCTATGAATTAGACGGAGATCTTGGCTTCGCGGCTTGCCCTCCCCGAACCGTGACAGCAACCTAGCAAAACCTTCCTGTCGATGGATGTGCTGATTCTGCAGGTGACTTTGTTTCAGCAATGTTCGTTCCCTTACCAGCTCAAAGATGCCGAAGCCGTCGGCATTCACATTAGATGCGAATCGGCCATACGCGAGTCACATGATACATTTGATCTGCTGCCGGTGTTTTTTGCTGCTAATGAAGGTTCGTTTGAAGAAAACGCAAGGGACGCTGCGAGCAGCCGTCAATTTTTACAGGGGAGAAGGCGTAACAGCAATGTCTTGCAAACCTAACGAAATACTCCTACGCATCACGGTATATGGGGGGAGTGCTAGCACATGGGCGTTGCGATCGGTAGTTCTCGCAGATCTGCAAGCTATTCCATCGCATTGATGGGTGTTGCCGCTGGCGCCTCCCCGCCACCGAAGCCGAGCCGAGGTTTAGGCTTTGCGCAACAGGAACGCTCAAGCACTAGCGCCTTGCTCTACACAATAATCGAGTCTGGATCAAGGCAAGTCTTCACGGCGATCTACAGTACGGTCCTTAGCTCCGTTATTGGGCATCACGATTGTTCCGTATCCACTCTCTACACGAGAGGAGACGAATACGAGATGTAGGAAAACTGTCGCTATCTCTCTATTTCCCGTCACACCCCCGTCACATCCTGCACGATTCATCACTTCTGCGGCGCCGGCGGTTTGGTTTCATCTGCTTGTGATCGCGCCCCGCCGTCTGTAGGAAACACAGGCACCGGGTGGCTGGCCGGCCCTTTGTGGAGCACCCGTAATCAACGCGCAACCTATGCAGCGGTCATCCCAGGCTTGAGCAGCAGCCGTTCGCAGACTGTGATCTCACCCCTGCCCTTGTTGCAGGATCTTGAGGATTTCATCCGCCGCCGAACTTCACCAAGTCCTGTCTTATGGTGAACTTTGGGGTGCAGACGAAAGGAAGTTACCGGACTGCTATGGCTACCTTTGCGACAACTTGGACACGAAAGGAACACTGCAGAACATCAATAGCTGTCTACAATATGAACAAGAGTTAGCGAGTGACTCTGTGCACACGGCCGTCTTACAACGCGATACGCCAAGACTTGCCACACGTTGGTAGTACGCGCAATGGCCGAACCTCAGCTCCGATCACGCGCGTCGAAGTTGTCGTTATTTCACCTCTTCGACGCGCCGAACGTAGAGAAGGCCCGCGGGTATGCGGAGCAAGGACTCAAGGTACTGCGCCCAAAGCAGTCTCGACTACAGCTCGGAACGCAGAAATTACCAGTAGAGCCAGTCGACGGTTTGCCTCCGCGATCGACGACGTCTATGTCATTGCGCGGCACTGCGCCTCGGCCTGTCTCGAGAGCAACAGCTAGAGAAACCCCAGCGAGGACGAAGCGGCGCGGAGCGACTGGTTGGGAGTCGTTGCCGTTATACCAGGCGCATGCGCAGGCGACCAAAGAGGGCACGCTTGAAGTCGGCAGCCTGTCTACGGGTACAGTGTTGCAAAAGTCGAAGAGCAGGAGAGACTTCGGCAGATGGATGAATGCGCCAAGCAGTCCCCGTCACAGTGGTGAGGACCGTGTCAGCATGGAAACACGACGGACAACTAGGACGACAACGAAGCACATCAGTAATGGTTCAATCACACGCTTGGCCGCGCCACAGAAAGTCTTCGTACTGGTGAAGTCTGGCGGTTTGTTGCAGTACGCAGAGAGCGGACCTAATGATCGACTACCGGAGCGGATCTTACAGCTAGGTAAAGATTCGGCAGCGTTCGCATGCGATCTCATACCTGGCAGGCACTACGTTCTGCAGATCTCAGAGTCGATCAATCAGCAAGGCATGGTTGTCGCCAGACCTAGCACTCTTCTTATGAAACTCGGTCTGCGCAAGCCGGTGACAGATGAAAATACGTCGAGCTTCTTGCTTGTGATGCCGGATGCAGCGGACATGGATGACTGGATGATCGCCACGAGACTAGTCATTGAGTCAATGGGAGGGCACAGGGCTAGACCTGATACTGCGGAACGGCCCAAGACGCGGGATGTGAAGAACGAACCAACGAGCGATGTCGCGCAAAGCCCACCAATGCCACCTTTACGCTCGCCCATCGAAGCAGAGCCGAGAAAGATGTCGCTCGCCAGCAGACCGTCGCTGGAACGCATGAACGCTATGCCACCGCCAGAGCGCGAGTACGACGACGTTTCGGAGATTGACTCGATCGACGCTCTCGAGCAAGAACTTAATGACATGGTCAGAGATAGCCCGGTATCGCCAGAGGAGGAACTTGAAAAGCAGTTCCCGCCGGACGCGACGCAGTCTGCACGCTCGTCAGGAGCGCTGTCTTTTGACCAGCAACGGCTGAACAGTCTCCGGAACAGCCAGCGCATTTCTCACTCCACGGTCGGCACCTCAGCCACATCTCCAACTGCGCACTCGGCAAGCGGGTCTCCGCCCACGGCAAACCCGATCAAAGCCAGTTCAGAAAGCGTCCGCGAGCACGTACCGTCAAGCACAGGGTATAGGACACTGTCTTCGTACTCGAGCGGCCGTAGACGGTCAGCCATGCCGTTGAGTGGAGGCACAGAGGCGCCTTTACCGGCCATAGATGTCAATGCGGCCGTCAATATGCACTCGCCTTATGCGCTGTCTATGGAGTCGCCAGTCGTAGGCCGCAACTCGCCACATCCTCTACCGAAGCCGAGAAAGCTTGCTGTTGCGACAAGCGCGCCTAACCTGAGGGCAGTCGCAGAAGATGTTAAAGCGAAGCATGACTCTAGAATGTCGCCTCATCTACCCTCGCAATCAATTGCTGAGGAGAAGGCTGAGCGGCCGTTGAGCATCATCGGCGACTTACCTCACCCGTCAATGTGGAGCGGGTCGAATAAGTCACCTGTGCAACGACTTTCCGGCGAGCAGTCACCAATACCTTCTTCACCCAACGCATTCAGAGCAAATGCGGCAAAGTTTACGTCGCAACAGCAGCGAACATCAGAGCCTTACAGGCCGCCTAAGCGATACTCATCCCAAACGTTCAGCCTACCACTAAAGATCATCCCCTCTACGCCGGAGAACCGACCGCCGACCAGAACAGAGCACCGCGAACCATCATTTAACGAAGTCGAGCAGGGCAACGGAGAACCTGTCGTACATACTCTGACGGCTAAGGTAGACACGGGAGATACGGCAAACGGAGACTTCGAGGCAGCCAATCGTCGAGGCGGACTTCCCTTCTACCCAGCGCATATATCCACCCAAATTTCGGGACATCACCAGCGCAAGCACCCAACATCCGCCACAACACCATCGAGCCAGTACCAATCGCACCAACCTAACGGCCATACTTTACGAAGACCGGCAAGCGTCCAAATGCGACCCGGAGCCGCGCCGCCGATCCGCAGCCTGAAGCCCTCGCGCTCGGCTCTGACGCTTTCCAGCATGGCAGCTCAGCCTCTGCAACAGATCCACCCTGCTTTGCGGGAGAAAGCACTTCCACCTGTGCCGCCGCCTACACGGCCGCAGTCGCGGACGAGCAATGGACGGAGGATCCAGACGCAGGCTTCTTTGTCGGAGATGGACGTGGGCGTGTCGGTAGCGGGGTTGGGCCCGCCCGCTCCGCCGCCTCAGCAGCCGCTGCCTGTGCCGCCAGGGATGGAAGGGGAGGGGAGTGCGGCGGGGTTGGGGATTAGGGTATGACCTGTGAAAGTAATGATGCACGGCTTGGCTTATGATAGCGTTGGAGCGCTTTGGGAGTATGTGTGGGATATCTAGATGACCGATAGGTAGAGTCGCCCGCAAGGGCTTGTTTGATACGGTACAGCATTCTGTAAGATGATTACTTGACGATCCTATGATGGCGATGCTTCTCTTCTACTTGTATAATTCACGTCGTGTTGTAGAAGTTGTGATAGCAGTCCATCAGTACGTGTGAACAATAGAGTTTCATGCATTGTGACGCGCAGCCTCGTGGCGCTGAAACCCTGAGGAGCTTGTGACCTTCAAAGGGCAAGTGAGAATCAACCTGTCGTCTTCGAGCCTCAGTCTGTGCTAATAGGTGGTGGACATGAGGAAGTGTTCAGATGGTCGTTAGTGTGTAGTATTACTCAAGAGCGGGAGAGTAAGAATGCTTGGCTTGTAAGAGGACAATCGGAACCTGCACAATATCCAAGGCAGCCGTTATAGCAGACCTTGACCCGCCAGCTCCGATATGTCGACACTCGAGCATGACCTACGAACCATGGGCGGCGACATCAACCAACCGGCCGGCACAGGGCAAGGCTTCGGACGCATCGTGCTCATCCTCGCCGGCGTCAGCGCCCTCGTCGCTTCCCTCCTCACAGTCCTCACCACCCTCCTGCAAGCCAAAAACTACCGCAAACCCTTGCTCCAACGCCACGTAATCCGCATCTTGGTCCTGGTGCCAATCTTCAGCGCCGCCTCGTGGGCCTCGCTGACCAGCCTCCGCGTCGCCTTTTGGATTGGCCCGTTTCGCGATGTCTACGAGGCGTTTACGCTGTACACCTTCTTCCAGCTGTTGGTGGCGTATCTGGGCGGGGAGAGGAGTTTGATTATCATGATGCATGGACGACCGCCGGTGAGCCATCTTTGGCCGCTGAATCATTGTTTGGGGAAGGTGGATATCAGTGATCCGCATACGTTTCTGGCCATCAAGAGGGGCATTCTGCAGTATGTCTGGATCAAGCCTACGCTGGCCATCGCGACGGTGGTGATGAAAGGAACTGGCACGTTCCGAGAGGGCATCCTGGCGGCGAACAGTGGATACTTCTGGACGGGTTTGGTCTACAACGTCAGTATCTGCTGGAGTCTTTACGACTTGGCGCTGTTCTGGGTGTGCATGAATGATGATTTGCAGCCTTTCAGGCCTATGCCAAAATTCCTGTGCATCAAGGGCATCATTTTCGCGTCGTGGTGGCAAGGCTTCATGCTGTCCATTCTTGTTGCGCTGGGTGCTATACCAAGTGCTGGAGGAGGGTATACGGCGGACAACCTGGCTGCCGCAATCCAAGATGCCCTGATATGCTTCGAGATGCCGTTCTTCGCGCTCTCGCATTGGTACGCTTTCAGTTGGCAAGACTACGCCGACCGCACTATCTCCGACGCCCGCATGCCCATCCGCTTTGCTTTGCGAGACGCCTTCGGTCCGCGAGATCTGATCGAGGACGCGAAGGAGACGTTCAGCGGCAAACATTACGACTACAGGTACTTCGATGCCGAAGACAATGTCATCGCACACGAAGAAAGCTCAAGCAGAGAAGCGCGAATGCGTGAAGGCATGAGGTACGAACGCAATGGCAAAGGTAAGTATTGGATCCCGCCGTCCAACGGCGCCAACGACAAGCATCCTCTCCTTGCGCGATGGGCGGACAGTCACGCACGGACGATGAGCCCTGGCGGCGCAGCCTCACGGTCAACCAGCCGAGGCGCGAATGGCACCCTTGATTACGGCACAAGACGAGAGCCGGAGGAGCCAGAGAAGGACGCGGAAGAAGAACGGCTCTACGAAAACGCCCGCGCGCTGGAGTTCGGCGACTGGAACTACCCCGTCATCAACACCCACTATGCGTCGCGCGAAGACCGCGTGAGCACGGAGCCTAACATGATCAGCGCCAGCACGAATCGCGCCATCTTGCAACCAACGGCCGACAATCGGCAGCGGAGGAAAAGTCGCATCAGAGACATCCAAGAGGACGTCTACCAACATGACGACCCTGCGAAGAAGAAGCGAGATAGCCATGGTGAAAGCAGTCTTGCCGCGAAGGGCAAAGAAAAGTTGAAACACCTGCCACTCGTCGGCGGCCTTCTCCAACGCCGCGACTCCTCGGAATCAGTCGAGTCGCATTCTTCGCAACTCGTCGACCTGGTCGTCGAAGACACGCAAGCCGAAGAAATCGAACGCGTTCGTGCACGCAAAGAAGGCGGACCAGGCTGGAACAGTATCGAGCAGCGGCACTTCGTGAAAACTTTCCCCGATGAAGGTGAAGCGGAGGAGGTGCGGCAGGGTTTCAACCCGGACAAGCCGGAAAAGCAATTGACGGATGCGAGTCACACGCTTGACTCGCCTTTCGAAGTCGGCGACGGAGAGGAGGAAGGGGTTTCGGATGTGCCCGGGCAGGATGAGATGGGGAGGGAGCAGCCGTGGGAGGAGAGGGAGGCGGCGGAGACGGGTGGGGAGGCAGATGCGAAGGTTGATGGAGTGTTTGAGGAGGAGAGGAGGGCTTGGGGGAATTGATTCTGACTTACAATTGTGGCAGCGGGTTAGGGTGTCGGTTAGCGGTGGCGTTGTTGAGGTGCCTGGTCCGTTTTCGAGATACCAATGTCCGCAGTACTGCATTATGGGATCAGACTACTGTATCTCTTCTCTGCGTTTACTATAATACAATATCAAGCTCATGCGAAAGAAAAGCACATGTTAGTTCGAGATGGGTGTTTGTGTGGCGGGTGCAGCCGCGGTGGTGCGGCGAAAGGTCGGAGGAGAGCTTTCATCAGTCTGTGCTCATCGATGTCCCTGTGCCTGTAGTCCAAAAAGTTCCCAGACGTACACCCGCGCCACCTATCCCAGCTCTGTGCCACTTGTTCAAGGACAAACCTCACGTCGTACCTCACAAACGCTCCCCTCCGTGCAAGTTTTCATTCGCAATCAAGGCAACATGATCCAACGAACCTTCCTCCGACCCATCCAAGCTGTCACGCGACAACCGCAATCCCTACGAATCGCACCGACAGCAACCAGCAGATCATCGCCTGTTGTATCTGGAATAACGCCTCCAGCTTCGCAAAGACTAGGCTCGCGAAGATGGTACGCCCAAGCGCAAGAAGCGGAGGCGAAGAAGGAGGGCGGTCCCGCAGTAGAGTCACATGGCAATGCATCAGGCACACAACCCGCTGCGGCGGACGCATCGAAAGCGGATCCCTCACAGGCAGAGCTCGAGTCGAAGAAGCGCGAAGTCATCGACCTCACCGACCGGCTAAAACGCTCCGTGGCCGACTACCGCAACCTCCAAGAACAAACCAAACGTGAGATCCAAGCCTCTCGCGATTTCGCTCTCCAGCGCTTCGCCAAGGATCTCCTAGACAGCATCGACAACCTCGACCGCGCACTCAGCAACGTCGAACCGTCCAAACTCGACGCCGCGGACGCGAACCCAGATCTCAAGAACCTACATTCAGGTCTAAGGATGACGGAGCAGATCTTGATGGGGACGCTGAAGAGGCATGGGATGGAGCGGTTCGATCCGGCGGAGACGGCGGAGAAGTTCGATCCGAATCGGATGGAGGCGACGTTCCAGGCGCCGCAGCAGGGGAAGGAGGATGGGACGGTGTTCTATACGCAGTCGAAGGGGTATACGCTTAATGGACGGGTGTTAAGGGCGGCTAAGGTTGGGGTGGTGAAGAACTCGTGAGGCGATAGCGCGCGCGATGCTAATGCTCTTGTCGCTGTTGATGCTGGCTGCGAAGCTGGCTGAGCGACTTGTACGATTTCTCCCCTTTCGCATTGTGCATAGCGATCCTCTGTATAGGTAGATTTGTTATGGCATAGCCGATGCCTGTACGATATACCCTCGTTCAAGACCGTGTTTCTGTCTGATTACGCGTTACCTCCTCAGCTAGTCCCATCTGGTCTCGTCTCGTCGTACACATTCGACTGCCACATGTCTTCGGCCTGAGGCACACACTTTTGGGGTGAGCCGAGGAAGCATGTGAAACAGCGATCAGTTGAGAGTGCTTCGTGCATGTAACATCAAGATGTATTGTTGCTGCGACGAAGGCTTCGTGTCTACGAGTCCGCGGTAGCAGGCCAGGCAGTGCCATCGAGATGGCCATACTCCCACCATCGTTGCCATCGCAGCTCACGGCCAGCCTCTCCAACCGGTCGGCGAAGCAACTTCTAAAGGACCTTACGAACCTCTACGTCAAGCATCGCACCCGCATCTCCCGTACCATCTATCTCGCTCTCTTCCTGGCGGTCATCCATCGTGTCCGCAATGCCATCAAAGAACAGAAGGCGGCCGCTCTCCGCGCCGCCGAGATCCGTCGCAAGGGACCCGTCACAGCCAACGCCCGCGGCGAGGCGACGTCAAGGAAGAAGGTTGAGCTCAATCGCGAGTTCTTCCGCAATCTGTTCAAGCTGTTGAGGATCTGTATCCCGGGATGGAGAAGCAAAGAGCTAAGGCTGCTCGTCAGTCATTCCGTATTCCTCGTCTTGCGGACGCTGCTGAGCCTGTACGTTGCGGAGTTGGATGGCAGGCTGGTCAGCAGTCTGGTCAAAGGGAAGGGCAAGGCGTTTTTGAAAGGACTGGTATGGTGGATGATCGTTGCGGTGCCGGCCACCTTCACAAATTCAATGGTACGTCAATTTACCTCTCCGAGTCGCATACTTCTCGCTAATGCCAATCATGACAGCTCTCATACCACCAGACTACGCTTGCACTTGCGTACCGTACCCGCCTTACGCATTACATCCACCACAAGTACCTCAACAACATGACATTCTACACGCTTTCTGCTCTCGACGACCGGATAAAGAACGCAGACCAGCTCATCACGGTAGACGTCAGCAAGTTCTCCAACAGCCTGGCTGAGCTGTATTCCAACCTCGCCAAACCCATCCTAGATCTCGTCATCTACAATTGGAGTCTCAGCCGCAGCGTCGGCGGCGAGGGCCTATTTGCCATGTCGCTCATGGTGCAACTCAGCGCAAGCGTGATGCGCGCACTCACACCACCATTCGGCAAGTACGTCGCCGACGAAGCACGGCTCGAAGGCGAGTTCCGCTTCCAGCACTCTCGCCTCATTGACTACAGCGAAGAAATAGCGCTGTACTCCGGCCACGAAGCGGAGAAGGACACGCTTGACAAGGGCTACTTCACGCTGATCAAGCATGTGAATCGTATTCTGCGCCGACGTTTCTATCACGGCATCATGGAAGACTTCGTCATCAAGTACTTCTGGGGTGCGCTGGGGCTGATGCTGTGTTCAGTGCCTGTGTTCTTCAAGCTTCCATCAAGCGGGGGCTCTCGCGGTGGTAAAGCTGACCATACTGAGAGCTTCATCACAAACCGGCGACTGCTGCTCTCCAGCAGCGATGCATTTGGACGGTTGATGTTCTCGTACAAAGAGATCTCACAACTCGCCGGGTACACCAGCCGCGTCAGCACGCTCTTAGAAGTCATCGCCGACACTCAGCGCGGCCACTTCGAGAAGGCGCTCGTCTCCTCCGCATCCATCGAAGCCAACGCCAACGTCCTCGCCGGCCGTGGCGAGCTCGAAGAAGGCGAAGACATCAAGTTCGACAACGTGCCCATCGTCTCGCCCAACGGCGACGTGCTCGTCAAAGCTCTCTCCTTCCACATCAACCGCGGCGACCACTTACTCATCGTCGGCCCCAACGGCTGCGGCAAAAGCAGCCTCTTCCGCATCCTCGGCGGTCTCTGGCCCGTCTACGGCGGCAAAGTGCGCAAACCGCCCAGCGAGGACATCTTCTACATCCCACAACGGCCTTACCTTAGCAAGGGCACGCTTCGGCAGCAGATACTGTACCCAGATAGCCTGCTAGACATGCGTGCGAAGGGCGTCACGGACCAAGATCTCGTGGATATCCTTACTGTACTCGGAATTGATACCTTGCTCAACACATCGAACAACCGCTCATGGCAAGATGACAACGACGAGTACACTACCCCGACCGACTCCCGACCCCCCCGCACAGCATCAACAGCCGGTCTAGACATCTCAGCCGAATGGACCGACCTCCTCTCCACAGGCACGCAACAACGCATCGCCGCCGCCCGCCTCTTCTACCACGCCCCGAAATACGCCATCCTCGACGAGTGCACCTCCTCCGTTACCGCGGAGACCGAAAAAATCATGTACGACGAGGCGAAACGGCTCGGGATCACGCTCATGACGGTCTCGCATAGACGGAGTTTGTGGCGCTATCATGGGTGGATTTTGCAGTTTGATGGACAGGGAGGGTATGTGTTTACGCGGTTGGACGCGGAGAGGAGGTTGAGGTTGGAGGATGAGAGGGAGGAGTTGGAGGTGCTGTTGCGAGGGGTGCCGGAGATTGAGGGGAGAATTGCTGAGTTGGAGGCTGGGGAGAGGGTGGGACTGTGAGGGCTGATAGTGGTCCAGTAAGACGAGCTGATGCCAGCGTACCGCCAAAGCACCGAGAAGGTATATCAAGTTACAGCGGAACGGCAACGCCGGTCCTGGAATGACGAAGTATGAAGCTCAAGACATGACGGCTGCTTGTAGCTTAGGAAAGCCTCAGGATGTCATCAACACCACATCAATTACGTATCACAATGTAGACTGCTGTGTCCCAGCGCGCCGAAGATGGACGGCCACATGCGAGAACGGGTGGACCCGACACGCCGTGCGACACATGGCGGATGCTTGGCGTACGACTCATGATGCTCGCCACTTGCATATGCAGTCGCGCTGGTACCTGCAGGCGAAGCTGTGTAAGACACTAAAAGTCGAGCATCTGCATCTCTGCCTGAAAGCAAGGGCGAGCCAGGGCGACGCTAGTCGAGGCTGTGCATGTTACGCAGGCTGTGCTGGCCGGGGATGCTTCCGGTTCGGCCTCGACTTTTTCCCATACGCTAGCAACGATACCATGGTGGCCAACACAGTCAGAGCTTGTGGGTCGGTTGCATCGTGGCAATCGTATTGGGTCGTAGACTCGTACAAGTAGAGAGTATGGTGCGCCTCGTTGAGTAGCCTATGTTGCCTTAGGCATGTCAATCTTCGACTACATCTCTTCAGTCCTCAATCCAGTCTGTTGTTCGCTCATACTGTGCATGAAACCACTCTCGTTAATGTGCTCGTTGTTGCTCGAATGCAAAGTATCCCAAAGGGCTATCCTATCGCAAGAGCCGGGGTATCATTAGAAAGGAAACCATCCTGGATAGACGCCACGACAACGCCGTAGTGACCACACCCGTCAAGTCATGCTGTCCAGAGTACTTCATCCTCGTGCATGTGTACGCATTAGTCCGAGAAAGCACGGTTCAGGTTCATCACTGCGTCCTTCGGCTGTTCGATGATGGCACCTACACAATCGTCAGTAAAGACTGGACAGACCACCGGATTGGTGTCTGCATCGATCCTCACCTGTCGTCGCCGGTCGCGCCTGGGATCCGCTGTCACAAGATAAGCACTCGTGCTTTCGCCTAGCTGACCATGCTGTCTCAGCTCGGTCATCGCGGGCCCCTGAAGGACCCTGGCCTGCCACAGCCAGCCGATCATGGCCTGATCAGCCCTTTCCCGCCTGACAACAACTCTTTGAGCCGGATGATGAAGGTTCAGATGCCGCAGCCGATGGCTCCAAGCCTCGTCGCCAGACGAAGCAGTCATGGCCCAATCGCACCCATGGAAGTCACAGCGGGCAGTCCTGGGTAAGGTACCGCGGAAGTGGGAGCGACAGTGCGTGTCCCACTCCGCTATGTCATCACACGTGATATGACAGTTGAGGAAACGGTACGGACAGCTGAGCCGTGTCGAGTCATCCGGAAGCCCGAGTGCGCCGTCGACTTCTACTAGGATGCTTGGCTGCCCGAAAGAGTCCGCATCCGACGGTGTTTTCACTGTCGACACGGTTTCCGCAGTGCTTCCCGACCGCAAAGACGGCGTACGTTTTGACGAACTTAGACTGTCGAGCGTTGCGGAGCGGCTGTGTGTCACAGCCATCGAGTCGGTCCCGGAATCTCGTCGCTTGGGAACAACCCTCGGAACGCTCTCATTGCCGGCTGGGAACGAATACACGCTTGCTACGAAGCTCTGGAACCTGTCTTCTTCCTCTAGACTTTGCGTGGTATAGTCGACAATGGGCGGCTGAGAGGTGTGAGCCCGAAGCGCAGCAGCTAAACTCGGTCCCGTATGCACGTGCGCCACGTATGCGCTCGCCCGGCTGCTAGGCTCGGCTTCACTATCCGACCCCGACACGGACATATTGACAGCAAAATGATTGAGGAAAAGCTACGGCGTTCGCAATTGTTAGAAGAGGAACTCGCTGGCTTGCGATACACGACAAAGTCTTGCGGCACCATGAGCGAGGAGCCGGATATAAGCTCCATAGACGCGCATCTGGACATCCGTCGACCAGGAATTGATAGCGCTTAGCATGTTCTCGTGACCACGCTGGCCAGGTCCGCCGGTGAAGCTGTGTGGAGCCAGCACACCTCCACCCCCGAGAAACGAGCCAATGCGGAGTGGGAATGGACCACAACGATATCAAGATTCGTATGGACGCCGACGCCCCGGTCACGATCTGGAAGGATTGGTCGACTGTTGCCGCGTGCCACGAGTAAACGTACATCGCAGTGGAACGTTCTTTCGCTAACGGCTTGCTTACCCGGGATCACGCGTGTCCTATGGTCGACAGCGCCTTTTGGACAAAAAACAGACGACATCAAAGCGGTAGACGAAGTGTTCGACGGCAGCTAAACACTTGTCTACCGGAGACAGCGCGACGGTGCCGGGCCAGCGAAGGGAGTGATTTCCCGGCAGAAGCGATACTCGCGATGCTCCCGGTTTCCTGGTCGTGAAGATGGTGACGCCCGAGAACCTTCATGCTCATTCGGTTACTGCGGAAAGATGGCCGTCTGTCATTCGTGCATCTGCTCACCGGAACGCCTGCAGCCAGTGACACTAGTGGCGCTCCGCTGCATGCGAAGCTTTCAAGCGGAACGTTGTCGGGCAGTCCGAGTATTAAGACACCATCTTCACTGTTATCGTCGGCACCTTCGCTCTCAATGGCAGGAACAGCTGCCTCGCAGCGAAATCGCACAGCGCTTTTGTAAGCTAAGATGATCAAGCATTCCGCCGGTACGTGCATGGGCGTTACTCTTCGGCCGACCCAGAGAGCCGGAATAGGGACTCCATGGCCGGTTCAGAGCAGGAAGCTCTGTTGATTTCCTTCGAGATGCCCCGTCGGGTGCGTTGGTGGTCCTCGGATCGAGCATCTTGACGGCAGTAGAATGCACGACAACCACCACCGCACAGACCTGCCGAAAGGGGAAGCCGTACCGCTTCCGTTCCTTTCATAATGCTGACTAGGCTAGTCATCACAGTGCAGACATGATTGCGGCAAGAGGCCTGCTTTGCTCAGTTTTGACTTGATCATATATGGGCATCGTGCCGCACACAAAGTCTATCATCTAGCCTTAGGCGCAAAAAGCCTCTCCACGCAGCGTCGCTGCTGGATGTAAGAATGCAATGCCCGCTTGTACGCGACACAACGGTGGATATATACAGCTCCGCCCGAACCAAAGCGACCAAGTTCTCATCACGCAGTAGCCATGACCGACGCAGGGACGTCCTTTCTCCGCTCGAAGCTGAGCAATAAGTCGTCCATCGGGAAGATTGTGGCGAACACCCTCATCTCCTCGCTGCAATCCGTGATCTTGTGCTTCCATTCCAGCTCGCTGCTGATCATGTGCAGCAAACACGTCAGGTTCAGTGTTGCATATGTTTGACCGATGCAGTAATGCGGGCCCGTGCCGAAGACGAGCCAGTTCTTGCCCTGCTCTTCGGCGGTGCCGCTTATCCATCGCTCAGGGTCGTAGGTGTCCGGATCCGGGTACGCTTCCGGGTCGTGTAATGATAGCCAGGTGGAGGGTATGATCATCGAGCCCTTCTTCGCGGTGTAGTTGCCTTCCGGAATGGGGAAGTCCTTCTTCACTACGTAGGGCACCATGATCACGGGAGGGCGGTAGCGAAGGGACTCCTTGACGCAGGCCTTCGTCCATTCCTGGAGATAAGTCAGCATGACACTCGCAATCCCGTTTGACACGGCGGCTTACCATCCTTTCCAAATCGTCAAGCGTCACCCCTTGGCTCGGATCCGGCCTAATTCTCGCCGCCTCCTCTCGCACCTTCTGCAGCATCTCCGGCCGATCGGCCAAGAGCTGCAGGATCCACGAGCAAGCCGAGCTCGTCGCATCCTGACTCGCGAACAAAAAGGTGGTCACCGTCATACTAATCTCCAAATCGGAGAACTTCCGCAACAGCATTGCCGGCTTCTCCTCGTCCGGCACCTTCTCGCCCTTGGCAATCCGCTCGCGGTACCGTTCACTCTCCATCATCTGCGCTATCCAGCGATCGATGATGCACTCCGGCTCTGCACCCTTCTGCCTCATCCGCACCTTCGCCTTCGCCGCGCAACCGGCGAAGACCTCAATGACTCGATCTGCAGCCTTCTTGCCGTACCACGTCCGGGTGAAAGGCAGGATGATCGGAAAGTTCACCAGCTCCAGTGCCGCGGTAATGTCGTAGTAATCGTCCGCGATCTTCTTCACGGCTTCCCGCGACATGTAGTGACCGACAAACGTACGGCACGAGACGGCGCACATCAACTCGCGCAGCTTGTACACAAACGGCTGCGCCTCACCGTTCTTCGCCTTCGTCATCTGCAGGAACTCCTCAAAGTACTCGCGGTACACCTCCTGCTGGCCCGGAAGGTACGTCTCCAACGCCTGCCGCGTGAACAAGCCGTTCAAGCCTTTCCGGTACTCGACGTGCTCTTTGCCATCCAGGAACACCCAGTTCTCAGGGCGCAGCAGCTTGTGCGCGACGTCCACCACGCAAGGCTTCACGTATGTCGGGCTGTTGAGCACTTTGCGGGCCATATCCCGCGTAGACGCGATGATGACGAACTTGTGGAAGACGGAGACGCAGCTGAGCGAGCCAGAGAGCCATTTGGCATAGTACTTGTCGAAGCTCGGCTTGACGCTCTCGTGAAAGGGACCGACGAAGGGGATCTTGAAGGTTGTGCCGGCGAGCGGACCCTTGAGTTGCCAGTACTTTACTGGTGTCGCTGTCAGCATAGGTGGCTCTCCGATCGTGGAAGATGCATACTCTGATCATAGGCGACCGCGATGGCAAACAGCGTAAGAAAGACACCGAATACGTTGACATTATCAAGCATTTTGCTGAGGACGCCCGTATCAACCGAAGAAATCGTTGCCTCAATATGCTCCACGTAAGGCGTGGTGGTGGCATTGAACGCCTCCATCATCGAAGCCATCTTGTCCAAACTGTTCACCTGCGCGCAGACGCACGCTGGGAAGAACACTCAGTCGGAAGTTTGGACGAAGCGGCGTTGAGATGGTTGAAAATGCGTTTTACCAACCGGAAGCTCGGCTCAAAAGTGCACCGCTCATCGTATGATTCTGGCACCTTCACGTCTGATTGGTTCGTCCCTGACAGATAGGTAGGCTGAGTAATCGGAGGGCATGCTTTACCAGCATTTCGGGCTGACATGTGCCCGGGTCACTGCCGAAATGTGCCTGAATATCCCGAACCTCAGCAGCGCTGCATGACAGCTGGCTCTTCTCATGGTACCTGCACAGGCATTGTGCACTTCAATTGCAACTTTTGCATGTTCTTCGTAATGTCTAGAAACGTCTATACCTCCCGCAGCTAACCGGTCACTCACCATCATCATGCAAGCGTTAGCAGAGGCGGGAAACCACACCACCAACACCGCTCGCTATGTCTGTCCATCGGAGCATTGCCCCCCGGCCTCATGGACGCCCAGCCCTCTATGCTCTTCCCTACAAGCGCCATCCTTTCGCCCTTCAAGCCTCCTCGACATCAGCTGGTGCCTGACCCTCAGCATCCGCCGGTGCATCCTTCATCTCCGCGTCCGGCTTCTCAGGCTCAGCGGCCCTCTTCGCCGCATCTTCTGCCTTCTTAGCTTCATCGGCAGCCTTCTTCGCTGCATCCTCCGCTGCACGCTTGGCCGCTGCGGCCTCCTCCGCGGCTTTCCGCCTCGCGTCGTCTTCCTCTTGACGCTTGTCGTTGAAGCGCTGGATGATGGGACCTGCGGCGGCGCGAAGCTCGTCCATCTTCGCAACGTACTGTGCCTTTGTCGCGTCTTCGCCTTCGTCGTACAGCCAGTCCTGCGTAGGCAGTTAGTCACCTGTCATCGACAGCAAAGTGGTAATGGAAAGTATGACTTACCTCAAGTTGCTCACACTTGTCCTTCACTTTCTGCTTCTCATCCTCGTTAGCAAAGTCAGAGTAACCGTTGCTCGAGTACGGCTCGTCGATCTTGTTCCGCATTGCGTAGATCTCCGACTCGAGCTCGTTCTTCTTGTCTTCCGTATCAGCAACAAGCTTGTCTTCGCTGACCATCTGCCCTTCCTGCTCCGAGTACTTGTCCTTCATCTCTGGCGTGAGGGAAGAAGTGCCAGCGGAGAGCGGTAGGTCGCCTTTTCGGACTTGCTTCTTGACCTTGCGGGTCTTCTGTGAGGGCGCCTTGGCTTCGCCGTTGGCCTTGTCGTCGGTCTCCATTGCCTGTTTCGCCGTCAGCAATGGGTCGGTTTTGACACGTTTGACCGCGCGCCCGCCAGTCCGCGAATGCAAGAGCTCGCCTGCGGTAGCATATAGCTTGCTGTCCTCCTCCTCACTCGCGACCAAGGCAGAACGTACGACGGGAATGGAACTCACATCAGCATCCTTCTTCTCATCCGCCTTGCCGTCGACTGCAGGCTCCTCAACTTCCTGCTCCTCGACATAGTAGCCTTGCTCAACGTTGAGCACGCCATGCAGGTTCAAACGCGCCTTAAGCTTGCAGATCATGAAGTCGTCCTTGCTGTCTGCCTTTACACCTTTCACGCTGAACCTACCGATCCAAGGGTTCATCTTGCCTGGTAGCAAATCAGGCTTGGCGTACTTCGCTTCCAGATCGAACGGCTGCTTGCGGTAGAATGTAAGAATCTTGGTTGAGGGCATCGCGTTCCCTTTGTTGAATACCGTGAGGCTGGTGTCCTCGTCCGGAATGTCTGGCGACTTCTCCCAGGCGAACTCGATGGGGTAGTTGACAATGTCTTGAACGCTGAAGTCGCGTACGCGGAAGACGGGCGAAAGAATGGCACAGCTGAATGCGCATCCTCTTGCAATAGCCTCATCAGCGTTGAGTGTAAAGTTGAGCTGCTTGCCGCCGAAGAAGTTGGTGATGGCCTGCTTGAGCGCAGGCACACGCGTGCAACCGCCGACAAGTTCAATAAAGTCGATGTCATCAACCTTCAATTTCGCCTCCGCCAGTGCTTGCTCGATGGGCGCCGTTGCACGTTCGAGAAGCGGACGTACAAGCTCTTCCATCTCGTCGCGCTTGAGCATGCCTTTAACGTCCACGTCGTTCATGCAGGACTCGATGTTGATTGGCGCGCTAGCGTTCGCCGAAAGGACCTTCTTCATCTTCTCCACCGCAGCCGCGACACGAACTTTGGCCTTGGCGTTCTCGTAGACGTCGATCTTGAACTTCTCCTTGAACTCTTGCCGGAAGTGGTCCATGATCGCCTTGTCGAAGTTCCGACCGCCAAAGTGTCGGTCGTAGGCGGTCGAGACGACTTTCAGTTCACCTTTCCGGAACTCGCAGATGGAACATGTGTAGTTGCTATGGCCAATATCGATGAAAGCCGTCCGCCGTGGCTTCTCCTCTGGACCCGGTAGATCCAGCTTGGTGATACCATACCCAAGCGCAGTAGCCGTGGTCTCATTAATAAGTCGTAACACTTTGATACCAGCGATGTCTGCTGCATCCAGGAGCGCTCTTCTCTGTGCGTCGGTGTACCACGCCGGCACGCTGATCACCATATCGTTCACCGGGAGCTTCAACTCTGCGGATGCTGTTTGCTTGGCCTTGGTCAAGAACATGGCGCATAGTTGCGACGCCGTGAAGCGCTCCTTCTTGCCCAAGTAGTTGACTTCGGCGCCGACCTGACCATTAATGTCCACTAGAGGTGCTGAAACGTAGTCCTTCTCGATATCGACGTCGGGATCGTGTATTGATCGGCCAGCCAGTCTTGTGAGGGAGCCGACTGTGTTCTTCATATTTGACACTTCCTGCGTCTTTGCTGCCTCGCCTAGATATCTGCTCTTGGGGCCAAAGCTCACCAATGCAGGCGTAGCACGGTTAGAGACTTCATTGGCAATGACATCGACACCCTTGTTGCGGGCAACGGCCTGTGAAGAAGTTAGTTCGTTGCGCTCTTTGTCACGCTCAACATGTACGTACGATGACAGCATTCTGCGTGCCGAAGTCCAAGCCAACGACCGACATCTTGCCGCTGAAGTGCTGGAGAGTGCTTCAGAAGCTTTGGTTGGTTTGGCTGCTCGAAAATTGATCAGGGCTTTGCTGTTGCTGGTGTGCTGGTTGAACGTGCCAGAGGTCTATATGGCTCTGGTTGTGCCGCGCCTAGAAAGATCGGGCGTGTGTGGAAAAACGTGGCTGCAGTGAAGGGCGGGTTACGTGCAGTTTCGTGACTGAAGCGTCGCGAACTTTCTGGCATACGTCCGAGCGAAAATCGGCGGCTCGTCCCGTGTTTGCCGTAGAGTAACCAAGAAGCTTGTGCAGCCAAGATGCACGAAGAACTTCAACTTCAAGGTATGCTTGTCCTCCATATATGCTACGGCATCACTTGACCTATCTACTTTGTTGCATGATCTAGACTTTACTGTTTGGGATAAGCGATGGTTACATCCTCCCTACTGACAGCGGCCGGCAACGTTGGGGCGAAGAGGGCCAAGAACCGCCGTCTTACAGAAACCAATCTTCCATACCGGCATCCGCGGACACCTCGACCCTACGTGCGCTGCTACAACATGCTCAATCTCCAGATGCCAGGCTTTGGTACGTAGCCAAATGCGTAGGTGCACGTAGGTCGCTCAGACAAGAGGTTGCCCACAGCCCTTACCGACGTTACCCAGTACTTCCTGTACAATTGCGCCATCGCTTCGTGGCGTATCTCGCCGGACCATCTATTTAAGACTTCCTTTGCAGTCAAATGAGAGGCTGCAGGTGCATGATCGTCTTGCCCTGTGTGGCTGCGTGACGTCGACGTTGGTGGGGTCCAAGCAAACAAGGCATGCACATGAACATGAAACGCTTCGAATGCGGAGACTGTACGTACATAAATATAGTCCTCGTCCTCCGACCTTCCGTAACTCCTTGCCAACTCTCCATCTCCATCCAAACCGTCACGCCACAGCGCAACAAGGATGGACAACCAAGAGCAGGGCGACTTTGACCAATCTGCGGCCCAGGATGCCGGCTACGCGGCAGGCCGTGTCGGTAGGGCTTGATATCATACAGATCTCGAGTCACGGCGGATGCTTACTGCTATGATAGAGGGGGACTACAACGACGCTCGGCAAGATGTTCGTCAAGATGAGCAGAGGGTTGAGAACAGTACGATTGAGCTGTCTTACTATGCTGCAAACACCATGCTCACTCGACTTCATAGTTCCGGAAGACGTAGGCCGTGATGCGCGTGAAGGCTTCGACAATACCGTCCAAGGCGTCGAGAACGTACCGTCCGACATTGGCGGTGCGGTTACAGGCGCAGCCGACTGGGTTGTAAGTCGAATCTTCGTGAAAACGTCTCACGAGGTGATATCCGCTGACTCGCTGTTGATAGGGAGAAAAGATAGGCGGTGTCGAGGGCGATGTGAACCGCGCCGAAGGCGACGTGAACAACTTCGATAACAATGTCGATCAATCCTACGACCAGGGTGAGCAACAAGGGCGCCAGCAGGGAGGCTGGTAGGTTACGCAATGTGCTTGCAGAAAGCGCAATTATGGTAGTCGGTCAGATGCTGGCACCTGACAATGCGATTGCTCGCGGACAAGCTCTCAGAGTATGGTGGCTCAATATCTAGTGCAACAGAATACAGGAGTTTAGTCACTAACACTCTCTCTGGACCACGTCCCTCTTGCCCGTATCCGCTTGCCGTAGATGTAGAACAAGTAAGGTATTGGCACCAACAATATGGCGATGAAACCGAAGATGCTCATACCCCACCCAATGCCCAGGTTGTGAAGCATTGGCGTGATGAACAGTGGGAATGCACCGGCGAAGACGCTTCGGAGGAAGGTGTTGGCCGCAACTGCTGATGCCGCATACCGTTGAAACGTATCAATGAGATAGTTCAATGCGGCTTGGAAAATCGTGAAAAACCCTAAACCCAGCAATGCAGCGCCGATGCACGGTGCTATCCAAGGTATGCTAGGTGAAGAGGTCCAGGCGAAGATGAAAAGGCCGGCAACGAAGATGAACGAGCCTCCCATCATGGGCGGCAACCGTGCCTCGGGTACTGGTCGGCAATTGTTCGCCTTCCAGCGCTTGATGTAGAACTTCTGGTTCAGTAAATTGGCCGCTGCGCCGATGATCACGCCTAGCAGGACTGCCAGGAACGGCAGAGAGCCGACAAGCTTGTTCCAGCCACGCTCCTCTTCGAACTCGATTGGGAAGGCCGCTAGACTTGCGTAGAGTATGCCATACACGAAGCTTGCGTACAGCGCGACCAGCAGACATATAGGCGTCATCAGCAGCTGGAACGGTCGAATGAGATACTTGTGTGAGAGCTCGGAGATTGAGACGTCCCACTCTTCGTGCTTGGCGTGTAGTGCCCAGTTTCCGGTGGAGTGGCGGAGCCGCTGGGCCTTGACGACGAGAAGCTGGGCCGGGTACGATTCGTCGAGTATTAGTACGTCGAGCCCCAGCACAAACGCCATCAGTATGCCAGTGATGTACTGTGTCCAGCGCCAACGAAGGTACGAGTCGCAGATTGCGCCACCCACAATCGGTCCCAGCGTAGGTCCGCCGACCACGGCCATTGCGTACCCTACGATGGCAGCGCCCCGTTGCTCGGCGCTCCAGATGTCACCAAGAACGCCTCCGGTGTTGGTGACAGGAGCGGAGCCGAACAAGCCTTGGAAAAACCTGCAGAGCATGATGGTTTGGACGTCTTTTGCTGCGCCACCGGAGAATGCAAAAATCATTGCAATGAAGTATGGTATCAGCACTGCAGGCTTGCGACCGTAGACCTCAGAAAGCGGTGCCTAGGATACGCATGTCAGCACTACGCACCAAACTGACGATGTTGAACTCACTCACCCAAAGCAATGGTCCTAGACCAAAGCCAAACAACAAAAGCGCGATGCCAAGGGTACTGACTTCGTTCCCCACATGGAACGTCTGCGACACCTCCTGGACAGCCGGAGAGTATACACTGGAAGAAAAGGTTGCACCCATCGTAGTCAGGCCGTACAGTACCGTGGTGATCGCCTTCTTCCGGAAAGGCCAGTTCATAGGCCGGTAAGGATCGTCTGGGCCGTCAAAGTCAACAATGACATCCTGCCTCGTCTTCTCATACGCCAGTGGATGCGAGAACCCTTGTGTGGGTACTCGCGAGCGGATCTTTGATAACGCGATTGAGGCTGTCGTCTGCGACCGCTCTAGCCGGCGCGATGTGGTCCGTGATATGGACTGACTGTTCGCACGACGAATGCTTGGGGGCCCTTCCATGTGCCGGTGTGAGAATGTGCTTGAGGTGTCGTCATCGTGGTCTTCGTGATCATCATCATAACCACGGTGGTTGCCATGCTCGGCCTTCTCAAGATCAAGATCGGAAGCTTCTCCGGACGGAGGCGATTGTTCAAGGCGGCTCATGTTTCGAAACGCGCGCTTCGCTTGTTAACCGGAATCTGATGTTCTGAATTCGCGCCAACGGCTGGTTGCCTGCGAGGGTTTCCATGATGGCAACCACGATAGTATATATCGAATCTGTTATCTCGCAGGAATGACGTTCGTGTTGGTTCTGCTGCCGTCCATGCCGAGCGCTCCGCTGTCGGCTGTCCTTCCCGGACAGCCCTAGGCGAGAACGGCCACCATAAGCCAGTCGCAGAAGACTCCAGTCGGACCCGACATTGAATGCACAAGGCGACACAAGAAATACCTCCTAACTCCGTTCGAGAGTTGACTTAATTGTGTTCGTGCGAAAGAGCCAGGAAGTTTGCAGAGCCGGAATCGTCGGCATTCGAATTGAGATTCGGGCCGTCTCCGCCATCCCGCTGCATTCACGATCCGCGCTCACGACGTATATTGTCATACCGGAGCGTAAGCTACGCAGGAACATGATGTAGTGCCGCAACACCTTCTTCGGAACATCATCATCCACTCCAAGTGAAACTAGATAGCCACCTCGGCTTCCCGGACGCAGCCCGAGTGCCACTTGTTCGAACGATGCGGTAAGGTAGTAGAAGAGCAGCGTCAGCGAACATGGCGGTGATCGCAAGGCGCGCAGCCTTCGCCGAAGAAGCGGCGGAGGTGGAGGTGCTACATGCGACTCTGGAGAAAATGAAATCGGTCAGAAAGAAGATTGAGGGTTCTATGACAAGGCTCAACGAGTCTGGGCGGACGGTGCAAGAAGCGATAGGGCCGATGTATGGTAATACCCAGCGACTCCAGACGCAGACAGCCAACATCGACCGGATCATGGAGGCCATAGAGAAGATCAAAGAGCCGCTGAACATGCGGGACCGCGAGGAGCGAATACTGCGCGCAAGACCGGATAGGGTGGGCTTGCAGGAGTACATAGCCAGCATTGATCGGACGAATCAAGCATTGAGGCGCTTGAAGACCACGAACATGCGCACGAATCAGCAAGCCATTGGTGAGTTGAATGGCTTACTGCAAGTTGGCATCCAGCATCTGGAGGACTTCTTCCGCGACATTCTGCGCCAGGACTCGCAGCCAATCGAGCCTCTAAAGCAGATCACGACGGGCGGTCCGTACCCCAAGATTAGCTCGAAACGATCTGATCAGCTTCGAACGATCAATCAACACATTGCGACTTACACAGCGCAACACCCTCAACCCGGAGAGCTGTCGGCTTCGGCGAAAGTATACGCTCATGAGCGTGGGCAGTACATAATGCTGTCGCTGCAGAATCTTGCAACGGCGTGCAAGTCCACTGCTCGCAAGCTCGACCCGAATGCGGTCTACAAGCGAGGCAGCAACGGTATCGGATCGTATGCACACGGCCTGCTGGGCATGTACACTGCGGAATACGACAACATCTGCCACGTCTTCAGCAGAGAGCAGTGGCCGGTGATATTGCTGGCCACGTGCCAGAACTCGCTGGTAGCTTTTGCCTCGACTATGCGCGACCTCGATGCGCACGTTCGGGAGAACTTGTTCACCGACTGCTTCCTTGCGTATGAGATTGTTGAGGTTATCTCGCACATCTCGCTCCAGTTAGAAGAGAGGACCGGCGAGCTCAAGCAGCCCATATCTGACGCACTGAAGCCTGTGCGGGAGACTGCCAAAGGGTCCTTAGCAACGTTACTGAACGACGTGCGAACTCGCGTACAGCAGACGCAATCATTACCCGTTGATGGCGGTCCCATACCGCTTACTACCGACGTCATGACCAGGTTACAGCTCATGACCTCGTACCTTGCACCACTGAGCAGTATTATGCGCAGCTTAGGCGATGGCGGATGGTCGACACCGAATGCCGGTACATCAGGCTCCTCGATACCCACCCTGAAGTCCTTCGACGTCGGAGCAGACGGCAAACAGCTCTTCGCCCACTACGCTTCAGACACCATCGAGACCCTCCTCTCCAACCTAGAGTCCCGCGCCCGCGTTGCTATCCGCAACAAAGGGCTGCAGGGCGTCTTCATCGCGAACAACGTCTGCATCGTCGAGCGCATGATCCGCTCTTCCGACCTCGAACCCCTCATCTCCGCCACCATGCAGCCCAAACTTGACGCATGGCGCAAAAAGGCCACCCAAGCCTACACCGACGCGTGGCGCGAGTGCGCCACGCATCTCATCGATCAACAGTTCACGTCTAAAGCGGTTCGCCCGCCCTCCACCGGCGCAGCCGTCGACAGCGCCGCCATCCTCAAGAATCTCAACAGCAAGGACAAAGAAGCCATCAAGGACAAGTTCAAGAACTTCAACGCCATGTTCGACGAGCTGGCCGTTAAGCACAAGTCGTACAAGATGGAGGCGGATGTGCGCAGGGCGTTGGCGAGGGATGTGCAGAATTACATCCAACCGCTTTATGACAGATTCTACGGCCGGTACCATGAGGTGGACAAGGGGAAGGGGAAGTATGTCAAGTATGACAAGCAGAGTATGGGTGCTGCCCTTTCCGCGCTGGCATAGGATGTTAGGCGTAGGAGCACGGGGGCGCTGGATCAGCTGCGATACGCTTTTTGTGTGGTAAAGAAGACGGAGATGAGGAGCAGTGTTGAGGGGTGGAGAATGGATGGTAGTGAAGATCGATGGCAAGCTGAGGGTAACAGAGGGCGGGTTGATGAAGTTTGATGTTGACGCGTTCCAAGCGAGGTGTTTGGCGTGCTCCTCCGATGTGCAATACATCTCTTGGACCAAGTCTAATAAAGCATGGGTCGGTGGCCTAGGGAAGGCTTGTTAGACGGCTCGCAGTGTCGTACAGCAGCTTGTCAGTAGCTACCCACTGGTCCACGCGGACATTGCAGTAGCACAAGTGATAGCGTCCCACAAATAGCTACGTGCATGAACATCTCCAAAAGCAATGGCACGCGCACCGAGATAGAGCATACTCTTGTCCGAACCACCGTGAGCCATGGTTGGAGATGACGGTAGCCGAGAAGCGATTAGAGTCTGACTCGGCACATTGGACGAGCGGACGTTGATCTAAGGCTTTTGGTTCGTGCGGAGGTGGATGAGGCTAGTACGCGGGAGGCCCTTGCACAGCTTGCACACCCCGGTTTAGGGTACAGACAGGGAAAGTCCCCTTTCCAACATTGCGACTGCCACTTGCTTTCCTCCTGCGAGCTGTCCTACGGTATTCTCTCCGATCCTCAGTATCCAGCGCCCACGGACCGCAGTCTTTGATACACACTTCACGCCCAGCCTCTCCGCTATTTTGCGGGTGGAACCATTGTTAGCAAAGTTTGCCAGGCCACTCCGAGTTGTAGAAGCGACGCGGCATAGACCCGCATAATTTCCCGGTACGTCGATGCGAGAAGCGCATGCGCTCAATGGCCGCACTTGCGCCGCTTGTGCCATCGCGAATGCTTCACTGAGCCTGACTGACATGGGCGCTCTTGCTTCAGGGCCTTCATAGAAGGTACAGCACGTCGATCCGCAAAACACCCTTCAGGCCGCACTCGCCATGGGTAAGCCCTCCTCCTCCTCCTCCCGGTCCCCTCGCAGTACCACGCCTTATCTATTCGCGCGCCGCCGCGAGCCCGCTCGCTTGGTGAAGAACAGCAAGACCATCACGTGGCTCTGCAGGCAGCCGACTGGCAACAGCCATGTCTACAATGGTCATGCCGCCCACGCCCGCCAGCAGCGTGTCCATCAGCACCGTCGACACCGGCGTCACTGTCACTGCCAACCTCGGCCGGGTTGTCAAAGCAGGCTCTCGAGATTTGGGCGTCAGACATGTCAGACTCACTTCATCAGTCACTGACGCCAAGCCTTCTTTCACAGCTACCGCCAACGGGTCTATGCTGACCTCGGCACCACCGAACCGTGCCTCACCCGTCCCCAACCAAGCGAACCTTCCCAATGGCAAGCCTGCGGCGCCGTTGGTGCAGACTAGTAACATGATGCCAAACGGAGGCAGCCAGCCAATCCCGCAGACCGTGACCTCGAAGGACCCCAAAGCGGCAGCACAGGCAGCGACGGATATGAAGAATATTGTGCGTAGGAAGCTAACCGGTTACGTCGGCTTTGCCAACCTGCCGAATCAATGGCACCGAAAAAGTGTGCGGAAAGGCTTCAACTTCAACGTTATGGTTGTTGGTCAGTATGCCCGCGCTTCAATTAGCCAATACTACCATATTGATACTATGCCATTGCAGGTGAATCCGGCCTCGGCAAGTCGACGTTGGTGAACACTCTCTTCAACACCTCGCTATACCCACCAAAGGAGCGCAAGCAGCCGTCACTCGATTTCGCTCCCAAGACCGTGAGCATACAAAGCATCGCCGCCGACATCGAAGAGAATGGCGTCCGCTTACGCCTGACTGTTGTCGACACGCCTGGCTTCGGCGATTTTGTGAACAATGACGACTCGTGGCGACCAATCGTGGACAACATCGAGCAGCGCTTCGATGCCTACCTTGACGCCGAGAACAAGGTCAACCGCATGAATATTGTCGACAACCGGGTACACGCGTGTGTTTACTTCATTCAGCCCACCGGCCACTCGTTGAAGCCTCTTGATGTGGAAGTCATGCGCAGACTGCACACCAAAGTCAATCTTATTCCAGTCATTGCTAAGGCGGACACGCTTACTGATGACGAGATTGCTGCCTTCAAGCAACGTGTAAGCTATTCACAGCCCTTCATTACAACGCAGACAATGGTGAGCCTCAAGCCAACGCTAACCTCCGCAGATCCTTACCGATATCCAATACCACAACATCCACATCTTCGAAGCACCCCGATACGAACTGGACGACGAAGAGACGATCGCCGAAAACAACGAGATCCTCTCAAAGGTCCCTTTCGCCGTCGTCGGCGCCAACACCGAAGTACCGACGCCGGAAGGCCGCAAAGTCCGCGGACGTCGTTACCCTTGGGGCGTCATCGAGGTTGACAACGAAGAGCACTGCGACTTCGTCAAACTCCGCCAGATGCTCATCCGCACGCACATGGAAGAGCTGAAGGAGCACACGAACAACTTCCTGTACGAGAACTACCGCTCGGACAAGCTCGCGCAGATGGGCGTCGCGCAGGATCCCAGCGTCTTCAAGGAGGTCAACCCGGCGGTCAAGCAGGAGGAGGAGCGGTCTCTGCACGAGCAGAAGTTGGCGAAGATGGAGCTGGAGATGAAGATGGTGTTCCAACAGAAGGTGCAGGAGAAGGAGAGCAAGTTGAAGCAGTCGGAGGAGGAGCTTTACGCGCGGCACAGGGAGATGAAGGAGCAGCTGGATAAGCAGCGCGTTGAGTTGGAGGAGAAGAAGTCGAGGATCGAGAGTGGACGGCCAGTGGATGAGAAGAGTAGGAAGAAGGGCGGGTTCTCGCTTAGGGGCTAATGCCTGCAGCACCTCACTTCTAATGACTTTTGATCGGGATGCGCGGTCAGAAATACAGGATGGCGCGAATGTGGTGGGTGATCTGAAGTGGTTGAGAGAGCGGGCAAGCAGCACACCGCGGCATGCAGTCCGCCATCTCAGTCCGCCGGCACAGCGTACATCGACACGGCAAGGAAATGGGAGTATGGTGGCAATCAGAGTGGGTATACTAATGTGGCCAGATGTAATCACAACAAGGAAGATGCCGCCTTCTGTGAAGGTGCTTCTTCTGCTGCAAACCTGTGTTCCTAGATCGAGTGGGGAAGGAATGGTTGAAAGTTGTGATACCACCAGCGCTTGCTACTATCTTGTTATTATGGCGCGATGTTACATGGTTTAGCTGCTTGCCGTTCCTTCCATCCGTTTCCTTTCCTTTTCCGCAAATGCTTATTTGTTGCGGATCCTGATCCATCTTGCATTGCTCGAATCGAATTTGGAGCAGGGCAATGAACTCCTCTACAGCGACGTGATGTGCGTAAGGTACGCCGCGGATTGAACCTTACCACGAATGCGGTGCGGCGCCCGATAGACTGGCACACTAACAGCGACGTTGCGCCAAAACAGCGATGCAGACACCTCAAAGAGAACAATCTCAGACACAGAGAATGTCACTGAACAACCTTATTCGTGACTCGCGTTCGTCACGTTGTCTATCTTGTCTCAGAGCGATGGCACCGCCAGGTGATTGTCGGTCCCGTGAATGGCGCTTGGCGCTCGCTTGTTACCTCCCAAGCGGTTCCAGCTCTCGCAGCGTGGGGACAGTCCCCGAACTCTCGGAGCAGCGGACTCGAAGCACGGGATTTTCCATCAAACTTTGCTGCATCCACACGTCCCTGCTCAGCGCGCCACGATGCAATGCCCTAATAACAAATGGTGGTAATCTCACGAAAAGCACTGAGACATGTGTCCGGAAACGGTGCGGTTCCAACGAACGAGCGCAAACGATGCAACAGTGAAGATTCGCGCGCCCTACCTCACACGGCATACGTCAGCCTCTTGCGCAGTTGGCGTCCGGCTCTTTGCCTGGGCCTGCATGGGTCTGCGGCCGGGGCTGTGGACTATCCCAGTATCCTCCCTCCGCTCCGCTCCGTCCTCACGCGGTACCGGTAAGGTTTCTTCTACATCCCTTAGAGTCTTGGGATCTTCTTGTCTTTGATACGTGATTTGATTTCCTTTCTACTATCTTACGCCACGTCCTCCCATATAGTCCAATCGCGGTACGCGTACCCCAAACACCAGGTTGTAGGGCAGACGGTCATTGGGAAGAGGAAGATGCCAGCGCATATTGCCCGCCCAAGAGCTGAAGTATCTACGCCGCAAGAGTACCCTTGAAGTACTTGCTGCAACCTTGAGACGACAACAATGGTAGCGCTGGTGATAGAGTCATGGATATGGTACGGTGTTGTTGTGGCAGTCGCGGCCTCGAGAATGTAAGGCATACGGAACCTCAACGGAAACGGACGCGACATTGACAAGCCTTTACAGTGTCGCGCGTCGCATGCTCCTCGGTTCGTTCAAGCGCTTCCAGGTCGACGACTACCTGATGCTCGCGGCGCTCTGCTTCTACACCACGCTGATAGCGACAATCAACATCGTCCGATATGTGAATTCCAACCTCCTCCCGCCCGGCTTCGACGTCAACAGTCTGAGTCCGCAAGATATCGAGGGGCGAGTCTACGGCTCCAAGCTCATCTTGGTGGTGGAACAATGCCAATGCTGTACCGTCTGGCTCGCGAAAGCCTGCCTACTCACCCTCTACCTCCGCCTGACCACTCTAAGAAGCGAAAACATCATCCTACGCATCCTGTGCGGCTACGTCGCCTTCGGCTTCATCTTCATGGAGGTGTTCTACTTCGGAGTCTGGTGTCAGCCTTTCCACAACTATTGGGCTGTTCCGACACCAAACGTTCAATGTGATGCCGCAACCAACCATCTCATCACCAACGCTTTCTTCAATCTGACCTCCGATTGCTGTATGCTCGCCATTGGCCTCCCTATGTTCTTGCGCCTGAATCTACAATGGAAGAAGAAGGTCCCAGTCATTGGCCTTTTCAGTCTCGGCATCTTCGTCATTCTGGCGGCGGTACTGAATAAGGTGTACTCGTTCAGCGAGCCGTTTGGAGCAATGTGGACGTACTGGTACGTGCGAGAGAGCTCAACGGCGCTTCTGGTGGCCAACCTGCCGTTCGTCTGGACCTTGTGGCGGACAATGGCAGGCTTGCAGACGGTCAAGGGCGGGTCAGGGCAGGGTACTGTGGAGTTGACGCAGACCATGAGTCGCGGAGAGAAGATGGCGGGGAGTTTGGCGGGCGGCTCAGTATGGCGACGGCAGGGTTCGGAGGGAACATTTACGAGTCAAGATGAGGAGCTCGCAAGGGGACAACGTTCATCCACTCCTGGCGACCTCACCTTGGATGAGATGCTCATGGAGGGCAAGTACGCAAGGGCGATCGACGGAGACGAAGAAGTCTCGCCGTACACGCATCCGAGCCTTTACTACGCTCGAGGTGCCCGCCTGGACAGCCTGCCACCGAAAGCACTCGTGAGCCCGAAGCGTAATGGTGGTGAGCAAGAGGTGGTGCGACGAGACTCCGGCTCACCTGAGCGTAGCAGGGGCAGCGCGTCGTTCTCCTCGGCCTCCCAGAATCCACTGGGCACTGCGAGGTCGATTGGATCTTTTGTCTGAGCGTTCAAGCGTGTGTTGATCTGTGTATAGCTACGGCTTCGATATGTCATGATGATGATTGTACAATTAGCGGTGGCGTTTCTGGCTCCACGTAATGAGGATCAGGCATCCTATGATGTTGATCGGCAAGATTACGATACAGATATATCGATCGGCACTCTGGCGATGCGCATCTGACGGATACCGGACGCATATGTACATCTGAATATAAGTACCACCTGGCAGAAAGCGGAACGATAGCTTGCCGACCAGAATTACACAGGTCTTGATGTTGCTACTCTTGCCTCAGCCAGTTTGCGCGACCAAAAGTATGACACCGTAAACCTGAGCTGAAAAATTAGTAAATTCATGCGTAATCTGCTCCGTTTTCGAAAAGCTGATCTTGGAGCCATCGCACCAAGATGTGATTATATCTGCTTCAACAGCTTGAAAGCTTGAGCAATGGTCTGCTCAAGCTCTGTTGAGGCAAACTCCAGCGTGGCGTCGCTGTGACCCAAACATGCCTCGTCTTCTGTAGCCCACAAGAAACGCTGGTGCTCCTTCGGATCTAAACTCACCTCGAAGCCGCCTTCGTCGGTCCTATGGGCTTCGACAAGAAAGTTGAACTTGATCACCGCTTTGCCACTACTAGAGGTGAATATATGAGGACTGCCGACTAGGCTGAGGATCCTCTTCGCTTTCAAGCCAGTCTCCTCCCACAGCTCTCTTGCGGCCGAGTGAAGAATCGTGTGATCATCTTCGTCGCAGCCACCACCAGGTACCTCCCACTGGTTCGGCATGCTGTCACTCGCCGCACGCTGTACGAGCAAGATGCGAGGACTTGAAGGATTAATTGTGTCGAACACGATGGCACTGACAGCTATGTACTTGTAGCGGGGATCTGGGTGATCTCGCAGGTACGCTTGCGGTGACGTTCCGAAAGATGTGAGATTTGGATGAGCGACGAAGTCCAGCGCTTGATAAGCAGCTTCCGCGTCTTCGTGCATTCTTGTTAGGGAGGTTGCGAAGCTTTTTCGGGTTTGCGAACGGAAGTTTGGTTCACGGAGGTCCCAGTCTGAAGCAGTAGCTATTGGAGGGACATCTTTCATGAGCGCTGTTGGGCCATGGTGAGTTAATGGAAGAGGCAGGCTGGGCAGTACTACTTTCGTTTCCAAGCGCTGTTATCTCCTCACGGCCTTGCTGTTTTCGTGCGTGCTTGGTCAAGATATGACAGCGCAAGCGAGAAATGTAGGATGATTGGCTCGTGCAAGCCTTCCCACTTCGACACTGACATACTGTATATTCGCTGACTACGTGCTATCCTTTATCTAGGTCAAGATGGTAAGGTTTGCAATGGCGCAGACGTTGACCACATCAGACGTTCAATGGCAATGCTCACACAGAGTCAAGGTCTGGCGGCGACCAGAGGATGGGTCTGACTACTGATCTAGTGTTTCATAACCTAGCTACGCTGGGAATTATACCTCCAATCCGTTCCCTCTCAACCATGCGCAGCCTTCACCGCCGCTGACCTCTCATCGCGCACCTTCGTTACCGCCTCCCTCCTCTGGATCCTCTCGTTCTACCTCCACGCTTCCGAAAACTCGCTCTCCCACTCCTTCGGAAACCCCTCGCCCATCACATGCGGCGGGTAGAGAACCAACCAATGCCACGGCATGAACATGAGATCCGCATACGAGATCTTCTCACCACACAAATACGGCTGGCCGATCTTCTTCAAGTGCCGGTCAATCACGCCTATCGTCCGCTTGACCTCGCCTCCATATTGGTCTAAGGCGGACGTAAGGTCCTTCTCGGAGTGGTAGAGCACGAACCAGGCGCGTTGGCCCCTGTACGGTCCTTGGCCGGAGACCTGAAACTAAGCCCAGCATTTCTGCTCCCACCTTTCAGCGCCGGAGGTGTAGAAAAGGCTGTTAGTGGTATCGTAGGTTTCAATGAGATAGTCGATGATTGCACCGGATTCCCACAACTTGTACCCGGTATTTGGGTCTTCGATGGCTGGCACGCGGCCATTGGGATTGATCGACTCGAACGGCTCCTTTTTTAAATCGCCGAAGTCCATGATCTCCATGTCGTACGGGATGTCCAGCTCCCGCAGGATCACAGCGACCTTCCATGGGTTTGGGCCCTGTCGAAGGTGTTAGATGCGCTTTGCGGGCACTGCCTAACGAGGTGACTTACGCCTGCATGGCCGTAGAGTTTGATGGGCTTCTCGGCCTTGACGCCGCCGCCGATTACTTTCTGGAGAAGGGATGTCATTGTCTTTGCTATAACCGTGCTGATATGAGAGGGCTATTGTGTGAAAGGAGTGGACGTAACACAACTGGAGAGAAGGGAAAGTCGTTTTCTCGATCTAATACATCACCGCTAGGCGCGACGAGGAGCTACTACCGTGCTATAGCCACCTGGCCACCTAGGTGGCTCCGTTGTTAATGGCTATGTGTGCAATGCTAGAAGGTCCCACCCCACGTCGTCATCGCTGCAGGGCTAAAGATCGGTGACTAAGGTATAGGCGCGACTGTTGGCCGAATATTGTTGCTGTGTGCATGCAAACGCCATTTGGAAAACGGCAGAGATCGAGGGAGCTGGCAGGCAGGCGTACGATGATTATGGAGGATATTGAGAGGTCCATATGCGGAATGTACATGCAGCCAGCCGCTAGACTCAACGACGCTCAACCAGTCACATTTTCCGTATCTTCGGCGTACAAGCTGCGGGCGTTCTGAGAAGCGCGGCAAGGCAGCGTAGAGGTTGACTGCAATGTCTGTTATGCTCGGAATGGTACAACACTTCACAAAGGCTTTGACACTTGATGTTACTCGCACACTTCCCACCTCACAAGTAGTGCCTGTCGAACCGAACCCACATAGGTTTCACTACACATGGCTTTCACAGCAGCCGCTCTCATCTCTTTCCGCTCTTCTTCTTGGCCGCCACAACCTTGAAACTCCCATTGCTCTCCCCGCCCACACCAGCGCCAACCCCACCACTTTCCTGCCTTCCCGGGCCCTTCTTCGCCACCTCACTCCACCCTCCTGCACCACTTCCATTCATACTCCCACCATGCGGACTCGCGCTCTTCGGCGGCAGGTCCATCATCCCCTTGTCAGCTAACTTCTTCCGTCTCAAGAACTCCTCAGCGAAGTGTCTCGAGTCGATGGTATTGGAGGCCCCATGCACGGCTTCGGTGATCATATCTTTGTCCGTGCCGAGCTCGGCGAGGGTGGCGACGAAGTCCTCAGCTATAAGCACTAGGTCAGCTTTGCGGATGGAGAAACAACGTGTGTGGGGAGATACGCACCCGATATGCCCTTGTTCAGATCCGGCCGCAGCTCACCCACCGCCCACTTTCTGAACTCCTCTTGCGCAGTTACCACCGCACTCGCGCTCGCGCTGTTCAGCGTGGAGGAGCGACTCGGCGCCTTCCTAACCTGCGCTGTTACGCCCTGACTCACACTGCGGGTCGCAGTCGCAGGAGCAGCAGGCGTCTTAGGCTTACCGCCCGCTCCAACCGTCTGCCACGCCCCAGTAGTACCACCCACGTTCACGTTCAATGGCGGAGCTGCAGTAACTTTGCCAGCAAGGTTAGCGTAGCTCTTCCCGCCTGCAGGACTCGGGATGCCGCTCATTGCCTGCGCGCTTGCGACTGCGGCAGCAAGTTTTCGCTTTCGGGCCTCCTCTTCCTTCTGGATCTGCGCCATCGTTTTCGTCGAAGTGCTGGAAGGCTTCTGGGCCGCTTTTGCCCACGCCGCAGGCGTACCAGCAGCCGCAGTGGACCCAGGCGTAGCCGGCGACCCGGCACTGGCACCCCAACTTGCGCCCACCGGTAAGCCAGGCTGAGGCACAGCAGCGGCAGCAAGCGCCTGAGCCTCTAGCTCCTTCTCAAAGGCCGCGCGTCGAGCGGCTGCTGCTATGGCTTCTACTTCAGCGGCCTTCTTCGCCTCAGCCTCTTGAATCTCACGCAGGGAAGGACCCCTAGTTGCTTCCGCGCTCGCCCAAGGCGCCATCGCAGCGCTCGGCGTCTCCACCGATGGCGTCTGCGAGAGGTCGCGGGACTCCGTTTGCAGCTGGTCCGCGACGCTCGTTCTACCGGTGCGCTGCGCAGCTGGTGCAGGCAGAGGTGACTGCGATGGAGCAGGTGGGAAGGGCTGAGGGAGACCAGATTGTGGAGGGACGGGCGACTGCTGCGCAGAGACGGCCGCCTCGACTTGCTCGGTCAAAGACATTGGCTCCTGAGGCAGTCGTAGTTGTTGTTGGTAGTCCACTGTGTGCCCACCGGCTGGTTGTATAAGCGAGGCCTGCTGCTCAGCCGTAGGCGCCGGCCTGGTGATGGCAGCTTGGAACCGAGTATCTAGAGCAGTCGGACTCTGCAACTGTTGGAATTGCTGCAGACGATCGTTTGGCAAAGCCAGCTCGTCCGGCCGCTGCTGCATTGTAGCCTCATGCTGCGCTTGTTCTTGCTGCAATCTCGCCCGATCTTGGAGCATCTGCTGCACTTGCTGTGTATGCTGATCTAAGCCAGATTGCTGACTCGGGTGCTGCTGTTGCGTCGTCGCAAAAGGTTCACCAATTGCACTAAATTGGTTGCCCGCGGGACGGTTTCCAATACTCAACCGGTCCATAGTACCCGGAATCTGTTCCTCGCGGATATGACCAAGCGAGTCGACACCGGCACCCACCGCACTCAATCCGCTGGCTTGAGGGGACCGAAAGGAGTTGTCGAAGAAGCCCGGTACGTGCTGTCCGCCACCAGCAGGTCCTTGTATCGGACTTGGCTGAAAGGTATTCGGACTCGTCATCGAGCTGAAACTCGGCTGCGAGTGTAAGCTCTGCGCGCTGCTGTGATGATGCAGCTGTCCGGTCGGGCCCAGACTTTGGTGAGCGGCGGTAGCGCTGGATGGCACCTGCATGCGCTGCGTCATCTGCGCCTGAGCGAGGTACTCCTTCTGTCGTGCCATTAGGTACTGCTCCTCCTGCTTCCTACGCTCCAGCGCGTTTTGCTGATCCGCGGTTAAGGTGGTGCCGAAGCTGGGAAAGCTAGACGCGAACGGAGGCTGTGCGCCGCCGGCAGAGGTAGGGTTGCTGGTACCCGCCCACGACGTCGGTCCATTGTTAGAAGCTGGACCGTGTGGGATGCCAATCTGCGGGACAAGGAAGGGTTCGCGCGAATTACCGATGCGGCGGATGAGCTGCGCGAGAGGTTCGTAATCGGTGTCTTCGTACTTCTTCACGAGAAGCTCGGGAGAAAAGAAGCCAGCTTTGTACCAATCGTGCATTTCCAGGCCTGACCAAGGGCCTTGCGTCTGGCCTTGCGGGTCACGGTAGATCCAGCGCATCCTGTCCGGCATCACCATGGTCCGCTGTTGCTGCGGTGGAGGCTGGTTCGAAGCAGCGCTGGCAGGAGGTGGACCAATTTGCTCGATCTGCTGCTCGAGCTGTGGTGGAATAGTGGGAGGATCCTGGCTTTGATGCAACTGCTGGCCTGGTACACCAAGCTGCACTTGTAATGCGTCCACGTGCTGTTCGGGTTGAATGTGGTTAGCGGGACCGCCTTGAAGAGCGGCAAGCCCACCGTACGATCCGGGGTTTCCAGATTGTTCAGTGCTCAAGTCTTGTCCATCCGCCCGCTGTTCACTCTGTCGCATCTGTTCCTGCATCGCAGATGGAAACATACTCGCCATCTTGCTACCACTGCCTGCGCCACCGAAACCACCACCGCTCCTGGAACTCAGTAGACTCGATCCGCCTAGGCCCGCCAATCCCGGCGATTGCAATTCACCAGGAGCTGTGGCAAATATACCGCCACCAAATGCACTCGACAGTCCAGCCGCCTGCCTGCTGGGTGTGCCGAAACCAGCCTGATTCGAAGGCCATGCGCCGGAGCCAGGTAACGCTCCAAACTGACCCAGGCCTCCGAGACCCGCAAAGCCACGGCCAGCTGCACCACTCGTGGAGTCGCTCCGATCACTAGCCGGGGCCTGTGCGCCCGGTGCGCGCCCGAGAGCATGCATAGACCCCAGACCACCCAAGCCTCCTAGCTGCGAAGACGCGTCCTGACCAAATGCGCCAAGGCCAGGCAGTGAGGCATTAGCGTCATCAGTCTCATCCATCTCCGGATCCTCGAGCAGCTGGTCGACGGCATGCTGCTCGGGCGAGCGGTATGGGTTAGTGTCGGTTGGGCTCATAGGCTCGTTAGGATGACCTCCGGCCCCCATCCGCTGCGCTGAAGGAGTCTGGTGGAAAGCGTCTCTCCCTTGGTAAAAGCCCTGCCCAAACCCATGGGAGGTATCGGCAGTCATGCCAAAGGCACCAAACCCGGAATCTTCCATCGTGTTGGATCTCCTTGGGCTACCGAGGCCGGTCAAGCCTTGCCGTAGTTGAGGAGGTATATTGAGCTCTATTCCAGCAGGTAGCGCTGCGCTTCCAGAAGACAGCTCTTCTTCAGACTCAGGAAGAATAAGGCCAGCCTCCATCTGCGGTCTCCAAGACTCATTCTCATTCACTCGCGAGAGGCTTGAGACGCTACCTTTGCGCTGCACGGTGGGTGAAGGCATGTCTTCACTGCCGTCCTTGCTTAGCAGATTCTTAAAGCGGCTTTCCAGCCTACCGCTGCCGATACTAGCACGCTTGTCTCCAGATGCGGTTTGCTGTCCACCGAGCCCGAAGTTACCGAAAGAACCCATCGGTGGCAAACCAGCACTCTGTGGGCTTGTGGCCCAATGCTGCGAAGCACCGCCAAGACCTGCGCTCAGCGGTCCTGTGGTTGTGCGCTTGAGCGAGCCGAATGGTGCGAGGGACGACTTGTCATCGCCATCTCGGCCAGCGTCTTCGGTTTTGCCGGAATCCCGCAAATCAGTCCTTCTACGCTGGAGAGACGGAGGAGGTGATGGCGCACGTTGATCGTCCCGGTTAGCGGGAGGAGAGCTGAGCGGGTTGGACGGGAACTGAAAAGAGTCGCTGGTATCCCGATGACGGCCGAAACCCCGCGCTGCAGAGGGAGAAGGCTGTCCCAGGCCGCCGGGAGTGGCCGAGGTTCCAGAGACAGAAAATTTACGGCCCGGCAAGCCATTTGTTTGCTGGTTGTCCCTTGCGGGGGCGCTGGACGTCTTTAGCGGCGTATTAACGGAGGTCGTGAAGAGCTAGAACGCCTATTAGCAATGTCCCTACACGATCGTTTCGCGCAAACCCGCCTCTCGCTCATCATCATCCATGTCAATCAGCCCAAGAGGCTCCACCATGCCGTCTCTCTCCCAACATACGTCGGGACCGTGTTGTGCCTCCCTGCTATGATCGTTCCTGGCCCAGTTTGTCGTTGACGCTCCATTCGCCATGTCCGGCTGCCACCCAAGCGCATACAAGCTTGGCAGGCCATCCGAAAGTCCACCATCTGTGCTTTGCTGCGATTTGAACACCTCCAAGAGCTGATCCTTCGAATAGCGCATATCACTGAGTGTGCCGTTTCGGTGGGGGGGGACATAGCGGGGTGCGGGCTGGGAAGGCGCGGTGCCATCTGACTGCGCATTTGCCATTGCACTTGCACTGTTGGTTGGCACCGCGCCAGACGTTCTGCGAAATGTTTGCGTGGCGCCATTCGTTCGACGGCCCCTAATCGAGCCGTCAGCCTTACTCTGTCCCGACGCGCCTGACGCCCCCTCCTCATACAGCGTCTACGAGCTGAAACACGGGTTATACGTACCATTCCGCAGTGCTGTCACGTGAAGATGGTGCATTGTGGTTGTTGCCAGCGGCAGCAGAAGCGAAAGTCGAGGGTGCCATTGTATGCGCTTGCCCGGGAGAGCTGGGTAGGTACAGTAAAGATTGGTATGGACACTGGTGGCAAGTCTAGACCCTTGCCTTGGATTTGAGCGGTTGTAGCGTTTGACGTGAATGGTTACGATGAGGAACAGGGTGGCGTGCTAATAACAAGCTGAAGGAGATCAGGTCGAATTTGTGCGGGCATGCGACCTTGTACCCGGCAAGGGCAAGGCGAAGTCAAAAGGTGCAGCGGAAAGGGTCTAGCGGCCTTCTTCCGAGGTCCGTTCCTGCATGAGCAGCTCTCCTCCGATCATCATCAGCCATCACCATCACACCCATATCCACAGCAACCAACGACATCTCGCCTTGTTCTACGCCACTGGGCTCTTGAGTCCATTGCAGCTAAAAGAACCCATCCTACAGGACCGGTGAGGCACTCAGTCTCTGAAGGCGACCGTTAACCGTAATCTGCAGCAAATTTCAGATCAACCAGATGCATGTCATTTGGTCCCAACCTCAACAAGACTGGAATCATTGCGGCCAGCTGGATCATACGTGGACTTCAGAAACCGCCACGAGATGTCATCAAGTCAAAAGTGCAAAGCCAGACCGGCTCGATGCATTTTTCTGTAAAGACCGCGCTGACACCTCCGACCAATTCTTTCTTACATAAGGCGTTCACGAGTGCTCCTGGATCCGACAACCCTCACGTGCTGATCGACGTTCAAATGTGGACACAGTGGTACAAAGTACAGACTGGCCCGGCCGGCGTCACTCCGGCCGCAACCCGATCGTCTCCTGATGCAAATGTTTGCTAGAAAGCACACCAATGACCATTCTGTGCAGGTAGCCGTACGCTGCGCGACACACTCGACGCGCCTTCACGAGAGTGCGTTGGCAATTATAGGACCTTGGTAGGTTGCTGCTCCGACCTAAGCTCCCCTTCTTCCGCCCTCGCTCCCGCTTGCGCTTTGCTTTCTGCATTATGTACCTCCGCCTTGCCATTCTCTGGGCAAAGCTTGCCACTTGAACACTCACAATTTAGTCTCGTGCATCATCCCAACAGCCATCGACGAAGCACTGCCATGGCGTGCTTTCCCGGTCCAATGATGCCGATGCCAATGCCGATGCCTGGCATGATGGGTGGACTACCTGGCACGATGGGAGGACTACCTGGTGCCGGGCGAAGGCCAAGAGGCTTAGGTACGCGTGTTCATCCTCTTTTTTCCTTGACCATCTGCTCACGAAGGCCTACTTCACAGGCGGACCATCTTTCGGCATGAACCCGATGTTTGGCCGTGGACTGCCAATGGCAGGTCCCTTTGGCAGTGGAAGCCCGTTCGGCCCATCGGGCATGTTTGGGGCGGGAGGCGGTGGTCCTTTCGGCGGCGGAGGGCCGTTCGGCGGACCCATGGGCAATTTGCCTTTGCCGATGATGCCGGGTATGCCGGGTATGCCGGGCATACCTGGCATGGTGGGAGAAATGGTGCCTGGAATCATGGCAGGATGCGGTGTTGGTGGCGGCTTGGGCAGCGGTATGGGTATGGGACCGATGATGGGAGTCATGGGAATGGGACCGATGATGGGAGGAGTGGGCATGCGACCGCTCAATTCACGTTGGTTCGACTACATTGTCGACAATGACGAGGAGCGGGACGAAGATGACGAAAATCCACTAGACTACTTCTCGTATTACTACAAGAGAATGAATCGCGAGAGGAGGAGAAGGCGGCGCCTATGGGATGTTGAGTAGGTAAGTCGAATGGATGTGTTTTCCATCTATCGCTTTCAGACATCACTGACGCAGCGAGTCCGCAGCAACCTGAGATTATCACCAGGTGTGCAGAGGTGGGCAGGAGGCCAAATGGACGCTCATTGTATCGTATTTACAACGGACGCGAATCGTGACTCGGTACCAAGTAAAGGCTTTGTCTCTGCGTGTTCAACAACTCCATCCTGGCGGTGTATGTTGAAGCTAACAATCGTTCGCTGGCGTCCCTTTCATAATGATATCCTGGCCAACTCCATGCATGAAACGACTCGGAAGAAACACATTCGGGAACTGTGGCACCAGTGATTCATTGGGTAGGCAGGTTTCTCGTCGCAATATATCACAGAAACTTGGTCCGGAGTCAGCACGCTTGCTGGGAAACTCGCTCGCTGCTCAAGAGCTTAAGCAACGCCTGACGCTATGCAATGCACCGACATGAAGTATTCAGTCACTCACAAGCCTGGAGCGATCTCCTTCTGCACCCACTTTTCTAACCCGCCCCTAGCAATGATCTCCTGTACATTGGGCGGCAACTCACCAACCTTCTGCGTCCACTCCTGGCCGCCCTCGCCTTCCCTGACAACGACCTGACTCCGCCGCACATCCCACGTAAACGTCCAGCCAGTCCTCACAGTCAAGTCCTGCTTCTCCAGCTTCGATTGAGGAGCCGGTGGTGGTGAGTCCAGACTCTGCCAATTCTCGGATGGCTCCGTGATGGCTGCTTTGCCCGCTTGACCTGTCGCCGAAGCAGTCTTGCCGGAGAAAGCAGCTCGTAAGCGCTCAATGAGCTTGGGCACTTCGACGCCCATTAACGCGTTGTTGATGCTATTACGGCTGAAGATGTTGCCAAAGCTGCCTGCTACTACAAGCGGAATGCCCTTGGCTAGGATGGCGGTGGCGGCCTGCTCTCTGCTGCTTCCGCAGCCAAAGTTGAAGCCGCTGACCAGGATGTCGCCCGCCTTAGCAACGGAGGTGAAGTTCGGATCATAGTTCTCCATAGTGACGGTGGCCATCTTAGCAGGATCGGAGGAGAAAGCGTCGTCATATGTGTACTTGCCGGGATAGATGGCGTCGGTATTGACGTTGTCCGCATTGCACCAAACAATCTCGCCTGTGACCTTCTCCGGGAATCCGGGCAGAATCTCCGTCAGTGTCATTTCTCTTGCTTCACTTGCGGTGTTAGCGTGCAGCGGCAGAGAGCTCGACATGCCGCCCGTCGCAGCACCCTCGGTTGAGCTGGCAAGGCGGCTTTCACCTTCTTTGACGGCCTCCTCCGCTTCACGTACGAGCTTGTCAAGTGCGTCCTCTATCGAGATCATACGGTCTGCTTCTTCTATACCATCACCCTCGCCGTTACTCACGCCATTCCAGCCTTCCGGCCGCTGGTACCAGCCTGGTCCGGCAATCTTGCCAGTAAGTGCGCTCGCTGCAACAACTTCCGGCGAGGCCAGGTATGCTTTCGCATCAGTGCTACCCATACGACCCTTGAAGTTGCGATTGGAAGCCGAAATGCCTACCTCTCCAGGCTCGAGCAGTCCGGTGCCTAGCCCAATGCACGGTCCGCAGCCGGACGGGAGGGGTTGTGCGCCAGCATCCAGCAAGGCTTGCCAGTCGCCCTGCTCTTCTGCCGCTTGTTGCTCGGGTAATGAGGCTGCAGCGATGTAGAATTTGACGCCTTCAGCGATCTTGGCAGGTGTGACCTTGCCATCGGTATCGGTGGTTGAAGCATTCTTGAAGACTTTAGCGGCGGCCGCAATGTCGCTTCTCCTGCTGTTGGTACATGACACAAGGTACGCTTTGTCGATGTTGATGTCTTGCTGTTCCAGCTCCGCTAACGGTGTCGCCACCTTTACAGAGTTGGGGCCGGACACGTACGGACTCAGTGTGGAGAGGTCAAGAAACAGCTCCTTAGCGTATCGTGCGCCCTTGTCGGCTGTAAGCGGGTTGGCAAATAACTCGTCCAGTCTCTGATGGTTAAACCGTTCGCTCGTCAGACTCGCAGTCGGAGAGGGCGACTTGTACATGCTCGCTTCCGTAGCCTTGAACCGTAACCAGCCTCTCAGTACATCATCGATCGGGAAAAGGCCAGACAGCGCGCCCCATTCGGTGGTCATGTTCGCGATGGCTAAGCGATCATCAACGGGCAAGCTACGCATTGTGGTGGCGTCACCGGTAAACTCAATGGCATGATTAAGGACTTCGTCATTGTTGAACAGTCCACACAAAGCTACAATGACATCCTTGCCCGTCACGCCTTCCGGTAGGATACCAGTAAAGTTCACTCTGGCAATTGGAGGGATCTGCCACCATGTCCGGCCAGTTGCCCAGATGGAGGCGGCATCCGTCCTCACCACAGGTGTTCCCAAGCATGCAACACCACCGTACATATTGCTGTGACTGTCACTCGCCACCGCCATGGTACCAGGCCATGCATAGCCCTCCTCGACCATGATCTGGTGCCCAATGCCTCTACCAGCAGGGTAGAAGTCTACGCCTTGAGTGCGAGCAAACTCCTCGATCTGACTGTACTTCTTCAGATTCTTGTCACTCTTGTTCTGCACATCATGATCGAGGGTCATAACGATTTGGTGCGGGTCGTGGATTCTGCTTGCGCCTATCGACATGAACTTTGTGGCAACGGGCCATGAGTTGTCGTGGGTCATGCAACGATGCGGTGCCAGTGTCACATAGTCGCCAGATTTGACAAACTTGCCGTCGCCCAGCCCTTGACTGTACCTCTGTACAATCTTCTCAGTCAAGGTCTGAGGGATAGTAGGCGTAGAAACCGGACGTGACAAGAGTTCGGGAGGTGTGTTGGCTAGCTGAGACGGGAAAGCATCTGTCGCCTCCGCAAGACATCGGCGGCCTGATACTGCGAAGTACCGGGGTTTGTGGTAGCAGTACGTCGACGCTGGAATGAAATGTTGGGTTATCCTGCTTGCAGCAGTCCGAGGTGCGTTAAGGGCAAGCCTTTGCAGGCTTCGCGCAGCACGCGAGCTTGCCATGATCGCTGCGCCTTCGCGCCAGGTCTTTCAGCTTTGCATGTGGGTCAGTGTGCAGTCCAGAGCAGTATCAAGAGGAGCACTCCAACATGGACTCAAGCGGGGGGATGTATGCTTGACAGAAAGGAGCACGCGACCATGCAAGTTGAAGGCGAGGTGATTTTGCGGCGATCTCGGAGGTGCTTCATCCGCCTCGGTACTTACACTGACTCAGAAGACTTATTATAACCTCTTCTCTAGAACCCTTTAGTTGATGTGAACAATGCCGCAGAGAAGTGAAGTCCACTACTTTGGCGCTGGCCCGGCACCACTGCCAACTCCGGTGCTGGAGGAGGCTTCGAAAGTGTTACTCAACTACAACGATTCTGGCATTGGCCTAACAGAGATCTCGCACCGAAGTCCTGAAGCCAACGCAATTCTTGCACACACACAGAGTGGTCTCCAGAGACTACTGGACATCCCTGAAAGTGATGGACCGGATGGCTATCAAATCCTCTTCCTGCAAGGTGGCGGCAGCGGCGAGTTCAGCGCAGTGGTTTACCATATGGTCGCGATATGGCTGGGTGGTGTGGCGAAGAAGAAGCAGCAAGGCCTCGACCAAGAGGCCGCGAGGCTACGCCTTGACTACTTCGTGACTGGCTCCTGGTCGCTGAAGGCCAGTCAGGAGGCTGCTCGGTTGGTCGGCAGTGAGCACGTCAACATTGTCACCGATGCCCGCAAGTACCACGATGGCAAATTCGGCGTCATTCCATCGCAGGATAGCTGGACCCAGACGAAGAGCAAAGACGATATTGCTCTAACGTACTACTGCGACAATGAAACGGTCGACGGCGTAGAATTTCCTTGTGCACCAGAAGGTCAGAATCTGATCGCTGACATGTCATCAAACTTCCTGTCTCGGCCTGTGGACATTCGAAAACATGCCGTGATATTCGGAGGAGCTCAAAAGAATGTCGGCACGACTGGTATCACCATCGCAATAGTTTCAAACCGAATCTTACCGCCCCACGCTGAAATGGCAGACCCGGCGCTGCTGCGAAAGATGGGCTTGCCAATTGGACCAGTCGTCCTTAACTGGCCCACGATAGCAAAGAACAATAGTTTGTACAACACTTTACCCATCTTCGATGTCTGGATAGCGGGTCAGGTAATGCAACGTCTGCTCGACCAATCACCCGCAGACAAGTCGCCTCGGATGGCCACACAAGAAGCTGAGTCGAACAGAAAAGCGGACCTGCTGTACTCCGTACTCGATGCCCATTCAACCGTATACAACGTTGTGCCGGATAAGAGTGTGCGCAGCCGCATGAACCTGTGCTTCCGGGTAAATGGTGGCAACGCTGAGGCGGAGAAAGCGTTCTTGAAAGGCGCAGAGAGCCGCAATTTGATGGGGTTGAAAGGCCACAGGAGCGTTGGAGGCATTCGCATCAGCAACTACAATGCTGTCCCAGTGGAAGCAGCCGAAAAATTGGCGTCATACCTCGAAGATTTTGCTAAGACGCAGTAAGCGTGGTTCTGCTGAGTATACTGCCATAAAAAGTGCTTTAGCGTCGGCGTTGGCGGCTTTGTATTTGAGTGTGAGGTTCGCGAATGCGCTCGCTTCCAGACTCCGCTCGTCATTACAAGATTTTATTCCTCGTCGTCCATCAGCTCGGCCAGCTCGGCCTCCTCCTCGGCCGTGAGCACAGCACTTTTGTCGCCTGCAGCCCCTGCAGTCGATTTCTCCTTAACATCTTCGCGGTTAAGCTCCTCAAGGTACCGCGCCATCTCTCTTTTGTCAAGCGGCCATTGCCTAACAGTCCCGTCAATGCTCACGCTTACCACCGTTCGCTCACCCCTGAGAGCGAGCCCAGTAACCTCCTCGTAATGCCCACTATACGTACAGACCAGACCACCAGAGCCAGCATCCCACACTCGCACTTCCTCGTCTCTGCAAGCCGTGACCACCAAACCTGCCGCCTCGCTCACTACTATGTCCCGCACGAAGTCTGGATGCTGCAGCACCGTATCTGCTTCCCATCCACGGCTTCGCACAAGATGCTTGGCGGTTTTGTCGGCTGATGCCGTCCAAAGGTCACCCTCGCTGTCAACGTGAAGTTTGTAGACGCTGGTCTCGTGCGCCAGAATGGGCTTTTCAACAGACTCTAGCAGCTCAAAACAATTGTCCAAGCTGATATGCCATCGCCGGATCTCGCGGTCGCTGCTTGCTGTGAACACCACGAACGAGTCTTCAGGCTCCTGGGACGCAATCGGTAAGCTCAAGGGATCTAGAGCCAGATCTTGCAGTGCTTTGGTGTGACCCTTGAGCTTGTGCAGCGGCTTGGCTGTGACGAGATCCCAGACTATGATGACAGCGTCTGCTCCGCCAGATATCAGAATCGGTCGGCCATTGATCGATGTGGCGAGGAGGCATTTGACAAAATCTGTGTGGCCGTTTAAGGTTACTTTGTTCGTGGCGGTACTCGCTCGAGTCGTGTTAGCAGAATATATCTGCTTATTCCAGCACCCTGCGTACAGTCTGCCGCTTTGTGAAAGCGTAAGACATGTCAACGGTGCGCTTGCTCGAACTTGCAATCGGACACCTTCATTCGTCTACACAGCCACGTTAGCAAGGATCTGCAGATATGCTACATCGTTGACACTCTTACACACTTCCAGATCCACCCGGTTGATGTCGCCAGCCGCTTCTGCTACATAGACTACCCGGTCGTCGAAATGATCTAGCACGACTGCCAGTAATTTGGACTGGACTTTGATAGGGTTGCCATGTTCGTTCTTAGCTTTGGCCGCTTTCCGCTCGATGGTTGCGACGGACTCATCTGTCTGGAAATAATTCGAAGCTTCGTTCGAGCGAGACATCTGGGCGTATTCGGATGACAACTGTGAAGGACGCGTAAAGTAGTTTGAGAGACGCGTTTTATGGGAGTCTCGCTGACTCAGCGGGCTGGCCATTCATTTACGAAAAATACCCTCTCCGTCGCTGTGCTAACAGGGAATGGAAAAACGCTCGCTAAACGGGATTGACGTGCGCTATGCTCCCAGTCATATCTCCAGACGCTATGCAACTTTCCGTCACCGACTTACTCGTGCCCAAATGGGTAAGGGACGGCAAACGCCGTCGTGTTATACATTGCAAGCGTCACAAACCCAATCGGGCACTCTTGCTTCAAGACCGACACATTTCAGATGGAAAAGACCTGGCGTACAGCGCTGCGCAAATGTTAGCTTCCCTTCACATCAGCTCAGATAGGTATTCCCGCATGTACCTCGTTATCACAAGCAATTGTCCCTCTGCCAGGCGTTGCAGTCGCGCCACAGTTGCATGTAGATCTCCCTGAGCAGTTTTCTTTCCTGGACGAGCCGTTGTTGTTAGGATACCATTTCGGGTGTCTTGCTTCAGCGGGCGCGCGCTGGACGAATAACGAAGCCGGCCGTGTTCGAGACTCATGATTGCTTGTCTTCGCGACGTGAGGCGGTCCATAGCCGTTGATATTCAAACCAGCTTCAGAGGTTTGCTTTCTCATGGCTTTGCCAGGTCCTTCACATGCAGGGGACCTAACGCCGCCGGGTTTGTAGACGGCATTCGTACCGTCGCTTGACGGTGGCCTGACGACCTGTGGTAATCTCTGTTTCAGCATACTCGTGCGTGGACTTTCTGTACTGGGTGCTCCGGAATCCTTCGAGCGCTCTTTCGCAGGCCTGACAAGGTCAACACCGTTAGGCAACTGTTCGTAGCCCTTCTCAATTATCTCTCGATCAGCACCGCCGCCTGACCATCGATGCGGCTTCCTTTTCTTCTTTGGCGGTGTTGGCTCCTCTGCATCAGCTTTCGGCACGCTGTCTCCGTGACCGGACTGACTGCTGACAAATCGACCGTTGAGGCGTGTCGGAGACGGACCAACGACATCAATCAAATCCGGGTAAGCCTCTGTATCTTTTCCGGTTTTCAAAGTGCTTTCAAGCAGGGCCGCTGCCTTGGTGTTGCTAAACTCCTGCTGCAAGGCATTGGACTCTGATTGAACTGGCCCCGGCTTCGCAGTATGCTGGCATCCAGCTGTTCGCGGCTTCATAAGATCGTTGCAGTACTCCGCAACGTCGTCTGCCACAATACCTTGTATATGCAGATGCTCGAGCTTCTGCTCGAAAGCCCGCAACCAATCCGCATCCCTTTGCTTACCCCTCTGCATGCGAGCAAATCTGACAAGAGCATCTCGCGTTAGCTTCTTGGATGAGCTTTGCTCGAAGTCAATATGCTTGTTAAAGGCTTCGTTGAAGTCCTGAGCACCACGGTTAAGACCAGCCTCTGTAAACTCTCGTCGCTGACTACTAATCAAGCGGTCGTCCAGGAGATCGTCTTCGCTTTCGCTGAGCTCTTCGTCCGGTAAAATAGGCTCCTTTGTGCTGCTGTGGTAGAAGGTAACGCGCGGTACCGCAGGCACCCGGAATTTCTCCTTCTGCGATAGAGGAATATCTAAAACCTCGCCGACTGTCTTCGCTTCCTTGACAACAATCGGTGGCGCAAGTGACTCGTTAGCCTCCGATTGTTTTGATTTCATGGGACGGCCGCGCCGTCTCTTGCCGCCACCGTCACCCGTCCAGCTGTGATCACCCGCAAGATGCGCTTTGATATCGAACGATCGATGGGGTGCAATCCACGAGAACTCTTCCCTGGCGGCGTTCTCCGTCATGGCGGCACTGACCTGCTTCTCCTTGAGCTTAAAACGCACAGTGACCATAATTTTGCCCGTCTCAGTAACCAATTCCTCGTCACGGTCACAGTCAAACACATCGTGACAGGACCAGTAGTGCAGCATCAACCGATCTATTGCCTGACTCGGCTCCAACAGCGCGCTGCGTGAGTTGTACATCTCAGTCCTGCCTTCCCGACGGCCGCTAGCGCAGAAAAGGCAGCTAAGACTGTCGACAGTAAACGCTCGGCCGTCCAGACCATTTTCGTGAACATAGCGCACGATATATTGCGGCTTGTTTGCCGCTTCCGGAGAGTCGGAGGAGCTTGGCGTGAGAAGCTGCTGCTGCATGTGCGTGCCACGCAACCGATTGAAGCGCTCCAAAGGTGTCTTATGCCGCCGTAGCCAGCCCATTGACAGATCCATGCCGTAACCGACCGATACGCTGCTGTGGCCTGACGCACGTTTAAGCGGCAGAAGATATCCAGATGGCGGACACTTGGGAAGTTCGTCCCAGACTGCTTGTATTACCGCTTCGTTAGGCGGTTTGTTACTGTAATCGGACTGCGATCGCGATTCTAGCCGACTCAAGAACGCGGCTGAATCGGCTGAGTTCTTGCAGGTGAGCTTCACTTCCAGTGAGTACTTCTTCGTGACAGTTCGCTTCCAGTGCCGAAACCCGTTGCTTCCGGACTCTTCTGCGACAAACAGAGAATCCAGCTCGATGAGTATTGGCTCTGTAAGCTCAACCACGAAATTGCAGGGGTCGTTGAAGACCGCAGAATCCTCGCGAATGACGCCACTCTGTGAATGTCTGAGCTGCTCTGATCGCGGAGCGCGTATGTCACGCACAGTCACGAACACTTGGCACAGGTAACGCAAGCCCGTCTGCGCATGCGGCAGCCACTCGGGCTCTAAATCGCTGCCTACGCGCAGCGCTGTCTTGACAGACGCTCGCGGCCCTTTTGCGATGTTCAGTGACTTCAGGCGCAGTGCATCGATCTGCAATACTGGCCGCTGTCCTTTCAGCAGGTCGTTAAGCATCAGCCGGGTTGGGAAATCCCATCCTGCCCGCCGTCTTTCGTTCGCAATCATTGCCTCATAAGGCGCTGTCGCATGACCAGCCTTCGCTGCTTCAAGGGACGCGTTGTGCGCGTCAAGAACTGTGTTGAGGTTTCGACGGAGGAATACTCGCGGCTCACGGGCCGCCAGTAATCGATACAAGGATACGTTGCCGGTGATTCTTCGTTGCGACGCAATCTCGCTCATGTCAACTTGGTCAGTCGCTTGCTTTCAGGTAGTAAACAGATCTTGTCGGGTATCTGAGGCTGAATATGATGACTGGCTCGTGCGCATCGCGGAGTCGTTGCCTGACAGCTAGTTCGCTCAAGCCGCAACCGCGAACAAGGCTGCGTCTGCTGAGCACATTTAAAGCGATCAAAGCAGCGTTTGCGCCTGCGAACAGGCCGCGCAGAATTATGTTCGGTAGGATGCGCCGTACGCCCGTGATCCAACGTACAGAGGTTTCGCTGTCGAGCGAAACAGTAGATCCAGTTGCTGCTCAAGGCGAGCGCGCTAAAACGTCGTAGAGTCGTGCGCAAACGTGTTGGTGTATGCATTCGATTTATGGGCAATCAATTGACGTGCAATCAAGCCACGACAAACGCGTCGACTCTCCAGGAGGCAGTGGCGCGGGTTCGTACAAGTTTTTAATGCCTCAGGCCAATCGCATCACAGGTGCAATGGGACTCGGAGCGATGCAGTATCCAAGACAAATGACCAGGTGGGATATGCACAAAGAGATATCAGACGCGCAATGATTGCCTGTGCCGTGCGCTTACCCGCAAACGCTACGTTTGAGACTTAGGTATGCGGCAGTCTTCAACACGCCTGCCTGACCGCATCCTCTGGGAAACCCGCTCGACGATGATCGTGATAAGATATTCATGCTGCCTTCTCAAGCGGCTAAACCAGTATTGAGCTCGAATACAAACGAGCACGCACTTCTCTAAGTTGCATACCCTCGCAGTGCTCCGCTATACGCCCGCCGAAAGTGCACCGACTGAACCCTCATCCAACATGTACAGCTAAACCTCACGGCTTCATTAGGCAGCTATCGTGCAATTTCGTAGCTGCAATGCTGCACATGCCTTGCCGCCGTTGGTCTAGCAGCATCCACCTGCACTTCCCGATTGCACACCCTGGCCTTGCCCGACTTGCACAGTCGGCTTGTTGTTGACGGTTGTGTTGCCCATGCGCTCCTTGATCTGGCGTGCCATTGTAAGGAAGGCTTGCTCAACGTTGCTGGCGTTCTTTGCTGATGTCTCCAGAAACTGGATGCCGAGGCTATCTGCGAACTCCTAGAGATCGTCACATTAGCACGTCCTTGATCTGCGGCCGTTTTCCGCGAGTGAGCGCACTTTTGCCACAGTGTACTCGACGACCTTCTTATCCGCCATGTCGCTCTTGTTGCCCACAAGAAGCTTGTTCACGCCCTCTGTCGCATAGCGATCAATCTCTTGCAGCCACTGCTTAACATTGTTGAAGCTGTCCATATCCGTGACATCGTAGACGACGCAAATTCCGTGTGCGCCGCGATAATAGGATGAAGTGATGGTGCGGAAGCGCTCTTGGCCCGCTGTGTCCCACTGCAGGAACGGTCAGCTCATATCGTGCACCACAAATCGCCCATGCTTATTCCACGACTGACTTACAATCTGCAGCTTCACCGTCTTGCCGTCAAGCTCAATCGTCCTGATCTTGAAGTCGACGCCGATGGTCGAGATGTAGCTCTCAGTGTAGGTGTCGTCTGCAAACCGCAGGAGCAGGCAGGACTTGCCAACACCCGAATCTCCGATGAGCAGTAGCTTGAAGAGGTAGTCGTATCTGTCAACAGGATCGGTGGTTAGCGATTTGGGCTTCACGTCACGCCATTCACTCAAGGCCAGCGATCCGGTGGGCGATTTCGACGTTTTGGCAGCAGCGGTACGGCAAAGCTCTCAACGTGCGAGAGTGATTCCTGAGGCTTTTATGTCCAGTTGTCCAGTATGTTCTTTGCGCTTGTTGGGCAGGCTGCAAGCAGAAGGGTGGAAGATTTGTACACTGCGCAAAGCTCACGATATCAGCTTCGAAACTCACATGTGCTCCACCGCGTCATCGCCAGTGACCATGAGCCTACTGAGCGATGCGTTGAGGCTCACTTACTACTCGGGGTTCATGGTTGCGGCTGCTTGCGCTTGGTGGATTCTGTTCCAACTGTCTACCCAAGAGAGCGCGGCGAAGTGGGATCGATGCAACTACACCGTCAAAGGCGACAGAGATCTATCAAGCGTGGAAGTGTTAGAGAGTGGTGCAGGTGGTGTTTCGCGTGAAGTAAGGTCGAGGGATGCCACAAGCCAGATGTCTGAGGTGACCGTAACAAGTGAGCGTTAGCTGATTAGGTAAGATCAGGGTTTCCGTCACGTGTTACGCGGCGTCTGTGCGCCATGTAGCGTGTGGGTGAGATCTATGCTCGCTGCACGTGCCATCTCGGACGAATTGACATGTAACGGAGAAGCCATCATTTCGTTGTAAAGGCAAACACGGCCCGCCTAGGCTTCCGCCTCCAAGTTCCGCAACCGTTGCCTGCGGGACGCCACCCAGACTGTAGGCTGTGCCGCGCGAAATCCGTACCCTCGCTACCACCCACTAATGCTCGCCATCCATGCCAACAATGCTTGCAATCAGTACTGCCCCTGCCCTCCGTAGCCTCCACCGCCGTAGTTTCCGTATCCAGGATTCTGCTGCGGTTGGTGCTGCTGGCTGCCGGAGTATGGCTGATACTGCTGGTTGTGCTGCTGGGTTATACCCGATTGATCATGGGGCGTAGGTGGGAACGACTGACTGCCGCCGTAGTCGCCACCTTGTCCGAAATGACTTGAAGGCTGGCTCTGCTGACTACCATAACCGGTACCTGAAGACCCAGGGCCTCCGTAGGACTGTTGGTGTTGCGACGGCGGATACTGGTTCGAACCTTGACCCATCGGCGCTTGCTGCTGACCTGGAGGGTTATACTGCCCGCTTTGCGGCACAAAGGAGCTTTGCTGGCTGCCGAAAGAGCCTGGAGCACCTTGCTGGGCTTGTGTTGGTGTGGAGTAGCTACCAGAACCGCTCGACTGACTGTAGCCTGGCTGTTGTGATTGCTGTCCGATGCCGCTATGAGAGGCGTTGCCTTGCTGTCCGTAGCTACTTTGCGTACCAGAAGGGTGGTAGCTTGACGGCGGTGCCGTGCCGCTGTACGTGCCCCCGCCTTGACCACTTGACGTGTAACCGTAATTCTGGTTTGACTGCTTCCCGTGTCCGCCTAAGAAATTGCTTGCCATGGCACCGAGCTGACCCAATCCACCAGAGCTGTGCTGGCTCTGCTGGCTTTGTTGCCCTTGATACTGCTGCTGCTGGCCACTGTGCGAGCCACTGCCGCCTAAGAACGATTGCGCAATCCCTCCGAACCCTAAGTTTTGCTGGCTCTGCTGTCCGTGGTAATTCTGCTGTTGCTGTCCGCTATGCGAATTGCCACCGCCTAAGAACGACTGTGCAATTCCTCCCAGAACTGAGCTGTGCTGTTGTCCGCTTGACTGACTATGGTTGCCACCGAGGAACTGCTGTGCCAGACCACCGAAGCCCGATGACTGCTGGTTCGAGTTCTTGTGTAAGAAAGCATTCAAAACGTCACCCTGCGTGGAAGCATTAGCTACCATTATAATGACGGAATTAAAATTAACTGACGCCCAGGCCTCTGTCACCTTCCTGCCCTTCTCCTCCTCTCGTCGTCTCACTCTCGCCCGGCGTCTGGTATGGGTTGCCTTGTGCAGGTGTGCCGCCAGGTGTTGGTACGTGGGGCGCTGCCATAGTGGGTGTTTCCCAAGTAGACTCTCCGGTACTTGTTTGGACAAAGTAGTACTTGCGTGATCTGTTTACAATCAGATGCAACTCTCCAACGATGTCAACGGCGACCTGGACAATGCTCACTTGGCATCCCACTGCGCAACCCTTCAGGTCCGAGGTACGTCAGTGCCAAGCGCATCACAAGCATACACTGGAGAGGACGAGCTGGACGCACCATCCGGGAGGCAGTGAAGGAGGCGCATGGTCTGGTCCAGCATCTGGCTCCTCCGCCATCTTCGCCACGCGGAGTTGTCAGTGAATTGCCTCACTCGGGTTGGGTATTGGCTGTGAAAGGCAAACGTCACCGCTGCGGAAGCGTGGAATTCATGGAGGATAACGGTTGAAGGAGTAGAGATGGCTGCAAAGCGCGCACAACGGCCAATTTGCACTCTCGGATACGATTGCTACGTCTTCCGATGCGATACATGGTAAGCAGCACGCTACCGCGCGTACCGTGGTTGCGCGGTCCGCGTAGCGATGGTGGGTTGTGGCTGTGTATAGCCTGCATAAAGCGTGGAGCTAGCCCGCCTTTCAGCTCGCCATGCATTGCAAGACCTTCGACATCGCTACGGCACGCAAAGCAGAAAGCCACAACGAGTACAAAGATCGAGGCAGTAATATACGCCCCCTGGACTGCATTGATTGGACTCCCATAGTACCTACGCTTGGTACGAAGGTATTGACGCTGATGCGCTACGCTGCCATACCATCTCAACTCGGTAGTCTCTACGCCATTTATTCCTCTCTGGACACTGCAAATGCTGATGTTCAGCACCGCCTGGTTTGACTGGTTCCATGGCAAGCCTAGCCACAACGCAAGCATCTTGGGGTAGTTCGGCGTGCCGAAACCGGTAACTTTGTGAAGCGTCATGTTAGCATTCATATTATTGACCGTGCCTTCGTGACATGGGGCTACTTGCGGATCCCTCCTTTTGGAACAAAAGGAGCGGTGAACTAGGTCGTCAGGGTCAGCAGAAGCCTTCATACAACATCTTCAGCCATCGTACTCCTGGACCACCATAGTTTGGATTCGAGCCGTTCGCGGTATCGTTCAGCGTCTCAGGATCTATACGTGTCTCACTTAGCTTCTGCGCTGAAAAGAGAGGACATGTACTCCATTGTTACGTACGTTGGCGCAAAAACGGATTTACAAAGCCAATTGGACCTTTCCCAATTGCTGTTCTTGTCTCACTGATCCGTGATACTTAAACCGAAAGTAGGCGCTGACAGGCTGGTGCCACAGATGTGGTGCTCCGCAAAATCGCCGTGGATCAAGAGGTTCACGCCGTTCGCAGAAACATCAGCCCCGCTCAGCAATATCGCAGAGGCCGCCATTTTCTCCAATATTCGAAGCGTTGGCATTGGCGGTGCAGTACGGTGTGCTCTTATCGTTGCGGTGGGCAAGATAGTTTTCTACCGCCGACTTTTGGTAGTCCGGAGGCGTAAAGTCATTGCTAGTATGGGTTAGACTCCACTCCTTAAGTAAGCGAGCTTCGTGCGGACGGCACATCCAAGAAGCCAGCAGCGGAACCGAACCATTGGTACGTAGGGTATGCTGAAATCGACGATCAGGAGGGTTACTCATGTCTTGGTCGACCTCGAGAGTATGAGCTGCTGTTCAACTTACTCGGGCCAGAGCCTTGCACGATCTTTGCTTGGGTAAGGTTGAGGCGGAGAGCGCTTTCACGGTCAAGGACAGTCTGATTGGTGTATAGCATCGTACCGCCAATAACCGTAAGGTAGGGACGACCATCCGGATAGATCGGGTTGTAGACGCTGTTCTTGGGTCCCAGGCAAGCGTTGTCAGTAGGCGAGGAAGGAGTAGAGCCCACGGCCTAATCTCCGCTGGAGACGAAAATGCTGTGACCTTGGAAGCCAAGCTTCCTGCTCTCGCGTCAGCACGGTTCTGATGTCAGGGGAGGAACGCTTACATGCGCTCGTTGGACTGGCGTTGCGTGTAAGGCATAGGTAGCTTGATATCTTACTCATTATATAAGATGCTAATGACCCGTAGCAGGTTATGCGTGCCGCACCCTCGCTGTCCTGGGGGGCCTCCAGGGCGATTGTCTGGATAGATTGCGTCGATAGTCGGACCCTTGCCTGTAATGCCGTATGCGCTGTAGCTGCAATAGCTTCCATCAACGCTGTCAAGGAACGTATTGAGAAAGTCGTTCTTCTCCGTCTCGTACGACGAGTTTGGAAGGTCGTCGACTAGATGTACGGTGACTTGCTGCGGATAGCTTGAGGAACATTAGGCCGCGCGGACGACGGGTAATTAATTGGATGGATGCTTACACGATCGCTTATGTCAAGTCACTTGAGGCTCGAGGGGCTCCGCTCGTGTTTCTCTTACAACGTGGAGTCAACCATTCAGAACGCCGTCCATGCCTAGCAAGTAAGCACCATCTTTACCAGTTTACTACGGACTGTCTTCATGAAGGATGACTACTGAAGAGCAATGTTGATCAACAAGAAGGTGGCAAGACTCATAGTGCACTTTGGCCTCATCGTCTGCATGGCAGTTTAATTCTCCCGACATCGGTTAGAAGCGATGAGAGCGAGATCACACCAGAACGAAGCTTTGCAGGTCGCCACTTTCACCGTCTTGACTGTCAAGCCATCGCTCTCCGTCCATCATATCGAGGACGAAAGCGGGCCCGACAAGCGACCAAACTAACCCAGACGGCCTCAAAACCAAAGGCCACTCTGCGCCCTCGAGCAACACTACGGAGTCGCCAGCTTGCACTGTGTAGAAAGTCTTACCCAGTGTTACCGTCGGGTCTTCGTCCGACACCTGAACGGTGAAGATAGCCTGGTCTGCTAGATTGCTCGACATATCTTTCACAAGGTCGAGGAAGGCGTCGTGCGCTTCCAAGCTTCTCCCGCCGTCTTGAATCGTTCTTGAGATCAAAGAAGCTACGATGATAGCACACTGCGTCAGCTCTTCAGTCCAATTCAGCGCGTTCGTTGTGTCGCCAGCTATCCAGTCTTCTGCTAAGTCTTTGCCGAACGTGAGGTCGTAGCTGCTTTTTGGGTAAGTCAACAGGTCGATGAAATCTTGGAACATACTGCGGTGCTCGGTCGCCTCTTGAAGGCAGAGTAGGTCGAAGAAGACATCGACTGCATCTTCGCCGCCACACAGCACAGATTTCGAGGAGAGTGTATTCAGAAGCTGACGAAAGAGTTGTATTTTTTCGATCAGGAGCCGTAGAAAGTCAACGTCATCCACAGCTCGTGTTTCGTCCTTCGCAAGGATCGCAAGGCTCTCCGTAGATGTACGCGTTGGGAAACGCAGCAGGATGCCGCCCTCGCTGCCTGTGACAACCTTACCAACCCTCTTCCCCCGAACGTGCAGCTTTCCAAGTTCTGGACAAAGGGCCGCCACCGATGCATCAGCCGTCCGGGACCCATTTGTTGCGTCACCATCTGCCACGTACAGCCTGATCTCGGAGTCGTTCCAGTCAGGCACCCAGCTGGGCAGACCATGCTGCCGATGCACACTGCACGCGTCTTTGAGGACCTTCAGCGTTCTGGACCACGAGATCATGGCTACAGCAGCACTCGTATATACCGCGGTGACTGGCTTGGAATAGTCCACGGCGGGGAGCTCGACGCCCAAACTGGCAAACACCGCTTGCAAGCCGTAGACTTTGTCTTTCGGGTCAGTAGCCTGCATGAAATTTCCTTCGGCCATTGCCGACGTCAGAAAGGTGACCTGTCGATGGTGACGGTCTTCAGGAAGCCAGTCATCTGCAATGCCAGCACCAGATCCCTTGAGCAGGTAATCGCGTAAGACGTTTCGCATGTCGATACTTGCCATGCTTGTCGCAGCGCTTAGAGCAATGTTCTCGATGAACTGTTCGAAAATTAGAAATTTTGCTGCTGACGAGTACAACGTCCATGGTATGGAAGAGCTGCCGCACACGATTTCACAACTTTGTAAGAAGGCCACCTCCTGTACTGTCCAGATTCGGCGGTGCCATGGATGATTGAAGATATGGTCAAGGCAAGATGTTTCTTCGTCAATATCACCGTGCTTCAGCAGCTTCTCTAGCAGACGGTTAGACTGACACATAATCTGTTCGCAAGACACACGGAGGGCCTACGTTCGAGCTCCATTAACTTCGCCACTCCTCTCTGCGACGGACACTCACCAATGCGGACCAAGTGACGCACGACCTCACCAGTATATGCGAAACCTGCGCCCAACCAGCAGAAAGTACGCTGCGCCTTCGAGTATATCTCGCCCATCATTGCAACCTGCGTGTTGCGCTCGACAAGAGACTCGGCCGAGTCTTCTTGGTCGATGCAGATAGCATCGATCCACAAACTTCGAACGCGGTTGTTGTGCCTCAGACGGTGCAATGCTGTCTCGCAGTTTGGTGTCACGAGTAGTGCCGCTCCGTCACAGGTAATAGAGATGGTGCCTTTGCGAGCACCCCATACATAGCTCAACGCTTCGTAGTCATCATCAAGAGCATGGAGTAAGGTCTGTCGAAGGGTCACTTCGATGGGTTCTTCGAAGCGAAATGCCGGCTGCAGATATAGTAGGCGGATAGCTCGCGGTGAAGCAAAACGCTTGTGTCGGTACAATGGACTAGATGAAGCTTGGCCTTCCATTGAGGCTTTACTGACGCATCCTCATTAGCCAATTGGTTGTTGCTCGATGCGCTGGCCACGCGTGCTTTAGTGTGCAATTATCATACGGTCAGTACATGTGTGGATGCATGAAGTTGGTTGACCCCACCACGAAGCGACTGGGATGGGTCTTCGAGCTTCAGGTGGAAGCTCATAGCAATGCTACAGGCGCGACTAGCGCGCCACTGTCTTGCAATAGACTACCAAGTCGTGCTATATCGGGCTGCCTCCTCGCTAGTCTTTGTGCAACCGCCTTCGACAACCGCGTCAATGTCCCTGAAAAGCACATTCTCAGCCTATGCATGTTCGAGGCGCCAAACGCGCCAACGCTGATTCACATACTGTCGCCGATCCCATACTCGGCCTCATGCCCAGGAGCACACAACCTGCTTAGTACTCGGCCTCGGCGCCATCATCACCTTCCGCAGAGTCGGCTGCAACTTCTTCGTAGTCACGCTCGAGCGCTGCAAGGTCCTCACGGGCCTCGCTGAACTCGCCCTCCTCCATACCCTCACCGACATACCAGTGCACGAAGGCACGCTTGCTGTACATCAAGTCAAACTTGTGCGAGAGGGCGGACCACGCCTCGGCGATGGCTGTGGTGTTGGACAGCATGCAGACGGCCCGGTTGACCTTGGCGAGATCGCCGTTGGGAACGGACTGCGGCGGCTGGTAGCAGATGCCGAGCTTGAATCCAGTTGGACACCAGTCCACGAACTGAATTGTGCGCTTGGTCTTGAGTGTGGCGACAGCCTGGTGAGTATCCTTTGGCACGACGTCGCCACGGTAGAGTAGGCAAGTTGCCATATACTTGCCGTTACGAGGGTCGCACTTAACCATTTGGTTATTTGGCTCGAAACAAGACATGGAGATCTCCTGAACGCTGTTGGCTTCGTGGGCAGCCTTGGCAGCGGAGACAATTGGAGCGTAGGCCACGAGGGGGAAGTGGATACGCGGGTACGGCACGAGGTTGGTCTGGAACTCGTTCAGGTCAACGTTGAGCGAGCCGTCGAAGCGGAGAGAGGCGGTGATTGAGGAGACGACCTGAGCGATTAGGCGGTTGAGGTTCTCGTAGTTGGGACGCTCAATGCCAAGGTTGCGACGGCAGATGTCGTAGATGGCCTCGTTGTCGACCATGAACGAGCAGTCGCTGTGCTCGAGGGTGGTGTGCGTGGTGAGGATAGAGTTGTACGGCTCTACGACCGACGTGGCGACCTGGGGTGCTGGGTAGACGCAGAACTCGAGCTTGCACTTCTTGCCGTAGTCCACAGACAGACGCTCCATGAGCAGCGCACCGAAGCCGGAGCCGGTACCGCCGCCGAAGGAGTGAAAGACGAGGAAGCCTTGTAGACCGGAGCAGTTGTCGGCAACGCGTCGAACCTTGTCCAGCACTTGATCGATCAATTCCTTGCCGACCGTGTAGTGGCCACGCGCGTAGTTGTTCGAGGCGTCTTCCTTGCCTGTGATCATGTACTCGGGGTGGAAGAGGCTGCGGTAGGTGCCCGTGCGGACCTCATCGACGACGTTGGGCTCAAGGTCGCAGTAGATGGTACGTGGAACGTACTTGCCGTTGCCTGCGAGGTTGTGAGCTCACTGATCGGCTGCATATCGTTCAAGCATCGCTTACCCGTCTCCGAAAAGAAGGTGGAGAAGCCTTGGTCATCATTGCCCTTGCGCTCTTCGGTGAGGTAGCCATCCGGCTGGATGCCGTGCTCGAGGCAGTACAGCTGTTAACCTCGCTGTCAGTGTCTATCTCCAAGGCACCCGTATACTACTCGTGTCACGCTCGAATGGCCCAGTCATGTGCTCTTCACGGAATATCACTGACCTCCCAGCAGCTGTTCGCAATCTGGCAACCGGCCTGGCCGACTGAACGCGTCCATTGTCAGTGTGTGCTTGTATATGAAGGCGTTGCTCGGTGGAGGCGGTCAGGCGCGTGAGGCTGCCTTCAGGAGTCAAAGATGTGCCTACCGTTCAAACTGATGACTTCTCTCATCCTGCCGATTCGGTGCTGGTGGTGGGGTTGTTGTCGTTAGTCTTGTCAGGAGATGGGTGACTGTGGTGGATGGAGAGTCTTGCGTAAACCAGCGCGTCGATGTTTCCGTGTTTTTGGCGAGTGTTTGGGTGCTTTGGTGGGGGTTCGCTAGACCCTTCGCACGGGCCACCTTCCACCTCTCCCTTTGTCGAGTACATTTGAACGAAGGCTGATCGAGGATACACTAAAACCTTTGAAGCAGCACCAGCAGTTCTGGGTAATTGTATCGTAAGCAGAGAACCAGTATGCACTCGGAAGGCTGCCAATCATTAACCCCAACCATCGCCGTACCGCTACAATGAATCTTCTGGCGTGCCTGGCTTCCTTGTTTGCCTTACTGGTACAAGCAACCTTTGCAAACACAGAAAAGGTCATTTTCGCTGCACCTGCTGCTGTTGGCTTGCCAGACTCTGGACCGTCACTCAATGCCCTACAGCTTAGCTCGTTAGGCCCCAACAAGCCATCTATACGGACGTCACTTCCAGTTGCATTCCCCAGCGAAGCCTTGCCGCTAGGTACCGACGCCTGGTACCTACTACGAGGTCTGAACCAACAGCAGCGTTACGAAGTGCGAGCCTGCTGGGTGGCTACTGTGGGTAAACGCCGGCCTGCGTGATCAGGCAACAGCATCTGCTGACGTCGACGTAGCAACCAACAAACCTGCGCCTCAACATCTATAACATCTCGCATGTTTTCGATGAACCTCAGTTGATCCAGGCTTTGGCAACATACTCGAATGCGCAACAGTCTCTCGGAGTCAAACAGGTATCGTCATTCGACGGTCAATCTTCCGAGAGCCTGCTCTTCCTTCGAACTCAGTCGGCGGCGGACTTCTTCACAACGAACCAGTCACTCATGCAACAGCCACCACTTGTTGATGTGGAACTGATACTCGACCCTTACGTGGCGAATGCGATTCCCTGGTCACTGGGTTTGACTGCCGTCTATCTCGCGGCCCTTGCAGTTGGCAGCTGGAGTCTTTCCGGCACCGTGTGGAGACGGCTGTTTATCATCGGAAAGCCGCACGCAGATTGATCCTAAGGACAGCTTCTACCTCAGTATCACTACCAGTATGGCCTCTAACGCGGAAAGGGACGCGACAACCTTTGAGCGCGACGCTACCGGTATGCAGGTCGCTCCACTTCCGGCCACTCCGCAGCATCCCTTCTACCATCTACCTGCCGAGCTGATTCTGGATATTGTGGATCTCCTACCACCCGAGTCCTTTATCAACTTCGTTTTTGCAAACTACCCGCTGCTGCATGCTCATGGTCTTGCGCCAGCGCTTTCGCAACCACGAGTCGCGTACATAACTACACAAACTCGAATTCCGGCTCTTTTTCCACTTCTTAGACTGCCGCCAGAGATCATGTTGCATGTCATGCGCCAACTCAGGCCTCTCGATGTCATGCGCTTCGCCGTTGCGAATTATCAAGATCTAGCGCGGCAAGGAATAGCGCCGCCACTGAGTGCTCGAACCGTTGAGCAGTTACGCCGTTGTGTGAGACTCGGGTAACGCGATCGTGGAGGGTACTCATCACACACCAATGGATAACATCGAACTCAGTCACTGTTGCCGGCGATGACGAGGCTGCTATTTTAGCTAATCAATGGAGGATCGAGCTGTGTCAGAGCCACTGCACCGCATCTTTCTGCGGAATATCTCCTCCCTCGCGTCTTTGCGAAAAGCCTCTACACCCTCAGGTACGGTATGTCTCGCAGCCCTTTCTTCTTTGTCACTCTGCTGACGACGCACAGTAGTGCTATCGAATGTGAGCTCGACACATGAGCTGTTGTACGGTTGTTCGATCACTTCCGAGAGAAGCACTCCTAGAGCCAGAAAGACACCTAGCCAATTCCATTTCGCAAGCGCGATACACAACCGGCGACTCAGCGCTCAGCAAAGACAATGAGCAAGACAACCTTCACCTTGCGGAAGCATCCACCGCCCCGGTCACACAAGCACGGCCCGGTTCGCGAGAAGCGTGGTGGCAGCCAGTACTGCCAACAACGCCGTAACAGACTCCCGCCCTTCCTAAACATGACGCGGCTATCTCCCTGTCCTTACTTGGTTTGGCCGCCTCCGTTACAACTCGTACTCGGCCCTATGAGGAGACTGACGGGCCTGGGCCGTATGGACCATTCGGCACAGTGCCGGTGATGCACAGAGACGACGCCTCGTACAAAGATCCCTTTTGCGCGCAGCATGCGCCTCACCGTTCAGGCCGTGGTCATGCATTGCAGAGCCAATAAATAGCTCCACCGCCACCGTCGTGCACTCCACCACCGTCGTGTGGCAACTCAGTCCTGATGCTTCTCTGCTATCTGCCCACAACAGACTGCACTGTGTCAGCAGCTTCATCATCAATGTTAAAGCGAAGCAGCTGCCTCGTTGGTCTACTGACAGGGAGACCTGGCGTGCCGTACGCCGCTGGAACGGTGTCATGCTTATCAGTCCAGACGGGACCCTCGGGCAGTTTCAGGGTGCCTTTGGCGTCAAGCTCTCGCGTATCTTCGCAACAGTGGTGATTTCTCAGAGCACTGACGACTCATGGATGGGTGCCCCACTCGAGCTGGCACGATGCTCGTCGCTAAGAAGCCACTATGTAACGTCTCTCACTGGACGACATATCGACACGTCTCGCTTCGTTCGCGTAATTGTTCGGATGTGGTCGCCGTCCTTAGGTTGGGTGACTATCAAGAAATGGAAGTTACGTACCGGCTCGAACTAGTAATTCGTGGCGTGGATGGACATGAGTTGCGATCACAGCATGCACCTATGTGCCTGTGTCGCGAGTGCCTGTGTCACCTCCCTAATCTTGACGAACTCGTCGCATGAAGACTTGGCTCGCCAGAACATGCACGCCGCAGCTACCGACCCTTCGTACGAAGTTGATGCTGTGAAGAAGCAGCACTCTTGGTCTATGATACCTCCACGATTCCAGCAACGATGTGGCAGCGTTGATGTTGCTCAAGCTGTGAAGCACAATGTATGCGGACTTGGCGGAGTCCTACGTTTCTATACTATGACAATGAGCGGGAGCAATCCTCCAGTCCACCATTGCAGGACATCTCTTCTATGGGCCTTGCTCCTTCTTCACCTCTGAAGCCGGGTTTGCATCCATAACGGAAGCAGCCCACCAAGCCTCGGTAGACTCTTTGATACTTGGCCACTGAGTCTTCGTAACCTCGTACAAATCCAGAACCTGGCTCCCCTTCCTTATGAGCATTTGGCGCTTAAGCACACCTGTCATTGACATGCCATAATCTCCAGCCGACTTCCGCGTAGGATCCTGATGCCATCCTCCCGTACGGAATTGGATGTTGTCATGGCGTAGTTGCTCAAGCGCGTATTCGCACATCATGAAGAAAACTTCGGCGATCCGGTCATGTCGATGTTCGTCCGATACAAAGACTGCGCAAAAGGGAGCCTGCAGCGTGGACTCAAGGTATCGGACAACGATCCAGCCGATAGCTGGTCCGCCGATGTGTGGTACCACGGCGTAGGCTTTGCCGATTGCTGATGGGTTCTGACTGTGCGATTCCAGCGCGGCTGTCAGATCACCGGGAACGATGAAAGGCTTCTTGTATTCTTCGGTGAACAGCCTCAAGTTCTCTGTGATACGGAAGAGGTGGACCAGATCGTTGGTATCTTGCTGCTCGAGACTCCTTAGATACAATGACCGCGATTGAAGCTGAAGGAGTGCGTCAGTCATATTTGTTACTTCTCGCCAGATCTTGAGGGCCTGGCATCTTAATGCCCATGGTGACGTGAGCTGAATAACTTGATGTCGTTTCGCTACGTGCGAGACTGTTGCCGTCACGAAAATCGGACGCCATCGTCTCCGCCCGATGTGCTCGGTCAATTGAGCGCTTGGACGTCACTGACATAAGAGCAACACGAGGTCTACATCGTGGCGCACCTGGGAAGCCTATGCCAAAGATCACATAAGCGCTTTGGTATCACACCGTAATATGCAACACTTCGGAATATTGAGACAGGTGAGCTCGTTGTTAGATGCCGGCAGTCTTACACTGCGCCACTCCAGGACACCAGATCAGGTGAGACTATAAGCACGTCATTCTGTGACGCGGGTAATGAGGCTGGTAAAACCATTGGGAGGACCTAGGCGAGCAACAAGGAGAAATACTGCAACGGAAGTCTACGACAAACTACCCCCCGCTCCGTCCCCATCGCCGCCAAAACCGCCACCAACCTTCATTCTCGCCACCTTTATCGCCTCGCTTTCGTCCGCTGCCAGCCTTCCTCCAGCCGACGCGCCACCAGTACAACGGCACACCCGCGGCTATGAACACGAACACTATTAAGGCCTGACCTGGCTTCGCAAAGATCGCCCGGCTGACAAGGAACAAACTGACGCAACAGAATACTACTGGTGTAACAATCCAGCACTTGTACGGCCTCTCGAGCTCAGGCTCCCTGATCCTCAACGTGATAAGGCCGACAACCGCGGCAAAGTAGAAAAGGTACGAAGCGACGCCGTAGAAGGTCGTTAGTGTCGCAAAGTCGCCGATGATGATATAGATTGCGGTGAGGAAGTAGTTGAGCACCATTGCGTAGATGGGTGTGGCGAAGAAGCCTTGATCATCCGCTAGAAAGCGTGTAAGGCGGCGAGTCCGTGAGTTTCGGCGCGGAACGCGGTATTGCTTCGCTCTAGCAACGCCGATGGTGGCAAAGAGGGACGGAATATAGCCTTCCTTGCCCGCGCTGTAGACTAGTCGGCCGCCAGTGAAAGTTGTGGCGTTCAAGGCTCCGAAGCAGGATCCAGACACCACAAGGGCGAGCATGATGGATCCCATGCGGCCGAGCACGACTTGGCCGAAAGCAACAGCCACGGTGTTCGACTTGTTGATGACGTCGGCTGGCAGTACAAATATGTATGAGAGGTTCGCAAGGATGTAGGCGAGAATGACCAGCGGTAGCGATGTGTGAATGGTCCGTGGGAGGTCACGGCCTGGATTGATCATCTCGCCCACGACGTAATTGGTGTTGTCCCAGCCATCGTAAGCCCAGAGACCAGCATAGAGCGCGACGGCCCACCTTGAGGATGAGTTTGATGTGCCTTCGAACCAGTTGGTGTGTTTCCAGGTCTGCGATAGCGCATCTTTATCGTAAGCGAAGCCAGTGGCGGCGACAACAATGCCAAAGATGGTTATGGCAAGTAGGCCCACGAACTTAAAGAACATGAATAAGTCTGCACTTCTTGTTCCAAGCTTTGTCGAGACGCAATTCATTGCCGTTACAAGGAGCAAGCCAAGTAGTGCAACGCCTTTATTAATCCAAGGACTAGCATCCAGTGCGTCTGCACCAATGATCGCCCGGACGATGTACTCGCCGAAGATGATTGCAATGATGGCTGCTGAGCCTGGCTTGAGCACCGTGACAGCACACCAGGTGAACAGAAAGCCAGCCCATTCACCAAAGATCTTGCTCAGGTAGACTTGCGCGCCTCCATTGAGCGGTATTGCTCCGCCAAGCTCAGCATAGCTTGCTGCACCAGTCCAGGCCAGGACACCTGACACCACCCAAACAATCAATGCTGCGCCTGGCGAGCCTGCGTTGCTGTTGACACTAGCAGGGCTAGAGAAGATGCCAGAGCCTATGATCAAGCCTACCACCAGCGACAAGCCATTCAGAAACGTCAAGCTCTTGTGCTTCTCTAGACTTTGCTGGCCTCCCAGATCGAAGTTCGGCGTGCTTGACGTGCCTAGTGCTGCGTAACCATCGCCCGAAGCGGACAACGGGAAGAGTGCGTTGTTGAAGTCGAAGGCGCTGGAGACGGAGTAGCTTCGGCGCTGTGGTACAGGCCTACCATTCTCGGCTTCTTCTAACGACAACTTGCGCGATGATGATATGCCAGCCTCGGAAGACTCGAATGACTCACGTGCGTGGCCATTGTGGTCGGAAGAGGCGAGCGAGGCGAGTTCGAGCGAGTCGCGGCGCGGAGCCAAGGTGCTGGGTGTCGCAGGAGATTGCACCATCTGCTGGGAGTATACTGCTTGCGACATTGCGCCGGAGAACATCGACGCTATCGGACAATGTCAAGCAACCCATCGCCGCCGCCGGGTATCATGCTGTCGTTACCGTGTATAGGCGCGCATGTTAATGGCGAGAACAAGGACATGTTAGAGTGCTGCATTATCCGTATGCGGTCAACTGGAGAATAGCCGAGATTAATAAGCCAGCCAATGACAGCATTTGAAAGCTTCAAACTCCCGTCCTGGTTGCTTCCTGCCCTAAAACCACATACGAGTCGGTGAATCATTCAATCCACAAGCTGAGAGTGTATCCAACTGTTCCACGTCGCGTGCATGAGACAGCATTGTCTTAGCAAGGTCTGCCGTCCTCGTTCGATTCGAACCTAGGTCCTGCCAGCTACCAGCAAAAGCACCGACGACAACACGCCGCATTGACTGGCGTACATTCTTCGAGTGGATTTTCATGTGAGTAAGGACGCGGATCATGGTCTCATTCATTGACCTCTCTCCCGTTCATCATTCCAACCAAACCCATTTCCACCGAAGTATGTGCCGCTTCGACAATATACTTGAATGACCGTTCTCACCTTTCGGACCTTTTGCCATACCGTTCAAGGCGAACCGTCAACTCACCATAGCAGTCAAAAAATTGAGCGACACGCGATGGACAACAGCCTTGAAGGCGGGAGCACTGTGGGGTCAGATAGAGTGTCCTACAGCATGTCGCTGGGCGAGTATTGTTATAAGACACAGGAACTTACGCCCACCCAACGCGAGCTGGAGATAGCACGCGTCTGCGAACCTTATAGAAACATTTCGCTCGCCGCAATTGCAGAAACACTTCCGTCACAAGCGATGCATGACCCCCAGCATGCTGTCGGTACCCTTCCAGAGGCAGCACCATCTACCACAGAGTATCAAGTCAGGAATGTCATTGCTCTAGGACTGCTGGCGGAGTACAGACTCGATCTCGAAAATTCTCAACTCATCTCACCCGAGAAAGCTGCCTGGGATCGCATAAGGGAGGCATTGACCGCATCAAGGGAGATTGAGCACGATCTTTAACTACAACTACATCGGGTCAACGTGGTGGTTGGCGAGGCGGAGGTATCAAGAAGGAGGTAAATGAAAATCACGGGCCGTTCAGCTCCGGTGGCTTGCGTATCGGAGCCTGCTCACGCCTTTTTGCGATGGCCAGCTGTGCACTTGAACAGGATTCGAGGATTATCGACAACGAAAGCTGCCCGACCACCTACATAGTTCAGGTCTCGTCGTTCACACGAAGGAATCGAAACCTTCTGTGAAAGTGAAGAAGCATTGGCTTGCCACGACCTGCCCTCCCGCCCTAGCATTGATAGTGTCGTTGTTGGTGGCGTGACCTGAGTGTGGGGTGCAATAGTCTTGGGTCTCGCTTTCCGCATCCTGACTGTCCAAGCTCTGTCTGACACCACTGCGTCTCCAGACCTTTCCCATTGTTTGACCAACGAAATCTATGTAATAACTGTTGCGTCCGTACTCTTCGCAGATATTCGAGAGAAACATATGCGCTTGTGCTATCTACAATGTCGTCCCAAAGCTTTCACGTCCGGCGCAGCAATGTCGCCAAGCTAGACGAGTTGTCTCAGTATAACGGCTTACGCACTACACGTTGGGTGCAACCGCCGCAGGGCAGAAGTGTGCTTGAAATCCAAACTACGCACAGACCTACAGCACTGCAAAAGATACCCAAGGATCAGAATTTGCTGACGCCTCCGTACCATTGGCATTGGTACCAAGACGAGTACTTCTACGTCAAGCAAGGGTACGGAGCAAGAACCCATCGCACCTTGAGAATAGGAGTGATCAGCGCTGACTGGACGTGAAGCCGCTACATCTTTACGCTTGAGGGTAAGGACAGTACTGTGTCCTCCTCTGACTCGCAGCCAGTGCATATTCCGGCACGAGCTCGGCACACGTTCAGAGTCGACGACACACACGAAGGGCCATGTGAGATCGAATTCTCCACTGATGTGTCTCCTCGAAGTTCGCCAAACGATCCGGAAGCCTACGGACCCAACGAGAAGTTGTACGCAACACCGCACCGTCATTCCGCTTAAGACTTCCAGGCTTATATGCTAACCACGACACCGATAGCTTCCGGAACCTTTACCAATATCTCGATGACTGCTGGGTACAAGGCAAGAGTCCATCGCCTTTCCAGCTCTTGCTGCTACTCGATGCTGCTGAAGTAAGCCTGGCTCTGCCGGGACCGGCTTGGATTGCTCATCCGGTTAGCTACGCGATCGGCGTGCTCGTAGGCAAGTGGTTCGGTGGATACGTCCTCGGCTACAAGACCAGCTACCCAGAGTACTACGACAAGTCGCTGCACAGCAAGAAAACGAGATAGAGTCTCCATGCATATCCATGTCTCGGTGAAGCTTCATGTGTCAGCGTCAATGACCGGAGCCAAATCCATCAGCTATCTTTCGCAGGTCAACCGTCAGTACCAGCACAACGGTTGACAACGGGTGCATTTACATACCAACGACTCGCGCCTAATACGGCGCTTGGCCAGCATATGCACAGTACACCTCAGCGCTGCGCGTTGGCCACGCTCACTCTTTCCTCCCGCTTGATTGGGGGCCAATTCCCTTATTACGCTTTCTACTAGTCCCGTTATGGACTGTTCTTATATTTGCCTGGCGTGAAGCAGGGCGAGCATAGTCTTGGTGAGCTTTCCTACGCGTCTCGTTATGGAATCTGCTTATGCCGTCTCGTTGCGAAATTGGAACCAATGGTGTCAGCAAAATGGCACCAGCACAGCACAAAAGGCGCAGAAACGCCCTGTTCTTCCTATCCCCTTTCTCCCAAACACAACCTCTGCTCAACTTGCAATCCTGACTTGTGAAGTCCTGAATACTTTACCAACACCTGCCATCTGTCTTACACGCATTCGACAATACGAAGTCAATACCAAGTCGTAATCCACAGCAAGCCACCACACGCAGCAGCCTATGCAGCAGCAGTATCCCATTCAGCAACCGGAGATGTCTCACTTCGCCGCACCCATGTCCCTAATCAGGATCACCATCCAGGTATCCCGGAACCGGACATCTGAGTTCCGCTCCCTTGTGCTTGCAGCGCAACGGAATCAACGACCGGAGCAGCGCCGTGACTTGGTGCAGACACAACGAGTGTATTCTATCCAGGAACTCTTGGGTCTGAGACCGTCAGACACATCGGTAGACAAAGTGCAGACAATCTCAGTGGCTGCAGCCGGCAACGTTCCGGTTGCACACGCCGTCCAGCAAGACGATAGTGAGCAAAGTCAGCAGCCTACCATGAGCTCCCCGAAGAGCTCCCGGATGGACACCCAGAGCGCCCTACCGGACTGGCCCACGTTCAGTCAGCGCCTAATAACGGCTCTGATAGCAACGCTCACCGAGGACGACGATCAGGAATGCGCGGTCTGCATGCAAGCGTACGACGATGAGGACACGGTACCTATCCGCTTCGCGGCATGCAAGCATTACATGTGCCGTGAGTGCGCACTGCAATGGTTCAAGCCCGCCTCAATCAATGACTTCGAGCCACAGCAGACGAATACTTGCCCACAGTGCCGCACAAGGGTCTTCTGCCAACGGCGGAAAGGCATGGACATTATGATGTCGATTGTCGCCCCGGAGATCGGTATAGAAGAGATACGCGATGTTGTCGGGTTGCAGATCTCGCGTTTCAACAATGGATTTCCCGTGCTCGAGAAACTGCTAAGGTACGGCTAAGAGCACCAGCCACGTCTCTTTCGCGACGTGGGTTTGCGTGATGGACTGATCACGCCGCTCGAGGCTTTGGCCGCACTCGGGCTTCTTGGAAGGCGTCTGTCCGCCAACAGGAGTAATGTCGAGCTGTTAGACCAGACAAGTGGTGTCTCCTCGCTGAGCGAGACCACGAATCCAGCTTGCGCATTTGCATGGGTGACGATCTGGAACATGCTTTGCGAGATATCCAAGGGAAGACTCTACATGGTCGCCCACGACTTCGAATTGCAGAGCTTCCAAGAAATTATGGCTGAGATCATGCCTTATGAGGCTCGTTGGGCACGTCACACGCAGGACAAAACGATATGCCAGGTCCAGCACTTCGTCGCAGACACACTGGCAGTGGTTGGCGACATGATCTACCTGCACCAGAGTGAGGATGCTCCGCGGACGTTGTTCGAGGCCACATCAAGGTTACGTTCGCCGCATCCAGGACCTTGGTTGTCCAGAATTCTCGCGTAGATGAGGACGAGTGATGCTCGATTAGAGGCAGCCGCAGAAGAGCAATATGAAGACTGGGACTAGCCGGACCATCTCACCTCCTGGCGGTCGGAAGTCATCAGCCTTCAGCCTTCTTAGCCTTGTCACGTGCACGCTTCTTCAGCTTCTTGTCGCGATTCTTCCTTGCGCGCTTGACGCGCTCAGCAAGCTCACGGGCTTCAATGTCGATCCTTTGCGTTTCGGCCTTCTGTCGGGAAACTGCAAGCTTTGATCGGAGTTTGATACGGGCCTTCTTGCCGAGGCGTTTGCGTCTGGTTGAATCTGGTAGATCCTTACCCAGCAGCTTGCTAAATATGGGCTCGCAGAGAGCTCGCGCTTGTCGTGTCTGACCTGATGGTGGGAGATGGAGGACTTTCCATTCGTACGCATAGCCGGGCCATGGATTTTGCGACATTGCTTTGACTTGCTCGCCGGATATAGATACACTCTCGTATTGTTGCTTGTTCGTAGCATCTGCGAAATAACACGTTCTCGGCCGTTGCGAGTTCACAAAGCCTGCTTCGTACAATTGCGGTGTCGGTGATCGTAGCCGAATCTTGGTCGTAGGATCCGCGTCTCCAGGTGTGGCGAAGAGGCGGAAGTCGAGCTGTCCTTCGACATCGTCATCGATCAGTGCCGCTATATCACGCTCGTGCGGAAGGTAGTCGAATTCAACAAGTCCTTGTTGTAGGCGTGCAACAACCTCATCATCCGGAGCCGGTTCCGGTGTGCTTTCCGGCGAGTGCAGTTCTGAACGACTGATGGTCCGCTCCATGTCCCACGCAACTCTCTATCACCCAGGCATCAGCCCGTCTATAAAGACTGACTCGCGGCTAACTGCCCGAGTATCATCATGTACCAATACTGTGGCATTATTGTGGAAAATCACAAACGTGCATGAAAAGCGCGCTAGCCTTATAGGGAAACAGCAATGTTTCTGGAAAGTACGTGTAGCCAAGAGATAGTCATGTCGATTGACAATAGGAGTCGCCTGGATTAGACTGCAGTCGACCAACCGGCGTGTACAGAGGTATGATACAGTACGAGTGGAGACTTCTCACTCTTCACATTACATTGTCCCACCCTCCTCATATCCCATCCTTGGTCCGTACATAATCTTTATATCACAATTGATGAGGGTGCACTTGATCAAGATGCTCTCGGTTGTACAGGAACATGACCAGGCAATGTCGCTATGGGACCAGTCCGCTTGCTTTCACGGTGGCTCCATTCCGTTTCGGTCGCTCTCTTGATGAACGGATTCAGCACGTTAGGCCAATGAGCAGTACCGCAGGATGTGTTCCATGGCAATAGCCTGATTCCTGTCGACCGAAGATTGCCTCACTGGTTAGCGCATTCTTCGAGCGTGACATGTGTCGCGCGAAGCGCATGCTTCCAGAGTGCATATCACGGTCCGCTTATGCTAGATCGACTTGCAACCTCATTCTTTTACTTGCACGTCATGTCCATCATCATCAGCGTCTGGGTCTTTCCAGAACGCCCTTTCTACAGGCTTAGTCCTGAGCTCCCAGATATCCTCACTATTGCCCTTGTTCTCATTCCTTCGCCTTTCGTCCCTAGCCCTATAATACTCTCTAATCATGCCCTCCTTGTCCTGACTCGGTAGCGTTCTTGTTCGCATACAGAACCAGAAGGCGCCCCATTGCTCGCTACAATCCTTCAAATGGCCAAAGCGGTAAAGGTCGTTGAACTTTCCACCCAAAGACTGGCAATAGAATGCTTGATCGAACGCTTGCCGACAAGACATTGTTGCCGGATACAGCGCCATAGGGTGGATGTTGAGCGAGCCATCTGGCATCAGTCGCTCATGTTTCGCCGGTAAAGGTGTGCCATCCCTTGCTGTTTCTTGTGTCGTAGGGGGAGCGAAACCAGGCGCTTCCAGTGACTTCAAGAAGGCATCAAGCTCCTCGTCAGCCTTCTGATCGCGCGTGCTGCCACTGCTCTCTTGTTGTCGTGCGAACTGCCCGAAGATGCGGTTCCGTTGCTCGCTTGTCAATCCGAACTTTGCTGTTTCCTGTGGCTTTTCCACCACTTCAGCTTCACGATGCTTAGTTGGATGCGGTGCTGGCGGCGAGTCTGACGACCAAAGCCAGCCCATCCTCGCCCTGCAATGCCAGAAGCACTTTCATCGCCGAAGACCAATTGGTTATTCTAGAGCTGGACCACCAATGATTGGCTGCGCGTTTGGCGACGCTAGCGGCCGCCTCTTGCGCCCGCATCCGGGCGGGCTCGATACATGTACAGTCAAGCTGGAACAAATAGAAATTATCCAGAACGTCCGCCATGTCCCCTGTACCATACACTCTTCCGGGTCTCCGTGATACCGCTTCCTACCGCCTCCGTAGTAGGAGTCGAGAATGCTCAGCAACAGAAAGCTACGTGAACCCGTGACTGCTTTGCTGTATTTGTCGTATCGCCTGTTCTTCGCGACCCGCCGAGCTTTGCTTGTCGTGAGTCACTGTTCTGTGATTCCACCTCTTGTTAGGCAGGCCTGACAGTCGCACTCTTGGTATTGCTTGATTGGCTTCCTCTGTACTGAGCCTCCGCCGATAATATCCGGACTGCGGCTACGAACACAGTTATTAAGATCTCCACCTTGAACGTATCCTTCTTCCACGGACCCACTCTTGCAAGCCTCGCTCACGTTTCGACAGCAAGATGCCAGTGCGAGAGGCTGTTAACAACGAACTTCTGCCAGTGTCGCATATGCTGGCCAGAGCATTCATAGACCGACCAAAGCTGGGCGAGTTTCTGCACCCATATAGGGATAAGTACCCAAATGACATGTACTTGTACTTCTTACGAAAGCTACGAGAAGCCTATGCGCGTGGTCCAGTGGACAATCTTATCCTGGTCTCATTCGAGGATGATGAGAAGGGAACAATCACTGGTACGGCGCTTTGGCACCGCAAGCGCTCAAAACCTGTGCCACGTACCCTGACCACTGCCGCTTATACACGTGCTACGGACTATTACAACTATGTCGAGTCCTTCTTGTGGCCTAACAGAGCCATTGAGCCGTCAAGCGAGAAGCAAATCAACCAGCTGCATGCTATCGCAGACGGCCAGCATACCGGAAGCAGAGCGGATGTTTGGCACCTAGATCTGCTGGCTGTTGATCCGGCGTGCGGTGGCAAAGGATATGGACGTGACCTCGTGGCGTGGGGCTTCACGCAAGCGAAGAAGGATGGTGTGGGGTGCAGTGTTATTGCTGGGCCCGGGAGGAATACGTTCTACCGAAATTGTGGGTTTGAACATGAAGTAGATTATGTAGATGGAGGGTGTATGCCTTCATCCTCAGCGGCAGGAAGAATCTCGGATGGTGGCACGTTGATGTTTTGGGACAATGTGGAATCCTGACGCTTGCGATTCCATGCCCGGCGTAAGTAGGACTCGGCTCCCCGAACCTCCAACTCCAATAATGACGGAACTCGACAGATTTGCTGAAGCATTCGTGCTTGAAGTCACTTTCGTCCTTGACTGGTACCGGTTCGCCGTGTTGTGCGTACCGGGAAACAGAGGCCGACCGGGACTTCGTTGCCTGCCGACCTCGTGCTTCCTTGGCATTGGAAGAGACGTTGCTGTGCAATTTCCTTCATCACCTCCCAACCAGTGATCTTCTGCATTGTTCGGTTCATGTTTGAGTGGCCGCATCAACGAGGTCCCGCAGCCGGACCCTGTATGGTTCTCAGAATCGACATGTCCCAAACTGACAGAACCTCGACAGCTCGGCCTGATCCACTGGGGCAATTTACTGACATCGATGCATAATAGGGAAGGTGCACAATCGACTGTCTTCCTAGCGAGGCATATCTCGCCGGACGTCTCCTGATTCCCATCGCTACCGTCTTGCATCTGTCCAGAAACGGCGCGCAGCTTCTGGATAGAATGAGCCGCCGAAGATTAGGTGAGCTGTACGCCCAAGATGACTGTATCGACCTGGAGGCGCGAGGGTTGCGGAGTTTATCGAATGCCAGCGTCTGTGGAACTCCACACGAAATTCGTGAGCTCTACGTTACCATTAGTTCCCAATACGGTCAGAATCTCACGGAACACTCACATTGAAATGAAAGAGTTGAGGAGCAGTCGAGTGATTGGTTCACCATCTTTGCCGACCCAACCAGGTACAGTCTGCGCCCGCCACGTAGCACGCTTCGGAGGGACGCGCTCGAGCCACAACGTCTGCTTGACTCGGCGAGCGGTAGTGATGGTGGCATCGAGCTCTCTACACATCCGTGGTGCCAGTCCGAACCATCTCAGCGAAAAATGAAGCAGGATCGCTTTACGAAGCTCACAGATATTGAAGACTTCCTCTGCCGCCATTCTTGTACTGCTTTTTTTTTAAGGAGCGCGGTCACCGTGACTGGTTCATAAAGCCCTGTGTCCGGTGACGTAGAAGTCACGCTCAGGTGCGGAGTTGTGGATCGTCTAGGGCTTAGAGCACCTTCAAACCTTCGCTACTGCCGAAAATGGAAGGTGCGAGACTTGATGGTCCATCCCAAGGTTACCATCTCGGCTCAGACTGGAAACCATGTGTACTCTATAATGCCATAATCGTGTTGACACCACAGAGAACTTGCTACAGCTCCATGATCGAAACTGACGGGAGGCTGAATAATCCCAATTTCGGAGGACGTCAAAGGAGTGCAATAGGCGTATGCGGTGCGTGCCATATCTCGATGGTGGTGGGAGCAGCCATGTGTACCGATAGCCAGTTAACCGCCAACTCCTCGCTAGCATGATATCGTTCATTCGTAATGTTCGTCGCGTCAACTCAATCCCGATCGTGATATTCAGCCTTTGCCCGTGGCGGCGGCTCACCTCTCGCCACCTCCCTTTCGCGTTCGAGCTTTCGCTCCTTCTGCTTTTCCCAATGACTGCCCTCTTCGTAATCATCTCGAATACCCAGCGCTTTCCTGAGTCTCTGATCCTCTTCGATCTTAGCTTTAGCCAGTTCATGCACCTGATGCGATTTCAGGCTCCGCGTGTCCAGCCCTCTTGTGGCTTTCGAGCTTTCGAGTGTCTTACGCAGAGCGTCGCATTGCTCGTCGATCTCATCTTCATCAACGCTACCGTCCGTTAGTTCCATTCCATCTCGGTGCCGCAGAAGAGAATGTCGCGTACCCTTGGTGTTCCAGCCTATCCCTCAGCTCGAAAACCTTGACCTCGATCTCCCGTTTGCGATCATGCTCCAGTATCTCCTTGTCAGGTTGCCGCTGCCTGTGCTTGATGCTGTCCACGTCCTTAGGGTATGGTTGGATGTTGTCGCGAGGTTTTAGATGAGACAGGTTTCGCTGCACGTATCCACTTGTACCCGACCCTCGTGGCGTACTCAGACCGACGTTGGCAGCCATCGCGTCTGTATGTCGAACAAGCACTTCGTACACATATCAAGTCAACTATAAGAACATCAAGCCTACGCTCTGATATAGCCGGCGGTGGATGCCGGCGGGCGGCCGATTGGCGCGGCGTCATCAAGGCAGGCTGTCTAGAAGTAACCAGCTTCACCACGCGACACTTCTCCTATTGCGCACGTGGAGTCACAGAACGTTCGCTCACCCAATCCAAGTAAGGTGCAATAGACACCGCTACCATGGCAGACCTTTCGAACCACCGACTCTTCCGCTTCCCAAAGCCGCAATGGCTGAACAGCGCCAACACGCGGACAGCAGGCGTCTACTTCGCCGGAGCGCTGGTATGCTGCAGAAACACTAGGGACGTGGTTGCACGCTAACGCTACGTAGTTCTCAATCGCCCTCTTCGTCCTCATCGACGCCGCAACTTTCTCCAAGTCCCACCTCAACGGGTCCGACTTCCACATGAACGGCGTGGACTGGATTCCTGCTATCTTCTCGGCGCTCGGGATGCTGATCATCAATATGATTGACAAGTCTCGCCTGAGCGCAGACAGCTTCTCATACAGCGGCGACGGCGTCGCCTGGAAAGCGAGAGTGGTGCTGTTCCTCGGCTTTGCGGCCATGGCTGGTGGGCTTGCAGGCAGTGTTACGGTTCTGGTGTTGAAATACGTGGTGCAGGAAGCGGCCTGGCCTGCTTTGTGGTTCGGCGTCGCGAACGTGGTTGCCAACGCGTTGGTTATGCTGAGGTAAGTCGGCGCACGCTAGGCAACGTGAGAACGGGTCGCTAACTGTGTTGCAGCTCGGTTGTGTTATGGGTCAGCCAGAATATGGAGGACGACTACACCTATAATTTGGCGCTGTAATAATGATAACTGCCTCTGCCAAAGCTCTATCATTATCTCAAAGATTGCCCTATCTACCCTTCATTCATACGTTCTAAATTCTACCAATATATAAGACCTCCTTCTCATCATTTCTTTATGAGCTTGTAGCGTGACTTACCCATCGCTCGTATGGTCGGAAAGGCCTCATTCAATATCCATTCTGCAGACGTCTTTCGCCTTGATCTACAACCTCCCATACCGATCGGACCAGAAGTACAGCGTTACGAACTCACTCACTACCCTTGACCACAATAGTGACGATCTTAGTACTCAGTCTCCAGCCCGAGCAATAACGTAATCACACCCATGGGACAACGTCTCATTGTGGAAGGCTTTCACGCGGAGCTGAAGGCGGCAATTGCTCGTGTAGCGAAGCTTGAAAGCGAAGTCGAAGACCGTGACCAGCAGATTGTTCGCCTGAACGCCTCGCTCAAATGCAGTCCGACTTCCGGTGCAAGCGGTATCGCTGACAACCACAGAGATCAGCGCGACCCGGACGATGCAGCCATTACCGATGTTTCGCTGAAGAGCAAGCTTGCGGCCGCTTGCAAGCGCAACGAAGAGCTAGAGTCTCTTCTAGCGCTCAGCCGGGATGAGGCGCTGTGTATGGACGAAGACGTGCCCACGTCGAAGCACAATGCTGATATCAAAAATGGTGGTGATCAGAACATCGAGCTTTTGAAGCAGATCTCAACTCTGCAGAAGTATGTCATGGAGTTGGAGGCTAAACTGTTCACCTCAACGGCTCAGTGGCCACGCCTGAATTTGACAGCCTGCAATCTCAGTTGCGCGATGTCAAAGCTGAGCTTGCAACGTACAAGACAGCGGAGGCAGCATTGAGAGAGCAACTCGGAAAGGTAATCTGCGAAGCCGGTTTGCGTGTGGCCATGTGACTGACTACTCGCAGGCTGGTGGTAAAGACATGGCCGACGCAGTCTACATCGATGCTCTCAAGTCATAGATTAAGAACCTCACCGGCACCATTGCCGCTATGCAAATAAGCAACAGTGGTCTCACTGACAAGCTAGACAAGGCTACCAAGAAGCACGAGCGTGTCAGCGAAAGGCTTGCGGGCCGCGAGACACAGGTCCAGCGTCTGCGAGGTCAGTTGCCGAGAGAGAAGGAGGCGAGGTAAGCTCTTTCATATCTGGACCTGCGTTCTGTACCCGCACTGACGAAAGGTAGAAGCGTGGCTGAGACCAAGGCAAAGAGTGGCTGCTCCTCTAAGGCATGCAAGTCGTGCAAGGTCCGCAATCCAATCACTGTCGACCCAATGGACTGCGATTAAGACGATGAAGAGGACTTCAAGCCCGTCATTGGGAAAACGCCGCAGGCCATATGGCTCCCTGCCCAACCGTCAGTGTTCAAGAGGCCGCCGGGGCTCTGAGATGTCATCACACGGCACCTTGGTCGTGATTGCCTTCTGGATGTTGTCATGAGAAGGCGAGTGCGAAGGATCACGATGCCTACTAAAAGAGGCTAGCCATAGTTGAAGGGTCGAGCGGAGGCCATTGGCGATGATTGATACTCACTGCCATGCGGCACTGCTAATATAATCATCATATCTACAGTTCGTAACACATCTATGACCAGATCCAGACACCCCAATGCCGCGCTATGCACAAATAGCCACATTTCCATGATGAAACGCCAAAGCTCGCTGCTTGATCGACAAACGTGGTCGCTTACGGCGTGCCATTTGTTTTACAGAGCGTATGCCATACCAGCGCCAACTGCAGCCAAAAGCGCAGCTTCATAGCCAAGCGCAGCAGTCGGTGCAGCCCAGGCCTGCGACGTCAATGTCGATGTCAAGCCACCCAGACGCGGGCTGCCGCTCTGGACGGCCACATTCGTGATCGCATTTGCCACAGCCGTCGCGGACGGAATGCTTGAGCTGTTCGTAATCTCGAGAATGTTGTTTGTCGTGCTGTTGAAGTTCGTTTGCGCAAGCGATATCTCGTTATTCGTAATGTCGTAGACGACATATGCAGATCGCAGGAAGGTGTCGCCAAGTACGGGTGTGCTGCCACCAGCTGGGCTGATGCCGAGGATGCAGACTTCCTTGCGGTTTTGCACTCCGGCGACGATAACAAGCTCGTTCATGGGGATCCTGATTGTTGGCGAGGAGAAGGTGAGGTCAATCGTGCCGGGCGAGTTGGCAAGATTGCAGTCGACGAAGGCCGCGCCTTGGCTAGCGCTGTAGGTCGCGCCCACGGACTTGTAAATCGCGTTTGCAACGTTATCAGGCAGATACATTAGACTGCTACCAGAGTCCAACAAGGCAGGGCTGGCAAGATTGTTGCCAAATGAGCCAACAGTTCCGTTAGCACCAACCGCAGTCAGTGCGATGACGAACTCCGCATAGGTACCGTACTCCGGGATAATGGGCAGGGTCTGCAACTGGCCGGTATATTTGCCCGTGTTGACGCCACCGAACAGGATCGATCCTTGAGAAGCATCGAGGTCATTGAGCCAAAGACTATAGGCGTTGGTATTGATGGCCCCTTGCTGCATCAAGTGTTGTGGTACGTTCGAGTACGGTCTGTCGCCATTGTACTGAGTGACCGCCTCATTGATTGGGTAGCCAATACCCATGATACCTTCTTGCGAACTTGATGTGTAGCCAATACCAAATTGCTGTTGGTTTAACGTGACGCCACCGAATCTGACCACATCGCTCGCGTAGTCGCCGCTCGATCCCGTTCCGTCAACGTACGAGATGTTGAACTGGCCGTTCAAATACTGGTAAGTCGATGATGAGTTAGGCGCGTATGTTCCAGACACAGTGCATGGGTTGCCTCGTTGTGCGCAAAACTGGCTGTTGGCCACATTGACCCAAAGATCACTTGAGCCGGTATCTATCTGTAATCGGATCGATTGCGCCGGTGTTCCCATAGTCACATTCATGAAGTAAAGCGTTTCTTCGTTATCCAGATTCTCCGTGACGGTCTTGGACTGTCGCTTTCGTAGCCGTGCTTGGTCTCTTGCAATTGGGTTGTTAATCTGTCGTCGTTCTATTTCGTGCTCGACCACTCGCAGGGCGGTTCCATCTCGTCGTTCAAGCAGTGTAATTGCGTTCGCGCTGAGGGCTGTCGCCGCAACGGCAAGAGTAGTGAATGTCCGCATATTCGTGAAGACTGGGGATGTTGCGACAACAGTGAAAATGGGAGAGGAACAGGAACCACAGAAACCAGAATCAAAAGAAAGAGAGTTGTAGCAATGGTCTTGCGAAAGTGGAATACGCCATGACGCGTAGCATACCAAGACGTCAGCGCCGGCAAACCGCTGCGCGTGGCGGTGTACCGTCTGAGCCGGGTTGCATGTGTGGGTTCTCAGAATAGCCTTTTGCGCCACAGCAGCCGCAAATGCAGCCTGGATCGAGCGAGCGAGTCGACGAATGAAAGCCCGTCTGAAGCGCAGAGACGAAGCGGCGCCTACGCGAACGATTGCGTGTAGACAATCAGATACACGGATTCCAGCTCCGTTCCAGAAACTGTTATCCGGAGAACGTACCAAGATCTGGCATCGGCAATTCCCGCGTAGTCGGAGCGTTTGTCGATTGCGTCGCGTGCTTACGCAGATCTTGATGCGAGTTGGTCTCCGCCTTTCCTGACCCGGCATCGCATCTGTGGCGCCGGCAACGACCTTCCGATCGATGTCAGAAAGCCTTCCGCGGTGCTTCTAAACGGCCGATGAAATATGCCCGTCATGCTCATTAGTGAGTGGTGCAACGGCCTGCAGCTTACGTCCCATATTCGAGGCTTTGAGCAGACGGAAGGGTGAGGAGCTGCAGTAGTGAGAGGATCCTCATGTAGTGCGGCTTGCGCATGTCAGCGCGGAAGCTGCTACACTGCCGATCTGTTTCCGCAGTGGAGGCGCTGTTTACACCGAGCATTTAGGTCATCCATTTCTGTCTTCTTTGCTGCATACTACGACGCCTTGCAATGTCCGCTCCGCTAAATCTCGTAGCGGCACCTTATCGGGCTCACATGCAATCTCGTAAAATGCCGGGGACAGTGCGGGGTGGGGACCGGGTTGAATGCCATGTGCCGCTCGCCCTACACGGCAGTCTACACCTCGTTAGGTGAGATCTTTCCGACTTCTACTGGGTCTGGAGCTGCTTTGGAGCTGCTTAGAGCACTGCCATTACGTTTCCATCTGACCTTCCCACGCGTTACGACCTGGCGACATGCATTAGCCCTCGAATATCTACGGCAAGCCTTCTACAGAGGTACCTGGAATCAACATACTGTTTCCGTCGGCTTGGATCAGCAAACATCGCCCTCGCAGTCCTTCTACCAGACGTTTCTTGGCGACGAGCACGGCGTACCGTGGTCGCGCGTAACCAATTGTCATGGACTGGAGGGACGAGCGGATCAAGCAGCTGGAGGCCGAAGTGGTCCGCTTGAAGTGCTTTCGTATCGATAGCGATTCACCGGCTGCCTGTTTTGCGACCAATGCAGACAGTGTCAAAGTCGCAACCGTCAAAGGTGAGATGACATTAGGTAAACGACGGCGGTATCCCAGCAAAGCCCAGATTGTTCGTTATCGGCGAAGCCTCTCCACTCCAGATACGCTCACTGCTCTCAAGCCTTCAGAGTCCGAAATATTGGGCCGAGCTGTCGAAGCCCTGCAGTGGAAGGATGCAGAGTGTCGCGATACGTGGTTCGGCTCTCTTCTGCCTCGCCTAGGCCACAATCGAGCTTTGGATCTCGCTGCCAACGCTCTAACCACCGTAACGCGCTTACGCTATGGTGCTCCCGGTATCACCAGACAGGCATGTTATGAAACTGTTGCAAGGGCTCTGCCTGCGCTGCGAGACTCAATAAATTGCGGCAAGGGGAAGCATGTCGACGAAGTTATGGCCGCCATTGCGCTCTTAGCCTCCTTCGAAGCCTTGGCGACGGAACAGACAGTGCCTTCCTCGACACACATGGACGCCATGGTCATGGTTTGTGTGCGAAGAAAGCCGAGTCATGGGCTCTCCGATCTTGCGAAGGGTCTACTCGACTACTTTTATTGCGACATGTCAATACGAGCATGCGTTCGCGGGACGGTCTCGTCACTTGAGCAAGTTGTCCATGAGCACTACCGCTCACGAACTTCAGCTCCGTTACATGGCGCCGCTGCGCTGAAGGCTGTCGCGAACGAGCTAGCCATTCGCCTGCCTAGGCTCATTGCCATGGTCCGTGATGGGTGCGGCCACTCACCAGCCGTAGCAGATACTTCCGAAACCGCACTACTTGCGAATGAGCTGCTGGAGCTAGAAGCCAAAGCCGCGGAAAACGACCTTTTGCACCATGTCGGTCTCGTACCCACGTTCGATCCCGGAGACGCTGAGGTGATAGATTACTCTTTCGACTTCAACTGTATCGGCGACTTCGAGGCCGCGATCACCTACTGGCAATACAGACTCACACTTCTCCGCCTTTGTATACGACAGAATCTGCTGAATCAGACTGCAACGCCTTCTACAACGACGACATCAGATTCAAGCACCACAGATGTTGCACCCGAGGCGCGTCGACTGGCTGCGAACCTGTTCATGTCAATTCCTCACGCACGTACGCTAACATTGCCAAAGCGGAAAAGACTTCTTGCTCACAGTATTGTCGTGCTGTGGGGTGCGATTGAGGACATTCCAGGCGCTCGACCGACAGATTGTGAAAGCGCAGTGGTAAAAGGATGGCTGCTGTGGCATGTCAACGATGCGCTGTTTGCAAAGCATAACCCTACATCAGATCTCGACATGGATAGAGCGGCTGAGCTATTCATGGGAGGTCCGCTCGTTGGCAGATACGCTGACTTGTTTCGTCAGCCAGGTTGAGCACGGATGGTGCCTGCATGCGCGGCGTTTTGTGCACTTTATGCACTGCTCGAAAGTCTATACACATTGACGCGTTGCTGTGGTTGTCTTTCTACATCTATGCAGGTGTAGGCCGCCGGAATGGGTGAGCTTCCGTGTTGAACACCCACTCGTCCAGGCTGATCAGGTCTGGCTCGCTAAATATGAGGTAGAAGTACTTTAGCGTCTCGGCCATCCAGAAGCTCTCCATGCTGTCATACTGCGCATTGCCGCTTGGAGTGCCTTTCAGCAGCGCGTCACTAGTATACGTGACGTCCGCCAAGGCTGCGTTGGCCAGCCTGCCTTCAGTAGCAGCCCTGATTGCGGTGAACATATCCCACGCGGCTTCCCGGTACTTCTCTTCGCCAGTGATGCGATACATGATGAAGACAGACTCGATCGCTTCAGGTCGGAGAATATAGCGTCGGTCCTGGATGTCGGTAAAGCCTTTTGGCAGGCGAAAGTTCGTGATAAGAGTGTCGATGTCGGCCGACTCAGGGTGCATCATCTTGACCTCTTGTCGCCATAGTTCTTCATCCCAGTGGCAGTCAAGCCGCGATTCGCAAGGCACCATTCGGAAGATTTCGGGCATTATACCTAACGGGAATGCTTTGTAAGTCCAGATGCAGCCATCGGTCAGCTTTCTGCCAATCTCAACATGAGCCGGCTCGTTCCACATCTTGCCGGCTAGGGCGAACATCCCGCCAGTGAAGCACACCAGATGTTGACCCTGCGGATCTAGCCGGGCAGAAGATGCGTCTGTAAGCGCCTTGACTTGACCGCTGATCAGGATGTCGGCATTATCGGGCGTCATTGGTCGCCAGAGGTTGTACTTTATCGCAGTGGCCATGCTGCCATCGTACAGCTTTTTGTAGACAGGCTCCAGCCCACCGAGCAGGGCATAAGTCTTGGGGAAGTACTCGTAAAGCGAGTCCGACATTGCGCCTAAAGTGAAAAGCGTATCATTGGTAAGATCGGCGGTCTTTGCGTTAATGCTCACCGGCCACATTCCAGGCAAACGAGTCTTCTCTTGCTGAGCGTCGAACAGGCGAGTAATACGTGCGACCTATACGATAAGAGACATCAGCAAGGTGTTGCTGGAGCCAGCAGGCACGTTCTCATGCTCACGTACCGCATCATACCATCGCATATCTCCCGTCAACTGCGACAGTCGAGTAAACTCCATCGTCAACGATCCAATCTCCGCAACCAGAACAAGAGTGTCAGCTTCCATCCTACCACCGAAAGCCTCTCGTAGGTTCATTCTTGTTTTAGGGAGCCTGTTAGGTGTATCGAAAGCTTTAAGCAGCATCTCACCGAACTCAATGGCCTTATCGAGGGTTCTTGGTTCGCCACTGACGTCGTAAGCTGCCAGAAACCCGCCGAGATGTCGAATGTTTGTCTCGAAAACATTGATCACTTCCGATGTTGAAATTGCCAGATCAATATCGATCGCAGCAGCAACGGCCTCCTCAAACTCGGATTTCAACCCCATCAGCCACAGTGTGTCAAGATTGTCGACCAGCGAGGCCCCCCACCCTGCGAAACCATCACGTATTCTACCCGTCAGTGGCGTAAGCTCGTCGTGGGTCCAGGCATGCTGTCTGTAAGCATTCCAGCATCGTTCGAAAGTTGCTTTGACAGCGGCTTGCCGCTCTTTGCGCGTTATCGCATGGTCCTCCCTCTCCGGCGGAAAAGCATACTGTATCTGTGGCAGCTTGTGAGGGGTCCCAGAAGGTAGCGTTGTGAGCGGAACAGTCAATGGATACACAGTCGGAACAGAGCTCCACTGGAAACGGGTCTTGGATCCTGCTGTCACTGGCTTCGGAGGCGGTGTCCCGGGCTCGGAGATTAGTGGCACTTGACTACCAATACGTATACCGGCCGAAGATGCGAGCGGCTCTCGGTAGTAGGTGATGAGTAGAATGGAACATGCCGCAAGTAAGAGGTAGGTAGTATATCTCCTTGTAGGAAACATCGTACGCTTGAACTAGTTCTAGTGCGAGCTCGACTGCTTGCCGTCGAAGGAGAGCGCCAGTAGCTCGATCAATCGCAGTCCATATCGCGCTGCGGGACCGTTCCCAGTGTTACGTCGTACGCGCATACTCGTCAATGTATTCCAGGAGTCAGCCGCCAACACTATCGCCATACCGCGCCATCGGCTTTCCTTATCGCGATGTTGACGGCGCCAAGTGCGCCGTTGAGATGTGCCGTCTGCGGGAGCATCCGTGATTAATTTACGCGAAGACACGGCGCGTCATCCAGGCGCGTCCATCGTTGCTTCTGCAAAGCTCGACTCAGAACGGGATGGCGAGGGCGGACTCGTCGAAAGATGCCGGAGTGGGCGTGAAGGCGCATACAAACGGCGCGCCGACGAACTTCGAGCTGCCATGGTACGCTTACTACAACGATTTCCGACCAGAGTTGATATGCCCCACTAACGATATGGCAGGGTGGAAAAGTACCGCCCAGTCTTCCTGGACGACATTGTCGGCAACACCGAAACTATCGAGCGTCTCAAGATTATTGCCAAGGATGGCAACATGCCGCATCTCATCATTAGCGGCATGCCCGGCATAGGCAAGACAACATCCATCCTCTGCCTAGCTCGCCAGTTACTAGGCGATGCGTACAAGGAAGCTGTGCTCGAATTGAACGCGAGCGATGAACGAGGCATAGACGTGGTCCGCAACCGGATCAAGGGTTTCGCGCAGAAGAAGGTCACGCTTCCGGCAGGCCGGCACAAGATCGTGATACTTGACGAAGCCGACTCAATGACCTCGGGCGCACAACAAGCACTGCGGAGAACGATGGAAATCTACAGCGGAACGACCAGATTCGCGTTTGCTTGCAACCAAAGCAACAAGATCATTGAGCCGCTGCAGTCGAGATGCGCCATCCTCCGATACTCACGGCTCACGGACGCCCAGGTAGTGAAGCGGTTGTATCAGATCTGCAAAGCGGAGAACGTAGAGTACAGCGACGATGGTATCGCTGCGCTTGTGTTTAGTGCGGAAGGCGACATGCGGCAAGCGATCAACAATCTGCAGTCCACCTTCGCTGGCTTCGGCTTTGTGAGCGGCGATAACGTCTTCCGAGTGGTCGACAGCCCGCATCCTGTCAAAGTTCAGGCCATGTTGAAGAGCTGCCAAGAGCAGAAGGTCGACGAGGCACTGGACTCGCTGCAGGAGCTTTGGGGTCTTGGTTATTCATCTCACGACATTATAACGACCATGTTTCGCGTGACGAAGACTCTACCCAGCTTGTCCGAACACAGCAAGCTCGAATTTATCCGCGAGATTGGCTTCACGCATATGCGCATCCTGGAGGGCGTGCAGACATATCTGCAGCTGGCAGGCTGTGTAGCGAAGTTGTGCAAGCTGAACATGAAGCCGCAGCTTTTCGTCTTGCCGAAGTAAGCTCGGCAACGCAGCTTATATTCGTGATTTAATGGGCTTAGCATGGCGTTGGTGGCATGGCATGTAGAGCAATGTAGCGTACGAATGCAATGCGGCCAAGAATTGTCTCGGGCGCACTTGTGTGTCTGCAATCTTTGCTTTCGCTGTCAATTCGATCCTCAAATATTGACTAGTCAGGACAGCGCGCGCCAAGCACAACCCGTAAGCCGAACTGGGCAGGCACTACGCTTTAGGGTTTGGCGAGACTTCGCCGAATATGAGAAGCGTAGACCATTCGTTCGCGAACTGTTCCCTACGACAGAACCACGTCGTGCAGTCTAGTCAACCCTCATCAATCTCATCGCACTGGAGCTCACCTTTGTACGGACGTCACCCAACTTGGAGGGCACGTCGGTGGTGTGTCCTGGCGCAAGCCGCCGAGCATGGGTGATGCTCCTCCAATGTCCTAAACTCACGCCTCTGCAGTCGCGCTTCGTCGCCTCATTCGGGACACTGTTACTACTGGGACTCGTATACTGGTCGTTGTCGAACCCACACTTTGCGTATGCGGCTGAGCTGGGGTTAGACGGCAGTGGGCGGCCAAGAGACAGCGAGGATCACATCCGGCACGGGACAGAGCAAAATCGACTGGCAGAGGACGGTATCGAGCCTCTTAGCGTAGACGAGGATGATAGGGTTGTTGAGAGAGCTGCAGTCGCAAGCGCGATCAGTGCAAACAATGCGCCGAATCAGCTGAACATCCAACCCAGCAACACTACGCTTTGGGTGTATTCGCAAGACCTTCTGCAGCAAGCAGCGGCACCTGCCTTTTCTGGACTGCCAAGTGATCCTAGCGTCAAGCGAGATCTGTTAGAGCAACATTCCGACCTGCGCAGGCGGCAAGATGGCAAGACCATCTACATTTCTATCAACACGTGCTTACAACCCAATTGGAACGCATCGTCTGTCCAGACAGGGGAGCCTCCCCAGTTGACACTTTACGTAGGCGCCGCATCCGACAATAGTGACCTTGGGCCAAATGGTCAGAACCAAATAGTGCAGCCGCTGATGGAAGGCTTCGCCAACGTCTCCGTGAATGCTAACAGCGGCACGTGGTACATTGCTGTTTCTGCTCCGGCTTTGACCGAAAATTACGTTGGCGTGTGGAACTATGAGCTCGCGGTATCTACTGATGATTATTACCATTCGGCCGACCTTGGCGACCCGTTCCTGTACCTAGTAGACACCGACATGACCGCGGCGTTGTTGGTCACCAACAATTTGACGCAGCAGAATGCATCGACAGATGTGTTCCAGGAGTGGATGCATCTAAGTCCGCCTCCGTTCATTATGTTCGCTACTGATGCAGACAACATGGGTATGGCGGGCTTGCGGAACTCGTACTGCGGGTGGTCAAGCCACCAACCTATTGCAGGTAGTCAGCAGGATACGGCTGGCCGTGATACTAATGTTCAGATGGGCATGATTACACGTGGACTCGGGAACAAGCCGAAGGAACAGTTCTACATTACCGATCTGAACCCTTCAAGCGGCTATGTCGGTGTGCTTGCGCAGCCCGGCAACTCGACCAAGTCCGGCAGCGGCGTTGTAGGAGGTGGCGGCAAGATATGGAAGCCTGTCGCATGGCAAACAAAGGCCGACGGTAACTGCGCTATGATGTTCAACCTCTCATTCTGTGACGAGGTAGCATACGCGGTGCCCAGCAACACCGAAAAGTACAACATCACCCAACTAAGAGATTTATACGATAGCAACACTCAGGCGTCCTACCAAAACTTCAGCTACAGCTTGCAGCAGATACCGTGTGAAACCAGCGCCGACTCCCAATACTCCACGGTCAAGACCTGCGACGATTGTGCCGCTGCCTACAAAGAGTGGCTTTGTGCGGTGTCGATCCCACGTTGTGAAGACTTCACGAACCCTGCGCCATGGCTGCAGATGCGCAACGTGGCCCAGCCATACTACAACAACAACACACTACTCCCGCCTGACTTCCTGAACGCCTCATATACACCTATGCCCCGTGCACCGACGCTTGAGGGCAGTCCTGCATATAATCAAACATACTGGACCGCTCTTGCAACACGCAGTTCACGCAATCCCGGCCTCATTGTGGACCTGATTCAGCCGGGGCCTTATAAAGAGGTGCTACCTTGCGAAGATCTTTGTTATGGTCTGGTGCAGTCTTGTCCCGCTAGTCTAGGCTTTGGCTGCCCCTACAAGGGTCGTGGTTTAGAGGCTGGTTACGGTCAGCGTAGCCCAAACGGCACGATCACTTGCAGCTACCTGGGCGCGGTGTACGATGTCAATTCTGCGCCTGACGTGCTGGCGCCGGCATTCAAGGCTATTGCGATTGCGGCACTTGTGGCACTTGTGGTAGGAGTTGCGTAGTACGCGACCCGACATTGGCGCAGACAAGGGTTCAGGCGGTCGTTGAGTTTGCAGGTCAGCATGGCCGACATAAAGAAACAGGCGCTACAGGATAAGGGCAAGGCGTCTGGCTGGAAGAAACCGAGGCTTGGCGCTGCGCTGAAGGTGTGAAGTGAGATCCACGGAAGGTGCGGCTGCCGCATTCACGTTTCCGGCTCCCAGCCTTGCAAACACCTGAGACGCGGACTCCGTGACATGCGAGATTACTACCCACATCTGTCAGTCGATCAATTATGGACAGAGCATCTCCGCCTGGCAGCATACCCGTCCGTCAGTTTTTCACTTAAAGCAAACGCTTTCACCATCCGCTAAGAGGACGCAGAAAACTATCATACCATTATATTCGTACCTCAAGAGTCGGAAGACAGTCTGATGGCAAACTCCATAGCGGAGACTCGTGGTGGTAAGCACAGCTCAACGCAGGTCCTCGATTACCTAATCGCTAACTACCGGTGAAGACGACAACTCCCAAGACGGCCCGGAAGAGCACAGGGCCGTGATCGCGAAGTTCGGATCACTCTGGGCAGCTAACAAGGAGAAGGAGCGCCGTCATGCTGCGACACGGCCGGAATACGAGCGCTTTCTGGAGGCTGCTAAGATGCACCAAGGCCATGCGGAGCATTGGGCCGTACGCAACAAGATATGGACAGAGACCCTAGCCAGTAATCATGCGAAGATCGCCGAGTTGCAGGCGAAGATTGTGCAACTTGAAGAGCAGAATAAGAAGATGAAGGACGCACGGGTGCAATTCAACGGCTCCGTCCTCACGAATGTGCATGCATGGCGCGAAGATCAGGTCAAGATGAAGCAGTATGAGGCTTATTTTAAGCTCGACATTGACGAGCTCAATACTTGATGAAGGTATCTCCGCTAGCTTTCCGAAAGAGAGCAAATTGATGGTCGCCACTAAAAGGCAGCAAGTGCGTTGCGACTCTCGGTGAGCGGCCAGAGCAGTAGATAGAAGCCATAGGACCCTGCGACAATGAGCGCGTAATAAGCGACCGTCCATTCAACTCCGAGATTCTTCGGTCCATGCTGCATCATCTGCGCCGCTTTATCCTCGTAGTCGTCCTGCCTTTGCGTCGAGCTGTTGGCCACCTTGACTGGCGAGCCGGGATCCTCGTCTCGCTTCCCTTGCGCCACGTCCGGCGTGATATGCACGTCGTAGTGGCTGGCAAACTGCCCGACCCTGCCCCACAAGCGTGGGAGACCCATCCAGTTGCAGAACGTGTGCGCTACAATGGCTGCCCACAGGTTGCCTGTTCGGAGAAGGACGAACGCTGCGAAGAAGCCGAAGAGCGAAGTGTAGGTGAACTGAAAGAGGCTGCGGACAATGCCGCTAATCCAGACAGACCCGGATGGCAATCTGCGGCCTTCAGGCGTTCGTGATTGCAGAAACTCCACGAGATGGTGAAGGTGTGCCAGACCGAAGATGAGTGGAGTCAGGAAGACGATGCGGGTCGGACTGACTTTGGCCAGGAGGTGTGTTGAGATGGTCAGCGACCGGAAGACATACTCTTCGCTAGCTGGAGCTACAATGAGATTACGGTAGCCGGTCCAGCTGTCGAACAAGCCTTCCTTCAGCGCAGAGAAGGACCATTCGCGCCAATCGTCGTTCACAATGATACTCTCGTATAGTGGGCCCACGAAAAGAACCGCCACCAAGGCAAGCGTCTTTGCAATGTCGAGCGGATCTGTTGGCCAGACTGCGAGCAGACGGAGGACGTCCCGAGGGCCGGCATGTCCTTCGACGGCCAGTACGTAGACCGTAACCACAGTGCAAACAATACATGTAAGCCCAACTGCACGCACGCGAGCTCGAATCACCGTAGGCGAGTCTCTAGACTGTATTGGCGTGCTCCGAAGGGTAGGCGAGAGGTAGAACGGCGCGACGTAGACAACAGTAAAGACCACTGCACAAAGTAGCGCTGTGGTGGGTGAGACGGCGGGCACATCATTAGCCACTGTCAATCAGTATCAGCTGTCATCAACTGCGGATCGAACACTCGAATGCGACTTACGCATACGACTTACCTGAGACATCGTCGAGGTAGTAGTCACGTAGCTTGGATAATAGACGTGAACTTTCACCCCATACGTGTAGATCAAGGAGTGGCGCCATGCTAGCAGACCTAGCAGTGCTAGCAGACGCTGATTATGGCTACGTCAGTCTAAAATAGAGTCCAATGTCCATTTCGACGCGACGCGTCGCGCCATCCGAAAAGGTCGGAGTTCGGAATGCTAAGTGAATGGCAACACCGCCTTGCTGCATCACTAACTTCGCATACCGTACCAGCGCTCGTCACGGTACTTGCAAGAGGACAGAATTCACTTCCATTCCCACTAGTATGTCATCCTGTTGAAGAAGGGTAATTTACAGTGATGGCAACTTAAAGTGCTTGCATGATAGGCGCAAGCGGCCGCATCTGCAAATTAAACGAAACACGAAACCCCGAGCTTTTGGCCACTGCTCACCTATCGCTATCAATTCGCACCATGCCGCCGTGGGACATGAGGCTCCTCGGTCATGAGGCGGTCGCCATCATCACCCCTCCTGAAGGCAAGTTGTCGCAATGTTCCCTTTCCAGTGCGTCCCGTCCTCACTTGTCTACTGCCCCTCCAAGTCCTACCATCAGAGACACCAGTGGATAAGCATCTATTTGCGCAACCAGTACCACAGCGACACCCTGCATCCCGCATGAAGCGATTGTGAGACAGCAGAAGAGGCTCGAGCATCAGCAACGAATGTCTTCCTGCGGAGCGCTCTGCGATGCGCATGAACCGTTTTACTTTGTACTGCGCCGTTTGACCATGCGTTGAGCGCGTACATCTTGTCTCACATATCACCCCTTTCGCATTACTTTAATGCAAGATGTTCCTCGATCCCGAACCAAAGCGCTCACGGCAGAGCATGGCCGCCTCGCCTTTTTTCTCTGCGCAAATGCCAGCAGAAAAACCAGATGATCAGCGTTGGAGGTTTAGACGGAAGCCGTTGCAAGAGCGAAGCGAGTCACGCAACAACCAGCAAAGTCTGGATACAGAGCCAGCGAAACCCACAATCCGCTTAGTCAAACACTCGCCGTCGCCGTCGGCGCATACACGCAGCTCAACATCCGACTCTTCGACCTTTGACGACATACAAATCGCCAAAGAGGTCGTGTTGCGAAAGCACGAGGGTGTTGTGCATCGCTCAAGCCACCCAGAGATCGTGCCGAGCGCTAGCGTCGCAGAACCAGGATTTGTGGCTCTGAGCGTTTCAGACCTGTCCACGCCAGCAAATGAGGCGCAGAAGTTGGAACTACCATGCAGCATCACCCTGCTGCCGAAGGGAAGCACCCATGTTGTTCCCAGAACAGCATGGCACCGGCGGAGTGGATCGTCTGGAAACTACTCCAACTCTTCAACGCTCAACACAGGCGATATCAGCCTTGTTCTCGCCAGCAGTGGCAGAAGCGAACGCCTGAGCCAGGGCACAACATTGCGAGGGACGCCGACGCCGTATGAATTGGAGCATCGCGAGCGCCTAGAGGCTAAAGAGGCAGTCCAAGGGCCCGCTCAGGCGCTGGAGACGCTGCAAGAAGCTTCACCCGAGCGACCAACAGTCAGAGCCGTGCCACCCTCGATCAAATCGCCTGTAACCGGCGATCAGCCAGGATCTGGCCCGTCCGAGTCATCTTCGCCACGCCCGCAGACTGCACCTTCGGTTGCAGATTCGGAGCGAGGGCCGTTTATTCCGCGCAACAGCTCCCGAAGGCGGTCGTCTGCAGGCCCACAAACTGCACATCCCACCGTCACCGAGAGATCTCAACAACGTTCACTACGCGGTCAGCTTAGCGGCGATTCGTTGGCAACCTCTGAAACCGTTTTCACACGGCCATCGTCACCCATTGTAGTGGTATACGACAGCGATTCGTCTCGTCCGCGATCACAAAGTCAGCCATTACATCATACGCCATCAATCGAATCGATACAGTCGCGTCTGCAGTCTCCGACTATTATTCAGCCGATCAGCCATCACGATATAGTCGATAGCAGCTCATGGGCATCACTACGGTCGTCATCTTCGATTGACACGCTATCACCGATTCACATACCAAAGAGGAGGGCCAAGAAAAGGCCAGCGTCGTTGTCACTAGGCTCCGGCTCGAATCTTGCATCTGGCAGTACGAAAATGGATATGGAGGATGTTGATACCCTGCCATACCCACGGCAAGCGTTTAGCAGCCATCTTAGCACCATCGCGAGCGAGAGTGACTGGCAAAGCAGGATCAATAGCCAACGTCTCAGCCATTTCTCTCTTGGCAGCGGAGTCCTGACTGGCGATGATTCGAGTGGTGCACGCCTTTCTGGCACATGGACGCGGAAGCGACGCGAGAGTGCGCCTACCGTGTCGGGCGACCCGGACTCCACGCCAAGCGATGAGGCAGGTGATATGACACTTGGCATATTCCGCGAGGAGAGCGCGAAACCACAGCCACTGTTCAAGCGCACGCCCCGCGGCTCCGAGGAAAGCAGGAAGTACGAAGGCCCTCTGCCGCCTCTTCCACCAAAACCGAGAGGCAGAGAGAGCGACGAGATTGTCGACAGGGTCTCTAACCTGCAGACGCCAAGTCTGCGGCCGTCGCGGTCCGGCTACTCCCTACGACAGAGGAGCAACAGTACGCCGAGCGGCAGCAACAGCCATTCTCGACACTTGAGTCAGGCCAGTAACTTGGAGAGCGATCGGTGGAGCTATGGGAGTAGCATATTCCCTCTTTGGGCCAAGCAGTTTTATGCAGGCAATGCCCAGCTTCTCTCCGCGAGTAAGATCACGCTAAGCTCGAACACCACGCCGCGGCCGCAAAGACCGCCGCATGCCCGGCATGGAAGCCAATGGACTGAACGCAGCGTCACCAGTCGGTTGGGTACGGGCTACAGCGAGATCGATACCGAAAGTCCAGCAAGCAGTCACTTCTTACCGAGCATATTTCGGCCGCGGACTCGCATCAAGGGGCCGGGTGATAGTCACGGTCGCTCATCAGACGCTCGGCGCTCTAAGCGGACACGACCTTCTGCAGAGGGTGGCCGGCCAGACTCACTTGCGATCTTCGAGATCCCGCTTCCGGAGACTGGGAATGCTGAGACACTGCCTTCTGGTCAACCCAAATGGGGCACGCTGAAGGACAGTCCCACCCAAAAGACGACTGCAGAGTCACGCCGTCCGTTGCCAAGAAAGTATTCGAAGCAGAAGCATTGGAATGACATGCAATTCCCACGTCCGATGACAAAGGATCGCTTGAGCGACTTGACCTTCGACAACCCTCAGCTCAAACCCACCCCTCGGCAGCACTCCCGTCGCTTGTCAGCGTGGCGTCCGCCATCGGTCGTCGAGAGTCTAGATACACTGATAAACTCACGCTGTAACCGACAAATCTTGCTCTTCTGCCTTGGCTTTATCTGTCCGCTGCTGTGGATGCTGGCTTCTGTCCTGCCGTTGCCGAAGAGACCGTCGGACGCGGACGAGTCTGAAAAGGGTAATGGCGCGAGTGAAGAGGATGTGCAGAGTGCTATGATGAAGCATGAAGCTGGTTTTGCGGAACGGAGGTGGAGGGACGAGAAGACGTGGACGAAGGCGAGGTGGTGGAGGACGTTGAACCGGGTCATGAGCGTGATTGGCGTGCTCATAATTGGTGCTGTGGTGAGTGCCGCTCGCTGAAGACTGCTACCTGATCGGTTGCTGACACCTTACAGATCGCCATTGCTGTCGTTTCGACGAGATAATGTCTCTTGTGTACCAGCATCTCTTGGCATATACTGGATCTTTGACCACAATGTCAAGCATTCTGAGTGATGCATGTCACGATACCCACGTTAAGGCATCTAATGTAGATAAAAGCCGGGTCCAGCGTCCCAATATCACCTAGCGGACGATCAGCCAGTCTGAATTTGCCACGGGTGCTGCATGAGCTAAGCTGTCGTAGCTCGTCGAGCCGTCCAATAAGTCGTCGGAACAGAATACCAAAGCTTTCGGAACACTTACGCCCCTCTGTATGACGAACACAATCCTTTGAACGCTCCAATGCCTGTCAACGATGGTGGCGGAGCCTTTTCGGAAGGCGCGACCCTTGGTAGTCGGTTGGCCTACAACGGGGAACATGCGGATGCGGCAGTCTCGCAACAGCGTGTGGATGCAGCGCCTCCTCGATGCCCAAGAGGAGCTCCCGCCATCACGGTCATCAGGCCGAGCTTCACCGCCTTGCCTGTCCGCCTCATGCATGCACCCGAGCGCTGGGCACACCGACATCCGTCTTGGATCGGCAGAAGTTCGGGCAGATGAGCATAAAATATATAAGCAACCGATTGCAAAGCCAGCATCCAGGGAAGTAGTGTGGTCCAATACGTTAGCTTCACCCGGTCTGGAGCCGTAGGCTCTCTGATCGTTGTGTTGCACCCGACCTCCACCGGGGGTTCCTTCCCTTTTGCGTGGGGTTTAGGATGTCATAAGCTAGATTGTAAATCGATCCAAACGACGATTGGCGAGTCGCATGGACCTAAGATAATATCGCAGCTTTTCTTCGAGATCTCGGTTCGAGTGAAACCCGGAGTCTGTCGCCATTCCATAGTCCGGGATGGGCCCCAATAAACGCCAGTGCTTGAACGCTTCGAAACAGTCATGTTAAATTCTACCCCTATTGCTCATCCGTGGGGTTGCTGCCATCCCTCCTATTTGTTATTAGCCAAGTCATTGCTGTTCGGACAAATCCAAGTGAGCACTTACGGGATGTATTGAACTCCAGCACCCTCTGCGGCATTCACATAGTCCTCGGGTAGCTGCCATCATCAGAGTCGTGCCCTTCACTTACTTACTCCACGGACTTACTATGCCGACCACCTTCACCGCGTACGTGCCGGGCACATAACCTTGCAGTCTCTGCCACTTTGCCACCCAGCTCGCTTCCGGGTCCGCCAAGGTGATGAGACCTTCGAATACGGGACTCGTGCAGTCCATGATCGCATCACTGCTGCCCCTGAGCTCGAGAAAGCCTTCGCAGTTTGGACATCCTTCGCGGTTGAACTTCGCTTGTGGCAGGACGATAGAGCAGACCATGCAGGCGCGCAAGCTGCGTGATGAAGACATGTTCGTCCGTGAAAACCTTCCGAAACGACTCACCACTCGATCTCGTATCGGGGCGCTGAGTTGTGTCTGTTGTCTTGCCGATACGTGTGGTAATGCTACAATTTCCAAGGACATGTCATGTGAGCGCGCGACAGCACGAAACAAAGGCCAGAACAGTCATTGCTGCCTTAGGCCACGATATTTCGACGACTTCTAGACTGAGCTATCACTTTCTGCGACATCTTTCGTCCGCCTGCTGTCTCGAGGCCGCCTCGTGTCTTCGACTTCCAGACTCTTTGCGCAGTCTGTCGCTACCCTGGCGTGCATCCAAAACATACATACTAACAACAGTGCTTTTCGTACGAATATTTGACATTCTAGCCCAGCATGGTCCAGGTGGAAGAGGCAGTCGCATTGAAGAACAAGGGTAACGAGGCGTTCAAGAACCATGACTGGCCGACAGCAATTGAGTTCTACACCAAAGCGATTGAGTTGAACAACAAAGAGCCCTCGTTCTACACCAACCGCGCACAAGCCAATATAAAACTCGAGGCATACGGCTATGCGATAGCCGACGCAACGAAAGCGATAGAGATCGATCAGTCGTTCGTAAAAGCATACTACCGGAGAGCAGTTGCCAATACAGCGATATTAAAGCATGCCGATGCGATTCATGACTGGAAAGTGGTGGTGCGTAAGAACCCATCAGATAAGGTCGCCAAGGCGCAGTATGAGGCATGTCAGAAGCTGGTTAAGCGCGATGCGTTTCTCAAGGCGATCGAAGTGGCGGAGGCCCCGTCAGCAGCGGTGGGTCTTGATCTTGAGAACATGATCGTTGAAGACTCATACGATGGTGTGCGGTTAAAGGATGAGATGACTAAGGAATTCGTGGACGACATGATTCAGCGGTTCAAAGACGGGAAGCGCATACACAAGAAATACGTCTTTCAAATAATACTGGCCGTCAAGGATTTAGTCTACAATGAGCCTACCATGGTGGAGACGAAGGTGGAGCAGGACCGCAAACTTACGGTGTGCGGCGACACTCACGGCCAATACTTCGACTTGCTCGAGATCTTCCGATTGAACGGCTTCCCTTCGGAAAAGCATGGCTACCTCTTCAACGGCGATTTCGTAGACCGCGGCAGCTGGTCAACCGAGATCGCACTATTACTGTACGCTTACAAGTGGCTATATCCGAACAACTTCTTCCTGAACCGCGGCAACCACGAGACAGACGACATGAACCGCATGTACGGCTTCGAAGGCGAGTGCAAGGCGAAATACACCGAGCGCGTCTTCAAGCTTTTCTCAGAATCGTTCTCTGCTTTACCGTTAGCGACACTCATAGGCGACAAATTCCTCACGTTACACGGCGGCCTCTTCTCAGATGATGCAGTAACGCTTGATGACATCCGCAAGCTCAACAGGCACAACCAACGGCAGCCCGGTCAGTCAGGTTTGATGATGGAAATGCTTTGGACCGACCCGCAAACCGAACCTGGCCGTGGACCGTCGAAGCGCGGCGTAGGCCTGCAGTTCGGTCCGGACGTCACGAAGCGGTTCTGCGAGAAGAACGGCTTGGAGGCGGTCATTCGAAGTCACGAAGTGCGCATGGAGGGCTACGAAGTCGAGCACGACGGACGATGCATTACCGTCTTCTCTGCGCCGAAGTACTGCGATTCAACCGAGAACAAGGGCGCGTACATCAACATTGAATCGGACTACAAGCTGCAGTTTCAGAAGTTCGATGCTGTGCCTCATCCGGATATAAAGCCTATGGTAAGTTGCTAGCTCCTCTAAGCCACAAGAATGATTGCTAACCCAGCATTACAGGCATACGCGAATAATGGTATGATGAGCATGATGGGAATGTGATCGATATACCTCCTGTATCTTATGGTACCACATATGGGCACAGGCGTTGTTTCTTCCATTCGCATGTCTAGACGGATTTGCTTGCATAGCGACGGCGACCTTTGAATGGCGAGGCGTGGCAAGGGGGATGGTGGGATTTGAAAATACTGTAACAACGCATAATGCGGCGCATCGCATGGCGGGCAGGCCATCTGAATGTTTGAGCGGCTCTTTGAGCTTCGAGTAGCACAGCACTCACAGCTCATCTACAAGCAATCGTGCTTTCATAGCCTTGCTCGCATAAATCATACCTTCGTCAACATGAATAATCTCATATCATCATTCCTCATTGCGTAGACTTCTTCCTGGCTAACATCTCCTTCACCGCCATATCTGGCGTGGGCACACCAATGTGACACCACCTCTTCTCCCACCCTTTCGTGTCCGCCACCACCTTCACCCTGCTCCTCCCATTCTCGTCAATTTCCATCTCCGTCACCTTCTTCTTCGGCTCGTGACACACCAGAAAGCGTCGGAATTTCTGTGCATTCACGGCAGCCCATCCTGCAAACCAATCGACTATGCAGCCAGTCGCCGCTTCCTCGTCCCGGTCCCACAAGCCTTGGAAGCTTGGCATCTCTTCGGGCGGGAAGGAGACCAGTTGAGAAGAAGCTAGCGGATTAGGCGGGTTGAATGGGTCTTCTCCCTCCGGCGGGCATAGTCTGCAGATGTCAAGGTATACTTGCACGTAGCGGTCATCCTGTCGACCGCGGTCTGTAAGCTTCTCAACCATGAGACCCTGAAGCCAATCCTTAATCCCTGGTCTGACCGCGATCTTGTCGAGCTCGCCGCCTGGAGGCTTGTCTTTGTGCAAATCGAGGAAGGTCCGGATAACTTCGCTCGCTTTTTCTGGGTGGTAGACGAAGACATCGTCTGTGATGAAGGTAACCTTGCCGTGAGGGAAGAGGCGCTCGCATGAGAAGTTTGCTGGATCATCCGGCTGCATGTAGAGAGTACGTTGTACGCCGATGGAGAAGACACGCACCCTACCGCAGCGCGTGAGGTATTTGTGCAGGCTGGACATTACCCAAAATGGTGTTGTTGGGTGAACAATGATCAGTCCGCGGTCGTTGTCCTGGCGGTTGTGGCGGAAGTAGGACCAAGCGCCTCGCGTGTCGGAGGTGTACACCTTGCACTGCAGGCTCTGAAAGTAGTTAGCGAGCACATGCAGCTCGGCACCGCGCTCTTCGGGCCACGCCAGGAAGACCTCCGTGTCCGCCGGTCTACCCTCCTTCTCAACCAAAATCCGCTCGTGGTTGAGGCCAAGCAGTTGGTTCGCAACGACGACTGACGCGCTTAGCTCAAGCGAGGTCGTACTGTCAACGCCCTCCGAAGCTAGTGTCGGCGGTATGCTGGACAGGGGTGGGAGCAATCTGAATCGAAGTGAAGCGTTTGCCGCTGAGGGAACGTGCGGGACGTCAAAGAACCGCCAGTCGTCATGCCCACTAGGATAGACGACCAACGTGAACAGGTCCTGCAGCGATACAAAGCCTGAGCCGAATAACTTCCCGCATTCGGCTAGCTTCGCGGCGTCTGGAAGTGAATTCTGCTTAGGCACAATACTGCCGGCAGGCCACTCACCCTCTTCCGCGACAAGCTGCGCGAGCCACACCTCCACATCTTTAGCTGTGACCATTCGATCCAGCATGAGATAGATGCCTTTCTTAATAGGGTAGAAGATACGCTCGAACGCAGATGTGTAAGACGTATGTAACTCCGCGTAGATTGTCATGCTTGACCCCGTGCCTGCGCTCACAATCTGCAGTGTCGCTGGCAGCACGCCAGTCTCTATAGCGACAGTCTTCGGCAGGCTAGCCACCTCTTCTGGTACGTCGAAACGGACCAATCGCTCCGGCTTCTCCCACGTTGCAGACAGCGGCTCCACGGGCTGCGGAGGTAAACTCTTAGTAGGTGGAAAGGGTATGTTATCCTTCTGCTGCTCGCCATCCACAGCCATGCCATCTGGTGTGCGGGACGGGGACATTGCGTTCAACATAATGCCAGCTTCGGTAGCCGGAGCCTGCGCGCTAGGCAACAGCACGAAGCCTTTCTTAAAGGTTCCTGGCTGGCTTGCAAGCTGTGGCATCCACTGATGTGCAAACTCGCATTGATCGTCAGGCTTAGTACAACTGCCCTGCTGCCAGTAGTAGCACGTAATATCTTTGCACTGCACATGGCGCATCATCGAAGCCTTGACAGCTTCATTCGTAGCGTAGACCCCGGTGTCACGATGTGCAAAGTTGCACTCTTCGGCAGAGAAGCGGCACTTGCCTCGTAGCCAGAAGAAGCACGTTACTTCGGACGTAGGTGGCCTTGGGCCTTGCGGGGCGCCCAAACCAAGTTGCTGTGAGGCCAGATCAGGCGGGGGCGGTGAATGCTGCTGCTCATTGGGAAGGAACTTGGACATGTGATCCTTTGGGTCAATGGGTTCGTGCGCGAAGCTACACTGGCCCGCCGGTGCACGGCAGTCACCGTTCAGCCAGTGCCAGCACACCACTTTTGGTCTGAAGCCAGGTGGCTTGCGGACCGGCGGCGAATGCGAGCTCGTGGGTTGTTGCTGTGGTTTACCCGGACTGAATGGCGCTGATTGAGGTGGAATAGGCCCGGATGGTGGGGTGAGGCTCTTTCGACGTTCAGACCATGAAGGCGATCTGGCGCGACCGTAAGCGCTGTGGATTCCTTGCGGACCCTTACGGGCAGGTGTGGAAGCAGAAGCTGCAATTGCGGAAGGTGCGACCCTTGATGGCTCAGCTACACCCGTTTTGGGATCGATGATGGTGAGAGCATTGAGGTCGGGTGCCTTTTCGTTGCGGCTATACTTTTGAAAACGGTTCTGCGTTGAGAGATTCCTGAATTTTAGAATGTCAGAGTCTTTTGGGGTCTCGCCACTGACCCGCGGACGCCGTCGTCTCTGCTTTACATCACCGAAACTGGCAAAGATATTGGTTGTCCGCTTGGCCGTACCAACGGGCTTGCTCGCAGGCTGTGGCACTGATTTTGTTGCCGCCGTTGGCGCTGAAGTGGTCGGCAGTACTCTCCTCCCGGAAGGCGCGATCTCTGGCAGAAGTGAAGTCTTTGCGATTGAGCTGGGGAGCCGTGAAGGTTTAGATTGCTTCGGAGTCTGCTGTGGTTCTGGGCGCTGGATCTCGGTAACGTCATCGAAGAGCGAATCGGGCTCGGAGTCTGGCGTTCCGTCGTCCGCAAGCTTTGCGTCGTCTTCGTCAGTGTCAGACGGAAGCCTGTTAGTTATTTTCCGAGCCACGCCCTTGCGTAGCGGAAGTGGAGTGTTGGGGGCCTTCTTGCGCTCTGTGTTGTCTGCGCCGTTTGTTGTGCTGTCTGCGCTATCACGCTTCGAAGTTCGTTTCCGCTTGGGCAAGTCCAGCACCTGTCGGTTTGGTCCCCGGCATAGCTCGCCGTCCGAATGAACCTTTCCGTCCTCATCACTAGTAAGCGCAGCCAGACCGTTACGCTTGCGTTTCCGCTTTGCCCTCCTTCGCCTCCTCCGCTCCTCCTTCTCCTCTAAACTCCTAGCGATCAAAGCGTCATATGCCTGCAAGTCATACGGCTCAGCTTTTCCTTGCTGCTGGAGTCGTTTCTGCTTAGCCCACTCTCTGAACAAGTCATCGCTCTGGATGTTCTCGAAAGGCTCCCAGGTATTACGGTGGTCAGGATAGCCAAGCCATCGTATTAGCCAGTGCGGCTCAACCCCATCAGAACCCTCGAACTCCTGTTCGGCCAGAATGCGATCTACGGGGTAGTCATCTTTCAACTCGCTCTCGGCCGTTGAGTCGGTGGCAATCGAGTCGGTGTCTGAGTCTTCCATAAACAAACGTTGATTGGCGGCATTCGTTACATTACGGACCGCCATTGATTACAAGGGTGTAGCAGTACTACATTGCGTTTCTGATTCCCTTCGGCGTATCTGGGTAAATGGAATGGGAACAGATGTATACACTTTCTTTTCACCTGGTTGAATCGTACATGGTAGCCCACAACTTGTATGCATCGCCACCAGACTCTGTCAGGCTTGGACGCAGCCTGAGGACAAAGTCTGGTGGTGGGTTGAACGACGTATATCTGCAGGTAGCGGCGACTGAGGTGTCGCGAACGAGGAACGCATCACGTGCTTCAATGAGGGGCTAGTCCTTTTGACTTCGCAGGGTCTCCGTCAGGGCAAGGCAGGGCAGCACCAACTCCATCAAACTGGAGCGCGCAAGCAGACACGACGCTTCCACTGCGCACTAGTAGACTATTGTCGCCAATCCACACAGCTCGACATGGCGAACGATGAGTACGACGTACGTACCGCGGGCATTCACATCGCTCACACCGTACTGATCGCAGATATGAGTAGTACCTGTTCAAGGTTGTTCTGATAGGCGACAGCGGTGTCGGCAAATCCAACCTACTCTCTAGATTCACCCGCAATGAGTTCAACCTCGACAGCAAGTCCACGATCGGCGTAGAGTTCGCCACCCGCAGCATTCAAGTCGACACCAAAACCATCAAGGCGCAGATCTGGGATACGGCAGGTCAAGAGCGCTACCGCGCCATTACTTCAGCATACTACCGCGGCGCTGTGGGCGCACTGCTCGTCTACGACATCTCAAAGCACCAGACGTACGAGAACGTGACGAGGTGGTTGAAGGAGCTGCGCGATCATGCGGACAACAACATCGTGATTATGTTGGTGGGCAACAAGAGTGATTTGAGGCATTTGCGGGCGGTGCCGACGGAGGAGGCGAAGGAGTTCGCGAGTCAGAATGGCTTGTCGTTCATTGAGACGTCGGCGTTGGATGCGAGCAATGTTGAGCTGGCATTCCAGAATGAGTTGACAGGTATGTTGCTTCGCACGGTCACATGCTGGTCGTGTTGTTATGTGGTCACTGACACCGCCACGCAGAGATCTACCGAATCGTGTCCTCAAAGGCAATTGAGCAGGGCGAGCCATCGCAAGGCCCAGGCCAAGGCACCTCTATTCCACTTGGACCGTCTCACCCACCCGGCGACGCTTCAAAGAAGGGGCAGTGCTGTTAGTAGGAATCAGCGCTAAGCCTCCGAAGAGCAGAAGCGAATTTGGAGACAGGGGCTATTGAGCGCTTCGAGATAGGCACGCAGTCATACAACCTTGCACGGCGCGCAGGCAGCGGGCGTTGAGGCGCCCATGGATTGCACGATCATGCTGCAGATGCGGGATATCATGAAGAACTCTTTTTACATGCTTTATATGGTCTTTAAAAAGCCGCAGATCCAACCTGCTCCATGCGCGGAGCACAGGTGCTATGGGACGTACTGCCCTCACGCCGTCACAGCAAAACTCCGCTGTCCGCTTTCCGGTTCGCGCCGTAGGTAATCCCTACCGCTCCGTCCGCGCCCGTTGTGCTGTATTTGCTTTCTCCACGACGATCAGTCGTCAGAGCTAATCGCTCCTCTACTGTCATACTTCTTCTTCAGAGCCGCCAGGTCCCTGCTGATCGCGGCGAAACGAGGATTCGCACGCAGCAAGAATTTCTGGACTTTCTCTCTCGCCGCCATTTCAGAGAAGTTGAAGTCCGTGAAGTGTGGCCTTCTGATCATAAGATCGGTTTGGTCAACGATGTTCTGCATAATGCCGTCGATCTGGTTCGCCAGGGCGCTGATGTGCTGGCTCGCGGCTTGCCCGACTTCGAGGTGCGTTCGCTTAGAAAGGACAATGAATGGCGAGTTTGGCGGTGGACTCTCTAGATGCGAAGTAAGCTCGGAGATCCATCTGGCCTTGGAGCCGGGACCTACTAGGAGTGTCAGTGAAACCAGACTTGATGGACGAACAGGCATACCGGTGATGGCTCTGCAGTCATCGTAGGCTTGACGCATAGCTTTCGTGAAATAGCCGGTAGGTGATTCTCTGGTAGCATCGATCAGGATGTTCCTGCCCGCGTTAGTGGTAAGGATGTCGATAGATGTGGTAGTACATACTTGAATTCAGTCCACATGGCTTCTTGATACGCTCGGACTTTGGTGAAGATGCCTCCCACGCTTGCGTCAATGGCCTCCTCGAAGATGCCAAGAGGTAGTGCGATGGCCAAGGGATGCTCTTCTAAAGGATTAGCACATGACGCGGTGCGGGCAACATTGAGATGGGCCTACGCTTGAGCTCGTCGAGAACCTTGCGGACTTCTTTCACCAGAACCACCTCGACATCTTTAACCAGCGTGTTGCTTTTCCCGGATAAAGCTTGGCCATTCGAAGCGCAGGGTGTCCGAGGAGCCGGCGGAGAAACGCTCATTCCATGACTGCTGTGGGCGCACTCTGGTACCATAGTTGCCATTTCTACGCAAGAAAGCTGCGAGGCTGGAGTGGTGCCAAGTCGTAATATCGCACAGTACGTCTCTGGCAACGGTGACAAAGCTTTGTAAGCCTTCGTATACCGGGTCGTTAATGCTGTGGTCGGTCTGCTTGGCGAGGTTCTTCACCAATGTCTTCAGTAGAGTGTCCACGATATATCGCGGCCTTTGGACAATGCTCATCAACTCTTCCCGGTCTTCGGCGTAAGCCTGGTTCGCCCAAAGGTCGAGACTCTTAAGAAAGACCGCGACATCATGCTGAATGAAGTCTTCCAGACTCTGGAGGATCTACGGCGCAGCGATGTGGAGGGCATGATTGCGAAGAGCAGGGATGCCAGTATCTGCGACGATCAGTTGTCCACCTTGCACTTCGTCTCCACTCTTCGCAGCCGCGTAATGCACGTTTGAGACGGGAAAGACGTGCAGCACCTTGCCTTTCGGCAGGTACTTTGCCTTGTCCTGTTGAATGCCGTTGATGACACTCTTGTTCCGCGCCAAGACCAGGAGACTGAAGCATCGGTTGTCAAGGCCACGCTGTTCCTCCCGCAAGCTCTCAATGTCAGCCAAGAGCTGATTCTTTCGCTGCGTTTGGCTTGCCGACAGCTGTTTTCGATGGTGCTGTAAACGCTTTATGCGAAATTCAACCGTATCGCGGTCCGCTTTCACCTTCGTGTATGTGTTCTTTTCCTCTTCTGTCATCTGAAGATTGTTTGGCAGATAAACATGATCGATGTTCTCATCTGCCTTTGTCGCAACAACGTCAATGTTGCCCTCAAACGGTACGCCGTACGTCTGAAGTGCATCGCTCAAGCATGTATCGGTTTTGATACGGCCAATACGAGCGACAACCCAAAGACGTCCGCAATTCTTGATCTGGTTCAGAGTTGCATTTACCCGGACCTGATGCACATCCATGATGTCAGGGAAGTCGGCGATGGTGAAATAATCGAGGATGCGGGAGCCGTTGCGAATGCCAATTCTGTTGATGGATGGGTTAGATGCGAAATCGGAAGGGTGTTGAAAGTACTTACATGACTTGCTTCACAAGCGGCCAGCGGGCAGGCCGCTTGAAGTCGTGGGTCTCGGTCAACAGAGCGTCGAGCTGTCCGCGAAGCTCGTCAACAGTGTTCGCGACGTAGGCTTGAGCGTAACTATCATCGATATGATTGGCTTTGTAGATGGCTTCTTTAATGTTCCTCACGTAGAGGGCCAGTTGACTCTCACGACTGCTTTTCGGGTCAGCCAGGCCATCAAGCACCTTCCTTGCTTGAGCTTCATCCCAACAGAATAGCGCCCGAAAAGTCGAAAGGCAAGTTGCTGCGTGGCGCTCATGCTCTTGCTCAACGTCTTTCGTCCAGCTTTTATGACCGTGCAGCGTCCAAACCTCCCACGCCTCGACGCACCCAGTCAGGAGCTCAGTGATGGCGGCGGCGTCCAAGTGTATGATTTCTGCGGAGTAGCCTCTGGTTTGTTGCGGACCGGCCCTCTTGTATATTGTTGGCACCAGCGTGCAACTCTCGCCCGCATCAAGCTAAAGCACCGTCAGGAGTGAAAATTTATCACACGCGCTTTATCGCTTACGGCTTTGGCGATGTTTGGTTGGTCTAGTATAGAGCACACCAGCGAACTCTTACCTGTATCAAAGTCAGTAGAAATTACGCAGCTTGGTTCGAGCTACTTCACCCGAGCCTGTCTCTCCAAGCAGACCAATCATCTGTTTCTCCAGCTTTGGGATGCTCGTAAGCGAAGTGGCCGCGGCTTTCAAGCGCGCAGCAGCTGGTGTGTTACATGACAGCTTGGAAAGTTCTTGAGCTGCTTCTGCGGCAAAGGCTTCGAGATCGCGCTTGACATTGGTGAACCTTAGATCGAACGCGGCACAGCGAGGCAAAGGCTCTTGCGTCTCACTGTAAGCTGCCTCGTGGTCCTCAAATGAGTCCAATCCGATGTTAGTAAGACCGTCATTGTTCTTCTCCACCTCGGCATCTTCGCCGCCGGTAATGGAGCTCGAAGCGGGAAGCTGAAGTCTCTGCTCGTTGATGGCGTTGTCACCGCTACCAGTCTTTCTGCGCTTGTCTGGCGGACCTTCTGAGTCGGAAGCCATAACGCTGGATCAGAAACTCTTGAGGCCCAGAGTGAGCATGTATTGCCCTGTGTCAACCTACCAAGGTATGAGGTCGAGAAATAGTATGAAAGAGAAGGAAACTACGGAAGCGAGAGAGATTGCCGTAGAAAATCAGCGTTCTATTGCGCGGAAGCACGTGAAGACGCTAGTGCTGCGAGACCACATGACCCTTGGTTTCCGCATGGAGGAAGTGAAGTGAAGTGAAGCCTGCCAAACGCGCACGTGAGCGCTCCATTTAGTCCAATTAGAGCGTCTGATTTCTCTCGCAGCAGAACGTAGATGCGGAGCGTATAGATGGCTCCCAGTGCAATGAAGCTTTACCTGGTCGTTTCTCCATTAGTCTACTCCGTGTTTCTTTCCGTTGGGGCGCTCTTTTCTGACAGGTCTGGTAGCATTCCCAAGCACACCTCGGGTGTGATGCTGAGTGCGGCATTGTGTCACACATCGAGGAGCGCGGCTCAGGCTTGTAGCTGACTCCAGTGAAAAGATGTGTACGAAGCGAATGCCTGAAGTGAGGTTGAGCATTTGTCTGTGCATCGGCCGAAGTTTCCCCGAGGCTTCCATTCGCCAAGATCACCCCAAGCGCATCAGCGTTCATTATCGAAGCATACGACCACCTCGCAAGCGGTGCATATTGCTAGGAACCATGACGCAGCGATCATAGGTTCTTCAATGCATTGCGCGGACGGTTAGCGCCATCCGGAGGGCACTTCACCCACTTCACAATGTTCTGCTTAAGGTTCGTATATCCTTCCACCATTCCACGTCGCCCATCACTGATGTCTGGCAGAGCATGGGTCCTCACCCTCATCTTCCTCACCAATGCCGCACCAATTTACATCGCTCTCTTCCTGACCGCGACGTACCTTCTCCAGCGACCCTGCGTCTACTGCAGCATCCTCCTCTTCGTCCTGGTGTTCTCGCTCTTCGATTTCCAAGTAGACTGGTTTGAGCCTCGATGGCGACCTTCTCAGGAGCAGCTCACCTCGGTGTCAGAGGCTTTGTCGGGGCTTATTAGCGGTAATGCGACGGTGACGGATGCGATTGTCGAGACAGCGAGCTTGGCGGTCTCTGCGATCAATGGCACGGGCGGCAGTATCGCTAGCGCTGCTATGGAAGGCGTCAAGAGACGGCTTAGTGGAGGCCACACAAGCCCAGCGACTACTGGCTTTGAGTGGCTAAGAGGTATACTGGAGAAGAAACAGTTCCGGATTCCGTGTGTGGATGTCGTTGTACGGTTATGAGGAGATGCATAGGTTTTGGGGATTTCAATGTTGCGACTACGAAGCTCTGCGTGCAGTGGTAGCATTGACTGGCGCATTCGGCATTGATTAGTTCACGGACTACCCTGGGTATGCATGACAAGAAGGATGCATTGGCGTGGCTTTAGAAGCCTATGGTGGTTATCATGGGCTGCTATCATGGCCGGAGCTCAAGTCTACACGTGTCCTAAGGACGCTGTACATCCTCTCGCAAGACCCAAACATAATTATTCTCATCACGGTTCAAGCTTCCCTTGCCTCGGCTTTAGAGCTTGGACCATTTGCGTGAGATTACTTGATCCATCTTCATGCAAGCCCTCAGTTCCTGCATCTATCGTGCCTTCCTAATCTGATTTAGCATTTGCTCGCGTGACCTGCTGCATGTCCGTGTCCCGCAGCACTCGGCTGCTTACTGCGTCGTACCGAGTGGGGCGGAGCGGGGCGCGACTGCACAGTCAAGATCGCTTCCACAGCTTGAAGACACCATCTTCCACACAAGCTCTCTTACCCAAGCCACGCCCACTCCATATTACTGCTTCCATCGGCTTCACGACGTCGAACTCGTCGCAACGAACCAGTAATCATAGAACTTCTTCTGCCCTTGCACTTAGGACCTCTCAACGACGCCATTGCTCATCGACCGCCTCGAGTCGTCTCGTCAGGATGTCGTCCGATCGCGAGGTCCTTCCCACGTCTGTGAAGCCTTCCAACTACGCCATCTCTCTTTTCGACCTTCAACCTGGTGAACCATGGACGTACCAGGGCAGCCTTACCATCGACCTCGAAATTAAGGAACCTACCAAGTCCATCGTTCTAAACGCCCACGAGCTCAAGGTCCACTCTGTCGAGATCTCGTCGGAATCAGGCAAGACCGCATCGTCAGTAAAAGCCTCAAACATCGACTATGACACGAAGAATCAACGATGCACCTTCACCTTCGACCAAGAGCTTCCGCAGAGCCCGAAAGCGGTGCTCTCCATAGCATTCGAGGGCACGATGAACAACCACATGGCCGGCTTCTATCGATCAAAGTACAAGCCTGCTGCTCCTGCTGCGGCGGGTGTTGCGAAGGATGCCGAGAACCACTATATGTTCTCCACTCAATTCGAGTCGTCCGATGCTAGGCGAGCGTTTCCATGCTTCGACGAGCCGAACGTGAAGGCCACCTTCGACTTCGAGGTCGAGATACCCGAGGACTTGGTCGCATTAAGCAACATGCCAGAGAAGGAAGTCAAAAAGAGCAAGAAGAGCGGGCACAAGGTGGTCAGCTTTGACCGGACACCAATTATGTCGACATACTTGCTAGCTTGGGCATTCGGAGACTTCGAGTACGTCGAAGACTTCACGCGGCGGAAGTACAATGGAAAGAATTTGCCCGTGCGGGTGTACACGACGAGGGGGTTGAAAGACCAGGGACGCTTGGCGCTCGATTCTGCGCACAAGATTGTCGACTACTATTCAGAGGTGGGTGTTAATTTGAGCAAGACGGGCAATGTGGTGCTGACGAGGAGACAGATCTTCCAAATAGAGTATCCTTTGCCGAAAGCTGATTTGCTTGCTGTACATGAATTTGTAGGTCCCTCTCATCGTTGCTCAACCGTAGTTGGGCTGACGGCCTCTTTAGGCCATCATAAGTCTCCCCTTGTCATCATGCCAGTTCCGTGACCACATCACGCATATACCATCGTTAGCATTGATCACATCCTCAGCACCTGTTCACATTGTCTGACGGACTTGTCTTCTTTTTTTGCTTTACATTCACACGAAGTCCTTGTTTCGTGAAAGATTGAAGCTAACCGGTGTGTCTCTAGTCTCACGGCGCAATGGTACGGCATTCCACCCAACACTTTTCTAACCTAGACTGTGGCTGACATACAGGTTTCGCGTAGGAGAACTGGGGCCTTGTAACATACCGAACCACAGCAGTACTCTTCGACGAGTACGCTTCGGATCAGAAGTACCGGAACCGCGTCGTTTACGTAGTGGCTCACGAGCTGGCACACCAATGGTTCGGCAATTTGGTCACCATGGACTGGTGGAACGACTTGTGGCTTAATGAAGGCTTTGCTACTTGGGTCGGATGGCTTGCGACTGACCATCTGTACCCGGACTGGAACGTCTGGGGTCAATTCGTCACGGAAAGCATGCAGACGGCGTTTCAGCTTGATTCACTACGGACCAGTCACCCTATTGAGGTGCCGCTCAGGAACGCATTGCAGGTCGATCAGGTGTTTGATGCTATCTCATACCTGAAAGGCTGCTCCGTTATTCGCATGCTGGCAGCGTACCTTGGTGAGAAGACCTTCCTGGAGGGCGTTGCAGCCTACCTCAAGACACACAAGTACGGCAACGCGCAGACTGACGATCTCTGGGCTGCGCTGTCGAAAGCTTCTGGCCAAGATGTCAAGGCGCTCATGGATCCGTGGATACGAAAGATCGGGTTTCCGGTAGTTACTGTAGCAGAAGAGCCGGGCCAGATCAGTGTGAAGCAATCTCGCTTCCTCTCCTCAGGCGAAGTGCAGCCGGATGAAGACAAGACGGTTTGGTGGATTCCAGTGGGCTTGAAGACAGGTCCCAACGCCACCGATGCGCAGCGTGAGCCACTTACGACGAAGGAAGATACCTATCGCGACATCGACACCAGCTTCTACAAGCTCAATGCGAACCAGACCGGCTTCTACCGAACCAACCTACCGCCACAGCGGCTAGTCGAGCTAAGCAAGGCGCTGGACAAGCTGTCAGTGACCGACAAGATCGGCCTCATTGGCGACGCTGCCGCTATGGCTGCCGCGGGCGAAGGTAAGACGTCCGCCGTCTTGGCATTTATGGAAGGCTTCACCACGGAGGAGAACTACCTCGTCTGGTCGGAGGTGCTTTCCAGCCTAGGCAAGATCCGCTCAATCTTCTCTTCAGATGAGGAAGTGTCGGCAGGCCTGCGCAACTTCACGCTCAAGCTCGTCACATCCGCCACTGACAAGATTGGCTGGAGCTTCGGACCCCATGACGACTACCTTCTCGGGCAGCTACGCGCTCTGCTGATTACCACAGCTGGCGTGACCGGACACGAAGCCACCATCAACGAGGCAATGAAGCAGTTTAAGGCATACATGAGCGGCGACAAGCAGGCGATCCATCCATCGCTGCGCGCAGCCGTCTTCAGGATTGCCATCAGACACGGCGGCGCGGAGACGTACAAAGCCGTGCAGAACGAGTTCCTCAACACCACCTCCATTGACGGCAAGGAGATTACACTGCAATCAATGGGCCAGGTCCAGACCCCAGATCTAGCCGAAGACTACCTTGCCTTCGCCTTCAGCGGCAAGGTCGCCACGCAAGACGTGCACTCAGTGGGTGGCTCATTGGCAAACAACAGCAAAGTCCGGGACGCAGTCTGGACGTACATCAAAGCTAACTGGGACATGATCCGAGATAAACTCAGCGGTAATATGGTGGTGCTTGAGCGCTTCTTGAGGATCAGTCTGCAGAAGTTTGCCAGCTTTGAGGTGGAGAAGGATATTGAGCGGTTCTTTGCGGATAAGGATAAGGAGGGGTTTGATAGAGGGTTGTCGGTGGTTAGTGATACGGTGAAGGGGAATGCGAAGTACAGGGAGCGCGATATGGCGGTCCTAAAGGAGTGGCTTAGCGCGCATGGGTATATGAAGCGATAGGTAGACCGTGCGGCTTCGAAGCACTTTACAGATAGGTAAACATCTAGCTAACCCCACCTACGAGATGTACACAGCGAGGCCCGCGGACCCGACGCAAGACCGTTCCATCACTCCAGAGTGATGGATATTTGGTATAGTGAGGTCGAGGAAGTGACGTCGTTGATCTGCCGGCATGAAAGACAGTTCCTGCCCAAGCACGAAGTGCAGGAGCGCCAGTGGGTACAGACATGGATCACTTCGCTTTGGCAGGTCCTACCGACCCGCGACTACCGGAGCTGGAGATGGCCTGCTGTCCGCCAGAAGCCTGAGCCTGTACCTGGGCCGATGACGCAACTGCTGGCGTAGGTGGTGGCGGCTGTAAGGATGGCACGATAGGCCCGGTCGATGCTCCGTTTCCGCTGGTCTCCAGAATCGGTACAAATATCTGTCTCCTCAGACTGACATCAAAGATAGTCTCCATGCCCTCGGTCTCCCGGATCTCAAATGCCAAACCTGCAGGCACCTTCTCCACAAACAGGTCACCTCCTCGACTCAGCATCATGCGGTCAATGCCATAACGCTGCTTGGCTTCGCGACGAAAGTCGGCGATGATCTCGTCCAGTCTTTCTACCTATTGTCAATGGCTGCGCATCATGAAGATCTGATTCAGCGTACCATGCGACAGCCGCTTCTCAATCCCTTCGACTAGCGGCGCGTAGGTGAGCATCCATGCCAGAAAAGCCTCATTGGTGTGATGTGGTGCCCAGCTGACCCAGCCTGCGCCGTGGCCGGGCGAGAAAAGGATCTTGATCGGTTTGGTAGGGCGGAAGACAGGGTTGTACGCTGCCTCCATCCCGATGTGCAGCGAAGGGTCCTCTGGCTTGTCCGAGTTGCGCATGTCGGTACTGCTTCTGCATAGGCTCGTGGGTGGCGATAGGCGGAGGCGGATTAAGGTGCGAGAATAGTACTAGCATTGCAGGTCGGATGTAGTGTTCGGATGGGGTCGTCTTCGGCTACGTCGGAAGCGTAGTGAGGGTAAGAGCAGAGTAGGTGGGCAACATTCGGCGTGGTTGCCAGAACGGACGACTGAAAACGTGCCAGGTTCGAAGCCAAAGAAGACGAAGGCTAAGACACGCTTGCCAGAATCGTTCTGCAGCTGCGTAACACCAACAGCCCCGTGCGCTCAACCTCCCTGTCAAGCATGCATGAAATAAATCATTAGTTACGCCATCAGTCGTACCTGCATACAACATCAATCTTCTCACAAGTGACCTCGAGCTCCGTATCGTCTTTTGTAGTCCTACACTTTGCGTTGAGCAGCCTCATACAGACTTGCAAGAATACAAACACCGCAACCAATGATCACACCCTGGTACCCACCAAACATAGCATTGCGGACTGTGAGAACATTGTCTGCGCCCACAGCTCCACTCATGAAATCCTGCCCGTACACAACCCAAGTAAGCAGCGCTTTAACGACATTAAACGTAAGCGGATCGATTGGATATCGCGCAATGCTGACTCTGGCCCCGTGACGCTTGACATCTTTAACGGTAAGGTTGCAGAAGTAAGCCAGCGTCGCTGGAATGAAGATCGAAGTGGTCGCATAGAGCAGTGTTGGTAGCCAGAAGTTCGCGGTCAGAAGCTGGAACAGGTCTGAGAAGTAGATCGGTATCGCCGGTGCACCAAAGCCTCGGACAGCTGTAATCTCGGTGATGTAGATTTTGGGCAAGACAGCTGTCTGCAGTGCGTACGCTTCTACTAATTGGATGGCCGTTTGGATGCCGGTGACCGACGAGCAGATCTCGCGCAGACTGTCAATGGCTCTCGGTATGCCCGAAACGCTGATCGCGTCGTTGATGCCGGCGAAGATCTGGGAGGATTCGTATTCAGCCAGGTCCGCAACATCGGCCGGTGATGGAGGAAGCTGTTGGGTTTGTCGTCGTGGACGGCCTGGTGTGCGCTTGGTGGTCGTGCTTGTCGGTACAGGAGAGACATGGTTAGGCTGATTACTGGAGCCAGCGAGGGGCATGTGTTCATGGTCGTCGCTAACACTTCATTTAGCATGACGATCGGCTTGTTGTCGACTATTGCTTGCGTACTCAAGCTCCTGCTTGACCTTCGTTGCCCGCCTCCCTCGTCCCTTGACGACACTCTTCACCTCAGCATCGTCTGCCGTCATGTCGACGGTCGCACTACTCGACCGCGCCTTGTACGGCGTACGCCGACTGCCATAGTACTGCTCGAAAGCGGAGTTGTGCGCCAGTTGTGTCGCATTCTGTCGCAGGTACGCGTCAAGGGAGTCGACTATGTCTTCTTTCAACTGGTTGCCGTCCCTATGTATATCGTCAGTGTCTGCTGAGTCTGTTTGCGATTGCAAAGAAACACACTGTACTAGGCCTGCTTCACGCGACAAATCCAGAAGCGTCTGTTTGCGCTGTCGGTTGAGCCACGAAGCCATCTGAGGTCGACGGAATGCGATTCGACTTAAACTGTGGTCGCCTATAGTACGCGATCACAAATAGGCCACATAGCAATGGTTTCTTAGTGGGCGCAAAATGTTCAATCGTGCATGCATTGTCAACAACCTTGCAGTAAACAACGCGGTCGGCAGAAGCCGCCGAGTTGGCGGCCGAGCCGCACGCTTCTGAGAAGTCCAGGCTGCGTCAAAACAATCCCGCACTGAAACACAGCAGTAAGCGCATGCAGTATTACAACAGTAGTGTACATAGTAGTCGGCTCAAGCAACAGGTCAGTGATAGAGCAGCGATCAGCAAGAATGCAAGCACGCATTAGCAAATCGCTTAGTGTCAGCAAAGACGGCAGCCGCATCCGTCAACAGGTACCTCCTGCGTACAGTACAATACCACGCGTTAACATTTCCTCTACCTCGCCCAACCTCAGCCGCATCTGCGGCCTTACCGATACCCGCCCTGCCCACTGTGAGGCAGGCTGAACCCGAAAGTCGGCACAGCCGGCGGCGTAGCAACCGCCACAGGCTCCTGCCTTGCCAACCTCTCATACCCATAACTCTCCATCTGCATCGGCTGCACGCCCGCGCCCGTAATACCACTATACCCACCACCATACGCCGCGCCGGCTGGCTCGCGGTCATAGTCATGCTGCTGCTTCTTACCACCGCCGCCACCACCACCATGCCTCTTATCCTCCTTCTGCCTTTTGTTCGACGGCGGTCCAGCTTCCGGCATGACGCGCTTGCTCATCGCCTTGCTGCTAACCCCGGCGCCGATTTCGATGTCCGGCTCTTCGAGCACCATGCCGCCTTCTAAAGCCTTACCGCCCGTGCCGCCATATTCGGCAGTCATGAGCCATTTGATATCGGCTTCAGTGAGCTTGTGGATGGGGATGATGCTCTCACCTCGCTGGTAGTCACAGCATTCGCGCGGTCCGAAGCCAACACCCCACTTAGTCTGCCGGGCGATGCTCATGACTTCGCGATCGTTGCGGTTCTGGAGGTCTTCCATTCCCGCCTTGGCGCTGAGAGCGTAGTTGCGGGTGGTCATCTTGACGAAGGCGTGACGCTTGTCCCGATTTGCGATGCACGTCTGTACGCGGCCGAAGCGCTCGAAGAGGGTTTGGATCTCTTGCTGGCTTCCGCTTGCGCCACCGACAAAGAGCGTCCGTGACAGTACCTTGATGTTCTCCGGCGGCAGCGAATTGTCAATTGCAATGTATTTGGGTTGCATCGGCATGCCGTTCATTGCGACGGGCAATGGGCTGTCACGCATGGGCAGATCTCGCATTGACTGGATGGGTGAGCGCTGCCTGTAGCGCCCACGATTGTTGCCACCATTATTGGCACGCATGGCACGCTCCTCCTCGGCCTTCTTCTTCGCGGCAATCTCTTCGTACGTGCCGTATACAGGACTAGCCCTACCTCGGCCGCGTTCTGGGCTACGGCTTCTACGCCTATCATACCCGGACTGGTTACTTGGCGGTTGCGACTCATTGAGAGCTTCTAAGATAGGTCCCCACTGATCCATCGGTAGGCCTCGCTTCTGCAGGTCTTGAAGCAGACTGAGAGCCATTACAAGCTTACTTTGATCATTCAGTATGTTTGGAGGTAGAATACCACGCAATGGAGCCAATGGATCAGCGGCAGCGGGTGGCTGCGGTGGTGGAGGAGCCGCAGCATACTGAGGTGGTATTGATGGCGGAGGCTGCGGTAAAACGTTCGGAAAGCCTTGAGGCAGCTGAAAGCCCGGGAAAGACAGTGGTGCCGGCGCCGGAGGGGCAGAGAAAGCTGGCGTCTGAGTCTGCGGCAGTGGTGGCTGTTGGAAGCCTGCAGGTATACCGTTCTGAAAGAGGGCAGCAACGTTCGGAGGCAGCTGTTGAGAAGCAATATTCGGCACTGGCGCTGAGGGCTGCTGGAATGGCTGACTTTGCGGCGGCACGGACTGCTGAGGTATGGCACTAGCAAGCGCAGCGAGTATACTGTTAACGTCCTGTGGCGGCTGCGAAGCCGCTGGCTGCTGCACGACCTGTTGTTGGGGTGCTTGGGCCGTGGACGATGCCGCTGTGGTGCCGTTAGCTTGCCCTTGCTCGCCTTTTCGCGCGATCAAGCCTTGATCGTAGAGATGCTGAGGAGGGTAGCCAATCGGCGTATGAAGCGGTCTACTTGGTACGGGTGCAGTGAACTTCTCGCCTGCCGGCTTACCATTGGTCACATGGGCACCTGTGCCGTTCGCTTGCGACCCAGACTGCGCGGTCGCACCACCCAGCCGGGCTTTGAACTCGTTGAGGACCTTGGACGGAAAGGTGTTACCCTTCTCCCAAATGCTTATCACATTTGCCAGCTTCGGTTTCTGGTCTTCAGGGATACCTTTCATTATGTCGTCAAAGAAGGCAGGAAGAAGTTCAGTTACGCGCTTGACAGCCGCTGGGTAGGTGCCAGGCTCCCCGCGGCCTTCAATGTTCAGATCTTGGCCATTTTGCTTCGCCTTCTCGATCCATTGGCGTACGACACTGTCAATGACATACATGGCTCCGAGCTTGTGTGTGGCGGGCGCCTTCTTGAATGCGCGATACAGCGATTGCACGATGGTCATCTCCGCCTGTAATGTTACAACATCAGCATCGTCATATGGCCGACACAATGTACTGACTGCGGATATACTCACATGTATGTTGCTGACGCATAGTTGCGTGATGGAGCTAATCTTACCCTTGCTCGCGCCTGGCGGCTTCAACTGATTGAGAGAAGCGAGCTGCTGATCCAGCTCGGTGATTATGTTCGCCATGACTTCCAGCGACTAGCACTTCTACCCTACTGCCTTGCGGAAAGGGTTGCTACTATGGCGGATTGTCTCAGAAGCCGTGACTCCACGCCCGCACGACCTCTCGTAGAAGGGTTGATGCTACTGGCACTCGGCTAGGGGCAAAACGCACACTGCTACGGTTTGCCTAAGCGGACAATCAAAGTAGACGGCGGCCTTCCACACTGCTATAATCGCAACTGGTCACACGTGGTGGTACACACGTGCGGCGGCAAAGTGAGGCGCTTACGAGAGCGTTCACGTAGTAGTTGGTCCTAGTCTTTTGGCGTGTCTTACGCAGGACAGGCGCGGTCGGTTCCGTGCCGGTCAAGGTAACAGACAGTTGTAAGTCCTAGGTGGCAGGACTACCGTATTGCTTGGCTCTTGCGGTCGGTTGCGGTTTGGCGTTGTCGTGCCACGGTCGCAGGGTTACGGTCAGATCGAGGACAGCTAGCCTTCTATCGGAGGGTCCCTATGTACAAGCGTTCACCGCCGGCGCTTGTCTGAGTGTACGAGTGAATTACTAGCAGAGATGTGGTGAACGGTCACTCTCTGCGAGATATGATTAATCGATGACCTAGCAAGAGCTGACGTGAAATCGCCTTTGCGCAGGAATGGATACGCGGCAAGTACGGCCTGTAGAAAGGCAGGTACGAGCGCTTCGACGAGGGGAGCGCGAAATGTGGATGCCAACAGCACAGCACAGGAGAAGGACGTGCTGCTGATGAGATAATGGGGGAAACGGGGCTGACGGTTGGACGTTGTGGTGAAGAAGGAGGCGAGAGAGTGATGGCTTGACTTTTGCTAAAATTAAGCGGCCGGGCAGCGGACCGCACGTGCAACAAACGTCTAGCGCTATGCTGAGCCGAGGGGAGCCTCTCCCTCGAACCTTTGATGAGCTGCATTAGTTGTGAAAGTGAATGCACGCCACTCGAGCGTGCATCCACCATAGCGCATGGAAGGAAGGCGGGTGACTACGGCGTAGATAGTGAACGTATAGCTCGGTACGAATCGATCCGATAACTGCTTCCCTTCTGTCCTATCCTCCATCATCCGGCGGGCTATTGAGCGCACTGTGACGCAGGACCGCAGCGAGCCCCAAGCTTTGAAGCACGGAAGCTCCTCCCTGGAGAGATAGACTATTTTTTCCAACGCTCTGGCTGTCTACCAATCTTGCTTACCCACAAACCCCTTCTCCAATTCTCCGGACCGCCCGCCATCTATCAGCACTACATCCCCTTCATCACGCTCCTTCTCGATCTTTGAAGATGGCCGTCTCCAGCATCTCTCGTACCGCGCTGCGCCGCGCCATGTCCACCCAACCTGCCTTCCCCGTGTGGACTCAGAAGACTGCTTTCACTGCGGCAAGGACATATGCTACGCCCAGCAAGAACACGGTATGTGCTCCAGACGATCATGCCGCCGTCACCACACGCCAATGGCTAACCTCGATGTCAACAGAGCTTGAAGGAGACCTTCCGCGCCTCCCTCCCTGAGAAGATCGAACAGATCAAGAAGCTCAGGAAAGAGTACGGCAACAAGGTCGTTGGCGAAGTCACCCTCGATCAGGTCTACGGCGGTGCCCGTGGCATCAAGTCGCTGGTCTGGGAAGGCTCCGTCCTCGACTCCGAGGAGGGTATCCGTTTCCGCGGCAAGACCATTCCTGAGTGCCAGGAGCTCCTTCCCAAGGCACCCGGTGGCTCCGAGCCGCTGCCGGAAGGTCTCTTTTGGCTTCTCCTGACCGGCGAGGTCCCCACCGAGCAGCAAGTCCGCGACCTCTCCGCCGAGTGGGCCGCTCGCAGCGATGTCCCATCTTACGTCACGGAGCTTATCGACCGCTGCCCGAACGACCTGCACCCAATGGCGCAGTTCTCGCTCGCTGTCACCGCGCTTGAGCACGAGTCCGCCTTCTCCAAGGCCTACGCCAAGGGCATGAAGAAGGCCGAGTACTGGGAGCACACCTTTGAGGACAGCATGGACCTCATTGCAAAGCTGCCCACCATCGCTGCCCGCATCTACCGCAACGTGTTCAAAGACGGCAAGGTGCCGGCCACGCAGAAGGACAAGGACTACGGCTACAACCTTGCGAACCAGCTTGGCTTTGCTGACAACTCCGACTTTGTCGAGCTCATGCGTCTCTACCTCACCATCCACTCTGACCACGAGGGTGGCAACGTCTCAGCACACACCACGCACCTCGTTGGCTCAGCTCTCTCCTCACCAATGCTTTCGCTTGCAGCCGGCCTGAACGGTCTCGCAGGCCCTCTCCACGGCCTCGCCAACCAAGAGGTGCTCAAGTGGCTGCAGGAGATGAAGTCCGAGGTCGGCTCCGATCTCTCTGACGAGAACATCACCAAGTACCTCTGGGACACCCTCAAGTCCGGCCGCGTCGTCCCCGGCTACGGCCACGCTGTGCTCCGCAAGACCGATCCGCGCTACGTCTCCCAGCGTGAGTTCGCGCTCAAGCACTTGCCCGACGACCCAATGTTCAAGCTTGTCAGCCAGGTCTACAAGATCGCCCCCGGCGTCCTGACCGAGCACGGCAAGACCAAGAACCCGTACCCGAACGTTGACGCGCACTCTGGTGTTCTCCTCCAATACTACGGCCTGACCGAGCAGAACTTCTACACCGTCCTCTTCGGTGTGTCGCGTGCTCTCGGCGTGCTTCCGCAGCTCATCATCGACCGTGCCGTCGGTGCGCCGATTGAGCGGCCGAAGTCCTTCAGCACGGAGGCTTGGGCTAAGCTTGTTGGTGCCAAGCTCTGAGTACGCTCGGTTGAGCAACACCACGCGAGCAAATCCCGCGCATCGCGGACGAGCTCGGGCCCGGACGTTCGGCTTATACAACGAGCGCTACATTTACTCGGCGGCGATGGAGGCGGGCAGGAGATGAAAGAGGAGCGAAAGCAGCAGACTACGAGATGGCAGGCTCATGGTCTGCCAACGGGCACGAAAAGCGCTTCATAGGGCTTGTATTACTGGCTTGGTGGGTCCTTTTCGCAGTCTGTATAATCTATGGACAGGGCAGGCTAGTGGATCAAGCGAGTAAGTAGCAATACTGGGGAGTTCTTCTCTGTCTGTTCGGTTGTATAGCATTTTTCGGTAGCGGGAGCGAGGTAGCGTTTTCCTTGCCGAGGTCTACATTCCAGAAATGGGTACGCTGGTGTCAATGCTCTTCGTTTTCCGAACAGTGGTTCCGCCGGACTCCGATCCCAGGGAGATTGAGCCACAGCACGCACGTTGGGGGCTCGAAGCTCGTGGCAGCTAGCCCGCTGTCTCTCCGGCCCGCGCGCCTGGGATGCCGCAGCGGCCAATGCAGCTGAGATCCATTTCGGGATGGGATTCAGGGTCTATAGCCTCACCACTTCTTGGAGTGAATGTTGACAGTCGGGTTGCACAGAGGTAAGCACGCGACCAGCACTTGAAGAGCCCGTTACGCTTCTTTGCAGGCGACTGGTGTTAGAGGTCATACTTTCCCTTGTACAGAACAATAACTGTGTTTGGTCAACAACCCGGGGATCAGCAACACAGAGCAAAGCCCGAAAGCAGATCAAGCCATCCCCTTAATAAGCGCTACTAGCTTACACCGACCCTTTCCCCCAGCTCACATATTCTCCACCCGTCAGTAAACACGACCACCTCTCTCCAGTCCACCTCCACGTCCATACCCACTCACAGGCGAAGAAGCCGCATACCTGCCTTGGTCCGGCCACAACCCATCCCTCACCACCACCAGCATGTCCACCTCCGCCACGGCGACGGGCAATCCGGGCATTGGCCTTAGCACGCAGAAGCTTGAGAAGAAGCCCGTGAAGTTCAGCAATCTGTTGCTCGGTGCCGGTTTGAACATGTTCGAGGTCACGACGCTCGGGCAGCCGTTGGAGGTTATGAAGACGACCATGGCGGCCAACCGACAGGATGGTATGGCCGGGGCGGTGAGCCGGATCTGGCAGCGCGGTGGTGTGCTTGGATGTACGCTCTATCCATTGCTCCGAAGTTGTCTTGATATAGTGATGCTAATGCTCGTCCATAGTCTACCAAGGTCTCATCCCCTGGGCCTGGATCGAAGCCTCGACCAAAGGTGCCGTACTCCTCTTCGTCGCCTCCGAAGCGGAATACTACGCCCGGAGCTTTGGCGCCGGCAACTTCACGGCCGGCATCAGCGGTGGTATGGCCGGTGGACTGGCTCAAGCCTACGCAACCATGGGTTTCTGTACGTGCATGAAGACGGTCGAGATGACGCGACACAAGGCCGCAACTTCGGGCGAAAAGGTGCCGGGTAGTATGCAGGTGTTCATGGACATCTGGCGCAAGGAGGGCCTGGCGGGTATCAATCGCGGTGTCAATGCTGTCGCTGTGCGACAGGTCACCAACTGGGGTAGTCGCTTCGGTTTGAGCAGAGTCGCGTGCGTTACAATAACACACTACAATCCAAATTAGGCATTGCTAACGAAATCTACAGTGAGAACGGCATTCGCAACATGACCGGCAAGAACGAAGGCCAGAAGCTCTCCGTTTGGGAGAAGATCACCGCCTCCGCTGTTGGTGGTGGTCTCTCTGCCTGGAACCAGCCCATTGAGGTCGTCCGTGTCGAAATGCAATCGAAGAAGGAGGATCCCAACCGGCCCAAGAAGATGACCGTCGGCAACACTTTTGCTTACATCTACAAGACGTCCGGTATCCGTGGCCTGTACCGAGGTGTCGCACCCCGTATCGGTCTTGGTGTTTGGCAAACGGTCTGCATGGTTGCGCTTGGCGATGTGGCGAAGGAATGGGTGGAGAAGATCACGGGTGATAAGGTCACGGCTAAGCATTGAGCGTAGGCGCTATTGGGAGTTTCGTCATCGCAGTGGCTCAGGCTGGGCTTCATGGGTGTGTGTTACTGTGCGTGTAGCGTTGGGCGGGCTTTGCTGGTGCGCGGGACTTTCTTCGGTATACAATTTGTTATTATGCATGACTGCAGGCTTTATAGAGGATTACAGCGGGGAGGCAAGAAGCAGGCGCGAAACAAATCGAGCCACATTGATACACGATATCGGTCTTCTTATCAGCTCTGATTGTCAACATTAAATGAGACCATTGTTGGCCAACGTTCTAACAGCCCAGCTCGAGCTGGAATGTTGAGCCACGGAGCCTTCCCAAGGCGACTGCCGACAACATCAAACCAGTGTAGGGTCAATGAGACCCTCTCGGCCGCCATGGGCATGGAGAAGGGTGTCAACACGACCATCATATCCAGTCCACTTGAACCACCGTGATTGCGAAGAATCCCAACTAACTCTTGAGCGCACTGGGCGCGGAAGAGTGCAGCAACCACCCAGCACCCGCGCTTTAGCGAGACGAAGTACATCCCTGACTGTCCTGCGCCCATCTCTGGGTGGCGACGGAGTACGGCTTGACACCGCAAGTGTGCAAGCACGCTCGACGTCCGAGCTGCGATTGAAGGACTCTATCGGTCTAGCTCTACATCTATCGTCGTTCAACAGGCCCAAATGTACGTACAGCAAGCCACTCACCGAAGGACTACCAGTAGTCGCCATACGCACCAAGCACTTCGTCCGCGCGGAGCTCGTTGTGCACAGCACTCAGCTTGTCAAAGTGCGTGGCAAAGCTTAGCCCACGCAAGCGCTCCTTCTCCATATCCTCCCACGTCCAGCCATCATCGTCGGTATTGACAGATGCCCTTGTTTCATCCGCGAACTCCCCAAGCTTGGAGCTCACTTGGCTCGCGACAGCCTCTGGACTGAGCAGCCCGCCATTGACCTGCGGCGTTGCCGGTACATCGGCCGGAGTGGCATCGGTTGACGCTTCCGCGCGCGGAGGAAGGCCGATACCAGCCGGTCGTGGAGGAAGGAGCCGTGAACGCTCAAGTACGATTTCGGGGTTGATCGTTAGACGACCCTTTTTGAAGACATACCGTGCCACGCTGGTGGCGAAGATATGCTTTGTCAGATCCTCGCTTTCTTTCTTCGCCTCGCCAGCTTTTCGCTTGGTCTTTCTCCACGGCTGCAGCACATAGCTGTCCGGCTTGATGGCTCCCTTCTTTACGATATGGCTTACGAGATACAGCCACTTCCGATCCCAACTCAGCACTCTCGTGTAAATCTCGAATTGCTGCAAGGGTTCAATCTGCTTCTGAAAGAAACAGCTTACGGCTCCCAGAGCTACGACGTACTTTCCCTTTGCACTCTTCGCTTCCGCGGGTATCCCATCCTCATCGCCTCGGTTTAGCCGGGCCAAACTTGTGCGAAGGATAGCGCCAACATAGTGTGCGCGGGCGACATCAAGGTCGGCGAAATACGTGCTGTTGCTCTTATGGAAGTTGTAATCACAGTCTAGGAGGGTGTTGCGGGAAGATGTAATGAGAGGAGCGAACAGATGCTTCGGTTGCTGCGGTGTAGGTTGGAGGTAGAGTTGGTAGAATATGCCACGAAGTACACGAACCTGTGTCACTCTTCAGCTTTCTGCGCTCTACAGTATCCTTTGGTGGATGGACACATACATGCCACACTCCCGGTAGGTTCTTGATATTTGCCAGAGCAAAAGCTAAGGCGGCGATCTTCCACATGTTCTTCGTAGCGGTTGCGCCGATATATCTTGCCAGATACTCCCGCACTGAAGGTAAAGCTAGTATGCCTGCCACAAGTGCGCCTACGCTGGCGGTCGCAGCGATGGCGGGGAGTCGTGAGGTAGCAGACATGTTATCGCGCTTTAATCAACACCGATATCATCGTCTGCGCATAACGTAAATTCTTACGGAGTAGAGCGCAGGAAACAGCACATTTGATGCCAGCAGAGTGAGACGCGCTTTGCGGAGGCTCGGCGTGCCTTCCCTTTACGGTAAGGTTGTCCACTTTTCCGTACCATCTACACCTTCGTTCTCTCGACAGTTATAATAGAAGGTCATCACGAACGTCGTGGTGTGCTGAGTGGATTACAAGTTCGTGAGGACGAATACTATGGCTGCTCGGAATCTGCACGCGACCATTCTAGGTCTTGAGGAGGAGACCTGGCGGGCTCTGCAGAAGGCCGGCGCGGACCTCCTGCCTTACATTACGCGAGACTGCATTATGCAGTTTCCCATGGGTCTGAAGGTCACCTCTACGTCCGACCCGTCAATCGAGGACATCCTATACAGTTCAGCTTTCGTCCCATGGAAGACCTTCAGGATGTCCAAAGTGGATGTTCAGCACCTTGGCCCAGAGGGCGCAATTATCAGCTACTTCGTGCACGCGAGCAGACCGCCAGCTGGCCCTAACGATGTAGAAGACATTGACTTTGAGGCACTATGCTCGAGTGCGTGGCGATTCGAGGCTGGGAAGTGGATGATGTGCTTCCATCAGCAGACTCTGGCGACCTGAGGCATGGCCATCATCTGGAGACGCTCGGTGGCGGACGCGAAAAGCAGAAGGTGACTCATGGCAGTCATTGACGCTGCGACCACACGCTCACGCACGGGAGCGAAGAAGTACGAGAGAGAATCGCTTGTTGGGGAAGGCTCTTGCAGGGCGACTGACCGCTGGTTGGTAATGTCAGCCTGCTGTTTCGGCGGCCGCTGTCGGTCCGAATCGCCTGCATTTGGCGGAGCCGACCATCTCATCGAACAGCGTTCTTCACTCTGTACGGTTCAATACCGTGCCGACAACAGCAAGAAGTCTGCAAAGGTTGCCAAGGCCTACTCCGGCTACCGAATGACATCCATATCGCCTATACGCGGGACAAATAGGAGGCCACAGCGAAATACGGAGGAGATCGGGTGGAGGGCACGGAGGGGTAGGGCATTAGACATCCTTAGCCCAGCCTACGCCCTGGAGGCGGGAGCGTGATCGGCTTTGGCCTTACTGTGCTCCTCATGGTGATATATAACATGAGATCTGCATTGGATCGTCTTGGTTGAAGTGAGTCTCGCATCTCAGTCATCATAGCAAACGCTCCCGCACCACACCTCGACGTCACTGTGAGGCTCAGAGCTTGGGCCTTGTCTGTTTTTCTGCGGGGCACATCCCACTTGCTCATTATTGGCGCTCTCAACACGATAGCAGCCACATAACATCCCGCAGACCGCTCCAACACCCCGTCACAACCTTTCTCAAAGTCAGCATCGTCCGCAAGCTTCAGCTCTAAACCGACTATTGACAAAACCCAGCTTCAACCTCACCAAACCCCACCCCACAGTCACAATGGTTGTTAAGGTGAGGGGCTTTGGCAGTAAACAACATAGCTTGACAGCTTCTGATTATGTACGGATAGGTCGGAATCAACGGCTTCGGTCGTATTGGCCGTATCGTCTTCCGCAATGCGTGAGTTCTCTTCACCGGGCGGGCCTGGGCTGGGCATGAAGACATGGCTAACGGCGAGATAGCGTTGAGCACGAGGACATCGACATCGTTGCCTGCAACGACCCCTTCATCGAGCCACACTACGCCGTGAGTCCTCCTGCACCAACGAGCTGTTCCAGCATGAAACCGCATCAAGAGCATGCACACCCCAAGGAATCTGCTGACTGGAGATCTTGTGTGTAGGCCTACATGCTCAAGTATGACTCCACCCACGGCATCTTCAAGGGCACCGTTGAGGTCGACGGCAAGGACTTGACCGTGAACGGCAAGAAGGTCCGCTTCTACATGGAGAAGGACCCGTCCGCCATTCCATGGAGCGAGACCGGCGCCGACTACGTCGTCGAGGCCACCGGTGTCTTCACCACCTCCGAGAAGGCCCAGGCCCATTTGAAGGGCGGTGCCAAGAAGGTCGTCATCTCCGCTCCCTCCGCCGATGCGCCGATGTTCGTCATGGGCGTGAACGAGAAGTCCTACAAGAGCGACATCCCCGTCGTCAGCAACGCCTCCTGCACAACCAACTGCCTTGCCCCGCTCGCCAAGGTCATCCACGAGAAGTACGGCATGCTCGAGGGTCTCATGACCACCATCCACTCCTACACCGCCACGCAGAAGACCGTCGACGGTCCATCAGCCAAGGACTGGCGCGGTGGCCGTGCCGCGGCGCAGAACATCATCCCGTCCTCCACCGGTGCTGCCAAGGCTGTCGGCAAGGTCATCCCGGACCTCAACGGCAAGCTTACCGGCATGTCCATGCGTGTGCCAACTGCCAACGTCTCCGTGGTCGATCTTACCTGCCGTCTTGAGAAGGGCGCCAGCTACGACGAGATCAAGCAGACCATGAAGGCCGCCGCTGAGGGCGAGTACAAGGGTGCGTCCAGATCGTTCCTTCCCATTCACTACGTTGAGCGTCTTGCTGACCGTGTACGCCCATCTAGGCATCATCGACTACACCGAGGACGACATCGTCTCCTCCGACCTCTGCGGCAACCCATGCAGCTCCATCTTCGACGCCAAGGCCGGCATCTCCCTCAACAACAACTTCGTCAAGCTCGTCAGCTGGTACGACAACGAGTGGGGTTACTCCCGTCGTGTGCTCGATCTCCTCGCGTACATGGCGAAGGTCGATGGTGCGCACTAAGCGTGCTACGTACTCTCCGTAGGTCCTGTAGGCGAAAGAAATGGCCAGCGCGAGGTTGCAGGTCGAAAAGCTCCACAAGGCAAAGCGTTTGGCGTGAGGATGTTCACTTTCCATAGCGGTGTCGACAGCTCGACCAATTAGCTGGCTCGTTTCTGCATGCATAGAATCGAGCGACGTGAACCTCTCCCTTCTTTTAGACAGCATTCTCAAGTCTGATCAAACGTGCACTGATCGGAAGCCTACAATCCGCTCGATGATCAACTCTACAAGAACGAGCTAAAGCACGATGGTGCTCAGTCTGTGGTTCCCATTCTGGTTCGCAGGATGGCAAAATGTGCTTAGATGCTGAGGGACAAGGCCCTGGGTACGTACGGTGGATAACACGCATCGAATCCATCGCTCACGACAGTGACAGAATGTAAGGCTTGTGTTGCGGCTAAGCATCGTCGTCTTGCCGGCAAGTAGTAGACAAGCGTACCGCACAAGTCACCATCTGGGTCTACCGCTCGAAGGACTGGTCTAGCTACAACTTCTTCGTCCCGAGTTCAATGTCGGACGAGATCCCTTGGGCCCGTATACGTTACGTGTCCCTGAGAACCAATGCCACTCTCTGCTCTCCCGTCCAGACGCCTTGAGCCACTGCTCAACGTCTCTGTGACCCGTCGAGGATGCCATCTTTATGCTTCGGCCAAGGACAGCCCCTGCAGTTCTCAGAATTCGTACATTTTCGAGCTTCCCACAGCATACAGCAAGTTCAATCGGCATCATGCCCATGACTGCTCTTGCGTTCGCGCTCGCGCCAAGCTGGAGCAGCATTTGAACAGCTTCTGGGCCACCATGTTGCGCAGCGTAGTGAAGCGGTGTCCATCCCTTCTCGGCGATGGCATGAACGTTTGCGCCGTGATCTACAAGCGCTTTAACGGCCTTAGCGTTATTCATTTGGGCGGCGATGTGTATCGGCTGGCGGAAACACTTGTCCACAGCTTCAGCGTTCAACCCAGCCGAGATCAAAGTCTCGATGGTGGTGGCATGGCAGCCACGAGCCGCGTAGTGAAGCACGGTAAGGCCATGCACATCCACCGTATCCACGTCCGTACCAACATCAATCAGTGCTCGGACACCATTGTCGTGACCATACGATGCAGCAAATGTTAATGGAGTCCACCTCTCGCTGTCTTGGTGATTGATATCTAACCCGTTATCAAGCAGGAGCGCAATCGTGTCGGTATGACCGAACATAGCTGCCATGGATAGTGTAGATACATGGGACGTGAGTCCGTCCTGAGAGCCAAGCAAGCGTGATTCAGCGCCAGCATCGGCGCCGTGCCGTAGTAAGGTCCGAACGAGCTCGTCGCGACCACAAGCTGCAGCTACAGCGATGGGTGTGAGCTCGCCAATCCAATGTTTCGGCAAGCCAGTATCGTTGGCGTCAGCTGGCACGAGCTCTACGGTACCCGAAGAGACAACGTCCTGCAGTATGCCCAGCGGGATAGTGCTCAGGCGGTCTATGCTGGCACCGTGCTGTAACAAGGCTTCCGCTACACCTTCATCTTGTCCCATGCAAGCGGCATGTAGAGCTGATCCAAGGGTCGCGCATGCGATGTCAACTGTGGTTCGATGCTGCAGAAGCGTCCTCACGATGTTTCCGCGACTCTTGAAGGCTGCCAGGCACAAGGGGGTACCGTAAAGACTGTTCGCATTGGGATCATAACCAGCTCGTATCAATGCCTCTGTAGTGTCCTGGAAACCACTCAAGACTGCGTGATGTAAGGCAGTAAAGTGAACATCATCAGCATATTCGCGGTCCGGGTCGAACAAGGTTAAGTGGGCCACCCTATCGGTATGACCATTCGCAGAAGCTTTCAAAAGCTCAGTGCATTTCTGCGCTCTTCGGGTTGCTTTTAGCGAACGAGGCTCTGGTATGTTGTAGTTAAAGGTGTAGTCTGCGCAGGGTCAGGGCAATGCATGCCTTGGATAAAGGCTCAAAAGCGTACTATTGTTGTTGATCACATTGCCGTTATGCTGTCTCGAGTTCCCGCTCGCTGAGATGCCGACATACAAGGCAGCCTCCCCTCGACCATTGAGGATACTGTTGGCTCTCCGAAGCTCAAGCTGGGATGACATCCGATGTCACCGCTGATCGCAGATTGCGGTAGACATGAATGACAGCTGAATCCGTCACCGCTTCCACAGAGCGTCACCTATTGTAATAGGCATGGGCATCTGAGGTCCGAGTCCATCGAGACATGGTAGCTAACGAGGCTGTATGCGGCGCAGTCCTTCAGCAGGCCATGATACGGGCGCTTGTGTGACCAACCACACGACGGTGCTAAGCGCACCTTTTTGCAGCACCTCGAGGAGGTGGTACTTCAGCCTTCTCGATGTTGCCTACAGTCCGTAGAAGCATAGATAGTCAGGTTCTCATGAGCCTCTCACAGATACATACCAGTGACACACGAGGTGGGAAACGATGGCAGAAGTCGCTGGGTTGGTCTTGTCAGGTATTGGATTAATTGCGCTAAAAGACACTGTAAGCCCGACATGGTAGGGTCCAGAAAGACGTCGCACTGAAAAACAGTAGGTCACCGAATGTTTCAGTAACGTTGACGATTTCAAAAGTTTCGGATCCGATTACAGCCATTACGTTCTGCAGCTTGACCTTGCTCGCTTGGCCTACGAACGATGGTTGAGAAGCGTGAAGTTCTGCGAACCGAACGATCTGAGCGCCACAAGCCTGCCTACAGCGACAGGGGAAGAAACCGAGATTGTAGCGAGACTACTTGGTCAGATCGAACTAGCTTTCAGGGATGCCCGAAGCAAGAACAAGAGATACGCATCAACCAAGCTGGAACCACGCGGGTTAGAGACCTTCCAGTTCAGCGGAGAGGATATGCAAGTCTTGGCAGACAAGGCTCGAGAGAGATCCATAATGCACCACAAGACTATCAAGACCCTGACCAAAGTGCGTTGGGTCATGAACGACGCAAGAACAGTTCGGCAGCTGTCTGAACGAGTAGGCCCATGTTGTTGGTATTTGTTGCTCCTGGCAGACAGCTGACTCTTCCAGGTGTCCAACGACGTCAACAGTCTTGTGGAGCTGTTTCCTTGCATCACCAGAGAAAGCGAGCAGGCCCAAGCTACTGGATCTGCTTCGATGCCTTCCAGTATACACCCGCGATCACCTGCCGCAACGTCGGTCCAGCGTCCAGGTACCGGTACGGCCACCTTCTCCCACGTTTATGAGGAGAACAAGGTCAGTGGATTTGCCAGGGTTCTTTACGGCGATCAGATAGCACAGGGGATGCAAGCCACAAATCCCGGGAGCCGATACGTAGAAAATGAGGCGACGGATTATGCCAAAGCAGTCTACGGCAACCAGTATGGCATGGGAAACTTTCTCGACGGCTGAACAACCTAGGTTGCAAATGTTAGTGGAAATGCCACCCGTCGGCTGTTTGGTCACCAACTTCCGACACTCGAGGATGTCGTTCGTCGAACAAGACCTCACTCTGCCGGCTCGTGTGCAGAGCACCCAACAGTCAAGTGGTTCCGACGTGGAGCTGGAGGCTAGCCTGACTTGCCTCTAGAAAGCGTGCTGTTCGGCTGCGTTCCAGGAAGACCGCCACCACGGGCGACGATGCGCCCTAGAACACGCAGTGCAGAATGTCCGGTATGAGTTTATAGTCAGCTCAGTCATCTTCGACCTCTCCTCGGGTTATTGTATTGTGGCGAATGCACTTTCTTCTGTCAACTTGGGTTGTTGTGTCGCACTGCGTAGCTGGATACATCGCATTTACTGTAGAAGTGTAGCACACTTGTACATGCACAGGGGCCAGCAGGACCGCTTAGTTGTGTGCTACCAAAGCTTCGTGGCTGGAGGTGATAACCACAAGTTTTTCTTCGACCGCAATTTTGCCGATAAGATCGCCGTGCGATGTGGTTATGACTCAAAGATGCTAGGTCTTGAGCAACGTTACCCAGCGTCGTGCCCGTTCTGATTGCCCGGTAGATGTGCGTTGCTCTGACAACCCGGACAGTTGTGTACGACCTCATGGCAGAAGACATCACAATCAATGCAGAAATGCTGCCCACAAGTCTCGCACTCATACCTGCTCGATTCCGAGGCACCTTCTGCTCGCTTGGTCCTCGCACTCGCTACGTCGTGCTCGGTACCATTCACGGCTTCTTGCGGGTTCGGGATGCGTGGAAACGGTGTCAGGCAGCCAAAGCATTGTATGCTGCCTTCCTGGCGAGCACGAGTCCATGATACCTCCACCCAGTTCCGTAGCGGGAAAAGATGATGGTACGAGCGTGCCAGGTGCGTGGAAAGGATCAAGGTCAAGTCACAGGTAGGACATGTAGCAGGCAGATTACAGACCTTCGCCTTGCACCGACTGCATAGGTAGCCGCCTCGAGTCAAGTTGCCGTGACAGGCGCACAAAGTCGGCTTCTCTTCGACGATCCGTGACGGGAAGCCCATCATGAGCAGCGCTGCCTGGTTGTGCTTCTGGGCCTCTGTATCGGTCGAGCGTAGTACGGGCGGCGTTGTGATGTCCATCAGCTGCTGGCGGTAGTCAACCTCATCTACAGCGACATTGTAATAGTTCTCATCTCCGCCATTCGTCTTGCGACAGATTTCGGCACAGATGTGCATTTGAGCCGCGAGACCGATAATGCGGACTCTGATCCGGTCTCGTATGCATGCTTTGATGGTGTCATGTATGTCGCCGGGATCGGAGCTGAGCAGCGCTCCGAGCACGATGACTACCTCACGTGTGCCGTGAGACGGCGTATGATACAGTGCTGCGCGTGCCATATCAAGAGCGTTTTGGAGCGACGGGTTGCCTTTCGGCTCCGTGCTGCGAAGCTGTTTGAGCGCCGCAATATGATCATTTGGATTACCAGACATGTCGCTGATGCGGATGGCTAGCCCTTCCCGCATGCCAAAAATGCCTAGCTGTGAGATCGGGTTCTGCTCGAAGTACTCACGCACAAACATGATTGTGTAGTTAATGGTAAGCAGATGGCGAGTTGGCCGGAGATCCTTCTCAAGCATCGCAGACGATAGATCAAGAACGAGCAAAGTGTGGCGAATGATACCTCGCTGGAGTGGCGTAGTGTCCTTTAGCAGCCTAAACAGACGTGAGCAGACAGTAGCAAACCTCAGTGTATGCTCAAGATGAACCTCTTCCGTTTGCCAGCTTCCTCTAAGCCTCCTAAAATTCCTTCGATACTGCCATCAGCGGCTTCCTGCAACTCCCAATTGCTGGAGGCGGTGGCTTCCCACCGAGCCTGTGCTCGCTCCTTCGGTCGCGATGCCATTGCACGGCGTCCGCCGTCACTGACTTCCATCACATCATCTTCATCCGGACCTTCTCCGTCGTACTCGGCATCAGAATCGGCCATATTAGATGATATCTGACCAGAAGGTGAGAGGGCCAATCAAATTCTGCGTCCGGGATAGCACTCCAGATGCACGTTTTGCCACTTGGATCCGGGTGAGTCAAGATGTAAGTCCGCCGTTAGCGATGTGAAACAGCAAGGTCGTTGTTCACGGCTTATTAGAAGGTCATATTGTGGGGTTAACGCGAAATTGGCGCGGGTCACGTGAATGAGGCAGCAGCGACATGACACCTCGTCAATCTCTCAGCATCTTCTACACACATCCAGAGATAACACAGCAGTCGAAGTATGCTCCTGCAACTGCGCGTCCTTCGAACGCATCCCCGTGAGTGCGGATGTTCTTTGCGTACGATCCGAACTTCATAGCAGGATCATTTGCTGGATTATCGCCGATGGTCGTGGAAATATTCAACTGTAGAGGAGTAGGAAACATAACATACTATGCCAGCGCGTGAGACATGGGAATTTGTGGGAGAATAAATTGAGCATCTTGCCAAAAGTTAAGGGTATCTTCTGCGCTGCCCGATACAACTCCTCGCTACACTAAAGAACAAGTTCGTGGCTCATGGCACCAGCACAAGGCGCTTGATTATGTATAAGTACTCCCTCCACCAGGATGCTCTGGCCAGTCGTCTTCAGTTATACTTGACCAGAAGAACCATACAGCGACCACGGCAAGAAGAGTGAACAGAGTTTCGAAAAGCCCGCCATTGATGGCGCTTCGCGTGCCTCTGCATATGTACGGGCTGATGACGTACTGGAAGACCTGGCCGACAGCGAACAGAACCGCGGCACTGGTAAGCCACATCATCGGTCGTACTTCGCCGAGAACACGCAGGACCAGTACCGCTTCCAGGATGAAGAAGATGACGAGAAATACCAGCGGAACGAGCTGATAGAGTGTATACAACGAGTAGCTTTGGTTCGGTTGCGCCAGAGTTGAATCGAAGTAGTGCGTCCAGCTAAAGCCAGTATCGAGTGCAATGTAACCGGTACCGATGAACAGTGTTGCTGCCGAGCCGAACACAAGAGCGATTGATGTTATTGTGCCGTCGTCAATCACTTGGTAGCCCACGGCGCCGTTCATCATGAGGATCCATGTCGTTGCGACAACTGCAGCAATATGCACCGCCGAGAACGCTCGCCGCACCGCGCCGTTGAGTGGGAAGCCGCCGACAGTGAAGATCTCGCATATCTCGATGATTATGTAGCCGATCAGGAAGAATTGCATTTCTCTGCCGAATAGCCGTTAGTTACAATCCCAATGCGACTCTCTGCTAGCCTTACCTTCTTCCCACCGCAGCCTTCTTCCGTTCCGATCTGAATAAAAGGTAGAGTGATGTGAGGATGGCAAAGAACGCAATCAAGATAGACCCCAGGTTGGCCAAATGCCGTCCACCGTTCAGCGATATGCCTTGTAGACTGCAACCGCCGTAGTACGGCGCAGCGCCTCCTCTTGCCGGTGCTTCGTAAAATAGGTTGCAGACCGGTATCGTCGCGAATTGGCTGCCAGCGTTCTGGCAGAAGTGGTAGAACTGTCCATACTGCGTTGCCGGCATCGTTGCGGTAGACCAGCTATGCTGCCCGATACGCTTGATGGAGAGGCTCAGCCTATACGCTGGTCGCGAGGTGGAGTGAGCGGCTTTGTAGCGAGCGTTCCCAAGGCCGTGGCAAGCTTTGGCTAGTTAAGAAGTAGAGGTTGTAGTGAATGGCATGGAGACCGTCCGAAGACGCTTCGCTCCCTGTGAGTGCAGCAGTGTCGCTTTAACGGCCGGGCAATTTCCTTGCGCGCGGTATGGCAGGTGTGGTCCAAGCGCCGCGTTTAATCTCAAGCGATCCAACCTGATTTGCTGCGTGGGACGTGTACGCTTTGCCTCCCCAGCCACACTGTGTGACGCACCTGTCTGTCGGGTGCGGAGGAGCATCTGGAAGGGTATTGTTGCTGGGATGGAAATGGTGCGGTTGAATGTTACAACGTCGAAACTGCTGTTACACGCCCACCCGATCGACGAGAGGGATGCTGAAACATGGTGCAGCCACAGAGGCCGTTGCAGATGACAGGGATACGACGGTCGCGTGGGGCATGCGATAAACGGTCGAAATCCTGGCAGTGACGACAAATTCCTGGCAATCGCTTTGGCTGGTGGTACTATGACACCGTCAAGAGTGTTTACTTCACTTAGCACTGGGATGGTGATCGGGCTCGCTCTGAGGAATCACTGTGTCTGGTATCAACAGGCTCAGTGCTTCCTAACCTTGCTCATGTGATTGTCCACTAAAGCGGCCTCGGAAGCAAAACTATCGCAGGGGAAACTGCTCCTGTAGCCTAGGCCTCGCCATAACTTCCCTTCCTTCATGCTCCCCTTCCATCCACCTCAGGAAGAGGCCCGAATATGGCTTCCGCCACCGGCCTGACTTCGACAATCAACTTCTCCCTCGCCAGCACCAGGTTTTTCTGCAGCCTTGCCCTGAGCTCCACTTCTTCTTCATCCTCGCACTCTTTCTCGGAACACATCATCTTGAACTTCTGCTCCATGCCCTTGAAGAACGTCAGCATGCTGCGCTCCAGCTCCGTGATATGCCTGGCCGTCATCTCTCGTAGCTGCTTGCGCAGGATATCGTGGGCGCGCATCCAGACGCCGTCGCCCAGGCGCGTGATGTTCAGCTCGAAGTTTTCCAGCCGCTTCTTGGGCGCTTGAGAGACCTTCTTGATGTCGCGCGCTTCGGAGTAGACGGGCACCATGGCCTGCACGATGGGATTGTCGTTGGCGTCGCCGAGCGCTTTGCCCACGATGTTACTGTCACGGTGTCAGCGAGGTTCCGGTTACGCTTGGAGATTGTATGGTGTGGTACCCCATGTCCTTGCGCATGCTTCGCGCCATTCGCTCCACCTTGGGCTGGATGTTACCTTTCTCCGTGTAGAGGTAATCGATGAATGGCTGAAGCGCCATGAGTGTAACGTGCGGATCGCCTGTGTCTATATCAGCGCTGCTGACCATAGTTCGCCCAACAACCACGCACTTCGGATTTCATTGATCATGCCGTTCACCAGAGCATTAGTCTCCTTCGTAAGCTGCCTCGGTGTGGAATTCATGAAGTCGGAGAAGCCTTGGAACCACGACCTAATGTCAGCCGCGGCGATCGATGTAAGGTCGGAGTTCCAAGATATATCTTGGGAGTTCTTCGCCCTTCCCTTCTTGATCCCGTCCTTTTTGAGGAAGGCCAAATGGACACTAGTCGAGTACATCTTCGCCCATTCTTTGCACAGGACGCGGGCTTCGTCCGTCCAGTAATACTCATGAGCACGGAAGGGCATCAGAATCTGATCCTCGGAGTTCTGGTTGAGGCGCTCGTAAGCCTTCTGTATCAGCGCGCTGACAGCCTTTTGTGGCGAGACGACTATTTTCTCAACTTCGCCCTTACGCGCCAGATGCGTCTTGGACGCATAAAGATTGACGCAGTTTATCAAGGCAGGTATCTGCGTCACAACCGTATGCCGAGTTTCGTGGAGTCTTGCCTCAGCTGGGGCAAGGAAGAGATGGCGCCGCAAGGCCGGTATATTGGTTCCCTCGACGGAAAGTGTTGGTGGTTCCTCGATCGAATAGCCGGCTTGGTGCTTCTTGTAGGCATGATTCCCGACGCAGAAGACTGCGAGCGGGAGCGCGTCCTGCGTAAGCTCTTCGTAAAGTTTCTGCATCTTCTGAGACACGCTGCGACTACGCATAACGATACGCAGCTCGTTGTGTTCAGCCTGCTTGGCCCGAAGCTCAAAGGAAAGACGGTGTTTAGCCTCCAGGTACTCCCAGCGCTCCGGACCCTTGGCGGACTTGTAGCGACTGAACATCTCGGACTTCTTCCGATCGAGCGTTTTCATCTCCGTGCGTAGCTTCTCCATAAGCTGGTTGTCCTTTCGGTTTCCGGTGACTTCAGTGCCTTCGTCGATAATGTCCGCATGAGTCAATACCAGCATCGTCCGACCAGAGCCACGCGTCATACATCCGCGACTAAGTTGGTCGCGGATGAAGCGGTCATCGTCGGCGCGACCAATCTCCGCGACTATCATGTAGTGTGTGCACTGTCGCTGGTGCTTCAGCGCGTTATCAACGCGAGTCTTGTTCGTGTCCGTCAAGCCAGGCAGGTCTACAAGGGTGATGTTATGCTTGAGGAGCTCACAATCAAGCCCAAATTTGATGTGGCTCACGAATGGCCAAATCGATACCATAGGCTCGCCGGCTCGTTCTTCGACGGTGTACAAGTACGGCGCAAGCTCCCAGAGAAGCTGTTGAGTTGTTGCAGCCTCGGCTCTGAGTACCGAATCCTTGCGCAAACCTTTAGCCATCAACTCGTCCGTCCATTCACACAGTGTCTCGGTAATAGCTTCGTCGTCTTCGGACTGGCCACGACTGAGGAAGTCGCTCGCTGCACACAGGCTCGAGAACTCCTTGTGGTCATTGAAGAGTGCGCGGAAGGCCGTAATGGTGGTGCGCATAATGGCATGGTCTTCGACAACCTCGTCGCTTTCCTTCGGTCCGTCTGTCGGGTCGTCGTCTTTTGGCGAGTGGCGATAGTAGTCGGCAAACAGGGCCTTGACGATAGCGTAACGCTCGTCTTGGGTAAAGAAGTGGACCTCCGCAGCGTAGGGCTTTTGTTGCGTCGGGAGCAGGTAGCAGAACTCTTGGACAACCCAGGTGCAGCTGCCACCAGCATCGCCCTCAATGGCATGTTAGCTAAGCAGCAAATGTGGACAGAGTGTTGACCTACCTGCCGGGCAATCATGCCCGAGCTGAGGATGGAGTTGATCACCGAGCTCTTGCCAGCTTTCATGGACCCGATCAGTGCGATCCTTACCTCCTCCGGAAAGTCAGACCTAGTTCGGTCGTGAACCTCCTGCAGCAACCCATCTATGAAGGCATCTTTGTAGGCTGTCTGCTTGAGCGGGTCGGCCAGGAGCTTCAGAAGCTCGCTTATGCGATCCTTGAGATTCACGAACTCAGGCGTAAAGACAGGAGAATTAGGCAGCTTCTCGGTCTTCGCATCGTATGGAGGCACTTTGCCATTGTCATCTTCCGCGTTCTCGCCTGCATTATCGTCGTGGTCGTAGTCGTGCTCGCCAGAGCCTTCATCCGCCTGCATGTTATCATAAGTACGCTTCATTGTTGCTCTTCGCCTTCAGCTTCGTATTACTGTGTCAATAAGAGACAGTTCATATGCGAGTAAAAGAAGGAGTCTGACGGCAAGTAATGCAAAGGGACCGCTTTTATGTGGCGCTTCCAGACCGGTCAAGATAAGCAGGTGGCAGAGTCGTGATGTAGGTGAACGTTGACTGAGACCGGTGGTGAGCTACGAGTGAAGTAGCATGTGTGAATTGCAGCATCGATTGACTTCAACGTCGCTGGTCTGTGCATGTATTATCCTATCGGTGCTCGTTGCTGTCATTGACGGGTCGAACGTCAAGAACGCCAGACGCCTCGCCACAAACCCATGCTGATATGCATTCAACAACACCCACCAGCAATGCCCGCCTTCTTGCCCGCACTCTTGTCCGCCGGCCTCAGATTCACCGACCTCCCCGTCCCACCACCACCCGCACCAGGTCCTTTCACACCACTTCTCCGATCATTAAGATCATATCTGCCCGCCTCAATATTCTGCCATATCCTCTCCGCCACTTCCAGAAACGCCCTCTCCACATTCTCCCCGCTCTTCGCGCTCGTCTCCACGTATTGCATCACCTTGTTCTGCTTGCACCACTCCTCTGCTTCTTCCCTCGTGACCTGCCGCTGATTCTTCTTGTCATCTGCAGATGAAATGGTCGACGCAGGCGCAAGATCGGACTTGTTGCCGACCAGGATCACAACAATATCATCTTCGGCTATTTGTCGTAAGTCGTGCAGCCAGGAGGTCACGCTATTGAAGGTGTTGCGGCGAGTGATGTCGAAGACGAGGAGCGCGCCGGACGCGCCGCGGAAGTAGGAGCGGGTGATGGACTTGTAGGTTTCCTGGCCGGCTGTGTCCCAGAGCGAGAGCTTCATGTACCGCTGTTGGGGCTCCTTAGGCGCGCCTTTGCCTTTCTTGGCTGCGGGAGCATCATTGGAGCCGGAGGTCGAGGGCTGAGAGGGTTGCGAGACTGGGTTGTTGATATTGTATTGCAGGCTTGCTGGCGGTCCTACGGGCACTATCCGGCTGCCAAACTCGACGCCGATGGTAACGTCATGATGGGAGACGAAGCGACCTTCGCAGAGGCGGATGGTTAGCTACCTTTCTATCAGCGACGTGCTGAGGAGGGAGGAGATGGTGCTGTCCTACGCTAGATTTGCCTGAGCCCGAATCACCAAGAGAGACGATCTTGGCTATGTAGTCCCATGGCTGTCCGGGTTGCGCCATCACAGGGTTACAATAAACGTTGGGCTGCCCTTACAACTCGATGCAGAGTATATAAGGTCAGGCGCTTCGTATGGTGAGAGACTCCATGTCACATATGAGCACGAGTCAAGGAAGCTGTTCCTGAGGCGATGACGACATGCACGCCTCCAACGAGGGCTGTAAACAGTCAATAATGGCAATACACACACAATGTTCCGCTCGTGCTACACGGATGTATGTGGCACTGACAGCTACCCGTGTCCGCTCAACGCTCCTCAACGTTCACAACGTCGGCGGCATCGAGGCAACGCTATCCTCGTTCACACGGTAGGTCAGCAGGTTCGCCGTTAGCCAATCATCATTCTTACCCAGTGGCATGCGCCATGTCTCCATGAGCGCTAGATGTAAACAACGTTTCATTCTCCGTCTGTTTCGTCGTCTCTCCTCCTCCCGTACCGTCTCTCAGCGCCATTCAGTGAATGCGATGGAGTCCACCGGACATTTGGAGCGAAAACACTCCCGACCTCTCCCGCCACCATTGGACGTCCAACAACCACGGCGACCAACCGTCTGCGTCTTGTAGGTACGTTTGGATGACTTGACAACCAGCGCAATGTGCTGATGTACCTCCAGCTGCGGTGCTAGGGATGGTTCCTCACCCGCCCACCATGCTGCCGCTCGCGCTCTTGCTCAGGTGCTGCACCGGAACAATATCAGTCTTGTTTACGGCGGCGGCACGGTAGGTATTATGGGCGAACTAGCACGGACGCTCGTCTCCCTCTCCGGTCCGCAAGCAGTCCATGGCATCATCCCAGCGGCACTACTTCGCTTCGAGCGCAATTACAGCGAAAACGGTAACCTGGACCCGCAAAAAGTGATTGACGAGAAGACATTCGGCCGTACGACCGTGGTCAAGGACATGCACACCCGCAAACAGCTCATGGCGCGTGAAGTGATCGACGGTGGGCCTGGCGGTGGCTTCATCGCGCTGAGTGGAGGTTACGGGACATTAGAGGAGTTGATGGAGGTCGTGACGTGGAACCAGCTGGGTATACACGCGTGTCCGGTGATTGTGTTTAATGTTGACGGGTACTGGGATGGGTTGTTGCAGTGGGTGAAGAAGGCGGTAGATAGTGGGTTTATTGCGGAGAGCAATGAGGGGATTATGGTGGAGGCGAGGACGGCGGAGGAGGTGGTAGAGGGGATACGGGCGTATAGGAATGCGGATGGGAGGTTTAAGCTGCAGTGGGGGGAGAAGTAAGCGCGCTGATGGAGGCATGGTGCTTGTGCAGTTTACGGTGTATGCTTTGCAGGATGCAAGTTGGTACGCATGGCAGATGCCAGACACCTACGATCCGCTTGAAGCATATGGTGGCGTTTTAGAGGTGGTCGCAATGCATTGCCGGCGAGGAGTCGAAACGCGGACTAATGCTCCTGCGAAGACAATTGTAGAGACAAGAGCTGTACAATATCAACCACTGGACGAAAATGCAGTATTTACGCGAAGCAGATGCAATCCGTAACCCAATGCAGCCCACCCATATGCATTTCCCGGCCGTCTAGTCATTCTACCATTTCTACTGTTCCTCTGACTCTACAATATGCCAAGAGTTACGCAGCTTACATGCCCTGCCTATACTGCGTCCACATACTGCTAATTCTCGCCACCTGCAGCGGCGTGAAGATCGAATAGCAAGCATCCGTTGAGTAGTCCATATAGTTGTGGATCGGGTCACCAGTACTCACACTGGGACAGCTGTTCTTCATTGGGGTTGCCGGGCATCCATTCGTGCTCACGCTCTCAAACGGCGTGTCGCTAACGAAGTCACCGTTACCCGAGCAGGTGTAGCCCTCGAACGTGTGCAGCAAACCTAGCCAATGGCCTGTTTCGTGGACAGCGGTCATGCCCATGTTATAGCCCAGCATGCTCGAGTTGGGCATAGTAAAGGCGTTGATGTTGCAGCCATCGGAGGCGTAAGTCGCCGGAGCAACACCCTTGGTTACGCGGCTTGGCAGCGTGCAGGTGCCGAGAATGCCGCCATTCAGATCGGTGTGGAAGTAGAGGTTCAGAGCGGAATAAGTGCCTTTGCGCAGCGCGGCCTTGAGCGCAGCCATATCGGCACCAGCCGCAACGGCCCAAGCGTCGTTGACCGTGAAGTCGGTGTGGCTCGGAGTGTACGCGAAGGATATTCCGTGTGGCTTGTAGACACTGTTGAGCTGCGCAGCTTGGTCGTCCGCCATCTTTTGAGTGATGGCGCCTGCTGCAGCCTTGCTAGAAATGACGTGGATGTATAGCGGAATGTTCGAAGCTATTGGCGCGTACGAAGTCGAGCCTTGACGGGCGGCCGTGACCTTGGACTTTGCGGCGCGAGAGCCGATCGCACTGTTCTTGTGCAGATTGTGCAGACGCGTGACCGTGCTGACGAAGTGCTCCGAAGCGTGATGTTGCGAGACGTCGCAGTCAAAGTGCTTGATGGTCTGGTTCGTGGCGGAATCCTTGAAGTGAGTGCCATTACTCCAGGAAGTGAAGTGTGGCAGCGTCTTGTTCGCCAAGCGGTCAAAGACGTGCGTGCCGTTCGCCCATGGCTTGTGACCTTTCAAGACGACGTCATGGTGCTCAGTTGAGTTGGCAGTTGCTTTCTGTTGATGCGCAGTAGCACTGATAGTCAAGTTCCCTGCCGCGCTCGACGTCGCTGCCAGTGCCGCAAAGGCTGCAATAACTACACTCTTCATCTTCGCGACCTCTATCCAAGTCTAAATCGTCTTGGCTGAGCGAGCTGTCAAAGCCAAGAAGGGTAAGCGTCGAGGTACCGGCGTATTGTAGTACCGTTGCCGTGGAATGTGTGTTTGCCACGCGAGTGTGACAGCTGAGGAATGAAGTGAGTCCCTCCGATACCCGATGTGGTTGGTATGTACCAGAAATAGTGACCAGAGTGACCGTTCACTGGAACCGTAAGCGATCGGACGATGCTTAGGCATGGTCTGTCCTTTGCACCGTAGATATACCACCTGTCATAAGCTCCAAAGAGTCTCGGTCACACGTAGCCGTGTGGCGATCGCTGTTCGCGGCTCTGCGATCGTTTCCAGATAAGCGGAGACGAGAGGCGCTGCAGAAGACAAAGCAAGTTGTAGCTCGGAGCCGCGTGGATGACAAGGATGCCTTGACTTATGACGAAAGTTCCATGCCGTCGGTAAGGATGAGCAGACACTAACACAATGGGACGCTGTTGTGTGCTCATATGCTTCTTTGGTGCAGTGGACTGCAGCGCGAGAGCACAAAAGAAGGAGCACGCCCGCGCTGACACTAGATATGGCCGTTTGCGCTCCCGCGCTGACAGCAAGAGACAATTGCTGAAGAGAGTAATATAGTGGCATGACAAATAGTAGAGTACACGTACTGCATTCATAGAGCGTTAAGCCCAGATGCTGACCAAGAACGCCCATATACACCTAGACGCCAAGCTCTCGTGACGATGCATCAGCAACTGCTGCTCTAAGCCTGCCGTTACGGGCAGCTCTATGCAGCTTCATTCGGTCTCGGTGCTCGACCGGTAGTAGTTGCCGTAGAAGGTTGCTCATTATTCCAGGAGAGGTACGAGTGATCTCCGAGCTTCCTATATTGTCATTGTTTTGCCACTGGTCAGCCACAATGTGCTCTTTGGTCGGGTACAACGATCCGGTTGCCACCACGTCGTTGAGGAGGCTTACCTCGGTTTAATCAGCTGTGTGACCGTGAACAGTGCACCGAGCAGCACGCAAAGGCCGCCGACTACTACGTAGGCGATGCCGAGGAAGGGATTGCGGCCACCCATGACTGTTCGCGTCGAGATAAGTATGGATTTGCTACCATCATATACCGTGACGGGAAAGTCTGTGGACAGTGTTAGCATGCTTCCTGAGTAGCAAGACGGTAGGAGATACAATAGAAAATGTCCACTTGATACCGCCCAATCGGCATCCTGTCGTTGTCGTTGCGCAACGCAAGCTTGCTGAATGTTGGCAAGCCCGCAGTTCGCATCCAGACCTGGAAGGCGTCGAGCGTATGTAAGGATGGGAAGTTCAACGTGGCGTTATCTTGGCTATACTCCGGATACATCTGCCTCCAGTTTGGCGGTGGGAGCACATCACCATAATTGTACTTCGTGGGCTGATAGAGCGTAGCATCGCTTCCCCAAGCAGTGTTGTTTGCGCTCATCGTGTACGTGTAGTTCGTTGCAGCGTCTCCACCACCAACATTGAGCTGCACGGGAGACTGTATGCTATCATTGAACATAGAGTTCGCAATCAGTCCGCACGGGTAATACGCTTTCCATACGCCATCGGCAGGGTCCACTTCGCCCTGCAGGGGCGAGCAGTCGCTCGAGTTGATGGCGCTTCCCGAACGTGCCTGTCCTGATAGCTGGTCTTGGTCGAATGACTTGACGTACCGTCTGTGGTTCTGGTAGAAGTTCGTCAATTGGTAGTAGAGTAACACCGGCGGATCGAGCGTATCGGGCATATAGAACTGGATATGGCATATCTGTGTGCCAGGTATATTGCGGTTTCCAGCCCAAGTAACTGCCTCATCGGTGGTGGACATGCACCACGTCGGCCTCTCAGCGCTACTCGTGCTGTTCTTGAAATAGCTCGTCACAGCGTTGTCCGGGATGAAAGCGTCGGCTGGCGGTGTCGTCGTTCCATCCTGACACGCCGGCGCCGTCGTATTGCATAGGGAGTAGTCAATAATGATCTCTTGGACCTGCGCGCTCGCCCACAACAGAACGCCGCCTATAGGCGCGAAGACAATTCCAACAGCGAAGAACAGTGGCAGAACTGTCTTAGGCGTCAAGATAGGTTGCCAGGCCTTTAGACGTTGTTGCCGGAATGCAGTATCTGTTTCGCGCTGTCAGCGCCCATACCACTTGCTGCGCTGCCCTGCGCCGGCCTTACTGGGTGGTCTTCTGCTCTTCTGCTTCTTCTCTGGCTCTTCGTTCTCTCTCATGGCTGGGTCCTCCGCCTGCATCTCCATCGTTTGCGACATCTTTGGCGAGCTTAATGTATTGTAAAGCGATACAAATTGCAGTACTTGATACGGATGTTGTCGGCATGGACTGCGCCTACGGCTTACGGAAGCAAGCTTCGCAGGGGTCTTGTCGTGCTAGCGTGGATGGACTTACAGGCTTTCACGTGGCAGGGTCTGCAATGAGATACATAGATGCCCTTTGTCAAAAGATATGGAGTTGGAGAAAAAGAGCGTTTAAAACCTTGAGGTTTTGTTGTCTTTGCGTATGTAAGATATAGTCTCCTGTCTTGCGCGCCACTGGCCATTGCGCGGTCTTCCACAGACGCAGAAACGCCTGTCTGTCAAGCAAAGGCCAAACCAACAAGTCCGTACCAACACAGTACCAGAAAGCCAACACGCTCAAAGTACCGCCCATAGGTCGCTGCAACTAGGCCTCATTGTCGTCCTGACCGACCGACTTGTACTTGCCACTGCCGCTGCCGTTGGGCTCCTCCCCTTTCGTTCGTTTGACCATACTGCTAATCCAACCGGCAACGCCCTCACCCTGCTCATTGTCTTTGCTGAGCATAGGCTTACCATCTTGGATTTCGACGTCAGGAGGCTGAAGCTGCTCCATGTCTTCCGGTATCGGCTCGCCTTGGTCGCCGAGACGGAACGACGGTACGGGCGACCGGTTGCCGCTGAAGAGCGACTCGGCTTCTGCGATAGTCTGCGGTGTTGGTGCCGCGGTCGTGGCATCTCCAAAGATGGAGTTCATGTCTTCAAGTCGGACATTGGCTGTTTCAGGGTAGATGAACCAGACTATGAGCGGTCAGTACGCGACAATTTTACTGTGAGCTGCATCCAGGTGAAAGCTTACCAACAACGAAAGACACAGCGCAGAAGAAAGCGTGAACAAGGTACAAGCGCCACTTGATCGCCTCCTGCAATATCGGCGTCATCTCCCCCACCAGCCAGTTGAACGCCCAGTTTGCGGCTGTCGACAAGCTAGCACCCTTCGCTCGGATGCTCAAAGGAAGAATCTCCGGCGGGTATAGCCATGGGATTGGACCCCAAGAGTAGCCAAATGCTGCGTTGTAGATCATGACGAAGACGACAACCAGCGTAGGCGTTAGCTGAATGTCGACGTAGATGAAGTAGGAAATGGCGGAAAGTGATATGACCATAGCGACTGCGCCGGAAAGCAGAATGAATCGGCGGCCAAGGCGGTCAACGACATACCAAGGCGGTACAGTCGAGGCAAGGTAAGTCAGTCCGTTAATTCCGGTCATGAGAATGGCATCTCGGCCCACCCATCCAGCTTGTTCGAAAACGAGCGGAGCGTAGTATGAGATGACGTTGATTCCGTTGAGTTGGGCCAGAGCTTGCGCCGACATGGCGATGAAGACGCGCTTGTAGTATCGTCGGAACATGTCGTAATAAGATCTCTCGCCTTCTTGTCGCTGTAAAAGCACGTTCATTTTGATCTCGCGATATTCGTCTCGAGCCTTCGGGTTGTGTATGTCGCCCTTCCCGTAGAGATTCGCAATAACGACAATGCCTTCCTCGTCATGGTCATTGTCCAAAAGCCATCGTGGCGATTCAACGATGAGAAAGCTTCCAACAATAAGCAAGCAGCCAATCACCACTTGCATCAGTAACGGTATGCGCCACGCCCAGTCGCTCATGATGAAGCTGCAAAAGTAGTCCACCCACACGCTGCACATGTACCCGAATATGTTGCCTGAGAACTCAATGCACGCCAGCTTGCCACGGTTATGCGGCGGACTGATCTCGCTTTGATATACCGGCACGATCGTGCTCAACGCACCAACGCCCAAACCTGCCACCACGCGTCCCAACATCATCATTGGCATACCCGTCGAGAAGGTCTGACAGGCGCCTCCAATCACGAAAACTCCAGCGCCATACAGTATGGTCTTCCGCCGGCCAATGATATCGCCTATTCGTCCCACCACCAATGACGACACGAGTGCACCGGCCTCTAATATAGCTACCATAGTCCCGATCTCCGCCCTCGAAGGCTGATTGAAGTAGTCTTTAAAGTACGGGCCGGTGATGATGCCGGACATGACGCCTTGGTCGTAGCCGAACAGGAAGACGCCAAGCGAGACGAAGATGGAGAGGAAGTAGATGAGCTTCTTGCCGTGCAGGCCATGCATACGTGAGGGCCCATCATTAGGCATGATGAGAGCCGCAAGGAGCTTCTGGGCCCACCCGAGCGGTTTCGGCGGCGGAGAGGGTATGCGGATGTCCTCTTTCCTCTTAACGACGCCAGTATGCTGCTGCCCGTGACGGTGCGGCTTCTCTTGGCTGGCAGTCCCGTTAGCGTAGCGGACTTTCTTGTGGTGACTTCGGCCCCGTGCGTGATCGCTTGGGTACTCGTGCAGGCGGACTGCGAGCGGATCCTCGGCCTCGGCTAGCTGGTCGACAAGGTCGCCGGTATCACTCCAGAGAGAGAAGTCGGAGCCGTCGTCGTCGCTGCCGGAGCGCCGTAGGCGCTGGTGGTCTTCGACCTTCTCGTCGAAGCTTTCCTCGCTGTGCCTTCCGCGTTGGGTCGATCCCGGGAGGGAGTGTAGCGGTATAACGTGCCGACGTGTGATGTTGCCGAAGGGAATGTTGGCGATGTTGAGCCTGCTTGTTGCAGGCCAGTACTAGGCGGAGTGAAAGATTCTCAATGCTTGCTTGGAATGCCGGCGACACCGCTGACGTGCCCTGACCGACCCACTTGCAGACTGCAGGCCTCAACGGCGCAGCTAAGCTCAGGCTATACTAGCTTGGCAGGTCTCGATGCGGAAGAGATTCGGCACTGCGGTAGGCATTGGACTAAGGTCGCGACTTACATCAGGGAGCTGCAATTGTACCCACGTTGCAGCTATCTGAGCGGGAAAAGTACTGAGTTCAAGGATGCGCAGGCGAGGAAACGCTCCGCTGTTGGCCCGCTCGCATACAAACTTCAACCCTGCAGCGTGCGACGGGGCCGGGTGGGAGCTCATTGCCCTGACAAGCGAACCTGTCTGGTGTCTGCTCTATGCTTATATATACATCACTTGGAATACATTATCCTACACCCAGTCGACAGCCTTCTTCAGCACAGCCAGCAGCCTCTCCTCGCGACTACCCTTTTCGGGCTCATGCTGATACTGCCACCGTGCCGTAAGTGGCAAGCTCATTAATATGCTCTCGATGCGCGCACCAGGCGTATTTAGTCCAAACGCCGTCCCTCTATCATGGACGAGGTTGAACTCTACATAGCGTCCTCTCCTCAATTGCTGCCACTGCTTTTCGCGCTCGGTGTACGGCATGTCCTTCCGCCTTTGCAGAATTGGAAGGTAGGAGGGTAGGAAAGCTCCCAAACAGGACTGCACAAAGGCGAACAGAGATTCCTGGTCTTTCTCGGTGTCGTCCAAGTCATCGAAGAAGATGCCGCCTACGCCCCGAGACTCGTTGCGGTGTTTGATGTTGAAGTACTCATCGCACCACTTCTTGAAGCGCGAATAATAGTCCTTGTCGTGTGCATCACAAGCTTCTTTGATGGAGCGGTGGAAGTGAATTACATCTTCGTCGAACAGATAACTCGGTGTAAGATCCGTGCCGCCTCCGTACCACCAAGCGTTTGTGCTACCGTCTTTGTTGGCCGTCTCGAAGTACCGGTAATTCAAGTGCACAGTCGGCGCCATAGGGTTGTGCGGATGTAGCACGAGACTCAGTCCTGCGGCGAAGAACTCGAGGCTCTCCACGTCCGGATCCAAGGCCTTGTGGTTGACGCGCATCTTACTGATCGCCGCTCGCGGTAAGCTACCGTAGACTACGCTAATATTGACGCCCGCCTTTTCAAAAACATTGCCGTCTTGGAGCACGCAGCTGATTCCGCCTCCGCCGTTGGGTCGATCCCATTTGTCGACTTGAAAGCGTTTGCCGTCGACGGCTTCAAGGGCGCGAACGATCTCCTGCTGGTTCTCCTTAATGAATGCTTCCATTCGGAGACGCATAGGGGAGGCGGCTGTCACGCCGGATTCGCGCTTACTTAGGCTGTCCCGTTCTGCGATCGTTGGCGAGTCTAGCTGCTGACCAGAACGGGGAGGCGGTGTGGCTGGCGCTGCTGGTATGGAAGGGTCGGTAGAAGAGGGTGGTTTGTCGCCGGTCATCTGCGACAGGGTTGGCTTAGCGAGTTGATGGGGAGACGATGAAGCCGATCACGGTACCATTGAGTAGATGAGTGCACCGATGAAGACGACGCCAACGGCTAGCCTTGTCCGAGGTGCGTAGACCCCGCTCGGTGCCTGGCTCCCAGGTGGAACAGGAGGACGTGACCCGTCTGACACCCAACGCCGTTGTGGTCTCGCAGGATTTCGAGTTTTCTGTTGTATTGAGCTTGTAAGGCAAGGATGCACGTGTCTCCTGCGCGGTACTGTGCGCTTCATAGTCTCCAGTCCGAAGCGGGTCGAACACGCCATTGTGCTTGGAGGCATCCCGCAGGTTGTTGTGGTATTTCTCGCGGATGGAATAGTCTCCTCGCAGCGTGGTTCCCTATGAAGCATCTCCAATGGTCAATGACACCGATGTGGTACTAGCGCCGGGTGTTGCCGGCGCTTCTATTTGTGCATGAGCCGGTATCACCTCCTCAGCTTTGCACACTAAGGTACGATGATAGTGGATTTTGCTGACGGAAGCAATCTGTTCAATGATAAGCCTGCTTAATTCTGTAGCCTGCCCACGACGTACATCGTCCACAAGAAGCAACCATACAACAAGTGGCGACCGCCGCAACAACACCAACGAACGGTCGCCGCTGGACACCTTCCGTCCGCCCCACTCAATTACCGTGCTCTTCTTCTCCCTCCACCAAATGCGCCTCCAGATACAGTCTCGGATCCACCTCGTCCGCATCAGCTCTCAAAAACCGGTTCAAATTGCCTTCAGTCCATCGTAACATCGTATGCCTCCCTCGCCTCTGCGGAAGAACCCACAGCACCATCCTCCATCCCTCTGCTTGCCCGTCCTTGAACAGGCGTGCAGTTGTCCTTCGATCTCGAGATCCTGTAGCCTTCAGTTCCGTGCAGATCATCGTTTCGACGGAATGAATGTTGGTGTTGACGGGCCGTAGCTCGAATTGCATGTTTGTCGGAGCTGGAAAAACAAGTGGTGGGTTGACTTCTGGGAGCATGTTGACGCAGTGGACAGCGACATGCAGCAGCGGAACTTTCGGGCCGTTCTCTTCAACTCGCCACGGCCGAAGAGTGTAGCTCGGGGTAGTTACAGCTTGTTTTCGTGTTTCTTTGTCGTCGTCCTCACGGTGAGCTTTGACGAGCACCTCCAGCTCACGGATCGACCTGACTCCGTGGTATTTCTTGAGCCACTCATAGGACAGCTTGAAGGGCAGGCTTTCGCCGGAGTAGCTGTGTCCAACATTCAACCCGTTAACCTCCCAGAGGGCAACCCCACCTAGACGGAGTTGCTTATCGTCGCTCAGCGCGCCAACGATGGCTGTCTTGAATGGTATCCTCACGTTGCGAGGTTGCCACAAATCTGAGATGACGGTGCCAAGACGGTAAACCTGTGATATGGATTGGACGTCTGGCATGATCGCTTGGTCCAGATTGAAGAACGGCTGATCGGTGCCCGCGAAGAGGATGGTGATCTTCGCGGTGACTCTGCGCTCAGTGTTTGCCGGAAACAGATCTGAAACTGTCTGAATGAGTATCCTGCCTTGTTCGAAGTCAACGAGATGTGACGTCTCATCACTGAGCTGAAGCGAGACATTGAAGCCCATTATGAGACCGCCGCCGGCAAGCTGCAATACGAGAGCTTCCTCCGTACTTGCGATCTGGCGCATACGAATAGCAATCTGATCCGGCAAGCTGGCAACTTCTTTGGAGCCGGGCACAGTTAGGATGGTAGGCCGCCATGTGTTCGAATTGAGCATGGGTTGGTCGTTGAGGATGAACTGCAGTGCGACCTGAACCTCGTCGTCGTCAACCTCTTCGGTGTCGTCGGTCTCGGCCGAACTGTGGCAGGCAAGGACAGTATCATTCAGCAATCTGCTGGTGCCTCGAGGCACGCTGTGGCTTTCCTGCTTGATGTTGCCGCTGTCTCGTATCGCTTTGATGGTGCTCTGAGGCGCTTTGCGACCTCGCGGACGCATGTCTGATACAGGAGCGAAATTGCCGACTGGAGGCGCTTTACCGTGAGCAGAAAGAATGTTTACAACAGGTGCGAGGTCAACGTGCTTCTGTCTCGCCTCGGCGGCAATTGTCGGCGATAGCGAGCCGATGCGACTACTGACTTCGTCCTCTGCCTGCGAAATGTCTTCGTCAGTCAGCTCGTGCAGTCGCTTGTACACATGGACGCAAAAGACGGCTTCGTTGATTAAGTCGGGACGCCAGATGTGGAGAAGGTCTTGAAGCGGACGGTGAACGGTGCATGGCTCTTGCTCTGCGTGGAAGAGCGGGAAGTATACAGTGCCATCAGATCCGAGGTCCGACAGTAAGCCTATCTCGGTGATGATGGCACTCGTGTCCTTGAGTAGCTGATATCGGATGGTCGGATTGCTAGCGCTACCGCACAGTCGAAGTGTGGCAGTAGCGATGACCTCCGATGACGGTGGTGCTGTGGACATGTTGCCGTTTGATGAGAAGTCCGAAAAGCGTCGAAGACTATAGAAATTTGTAGACGTTGCCTGCAAGACTTGCTGCTACGGCTCCAAGGTGCTACCACGGAGCCCGCAGGTCGTCAGGTCTGCTGAAGGATCGTGTGCTGTGAGCAAGGAGGCGAAGGTGCTTCGGTAAAGAGAACCTTAGTATTAGCGGAGTCATTAACACAGCCTTCAGCATTCACTTGTCAACTCGTGCCTGTGAACAAGTGACCAAGGCTGAAAGTCTCTGCTGGTGACAAGACAATGGAAGTCTTCGTTCAGCCTTCACTCCATCTCATTCCATGCACTTAGCCCGCCCGCATCAAGCCAATGACTGTGTTAGATCGAACAGAAATCAGCAGTATGGAATAACAGAGCGAAGCAGTTGGTGGTCCCAAAGGACGCTAGACAGGATGCCAATGGCAATTGATTACGACTTAGGCCACAGCTATCACCACGACAGTACATATTGCACGTATTAGCCCGTTTTACAGCTGATAGAACGTGGACGGGCATTGATGCTCAACCGTAAGCTGACGCCGAGTGTGTAGACCTTGAGCGTGATGAATGACGGAGCCGCTCAGAACATCCGTCTCCTCTCGGCCTGCCGACATTAGAAGTATTCTATGGGAGAGCGATCCCAATAGGCAACACGTAGTTGCAGTGACCCGTCTAGCTTACTGAACAGCATTGATAGGTCTTGCCTGCCTGCTGCGTGATTCAATCGCATCGTAGCCGCTCATCGTAAATCTTGATATTGGCGCCGCAACAAGGACACGGTGCACGACTCGAAAGAGCAGCTCAAAATAGCGTTTTGAGCCATCTGTCCCGCGATAATTGACTCGACGTCAAAGGGGCAGAAGTTGATGTTGGAGTCTGACATGGTCCAAGCGCTGCTTAGTCACTGGCGCATGTGAAAGTGAGGTTCAATCACATGCTAGGTTTCCCCAACTTCCCACAGGCCATCCGACAGCCAGATCGAGTCAAGAAGAAGCGAGCAATCGCGTAACACGCAATACCCACAACCATCCCACTGCATACCGAACCGCTCAAGAGACACTTCATTGGAGGTCAGACTGGATATCTGAGACAGTGCAGGCAGGCGGGTAGGATCGGCATACGGGAGTTCGAGCGGAGAGGACTCGACTTGTTCGTTGAGCGGCATACTGATCAGACGAGGAGGTCCAATTGCTGGTAAGTCGCCCCGTATGCCATTCTGAGCCGGCGTCTGCTGATAGCACGGGACTGGCAGCAGCACAATCGGTCCAATACGAGCCTGTCCGACTACTCGAAACGTGACAGATCACCTGCGACAGCCCATTGTGCTGCCCTAAGATCATGCTGTGCCCAAGTCGCAACAAAAGCAAGCCAGACATAGTACCTTAACCCATCTGCATAGCCTGTACTGAAAAGACTAAACTGTCACGGAGCCGGTCAATCTAAAAGGCAGCCACTGCGGCCCTTGGCGGTCATGGCGACCGACATCGTCAGGGAGGCACCACTTGAGCAGTATGGCGGACCATTTGGGTGTAAGTAAGCCCACCGCAGTCTGTTAATTGCTCCCTTCACAAGCAGATGATCGCACGTTGACACAAGTAAACAGACAATCTCGGTGATCTCGCTCACATTGCGGGCAATGAGCCGCACGCGCCGGAGACACCTCGTAACGTGAACCACATTCGTAACGAGAGGCCGCTTCTTGACCAGACTGAGGAAGAGCTGATGCAAGGGTTCTTCACCAATCCGAATATTGATAAACCGTTGTTGCACGACAACAGCCTGAGTTGGGCGGGTTTCGACATGGCAAGAGCCATGGAGGGCGTGCCTTCCTCCGCTAACCATTTCGACCCAACATCGGGCACCATCGACCCCGCTATCACCCTTGCCGACAGCAACACACACTACCACACTCATTCGCAGGGTCCACACATGCAGTATGAGGGCTTCAATCACAATGATTTCTTCCACATTGGCAATCAACATCATCACAACGCGGACGATGAGCAATTGATGAGCGGCGCCAGCTCGCTACTAGGCATGCGCAATGGTCATGCTCAAGTGCAACCATTCAGCGTCGATGGTGGTACAGCCTCAACCGCCGCATGGGGCGGCTTTCACCATCCGGAGTTCATGCAAATGCCGTCAGGCGAGGACTATAACACTCACATGATTCCAGGATCAGCTAACAACGAAGGCATGAGTCCTGCCATCACACACTCCTTGCACCATTTTCAGCCTCCGCAAGAGGAAGATACAAGCTCGATGATGGCACCAAAGCAATTGCGACCGTCAAACACGACCGCTAATCATCAATCGTTCGGCCTTGGCCCGAGTCATACGGCTACCATGCAACAGCTTCTGACACTATCCACTCCTGCAGTCACCCAGAACCGCGGTGGACCTGCTGCCTTACACTTCGCAAGTGACACTAACTTCGGTGCCGGTCACTACAACGCGCCACATGCGCCAATGCAGCAGGAAAAGGCGACGAACCTGATGCACGTTCCTCTAGCCGGCGACGTTACGGTGCCCGAAACAGCACGTCCGCACTTGGTACGCCACATAAGTCAACAAGAAGAGCGCGCATATTCCGCCAATCCGTCGTTCCCGCACCGCACGTTCCATAGCAGCATCTCTTCGACCGAGGCGATCAATGGTCTACCTTTGCCGGCAAGCATTCCACGCAGTCAGACATATCCACAACCCTGGACAGCGGACACTCACGGTCCCATTTATGTAGAGAGCAGCGTCGGCGACCATACGAGTGAGGAACCGCAGATAGTAAAGCGCCGGAAGTCCCGCGTTGAGCGCGAGGATGATACAGAGTACGTGCCTGAGTCCGTTACACGTCCCGCCCGAAGCGCTGCTCCAAGGCGTGGCGCGAAAGGTCCCAAAACAGAGGCAGAGAGCGACGACGAGTTCAAGACCTTCAGAACTCCAGTCAAACGTCACAAGTCTGTGGTCAACCGCGGCGCCTCCAATCCTAGTTCGGAAACGTCACCGGCAGAAGTGCAGAACTCCTCAAGCTCATTCACTGCAGTCCCTGCGCACCGTCAATGCGCAATCACCCGCGAATCAGCCAATGAGCACTCTGCAACGTCTACTGTGGTTACGCCTTCACGCCGACAGTCGACAGTAAATCGCCGCTCGAATCACGGCAGCTCTGCAACATCGCCGGCAGAGGCGCAGACTCCGGCAAATGACGTTACGGCGACGCCTTCACGCCGCAAAAGTACTGGTAGAGCAAGCAACCGCAAAGCCAGCACTGGCAAAGCACGCCAAACCCTTACAGAAGAGGAGAAGCGCCGAAACCATATAAGATCTGAGCAAAATCGCCGCGACATCATGAAGGATAACTTTGGCCGGATTAATCATCTCGTGCCAGCCCTTAATGGCGGCAAGTCGGGTCTTTCGAGAGCTGACCAGGTCATGGAGATTGCGATCTTCGTGGAAAGCGTTGTCCGTGGAAACCAAGCCGCTGAGGCGATGCTAAACGCAGCTATACAAGGTGGCGCACACGCTGGTGCGAATTCGATCGAATACGGCGCCTTTGGGGCCGTTGATTACGGTGCAACGCAGACTGACGAATACACCTCGACTTGTTCCGCCGGCTTCAATGCCGCTCAACGTCTTGACTACGATGCCACCGAGGCTCTGGGGCAAGTGAGCCAGGCGTTCGCCGAGTATTAGTATCTCGCGGACGCGCTTGCTTCGATGCACGTAGAACATTTGCCATTAAACCACCGGACGCTCGGTCAAAACCGTAGCTACTGACGTACAAGCGTCGATAAGGCCATGCTTTCAGCGGCCAACCACTACTATGCACATACGAACAAAGCACCCTGCATATACCTGCACATACCAGGAACCAGTGGGGTGCGCATCACCACGGCTCACCGTGTTTCGGAGCCTACATAAAAGCTGCACATACTGGCACGATTAATGGTGTTGTTCGTTGCCGGCTGGCAGGGCGCGAAGGCGTTGCCCCCCGAGGGCGGATATACCACAGGGCGTGATTGTTTACTTGCTAATTTTTCCTGCTCTCTTGTCATTCTTTGCATAGCGTGGAGCCTACCTGTACCGGCGGTCGAGGCGCGAGCCTTGAACAGCTACCAAGTGAGTCTTGCGGATGGCTGCACATGGGGCCGGGTACTTGCTTGCAAAGCGTGCTATGCCAGAGATGTGTCCGGCCATAGGGTCGTCATTGTAAGAATGGCGATTTAGGGACGTGGCGTGGTATGTACGTGTCTCAAGGTAGAGAATGTAGTCACTCCTTCGGCTGCTAGGAGGACTTCTTCGTATTCAGCGTGCCTTCCCAGTGCGTCCAACTTGAACTTGCGGACCGTGCTGGATTCGGCGAACGCTAGTTCTATCTTCTGTTTCCAGCGTCACGTAAGCTTCGCGGTACAACAACGTGGATACACAGTCGGAAACACCCATGTCGCACAAAGTTCTTTCACATCGCTACTGTTAATCATATTGTTACGAATCATGCCGGCTATTGCACTTCAGCCACAAAACCCAGACCGCGCAGGTATAGCTGACCGTGCTTTACCAGGGCTACTCCAGACGCCATCTGGTCTGGCGCTTGTGGAAATCCAAGGAACAATCAACAGTACGTCAGTCTCGGACGATACTCCCGCACAAGCAGCGCTAGATGTCGGACGACTTGTGTTCCCTTACCACAACCCGGAAAATGAAGGAGACACATCCTGGCAAAAACGCGTCTACCTGTACGTGGGCAAGCATCAACGTCTTACGGGAGAGGTGAAGAAACTAGCAAAGCCCATTGCCGTGATTCGAAGAAAGACCCCAGCTACATCTGCTGTCCCGGATGGGGATGAGCTCGAAATTGCAGAGATTGTGTATTACAAGTTGCTGTTCGCTCACAGGCCGGAGCCTGTTGGTGCCGGAGGGTGATGGTTGGGAACTTGCAATCATATATCAGCAACTACGTCAATTCAAGGCAGAGTTTTAGGCGACTGGGCTGATGCCACTTTCGCCAACGTGAGATATCCTAGTGAGATATCATCAATTCCGCACAGCAATCTGCGACATCAATGCGAGGGAGCTAATAAGATAGGGAACCCGGAAAGGTGAGCTAGTTGCCAAGGTTCGGCGCGTTGTTGATCCGACATTAACGATCTTTCGGCAGTAAGGTCCCGCAAGGGTAGCATCATGGACTGAGCTGTCGTTCACTAACATCATTTTCCAAGGCCGTACGCAACGCTATTTAGTTCTAGGGCAAAAGGCTAATTTGAGGTTTGCGAAGTTGCCGGCCGAACAACACGCCGGCTTCAGTACTATACGGCCGCATATTGAAACTATATCATCGAACATAGCCGGAGAAGAAAGTCGGAATTGGCAGTGGCCCCCATCTCGAGTGCTACACGAGAACAAAACTTGACACGACCGACACCCTCGCACACTGATTATCAAGATGTCTACCGGACAGGTTGTCCTTGTTACCGGCGGCAGCGGCTTGTAAGTCAACCAAGGAAGACTTGACGCAGCTACCGTCTGACATGGTGTTCCGGTAGTATTGGATCACACTGCATACTACAACTACTGGAGAAAGGCTACCGTGTCCGCACCACCGTCCGGAAACTATCTCGCGCCGATGAGGTCCGTCAAATGCTCATCAGCGGCGGCGCGAGCGAAGCCCAGGCGAAGGACGTGGAGTTCTTTGCTGCCGATCTGATGAAGGACGAGGGCTGGACGACAGCCTGCAAAGGGTGCACTTATGTGTTGCACGTGGCGAGCCCCTTCCCGTTGGCGGCCCCTAAGGACGAGAACGAACTTATCGTACCAGCCAGAGAAGGGACATTAAGGGCGCTGAAGGCAGCCAAAGATGCTGGAAGTGTTAAGCGTGTGGTCGTGACGAGTTCAGTCGCCGCTGTGAGTGCTTGTCCACTTGGCACTTATCTACCCGCTCCGCTGCCCATCACGTCCCCCGGATGCACCTTCATTCAGAGAACGGTCCGCATCTGTCGAGTGCGCGATTTGCAGTAGCGCTGTTGCGAATGCGCGGAGGCTCACTTACTTCGCAACAGGTTGCATATGGGCACAAGCAGAGCGATCGGGAATTCACCGAAGCAGACTGTAGGCATATCTTGCTTGCATTCACTGACCCTTTGACCAATGGTTGACCAGCTCGCGCTTTACAGGGAGTATTCTTGACGATCCGTCTACGCCGATCCCGGCGTATCAGAAGAGCAAGACTATCGCCGAGCGCGCAGCTTGGGATTGGATTGCGAAAGAAGGTGGCGACATGGAGCTTGCTGTCATCAACCCGGTCGGCGTCTTCGGTCCTCTCCTGGGCAAAGACTACGCCTCGAGCATCGAACTCATTGTACGACTCATGAATGGTGCTTTGTAAGTGTCACTCTCCCCATGAGATAGAGCGACGACGGGCTAACACCGCCAGACCTGGTTGCCCACGCCTGTCCTTCGGCGTCGTTGATGTTCGAGACGTCGCTGATCTCCACATCCGCGCCATGACCGATCCGAAAGCTGCAGGTCAGCGTTATATTGCGGCTGCTGACGGTCCTCCAATGTTCATTCGAGACATGGCCGTTGTCCTTAAAGAGAAACTAGGCCCCAAAGCTAACAAAGTGCCCACTCGCGAGCTCCCGGATTTCTTGGTTCGACTCGCTGCTTGGTTCGATGGCAGCCTAGTGCTGCTCGTACCAGAGTTGGGCAAAGTCAAGCCAACGTCGTGTCAGAAAGCTATGCGTGAGCTGGGCTGGCAGCCACGAAGCACGACTGAAGCGGTCATTTCTTCCGCGGAGAGCTGCGAGAAGCTTGGGCTGCTGAAGTAGGGGGCTTTAATGATTTGACTACCTTCCATTTCTGAGCAGCGATTAGCGTATGTAGTATGGTATGAGCGTAGCGCAAGCTTTTAGACTTTACAATTAGCGGACTTCTGGGCAGAATCACAGAGTACACGAGGAGCGCAGCTTGAGCCCACCCATAAACCTAATACCACGGCCGTCCAGCCAAAGTACGAAGCTACCGGCTCCATGCCACGCTGTGTCTACGGCTTCTTGATGGGCCACGATGGAGTGCTCTGGTAAAACTTACACTGAGGACAGACAAGGGAATGAAAGCATGCGCAAGTGTTCGACTTCCTACGCTCTGTACATGGGCTGAGCCTTCGATGTTACCACCCGTATGTCTCAGTGAATAAATATATGCCTTGCGCACCCGTTCCTTTATGAACAGCACGCTCGTCAGAGAGCGCAGCAACGAAAGTTCTGGATTGTGCCGTGATGGCCAAGCCACCGCAGACAACAACAGCCGTCTCTCCCAGCGCAGCTTCCACGGGTGGACGGATCATCTCCTCCACGGTTGGCCGGCCGCCGTAAGCCATTGCGAGCGTGGCAACCGAGCCGTCTCCACAGGAGTTCGGTGGGAGCGGTGCTTTCTCGTCTTCAGTAGAAGACATGCTGGCCGCACTGGAGCTCTTGTCGGAGCGAGCTTCGACAGCGACGAGGGATTTGCCTTCCGAAGCCTTACCTACCAGCGTATCATATCTGCGTATCATCGGCCTGTCAGGCGTGTCAGACTTGGTGACATGGATCTCAATCTGCAGGTCGAGTCCAGACTCCTGCGCTTGTCGCATCAATGCCGCAAGCGTATCCTGGAACCAGACGCGATACTCTTCAGATCTGATGATCCAATGCAGCCTGATTTTCCGGACACAGTGCGGTGCACGAACCAGCTCCTCCGCAAGTGGGAAGATGAAAGATGCACCGCTCGCAGCGGCAACCAGCACGACGGTCTCATACTGCTGTAGCGCTGGTGGCACACCCCATGGTCCGCTCAGGAATACACGATACGTCCTAGTGGTGCCTGCATTGCGCTGTGCAGCCTTGTGGAGGCTCTTCGAAAAGCCTCTGTGTGACTTTATGAGCATACGTAGCGTCCGCTGCTGCCGGTCGTGGAAGGCGTTTGCGATGGTGAAAGGATGGAGCTCAAACGGTCGCAAGCCCGGCATTGATAGGTACGCATGTTGACCAGCCCGCCATGAGAAGTCGACATCTTCAATCGTCAAGCGCACCATATCTCCGGGCAGAGACTCCAAGCTTGCAGCGTAGCCCGGCGTTCTCAGCCGCAGCTTATTAAGAACATGGACGTTGCGTAGGACATTCCAAATGATCCTCATGCCCCAATCAAAGCCTACGAAGCCGATCGACATGTAAATGTTGTACCTTGCATAGCTCGGAACGTGCCAATAGAGAAGCCACAGGACCAATGCTGCAGCGACGATGTGCTGCGCGACGAAGAGCTCGTAGTTCATTGCGCGGAAGACGCCAAAACCAGACAACACCATCCAAGCAATGGTTCCGAACGCTCCAAAGCCGTACTTGACCATCGGCATCATCTCGATCTCCAATTGCACGAAATCGGCCAGCCACCATTCGCGGAGAAAGAAGGACCAATGAATAATGGCCGTCAGGAAAACGGTTCGTGACGCCCACCGATGCAGCCAGTTGATGCGCTCATATGATATACCCGTCAAGGCCGTCAGAGGGGTGAACTTCATCGATAAGAAGTAGATGAACGGTATCTGGGCGACGGTGACCCAGGCGGCTCGGAAGCCCACCTTCTCCCACTTATAAGCATACATGGAATCGCCAGGCTTTAGGATGACGTTGCTCCAAAGCATGATCAGGAGTGCTGTCCAGTACACGACGAGTAGGATCCAGTGGCCGATTGGTAGCGGGCTGAAGTACTTGCTGAATTTGCCTGTGAAGTAGGTTGGTTGAGCGTAGGTCAACTCCCGCCACACTGCAGTAGAAGTTGCATAGCACTGCGACAACAAGCCCCGCGGTCTCGACGGGATAGTGTGAGGTTGCAACCTTTGCCGCTTTATCCGCTGGCGATACTGGAAGATCGATACGAGCCTTGCTACGGCGAAGAGACCAGTGACCGCAACGATGCCATACCAGTAGCCATGCGCAATCGCCATGTTGTCGCCGGTGAATAGCCCCTCGCTACCCATGTCCATACCGCCGGACATACCGCCCATATCCATACCACCCATATTCATGGTGGGAAGTACGGGCTACAGCGCCCAATGTTAGTAGCGGATAGTGGTCCTGTCAATGCGCGGTGGCCGACTACACAACTCGACTCCGGCACTGCAAGATACGCCTCATCCAAGTGCTACGCATGCAAAAGGTCTATGTCTATACATGCAAACAGGTGCAAGTAAGATACTTGCTCATCGAATGCGGTCATTTGAGACGGTAAGAGCCGCTGAGAGTCATTCAGCGTAGGAATCCACGCAAACTTGCTCAATTAATGCACCCCTTTGGGAGCGCTAACATTGCCAAGCTCACCAAGCAACAAATAGCCGGGTCCATTTCCCGCCTCGCCAACCAGAATGATGAAGACATAATGAATTTGTATATAATGTGTTGCGCCGCACGTGGAGCAACAATGTGTGTCACTTTTGTTGTTGGTATATCGTTTCGCTGTCTGATGTGTCAACGTACCCTCATCCAAGACCATTAATTTACAGCTGACCAAGTTCCTAACTGATAATAAGACCATGATGTTGTTCAAGACACTCCTAGGTCTAGCGGTCGCCAGCTTAACGTCCGCACACTTCATCCTGCAATGGCCACCGACTGCCGGTTTCGACGATGACCTCGAGCCGAACGCGCCTTGTGGCGGTGCAAACGTTGTCTCGAACAGCAGCAACCCGCAGGTCCAAGTCGGTCAATTTGCACTTAGCATCCTCAACACGCATCCGGCGGGAGAATGGCTCTTCCGCGCCACCACGGACACGGTTGGCCTGTCCAACTTCACAACCATCTCACCAATCGTTAATACCACGGGCGTTGGCTCATTTTGCCTTACCAACATGATGGTACCGTCATTCTTCGCCGGCAGCGCTGGTGTCATTCAAGTGGTAGACAATTCTGTAGACGGCGTCTTGTACCAGGTCAGTCACGAACCCTGAGCACACATATCCAGAACGTTACTGACGTTAGCAGTGTGCGCCCGTGAACTTCGTCAGCGGTTCCAACACGACGGTCGGCAGCAGTTGCTCCAATGCTACGGGTTTCAGCGCGGTCAGGACTGGCATGACGCTTAATGGCTTCTCCGCCAACTCCTCGCAAGCCAGTGCATCCAGCAGCGCCGCAGCATCGGGTTCTGCGACCGCATCGCGCTCTGGATCTGCTACTGCCTCTGCTGCCACAGCAACTTCTTCAGCCGCAGCTGCTGTTGCTACGGGTTTGAGCGGACTTGCAGGAGGACTCGGTCTGCTCGCTGCAGGACTCATCCTGTAGACGGACGAGAAAGTTGCTTCACTGCAGACGCTTGCGCGACCATGTGAGACTCCCCTGTGGCATCTCTCGGTGACAAGCTGGACTCCCGTCGCGAGCTTTGCCTCTGCCAGCAATAAACTGGTACATATGAGCACGCGGTCACCGCAGTGAGTCTGGGCCTATTAAGTATGACAACAAGGCCGAGGGAAAGAAAGTCGGTCTGTAATGGAACACGATAGATCCCATGGGTATCGCTATAGGCTCGGTGTCGGTCATCAGCTTGTGCATTGTGCGCTCTACTTAGAGGCTGTGCACTACAAACGATCTCCGCAATATGGATACTCCATCTTCGCCCCCATATGTTCGAGGCGATGTAGCCCACCATCGACTTGTTGTTGGTGGATAAGTTCCTCTGCAGGTCTTGATCCTTCCCTCAAGTTGCAACAATGGCAAACGATCTAGCACCGCCAATGCCAAGAGTTTGTACATCGCGTCGCGTCGCGCTTTCACGTGCCACTTCAGTCGTACAACCAGACCACCGTAACCTCTGTCTTCATTTTCAAACATGCAATGGAGGACGTCTCGCCGTTCAGGCTGCCAGACCTGTGGCGGTCGTCTCATTTCACGGTTCTACAGGAATCGGAGAGCTTGTTCTCACATTCCGGCTTTGACGTGCAGAGCATAAAGCCTATAGCATCCGGTGAGGACTCAGACTGGCCCTTTGTCGACTTTGAACATCTACAGCTCGAAAGTCTTGCCGATGGTGCCGTCACCGAACTTGAGCCACTGGACGTAGCTCCCACACATGAAAATGGAGAAGCCGTTGAAAACGCTACGCCTCACGATGACCCTATTGACCCTTGGACCTTGGCTGCGTACATTGATGATGGGGAATCTCAACCGAAGCTGCGGAGTTGGGAAGCGTTTGACAAACCATCAGTCAACACGGTCGATATTGTGTACCTCTCCGAAGCGGGTGTGGGTGCATTCGATGCAGCTTTAGCTTCAGCTTCGTCTCAAGCGGATGATGCGACCGGAGTTTTGCCACAAGATGTAACGCTACGCTCATTTCGCAGCCTAGCCCTTGGAAGGTCGTCTATCTTCTTTCAGTGGCAAGAGGTCAAACAATGCTTCGAGCAGATACTGCCGTCCGTACCGTTCTCGGGCTGCAGTCTGATGTGCTCGCAGGATGTCGCTACCGAGATAATGAGCTACGGAACGCTTTTGCGCAAACTACGATCATTCGTCGAAGTCACAGCGCAACCCGTGGCAAGTCTGCCGGCACTTACGGCGCTGAGAGGCAGCGTCGGGAGTATTCTCGAGGCCATTGAGGCTGTATTGTCTACCAATCTCCCGGGCTGCCGCTCGATGCTGCAATTGCATTCTGCACTGGACCTCCCAAGGGGGCTCCTGCAGCTTGTTGAACGGTTGGTAGAAAGTGTGCGAGATGCGGAATCCGAAGAAGAGGTAATAGCAAGGCTTTCAGACGAGGTCACATCAGCGGTCGAATCTGGTACTATGTTCGCGCATGTGCTCAGAAACATCCTTGCTCGCGTCTGCGGACCGTGGCTTGTCTCTCTGAAGGAGGAGCTCGGGCTTAATCATCCACATGCTTCTCAAGCCTTGGGGCATTCCCATGGCGGTACAGCGGCACCGGGAATACCAGGCTTAACTGGGGCGTCGCTATCAACGCGCCCTCCAAGCCGAACGGCATTCCTAGATGCTGAGGACGAACGACTCGTCAAAGAAACTAGGCAGACCGTAAGCCTGTTACGAGTGAACTTCCCAGAGCACCTGCATCAGGTAACAACAGGGTACTATACGGAAAATGCGGATCCAGCAGTAAGCGATATGAAGCCACATATAGCCCGTCTCTGGCTCGCCGATGAACAGGGTCCATGGAGCGGCATCGACTATCAGGAACAGTACTTGAAGGTTACCGATCGACAGATGTCTCTGCATCCTCACACGCTGGGCATGGTGCCTCGAGATGATATCTCTAGCGAAGTGGCGGCACTCCTGCAAAATCAGCCAAGCAATCAAGCGTCTGGGCCTAATCTTACGAATAGGAGAGTGGATGTATTTGAGGAGACGAGGCAGTCAGTCCAAGCACACCACCGCCGCTTGAACAAACTCCTAATGAGGCAATTGTTCAGCTCGCTCCAGCTTCGGAAGCATATCGACTTGCAGCGTGGGTTCCATCTCCTTGGAAATGGCCACTTTGTCAGCCGTCTTTCGACTGCCCTGTTCAGCACCGACACGCAATCTCCCGAGCGCAAGCGTTGTACAGTACCTACAAGCGAAACCGTGGGCTTGCGTCTCGGGGCGACGGCGGGCCAACGCTGGCCACCCGCAAGCTCAGAATTGCGCCTGACGCTCATGGGGGTGTTGAGCGAAGGCTACCAGGCAGCAGCGCCGCGCGGTGAGCTGGTACATGACCACGCCTCGGATCTCCCTGGAGGTCTTAGCTTTGCGATTCGCGAGCTTCCAGACGAAGAGATTGAACGGGTGATGGATGCCAGCTCGTTGTATGCGCTTGACTTTCTCAAGCTGCAATACGCGGCGCCACCGCTGTTGGATTTGATCTTCACACCCAGCTGCATGCAGAAGTACGACGACATCTTCCGATACTTACTTCGCATGTTACGTGTGTTCGACTTGACCAAGAGGCTGCAGAGCATCGTTGCCAAGGATGAACACTCAAGCTCTGCTATTAAGACCAAACTCGTGATGCAAGTCCATCGCGCCGTGTCCGGTATTATGGCATACGTGATGGATGTTGGCGTTGCGGTACCGTGGGCAGAGCTTCAGCATTCGCTGGACACAATCGAGCGAGACGTATTTGGGAACGAAGGCGAGAGTGAGACGAAGCCAATGAGCAACATCACCGCCCTTGCAAACATCCACGAAGCCTGTCTCGACCAGATCAGGACGCGCCTTTTCCTTCGAAAGAAGCAAGGTAGTATCCGCGATGCTTTGGATGACCTACTGAGAACTGTGCTGAAGGCCGCCGTGGTCATACAGGGCGACAATGTTGCTGCACACAACGCAGCATCGACAGTGTTTGTGGCTTCCCTCCGCGAGCTCATCCGGGTGCTCCAGTCCAGTGAGACTTTCTCCAACGCAGGCGCTCGGTTGGCCGACCAGCTTGCCGACGAGCGTGAGGTTGTAGGCATCCTGATCAATCAGTTGAATTGGAATAATCACTATCAAACAAGCGATAGTAAGACACCTTAGCATGATAAGCAGTATGGGAATACAGATCGCCCAAGCCGCACACGCAACCCTTTACAACATCCACAAGTGAAGACTACGCATGTATTGACCTGTATCGCACCGCCTCTCAGGCACCTCTGAGGCTTTCAGTAGCGCGTTATTTCACACAAAGTTGAACAAACCATACTCTCTAAGCCTTACGTGACTTTCGCCTCGGCGCTGCCAACCTCGTGCGAGTCAGGCAAGCGAAAACGGAGAGAGGAGAACCGTTGGAGAACTCGCCTACTAAGTTGCGTTGCTCTGACGATCAGCTGCAGTCGAATCGATCTGCATCGCGGAGACTGCAGATCGTTCTGCCGGCAAGCCGGGACCGACGCGATCATCATTGGTGGGAAGCCCGTCAATGCCTGCCAGGCACGGACGCCACGTTATGAGACGTGACAACTCACAGTCCGTTTACTCATCGATGGCCAATGCCAATGTTGGCTGCCACCGCCGACCGTGTCATCGGTGCAAAGCCCAAGTTCGTGTTATCGTCCGAATGGGTCAGTGGGCACAGCCAGATGCGGCCTCCCAGCCGCTCGCCCCCAGCATGCGCGCGAACATGCTGCATCCCAGATCCCATACGTCACCTTGTAGCGTCGAATGGACTGTGCGCATCAACGACCACAGACTGCGACGAGCGCCGGAGTGTCTCCCAGTGAGTTCAGTTTCCGTGTCTCTGCTTCTAGATCTTCTCTCCTCCTACACGCCTCTCATTCCTATCTTAAGTGGTCTGCACGACCGTTTCAGCGGTCATCCACGCGAGTCGTTGTCAGTGTGGAGGTGGTACAGACAAGCCGACCTTAACGCTCATCCGTCAAGATGGCGCGCTATGGTGGACTGCGAGGTGCGAAGCTCTCAGCGGCTATCGGTGTCGCCGCGGGCACTTGTTTCTTGTGAGTACATCAAGACCTCGCCGCAGTCTCGTGACATCCCAACGGCTGACACGCATACCAAGTCTCTTCGGCTACGACCAAGGCGATCTCGCCGGGCTCCTGACAGTCCCGCGTTTCCGCGCGCAGTTCCCACAGCTCGACACCATTGGCAACCCAGGCAGCCTCCACGTCGCCACCATCCAAGGCATCACCGTCGCAGCATGGAACATCGGATGTTTCCTCTCCTGCATGCTCACCACCTTCTGGGGCGACCTCATCGGCCGCAAGAAGTGCATCTTCGTCGGCCTCGTCTTCCTAATGATCGGTGAGATCATCCAGGCTTCGTCCTTCTCCTTTGGCCAGTTCATCGCCGGCAGAGTCATCGCTGGTTTCGGTAATGGTTTCAATACCGCCACCGTGCCGGCATGGCAGGCCGAGTGCACCAAGGCGCACCGTCGTGGAACCATGCTCATGATCTCCGCCGGCGCCTGTATCGCCGCCGGCTTGTCCTTCAGCTACTGGATCGACTTCGCCTTCTCTTGGATCTCTTGGTCTTCGGCATCATGGCGCGTCCCGATCGCACTGCAGCTGTTCTTCGGTCTCGCCGTCCTGGGCCTGATGTTCTTCATGCCCGAGTCGCCGCGCTGGCTTATCCTTACCGGCCGCGAGGACGAGGCGCTCAACGTCCTCTCTGCCCTCAACGACGTCGACCGCAACGAACACCAAGTGCGGCAGGAGTTCCTGCAGATCAAGGACGCCGTGATCGAGATGGCCAAGGGCGGCACCCGTGACGTCTTCAGCATGGGCGATTACCGACACCTGCACCGTGTCATCCTCGCCTTTGTCCTGCAGATCTTCCAGCAGATGTCCGGTATCAACCTCGTCACGCAGTACTTCGCCCTCATGTTCATCCAGCAATTCGCCTACCGTCGCTGGGTCGCCAGCCTCATCGCCGCCTGCGCCGGAACGGAGTTCTTCCTCGCTTCCTTCGTGGCGGTAGTGGGCATCGACCGCTTCTGGGGGCGGCGAAGCTTGATGATGTTCGGCGCGAGCGGCATGTGCTTGTCGATGACACTGATCTGCATCATGCAGTACATTCACATTCAAGCGAGCTTGATCGCAGGCACTGTGTTCGTGTTCGCCTTCGTCACGTTCTTCGCGATCGGCTGGCAGGGCATGGCATGGCTGTACCAGGTCGAGGTCATTCCGTTGCGCATCCGTGGGCCGGCGAACGCGCTTTCAACGGCTGCCAACTGGCTCATCAACTTCGTCGTGGTGCTTATTGCACCGGTGGCCTTCCACACCATCGGCTACAGGACCTACATCATCTTCGCCGTCACGTAAGCATCTCTACCCTCGTCATTCGCGATCAAGCTAACACATATTTATTCTACAGCAACTTCGTCGCCGTGCCCCTAGTATACTTCTTCTACCCCGAAACCGGCTACCGCAGCCTAGAAGAAGTCGACGTCATCTTCCACGCCGCCTCCCTCGGTCCCAACCCCTGGCTCAACGTCGTCAAAATCGCCGCCAACGAACCACTCTGGTACGGCAAGGACGGCGAAGAGCCCTTCCTGTACGAGGAGAGCGACTGGCATAAACGACACGTCCGTTTCTCGGACGAGGTCAAGGATAGCGAGGGCAGCAGCTCGGGCTTGAACGACAGTGGTGGGAGCGATGGAAGCAGTCCGACGAATTTCGTGGAGAAGGAGAAGAGCGGGAGTGATGAGGATGAGGCGCCGCGGGAGTATGGAGACGAGGCTGCGCCGAGTCCGGCGGTGTTTAGGACGAGTGCGGACAGGGATGCTGCGAGAAGTATCCGAAGTGCTGGCAGGGGATACTAAATGTGTATAACGTGGTTTTGGGAGTTCTTTGGGTTTGTTGGGATATACACCACAGGAAACGAGGGTATGGTCGAGGCTGGGAGGCGTATACAGCAGTTGAGAGTATTCCCAGAGCGCTTGAAAGCGAGGTGCAGTGTAATGATACAGCAACGATATACCGCTAATCACACATCTAATGCCACGAATCGTACGCAGTCACATGTTCTCCCCCTCTCATACAGAAAATGTACGGGAATGGGTCTCTAAACGTTCAACACAGGTCCTTCGTCTCCATACACCGGATCTCTAGTGAACCACGGCAAGTTCTTGATCTTCGCCACCTTGCCCTCCTCGCCCGGCTTCCCATAGCACATATCCCAATTGCAGCCTTTCGGATAGCATCCGACCTACAACCACCCAAGTCAGCCAGTGACGAACAACAGCATCATATTCACCAAGCCACGGAACCACAAAAGTCAAAACCGGGCTCTTCATTCCTGGCGACAGTGTTCGACGGAGAGTCTGCGAAATGGGCCAGCGCTCCACCCAATTCGCGACAAAGCGTTCTGGGCAACACATGCACCGCCGAAGGAGAAGAATAGGAGAGATGAGTGAGGAGGAAGAAAGAAAAGAAAAGAAAAGAAAAGATAAGAAAAGAAAGTCAAATCATACCATCTCAAACCCGCCCTCCAAATCCTCAAGCAACCTATGCGCGACCCCCGCCGGCATGACAATCACATCCCCCCTCCCCACCACCTCCTCCACTCGCTCAGGGTTGTCTTCATGCCCGAAGCACAATCTCGCCTTCCCGTGAGCGATCGCCAGCACTTCATGGCTGGTTGAGTGGAAGTGCGAGGTGGAGTACATGGTGTAGCGCCATTGGGGCGTCACCACACCCACGGAAGAAAGGTGCGTTTCCAAGTCGGAGGCGCTTGCGGAGGGGAAAGCGTGGCGGTAGATCAGGAGGGGTTTGTGCTGGATCGAAGTGTTGGGGATGAGGTTGTGGGCGGGGATTTGGTGGGTGAGGGTTTGGAGATCCTTGGATGGGGTAAGTTTGGTTGTGGATGCCATGGCTCGGCGGAGCATTTGATGACAGTAACTCTGATGGCGCTTGTGTATGCGTTTGAATGGCGTGTTGTGGATGGGAAGTTGTAGACCCTGTGACATCATTGTAAGCATGCCAGGCCAAGTCACTTAACGTCGATGTCGAGCTCGATGCCAGTTTGTTCGAAGCTGCAGAAGGAGTTTTCCATTCCATCCGCCACCAACGCCTCGCTCGCTTCCCATAGTACCTCACAACCCAGGCTCACGCCTTGCCATTCGTCAGCCCTTTCCCCAATGCCTCCTTCAACAGCACTTTGAGCTCTCCGATTTCCTCCCTCAACTTCTGCACCTCCACCACGGTCCCCTCAACCACAACATTGGGCCTACTCTCCTCCACCCTCTTCCCCCACCCACTCCCCTCCACATCCAGCTCGTCGGCCAACTGCTCCCACTCCTCGACCGTATCGTCGTCCGCCTCATGGCGCGTGCGATTCCACTTCACCCTGCGCGCGGTCCTCTGCTCGAGCCAAGCCGTCACAAGCAGGAGCGGGGAGTAGATGATGCCCATGATGACGTCGTTGACGTATTTGTAGCGGGAGCGGGACATCCACCATTCGAGGGGGAGGCTGAGGCAGAAGATTTCGATCAGATTAAAGGGGGCGATAAAGACGTTTTCATCCTGCCATATCACAATAAGTAGGAGGATCAGATGTCGTTTTGGAGAACCGCAAAGGGGAAGTATGTTGTTTACCTACCGGCGCGCGGACGAATTGCATAGTCTTCTGACTGTACAGCGCCAAGAACTCGTCGATGGCGTTGGTGGTGACGTCTTCGTAGGCGGAGTTGTAAAGGGCGATGAGGACGTTGAGCAAAATCACTATGATGATGAAGTTGTAGATATAGTAGAGTATCAACCCGAAGGGCGGGGCGAAGCGAGACCAGCCGTCGAAGTCCGGAGATCCTACAAAGTGGTGAGTTGGGAGGGTCAGCTGTGTGTTATGTGGTTGATGAAGAGGTAGAGGAAGATGGGGTAGGGATAGCGTTGGTGTGGTGGCTTACCCATTATGGCGTTCAGCATCTGCTTGACGATGAACCCGGACGCCGTAATGGCGTTATCTTCCGCTTGATCCAACCCGACAAACCCTTGCAAGAAGCCTACCAGCACGACGAAGAGTAAAGCGAAAAAGATGATGGATTCCTTCATCATGACCTTCAACACAACGAGCATGGCGCCGAAGAAGCGGAAGCCGTCCAGATACAGTAGTAGACGCATCCAGAACATGGGGCTGGAGAAGGCGAGGAAGTCGTAGCTAAGCTCGTTCATGCGATGTCTCGGCTCGGAATCGTAAGGGTGGCCGAGTAAGGCGATCATGCGGGTGACGAAGGAGATGGTGAGGAGGATGTAGAGGGTGGAGTTGAAGATGTTCCAGAAGGAGAGGTAGTAGCGGCCGACCTTGTAGAATTTCCCGGCCTCGTCCAGCATGAAGCCGAGGGTGAAGACGTAGAGCAGTCCCTCGATCACGTCCAGATCTCCCGTAGGGTTGATGGTGTTAATCGCTCCGGTGTACAGGGCGAGATACACCAGGGAGATGAAGATTTGCACGGCATTCTGATACTGCGGCACCCTCATGCGATCCGGATCGAAATGCGCCCAATAACTCGTATTGGTCTTCTGCTTGTAATCCACAAACCGCGACGGATCATCCTCATCCTGCGTCAACCAGCCGCGCCACAAATGCGCGATACACTTCTGATACCCGCTACTCGCAATCACCCTCACAGCATGCAAATCGACGGCCTTTTCTATAGCATTGGCAGGTTTGGTGTCCTGGCCGTCGACTACGATGCTGTACCGTTTGAGCAGGACGTCTTGGAGTAAATAGGTGTAGTTTTCTTCGTTTTCGATGAGGCTTTTAGCAATCACTTCGCACGCGGTGGCGCGGAGGGCGTGCAGGTCGGCGTCCCAGAGCTCGAGTTGGGATTGTTGGTGGAACCAGTTTTTGGCGATGAGGAGGGAGTAGACGACGCAGGCGGAATGATCGTCTTCGGTACTGCCCGACACCTTCCCGGCCGACTTGGCGGTGGCGACGACGGCGTCGGTGATGACGTTGCTGTGGGGTTGGGTGATGCGGTCGAGGGGCAGTTCGCAGGGGATGACTTGCTCGATCTGGTATTTGAGGCGGAGGGCGATGAGGGTGACTTGTTTGGCGGGGATGGCGGAGGGGATGGCGGCGGTGTCGCGGGTGGTGGGGAGGAGGGCGGCGAGTTCGTCGTGCAGGCCGTGGCGGTCACGTGTGCGGCCGTGCAGCCATTTCATCCAGGAGGACATGTTGGTGACAGTATAGAGGCGGGTGGGGTTGTCGGGTGGAGGTGGTGTGGTGTGGTGTGGTGTGGGCGGGGAGGGTGGGGATGTAGAGACAAGCTCTCTAGGTAGGCATTGTGGAGTGATGGTGGGTATGAGCTGTAGCACTTACCTTGTCTAATCGTTGTGAGAGACTACGTTTATCCACACAAACATGTGATGGGCCGTTGATGGAGAAAAGCAGGTTGTCGCTGCCAAGGTCTCCATATGCTTTGCTTCCACAACCCCCCGTGCCGAGGCTCCGCTAGCGTGTCATCGTCGCGTGGGATGGAATTAATGGGATTGATTAATCGAGCTTTACCTTCATTCACGCATAACCGGACAACGATAACGGGATCCATAACACCATCATGCCGCCGCGGAAGAAGGCCCGTCTCTCAGCAGCAACCTCGCCCACCCCCACCTCCCAGCCCAAAACGCCCCAACCCGCCGACCCAGACCCCACCACCACCACCACTACCACCACCGACACCGCCAACACTCTGCTAGACGATGCCTGGACGGACACGGAAGAACTCGGCCTGTTCAAAGGCCTCATGACCTGGAAACCCACCGGTAAGCCCATCCCACTCCACCAACCACTCTACCCCCCACCCACCAAAGCTGATAGGTCTCCCTCAGACTGACACCCGTACTTCTCCAAGGCATCCACAAACACTTCCGCCTCCTCTCCCTCCACCACTACCTCCTCACCAACGCCTACATCCACCCGCGTAGCGCGCATACCAAGCCGGCGGGGATATGGCGGAAGCTGGCCACGCTGTACGATCTGGAAGCGCTGGATGAGAGGGAGGATGCGCGACAACTATCCGACCTGAGCTCCACCGGCGCGGATGAACAAAAGGGAGGGGAAGGCGGGGATGGGGATGGGAGGGGAGATGACGATGACGCGGACGAGGACGAGGACGACGATGATGATGATGATGATGCCTACAGTGAGGCGGCGAACAAGATCCATCGAGCCGATTTCGAGTTGCCGGAGGATGATGGGGAATACGCAGACAGGAAGTGGAAGCAACGTTTCGCCGCAGAGGAAGGTGTGGAGGGAAGCGAGTCCCCTCCCGCACTCCCCGAGCTCAACCTAGCACCACACCCACCCGTGCGCTTCACACCTACCTTCAGCATTGAGCCGGAGGAGGCAGAGGCGCCCACGCCTGCATCTGCTAAGCACAGCGCGCGCGGAAAGACGGGTGTGGGTAGAGGCAGGCCCAGGGGAGGAAGCAGTAAACCCGCACCTGCGCCGCCACCGCCGCCGACTGGCACGCGAAGATCGGCAAGACAGCGCGCGGAGTCTGTGGCGGAGGAAGAAGAGGAAGACGGAGACGATGATCGTGATGACGAGGAGGAGGAGAAGGGAGGAGTAGAGGATGCCGAGGGACGAGGCGAGAGCGAAGAGACGCAGCGGACGCAGGATAGCAGCGCGCCTGCTAAATCCACGCGGAGTGGGCGTGGAAGGGGTCGCGCGGCTGCTGCTGTTGTTCGTGGGAGTGGGAGGGGCAGGGGGAGGGGCAGGGGGAAGTAGGGCGCTCCGTGTAAATGGGCGCAATGTATCCGTCGGCCATCACGAAGTGGGCGAGGGTTTAAGGTGAGTGTATGCGTGATCTGGCCCGTACGTCAACCGCAAGGCAATCGGACCGTGAGCGGAGGCGCTGTTGGCAAGAAGCAAGCCGGGCGCAGGAGGCTGGTCATCAATTCTGACCAGTGTAAGTCGTACCTTGACACGGAGAGGTTGACATGAACGGCTGTGTTCCACCGGTAACGAGACGTGCAAATGCTGAAAGACTCTACGCTCATACCGTACTTTTCGTCAAAAAGGCTCATTCTACGTCTATCATGACATCGAGCAGAATCATGACTTTGCTGCAAAACCCGCATCGCCGACCCAACTCCCATTACCATGCCATTCTCGCTTTCCCACCATCACGCATCGCCCCCTCTAATCATCCTCATCCGAGAACACCTCTTCACCCCTCTTCCGCCTCGCCATCCGGTCCTTCTTCTTCTTCCGCAACTCCGCACTCGTCAACTTGGCCTTCTTCTTCGTGCTCTCAATCTTGTTCCCCATCGCATCGAACTTGTCCTCCTCATCGTCATCCTGCTTGAGACGCGGACCCGCACCCTGCCCTTGCACCCAGTTGTGACCGGACGGGGTCATGCGGCCGTCCATGACCGCCCACACTTCCTCCGTCAAGTCCTTGGTGAACTCGGCCGAGTGCGTGATGATGATCACACCACCCTCGAAGGCCTTGATGGCCTTGGAGAGGGCGCCGAGGGAGTCGCGGTCGAGATAGTTGGTCGGCTCGTCGAGGACGATCAAGTGGGGACGCTGCCATGAGCACGCCGCGAGCACGACCTTGACACGCTGGCCACCGGAGAGACCGCGCATGCGGGAGTGCGAGACGAGTTCGGCGTCGAGGCCGAAGTTGGCGCAGTGTGACTCGATCTCCTTCCGCACCAGCGGCCGGAACTGCCCGCTCGCCAACGCCTCCTTCTGATCGACATCTGCCACCATCTTCTGATGCGACTGGATGAGCTCGTTCCGCGGAATCCACGCGTTGTCCGCCGTCATCATGGGCGTCCAGCGCTCGTTCTTCATGCCTATGTTCTCACCCAACGCAAACGAACACTCATACTCGTAGCTGTTCTTGAACTTTCTCCGTGAGTGCACGCCGATGACGCGACGCTGCGTACCCTCAATCTTGTAGATCTTGTCCATGGCCTTCTCGTCCTCTTCAGTGACGATCTTGTTGGCGCGATCCATCGTTTCGCGGTCCTCGCCAGTCTGGAATCGCCACTGGATATACTCAGACGGCGTCTTGTCAAGGAAGTGGTCGATGTGTGCGAAGGCGTGCTGCTTGATGTAGGCGATACGGATGTTCTCGTGCTGGTAGACATCGCCCGTGGTTGGGATGAGCTCACCAGTCAAGACGTTGACGAGGGTAGACTTGCCGGCACCGTTGGGACCGATAATGGCGATACGTGAGCCAAGCGAGCACTGGAAAGTGATGTCCTGAATCTGAGGCTTGGAGGTGCCGGGATACTGGAAGCTCATGTTGTTGACACGGACGATAGCCTTGGCCTTGGTCTTAACGCCTTCGAGGAAACCAGGCTCCGGGAATCTGAACTCGATTTCGGACGCTCCCAGCTCGTAGTAAGACTTGGCGGATGGGACGCGCTTGACGAACTCGCTAAGCTTGCCACGGTAACGCTTGAGCTTGAAGCGCTCGTAGTGGTACACGTGTTGAATAACGTTGTCCAAGAACTTGACGTCGTGGGAGATGATGATGGACGTGCATGGCGAGTTGACGAGGTAGTCTTCGAGCCACTTCACATTCTTGACGTCGAGATGGTTGGTCGGCTCGTCAAGGAGGAGGATGTCAGGCTTCTGGAAGACTGCGCGGGCTAAAGCGAGCTTCATCTTCCAGCCACCGGAGAGGGCAGTGATTGGGCCTTGGATCTGCTGGTCCACGAAGCCAAACTCGACGAGCGTCTTCTCGACTTCTTCTTGCGACAGATTTACGTCCGCCTGCTTAAGCTTCATCATGGTCCATGCAATGACAGTCATTTCAGTGTCGGCAGAATCGAGATCGTGCTCAATGTAGGCCGTCTTGACCTCGCTTTGCTTAGGGAAGCCCTCAACCTGTTCGTTGTTGATGGCACGCATGAGCGTCGTCTTACCAGAACCGTTCGGGCCGAGAAGACCGTAACGCTGACCACGCTTGAGGCGCAGATTGGTTTGATTGAGCAGGATCTTGGCACCGTAAGCCAGGTTGAACGTGCAGTTGCAAAGGTCCTCGCCCTCCTCCTCATCCGGCTCGATCTCGTCCTCTGCAGACGCACCAGGAGTGGCACGCTTCCGGAGGGTATCCACGACATTCTGAGCATCTTCCTGCCCGATCATGGCAACAACAAGCGGTAGAATGTTGGTCGCCCACTCAACCGGATCCTTGGCTTTCTCGTCGACGAGCTGACCGCCAATGGCAGCAATAAAGTCCAATACTGGCTCAAACTTGGTGATGGTCTCCTTGTGCTTGTAGTCGAGAATGTCCTTCAACTTGGCCTTGACAGTCTCAAGCTCACCATCGGCCGACTTCTCCGGGATCTTGCCGTCCTTGACATTACCCACGCGAATGAGCGTATCGAGAGCCTGCTTGGTCTTCTCACGAGCCTCTGGGTCAGCAATGTTGGAGTAGTTCTCCTCTGTCTGCGGCATGAGCTTTGGCAAGAACGCAGCCACGATATTCGGGTCCTCGACCAGCTTGCACATGTTGTCAATGATCACAGCTGTCTTCCGCTTGATGGCGGTCTCGCGCTCCTTCAGGCCACGCTCGAGCAGCGGGACCATAATGGCCAAAGTCGGCTCGTGCACGTCCGTAACGAAAGTAGTGGCACCGAGAAGATGTATCGTCTCTGGCACATTCTCCGGCTTGGCGATACACTTGATGAGCTCGGGAATGAAACGCTCAATGTCTTTGTTGGAGATGAGCTGGCAGACCTTCTCCATCGTCGTGTATGCCCGCTTCTTCACCTCCGGCTTGGTATCCCACATTGCCTCGGAGACGATGGGGATAAGGTCCGGAACGCGGAAACCAGTCTGTGACGGCGCACTTTCGCAGAGTGCCTCGATACCTGTACAACAATGTCAGTAACAATTCCATCTATTTCACTTCCCACCCAGCCAGACAGAAGTTGCCACTCTCAGACCGGCACAGATTTGTGAAGTACCATCGTAGCGACAGTCTTCTGCCGTGGAATGTAAGGAGAAGGGACTTAAACTTACACTCTAGATCGGTCATCTTTTCGGGCCACTTCTGCGCCTCTCTGATAGACTTGACGTAATGAGGAATGAGAACCTTCACCGCGTTCGGGTTCACAGCCTTGGTGATGGCGATGGCCGCATCCTGTGCTGCCACCTTGACGGGCACCATCTTGTCGCCGACTGCACCAAGTACCGCAGGCAGAAGCTGCACGAGGTACGGCTGCATGATGGGCGCGACATCCGAGTGCTTCGCAATCGCAGCAATTGCCTCGCATGCATTCTGTCGGACGCCAGCATCCTTCTTGTTGTTCAGCATCTTCTTGAGGCCCTCGACGGCCTTGGTGGGGGCCTCATGCTCTTCGATGTCGCCGTTGATGAAGGTGGCGATCTCCTGGGAAGTACCCTTTGCCTCATCGCCGGGCTTGCTGACGGACAGCTTCTTCATCAACTCGTCAAGCACCTGCGTGCTCTGCTTGTTCTCCTTCGCAATCTGCTGCGCGGAGTCCATGTCGAGCGCTGGTGCCATGTTGGAGGGATGAAGGAAAGGAAGAGAGTGTGTGTGGTGTAGAGGAAGGTGTAGGCGCAGGCGGTGGATTAAATGTAGCGTGGGGCAACAAAAAATCGAATCTAGTGGCGGCGAATCTGTTAGCGCCTTCAACAGAGTGGACCCTTACCGCTCGCGCCTAAGGCCGCGAAGCACTGCCCAGCAGTACATGACTCGAGCGTTACCGCAGCTAAAGTGGCGAGTAAGTAAACGAGCGGTTTAAGGAGGAGCACAAGAAAATGCGCCAGCCTGCTCCGCAACCCAACTTGACGATACCGCCGCCTGGCGTAGCGATGGTTCAGGACTGTCCGTCTTAGTCTGCTTCACGCGGGTGTACCCGACACACGGTTTGTCAACAGCGCTCAATTATTTCCTGCATTGACTGTAGACGTGAATGGCGTGGGATCATTGACCGCCTGTGTCTGGCTGGCAAATGCGCAAGCAAAAGATCGACCACGACTGCTGCAGTACACGACCTATTTTACCGGAAGTGAATACTGCTGCTACTATTCAAAACGTTCACGCCAAATCCGTCGAAGAACGGCAGGTATAGTTCTGTATGCTCGAAATACCTGGAGGCGCACATCTCACAGTGCGCAAAGAAGACCGTCCTGCATTTGGGACTTCTTTCGCCTGTCGTCCTCTGCATTCGAGTCAACGGGTACCGACATCGGTGCATAGCAAGAGTAGGTCAACCCAGTCCCCTCCAGTCTTGTTAACGCTATGACAGACATTGTGGGTGTGAAGGAAACTAATAGATAAACGAGAAGAACATATCCCACGTTAGGTCATGCTATGTATAATATGCGGCCCCATGGTCCACGCAGCCGTGGATGCAGCCAAGGGAAATTCAACCAACGTCGGATACTGATCACTATATCTTCCTGCTACTCGAGCCGGCAGAGGTGGTATCGGCTGCTGATGTCTGTCCCGCTTTAGGGCCAGAAGCAATTGTCTGGTCAACCCCGGAAAACACAATTAGTGATGCCTTGCACGACAAGAGTCAATCAGTACATACCTGCGGGTCCGCACCTTGTCCCGCCTCGACTTTGTTCTGGATCCAGCTCTTGTCCTTGTCTGGGCCTTTATCAGTACAGCGTCTACATCACAGAGATCGAATCTTCGCGTACCGAAACCCTGGTTCATGCCATGCCCTTCGCCTGAGCTTGGTGCCACATTGGGATCAGATGAAACGTTCTCGTGGTCGCCCAGCTTGGCCTCAATCTTCTTGATGATTCCCGACATTTTGCAGCTGATATTCTGCACCTATCGACAGTATTGTTGAATCGTAAAAGGGTCAATAGACTTTCACAAGAATCAGAAAGGCACACTTAGAGAAAGCTTGTGCAAGCTTATACTGCCATGTGAGCCTACGCAGGCAAGGTAGCTATGACGATCAATCAACATGAGTGCCATGTCATCGCGACGCGCCTAAGCAGACAACTGTTAAACACGTGTAGTCTCGCACCATTTGTGTTGGGTGAGAGAGGAGTCAAACGGTTCGCTCTCGATGTTCGATGTCGTCATTGTATGGGGTTGTACGCCGACAGATCCGAATACATGTCCGCAGATACGTAGCCCTTCAACCCAAGATTAAAGCCTTCCCTACCGGACACATCTACTGCACCGTGGAGGGTGGGCTCAAGGCAACCTTGATGGACTGGGTCGTCTGACGCTCTCAACAACTGTATTTCAACTTCACGTCGCCGAACACTGAGTACATTCCTGCCTTGACTTGAAGTCGACACTCTCCGTGCGAACGTTTTACGCCGCGTCCTTCTGCTCTGCATAGGAGATCGAAGGATAGCACTCCGGTCGGTTTTTGTTGTAGATTTCCTGAGCCGGCTTCGGTGCACCCATCGCCAGAGGATCTTCGCTTGCCACCGTCCCAGTCTTGAAAATGACGATGCCAGGAGCAGCTTCGGCGTGAACAATCATGATCGTGCCACAGTTCTGACACCGTTCATAGGTGACGTTCTTGCCGCTCTCGCCCTTGCGAGTCCATTTGGCTGCGGTACCGGAGGTCTGTATGTACTGTATAGGTACCGAACATTAGTGGCTGCGTTCCATCTCTTCGAATGGGACGTACATTTTCCGATTTAATCGCGGAATTCACGCTACCGTTCGGACCCGCAGTCTGTATGCAAGGTATGCAGTGGCAAATAGCCTGCGATATCAGCTGTTTGTTCAACAAGGGAGAAGGGGCTGCACGCACAACACCCAGTGGATCGCCGGTATATTCGTGCGTATACTCTCCGCAGAGGCAGCTACCTTTCGGCATCTTGGCAACAGCGTTGGGGCGCTGTAGAAGATGTACGATTGAGACAGGCTTGGCTAGGTCGGTGCGAGATCAACGATTAGCTGGGTGGACAAGTCCACTGACCTGGCCAAAGTGTCAGTTGTTCCAGGACATTACTTTCTGCGTACACGCATGCATGACAATGACGCAACAAAAGAAGCAGAGTTCAAGCCGGTGGAGGTTCGTCGGGCGTGTTCTTCCGCATTGATATTCTATGGACATTACAGGAACAAAAAAGGGAGTAGACCACCTAGACGATGTATCTGACTTATAATGCTGCAGTCCGCGCACTCCGTTGAAGATGGACAGAGCAAGCGGGCTAACGGATGAGTATGGAAGAAGAGACGATGAGGATGCCGGCACCTCAGGAGGAAGTAAAGCCCGAAGCATTCAGCAGTCGATCTTCATCGTGGTGTACTGCATCACAGTCCCGACCTGTACCGAGTAGATAAGCTGCAGAAAGGTTTCTAGGACCGATGGAGGTGTAGAAAGGGAAGACGGAGCTGAATGCCGCAGCTTGGGCCATGTCGTCGGCTTTGAGAGCAACCGCATCCGGCAGCAAGTCCAAGACATGTTGCAGCAAGGCCGAATATATGATCTCTACGTGCCGCAATGAAGCGTGGCTCACAGGTAGTTGTTGCAACGTTTCGATGACTGTATATGCGCTCCTAGGCGCCAAGAAGGGCTACAGGTTCCGCCATTGTGCGAGCCTTCGCAGCATCACCACCTGAGGACGTCACGCTTCGGTTGTTCGTCAGATCTAAGACTAAGCTGTTGAAGCGCTTTCCAGATCTCGACCGATAAGACTCCAGAAAATTCAAATACAAAGTCATCGAAGGCACGCCTAACGACATTGCAGCTTTAGAGCGCTGCCTGGAGGGTGTCAATGTGATCTCCATGTGCATTGCTCCCAACGTTGCGAAACCAGGCAACACATTCGTCTACGATACTGCAGCCGCGATCGTGACAGCTCTGAGGAGTCTCCGTGGCCGACAGCAACGCGGAGAGCGGAAGACGTCAACGATCTTGCAACTACGTCCGATCGAGCAGAATCCACGCGTCCCCCGACCAGGCGCCTTGGTTTGTACTCCACTACGTGTACAGCAATGTCAACAAGGGATACGAGCTTTGTGTCGCAGCCGCAAAATCAGAACCCGGGTTGCTCGCCCTGCCCCAAGCCGTGGTATGACGGTATGTGTGCTCACGGCTCGAGGTTCATGACCGCAGACGGCGTGTCTGAGTGCCTCAAGGCTGTCCGCATGCACATTCGTGTTGGCGCAAACGTCATCAAGATATACGGCTCTGGTGGTGTTGGGTCCGAGCTCGATAAGCCCGTGTATCAAGAATCCTTTGAGGAGCTGCTTCAGTTGACTGTTGGTGAAGCAAGCAGTGAGGGCGACCGGCTGTGATGAGTCTGATTGCTGGTTGCACGTTGATCTGGTGTGCTTGGTTGAGTAGGCTGTGTGGAGACGGTCGATGTAGTAGCCGCACGGTCGGTCAGCTCGCGCTGAATTTGAAGTTGGGTGTGAAGCTGCGCAAGCTTTTGCTCCTCGACCTTGAGCTTTGCGGCTTCGTTCTGGAGCTTTGCGGCTTCGTTTTGGAGCTGCAGTTCAAGCTGCTTGATCTTTTGTTCTTCGACGCTGGCCTTTATCTTTTCAACGCCGAGTTGGGTCTGCTTGGTGATGCGGTCGGACCAGAGCGGACACAAGACGAGGATTGCGAGGCAGAGGCCTACGGCGCACCCAACGTATTCGCGCGGCACTTTGGACAGCTCGCCGAGGAATGTAAGCGGCAAAGGTACTGACGGAACAGTCGGAGTTGGTGCAGAAGACATCTCGTAACGGTGGGTGTAGTTCTTAAGCAAGAGGTTGTGTAGTGTTCCAGTGAATCCTTCAATAGACTCCGAAAGGGTGCTGTATAGCAGTCGAAGGTAGGTAGAGTAGGATAAATACATGTTGTTTATACGTATCGATGGAAGGATCGCATGTACTGTTTGTAGAGGCGGCTAAGATGGAAGGTGGAATATCAGCGTAGGTAGGCAGGAAGTGGCGACGATAAGCTGCTTACCACTCGCTTGATTGGGAGGCAGCAGCAGCCAACGAACCGTTAACGCTTGGACCTCAAGCTCCGAAGGCAGGGTAGTTGTGGCATGGCTGTGATGCAGACTTCATTGCGAATCTCTGTTGATCTACCAGCCGTCATGGACGTGGAAGGCATTGACCCTTCGACTAGGTACGAGCTTAGCACCCAGAAGCTTCCGACACAGGCAGCTCTCAGTTACGCAGATCTTGATGTCGCTTTCGCAGAGATCGCAAATCGCAGGGAGGAGTTTATCAGCCAAGGTGTCCTTATAGGTGCGACGGGCAAGGTAAGGATGACGTGGAGTGTCAACGCCTATATGCTTTCGCAGAGCCTTTGGGAGAGGATCAATGCATTGAGATGATTCGGCATTGATACGATCTTTTTATCACTGCTCTGCGTTTGTTCGGTGCACTGCCGGCGCCGCCGCTGCTTTTCCGCACTGTACATAAAGGCGTACTCAACTGCGCGACCAAACATTTGGCCTCGACCAACGGCAAGTTGTTTTGCATCTCTCCAACGCATCGCTAACAGAATGACGTCGCTGTGTTTAAACCGTTCAGCTGCATGTCGGTAGCCGGTCACGATGTGCTCGATGCACAATGGAGTCGAAAAACATCGCCACAACGGATCGTCTATTGACTTTTGAGCTTCTCAGTCAGCTCTGGAACCCTCTCGAACAGATCTCCTACGAGCCCGACGTCCGCGACTTGGAAGATGGGTGCATCTGCGTCCTTATTGATACAAGCAATGACCTTGCTGTCCTTCATACCTGCCAAATGCTGGATTGCTCCACTGATACCGGCGCAGAGATACAGCTGCGGTGCCACATTCTTCCCGGTCTGGCCAACTTGTAGAGAATTGTCTGCGAATCCAGAATCAACGGCAGCCCGCGACGCGCCGATCGCAGCTCCCAATGCGTCGGCAAGAGGCGGCATCAATCGGTCAAACTCTTCCTTAGACTTCAGACCGCGGCCACCTGAGACGACTTTCTCTGCTGTTGCAAGATCTGGCCGATCTGACTTTGCTAGGTCTTCCGATACCCACTCCGTCGGACACGGGGCTTTAGGGTCGACACCTTCCTCCACGGATGCCGAGCCACCTTCTGCCGCACCTGATGGAAATGCTGTGCCTCTAACTGTAACGATCTTCGGGCTGTCTACCGATTGCACTGTTAGGATGGCGTTGCCTGCGTAGATGGGTCGCACAAATGTATCTTCACTCTCTACATCTGTGATGTCTGACACCTGCTGCACGTCCATCATCGCGGCGACCCTCGGCATTAGGTTCTTTCCAAATGCGGAGTGACCAGCCAAGACATGTGTGTAGCCGCCCTTTTTGATGTTCTCGACAAGCATCGGCGCATAATTCTCTGGTAGTCCTTTGTCGTATGCGCCATTCTCGACGAAGATAACCTTCTCCAGTCCTTCAACCTTGGCGGCTTCTTCGGCAACTGGCTTGACATTGCTGCCGGCGACGATGCCATGAATAGTGCCGCCGAGCTTCTGAGCGGCAGACACTGACGCTAGAGATGACATGTTCAATTTGCCTTCTCTTTGCTCCAGCACAGCCAGCGTTGACAGCAATCTTCGAAGTGCGGCATTACGGCAGCGTTGTACGGGAGTTGGCTGGCTCTGTCGTAGGCATGTCGATGCTTGCCGTAGTAGACACGTTCGCGAAAGGGAGGCCATGATTGCCCGACGGCGCAAATGTTTCGAAGCGCAGTAGCCGGAATGAAAGGTCAATTGTGATGGCTCGCTCATGTGAACGTCCTCGGTTGGAGCCGGCCAACTGCAGCCGAGGCACATAAGTGTACGCCTAAGGCTGCATAACGTGCCTTCCCGAAGGAGATACAAGTGAAACAACGTGACAGACTCCTCAAATGAAGGATAACCCCGGCAGCATGTTAGGCGTGCACTTAACACGACATGGAGGCTTTCGCAGGCATGGTGCCATCGCCGCGACAGCTTGTCACCTCCATCATTGCAGCGCTTGCGAAGAATGAGGAGCAGCCAGATGCGCCTGCCAATGCTTTAAGTGGAATGGCAGAGTCTAAGAATTTGCTACTCACTCTGCACGTCCTCTTCCAGAACGAATTACTGCCTGCGCTGGACGTTCTGGACCGCGGACTAGTCACTCGTCTTCGATTGCACTATGACGATGAACAGAAAGCGACCGAACCAGGGTCGGTGCCGTACGATGAGCGTGCAATAGCCCGGAAGGCCACCAAGTCAATTAACGTCCCATCGGAGCAGGCAAAGCATCGGCGGCAGATCTACACATACTACGTCCGGTCCTCGCAGCAGCAGTCATCGCGTGGAGCGTCACGCTACCACGACGCGATATACGAGGACACGAAGTATTACAAGGTTGAACTGAACGCCTGGAGCTGCTCATGTCCGGCGTTCGCGTTCTCCGTGTTCTCGAGGAACGCGACACAAACGGACGTCTTGGCGGAAACGGGTGGAGTAGGAGCCAGAAACGCACTTGACTGGCAATTCGGCGGTTTGAGCAGAGGCGACGACTTGCCAATCTGTAAACATCTTCTAGCTTGCACTCTCATCGAACACAGCACCATGTTTGCGCATATGGTGGAAGAACGGACAGTGTCGGCCGCGGAGATCGCGGGCTGGGCGGCGGGATGGGGCGACTAACCGTGACTAGTTCTCCTCGACGCAAACCAGCGCCCTCGCTATTACTGTACATACTCAGTACAGTGTCGTGCAGCCTACAAAATTGCTGCTGTGTGCCGGGCTTGCCAGCCATAAGCAGCACCTCCCGTCGCTCCATGCTCCTTCAACGCCGACGCGATGCCGCTGCACTATCATAATTGTGGGGTCATCCCTTCTTCTTTCCCTTTTCTTCCTTTTCTGCCCTCTTACTCGTCTGCTCGGTCTCTTTGCTCTCCTTGTCCGTCTTCTCACTGGTGCCATTTAGCATCAGCTTTTCTTCCTTCTTGATCTCATCCTGCTTCTCCGCTTCCTCCTTCCGCGAGTCCTCGTCTTCCTGCTGTCGCTTGTTTTGTATCTTGTTCTCAATAAGATCGTGGAATGCCGTGATCGCCCGTATTAAGCTTGACAGATATATCGACATAAGCTGGTCGTTGGTCTTGACACTCATCGCTTTTGCCAATTCTGTGTTTTCCGACATGCTGCCGCCTTCGACTCCAATTGCGCCGTTCACCATGCCGTTGACTGTGGGCAAGTCTTTCTGATCTTTCACTGATACCTTCGGTGTGCTGAGGTTGGGTAAGAGGTTGAACACATCTTGCAGATTGCCGAGGATGGCGTGATTGACGGGTAGGTCGCCGTCCAGCACTTTCTGTAGATACTTCGATATGTCTTGTAAGCGGAGGTGGAGGCCTTGTAATGACTGGAGTTGAGAGGTTATTCGGGTCGAGAGAGTGCCAACAGCAACATCACGGATGTCTCGGAGGAGATGTTCAACCCCTATCTCTTCCGCCTCCTCCGCTTCGATGGTACTTGGAGTATGTACGAAGGTTTTGGATGTGCTTGTGCCGTCCTGGCGAAAGCGTTAGCCAACCCTGCCGGTAACTCCACACGCAGGCCATTGTTGCTGTTGCTTACATCTTTGATCTCCTCCACTGCGAAATAGGCGTCTGTAGGTACACCAACTTCTTGCGGGTGCACATCGATGATTACCAGTAGCGGATTGGGGGTATATCGCTTGAAGAGTTCATTGATCTCCAGATCGCTTGCTCGTAGCTTTGGTCCAGAATGATACCAGCCTATTAGCTTCTCTCGCGCATTGACCTTCTTGAACATGTCGTTCATGCTCTCGACGTAGTTGTGATCCAGAAACCACACTGAAGGGTCCTTGTCATCTTCTTCAAAGGGCACTATATTCGGCGCATCAGCCCTGTTTGTCCCCCAACAACTATGCTTACAGATCCCATACCAGCGAAGCAATTTGACACTCGCACACTCTTGCCATCGTTCTGTCCGAGTAACACGCCGACTACTCGCTTTCTTGTGCCTTTGGCGGATCGGCCGTAATGATCTGCTGCCGAGAGGAGTACGAGAGGCGCCACAGAGACGGTTCGATTGACAATACTGAGTGTTTCTGCTGTCGTCGCCGGCATTTTAAGTAGCTTCTCAAGCGCTCGAAGACTTGTCAGGATGCTATGGAGTCAATGAGAGCGTGTTTGCAGTGATCTCGTGCTGATTGAACATTCAGAAGCTCCAGGCGGAACCTGAAGCGCGGCCACCAGGGTCCGTGCTCGGTTTGCCTCTTCGGTCACATAACAACCATGCAATTTGAGTCCTTTCTCCGCTTAGTATGGCTCTACGTAGGACTGAACTTCCTGGACATGGTCGTGCCAGTGAAACAGCCCCATGTTATCGTCCTGACCTTCTGACACCCCCGCATGCTGTTGGGTAACAAGGTCACGGTATGGAAACTGACGAGCAAACACCGACCAGCCCCAAGCGAGACTTCGAGACATCTGATCTCTACCGAGGCGTCTACGACTACGTCAAGCAGTACATGTCCCGCTATGACATGTCTCACGACTTCTGTCATGTCCAGCGCGTCGTAGCACTGGCAAAGCACATCTTGGCCAAGGAGCAGAACGCGCAACCATGGATGAAGTATCACAAGCAGGCGGTCATCTTGGCCGCCCTCCTCCATGACGTTGGCGACAAGAAGTACGCTCAACCTGGCGAGAACGCGGAGCACCTTATCGAAAACTTACTGGCCAATCATGGTTGTCCGCCACGCTTCGTAAGTAAGGTGGCGCTAATTGTCGAGCATGTCTCCTACTCGAGTGAAATGAAGCGGCCTCAGCTGGTGAAGGCCCTCATAAGTGCTCATCCAGAGCTGGCTATTGTGCAGGATGCTGACCGGCTTGACGCCATCGGCGCGATTGGCATTGGCAGGACGTTCGCTTACGGGGCGGCGAAAGCTGCGGAAAGGGGCATGCAGGGTAGCATTGACCACTTCACCGAGAAGCTGGAGAAGCTTGAGGGTATGATGAAGACTGATGCGGGCAAGCAAATGGCCGCAGAACGAACGCGGCGTCTAGAGCAGTTCAGGCAGTGGTGGGATGAAGAGCAGAGCGTAGTCTTGTGACTGACTGGGCTTGTGCCCCCTGCTTTAAACGCGCGCCATTTCCTCAACGCCCGGCATGCTCCCTATCAACACGCTGACCATCGACTGAGCTTGCCGCAGACGATCTGACTGTCGGACTCAGATCGAACCAAAACCAACAGTCTGTGTAAGCCTGTCCTCTGGCTAACGACCCGCAAAGGAAGTTGATCTTAGGTTTATCGAGACCGAAGCCAGAGGGGTCTCCTGTTGCCGAAGAAACAGATTGCTTTGATGTTAGTCACTCCGGTATGGTCTCGACATCTGCTCACCTGCTGTCTGAAAACCTGCGGATGGTCAGATGAACGTTTTCAGAGATACGTGCTGCGATGCCAGCGAAACCCGAGCTTGGTTAAGTAGATACCATCTCAGAGGCAGATGCAGTCTTCACTTGATCTGGCACGTTACGAGCAATCCACGCCATGAGAGGCTTGGTTACCGTGTTCAAAAAAGACTGCTCGAAGGAGGCGGGAGGAACCGTTTCAAAGCCGACCTCGGCTTCACACATTGATCTCGCTGTTCCATCTGAGTCACGCTTACCGCGCTGTCTAGACGAAGGTACGTTCATTTGTCACGCCACACATCCAATACGTAGTACGTTTACATATTACATCGAGGACAGACTGCCACGATGGGAGTGTTCTACGAAAGCATTCCAAAGTCGATGTTTGACTGGATACTAGCGCAGAAGGCGTTCTGGGTAGCAACAGCCCCTCTATCTGGTGCAGGCCATGTCAACGTCTCTCCCAAAGGCGGCCAGTATTTTGGCGTCATCGACGAGAGAACTTTCTGGTACATGGATCTCTCCGGCTCCGGCTGTGAGACAATAAGCCACTTGCTGGAGCCTGGTAACGGTAGGATCACGATCATGTTCAATGCGTTCGAGGGTGCTCCGCGAATATTGAGACTCTGGGGATATGGTGAGCATGACTAGACCCGGAGTCAAGTTCCTTTGCCAATATGTATGCAGGCAGGGTGCTTGAGAATGGTACAGGCGGATTCTCGGCCTTTGTCGACCATCACAAAGTGCAAACGATACCTGGTACTCGAACAATCATCGTTGTCGACATTCACCAGGTCGGCTCGTCTTGCGGGTTCAGTGTACCATACTATGACTTTAAGGACTACCGTCCAATCCTGAACGACTTCTTCGAGAAGAAAGAAGCTCGATTCAACGCGGGAAAGACCGAGGACAGTATGGATCGGTAGGCTCCACTGAGCTCTTATGTATGCCGGCGTTATTTTTGACGGCGCCACTAGGTATTGGGCGTACAAGAACGCCTGGTCCATGGACGGTCTGCCCGGCATGCGGCGTGGGCTTGACGCGGCGAAAACGGAAGGTGTCGCCCCGATCGTCAAGATGGTCGGCCCGCTTGCGGCGAAGCATTCTCGAAATCGCCAAAGCGTTGAGGTATCGTATGTTATGCTGATCGCTGTTGCGGCTTTTATTCTTGGTGTGCTAGTTGCAGCGCGGCTGCCCGGACTCTTGTCAATGGTAACGGGCAAACATCGGTTGCTAGCGAGCATTTACTAGAATTTTTTTGTTGTGGAATGAGCCGCCGTTTGCTACCATCCTAGCTGCGTTGTTCGACTGCCGTACGCTCGAGGCATGAAGACAGCTGCTGGGTTGGAGGGGTTGGCAGGTTGTATGCTGAGGGTTGCGCTCTCAAGCTGACATCCGCCACATTCTCAGGAATTTGGGAGGTTCATGGGCCGCTAACAAGTCCCCTGCTCCCACGCAACCCGGATTGTGCTCTTGAGGAGCGTATCACCGTGTTCCGTGCTATACCCAAGATCGTTCGTAGCGGTAAGCATAAGCTGCTCGAGGGTGGCTGAGAACATTGACTGCGGACAATGCTCGGAGGAAACGCACACCTATATCTGCTCAGCTACCCATCTCCAATTCCGGGCGAGAGATACATGCTTCCAGAATGCTGGATCACATGACTCGGAGTCTCGCCATTTCCTTGTTGAGCTATTCCTGATCAGCACCTCGGTACATGGTCAACATCCAATCCTCCAACATTCGAGTAAATCAGCAACGGCACCGTGCTTAGTTGACGCATGCATCGTGCTCCACCGCTGCATAAGCATTGTGTAACAGCCAACAAACAGATGTTCGTTTCTTCCTTCGTTCGTGTCAGCATGTTATCACATCGCTGATCGTCCTGTTGAAGTGCAGTTCGAAGGCTACTATTTGCTAGTCTACCCCAGCTTGACATTGATCGACGGCAGCCTTCCCTCGTAGTTCTGTGGGTCGCCGACGAATCAGCCGAGCCGGGCGGGAGTATCATCACTTCAGCCCACTCTTGTCACGAATACAATACGATAAATCCATTAGGCGTAGGGCTCGTGCATTTGACGGGTCCTGACAAACACCAGGTTGCAGGACGTCGATGCAGCAACCATCAAACTGTTGCCCAACCTGGAGGCGCCACGCTCCACTGGCCTGTCGATGTCCAAGAAGCTGTGGGGCATGTGCATGGTGGCTTAACGAGGCTGCAGTAGCGTAAGCCACTCACCGCAGGACCTTGCTGATGGGTGGATGTGGGCCAAGATGTTGTTGCGTGGTCGCGACTCGCCATATCCAGCAGGCGTAGGCAGCGCGTCCCCTCGACCTTGTCCGCCGCTCCTACACCTTACTTCCAGCATCTGCCACTCCGGCGTCGTGGCGAGCCCAAGGCGCGGCGTTGAGAGACTACCGAAGCGCGTGAAGCGGGTTATGTTGTCTACAGTATACCGGCCCCGAAGATAACCAGTCTTAGCCGGCATTCTCTGCTTGCGGATCTGGAGAACACGGTAATCGCAGACCGTCCTCTGCGACCCTACGAGTAGACACATTCAGGCTTTACCCTTCTGTGAACACCCATAGTCAATCACGCAGCAAGATTCCACGCAGCAAAAGTGCTGCACGCTTCCGCTGTAAGCAACCGTGCCGCTCCGAAGCATGCCACGACGGGCTTTGCAAGGCAGATAGATCTCCTTGCTTGGCGTGTGAGACGCAACTCTTGTCCTCAAGGCGAGCAACGGTCCGCGCTTTGTGTTGCGTCCGCCCACTTACCGGACGGAAAGCTGCATTTATCGCTTATCTGTACGCAATTGCGCAAGTAATTAGGGGTGGCAATATCGGATCTTTGCGCCAGACACTCCATTTCAAGAGATAGTCAGACAGGCGCTTCCTCGACGTCCAATCGGACTGCCGCCACAGGGAAGTGCTACAGCTGAGTAGGAGCGACAAAAGTGCGCGTTTTGGAGGTTCAACACGAAATGTGCGGTGGACTAGATACAAACACCCGCGATCCCAAAGGTATAGGGACGTGTCTAGGGCGGTGAGGTGTGTCCAATTGGTGCTGCGCCATAACCAGCCGCTCTGCACAGCATGAGCTTACAGGAGGTTACGCCGCAAGATACCTCCTCGAATTCGAACACAAGGAGGCATCTGCGGCTGCCATCGCAATCTATGCCACGCCTAGCGCAGCAATATGCGCTGCCCGCTCACGATGAAACACTGCGACGCGATAGCAGCGGAAGCTCACATAATAGCGGCGAAGAAACCCCTCGGATGGAGAACACCCTGCGACGCAAAACACCGAACGGTACCCTGAACGCTGGCTATGACGGCCACCTCGATTACCAGCACCCGCAGAAGTATCAACTTATGGTTGGCGAGGATCTCGGACAGCAGGCGCTGAACGTGCCTTCCACAAGCAGCAAGCGCACCTTCCTCGAACACCAGCAGCAACAACATATTGTTCATTCGAGCTGGGCATCCCCAGCGGATCTTGGCTGGCTTGCAGGCCAAGACCCGCAAGCGTGCTCCCTACCGATGGATTCTGTACTGGACCACGCGCATCAGTTCTACGGACAGACCGTGCCCAGTGTCATTCAGCCCTCGTTTCAATATGTAGGCCCTACTGCTTCCGGTGGTCAAGTCTCGGGACCATGGGGTCCGTACTGGCATGATGGCACATTCGTCCCCTACCGACCGACTGTGGTGCGCGATCCACGCTTCTACCATCACAGCAGCGGCATGTGGCCACTGCAAGCTCGCAGTCTGCAGCTCCCGCAACGGCAGCAGCAGCAGTGGCGGCAACAGCAAGGGATGGCTCATGCTCACGTGTATGGCACCACTGCACATACCGCGGCGCGCTATGGCTACTTTACTCCGTCTCAGACACCTGGCTCATTGTACGTAGCTCTGCCTCATGCCGATCCTGGACAACGCATTGAGTCAACCTCGTTCGGCCACCTGTCGAACTCGCAGCCCGACCTTACCGCGAACGAAGAGTTCGGGCCGGAGTCCGCAAATGGCAGGCGTAGGGATAGGACATTTGCCTGGGCATTGCACCAATACCGAGAGCTCTTGGCGTTCATCCACCATACCAAACGACAGCAGCAACACACTGCTCAGCATGCGGGCCAGCAGTCGCCGCGACCAGCTTTCTACCCTCGGCCTCCTAAACCCTCGTTGACGGGCTCTCGTTTTTCGATAGGCAAGACTCGTCAAGGCCCACGCGTCCCAACACCTCCGAAAAAGTCCGATAATACCTTGCCGCCAGAGGAGGCTCCAAACACCGAGAATGCGGTATCCGGCCATGACAATGATGTCGGCTTACTGAAGACCCGTTCTACTTCGGTGTGGTCTCCGGGCGGCGTTCATCTTCAGGACAACGACTACCAAAGGCGTGCCTCCTATGAGCAATGGCAACGCAATCCGCTTGAGGCTCGCTCACATGGACCGCCGCATCCACAAGAGATTTATTCAACGCTTCGTCGTACATCAGGCTCGTCTGTCGTGCCGATTATGTCGCAACCTCCAATGGACAACTCTCCACCATCGAGGGCTGCGCTTGCGCTCTCGTACATCGAGGAACATTGCCGTGAGACTGAGTGGCAGTGGACGGATGGTATGCATCTAGGCGGCTGTCTGGCGTACGGTCTTGGCAATTATCAGAAAGCGCTCCGATGGTATACTAAAGTACTGGAAATGGATCCAAAGCATCTGGAGGCTAGGTCAAATTATGCTGCCACGCTGCTCGCGGTTGGCCGGAAGCAGGAGGCTGAAGAGCACTGGATGGGTGTCGTCGAAACAGCGCCAAATCATTTCGAGGCTGTCGAGCACCTCGTGGGCTTGCTGTGCGGCGACCACAGGAGCGAAGACGCTGTGAAAGTCATAGAGCACGTTGAGCGGGTCTTGCGACAAGCTAGACCAGCGGAGCCGCCTCGGACATCCGACCGACAAAGCGAGTGCTCGTCTTCGACCGCCAGCCGCTCGCCATGCATGTCAGAGCTATCCGATCGGATCTCGTATGACTTCGAAGCCGACAAAGACTGTTCGGCATCTGATGTGCGCGACAACCCAGCGTCTGCGGAGCCTGGCTTCGGAACGAGTGGCTTCGCAATACCGGCTTCAGAGAATGGTCGCATGCTTGCCTTGATTCACGCAAAGGGCAACATGATGTACAACTTGGACAACCACGCAGGTGCTGCACATGCGTTCGAAGATGCTGTTATGATCGCCACAGGGAGGAGGTTTGGCACCATCGAAGGGCTGGTGAAGCACATTCTCATCGTTGTCTCGTTTCCTGCGCACCACAGCACGCCCAGGGACCTATCAGCGGAACCGATCCTCCTGGCCCCGACTCAAGCCTTGAAGACTGCACAACTTTGTTTCCCACAGACTGGCGAGCTTCCGTGTCTGCAGTATATCCAAGGGGGGCTACAAAGCATTGCTCGCAGAGCCGTCATCTCTACGACTAGTAACTCTCTGCTGTCGCTTGCGAAGATCTACCAAGATGGCATGGCGAATGCAAGCCGCGCCAACGGTGTCCCACCCCTACCATGCGGTGTCCGCGATATCCTTGCGCTGTATTACCTCTCGCTGTCCCTGCAGCCCAGCCCTTCCACGGCCAACAATGTCGGCATACTCCTGGCAGGCGTACAACAAGTCGCTACACCGCTGTATGCCGCAGAGAAGCTCGACATCCCAGGCGTCCTGCCTGGTAGTGGCGTAGCACTGGCCTTGCAGTATTACAACTACGGCCTGCAGCTCGACCAGCGGCACGCTCACCTATACACGAACTTGGGCAGTTTGCTTAAAGACATTGGCCAGCTCGATGCAGCTATCAACATGTATGATCGGGCGGTCCGCTGTGACAACAAGTTTGACATCGCTCTAGCCAACCTTGCCAATGCGGTCAAAGACAAAGGTAGAATCAGCGAGGCCATTGGGTACTACCAGCGTGCCGTGGAAGTGAGCCCGGACTTCGCAGAAGCGGTCTGTGGATTGGCCAATGCTCTCAACTCCGTCTGCGGCTGGAAAGGTCGAGGCGGTATTGCGGCTGAGGGGGGCAAACGGGACCGGTGGCATGTCGATCCCAACGGCATGCTTCTTGACGCCAGACAGCCTGGAGCCTCCAGCTCCGGTTGGATCAAGCGTGTTGTGGACATCGTGGAGAAGCAGTTGACCGACGGCGAGAGTTGGGGACGTGGTATCCTTACGCCCGCGCTGATCGAAGAGCTTGTACAACAAATGGTCATCTTGGACGGACCGGATGCAGACGTGAAACACCGCGAAGCGGGTCTGCGCAGCATGTTGAATAGCTGGGCGGGGATGAAGTGGGAGGGTGCTCGGCTTACGAGGCTAGTGGAGCGCGCCACAAGACGTATCGGCTGGCATTGGTATCGCGACCTCTACGTCGAAAAGAAACGGCGAACAGAGTCCAGCTACAACCGACCGCAACTGCCCGCCGCTCTAACCGTTCCAACAGCGCCAACGGTTCTGCCGTTTCATACCTTTACGTGCCCAGTGTCGGCGAAGCAGATACGACTCATCTCTCAAAGAAATGGCCTTCGAATCTCAGTGAATGCACTACGAGCTCCATGGCTGCCCAAGCAAGTCTACCCACCACCCGCACCTCCAGCACCATATCTGAAGGTGGGCTATCTCTCGTCAGATTTCAACAATCATCCACTGGCGCATCTAATGCAGTCGGTATTTGGTCTTCACCACCGCGAGCGGGTGGAAGCCTATTGCTACGCGACTACAGCTAGTGACAAATCGGCACACCGCGAGCAGATCGAAAGGGAGGCTCCGGTCTTCCGTGATGTGACCACCTGGTCACTCGAAAAAATCGTGAATCAGATAGTGCGGGATGGCATCCATATCCTCGTCAATCTAAATGGCTACACACGCGGAGCACGTAACGAAGTGTTCGCCGCTCGCCCGGCACCTATTCAGATGTCGTTCATGGGCTTCGCCGGAACGCTCGGCGCAGAGTGGTGTGATTACCTGATGGCTGATACCACTGCTATCCCTCCGGAGACATTGCGACCGTGGCGTAGGAATGTTGACCTGGAAGACCAACAAGTCGACGAGAATAGCGGCAGCGATGACGAATGGGTGTATGGAGAGAACATCATATACTGCAGAGACACATTCTTCTGTTGTGATCACAAGCAGAGCGCGTCTGCCACGCACGACAAGCGCTTGAGCTGGGAAGACGAACAGAAAGAGCGGTGGAGGATGCGGAAAGAGCTGTTTCCTCAAATCTTAGATGAGACGATCATCTTCGGGAACTTTAACCAGCTCTACAAGGTAAGTGAGCAAGACGTGCTGGTACAAGCTGCGTGTCCATAGCCTGATGTGTTGTGCCAGATCGACCCGACGACGTTCCGCACCTGGCTACGGGTGCTTGCAGCCGTTCCAAACTCGATCCTCTGGCTTCTGCGCTTCCCGGATCTGGGCGAGTCACATCTGATGGCGACGGCTAGGCTATGGGCAACGACGGAGGTGGCATCCCGTCTCATCTTCACAGATGTTGCACCGAAGCACCTCCACATCTCGCGAGCACGCATCTGTGACCTCTTTCTCGACACAGCGGAATGTAATGCGCATACAACGGCGGCCGATGTCCTGTGGAGTGGCACACCGCTTCTAACACTCCCACGATACTCATACAAAATGTGTAGTCGAATGGCCGCAAGCATACTGAGAGGAGCACTTCCGAAGACCGGAGAGGGCGTTCAAGCAGCAAGGGAACTCATCGCGACCGATGAGGACGATTATGAGTCCAAGGCTATTGCTTTGGGCAAGTCATTGACGTACTCGACCAATTGCGACGGGAGCGGATCTGGACGGTTGATGCGGTTACGCGAAATGCTGTACGAGGAGCGTTGGACAAGTGCCTTGTTCGACACCAGGCGATGGGTGCGAGACCTGGAAGATGCTTACGAAGTGACGTGGGCGAGGTACGTCAAGGGTGAAGGAGGCGACATTTGGCTAGATGATCTTGGCGGAACGCATTGAGACACTTGGTTCCAGACCATCATTGGTGGATACCGGCGGCATGCAACTCGGTGACTTGTGCGGACGACTCTCCGAGGCAATGCTAGAGAGAGGAGAGCAACATTGGAAGGAGTTGCCGATCCCGTCTTGTGCGCCCCGTACTTACTGTTCCCAGACTTGAAGGTTGGTGTCACGCATGAGTAGGTCCACGAGAGGTCCACTTCGTCTGCATGATAATGCCGGCTCTAGTGAGCCGCTTCCTGCCAGCAGTCGTCAGCTGGAAAGCTAGCTTATCGCGTCGATCAATTCGGCCTACACGCTTGCGGATGGATACCGGTCCATGATCGATCTGAGTTGTGTCAAGCTCCAACTCGGGCGGTCCGTAGTAAGACAGATCGGCCCGCCATCCGCCAGCCCACTACAGGAAGCTATGGCAGCGGCGTGATCGCATTGAATTCGCGACAGGCTGCAGACTCAGACACCCGAGCTTATACAACGCTCTCCTCAGTCGGTAGATTGACACTTTTTGGCGGCAGCGAGCGTCTGCCTCGGTTGGGGATGACCATATGCACGACTGTATGGACTCTAGCGGCTCAGCTTTGGCCGTGCGTTTGCGTACAGTGCAGGCCACTCAGTTGGACGTTGGCTGGGACGTCCGGCTAACGGAGGCTCTACAGCGAATGCTCCACGCGCTCTTGCGTGATTTGGAACTATCCTTTGACGTGCATCAAAGTCCCTGAGTCAACTGTCATCGGGGTAGGTATGAAACAATATGCAGGAGTGCTAAAGCTCCTGATTCAGCCGTGATGGGTGTGTCGATCCAGATGTCTTGAGACACAGGACTACGTCTTGAAGCGAGGTTTTATTGGAGTGTCTGACTATGCGGCGCCGTGACGGGCGAAGAATGCGACATTCTAACCATTTGCTGCGTATCCACAAAAACAAGCGGCGGGGAGAATGCAAAAGTTCCCCGTCAGACACCGTGGGCACCATGCCATGGCCAGACGGCGCATGATACGATGCATGCGCGGCTGCATGATGCACATTGCTATGCCATGAGCAGAGACTACCCTCTCGTGGGTTACGAACATCTTACACGAGTCAACGCACGAGTGTTCACCGCGGGGCAATGTGCAATTGGTGCGTGCAACGATCCGGCGTTCCGACAGAGTTGACGCTTGTTTCCGGGCGACGCAGGAGGTTAGAATCTTGTCACGGAGGTTTTAGAACCGTTCAGCATAGAAGCGCTGATCGTCGTGCTGGCAACAGCGCGAACGGTTCGTTACGTTCCTGCTCCTGCACTGGCGTTGCAATGTGTGCGTGACATTTGCAGTGCTTTCAACAACATTCTGCAGGAACGTCGTCAGACGAGATGGTGCTGCCCGAATCCTCGGGTGCGTGTATACCAACGGCCCACCTGCATCTCACCGTCTGCGCTGCAAATCAACGTTGCCAAGTCGCTAAAATGCTCTTGATGAGGACTAGTCGGACACCGGCCGTTGCCAGCCTAAGCTTTTAAGCTGCAGGCAAAGCACGCAAGTCCAAGATCTGGCGTCGATCCGTCTGAGGTACCGCATCTGCGCAGGTGATCAGAACCGAAAGCCACTCTTTCAGTTCCATTGGCACACAGTGTGGAGCGCGATACTGGTGTGTCTCCTCGTGCAAGGACACAGACGCATCTACCACGCTGCTCCTGACATGCAGCACTTTGAGACAATACTTCTTCCACATCGGTTCAACTCGTCGGCGACGGGCCCCTGCGGCTGGTAATCGTACTGTAGAATGGCCGACAGCGTGTCGATGGGTACTGGAGCATGCTGCAAAACTGTCCTTGTCCAGATACTGTCTCTTCCGCAGACCTAGCGTTCATGCTTGCATGAGGACGATAGTCTGATCATGGGCCTGACGGCCAGCCCGTATGTAGCCAGCGATGTACGTCCGTAGGAGCGCATACAGCATGTACCGTGCCATGCCATATGTAGCTATTGCACACGCCTCATGACTGCATGCTGCATGCACCACATAGAATCCCGTACCCAAGAGAGCAGGATGCTCACCGAGCGCTTGGGCCCCGGAGCATCTCAAATCGATCCTTGCTCGCCTGGACGGTCCGTGCCAGCGCCGTGGAGCAACGGCTGGCGTCCTCCTTGTCCCATGTTCCACCTTCGTCTTCTCCACGGGCCAGCCAGTCCTCACGGCCAGTGAAGGCACGCCGGGTGAGACTGGCAGTATTGGGTGTCTTACGCGATCGCGCAACTCCAACGGTCCATTGCGTACCACAAAAAGGATCAAAAAGTCACCAGAGACATTCTTTGGCTGGATTGGCATGCTGTTGCTCGCAACGGTCCGCCCCCAAGCTATATTCAGTGCCTGTGGCGTACCGTTAAGTGAAGCCGAAATGAGGTGGTAAGCATGTCGAGTAGGTGTTTCGACTTTCAACCGTTCCGCCGTTGGCGATGCCCTAAGTATAGCAGGAACAAGGCTTTCACGTTGTTCTCTTCCTTACGCCAAAACGCCAGTACCACTGGGGGGCATGGCATGGCAGCGGGCAACTGGCTAAATGGTAAAGCATGTCTAAGCAGATGTTTCGGACCAAATGTCTTAGACAATTTACATCACGACGGACTCAGACAGGGTCCAGCACTTCATCATGCGCTGTCAAAGGAGGGATGTACTCAGGATGATCACGGTTTACGGCGATGCCCGCCCCTGGTACTGCATTGTGCTCCTAACTGTATCTTCAATCGCTTACCCCTGCCTTGTGATGCAGACCCACTAGAGGTGCCCGCGATCCTGGACCACGCTGCTGGAATGGCGAACATCGCGGGCTGCCGTGACACATGCCGCCGTCTTTATTGTCTGTCCGAAGATACTACTGGTACCGTACCTCACCATAGACCGTGCAGAGTGTCAGTTGCCTCCAATATCTCATGTTTCGGCGGTGAAGCTTGTATCAAAATTCGTGGTCTACAACGCCCCACCTGAAAGCCTATCTTCAACTACGACCAGGGGCTTCACGCGCCGCTAGAGAGACTAGGAAGACTAGGCTGGAGGCAAATAGTCTGCCTGTCGGCTCATTCAAAGTCCCTCCCTCACCCGACGGCAACGGCCAAGTAATATTATTGTCTGGACCTCGACGTTGCAACGCCATTGCGCAGGTCAGTAAATACTATACAATCTCTTACATTCGCCAGTACATCTTCGCTACAATCCGTACGAAACTTGACCATCCATCAACATCATCCTTGGCATTGGCACGAAAGTGCTAACGTTCCCAACAGCTTGCCACATACTGTACCGTGTCATCGAGCCAGATACTCTGACGTCCGAGTGAGCGACATGCCTCAACACAAGCGCGGCCCCTGGTCGCAAAGCGAGGATCAGTTCTTGTTGCATCTAGTCGGTCTGCATGGCGCCCATAATTGGGGTATGAGGACATCTTATCATTCTGCCGAAGACGCCTCGAACTAACCATAGAATCCGCAGTGCGCATATCGCAAACAATCCAAACTAGGTCGCCGAAGCAATGCCGGGAGCGTTTCCATCAGAACCTGAAGCCTAACCTTAACCATGACCCTATCACGCCTGAGGAGGGTGTCATGATCGAGCAAATGGTTGGCGAGATGGGCAAGCGCTGGGCCGAAATCGCCAGACGGCTGCGTGGCCGGAGCGACAATGCCGTGAAGAATTGGTGGAACGGCAGCATGAATCGAAGACGGCGCAGCAACAACCCGCGTCGAGCCGATCTGGAGGTCCGTCAGCCATCGCATATGGGTGCGCACAGTATGCCGCAACCGCAAACTCACCACCACACCTTGCCATCGAGCTACGTCCCTGCAGGCGCGATGCAGTACTTTGGGCAGCCGATCTACCACCACTCAGCGCCGCAACACGTGCAGCTACCTCCTAATGGCTACATGTACCGTCAGTCTAGCATGATCGAAACGCCCCTACCATCTCCCTCGGCCTTTTCGCAGCTTTCCAATGAGGGTGCACCGTCACTGGTGTCTGACTGCTCTTCTCTGTCTGGTCGTTCACCGAACCATGCACATTTGTCGATGGAGCTTCCACCTCTATCTGGATCCAGCAGTGACCGACGATACTCCGGTGGATCTGGCTTGCGTTTGAGCGTTCCCGGATCGTTTACTGAAAGTGAATACGCTTTCAAAACCACGCCGCCAATGCTGCAAGAGCCATTCCAACATCAGCCTCAAACCCACTTCCCACCACCGCAGCACTTCCTTCCTTCGCAACCGGCCCAGCCGATGCACGGCCAACACCCATTGCCACAGTACGTGGTGCCTTCGACTTCCATGTCTCGTAACGGCTACCAGCAAACAACGCCGCTTTCAACGCCGTCGCCGGCCTTGCAACTGCCGAGCATCGCAAACCTTGCAGTATCGGATCGACACTCGCCAGCACTATCGCTTGATCCGGCGCTGCACGGCGCGCATTCTGCGTTCCTCCCTGATGGCTCGCCTGCGAGGGACAAGATGAGGTTATCCAACCTCACGCACTGAGCTCGTTTATCATGAATGCTATACCCAGCGAATCCCATCGGACTGTACACACAGAGACGACATAGAACTGCACGATCGCTAATGTTTCATGGGCCCTCTGCCGGGCGAACCCGAGAGGCAGTATCAGCTGTTGGCTCTCGGCCATTTTGTATCATACCCCGTGGTTGCGCGCATGCATGTACAAACATGCCTCGGATTTGCTAGCGTTCAAGCGATGTCTTCAAAAGCGATCAGCACGAACAGTCTGCAGCATTCTAAACGTTAGAGCAAAGTTCGTCCATTACAAGCATCATTCCTTCATTTTGCAAAACCATCCCAATGCCTCAGCGGCTTTGATTATGCAGGCTATGCTTCTCACGTTGCTGTTGGGTTCGAGTTCGCATGACAGCTCGGCGTTCGCAACGCCGCGGTGCTGACCCTGGCATCTTCGGAGATTATTTCATACCATCTATAGAACCGGTACGCACTGACGGACACATGACATCGCCACGTCCAAGCTCATGAGGTCGCCCCAGAGTGCAGCCTCGGTGCTTTCGGTAGGCCAGAAACCACGTGTTGCGCCACGGGCGTCAAGGTATCGCGCAAAGATGATTTTCTGAAATTAGCACCAGTCAGCGCCATTGCCGTTACCGCCCGCGCGGCAGTTTGGGAGGTGGTAACTCTCTATGCCTTTGCCAGCTTGGGTACGTTTAAAAGTTGCGGTTAGCGGCGGGAGCCGACCATGGCTCTGATAAACTGCAAAGAAACAGGTCACTACGAAGTGTTTTGGTTGCGATGTCAGACTGCTTCATAGTACGCCCGCATTTGCGCCATCGTGTTAGACGTATCAGCCTTCATTGAACATTGCGTTCGTGATTGTTTCAATCCGGTGAGTCTTCGACCTGAGCACAACCGAGGCAGGTGGACGGCTGGCGTGTTGCGGGCGAGTTGTCGTGAACAGCCAATACCCTTGCGAGTAGCGAAAAGTGTCGCCATTAGCAATATTTCTGTGTTCTCAGCAGCTCTCTGCTTCGTCTACAAACTATCAGCACAGCTTGGAGTCTGCGCTGGACATTGATTGAATTGAACCGCAGATCGGGAAGTCCAGGTCGGACTTTGCCGACCCTTCGAAGGTTCATCCTCCACCTCCACCTCCACCTCCAACGATGGCTTACTCGAAGGCGTTGCGACCCATTGACAACAACTTTATTCTCAGATTTCTTGTGCACATATATCGCCTCTTCGTATTGTTCTGAAACAGCGTGTGGGATATCGTCATCCCAACACCAGCCAGTAAGCCTGGACTGTACTCCTGCTTTTATATAAAACTGCAAACCTAGTGGGCTCATACTCACTGAAACGAGTCACTGTATGGCATAATATTGTCCGGCTCGAGGAATCGAGTACAGCGGCTGGTTGCGAGCCATCCGAAAGTGTAGGGATCTGCATGTCGTACAGTCCGGATGCGAGGGCGATACCGAGAGGTGTCGCGTTCATATCCCTCTTGGTATGCTCTCACAACGCTCTTTGAGACTCGGTTCTGACGATCTTGGCAGTCTCATAGAGATCTATCCTTGCATATACCCATCAACTACGTCACCGTACCAGGCGTCTCGTTAACTGCAGCATGCTTTTCTAACAAGCAATACGAAGATGCTGCAGCCGCAAGATGCCTGTCAAACCTACTTGCGATCGGCTTCCGTAGACTGGAGGTCGATGTATATTGGGACTACACCCGGCGAACGTGGAGCCTCTGTCCCGTCCAACTTGGTGATGCTACTGCCCTTGCCAACACCACAGTGCTCGTGGCGTCAACTACTTCGCGGACGGGCGCCGCGACTCTTGCGAGCGGACAGCTCACTGGAAGAGACATATCGAGCGCAACCGCAGCACTTCCGCTATCTTCCAACGTTAGTGGCGGTAGCGGTAGCCCAGAGATTGCTTCTGAAAGCTTGCCCTCTATCACTGCGACAAGCACCCTAGATGCAACGGGCTCGTTACGGTCAACGCCCACCGGTACTCCGTCGGGTAGACCCGCCGTCTCTGGCTCACCAGGTGTTTTGATACAGGCCGGTCAGTTCGCATGTACAGAGACGGTCAACTTCGAGATGGTCACAACAATTCTCTCGATGTATCTCCAAAATACGGAAAACAACTTGAATGCTACGACTCGATACATCATCCTAAACCTTCATCGGGCCAGCCCAGCGCCTACCTTTAATAATAGTGCGGAGCAACTACCTTCGTCCGCCCTGCCTCAAGCGAACAATCTCCTGAGTTCAGCCTTACTCGTCAACAATTCGGTGTATCTCTATACGCCCACCGAGCTGCTCGCCGATCGCGCGAACCTAAATGCTGCTACTAGCTGGTTAGGAGTCAGCCGTACCTTTTGGCCAGATACTACATATTTTCGAACTGTCGAAGCCGACGGCCACAACACGTCGCCGGACGGCTGGCCGAGTGAGGGCTTCGTGGAGTTGCAAAGGGCTGAGCGCCTGCTGGTTGGCTTCGGAAGCGTCGACCCTCGGATGGATGGGTACAACTTCTCGGGTGACGCTGCGTATATATTTCCAGCCGGGTACCTGGAGTCACCGAGGAATGTTGTAAGGAGCAGCAATACAATTACGGGTGGCTGCCTCGTCCAGACCAACGTGAACACGCTCGGCACGGTCAACAGCTCCTGGGCGACGGCGGAACTCGACTCGGTCGCACAGCAGAATGTCAACACTCAAGCAACCAACTTGGTCAACTGCGGTATATCGCCAATGCTCAACGAGAGCCTTGGTAACGCTTCAGCAGCGGACAATATCGCAGCCTATCAGTCGTGGGTCACAAGCGCACAGTGGGCATGGGCTTCTGGCGAGCCTCGTAATGTGGGAAACAATACGAACCTGCGATGTGCGGGTCTCAACTCAACAGCCGGCCGCTTCCAAGTCGCCGACTGCACACAATCCTACTATGGCGCCTGCAGAGTTGCATCGGAACCCTACCAATGGCAGATGACTAACATGAAGGGACGTTACCAGGCGGTGGATGATGCGTGTCCGTCGAACACGTCCTTTGCGGTCCCGAGAACAGCACTAGAGAACAGCTATCTCTTAGCCACCTGGAGGAACTACCTGTCGACGCAATCGAGTCAAGACGGGAGTACAGGCTCGCAAGACACGTTGCTGTGGCTCAACTTCAATGACCTTGAGTCAAATGGGTGCTGGGTCATAGGCCAGAACACATCCTGCCCGTACAGTCCTTCACAAATGAGCGACGGTGACCGTACGATCACTGTTCCCACCGTGGCAGCAGTGATAGTTTTCGTGCTGGCAGCACTGACAGTATTCGTGAAGTGCGCGTCCAACAGACAGACTTCACGGCGGAGAAGAAGGAGAGGCGATGACGGCTGGGAGTATGAGGGCGTACCATCGTAGCTTGAGTAAATCTCAGATGCATTTGGGGCACGTCTGTCGAGCTATATATTCCGAAAGGCGGTGTGCAAGTTGCTTCGAGATCTGAGCATACACCGTGAAGTTCAGGTCATGATAATGCCGCCGTCGACGACCTGCGTCTATCCCGTCACGTAATCAGAGTCACGACTGGCTAAGAAGCTTACCAGTTTCGCCACATCCTCTGGCACACTGGTACGGCCAAGCGCAATCAGCTCACCGCTGTACTTCTTGATCGTGTCGCCTTTCGCGACTCCCTTCTTCTTGCCTAGCTCCTCGTCGATAGTGTCCCACATCGCTGTTCCGACAATGCCGGGTCCATAAGCATTGACCGTAATGTTGTGCTCAGCCATCTCCATGGCATATGCTTGCGTGAGACCGCGGACCGCCCACTTCGAAGCAGAGTAGTGCGAAAGCAACGGAAAAGGTTTGAAGGCAACGATACTTGCGGCAGCGATCATCTTTCCAGGGCTATCCGGCTTGCAATTGCCTTGTTTGATGAGCTGTTTAGCGGCGGCTTGGTAGCAGTTCTGAACGCCGAAGACATTGACGCGGAACATTCGCTCAAAGTCTTGCTCGGTGAGGTCCAGTAGGCCTTTGACTTGAGCTATCCCAGCATTCGCTATCCTGTAACAGGAATTAGTGTGCATGGATACATCTATCCTGATACTGAGTGATACTACATTGTATTTAGATCGCCCAACTCCTTCACACTTGTCTGTATCATCTGTTCGACCTCACTGAGCTTGCTGACGTCCGCGATTGCGACACAAGATTTGCGACCCATATCCTTAATTTGCTTAGCGACCTCGTGACAGCCTGACTCGTTGGCGGGTATGTCGTTCACACAGACGTCGTAGCCATCTTCCGCCAAGCGGATGGCTATGGCCTTCCCAATGCCTCTAGCAGAGCCTGTAACTATAGCAGTCCGACCTTCGACAGATTCACGCGGCATCGTCAGGGCGGCACCTCGGGTTCTTGTGTAGCTCTGATTCTCTCAGAAATACAGGCGATAGACCAAGGTTTACAGGACGATCAACCCAAACTTGCTGTGAAGATGACCTTGCGAACCTTCTCGTAAACAACAACAGAGGCTAAAGCACGAGAGCAATAGGGATTGGGAATGGTCCGGCTTTAAAGGAACATGGAAACGTACAGACCTTGGTGTCCCGTGTTCCAAGTGGATTTCTCCACCCTCACTCGGTGGCTCGTGAATGAGGAGGTGTTCTGCTCGGGCTTGCGGAGGAAAAGTAGACGAGCTACAGTGAGAGGAGGATCGAGGTAAAGCCGATGTTGGAGCTCCGTGATCATTCTGCGGTTCGAGGTCGATGTGGGGGTGCGGAGGTGGAGAGCACAGCACCACGAGGAAGGTACGGCGATTGGCTGTCTAGACGTCAAGTGGGGCTCGATTCCAAGATCATTGATACGCGTTCCGCTGTACGCGTCTCCCGCCAGTGAAGTGTACTACGGGAACAGCAGAACAGTGGGAGGTCGGAGTATTGTAGACATGTCTCGGCAATCCTCACGTAACCTGACCCTCTATGAGGAACTTGAGAGACTCGAGCAGAGCATCACACTGACGCTACAGGAAATTGACTCGAACTTCAGCAAAGGTGTGTAGTCGCTGACGGGACGACCTCTGTCTTGCTGCTGATATTTGGCAGCGCATCGCATCGTCACTAGTAGCATACTGCCCGTAGTTGAGCAGTATGCGAAGCATAGCAACGAAGTCTGGGAGGGTTCGAAGGTACAACGAGGGTTGTGCATACGCGGCCTCTTACCAATGCTGACTTGGGTTTGTACCGTAGTTCTGGAAACAGTTCTTCGAAGCATCGGTATGCTGGAACAATCTCAAGGATCACGACCATTTCCATCTTCAGAATCGACGCTAATGCTTCGACAGGCAAACGTCAGCTTAAGCGGTTACGAGGAAGCTCCTGCCGACGATGATGTTTCGCATAACGAGACAACAACTGAACTGGAGACATCTGACGCCTCAGATATCCGTTCAAAGGCCGGTGCAGACATTCACGACAATGATGAAGATTTCCCCGTAGACTCGCCTACTCAGGTCACTGGGGTACATTCAACGCCACAACTCGCCCCTTCCACGTCCAAGAAGGCTGGCTCGACGAGCAAAGCAGAAGCTTCAAAGCCAGCTCAGCCACTCCTTTCCCCTTCGCCGAGAAAGTACACAGGCAAGAATCCGAAAGCTTTGCCACCGTCGTCGGATGCGCCAAGCACACCTGGCCGACAGCCGAACCTGTATGAGGACTCTTCACCTTTCGAACCCAACTCGACATTCAAGCCTTCAGCGATGCGCACAAACAACGATCCTTTGCTGCATCGTATCCTGGACAAGAACTACCGCGTCCAGGCAACTCCGCACACTCAGCGACGCCAAGAGCGTCCCCAAGCTGTAGCGCCAACGCCAGCAACCACAACTCGAACGGTACCTTGGGACGACTCGCCGGAGTCATCACCAGCAGTGGCCGCACCTGAGCTTCGAAGCAACATTTTCTTGCCCGCGAAGGCACCTCGCTTGCCAGGCGTCTCCGTCCTGACGCCGGCGCGTGGCAAAACTGGCCATGCATTGCCAACCACTTCCACAGGTCGCAGACTCTTCAGTCCCGAAGACAAGGCGTACACGGCGAGTAAGGACCGGACTTCGCACACATTCTTCGAGGGCGAAAGCGACGACGAAGTGGACATTAGCCCGCCCAAAACCATGTCATTCCACGTCCCGCAAAGCAGGCTTCTGCAGACGCCAGCGCGAGAGGCTAGTAAGCGGATCGTCGAGGAGCTGCTTCTGACTGCTGGAGCGGACGCTACGGATGAAATTGAAGCGGACAATGACTTCATCGAGGAGCCGAGTCCAAGTGTTGTGCGTAGAGTGTTCAATACCGATGATGATACGTTTTAGGGTCGATATTTCGACGGTTCCGGACTACCTGACGAGCAGTCCGAGATGCAGTCGAGGTTGTCCTACACATGGACCGACTACAAACGTGCGAGCCGTAGCAGTAAAAGCAACTAGATCCACTTGACGAAGCGAACGGCTTTGTGGTTCTGTTACGAAAAAGTCTACTACGCTGCGTCAATCTCACATCCTCTCAAGCCAGCAACTGTCCAATGTCCGGTGCACGCTCGAGAAGACAACAAGCAGGTGGTATATCGCTCATTGCATGCCCGGTCAACCAACGGCTCTGCCAATCTGGAAAGTCAAGCCATAACCTTGCCGTTTCAACGCCACGCCCTTCAAACCCCAGATCTTGCGCCATAATCCATACATTCAGCCTAGAATTCAGAACAGCAACGCGAGGGGCGCACCTTCTACTCGTCTGCGTCGAAGATAGCCTCGTGCTGCTCGAGCAATGCCTGCACAGCCATACGCTGCGCCTGCATATCACTCATCTCCCTCTCAATGCTCAACGGCCGCATGATCGTCGGCGCAAACACCACCGCCAGATTCAACGGCGTCATGAGATTGTCGCTCTCATGCGCCATCACCCTGACCAAATGCTGGACGAGATACTCCAGACAATTCCGGTGATGCTCCGGCAGATCTGCCACTGCAAGCCGCAGGTGATACGCCTGCTTCTCGCCGTCGCTCATTTGGCCCGCCTCGAGCAGGGAGTCGTAGGCGTCGTACGTGATGAGCGGCGTCGGCAATTTCCTAAAGTACTGCTTCAGGGCGCTCGTCACGGCGTGGATGTCCAAGTCGGGGTCGGAGAGGTCGTAGTTGCCGTCCTTCTCGAAGCCTTGCTGCACGGATTTGACTTGGCCGGAGCCGCCGGACTTGCGGTAGACGCCTTCGACGTCCATGCCGCGCCGCTCCACTTCGGCGATGCAGCGGGTGACGATGGAGGGGATCATGCGCTTCTCGTGCTCGCAGCGCGCTTCGAGATCCGAACCGAAGAGGACTGTAGTATTGTCAGCTTCCCATGCACATTTAACGTCATGAACGGGCGCCTTACCTGTTGGGTCAGTAGACGTAACGGCGAGGTTCGTGCTACTGCTATTCTTCATGCTGCCCATCTGTCCCGCCTTCAGTCCCCCCGTGGCCTTCGGGGTCGAGAAGAAGCCGAAACCAGCTCCAGGCTTGGTCTCCACGCTCTGCTTGCCATTCAAACTGTTCTGATCACTGCCTGGCAAGTTCTGCTGCGGCATTTGACCGTATGGCGTCCCGATGTCGGTCGCACTATACGGCGCGCCAATCTCCTTGCCGCGCACACTGCTTTCGCCGGCGAACGTGCCCTTGATGCCCTTGGCAACGTTACGAGCCACTGCGCCGCCTCCCTTGCGCCAGTTGAATTTCTTGGCTTGGCCGCCCTTGCGGATGTTGACGACTTGTGGCGCGTCGAGTACTGTGGCTGGTTCGGCTTCGGTCTCGTGCAGAATGTTCGGTACTGAAGAGTCAGTGCCTACCAGACTCAGATTGCGCACGTCAGACGGTCCAGGTGTTTCCAGCCTTGCCCCTGGATGGTAGATGCCAAGCCCATTGGCTGCACCGGCGACCGCTGCAGCACCGTTTGCTCCACGGTTCGCTCGGTATGTCTCCTGAAGGCCGTGTACAAGCTGATTGTTCATTTCAAGTAGCTGGTGGTTCCGGCCGGTAAGCGCTTCGTACTCCTGGAAACCCTTATCCTTCATCTGGATCAATGTGCCAATCTCACTCGTCAACTCATTACGCTGACGCATCAGTTCCTCGATTTGTTTGGTCATCGAGTCTTTCAGTCTTTGCAGTCGCTCCGCGAAGTCTCGCAGAATGTCGGCCTGCAGCGGTTGCAAGTCCAGCCGCTGATTGCTGTCCTTGGCCTTCTGTAGATGCGCAGTCATGCTTTCCAGCTCAGCAACAACCATTTCGCGTTGCGTGTCCAAGTCAACCAGTGTGTTCCGCTTCTGCTGCAGCTCGCTGGTCGCGGCCTTGATTTCTGCGGACTGGTTGAGCCGCTCCTCCATCGCCGCTCTCTCCGCCTCAAGCTCCGCGATCCGCTGCGCTTGTCTTCTATTCTGCGATCTTAGCTGCTCAAGCGGCTCTTTGTTCGGCGATGAGATGCTTGGACTACCAATGCTCATCGGCGAGCTTATCTCCAGCGAGCCATTTGCGGGCGACTTGGCTGCCATTGCGCCTCGATCGCTGAAGCTCCTGCCATGCTTCACCGCATTGGAAACCCGACGCAGGACTGATGAATGGCCAGCGTCGACGTCTCTGTGCTCTTTCCTGTCTCCGCGCAGTATGCGTGCCATCTCTTCCTCCATGGAGAAGGTGCCTTCAGCGCTGTGCTTCGGCAGGCCGGCACTACGGAGTGATGGTGACAAGTGACCGTCCGATCGCACATCCACGCTCTGCATTGTGCTGATGGAGTCGTTGTTCCTGTGTCGCGTCTCAGGAGGCGGTGGTGGGGGTGGAGGTAGTCGTGGCACCGCGAACTCGCCATTGAGTGGTTTCGAAGGCGCAGTGAGTCTACTGGAGTTTCGCGGAGGAGGCGCTTCGAAGCTGCTGCGAGGCTGCGGCGAGTCCACAGAAGTTGATCGGCTATTGTCCGGCCCCAAAGTGCTGTGTGCGTCGCTAAACGAGAATGGCGCGGATGATGCAGAGCTCTTTCGATGATGGTCCGGCGCAATCGTCTGTGTCGTCACAGTGCTTGGTGCAGGTACGGTGGCTGGTGTCGACGGTTCCGTTGAAGGTGCAGATGGTCTCTGCTGGCTTGCTGTAAGCGAATCTCCACGCAAAGGTCTGTCTGCGTGCTTTGGTGGCGGTGGCGCCGCACTTGTAGGTGCGCCGTCTCTGCGCTTTGGATCGTCGAATGGATTGACGCCCGAGCCAATAGAGTCGACCGAGATCGGTGACACTGTTGACTCCTTCTCCTTCACATCACCAGGTTGGGTGTCCAAGGGCAGTAGAGGGACGGGTGACTTGTTCTCGGCATTGAAACTGCTTCGCTGCTCCGCTTTTCGCGCCTTCGGCACTTCTTGCAGTTTGAAGCTTGCATTGCGATGCAAGGTGAAAGATGTGGTATCGTTGTGCTGTGGCTTCGGTCGGTCTGGCCTAGCTTCTGGCGCAGTTACCATTACAGGCGATGCTGCGGTGGGTGCGGGAGTATTTGTACCGGACCCATCTCGCTTCTTGGTCGTTCTACCTTTGTCTTGGTAGAGAATGTGTGGGCTTGTCTTCGCCTGCTCCTGCCTCTTCTCGGGTTCACGTTCTGTGGAGATTGATCTAGTTGAAGGCGATCTGTCTTCGCGCAAGGCTTCCCGATGAGCCCCTTTGGCCGAAAGCTTCCCTGAGAAATAATCACGTCCTAGCCTAGCCTCATTCTGCGGTGGAGGCGACGGGTCAGGTGGTCGTGGGACCTGCTTTCGAGGTATTGTGGGTGGCGGCCCTGGTGCTGGTGTCGGGTCGAAAGCCATCGGCAAGAAGCCACGCTCCTCCCCATCCTCTGTTGCTTCGGAGACATAGGACGGTCTGTGGGAGCCGTAAGTACTTGCTGGCAGAGTGGGGCCGTCTGTCGATTAGATGTCAGCGACTGCTATCCGCTTCTACCTTATTGCACATCTGAACCCACCTCTGCGTGACTCGTCCGACAACGGAGACACATCTCTGTTGTAGCTGCTTGGCGATGGCTCCTTTCTCAACAGCGGCTGCTGGTGCCGTGGAGGTGGTGGGCCAGGCGTCTCTACCTGCACATCCGACTCGGGCGTCTCCAAATCGGGCGAAAAAGCACTCTGCGTGGCTGCGCCGGGTGGCAACGAAGGCAGAGCTTTCTCAACAGCCGGCGCGCCTCCATTGGCTCCTGTTTGTGGCTGTCGTGTAGTCTTAGCCTTCTTCCGCCGCCGGGCCATCAAGCTCTCGTGGCAGCTCATGCAGAAGATCCCCTGAGACGTGCGCGCATAGCGCAGGTTTTCGATCTTCCGCTTGCAGTTGCGACACCTAAAGCAGCTTGCGCAAAAGGCTTGATCTCCGGTCAATATCGCCAAATCCTCGATCTTGTTGCCGCAGGCGTTGCAGCTATATGTGCAATTGTTACAGATGAGGGAGCCGTCGCCGAGCAAGAGCAGGTTCGCATCGGAGTCGAGTAGTGTTCCGCATGTATTCTGGTGGGACCGAGTCAGTATGCCTTAGTTGACATGTACAGTTTAGAGATGCGTACACATCGGAAGCAGTCAATATGCCATCGGTTGCCGGCAAGTTCGAATGCCTGGATCTCGTCAATACCCTCAGCCAACAATAGCAAGCCGTACTGTCTATCGTCGTACCTTCCCTTCTTCCTGTACACGATGACCGTCAGTAACGTCCGACTCTAGGCCGTGAGTGTGACTTACCAAGATCTCTCCACAACCTGCCATAACAAGATCATGCACATCAGCATTCGTTCTGCCAGCTGTATACAGGCCATATCTATACGTACCCTTGCACGGGAACACCACCTCATTTTGATCGTCCATTTCCTGGTATGCGGCCGGGGAGTCCACCATGGCCGCTGCCATCTTCGGAGAGTATGTTGTTGCAAAATCTCCTCACCGTTCGATGGACGATGATTGCTCGAATAACACCCCTCTTTTGGTTCGTTAGAAGCTGTGCAGGCCTTGCTGCCACATCCACCAAGTCGATAGCGTAATGGCAACACTGCGCCCCAACTCTTCGCTGACCGTCCTCGTATTCGAGCTTCCCACACGCAATCAGCCCTTACACACACACTCCAGCACCTCGACAACACTCTTCCTCAACGCTGCGCAACGCACAGCAGCGCAATGACAGTCGGTGATGCTGCAGTCACCAGCTGCAACTTGGGATTGTCACAGCAAGATGGCACGGGTTTGGCTTGGCTGAGCCGTAGTTCTGTTTCGGCTCGCTCTCCCGCCTCGGATGCCAAAATAGGCTCAGGAAGAACGCAAAGCACGACCAGTTCCACGACCAAGTGCCTCGGATGACAGCCCCCCCTCCCTTACACCACGCGGCGCTCGAGCATCGTTGAGTGTAGGCTTATACTTGTCCACACAACCTGTACCTTGTGGAAACCCTGCTACGGTGCAAATGAGGGATTGATTACACAAAGCGAAGGATGGCATTTCGGAACACCAACCCGACTGACTAAACCTTAATGCGGAGCATTTCTCGCTAAGCGGCTGCTTCCGCGCGGAGAGGTCGTCTCATCACCTGCTGTGTCTGGTCCTGCCATATCACCCCCCCATGGGGACACACAGAGATGCCGTGCAGCAGTCTCGCATCGTAATCAAGGACTACAGACCAGCTTCGTCCCCTGGTGTAACCGGTTTGTTGGCGCCGTCTCGTCCTTTCTTGCGACAACCGCCTCACGTGGGTACACCAGGGCATATGAGACATGCAACGGTCTAGGCACGCTACATCTGCTATTTGCGGGTCGTGCTGACTGTGCACGGCATTCCCTGCTCAGCGTGGAAGGATCCACGACGTGTGTTGTGTGCACTCTGTGACAGAGCGCGGACGCAGCAGGAAAGGGAGCGTAAGGTAGCTCTTTATTGGTCATGACTCAAACACTGCGATAGAGCAAGTGGTAGTGTACATTCCGTTCATGTGGAGTATTACTCTGCGCTGTTTGGTAAGCTGGAAGCTACCAATGTCTCGTGATAGCATATGCGAAGTAGGTCCGCACGATTAGCTACTGTCCGCAACGTCCCAACCTACAATGTCCCTCTCTCGTCATCTCCAAGCCCATATCACAGCACCCTCAATACCTCGCCACAGTCCCTTGCCTCGTATACTCCGGGGCCGGCTGAAGCTCTCGTCCATACTGGTCTACATACCTAACCGATTGCTGTGTTGGGTAGGCATAGGCAGGCTGTTGCAACGGTCCTCCATACTCCGTGCTCGGCGCGACGCTCATTGCACGCACCGATGCCGGCTGCGGAGGCGGAGCCATGTCGCGGGGCAAGTACTGTACAGGCGCCATGCTTCCCTGACGTACGTAATTCGAGGCGACTTGCGGTAGCGCTTCTGGATGTGCACTGTAGCCGCGTGGAGGCGCTTGGTAAACCGGAGAGCTCTCCTGGAGACGAGGCGCCACCATTGGCGCGGGAGGTGGTGGCATCGCCTCGTGCCGGGGGCGCGAATGGAGAATAGTTGACGAGGTTGGTGCCGTAAGAGGTTCAGCTGCAGGTGGTGCCGGCTGGTACTGCGGGTATGCGTGATAGACCGGCGATGTGCGCTCATACGGAGCTGGCGGCGGCATCGTGCCATACCGGGGTACTTCGTATACCGGAGAGGTGGGAGCTGGGGCATAGTTGACTGGCTCTGCAGGCCTTGTGCTGTACGCGGGAACGGGACGACCATACTGATCCACATACTCGACGGGCTGCTCAGCTCTGCGGCTAAGGGGCGGTGGCGGCGGAGGTGGCATGCCGGCACGGTCGACCAGCCTGAAGCGGCTTGCTTGATATGCGTCGCCTGCATTCGACATGCGGCTTGGTGCTCGCTCATACTCAGACGGCGGCACTGGGCGGCGTTCGACAGGTCCAACAGAAGCTCGCGCGGAGACGGGTGCCGTCGCAGGCTCGACTGGTTCGTACCTGTTGCCGTATTGGTCCACGTATATGATGCGCTTCTTCGGGGGTGGAGCCGCTGCGGGTTGGCTTTGCAGATTGCTGTACTGCACTAGGGCTGGCGACGGTACATCGCGGACGTATTGTACCGATGGCTGAGCCTCGTTCCCGTGCGTTGGCGGTCGAGCACTGTAGGCCATGGACGCGGATCGATACGGAGCAACGGGAGAGTAGGTCGGCTGAGGTGGAGAAGCAGGCCTGTGTGCGTAATGCAAGCTTGCGACACGTCTAAGGTCTTGCGTGTCCCGTTGAATCGGACGATGAGCACCCGGAGATGCCACCCTTGCGTCGTGGGGTAGAGGAGGGACTCCGTTGTGCCGATACCGCATTCCAGGGGTAGTAGGCTCAGCAGTAGTGTATTGCGCGGCGGGAGCTTGACGAGGTGGCATGGTTCCGGCAGGCAGTGGAGCTGGTCTATACTGTGGCTGATAGTGCGGCACTTCGGGCACGTCCGGCGCAAAGGGTGGCGGGGAGACAGGCTCGTCTTTGATGTAGGGCTCCGGTTCGGCTAGAGCCATGGGTGAGCGGCCGCCGTTCTGGTCACGTCGATCGCGTTCGCGCTCGAACCTTTCCGGACGCCTCTTTTGCTTCTTGCTTGGCTCGTGCAGGTTCACGTCCCTCTTGCGCTTCTTGTTGCGCTGCTTGTTCCTCTTGCCACCAGGACCAGCAGCGGATGGCGACGCGGATGAAACCCGCTCTCGTATTGAGGTGCGATGTTGAGGCTTCGGACGCACAACTTCCGGCTTCCCGTTAACGAGTTCCAGCTCAATGTTGGAGCTTTTCGTGGTGGTCAGAGGTGAGACCCGACTTGGCTGCGGAGCAGCAATGTGGCTCAAATGGTTACGAAAAACAGGGACTTGGGCCGGTGGCTGGGCCGCATGACTGAGGTGCTGGTAAGGCGTTGGCACAGCACTTTCCTGAGTGATCTCTCCAGGCTCGTAGTCCGAATTGTCATCCTCTGGCGGCGTCACGTGAGCTGTAGTACGTGCACCCGCAATGTCCGGTCTGGCACTATCGAAAGCCGAAGCATCAGGTGGAATGTACTCATCATCTTCGTCTTCAGCGTCTTCAGGCTCGTAATCGTCATCGTTCATGGCATCATACGCTGCGTGACGTGAACGCTTGGCTGCATGTAAAGTAGTAGACGGGACAGCACGCTTTTGAGCAGAACGAGAAGACTCAGCGAGAGCAGTGTGTGGCACACGCGGATCGAGACGCTCGAAGTCGGCCGTAAAGGCACCTGCGCCTTTGTCAGAGCCTTTGCTACTACTGGCGTTCGACGACCATGGGCTGGGAGCGCGACTTGAGTAATAATCATTCTCATCGAAGGAGCTCACGCTTGCCGCCTTCTCTGGCTTCAGGCCCGAAACAGGCTTCACACGATCCAGAGCCTCTTTGAGCACTTGGTCGAGGTTGATGTGCGAGCCCTCGGGAGCATCATGTCCGCCACGTGCCTGCTTGCGTTGCTCACACTGTAGCTGCAGGTCATCTTCGATACGTTTGCGCTTGAGCGCTCTTTCTGCTCTTACGAGACTAGGAGATTTCTGAAGGAAGATGGGATCGAGCCCAGGAGAAGTCGGAACAGGCGTGTGCAGACCAGGTAGGCCATTAGGTTGTGTAACTGATGTCGACGCGTTATTAGTAGCATAAGCTGAGTGATTAGCAGCCACTTCAGGCACGATTGATGCTGCTTTGAGCTGCTCTATAGCTGTCCGCGGCAGCTTGAACTGCGGATGCTCTCCAGCAAGTACGACATCCTGCAGTTTCAGGAGCTGCGTCGTCAACTCCACATCCTCTGCAGGAGAGGGTGTGGTGGTGCCATTGGTATACGCTGATGGTCTAACAGCGCTTACGCTGGCAGCCATGTGTGCGTCTCCGGTACTCTTACACCTCAACAATGTGCGGTGGCAAACATTCTCTGGCACGATGCGAGTGCGATGCTCAGTACATCATTGCTCCATGAGCACCCGCTTGTCAGAAACAGCTGTGCAGTCACTGATGTTGGTGCAGTGTTGACGGCGAAGAAAGGAGTTATTGTGTAGAAGATCGGAACCAGGGAGCACGGGCCAAGCTGTCTCGGGCCGCCGCTAGTCATGCATGTCATGGAAACTGCATTGAATGTTGAACGCTTAGGTGTTGGTATTAATGACATACTGTACCTTTTCCCATTCAGAAGTGATCTTGTGCCTGCCGACATGGCAATGAACGGTCCGTCAAATGGCGTGGCGAACGGCTTAGCGCAATCCAAAAGGAAAACATTCTTCTTCGACATAGACAACTGTCTCTATCCCAAATCCTACGCCATTCACGAAAAGATGTCCGAACTCATCGACGCCTACTTCCAAACACATCTTTCATTGTCGCCCGACGACGCCGCGGAACTGCATCAGCGCTACTACAAGGACTATGGCCTGGCAATTGAAGGACTTGTTCGCCACCACAAGGTCGACCCTTTAGAATACAACGCCAAGGTCGACGATGCATTGCCGCTGGAAGACATCATCAAGCCAGATCCTAAGTTGCGGAAATTGCTCGAAGACATTGATCGCGATAATGTCAAGCTGTGGCTGTTCACGAATGCTTATATCACGCACGGACGACGGGTCGTTCGACTGTTAGGCATCGAAGATCTGTTCGAGGGTATCACTTTCTGCGATTACGCCGCCAAGACGCTGATATGTAAGCCGAGACAGGAGATGTACGAGCGCGCGATGCGGGAGTCGGGAGCAAGCAATTTGGAAGCGTGCTATTTCGTCGATGACTCTGCGCTTAATGTTGTAGGTGCGAAGAAATTCGGCTGGAAGGCTGCGCATCTGGTTGAGCCATCGTCCAAAGCGCCGGAGAAGCCGGTGGCTGATTACCAAATCCAGAATTTGGAGGAGTTGCGAGTGATCTTTCCTGAGGTGTTCATGACGAGGTGATCATTGACGTTGTGGGCTGATAAAGTCTTCGACTTTCGAGCCGCTATCGCAAGGTCGACTCTCAAAGACTGTCCGGAAAAGCCACGGTGTATCCTTGACAGGCATCGCGGCGAAGCCTGAGCCATAGTTCATTCCATTCACGTTGCAAGGGACAACGACACAAGCGCCGCGGAGCAACGAGGTGGAGCGATTCGTACAAGCGTCCGCGCCGATATTGAGATGCTGGGGCTCGGTCGATGTCTTTCACCGCTGAAACCGGATTCAGTTGAGGAGCGCGGCCTTGCCTATCTCAACGACGCTTCGCAGCAGTATGCTAGCGTTGCAAAAGCAGAAGTAGACCGATCGGCGCCTGTTGCGGTGACATACAGAGTAAATACATGTCTAGACATAGAGCCAGGCAGACCCAGACAGAGCGGAGGTTTCGAGCATAAATCGTGAAGGGGTCGTAATAATATCGAATGCGGCTCTCAATCCGATTCGCTCCTCTTCACGTCTTCTCCGTGCTTCTCTACTTGCGGTCCCAGCGGCGTATCTGTAGGTATCGTCCTCGCTTCCTCGGTCTTCGTGCCTGCACCGCCCTCCCCAACAGTTTCCTTCGTTTTCAACTCCTCCCTATACTGCTTCCACAGCTCATCTACCTTCTGCCCACCACAGCACTGTGCGAACAGCCTCTCCTCGTTGTACTGTCCCTTCCTCAACCCATCGTTGATCCTCTTGACCGTCCCCGCTCCGAATCTGTCTTCCAAATACTGCAAGAAGTAGCCAGTGTGCTGATACCCACCATCCCAGCTGCCTCCAGCTTCCTGCCGCCAGTGCTTCGCCGACAGACCTGCGTTTAGACGAACGTAGTCTGCGATCCCTTCTATTAGTCCACCGTTGCAGGTGCCCTCGGCGTTCCACTGGAAGCAGTGCACGAGCTCGTGACATAGCACGCCCAGAAGCTCATGTCTGACGTCTCCCTTTACGTTGGTAATGTAGTTGAGATTGAAGTGCATTTCCTTGTGGTCGTCGTCCAGATCCGTGCCGGTGGTGTATGCGAGACCGTCAAACTCCCGTAGAACGAACGTTATGGAGCGCGTATCTGGCCGAATGGAGTCGGAGTTGTAGAGCAGGTCGAGGGTGGTCTGGACGAGGTACTCGAGGTCCTCGTTGCCTTTGACGTTTGAGAGAAAGATTGCGGAGCCATCGTGGGCAATATGTTCGAGATGTAATCTGAGCTTGGGTAGAGGGAACTTGTGCTTGAGGAGAGAGGGAGGGTTGCTAGTGGGAGCATCTGAGGGTCGAGAGGTGGGCGGCATGGCTGTTTGGAAGTAGACAGGAACCACGGGCATGGATAGATCTTCCTAGCTGGATATATAGGACAGCTCTATGCGACACCGAACAGAAGGATGCAGCTGGTAAGGCAAGGCATATCAGCCGAAGCGCTTGGGCCAGGTATGGCCAATTTGAGTGCGACGATCGATGTAAGCATTGAATGTATGTGATGCCGCCTTTCTTTGCATTTCGACCCTCGACAGCCCAGCCTTAATTATGAGAGCGACCACACACCTCACAGATCATTGATTAGAGAGTTTGAGTCGACTTTGTTGACGGTCACGTGTCAGTCAAGCACCCCACAAACTGCTGCATGGCATCTCGCAGCACAGACATGGGCGCATCCCTGCTTGGTCGTTCACGCTAGGCCTGGGTGGTGCCGTGCCAACGCGCTGCATGCATGAACGCGCGATTAACTGGCAACATCTCGTTCTCCGACAAGGCACATGGCGGCGATGGAGGCGCAGGCGGCGAACCTGTTGAGTGTGTTGAAGAGGCCAGCGGCGCCATCAGAAGCCAAGCTTGACGCCCTGAATCAGCTCAAGTCTTCCGTCAAGCACAGTCGCTGCCCTGAAGCGGCGATTCCTTCTATTGTTGAAGGCCTGAAGCTGGCCATATCGCAGCAGACATCTTCCTCGCTCGCCCTCTCCGCCTGCTCAGCGCTTGCACACTTGGTTAAGCGGCTCAAGATTCAGGATGCATCGGGCCAGACGATCGAGCAGGTTGCGGCCAGGCTACTACCAGCGCTGCAGGAACGACTAGGTGATCTGAAGGAACCCGTTCGGAATGCGGCATCGCAAGCGTTGACGGAATTGTATCCGTATCTTGCACAGGATGTGGAGCACGTTGTTCGAGAGGAGGCGATTGGCGGGTCGAATGTGCGGGCTAAAGAGGCAGGCATGCAATGGGTGGTGAGAATGCACAGGGACGAGTCTATGCCGTTCAAGAGCTATGTTTCAGCCATGGTGGCGAGACTAGAGGACTCGGACGGTAGCGTGCGCGAAGCGGCGAAGACGGCTTTAATCGAGCTGTTCAGTGATGCCCCTGAAAGAGCCAAAGCGGACCTCAAGCGGCAACTGAAAGCGCACGGTGTCAGACATTCTATCGAGACGCAAATATTGTCGCACATTGGCGCGACATCTACCTCACGACCGCAGACCGCGCATGCACATGAAACTGAAATGGATCTCGGTGCTTCTACACGCTCTCTGCCTGCACTCGACCCTGTTGCACATTTGGCGGAAAGCATCAACAGTGAAGCTGCCCAACCACCATCACAGGAGACCGTGCCCATGGATCCGCTGTATGTGCACTCGCAGCGTGAATTGGAAGAGATCTTCCGAGACATGCTACCGCATTTCGAGGGCAAGGAGGACGAGCACAACTGGACTTTGAGAGATAGATCAACACTCAAGCTACGGCGACTTCTTAAAGGCAATGCGCCGAATGAGTACCACCACGCTTTTATGGCGGGCCTTAAAAGTGTCCTGGACGGTGTACTAAAAGTAGCCAACACTCTCCGGACGACAATGTCAACAAATGGCTCGCAACTGGTGCAAGAACTGGCGCGCACGCTTGGTCCGGCGCTGGACGCTCATGTCGAGATTCTGCTTCAGAACTTCATTAAGATGAGCGCACAGACAAAGCCGATTGCTGCGCAGAACGGACGGACTACAAGTGAAGCGATCTTTCAGAATTGCTCCCACAATGTTCGCATGATGCAGCACATCTGGGCTGCAGCTCAGGAGAAGAACGCATCGGCGCGGCAATGCGTGCCTGATTGGCTCAAAATTGTGCTCAGAAGGCAAGCGGGCTACAAGTCGCACTTCGAAAGCTCAGGCGGGTTGGATTTGGCGGAAAAGACGATTCGAAAGGGACTGGATGATGCCAAACCGACCGTCAAGGAAGGTATGCGCGGCGTGTATTGGACCTTTGCACAGACTTGGCCGGAGCGGGCGGAGAAGATCATGGCGTCTTTGGATGAGAAATCAAGAACTGCGTTACAGAAGGATTCGAATAATCCGCATGCGTTATTGCATGCATCACAGAGCAGTGCGGCTGCTGCCCCTACAAGATCCGGTGGTAACAGCAGAATGGCTTTGCGGGAAATGCTGGCTGAGCAGAGAAAGGCCAAAGCTGCTGGGAAAGTGCCGGACCGGCCGAACTCGGCTATGGCTACGATCTCTCCAGCAAAGCCAAGGACTCAGACGACAACGGATAGTGCCAACAGAGCGCAATCAAGGCTAAGAAAGGAGAACAGAGTCGTGTCTGCAGCATCAACCGTCTCTGAGACACATACCAAGGTAGAAAGTCCAGCATCGCGGAAACCGAGCTCGTTGATGTCCGGTCCTGTAAGGCGTCCTCGTAGACCCGAGTTAGCACGCCCGCAGACCGCAGACCCGTACGCTGCAAGACGCATGCTCCGGCCCGAAACGCCGGCAAGTGCCAGTCCCACGAACAGTCCGCCGAAGGGAGCTTCAGGATCGAAGACTTCCATACCCTCGTCGAGTGCGGCTAGAAGCCGTGCGAAAACTGCTGGGACTGTGGCGAGTCCGAACGGTAGTCCGAGCAAGCGAAGTCCGGCGCTTCCACACGGACATCCAGCGCCGGAGCCTGCTCAGGTTGCTAGACCGAGTAGCAAAGGCAGTAGTAACGGCATGCTTGGCGAGGATGTTGGGAGTCTGTGGGAAGATGATCTTACAATGGTCATACCTCGTAGTGGACCTCTACCCACCTTGCAACGATCTACGAACGGTTTCGGTCACAAGCGACCAGCTCTCGGCCAGACTATGTCAGTCGACAGCGGCATTCCTGCCGTGAGCGAAGATGATGGATTTACCATGGTAATGCCTCACCTGCAGAGCAGCCAACAGCGAGCGCGGTCCCCGCTGGCCTTTCGAAGTCCGCTGAAAGCTATGTTCGAAGAAGCCAGAGGTAAGCTCGAACGGTCCGTTTCACCACCGAGGGAGCGTTTAATGGGTATCGACGAGGCCGTGGAGGCTGCTCAGCAGCAATCCAGCTCGAGGAAGCCGGCACCGTCGCCTCAGCCAGACCAGATTCAGATCTACGAGGATCCGTTCACAGGCGATGCATCGGATACAGCTGTGGATGGGGAGAGAAAGGTGCTAGGTGAGCTTCAAGTCAACGAGAATGTGCGTGTGCAGAGTCCGACGCAGAGCCAGGGGTCGAGCGCTAGCCCGGCTGGTAGTCCGACTCATGCTGCACAGCCCACGCAGATGCCGCAGGATCGCGCGGAAGTGCTGAGAAGTCGGAGACTACTGGCGTCGGGCATTGAGCGGATCAGGACGAAAACTTTGGATGCGCATGGCTTCCGCCGCGTTCAAGATCTGGCGAAGAGTAACCTTGACATTTGGGACGGTGGCAAGAAGTACGACGAGTTGATGGCTGCGCTTCTGGAGTTCCTACAGACTCTCGACGAGGACCCGCGACTTTCGCAGCCGCAGCATAAGGCACTCGGCCTGAAGGCGCAGGCTCTTGGAGCTGTCAGAGCGCTATTGTTGGTCCACCGCAAGGAAGCCGCGACCTGGTACGCGAAGGCACTCATCACGCTCTTCGCATACAGACACAGTGTCGAGACGAACAGTCACATTGCCGCCGACCTCGACAGAACGGCCGAGGACATTGTCAAGCAAGCCGAGCCCGAGGCTTGCATTGACGCGACCATGGCCTTCGTCTCATCAGGCTCACCTCATGCTCGCTCCGTGGCGATGGCGCTCGCTACGCTCCGCCGTCTGCTCGAGTCGGCAAAGGCGCGCTCCATGGATCTTGGAGCCGAACGCAAGGTCCGCCTCACGGCTGCGGCGGCGAAGTACCTTGATAATGCGGACGCGGATGTCAGGAAGGCGGATATTGAATTGGCTAGTGATCTGTTCGAGCTGTTTGGGAGCTCCAAAACGGAGTTTTGGCAGGAATTCAAGGGGACGGAGGAAGGCAGGTTGGGGCTGTTGACGTATTACATTGCACGGAAAAGTCACGGGGCGATATAACAGGACTCGAGTGAGAGTTGGTGCAGGACACGAGGCTGCGATGGACATTCTGGAGCTCGGCTATGCTTACACGTTGTATGATGCTTGCTCTGAGCGATGGCGTTGGTTGGCATCGGCCTTCTTACACGTGAACAGTGGCAAGACGGGTATTTGAGACAAAAGTGCATTCATGTCTCGCATTCAGTCTGCTTCAAGCCACTGGGCAGGGGCAGGGATCAACGGCCGAGTTTGTGTGCGGCACGTGACCATTACCTCCTCACTTTGACTTTCTGCGCATCCGTCAGCATCTACCTTGCCAAGACCTGTCTATTCGCCCTCACTCTTACCTGGACACCCCCACGACAGCAGCTTGAAAGAGTTGCTAGTCGGTGGAACCAGTCTGCCAGGCTCTCGGTCTTGTAATGCTATCGAACTTTAAGGGACAAGCCCGGCATGGCTGGGAGAAAGTCTCGCCCTCCATGGGCTTTGGCATGAGTAGACCGCAACAGCAGCAGCCACACCCTTCGCAGCCGCAGGATGGAGTACCTATGGGAGTACCCTCGCAAACGGCGAAGCGGACACTGGCCGGTTCATCCGCGAGTCCCAACCCTGCCGTTCCGGGTCATCCAGTCAACCTCTCCTTCAACGTCCCCTTCAATTGCAACCTTCCCGGCCCGGACAAGGACGACGTGCTGTACAGCAGCATGGGCGCTTTCCAGAAATGGATACATCCTGACGGCGCCTCAGCAGAGGAAACACCGAACCATGCGTTGCCGGTGCATACGCGCAACGTGGAGAATCTGCGGAGTTTGTGTAAGCAGATGAGCGAGGGCAGTGGGGAGCGGCTGCACGCGACGGTGACGAGTAGCAAGCCGAAGCCGGTTCCGGGAATGCAGAGGGGACCGTTGACCGCGCCGGTGACGAACGTGTGCATTTCGGGGGATGCGGAGGTGGTGCACAAGATGAGGGCGAGGATACTGAATGAGACGCCGATCACGTTGGTGAGTTATTACGGACTGAGTAGTTCGTGTGCTGGCTGACATGGTGTAGCGGTGCGAAACCATCGACATCGACCGTGACACTGTCTTCCCGCCAGGACACGATGGCGCACGGGCGGACATCCTCAACCACATGGACGATATAGCTGACAAGACGAAAGCGGATATCTTCATGCTTGAAGCCAAATCGAGACGGAAGGACTCCGAGTCGGCAAGCTTCAATGCTGCAATGGAGAAGAGCATGGACAAGCGTCTGCAGATACACGTCTACGGGGACTTGGAGAGCTCAGAGAACGCGAAGACGAGATTGCTGATCATGATTGATCAGATTCTTCAACGTCAAGTTGACAGCATCCGGCTGGAATTGTCTCTGCATAGTTTGATCTCTGGACGGCATCGACGGAACATCAAGATGATCGAGTCAGCCACTGGCACGGCCATCTACTTCCCGCCAATGTTTCCGCAGGTGTTCGGCTATGTGCCACCCGGATCGGTACCTTTGCGTGGACGTGACGAGATCATCATCACCGGAGAAGGCATGGATAACATCCTGCAGGCTAAGAAGCGGTTGCATGATCTTGTCTTGAGCACGAAGACGTTCGTCAAGGACGTGCAGATCACGACCAGCAAGGTGGACTATATCTTGCTTGACCGACTAGACAAGATCCGGCGAATCATTGAGGCCAACGGTTCGTATGTGCTGCTGCCACCGCTCGGCAACCACAGCGGCATACTGCGCGTGCAGGCGACGGACATTCTGAACGTCGAACGTACTGTGCGGGAGATCATGGGTTTGGCGGGCCAGTTCTACAGCGCTTCTTGGTGGGTCACGCACCCAGACGCGGCGCAGAGACAGCCTACCCCATCCGATATCCGCGCCATGTTGCCGGACATCTGCATCAATTCCGGTGCCGAGATCACGTTCGAGAAGCTCAATTTCCACATCAATGGTAGCGATGACTCGGTCAAGGCCGCCATGTCGATCATCAACACGCTGCCTTTCGTGAAGAAGGCACAGTCTACACTGCGCGTCAAGGTGGAGCTTGCGAACGAGCACAAGGAGTTCGTCTCCGGCAAGAAGAACGGCAAGATTAACAAAATCATGAGCCAAAGCAATGTGCAGATTGTCTTTGACGGTTTCAACGAGTACAATTTCTACATCGATGTTCGAGGCGCGCAGTATGAGGCCACGAAGAACGGACTGGACTTGGTCGAGCTGGAAATGCCGGCATCGATCTCCTTTCACGTACCCGATCAGTACCACAAGCGCATCATTGGTATCGGCGGTCAGCACATCCAGCGCATCATGAAGAAGTACTCGGTCTTCGTCAAGTTCTCGAATGCGATGGACCGTGGCGGTATCGGCAAGGATGACGATGACATCAAAGTGGACAATGTCATTTGTCGCACGCCCGCGCGGAATGCTGACAATCTGGAGCTGGTCAAGCAGGAGATCATGGACATGGTTGAGAAGGTCGATGCTGAATTTGTCTCCGAGCACGTTCCGGTCGATCGACTATACCACCGTGAGCTCATTGCGCGGATGCCGGAGATTGAAGACTTGGAGAAGAAGTGGAATTGCAAGATTACGTTTCCTGGCACAGAGCAAGCAAGCGACATCATCACCGTGTCCGGACCGGAGTATCAAGTCCCACAGGCTGTCGATGAGTTTCTTGGCATGGTGCCGGAGACGCATGAGATTGAGTTCCCGACTTCGGAGGAGCTGTCGACCTATCTTCGCTCTGAAGAGTTCCGACTCGATCGTGTGCAGAAGCTCAGGGATCAGTACGTCGTCGAGGTGTCCTTGCACGAACCCCGACCGGACAGGCAAGGCGACAAGGACGTCATGGTCGAGAAGCTCGTACTCAGCTTCACTCGTAATAATGCCGGTGGTCTGAAGGACGCTATCGACTTCCTCCTACTGCCGTTCTTGGCTCGCGGCTTAGGAGCCAACAATGTCAAGGGTGCCATTCCTCGACCCAAATCTGACTCGTTCGAAGACAACATGCCGTACTTCGAGTCCAAGTTGTTACAGCGGGCAGAGCCTCCTGTCACCGAGTCACCGACTCGCGCTAGCTTCGTCGAAGAAGGCAGCTCTCGCTCCCTCTTCGACAAGCTCCGCAAACCCGGCAGCATGTCTTCTTTCTCCTCATTCATCGATCGCCGTCGCAAGAACGGTACCAACTCACCGGGCAGCCTCTTCATGCACGCTTCCTCGAATGCGTCCAAGGCCTCGCTCGTGAGCATGGAGAGCCGCGACTCGGGTTATCGCAATCCTTGGAACGACTCTGGCATCGACCTCGATCATGATGGCAACGGCGTTAATGGCGGTGCAGGTGTACATGCCAGCAACCACGGCAATGGCTGGGGTAGCTTCAGCACTACTAACACTAGCCGGCCTAATACGAGCAGCAACTCGTTAAGTGGGCCTTTTGAAAATACGAAGTTTCCTTTTGGCGTTAACGGTAATGCGTCCACGAGTTCTTTGAACACGCCTATGATACCCGGTCTTGGTATGGTTAATGGCCATGTCAGTAACGGTGCGATGATGGCGGGGAGCAGCAATGGTGCGACGAGTGGTATTGCAGCCACGGCTACGGCAGGCTTGACGCCAGGTGATGCTACGCCTCGGTATGATGCCAAGGCTAGGGACGCCGATGGAGCGCTCAAGGAACCAAATGGCACCCCGAGCGCACCAGCGTTGAGCCCTGCTGAAGCCGTTGTTGCTGCTGCGTCCGCTCCCACCACTGCGGAGCCCGCTGTCGATGTCGACACTGCTGCTGAAACGGCAGACGAACCTACCTCGACCTCGACTTCTTCAGGATACCCGGCGCCTTCTGCGCCTACGCATTAAGCACTTCTCACGGCGACATGGATGGGATGGGAAGCAATGGTATTCAGCTTGGTGTGTGTTCTGCTTATCAACGAAACAAAATACCCTGTGCAAAAGTCCAAGCTAGGAGTTTTTTCACAAAGCTCGACTGCGGTCTTGTGTGTGTGTGTGTAACGAGTGGCTGTATACTTCTTTTTCTACGAGGAAACGGAATGGAAGAGGATATACCACTTTGCGCTATTGCTTGCGGCTTGTAGGTTGGAAGACGGCGTTCTTGCTCTTGTGCGGCCTTGAGCCGCCTTATGTTCATCTCATCACCATTCAATCGCCACGATAAAGCATTCATCAGGCGCACGATCAATGATCGATATACAGTCAATACAGTTGGTACCCCTTAGTATTCCGAGAGTCACTCCCGCTTATGAACGCGTATTGTATGGTAACGGTTAGCGAAAGACCACTGCGTTGCGCAGCCTTAGAGCTTGCTGACTTCGCGCTCTTTGGCAACCTCGACGACAAGCTTGCCAAATTGACTGCCACTCTTCATGTCTTCGAACAGACTGTTGATTCCGTCCAAGTTATCCAGACCACCTTCGACACGCGACACGACGGGCCTCAAGTGCTTCTGGCCCACGAACTTAACCATGTCAGCGAACTCTTTCCTGGAGCCCATCGTTGAGCCACGGAGCTCGATGTTCTTGAGCACAGCACTCATCAACCAAGACATCTTGGGGCTGACAGTCATACCATACTGTGCAATAACGCCACCAGGCTGCTACTCGTCAGTCCAATTGGGTCAATGCTGTGTTGAGTTTTGCAACTCACCCGAAGCAACTTCGCCCCCATCGCGACCACATCGCCACCAGCGCCATCGATGATAGCGTCAAGCATTTGTCGGTCCTTAGGAAGTTGCGCTTGGAGCTTCTTCTCCCAGCCAGACTCCTTATAGTTGACACCGCCCACCGCACCTAGCTCCTTTGCTTTCCTCAACTTCTCCTCGCTACCACTGCTCACGTATACGTTTGCACCTGCAGCAACAGCGAAGAGCAATGCCATCAGCGCTACGCCACCGCCAATGCCAGTGATCAAAATGTTACGACCGGGCTTCGCACTGCCCGTCTTCGTCATCGTTGCTCGCCATGCAGTCAAGCCAGCTAGAGGTAGAGCAGCCGCCTCTACGCTGGAGAGATGCGAAGGAGCCTCCTCAAGCTCGCTTGCATCAATTGTGACTGTCTCACCAAGCGTGCCGAGAGGGTTCATCTTCGTGCCACCAAGAATGGCGTAGCCTTTCGGGGACTCAGGACCTTCGGGATCATCTTTCCAACCAGTACCTGGGTTTAAGACCACCCGCTTGCCCTTCCACTTCTGCGCTTCGGAGCCCGAGCCAGTGGCTATCACAACGCCCGCGCCATCTGCGAGTAACGGTACACCGAAAGTGGTACCAGGGTAGAGATGCTGTCGCAGGAAGAGGTCACGATGGTTAAGCGCTGCGGCTGTGATCTTTACCACGACCTCGTTCTCTTTGGGCTGCGGTTCGGGGAGCTGGATATAGTCGAGGGGATAGTAGACTTGACCAGGTTTACCATCTACCTTGCGGATAGTGATGGCTCGCGGCATGTTGCTTTTTCAGATACACAAAGAAAATTATGTACCTACAGATGGGTGCGATCTACGAGCAGACGAAGACTTAGCAACATATGTCGAACTCATTCTTGAAGTCGGAGCTCTTTGCGAGCCCGTCATTGAATGCTCCTCATTCAACCGAGGTAAGATCGATACGGTGGGCTAAATATCGCTCCTGGCTCCAAAATGTTCGCCTACCAACCATTTTCGGACGTTAGATGCACATATTTTCGAGCTTATCTAAGAGCATTCTGAACGGCTTGTGTGATTCGTAGAGGATGGGGAAGTAGTTCCTGTTACTCTGAGCGAGCTGGTCTACTGCGACACTCTTCCTGTGGATGTAGGTGGCGAGGGAGAGTGGCACTTCGTCCCTTGACGGTGAGCTCAAGAACCTTGTTAGTGGGAAAGCAGGCAAGAACCCGGTAGCATCCTCGTACAACTGCACACCTCGCCCACTACTCTCTCCAGCGTAGCCGTGACCAGAGCATCGCCCATGTGAGTCTCCCACAGGCGCTCAACAGAGGCAAGCTGGAAGTGCCGCCGCACATTGTAGATATGCAGGCCCAGATAAAGCATAGGCAGCGGCAGTCAGTAAGGGGTAGTAAAACGCAGGTAATGCTTCCACGGCTGCGCCATGTCCCGCGCCAACGAAAAAGTATAAGACCTGGAGAAGACTTCGAGCTCGAAGAGAACTAACACTGTCAAATATCAGGGAGATCTCCATCAACATTGAGCACAGCGTACAGTCTTCAGCTAGCCGTGGAGCGAAACACTCCACATCGGCACTGAAGCGGAAGCCAGCACGTCAAGAAAGGCCAAGCAATGTGGGCAAGATCGTAGCAAGCAGGACCCCAAGTAACGATGTGCATCCAGAGCGTATCAGTACGACCCCCTTCCGCCGCAGCCGAAGTACAAGGGCAGAAATGAGTTGTGGGCGGCAACCGGCACCACATCCCATCTGGCAGCAATAGCAGCTGATTTCCCCAGCTTGGCTGAGGCCGGAGCATGTAGGACGGAGGTAACAGGCAGGTAAGACTCTGATGCAAGGACGGTAGTGCTTGTTAAGCCATACTCAATGATCGACACGATGCCAAACGCCACGCCAGAGTCAAAGCCGAGGGTCAAGGCGGAGCCGAATATCGAAGCCGGACGGAATAGCAAGGCACACCTGATGTGAGGTGACAGTCCATATCTGCACAAAGCCCACTTCGGAAGCGGAGGACATTATCCGCAGTGGTCCGACGAGGGCTGCATATGCGTAACTATGTTCGCTTTATGCTCCAGATTTGCGTTTGGCTCGACCCCGCGCTCTGCTCTTCCTCCATCCGCGGATCCCGCCTCGGACACCTGCTACGGCAGCGTGACAGTCGAATTCAGGGCTATTCATATACTGGCTGGCCACTCATGATCTCCTGGTAGCGTCTGATCTGCTCAGCCATTGATCAGCCTTTAGAAAGTTCATCTGATCACTTGTATTTCCGTTCACCATACTCACCAAGCAGAGAAGATGGTCTCCATTGCATTGCTTGCGTCCGTAATACTCAGTCTTACGCTTCTGAAAGTCCTCTTCGACCAGCTGAGGTCGCCATTAAGGGCTGTACCAGGACCTGTCGCTGCCCGCTTCACTAGATTGTGGTATTTCTTCCACCTCCGCCATGGCCAGTTTCACATCCTAAACCAGAAGCTGCATCGAAAGTACGGCAAGATTGTTCGCTATGCGCCTAACAAATACTCACTGAGCGATCCAGCCGTATTAAAGACGATATATGGACCCGGCACAGGCTTCTTCAAGAGCCAATGGTACTCCGCGTTCTCACCACCCGATCGAGACACCCTCTTCACGATTTTGGACAACAAGCATCATGCCAATCAGCGGCGCAAGTACCAGTCCATGTTCACCATGTCAAGCATGGTCACCTACGAGGCTTTTGTGGATGAGTGTATCAAGATCTTCCGCAAACGGCTCGATGAGATATCTAGTGCGGGACAGCCTGCTGACATGGCCTGGTGGTTTAACTGCTTCGCCACGGACACTGTAGCCTTGCTCTCCTTTAGTAAACGTCTTGGCGACTTGGACAAAGGCGAGGACGTCGGCGAACTGAACAAAAGCTTGCATTCAAACTTGACATACGCTGTACTGGTAGGCATATACTCCGAAATGCACCGCTTGATCTTCGGCAGCATGGAGAAGCTATCGCAATGGGGTGTCTCGAAAGGCACGCCACGAGGCTACATCCAAGGCGTCGTGCGTCAAACCGTCACCGAACGGCGCAAGATGCGTGCTGCGGGAGAGAAGCCTGACATCGAAAAGGCCTTTGAGGAGGAAGAGAATGCGCCCAAAGACTTTGCGACCAAATTCCTTGATGCCAATGAGCAGGACGCAAGTCGCTTTACCGACCTTGACGTCATGAGCGGTCTTTCAAGCAATGTGATAGCAGGCGCTGATACCACTGCGGCCACGCTGTCCGGCATTCTGTATTGGCTGTTGAGGTACCCGAAGACGCTTGAAAAGCTCCGACAGGAGGTCGACGAAGGTAAGGCGGCAGGAAGGTTGTCGACTCCAATCACGTTCAGGCAGGCACAGGAGCTGCGATACCTGCAAGCCGTAATCCAAGAGGCGCAGCGCATGCATCCTGCGGTGGGCTTACCGCTGGAGCGTGTCGTGCCCGCTGGCGGCGTGCAACTATGCGGGTACTACTTCCCGGAGGGCAGTGTTGTGGGCGTTAATGCCTGGGTTCTACACTACGACACTGGCGTTTTCGGCCCAGATGCTGCCGAGTTCAGGCCGGAACGCTGGCTTGAAAGTGACGCGGAGACGCTGGCGAGGATGAACCATAGCCATCTCCCTTTTGGCTTAGGTGCTCGAACGTGCATTGGAAAGAATGTCAGTCTGTTGGAAATGTCGAAGCTATTACCGGAGTTGGTGCATAACTTCAATTTCGAGCTGGCTGGGGATCTGAGAAGCGGGAAGGAATGGACGGTGAAGAATCACTGGTTCGTGATACCCAAATCGCTTGACGTAGCTGTTAGTAGGCGACATGAGGCATGATATGCCGGGCAATCGCCGAATGTCCAGGTTGATTCACGATCCCTTAGGTTTCAAATGAATGCAGGAACAAATTGCCGTATGCAGTAGTGAACATCATTCTTATATCAGTCAAGAGATAAGGGAGCAGCTGGCCATGTGACCGTAGTCGGCACCACTGCAAGCCGTATCCGCGCGCGGAGACTATTGCTATCTTGCAGCGATAGACGGAACGTTTAGAAGATGGGGGAGAGTGGTCAAACGGCGCAAGCAAATGCTGCCGCGTAGATGGTTCGGAAACATGGCATTCTCAAATTGCGCTCTATTTCCACTCGTAATGAAAAGGAAGTAAGACAGCAAGAGCGACGAACATGCTTTGGACGGAGGCGGGCTCATGCTCCTTATGGGTCGCAGAAGCGTCGAACACCTCGCCTCGCACGCCATTGAGAGAAAAGGCAATTTCTTGGCGGTGTGGGGCGCGAGCCCAGATCTCCACGCATTCTCTGCAGTGACGGCGCTAGAGGCGGGCTCTCCCACGAAACTACCTGCTTAGCCTCTCACAGCGTCGCTTCAATGGCTTGGTGTGAAGATCGTGAACGCCTGACGCAGTCGGACGCTTCGAAGGAACCTTGTGGCGGACCCATCAGGCTGGGCCCTGTGGCATCCGTCATTAGATCTGATGCCGAGACTATCACCGGGGACTGTTATAGCCCTGCTGTATCCCGCGCGACTGCTTGCTCTCTCTTGCTTCGCTATTCTCGGACCCTGTCTGCGCTACACTAACCAACAATCACTATGGGACTTCTAGGCTTTAACGAAAAGAGTAAGGGCGACGCCCTGAATGCCGGTGAGGATGTACCGAGCTACTCTCCGGAATCGTACGAACCGCAAGAAGGCGTGAGCGAGAATGCAGACCAACTGCACCGGCGACTGGGTAACCGCGAAATCCAACTAATCGCCATCGGAGGCTCGATTGGTACAGCTCTCTTCGTTTCCATCGGCTCTGGTTTGGCTCATGGCGGCCCCGCGTCCCTCTTCATTGCGTACACCTTGTACAGCTGCGTTATCGCCATGGCAAACAACTGCGTCGCTGAGATGACGATCCTCTACCCTGTCAGTGGAGGTTTTGTACGCTTGGCCGGCCACTTTGTCGACGACGCCTTCGGCTTCATGGCCGGATGGAACTTCTTCCTGTACGAAGTTTTGTTGATACCGTTCGAAATAACAGCACTGGACGTGGTGCTTGGTTTCTGGAGAGACGATATTCCTTCGTGGGCCGTGTGCTTGGCCTGTGTTGTACTCTATGCGTAAGCTCCCCTGAAGCGACCTTTTCCGTACCCCAAAGCGACCTCCGGCCAAGAGCGCCTTCTGCCCGAGCGACCGCGATTCTGCGAAGGACTCGAGTTCGCGCTCACGAAGCGGTTATCGCCCCAAGCAACTATTCTACTTTTGCACAGTGTACCCTTTGCCACAGCGCCAACGCCCACCGCACCAACTTTCAGAGCTAATGAGATTGTGTAGTCTGCTAAATGTGCTAGCTGTACGGGCCTACGGTGAAGCCGAGTTCTGGCTTTCCGGCGGAAAGTTTCTACTCATCATCATGCTCTTCGCGTTCACCTTTATAACAATGTGTGGTGGCAACCCGAAACATTACGCATATGGGTTTCGGTGAGTTTCACACTCTCCATTAAGGCTCGGAACCACGTTCACTGACAGATTGAAAGGTCCTGGCAAAAGCCCGGTGCATTTGCTGAGTATCTGGCTGCCGGGCCCTTAGGCCGCTTCGAGGGATTTCTCGCTGCGCTCTGGTCAGCATCCTTTACCGTCGTAGGTCCGGAATACGTGTCCATGATCGCTGCTGAGGCCAAGCGGCCGCGCATCTACATCAAGGACGCTTTCAAGACCGTGTACTGGCGGTTCGGCGTGTTCTTCATCGTTGGCGCTCTGGCCGTTGGCATCGTCCTCCCGTATGACGACCCCACACTGGTTAGCGTTGTTGGTGGAGGCGAGGGCGCCGGTACTGGCGCTGCTTCGCCGTATGTCATTGCAATGAGGAACCTTGGTGTCAGCGTGTTCCCACACATCGTCAACGCCCTCCTGGTAACTTCGATCTTCTCCGCGGGCAACACATACGTCTACGCCGGAACGCGGACTTTGTACGGTTTGGCACTTGAGGGCCGCGCGCCTCGATTTCTCAGAAAGTGCACGAAGAATGGTGTACCCATTTGGTGCTTCTGCGTCGTTATGATCTTCCCCTTCCTGAGTTTCTTGTCAGTCAGCAACAGCTCTTCTATCGTTTTGACCTGGCTCACCAACCTCATTACTGCGGGAGGTGTAATAAACTAGTAAGTGCAGCACCACCATTGCGCAGGTTGGTAAGCACAGTTCGCTGATGTTGATTTAGCGTCATCATCGCCATTACCTATATTTTCTTCTATCGCGCCTGCAAGGCACAAGGGGTCGACCGCAACAACTTTCCCTACACGGGATGGTTCCAGCCCTACTCCGCGTGGATTGCCTTCATCTTCGAAACACTGGTTGTCTTCTGCTATGGCTACACTTCATTCATGCCATGGAGCGTCGACAACTTCTTCGTCTACTATACCATGCTTATCCTTGCGCCGGTCTTGTTTTTCGGATGGAAGCTCATTAAGCGCACCAAGCTTGTTAAGCCGCATGAAGCCGACCTTGTCTGGGAAAGGCCAATCGTCGACGCCTACGAAGCCACCTTTTTGGATCCCCCGGTTGGCTTCATGAGAGAGCTTGTCCAGATGTTCGGGCTTTGGAGGCAGAAAGGTGGAAACGACAGAAGGACGGTCAGCATATCTGCGTAAAATGGTGGCCGGGCTCTTGGGGGATGGTGCAAAAGTATTATGAGATCTACAAGCGATGCGCAAGCGGGCATACGATTGGTGATATGGGGAAGCAGTGTCAATTAGTGTGGAGACGTGTTAGGTCGAAAGTGATGCGTTCACGAAGCCTGAGCCTCCACACTTTGCACGTCCATTCCTCTGTTTTGTGACAGTATGTGAGGGTGGTTTCACTCCCTCGGATCGAATTGGCTGCGCCAAAGATCTCGACCACAAGGCATAACGTAGGTATAGGAAGCCAGTAAGCAGTACAACACGGAGTACAATTCCCTTTCAAGGTCCGAAAAGTCCGCGGTGTTTAATTGACAAGCGTTCCGTCTTCGCCTCGATGCGCTTCGATGTGTCAGCGTACTGCAGATACCACAGCGCGTTGTTTGAAGACTGCTGCTAACTGTCGAGACGTCACTGCAACGCTACATCATCCTCTCGCGGCAGACGGCACGATAGCGTAACATGAATGTCGCGCGCCCGGCAATGGATTCCATGCCGTCAATGGGTTTGCCTTATAGCCTTCCGTTCTCTACCGTAGATGTTTACACAAGACGGGTGACCTTGCTACCTCTTACACTGTCTCTCCTCTCGACTACATTTGGCTGTCCGCTCTTATTATTGCCGAGAACACGTGTGCTACGTGTGCTACTTTACATAGACTCCACATTCCGAGAATGTCGGGGAGAGACCACGAGCAGGCGTCGCTAGACGAGAAAATCGACGAATCACGGAAGACCTCACACTCTCCGGGCGATGCTACCGACTCTGCCGCCGAGCTGGAGCGGAACCAGACGACACTCAGTGGCGGCTTGCTGCTGAATGAAGATGAAGTGCTTGCCAGGGCCCGTGACATGTCAAGGACGGGCGCAAACGTGCCGCTTTTCGTGACCTTCCACAAGCATGATAAGGAGAATCCACGTAATTTCCCCCCGTGGTGAGGACTTCCAATCGCTCAATCACCGGAGCCGCAGCTGACCAGCACCTGGTACTTAGGAAAAAATGGTTCGTCTGGCCATGTATTAAGCCCAACAGAAACACCGTTGAGACTGACCTTGTGCAGGTACATTACCTGCTTCGCCTCGTTTCTCAACATCATTACCTGCCTTTGCGCCGGTGGCATCAGCAGCGCCTCGTCGGACATTGCTGAGACGTTTAACGTCTCCGCCGAAGTCACCACGCTTGGTCTGTCAATGTACATCTTGGGCTTCGCATTGGGACCTATGCTCGTGAGCTTACTCAAAGGACACGTGATGTTCATCGGCTAATCGCAATAATCAAGCTTGCTCCACTTAGCGAGTACTTCGGACGTAGTCCCGTCTATATTGTTTCTTGGTGCATTCTTGTCATCTTCCAGGTACGTGCGACGCGCTAGCTATGCATATAACTACTGACCTATGATTCAGATACCATTGGCTTTGGCGCCGAACATCGCAACTGTCATCGTGTGTCGCCTGATCCAAGGGTTTGGCGGCAGCGCGCCTCTCACAAACACCGGAGGTACCGTAAGCGACCTGTGGGCGCGCAACGAGAGCGGGAATGCAATGATGGTGTACGGCTTCTCGTCTACCTTCGGCCCGCCTTTCGCCCTCGTCGTTTCCGGCTATCTCGTCCTGCGCCTTGGATGGAGGTGGTTATTTTGGTTCGACATGATTGTGACAGGAGCCCTCCTGGTTCTCATGGTGGTCACACTACCCGAAACAAGGCACAGTATCATCCTGGAACGCAAAGCCACGCGGGTACGGAAGACTTTGGCTAAGGAGGGCAATATCAGCCCCGAGGTTTTGGACAGCATAAGTGATGCGTCCAATAAAGGCAACAAACGCAGCCTCCACACTCTCTTCGCCATTAATTTGACCCGCCCAGTCCGCTTCCTGTTCAGCGAACCCATCACTATGGGCGCTGCGGCGTACAACGGCTTAATCTATGGGATCGTATACCTATTCAACGAGGCGTTTCCGCTGGTGTTCGGACCAGGAGGGCACGGGTTCAATACTGGGCAATGGGGCCTAACATTTCTGGGTCTCTGCATCGGCTCGCTCCTCGCTGCCTGCTGTCATCCTTTGCAGGAACGGTACTACCTCCGTCGTGTGGCGCAGAACGAAGGAAAGGGTGTGCCCGAGGCGCGAATGGGTCAAGCGCGGTTTGGCGCCCTCTTACTACCCATTTCGCTGTTTTGGGTAAGCACGCAGACTATACACCGAAGCCTCTACGCAGCTCGCTAACCGCTTTGCAGTTTGCGTGGACGAGCTTTACGTGGGTGCACTGGGTTGTGCCCATCATCGCCAGTGCCTTCTTCGGAGCTGGCATCTACGTTGTCATCCTGGCTATCCTCAATTATGTCGTCGACGCGTATCAGACCTATTCCGCTTCCGCTCTGGCGGGAGTCATTCTCGTCCGCAACCTTGTCGGCGCTGGCTTCCCTTTGTTTGGGAGGCAGATGTACACCAAGCTGGGCAATGAATGGGCGAGCACACTGTTAGCATTTCTTAGTCTGCTCTTCGTCCCGATCCCGATATGGTGGTTCTACCGAGGCGAACAGCTAAGGCTGAAGAGCCCGTGGGCAAGAGAGCACTTCGGGCAGGACGAAGATGCGCCACACTAGATAGTATCTTAGTACGCTTCACGATCCTCTTTTACAACGATAACCAGAGTACGATGCTATCTACATCTCTTCAGATAACTCTTGATAGTACCAGATATTGTGGATGCGGAGGCTTCTGAGGAAGTATCAGCGCCTTAGGCCACAAGGGTCGCGCCGCTTTAGCGTGCCCTAGCGCTGAAGCCCACACATCGCAAAATTGCAGAAACAGCTCAAGCGGCTGTCCATCAGCGAAACGACTTCTACTTCATCTTGACACACCACCGTCAAGATGAAGCTCAACATTTCGTACCCGGCCAATGGCACGCAAAAGCTCATTGAGATCGAAGATGACCGCAAGCTTCGTGTCTTCATGGAGCGCCGCATGGGCCAAGAAGTCCCGGGCGACAGCGTTGGTGACGAGTTCAAGGGCTACATCTTCAAGATCACCGGCGGCAACGACAAGCAAGGATTCCCCATGAAGCAGGGAGTCATGCACCCTACACGTGTGCGGTTACTCCTCGCCGACGGTCACAGCTGCTACCGTCCCCGCCGGACAGGTGAGCGTAAGAGGAAGAGTGTAAGAGGCTGCATCGTTGCAATGGACTTGTCAGTCTTGGCCTTGGCGGTAGTCAAGCAGGGTGACAACGACATCCCTGGCTTGACGGATACTGTGCACCCGAAGCGTCTCGGTCCCAAGCGTGCGACCAAGATTCGCCGCTTCTTCGGTCTCAGCAAGGAAGACGATGTGAGTCTCACTGCTCTTCGTAGAGCGTGACTCTATTTCCTCTTCGCCAGCCGCTGTCCCGCATGTCGGGCTTTGCGCTGAGCCTGAGACCAATACGTATGCTAACGAAGTTCTGCCCAATTAGGTCCGCAAATTCGTCATTCGCCGCGAGGTGCAGCCCAAGAAGGAGGGCGCGAAGCCCTACACCAAGGCACCACGCATTCAGCGTCTTGTCACCCCTCAGCGTCTGCAGCACAAGAGGCACAGGATCGCAATCAAGCGTCGTCGGGCGGAGGCAAGCAAGGATGCTGCGGTATGGCTTTAATCCCTTTGTCGAACTTGCGAGAGTCTTGTACTAATTCCGTCCTTAGAATGAGTACGCGCAGATCTTGCACAAGCGTGTAGGCGAGGAGAAGCAGAAGCAGGCCGATATGCGGAAGAGGCGTGCGTCTAGCATGCGCAAGTAGGTTACTTAGTGAAGTCTACTTGCCGTCTCAGTGCGTTTGCATGTTATGGCCGCTCAGCAAGGATTGGCGCTTCGAAGCATCGCCACTCGCCATGAGCGTGGCAGGGAGGGCAGGGATGGCGTTGATAGTGTCGTAGTGTCCTAACATGTTACCTCAATGGCTGTTCCTGGTGTATCGAGCGTATTGAAGCAGTATTCCCTTTTAAGGCTGTCACGTTGCACGGTGTCCTTCCTTGATGTGTGGTATACTACGATCGCGTTGCGTCCTACGTGGTGAATTTTGGCACGAGTCGTGTTCAAGCCGGAAACGATGCCTCCAGTCACGCTTCATCGCGGCTTCACCAACCTTTTCGCACAGTTTTCGACATGTTCACCTTAGTTGCTCCCCTACATCCGCCGGTCTTGCAGCCGCAGTCGCATCACTATGGCGATGAACTCCATCAAGCTGCTTACGGGTAACAGCCATGGGCAACTGGCTAAGTCAATGGCCGACAGGTAAGGCGGAAAACACTCAAAGGTACAAGAAGTAAAGTTGACGGTGCATACATTCAAGACTCGGAATAGAGCTGGCAAAGATCATGGTGCTGCAATATAGCAACAACGAGTCCAGCATCTCAATTGGCGAGTCGGTACGAGACGAAGACGGTACGCTGGCGGCGTAAGTACCACTACCCACTTGGCGTATACTGAACGAGAGACGGTACAGTCTTCATCCTGCAGTCAACAGAGCCGGGCAACATCAACGACCACATCATGGAGCTTCTCATCCTCATCAACGCCTGCCGGACCGCCTCCGCTCGTCGCATCACCGCTGTCCTGCCCAACTTCCCCTACGCCCGTCAGGACAAGAAGGATAAGAGTAGGGCTCCTATCACCGCCAAGCTCATGGCCAACATGCTCCAGACCGCGGGCTGCAACCACGTCATCACGATGGACCTACACGCAAGTCAAATTCAAGGCTTCTTCAACGTGCCCGTGGACAATCTGTATGCGGAGCCGAGTACGCTGAGATGGATACGGGAGAACCTGACGGTGAAGGACTGTGTAATCGTCAGTCCGGATGCTGGAGGAGCCAAGAGGTACGCCTCCGCGTATCAGCATGCGGACCAGATTAGTACTGACAGTTGCATAGAGCGACATCAATAGCGGACGGCCTTGATCTAGGCTTCGCGCTCATCCACAAGGAACGCGCACGGCCCAACGAGGTTTCACGCATGGTGCTTGTCGGCGACGTCAGAGACCGCATTGCGATTATCGTTGACGATATGGCTGACACTTGCGGCACGCTCGTCAAAGCCGCCGAGGTTGTTATGGAGCACGGCGCACGGGAGTGCATCGCCATCGTCACGCATGGCATCCTTAGCGGCAATGCATGTCAGAAGCTCAACGAGAGTAAGCTGCGGAAGCTGGTAGTCACAAATACGGTACCGCACGAGGAGAAGAAGAAGCTATGCGACAAGATCGAGACGATCGATATCAGCCCCACCGTAAGTCACCGCCCAAGACCATTATTGCGGCCCAAGCTGACCTTCTCCGACAGCTCGCAGAAGCATGCCGGCGAACGCACAATGGCGAAAGCGTCTCCTTCCTCTTCAAGCACGCGCCCTTGGATTAGCATTGCAAGCGGCTCGTAGCTCGGAAGGTAGAGGCTGCGTGAACAGCATGTTGTAAGGTTATGATGGCGACATGGGACAGATATACCCTCACGGAACATGTTTGTACTGTAGCAAAAGCACTTAATTCTTCTTGCACCTTCGCTAAAGCCCATTCGGTCTTACTCGTGATCCCCAGCCCTCGCTCCTTTGAACTAAAAAGATTGACATCATCAATTAGAGCTTCAATTGCTCCTGCCAATCGCGCCATCTCCCGGCTCTCAATGGGTCCAGCTTCCGCAGTTCATCCAACCACTCCCGCAGCTCTACAGTGCTCACTTTCTTGTTACCCGCTTCGACCTCAATGTACCGACTTGAGTACTCTAGAAGTGCTTGGTAGATATACTTGCAGTCCTCAGCGCCTTCGAGCATTTCCTTGATGCTGTCAATCTCGCGCTCGAGGTAGTCTACGCGTCCCGTATTCGTGCACGGGTCCAGAATAGGCAGGGCCTGATCGTTCGAAGCGTCGAGCGTAGCCATGAGGTACTGATGGTAGAACCATAGACTCTGGTCGTACGGGTCGGTATATAGAGCGCGAGTGATAAGCTCGAACTCGCTGTCGAAGAATGTCTGCCGCTGCTTACTGGAGGCTTGTCGGTCCGATAGTATGCGTGGAATCAGTTGGCTGCGGTTATGCCAAGCGCTAAAGTTGCTCAGGTTCGTTTCAACCATCTTAGTTGTGTAAGTGAACTCGCTCTCAGCCATGCTGGATCCGTTGAGCTGTTCGATCTCCTTGACTACCTGACGGCGATAGCCCCAGCCGTGGAAGTTGCGGCTGTCGAGACTCAGCATCTTGGTGACAAGGCCAAGCTCGCCTTGCCACAACTCAGACGAGTTGTGAACTGGGAGGTGCTGGGTTGCTGTCGACAGAAGCCACGAGCGGTGGTTCCAGATCCAGTAGCATTTGGGGTACTGCTTCAGCAGCGGAATGAGGAATAAGAGGTCTTCTTTAACGAGGAGTGCGATCTCATGTTGGGCTAGCGTCAGGCCGGCCTTCTGGGCAGCCGCAGCATCTGTCTCGTCAATCAGCGGACCTGAAGGTCCGGTGGCGAGCTCTCGAGCAAAAACGTCCTGCAGTAGACGGCGCCGGTGATTCCATATCGTGTAGTACTCCGGATTCTGTGATAAGAGCTTCGAGGTTGCCTGAAAGGTGGCGTTTGAGTAGTCTCTGGCCTTGATCTGGGTATTGTCAGAGGATAGATGTCACAGACATTGAAAGCAACCCATACCCGATCGGTCACTTCGCTCTCGAGTGCTTTGTATTGGTCGATCTGCTTCCGCTCCTTCTGCTTGGCCTGCTCGCTTTTGTCCAGCGACGCCCCAGAGACGCGGGGAATGCCGTGCTGCCCTTCACATCAGCGACGCCGACCTCACCTTCTCCTCCTTTCAACCCGTCACTCACACTTGCCATCCCCTAGGCGAGAGGCGGAAACGATGCAGCAATCCTCGGTCGAGAGAAGGTAAGCAGGCTTTAGGTAGGTTAGAGGTAGCAGCATTGAATTTAGCATGGAGAAGCTGCGCTTGTCTCATGACGCTCCATCTCCGCCTTCAATCAGCTTGTGTTTAAAGCAATGATCAATTTCGCTTCTCCTACTATTCATATTCTAGCTGTATGCTAGCAAGATAGTGTTACTAACCCATAGGTATCTGCTGCGCATGTGCTTCCGTCGACCGACGGCCTTGCTACCGCTATCGAGCTGACTTTCAACTCTTTGCGGTCCATCATTTGCGGCTCAAATCACAGCATGGTGAGCTCAATAACCTTGGTAACGGGATTGGTCACTGAGGTTAGCACAGACTGAGCCCCAGTGCTGATCGGTGGGCATCCTTTCTCGTCCTTCACGCCACGCTAACCATCTTGGGTAGCAATGCCGGTACGGCGCTGGCTGCTTGAACGGTTAAACACGGTGAAAGGTGTGAGGCACGTCCTTATCCAGCGTTGCAGGAAGAGCTCTGCTGCTGTCGAAGAAGCCGTTCCGGTGTCCGACAGAGACACAGCGTCGGCACCACCCGACTGGCCTCCAGACACGCTAGCCACGAGTGAAGAGCCGCAAGCAAGAGTCGCACCTAGAACCTCACCACAATCTTCGGCAGCGTCCCTGCGATATCCCTCACGACGGCGTAGTAGACGATCCACGCGCTCCAGCTCTCCTCTGTCTTACGCTTCGCACGTCTTTTCCGACGGCACGCACCATTCCAGCTCCATCTTGCGATATGGATACTGCCGGGAATGCGGCCAACACGGACCGAGACTGCAAGTCGACCAAGACTCCCGGCCGATCATGTGGGTGCCGCAGGTTCAAGCGTAGTACGAACCCACCTACGGCGGCATGCTCAATGCACCACGATACGAGCAACGAACCGTCATGGTCCCCATCTACAGCTCCCGAATCACTGCACCTGGCACACCAAGCTCTCGAGCTAGCCGAAGCTCCAGCAATCTTCACTTGGAACAAGCAGCCTGCGCACAGCCAGTCAGACCTCGAGCTGGCAGCACCGGTACCATCAATACCGACCTTGAGCACGCCGGTGCTTCACCACCCAGCAGCTCAAGCGGCGGCTCCAAGGTCAAGTCGGAGGTTCGACCAGTACCGCTCACCAACGCGCACTACAAACACCGCCATCACCGAAGCCACCTCGCTCATAAGCGCTCTGGAAGGGCTGCCGCTGGCAGGGATCCTGCGAACGCCCGCCGAGGATCTCCACATACAATTGCCGATCCCGAGAAGTCTTGGCGGAGACACTCCCAGTAGCTCAGCAGTAACGAGTCCAAGCAGCATCTTCAGCCAGTGCTCTAGAATCGGGACGCCGTTAACGAGCCCAAGCGGCTCACCAACCAAGGCGAGATGGATTGACGGCGTCTCAGATGTCGAGGACGACGGTACGGCGGACTCTCCTTCAATACCCAGCACACCATTGCGCCACCCAAGCGCATTATTCAGACACTGCCAGCGACGGGCCACGCCACGACAGCGACGCTTAATGAATGATCGCCTTGGCTCGCCGGATCGCTTTATTGCAAGTCGGCCTAGTACGCCAACGAAAGAGAAGTTACTCTTGTCATCACCGCACAAGGCACGTAAACCTTTACCGATGCATGTCGACGACCCATTTGCTCCGACCCGGCGAAGTCTGCGGTTGGCCGAACAGTACGCAACCTTGCGAGGTGCGCCTACCGCAATTCGGCCTGCAGCATCCGGAACTAGAAGCACGCCTGTCAATGATGCAGCGCGTGCCCACCGGCGTGCCGTCAGCGAAAGTGCAGTGTGGATGGTTGGTAGTACCCTTGTCACAGGCGGTGTGGCGAGCACTCCTAACGGCAGAGGCGGACGGGTTACGAGCGGCACAAGTGCACCGCATTACACTGCCAATTTCTTGCATAAGTCTTCCAGAAGCGAAGAAGAGCGGTTGCACGGTAACCGCTTAGCGCTGGCGCTGGACATTGATCAGCACGCGAGAATGCTTGCCCACAGCGCGCCATCCAACCTCTCTTCGGCCTGCAGTTCTTCTACAAAGATCAATGGCCGCAGAGTCTGGCGAGACGGTACCTGGGAACGTCTTGATCCGCCGGTCTCACCTACGAAGTCTGCCACTGCTAAGCCGCCCAAAGAAGTTCCAATCATCCCATTCCGTGTCCTTGACGCGCCTGCGCTGCGGGATGACTTCTACTGCTCACTTCTCGCATACTCGCCAACGCTCCATTGTCTGGCTGTGGGCCTTGGTCCTCATGTCTACTTGTGGTCCGAGAACAAATGTTCTTCGAGGCCACGCATCCCTGACTCATTAAGTGCGCCATTCGCGGCCCATGTGACATCGCTCTCGTTCAGTTCATTAGAAGGCGGCAGCGCAATCTTGGCGATTGGACGTGCCGATGGAAGGATAACGCTATGGTCGCCAATGGATAGCGAGCCGCGCTTTGACAGCGAGCAGCCTGCACCCGTCTCTTGCGTCTCGTTTCGTCCAACTACAATCCGCCGACCTTCCGTCCGCGAAGCCATCATCTCAGTCCTGACCGAGGAACTGCTGGTCGGGGATGAAGTTGGCAATGTCTATATCTACTCCATCGAATGGCCTAACCAAGATGCCCGAGATCTGTGGGCCTGGCACGGCAGCATGACGTTGCTTGCACGCATGAGCTGTCACACTCAGCAAGTCTGCGGTATGAATTGGAGCCCCAATGGAGAAGTATTTGCAACAGGCGGCAATGACAACCTGATATACGTGTTCGAGCGGAAGAAACTGCTCAACACACGGTCAACTGCGTTGCGAACAGCGAGAGGAGACAGCACTGCAACGGACGTCACAGTACGCAGTGGTGGGTCGAGCGACACCGTAGTCGCGTCTCCCAACACCACTGTACTCAGCCAGACTGCAGTGCTCTGCATCGGGCCTGGCGAGCAGAAGCACACATTCTCCCTCAACGCCGCCGTCAAGGCGCTCGCTTTCGCTTCATGGGAGCCGTCTCTTCTTGCCGCAGGTGGGGGCAGCAACGATCGCAGCATCCACTTCTTCCACACTTCATCTGGCGCCGCATTGGCCACGATTGACTGCCATGCACAGGTCACGAGCTTGTTGTGGAGCGAGCGAAGGCGGGAGATCGCCGCCACCTTCGGCTTCGCGCAGCCGGAGCATGCAGTGCGAATTGCAGTCTTTGCATGGCCGAGCTGTGAGTGCCTAGTCAAGATACCTTGGTGGAGCGAGGAACGTGCGCTTTGGGCGGTGCGGTATCCGCGTGGGCCCTCTGGTGCTGGTGAGGGTAAGGTGGATGCGGAGGGTAGGCCGTGGTATGGGCATCGCACGAAGGAGGAAGGTTGCTTGGTCGTTGCAACGAGCGACGCAAGCATCAAATTCCACGAGATCTGGGCTGAAGGGAACAGCAACGCAGAGAAACAACGCGCTCGGGAGCCAGCAGGTGGTCTGGGGAGTTTGGCTGGAAGTCAGATCCTGGCCGGAGAGTGCACCTTCGGTGATGGTATACGCTGAATTAGGCGCAAGGCTGTGCGCTTCGCCTTATCACACTCTATATCTCCTGGGTGCCTGAGCCTATCCATACCTAGGCCGACATTGACCCTCTCTCTCTATACAATTACCACGACGCACCTCTGCCGCTGTGCCTTGCCTTGATCAAGTCTGCGGCCTTCTCAGCGATCGCATAGACCGTATTACACAAATGCGTCGCAGGAATAATCGGTATGATGCTGCTGTCCACGACGCTCAAGTGCTCAACGCCGTATACCAGCAGCTCTGGGCTCACCACGCCGCCATACTCGAGAGGCATCATCGGACATGCGCAGCTTGGGTGTGCGAAGCTGGGAGTCAGCACGCCGGCTTCGAAGACCGCCAGAATCTCCTCCGTAGAGGTATAGTTGGCGCCGGGAACGATCTCGAGCGGGCCCAGGCGAGACATTGTGGGTGTGGCGTAGAATCGCCGGGTGAAGTTCAGCATCGCTACAGACATCAAGCCATCTACCGGATTAGCGAGCGTGTTATAGTCTATCACAGGTTGGCTGCCGAAAGGGTCGGTTAGGTTGAGGATTATAGTTCCGCGTGAGAAAGGCCTCTCCATTGCGTTTGGTGAAAGACCAGAGCCAGCAAATGGGAACTCGTACATCGCCGCCTCGCTGCTGTTAACCAGCGCGGTGAGTAAAGCGTGCTGTTTGGCGTAACCGGCGCGGCTGGTTGCATCGTACATCGCAGGCAGGTACTCGCTAGTATTCTGAGCCGCTGCCATGGACACAATCTCGTCGGCTTGGTCGGTGATGGTGCGCAGAGGCAGAAAGGCGGCGCTGTTGCCGTGTGCTTGCACCCACGCTCCAGTTCGGTTGGCGAAGTACAGCGTTTCTTGCTCCTCGTAGTACGTCGCATTGGTAGAAAGGAGGTTAGGGTTCGGATACGTGTCGTTGAGTAAGGCATAGACCAAGTATGCTGTAGGGTGATCCTGGAAGTTCATGCCGACGCCGGGTAAGTCGTTGATAACGTCGATCCCTGCAGCTTCGAGCATGCTGCTGGCTCCAATACCACTCAGCTGCAGGATGTGTGGTGAGAAGATTGCGCCAGCAGCCAGAACGACTTCCTCGCTAGCATAAGCTGAGACGGTCTCGTTCGTATCACGACTCGTCATTGACACTCCGACTGCAGTTTTGCCTTCGAACAAGATCCTGTTCACCTGTGTCCCGGTCACGAGATGGAGGTTTGTCCGATTGACAACGGGGTCATAGTATGCTGTGCGCGCGTCACTCCGCGTTTCTGTCGTAGGGTCCTCGCTGTTCGGCACCCAAAAGACGCCAACACCGCTGCCATTGGCACCGTCGATTGGATACGGAATCGTACCGTTGTCAAGCTCTGACCATGCGGTAAAGAAGTAAGGCTCTTCAGGCCACTCAAACGGAGCTATACTAGCATGGACTGGACCACTTGTACCCCAAACTGAGATGTCCCATGTGTAATTGTACTCAGCCGCCACTGCTGGCGTCGGAGGCGTGAAATTTGTCGACTTGATAAAGTAGGGAAGAAGACCATCCCATCCCCAGCCTGGAATGTGAAGGTTAGTGGCGTTATTCAAAGCATATATCAACCCTTACTGACCAGGGTTGCCAATGGCCTCCCAAGCATCGTAATCGGCGGCACTAGCTCTGTCGAAGTACATGCCATTCACCACACTGCCACCTCCCACAGTTGCCGCAGCGTAGACAGCTGAGGTTTCATTGTTCAGATGAACGAGCGGGGTGGAGGTGAGGTTGAACAGGTCTCGGTAGTTGTTGAAGTTGGCATAATAAGGGATGAGCACTGTCTCATTGTTGTCGAGGTAGCCGTACTCGATCACCAGAACAGTAACGCTGGGGTCTTCGGTGAGACGGTTCGCGACGGTGAGCCCGGCGGTACCCCCGCCTATGATTATGTAGTCGTAGGACTGATTTGCAGTACTGCTAGGCTCGATGTGATGGTACGCAGGGAAAGCCGGAGGGCCAAACGGATGCGATGGCCAGTTAGGTGGAAACGCAGGTCTATGGAACGGAGCAGCACACAGCGCAACGCGCACGAAAGCGAAGCTTGCTAAGATGGACAGGAAAGCCATTGTGACAAGCGAAGGACGACGAGAACGCGAAGAGAGCAATGGACGGGGAGCCGGCAGTAGACTTACCTGTGGAGGTCGAAGCAATAGCCTATATGATCTTGCTGCGTGCTGTACCAGTGCGGCGTTCATGTTATGCAGCTCGCAAGTACCGGCATGCAAGCGAGTGCGCCAGTTGGCCCGCACGATCCTCGTCGTTACAGGTCGGGTCCTGATTCAGAAGTGGTGGCTGCACACCCTGCATTAAAAACTTGTTTGGGTGATAGGGAACGACCAGGCACAGTATGATCTCGCTCTCAAGCGTAGGCTGTTGTCCGACTGCTTGCGGTTATAGGCGTTGCGGGACAAAGATACGAGCCTCGAGCACCCCGACACTGTGCCGACGTCGTCAGTGGCGGCTCGCTGTGCCTGTCTCCCGCCGCGGATCCACCTGCCTATATTCCCCGAAGAAACTAAGCTCTTCGCTAAAGTGAACGGCATACTGTTCACGCAAGAGTTGTATCACGTGTGACTGACATGGGAAGAAGAATCTTGGAGGCTATGTCCAGGGCAAGATGTTGATGAGTGACGTCTGATTACAGTTACTGGCACCGCCGAGGATCGACTTCATAGCGACCTGTCAACTCAAGTTCATGCTCATTGTGTGATACTCATGTGCGATGGCCGTGTAGCCATTACTGTTGTTCTTGCTATTACACTTTAGAGGTAACGAAACGACTCCTCGCCAACTCATCCGCAGTCGGCCTCATCTCATGCTCAATCTCAAACGTCTGCCGCAAGAACTCCTTCGCATCCTCACTCGCTTGCTCCGGCAGGTCCGGCTTCGCGCTCTCACTGTTCGCACCCGCCACACCGCCTCCACCAATCTTGAAGATGGCTTGCAGCTGCGTGCAATTGGGGTGCGGATGCGAACCGGTGAACATTTCGACGATGAGACAGCCCAGCGACCAGATGTCGGCCTTCTTCGTGTATGCTGTCTGACGGACCACTTCAGGCGCCATCCAGAAAACGGAGCCTTGAAGTGAGACACGCGGACCGCCACGTTTGAGGCCCGGATTCTGGTTCGAGAGGAGAGTAGAAGCTTCAACACGCTTGCTGATGCCGAAATCGGAAATCTTGACGGTGCCTTTGTTGTCGACGAGGATGTTACCGCCTTTGATGTCGCGATGTATGATGTCCTTGGCGTGGAGGTAGCTGAGACCCTGTAGGATCTGCCGGACGAAGTTGGAGATGAGAGACTCGTTGAGACTGCCATAATTTACCAGCATGCTCGCCACTGAGCCGCCGGCAACATACTCGAGGAAAATGTTGAGATGTTGGTCATCGCTGTTTGAGCCAAGATACTGCACAATGTTCTCGTGCTTAAGGTCACGTAAGAGGCCAATTTCGTGCTTGAGCGCGTCGATCATCTGCGTCTTCTTCGCATCCATCGACGTTCCAGTGGCGGAAGGCATCTCGACCTGCTTGACGGCCATCAATGCTCCCGTTACTGCGTGCAAGGCCAGGAAGACGGTGCCGAAAGAGCCTTGACCGATCATAGCGCCCTTCATATATTTCAGGTTGTCCCAGCTATCTTGCTCCAAATGCTCCATGAGCTCCTCGTCCGGCTCCTCCCCGTCCTCGGCGATGAATTGCGATAGTCGAGAATTGAGGCTACCACTCCCAGTGTCCGAGACACCGACGGTATTGCCCGGGCTGCTGTGGCTATCATCATAGTATGAGTGCATCACCGTGTTGCCCTCGGGGTCGGTGACGGTGAGGCTGTTGTCCTGGTCTTCGGGACTGTCTTCTGCAGTGAACGAGACGTAGCTCTTCCGGTCAGGTTCGAGTGGAGACTCCTCGTCAAGCGGCTCTAGCACACTAGAGGCTACGGACTCTCGGTACGACTCAGGTCTCCCAAGCTGGGCCAGACTCATCGGCCTGAGACCTGGCATCCGCTGTACTCCAGCTTCTTTCGTCCAGTGGTCGGCTATGGTAGGTAACGGTGGGGCGTCGGCCAGACTACTCGCTATGCTGAAGTTGCTTACCGTGCTCAACCGGCTGACTGCTCGGCTTAGTCGTCGACTCCTGCGGATGGACATCCGGACGGTACGATCCATCTCGTCCTTTGCGACATCCGGGAAGTATGTCTGTAGGTCCTGGGTGATGAGCTCAGTAGGTGGACGACCGCCATGGTACTCCTTCAGTTTCCGGGCTCGTGCAGAAGCTGTTGATGCTTCACTGGCGTTGCGTGAGATGGACGACATGGCAGCGTCGAAATAGTCGCGCCGCTCGGCCTGACTTGCCGGCGACATAGGATAACTTACTGCCGCCAGTGGCTCGCCGGTAAGCTTCTCGATCTTCAGCTGACTTCTCGATTTGATAGGTTGCTGTACTTCGATGGCTGGCGGCTCCGGTAGCTGTTGCTCGGCTATGCGTGCGGCGGTACGAAGCTGCTCGCCTTCCGGCTCTGCCGTGTGTATCTTGCGAAGGATGAGACGTCCTCGCTCGCTTCTGACGCCGTCGTTGCAAAGCTTTACCAGCTCTGCTTCACCGAGCCTCCTGCAAAAGGTCGGGTTCGGGTCAGTGCCGTCGAGTACGTAGAAGCAGTACGAACGGAAGTGGTTCTCATTTAGGGCCTTCTTCTTCAACGTTGCCCTAACGACGTCTTCCGCGGTTCGGAAGCCGTCAATATTCACTACGGATGACCTGCCGTCTTCATAAACGACACGTATTAGCGGCTTGTCAGTCGGTAGAGCCCCAACAATGCCGCTGTAGAGATTCTCCGTTGATGGCGAAGACCGAAGATATCCTGCAAATCTCGCCGTCTGTGGTGTCTCGACAGGTATGCCTCGTGCACTGTTGCCGTACCTGGAGTGGGATGGCTGAGCGAAGTAGCTGTTGCTCTGTTCCCTGCGTGCGTTCTCCATAGGACTGGCCCGTGCTAACCGGCCAGCACGGTTCTCCTGGTCAACCATTGGCGAGCTTGGTCTTGAGCCGGACTTGGCAGTTACATGTGCGGCGTAGGACATGTCTGCACTATTGAGTTGCCTGGAGAGCCTCTTCTCGGCTCGCGTTGCATTACCGGTTCTTGCGGAATGCAGTGGTCTTGGCGAGCCTGACGAAGGCGGAGTTAGAGTGGCATTATTGTCCAGCATTGCCAACGAGTGCTACAGGGCTTGGTCAGTCAACGTCTTGCAGATTTTGGCGTCTGAGCATACTCTGTTAATGTTTCTCTTGCTTGTCCTCTTGTACACATTACTTCTGAAAACTTTCGCCTGCGCATTTATTCGTACCCGATCACCGATCTTCTTGATGCCCATCTCTTTCAGCATACTCTGGTCCATGTCCATGAGGTTTTCGCCATTGATGTTGTTTTGCCGAAACAAGTCGACATACTGCCCGCAGTTGATGCTCCTCAACCAGTCGCCCACGCGACCCTCATCCCACTCGGCCACGCTGTCCCTCGCAGAGTCCTTGCATGCCTCCGAGAACTCGGACTCTGTAGGACTGGTGAAGACGCCGGTCCCGCCATGCGTGCTGCCGTTGACGGTAGTGGCGCCCACCGGGACGCGGTAGTGTGTAGTCGTCATATTGGAGGGGTATGCGGGCGTGGGAAAGGGTGCTCTGGAAGCGACTGAGGTCATATTTGCAAGAGTGCTCCGGTCACCAAGCCACGCGCCAGCGGATTGCTCCTTTTCTCTCAGCACCCTCCGCAAACCTTCACTGCGAACAAAGAAGCCTTCTGGCTCATTCACGTGTACATTCTGATCACTGCCTTCTGCTCTACCAGCTCTCCAAACACAGCACCGCCTTGTTGGAGAACAGCCGGGGCAGACCTTCCCGGCAGCAATGCCGCACTGCAAATACCTAAGCGGCTACGAGAGGAACTTAATAAAGCTGACGGGGAGGCAAACCTAGGACGAGTACCGAAACGTGTCGAATATGCTGTGGTGAGTCTCAGCGGCGTGGCGGCGGTCTGAAGCAGCTGTGTTGGCGTCTTCGCGAGCGTTTGGTGCATGCGACCGACCCTGAGACGCTGGCTTGTTTCAGCTTTGGAACCAGCGGCACGATCGCTCAGCCAATCATTTCAACGCCACGGCACTATTCTCAGCTTCACTTTGCGACAACGACGTCGACATGCTATTCACGCGACACAGTGAGAACATACTCGCTGACTCGGGTACTTGCCTTGCTGATACATCCACTAGGCTGGGAGGCTGATGTGTATCTGCGCTGGGCGTGGTACGTTCCATACGAGACATGCTCTAAAACAGTAGACGGGCTCGGTGTTACCGTGTCAGCATCGCGATGTAACTCTGCCTACATCTTTTGGTTGAGAGACGTGATACTGACGGGAAGGCACCCGCTGCTAATGGTGTATTCTGACCAACAAACCAGCCTTCGTGCACTCAAGTACTTCTACCCCGTCTCAATGAGCGCGCTTCACGAGGTTTCGAGACAATCGGGCCTTGTGCCGCTGACTGCTGATCTGCCTTATCTTAGACTTTCATCTGGTGGACACCATGCACAATTCAAAGGCTGACGTCGCAGGTAGAAGCCAGGCAGGAGTTGACCTCACTCGCCATGACGACAGATGTCCTCGCGTACCGTCTGGTGAGTACAGAAAGGTTATTCTCCTAGATCCAACGGGCCAGAGATGGAGGGTCATACACGCTTGCTGCTCGCTGAGCCTGGTCCTCCTCGTGCCAGAGTCTCAGCCCAAGGTGGCATGCGTATCCGTTACGGAGCGGCGAGCCTTCGCCGGACAACCATCTGATTATCCATGCCGCTGGGACACACTAGCGAGCACGTGGAGGCTGCCACATGCAAACAAGTAAATAGGTCGTCCAGTCGTCGGACCCTCCTCGAGGGTCTGACAGCTTGTGCAGAGCCGCATAGCTTGAAGCTGCGGCAGGAACCCATTTCGAAACCGATGGTGGTGTGAACGGGGCGAACAGGATGTAGGGGGGCGTAAAGGACCGGTGACCGAAAGCCTCGATCATGCTCCGCTCGTGCTGCCATGAACCCTCTTCTGACTGCACGGGCCTCAGATAGTGAGACTGACCTCTCTACCTCGGAGCTTCGAGACGGTGTCTGTGACACTCCGTTAATGTTTCTCGTTCATCACACAGCGGCCTCGAACGAGCGTTGCCGCAGCCGCGCCTCTCCGGCGCCAGGGCAAATATGCATGGCTTGAAGGCTTCACCGGAAAACGCGCGCTGCATGAGATCGGGAAGCTTGTGGAGCAGAAATCGTCCCGCTATCGCTTCGAGAGTACGAGCTTCTATATAACGACAGCTGTTGCAGCATCACATGGTCCATTGTGCATTCGAATCTCTGTGCAACAAAAACTGACAACCGGCTCCACCACGAGGCTGGCGCCGTTTGAACTACTGTGACGGGCCGTGGAGCGAGCCATTCACGCTTTCTGCCTTAGCTCGCGTACCCCAGCATAGGGTGACGTACATAGCATTTCTCAGCCAGAAACTCGGCAAGCAGTTGGACGTTTTGCACAACATCCGGCCAACTTCCCGAATGCTAACCAGCAGAGGGTCGGGCGCTCATTATCAACAACCTTAGCCGGCGCAATCCTCCTGAATGCCATAAAGCTGCAAGAAATCAGGAGGGTCATCGGCGGAGGATTGTGAAGAAGCAAAGGACTAGCAATATTCCTTGCTTTACTCCACCTTTTCTTCTGCTAGGAGCATGAAAACTGCTGCAGGCACGGCTCCGACCACCAGGGAACCGTTAATGAGTTGATCTGCATACGGTACATCGCTCCTCTGCTCACCTTGGGGGAGGAAGCTCAAGGCCGCGAACGTCCACTACAACAACGCTTCATATGAGCATTGACAAGAACGAGATGGACCGATCGCCGTCGCCGCCACTGCCACCAGACCCGACAATGCGCGCCAAAGCGCAGCAGCCCCAACAGCACCCTGCGTTACCGCCGCCTGACAACAGGCGACCGAATACTTCACGCTCCCGTGCTAATTCAAGGGCAGCGCCGGTATTGCAGCATCCGCTACCTGTCCGCGATGCTGTCCATGACGCCTTCGATCAATCCACTGTTGTGCAGAACCAGCTCGATCCCGAGCTCGTGCGCCAGGTCACAGAGCAAGTGACAGCACAGGTCATCAGGAATCTACAGACTGCGCATTTCGGTGCTGCTACGCCAACAGCCTCCGTGCAGCCGCAACAGAAGCATGTTGCGCCCCAACCACAGCCGCAGCCAGCAGCACTGCCGCAATCGCCGACTCTGAGCTTGTCAGATTCGATACAACCGAGGCAGTATACTCCACCTTCACCGAGCAAGGCGTCCACAACAGCAAGCAATCTGCACAGATCATCCTCGCCAGAGCCGGAGCAGAAGCCAGAGCCAGTCTCTTCGGATGCAAGCAGTACATTTAGTCGAGACAGTGCGCGAAGTAAGTCAAGATTAAGAGATACGCGAACTCCACGGCCAACGCAGGACGGCGCAGGACATCCGCGCAGACCGGATGCGACCGCCTCACGGAGAGGTGACCACGGCTCAGATGATGAAAGGCCGCCAAGGAGAGACAGCGGCTCGAACTACTCGCCGAAACATGATTCACCCTCGTACAGACGAGATAGCAAGAGCTCAGAATCCGACTATGGTCCCACATCACATCCAAGAACCCGACCGCCAAGGGTGCCGTCCGATGTGCCCGAAACAACATCCCTCGAGAAAGCTTGGCAACCTTTGTTCGATGGTGGCAATCCGACAGTGCGCCTCAGTCAGTTCTTGCGTGGTTTGGCGATGCATCTGGTCGATGACTACGAGCCGAAAGGCAGCCTTGTTGTCACGCCAGCGAAAATGCTACGCTTCTTTAACGAGGCTCGAGCGGAAGATGAATTCTACCCTTGGGACACGATCTTTGGTGGCAAGATGTCGCACAGGTCGCTCTCGATCGTGTATCAGAAACTGCGTTGTCAACAGCACCTTGTGCAAACTGCGCATCATGAACTACCGAGCGTGCCGGCCCTCACGCCAGCTGGTTTCGAGTGTTTCATGACATGTCTGATTCAAGCGCACCCGGACAACGAGTACGAGCGACTTGCACGGGCTGTCATGAACATGCCAATCTCAAATGCTGATAACAAGAGTGAGCGCTTCCCGAAAGAGCTGTCCCGACGGCTACTGCCCTTGCAAGGCAACTTGCATGCTGAACAGAGACTCATTGCGAGTTTCAACCATGAACCACTAATTGTGCAGCTCAAAGGCGCCGCGCAAATGCCTCCTCCGCCGGCAACCTCCGGACCTCCGAGACGAGGCTCGTTCGTAGAGCGGGAGCGAAAGCCTTACGCCCAGTCTTCGTTCTCAAACGCAATTGACGATGATGACCTAGGCCCACCATCCGTGACATTTGAGCGTGAGCGGAAGCCTTATACCGCCAAGGAAGGCACAGGCAAGGTACACGAGAGGGAGAGCGAGCGCGAGAACGGTCGACCTTCCACAAGCCATTTCAAACCGGCACCTGACCAGCAGCCGCCGCCTAACATTCGCTCCTCGCGGTCAAGCGCCGGCGTGCCGACGCAGGCCACTTATAGCAGCAGTAACGGCACCGAGCCGGTTAGCATTCCGGCTACAAGAAGTCATCGCCAGTCTAATGCCCAAGGACCGCCCCCTGCTATGTTGAACCATATGAATGGTGGCATCAACGGAAGCGTGCCTAAGGGCCGAAGAACGCCGCCACCGAGGAGTCCATACGTACAGAGTGAGCCAACGAACCTCAACGGCATCCCGCCTTCGCAGTATGCTTCGAATCTCTATACGAGCTTCGGTGCGAACAATCCCAGAGATCATTTCATGCTAGACCCGGAAGAAGACAGCCCACGGCGTAACCATCACCGCCGCGGCACTGATCGCGCCGGTGCAAATGGAGCGAGCAATGACGACGATACGAGCGGAGGCCGAGGCTACCCTATACCGCCCCGTCCTCCACCAAGCACACAGACATACCAAGATTCTGGGTTCGGACCACCCATGGGCAGCTACCCGCGGCAGAATGGGCTGTCCTCAGCGGATCGCAGAAGCACGTGGTACGGACCCAATGGCTCAGCTGGCACAGATGGCTACGGATCTTTCCAGAACGGTGGAAGTGGCTACCCGGGCCAGTCTACGTATGGCATGTCGTCACAGCACTAGGAACGCCGTGCACGGAAGCCATTGGATCGGAAGAGTAGCAGCTCGAGCCGTCATAGCGACAATGTGCGAGAAACTACACGCGGCAGGGAACGAAGCCGCACGAGGAGAGCAATTCGAAGCAGGAGGCCTTCGTCGACAGTCTTTGTTTGAATACTAGCTGAGTGGCCGGCATCGGCCTGGAAACACAATCAAGCTCTCGCGAAGGGAAGCGACATGTATATCTACCATTTCATTTCTGACTTTGGTGAGAAGCGCTTTGTTTGTTCACAGAAGATATACCTGCCTCAAGGCTGCTGTAGCGGAGATACCCAATATGTATGCTTGGATGAACCTGAAACGGATGACCCGATTGCAAATGCCGGCACGTGTGTCCACGTGTTCTACGAGAAGTTGACGTGAAGGCATCAATCGAGTGCTGTCGTTTGTTCGTTCTTGCCGCTGTTAGTCCGTATGGCGACCTCGTGAGAAGTCGCGATCCGATTTGGATCATTGCAGCGGAAGAACACTGGAGTTACTGCAAAACAGTGTAGAGCCGTGAATACGTCGAATGGGCATAACATCTTGATGCCTTGTTGCACAGAAGCAAATGCTATGCATATATTCAAGCAAAGTGCCGCCAACTTTCGGATGTCGCATGCGCTAAACAGGGTTACCACCAAGTCGTTGCATGCAGACCTCAGCTCCGCTTAACGCTGCTCCTTTCCAAAGCCTCGAGTAGCTCTGGACGTTCCCGTAAGCACTCTCGTGCTTTAGCATACGACATCCACTGCCGGTCTCGCTTGTGCATCTCTGGCCAGCTGTTCTTCTCCTCCGTCACCTTTACCTCGTAGAAACGATAGCTAGCTCGAGGTGCTGTGGCTCCGTACTTCTTGATCTGAGCTTCGGTTCGCTTCTCCTCGATCTCGCCCAGATCCTTCTCCACTACCGTCTCTATGCCGGCTTCCTCCCATGCCTCACGACGGGCAGCGGCTTCCTGCGTGGCTTCATCCGTCTCCCAGCCGCCCTTCGGTAGCACCCAGCCCTTGCGGCCGGAGCTCTCGATCAGAAGTACTTTCGTCCTGTCTGCTGAAAGCGGGACAACACCGGCTACCAGTCGTTCGCCGTTCGGCCCATACCTGTAAAAGTGGCGTTAGTAAGGTTCAAACGATCGTAGTCTCTCACTCTATGACAGACCTCTGCTTGTCTCTACCAACCCGCGCAGTCATAGACCGTTCTTGCTTCGGTTCTTGCGCCATTGCTGTGAGAGGCCTTGCTAGATGCTGATGTTCGGTCCAGAAAAGCGAAAGACTGAATGGCAAGGTGCGTACTACCGGTCTATATCTAGCTGGAAAGACAATAAGTGGTCACACGACAGTGCATCCACTGCCTAAGGCCGGTTTCTGAAACCTAAGTTGACAACGGAGGAAGTACAGAAGGAGTATGGGAAACCTCAATCCCGCCTGCGACGCGGAGGCCGAGCGACAAGACTATGGAGTAGTCTGATATCCCGCGCTGCCTGCATGGTGAAAGTGAGGTGTAAGTGCGAAAGAGTGCTGCGGGCAAGGGGAAGTAACAGTGGTAAAGCGCACGTGCTTCGAGAGCGGATGAGTTCAGCGAAAGGAAAAAGCCTTTCTCTCTAATCCCTGCCTTCTCCACAGGCTTCACTTCGGTCAGCCTTCACTGCACGCATAGCGGTGCATAGCGCTCCCGTTCGAAGAGGCGAGTGGACACTAGCGGCACATTAACGCCGGAGGTGCCACGTCGATAGCTCTTTTGTTGCCGCCGTGTAGGAGAGCAACCCGGCACACGAGCGTTTTCGTAATCCGTCAAGATGGGATACTCCAAACCTCAAGACACTCACGCCTTCGGGCCCAAGCGTGCGTCCCGGCAGGCGTGGGGGTGTGGGTGCGGTGTGGATGTTCCTGCGATCTGCAATGGAAGCTTGCTGAGAGGTAGCACATCTAGGAAAGAAACCACAATCGGATCTCTGCAGTGAATTTGACAATTGGCAGTTTTGACATTACATCATCGGGCAATACTGAGGTCAGATCCCACGTCCCTGTTCACCTTCCGAACTGCTAGACATCGACAACCACGCCGCTCAACGATCATCACAACGTGCGTGCTATACTAGCTTGTCTTGCTCGACATGCAGGAGGCATTTACCTGCCGCGAGCTGTCGTTGCTCACGCCTCTAGGTATGCTCCACAATCAATCGTGGCATCACATCAAGACCCGTGATCTGGTGTGACCAGTTAACAGCTCTCCGGCAATGCGTCCTGCCTTCCACGGCCCGTGTAGCTTACCGTGGCACCAAGCGATTGCACAGGGACTGAAGCTAAATTGTTGTGCATGAATAGGATACCAGAGCGGAGACTGTGGCTATTGCAAACTAGAAGGCTCGAGTCAGCGAACCCCCAATTCTCGTGCGTTCCGTATCGTCTCCTTCATTGAATCAATCTCACTCCAGGATGATCAGAACTCTATCATCGTTCCGTTACCGTCCCGCCAGGATCGCTTCCAAAGCTCAGGGTATTTGTCCTCCATTGACCATGACTAGGTGCCTCTTACTACGTGAAGTCGAAATCGCTATGTCCAAGTCATTATCAGCTCCTCGTCGACCGTGGGTGGAGGCGATCTGGTACCTTGCTCTACATCCCCGACGTAGCCAGGTCTTGCTGCCCTCACTACACCATCAGGTGCGCAAGCAGACTGTGCCAGGGACGTCGCATCCGCTGATAGATCAGATTGCCCGCCTCTGAGTTTAAGCCCAGTCGAGATCAGCGGCAGGCGCTGAACCGCTGGAACCGCTTCGTGCTTGGTGAGAGATACATAGGAGGAGTGAATATCAAGTACCCCAAATCTAGATCGTGTGACAGCCCTGTCCCTTTACTCTGCCTTAGAAGACTAACAGGCAATAGCTCGAAAAAGCAGGATAATAACACCTTCGACTTTCTATCGGTAATCCACGAAAGCGAAGTAGGTCAGCTGAAACCAAACCTCGAGCCAGACCACAAGTTTGAGGTCACCTTGGAAGCGGACAACTTTACGCCGGAGAAGTACTCCTTGTTCGGCAATTATCAGCAGCATGTCCACCATGAGGGTCCCGAAGATATCAGCAGAGAAGGGTTTAAGCGCTTTTTGTGCTCGTCACCACTACATCGTCATACTGGCAGCCAAGGTCAAAGGTACGGCAGCTATCATCAATGCTACCGGCTCGACGGGAGGCTAGTGGCCATGGGTGTGCTCGATCTGTTACCGCATGCGGTGAGTGGAGTCTACTTCATCTACCACTCTGACGTGGAGAAGTGGTCTTTTGGCAAGCTGAGTGCCCTACGGGAAGCTGCACTAGCTCTAGAAGCCGGTTATCAGTACTACTATATGGGCTACTACATCCACAGCTGCAAGAAGATGCGGTACAAGGGCGACTACAAGCCGCAGTACGTACTCGACTACCATTCCGGAGGATGGGATGTTCTGGACGATGATATGCGGGCGCTGATGGATCGGCGAAAGTACGCTAGCATGTCTCGTGAGCGGGCGAGGCATCCCCAACAAATTCAGCTTGACAAGCCAGAAGCGAATGGCACTGACGCCGACGTGCATGAAGGCACAAATGTTGTGGAATCTCATACAGACGCCGAGCCCGAGACAATCATGCATCCTGTGCCTACGGAAGCCTACATGTCCGGCTTGTCGCTGCTCGAGCTTGGCATGCCGGGCACCCTCGAGGTGTCCGAGCTACACAACAAAGTAGACCTCGACAGCATAAGAGTGTATCTCGGGCGAAACAACACGCATGAAATGCAGGATCTTGTCCAGTGGGAGACAGGCGCCGAGACGGACAAGACGACAGTGAAAGGCGTAATTGCCGAGTTTGCCGCTTGCATTGGGCCAGACGTGGCGAAAGATGTGTTAGTGGACTTCAGCCGTGGGTGAAATGCTGACGCGCAGTGCGAGTGCGCTCTAAGCCATCGTTGTGTCGCGTGCTCTCCGGCAAACGTGAGGCGGCTGGTCGAAGGCGGTGTCTCGGGGAGCGCACGGAACTGCAGGAGCGCGCATGCAGCATTTTTGCCTTCTCGCAATTTGGTGTGGATTGACGCAGGCCTATGCAGGGGTCCATCGAAGGTTGTCAGAATGGAGAAGGAGGTCACACGACAGCACCCGCACTAGCAAAATCCGAAGCTGGCAGCGGTGTATGACCAGTTACTGCATTTCTGCCCAAGCCAGACGTGTGGTGCAGTATCACACGAACCTACTGCAAGCATTCCAGACATCAGTCTGATCTGGGAGAGTTTGGGTTCGCGATGCGTCCGCAGAGTGCGAACGGCCAACGGATGGTCGACGTTCCCATGCCCGAAAACCAGCGAGTCCAAGTGTCAAACACGCTCATGTCTGCCGCTGAACAACACACCTGCCATCACGATTCCCAACGCCGGCTCATGTGCTCCCGTATCATTACCATACCATGCTGCCCAAAACCAAAAACGCCCAGTCTGTAGATTCATATCTCATGCTGCCGCAAGCGCCCGCTCAATCGCTCCTCAGCATACTCTCGACAAGCTCGCCCAGCGGACCGAACCACTCTCCTTTCTTTGCACCCTTCTCGTCAGCCAAGTCGAACTCCTCCACAAACAGCACATAATGCTTGAAGCCAGTATTCAGGTGTGCTTCCAACCCCAAGCCCCTCACCACGCCGTAATGGTGGCAGTAAATGTGTGCGTAGATGCGGTACAGCCGTTTGAAGATTGTCCTGATCGTGTTTTGAAAGTTTGCAGGGAAAGGTACGCCAGGGTGGGTAGGGAAGACGTTGGGGTTGCTTAGGTGGTTGCTCGTCCAGGTCAGAAGATGCGAGATGTAGGTCGGTGCAGGTAAGCGAGTCGGTTTTGGGTAAGCTGGTGGGTCGTGCCATAGGTATTCGAACTCGTCTGTCGCTTTCATCTCCGGACAGGACTGGGGCGAGCAGAATTCCGTGATGGCGCCATACAGGAGGTTGATCTGGTTGTAGAAGTCGACGACTGTACGCACGTTAGCATTCAAAGTCCCTTCGCAAGCATCGCAGGATTCGAGCTACCGTTGACTGCAAGCCACTCGTTGCGATCTTCACCCTCCGGTAACTGCACCACCTTCCGCAAGCTGCCACTTCCCAGCGTAGCCTCGGCGAACTGCTTCAGCTGCCAGCTGTTGTTGCCCTTGGGTCTCTTCTGCGGCTGAAACGCGGATTGGTTCCTGTTACGTGCGTTGCTGTTGCTACGAGTCAGAAGATCAGCCTTCTTCGCAACCTCATGCGCCAGTCCGAATCCCAAGCCTCTGTGCGCCGCTCGATGCGTCTCGTGATGCCGGTGTTCTTGCCTCACTGGCACGGGAATGGAGGTATGTGGTGCTGCATGGCCGGCTTGAGAATCGTAGACATGTTGAAGATGGCGCTGCAGAGGCGACTGGTAGACGGAATCGGGGCTTTCGGGATGTGGGAGGTGCAGGCAGGACTCGGACTCGGCCAGAACGTTGGTATGCAAGGCGGGCAGAGGCTTAGGAGACGAGCTGTAAGGCTGAGGAGGAAAGGCATGTACGAACATTGTCTGAATGAAGGAGGTCATGGTGAGCAGGTGAGGCGTCCTCAAGACACTCTATGTTATGTTCGTTTGGTCGGCTGCTTGCAGCATTCCAACGGTTAGCTTGGCAATAGCTGCGCAGTTGGCTAGGATATGCATACGCTGTAGACTCGGTTGCCAGTAATCAAAGAAACTTACAAGGAGCGTACGAAGCAAGCACCGTCCTGCGTGTACCTTTGTGGTTGAGAGTCTCTAGACTGCAGGACTCGCAAAACGTAGATGCAAACATACTACCGTATACGGTTAGACTTAATCGGTCATTGAAACTAGCGATACGCGCACGTGACATGTAAAGCCTCCTGATACATGCATCTCGTATACATCTTACTACTCTGGTAAGTTGAAAATGAATGTCATGAGCACATGCGTTGGCAATGAGGTTCGGCTGCTCAGCTCATTATATGCAGATGTGGATCCGTTTTCCATTTGCAAAGCCAGGGCTTCGATACACACCTCACGCCCGTGCTAAGGAACCTTGTCCGTGGGTATCATCCGTGACCGCGCCAAGGAACACGATTAAGGTCATCACTAAGTCACTATCACTCCCATCGTGTCGTCCACTCTTCCGAAAGTCGCTCGAGTTCTCGGTTGAGCCGCCTTTCATCGTCTTCACTTCCACTACCATCTCTCGACAACCGCTTAGCTTTTCGCTTCAGCTCCAAATATCGCTCCTGAAGTCGTAGCTCTGCTTCCCGGCGCTCTCTAGATTTCCGCGCCAGGTACCGCAAGTCGTTGTCTTCTACCGCACGCCGAAAGACTTCGCGCATTCTGCGGGAGTATAGCTGGCAGCTGGTGCCCATGCCTTCGTTATATGTAGGCTGTACAGTTTGGTTGAAGCGAAGGGCAACGTCGGAGCCTTGCTGAACTTCCGGCTCGACTACTGATTCGAAGCAATCTTCGCAGACGGTCATAGTCGGAATGTTTGGGATGAAGTGCCAGAGCGCTCCGATAAGCATGTTGTCTCGCGTGCATTCTCGTAACCGCGTCTTGCGCTCGACTAGCGCAATGAACGGGATAGGGTCCGGTAGTTGACGTGACGCAACCGCACGCTCGTGCGTATCGATGAGCGCATCAAGGTACGCCGAAAAGCGGTTGCCCTCCATTCGCATCGCGCACATCTGCTGGCTGTACGGCAGTCGTGAAGGTAAGGGGACGAAGAAGCCGCTGAGAGTTGGTAACATCCGCTCGATCTTTCTCACATCGGCGAAGCAGATATTGAACTCTTTCACGAAGAAGCCGTCGGAGTCGTGAAGGCCATACCACGTCCTTTCTGCTTGGTCGCTGCCGGGGCATGGTTCACTTGTCTCATCAATGCTCGCCAAGTCTCTCAAGAGGGTGAAATCTGTTCTTCCTTGTCGAAGCGTGAGCAGCCAGGCAAGCCGCATCCATGCGGAGGAGCCAAAGGTGCAGCTGATCTCCTCTGCGGAGCTGAGCTGCGGAAGCCTCCTTACCGACGGCCGGAAGACGGTGCGCTCGAAGACAGCATCCACGCAGTCTGGACAGAAAGTCAGGCTAGGGGCACCAGTAACGGTATACCAGTCCATGTAGACAGCGGCCGGCCCGATACGTTTACAACTCGGCAGGCCTTTCTTCAGTAATGCTGCGAGTTCCTTCCTAGTCTGGGACGACTTGCTGGCTACTTCTCGAGTGTCGCGTGCAGTCGGCACGTCCCCGGGTAAAGGCCCGGCAGCGGCCGAGGAGTGACGGATCGGCACTGATGGACGTAAAGGAACAGACCGCCTAGAAGCCCAGGAGGTGTCACTCGCGGCAGGTGATGGTACGCGGGATGATGCCCTCGACTTGGAGCCAAGGGGTACCCCGAGAGAAGCAGTAGGCGCGAAGTACTGGTGCTCTGTCTCCGAAGGCATAGTAAATGTTGGTGTGCCTGGGCCAGCATCGTCCGGGTACGGCAGAGGCTGGACGGTTCGCGGAGCCGATCCACCGCTAGAGGATGGACGTGGATACTCCTGCATGATCTCGTGGGCAGTCGACATTGCTAGCCTTGGTGGAGGTACATTGGCACCCCGCCGATGAGCGTTGGCTGCTAGTAACCTGCTCCAATCATGCTCGGTCTTTGGCAGACGTGGCTCGACAGGAGTCTTCGGCGAAGGCGATGCTGGTCGCGAGCTTCCAGAGGACGTAGGTGAACTGGCGGGCAAGCTGACGTTAGAAAGGTCTGAAGACAACCTGGGCGATCGTGGTGGAGTATGTTCCGGCCTTATGGGCCTGAGTGATGGCGAAGCCGTTAAAGAAGAAGTATAGCTCGGCTCTCGAGATCGTGGCACAGGGTAGTATGTGGTGGGCCCCAGGGGAGTGCCTGGAGTCGAGGAGATTGCCGAGCCACCGAAATCGCTGAAGGAAGGCACAGCGATCTGCGATGGATGTCTGCGCGAAGAGGCGTCGCGGAAAGATGGCAACGTGGGGATAGTACTGGCAGTGTCGGTGTTGCGCCGAGCGTCAAGATGCACTCGTTTGACCCGCGGCACACTGTTAGAGCTAGTGGCGAAGTCTCTTGTGGATGTTCGAGCATCCATCTTCGGCGAGTCGGAGTAGGTACCGCTAGCTGAGCGTCTTGATCGCTCTGACATAGGTTCGGAGGCATGATCTCGACTTACGTGTTCCGCCGAAAAATAATCGCGCTTGCTGGTCGTGGCAGTGAGAGGTGTGTCTCTTCGCGACGACGCCACCGAGGGGTGTTCATGATCTCGGCGTCTGCGCTGAAAGTCGGTAGGTGGCGGAGTAGGCACGTTCGGCGACGAAAAGTAAGCATCACCTACGTGTGGCTTCGCGGGTCGGGTATACGCATACGGCGATGCCGTCCGCGCAGTAACGTCGGCAGCTTTGCTGAATGTCGTGTCGAGTTTCGGTCCCTGAGGCCTTGGCCCAGTATTGCTTTCGTCTCCAGAAGTCGGTGGCGTTGGTAGGTCGTTCGGCACCAAGACGAACCGTCGTTCGGGGATGTATTCCGGGACCTCTTGTATTATCGGATCCTGGTCCACAGTACCGCGCGAACGTGCTTCATCGCGGTTGCTCTTCACAAGCTCCGTCAACAGTCGCTCCGAACCCGCTTCGCGGGCCAGTGAGGTCAACTCATCTTCCACATGCGGAGAAGGAACCGTAGGCGACGGCCTTGAGTGGCGTGAACGAGAACGTCTATCTCGCTTGGGGGCGTGCAAACCTGATTGTCTCATGTCATAGAAAGCCTTGTTGACCACTCGGAGTGAAGTAATAGAGGCGCGCCACTGTCGTTGCGGTGAAGCACAGACACAAAGCGAGAGGGAAGGAGAAGTGATACTCAGGATTACAGAAGGCGGCGGCCACGCATATCTCTGCCACCGTCAACCGAGCTGGACAATGATGAGGTGGCACGAGTGAAAACAGAACGAGCGAATGCATCGGATGTTCAGCCGGCGTTGAGCACGCGAGGCAGTGCCTGCAGTGGTGATGTGTGAGTCCCCGCATAAAATGCACTCTACCCTTACCGGTGGGAACTCTCTCCGCGCAATGTGGCAGCCTTCCGCTCCTTCCCGCCCGTAGAGGCAAAGGCATAAGGCCGGGCAATAGAGCCTCAAGCGGAATTATGTAGCCAGCAAAGGCATCAAGACGACAGGCGGTGAAACAGTATAGCCAATCGTGAAAGCGCTACGTCCCGTGGCGCACTGCTGGTAGTCGATCTCTCAGGTACCAGGCTCCCGAGCGCTGCATCTCACTATAGTACGAACCGGTCGAGTCAAATGAGTGGACCGATTTCATCACACCTGATATCTTAGAACGAATGCTCGACGTGGATACGGTAGCGTCTATACGAGAGTGAGCGGACACAGCCTTCGCGTTGTCTGCATCGTACATTGATTTATGCAACGCACAGACTTCGTTCTCATCAGTGCGTGAAGGCGTACATGTAACGTTACATAACGGAAAAGTGGAGCCGACTCAGGATAGAAGTTGGGACGTGATGGTAGGAATTTTGCTACGGTAGTCACGCTGTTGCGTTGAGCAGGTTCGACATTTATTACCCCATCGACCACGGAGGAGGATTCCGCAGTTTTGTGTGGCTCGAACCGCTTCACAGCATGCGCCAACATAACGTCAGGCCGTCCGGCTGCACGCTGTGCCACCTATCTATGCCACTTGCACCATTTAAACACAATGCCATTGACCGGGGACGCTGATCATGTAGAGCATGATGTAGTATGGAGCTTGCATGCTGACGACGAGTCCGCATTGGCGGTTCAGACGCGGTTTATCATGCAACTTAGCATCCGCTGCTGATGCGCAAGATGCAAAGGTATGACGGTCTGAAGCAAGAAGGCGTCTGCCAACGAGCGCATGCACGTATCCGTCAATCCGAGATCGAAGCAGTATTACTCGTCAAGACAAGGACCGACGATGTCATCTACAAGAGACAACGCATGCGTAAGAGTACAGCAGATGCGATCAGCTCGGGACAGTCCGCGTCCATCAACCATATGCCTTCGTGAAACTTATCCGGCGCAAACCCACCGTCTCGCAGCGGGCAAACTTCCACCGTAGCACATGTGAGTGAGCCAACTGCAGGAGTATTTTTGCACGGTTTGTACGTCACAGATCGAGCTTGCATCCGAACTTCAGCCCCATAACCACGCAGACTGCCTGAATGCTAAGCTGCACAATTACATTGGTTGCAGTTCTGCCCTGGTGGCTGGGTGTCTGACCCTATCCATGGGAATGGGACCTAACTTCGTGGTTCTGCATCCGGACTTTCAACGACGTGGTGTTAGCGCAGTTTCATACGGCCTCGAGTTTGCTAACGACGACAGCGTATCAGACACCTACAACCGCGCCAGAAGAAGCTCACTTGTCAAATTAGATTACGGTCATGCCGTGTCGCGAACATGACGTCCTATTAGACATCACACGATAGTCTCCGCGCATGCGTAGCAAATCTGAGACAAAGTATGGTTTAGTCCTAGACATATCAACAACACCTATGGAGCCTGTAGTTCTGAGACAATGCAATCGCTGGCATTCGGTCGCCGCACGATTTTCGATGCACTGACCAGGACTGAGACATCGTAACGGCCCAGAAGCACATAGGCCCGCGCCAACATTCAGCGAACCAAAAGACGCTTGCGGACCGGAGGACACCTTAGCACGTTGGTAGTCCCTCCTTCTGTATGTAATGCGCAGCTGTCTTGACTTCGAGCATGCACGAGGGTTGCCTAACTCTCCCCTATCTCGCTAACAATCTAGGTATGCGTGGGATGATGATTCTTGAATGCTTAAATGCATCCAGTCCCTCCGGTGTTGGTGCTCGCCAACCCATCGTTGGAGCAGGGCCGCCGTCGTTGACTTTGGCCGCCCGACGCATGCCGACTGTTCCACCTTTGCACATTCCAAACAATGCGTCAGGTTTCACTTAAGCTGCCTCTACAGATGCACTAGCGCCTCCTTTCATTGGCCGAAGTTCGTGGCCGTTGTACACCGGCTGATCGGCCTCCCAGAACCTTTGTTGCGCAAACCCTCTCCCCGAGATGATGCCGCTGAAGTTGAAAGGGTCAATCAGTGTCATGATGAAAGACCGCTTGTCAGCTTTGCCGAACCCCGGTCCGAGGCGCTCGGTGGTCCTATCTGTAGGGTCGAGGAAGACCTTGTGATTTCCTGGTAGATACTTCCCTGGATGGAAGATCGCAAGCAGTATGACGAACAGCGTAATGTTCGACGTCTCGAATATCCAAAAGACCCATTCGTGCCGTGACACGTACCCGCAATAAGGGTCACTGCCACCCACGTTGCAGCTCAGCGTTTCGAAAGCTTCAATGGCGCGGATTATGCAGCGGACCAGCATCATGGCACTTGTAATCCCAAGGACGTAGAAGACCGGAAGAATGCGCTTTGGCAGGGTATTGGCACGTCGAGCCCGCCGGTACAAGGTCAAGGCAAGTGACAAGAACACCACTTCGACGCAGGCTTGCAGGAGTAGACCCACCGCAATACAGGTCAGTCCCGCCTTGTGCTGTGCCAGAGTCTGATTCGGGCTGGCAGCGTGTGACGCTCCATTAGCTGTTATTGTTTCGACGCACACACTGAGGAAGGCGAAGGTACTGAATACTCGTCCTGGATGAATAGGAGCATGGTACGGTAGATAATCGATCAAGCGGCCAAGGATGAAATACTCGGCTGCGGCGTACAGAGGCGGGCCCATGATAACCAGCACGAATTGAGCGATGAACAAGCTGATGTTTTGTTGATGGTAGCTGGAGATGGTACGGCAGATGAAACCGGCTATCCAGACGGAGGTTGCCCACAGCATAGTTGTACCGAACAGCTTCCATTGATATCTGAAGAATGACTGGTATATCTGGGCGAAGGCCAGGAGAGTTAAAAGAGCCGTGAAGAAGATGGAGGCCGGAATGTTGGGATGGTAAGGATACAAAGACCATTCACCGTTTGCTGTCGACATCTTGACTTTTCCAATGTTAGTCGCAAGGCTGTATTAATGGGCTATAAGGAGCGCATGAACGACGCGCCTGTTGAAGGCGCGCATGGTGAATACATATGTTGCGCTTTCCTCTGCGTACCACGATCAGACGAAGTACAGCCTCGTGCTGGGCGCATTGCATCCTTCTCCGGGTCACGAGAGGTCGTAGGGATGTATCTTTCATAGGTCGCAATCCATGTCAAGATATGGGGTGATGTCTTGGTGTGAGGCGCAGCTCCATGGCCCCCATCATGCCTGTTGTGAAGAACTGTACTTCTGCACAAGTTCGTTTACGGAATGCTTGCCGCCCACCTTCATCGACGTGGTCAAGGTTGAGCGCTATGACTTCTCACATTGCCCCGGTTGTATTAGCTCTTCAACACCATTTCGTGACTAGCAAAAGACATTCGTCTTTTATCTCGGAAAAGAAGGCTGCAGTAAAAAGATGCCCGTAGCCTTTGCAGGCTCGACTGCATTAAAGTGACGCAACGCGAGCCAATAGAAACAAGCATTTGGCGAAGGAAGCTGGGCGCTGCGGGGGTGGTCTGATGCTGCAGCAGTTATGGACAGATTGTTGTTCGACGAACAGCAGTTACACTCTATATTATCGAGTCCGCCGTCGCCCTGGTTAATTCAGCCTCACGCCCGAACCGTGTTGAATGAGCTCAGGCAGACAGCAGCCCTCTGCGTACTGCGGGCGTGCCGTCTTTGATCATCCCAGGACTGCCATTGCCCTTGCGAGTGCTGCTTGATACGATATGAGCGGTTCGCCATACGCGCTCGCCAGTGAAGCATGATTGCATGCTAGTTGTAAAAAGAATCTAACGCGTCCGCAGGCGGCCACGGCCATTCGCGTACCTGTCAATGCGCAGAAAGGTACATATTGTACACCTTGCCGGAGAACTCTCCGTATTCGATAGAATGGGGACACACATCTTATAACTTCGCTTTGGTCTCCAAAGTTGGCAACATGATATCTCTGATATCACCCGCTGCCTCATTGAGGAAGAAAGCCATGCGCTCACAGCCCAGGTTCTTGCTTACGATGTTAAACTGGACGCTGTTCTCATTGATCATGTAGGCCATGCCCCAACCTGCAAGTCACGTTAGCTGCCCGTCAAGACTATATACCTTCCTTTACTCACCATCATCTACCACCTGTGACCAGCCGTATCCGTTATAGTACTCCGACGACAGCTGCGACGAGCTGATGAACCACGTGCTGCTGTACGTGTACGCCGGGTCCTTGTACAAGTCCGGCACCTCTTCACCCTCCTTGATCAGCTTCTTCAAGCCGAAAAGATGTCTATCCACACCCTTGCCATCCGAGGCATCAGTGATATATTGCACGTGCGCATTTATGGCCTTGCGGAACAGGTCGCGGCACTCTGCGTCGGTGGCGAGCGGGTGCGCAATGGCATCGCAGAACGCCACGCTCTCATCGCTGACTGTCCGACAGGTCTCGGTACGGCCCTCTTGGAAGCGACGCGTAGCCGCCGATTCGTAAGTCGGCCTATTCTTGCCGTAAAATTTGTGGTACGCCAGCTGGATGATCATCTGCACGTATGCATCTGGGGAGCATTTGAACTTCTTCATCAAGCCTTTACCATAGCCTTGGTACGCCTCCACACGCAGCTCATGCTGCGTCATTAGGCCGACATGGTGGGTCATGGCGAGCGCGATGTCTGCGTAGTTCTCGCCGTTCAGCTGAAACTTGATAGGTTGCGGGTTAGGCAAGTCTGATCGGACATCCGGCTGGTCGAAGTCGAGCTTGTTGTTGAAGATCCAATCCATGATAGTGTCGTTCAGGCGGTGCGTAGGCGTTCCATCCATCATGCTGTGCTCGCCATTGAAGCCGGAAGTTCCGTTGTCATTGACGATGAACTGAATCGGCTTGTCGAACCAGCGGTTGCTTCCGTCGCCATGCCAGTACTGGTGAGACCGTTCGTGCAGAGTCACAGGCTTTGCATCGTCCAAGCAGACAACGAACGAGGCGGACTGGATAGTTTCGAGGGCAGCGCTGTTGGCCGGGCTCGTCTTGAGCAGTCTCTCGCGCATCTCAGTCCAGTTATCGCGGTTCTCAGTGGTCATCACACCAAGCGCAGGCGACTTCTCAGCCATCTGATACACACGTTGGAACTGTTGCTCCAGCTCTTTCGTGGTCAACTGCTTGCCGTTGTGATGGTGGGGTACCTTGTAAAAGGCATTCTTGCGGATGACAAGGATATGCTGATGTTCGTTCGCAGGATACTTCGCAGGGTAGTCTGCAGGCTTCGCCGGAATGCGGCACGCGTTGAACATCCATTCGTAGGAGCTCATGGCCATTGGCAGCTTCTTCATGTACTCAGGCTCCAATGAGCACTCATCCACTTGCCGCTTGAACTCCAAGACCGCAGTCGAGATGGCAGCAGCTCGCTTGGCAGGGTCTCTTCGTTTCCGGTCATCGCGGTGGCTGTAAAAGTACGACACGTATGGAACGATTGGATCGCGGTAAGCAAGGTAGGCAGCATGGTTCCACCATTCTGACAGCCAGTTCTTGAACTTCGGGTTGTCTCTTCTCTCGAGCAATCTTTGCTGTAGCGTATGTGCAAAGCTACCGGGTGCGATGAAGTCCTCGACGGCCTTCTTGCTCAGTGCGTATTCCGTCTCGCTCAGCAGTGGATGCAATGACTTCAGGTATTTCTTCGCGGTCTCCTCCAGTGTTGGAACGGGTAATCGTGGCAGGCTGTCCTCATACCGGAGCATAGCACCCTTGGTGTTGTCCTCACGGTAGCCCGCAGGCAAGGAAGAGCTCTTCCGCTTCTGAGGTGCCATCTTGAAAGTCTGTGACAAAGAGAAGAGCAACAAGTAAGTCTGACCGCCTTTTGATCTACTCTCAGGTGCCGCACAATGCAGGCAGGGTTGAACTTACATCTGCAGCTGTTGATCCTCGGCAAAGAACCGGGATAGTGTATACGGCAGAGGACGAAGAGACGGCTGCAAACGCTCGAGTGCGAGCAAGCGTCCCAAACATACCAACTGCTCACGACAGAAAGGGAAGGACAGGCGGCACAAGAGGCGAAGCACAGATGCGAGCACGGATTGCCCAACGCCGTCTTTCTATCTTGTTATAGCAGCGAAGGCGCAAAAAGCGTGCACCCGTCAGTCGCTCTGATCTCGCAGCTTCCGAACGCCCAGCAAGCCGTAAGCCGAGGTGCTTCGGAAGCAGATGCGCGTCACGCGGCCGCGGGATGGATGTTTTGTGAATGGCTGTGTCAAACGACTGTTGTTCTTCCGGTGCCTGTAAGATATCTCTCGTCTTCGTGTTCATGCAATGCGCTTGTCGTGCGGTATGTAGGCAAGGGCCGAAATGCCTGTCAACCCGAGAGAAAACGGTTGCGTGGTTGATATAATTACCACTGCGCCAAGTGGTGCAGCCTTCTCCGAGACATGTGACGCCGGCAGAGCTGCCGCCACGGCCCCTGACACGAGCCGGAAGTCTAACGAAATCATGAGCAAAACAGTTCATGGACCACCATAGCCGAGGCACAAGCTCATGAGATATCATCCCACGGCAGCTGGCATGACGAACGACAAGCACATGCTGCTCTTGAATGGCTGGTAAAACTACAGGATTGACAAAAGCTCTAGGCATGCAAGCCGCGCATATCCATTCGTCCGCGACGCCCAGCTCTGCTCACAGATTCCAGCCTAATTGCCTGGGTTCTCCTGTGCCCACTTCTGGCCCTTCTCGATGTTGCCCTTGAGATCCTTCAAGCAGACATCCAAAAGCTGCTGCTCGTAGTCCGTGAGGTTGCCAACAGGGTGGATCTTCTCCACGCCATTCGGGCCAAGCTCGACGTTCGAGGCGAAGTAGGTGACTCCTTGATCCTTGTACAATGGCGAATCGACGAACGTAGGCTCAATGACGCCACTCTGGCCCTGGGCCGCCTTGAGCAGAGACTCGGCGAAGCGTGCACCGGCCATGGCCATGGAGAGGGTAGCTGATCCAGCACCGCCCTTGGCTTGCACGACCTCATCACCGCCGAACTGCACACGCTTGACGTATTCGTCACGCTCGCTGCCCTCGAGGCTGTAGCCGGCCTGGCTGAGAAGCGGGACAATGGTGGCGCCAGAGTGACCGCCAACCACAGTAATGTTCTCGTTTGCTGGATCGGTGTTCTTGAGCTGGCTGATGAACCGGCTGGCGCGGACGACGTCGAGGGTGGTCACACCGAAGAGGCGCTTGGGGTTGTAGACACCCTTGCTCTTGAAGATTTCCGCAGTGATCGGGACGGTGCTGTTGACCGGGTTTGAGATGATGAGCATGTTGGCGTCTGGGCAGGCATCGGCGGCGGCCTTGGCGAGGTCGCGTACGATAGAAGCGTTGGTGTTGAACAAGTCTGTAGGCGCCTATTAGCCATGATCGTCGGATAAAGGATGGAAGCTGTTGATACCATCGCGAGTCATGCCGGGCTTGCGAGGTACGCCAGCCGGAATGAGCACGATCTGAGCGCCTGTCAAGCATTCCTTAATGCCCTCCGCTCCCGGCTCGTAGCCTTTGACCTAAGGATGAATGAGTAATGGTACATCCTTGCCAACTACCACTGATGGGCTTACAATGCTCTTGGTGTTTATGTGCGAAATGTCGGCGGCGACACCCGGGGCGCCCTTGATGTCGTACAGCGCGAGTTCGCTGACTCTGGGGTTGAGCTTGAGGAGAAGGGAGAGAGGCTGGCCAATGCCACCGGCAGCACCTAGAACGGCGACCTTTGTTGCCTATATCGTAGGTTTGTTAGCCATTGGATGCCCTATTCGCAGGCCCTGGATCAGCTCACATTGGCGGCTGTTGCGGAGAAGGACCTCGACTGCAATGCGCCGAAGGCAGCTTGCGTGGCTCTCCGTGTCGCGAACATCTTGGGAGCGTCAGTGGAGATGGGGATGAGAGAGGGTAAAAGAAGATGTAAGTCTGGTTGATGGATGTAGTCAAATACAAGAGTACTTGGTAACCGCAAAATCTCCGTTCACCCTCGAGCATCACCTCCGCAAGCTTGCGCTTGGGCCTTCACTGTCGTGTGTGCAACTATGGAAAAAGCCGCGGCTCCGCAAAGTATCTCTACTGTCTTAACATTCTCCGTCAACAGCCACGGCCTCAGCCGCTAAAGGACTCTCTTTCCCAATGGTGTCAGTCTCCGCTCCGTGCAGTGAACAAGTCACTCGCAAGCTGTGCCCGGTGACGTCTAATGACCTCACGCATCTGATCGGTAATGGCGAGTATATGAACACATTCCTTGCCGAGATAGATCCGTCTTCATCCGTCTCGAATCATTGAAGCTTGAAAGTCAGGTTCAGTATGTCCGTGGATTACGAGCATGACCTCCTGCTCATCACCGCAGCCAGCGGCAAGCAATCTACTGGACTACTACCACACCTGAGACAATGGAAGCGTCTTCGCCTACAGGTAGCATCCGAAGCCTCCAGAGAGCGGCTTCAGAAAGAATACCCGAACGCTGAGGTCGTCCAGGCGCACATGTCAGATCACCAAGCGTGCCGTAAGCTGCTCGAGGGAGTAGCATATTGCTTTCTCATTACACCCGCTTTCCAGCCCCACGAAACCGAGTCTGGGTACAACATCATTGATGCAGCCGTACAGCAACTACCAGAACATGGCGGAAACTTCATGCATCTCGTCTACTCGAGCGTGCTGCACCCCATCAAGCGAGCACTTATCAACCATGATTGCAAGCGCTATGTAGAGGAGTACCTGACCGAATCGAAACTCCCGTATACAATTGTGCAACCAACTCAGCTGATGGAGAATCTGCCTCTCGCCAAACTTGCAAGCGAAGACCAACCGGTGCACCGCATGCCGTGGAGCCCAGACACGCCATTCTCTCTTGTCTCATGTCTGGATCTAGGCCAAGCTGTGGCGAACATTTTGAGCGACTCTAAGAAGCATAGATATGCTACGTATCAGATTGTAGGCACAGAACAGCCGCTCAACTTCCATGAGGCGATGAGGATTATGTCGGAGGAGCTAGGAAGGGAGGTCAAGATTGAGCAGATCACGTTCGAAGCGGGCGCCAAGTTTTTCGTCGGTATGCTTACCAGAGGCCAGCCTGAGAACGCGAGTTTCGAGAATTGGCAAGGACCTGCGAGAATGTTCCTGTACTATAACGACAAGGGTTTGCTTGGCAACCCGAATGTGCTGGAGATGTTGTTAGGGAGGAAGCCGTTGTCGTATAGAGGTTGGGTTAAGGAGAGCTTGAAACATGTTAAAAGATAGACAGACTATAGGCATTACTTCATCTCCACAATTGTTGTCTAGACTCTACTGTCCTTGTCTGTTTGGCACCATTGCTATTGTAGATGGACATCAAAAGTGCTGTAACGTGCAGAAGCATACAAGAGGGAAGGATGACGGCTTCCGCCGTCCACTGCTGGAACAGAAAAGGTTCGCTATGAGGGTTCCAGCTACTTCCCTAAAGTTTTTCGAAGAGAAACTGATCATCTACCAAAAGGCGTCATGCCAAGGTGCAACCGAGCAGACAGGCGGCACATACCGTAAAGCGCGGAATAAGTGAAATGCTTGTAGCAAGGGATAACCATTTTGCACGCACTCGGTTCACTCCGTCGGTGAAGCCCGTGGCTCATTCGTGGAATATGTGCATGTGGTGGCCGGATCTAGCTTCGGTATGGCCAGGCTTGCATGATCAAGGACTTGCAAGGTAACGCCAGCGCCCGTGCCTGCCCCCCTGCCAAACACTATCACTCTCGAAATACGCTGCTTTGGCTTGCTTGCTGTGCCCGTTCGTGCTCGATAATCTCCCGACTCCAGTATCGCGAGGGAAAGAATCGGTCCGGCTAGACGAAGTGTCAGCCGTCGCTTGAAGCCTTAGAATTGCGCTGCATTCAAATACGCTGTAGCACAGCCAGGACTAGGCGGCGCACGACCGAAGAGCGTTGTACGTACATCAGGCATCTTGTCCCTATGTTCTCTGTCCGCGCTTACGCTGAACGCCATTGCGCATATTCCGACAATTACCGCGCCCATAATCGCAGTGTTTGTCCGCCAATTTGCCGGTTGACCGTACCAACCACCAGCGGGTGACCAGACATGCTTTGGGTAGCTACAGAAGTGTGCCCGGGTTAGCCATTGAGTTGTGAAGGTACTTTCGAATTTGGTTCCTTGCGGGCACGTACGGTATCTTGCCGCCACCACTTCTTCGTATTGATGTCGGCCTCATGTTTGCTGAGTTGGTGACAAGAGCACCAAATCGTGTCAAAGCCCAAAGACCTCACGAGGTGCTGTGTCCTTGTCGTTTGCGGAGCTCGGAAGTGCATTGCGGGAAGTTCCGCTGGCAGATCGATGTCGCGTGCATTGAATGTGAAATTTGGGGCTTCGACAGGAGAAGAAACACCACCACCTGTCACTCGCTGATACGGCCTCTCTTTCCGGCTTATATGAAGCGCATACGCCTGGATCGGTGGGCGTCCCAACTACAGCCGCCGCGTAACCCACGATTACATTTGCAGCGATGTCCCCTTTCATCACACGAGACGGCAGCCCCACGACGGGAACTGCAGCAAAGACTGGATCATACCCAACAGCAATGGCGGTGTCAAAGGCGGTACGTTGCGAGCCGGCGGAAGGCATCAAGTGCGGCTGCCGCGGCGCAGGTGGAGGAGGACTATGAGCCTGCGCCCGAGTCTCACCCTCCCGCACCAGTCGAGCAGGTGTTACACAACCGGTCAACGAGGCATGTTGCGGAGAGGCCACTTTATGCTCCCTCACACCGAAAAGCGCTTCACTCGGCGAAGCTCGCTGCCTTACATGCTCGACTATCACTTCCTTCGAAGCTACCGTTGCAGACTCTAGCACGATGCTTGATCGACTCCTCAGCTGACCCGCGGCCCGGATATAACAATGCTCCCTTAGCGATACTGGGCCAGGACCTACTAGGCTACTATACTGCCGAGTACATTCTTTGCCACTATCCACGACTACCCATGGCCATCTTATTCGCCGCGCAGTATGCCTACGTTGGCAACGCCACTCTTGCGGCCATGCGATCAGAGTGGGGCGTAGAAACTGTAGGCGCGCCTGGGCAAGAGGTAGAGCCTGGGTTACTGCAGCTCAAGAGATTGATGCCTGGTAATGCGATGCTGGAGGGTGAGAACATCAGAGTGAGAGACATGCCGCAAGCACGACGGCTAGGCAGTGGCAGACGGAATGAAGCCTTCGACTACCGGAGAGGCATGAGCAGCAGGGTTGTATACGACGACCAATTTGGCGACTTGCAGACTGGCCTACCGCCTAATGATGCACGGCCTTTCTTTGGTGCGCCCATATCCACGCCGAATACCACAAGTGATGTTGAAGGGACTTCAAATGAAGCACAACCCCAGCGAGACGCCAGTGCATTGTCAGTGCATGATCCGCCAGAAGGGCCGCAGACTGTGGAAGACACCGAACCAACAACAGTCGAATTGGCTTCAGCATCCTTCGTCCGAGCATTAGCCGGCGCGCTATACTTACATGCAGGCGCTACTGCTTCGAAGACCTTCCACAAGGACCATGTCCTCAGCCGGCATGTACAGCTACACACTTTATTCCACTTCACACATCCAACCAGGGATCTGAGCAACCTTTGCAAACGTGAAGGCTTCGAGCCTCCTGTAGCACGACTCATTAGCGAGACTGGAAGGCTAAGTCGGACGCCAGTCTTTGTTGTTGGTGTCTTTTCCGGCGAGGAGAAGTTGGGTGAAGCGGCTGGCGCAAGTCTGAACGAGGCTCGCATCCGGGCGGCTGCCGCTGCGCTCCGGTCATGGTACCTCTACTCTCCGCCAGAAACCGAAATCTGCTTGCCTTCAGATGCTGAAGGTCTCGCCTCGATCTCTAAGGGTAGAGGGAAGGCTAACCATAAAGAGGCGAATATGCCTTGGAAGCCTCAGATGATCGACATTGGCGAGATTATCACTTAGAGTCTGCCAAGCGTGTGCGTGTATGTGTTACTAGCTTTGTCGTTGAGTGCTCTACAGAAGGGGACGGAGGTATGCATAGCATGGGGTACTGATATGCATTGTCTGGTGTTGGATCCAGCGCTTCGCCTACGAGCGATGAGGGCACTGTATGTATAGCATGTGACTATTAAGGTATACCAGCTCCAACTCCTCTACGTCTGATCTCGCATCTGACGTCTTCTGCCATCCTGACTGTAAACGCATTACCCTATCGTCAATGTCATCGTCAATGTTCCACTGACGTGCATTCGATGCAAGACCCTTTGGGTTGCCAGCCCACTGCCGCAACAATCACATTCCGCGGTTCCCGCATGCCACCTCTTCCTATACATCGATCTGCTTCTGCACGCCAAGCGCGAGTGTGTAGCCTGTAATGCTCAGCGTGCGCGCTGCAGCAAGGTACCATGGCTTCTACTCTCGCTCCGGCCTTCGTTCGCTCGGTAGAGTGAGCACGCGACACATCCGTACAGCGACTGTAACCGACTCGGACATCGCCCGCCTTGCGGCTACACCTCTACATCCACTGACGCTCGCGGACCTCTGCAAGCATGGGCGTCCACCACTTTCCGAGCAAGCACTTCTCGGCAGCGCCAACTTTACCCTTGACATACTGCCCGCACGGCTGGCGCATCGGATCCAGAGTTTGAGGGCTCTACCGTATATTGTCGTGGCCAACCCAAACGTGAGCAAGATACACGGCAATTACGTCCACAGCTTAAGCACACTGCTACCCTATGCGGAGAAGAAGATTGAATCGTTCAAGGACGATGTTGAGTTCACAACTGTGCTGGCAGACTTGGTCGAGACACATAGCAACACCATCTCGATACTAGCTCGAGGTTTCCTTGAGGCACGCAAATACATCACGGCTCGTGAAGTTACACGCTTCCTTGACGAGCATTTACGCGCACGCATTGGGACAAGGTTGATCGCCGAGCAGCATATAGCTCTGCACTTTACATCGCAACCGCACAACCAGCTTTCAGCTGACGATCAAGATCTGAAGGATGAGCGTGCCGAGTCGAACACATATATTGGCGTCATTGACACCGCGCTGAAGCCGGCAGAGATCATCCGCAGCTGCGAAGCCACTGTGGGCGAAATCTGCGAGCTCAAGTATGGCGTCAGGCCAACGATCAACATCGTAGGCAACCCGGAGACGACCATCGCACATATTCCGATGCATCTCGAATACATTCTTACTGAGCTGCTGAAGAACAGTTTCCGCGCCACTATTGAGGCTGGCATGGAGAAGGAACCCATCGAAGTCACCATCGCCCCTGCTCCGGCCAACGAGCATCAAACTATGGAGCTCAAGAACAAGCCGGAGCGAATGGAACGGAATACCCACGGGATCATTTCGAACTACGACCAAGGTAACGTAGACTATGCGTCCGGCAGCAATAAGCCTGAGATCTCCGCATCGGCCAATATACGTCCACTCAGCCAGTCTACTCCGGGCGTCACGATTCGCATCCGTGACAGAGGTGGCGGTATAAGTCCGGAGAACTATGATAAGCTTTGGGAGTACGGCTTCACGACTTTCAATGAGGACGAAATCAACGATAAAGTATCCGGTGGCAATGGTGGAGGCGGGGCACTCGATGTCATTTCGGGCGGTGCCGGAGGCGGCAGCAGTCTTGCTGGTCTGGGATACGGCCTGCCGCTTGGAAGAGCGTATGCTGAGTATTTCGGGGGCGGAATTGCTGTGCAGAGTATGTGGGGTTGGGGGACGGATGTCTATGTGAGCTTGAGGGGCGTTGGTAAGATTGACTGAGGGAGCTACGAGTGGTCGGACACTCGTGCAGTGCCAAAGGACAGCCTGCGGTGAGAACAGGCGGCTGCTATGCATTGTTGGACATCACCGAGTGCAGGCGGGTGATTTACCGTAAGCGTTCAACTCCTGTAAGTCCGCATAGAAGTGGATTTGCAACTTTCAAGTTCGTATTGCTTACAAATGACTGCAGGATGGAAACGACGATGGAATCCATCAGCCTTGACAACTGCTATTGTAAGCTTCCAGCAAGAGCGTCAAAGACTAACGCAAGCCTTGTTGAGGATCATATGCGAGGGAGAACGCGAGCTTGTCCTGCATAGGCATCGCCAATCTGGAAGCCCGTCGAGGTTGCAGGACGTGATGTCTGGAAGGAAGGGTATACTGCAATGACGTTTCCCACGTGTGAGAACGTTCCTTCCGTCGACGATATGAGAGCAACGGCGCGGTCACGCGTAGACGCGTGAGCGGGGCAACTTCGCTCGCATTGACCACCGTCCATGGCTGGTCTGGCTCCCATGTTTCGAGTCCGTCGCTCTACAAAGCCTCTGTCATAACTGTCGTATTCTTATCCACATGATAGACGCCATACAGCAACTACACTGGCCACTTCGAGGTCAATATAGCAGTATTCGCGTCCAACGCGTCGTAGACTCGGTGACGTCTCCTCCGACCACCAGCCACGCTCATTCAACGAGACGATAAGATACAAGACTCCGTATAAGCGCCCACCAAGCAGGAGACGGCAGGCTTGAGCGATAGAGTGGTAGGTGCGAATATGGAGACGATGAATGCATACCCGGCTCCACAGGCGCAGATGTCGAGCGTTAGACACTCGGTGTCACGATCAACCGCGCAACATGAGACGGCGCGCACACAGACACAGCCACTTTCCACGCCGGCATCGCAGGAGTCGATCGTGAGCGTGCAGAGCAACGGCAGCAGTGTTCCAGCGCAGTCGCAGAATGGCAGCAGTCTCTCGCAGTTCACCAACTACACTGACCCGACCTCACCCGATATTGAGAATGCGAAGAGTACACAACAAACTTCACCTTCGATAGCAACAACGAGGGCCGCCGCAAGGACGCCTGATATCGAGAACGACGACTCGAAAGGCCGCGGCATGCTTAGTCCGGCTAGTGTCACGTCCCCGGTTGCGGTGAATGGAGCGAAACGAACAGCAAGCGGGCACGTAAAGAACACGCCAGCCCTTCCGTTGACACCGACGACGGCTGCACCCGCTGGGAGGCGATCACGAGCCGGGTCCATGTCATCGACGAGCAGTCGCGCTGGTGAATTGGCTGCTACTCTCAAGGCACGTCTGGGCTACGCCATGGCCAAGGTGCAGAACGGATGGGAGCACAAGACGATTGTTGAGGTCGAGCAATTAGCCGCTCACAAAGTCTCGCCCAACAGGCACAGCATGTCGCATGTTGACTACGGCATGAGGCCCCTGAGCGCAGGACTCAGTAACGGTACCGCGCGATTATCCATGTACGAGTCGTACGGCCCACCGCAGACGGATGGCATTGCTTCACCGCCATCGAAACGACGATCGGGTACGTACGACACACTATTATCTTCCTCCGGATACGCGCCCGCTCCTCATCTGCAGCCAGCCGCCGACATTCGTCCAATGTCGAGTTCTCAATCGTACTACTCCGCGCCATCGCGCCACCACGGCCCTTACAGCAGCGCGATGTCGCCGCCGCAGACACCAATCAACGGCGCGCCGCGTCGTCCGCCAACGATACGGACCGACACGCAAACTGCGGAAGCGGAGAGAGACGCGCTTCAAGCGCTCTTCCAACTCGGCTCACCGCACACTTACCAGCTGTCCAGGCAGGTGACCAATGCGAGCCAAGCCAGCTCTAGCCAAGCCTCGCCGCTGAGAAACGAGTTCCCTACGCCTCGAAGGGTGACATTCGCACGGAGCGAGAGCGACAGCAGCGCGCAAGGATCCAGTACTGGAAGTTTGCCTTGACGAGCTTTGGAACAGTGTAGACGACTATTGTTTGGCATACTGCTGTTTGACGGCCTCTGAAGATACCCAGCTCTCATGGACGGCTTGGATGAATAAATGAACGTTTAGTACTAAGAGATTGTAGCGAAGGAAGAGCCTTCGTCATGGCCTCAGAGCCGGCTCTGGTGTACTGTATATACGATTGTCTCACCAACAGCCTTGGATCATTCTTGTCGAAAGACGACGGATGTAAAGAAGATAGCGCGGTCTGCTTTTCGACCAACCTCACAGGTCTCCTACAAGTGCCGCTAAAGCCTTCCGCCTCAACTAACTCGTACCGTCGCATCGACGCAAGGAACATACCGGTGCGGGCCTCGCGACGCACAGACTCCATGACCTCGTCGAGTCTGGCACCCAGATCTCGCGTGCTGTACTCGCACACAACGCTCCATAAATCCGAAGGAGCAACCGCATCATCCGCCACCACACTCTCGCCCTCACGGCCGGCAGAAGCAAGGCTCTGCTCACTACTTGCCAGCTTATAGACCAAGCTTCTCCGATATCCGTCTAATTGGGATGCTTCGCTTATCACAACCGAAACCTGGCTTTTTTCAAGCTTGCAATGGATGATGTGCGGTGCTGCCGTACCTGTGCAAGATGTGAGCTAGGAACTGGGTCATAAGCATCAACAGCGTGTATAGCACGACATACCCTCACCCTCTTCCCTTGGGCCATACACGTCATGCACTTCCACAAGCTCCAGGTCGGCAATTTCGAAGCTACCCACATCATGACAAATGCTTTCCGCATCCCACAGCTCATTCGTCTGGCGTACGTGAATTTCGTATTCGGGACACTCCAAGCAACGCCTCCGATCTGTCTGATACCAAGCAAGATACGCTTCGCCACCGCCCTCCTCTCCTGAAGTCGCAGTTCCAAACCTCATCATTGCGGAGTTCTTGATGAACGCAAACGGACCGGATGTTTGCATGCCAAGGGTGTCGGAAGTGGCGCGGTAGAAGGCGGCGGTCTTGCAGATCCCGAAGTGGACCATGTCGCGGTTGCGCTCTTCAGTGTACCATTGCGACCAGATAGCGGGTGGGACTTGTGTTGAGTGGGAGTGCTCTTGGAGGAGGTAGGGTTGAGGCATGGTTACCAGTGTACGGGCTCGAAAGGGTTTGGAATTAGGATTGGAAGTTATCTCCGCGACATTGCTGAAGTACTCTGCGAATCCTGTCAACACGGGAAAAAGCCAGTGGTGTGGGTCGTAGAAAGAGAGCCATGTTTGTGCGTACAACCAATGCGCCAATGCTAAAGCGCATGTGAGTCAAGTACAGAATGCCTTACGCCGAGCGATCATATCAGATCCGCGGCCTTTGCGCGTGCCTTTTTGACACCCTTCACGCCATTGCTGTTCGCGGGCGCAACCTTCGCAGCTTCAGCAGTCTTACTAGCAGCAGCCAGCTTCACCTCCTCCTTCTGCTTTCTCAGAGCTGCCTTCCTCGCCTCCTTCTCCGCCTTCTCCGTCGCGACACTCTCTCCGTCAGCCAGAGCATCACTCTTCCGCTTCCTGTCGGGCTTCGCACCCCCATTCGCCTCACTCTTCCGCAACGCCGAAGGATTCTGCAGCCGCCTCATCTTCCCATCCGGTCCCGGCACCTCGATAACCGCCTGCTGCTCACCCGCTCCCGTCTCAGTCAGCGCACCACGCTTCCGTTTCTTGATTTTCTCCTTCACCGGCAACGGCTCGTCCAGCACATCCTGCTCATCCGCCCACAGCTCCTCCGCCATCCAAATCGGCAAAGCAGCCGTGTTCGGGCCCTTGATATGCACAGACCGTACATTGCGCCACTGTTGCGGCACGTACTTCTGCACCAATCCTTGCACCACCGCCTCCACATTCGCCTGTAACTGCTCCGGCTGCATGGTCGCGCGTCCCACTTTCACCGCTGTCGTAGTGCTAGGCGCGAGGTGTACAAGCGCGCTGCTGGCGGCCTTCTCAATCTCGCGTGCGACATCCTGTGGCTTGACTTCCGCTTTGACGACTTTGGTGCCGCCTTCACTCAGCTTGCGCCTCTTAGCGCCTTGCTCGTCGACATTCTGCCTCTTGCCCTCCAAGCTCACGGGAATGGGTCTCTTGCTGCCGCCTTTGTAGAAGACCTTGCCTAGGACTTGCGGCAGGTATGTGATCACCCTGTCGTCGGCGAGGAACACATCGTACTCTCCCAGCAGCTGCCTTCTTGACTCGAAGGACTTGTACCTCGCTTTCAGCTTCTCCAGGCCTAATACCCTCTTAATTCTGCTTCCTAATTCAACGGGAAACGCAGGATGCGATATGAGGTCTTTGTACTTGCGCTGCGGGTCCGCCGTGATGAGGCATACCCTCAAAGTTTCGTCGCTGATGTCGAGGTAGGGATGCGGCAGCGGGATTTTGCCCGGTTTCAAGCGTTTCTTGTCCACGACGTGCTTTTTCGTGGTCAGTACAAGCCAGACGGGGACTTGGTCTTCGGCGTCTGCATCGTCGGCGTCGGCGAGGAGGTTGGGGTTGGCAGCGTTGGCTTTGCGCTCGACTTCGTCGCTTTGGATCTTGCGAAGGAGAGCGGTGGAGGCGCGGAGAGTCTGCGTTTGGTCGAGCTTGTATGGCGTGCCTGGCGCTGACGCTACTACTGTTCCGTTCGTTTGTGCCATTGTTGCGCGTCAGAAGATTGAAAGAACGAAGTGGTAAGGTAAAGTCCTGCGCGTCGAGTTTGCAGGAAAATGTAGCAAGTACTGCCAAGATTTCGACTGGGACTTTTGGAGTGCGGCTGCAGCCGCCGCCTGCTTTCGCGCTACGAGCGAGACCATGTTCGACAACAAACCTTCTGACTCTGATCTGTACTGATCACATAGTCTACGGGACGGCTTTTGAGTCATCGGGAGAGGCGCTCGCTCGATCTTCACACTTAGAGATGTGATGTTCAAGCAGCGTCAATGGGACGATCCACGGCACGAGGCAGCGGGAAGATAGCCATGTTCTCATTCATTAACGCAACGCTCATCCCAACCTGCTGAATCCGACGCACATCTATATCTTGTAAACAATCCCACCGCTCAACATGATCTTGTTCCGCTCATTCAACTCCTCCAGCGCCTCCATCGCCTCCGTCTCCGTAAACCTCGCCTCGCCACCCATTAGTCTCGCATTGACAGCAGCAATAAGCGGTTCAACGTCCGCAGCATCGTTCGCAAATAACGGACCATCTATCAGTTGACCTAGCGCTGTTTGGAAGGCTTGCACTCTGGCCGGACCGATTCGCCGAGTAGCCGCCTCCTCTCCGTTTGGTTGGCTTTGTGTCTGCGATTCATCCTGCAGTAATTGCGAAGCGGGCCGTGAGGAGGCCATGCTGACTTGGCTGGCATCCTGCGAGTTGTCGAGGCCGCTGCCGTTGGGCTGACTCGTACGCTGTGTTTTAGCAGGGGTGGAGTTGTAAAGGTCCTCTTCCTGTTCGTCTCCGTCTGCGCCTGGGGCAGTGTGGCCGTTAGTCTCTGCATGCCCATTGACGCCGTTCATTCCGTTAGCAGTCCCCCTTGTACCCCGTCCTGGAGTCCGCGGAGTGCCTCGCCGCGCCGCGCCAGGTCGGTATGCGCCATCGCCTCCCTCGCCATCATCGTCCGAGTTGTCGTCTTCATCGTCAGTATCCATCGCCTCGGCATCAGGTGACCTTCTGGCCTTCTTCCGCCGTCTGCGCTCATCCTCAACAACCTCCTTGAACAAAGCAAATCGAAGAATCCCTTCTGCAACCTCCGCATCCTTCTCCTCAACGCGAGTCGAAAGCCTCGCCTTCGCATGGGCGGACGCCAACCGAATAAGCGTCTCAAGCGTACGAGCCGTCATTGGACTGGTCTTCCGTTGATTACCCTCCATCTCATCGTTTCTTAGCGCGCTGTAAGTCGCCACGATGTGGTCTGCAGCGCCTTTGGTAAGGATAGGCTTGATGCGCGACTTGGCGTATTGAATGTACTTCTTAATGAACGGTATGCTGAGCACCTCGACTCTCCGTTGTGAGCCGCGGCCTACTGTTATAGTGACACCGGCATGCAGCATGACGTTGAACTTCTCGTAGACTTCGCTGGGCTTATTGGCGTCTGCTGCGTCTTCGAGGCCAACACCGAGTGTTTGATTGGGTTGCTCGCGAACGGGCGCGCCTTCTTCGGTGCCTGGCTGGCGGTAGCGGTGCATGCGCAGGACGTGCTCGGAGACTTGCCGGTCGCGGACGTCTTCAATGTCGTCTGTGACTACAAAAAGCAGATCGAATCGTGAGAGGAGAGAGTCGGGGAGAGCGATGTTTCGGTGAGGATCCTTGTGGATGTCGTACTGGCCGTAGATAGGATTTGCGGCGGCAATGACAGAACATCGAGCGTTGAGCGAGGTGTGAATGCCCGCTTTCGCAATAGTGACGGTCTGTTGCTCCATGACTTCGTGGATGGCCACCCGATCGACGTCGGACATCTTGTCGAACTCGTCTATACAGACGACGCCTCTGTCACCAAGCACCATAGCGCCGGCCTCTAGTCTTCGCTCACCGGTCTCTTTGTCGGTCGTTACGGCTGCTGTAAGACCGACGCCCGAAGACCCTCGACCTGTTGTGGCGATAGCTAATGGAGCAGTGTTCAAGACGAATCGAAGCAACTGCGACTTAGCCGTTGACGGGTCACCAACCATGAGAATGTTGATGTCGCCGCGCAAATGGGTGCCGTTGTCGAGGTTCTTCTCCATACCGCCCAGCAGCATGAGAAGGATCGCCTTCTTAATGTAGTCGTGCCCGTAAATACTCGGCGCAAGCGACTGCGAGAGCAGATCGAATACTCTCCGTTGCTTCGAGATCTTATTGATGTTTCGAATGTCCGTATCAGTAATAACAGCTTGCGCGATACCACCCCCAGACTTCGAAGAAAGCAGGATGACATTGTTCGCCAGGATCAGCGTTTTGAACGTCGAGCTACCGGTCCCGGCATTGCGATTACCCAGCGACCGGTAAATGCCGACCAGTTGTATTCTGTCGCCAGGCTTGACTCTGTCGACCATGTCGTCATCCATGACTACGTCCACGCCACGCGGCAGCTGGCCAGCAGGCGCTCTCTCTGGCATCTCCTGGATGGAGATGGTCTGATGATCGCGGTACGAGCAGTAGCCATACTCCGTGACGAGCGGGTTGCCCTCTTCGTCCTGCGTAGGGTACACGCTCGTGCTCGCTGCGCCGTTCATCGTCATCGTCTGATCCCGGTACTCCCGAAAGTGGAAGGTATTCTTGTTCTCATTATAATGCACGCTCTTCACCACTTTCGGCCGGACAAGCGAGCACTTTGTGACGATGCCTTCCAGCGACACCATGTGGTTGAGATAGTGCGAGGACAAAGTCCGCGGATTGCACGCATACTCGCCAAAGCTGCCAATGTAGGCGCAGTAGTACATCGTCTCATCTGCCGTTTCATGCGACGGTCGGTTGCCGAGCGTCTTGACAATGTCCTTGAGCGCGCGGTCGAAGGCTTGCGAGAAGTCGAAAGGCGCATTGAGCAGGCCGTCTGCGAGTTCGCGACTGTGTGAGCGGATCTCGTCGATGCTCACGGTGAGTCGTCGCAATCCACGGTTGAGCATGAGCAGGATGTCCGCCCGGTAGCTGCGCGCTCGTGGGTCATCTAGTGTATTGTGTCAGCGTAGTCTATGCCGGCTAGTATGTACCACTTGGTGTAAACGGACTTGGGTCGAGGAAGTCTTGCGCTGCGCGAACGCGGTCTCGCACCGCCTCGTCACGGAGCTGAATGCCCGCCATGGTGAGTGCTGGGGGTTGTAGCGTTCTCAGTCAATGATCAAGCCAAGCTTCCCGATTGTCTATTCGAATGTAATTGATGAGAGCGGGTGCGTAGTGGCAGGACTGTGTTAGTGTAGTGGCAGCCCTGTGTCAGTGTAGAATGTGCAGACTTGAGCCCTAGACGAAGAGGTGCAAAGCGGCGGGGGAGACGCGTTGGAAGGTGAGACGCGTGCTAGCGCCGAATAAGCTTCAGTGCTTGCAGCGGATAAACCCGTCTCACAGCATCTCGCGCACTCAACGAGGTGGGCGGGAGTATTGATGTACCGCTGCATCGTACCAATTGTTGTAGATTTGCATGTCCTCAAGCGGCAGCATAGAACGTAACCCATACCACCATGCGACTCTATTGCTATGGAAATGCTCATCCCTATTTGTCCGCCTTAGCCCACCGATGCAACATGCCGCTTGCTTGCCTTACTGGCGTGATATCAACCCATGAAGCTGCCTTCCGCGGATGCCCATCATGAACGATCTACTGCGTCGTGACCTTGCCGTCATTCTCAACGTTCAAGTGCTCGTTGGAAGACAACGTATGTACTTTGTCTTCGGGGAACTCGGCGCTGGGAAGACACTATTAGTATGGAGGATTTGACAACGTCTAGTAGTCGATGGTCGAAACGTACGTGAAGCCTTTGATGAGCTTGAACTCGTTCACAATCTTGCCACCTTGGTCGGTGACCTGCTTCTTCGCGCTAGTCTCTCTGTCAGTGTTCGGGTTGCGATGGAAAATTTGTGTTGATAACGTACGCATCGAGCTGGTCGGCAGCCGCGCCATCCTTGAGTGAGACCTGCGCAAGGTTAATATCATATCGCCGGAGGTAGATCAAGAGGAACTCACGTTGATCGTAGGCATTGTTCAGAGGATTGATACTTGATATCGGCTTTGCAAAAATTATATTCTGGCGAAGATTAGTTACAGTCCCACGCTTCGAAGATCGCTGTGAAAGTGCAGCCTGCGATGCACTGTACTGTGACGTACCGGTCGCGTGCGCAACGATACGGCGACGGGCACTACTGCACGCGTTTTCCGCTGTTCCAGAGCCTGAGCTAGTTGGTCTGTGCTGCGAACTTTTCGGTCTCGAAATCTTGGCATTTCCAAAGACTTGCGCTCGTTCGTGCGAAGGCGTTGCGTGGAGACCGTAGCGATGGCGGGCGAAGAGCAGCTCCACCGGGCGCATCGGCCATCGAAGGAGAAGAAGAAGCATGACAAAGGCCAACCAAATCCCAAGGCATTCGCCGTCGCCGCTCCAGGCCGCCTCGCAAAACAAGCAGCTCGCAGCCACGACGTGCGCGAAAAGCGACTCCATGTCCCTCTCGTTGACCGTCTGCCGGAAGAGGCGCCGCCGCTAATCGTCGGTGTTGTCGGCCCACCCGGAGTCGGGAAGACGACACTCATCAAGAGCCTCGTGAAGCGGTACACTAAACAGACCGTCTCCGACCCTCGAGGCCCTATCACGGTTGTAACAGGCAAGCGGCGACGTCTGACATTCATCGAGTGTCCAAGTGACAGCCTGGCGAGCAGCATCGATGTGGCAAAGGTGGTCGACATCGTGCTGTTGATGATAGATGGCAACTATGGCTTTGAGATGGAGACGATGGAGTTCCTGTCCGTGTTGTCCAGTACGGGTATGCCGGGTAACGTCTTCGGCATCTTGACGCACTTGGACCTGTTCAGGAAGCAGGACACGCTAAAGGCGCAGAAAAAACGGCTCAAGCATCGCTTCTGGAGCGAGCTTTATCAGGGAGCCAAGCTGTTTTACCTCAGTGGCGTCATCAACGGACGATATCCGGACCGAGAGGTCCTGAATCTGTCGCGCTTCTTGAGCGTCATGAAGAACCCACGACCACTGGTATGGCGCAACAGCCATCCATATGCGCTAGCGGACCGCATGCTCGACGTCACGCCTCCGACGCAGATTGAGGAGAACGAGAAGTGCGATCGTACTGTGGCGCTATATGGTTACCTGCGTGGTACCAACTTCCCATCGCAAGACGCTCGAATACATCTGCCCGGTGTGGGCGACTTGACCGTGGCGCAGATTGAGGCACAGCCCGATCCTTGTCCGACGCCCTTCTTCCAGCAGGCACAGGAGAAAGCAGAGGGTACGAAAAAGCGGAGACGGCTCGATGAAAAGCAGAAGATCATCTATGCGCCCATGTCAGACGTTGGAGGTGTGCTAGTGGATAGAGATGCGGTGTATATTGATGTGAAGAGCAATACGTTCGATGCTGAAGAGGACGATGTTGAGCGTGGACTTGGCGAGCAGATGGTCGTGGGGCTGCAGGGCGAGAGGCGCTTGCTCGGTGCGGATGAGCATGGCATCGCACTTTTCGAGAAGAGTGCGAGACTTAGGGAGGTCAAAGACGAGGAGGATGCGCAGGATACGGGCCGGTCAAGCGCAAGAAAACCGAAAGTTGTGGACCGAGACGTAGACGCGGATGAAGATGGCGATCCAGAAGATGAGGGTTTTGCAAGTGGTGACTCTGACGACGACAATGACATCGAAGCGTTACAACAACCACCCGCAAAGCTGGGCAAGATCAGGAAGGACCGGCAGGTGGACGGCGACGTTGCCTTCGCGGACAGCGACAGCGACCTCGGCAGCTTGTCTTCAGTCTCCGACCAGGAGGTCGAAGAGGGTGATGACGAAGATGCGGGCGAAGAGGATGCGGACGAAGAAGATGAGGACGACGGGACGTCGCGTTGGAAGGACCGGATGGCTGAACGCGCGCGAGCATTGCATGATCGCAAGCAGCCTTATCGAGTTGCCGATTTGGCGCGCATGATGTACGATGATATGCTCTCGACTGCAGATGTCTTACGCGCGTGGCGAGGCGAGGGTGAGGCGCATGACACCGCCACCGGCGAGGACAATGATGACAATGATGATCTGTTTCAGCGCAAGGAGAGTACTGACAATGATGAGGAGGATCGCTTAGTACCCAGACTGGATTACAGTGCTTTAGAGACGAAATGGGCGGAGGCGGACAATATCGAAGCGATGAGACATCGATTTGCAAACACGCGGCTGACTGGTGCGAACGCCGAGGACGTTGGTGATGACGATGACGAGGAAGCCGGTGATGATGATGAAGGCGATGGTGACTTCGAGGATCTTGAAACCGGCGAGTCACACGCAATCTCGAACGAAGCCGAGACTGCGGATGACCCCGTAGACGACATCGAAGCAGAGCGCGCACGCAACGCAAAACGGAAGGAAGAGCTCAAACTCCGCTTCGAGGAGGAAGACCGGGAAGGCTTCCTCAACCCGAAGAATGTCAACCGCCAGGCTAATGGTGAGGATACCGAGAGGGAGTTTGGCGAAGACGAGTGGTATGATGCACAAAAGGCGCTCTTGCAGAAGCAGCAAGAGATCAACCGTCGAGAGTTCGAACAGCTAGACGAAGCGTCGCGAGTCCGAGCTGAAGGCTACAAAGCCGGCACCTACGTCCGCATAACACTGGCTAGTATGCCACATGAGTTTGTCGAGAACTTCAACCCGAGGTTTCCGCTACTCATAGGCGGCTTGTCGCCGACCGAGGAACGCATGGGCTTTGTGCAGGTGCGCATCAAGCGCCACAGATGGCACAAGAAGATCTTGAAGACGAACGATCCACTCATCCTCAGCCTGGGTTGGCGGAGGTTTCAGACTCTGCCGGTCTACAGTATCTCCGACTCACGGATACGGAATCGGATGTTGAAGTACACGCCAGAGCATATGCACTGCTTCGCTACCTTTTACGGCCCACTTGCTGCACCCAACACGGGCTTTTGCTGTGTGCAGTCATACTCGAACAAGAACCCAGGTTTCCGCATATCGGCAACGGGAGTCGTGCTGAATGTAGACGAGGGCACGGAGATTGTCAAGAAGCTCAAGCTGACCGGCCATCCGTACAAGATCTTCAAGAACACCGCGTTCGTCAAAGACATGTTCAGCACCGCCTTGGAGATTGCCAAGTTCGAAGGCGCGAGCATCAAGACCGTATCCGGTGTCCGTGGTCAGATCAAGCGAGCGTTGTCCAAACCTGAAGGCTGCTATCGTGCGACCTTCGAAGACAAGGTGCTTATGTCGGACATCATTTTCTTGCGAGCGTGGTATCCCGTCCGACCCCATCGTTTCTACAACCCAGTCACGAATCTGCTCGACCCGGGAAACGCAGACGGCTGGTCCGGCATGCGTCTCACGGGCCAAGTGCGGGCCGAACAAGGCATCCCTACGCCCAAAGATAAAGACAGCGCCTACCGCCCGATCGAGCGACAAGAACGGCACTTCAACCCTCTCCGCGTGCCGCGGAAATTGCAGGCCGATCTACCGTACAAATCGCAAATCGTGCAGATGAAGCCGCAGAAGAAGCAGACATATGTGCAAAAGCGGGCCGTGGTGGTGGGAGCCGAGGAGAAGGTTGCAAGGAGATTGATGCAGCAGGTCATGACGTTGAGGAAAGAGAAGGTGGAGAAGAGGCGGGTGAAGCAGGAGGAGAGGAGGGAGCCGCATCGCAAGAAGTTGGCTGAGGAGGCGGAGAGGCGGAAGGAGAGGGAGAAGAGGGAGCGGGATGAGTTCTGGGCGAAGGAGGGGAGGAAGAGGAAGGGGTGGAGTGAGGGTGAGGGTGCGGAGGGGCGTGGTGGGAAGAGGAGGAGGGTGTAGACTATGCCGAGTTTCAGGTTATATAAACCGCCGCCTCACAGCGCTCACGCTCAGAGTCGGCTTTAGGCGGCGTTAACGCTGTGCCCGAGCTGAGAGATCAGCGCAGGTTGGGTCATAAATACTACCAAACAGAAGGTGTGTATCCGACCTTTGCTTCGTAAAGCCACCTTGGTCCACAGAGTGACGTCTTTGCTACGCTATCGCACTCTCGAAATGGCTTTCGCACTTCTCAAGCCCATCAAACACGACGTATATCCGTTCATTGACCCAGCTCAGAATCTGAAAGAAGCTGCTCCCGGCAAGACCGTCCTGGTCACGGGCGCAGGCACTGGCATCGGCCGAGGCATTGCTACGTCGTTCGCACAAGCTGGAGCTTCCTGCCTCATCCTTGCCGCTCGCCGGACGGAGCCCTGGAAAAGACTAAAGCAGGCATCGCCAAACCTGCGCCAGAATGCAAAGTCATTGTCGCCAGCGGCGTTGATGTCGCGGACCTTGCATCGGTGGAAGCGTTGTTCGCTGGCCTGACAGAGTAACCCGACATCGTGGTCTCCAATGCAGCGATATCTGGCTTCGCCGCGGTTGCCGACTCGGACCCGGAGAGCTGGTGTCGTACAGTAGATGTTGATTTGAAAGGACCGTATTACGTCGCCCGTACATACATTCGTGCGCTGCGCTCCACAGGCAAGAAGCTGCGGGGGTTTATTATCAACGTGACGAGCAACAATGCTTGGCGCTACATTTCAGGTCTCTCGTCGTATGCGGCGGCCAAGATCGGCCTGAATGCCCTGTCGGAATATATTGACAAAGAAGGCGTCGCGGAAGCGGCAAGTGGTGACGACAGGCCGGAGGTGCGCTGCGTGGCTATGCATCCGGGCGGTGTATACAGTGAAATGGTTGAGCGTGGGGTTGCGGCGGGGGATATGCCGGAGGCTATTGTACCTTTGTTGATAGATCAGCCCGCGTTGCCGGGTGGGACGGCGGTGTACTTGAGTACGGAGAGGGCGGAGTTCTTGTATGGAAGGTTCGTCAGTGCCACGTGGGATATGGAAGAACTAGAGAACCTGAAAGAACGCGTCGTCAAGGAGGACCTGTTGAGGAGCAGAGTTCTCGGAGTCAACGTATAAGCGTGCAAGTTGGTACAGGTCTAAGCACGACAGCTCACCAATATGGAAGACGAACTTGCGCTCGCACCCGTTAAACGTATGCCGGAGATGAATTTGCATGAAGCTTCTTCCGTGTGACCTTGATGCTTGTCAATCAGTGCTTCGGTAAACCGTCTGACTAAGACGCCGTCTTCACGCCATTGCCGTTCTGCATCGATCCACCGCCATGCAGCTGCCAGGCTAGCGGTTCTGTTGCTGCTCTGACCGGACCGACCTCGCCATCTTTCGCGCGCCGCTTCTCCCATTCAGCAATATCAGCATGGTCGACGAAGTTGCCGTGCAAACCCAGCCGCAGCTTGAACGGGAGGTGAATCGTCGCTACCGGACCGGCTTGGAGATTCAGCGCATCAAGGATGACGATGTCATTGCGCAGCACGTCGAGCCGATTGACGAGCGCGATGAGCCAGCCTTCCGCTTCGCTGCCACCCGCCTTCGGAATAAATGCTGGCTCTTGTAACGTAGATCGCGGCCCCACCCAGTAGACATCCTCTGTCTGGCCACTCCAGGTATAGTGACTAACGCAGTTGAACAGGCCGCCGGCCGGAGAACCGCATGCCTTGAAATCGTACTCACGACTTGGATCGATCTTGGCCTGCCAAAAATGGTCGTAGTGTTTCGTTACGTAGCGATCGTCGATGCGCGAGAACTCACCGCTTGTGTTCCAAGACTTTGCGGGATATACTCGAGTGCCGCTCGGCGCTTTGGGATCCAACACCCAGCGGCAAGTCTCACTTTTGAGCTTGTTCCGTTTGAGTACGCTGCCCGGCGCAGTGGCTTCGGGAGGGAAGAAAAAGAAGACGTTGCCGTCCGCCACCGTAAGGTCAAAAACAATGTCGCCATTCTCGTCTTCATAGCAACCCGCTGTATGACCATGGAAAGCTGTTTTCGTCAGTGCTGGACTAGCAAACTGCGACGTATGGGAACGTACCGTTATCGGATCTGAACCACTTGATGTCCTCCGGCTTTCCTCCTCTGCGGGGCACTATACCGTACCACTGGTCCTCATCAGGATCCCAAGCCCAGTGGTTGCCGCCCTTCTTCAGCCGGTCGAAAGAGCATTTGAGGGGTGTTAGTGGCAGCACCAGATAGTTCGCTGTGATGCCGCAGTCATGGATCATGCCGCAGAAAGGACTTTCGTACCAGCACTCCTCGGTCTTGTTCCCATCCGCGTCAATGGTGTATACAACGATATCATTGCTAGCGTCACACCCGTTTCCGCCTGCTTCATAACCGAAGCACACCATGTCGCCGGTGACAGGGTCAAACTTGGGATGAGCTGTAAACGTTGGCGATCGAACCTGGCCCTCAAAGTCATACCGTCCAATTGTCTCCAGCGTGGCAGGGTCCATGGCAAACGGAGGGCCGTCTTCCTTCATGGCAAGCAGCATACCGCGCCAGAAGACGACATTAGTGTTCGACGCTGTCCGGATAATACCCTTCACTAGCTCATCATCCGTGTAGCTAGCGAAATGTCAGCCTGCATCTCAGCGTAGCCGCTATAGGTCATACGTACAGATTACGGTACCGGCCAAAGAGGGCTCTACGCTCTGCCGTCTCGGCAACATAGCGGTCTGTCTGCACGAAGCGTTGCTTAAAGTCGGCATGACCGTCCTGGATCCTGATAGCTGTAACGGCGCCATCGCCATTGAAGTGGATATCGTCCTCAAAGATAGGCGGGAAGCGATGGTCTGGCTGGATTCGATAGAATGTTCCGTTGATCTCAAGTGGTATGGTACCAGTGACCTCGAGGTCCAGAACATCACCTTCGAGCCTACTGGGCGCATTGAAGCCTTGGAACACTTCTGTGTCTGGGTACTTGACATTGCGGCCGACTCTGCGCCCAGCGTGATACTGAGGGTCCACTTGCGGCACTAGGCTGTGTATGTGGGCCATGATAGTCTATTACCTGTATGATTGTGAAGCCGCAATGCCATAACACCGTGAAGTTGAAGCTTCTGGCTCGACATGAGCCCCAGAAGAGGCAAGAAGTGGTTCACCATCGTAAGCGGCAGTGTTGTTTGCGCAACTGCCGTAATATGAACTGCCGAAGCCTGTGATAGATTCCGTGCCTGCGCCTCCATGCATATAGCATTATTAATTCCGTTGCTGCACTTGTGAGCCATAGCCGGAGAATATGGGGTTGCAGTGGGGTGCGGAGACAGCTTGCGGAGTAGCACCTGCATACAGCAGCTCGAGCATAGCTGATTGCGCGTGAGCCGCTGTTGACTCGTGCGAACAGTTGGATTGTATACTGCGATGCTTAAAAAGCCTGGCCCCCCTCGTGTAAGACACGTTCCGCATGTAGTTGGCTTACAACTGTTCCACTTACCTTGCAATGGCAGTAACGAATGGAGACGGCAATGCGGTATTGGAACGCCTCGAGGCGCTGCAGGCGAAGGTTGACAAACTAGAAGGTCGTCGTCTGATGCTATGAGAGTCCGGGTTCCAGCTAACGGGACCATAGCGGAGGCCGAGATTCGCAAATTGTGCGTCTGGCAGTCGCTCCGGCTGGACTAGGGCTGACGAGATGGTTTTAGACACCATAAGTATGGTTACTATCTTGATAAGTGCCTTTGTAAGTCCTCCTAATCACGTTGAATGCTTCGACATTTGCTGAGTACGACAGACAAGGAGGTAGGCTCGCAGTCGGCATCCAGGGTACAAAGGTGACTGCAAAGCTAACCCATAAATGACCGTCGATCTGTTCGCCAACCATCGGGATACGTACGTACAATTCCTGAACGGCCGCTTCAGGGGCAAGGATGGTGTACGCCGTCTCTACATTGAGCGCTTTTCCAAGACTTTCGTGCAGGGGCGAAATGGTCCGGTTCATGGCTTCCTGCTCGATCACCTTCAGGCGCAAGATGTAGTCGACTACTACTCCAACACTAGCCCGCCGATGGCCAAAGGACGGTTTCGTGCACTGATGAGTGCCGGAACGCATGAAAGCATGGACCAGAAAACGTTGCCACGAGGTCTGCGCCAGGTCTGCACCTCCACTATCAGCCTCACAAATGACGATATGGTGGCTGACATACTAATAGTGGTGGGAGGGCGGTCTATACGAGAACGAGTACATCAAGGAGGATGGTGTCTGGAAGATCTTCCGCCTGCGATACTATGTAAGCTTCTCAAAGTTCCCGCCTTTAACAAAGGGTTCCTGACGACGCTTCGCGAAGCCTTTCTGGCACGGAACCTTTGACAAGGGCTGGCAATACACGCCGCCAGACTACGTCCCACCCTTCGCGAAGACGCTTGCTGACGGCGATCCACTTGGTCCTGACGAGTTCGTGCAGAATGACGAGCGTCTGTGGCCTGATACGCGGGCGGTGCCATTCCATTATGCGCATCCAGTGACGGGTAAGATGGTCGAAGAAGCAGACCTTCGTGCGCCATTGTTGGGAACCGACCCCAAAGAGGCCAAGCCGGCCAGGTTGATCGTGGACAGCTTTGCGTAGAGGTGCATGGCAAGTCAACGCACATAGCCAGTCTAAAGCTCATCGCGTCCCGCTAGATACTCGAAGGCTCGATCTGGCATGGCGCTCTGTGGTGCGGTGGACGTGTGATCGCCAACACTTACACCGGCTCTTCAGAGTGTGTGGCAAGCTTCAGATCACCCTTCTACGCCAAGGCGATAAATGCGTCTGTTCATCTGAGCCACCTCAGCACTAGATATACGAACACAACGAAGACGACAACGCCGCCCCAAAATATCCATTTGTCTTGCTTAGCTCTCCGCTCCACCATACGTATCGTGTCACCACTGATACCGAGCGTGTTACCAATGTTATATAGCTTCTTCTGCGTGCCTTTCAGTATGTCGCGCTGATCGCCCAAGTCGCCCAATACGGCCCGTCCTCGTTCGAGGTACTCGTCGAGAGTCTGGTTCGCTGTGCCCAGAAAAGATTGCTCGCGCAGCGCGTGGCTTTCTCGTTGTTCGTCGGCGCCCAGACCGTAGGGTGACTGATAAGAACTGTACGCATTCACTCCGCTAGCACCAGGCTGGAAGTTCGGGTTGTTCGTCCGGAACAGCGGGTTTACATTCTCGCCGCGTCCTGCTCCGCTTGACACAGCTGAATCCGCATACGGGTTCTCGGGCGTCTGCGTGGTGTGAGATCTTCCTCCCAGAAGTTCTGACCGATCCTCTGCATGTTTTGATTGCTCCCTCTCGTGCTTGAGTTCTGCAAACCTGCTTCGGAAGTCCAGTAGGTCGGACCGGAAGTTAGCTATGCGCTCCTTGCCCTTCTCTGCCTTCTCAGGTACCAGCTCGACGTCGACGTTCTTCTGATAATCGTCGAGAGTGCGCGCGAAGGAGGTAATCGATGTGGTAAGCTGGCCCTGCAGTGCGGGACTTGAAGCGTTGGCAGAAGAAAAGGTCTCTAAGTCAGCCTTGATAGCCTTGGCTTGCCTCAAAGCAGAGTTGTAAAGGGCACTCATTGTGGAGTCGGGCTTGTGCTTGTGCTAGCAACAGTGTCCCTTGCTTCATCTTGGTGCAGATGCGAACATATGTTCCAAAAGGGAAGGAACGCAAGCTGTCATCAACAAGCGGCCCATCTACGGAAACAGCCGGGCTTTCCAATATTGCAGACAAGCTCAAGGAGCCGAAGCGCAATCGAACATACATATTTACTCGGTAAGCTCGGTGCAGTCTTAGAGCGACTTTGTCTATGTGCATAATCAATGCTGAAGTGCGGTATACAGGTACACTTTCGTAACTAGCCACGCTGCCAAGGCTACGCCAGTCGAGATTCACCAAAGGACTGTGCCAGACACATGGCGTAGTACCTGCCTTTTCGTCGCTGCAGATCCCTATGCGTACCGGATTCTGCGATTGCCCCATCTTGTATGACGAAGATGACATCTGCGTCACGAATCGTGCTCAGCCGATGGGCAACGGCAACAGTAGTGCGGCTTGACATCGCTTCATCCAGCGCTTTCTGAACAACCTTCTCGCTCTGCGTATCCAACGCCGAGGTTGCTTCATCAAGCAACAGAAGGCGTGGTTTCCGGATCAAAGCCCTTGCTAAAGCTATACGTTGCCGTTGCCCGCCGGAGAATTGTGTACCTTTCGAACCGCAGGGAGTATCCAACCCCTGAGGAAGAGACGACACAAAGTCAAGCACATTCGCCTGACGGCAGGCTTCGGCCATCTCCTCCTCGGATGGTTCGTAGTCTAAGCCGAGCGCGATGTTTTGGCGCACGGATCCGAGATACAGCGGCGGCTCTTGCTGAACAAGCGACATGCAGCGACGATACAAGCTGGGTGACAAGAGCTTGATGTCGTCTTCGTTCACTGTAATGCAGCCGGAAGACGGGTCATAGAAGCGCTGCATGAGTGAGACGATTGTACTCTTGCCACACCCAGACGGTCCGACAAAAGCTGCAAATGTTCCGGGTTTGATGGTCAAGGATATGCTACGTAACACTATAGCTGTTTGCCGTTGTCGGTATCGAAACTCTACATCGTGTAATCCAACAGAGACGTCACCAGCAGACGGCGCTTTATCCTGGTTCTCTGCAGTCTCGCGAATGTTAGTGGTAATAGTCCTTAGCCAGAGCATATAATTCGTGCCACTAGTGGCCTTAGTGATCGACGTCGTCCAGGTGAAGAATTGCGCGGCAGCTTGATCTCCGAAGATTATCGCAATGAAGACAACGAAAAATTGTGTCGAGGTGTACTCCCCAGTCGAGAGTAGCCGTGATCCGTACCAAAAGCCAAGGGCCATGACAAGGAAGTCCGCTGATTGTGAAAAGGAGTACGGGATGAGTGTCACAAGCTATACGAGCGTTAGCGGACACATAGTAACTCGCTGATTTGCTCGCAGGTGGTGACTGCCAACTACCCATCGCCTTATAACTTACCAGGCTGCGAATAACTTTCGCCACGATACCGTCCAGACACTCGCTGTACTCGCGCAGAACATCGTTCTCGAGCGTGAGGAGACTCACTGTTCTGATGGAGATCACGGCCTCTGAAGCCAGACTAGCGCTGCTTGAGAATTGCTTTTCAGTCGAAGCGTCAAGTCTCTGATCGAGTCGAACTCGGACCCATCCACTCGCAACTATGAGAGGCAAACCCGTAAAGACCAGAGTAAGACCTAGCTTCCATCCGTAAGCGATGGCAAGCGCACTGCTCGTAATAACGTTTACTACAACGTTCAGCATGAGACCAAGGTTCTGCGACATCAGCTCCTGCGTTGCCGACGGAACAGAAGACAGTCTGGCTGTCAAGGCTCCTGAAGCATTTTCTGGAAAGTCGAAGAAGTCAAGGTCCATGTTCAGGATACGCTGGAGCATCTCCTTGCGGTAGCGATACGTCAGGCTTTGCCCAATTGCGTTGGTGGCCAATCCAACGCAGAAGAATCCAACAAGGTTCGCTAGCGCTAGTACAAACAGCATAAGGGCATAGAAATCAGCCTGGTTTCGTGCTTCCGCGCCTTGCAACGTGAAGACTCTGATCAGCCGTGAGAATAGGACAGCCTGTACCGCATACGTGCCACCGACCATAACGTAAGCGAGGCAGCTGAGAGCATACCACGGGTACAGATCCTTGTTCTCCTTCAGCATGACGAAGGCACAGCTGAAGAGGGACTGATTCAATGTTCCAGCAGTGAGCGGCTCAACCTTGGACTGTGGTTCTGTAGCTTTGTACTCGGATCGCATACGCATAAGCGTTGGAGCGCTCGAGCCGTACTCCCCATGGTTCTCGTGCTCCTGTGGCGCCACTTCCGGTGCTCTGGAGGGTGCACCTTCTTCTAGCTCGGCGCCTAGATCCTGTGCGCGCACCATGGCGGCGTAAAGTCCGTCGCGTTCGAGCAGCTCATGGTGGCTGCCCTGTTCGACTACCTGCCCATTTGCCATGACGGCAATGTTGTCAGCGGCCATTACTGTGGCAAGTTTGTGTGCAATGATCAGCGTGGTCTTGTTGGCTGAAACGCGGTCGAGAGCGCTTTGGACGGCTTTCTCTGCACGAGAGTCCAATGCACTTGTTGCTTCGTCGCACAGCAAGATCCTTGGCTCGGAGATGATGCTCCTTGCAATGGCAATCCGCTGTCGCTGCCTAACAGAAGCACGTGTATTAGTAGGGCTAGTGCATGTGGTGTACCTCAGTATCGCAATACTCACCCTCCACTGAGCATGCGCGCACCCTCGCCAAGCGCTGTATGATAGCCGTCAGGCAATCCCAGGATGAATTCATGTGCATCGGCAGCGATGCACGCTTCTTGTATAAGCTGCATCCGCTTCTCTTCCGGGAGTGTCATCTGAGTGCCAACGAAGCCTTTGGCAACATTCTGTGCCACCGTGCCTTGAAAGAGCGTAGGCTCCTGCTGTACCAGTCTGAGATTGCTCCGCAACCAAGCGGTATTGTAATCGGCAATGTCGTGATCATCGAGGATCATTTGCCCCGAAGTAGGCTGGTACCATCGCTCCAACAAACCGACTATTGTTGACTTGCCGCAACCACTCGGCCCAACCAGAGCCGTAGTTTTGTTCGCCGGGATTCTCAGGTTCAGACCTTGTAAGACTGGTGCTTCCGGACGACTAGGATAAGCGAAGTGTAAGTCGCGAATCTCGATATCGCCTGTGCAACTCGTAGGTCGTCTGCCGGCGGAATCGAGTGGGTCGAGCTGTGATGGCTTGTCAACGATCGAAAATAGTTCTGCGGCAGCTGACGAAGCGTTTGTGATGGATTCGATCTGTGGGAGGAAGAACAGCACTGATGTAGTGCCAAGCGTAACCTGGTCATGGAAGGTGCACGTCAGCATATTCTGGCGTATTTATGCCGTATGCACTCGTCTCACTCACGCTCAGGATTACAGTTATGACTTTACTGACGTTCGGGATCTCCCCGCTTTGGTACAGTCGCGAGCCTTCCCAAAAAGCAAGCGACATGCCAGATATCGTGAAGAAGTTCTGGCTCGAGAAGAGTATGCCGAACATGACGGACTTCTTCTTGCCTTTGTCGTATGCTGCTCGCAGGTACTCATCATACAGAGTCACTATCTTTTCTTGCGCACCAAAAGCCAGAATGGTCTTCATCGAACCCAGTGCATCTTGTGCTACCGTAGCTGCACGTGAGTAAAGGCGGACCTAAGTTGGACCCTCAATTAGACCATCACCCTTGCGGGAAGCCATGGTGAGTAGACCACCTACAATCTCGTTCTCGATAGGTGTGACAACGCCGATACAGCTCCCTACCGCAAGCATCATGCCAGGGACGATACTCATTGTAATGAGCGCAAGTTTCCACTGAACCGCAAGAGCAACAATGAAGGCGGAGAAGAAAAGTGAGAGCCCCACCACGCATGTGTAGAGCTTTTCGGCAATGCCTTGGTTGATACGGTTCCCATCTGATGCAGACGTAAGCAGGCAATGTATTTCGGGAGAGGGACACGTACTCGTGGTAGTCTGTGTAGCAACGGATCCATTGCCTTGCAAATCGAAATGTGCCATATCCTGCCTGAGCAAGCTCGCAAGGAATGCTTTTCTCAAGGCGTTGGTCGTTCGAGCTGCTGCGATACACATGCATAATGTTCCGAAGTAACCTATGACAAAGCGGCCGACGAACAAGTACACAAACCATAGAACCAGTCCATGAATGCTGGCTTGGAACTGCTGCGAGTCGCCACCCTGTCCGGAGCCGTAGTTGCTGATCGAACCAGTTGATGATCCGAAGACCAGTGTCATTAAAGGCAATGCAGCGCCACTGGCCACAGCACATGTGATTCCGATAGCGTACAGAAGTCGGCCTTGGAGGTCGGTGTACTGGAAGACACGCTTCGTATGAGATGCAATCAGTATTTCTCGGCATGCCCAGTGATAGGTGTGGACTGACGAAATAGTCGCCTACGCCGGCTTTGCTTTTCTCCTCTAACGTCTGCGAGGAATCTTCTTTCTTGGAATCAGACGTCTGCACATGCTCCGACTTACTCGAGGCAGTCGCTTTCAGTTGCGGAGGTTTCTGAACCACAGTGTTCTCGAGGGACTTGTGGCCAGCATGTTGCTGCTCGTCAATCGCTTCGTGGGTGTCGACAGCCTTTTCGTCGGAGGTTGCTCTTGTTGCCATTGTCGGCGCGATCGATTCAAACGAAAGACAACGCAGCGAAGAGCGTAACGGAAAAGGGAAATGTTCTCACCTTAAGCGATCGTCGCCCTTCGAGCGTGTCCACGGTTGTATCAACACCCGGAACCCGCGCGCTCCGGCTTGGTGGTTGACTTTAACCGACTTTGATTGAGGGAAGTTCATTGATCGCAGATTCTTTATCGATTGGATCACGTGGCTTTCGGATCGGCTTCCAGTGCATCCGAGGTGCTCGAGGCCTTGGCACAGTGCGCAAATAGTAGATGGGCATGAAAGCCCCCAGAGATGATCGCCTTTCCCGGGTACACCGCCCAGTAGCGTCAAGATAAGAAGTCGAAGTCGAGGTCGTTGGAATCCTGCTCTAGTAAGCCGAACAACAATGCATTGCCTGAGTACCAGTCCTGAAAGCTCCGAGTCATATCCACAAAATGCTGATGTTGTTGTTGGTCATACTCCTGCGCTACCCGATCGCTGAGGGTTCCGTTGGTACAGGTTCCGTTTACGATGCCTTCTGTTGGAGTGAGATGCGCCTTAGCCTGTACCCATGCCCGAGCCACATCCACAAATGCAAAGCAGAGCTGGTAAAACTTGTCTATAGAATCAGATAATCGCCGCGCTGGCTCGAGAGAAGCAACGAAGGTTTCAAGAGATGTTACATCATCTTGTGATTCCGATGGATTGGCGATGATGTTGTAGAAGATGCCTGTGAACGCGGTAAGCGGCGCATGCAAGAGCACCTAAGCGTTTGATCACAATCATCAGCGTTCCTTCGAATTCAGGTGATGGTTGTGCTCAAGAGTGTCGTACCCAGTGGCAGCAGACGGTCCAGTTGTGGACATTGTGAAGGTAGCGATTGGCAAGATCTCTGCTGATGCGAAGACACTGGCGCGCGGACTCGATCGCACGGAGGCGCCCAGGGTGCGTTGAAGGCACCGCATAGAGCGCCGTGGTGAGGGTGCTATTGAACATAATGTCATCACTGTGAATCCACGGATCCTGGATCCTCGTATTCGTCCTGTTACAAGACTCTGCTTCTAACATAGTCGAATTCGCCTTGCCCTTGCGCTGGTGAATCCGCTCCAGCTCATCCGCAAGGGTCAACGCAACACGGACTCGATCCTCTGGCGCAAGATCCGAAGCTGCAGGTCCATACAGCTGCGTGCAGATTTTGCCCTGAATTCTCGCGCAGTCAATCCAGAAAATCATCAGCTCTACTACAGGCAAGGGGCATGCGTCATTCTCCATCAGTAACGGCGTATCAATATCGTAGTCTTGAATAGCTGGCGCGTGACCCAGGCGAAAAGCGATGTTTCGATCCATGATGTATATGGACCAGAATAGCATGATCTTGCGGTTGAAGTCGGGATCCGGTCTCGTATCGTGGCGGTACAATCGGTTGAGACACAACTTCTGACACAGTTGTGCGGCTTTGCAGATCAAGCTCCACGACAATGAGGGCTTGCACAGGCCGATTAGTGTCAGTATAGCCATGAGTAAGGCTTCAAGATTCTCCACAGACGCCGGCATGAGCAATGGCAACGTTGCCAATGTGCTCAGCAGCAATGCTGAAAATGACAGGACCAGGCTGTGGTGATAAGCGACTGAGGTCTGATCGCCCTCAGCGGTGAATTCCGAAGAGATGTTGGTTAAGCCGGCAAATACCAGAAGCTTGTCAGTTGGTGAGCCTTCCTGACGCCGCTCGTACATCAAGCGGCACTTTCTGCAGAATTCGTGAAACAGTCCGGGTGGCAGAAGGTGGAACATTACGGGCCTAGCGCTTTCTGCTTTCTTCAACAATGCCTCCACCTGCTCGGGCCCAGGATGAACACAGTCGGGAACCGTATGGCTCTGTTGCGTGGTATTGCAGTTTCTACTTGGTCCACACGAATCCTGCTGAGTACGGTCCACGATGTCACGGAGAGATTCCAGTGCCGATAAGAGCTCGGTATCGTGCTGAATCATAGGATCTCGCATGACATGCCGATCTAGAACTCTCATCGCCGCCAGTGACTCAGCCGGAGCCCCGATGTAGCCAGTTGCTGGTTTCTGGGTGCTAATATTGTCATCGATGATCGAGAGAGGCGTAGCAGCACCGTGAGGCAGATACCCATCGACCGCATGCGAGGAAGCCGTTGTTGGTCGACCAGATGCAGAGCATACGGTGTTCGTGGACTGCTGACGCAACAGCTGCTCAATGATCGCGAGTCTCTGATCGATGGTGTCGATTTTGGTTTCGCTTCACCAGTCAACTAACGCTTATTTGAGTCATCAACCGCTGCACATTGCACTCACTACTGCTTCGAGACTTGAACTCTCTGTTTGGTTACTTTGGTGCGCAACTTCTCGGTGCGACATGCTGGACAAAGCGTTCAGTCAGATGTACTTCACATGTGCGATCCCATCGCTTGCCGCGTACTCAGATTTGCCGCTCGGCAGGGCGAGCATGGAGAACCTCGATCACATCTAACTTTCCTCGTCCGGCAAGCATCACACTCGAACAGAGATCAGTGAACTTCGAGTGCAGCGGGATCTTTCGCCCTTACGACTCGCTTCTTTATCAAGCCCATCGTTGAAGGGCCGTCAGCAGCTTCCATGGCTTTCACGTGTCCGTCACGGCCAGCAAACCACAGTGGGATGTTGTCTTTGCGTATGGTGGACAAGTCCGGCGAGGACTGGCAGCAGTACATAACCGTCGGTGACTTTGGACGCTGCAGCTGGTCCTAACCACGGAATTTCCCGCATCACCTTGACTAACCCAAGGGAAAGACGTGCTCTCCCATTGTTCCTTGAAGTCAAAATAGATAGCGCTACCAGCACACTGCCCTGACAAGTTTAGAGGTCCTAGTCACCTATCTGGGTCAAATCTGAGTCTTTCAGCGCTGTGTGAAGTAGGGCGCCATTGCAACGATCCTTGACACTCACTCTCGTCAACGGTGTCATGCACCCGTTTAAGCGTACGGGCCTTCCCGGCCGCGAGCATGCATAATGCTGCTCTGCTCTCACTACCATTCTGTACCTCGTTGCACCCAGTCGTCAGTATGCATTTACGGTTTGCATAGGTCTTTAGACCGGACATGGGTGTACAAGACCGATCCATTCTGTGTCAATGCTTTCAGAAAGCACAAGCTTCCACTGATTACGTCGACGGCGCCGGAGCGACATGATGTGCATTAAGGGTCCTATGCGTTTCCTCAATCGAGGGTCTCAACATGATGATCCTCTGCAAGTTTGCTGCGGTTCCGGGTGAATGGTGCTGCACGTCCACCTTCACTTCGATTACTCGCTGCTCACTGGCTCTCTGGCGCTTCACATGCCGATGCCGATACTCCTAGTAACGGCGCGGAGTGAGGCAGGTGCGTTATGGACACACGCCAGTCCACAATGCACTTGCCTCATTCCACGCCGTCGTCTCTGCGCTTTTCATTTCGGCCTAGCGAAAGTGTTAGTCTCATCGGTTTCATTGTTGACAAGTCTCACGCAGACATGTCGAGTCTGCTATCGATTTCCTTCCATATCACATTATTCTCTTGATTCGACCAAAGTTGTGACACAGACTGGAATGACAAAGACTTGCTTCTCTCTTACGCGCCCCATTGAAAGAAACAACCGACATGGCTCCTCAATCGGACAATGAGAGCCGCCAGAGTACCACCAGCATCGACAAAGACCTAGAGAAAGGCGACTCGGAAACCCGCCCGTCAACGCCCAAATCAACAACAGCCCCTGTCGTCACATCAGCGGCGAATGCCGCGCACGAGCAGCCTCCGCCATTATGCAATGATTGGGAAGGACCTGACGACCCCGGGAATGCGCAGAACTGGAGCAAGCCAAAGAAGGTCTACCATACTTTCGTGCCTGCATCCATTGCAATGGTATGCACCCTAGGATCATCTATCATCACACCTGGTCGGCAGAGCATCATGGCGGACTTTGGTGTCTCAGCTGAAGTTGCCTTGTTCCCATATACCTTCTACGTCCTCGGTCTGGCCGCTGGCCCCTTCTTAGCCGCACCCACCTCGGAGACTCTGGGCCGCCGCGCCGTGTACCTCTCCGCCATACCTATATTCGCTCTCTTCACACTCGGAGCCGGCTTCTCACAAAACATTGCCAGCTTGACAATTTGCAGGTTCTTCGCCGGCGTCTTCGGTTCTCCAGGGCTCAGTATCGGAAGCGCCACTCTGTCGGATATGTGGAGGCCACACGAGCGAGCAGTGCCGATGGCCATATACATCACCACGCCCTTCCTGGGACCTGCAATCGGTCCAATGGTTGGCGGCTTTGTGGCTGCCGCAAAGGGATGGCGGTGGACGCAGTGGGTACTGCTCTTCTTCACGATCGTTGGCTTAGCGCCAGCCGTGGCCATGAAAGAGACATACAAGTCCGTAATCCTGAAGAAGCGCGCTAGACAGCGTGGGATGAAAACGCAAGGCGAGGACCGAACGTTTCTTCAGGCCACAAAATTCTTCCTGACCTCAACCCTCACTCGGCCGGTCTGGATGGCGCTAGTCGAGCCGGTTGTTGGAGCTTTCACTTTCTACATCGCCTTCAACATCGCCGTGCTCTACTCCTTCTTTGCGGCGTTCCCTGCTGTGTTCGCCCAGTCATATGGCTTCGGCATCCGCGCCACAGGCTTGACATTCCTTGGTCTTGGTGTTGGCTGCCTTATTGGTTGCGTCATCATAATCGCGTTTGCGAAGACGGTCTTCAAGCGTCAGGTTCAGAGGTCCAGAGAGGTAGGCAAGGGTGGAAAGGTTGAGCCGGAGAGCAGACTCTTCACTGCCATGATCGGCGCTGTGTTCTTGTGCGTATTACTCGGCATGAAGCTGACCTGCTGTCTTGAGATAAAGCTAACTGATCCAGGCCCATCTCCTTGTTCTGGTTCGGATGGACAGCTAACTATTCGGTTCATTGGATCTGCCCCGTGATCGCAGAGGCAGTGTTTGGCTGTGGCAATCTCCTTGTCTTCATGTCAGCAACATTATACCTCATGGATTTCTACGGGTCAGTCAAGTGCAGCGAGCGATGTTTCGGCACTCTACTGACCCTTCCTCCAGACCGCTCTTCGGAGCCAGTGCGATGGGTGCGAACAACATCGCGCGATACGCCCTGGGTTTCGCCTTCCCACTCTTTGCTGTGCAAATGTATGAGGGTCTTGGAACAGGTTGGGCGACGAGCTTGCTCGGCTTCGTTAGCCTTGCGTTAGCACCGATCCCTTTCGCTTTCTATGTGTATGGGCCGAAGCTCAGAGCGATGAGCCGCTGTCAGCGAGGCAACTAGTTGGAGGATGAAAACAAGTTGAGGCAGGTGGCGGACACATGTCTTACTATGTTTTCAGTATGAACAGCCCACATTATGCGGTGCAGTGCACAGCTTGCTGATACATAAGTTGCTGTACCTGCAGCTTCTCTGACGAACATTGATTGGCTTACCTCAACCGGGCGACGTGGGGAGGTTCTGTTGTTCCTGTAGGCTTTGGCATGTACGCTACTATTGCCGGCTTGTATAGTGGCGTGAGTATACAATACAGGCTTGGCAAATGGCGTGGTAGGTTCGAAGCGTCGCACCGTCTAGTATCTTGACAGCAATGCGATACGAGCCAATGGGAGCGTCTGCTATTAGACTGCTTACCTACGCACACCACACCTCCTCGGCAGCGGCTTCCGGGCATCGAAGATCGAACTTCAACATTCTGCAGGCTCCAGATCCTCAGCATGGCAATTCGCGCGTCCTGTGCAATAGACATATGGTCAGTGCTGGCACTTCGACCGCTCTCTGGCACACATTCCGCTATCGAGGACTTCGACCATCTCTCGGCGCTGGTCTTGTCAGTGGCAGGACGCTGCACCAAATGCAGGAAGGCAAAGGCCCGCCATGCACGCCGAGCGGCTGCCCTGCCTTGACTGGGTACTAAGATTGGCGACGACGCGCAATCGTGCTTTACGCCTCGTTGACGCAGCAGCGACTTGTTGGTCGAACGGTGAGGAGAGAATGTTACGGCGCTGGGCAGTATCATATGCTGTAGTCAGTAGTGGACAACACGGCCATTGGAATCTGATGGTTGCTCCGTGTGACATGCTTCCCCAGACAATCGTGCGGTCGTCACCCCCATCAAATATGCTCGCGCTTATGCAGCCGGAAAGCTTGGTCGGCTGTTGCCCGGGTCGCTAAATGCAGGCGAGAAACGTCATTCGAGCATTCAAGAGAGTAACGTCCTCGCGAGAGTAGAAGGATTCGAAGTCCATGACGGATGGACGCCTGCAGCCAATGCAGTATATCCGTCTCACGGAACCATCGTACCCCTGGAGACTGTACCTTGCCCGGCATAACAGTGGAACGCTGCGGAGCTGACGAAACCCCAAGGCAGATCCCTAAACAAGCAGCCGCCACTTCGCCGCGCGCCATGCCGCATACAGACTGTCGTTGGCCCAGCACGTTTCTCTTTGGACGCTTCCTGTACGAGTTTGCCATGCCAATCTTCCCTCCTTTGCCATCACTCTCACCATTGCCGCTATCTCCTTTTATCTAGTAGATGACTGCTTCGTTTCCTCCACACCATCCTCTTTGCCCGCTCACGTTTTGCATTCGGGCTATCATAGGAGCTGACGCACAACGTTGGCCAATGCGTTTCTGGAGAAGCTGGGTTCCACAACGCTCAACTCCACAACGCTCTCCACAAGCCCAAGCCCAAGCCCACTTGTCCCGCCATTACCAGATACACTCGCCCCATTCGCCTTCACTGTTAACCGGCTAGCACTCCCCTCATTGCGCAACGGGCACGCCGACCCTGGCAACAGCGCATCTGGTCCGCTTCGGGGTGGCAGCAGCCATTAAGAGTCGTAGATTGGCAACATGGCGCCTTTAAGACCACAGCCATCGCGATCGTCTTCCTCCCGACCGGGCTCGCCATTCACGGACGACGCAGATGCACGACAATCTCAGCAGGCTGGGCGAACTCCGTCCAACATAGCTGCTCAAGCATCGGCGCAAACGTTACGGGAGGCCTCACGTCCATCCTCGCGGGCGTCAATGAGTCGTTCTTCGAGCTCGCCCAATCTCCTGCGAAAGAAGACGAGACCTCAGTCAGCAGTCGACAGTAAAGTCCGTTCAATACATGAAGAAGTGGCTCCGCGGCCGCCGCCGCACGCCAAAGGGACTGTCCTGCGGCAAGTGGCACCGCTCGTCTCCGTGGCTTCCTCCAGCTCGAGTAAGCCGCCGTCAGCCACGAGGAAGGACAGCGATGAAGGAGCGGCAAGCACAATTGGTAGCTCAGACTCTGGTGGGCGGACCAAAGCTGCCACGGCTGCCGGCAATGCGCTTGCCGCACAGATAGCAGCCTCTAACGGCTCCGGATTCTCAACACCACAGTCGCGGCCGCTTTTGCTGCGGCCACCGGAAATGTCGCAAAGAGACCCGACGCTTAGTCTCACAAGACAAACTACTCCGAAGACTGTGCGTGATCTAGGATCTGATTATACACGGTACTTCAACCCTCTTGCAACACGCAATAACTCACAACAAGACCTAAGTACACCCTTACCACGCTTTAATTCAAGCACGCATTTGTTGATGACCGGCGCCGCCGGGGGTGTATCAGCTGCCGAAGTGAACAAGCGGCTTTCTGATCCTTTTGGCGACTCGAAGCGTCTCTCGAATCCGTTCGACTCGCGGCCACAGACCGCACCTGGAACGCCGGGTACACCGCTGCATAAACAGCAGGGTTCAGACGAGAAGAAAAGCATGTTCGCCATGACAGCTCCTGTAACACCCGCTCGGACAGGTACGCCAGGGTTCATCCGTGAAGCGGATCCTGAGAAAGCAGGCTTCTTTCCTTATTTGGACGACCGCTTAGGCGCGCCAGAGTACGCGTTTCCACTGTTCTCGGATCAGAAAGAGGACGATGATGATATGCACATGCCCCAATGGGACGATGATGTGAAGCTGAAACCGAAATTCAAGGACCACTTCACACGTGAGAATGTTGTCAGTACGCTCGGAATGATGTTCATGGTACTAGGGTTATTGTGCATATTTGTGATTTTGCCGGTTGTGTCTTATACTACACAGGGCCTGCTGGATTACGACTATGAAACTCCGCTCTCGGAGATGCCAAAGGTAGGACAACAGCCGGAAACGTGGGCGAGTGTGAACAATAAGACCTACCCACTTCTATCAAATCTGCGAACCGGATTGATCGACCCGGACACACCAAACAGCGCCAAGACGAGGACAGGCGTAAATGGCAATGAGTACGTGCTTGTGTACAGTGATGAATTCAATGAGCAAAACCGGAGTTTCTGGGAAGGTGACGATCCATATTGGTTCGGTGGCAATTTCTGGTATGCTGCAACGCAGGACTTGGAATGGTACGACCCGGATGCGATCAACACAGGTAAGTCGTATGCGCACAATTGATAAGTCATAAGCTAACAGACCGCAGGCGATGGCACGCTCCAGATTCAGCTTGACAACTTCGCCAACCATGGCTTGAACTACCGCTCAGGCATGCTGAACTCCTGGAACCAATTATGCTTCAAGGGAGGCATATTCGAAGTCTCCATGTCACTGCCAGGGCCCGCTGGCGTGCACGGCTTATGGCCCGGTGCTTGGACAATGGGCAATCTCGGACGACCAGGCTATCTGGCGACAACGGATGGTCTCTGGCCATATACGTACAATACATGTGACACTGGCATCACTCCAAACCAATCAATGACCGACGGTACGAGCGAGCTGCCCGGACAGAGGTTGCCATCTTGCTCCTGCGTTGGTGAAGATCATCCGACCCCCGGGACAGGGCGAGGTGCTCCGGAAATAGACATTGCGGAGGCCAGTGCAGACTGGGGTGGAAAGGGATGGGGCGTGGCAACCCAGTCTTATCAAGTTGCGCCGTTCGACATCTGGTACTACCCCAATTACAATTTTATGGAGACGCCGAACTACAACATGAGCTTCGTCAATACCTACACCGGAGGTCCATTCCAGCAGGCTGTATCTACAACGACTATGCTAAACAATGCATGGTATGACGGACAACAGTACCAAAAGTACGCCTTTGAGTACGCTCCTGGAGGCGACAAAAACGCCTTTGTAGCCTGGACCGTGGGAGACAACAACGAGATGATGAAGTTCGATGCGCGCGCTATCGGACCAAATGGTAACATCGGCCAACGACTGGTTTCTGAGGAACCTATGTCGATGGTTCTGAACCTGGGGTTCTCGCATTCATGGGTAGACATAGACTGGAACAATCTCAAGTTTCCAACCGTCTTGCGGGTGGATTACGTGAGGTGGTACCAGCGGGAAGGTCAGGAAATGGTAACTTGTGACCCCCCCGGATATGAAACGACAGAGTACATCGCGAACCACCCGGAACCGTACAACAACCCGAACCTTACTCGGTGGAGCGATACAAGCTACAAGCGGCCCAAGAATAGTTTGATGGATGGGTGCAAGGCTGCCACGGCAAGCACAAGTTCAAGCAGAAGCACGAGCACGAGTCGCTAAGCTTCAAACACAAACATGCAATCTACAAGACGACCCTTGCGTCTGATGGATATTTGAGCAGAGGATCAGCGAGCTGCCTCTTGACGATGTATTGTGCCGCTGAGCGACAGCGTGTCCGGTACCACGCCCGTACATGCGATGGTTATAGGGATTCACGGTGTATATATGCTACAGCACGACAACTAGTCTTAACGGCGTTGGAGACAGGACTTGCCACGCAAGTGACATTAGTGGAGGACTGCAGTCCGGTAGGCAACGCTCATGCTGCACTGATGGGTGTGGATGGGTGGACTGCTTGGAACCGGCCTCAGAGCGGCGTTCGCGCATTCGTGCGTCTTGTTACGTGGGATGGTGGATGCATTACTGGGGATGCTAACATCGCTGCGAACCCGGAGACGCTTGTTGTGAACGAGATATGAGTTATGTACATATGCGGTTGAGCGAAATGGTATCTTCCTGTTTCGGCCGCAATCTGCGGAGTATGCGCCATCGTCTGGGGCTTTGCTACACCACTTTACAGGGGTTTACCTACGAATGTTTTTGTAGGACGACTCACGCTAAGCGCATTGCGAAACAAGTCGGCGCACCAGAGTCGCGAAGAGCTTGCCCAATCCGTAGCGAAACCTTACCGATCCTTCGGTGTCAGATCCTCGCGATTCTAGCTATTCATATAGACCACCACCATGGACCCTCGCCATCATGTCACCTCCAACACTACCTATAACGAACGATGTCGTCCGAGAAGGGCAACGTACACTACCTTCTGGGCGTCAAGCCAGAAGACAGCCATGTCAAGTCGCACGCCAGCCGCACGGCTGACGAAGAGTGTGCGTACATGATTCCTACACTTCTGGATCTCGCCAAGTCGGTACCGAAGCTCAGATTACTAGATGTGGGATGCGGTCCCGGCAGCATAACGTGCGGTCTTGCACGCCTAGTCCCAGGCGCTGAAGTCGTTGGTCTTGACATGTCCGAAACCGTACTGGAAGCGGCTAGGATGGAAGCTAACAGTCAAGGCGTAACGAACGTGAAGTTCATCCAAGGCGACGCCTACCATTTGCCATTCGATGATGGCGCGTTTGAATTGTCCACAGCCATCGGTGTATAGCGCATCTTCAGCACCACGTCAGCGCTATTAACGAGCTGGCCCGCGTCAGCCGTAAAGGCGGCGGTCGTTTGTGCATGCGGGAAGGCATTCTTCCTACCTTCATGTGGTACCCACTCAATCCCACGCTTGACGAGGCCTGGAGAGCCATCATGGCTGCCTATGAAGCCAACGGAGCACTGACCGACGCCGGCCGGAGACTCAAGGCATGGGCGGTTGAGGCTGGCGTACTACGCGAGACAATTTGCGTTCACGGTAGGATCATGGTGCTACGATACACCGGGGCGCCGGAAGCGTTGGGCGCAGCCTGGCCAGCAAGGGTTTCGGAAGGGTCGCTTGCAGAAAGAGTGGTCGACATAGGCGCAGCGTCGAGGTTCGCATTGCGCGCTGCTTATAAGCGAGCAGTGACTGTACTAATCAAGCTTAGGGAACGTCTCACAGAATACGCTGAAGCCTGGCGGCAATGGATCGACGACGAAGACGGGCTGTTCATGTTAATGCACGGTAAGGCTGAGCTTCTGCGTGGTGAATCGTACAACCGCTGACTTCGAGTCTCACGATTAAGGTCAGGTTATAGCTCGGTTCTAGTGGACAGCGACCAGTTCCTCGCCCGCCATGCTCTGTCTAGCTTAAGATTATTCTAAGAGTACATCCTCCCAAAGTGCAAAGTGTATCAAACGTGCAACGTCCGGGGGTATCTGAGATGCAAGGAAAGTGTTATCTCCACGTTCGCTCATAGCGCTAAGCCTACTTGACTCGGATGGATGACGGTCGGCCAAGCCTGCTCGGAAGCCGTCTTCGTGTCGAGCGCGTCGGTGTCAATCGGCGGGAAAAGCGGTGTCAAGCGGGATTCTGCGGTAAGCGAGCGACTGTGGCCCTTCGTGGTCGGAGAAGACGCAACGGTAAGCGAGGGCGGTTCAGCGTCTGATGTGTCCGAAGATAGTGAAGCCTCAGAGTAGGCTCGCTGTCGCACTGGCGGTCTGCACTTGTAGAAAGGCTCTGGCTCCTTGCTCGGTGTATGCGCCGTTGGCATCACTACGAGCCCAGAAAGCCACCCCGAGATCCGCGAGCTTGTTCCAGACGGTGTGCGTAACGTCGGCCGAGTTCTCGCCCTTTCTACACCCGGACATGTTTCTAGAATTTCCTTTGTTGGTGCGGATCGTGCAGGGACGGTTCGTGCCAACGCCGAACCGATATCGCTTAGTGTCTCGGACCGTGCCCGTAAGGGCATATGAGGCGCAATAGCAGCGACGTGCGGTGACCCGGTATTGTTGAACGATTTACGCCTCCGCTCTTCGACAATGTTGTTGAGCTCTTGTATCTCCTTTTCAATGTCGGGTATGGCTGCATCGGCTTGAGGCCACCGCATTGAAGATACAGAACGCTTGCGCCGCAAGCGATTGCGCTCCGAAGAAGGCCTAGCATCAAGTGGCTGCCTAACGTGAGGTAGGTAGCCCGATTGCTGAGCGGTCATGCCAAACGGCAGTCTCGGCAAATCAGGATGAAGCTCCCACTCAGGCATGTTCTGAGCCTGATCAATGATGGTTGTGGAGCTACGTTGCCGGCACCTTTCGAAGGGTGACTCTCGCTGAGCCCTGTATGACTGTCGATCCGTCTTAGCGAGGAGATGCCTTGTAGAATCAGATCGTTGGCGGCTACGCTGGGTTACGGAACCCACAGCATGCGATGGTGATGAAGTCGCTGTGGAGGGAGCGTCCTTTAACACAATAGGGCCGAGTCTCAACGGCACTAAGCTTGCGCGGTGGGCTTCGCTACAGTCCAGTCGGTGGAAAGACGTCGGCGTGCGAGTGCTTGGTCGTTTAGTGTGATCCAGCGAGCTTCTACGTTCATTATGACCAGGAGTCAGGAACGGGCTGTCTCCGAAGTCCAATGGCTTGATGGATGGTGGTCGTTCGGGCAATCGGCTCCGGTTACTGGTTGCTTGGAGATTCGATACCGGCTCGTTACCAGTAAGAACGTGCGCTATCGTCGGTGTCCGTGGAAGCGCAGTGAGCGGTGTGGGTTGTTCGTTGCAGAGGCCCGCTCGTTCAGGTGCTGAATGTCTGTTAGCACCGTCGGTCAGTGTTTATCGCTGCATTTACCGTTGTATCGTGGACCATGTGAGGTATACCTAAATATGAAAAGGTGGAATTGTCAGCTCTATCTCAGACCATCGTGAAGTGAATTACCCATTGCTCGGCTTACTCATCATCGTTCACGCTGCAGAAGAAACATAGAAAGGCGGCCAGCCAGCCTTGTTGTTGTCCATTGGGGGCCATCGAATGGCCCAAACCCAAAGTTAAGAGAACATCTGGAAGGGAACAGATACCACGCTCTGTAAATCGAGAGTGGAACGCAAGGATGCAGGCAATGCAAGGCACGAAGTAAGGTAGAACGTTCAACCTTCTCATTGATCTAAGGAAACCAACCTCAAAAGCAGGACCCTTCCATGGCATGTGCTCATTCGGTCATCTCGTCAGCGGGAAGGCTATAGTCGATGTTCGTAGTGGCTGCTCGCATTGTGCATGTCCGTGAGTGAAAAGACTAATCTGAAACGAGCCTCTCATGCCCCACGGTGGTGGAGTCCGTGCGATGTGAGCTCATAAATCATCTCACCAAGACCCAATGGGCATCTATAGGCGTCGAAAAGTGTGCCCAACGCTCACTGCTAGGGAGGGAATGGTCCACTACCGAGCATTTTTCCGGTGGAGGTTTCAGCATCACGCTCTCGGGCATTGCGACATTGCCACAGGTTAAGCTTCATGGCGTGCATTTGCTTTGCAGAACGAGCTGGCGTCGCATGGTCATTGGATGTACGTGTATTCGTGCGGGAGAATGAGGGAGGTTGTGACTGGTTGTGGTCGAAAGATGAGGTGCATGAACTTGCATTAGCGTGGCAAAACTTGTGGGACACTTCCAGGCATTCGGAAACACACGCCTGTTCCTGAATGCTCCATGGCCGTGTTGCTCCATGCGCGTTTGGCAAAGGACTGTACATTGCGCAGCCTCTTCAACCAAGCTGTGTGCCCAGATTGTGGTTCAGAAGCAGGCTCAGCCACAATAGCCCAGTTTGTGGTGGACATGTCTCATCGAATGACGGAATGCCTGTTCAAGGATCTGAGTATTCGGAGGCGGCACCCTACTGTGCTTGTTGACCCGGAAGACTCTCATGCTCATGATCGCGACCGAATGCGTGTATTTAGGAGTTGGTCGAACTCTTCGCCGCGGTACGCTTGTCGTTCAACGCAGGTATGATGGTATAAGCGCCAAAGTAGAACATGTCGATGTCCCAGAGGTATCTGGTCTTGAGCAATCCATGCACTATGCTCCTCACCCTTTACCCTCTGACGCAGCCAGTATTCTGACGATCTTCCTTCCAAGAATAGTCTCATCACTCACCTTGCGGGTCCACGCCAATTGCTTGCTGCTGCCGTGCCGCTCAAAGTGCCGCTCAAGAAAGTACAGAGGCTCTAGCGTGCTGATGCTGCCGGCGGTGCAGAGTTCTGGTAGATTGAAGTACGGCAGACTCCGGCACAGATGACCAGCAAACACAGGGAGCTCGCTTTCAAGCTTGTCGAGTTCTCGTTGATTAAGGCTAGCCAAGGCGGCCCAGTATGGACCACGGACATCCACCACGGCTTGGTCGAGTACGAGATGACAAGTCCAGAGCGTCCGATGTAGCTGTGCGGTCGTGAGGTTAGTGAACGTGTAAGCGGTTGAATACACGCTCGCCAAGTCTTCTAGCATGCCCTTGAACGCAGGATAGTCGCCCAATCCTACGACTCGGTAGGGCGGGAGATCAAGATTAAACGACCAGTCTAGGATAGTGTCCTGCATATTGGCTCGCAGTTCCAGTGCTTCGGAGACGGTATCTATGACTGAATTCGGCGGAGCATTATGCACTAAGCGTACAGCTTCCAGTCTTTTCAGACAGGCCGGCACGCGCATGGAGAGCTCCAGCAGCGGGAATTTGCGGCGCCGTAACTCATTATTCCACAATGGTGGTTCGTAGTGGATGCATTGTTTCTGAAGTAAGCCGAAGCCAAGCGAAAATGTGTACTGCCATTTGAGGTAGCATCTGCTGGCCGGACCAGGGGTGCTGCCTCGAGCCTCATTCTTGTTGTAGAAGCGTAAGAGAACTTGCGCATGTTGCATCCAGCCTGGCGCATCGAACGACCCGCTGATGCACAGTTCAATGATGGCTAGAAAGTACACTGTGGCAGACAAGTCATTGGAGGGCGTATCCTTCCCGACTTTTTGGATCGCTATCCGAAGGCAATGCAAAGCTTTCCCGTACAACCTTGAGAACTCTCGTAACAGTACGGTATCATGATGGACCGCCCCAATCTGAAGGGCGCAGAGAGCGTCACCAGCGGCTAAGAAGGCCGGCGAATCTGCAGATATGGAGTCGAAGATGGCTCCTCCGGCACTGCTTTGAGGAAAGAAGAGGTCGCTAAAGTTACTCTGTGCGAGGATCCTGGATTGTGATGTGCTAAGTGTCGTGCTGATCTTTGGCGAGGGTATCACAGGAGGGCCATGACCTCGTAGGCTGGTACCCTTGGAGTGAGGAGCAAGCTTCTTTGGCTTCTGGTCCTCCGGACAGGAGTGCTCATACCACAGCGCCGCCGGCGGCCCCAGCGTGCTGAGGTGGGATGATGTCTTCGAATTCATCCATCCTACCGTGTCATCTCCCATCACTCCAGCTTACGTCCCTCACATTGAGGCTCCGTTCAGTATCAAGCTGCCCGGAGAGCTACTGGAATCGTGGCGTGGGATCATGCCCGTATGCTCGGAATTGCTCGCTGATGCAAAGTGAAGCCGCAATTCGTTGGTGAAGACCGTCGGTCACGGTATCGGCTCTCACTGTCATGCGCTCAGTCTCTACGCGTATACATTGAGTACCTGTTCCACAATGCTCGCTATGAACGTTCTGCGTCGCATTCCACAGCCTCTGTAATGATAATGAGTTACTGTAGGTTCGCTCGATCGTAAAGTTGCGAGCCTCGGCGCTGTGAGAGCCGAGCCCGTTTGGCCGAGTAGATTTGCAGTTACAAAGGCAACGAATCTCATCGACTCTCCGTTCTATCAAATACAAAGCCTAATTCAGCCTAGGGCGTTCAAATACTATAGTGTTCCGTACCGACAGCACGTATGCAGGCAAAAAGCCGTCCGGGCACCGCGCCGACGTGCAGATATAGTACATATATCTTACCTTCCTTTACTACTCTTTCGCGATCCGACGACAGTGGCGTGAGGACTCATAGGCGCCTCTACGCTTCTTGGAGGAGGCATGACCTCCTTTATCTTCTCAGCGCTTATGCCAAGCTGCACCTCACAAATCCTACGCCATAATGTTTGCACAGCACGTTGTAACTCAGGACCCATGTCCCGGCCCATCAAGCCAACAGCCAGCGGCGCGAAGACCGGCACGTTCTTTGCGAATTCATCCTCGCCAAAGCCGATGTAGCCGTCGAGGACATCAACAACCACGGGCCGCCACGTGACAATATTCCGCTGTTGTGTCTCCTCGTCCATTTGGATGTATGATGCAATGATGTCGCTGCAGAGTGGTATCAGAGCAGCTTCAGTCTCCGGCCGACTAGCTGCTCGCTCGTCGGTGTCATCTCTGTACATTCGTAGCAGGATGCCTACGTATACACTAGCGCTGCCGCTTTCCTGTTTGAGGAGGTTGGGTGGCTGCTTCATGAAGCCTTCCCTGAAAAGACGTGTGCGCAGCTCGCGGTCTTCATTGAACCGCTTGGCGAAGTGGTAACTCTTCTTCAGCAGCGCCATAAGTCGGAGCAACAGGTGAGAAGGTATCGAGGCGTAGACGGCATCGTTGTTGAATAGTTCTGATACCGTCTCAATCATCAGTAGCTGCAAGACGCATTTCGTGATGATTTGATTGAAGTAGCGTCTCCGTGCAGCCGTCACGACTACCGGCGCTTGTTGCTTGCTTGATGTTGGTGTGGCGAAGTCCTCTAGCTCGGACTGCTTCGATGGCACGGGCGACACCTCCCGATCCTGATCCGAGAGTGACAAAGATCGTGCAGACAGGACATCTGGTCTGCCATCACCGTTCAACGTCGGCGTTTCCTCGCCAAGTCCGTTGATGCGCAAAGCATTACTGGCTGGCATGCCGCCATTAACATCGTCACCGGCTGAAGCTCCTGTCAGCACATTTGGTGACTTAGACACGGTTGGGTCCGGCACATGGCCATTTGCCGCCTCGCTCTCCCTTCGATACCCGCTACCGGCAGTAGCAGCTGAGAATAGCTCCCTCGCTTCGGTTCGTGCGAATAGGTCGACGAACGCACCAACGATCTTCTCCCAATGAACAGGGCTGAACTTCGTCACATTTTGCAGGATCAGCTGTTGCAAGCAATTGCTCCCAATCCGTGCAAGTGTGTCGTTTTCTTGGCAGATGCATAAGGCCAGCAGATCGAGGAACCGGTCCAGCATGTACTCCAAGCCTTCAAAGAAGTGCGTGAACAAGCTGATCATGTTTCGCAAAGCCTGTATGAGCGTCGTTGACAGCCAGACAGAGAGCTCCTCGTGATTTGCTGCCTCGTGATTAACCGCCTTTCGGTCCTTGAGTACCATGAAGATGGGATACAGCAGCTGTCGCCAAAGAGTGTCCCAGAAGTTTTGTGGGAAGTCACCGCCGTACCGAGTCAGTGTCTCGAAGAGGTAATTCAGTGCCCTGCTTCTGACCTCTAGATCTTCGCCAGTCATGAGCACATCATGGAATGCGAACAGCACTGGAAACCAGAACTGCTCCTCTTGACTCTGCCGGCTAGGCTGCTTTGGCAAGCCTTCCGCTTGCGGCTCGTCCATGCTTTTCCGTCCAATCGCGGCAACCGCGTGCTGCGAGAGAGGACATTCCGGCGTTCGAAGCAGCTTTGGCACCGAGCTCCGTAACGTTTCGATGGCCTGCAGACTCTTCTTCTGAAACCGCATATTCTTGCTGAACTCCGTGAGACAGACCATCAGATCCGCAAAGGCACCCTGACTTACAACCACGCCGAAGCGCTCATTGTACACCTGTGTGACGTTGTCGAAGGCAAGGTTGACGATGCTTTCGTATGGCTCCTTTGCCGCAACGGTGAAGACACCGAACATCGTTCGCCACCCACTTCTGATCATGTCGCCTCTAGCTTGAATCATCTGGATAAGGCACCGTAGCACCATATCCTTGACCGCCACTTGACTGGCATTCGCCAATATCAGCTCGAAAGGCTTCAGGAAGTCCTTCTGGAACTTGAATCCGGGCAGCTCTTCAATCTCCAGAAAACGCATGCTCAATTGCCGCAGACTGTTGAGCGCAAAGTAGACCACATGCGTGTTTGAGTGACACCCAACATCAATGAAGTGTTGGCCGAGCACCTCCCATATCTTGGTCCACTCGAAGCGCACACGCAGCATGTTGTAGCCCGAAATTTCTACAAGTTTCTGCAAGCTGTACGTTCGTGGATTCTCGCTTTGTCCGGAGTTCTGAATCTCCTGCCAGCTGACTTGCGCAAGCGCACGGACGAAGTAGACGATGGCATGGCCAGACATGTTCGCTGTGTTCATGAAGATGCGGTCCACTACACGTACCATCGCTGCGTCTCGTGCCTCTTCGGCAATGTTGGTTTGATATACGGACCCACTTTGTGGCGCTCTTTGCGTTGGCCGTCGTGGCAGCTGTGCTCCCCTTGGCCCGCCTTGAAGTTGCTGCTGCGGTCCGGTTTGTTGTCTCAGCATGTCCGGCACTGCACCCTCTTCCACACCGGAGCTGATCAGCTGGAAGCGATCCAATTGCGATATACATGTCAGCACCTCTCGCCAACTCTCCTTCAGCACGTTGCTCTCCTCCCATGCTACTTCCAGCAGAGCCTTGAGCGCTTCCACATTTCGCGCCTTCATTTCCGGCAGATTATACAGGCTTGTACTTTGTGCCAAGCTTTGGACGAAAGCGGTACGCGGATCTGCAAGATCGAACAAGCATGCGATATGAATTGCCAGCTTCTCACCCTCCATGCAAAGAGCGATGGTTTCTTGGTTCTGCGTCTCTTGCGCGCAGCCGGAAAGGGCGGTCAGATATGACATCCATGTCACTTCGAACATCGGACCGACATGTTTGGAAGAGCTGGCGGTCAAGAAACCTGCGCCTGCTGCCTTACCACCACCAGTCGTAGCACCATCTGCGCCACCCCGCTTCTGAGCACGCAACAGATTCTTGAACAGCTGCTCGGTGCGATTGCTCATCTCGTCGCTTGCCGCCGCATATGCTTCGCGCTGATAGTCGCGTCCAACGTTTGCTAAAGCACTTACAATGCCTCCAGGCGCTGGTTGCGGTCCAGTGCTCCTGTTCGCCTCAGCCTCCCGCTCAGTGTCCAGCACAATCTCGTTATGCGCGATCTCTTCGAAGATGCTTCGCAGATACTCTTCCGGAAGGTCTGCACTGTCGTTAATGCCACGATTGTTCTTGATAAAGTCCTCCGGTGTCATTCGCTGCTTCACTTGTGCCGAGTGCTGATCGGTATTCAGCATAATCACACTGTAAGCGAGCACGTAGGCTGTATCAGCGTTTGCGAACGCAGATGGATTGCCGCTGGTATATCGTTCCGCGAACTTCAGCATCAAGCGATCGATCTTCTGCGCTTCGCCAGGCAAACGAAAGGACTGCAGAAACCGTCGCAGGGCGTCAACAAAGCGCGTACGTGCAAAGTCCATTGCGTCAACGAAAGCGTGCATGATCTTGATATTCTCTTCATCTCCCTCACCAAGGAACTCACCGAGCGCCTTCTTGTTGATGCGCTCATTGCTCAACATGAACTGTGCAATGTCCTTGGGATCGTTCGAAGAGATGAAGCCGTCCGCGATCAAAGTCTTGATACCTCGTTTCGGCTTGTAATTGAACTGGCGGATTGCATTGTTCAGCGCTGTCTTCCGCTGCTTCACCTTCTCCAGTTCCGCAGGGTCATCTTCAGCGAGTATCGGCGGTGTCGAAATGGAAGTGGAATCAAAGGGCGCACCATCTATACTCGGTGTACCATTGGGCTCGCCACCACGAGTGTCGATGCTGTCTCGCAAATCGTCAATCGAACCTCTGCCGTCGCCATCCACTGTGAGCGACGAAAGAGCATTGTCGGCAAGCGCAGGTTGGGCCCAACTCACTAGACTTCGTAGTGTCTTGACCACGCACTCCAGGCCTTGCATTTTCAGTGCATACTCTTGCGGGAAGTCTGCAAAGTCCGTGAGGCCCGCATTCTGTCCGCCCGCCATGCTTGCAGTGGCTAGGCTGGGAGGTAGAGTACCCTTCTCCCTCCAATCATGCATTCCACCATGCTGCTTAGCCGCACTGTCAATGTACGCCCGCTCCATCGTTGCGGTAACGGCAACAGGCTCTCCGGCAATGCGCGATGCACGGTCAATGATGCGCTGGTAGATATTCTCCATGCCTCGACCGCAGTCATAGTTGAGATATACCTCTACGAGCGCCTTCGGATCAGCCGCTAGTCTCCCGAATAAGTGGTGCACAATATAGCTCTTCTGCCACCCTGGCGCAACCTTCTTCTCTAACATCGGAAGGTAGATTTCTCGGAAGCACACCTCGATCTCGTATTTTAGATGGCTACGCAGCTCGCGCATCATGAGCCAGAAGATCTCAGCGGACACCTCAAACACTCGCGGTGTGCCGGAAGACGCATTGCGCGCCAGAACAGGAAGTAAATACTGCTTCACCGCGTGTGTGAACTGCGTTGGTGCGCTTTGTGCAGCGTTCTTGATCGTCGACTGTGAGCTTGCGAAGACGGTAGAATGATTAAACAAGAGGGTGTGTATGATGTGCAAGCTCAACAACTTGCTCCGCATGCCTTGCGATCTCGCGTCGACAACATCTTCTGGTCGCAGGGCTTTGGTGGCGAGCTTACACATTGCGCGGAAGACCAGGTATGCATCCTTCGCATAGATCTCGTCCTCTTCCTCTTCGTCTGTGGAGAGTACTTCACTGCCTTCGCCGTGTACGGTAATCGACGGTATGTCGTGGCCGGAGGATGTTCGGGTTGGCTGCTTTCCAGCGCTAACTGGCTTCGCCTTACTAACAGTCGTTGGGGCCGTGTCTGTAATTTGCGCATCGTCGAAGGACTTGTTGTTCTCGAAGGTTGCAAGTGTCATCTTTGGCTGGCTATCCTTCTCGGCAGGAATCTCGGGCTCAGGGATTGTCGGAGTTTCGTTTCCAGCGTTCGCCGTTGGAGTGTCATCGCCGCCGTTAGATTGTACTTCAGCTGTACCGTTTACAAGGCTGGTTTTTGATGAACCAGATCTCGCCGCCTTCGATGCTAAACGCACTTTGACGCGCTCGAACACAGTGTTTACCATTTGCGTCAAGGTGCCTTGCGCAATTTGCTGGTTTGGACTACTCTTGCTCAACAAGAAGATATTGTACGTCTGCCGTACACTCTTAAGCAATCCAGCACCGTGCACCACAATCTTGTCGTTCAGGATTGCAGCCAGTAGACTTTTGATAATCTGCATCTGTACCTCGGCCGGCGTAGCCTCGCCTTGAAAGCACTCGCATATTGTGTCTATTGCTCGTTCGATGAGCGGCGCACGCTGACGCTGCCCTTCCACACCCTCTGCGCCTGGTGGAGGAGCAGAGAAGTACGAATAGCTAATCAACTTTCCAATGCAGTCCAGCGCTGTCACTACCACAGACACGGTACTCACATCTGTCGCCAGGTTGAGCGGTTCAAACATGATCTCTGGATCAATCTGGGATGCATCGCCTTGCGCGCCGCGAATCGCAGACAGCGCTCGTTGTGTCGAGTCCAGTAGCGCTTTCCGCTTGCGAGCGTCTTTCGACGCTGCTATGCTCTCCAATGCCGTTACAACAAAGACCATACTTGATCGCGTAGTCCTTGCGGAGGATCGGGTCGTCGTTGTTGCCAATGTCGCTGTAGTCGACTGCGAATCGGTTCGCTGACGGGGCGTAGATGTCGTCGGCGTGTCCGGTAACGAACTCAATGTCCCGGGCTTCGTCACACTCGAAGACACCATCGGCGCGCCATCGCTTTGACTAGGTGACGCCTGCGCATCTTCTGTTCTCAACTCATCCTTTGGTGGTGCGGGCGGTCTCGCCTCTTGCTCCTCGGCCTCTGTGCCCTCACTGACATCTACTTCATGCGCCACATGACCTACGCCGTCAGGCTTCGGACTCTTCTCTACTTGAGTTCCTTGCACATGCGACTCCTCAGCCTGCTGTCCATCCGTCTCTACTGATACGGGCATCCCCGGCGCCGCCGGTCCTTGCTCTTCGGCCATCCCAGCACTTGGTAGGCCCAGTAGAGCATGTAGTAACAGTCGCTAACGGCCGGAAACTCGCAGCATGGTCGGGACGCAGAACCTTGTCCAGTCTATGCGGTCCGATGATTTACAACCACCACTGCACGCAGCATGGTAGCTCTCTCGAACGATGCGCAATTATTAGCATCCCTAAGCGGAACCAGCTCTCCCACTTCCGCCGCTAGCGTAGCCACGAGTTCGGGATCCGGAGGGCGGGTGTAGCCGCGTGAGCTGTGCTCGAACCCCGAAGGTCTCAACACGAAAAGTCCAAGGGGAGGTGAGCAGCAGCACTGGCCTCATCAACCACACCCTTCCCTTCTCACGCTCTCTTATCACTTGTTGCTCTCTTCATCGCCAGCGCGTTCACTCTGTTGTTTCTAGCGGGTAGCGTAGGGGTACATTGAACTACCAGGAGCTCCTTTAGCGACGATGTCAGCTGCGGCGGTGCTCGCGCGAGCATCAAAGGGAGTGTGCAAGAGGGGTGCTTTGAGTGGCTTCAGAACACAGGAGTCTGTAGCGTGAGTCGAGCATATGCATCTCTGAAGCTACAGTGAGCTTCAATGGCGTGTTATGCTGATACATGGTGCCAACAGACGGAGAATACCCGCGCTGTCAGCCCTTGCCCGCTACTATGCCTCCAAATGTGCGGCCACTTCCCTAGCGACTGATCATTCCGCTCTACTGACGTGTCTGGACGACTGCAGCGTACCCTTCGCATACCATAATCTCCATGCCCGCTCTCTCCCCTACCATGACCGCCGGCAACATCGGCACCTGGCAGAAGAAGCCCGGTGATTCTCTCGCCCCTGGCGAAGTGCTCGTCGAGATCGAGACGGACAAGGCGCAGATGGACTTCGAATTCCAAGAAGAAGGTGTGTTGGCAAAGATCTTGAAGGAGAGCGGAGAGAAGGACGTCGCAGTGGGCAACGTGAGTGCTCAACGCCGATACGTTACCCATGAACCGGCGTAATGAATGTACTGACGAAGCCGATTAGCCGATCGCTGTTATGGTCGAGGATGCTGGTGACGTAGAGGCCTTCGCAGACTTTAGCGTTGAGGATGCCGGAGGTGACAAGTCCAAGCCTGCAGAGGACAAGAAGGGCGGTCAAGAAGCAGCCGAAGCTTCTGAGCCACCTTCATCAGGATCTGGCACTGCACCGGAGCCAAAGCAGGAGTCTGCACCCGCCGGTCAGGAGTCAGAGTCGACTGGTGAGCGGTTACAGCCGTCTATCGAGAGATGGAAGGGCAAGCAGGCTGCTCAGCCTGCACCAACCTCTGCAGCTACACCGGCTGCTGCTGCAGCACCTCCTTCGTATGAAGACACGCCAGCCACCTCTATGCGCAAGACCATCGCCAGCCGTCTTACTCAATCCATGAACCAGAACCCGCATTACTTCGTTGCATCAACCGTTTCCGTCACCAAGCTTCTAAAGCTCCGACAAGCACTGAACGCTTCCGCTGATGGCAACTACAAGCTGTCAGTGAACGACTTCCTCATTAAGGCGATTGCAGTCGCAGCACGGAAAGTACCGGCGGCGAACAGCAGCTGGCGCGAGGATGGCAAGGAGGTTATGATCCGACAACACCACACCGTCGACGTGTCTGTCGCTGTCGCAACGCCTGTTGGTCTCATGACACCTATCGTAAAGAACGTCAACGCTCTCGGTCTCGAGAGCATTAGCTCCCAGATTAAGGATCTTGGCAAGCGGGCACGAGATGGGAAGCTCAAGCCGGAAGAGTACCAGGGCGGCACCATTACCATCTCAAACATGGGCATGAACGACGCCATCGACCGGTTTACGGCCGTCATCAACCCACCGCAAGCGACCATCGTGGCAGTGGGTGCGGTAAAGAAGGTTGCGATCCCAAAGGAGACGGAAGATGGCAGCGAAGCCTTCGAGTGGGACGAGCAGATTGTCCTCACCGGCAGCTTCGACCACAAGGTCGTGGACGGCGCAGTCGGCGGCGAGTTCATGCGCGAGCTGAAGAGGGTGATTGAGAACCCATTGAACATGGTGCTGTAAGCCCACCATGGCGTAGGACGACTGCGGTAGAAAGCATTGGGAAGGGAAGGCGCCGATGGGAGCCATGGCCATGGCTTCTGTACAGTGAGCCCTCAGCTTCTTTCAGCATTGTGTGTTTCTAGTCTTTCAGCGCGCGGGCTGTTCGCTGAGTGTTGGGTGAGCAGGGCGCATTGTAGTGGTGTACTAAAACGAGCGACTTGACTTATGCACTGACAGAACTGTTGTCACATAAGCATTCACATGCACCTGCCAGGGCCCAGAGCGATATGGTTGCGGCTCAAGCCACGTGCAGGCGCGTTCTAGCGTGTGCGTGACTGCCTTGAGCAGACCGGTTCTTTCAATCTTCACTTCATCGTTCAACTTGCTTTACTTCCTCGTTTCGACATTAACTGACATACCCATGATCCAGTCGCTCCTGTACGAGCGTGCTTCTTCTACATAAGAGCGCATCCCGGCGGAATGGCGGCGAAGAGAAAGAAGGTGCGAAGTACGGGCATACTACTGAAGATGAGCGGTCGCTGACGATAAGTAGGCCGAGCCGATAAGCGCTCCACCAAAGGCAAAGAAGGCCAAGACCGGGGCTGCCACTAAGCCCGAGCCAGAAGGGTATGCGAAATGGCAGACCAGGAGCGAACTGTCCTCCGGCCTCGCGCTCGGCGAGCAGGTTTCGCAATGGGACGTCGTGGCGAATGGATTCATCCAGACGATCAAGATCCACTCCCCGGCCATGTTCAAGGTCAAGCCCGTGAGTTACCACTTCTCGCCTACCAGTAGCATAGCACCTAACCCATCGCCAGCTCACTCTCACCGATGGACCTTACAAGGGACACAAACTGCTGATGCTCGAGCCGGTCGATATCACAGACTACTTTACCTTCACCAAGCTTCCAGCTGAGCTGCGTCTCGTGATCTACGAGCTACTGTTGCTGGAGCCGGAAGGGACGATCAAACTCTCCACGGTCAAGCCTCGCGGCCTGGACAGACGTTCTTGCTGGGAGAGTATACAAATGGCCCACCCCGGCATGCAATGGAACAAGGCAACCGGCAAATGGATCGGCCAGTCTTCAACTAACATGTCCATACTCCGCGTCAGCAAGCAACTGCTCGCCGAAGCTGCGCCGATCTTCTACGGCAAACATACCTTCAGTGCCGGAACCATGAGTACGCTGGCCCACTTTCTCAGGACCGCTGGTGACATGCGCCAGTACATCAAGCACATCAGCCTTGGGGCAAGCGCATACACAGCCACATGGGCGCGCAAACTCAGATCTCTGCTTCAGCCTGCCCACAATCTGGAGAGCTTCACCGTTCCCCACAGCTTAATCTGCACCGAGAAGCTGAAAGGGTGGTACCTTCGTCATTGCTTACCACCTTCATATCTCGCAGCTCTGTGTGCGCCGATGTTGAAGGCCTCGGCCACAGCCCACAATGGCGATGTTGACCCCTTGGATGTACAAGGCATCCTTCGACTCACGGTTCCGAGTAAGTGCTATCACTGTCGTACTGGGCACAAGGGTGGCAATGGTTGCGGCGAGCTCATCTGCAACATTGAATGTAAGGACCGCGACGAGCACCATCAAGATCTCGTGAAGAAGCTGCGATCGGCAGTCGCACGTTGTCTGGGGCTTACAGTGGTTGAGGAAGGCAGTCAGGGCGAGCGTAGCGACAGAGTGACGGATGTTGCTGAGTGCGCAAATGATGCGCAAGGCAACGAGGAAGAGACCAGCGTTTAAGATTTGCGTCAATGCTGCCTTTTCGGCGCCCCAGAACTGCGGCAACATCACGGGACGCTCGGTAACTGCGTGTGTCTGCACGCATTTGCGTAGCCGTGTCGTTGGCAGAGCTGTGACTCGCGAGGAGTGAACAATGGAGCCGGCAACGAGTCGTGACAAGCGCTTCGTAGTTTAATATTACTGCTTACAGACGGATGCTTCCTTCTCCCAGTCACTCCGGCTATGCTCGTATCGCCAAATCCTCGCTGCGATGCGCTTTGTCTGGTTAAAACAAGTCAATGCCTGGCTCTTTGTCACGAGCCAGACATAGAACACTCTAACCCGAGACAACAGCTTAGTGTGCACAATGGCATAGTTCGCTCCAGACGGTTGCGTATCCAAGAAACCATCCACTCTGTTCAATGCTCGTGTCTATCTCAACAGCTTCACTACCCATAGCAGCCACTTTCGTCTCTGCACAAGCCGCCAAACAAACTTTTCAGGCCCCAGGTGAGATTTTGAAACAGCCGCATGAACCACAGAAAGCAACCATGGGAAATTGCATGGACCACCCTTCCGCCTCTTCTTACTACGGAGATGTCCCTAACCGCTCGGGCGGCAACACCAACACCCGCAACTATCATTCACGGCTGTCCAACGACCGGTACACAAGCCGTCAACGTGCTCGTGGAGGATACGACCGCAGCATGTTCGACCGGCCGATAGTATTTGACATGGATCTCCACTCATACGGTGGGTATATCGGCGGTTCGAGCCGCAGGTACAACAGCACCCGGCGCCACTCGAGAGGTAGCAGGTGGGAGCATCCGCTCGATCTTTCCGGCTAAGCTGGTGAGTGGTGAGATGACAGTGATGCTTTCGCTCGTGTGCAACGTAAGACATAGGAAGATTTAGTCTGTAGCAATCAAAGCGTTCCTTGTCTGATTGCCCTTGCTCCATTTAGGCTCGTAGTGCTACCACTTGCTTCAATCCCGTAGTCGGTCAATGATACATTTGAAGTACGTTCGGTGCCCGGAAACGTGGAGATTCCAAGACTGAAGTACCCTTCAGGACTGACAGTGCCGCTTGGTGTTCTACGACCTCCGATGGGCGTGCGTAAAGCCAGAGGCGTCCGTACGCGTTCAGGGCTGCCATGCCTGCTGTACGCTATTGGACGGCTACCCGCGGTGAAACTACGACGATGATGGCGGTGAATGGGAACCTCGAGTTGGCTGTTGGTCCAGATGGCTTGGTCACCACCATGCTCCGGTTCTCGCCATCCGCCCACACCTTCGAAGTCGCGAGGCGTCACAACTTCGAACAAGCTCACCGAGCTTTGGCTGTGCGTGATTGGCCGTTTCCGCGAACCAGAACTGATGGAGCTGGCACGCGATGGAGGCTTAGACATCGGCGAAGTCTCCTTGTCCACGCGATCCTGCGTTAGCCATGCGGACCCCTCGGCCGTGCGAGACTCTGCACGGCGCAGCGGAATCAGTTGCTGCCAAAGGTAGAGGAGGGCGTTCGGCACCAGTACGAGTCCAAGCTCAATGTATATGACAATCACTCTGAATAGTAAGACCCAAAAGGCGACCGTTGTCGTAAACACCGCGAAGATGGCCAGCGGGATGCTGAAGAGTACCACGAATGGTGTGGTTGTCGCGAAGATCAAACCAGAAATGCTTACTCCAACCTGAAATTTCGGCAACCTCATAATGTCCAACAACACATGTACGCGAGGAAGAAGAAGATGGGGATAGTTCTCGCCATCGAAGATTGCGTACGCTGCATTTGAGGAAGGTCAAGGTTGCACAGATGCGGAGGTTGCATGTGAGACTGCGGAGAAAACTGGGGCAACGTTCGGGGCGCAGGGTCTGGCATGTGAACCGCTTTCAACCACGATCAGGGCGGAGGTGGCAGGTAAAGCGGACTTCATCTTGGGACTGACACTCATCGCTTCAGCTCTTCCATCACCGCTTGCAGCCTCTCCCAGCCTGCCGTTCCCTCCCACGCCGCCTTTCCCTTACCAAGTATACCTCTCACTGCGCTCCTAGCCTTGAACTTCCAGTCTTTTGCCACCAGCTCACCGGCACCCATACCCTCCGTTCGCTCCATGGGCCCTAAGCTCTCGTACGCACTACACAGCCGGACCGTCGCATCAACGACGGCGTTCCAATTTTGTTCATCAGCCTCCCAGCGAGGTTGAGCGGTTACGACTCGCCACGCCTTCTCCTCGGCGTCCAGTGAGGAGAAGGGCTTGTTGCGCCAGAGTGCGATCTTCGCTACCAGGTGCCAGAGTTGCGGAGAGCCGGTGATCAAAGGTACGACATTCTCGTCGATCATCTTCACGAACAGCCTTGCAAGTCCCGGCTGCGCTGGGTCATAGCGGTCGTTGGAAGAGATTATCTGCTGAGCGAGCAAACTCAACATTTGCTCATCTATGCACCTTTCACCGTCAGTCGCTCCGCGCAGATCTATCAGACGCTTTTGCGCCGAAAGCGCAGTGGCGTAGTCCGGCGGGTGCACAGAAGCGGCTACAGTAAGGACGTTCTCCCATATCCGGTACGAGTCATGCTTGAGGGCTGCCGCTCGCTTTAGCGCCTTCAGAGCATCGGAACGGTATTCCTGCGGATCGCCTGGTCTCTCTGAACTATCGTCGCCAGCGAGCATGGCATCCTCAGGCGCAACAGGCTCGGCAGACGTGTCGGACTCCAGGCGTAACAGACTCGCAGCGAGATTGCTCCACGCTTCAGCATCTGTTTCGTCAAGCTGGAGACATCGTGAGAAAGCCTCGACTGCCCTGTCGAACTCAGCCAGCTCCAACAAACAGCAGCCAAGCGCGAACCAGCTTCCATGATTTAGCTGATCGATCGTCAAGCTCTTGCTGTACGCTGCAGCAGCTTTGACATAATCGTGTCTGGCTAAGTAATACCGGCCAAGCAAGCGCTGAGCGCGTGCATACCGTTGGCCGGAGACGTCCCAAGCCTTCTGATACATCTCCGTGGACTGGTCGAGATCGCCAAGGATGCAGTACAGACGGGCTGCATCTGGTGGTGGAGGCATCCTCTCCGACCCTTCCCACGTCTCGTCTTCGCCGACGTGCTCGTCGGTCGTTGCGCCTGCTGTGGCATGGAATAGTTGCCTGCGTACAATCCGTTTTGCTTTGTCTTCTCGCTCTGTAGCCGCCCAGCACAATGCAGCTTCAGCCCACATTTCTAGCCGTTCATAAATGTCGAGCGCTGAGCGCAGGCCGCCGAGCTGCACCCATCGGGCCGCAAGCTCAGCTTCTAACTCCCATCGCATAGGCGTTGCTAGCTGAAAGACATAGCGAAGCCGCTCGGTGTTCGGTGCGCTCTCAGATGCCGAGGGTCTGGGCAAGAACGAAGGCTGATCGTGGCCTTTGCTGTTGCTACTAATGTCGCTTTCAATAATGCTTGCAGTGTCCGCCACCACCTGATCCACCAATGCTTGCAGCTGTAACAGGCCGCGCTCGATGGTCCGTGAACGATACCCCTCAATACGACTGCGAACCAACAGCGCCTGTGTGTAAACTTGCCAGTTGGAGCTACCTCCATCAAGCACACGTGACACATAAGGCAGCGTCTCTTCGCGGGTTAAGCCGTGCTGAGGCGAAGTATTGGTGATGGACGACGCGAACAACAGTAGAACGATAGAGTCCAGTGGGTGCAGTTGCGGCTGGGCTGCAGCATCTAGTTGGCGCAATGCCGGAGGCAGATTCGTCGTATCTGGTAGTGAAGCATCCGGCGACGGTTTCTCCGCGAAGCTGATTGACTCAAGTAAAGTATCATCGTTCAGATCAAGCTTCAAGGGTGTCGCTTTGTCTGCGTCGACAACGTTTCCATCGTTCAATGTAATTATGCCGTCTAGTCGATCCACACTTGGTGTGCCTGCAGCTTGCGCATCACCACTTGCGTCAGTGCTTTTGGCAAGGACAACAAGCTGACTGACATCTTGGCCTTGGTATCGGGTTCGCTTGCCCAAGCGTCCCGTCAGTGCATATTCGAAGCACCTCTGCTTCTTGACCTCTTGCAGATCTTGAAGGGCGAGCTTGTCGAGACCGTGATGGAGATGGATGCTTGTCCGCTCAAGCATCAGTTCTACTTGCATCTGCTCAGCAGCCGCAGGCAGACCTTCATTGTCATGGATTGCGTCTGCGAGCAGGTCTAGGTCATCGTAGATGATGTTTTGGAGGGTCGAAGACGGTTCGGAGAGAAGTCGCTGGTGCAAGAAAGCCACACGCATCTTAGTCCACCTCGCTACCACCACAGTTTTCAAGATGGCCGGACAGGTCATAATTGCATCAGCGAGGCACAGCAACTCGACGTTCGGCGTTAACCTGTAAGCACTAATCCCATCGACGGCCAGACTTGCCACCAGTGCGGCTCGAACGTTGTTCGTTGCCAACGTGCTGTCAGCGACATCGGGCGTAAATAGTAGCTTGGCTGAGAGAAATGGCAACGGTGGGCCAGTTACGTTTGACTGCACAAATGCTGACAAGGCGGCATAGCCAATACAGAAGTACACAATCTGCTTGTCCGGCCTTGAGCGGTCGGCCAGCAGAATGCCAAGCCTGTGGAAGATGAAGTCGCTCCAAGTGGGAAAGTCCAATGATCCCTCACCACCGTCCGGTGCACTGTCATGCCCGAAAAGCTTTCTCGCTTCGTCGGATTGCAGCAATTCTTGATATTGGCCACGCTCAACTTGGCTAATATACGGTTCCACGAGGGTTGCGATCTCCTCGGGCAGACTTTTTCGCAACCAGACAATAAGCGTGTCGGCCATTATGATCATGCTCGGAGCCGCGTCCTGCCACGAACTGTTCAGCTTTGTACGAACCTACTACGTGCATTGAATTCGTACACGGATACTCACCTTTCTGTTTTCTCCATGTACGCTTTCGATCATTCAAAAAGCTGCATGTGCATGTGGGGTGAGAATGCGTGGCTGCGGCATGTGGCGGTGCGTTGTGCCAAGCTTTCCGTGCCTTCTACCAAAACTGTGGTGGCAGGACAAAGCGCGTCGAGACTGTCTCCGTGTCAAACATTGATGGATAGATGCAACAATCGTAGCTAATAACGGTGTGTTTCACGTCCTGGACAGTATCTGCCGCAGACGATCGGCAGCAGTGAGTCCTTCGGCGGAGGGTGCCCATGCTAAGTCGTCCACTCGAGCTTCGCGAGCTTCCGACTGGAGCATGAGAGCTTGGATGTCCAGTAGTATCTGTAAAGCTGACTTTGCATATGCCGAGCCGTAGCACAAGTGGTAATGGATATGAAGTTTCACCGTCGCTGTAGACTTCAGCCGTCGTCCATTACGCGTAAGTGCGAGCTCCGCCATCCGCTGTGAGTACTGCTGCAGCGTCGAAGTGAACCGTTCTACCGTATCGTTGACGTGCTGTGGTGGGTTGGGTTCGCTTGGGTCGCCTTCATTAGACTGGCGTCGAGTGGGAGGCTGTGACAGTTTGAATCGAGGGAGCGTCTGGTGGTGCTGCTCAACTGCCTGATGGAACGCTTCATGTTCGCTGCCAGTCTGGTCGGCGATGGCCTGGATATCTGTCACAGCCACAAGCTGGACCTTGTAGCCTTGAGAGCCTGGATTGTCCAGCTCTTGATCCACCATTAACGCAGACATGGGATTCAGGCTTTTAGCAGCCTGTTGTCGTTGTCGCACGCTTCGCTCAGGCTCAAGTCTTGCATAATGGCACCATGTCCGTTCAAAGGCGTGACAGATGCTGTTCGCGCTGGAGATCTCAGCAAGAACAAAGGACCACGTGGCGTGCGATCACGCGGAAGCCGATGCCTTACCGCATCATTTCACGTGATCTCGCAATTAGGGCGACACAGATGCTTTTTGGCACGCCCATCTCATGGTACCCTTTGTACTTGGGTTAGCATTTGACCCAATGCATCGACCATCCGCTCTTTCTCCTGCTCTGCTATAGCTCGCTCGCTCCCCATCTCCCTCAAAGCTGCCTCTAGCTCCCTCATTCTGCGCATTTGGCTTGCTTCACTGTTTCCCAGGCCCGGCAGACTATTGATCAGCAGTTCGATCTGCTGCTCCTGCAACACGAGATCTCTCGCAAGCTCGTGCAGAGCAGCGTTGAACGTATCCCGCTCTTCGGGAGGTGGTGAACCTGGGGCCTCTAACGCATCTGAAGCGATTTGGGTAGACGGTGCCGCGCCGTTAGGCTGCTGTTTCGCCGGCTCGCCGTTTGGTATTTGCGACGAAACGGCTGATTGGGGGACAGCACTGTCTGGTGCGGATGACTTGGCCAGCTGCGGAGCCTGGCTTGGTTGCCCTGGGATTTCTGCGTAAGGATGCCTGGTCGTGATGTAGTTAATGGCTGCGTACATCAGCGTTTGTTGCTGGCGACTTGTTAGCACCTATAGGACCGGCAGTACAGCAGTTTCGTGGACGCCTACATTGTCAATGGCATCTTGAAGCTGAGTGAGTCTGTCCGCCATATTCGGCTGAGCGATCACGGAACCGAAGTAACGCTCATTATCTCGCCGGAGGAAACACCCGGAGGATGGACTGCAGACGAGAAGAGATACGGTTGACCAATCGACAGCATTCCGTCATGTGCAAGTGGTATTGGGCTCGGTACCTGCGCCGGAGCGGACCGAACGACGCCGAGGCACTCTTCGTAGCCGGCTTGGACGGAGTGCATCTAAGAACTCTCGTCCCTTCGTTCACTCGCTTTGGAGTCATTGCGAGCAGAGACTGCTCGAGGCTTGGAGGGTAGACCTGCCACATAGACGCCGCGGCATTTGACAATGTGACAAGGCACTAATCCTGGAACTTTTCGCTTCCTTACTGCGTGCTATATGCTCCGCAGCCATGGCAGGATTCCTATCACGTTCCTATGCAACTGCGTCCGGTGTACGAGCAGCAGTGCAGAAGTAGCAAAGCGTGGTCGACCGCCGAAAACGTTGTCCAGAGATGCAGAGGCCGATGGGAATGCGAAGGCCAGTGCCAATGCTCGAAACAATGTTGCCGACGCTGGTGGGCTATCGGCCATGCAGGCTGCGCTTGAAGCATCCAATTACAACTGGAAGAGAGCAATGACCAAGCAAGCGAAGAAGTTAGAGACCTCTACGACAACCAACAGTGCATCTGAGGTCAGTGCCAGTACGAGCGACAAGCGCAAGCGCAAGCTCAAAACTAAGGACAGCGAGACTGCTACGGCGTCCACCAAGTCCACCGGTGGAAGGACAGCTAGAAGACCTGCCAATGCTACTGCTGTCCAGAAAGGGGCATCGAAGGCTTTGAAAGCCATCGTTGCGAAAAAGGAGGCCACACCGCGTACCCAACCAGCCACTGCAACAGAAAAGGCAGCAAAGCCCTCCGAAGCCTCACGCCGAGAGGCATTTTCCCTTCCGGCGCGCCTTCTCCCGCCTACTGAGTCAAAGCACTACGACCTGCAGTCATTTTTAGAATATGTCGAGCGCTCCAAGCTCAATGTCGAAAGCACCGTCTACCGTGGAACGCACTTCGAGTACACCGTTGCTGAAACCTTGGCGAGATTGGGCTTTCAAATCCATCGTGTAGGCCGTTCTAACGATCTTGGTATCGACTTAATTGGCTACTGGCATCTACCACCCGCCTCGAAAGACAGCCAAAGCTTCAAGCTGCCTGTCGTCATCCAGTGCAAAGCTGCAAAGCCTACGCCAGCAATGATCCGCGAGCTGGAGGGAGCCTCCTCCGGCGCGCCAGCGGGGTGGCGTGGGGACGGGGTGCTTGCATTGTTGGCTAGTACGAGTGAGAGTACTGCAGGCGTCAGTGCTGCTGTACAGCGCTCTGAGCTACCGCTAGGAGTGCTTCAAATTACCCGAGAGGGTATCGTGAAGCAGTTCATCTGGAACGTGGCTGCCGCCGGGGCTGGATTGGAAGGCTTGGGTGTTGCGGTCAGGTACAACAATGGTGCAGAAGAGGTCCCCGCGGTTGAGCATCCCGAGCGCTCTGCTACGGAAGTCGATCAGACTGTCGACCTTACTTGGATGGGATCAATATGGCGGCCAGCCGTGATGCAGACGGAAAGGCATAATTCTTCCTAGGTGCTTGATCCTCAACCATCTGCCTTGGTAGCGACGATAGCGTGACCGTTAGAACGCGTAGTTCTCTTTCGCTTCCTTTATGTGTTATATTCGAGCACTGTCTACTAGGTAAGTTCGAGCACAAGCGTCGAGACCAAGTAGATGCGGACAATATCTGTATTGATGTTGCCGTCGGTGTTTAAATCTTAGCCGAGAAGATCCAACACAGTAACAAGCACGACATACGATACGAGATAGCATGCACGCCGAGTTAGTGGCATGTCTTGTGGTAGGGCGTGGTGACAAGTGAGTCACGGGCCAGATTTGTGTCTTTACTTTCCATCCTTCGTCCAACTCATAGACTCTTTGCATTGTTCGAAAACGCATTGGTAAGGCGATCGGACAATCAGAACATGGCGCGTCCAACACAGGCCAGCACTATCGAGTGCGGAAGGGACGCTGCCAAACATTTCTCCTTCGCGAGCGGTTATTGCAACTTGAACCACGGTATGCTTTCTGCTAGATTATCCGCTGCCATTCATCGCTCAACCGAACGAGATTGTTTGATCAATTATGGATGGGTTTGAGTACTAGACGCGATACAAGCACTAACACCCTCCAGGCTCCTTCGGCTCCTACCCGCTCGCCGTCCGCGACGTACTACGACACTACCAGGACGAAGCAGAAGCCAAACCAGATACATTCATCCGCTACGACTACCCCAAACTCCTCGACAAGTCCCGCGAAGCACTGGCAAACTACCTCAACGCACCCCTCTCAAGCATCGTCCTCCTCTCCAACGCCACCACAGGGATCAACACCGTCCTCCGCAGCCTGGTCTACAAACCGAACGAAGTAATCATCTACTTCGCCACCATCTACGGCGCGTGCGAAAAAACAGTCGAATACATCACCGAGACCACCCCGGCCTCCAGCCACAAAATCTCCTACACCTACCCAATCCCCGACGACGACCTCCTCTCCCGCTTCGAACATGCCATCTCCACCATCCAATCCAACGGCCAGACGCCCAAACTCGCCATCTTCGACACCATCGTCTCCCTCCCCGGCGTGCGCATGCCCTTCGCCCGCCTCACGCAGCTGTGCAAGAGACACAACATCCTCTCCTGCATCGACGGCGCGCACGGCATCGGTCAGATCCCCCTCGACCTGACCGCCCTCGATCCCGATTTCTTCGTGAGTAACTGCCACAAATGGCTACACGTGCCACGCGGGTGCGCGGGGTTCTACGTCCCGGAGCGGAATCAACATCTCATCCGTAGTACGCTGCCGACGAGTCACGGATTCATCCCGGTTCCGAGGGATGGCGCGGTGATCAACAACCCGCTCCCTCCCGGCAGCGGCAAAAGCGCGTTCGTGACGAATTTCGAGTTCGTGGGGACGCTGGATAATAGCCCCTACCTCTGCATCCCCGCTGCGCTGCGATGGCGGAGTCGGTTATGCTGGCAGGGTAAGCAGGGTGAGGAGGCCATTACGGCGTACACTCAACATCTGGCTCGTGAAGCTGGGGGAGTGGTATCGGGAGTCCTCGGCACAGAGGTGATGGAGAATGCGGAAGGCACGTTGGGCGAATGTAACTTCTCCAACGTGCGGCTGCCCATCTCGTTCGTCGCGCATGCGAGCAGTGACCCCAACCAAGCGGTGAAAATTGGGCATTGGATCGCCAAAGTGCTGACGGAGGAGTATAACACCTTCATCGCCATCATCTTCTACGCGGAGGCGTGGTGGGTGCGGCTCAGCTCGCAGGTCTACCTCACCATCGCCGACTTCGAGTGGGGCGGCAAAGTGTTGCAAGAAGTCTGTCAGCGCGTTCGCAAGGGCGAGTGGCAAGGGCGCGAGAGCAGCAAGCTGTGATCATAACCCTCACGTTTCATTTCTCGTAAAAACGAACATAGAATATATATACATGATATTATTCCATCATATCCCCCCCGCAGCAGCCTTGACCCGATACTCCTCAAACGTCCTCGCTGCCCCACCCTCCGAATTCACCCTCGCCCTGCGCTCCCACTCCCCCTCCCCCTCCCCCCTCTCGACCCTCAACCGCTCCTCCCACCGCTCCTCCTCCTCCATCGCCACGCCCTGGAACCGTCCCTGCTCCCCGCGCCCGAAATACAACGCCCCGCACTTCCTCTCCGCCACCGCCTCGGTGACAAGAACATACCGGACCCCACTACCAGGACACTCAAACATCGCCTCCCCCAACACGCGCTCCATTACCGTCCGTAACCCTCGCGCGCCGGTGCCCATTTTCGATGCGGTGGTGGCGATGCTTCGGAGCGCGGGGGAAGTGATGCGGAGGTCGATGGAGGACAGGGCGAAGGAGGCGCGGTACTGGGCGTAGAGGCTGTGGCGGGGTTCGGTGAGGACGGAGTGGAGGGCTTCGATGGAGAGGGAGGAGAGGGCGCAGGTGATGGGGAGGCGGCCGGTGAGTTCGGGGAGGAGGCCGAAGCGTTGCAGGTCTTGCGGTTCGACGAGGTCGAGGGTGTTGAAGGTGCGTTTCTGCTTGCTGCTGTTCGGCTGCTGTTGGTGGAGGGTGGAAGAGTAGTAGGGGAGGTGTTTTTCGAAGAGCGAGTCTTCACCTTCAAGGATGGTTTCGTGGTGGTTGCCGCTACTGCTGCTGGAGGAGGCAGGTGGCGCTCGGACTGTTGCGCCGAAGCCTATGCTGCCCTTGCTGATGCGGTCGAGGATCATCTTGTGCAGGCCGTTGAAGGCGCCGGCGCAGATGAAGAGGATGTTGTCGGTGCGGACGTTGTAGACTTCGCCTTTCTGCGCTCCGCCGCCGCCCATGGTGCCGCTCGTGCCGGGAGACTGCGAGCCACCGGACATTCCGCCGCCGCCGCCGCCGCCGCCGCCAAGTGAAGAGCTGGGTGGGTGATTGTACATGGCGTTGCTGCTCGTACCGCTACTCCCATGTCGAGGCGTTGCCGCACCGCTTGCGCCGCGCTCTTGCTTAGCCTGAATCTGCAGCGTTGTGCCTTCGATGATCTTGAGCAGGGCTTGTTGGACACCTTCGCCGCTCACATCCTTACCATGCGAGACCTTCGCCGTGGCGATCTTGTCGATCTCGTCCAAGCAGATGATGCCTCGCTCCGCCTTCGCAACATCGTAATTGGCCGCAGCGAGCAGTCTTTGCACGCATACCTCCGCATCCTCACCAATATAGCCCGCTTGCGTGAATGGCGTGCAATCCGACATGCTGAACGGTACTTCCAACACTCTCGCCAACGTCTTCGCCATCAACGTCTTACCCACACCCGACGGACCCAACAGTAGGATATTACTCTTCTCAATCGTCAACGGCGTATTATCCACCAGCGGCGGTGGACCGGGTCCTTGCTGCTCCCTCGCCTCCCTCTGCGGCAAGGGCACATACCTCCACTCGTCCCCTGGCCTCCCACCCGCCTGCGTACCCGAATGCTGTGATGACGATGACAACGATGATGATGATGATGATGATGATGGCGGCGGCATATTAATGGTGGCCTGCTGGCCCGGAAACTCGTCTTCAGTCCCGGGAAAGGCTCTCGTCAGCGACGGCACCTCAATACCCCGTTTCAACTCAGCCTCCCTACCTTCGACCGGATGCCGGCGGATCTCACTCATGCGCCGCCGCTCCTCCTGCGCCGCCAGCTCCTCCTCCTCCTCCTCGCGGCGTTGCAGCTCGGAGACGCGCTGGTAGTGGTTGTAGACGGCGGTGGCGAGGACGCGTTTGGCGCGGTCCTGGCCGACGACGAAGTGGTTGAGGTGGTCGTGGAGGATGCGCGGGGTGATGCGGGGGGCGCCGAGGGAGGAGGTGTCGGCGAGGGGACCCTTGGTCGGGGTGGTGGGGTCGTAGATGCCGGTCCAGCCGGTGGAGGTGAAGTCGGAGCGGTGGTAGTTGTCACGGTCGTTGGTCAGGCGTGGTGAGGTGGAGAAGTGTTGTCGCAGGCGGGTGTGGTGGTGGAGAGGTGCACGCGGCCGCGATGGTCTCCGTAGCTGTCCGCGTATGATGGCGGAGATGGCTAAGTAGGTTTGGCGTGCCTGTGCTGACACGACCACCCGTGGTACTGCCATAATAGGCTTGGCGAGAAGGTCGAAACGCAGGAGAGACAAGATGGGAAGGCACGCAAGGTATGGCCAGTATAGAGTACGGTGAAGGGTGCATCACCAGTCCGAATGTTCCCCGCCGTCTCCACCAAGCCGACAGGGTTCACTGTAGGCCAACTTATACAAAAGCAGTGGAGATGGAGTAACGCAAGCAAAGCGCGTGCAGCGCAACACAGCAGATGGAGGCAGGCAGCAGGGGCAGTACCGCACTCCTCCTCCTTCGCAGCTGCTTGAACAATGCTCTCCCCACTCCCCAGCAGCAGCTTACCTTCAAGTTACATCTCTTGCTTGAGTGAAACGACATCGGACCGACTGACTCGTGGGGGGACGGGGGCCCAAGCTCCGATGAAAATGCACGATGACGCGGGGCCGTTGGATTGTCTTCCCCAGAAATTCGGATGGAGCTTCGTTGAGGGCAAAGTTGAGAGACGGAAGGAAGCAAAGGCAGAGCGACCCCTCCACCAACAACATATTGAGCCCCACCCGAGAATGTGTAGTGCTTGATTGAGGCTCTGGGGATTTTGTATAGGTACCTGCAGTAGGGCTATATCCTCCCTTTCTCTCCTCTCATAAACTCTGCCTGCATTGGCCAGCCACTTTCTGTCTCTTCTGTATCTGGACAGCCAGCACCATGGACCCTCTGAACGAAGCGGCACCCGACTCTGTTACCGCAGCCCCGCCCAGCAAGGACATTCCCAGTGATGGCACGGGTGTGTATATCTCATCAACACTGACCATATTACTCAGCTAACGTATTGATTGCTAGGCATCGTCGCCCTCGATCCCTACCTCGACCCATACAAGCCCGCCCTCCGCAGCCGCTTCAGCAAAGCGCAGCAATGGATCAAGACCATCAACGACACCGAGGGCGGCCTGGAGAAGTTCTCGCGGGGGTACGAGCGCTTCGGCTTCACCGTCAGCCCGGATGGCACCATCACCTACCGCGAGTGGGCGCCCAACGCTCTCCGCGCATACCTCATCGGCGACTTCAACGGCTGGAACCGTGACTCCCACGAGATGAAGCGTGACCCGTACGGCGTATGGGAGATTCGCTTCCCACCCGTCAACGGCAAGCCTGCCATCGAACACGACAGCAAGCTCAAGATCAGTTTAGTCGTCCCCAACGACCACGCACGGCAGGAGCGGATACCCGCCTGGATCAAGCGCGTCACCCAAGACCTCTCCGTCTCCCCCGTCTACGATGCTCGCTTTTGGAACCCTCCGCACGCCTACCAATTCAAGCACCCGCGCCCACCCAAACCATTGTCTGCGCGCATCTACGAAGCACACGTCGGCATCTCCTCCCCCGAACCGAAAGTGGCCACCTACAAAGAGTTCACGCACAACACGCTCCCGCGCATCCGCGACTTGGGCTACAACACCATCCAACTCATGGCCATCATGGAGCACGCGTACTACGCCTCCTTCGGCTACCAAATCAACTCCTTCTTCGCCGCCTCCTCCCGCTACGGCTTCCCCGACGACCTCAAGGAACTCATCGACACCGCCCACGGCATGGGCATTACGGTGCTGCTGGACGTGGTGCACTCGCACGCCTCGAAAAACGTACTGGACGGCCTGAACATGTTCGACAACAGCGACCACCTCTACTTCCACGAGGGTGCGAGGGGCCGGCACGAACTCTGGGACTCGCGACTCTTCAACTACGGCCACCACGAGGTCCTGCGCTTCTTGCTCTCCAACCTCCGCTTCTGGATGGAAGAGTACCAATTCGACGGCTTCCGCTTCGACGGCGTGACCAGCATGCTCTACCTCCACCACGGCATCGGCACCGGCTTCAGCGGCGGCTACCACGAGTACTTCGGCCCGAGCGTCGACGAGGACGGGGTCGTCTACCTCATGCTCGCCAACGAAATGCTGCACGCCCTCTACCCCGACTGCATCACCATCGCCGAGGACGTGTCCGGGATGCCGGCGCTGTGCATCAAGTTGAGCTTGGGCGGGATAGGATTCGACTACCGCTTGGCCATGGCCGTGCCGGATTTGTACATCAAGTGGCTGAAGGAGAAGCAGGATATCGAGTGGGACATGGGGAATCTGTGCTTCACGCTGACGAATCGCCGGCATGGGGAGAAGACGATTGCGTATGCGGAGAGTCATGATCAGGCGTGCGTTCCTCCCCTTTCCCCCCCTTCCATCCCCCTCAAGATACTCATGCTAACCCTCTATTCCAAATTCTAGTCTCGTCGGCGACAAAACCCTCCTCTTCTGGCTTTGCGACGCGCAAATGTACACCCACATGTCCACCCTCTCCGACTTCACCCCGGTCATCGCCCGCGGCATGGCCCTGCACAAACTCATCCGCCTCATCACGCACTCGTTGGGCGGCGAAGCCTACCTCAACTTCGAAGGCAACGAGTTCGGCCACCCGGAATGGCTCGACTTCCCGCGCGAGGGCAACGGGAACAGTTTCCACTACGCCCGTCGGCAGTTCAATCTCGTCGACGACCAGATGTTGCGGTATCGCTTCCTGAACGAATTCGACAAGGCCATGCAGTGGACGGAGGAGAAATACGGCTGGCTGCACGCCCCGCAGGCGTACGTGAGCCTCAAGAACGAGAGCGATAAAGTCGTCGTCTTCGAGCGCGCGGGCGTCTTGTTCGTCTTCAACTTCCATCCCACCGAGTCCTTTACCGATTACCGCGTCGGCGTCGACGTGGCGGGGACGTACCGCGTCGTCCTCAACACCGATTCGCCCCGGTTCGGCGGCTTGGGGCGGATACAGGATGAGCAGCGCGTCTTCACCACGGACTTCGCGTGGAATGGGCGGAGGAATTTCTTGCAGGTGTATGTGCCGAGCCGGACGGCGGTGGCGTTGGCGTTGGAGGAGACGTTGGATCCGGGGTGGAAGAATAGTGTTAGCTTGGGGTTTGGGTATTGAGGGTGATATGATGTAAGGAGGCGGGGTGTAGAGAGAGGGTGGAGGATGAATAGTGCGTTGTGCATGAGCTGCCCGTTTGGCTTGAGCGTGGAGTTTGGTGGGATGGGGGGTGTAGATGGGTGGTTGATGATGAACAGACGACACATGTTGTGAGCGAGCGTATATAGCGGCTATCGTATATAGCAGAAAGCTCCGAAAGCACGCCAGCTAAGAAGGCGAAGCATAGTCACACCCATCACCCCTGCTACCTTTTTTCTTTTAGATATATTTGCTGCACGTAAGCTATCAAAGATCTCTTCTTCCCGCACCAAGACGTTGCGTTAACCTCATTCACGTGAGCGAATGCAAACACCAGATGATAATTTTTGCTCGGAACATGCGGCATGTGCAATCGAAGTGTCAGCATGGCGTGCGGATACATGCACTGTGCTGTAAGTTCGGTTACGAGCATCCATCCTCCTGCCCCATTATTACGCAGCTCGGACGAGACGGCCAGACTGTACGGGAGGAGCAGAAGGAGGAGGGCGGTAAGTCATGGCTTTCAGCTGTTCGCCCGGCTCGGTCGGAGTCAGACGCGGTGTAGCTGGAGTCTCAGAGGAGATCATATCCACCAGCGACTGCGACTTGACCAGCGTCGCGCCGATATTATTGCTTGGCATACTCTGCGTACACACGTTCTCCATGTTAGCGAGTGGAGTCTGAATACGATTACGCAAACAAGTGATGGCATTACCTTCGATCCCGCTGGCTCTGCAGCTTTGCTGACCACCCCCACGTTCTCCCCAAGCGTAACCCGACTCTCACTCCTCCCCCTGCCACCAATCCCCGGCCTCCCACTCCCACTCCCACCCCCACTCCCGTCCGCCGCCCCCATCAACCCAACCTTCCAGTAATCAATCTCCACCACTTGATCCAACTGCCTCAGCCGCTTATCCACCATCCCCGTCGTCAGCACCCCCCTCAACTGCGGAAAAGCCCTGCGGATTTTCGAAACGATGTTACTCAGCGAGTAATTCCGCACGTCGAGGATGCAGATGGCGCGGTCGTGTTGTTGCGTCCAGCCGGCGGGTAAGGGTGGGGTTTCTTCCACGCCGGCGACGAGGGCGGGGCTGACTTTGGTGCCGGGGTGGGAGTAGAGGGGACGGCCTGGGTCGGAGATGGGGGTTGGATGTATGGTGACTTGGTGTTGGAGTGGTGGGGTGGTAGTGGAGTCGGTTGGTGGATGTGGGTGTGGGTGGGGTCGGCAGGGGGTCGAGGGTTTTTGGAAGGTGGGCATGGGTGGGGTGCTGTGGAGTTCGGGAAGGAAGGTGCTGGTTGTGTGGCCGGTGGGGGTTGCGGGATTGCTGCCTTTATTGATATGGTGGTTTGTGCGGTCTTGGAGTGGGGTGGAGGGTAAGGTTGTTGCGGAGGCTGACGAGGACTTGTTCTTGCGGCGGCGGAGGTGGGAGTCGGAGGGGTGGCGGGTGGCCATGTCGTTGGCGGTGCTGGCGGTGGAGAACATCCTTGCCTGGCGGAGTGTCAGTTGGTCGTGCTGACTTGCCGGCTAGCTGTTGCTATGACTGACTGACCATTGAAGTGCGAAAGGAGAAGGCGGAGCTGGCGTTGCGAGAGACGGCTGGTCTGCCGTACTGAATGAGGTTGGCATCAGTCAACGACGTACAGTGAGTGGTTGATCAGCTCACCAAGGAAGGCACGTAAATCCTGTCCTCGGGAAACTCCACGCCAAGGTAGCGGTTAATGTCGGTGCCGTACTTGTTGCGTCTCGTGCCCGCAGAACGCATGGACTGATCATGTGGATGGCCGAAGAGCTTGTGCAAAGCAATATGGCTGATATGAGCAGCCATAAAGCGGAGAGCTGTTGTCTCGGGTGCATGGCTCTTGCTCGCTGAAGTAGGCAGCGACGCTAGAGGAAGCTTGAGCGGTAAGATTAGCGTGGGAAGGCTCGATATGAAAGCTGGAAAGCGCAGCCCGCCATCTTAACTTTGATAATCGGGGATTGTGACCATGCGGTCGTATTACGATGCTGATATGTTACACTGCGGTCAGCCTGTTCTATACACACCTTGCCCTGACCCAACATATTTTCTCCAAGAGTCTTTTCAGTGCAAACGCTAGAGACGCCTCACTCAAGCCGCCTTTGAAGCAACTCTCGCGTCGCTGCCCTCACAAGCAATGGCTCGAACAGTCTACATCTTAACCCTTGAGCCCAAGCTTGCTCATCAAGCTCCCACTCGCCGAGCCTGGTTCCATGATCCCGAGAAGACTCTTCCACACCTGCCCAGGCTCCTGACTCGCATCGACCTTACTCCAGATGCCCGTCTTGCGGTAGTAGTCAGTCACCGGACCAGTCTGGTCGTGGTACGTTCCCAACCGTTTCTTCAGCGTCGCCTCATTGTCGTCGCTTCTTTGAATGAGCGGCTCGCCGGTCACATCGTCGGTCATGTCCTTCTTGGGCGGGTTGAAGATCTTGTGGTATGAACGTCCGGAGGCCGGGTGGATCAGACGTCCAGTGATGCGGGCCACGAGGAGTTCGTCGGGGATTTGCAGCTCAATGGCGTACTTGAGCGGCTTGTGTTGGATCGAAAGCATGCCGTCGAGCTTCTCAGCTTGCGGGACGGTGCGCGGGAAACCGTCCAGGATGAAGCTGTTCAAGCGTAAGCATGCAATTCAACCGATTCCGTCCTCGACAATACGGATTGGTGACACACCCGCTCTTGCACTCCTTGTTGTTGTCCAGCTCGTTCTGGATCATGTTCACCATGATCTCGTCCGAAACCAGCTTGCCCTCGTCCATGATCTTCTTTGCTTGCCGGCCCAACTCGGTTTTAGCCGCGACTTGGGCGCGCAGCATGTCGCCGGTCGCCAAGTGACAGCAGCCATATCGCTCCTTGATTTTGGGCGCTTGCGTGCCCTTGCCTATACTACTGTTAGACCGAGTCTACGCGCAACACTAATCTGCATGCTTCATTCGTGCGTGAAGCACTCTGATGGAAGTGGAAGACACACCAGCACCCGGCGGCCCAATCAAAATCATCCGCATGCCATCCGTCGAGCCAGACGGCGCAGGCGTGGAACTGCTGTTCCCACCATGCCCGCGTAACCGCGACTCAAGATCCAACACCCTATCCTCCAACTTCTGCACCGTAGCCTTCAGTTGGTCGATCAAAGAGTCCGCCATCTTGACTTCCTCCCACACAGTGACAGCCGGACCGAGGCAGAAGGGCAAGAGGAAGAGGTAGAGGAGGATGTGAAGGAAAAGCGCCAACGCGATTCGAGCTTCAGCTTCCGGGTAACTTTTCGCTGGAGTTGGCTAGGGGAGGCTCAAAGCTGCATCGGCGGGCTGGAAGCTTTGCCTTGCCCTCGGCCTGCGGCGGTTCTCAATGATTGTGCCCCGTGCGTTAGCCATTTACCCGCGTTAGTCAGCAGTGCTCGACGAAGGTTGCACGAAGGCAATGTATGCGCTGGACTTGTGTCACCATTGACCATACACAAACTCGGACGGGGTGAATGCGAAGCGACTGTGTGATGGATACGGAGACAATGGCATCCAGATCAACCGGCTGAAGGAGCTGCTGTGCGCCAACCATGGCAACTCCAAGTACCTTCAACCCTCTCGTATGCGTGGTTGACTTCCATCACGCCCGCGGACCAGAGATCGAACACTGGATCGGCGTCCCAGATGACGTCGACCCAGCGGCCGAGAATGACTGGCAACTGATTCCATATATGGCTCTGCCGGATGGAGCACATCAATCTGATGAGGAGTTCAGCTATTTCTCGCTCGTGTACAAGGCACAGACTGGCCAGGATGTCGTGCCCACCAGTGTCTTCGGCATCAGTTGCTGTCATAGGATTCCCGCGGCTGATCTCGTTTGGAAGAGTGAAGATGTCACGAGGAGTGCCGTGCAGAAAGCTGTGGTGGCCATCACCGACAAGCCGGAAAGGTTTAGCAAGTTGAGGGAGAAGCTGAGTGTGGTCACGCGGGCTTGGTTCGCGCAGAAGGATTTTAGAGATGTCGAGATACTGCAGGTGGGTCAGTGTCACACATGGTCGACCCGCCTTCAGAAGGCTGTCAGGCTGATTGGTGTTGTAGCGATTCCGCGACAACCTCTGCGCAGACCCCGGTGATGCAGTGGAAGATGAAGCGCAGCAGTACTTTGGCCTGAGCCTGAGAGAAATGGTTCACCACTTCAAGTGGCAAATGTTGGTACTGTTCAAGTGCCTCTTGATACAGCCAAAGGTACAGAATCCAGCAATACCCTTCGGTTACAGCATTGTCTGACGTACTTAAGATGCTCTTCTTCGGCTCTCACTGTGAACGAGTCTGCCAGGTGCAATTCTCGCTCATCTCTCTCATACCGAACCTCGTGCGCAGCCTGCAAGACTGCGCCGACCCGCAGATGGACCGATACGCTGAGACGCTACGCAAGCCGGACTCTGTCCGAACCAGTGATCGATCGTCGTTGCTCACGTACATGGGCGCGCCGTTACAGCTGTTCGGCAAAGGCAGTGTCTTCGGCCCATACACGCCGCTGCAGCAACTGGACATCTTGACTGACCTAGATACGAGAAGCTATGTGGTTGGAAGTACTAACAGCCTGCTCATCCAGCAGAAGGATCGGTACTGTGACATGCTCGTCGACCTCGACGAGAATATCATCTACATCTTGTCTCCAACTCTACGCTCCGCGCTCACGCTCTCCGTAGCTGACCGCAGATGGGCGGACTTCCTGACGCAGCAAGTGACCGAAACGTGGGATGAGATGGACCCATCGCGGCCCAAAACGCATGGCTACGCCGGAAGCGAAGAGTTCATCCGCTTGCAGTTCGAAGAGTACCTACTGGCGCTCCTCTCCGCAGAGAAGTATCACCAGTATCTAGCATCCCGCAAAGACGGCGATCCCAAAGCGCTCCTGGCCGACGTCGACGGTGACCCGTCTCTCGACTTCGCACAACCATTCCTCGAGGCCTGGCGAGAGACGGGAAACTACAAGCTCTGGCTTCGATCGACGGACAGTCAGCTCTTCGACATCGTCGAGCCGCGGCATCCTTGTGCAGGCGGGCTGACAATGGAAGATGTGCAGCGTCGGCTCGCCGCCCAGGTTGCCGAACTGCATCTTGACGAGCGCTTTAATCAGACTCGCGAGGTCGTCAATAAGCGCCTAGCCGACGGTCGAGTTCAGGTCACTACTGCTTTCAATAAGGTCTGGGCGGATATCGAGGTGATGAGGGAGGCTCAGCGTAAGCGATCGGAGGAAGCGAAGGCCGCGGGTCCTCCCGCCGTCGTAGAGGGCGCTGCCAAGCCGTCGTCGCCGCCAGCATTAAGCAGAGTGCAACGGGCGGACTTACAGCAGGCTCAGGCAAGCGTGGCGGCTGCTAGTCAACGAGCGGGTGCGTACCTGAACTCCTGGGGTGCGTGGGCGGCGGAGAAACGGCGGACGGGCTGGTCTCGTCCTGGCGGTGAAGGGGCTGCAGGCAGCGACAAGGTTAAGGAGAGACCCGCCGTCACTACTGTCAGCGAGTTGGCAAGAGATGATGTGCATAGAATGACCACGCAACTGGACGCTACTGCGTGGGCTAAAAGCCCGGAGCCTGAGAAAGACACGCCTGGTGCGGGCAAAGAAGCTGGCTAGTGTAGTCGGAGGAAGGGTAGCTGGTATCACATGCTTATGTACTACCCCACCTGTAATGTCTTTCGCCTCCCGAACGCCCATTGTCACTTGGGCATCATCACCCGATGATGCAGGCCGTCGTTAGCAATGCGTCCTATATTCCCGCCATGTGCATCAGCGACCTCAATCCATACTGCAATCCCAGCAGTCTACAGAAATGTAATTTTCGTCACAACCAGCCGTCCAACAAATGCTGCACTATGCTCATCATATCGTCGACAGCATCGAGTTCCTCATCCAGATGCTCACGCATCCACGCGCCGATTCTATCTTCGCGCTCCGCCGTTTGCCGCAGAATCGTACGCAAGGTCCTAGCGCCTCCATGACTGAATAGCCGCGCGAGAACGTCGCCATCAATATGCTTGTCGACCGGTGTCGGTACAGTAGTCCGTACCACAATCTCATTCCTTGACAACTTGGAGCTAAAGCCCATAGGCAAGGCCCTCTGATCTCGCGCGAAGCCGGACTCGGAGAGGTCGTACAGCGGGCTTTCGTACGAGTGCGGTGAGATAAGCCCGTTCCACTCGCATAGTCTTTGCAACCACGAAAGGCGTCGCCAGAGTCGCTCGTCAAGCACGGCCACTCCGATTAAAGTGCCATCGACCGCTGCCGCTACGATGTCATTGAGCAAGACGCCAGTGGGCGGCGAAGGCTTCCACTTCGGGCGCACGTTGGCTTGTCGTAGTCGCATAAATGAGCGAGGTGAGCGAGCTTCGAAGATGATGTTGGAGGCAGTAGGAAGGGTTGCTTCTCCATCCGCAACCGTCGGATGCGCTGTCATTCCCACAAGCTGACCGTATTTCGTCGACAGCAAACTGAGGCGTGGCTTACTCTCGTCGCCTAGGTCCAGTATCAGGTGGCTTAGGGAGCTGTGGCCTTGCGGTGCAGTCTCAACAACGCGCAGGCGCGGTCGGCCTTGGGCTTCCGTGCGGTCCGTACTCAGTCGCAATCTCACAAGCGAGTCGCTCATAGTCGAGATAGCGATGATTGCTGCATCCACCGACACGTACACACCCGGACTTGCAAGCTTGTATGGCACACACAGCGGCTCCCACTTGCTGGCTCCCGAATCAAAGCGATACAAGCAGATCAGTGTGCCGTAGCATACCACGAATGTCAGCTCGTCAAATAGCGACAGTGCGTACACCGGGTCATCAAGTTTGATGACCGTGCCCATTTCGGCAGTGACGACTTCCCAATTGCGCAGTCTGGGTTGGAGGAAGGTCACCCTTCCACCTTGTGCTCCAGATCTGCGAATGTAGCTTCCGCCGATGAGAACGAACGAGTACGTCTTGTTGTCCGCGGTGAAAGACCACTCAAGTAGGCTGAAGACACGCTCGCCAGGCTGCATGTCGAATGTGAAAGACGGCTCGTTCGCCCGGGAGGGAATGAAGTCGATTGCAGGCCAGATCTGCCGCTTCTCCTCTGCGCGAGATGCCGCTGTTGGTATGGTTCTGATTGTAGTCCTAATAGACGCCACGACGAGACTCCTGTGTTGCTCTGCGTATATGACACGGGTCGGTGTACCACTGACGGGAAGCTGTCGGGCTACCGCTGACGGCATCCGATCCAATTCCACCATCATGAACTCGTCGCCCATAACAAGCATCATGGTCTCGCCTTCATCGGAGTCGATATGGTCGGGTGGTGGCCATTGTGCACATGCGGATAGTTGACCCTGCGCGAGCTCTGGCTGTTCTTTGTCAACGACCCAGATATTGTCAATGATCATTGACTTTGCGCTACCACCCGTCCAGCTGAGGAGACAAGTATCTGTACTGCTCATAGCATAGGCCTGATGCGGCCTGCCTGGAAGAGAAGCCAGCCTGACGCTGCTGTGGCTGAACCCGGAGACATGCGTATCTGCGCAGCGCAAAACCTTGTATTGGTCAACTTCGATGGTTGAGCACAGCAGCCTGCCGTCACGCAGCCCGCAGACAACCAGAACGCGGTCACTCTCCGTTGTGCATAGAATGGCAAGGTTATCGCACGGTGTGCGATTTTCCGTATCCTCGTTTGTGGAGATGCGGCAGGCTTCGCTCAGCGCAGTCTCGCTATCACCCGTCAAGCACAGAATGCCATCTTCAGCCGTTGCAACGACCATGAATAGCTGCCCTTGAGCACGATCCACAGCAAGTGCTAGAGGTGGTGATGGTAAACTTGCAACCTTGTGCGGGTCCAAAGTGTTGACATCGCTGTCTTCGGCGTCCACGGGCGGAATCGTAGTGGCACAGAGAATGCATTCTCCATTTTTTACCTCAGCTGTATAGATTCGGGAAAAGCTAGTGTCAATTACTGCGGCGACGATCGTCTCCTCGCTTGTGCAACGCCTATGAATGGTGTCTTCGAAGTTAGCGATCAAGCTGCCAGTCACAGCGATGCCTTTATCGGTGACTTGTACAAGCTGTGTGTCGACCGTCGAAGCTGCTGCAAGTGTGCGGTAGTCCGCATCAAGCGCAGAGACATCGTCTGGACCGAGCTCTGCAGGATCATCGTCCTCAGGAATCTGCAAGAAACGGGTCGATGTAGGGGTTGCCAGTACGATTAGGAGCGAGCCATCGGAGGCTAGAGGTAGTGACCACATTGAGGTCACCACATGTAGGTTCTCCAAGGTAAAGAAGGTTGATAGACGAGCTTCCAGACCGAAACGCAGCTCGGTGATACTGCCGTACGGCTCGCGTCCTGAGGTAACGAACAGTCCGTCTCTCGAGCGAGCTGACCTTCCATGCGACTGCGGTAACCTGGTGGCAACCATGTCTGTTACAGAAGCCCAGTTCGGGATCGTCTGGATGAGCTCCAAACTCATCGTATCAAGCCTACTGAGTTCGTTGACCCTGCCATTCCTTGTTGGAAAGTGCCCGATAGCCACTACGCGCCCCGTGCTCATTTCACCAGCAACCGCAAGGATGTCTGGATCGTCTGGCCCACCAAGAGAGGCAAACGCCGTGCCAACATGACAGTCAAAGTGGCCAGCGCGGTCTGCTGTAAGGCCACTGTTTACGGCTGCGTGGAGCAGGAAAACCAAGCCGTCTTCGCGGATCAGATAGATGTGATCTTTGTTCCGAGCCGCTGCACGATTTCGCTGCGGGCGGCACCAGCTCGTCCAAACCGGTTCCATAGGTGACAGTCCTGCGCACCTTGCGTCTAAGTCCATGTCTTCGCAGGACGTTTCATGCAGCGAGCCAGATAATATGTCCTCGCACCTAATGATGCTGCTGCCACTGATGAGGAGGAAGGCAGCGTTCTGGAGTGGTATAAGCAAGCTGATGACGGTGTTCGCTGTTGACAGCGGGTGCGGAGTGTGAGCCTGGGCATGATGAATGTCGGACGTATAGTACCAGTCATAGTATACAGCGAAATTTCTTCTCTGATCGGTAAGGATAAGCAGGAGTATGATATGATCCTCGTCCCTCTCGGGAGGGATGAGAAACTCCATATGCTGAATGACACCTTGCACTTGCAGCTGCCTCTCGGTAGCGACGGGACACCAGTCGGGATTCTTCGTCTGCAGCTCATGCTGTATTCTGTCCTTGCGTTTCAATGAATATAATACGACCTGCCGCTCAAGTGCTGCCACGGCCAGTGCTCTCGATTGCGGATCGACGGCAAGGTGCTGACCCGGTTGGAAAAGGGTTCGATCAAATCTCGGTAAAGGGCAGGCTTGATGGATGAATTGGAAAGATCCATCTTCGCTGGAGTCGAGATAGAGAAAGAGCACGTCGTTGGTGGACAAGGTCAGTAATATGCAGTCCGGCGGTGTCTTGGTGGATTTGGTTGAAGTATTGCCTCTCTCGGCTTTGACCAGCAACTCCTCCTCTGGTGTACTCTGTTCGATGTTGAGGACCTTCGCGCTTCGAATCTGAGCGTCGAAATCATCCTTCGTGGCGAGGTGCTGCAGCCGCCCTTCATGGCCGATATGCTTGACATGAATGAAGTCTGAGCCGACAAACACCACATCATTCAGATAGCCGTCGCGGAGCCTGGCATGCAATAACCAATGCACCACAGGACTTCTGACCAACGTCTTTGTAAGAATTCCAGCAGGTAGTGTCTGGTCCATGTCTCGGTCATGGCACACTGAACATGAGTCAAATGCAAGCGCTTCGATTCTCTCGTTATTGATGGCTTTAGTAGACCTGACGGCTATCGTAATCTACGCAACAAACAGGCACTGTACAAGACTTCTCCATGTCTTGATACCGTCGCTATCCCCACCGCTAAGGACGACCTACCGGAGCTGATGCGTCGGATAACGTGCTGTCTAGGTGTTGCAGACAACTGCACTGCCAAGATGCGTAGTTGTGTTGATATGCAGAATCGTTCGCCTTGCATGAAAGAGGAGCTAGCTATCCTACGGAAGCGGCAGATGTCACATATGTTCTGGTTTACCGCCGGCTCATTGGTCAGTGTGTGGCCGAGTAGCGGGCAGCACAGCGTCCAAGTTGCTGAGTCCGACTTCCTTGCCACTGCTGCAGTGACTGCGCTACTGGCGGGAGCGTAGCGAATTGAGGACCCGAGACGAAGGTGCCCGGAAGCGAATGGCGCAATAGGCTCACAGAGCTGTCCAGGATCTCTCGCAAATATGGTCTACACCTGTCGTTGGTGGCGCTGACTAAAGGCTGTGAAGCTGCTGCAAAGCCCACCCGTATGCGTCGTCCACCAAGTCACATGGTCAGTAACCCGGAAGTACGCGCATAAGATCTTGATGGAAGCAAGCCACGTCCTGCGGGCTCCAGTAAATTGACAAATCGCTGGCCGCTTGATCCTACCATTCCCACAGGCAAGTTCATACGATGCTGGCGCTGTAGGCTATTGTTGCGGCTGGACGGGACACCTGACGGAAAACTGTCCGGTAACGACTTTCGACGATGGGTTGAAAAGGACAAGACATAGTCGATAAAGAGTGGATCCTGTCCAGATACGGTTAGCTCCATCTGGCCTGCACTGCATTGACTGCAGGAAACGGATGTGACCATGCGGTTAGAATGACCAAATGTAGCAACACTCCGTCCAGTTCAATGCACGAATGATGTGCAGCGGCGGCGGTTCGTGCACGAGCCCCAATGGCACTCTCCGCCACCGACTGTGTGGACTCGTCTATCGCCCCGTTCCCCAAGGCTACCGGCAGCGATCTTATGATGCCCGCCGAAAGCCACCTTGAGAGGAACACCAGTCAAGCTCAGAGTCCTGACACGTCTGCCGCAGTCCCTTCCTGGAGAGAGGCGCCACTGTCAGAGACGGAACGGCTCAAAGTGTTGCAAATACTAAGCGCCTCTAGAGACCGCAACCTTAATGCATTGCGGGACTTAGCAACCTCAGAAGGCGGTCTAATAGAGGATGAAGTCAGACGCACAGCTTGTATATCGTCCGTAATTGGCTCAATCGAACGTGTGTGCTGATGCAAGGGCAGGGCCAGTGCTTCTTGGCACCAACGGCGACCAACAGGGTGCGGCTCAATCAGAATGGAAGTTGCTGCCAAAGCACAAAGATGAGGATCAGGTGCAGTTAGACGTCAATCGGGCTTTTGTGTACTATCCTGAAGGTACGCATGAACCACCCATTGCACGCAATGGTGAGCGAGACTGATGTTGTAAGACGAGTCAACCAAGCGAACAGACGCCCGCAAGCAAGAACTCTCCAATGTGATTGTTGCGGTTCTTCGAACACATCCAATGCTGCATTACTTCCAAGGGTACCACGATATTGTGCAGGTGCTACTGCTGGTGCTAGGCGCAGATGCCGCCGTACCAGCTGTGGCGCAGCTATCACTGCTTCGGATTCGTGACTTTATGTTGCCCACCATGAAAGGCACGGAGCCTCACTTGCAGCTAGTCCCGACCATAATCCATGCCGTGGATCCCGGCCTTTACAAGCACCTGTCAAATATGCAGCCATTCTTTGCATTGGCCGCCACCCTCACCCTCTACGCTCACGATATTGAAGAGTATGGCGACATCGCAAGGCTCTTCGACTTCCTCTTAGCCAGTGCAGCGGTGACCCCACTGTATCTCTATGCTGCAGTACGTCATTAACAAGCTATGGCAAGTCTACAACGGCTGACGTCGGGCTCATAGATTGTAATATCGCGCAAACAGGAGCTTCTCGACTTTGAAGCTGATGAACCGGAAATGCTTTATGCCGTGCTGTCAAAGCTACCCAAACCGCTCGATCTTGATGAACTGATCCAGCAGACCATGGCGATCTTCCGAGCACATCCGCCTGAAAGCTTGCCTGGGATGGTCTGGCCGCAGGTGTCCTCCAACAGCGTGCTAAAAACCACACGGGACCCTCGAGCGCTAAGCCAGCAAACTTTGAGCGACGGTGAACGCATGTTTGAGAAGCAGGCTGCTGAGCTCGAGCGGGCCGAATTCCGGAAGCGCACCGTTCTGCAAATGCAGCAGCTAGCGAGGCATTACAAACGGCCTGCAGGATTGACCGGCATAGCTATAGCGGTTGCAGTCCTCGCCTATTGGGCAGCGAGTGCCGAAAGCCAGGCACCACTCATGAATTGGTTGCCGGGTTTGCTCTCCCTTCGCCAGTACGCTGCAGAGCTATTGAAAAGCCTCTCAGGCTAAATGCAAGACTTATCAGAGTTCTATTAGCCTCATGTGCTCATGCATTGGGCCTGCAAGCAGAAACGAAGCTACACTGAGGGCTTACAGCTTTTTAGAGTGGCTTCAAAGGGAATGACAAAGGTCCCATGCAAGTTGCGCCCAAAGCCTCTACGCCGATGGTTAAGCATAGCGACTGGCCAGCAGCCGCAACCTACTCTAACAATGATCACATCCGCTGCCAACCGTCCTCAGAAAGCAGCCTGGCCCTCTGCCTCCCCATTCAGCTCTCTAACCGCACGCTCCGCCAACTCACTCCTCAACCCTGCCACCTCCACCTCCCTGCTCAGCCGGTCCCACTCTCTCAGCCCCTTTCGCTTCCGCGCTTCCTTCTCCTCGATCACCTTGCGCAGCTTCTCGGCCTCGTCCTGCAGCTTCTGCAAGCGACTAGTATCGATCAGTGGTTCGGCCGCACGCCCGCCCTCGACAACCTTGGGCAGATCCGCGAGGGCGGGATGCACGCGGGTATTGGACGAGGCTGAGGGACCGTCGGGGATTTGCTGGCCGTTTGGTGCAAAACGTTGAGTGCGTGGATAGGTGGTGGCGGTGCTGTTGTTGCTACTCCTGAAGCCTCCGGGTCCTGATGGAGGCGTGACTGTAGGTTGTTGTTGGTGGGAGAAGGAGCCTCTTGGTCCAGGCGGGGGGCCACTGTCAAAGGACTCGGTGCGTGCAAAGCTTTCACCTCTGCCGAAGCCGGGCGGCGGTGCTCCTCCGCCTCGGCCGCCGCGGAAAGGTGGTGCGCCGAAACCACCTCTAAAGCCGCCTCGTCCGCGGGATGCGAAGTCGCCGCGTGGCGCACTCGGAGCGGCTGAGACACGAGGGCCAGAAGGTGGACCTGGCGGCGGTGCGCGCTGATGCGCCGAGACAGGGACGGGGGTTGCCGAGGGTCCGGTTGGTGGCGCCACAGAGGTGGAAGGGGCACGGTAGCCCGCCGGCCCTGATGGTGGAGGGCGAGCAGGAGGCTGATCGTCCGCTCGGTATGGCTCCCTGGTCGGTAGGGCGCGGTCATCGTAGCGGTCGTCAGCATATTCCCTTTCTCTCGCTGGTGGTGGCGGGGGCGAATTGCGACGTCTTGTTGGCTCAGTCGGCGGGGCACGGTATGGCTCGCGTTCGTACGGATCTCTGGGTGGCGGTCTGCTTGATCTGTCGTCTGCTGGTTGCTGGAGAGCAAGACGGCTTGGATGCACTGGCGGCGATGATCGTCTCGAGGTAGCGACCGAATCTCTGCCAGCGTCGTCATTCGCGTAGTCCTGTCTGACATAGCCTCTCGGAGAAGGAGACCTAGCAGCCCTTCTCCTGTCATCCACCGCTCGAGGATCGATCCTATCGTTCCTCGCGGGTGGGGAGCGTGAGCGCATTCTGTAGTCTCGAGCAGATCCTCGGGCCGGCGATGCAGGCCTCCTATCCCTTGGTCCCGGCGAGTATCGACGCTGAGGTGGATCTGCAACCCTTGCAGGCGGATAGTCATCGTATCTGCCTCCTCTGGGCGGCGAGGCTAGTCGTTCTCGCTTCGCAGGAGGTGGTGGTGTGCGTCGCCCTCGACTCCCAACCGGCGACGGTTCTCTAACCCTCTTCAACAGAGGCGGACTACGCTCCCGGTACCGTGGGGCCGGAGAACTGGTCGCAGGCGCATAGCCTCTGTCATGGTTATCTCTGGCGTAACCACGGTCGTCGCGATACTCGCGCGGGGGCTCCCTCCTGTATAGATCATCTCTCGGTAGGTCTTCCCTCCTAAGAGCTGGGGGTGGAGAGCGCGGTCGTGCTCGGTATGCCTCTCCGCCTCTCACATCTCGTACATCGCGCACGTCTCGGTACCTCGCTGGTGATGGCGTGCGTTTTCTCACCTCTTCCCGTCGTGGAGGGCTCCGGCTGCGTGGTCTTGCTGCCCGGTAGGTATCGCTGTACTCTGCGCGTCTGGGAGGAGAGCGAGCGCGATAGCCGTCTGCTCCTGGCCGCAAAGGAGGTGATCGGGGCGCGCGTGGTGGAGGCGAGTGTTCACGTGGTGCTCCAGGTCGGTATGACTGACCTCTACCGCCCTGGTACTGGTCGGGAAAGGCTTCACCTCGGTGTCTGATCATTGTGCTTACATCAGCTTGGTCTCGAGAGCTTCACGGCAAGTCTCATTATGGGTATGCTTGTGCGAATATGTAGTGATGGCTGGATAACCGTACCTCCTATCTCTGTCCATGGTAGGTTTCACTGCCAGTCTCCTAACGTCGTCACAAGCTCCAAGGCGTTCAATAGTTGTAGCAAGTGACACCGTTCGGTACATTAGATGTTGCTGTTCGCTATGCTATAGTGCGTTACGTTGCGGCGGTTGTGTCGCTAGAAGCTCCTGAAGAAGTTCGCGTGCTGGAAAGCGGAGGCTTGGCACAGCAGGCTCTTAGTCCATCACGTGCCTTTACCTCCTCTCGTCTTCACTGCCACCCGCAGTTCCTCATGCTAGACGTCCTGACAATGCCGGGCGGCCTTTGGATAGCAGTCACTCGCTTACCACCTGAATTTCTCACTGTACCCTGCCATGCAACAAACCGCGAATCTGAAAGCAATTCTTGACTGACGATCCATTTCTTGATATCCCAGTCGCACTCATGGCCTAATAAACGTCCACCCGGACTCTTCCATAAGGGCCTCCGGCCTTCCAGCCAGCATTGGGTATCTCAAGCCTCCACGATCGTCAATCGCAGAAGTGAAGGCCCCTTCCAGCCCCAGCATATAGTACAGCCATCCGTCCAATCACGAATATATCCCACCCCAGTAAAGCGCATCATCTTCTTCCCTTCCTCTCCTGATCCCTCTTCTGCCTCTTCGCACTCTCCTCCGCAATCATCTGACTCAAATCCTCCTGATCCACCTGCCACCCCACTCCGCCCGCACCACCACCTCCTTGCTGCCTCTGCGCCTCATATTGCTTCCTCACCTCATCCTTCGACAAGCGATCCTCCCGCTCCAGCGCATCCACATCTACCGACACATCCAGATCGCCCGCCTTCCTCTTACTGCCTCTTGACTCCTGGCCTAAGACAGGCACATTTGATGGGTTGAGATTGTACGCCTTTTCGCCTCCAAAGAAGCCCTCGGCGCGAATGGAGCGCTCGTGCAACACCTGGCCTGCGCTGCGTGGGTGGTGCGATTCTTCCGTCTCCGTCCCACGCCGCTGTTTTCGCAAGTTAAACTCTTCGGCCATGCTGTGCGTGCCCGCAAAGTCCGTGGGCACCGTACTGTGCATCCCACTTGGCGTCGCAGTGCCAATAGCCGGAGTTTGCATACCCGCACCGATATCTTCCGCCTTGCCCTCATCGTCTCCTTCTTCATCGCCTTCCTCATCCTCCTCTTCTTCCTCTTCTTCCTCTTCTGCCAATGGCTGCAGTTCACCCCACAAGCTCTTGTCAACAACCTCCGCCTGTGGCGCCTGATCTTGCCCCGCATCCGCCGTGCCGAACACATCACCACCCCACAACGGCCTGTTCTGCTCGTCGAGCGGCGGCTTGCCATATCCACCCGGATGGAAACCCCACGATCCGCCAGGCGGTGGCGGCGCGTTCAAGCCCGGAACCTTTAGCGCTGGATATGACGGCGGCGGCCCGATCTTCTGCATGTTGATCAACCATGGAGGCGGTGCACCAGGCGGCATATTCAGCGCCTCTTTCAGCTCCTCACTCAGATCTCCCGGCCGTAGATGACGCAAATTCGTCTCGTACTCTTTACCCTCATAGTAGACCTCTCCGTATCTTGTCAGCTGCGGCTTCGTCTGCCGCCGGAAGAACGCCTCGTACAGCTTCTGGTAGTCGATGTCCAGCTTGCCCATCTTTGGCTGTACTCGCTCGCGCTGCCGTGATTTCAAACTCGCTTCTGCCTGCTTCTCCAACACCGCATCACGCATGTCGCTGATTCCAGTCTCCGCAATGAATTTCGGTAGCGCGAAACCAGCTTTCTCGATACCACGCTTACTACTGAGGTACTCTCGCTTCAAACTCCAGTGCGCCGGCACCGGCACAACATTCCGCGCGCTCTTAATGTTGACCAAGAGCTTGGGATCCTGCGCTGATGTATCTGTCCACTCCACAACTTCCGGCTTGCTCACAATGGCTTTCAGCTCGGCGATGGACAGCTTGTTCGCCTGCTTGCGCGCCTTCTTCGACAACTTCCTCTGAGTCTCTTCTTCCTCATCTTCGCCTTGAATGTTGTCATCGTCGTCAAAGAAGACCTCGGGCTTTTCGGGTTCTTTCAGGGCGGGGTCCTCCTTATCCGCCTCGTTGAAGCGGGCAAACACATTGGCGAACTGCGAGAACAGAGGATTGTCCGCCTCGAGCTCGAAGTCGGACACAGCGGGTACATCCTGTATTGGGTCATCATATGACGGCTCAACGGGCTGCAGCGGGTGGTTTGCATCTGCCTCATCTGGTAATGTGGTAGCTGCATTAGCCGGTGTGGGCGCGCCGTTAATCGCAGACGGTGCCTCTGATGGTGCTGGGGTCGCTGATACCTATTCATGCAGTCAGCATACCGACTCAGCGCACGTGATATTGCAAATGTGGACTCACTTCACGCTTTAGCTGCTTCTTCTTGGCTCGGCGCTGTGCATTTTTGGTTGGCTTGTGTGCCTTCGCGGGCGCCTCCGCAATCACGCCTGGCATAGTGGCCTACCTTGAGTCAATGCTTTCCGCTATCCAGCGCTCTCGAAACCTCCAAGCGATACGCTGCAGCGTCGTGACTGGTCGAGTGCGAAGGTACCGCGGTGCAATGATGGACGTGACTTGTGGTTTCGCGCGAGATCCTCTCTTCCGACACTGCTTTCCGCAGCTGTCCACCTGCCCGCGTGCTCTGCCAGGATGTGCCAATCTTACCCTCCAATGTGATGATCAGTAAGCCATTCCCTCGTGCTCTTAAGGATAGTCTTTCGCGCGAAGTGCGTTTGGTGAAGGGTGCTCGCTGGCTGGCGGAGGCCGAAGACGTTGTGGGTCCACCTGAGTCAAGGTTACATGTTGGCCTAAGGCAAGTTTATTCGCTAATGGAAGGAAGAGTGCCAGAAATTAGTGCTGCGTAGCTTCCCCAGTCGAGTTGTGACAGTGAGGATAGACGATTGCTTACACGGACACTAGATACGACGTTCAGATCCTTTCAGGTGGCCGAGATCGATGACGCTCAAGTCCGCTAGCTGTTGATGCAGGTATGATGCGAGGATATCACAAAATGGTACAGCACACGAAGCTGTCAGACCTACCTTTTCCACGGCCACAACCGTGCCAACTCCTCGCTGATGCAGTGATATGGTATCTCGCAACCTTTCCCTTTTCCTGTCGACTCCAGCGTTCACCCCATAACCGCCGTCAAAGCCGCCCTCTCCTCCTCCCCAAGCTTCTCTCCAACAAACTTCCCGATTCTCCCCTTATGTCTCGTATCAGCCTCCCTCAGCGTGACACCCACCCACGTCTTGACATCCTGCACCTCCGGCCACAGATCCCTTGCAGGCTGCCGACACGTGTTCAGTGGCGTGAACGCAGCGCCAAAAGCCAGATCTTCCGTGTCTCTATCCTCGATTACGTCGTCTGCCCCCGTATTCGGTAGCGGTGGGTTGATGAGTAGTTGAAGCAACGCTTGGCAGGTGATGGTCCAGCCGCGCTTACTGTATCGCTCAACGAACGCTTGACTGTCGGCTAGCGTTCGTGTGAGGGAGATGACTGCTGTCTTTCGGTCGGTGGGCCGGGTAAGCTTCTGCGTGTCTGGGAGGATGATCTGGAGGTAGATCTGCGTGAAGACGTTCTCTTGCACACGGTCGGCGACTGCGATGAAGAAGTCGGCGCCCAGGCCCTTGTCCTGCAGAGCGGAGACGAGATGGTAGAAGCGAATAAAGCGCATAGCGAAGTTCTCCGTGCGGGAGTTTGAGAGACGGGTAAACATGAGTTGCAGGATGGTGGGCCAGTAGGACTCCAGCTGCGCGGGAGGGAAGGAAGTGACGACCACCTCGATCAGATCCATGGCATACGTCTCGTTCGCCTTGGTACTAACGAGGCGTTGGAAAACGATCAGGAGAGGCTCGATCTGATTCGCCGCAGCGATGTGTGTCGCGTCCTTTGGTATCGCGTTGCAGAGAAAGCGGGCCAGAGCAGGGACATTGCCTTTACTCTCCCAATTGGCCGGCGCAAGGACCGGACCCACTAGCTGTTGCATGCTCGACGACAGCGTTGTTGACGGGTTGAAGGCCACCATTGCCGCCAGCAGCTGGAAGATGTACGGAGTAAACTCCTCCACATTGGAGCCGAGGATGCTCGTGAGCGGCTGGAACAGTCCGGCTTCGACCTTCTCTGGTTGCGTTGGCGTGGCGAACCGTATCAGCGACCCTAGCGACTCGAAGTGAAAATAGCAAAAGCCTGGATTTGACGGATTATGCCGTATCACTTTCGTGATGTTGACGAGGTTGGTAATGACATTGTCCAGTACAGGCAGGACGCCGTCGCGAATGACAATGAGTACTCGCATCACGCACTTCATCAAGAATTCATTCTCTTGCACCTTCTCCGGCTTAGACTCTTTCGTGATGAGTTTGAAGAGGTGTTGCAGGAGGTCCTTCGATAACGGCACGATGCTATCGCGCGGTATCATCGGATGCCGCTGGTCGTTCGTAAGGTAGAGGGCACGGTCGACGGCTATTGCTGCATATGTGTAGACGACATAGTTGGTGGAGTTGAGGTGCTGTACCAGTAGTGGGAACGCCGCCAACCACTGATCCGCCGACAGTATACTCCGGAAGATATATAGATACTTGATCGCATCCACCTTGAGCAGCGTCGCCGCATCCGTGCTTGTGAGGTCTTCGGCGATATGCTTCTGAAAGAAGTCGATCACGTTCACGTTTGGGTTCACGCTCAGCACGCCTTTTGCCGATGTGGCTGAGCCTTTCGCTGCGATCGAGGAGAAGAGATGCACGGCCGTGTCCTTTGCTTTCCAGTCGTCTGTCCGGTCCTTCGCATACTCTGCGAGGAAATGATTCACGTAGCGCATCACGACGTCGGTTACTGGTCGCTCAAACTGCTCCATCAGCTTCCGAAGAAAGTTGGTTGCGCCGCGCCTTCTCGTATCCTCGTCTGAACCTTCCAAATCTCGTCTGATGAATTCGATCGGCTCATCTTCGAATGTCTCGATGTCTGACTCGCGCAATGACAGATTTGGTATGACCACTTTCTCCGTCACCTGCCCAAGTACTTCCGCGCTGTTGAACTGTTCCGCGTATGTTCGTATGCTCACGACGGTGGTGAGGAACTCCAACGCTCTGCTTATGACCACGTCGTACTTCGCCTCCGGTCCGAGACCGGTGAGTAAGTTCCACGACGTTCCAACAAACTGCTCCAAATGCTGCCGGAACTCTTCTTCGTACTTCTTCGTGTACAGAACCAAGACCCTGAACACACTGGCTCTTACATCTTCGAGCGGACCTGCTTCGTCATCGTCGCTAGTCCTTAAGGCTGGGTCGTCGTAGGTAAGGTACTTGTGCAGGAGTGCAGCAATGGCGGCTAGATTCTCTTCGAATTGAGGCGGCATGTCGTGTGTGGACAGGTCATACATGAGCTTCAGTATGAGGTCCAGGGTCCCGTAATGCGCCTTTAACAGCTGCGCATTGCCTTTACTCTGCTCAATGACCGCATCGGTATTCTGCCACAGCTGCAAGAACGGAGCCGCGAACTTGGACAAAACATGGTTGATTTCGGTATACAGCTCGTCCGATCGGTACAAAGGCTCCCATCTACGGAAGATTGAATGTGCGACTTGGAGTATGCCATTATTGACTTGTGCATCGTCCGGCGTGAGCCTTGATATCAGGTCGTCAACCAGCGTATCCCACCGTTGCCAGAAGTCGCTGTCGGCGATGACACTGATCGCATCACCTAGCTGTGCCTGTATTGACGATGGGACCTTGACCATAAGCCCAATGAGCTCACTCTTGATCGTAGCGACCTCATTCTGCGGTAGCTTATGGTTGCCTTCTTCGTCCGTCCAGTTTCGTCGGATGAAGTTCTTGAAGAAGAGAGCACTCGCTAGACGTGTGTTCTGTGGAAAAGAATCTGTAGCAACGATCTGGAGTAGAGCGAGTGAGAAGCCAGGTTTAGCCTCTTCTGCTTTGAGCGACTGTTCGGCTATGCATCAATTAGCCCGCCTGAATCAGGCGAAGATGGAGCGCACGCGAGTATATACCTTGACGGTTCTGCGCCGGATCCAAGCTTGCATGCAGCAAGCCTGCAACATTCTGTATGTCGACGGACATTCTCCCTGCTTACAATGGAGTCGGTAGAAATGTGCTATAGCGAGGGTGGGAGTGTTTGCTCCGTCGCCAAAACAGAGAGCTTTGACTGCAGCGCCAAAGAATTACAGTCTCGCTTAGAGCGCGCTGTGACGCCACCAGCAAGGTTCAGCTCGAGCGGCTCTGCGGGAGCGCCTTTCTCCCGCCAGCCAGGACCCCTGCATGCAGGCTCGTCGCGTGTACGCGCTTATGTCATCGCGAATCTGCCTGCGTGTAATGTTGCCACTCTTGGATAGCCTCCTCTGTGCTGGATACACCTGGAACATCCTCCATCTACAGTGGACACGCTCTCTATCATAATACGCCGCTTGAAGCCTTGCATAGAAATTGTACTCTACCGGATATGGCACTATAACGACCTTGCACATACCTGAGCGCCCTCAGCACGTAATACATATAGCGGCAAGATGGCTGCGTCACAGTATGCCCGCCTGCGGGAGCAGACTATGGGCTCGCATGAGGACGAGGAGGCGGTTACGGTTAACACAAGAGCACTAATCGACAAGGTTTTGGCTCGCTATTCCGGAGAGTGGACGACGCTGCGAGAGTTGATACAGAACGCGGCGGATGCGCAGGCTAAGAAAGTGACGATACGTTTTGAGACACTACCTTCCGCATCAGTACCTCTGCCTCAGAGTCAAGACCAGTCCGACCACCTCCGGCATGTCTTGCTCCACCATACGCTGAAGACACTGTTGGTCAGCAACGACGGCGAGCTGTTTCAAGAGAATGATTGGCAACGGCTGAAGAGAATAGCGGAGGGCAACCCCGATGAGACGAAAATTGGCGCGTTCGGTGTAGGCTTCTACTCCGTTTTTGCGGACTGCGAGACGCCGTTCGTCAGCTCCGGCAAGCAGACGATGGCGTTTTATTGGAAGAAGGACAGCTTGTTCACACGAAGAGGGAGGCTACCGGATGATCAGGCGACTGACGGTACTACGTTTTTGCTCGATTACCGTAGTCCAAATACGCCCGTGCCACAGCTGCTGAGTCTCTGTCAGTTCTTGGCGACAAGCTTGACGTTCGTGGGGTTGGAAGGCATCGATTTATGGCTGGACGACTGGAACATCTTATCACTCACGAAGAAAATGGCGCCCGGAGCCAGCGTGAGCATACCCAAAGACGTCAATCCGAAGACGAGAGATGGCCTGATGAAGATCGTGGATGTGGAGTACCAGAGTGCACAAATTGACGCGCGGTGGATGAACGTCGTTGGCTGGAACAGGGCGTTAACGACCATGCAGATGCCAACAACGCTGTCCCAGCAGGATACGTCCGGCGGGTCTTTGCGCAGTTGGTTCAGCCGCTTGACTAGCGGTCCGGCGACCACGAACCTGGCGACGAAGCGAGCGCAAAGAGACGAGGAGGCGCTTCAACAGGCGCTCTCAGAAGACTTGGCAGGCTTCAGTCAGGCGACTGTGTTCCTGAGACTCAGTACCGTGAACGTGCAGACGTATGTGAGCAAGCAGCTATCGGCTGAGCTGGAACGTGCGACGAAGAAGCCGCCACCGAAGCATACCCGAATAGCAATCTTAACGTCTTCCTACGATGAGTCTGCTGCGGCTGTAGCTTCTGGAGCAGGCTCGAAACAATCAAGCGCAATTTTCTCGTCTGTCCTACCGACCAAGAACGGTAAGGTTTTCATCGGCTTTCCCACCGCACAAACGACTGGCCTTCTTGCGCACATCTCCGCGCCCTCTGTCATACCCACTGTTGAACGTGAGTCGATCGATCTGAATGCACGACACGTCCGCGACTGGAACATAGAGATGCTGCGCGTGGCCGGTATCGCTTGTCGCATAGCGTACACGGGCGAGATGGCAGAGTTGAAGGCGAAGCTCGAGCGCACAATCTCCGCAAGCGGCAACAAGAACGTCACGAAGGAAGACCTTGCGGCGGTCATGCCATCAGCCATTCACGCATACAAGCAGTATAACTACGGAGAGTCCACGCCATCGGCGAAGGTGGGCCAGTATATCGAAGAAGCCTTCTGGATGTGCAACCAGAAGGCCAGCATCGACGTGCTCAGCACTAGAGGCGTACTTCCAAGTCAACAAGTGAGAGTGGCGACGGAGGAGCTGAGCTTCGTGGAAGGAATACCAGTCATCCCAGAGGAGCTCATGCTTAAGGCGAACGACTTTCTGACGAAGATACAAGATTATGGCTTGCTTTCTGACATCACGACTAGCGACATCAAGAAGGAGCTGGAGGCTCAGGCGCTGACGGAGCAGCAAGTCACAGAGCTGGTAAAGTGGGCTTGCGGCAAAGTGTCGAGAGAGGAACTTGACGCTCAGGCTGTGCAAGCGCTATTCGATGGTACTGTGGCGAGCATCAGCGCAGAGTATGTGAATACGTCACCAAGCCCCGTTCTGCAGCTAGGCAGCGTGAAGAGCTTCGTCAATGTCGCGAAGATACCGGCAGAGATGCCTGCACCGCCGCAGACCATACCTTTCAGGCTGACGAAAGGCCTCAACCAAAAGCAGCTCGAGGCAATTGGCTGGGAAGAGCTCCAGATTGTGCCTTGGCTGCGCTGGATCATCGAAAGCGATGGCCAAGGCTTTGGAGGTAGCCAAAGCTTGACGGCCACACCAGCTGTGGCTGTTCAGGTTCTTCCGGTCGTGTCGAAAGCATGGGACAGCCTGTCCGCCTCGAGCAAGCAAACCGTCACCGAGCTGCTTGTGCCGAGAACAGTGATACCCACAAAGCTCGGCATGCGTAAGCCACCGCAAGCATACTTCGCTAGCGTCAAGCTGTTCGACGACTTGCCCACCATCACAAACCTGCAAGGCGTGAAGGAGAAGTTTCTGGTTGCGCTCGGTGTTCGCAAGACGATTGAACTCAATGTAGTCTTTGAGAGGCTAATGGCGAAGTCCACGGCTGGCGTAGCCGAGGAAGGTAAGTGGAGCCATGTCGAGTTGATCAAGTACCTTGTCTCGGTCAAGGATGATATTCCGCAGGAGGATCTGAAGCGCTTGCGGAACACGCCGATCTGCACGGCGGAAACGCAGTCCGGTGACTCTACAAGCAAGGGTAAGCTTTACCGCCTGTCTGAGCTCTATGAGCCGTCAGACCAGATACGCTTGCTCGGCCTACCGATCCTGCAATGGCCTGCACCCTACAGACCCAACACCCCTGAAGGTCGGTTTCTGAAAACGCTCGGACTCCAGCCCTTTCCATCAGTCATGGATATTGTTAACATCCTCAGCAAGGCGCCGGCTGGAAGCCAGCTCCAGCAGACAGCCATCAACTACTTCATCATTAACGCGTATCAGAATGGCTATAATCGCTATCCCATGGCAGAGATCGACAAAGCTTTCCTACCCGTACAACCGTTTGCTGGCGAAGGAAACAATCTGATCGCCAAGCCCTCTCAGTGCTATGCAAACCCGCAATGCGCCGTTTTGCGTTTCCGCACGCTCAGACAGGACCTGCAGATTCACCATCAGCTGTTTGGCGTGGCGCTGGACCCGGCTATTGATGTGGCAGCGGAGAGGCTCATCAAGGCGCCGCCAGGCAATGCTGCCTCCGCTCGAATCTTGTTCGCTTACTTCGGTGACCGCCTCAATGAGATTGGACCCAATGGACATCTCGCGGAGAAGCTGGGTGAGGCGCTCATTGTACCCATTCAAGACCCGTCGGAGAAGCGACCGGTGAGATTCGTGGCGCCGAGGGCATGCTTTTTAGGCGACAGCTCCACTTACGGCGACATATTCGACTTCGTCGACTTTGGTGCCGAGGCGAACTCCTTTCTGCTTCGTGTTGGTTCGAAGCATGAGCCGAGCGCAGCGGAGATTGCTGGGATGCTTGTGCGGCAGCCGGCGAGGTTGCTGCAAACGCTGGGTTCAGATAAGTACCTGCAGCTCTTGCGCAAAGTTGCAGAGAACGCTGCGAACCTGAAGAAAGATAAGGCGTTGTGGCAGCAACTGAAACAGGCGCCGTGCCTGCTTGCGGTGAAGGAAGTGATTAAGACGGTAGCGGTCGACGACGAGAAAGTGCGCGATCTCGATGAGGAGGAGATGTTCATCAAAGAGTACTCGCTTGCGAACGCGCCATCAATGGTCATTGTCGATGATTTCACGACGTACCGGCTCTTTCAGTCGAGCTTGCTTACTGCGCCGCAAGAGGAAGTCATAGAGAATCTGTATTCAGCGCTTGAGACACCTTGGCTGAGCCGGCTCGTCGAGGACGACCAACGCATGGGAGCTCTGCTTAGAGATCAGAGCTCGGCGCAGAAACTGCAGAAGCTCATTGTCGAGCGATGCCGACTCTTTCTGCACGATCATACCGCCGATGTCATTAGGCATGATGCCAAGTGGCTCGAGCAGAACCTCACCGTTAAGCTTACCGAGTTTCTGCACGTCACACGGCGGCTGAAGGGCTACCGTATGCAGTTTGTCGAGAAACGAACGGCAGCTCTACATCGTGAGAGTAAGCGCGACGCGACGCTGTACGTCACGGCCAAGTACGACTTGTACGAGATCAGCCGCGCGATCATGACTTTGTTGCTCAAGCGGCCGAGGCAACAAGACTTCCTGGCGTTGGAGACGATCCTTGAGTCCGATCTTAGAAGGTTGAAGACGAAGGGGTACAATGTCGACCGCATATTGCGGCAGAAAGCGGCCGAGTCGCGCATTGCGGAAAGCGAGAGGCTGAAGAGGGAGGAGGAACTGAAGCGGCTGGCTGATGCCGAAGCTTCTTCGAAGCTCGTACACCAACAGCAGGCTGCCGGGAATGGTGCCGACGCGGAGCATACCGAGCAGCCTCCAGTTACGCCCGACCGGCAGCTCTCAATGCCGGGTGCTTTTGCGAATTCACCAGAGCAGCGACCTGGCTCGTCCGGCCGTGGGAAGAAGTCCGTATTAGGCAATATCAGCAAAGCGCTAGGCATCCAGCAAAGCAATCAGGCGCAGAATCTCCTCACGAATAGTGACCACGATGAGCCGCCACCGTACGAAGCCCGAGATCCGAGCAATCGTGGCCGAGCAGTAGCTCCTACTGGGCAAGAGCAGGCCATGTCGCCTCGCGCCGTGGACGCAACGTTACAGTCCGCCATTAAATCATCGCGTGCCTACAATTCCCAGTCTCTCTTTACCCGACCTCATACCGACGAGGTCAAAGATACGCCATCATACTGCGATAGCAAGCCTGGTCACGACCTTACCTTCGTTTCGGACCTAACAGGCCCGAACGGCATCAAATTGTTCCTCTCGCGAAACTCGCCGCACTCCCGCGATCCCCGTGGCTTCTTGACGGCACACCGCGATGCACTTGCCTCATTCACCTACGTCTTAACGGAGATGGCTACCATCTTCTCACTAAGCGCGGCAGTACTTAATATCTTTCACGATGAGTCGGGCTCTTCGATTGCTTTCAATAGCAACGGCACCGTGTTCTGCAATCTGAGATATTTTGAGCAGTTGCACATGGCTTCGATGGAGACGAGCGAGGGCAGAGTGGAGGCCGCAGCGTATTGGTGGGTCACGCTGTGTCACGAGTTGGCACACAATCTGGTGGAGGAGCACGACAGCAGGCACAGCTTCTGGACTGAGAGCTTCGTGTGCAAGTACTTCGCGAACATGATAGCATGGGCCGGTGGGCAAGGAGTTGGATCTTGACGTAGGCAGGGCGGTGCAGCCTTGGGGATTTAGCTTCTCTAGCATGGCGATGGCGTTGGTAGAGCACTTGGAGCGACGCTACGATTGTACGACTGTGGTGTGAATTACCACATACGCATTGGACAAATGCAGAAAGATGCTTGGCGGATCGAAGGTCAAGTCATTGTTTGGTCTATCATACAAGCAGGCACTAGTCTCCTAGATTAGACTCAACTCGTGATGACGTGACAGGCATCTACCTTGAGTACAGCCAACCTCTTGGACAGATGTGCATTGCCCTTGCAGGCCTGAAGGGTCACGCCTTGCCATCCCAGCCAGTACCCTAAACGCTTCGGTCGCCACTGACGCAACGCAATCCCTCGGTGTTTATTCGCTTTGACCGACCTGGGGAGACAGATGTCTCATATAAGTACACGAGCCCGTGAATGCATTGGCGGTCGTCGTATGATAAACATGTAGTTCGTATCGATGCAGCGTGTTACAGCTACAGCGCCGTGAAGCTGTAGAAGAGAGCCAACGGTCGCCACCACTGGCACCCTGCGTACCCAATGCTAACAAAGGAAACCAGGCCGTAAGCAAAAAGGCCAAGGTGAAGGCCAGAGTGCCGCCAAACACTGACTGTAACTGCATGCTCTGATGCATTTATCATGCATATGCTGGGTAGTAGTACAATAGCAACGCAGGGCTGAGCTATCCATCGCACGATGAGCGCCGCATCGTATGCAAGATGGTCAGAAGCTGTGTGATGAGGCCGTAACGGGCCATCATCCTCAAATGTCGAAGTAAGTGAAGACGCCAATCATCTATCATGCCGAGCTGGCCGTCCGAAATCGTAGCTCATGTTGTAGATGAGACTGGAGGAAGTGTTGAAGACTTGTCGAGTGCGGCACGTCACTAAAGCCAGCGCCGACTATGCAAAATATAGGTACAGTATGCGGATGCAGGTTGACAGTACGCTTAGAAGTGGCCAAAAGGCGCAGGTTGGCGAGCGGAGAAGCCAGGGCTGGTGAAGCGAGGTTCGCCGTTGGCGAGTAGGCTGCTGCTATGGTTGTGACGCTGCGGAGTCGGAGACGCGACTTCGCCGTTCGTGAGTGGTGTCTCGAAGCCTCTCGCGTCAAATGTGGGAATGTTGTTGAACGGATTAGCGCCAGCATTAAAACCAGGCCACTGCGGCGGCGGACCAGCCCAGCCGTTGCGGTTAGCACGACCTGCTGAACCGAGACCCGCGCCATAGGGCGGAACACCATTAACGATTCCGTTCATGGTAGCTGGCGGCGACATCGACGAGATCGAGTCGGCTGGGGTGGCACCACCAGATGCAGGAGGTGAGGACGAGCCGTTACGGGCATCATACTCTTGCAACTTGGTCGCAATGCGACGGCCATACGGCGTATGACGGATTGAAGGGAGGATGGGCCGAACGTTCTCCATGAGGAGATTCTTGGTTTCCTCATCGGCAAAGTCCATCGCAGTCTGCACGACGTAGTTGGCGAAAGAGTCTCGGAGTAGCATTGCAAGCTCACGCGGCTCAGCTATCTCGAGGATGACGGCACGACGAACATTGCCGGTAGCGCAACGGATGCACTTCTCGACCACGTTGGAGCTGAATTTCTGCTTTGAGAGGTAGGCGACCTGGTGCGCGAAGCTCTGGCAAAGGGGCTCGGTGAAGCAAGGCTCGCCGAGATCAAGAATGTACTGCACCACATAATTGCCGAAGGGGTCTTGCACCAGGGCGAAGGCGTTGTTAATGACCTGATCAACGAGCGCACCCTTCTGCAAGCCGGAAGCATGATCAATGCAGCGCTGTAGCACGCAGCAACCATGACGGTGAGTGCCAACGGCAATGCAATTGGTGCCAACAGAGTCAAAGATGAACTGAGCGTTCTCAGGCGACAAATGGTTGAGACACTTCTGGATGACGTGGTTGCCATTGAGGTCCTGAATCAGCAATACCACGTCGTAGCGGAGCGCTTCAATGATGATCTGTATCTGCTGCGGAGTGGAGATGTACTCGATCATCTTTTGCAGTGCGCGTGTGCCGTGCTGGTTGAGGGCGATCTTTGTCATGCTGGACGCAGAGTTTTTGATCAGTACAGTGCGCTGCTCGTCGTCCGTGCACTCCAGCAGCTTCTGACAAAGGTAGTTGCCGAATGGGTCGGTCATGAGCTCAATAATGTGATCTTTGATCTCAACGAACACAATCTCCACAGCGTTGTCGGCACGCTCATCGAGCTTGCGCTGAAGATAGCGACAGCCGTGCTGGTCTTTGCAGAGGCTGTAGATCTCCCCAGTGAGCTGGCCGACAGTGAGCGAGTTGTATCGTGTCTGTGCCTCTTCGTTCGCAAGACGGCGCTGTTGCACCGTCATCCGTGTGTCTGGTATGCGCCCGGCACTCGCTGCCGCATGGCCATTGTGACCATATTGACCGTACTGGCCGTATCCGCCGATTTGCGCGTACGGCGGACCTGGCCACTGCATTGGACCATTGTAACTGCCCAGGTTCATGTTATTGAACCCGCTGTTGAGCATTTGCAGGTTGTAGCCGTTGTAGTAAGCCTGCTGGGCGAAAGGAGACATGCCGTTCGGGCCGAGATGCTGCATTGGGCTGTCGTGAGTGCCGGCGATAGGCCCAAAAGGCGCGGCGTTGGCTTGTAAGCCTGAGTGGTTAGAGGGTGTCAGACCTTCGACGTCGTCCTCTACTTTGAGGCCTGCGGCAGTCGCAAATTCTTGGCTGTAGCGGTTGGTGTTGGCGGTCGAGGCGGAGGTAACGCGACTAATGCTTTGCTGCTCAGGCGAGGACGGGTCAGTGGGCACAACAGACTGACGAGACGGTGAAGTGCCAGCTGTTTTGTTCGCAAATGAGCTGTCGTTGCTGATGCTCTTTAACGTTGGAATGTCATTTGTGGAAAGCGAAGGCTTTTGCATGGCCGCGTTTGCGAGCCCGCGAGGCGGTGAAGCCACAGCCATTAGCAATGGGCGTTTCGGTTCAGCAGGGAACTTGACCTCCAACGAGCGACGGTTGATCGCAGAGGGCTTGCTTTCGGCGTTTGTAAGTATTCCGTTGAGCGGTGCAATGCCGAAAGTGCTGCTCAATGCACTGGGTGGAAGCGATATGCGGTGACGGCTGGCCGTGGCGCGATCGGTAACCTGCTGCTGAGGCTCTACACCTTGGGCAAATGCAATGTCTAGCGCAGAGGCCGCGAGCTCGTTGCTGTCCTCACGGCGAATGAGTTTCGGGAACCCGTCAGCTGTCTGCTGGACTTGCAAATATGACCTCGCGGTAGGTGGCGAAGTGGTGGTAGAAGTCGGTATAACAGTACGATGGTCGTCGTCGTCGTCAAGCAGAAAGCCGCTCGTATTGACTGGTCCGAATGAGGTCCGGTCTGCTCTGCTTCTGTTGCGAGCGTATCCCGTTATGGGCATTGAGTTGCGGTTTGGACTGAAAGCAGATCTGTTAGCTCGAGAGTGGAGATGAAGGAGGTTAAATCAAATCTCGCTATTGTCGAGAAAAGACACAATAAGCCAAGATCGCCGTGATATTGTTGGTATTGTCATGTCGTGGGTATGTGCTGGTGGAGCGTTTCAGAGTGAAGGTCACATGCGAAGCGAATGACGCCAAGAAACGCTTTGCCACAACGCAACATTGCAATCACTCTGCGCATACGGAGAGCAATCGGCACTTACTTTGCTGCCGCACGATGGGCCGTATTCTCGAACCCATACATCCAAGGCTCCTCATCGTCCTCGTCATCGGACTGGCGGCGAGAGGTTGGAACGGATTGCGATGGCAAGTGCACATTGCCGGAAGTGTACGGTCGTGACATGGTGTTTGAGGGAGATGTCAATTGAATGCTGGACCGATTGGCCTTGTTGGCGATCCCTCCCACAGATGTCAAGCTGGCAGTCGAATAGCGGTTCGGCTTCGAGAACGCGTTTGGGAAGGCATTGCCGTATTCCGGCGGGCTGGTTGGCTCGCTCGATGCCATCATTGCTGCGATCGACTCCTCATGTCTAATGCTCTGGTCGACCTCATGGCGTGTTTCCGCATCCACGGCAGCAATGTCAGCTTGTATCTGGCGTTGCTGCGCCAGAAGTATCTCGTAGCGACGTGCGGCGGCATCCGACTATGCCACGTTGTCAGCAAAGGCAGCCTTCAAGGCAACGGTGTCGGTAACCTACCGGAGCCAGCTTTCCGAAACCGGTTGACTGGTCAGTGTTTGTCAGCCTGTGTTGAAGGGCATAAACGAGATCATTGGCAAGCACAACACTCCCACGCTGAAGTGCACTACTGGCCACCTCTCCGACCTTGCCATCGACCTGAACCATTGTGTTTGCAACAGTGTCTGGCTCTGCTAAACCCTGCCGGGACCGCAAGTCCAATGGATCTCGATCTTTCACTCTATCACGCCGGACTGTTTTCGAGGCGCCCGGCCCGGAAAGCAATGCTCTAGTACCATCCAAGCTGCTACCGCTGCCTGCTGCCGTGCATGCGTCGCTTAAAACAGAAGCGCCGTTACTTACCGGCTCGTGTGTTCCAGGCTGCCTCCTTTGCTGCCCAATGGGCGAGACAGTTGGGTACTCGTTCATCGTGAACCTTCTTATCAACCCTCCGCGCGCAGCGTTGGTGGTTGACATATTAGCGCTCAGTCTGTTCGGGTTGCGCTGCGGCGAGAGCGCGTTCGGGTCACGCGAAGACTGAGGCGCCATGCCGGCATAGTAGTAAGCCATAGCTGCGAGTCCTGCGCCTGTCAATCAGCCCAGCTGGCCCATATCTATCGAGGCACCTTCGAAATGCCTTGCCGGTAAATCTACACACCTCACACAGGAGAGATCGGCTAAAGAGCCGGTTTCGGCAGTCGGTCACCGACCCAAGCCCAAAATGCACGGTGGAAAGAATGTACAGGCAGAAACGATGCCGGTAAAGACAGTATGGATGAGGGAACGAAGCCAGGTCAGAAGAACCACATTGCAATGTGGGGTCTGGTGTTGATCTTTGTCCTCGCCCGTAGAGCAGGTGCGATGGGGAGAGCTTCGAGGCTTGGCAGGGAGGAATCGGGAGCGTTTTTGGCTACTAGCTTAACCGTAACCGCTCGAAACACCCTAAGAGCTCTCCATCCTTCGCACTTTCACCTCCATCGTCTCCAGCCGCGTTGCGCCATCGATAGAGTCAATGGTCCGCTGCACTCGATTTCGCGGTAGCGCCTACAAGCGCCTGCAGGGACCGCGCTGCACTTTCATCATGCTAAATTAGTCAGGGAAGCACTCCCGTTACGGGCGCTGGAAAGGCTGGCAATTAGACCACCGCTCAGAGGAATATTTTTGCTTATACCCTATGTGATATTGCCTTCTTGCACGTGAGATCTTTTTGGCACTGCTGAAGGCACAATGTACATATTTGTAGTAGTAACGCTGGGAATCACGCAGTATGATCCCCTTTCCCCCTGGCAGCTACTTTACACTAGCTATCCCTGCCACCCACATGTACCGTGACGTTTGCGGTTGGTGCCAGATCAAAGTCGAGGCCGCTCTGGTTGGTCTTCGAATTTCCTCGTTTGCGCACCGGTAGTGCTGTTAGCGGGGCGATGTTGAGTGGAAGGGTGAGGTGGGCTTTGTCGAAGCGAGACCGTCTTACAGTGATCACGTTCTCCACGCGTGACCTTCCAAGTCTCGCTGCTTCAACGAGAGAGCTCTCGCTGCGTCAGAACGCCGCAAACGGAGCCCAGCTCTGGTTGCGATGTGGTTGTATCGAGCGCAGTCAAAACTGGAAAATAGGGTGGTCTACAATCCTTAGCCCTCGAGGTTCTTGGGCGCAGAGTCGGAGAAGAGAAGGAATTCGGAGCTCTCCGGTCGTTCAAAGTGGCTTCCGGTGTGCTTGTGGCAAAGCTTAACAGCGCTGAGTCAGGTATATCGGCCTTGGCATTTACTTTTCACCACCCCAGAACGCATATGATGTCGAGTCAACGTGCAAAGGCGTGAGTGGAAGCGAATTTTGATATCGTAGCCTCGGCTTACACTCGGGGATGGCACCTCGAGCGAAGAAAGCTGGTCCAACTCAGGTTGCGGACAGTCCTGCGCCCAAGGTCCGCCACCTCTGATTGCTGCGCATATAGCATAGATCACTGATGTAAGGTAGAGTACGACAAAGGCACCACGAAAGCCACCGGTACGGCGAGACAAGGCCAAAGAGCATACTGTAGTGAACAGCACTGCCTCAGAAGTCGATCCAAACAACAACGTACGAAATGCTGCCGCCACAGCGCCTGCGCCTATCGATGGCGGCCATCCTCCGAAACCTCAGCATTCTGCCGCTCGTGATGACATGGATGCTCTACTCAAGCCGTTTTACTACAGCAAGAGTCTGACCGACCCAATCAATACGGCTCGTGATAAATGGAATCTTCTGCCAGCCTTTCTGCGCGTCAAAGGTCTCGTGAAACAGCACATTGACTCGTACAACTATTTCACCGATGTTGCTCTCCAGGAGATCGTACGAGCCAACCGCTACATCCGCTCCGATGCACAGAAGGATAGGTTCATACAGTTCACTGGTATCAGAGTCGGCAACCCGAACCGACAAGACGATCGTGACCGGACAAACCACGAGTCTCCTGTCACTCCGAACGAGTGTCGTTTGCGAGATATGACATACGCCGCACCAATCTTTGTCGACTACGTCTGGTCGAGCTCCACGGGCCTCAGACGAAAGACAAACAAAATGATCGGTCGGATGCCCATGATGCTGCGTAGCTCGAAGTGCGTGCTCAGCGGCAGGTCAGAGGCAGACATGGGCATGCTTAATGAATGTTCGATCGACCCAGGCGGGTACTTCATTGTACGGGGGCAGGAGAAAGTCATTCTTGTCCAAGAGCAGCTCAGCAAGAACCGTGTTATCGTCGAATCCGCGAAGGGCATCATCCAAGCATCCGTCACAAGTCACACGGCCAACGTCAAGACAAAGACCTATGTGCTGTTGAAGAAGGGGCTTCTCGTGCTGAAACACAATTCTCTGACCGAAGACATTCCGGTAGCAATCGTGCTCCGTGCCATGGGCGTCCAGTCCGATCATGAAATCTTACTTCTTGCTGCTGGCAACGATGCCACATATCAAGATGAATTCGCACCTAATCTGGAACAAGCGGCCTTGGAGGGTGTCTTCACCCAAGAGCAGGCGCTCGATTACATTGCATCCCGCTTCAAACCGGATCGCTTTCCGACATTCGCTGGCAAGGCTTCCAAATCTCCAAAGCAGCAAGCACTTGACAAGCTCGCTGGTACCATAATCCCACATGTTGAAGTTGAGGGGCTCAACTTCAGGCCTAAGGCACTCTACATTGCCTTCATGACCCGCCGTGTGCTCATGGCGATGCATGATCCGAAGCTTGTGGATGATCGGGACTATGTAGGCAACAAGCGGCTAGAGCTTGCGGGCCAAATGCTTGCCCTGCTATTCGAGGATCTCTTCAAGGAAGTTACGAAGCAGATCAAGCTCAGTATGGACAAGATACTGAAAAAGCATAACCCCACGCAAGAGTTCGATCCTGAGAGGCTCATTGACCTTTCTGAGTCGAGAATCACTACCGGCTTGGAGCGTGCCATATCAACTGGCAACTGGGCGCTTAAGCGTTTTCGAATGGACAGGGCTGGCGTTACACACGTCCTAAGCAGGTTGAGCTACATCAGCGCTCTCGGCATGATGACACGAATTACATCGCAATTTGAGAAGACTCGCAAAGTATCCGGACCACGTGCGCTGCAGCCCTCGCAATTTGGTATGCTGTGTACGTCCGACACGCCGGAAGGCGAAGCTTGCGGCCTAGTGAAGAACTTGGCACTTATGACACACATTACCACCTCCGACGACGAAGCACCTATTAGGCGGATGGCGTTTAGTCTCGGCGCCGAAGACGTTACCTCTGCTTCAGGCACCGAAGTCTACAGCGCTGGTGCTTACATCATCTTCGTCAACGGCACACCGGTTGCGCTGACCAGGCAGCCAAAACAGTTCCTGGTCGCTTTCCGCAAATTCAGGCGCATGGGTCGCATCTCGGAGTTTGTAAGCATTTACATCAACCACCACCACAACGGCGTACACATTGCTACAGATGAGGGCAGAATCTGTCGGCCGCTGATCGTGGTCGAGAATGGCAAGTCGAAGGTGAACGCTCGCTTCCTGGACTCCCTTCGTAAAGGTACCATGGGCTTCGATGATGCGCTATCGCGAGGCATTGTGGAGTATCTAGATGTCAACGAGGAGAATGACTCAAATATTGCAGTCTATGAAGACGGCATCACCCAACATACCACTCATCTGGAAATCGAGCCCTTCACCATCCTAGGCGCTGTCGCTGGCTTGATACCATATCCTCACCATAATCAGTCGCCACGAAACACCTATCAATGCGCCATGGGCAAGCAAGCAATCGGCGCCATTGCCTACAATCAGTTCACTCGTATTGATACCCTGCTCTATCTAATGGTCTATCCACAGAAGCCCATGGTCTCGACACGAGCGATTGAGCTGGTCAAGTATGATAAGCTTCCCGCCGGGCAGAATGCTATCGTTGCAGTCATGTCGTACTCTGGCTATGACATTGAAGATGCCTTAGTGCTCAACAAGGCGTCCTGCGACCGAGGGTTTGGTCGTTGCCAAGTGTTTAAGAAGATCAATGTACAACTCAAGACGTACGGAAACGGAGCCACTGACCGAGTTACCGGCCGAGACGACGCAAACCCGAAGCATGTCAAGCTTGGCAAAGACGGCATAATCGAGGCCGGCATGCAATTGGCGGCGGGGGATACCTACATGCTCAAAGAGAAGCCTTTGCAACAGTCAGTTTCCGTCGCGGCTTCCGCGCAAATCTGGGCTCCCGAACACATGTCTTATAAGCTGCCGGATCCGTGCTATGCCGATAAGGTTATGGTTGGCACCACTGAATCGAACCACACCATCTTCAAGATTCAGACTCGACAGACGAGAAGGCCGGAAGTTGGTGACAAATTCTCTTCTCGTCATGGTCAGAAGGGTGTCGTGGGCATCATTGCTGAACAAGCGGACATGCCGTTCTCGGATAGTGGTATCACACCAGACATTATAATGAACCCTCACGGTTTCCCATCGCGAATGACCGTTGGGAAGATGCTCGAGCTGGTCGCTGGCAAGGCAGGAGTCTTGAAGGGTACGCAAGAGTATGGCACTGCGTTTGGCGGCAGCAAAGTCGAAGAAATGGGCAACGAGCTCATCAGGCAGGGTTTCAGCTATTCTGGCAAGGACTGCGTGACTTCCGGAATCACTGGCGAAAGCTTGCCCGCATACGTATTCTTTGGACCGATCTACTACCAGAAGCTGAAGCATATGGTGCAGGACAAGATGCACGCTCGCTCGACCGGTCCGAGAGCCATTCTGACACGGCAGCCTACAGAAGGCCGTAGCAGAGCAGGTGGTCTACGTCTTGGTGAGATGGAGCGAGACTGTCTGATCGCTTATGGTGCCAGTCAACTTCTGCTCGAGCGCTTGATGCTAAGCTCCGACGCTCACGAGGTCGACGTTTGCGAGACCTGTGGAATGATGGGCTACAACAACTGGTGCACGAGCTGCTCAAGCAGTGTCGGCGTGGTCAAAATGACGATGCCGTACGCCGCCAAGCTGCTCATACAAGAGTTGCTGAGCATGAACGTCAAGGCGAGCTTGCAGCTGGAGGATGAATTTCCCAGGGACTAAGGCGTGCGTACTGACGTTATGACGAGCAGACGGCCTCTAAGCATAGCGTGAAGGTTTAAGATGAGAACAAGCATAGCGATGGCGTTCTCTACAGTCCGTGTAGGTACCAACATAAGGTAAGTAATCAACTGTAGCCCTTAAGCGTGAGTCATGTACAGTAGCAGTCTCAAATATATGTCGCCACCATCTCGCGCCCCACGTCTCTTCGACTGGCGACTTCGTCGATCGCACCTTCCTCCAACCCAACTGCGCGTGCCTTCCTTGCCTCGCCTATTTAGGCGCACATTCGTAAGGATGTCATTATGTATTCCCGCCCGAAGGTATACATTCGCAGCCTCATCCGTGCATGTGGCGGAAGACTCTAACATCGACCAGATGTGGCCCTCACAAGGACACCGCCATCGGTTGAAACTACCTCACCCTCTTTCGCATGATCAGGCGCATCCTTCGCCTCCAACAGCTATCCCGCAGGATCAGAATGGCGGAGCGGCGTACGAATCAGTACCCGATGGCCAGGGCTATGTTTGCGAACCTACCGGATTTGGCGGACGGACTGTCTACGCTTTCGCTGACTCCCGACGAAACTACTCCGAACAGTTCGGAACCGGCGCAAGCTATGGGAATCCAGTCCACAGGAAGGAGGACCGCGATCAATACCAAGACCTACGTCCCACCGCACCGTCGACGGGCCAAGCGTGTCCCAGCTACTGCGAAAGACGGAATTCAGCAGAGCAAGGCTTTTACGGACAACAACTTGCCTATCAGTATGCGCAAAATCATCCCACATACCCGCCATATCAGCAGTATGGTGAGGCCCACGATGACCCGCTAACGCCACAGTGGCATGCAGTAAACCGGCCAGCCCTGACACTGCATCCTGATGCGCAAGCATTCACGCCTGGCTCAGCCTACCGTGCAGAGCAATGGCAGCAATCGCCTTGGTCAGTACGCGGATCAAAAATTCACAAGAAGCATCGTGTTAATAGGAGCAGCAGGTACGGAGCGCAGCAAGTCCAGCCTCATGATTCGGACTACAGCCGATCAGCCTCAGGTGTTGAAGATGGTCATGTGGAAGTACCAGCACCGCCCGCCACGAGTGAAGCAGAATGGTATTCATCTATGGGCATGCTCTCACTCGCACAAAAGGCCAAGAGAAAAGGTGGTAAACCGCGCGGCAAGGCTACAGTTACTCCGGTTCGGGAATTGAGGGCGCCTGGTGCTGATCTATCCGATTCGCAGCAATCTCTGAGTCTGCCTCCGCCAGCATCACCGAAGTCGACGCCGCGTCTGAGTCTCTTGAAACGACCAGAGCCAACTTGGACATACTTGAAACAAGCCGAACGCGAGGCCGCCTTTCGCAGCGGACCACCGAGGAGGTTGCTTGTCGTCCTCGATCTGAACGGCACTTTAGTGCACCGGAAAAAGGGTGGTGGCAGCAACTTCACCGCACGTGTGCACGTCCCCGAGTTTTTGCACTACCTCCTGACAAACCACAAAGTCATGATCTGGTCTTCTGCAAGGCCAGAGAATGTCAAGGACATGTGTGCGAAGCTCTTCACCAAGACGAAACGCGATCAGCTTGTCGCCATATGGGCTCGTGACAAGCTGCGCTTGACTCCTCACCAATACAACGAGAAGGTCCAGGTCTATAAGCAGCTCTCCTGGGTTTGGCGCGATCATGATATAGACCTCACTTGCGCTCAGGGGGAGATTTGGGATCAAGACAACACGGTGCTAATTGACGATTCCGTGGAGAAGGCGGCCAGCGAACCTTTCAACTTGATCAAAATTGACGAGTATTGTGGTGGCAAGGATCAGCTCGATATGCTTGGGCCGCTGATACAGTACCTGGAAGTGCTGAAGACTGTGGTGGACGTTAGCTCATGGATGCGTGTTCACCCGTTTCGGATCGACCATGAAGCTGCGCCTTACGACTGGATGCCACTGGTGAACGATATGCACTAGTCAGCTAATGATATGGCTTCGAGCACGCAGTTTCCAAAAAGGCGAGCCGCTGTGGTTATTTAACTATGAAACCAAACGTTCCAGAGTGTTTCCTATACTCTAGTAGAAGGTTCGTCGCAGCCAGAGTAGCCGGCAGCACTGATCGAGGAGCCAATTCCGTGCGTTTCCAAGACTTCATAGCCTGCCTGTTTCGCATTGAGGGTGCAATGTTTTTCTCACGTGACGGGCAATTTGCCTGCCCATGCTACCTGGTTCTTTGTGGCGTCTAATACGACGATGCAGCGTTGGTTGTGTGTTAGAAAACAAGTGACGTCTCTGGAGAGCGCAAGCCTGCATAATCACCATTCTAATTCCTTATTAAGACAGGTCTAGACAGCTCAAGGCGCTTGCGGCGCTCGTCGTAGAAGTTAGCCACACCCCATACACGGCCAAGCGGCAAGACTGAGCAGTCGCAGCGTGTCCCGCAGATCGTCGGCAGGTATTACGTTGATACATCACGACTAGAGTAGAAGTGGACAGCAGAACCGCAGCATAGAGCGGACATTCCGGGTACCGGGTTTGCTGGCACGCGCATGTTGCAGAAAGAGAGAGCTGTGGCACTTCGCCGACGTTGCACAAAAACTTCGTTCCCGCGGGTGACTGCGTCTCGACCGTCGGGTGCACTCTTCGCAAGAGTCTACCACCACAGCCGAGGCCTGGTTGGATATGTTAGTCGCGCCTTGAAAAGACTCCGTGCTTTGCAGGACCAAATGCTCTAGCGAAGCCACCGTGGGTGATGGAAAGATTGCGAGTTGCGACCATTCCTTTCAACTTGGAAGGCCGAGGGAGCCAAGCATGCTGGCAGCTGGCATAGCCTTGGCAGAGCCGGCCAGTAAAATTGTTCTGCTTTTGATTCTCACAAGCGTGTACGCCGCCGATTTGCAAGCTTTTGGTGGATATCATTCCTTCTGACAACCTAGAGGTTTCTGAACTGCATTGCCGGAGGCTATAGTGTTTGTTGGCAGAGTTGAACAATGTAGTCGCTCCGTTTTCTGACAGGTGAGAACTCCATCGTCACGCAGCAGAGTGCGCCGGCTCGCGTTCTCTCAGCCAACCACTCTCAGTCCACATGGCACATCACCCAAACGCGGGCGCGGGCGCTCCTGGCGCGTCCCGAGACACCTTCCGCAAGCTGACACGCACAACGGTGAGAATGTGTTGTTGTGTCCGAGCGGACCTACGCGTATCAATTACGGTACGTTGCTGTCGCAATGACGGTCACAGTCTCACGACAGTTCGCGCGTAGTCTTTCTTGGCCTTACACAATGCTACTAGGACAAGAGTTTGCGGCCCCCTGGCGCTTGCATGTGTCTTGGAGCGGGTCTTACGCCGAGCAGCGAGCCGTCCACTATTTCCGGTCCTCTCATTCAGGTTTGTGCTGATCTATCGAAACCCGCAGCGCCACGGTGTTTTCCTCCGATGCGCTGTTCAAGCTGTCATCGCTACCTGCAGTCCAGATGCGCATGTAAGGCGTTGAGCAGAGGCCAGATCTGGCGGATCATCCGACGCCATTCCCGCCGTTTAACGCCCAGGTTCTCGGCTCCTTCAGCCCAGTACTAGGGAAATCAAACGGCAGACGATCTACATTTAGTGCTCTTCCGACCAATCATGAGTGGTCTGTTCCTTGAATTTTGTGGTACCTGCAGATGTCTGAAGGCAATTTGATGCAAGACATCTGCACAAAAAGATCGATATTACGAATATTGATTTTGCGCTATGTGACAGTTTTCACACAAAATCGAGCACGTAAATCCAGCAGCTGTTGCTCAGGCACGAGCAAGATATGATGCACCACGATGCAAGGGGAGGGCCCGCGTCGGTTTCATCGTACTCCCTTCGATAGCAAACACTGTCTCGCATAACCGATATCAGCCGCGACGCAATCCCGTTATTTCCTGGGGTTTTCGTCGGGTTGGCGCAGCTGTGGTGATCGAGTGCGCGTCAGCCCCTGCTTTGTTGGCGCATCGTGGCTTCCCCACACGCCGAAGTGAAGGAGACCGCCACCGTCTCAGGCTAACCGGGGGGCAACTGCGCTAGCTATTCGATGCAGCCAAAACTGCTTCTATAAGCCCTCCTTCCCTCCTGGATGGAGGTGTCAACACCACCTTGCGTACACTCTACGGTTCTCCCTCGCAACGCACCGTTTTCCTTCCAGAGGCCCCGCCTCGTCCATTCATTCAAAAGCCAACAGCGTCGCCAGTCGCCATTACTGTGCTAAGCCTCTGCGAGGACACCACTCCATACCTGTAAGTGAAGCCCCCATCATCCTGCAGTAAACCTTCGACTATCCCGATCGCCCTTATACGGGAAGAAACGCGCATGTTAGCCTTGGATTGAGCATGTTACGGCCTCAGTCTGAGATTGTCACAAGACCTGGGAAGATACCCTTGTCCCTAAGCCGAGAACATGCGCTTTGTTCCGCAGAATATTGCATTCACAGTGAAGCGGGTCCATTGTCAGTCCTTCGATGACTTGATCTGGTCGCCGCTTTGTGTGAAGGCTTTTCAGCACGAAGACCATGGCTCCTCTACATGCACCCCTGCTGGCAGGTTCGCAAAGACTAACTCGTGTTCAGTCATTACCGAGAAGCATTCAAGGATCTGTGATCCTCATACCAACACACTCATTACCATAAGCATCTCTTGTCACCCGCTACCAACATGCATACCGCCATTCTTGCAGCCGCATTCGTGGCAACGGCTCTCGCCGTCCCTTACCACAACCATCACCAACGCGACGTCGTCTATGATTACAATACTATCACGGTGACCGACGTTGTCTACGTTACTGCCAGCGGGTCTGCGCCTTCCTCGTCCGCGACAAGCGATGCTGCCGATTCTTCGGCCGCTACGAGCTCATCGACTGCCGCTTACCGTGGTTTCCACCAGTCTCGGTACTCGCGATCCAGGGCAGGTGTCACCACCACTACCTCGACTAGCTCCGTCCAGGCCACGACCTCTAGCTCCACTATCGATGTCCCGACGTCTACCTTGGTTGCGGAGACCACTTCCTCAGCTCAAGCGCCGACCACTTCCTCGACTCAAGCGCCGACCACTTCCTCGACTCCAGCGCCGACCACTTCCTCGACTCCAGCGCCGACCACTTCCTCGACTCAAGCACCGAGTTCTACTCAGACTCCTTCTTCGACCCAGGCCCCGACCACAACTGCATCGCCATCGACGACTCAGCAGCCGTCTTCCACTTCGACCTCAACCACTTCCCAGGCGCCCACTACCAGCATCGCTGCTTCAAGCTCAACCCAAGCAGCCGCGAGTAGCGTTCCCAGCCTTGCATCCGATTCGTACCAAGACGTGGCCGTCTACCACCACAACATTCACCGCGTCAATCATTCCGCACCTAACATCGTATGGGATACCGGACTTGCCAACACCGCTGCTATCATTGCCTCTAGCTGCAACTACTCACATAATACCGACGTGAACGGAGGCGGCTACGGCCAGAATATCGCTGCCGGCGTTAACGCCGAAAACATCTCGCTCATCATCACCGAGTTGTTCTACAACGGCGAAGTCAACTGGTTCGATGGCTTATACAATGTAGCGCAGCCTAACATGACCAACTTCGAGCATTGGGGCCACTTCTCGCAAATTGTGTGGAAATCGACAACTAGCATTGGCTGCGCGACACAAATGTGCAGCAACCTCATCAACTTTGGTACAGACTCTTCATTCACTGTGTGTAACTACGGGCCACCAGGTAAGCACATGATATCACCGAAAGTGTACGTGATGTGCTGACTTTTCTTCCAGGCAACTTCGCTAACGAGTACGGTGACAACATTGGAACCCCATTGAACAATCCAACAGCGAGTTGGAACACTGGTGGCCTTCCAGCGTCCGGCGCTACTGGCAGCAACTGATGTGTGGTTTTAAAGGGCGCGTGGGAATGCTTTGCAGCGACACTAAGTGTACAGTCGACCTCACGCGGTGAGCTATAACGGGGGCGGGCCACCTGCGTGACCGTACGCATGATGGGACTTGGATTCTGTATTTACGCCACGCTCGGTTCGTCGTTAAGCGTTCTCTCGTTTGCAGGTAGATAGCCCATCTGATGCCTCTGCGCCCTCAATTCGGAACGCAATTCCAGGTTCGAAATTATGGTGCCTTGCGATTGCATCTTGTGGGTCGCCATCACTTGGATGTCTACCAACTTCACTTCAACGTAATTATATGCGCCGTGTCAGGTCGTTCTTCGTCAGCCCAGCAATTCGATAGCAGATGATTCGTCCCACCCAGCTGGTGCCAGCTCCGTGGTCAGAACTAAACAGTACGAGGTACCGTAACTAGTATGAAAACTGAATGCTCCACATTAAGAGCTCTCCATTGTTCTCTGCTCCCATTACTTGGACAGTCCAGAACCTCGTCGTTGCTCGATCGTGTGCGAATTGTACGCCATCCCAAACGCCGTACTGGGATGTACCACTGTGGTTATAGTTGTTGAGGGTTGCCTTCGGACCTGGGCAGGTAGGACAGCAAGAAGAACAAGCAATGCAACGTGAGCAATGGCACCAGCAGTGTCACACACTGCGAGAAAGGGCATGCCGTCCTAGCTCCCGAAAAGACGGTGGACAACGGTGCTGTGGCTGAACGGCTGGCAAAACCTGATGGCCATTGTGCAGTCGCCGTTCTCGTGGCCACGTAAGAGCTGGGGACGCTAGTGCTGTTACTCGGCTGTGCTAGCACTGGGACCAACGCCTCGCCAAGAGTGGCGCTCGTAAGCTGGAGGGAGGTACCGAATTGCTGTGTCGCAAAGAGGTTCCCTGAATAGCTAGACAACGTCAATGTAGTTCCTAATGTAGCCGCCGGCAGCGAGCTTAGGTCGTCAACTCCGGTGCTTGGGTGGCCCGAGACCGGCAATAAACTTTTAATAGCGCCATTAATGAAGACGAACGACCCTGTCAATGGCAGAGAAACTGTAGCACCGGATATTGTGAGCTCCGCACCAGGCGCGAGCGTCAAGCCAGGTCCCACACTGTAAAGGCCAGAAGGGTCTGCAGTGAAGGCCTGTCCAGCAAGCGACAGCACCCGCGGAGTGGGTTCTGCCAGTGTTGAAGTGCCCTGAGTTGCACCGTCGACAACCGGGTATGGTTCTAATGCAGCTAGCGAAGATGTATAGCCCGAGACGGTGCCTGCGGAGATCCCAGGCAGCATGGTCAAGCTGGACTGGACCACGACCGCAGCTGTAACCTTGTCAGCGTTGAGAGTCGTTCCGGTCAATGTACGGTCCGTGATAGCAGAGGCAGACGCGGCATCAACGGAGATCATAGGCATCGCGCCGGTTCGTGAGATACTTGCGAAAGCGCTCGAAGTGCCGCTTGCTACTGCGTAACTGGCTTGACCCACAACTGGTGTCGTAAACACACCGGTATTAGCTCGAGATGGCGCAGTCTTGTCGCTGAGCGCCGCATTGAGGATCGAGAGCAAAATGCCTCCTCCGTTCGTCGACACACCTGATAGTGATGACTCTTCCAGCAGTGATGTGCTTGCATCGCTGGAGCTGCTATGGGCGCTGGCAGGGCTTGCTTTTGCAGGTCCAATCTGCGCGGTCAGTTCCAGTACGCTGGCGATGATTGCTCCAATCAAGTCAGCCGAAAGTGTTGGAACTCCATCTACAATGCTCTCTGCTGCCGCTGTGGAGTTGTCTCTATCCGGTAACTGGACATTGTCTGGAGCTGGTGGCTGAGGAGCGATGCCGATCGCCCAGGAATCCGGACCATCAGTACTTGAGTCTTGAACCTCCAAAGGTGATATCGAACTGCTTGTCAACGCTAGTGAATGTGGTTGGGCTGTCTGCGCAAGTGCAGCGGAAGTAACGTCGCTGGCTTGCGCGCTCGACACTGATGGCACTGTTGATGGTCCCATTACTATAGAGTCAACGTCGCTGGTGCTTGCAAATGATGTCGGCACGATATCAGAGATAGTCTTGGCGGCTGCAGGACTGCTCAAGGTGGCTGCAGGCGCCGCACTCAATGATGGAGAACGCGTGGTAGTGGTTGCAGGGCGTAAGGCCGGGGTCGAAGGCTGCGCCGCAGAAGTGGCTTGCGCGAGCGCCGTCGGCGGGTCGTAGAAAACGTTGTCCGAGAAGATGCCAAATTCGCAACCGAGTCCGTTATCTCTATAGGACACTGCGTGCATTGACAGGAATTCCTGGGGCACAGACAGTGCCGGCGCATAGTCATCCCAGATCGTTGAGCACACGTTGATCGCTGACGAACTTACGAACCGCGAAACGAAGTAAGTGATCGTGCTGCCAGAGAAGGTGCTAGTGGCGAAGACAGTATGAACGCTTGATATGATAGAGATGCATTTCGGCTGGCACCGGTATGCGGCGGCGGGTACAGGAGACTGGAAATTTGCATAATCAAGGCTTTGTGGCGCTCCAAAGCTGCCGTTCAGGTACGCACACATGCTGTACACTTGGCCTGGGCTCTGAGGGATGATGAAGCGAGTCTGGTTGGCTATGGTTGATGTGCCGCTCGTATAACCCCAGTGTCCACTGATACTAATGTATACAGTTGGACTCGTGAGCGTCGTATTCAACGTGACAAAAGTGTTCGGCCTGCCGGGTATGGTTTCGCTCATGGTCTCGGTTGAGACGCTTCCGTTGCACTTACTTCCGGAGCCTAAAGTGACCACAGGCCAGTAGAACAGTCCGACGCTTGCTGCCGGTTCGAAGCAGAGAGGCTCACCAACAGCAACGCTTGGCAAAGCAGTGTCTTGCGATCCGCACTCAGGTGGGCCCCAGAATGGATAAGGGGCGGTAGATGGGCCGCGCGATGAGTATGCTGAAAGGCTCGAGTTGTAGAGAGTGGAGAGCATCGAGCAGTCGCCGCTTCCTATGACGCAGGGTGGTGGGACGAGTGTATACATTGCTTGCTCTGTGACCGTCGCCGTCACCGGAAATACGGACGTGAACTTCCTGGTTGTAAAGGCTGCGCAGGGCGTCAAACTTAGTCATGTCCCTTGACTCGGTGATACTGGTCAAGCCACGACGTACCTGTGACCACGGTGGTGTACCCGTCCACCCGTGGGTATCCATCGCAGAGTGTGTAAGTCGTAAAGAAGTTCGAAAGAAAGGTCTCCGTAGTGTAACTCGTCCCGTATGATTTGCTAACGCTTGTGACAAACGAGGTGAGTGTCTGTGTCGCCGTTGCAGTCGCTGACCTTCCTGTCGCGGACAAGCTTCGCCACCAGCTCCATCTCTGAGAGTTGCAACTTAGTGCGTATGAAAGCCCGCTTCCTGTGATCGGTATGGTCAGATTGTTGAACAGTACAGACGCCGTGGATGAGCTAGCGTTTAGGTAACGAGGGACGTCTGTAGCAGCGCTTAACAATAACAGGCAAAATAGAATATAGATGTACAACATGATGACAAGTAACCTGCCCAGAACATGCAGCAATCAACAAAGTGCGCGCACGGAAGAGGCGCGATTGATTATCTGTAGGTCATTCGAAAACGCTGATGATTAAGAGCTAGAGCACTTCTAGCCGTGTCTGTTCGACAACAAAAGGAGGTGTAGATCCAAACCATGAATAGCTTCGAGCCGCCTTCATGGCACAGCGGCGCCTACTGTTCCTAATCGACCATGCTTCAGGAGGAGGTGGGACGACCGGCCTCTTGCGCGATCGCATATGAGCTTGATATGAGCGTGATGTCATTGAATCTTCCCTAGATTTAGCAGTAAGTGGGCGGTGATAGCACAGAATACGTGGGCAAGAACCTTCGTCGCCTTTCACCGCCTTGCCTTTCTTTGATATTGAGCTGCTGAAACAGTCTTCCGGTGAGAATGAGCATCTTCAAAAATGCCGGTCGGAACAGCTGCCGGTACGCTTCTGAGTAGCGGCGTAGTCGGCGCGTATGTCACGAATCGCAACGAGAGCGGAAGCGCCTAGACATGGCCTACTTGAGACCGACCTAAACAGCTCGAAGAGGTCGGCATTGTCTTGAGCCAGACTGAGACTGAGAGTGAGACCGAGACCGACATTCGCAGCTGCTTGCACTCTGCTCTTTATGAGATGGTGCAACGTCCAATCTCTTGAGGTCGGTAGTCGATATGAAAGCTTTTCGACGGATAATGGCCCGAGCGTCGCTTACTCTAGGGAAGGGATCGGCTCCGAGTATGAGAACTGACCTGGCTGTGACGCGATTGCGCGCGAATGAGGAGACTTGCAATGCCTGCGCAGGCCTCAACGTCGATGAGATATAGTGGATAAGTGTACAACATTCTCTCTTACCCCTCCTTCAGTCATTGATGCGCCGCGCAATCGCAACAAGTGCGCCGGTGGGACTCTCTAGTGTACGGGCGATATACAGCAGGCACTCCTACAGAGCTTCATTCTATGCGTTGACCTCATCTTATCTTCAGCATCCTTCTCGCACAAATTCCCAACTCCAAGGGAGCCGTCTTCACTCCGCAATGGCGTCCCGCCACGTATCACTGACCAACCGCTGCGGCGAGTCCAAGAGCCCATATGTGCGCTCGCACATGGACAATCCCACAGCATGGCAGCTTTGGACGCCAGAGACGCTGGAGCTTGCTCGCCAGACCAACAGGCTGTTGTTCGTGAGCATCGGCTACTCTGCGTGCCATTGGTGCCATGTGATGGCTCACGAATCGTTTGACGACCCTCGTATTGCGCAACTGCTCAACGAGCACTTCATCCCTATCAAGATTGATAGGGAAGAGCGACCGGACATTGACCGCCAGTATATGGACTTCCTGCAAGCAACATCTGGCGGAGGAGGATGGCCGCTGAATGTGTTCGTCACTCCCGATCTCGAGCCTATCTTCGGCGGCACGTACTGGCCAGGTCCAAAGAGCGAGAGAGCGCAGATGGGCGGCACAGGCTTCGAGCAGATCTTAGTCAAGGTCGCACAGATGTGGAAGGAGCAAGAGTCTAAGTTGAGAGAAAACGGCAAGCAGATCACCGCGCAGCTCAAAGAGTTTGCGCAGGAAGGTACGCTCGGCGGTAGGACAGATGGGAAGACTAGTGACGGAGATGATGGTCTGGAGTTGGACTTGATCGAAGAAGCATACAACCACTACAAGGGCCGCTTCGACAGCAAATATGGTGGATTTGGCTCGGCCCCGAAGTTTCCGACACCGGTCCATCTCAAGGCGTTGGTACGGTTTGGCTGTCACCCACACACGGTGAAAGAAATAGTGGGCGACAAGGAAGTCAAGCACGCCCGGTATATGGCAGTGAAGACACTAGAATGCATGGCAAAAGGTGGGATTAAAGATCAGGTTGGTCATGGCTTCGCAAGGTACTCCGTAACGCGCGACTGGAGCTTGCCGCATTTTGAGAAGATGCTGTACGACAACGCGCAACTACTGCCGCTATATCTAGATGCATACTTACTCACCAAGACTGATTTATTTCTTGAAACGGTACATGACGTAGCGACGTACCTCACGACCGAGCCTATGCAGTCTTCGCTTGGTGGCATCAATGCCTCGGAGGACGCAGACTCCCTCCCAACAGCTATTGATCATCACAAGCGCGAGGGCGCCTTTTATGTCTGGACGCTCGACGAGTTTAAGGAGCTTCTAACCGACGAAGAAGCAACTGTCTGCGCTAGGTACTGGAATGTGCAACCTAATGGTAACGTCGACCGACGCTACGACCATCAAGGCGAGCTCGTCGGTAGGAATACCTTGTGCGTCCAGTACGACACTCCCGACTTGGCGAGCGAGCTCGGCATGAGCGATAGTGAAGTCAAGCGCTTGATCGGCAGCGGTAGGAAGAAACTTCTTGAGTATCGCGACAAGAACAGACCTCTACCTTCTCTTGATGACAAGATCGTCACGGCTTGGAACGGTCTCGCAATCGGCGGACTTGCGCGTGCTAGCGCAGCCCTCTCTTCAATGGCACCAGACTCCGCTCAGGCCTACCTAGCCGGGGCGGAAAGAGCAGCCGCGTGTATTAAGCAACATCTGTTCGACGCCAAGACCGGTACGCTACGGCGTGTCTACAGAGAAGGACCAGGAGAGACACAAGGCTTCGCAGACGACTACGCCTTCCTCATCTCGGGCCTACTGGACCTCTACGAAGCCACGTTCGACGATAGCTACCTCTCCTTTGCCGACACTCTGCAACAAACGCAGGTCAAGCTCTTCTGGGATGACAACAAGTACGCCTTTTTCTCAACACCAGCCAATCAGCCCGATATCCTGGTCCGCACAAAGGACGCTATGGATAATGCTGAACCGTCTACGAACGGCGTGAGCGCGCAGAATCTGTTTCGACTGAGCAGTTTGCTCAATGATGAGAAGTACGAGAAGATGGCTAAGCGAACTGTCGCTGCGTTCGAAGTGGAGATCGGCCAGCACCCGGGCCTGTTCAGCGGCATGATGAGCAGTATCATCGCTTCGAAGCTTGGCATGAAGGGTTTGATGGTCGTCGGTGAGGGCGAGGTTGCCGAAGCCGCTCTTAAGAAAGCTAGAGAAAGCGTCAGGCCGAACTGGACGGTGCTCAGAGTCGGCGGCAAGGCGGAGGCGAAGTGGTTGAGGCAACGCAACGAGCTTCTGCAGGATCTTGACGGCAGCAGAGTGATGGTACAGGTATGCGAGGACGGAGCTTGCAGGTTGTTGGACGCAAAGGAGGTGAACGAGCTCTTTGCTCACGAGTCATAACGAATCTGCACGTTGTATAGAATCAGTCCCCACCCTTGCAAGCACTGCCTCGCGACAAGCGGCTTGCGGACCTGCGATCGCGAAAGACTCCAATAAGTCAGCGCATGTGGCACTGGTCAATGTTAATGCAACATTGACCTCAGTGTGGATGTCATAAAGTCTGAAAGCTGCCCATGAACGCTATGTCAACTCAATGCGGGCTACCCTAAGCAGCGGTGTTTTCAATACTCTGCGATGCCATCTCGCTAGCGCGTTCGTTGCGGTGCGCTCAAGTCTCAGCTCGCTGACTCGCACTTTACCCTGATCCAGGCGAATATGATCGCTCCACACTCATCCAAGACACTCTCAATCATCATGCCGTTATGTTCGTTGCGTTGCAGTGTATTTCGCGCTAAAGCTGCAAATCTCGCCAGTCATTCGCCAATCGCCTCAGTCGCTGTCAGTAGTGGTTGCTTCTCGCTCAGTGGACGGCCTCGCAGACCCTGCCGGCCATGCTTGCGTCATGCTTGTTGTGGTTTGTGGCGTCATGACCTTGATCGGCGTTGGTTGAGAAGCTGTTATGAACAGTCGCCACAGTGCTACCACAGAAGCTCCCAGCAGCGTTCGCAAGCTCACCGTTGCCGTAGAAGCTGCCGTTCGGGGTCATGTTGGAGAAGAGACCCTTCAGACCAAAGCTGTCGTCGAGCCTAGGGGTTGTCTTGAACGAGCTCGAAGCGTCCTTGTATTCGCTAGCGCCGCTCCTCGAGCTGGTCCTGGAAACCTTGAGGTTATCGTGGCAGTCCTTCTTACCGAGCGCGGGCTCCGGCGCCGGGGCGGCTTTGCCCCACCACAAGTAGTCCTCTGGCTTGCACTGTAGTAAAGAGTGAGCGAATATCATAAAGACACTGATCGGTCTGCTCTTACCGGACTGTCTTCCAACCCATCCGAGTTGTAGGACCCGTGGTCAAGCTGACGGATATTCTGACCGATGATGTTGCCTTCTCCGTAAAGCTTCTCCTCGACCAACTGAGAGCTTGCTTTGAGGAGATTAGCCATGGCCTCGTGAACAGTCGCGCCCACGTTTCCACTCAGAAGGCCCGCCTTCTTCTGCGTCGCGCCATTAACGTCGGCGAAGACGACGTGGCATTTGAGGTTCGGCGATGTACCGCGTATGATGATGAACAGCTCGGGCAGGCTGGTGACTCGACGTCCAGTGGACGGGGAGATAACGTGGAAGACTTCTTCGGGGCGTATGATAGGCATAACGACACTGGCGTTGGCTAGTTGTAATGTTAGGATTGCGTGAGTGACGTTCGGGATATGTTTCATGCAGCTTACCAAGAATGAGCTCCTTCATGCCAGCGATGTCGTCACGCTTGTTGATGGCATTGATGAAGGCGTCGACTACCGACTTGATTTCAGCGCGAATGTTGCTGACGCTGCACTTGACCATGTCCGAGACGAAGTCTTTGATCGTGGCGATATCCATCGCAAACGCCGGCGCTGTTTTACTGCGGTGCTTCTGCGATAGCGAGCGAGAGATTTGCGGAATTAATTGTTGCGTCTGCGGGCGGTGCGCTTGAGCTTGGCAGGCGTGTGAAAGATTGGACGAGGGCCGAAGGTAAGCGTGGGTTGTGTGAGAAGTATAGAGATGAGTGAAAGAAGGTAACAAGAACAATATCCTACGATATAATCGCCCCAGTGTGTGGGGCGTAAGGTCACAAGTCAACCCAGTTGCGCCCAGAATAGAAACTCACAACCACTTGACGTCAAGATCAAGCAGCGTACAACGATAGAGCACTGAGTACTGTGACACAAATGATCCCGCCAAAGGAGAGCCCGCGGTGACCGGCAAAGGAACTGTCCAGCGTAACGTACAACGGCGACTGATCGCCAGTAAGGTGAGCTCAGCCTGAGTACAAGCGTCAGGGCCGTTATGGTTCTGCCGCTCACCACGAACGAGTAGTGGTCCGCATCTATGGTGTTAGAATCCGTCTCAAGCTGGTGCAGGCTTCGCAAATGAGCCTCGCTAGTGGGCTGGCTGTAACCAGTACATCGGGGACGCAGCTACATGCAGAGCCTTCCGAACATCGGGCTGCTGTGGGCTTCGTTGTGCAAATATCCCCGGGGTCTCGGCCGTGATGGGTAACGAGCATCGCGATATCAAGCGTGAAGTGAGGGTAAGGCGACGTGAGATGTTTTCGGCCTCAGGCATTAGTTTCTTTCCCCGCGAGCCAATCACACTTTGCCGAACTACTTCCGTTTGAAGAACGGTCAATATGGCGAATGATGGAGAGATTCCGAAGGCGACAGAGTCTACCGAAGCGATTGTGAACCCAACGCAAGCTTCGCCAAAGTCATCAAAGAGAAAGCGTAAGCGGACACCGAAGCCCAACGTGCTAAGCCAACTTACCATCCGGAACCCACCATGGGCGTATATCCATCTCCGGCATATTACGACCACGGGAGCAGCTACGACAGAGCTAGACTCAGTCACTGCGCACATGCACATTACAGCAGCACTGTCGCAGTTTCTGGGCTTACACGGAGCCGCAATACCGATTGACATCACGAAGATCGAAAAGGCTGACGTTTGGGTTCGCTTACCTGCCGAGGACTGCAGCTCTCTACTCGCCGCTGTCGGTGGGTGGGTCAGTAGCAAAGGCGCAGGTTGGAGAATTATAGGTACCAGCTCATGGGATGCAGCAGCGCCTGGAAGGAACAGCGGGCAAGACCTCTTCAATGATTAATACTGATGGCCTTCACCGACCGGAAGTGTCCAAGAAGTGAGTATTTAGTAATGACTCTCGAAGGTCAACTCAATACAGCATTCTCAAGAGCCTGCTGCAGGCGCCTCCGCGAGAGCCCGGCCAGCGCACACTGTTGAATTGCATACGTCGCTCCTCGTGGACCTTGGACGCAAGCCAAAATGCATGCCTGCCGACCTCGATAATGTGACCGACTATGCACCACTCCCATTGACAAGCCCCAGCTGTCGCAAGCGTTCAGGATTGATACCAGCGAAATCATCGCGCTGACGATCCATGTCGGTGTCGTCATCCGGGGAGCCTGTCGTGGGAGGTGTCGCAGTCTGCATGGTGTTGTCAAAGTCGCGATGCTGCTGAGCTGAGCTCGGTCGAGATGCTGCGCCCTTGAAGGAAAACCGGTCATCGCCGTTCGCTTGCGCCACAGCAACCGCTGCATCGTGGACTGCGGCGATCGCTTCGTGGGTGAAGGAGCCAGAAACGTCCTCGCTTGGCGTGAGGACTGGGTCATCCATCTCCATAGCAGATTCGGCGGGTGGCGGAGGCGGAGGTGGAGGAGCCGGCGGTTGCTCGGACTCTGTGCGCTGCCTCTTCAGAGTTGTATCCTCATCATCTGCAGTACCATTTTCGGTGCTACTGATTCTCCGCTTCGCCACCGTCGGACTGTCACTGTAGTCTACGGGCGTGGCTTCGGGCTCGTCGGCTTCATCGTCAGACAGCACAGCGTCATCCATCTCCTTGTCCATAGGACTTCCAGCGGTAGCGGGAGGTGTACCCATGGGTGTATTACCACCATTACCCTTCTTCGCGGCATGCTTCTCCGCCTTCCGTCTATCCGCCTCCGTCTTCTTCTTCACTGCCTTCTCGAAGAACTCCTGTGCATGCTTCTTCACACTCTTGGCTTGCTTGTCGCTGATTTTAGATGGATCGTCTACGCGGCCCTTCCTGAAGTCGGAGTCTACCATCTTCTTGGCGAACTCCTTCGCCCAGCGCTTGAGATCATCCTTCTCCAGCTTGTGCTTGTACTTGCCAACGACATGCATGATGTGCGGTTGGAGCGCACCTTCGTACATCTTCTTTTGCTTCTCTTCCGGCAGAGATCGCCACTTATCTTCCTTGCGCACCTTCTTCGGCGTTTCTACTGGCGTGACGGTCTCTGACGTGGGCTTGACTGGCTCCTTCTTGCTCGATACGATGTTCTTAATGAGGTCCTGTAGCATCTGTTGATCAGACACAGCCTTGGGTGGCGGGGGCGGAGGTGCACCAGTTGCCGGCATGATCGGTCGTTGCCACGTCGTTGTACCTGCTGCATTGTAGTAGTAGATGGTACCATTCGCTGCTGTAGCTTCGAACCAGCCGGGTGGAAGGGCACTAGGCGGTGGTGGAGGCCGGAAACGTGGTGGTGGTCGGGTCCCGCCGAAGAAGGAAGAACCACGGGCTGATGCATTCCCGCGAGGCCCGGTGGGCGCTTGAATACGATCTGGTGATTTTGTTCGGGATCGCGACTTTGACCTGCGCCGTTCGTTTTCGCGCCTGTCTGGTCGCTCAGCCTTACGATCAGGCGCGGTGGCGTTAGGGTCCCGCTTCATCCTTGGTATTCGGTAAGCGACCTCTAGTCTGCTCCATGCCTCAAGTAGGGTGTTTGCAAGTGCTGATACTCTCTCATCATTGTTGTCTTTGAGCTTTTCGACTGTCTCTTCAATCTTCGAGTCCTGAATCTTGTTGCGGGTTAGGCGTGGCATCTTGTCGAGAACATCGAGGACCTGAAGGCACACATTGACATCGTCGATGAAGTTAGAGAGCGCCGTCTTGAGCACGCGGTAGCCGTGAAAGCGCACGACACGATTCCGAACCTTCTCATCATCGGCGCGCTGTATGCGGGTGAGCAGCTTAACTGCAATCCACTTCTCTTTGCACTGCATGAGTGTGGACATGACCTTGTTGACGCCTTCTTCGTCAAGGCCCCTAGGCTCAACGTTGTTGACGTACTCCTCGTCATCCTCACCGGCCTTCTTCTTGCGCGGCTTCTTTGCCACCGCTGTGTCCCAGGCGTCAGCATCATCAATGCCCAAAGCCTCAATGACGGCGTTGGACAGCTTGGTGGCGCGCTCAGTTTGTGTTTTGCCGCCGATGTAGCCCGTACAATTGGGCTCGCCGCAGTAGCAGGGTTGAGGTTCGGCGCCATAGCGGTCGACATTATAGTTGAAAACAAGCTCCTCTCCAGCCTGGATTTTGCGCTCGGCAAAGATTCCCATGCGCAGCTTGTCCCCAACCACCCATTTATCGACATAGCAATTAGGATTACAAGAGTGATTACAGAAACGTCCGAGGTTGCCCTTCTTGGTTGCATCAACAAACTCCCCTTTTGTAAGCGACATGAAGTAGAAATGCTTGATGCCCTCTTCGTCGTATTGCTGCATTCGCCGGCGAAAGACATTTTCGCCAATAACCTCGCCAATGTACTCGAAGATGAAGTCGTTTGCTTTGAGGTTAGTGTTAGTTCGCAAGCCATAGCCTTTCTTTTCTGTCTTGATGACCGTGACATCGGCGAACTGTTTGCGGAGAAAGCGCTGATTCTGACAAGCTGCTCCACACCCGCAATCCGCCGCGCACTCCATTTTTGTAGCACGGTTGATGCAGTCGGAGTCGTCGCCACAGGCATGATTGCTACGTGAAATGGAGTCTATAGAATATGTTAGATAGTGCTCCCAAAGTTGTGATTCTATGGTAGATGTTCAGTTGGTCGCGACTTACCCCACTCCTCAGCGCAGTCGCACTCGAGCGCAGGCTCAGTCGTGCCCAGGTATTTGTTGGCATATGTGCACTCCGGCAGGACGCCGAAGGTCGACGTAGCTTCGCTCGTTTTGTCCTCGTAGTCTAGGAACAGCTGGGGTGGCCGCTTCTCAACCTTTTGCGACGTCGTCCGCGCCAGCTTCGGGGGTTTGCCCGGCTCTAGTTTCAGCGTCACATCGCCGCCCAGTACCTCCTGATGCTCAGCCTTGATCGGTGATTGAGCCATTATATCAACCTTCACGGATGACCGCGATTGTTTCTTGGTGCTGCGCGGTGTCCCGGATGCCGTGTCTGCGCCGCTTATGGGAGGAGAGGGCTCCTTCTTGACTGCATGTGCAACCGATATGGTATTCATATCCACATCCACGTCGCCGTCACCGACCTCCTCTTTCAAGTGCATGTCTTGTAGGGACTGAACAGCACTTGACTTGCTGTCCGCCTCATCTTCCGCCATATCCCAGGTGAATGTTGGTTGCAGAATCTGAAGTCGGAAAGCGGAGGTGCAAGACTCGACTAACGAAGCAGATGTTGGCCGACCGCTACGCTTGGAGAGCGCATCTGCGGTTAAGAAGCAGCGTCCACTCCAATAGTGAGTGATACCCTGGCTCCAGCGTGTGACTGTGCCTACAGTACAGCAAGTCTCGTGTGGCTACCGGTGGAGACTGCCTTGGGCCACAAGGTGAGTTGCTGCGCAGCTTGCGCGGACAGCGATCCTCACAGACGTAGGGAATTGTGCAAAGTGGCAGGACTGGGGCGAGCTCGAGTGGAAGGCTTCTACCGACTTCACTATAATAAGTATTGGCTACACACTTGGCTTCAGATGACCCACTTATCGCAATTTGCGCCCTTGCAGCATTAGGTCAGGTACTGGCTCGTGAGGCCTGTTCTTGAATATTTGGGAGGTTGTGTGGACGTTCCGAAAGAGTGTGATGGTTATTGAAGAAAGCGAACCTGCATCTTACTCGCTCGTTCGACTGAACGCTACCTTACCGTACCACCGAACTTTCGCCGATCCAGCGTCGGAGTTGCACCAAGATTCCCAAAGCCACATCCTCAATACATCGTAGGCTTCCGGGCTTGCGCCTCCCAGCTTTGACAGGTTTTGTGTGAATGCTTGATAGCTGCAATGCAATCACGCAGGCGTCTCGGGTCTGCCCGGCATTTCTCATGCGTTCCGGGTAAGAAGTGCCGCCGATAGGCTGTTTAAACGGCGACTATTCATTAAGGTAATCGCTCTACCGGGTCCTGCTGTTTTGACGACTGCGGTCTGGCAACAGTAGGATCTCCCAGGAGGGTCTTGCCGTTGCTTCGCGCATACCGAACGTATTTGCGAAGTCGCAAGAGGAGGGCGAGTTGGCCAAATTTTGAAGAGTAAGCGCAAACTCAGAAACAGGTGCTCTGTAACAGTATGATACTTTTCGGTGTTTTGTCACATGCCCTCGGGTTCATATGGCATTGGGTATGCGCGAGCTTCTAGCGGCTGTAAGACATGCTGTAAGCTTGACGATATATCACGTCGGACATGGTACGGCATCCGAACAAAAGTTGACGCTAGTTCCGAGCATATCGCGTGAGTAATATGCTTGAGAGACGGCTCCGGGCCCTACCATTCTTTAGCGGCATCGCTCTGGCAGCTGCGTGGGTGACGAGATGTATGTAGGCGCTACGTCCATGCGCTGAGCCAGCCCGGGCGGTAAGAGCGAGATAGCTAGCGACCCATTCGCATCGCGCCAAGATTTGTCTTCCACCCTCGGGACTGACGCCAACGGCTGCTTGCGCTTATCATGCAAGCCGTGATAGCGTCTATTTCCACCGATATACGGAGGCGAGATGTCTCGGCAGTGGGCGCTTCGAAGAACGTGAGAAAGGGCTGGAGAAACGGGAAGGAGCGGACCGTTACCGTTAAGCGCAATTTAAACGGGACCGTTGCTTTGTTATATGTTTTGTCCACGACATCTGGCCGGTCAAGGCTTTGTGGAGGACACGATTCTTGACTGCCGCGCGATACGAGACGCATACCGATCAACCAGAATCGCGCAATCGCCAGGACGCAATGCATTAAAGGATGCGACTATGGTTCTGACCCTTCTAATCTTCCTACGCAACGGCAAGACTTCACGAGCCACCTATACCTCCGTACTTACAAGCTAATGCAGTCCAATGCACTCCCTGCATGCAGAATTGCATAGACGTACTGCACCTCACCCTTTTCGCATTGACGCCGAACACTTGCTTTCCTACTTCATTAAACAGCCTTGCCTCCTCACGAGCGCAAGCCGGCGTCATGTGTCTTTCCTATTATTGTTGAAGTCCCTCTCGTTTTCCGAAAGATCTCAACACCATCGTTTGGCTCACGGCGACACGTTTGCAACGAATTTTTGTACCTTGGAGATTTCCTTTGTTTCGACAGCAGAAGCGTTACGACCATCACGAGCCTATTACGCGCCCGCCTGACCGATGATACTGCATTGAGTTTTGACGTTGTCCCACCAGAACGCAGATATTGTCCTATGACTTTAATGCTGGTTTCCTCTATCTTGCTTTTACGCTCGCTATGGCAACCCCACGCTCGTGGAATGACTATGAGAAGGTGGGAGGACAGCACTGCGCGAACATTCCGAATATCGCTAATGCCCTAACGTGTAGAATGAATTGCTCGCTGAGATTATCAAGCAAAGATCTCCGTATCCTGCGGTGCTACTTAATGTCGCCCTGAACGTCAATCCACAGCCGACCTGGGACAATCTACCACTTCCATATGGTACGTAGTGAGCATGACTACGGAGCATCACGAACTGACTATCCATAGGACGGTCCGTCAACTCATGTCGCGCAGTCTTCGACGAGATGAGACGCAATGCACCGGTCATGTCTGTGCCGAGTACTGTCTACGGCCCTCAGACTCCAGTGTCTGCGCCCCTCTCTGCGCCACCACTTGGTTTCAAACGTACCTATCAGCCTGAACAAGCTTTCATACCAGGCCGAGAGATACGACCAAAGCCAATTCCAGCAGCAAGCACTGCGGCCCCCTCAACAACGAGCGAGCCACCTCCAAAGCGAAAGCGAGGACGGCCTACGAAAGAAGAGTCACAGGCAAAGGCAGCGGCCAGAGCGGAGCGAGGCGAAGGTCCGAGTGTGTCAGTGTCTGCTCCTTCGGGCCCCACCGCACCGTCTCAAAGCGTGTCGCACGCAGAATCATCCACCGATCTCGCGTCGCAAGCGGATGCTGCTGGACCTGCATTGCCTCCAGCGACGCGCATACCAATCTCGGCAGTCTTAACACCTACAGCCCGGAAGACTGGAAGTAGCTCAAGCTCGTCATCTGGGACGCGAAGGCGAGGCAGGTCAATGAGGTCCGAATTGGGCGAAGCGTCCGGATATGCGCAACAGTACGAGTCATCGTGGGGTAGAGTTTCAGTAATTCCTGAGGGCACACCTGCAACAACAACCGCGATGCGCCATCGAGAGGAGGAATCACCGGCAACTCAACAACGCCGTCCCTCGGACGATCAGTAGTCACGGACACAGCACGGCTAAGACGCACGTCACTTAATATCACACGAGCGCATTTCGAGACTTATTCGGGAGGGAGCACTACATTACTGCACGAATTTACGACATCACATTGGATTGGGATAATGATTTGCCACAACACATCCTGCACCTGCATACGCATGGAATGTATTAGTATCGTGCTAATGTTTTGGAAAGGGCGGCTGTTTCGTTGAGGTTACCATGTACTGTACGTCTACTGATATGTACGAGTAGAGAGAGATGAATCACAAAACATGCACCACGAATCAGCTCATTCAGAGTCTTTGCTTCACATACCTATGCCGTGATGAGGCTTAGTAGGCAAAGTGTGACAAAGGGCCACCCTAGCGAAGGGAAGCTCTCCTCGCTGCAACGTGTTGATCGAGGTAAGGGTCAGCATTCTGACACATGGTTGAGTATACGGTCGATGCATTTAGCGTTGCGGCGCTGCACCTGCACTAAACCGCATGCAAGTGGTTCTGCTGCAGCTAGCACCCGTCATGTCAGCTTCCCAGCCAGACAGCCAGAAAGAACCAATCTACGCTGCTTAAACCTGACGACACGACAGTATCGTCAGTGGACTACTACGAACTTCTCAGCGTGAGGACAAACGCCACGACGCAAGACGTCCGCTCAGCCTACAAAACCAAAGCACTTTTGCACGAGCCTGACAAGCCGAAGGAGATGCGGCGCAGTTTAGGGCAATCACACATGCAATGGAGACTCTTGTTAACCCGAAGAAGCGGCGGAAGTACGATGGAAGTAACCACATTCGCCGGCGACAACAGACACAAGAGGTCGAGGCCCGGCTCGAAGCCAAGCTCGAAGCCAAGCGTGAGGAGTTGCTGCACCGCCTTAAAACTGTTTCAATGAGCTTCAGGTTGCTTGCGACAGAATCGAGCAGAAGATGGCGAGCGTCCAGAATCTGCACGAACAGCAGAAGGTGAAGGAGACCCTTTCAGTAGAGAATGTGGCATAGTCTGCCGCTTCCCGGTATGTGTTGCCCAGGTCTCAGCGATGTTTACTTCCGGTGTTGGCGATCTGTCAATTACGGGCCTTTACAGAGACGCGTTCCAACATCTTCGGGTAGACGGTACCTGACCGTTTGAGCGCTTGACTGCGTCTTACTCCATACCCAACAGCAGTGGACCGCTTACAGCGCATAGAGCATCCTTTCAGCACAGTGTTCACATCTCACTCCGCGTTTCTGACCCCAGAAAAAGCACTGCCCATCGAAGTGATCCCTGCTCGACATCATCGCCGCTCGCGTCGTCTCAGCAAGTTCGAGAGCCTCGCAAACATCAACCACGCTCTCCATCACCAGCCCGATACCCAGCTCCCTCACTCCAGTGTAACGCGGACAAGAGCCGTGGTGCTCGAGCGTGCGCTTGGCCCATTGCCAGGCAGTGCAGATGCAGAAGCCTCTCGGCACAGGAGCACCTTGCAGCCGCATTTGCCACTTTACTCCGTCTGCGGTGGGATTGCGTTTCGTCAACGTTGCGACGGCGTCGATAATTGAGCCGACCAAGATCCACGGAAGCTGCACCTTGACCTTGGTGACGCCTCTGAGAACCCTGCCACGGTCACGGATCCATCGCACGCACATTTGTCGTTCGAGGGCGTTGCGCAGAGGGATGTGCAAGCCATTAACGGCATACTGGGCGCTCAAGATCTCCGAGGTGAGCAAGGGAATAGCATGGGTGAGCGGTGGAAGCTGTTCGCAGATCTTCGAGTGGTTGATGTTGAGTATATCGCTCTCAATGAGGGGAATCTTTCGCTTGACGGGGAACCATGAGGTATTTGGGATATGACCCTTGGAGCGCAAGTTGTTGGGATTGAACTCGCAGTCGTACCGGAATAATAGCCTCACGTAGTTCGGACTTTGAAGGGCGAGAGCGTAGATCATGATTCTGACCTCACCAGGAAGATCGAGGAACGAGGTCTTCTGCCGTATCCATACTCTTGGTGTCGTTGATGGGCTGGCATTGCGGATATCCTCGCCGGCTGGCTTCCCGTCCGAGAGGTAGAGTGTCTCGATACCCTCGGGGAAGTCGTCTCCTTCCATGGCACTTTGTATGGACATCTGCAGGGGTCCATGTTCAAGCACTGTCTGAGCTGGAGTCCAGCGAACGTATAAGTGTCGTGAAGGAGCCGCCAATGCTTCGCCACGAAGCTGCTGAGTCACGGGATTGACGCAGGTGCAGATGGCTCAGAGGCACTAGCGTCATGACTCCTCGGAGCACGCTGCAATGAACCAATCCTCGCTAGATCGATTCTACTTTTACAGTGCAAAATATGAACGGCCCTTCTCCTGCCGTACCTTCTCTTCGCTCGCTAGCGGACACTTCTCCGTGACCCAGCCGCCAGTGTCGCAGCGCGACTAATGCAGTAGCGAGCCACACCAGCTCGAATTCAATCCGACGAACCCTCCCTATGGCGAATCGCTCTCAACCATGGCTTCGAACGCCGCGCTCAGTCCCAAGCCGGAAACGCTGCGCCGCCAGCTCCCTAAACCGGCGGCGCCGTCGCCTCCATTCCTCCTCGGGGCCGTCCACGCAACCCGCCGCCACGAGCTTCATATCCACCACGGCCTTCATACCCACCACGACCCTCAAACCCACCTCTACCACCGCCGTACCCACGACCGCCACCTCCACCTCCCCTGCCAAAACCTCTGCCCCTACCACGACCCCTAAACCCACCCCTGTACCCTCCATCAACGCTACCCTGGCCAAACGTTTCCATATTCCTCGTCCGCTCCTCGCGCCTCATCGCCCGACCGTCGACCATCTGGTCGCCCGATGCCTGCTCGACGCGGTCCTTCAAATCGCTGCTGATATTGTCGAAGAAGCTGCTCTTCCGATCGTAGCTCTTCTCGCCTGTTTTAGGCGGGATCACAACATCATCTTCCGCGGCACGATTCGCATGTCCGTTCGTTGCTGCCATGGGATCCGGTGTAGCGCCGTTCGTCGGACTCGTAACCGGCGAGCCTGACGCCATTGCCTCTTTCATAAGGTCGTCCTTGTTGAACTTCGCGTTTGCCGCGTCGAAGTCGTAGTCTTCTTTCGGCACATCGATGCCTTTGTGGGTTGGTCCGCTTTCCCGTCTGGCTCCACCTCTCGGTCCGCCTCTGCCACCACGCCCGCGGCCACGATGCTGTCCATCTTGCATCCTCATCTGGTTCATATTCTGCGTGAGATTGTCGACGCCATCGGTGGGCTGGGGCTGTGGCTGTCTGTTCGCGCCAAGCTTAGCCATCGCTTCAGCGACTGCTGCCGCTGCCGCTTGTGTCGCGTCAGGCACGGCCTGGTGTTGAGCGGGTTGCGAAGGCGGTTGTCGAGCAGCCTCAGTAGGCCGCTGAGGTGGTTTGGCCGCAAGCACATTCATTGACGGTAAAGGTACGGCTACCCGGTTGTTGTTCTTCCCTGCATTTTTCGGTTCTGTCGGTTGTTGTTGGGCTTTGGTAATTTCTGATGGTGCCGTTGCAGCGGAAGTCGGCGGCTTCGAGTCGATTGGAGGGGGTGGGGCAGCTGATGAGGCGGCAGAGGGCACGGACGGTGCTGGTGTCGTAGACATCTCGATGGGCTTCTGCGGCTGCGCCGCCGATGGCTTCGGAGCCTCTTGACTTGCCGGAGCCGGAGTTCCTTGTTTGCTACCGATCGGCGCCTGCGGTGGGCCTTGTTGCATGTGTGGGGGCGGTCGCTGCTGATTCATGTGTTGTCCAGGCGGACCATTGTGCATGTGCGAGTGGTTGGGAAAGTGGCCTGGCGGAGGGCCAGGTGGGAAGCCTTGGTTTGGCGGTGGACCGTAAGCCATGCCGTATCCAGGCGGAGGTGGAGGCGGACCGTAGCCCATGCCGTATCCGGGTACAGCGCCAGGTGCACCTGGGAAGCCATGAGGACCGCCTGGACCTTGAAATCGTGGATGCTGTTGTTGTGGATGCTGTTGTTGGTTTGGCGGTCGGTAGCCAAATTGTTGTTGCTGCTGATATGGAGGAGGTGGACCTCGAAACCGGTCCGCTTGCTCGGGAGGGGGTGGTTGTTGTGCTGGCGGAGGTGCTGGTCGCGCGGACTGTTGCCGTGTTAGCTCGGTGTTCTGATGAGCATCCTTTGACTACGTTTCGCTTCATTGTTGGCTCAGAAGGAAGGCAACATGGAAGTATCCGCATGGTTGTTTGCGCCTCAGCAGAACTGAAAAGTTTACATCCAAAATGCTTCATCAATGCGGTGATTGAAGAACGATTGATCACTTACCCCGAGAATGGCGGGATCGTCAGGCACCTGCGGTGGCCTGTTCTCTTCCTTCTGACCGGGTGGCGCGATGATGTTGAGCTCTTTCACGTCGCTGCCACGGAAGACGATGTACTCGTAGACATGATCGCTCGCTGCCAGCTCTTCCGCCGGGTTGCCGCGCCGACCTTCAGTGCCATGCGACGTGACGTTTTCGAGTGCGACCTGCGCGTCTTTCATCAGCACTGCCATATCAGACTGTAGGAAGGATCTTCCATACCGTGTGGCTCTCGCTATTGATCTCGTGCTAGCGCAAGGAAGTCAGTACATGCTGCTTCATTTGGTATTAGAGTGACGGACCAGTGTGCCAATGTAGCGCACCCCGGAGACAGAGATGAGGGAGATGCGTGAGCCTATGAACTCAGACATGGCGAAAGGGTGGGAGGATGTGGTTGCAGTCGCAGTTGCAGTTGCAGTTGCAGTAACCACGTAGCTTTCAATTGCTTCGCTTGCGATGGACGCAAATGTCTGAGTGTGAGCTCTCGAGCTGTGCCAGCCTTAGGCCGACATTGCCAGAAGGGTCGGTATCGCGTGACAGAAGTCATGGGTGGTATCCCTTCACTCCACTCGCTTCATCCTCACGCTCTCCCCAGTCATGCCAGCATTGCCGTCCTCGTAACCGCTTACTGCACGTCGCTCGTGGCAGTCATCACTAATGTCGCTTATGCAGAATGGTGGCGTTCATGGCAACGATAACCTGGAGAACACATGGCTGTTCCACCAGCTAGACGAATACGATTGGGACAATGATCTGGAATTCCAAGGTGGTCTTCGCTCCATACTCGGCTCAGTTCAAGACCCAGACCGTGTTCGCCATCTGACTTTGCGCGCACGATGCTACTACTTCAGCCGGAAAGTAGGCCAGCAAGTGGACTTTGATGGCTACCAACGCTGGCTCGCCACCCGAGACGCAGTGTCCGCCCCTCTTCTGAATGGCAACGGTGCACATGAAACCACGTCTCAAGAACTCGAAGGCACCCAAGCAGATGGTGCTGCAGCTGATGGAGGAATGGCGAATGCACCCAAACCTGCCTCTTTCGCAGAGATCTGTGACATGATTGCCGAAGGTAAACCTATTCCTGGAATTAAGGATATCCCACCGACCATACTTGACGGCCAGGTCTCGGAGAGTTCATCTTCGAGAAGGAAGAAGCCGTGGGAGAAGGATCTTCCTGCCGTGACTGAAGACGCTAGAGCGCCGAGCTGGATGCGATGAAATTTACATACCGCCCAACAACCATGCTATCGGGGCAGAATTGCCTCAATTAGCGATGAAACCAGCGTAAGAGCAACATAGCAGCGCGGAACACCTGACCGGAACCCATGCATTACGTCACTCACGGCTTCTCCTTGAGCGCCTAGGTGGGCCCACCATATTCGGCGCTGTCTCCTGAAACCTCAAACGCTCTTCGATCGCTGCGGCGTCCTCCAGAACATCCGCCTCCTGCACAAGCCGTCTCTCAATCTCATCACCGTTGTTGTCGTTCAGGTCGTCCCACCCTTTCCAAGCCGTCCAGCTCATGTCTCTGTACACCTTCCTGACTTTGCTCAACAATGCTAAGAAATCTGCACCCTCATAGTCCTTGGAGACCAGGGAGTTGAGAAAGGCCGCGACCGCGCTGCGAGGCTTGCCAATGTTCTTGGCCTTGAGCTGAAGCTGAACAGCGGGATGATTGTTTTGGCGAAAGTCAAGCCCACGATCTATGCGCTCTTGCTTGCTGTCATCCGCAAGAACGCTGAAGTCTGCAGTGAAGCGGAGCTTAATCGTGCTCGGCCCGGTATTTATGAACCACATTGCTGGTCGAAGCGCCTCAAAGAGTGAGGTGCTGGCGTTCGCGAATTCGAAATCAACCACATTCATGCCGACTTTGCTACACCCTTCGAGACTCACGATTCGGTCACGCATCTGGCGTTGGTATTCTGCCGCTATCCTTTTTGAGACTCGTGATAATCCGCCGTCCGTCCAGAGAGTGGGACTTAGAGGACGTGTTCCCTGCTGGTTGCTGCAAATGCCACGCAAAGGTACCGTCATAACACAATCTACCGGGCCGACTAGCTCGGCAGATAGCGGGTTAGCAAATTGCGGAACAGCGGTCCTGTGCCAACGAGCGTACCGAAACCGTAGATCCAGTTTCGAAGCTCCGGTGAAAGTTTGGCCATCATATCGATTGGACTCGTGGAGCGCTTGAGCGCTGGGTGATGCCGCCATGATCTTCTGGGGTGGAAGGCTCACGGGAGTGTAAAGGCGAAGCCGTCCAGCAAAGAATTTGCGTGGACTTCTTACGATACTGAAGCGAAATGAAATGAATGTGTTGTGTGTTGGCGCCGAAAGTTAGACTTGGCATACGGTCGGAACAAATTCAAGTGCACTGAAGGTGAAATGATTCTGGCGAAAAAAACGCTTCGCATGTGGCGATCGATCGTACGGTAGTGTAGGTCGCCGAGCGGAGATTGGGAAGCAGACGTTGCTTCGTCCGATACGTACATCTACCTTTCCTATGGCTGCACGATGGCACTTGGCCCCCAAGGTCATCCGAAGCAACATGCAGCAACTCCTAACCATGCATGTTCCAACCATCAGCCCGTTTCGAACTACATACTGAGCAACCGTTTGCGGATAATCGTCGATCCTCAGAGGCGAAACCTGCCTGCGGAAGCGGGACAGGTTCGGTACAGTAACGCTTGGAGCTGCGCCGCCGTTGGCACGGGAGGTACGTTCACAAGCTGAGCACACTCCCATATCCCCTCGCAGACTAAACATCGATAGAGACGGGCGTTAGCATGGTCAACAACCTCTTCACCGCCTTGCACAACGGTGACAACAAGTCAGCAGAGCGCCTATTAAAGCGTGCAACAGCTGATCACTTAAACCGACGGGACAGGCCAGCCACCTGCGATTGTCCTCACGCACCAGAAGCCTGCGTGCCCCAGCAATACAGAGAACTCCAGAGACCGGGTCGTGGGCGATGTTGGCAAGCCATTTCTTGTTCAAGACACGCTGAGCATGGAAGTTCGATCGCCAGTAGTCCAGATATAGCCGCTCATGCTCCACACACCAAGTCGGCAACTGCCCGGTCACCACGCCGTCGTCTGTACAAGTGTTGGTGGAATATGCGCTCATCTGTGCCTGATTCGGCGGTGCTGGCAGAGGGATTGGCACAGCACCCGTGACTGCGTTGGCAACTCCCCGTTGGCAACTGATTAACAGCTGCTCGCGGATTTGGCACTTGTCGCAAAGCCTACACCAACGCCCTGTCCATTTGGACGTGTTGCTTTTGCTCGGCCCGGTCCTAAGAAGCGATACGAGCTTTGTGAAATAGGGCTGTTAACGACAATTGGAACGGCAAGAGTCGCAGACGGACCAATTGTCTCGCGCAATGCGGGTCCCTTTGCGATCCAACAGTGCCGTACCATGTTCGTTATGACCGGGCCAAAGGTAGTTCTGTCTGTTCAAATCACAATGGTCAGGGCGGATTGCGTGCCGGAGGTCTGTTGAGCTGCTGGGTCGCTTCATCACAGCTTGGTGGACCTTGTGCCGCCATCTTGACGGGCTTTCTGCGGGACGAGTGGATGCATCGTGGCGCTCAAAGAAATATCTAGTACACCAGCTTTGCAAAGACGATGCGCCGAACAATGAGACGGTACTGCATCCGGCCAAGGCATTGTCAGTCAACGTTTCTGAACGTGATGCACAATCTCGAGGTTGCCCGGAGACGGATATTGCGACTCTGAGAGCGCCAAGCAAGAGAGGCAGTAGCAATGAACGGCTAGCTGAGCTTGCTTCAATGATGGTCAAGCTTCCAACAGACTGTGTGGCGAACGCCGTAGCTGTGTACTGCCAGTGAATACGTGAACTTAGCTGAGACAGCTGAAGCGCATACCCATGCTCAGGATACTGTAACGCGTTTACTTTGGGTATCATTACTGTGAAGCCGGCAAGTTCCGTCGGTCATCGAACCTCCCTGTATATCATGCTGCTCGAATGAGATGATATGCCATCATACATTCCAGCGCTGTCACTTCTACAAGCATGCTTTACTCCAGACTTCATATGACGCGCCTGCGCATTGCAGCGGTGCGACGTTTTAGCACACGTCCTCCACTACTTAAGAACCGGGTCTATCCTACATCAGTCCGCAGGGAAGAAGAGCTCGAGACACTCACTCTAATGAGCGCCAGCAGTCGCGTACCGTTGATCACATTATGGACGACGAATTGGTGCACCTCTTGCAAGGCCGTGTCGCCGCTGCTAAGGGAGCTCATCGAGAAAGAAGGCGTGGGTGAGGAGCAAGGTTCAGTGAGCTTCGTCGAGGTCGAGGCGGACTCGCCGGACCTTGGAGGCATTGGTGGCATGGCGTTGCGGTATGGAATCAACAGCATTCCAACACTCCTTGCTTTCGATCGCCAGGAGCCGCAGATTGAGACTAAGGTGTCAAAGCTGGGCGATCTGAAGGACAAGAACTTCCTGCGGACATGGCTCGAGAAGGAAGCCTCCAGGCACGGCCGTGGAGGTGGTGGTGGGACGTTTTCTGGTCTTTTCGGGCGCTGATTTCGGCGGGTGTGAAGGGCGGTCGAACAAAGCTGCTCTGAACAATAACGCCGGATCTGGAAGCGCATGAGGCCGGCCCCTGGATGTGGCCAAGGATGCCTCGTTCAGAATGAACGTTTCTGCAATGAACATACCAATTACGGCACCATGGCTGCATGTAATGACCGTGTCAACCACACCGTCCAAGCAGCGCACCAATGGACACCTGCACAAACAAGCAGTTGGCTTCCTCCCACATGGGCAATGTAGTGCAACGGTCGGCATATGCGAGTCGGCTGGTCATGGCAGACGAGACTATACTGTATGCCTCTCATGCGAAGAGCATACGGACGAAGTGCTCTTCCTTGCTCGCTCTGCCTTCGCGGCCTTGTTCCCAGGACGCCTCGGCCGAGTTACTATGCCTGGTTCCCCAATCTCAGGACCGAGCTTAAACATACAACCACGGATCTACGGCAACAAGCAGTACAATTGCAGCAACTCGCATCGAATATGCAACTTCGATGCGGTCTCTAGTTTTGGCGGCAACCTCCTGCTTCCAGATTGGGCAACACCCATAGTAAGGAATGGACAGCTGAGACCCATTGACCAACCGTTCCCATCCTTCTTGGCTCTATTATGTTCCGAATGCGAACGCATAATCCGGAGTGAGCAGTGGGAGCGCAGTGCGGCCCAAAATCGAATCCCCAGAAATCCACAGACAAAGTAGGTTGATTACAGGGTTCCTTCCTGCTTCTTTGGTACCCGAGAAGCTAACCATTTAGACAAGCAGCGTTTGGCACTGCTACCCTTACATTTCATGCACCTGCCTCACACAGCTTGGCGCGACACGGCGGCTTTGGTTCGGCACCATCAACCATCCCCCAGCTCTATTGCGCTGCCAGAAACATCGGCTTAAGCTACTGAGGGAGCTGGAGCGCCGGAAGGATCAGAATGACAAATGGCTTCGGAACATCATGCGTGGCCCTCAGGAGAATGTCACTTATGCTACACCTGACATCAAGGACGCACGTTGCCAGAACGGTAATTGGCGGGCATGTTGGTGCGGCAGAGAGCTTGACGTTGACACCCTTGATGCCGAAGTCTTTCTTTGTAAGTACATGTCTCTGAGCTTCGAAGACGGCGAACATGATCTTATCTGCAACGCTAAAATTCGTGCCTCCTCCGAGCTCCTCCATGCTGAGCGCGAGTCTCTGCGCTTCCGACCTCCATGTTCCAGGGTAGACATGCGGCTGGCCAAGTGACTGCAGCGTGACCTAATGCGTCGCCTTACAATGCACGAGTACCAAAGCTGATGTCCTGTTCTAGGTATGGCTTGCGAAGGCTGGATCAGGCAGGTGTCATGCCCTTTCTCGGCTTGCGCTCCTTGCTAGCTGTGTCTACAGTGATCCACGGGTACCCATCAACACATCCAGGTATCACATTGCCAATAACCTCCAGAATCCGAACCCGCGTCGCTTCTATACTCCTGCTGAACTGGCCTCGAATCCGGCGCTTAAAGAGTGCAACTTCAAGCTCCGCCGGACAATGCCTAATGCGAGTGATATCAAACTATGACAGCATTTACTCGCTTGGAGAAAGTGTGCGAAGCTGTGGTTGGTGAATGGAGTGGCATAACGTCCGGGGAATGTATTGGGGAGGATGTGAATGTGCGCTGGCTCGAGTCACAAGCTCCGTCCTTCGTTGTCTGCGCTTCCACCATTTCAGCCTCTGATGAGATCTTCTTTACAAACTTGATCGTCGTTAACCGAGCCAGTGTTGTCGTGCAAGGCTCTTGAGGGTGATCACACGCTCAGCATCGTTTACTTAGCACGGCAAAGCCTTGCGCATCTACTCCGTAATGGCCACCGGCATGATGAAGCTCCCGACGGAGCTGCGATGTCAAATCATGGGCTACATCGTAACCTGCGATCGTATCGTGGTTGCACCTAAGAAACTTCGTACCCCCAAAGCGAAGAAGCAAGAACGCGATGTTTCCACGATTCGTGAGCCACTTCACGCTCGCCTTTGCCTCGCAGGAGATGACACTCGAATACCGGAGTTTCATCGAAGACCGCATTCGCAAGCACAAGGACTTGTTCTGCGTCATCGTTAAGGACCTCGAATTCGCAAACTTCGCAGCCCTACTCAAGCAGCTTGAGGCGAGCAGCGGCACCAGGACGAGGACAGGCGACAAACACCTGACTCCGAAGGATAGTGTCAGCCGCCTTGGACGCTTCTACCACAAGCCCACACATCCGCAGGCGTACGCGCGAGCTGATAGCCCTTGTTTCCTCGTCAAACTCGTCTTCACCGCCAGCCTTGACAACTTTGTAGACGAGAGGTGGGTCAGGCTCCTTCGTTCTATCAGTGTTGCCGAGAAGCAGCACGGCCAGCTCAACCTGCTCGTCAAGGTCGGCCATGTTGTGCCGACTCCAGCTTTGTCGATTTTGTTGAGCCACCACTTCAACGTCAAAACTGCGGGAGGGCATTTGAACTACCTCACCGCCGCGCTATCCAGAGTGTTAAGAGCGCCGCTAGAAACCCGGTACCTGCTGGGACACGACATCAACGAGCCAACCCTCATCGACACAGACGAGGTTGATTAATGGTCGATGTAGCAAGAACGGAAGACTGGGACTCCACCTGATGTGCGCTATACACCGGAGTCAATCGGAGGCTTGCCACTGCTACCGAGTATGATGAGTAGGATCGAGGTGATGACCGAGTCTATCGAGCCAGACCACATGGGCTTCGTACAGTCTGTCAAGCCAGACCACACGAGCTTCGTACCGCTGCCGCCACCCGACGAAGAGGTGGTGGATGCACTGGAGGCAGAAACCGACGAGCCGGGCAGGCTCATGTGGGGCCTGCAGCAAGGCTACAGCGGTGGCTGGAACCCGTCATGCATATCACGGAAGCAAAGATGCGCGCCCTTGGCCTTGACTGCATGGTCGACGGTCACTACGCTGCGAATCCAAAGTGTGAGGACGCGAAGCCTGCTATCTGATAGAGCGGGATGGAATGATGGTCAGCAAAAGACCTACGATACAGCAGTCCTTCTTAATTACTGCCAGGGACTGGACACATAATGGAGTCGTACGCGATGCTTTTGGGAATGTGCATGGAAGCTGTAGCGCCATTCTTGCCCGCATTCGGCAAGATCTTCTTTACTACTATCATTGTGCCATGCTAAGCTGAGGCATCACTTTCTGCTCAAGATAATTCGCTGCTTTCATGGCAAATCTGAAGACTGTGTTGGGTGTCGCTAGACTGCACACAACTGCTGCTCGTCAATATTGCTGCTTCCGAAAAGTTCGTTCCATAAGTAGCTTCTATCCTTGCAGCCCACTTGCGAAGCAGCAATGTCGAGTGCAGCTGTCCATCCAGCGCCCGCCTCCGTCACACGAGCGTGAGTGACGTAGGCGACCTCTTCACACTGTCATGTTCGAGGCGGCATACCGCGCGACCGCAGCCTACACATCTGTGTTACAGTGCGGCTTGCTTGACGCAGCCAGCTCAACATACAGACCCGCCAAGTTCCTGCTTGACGGCGGAACTCGGGTTGCTTGGCCGTATGAGTGGTCTCTACCCAGTTGGTACCGAGGCTGCTAGGCGGTGTATTGACGTATATGATGGCTCCGTAGTCGGCCGTCGGAATGCGCCGCAGACGTGTCCATAGATGACAGCTTCCAGCTTTAGTAGACGCATTCTTCATTCGCAATGCCGTGATCGTTGCCAGTCCAAAGGTGCTTGACTCGGCAATAATCTGAACTTCTCTACGGCAGCCGCCCGCCATCACCCTGCCTTCTGCACACTGTTGCTGTCCACACTCTTCTCGAACAGCACGTTCACCCGCCGTCTCAGACCGTCAATGCTCTGCTGCGTGGTGCGATCTTTCTCCTTCTCCTCTCGCCGGATGCGTACGAATGCCGCTGCCACGCCAATGCTCATCGCGTATACCGGATCCGCAATCCTAATGTAGATGTTAGCGCGAAGTACAACCTGCATGATGTTGAAGTATGCATGCCTTCCAATGAGATATGGCGCGGACATTGTGGATGTAGAGAGCGAGCGATCAGCGTGTCACGTGGGGCTGAAAGGTGCAGTTGTCGAAAGCGAGATGGAAGTGAAGTCGAGTCATGGGCCGATGCGCGGTCCAAGCTCTGATGCATATGGCGTGAAGCATGAATAGCTCACTCGCTGCAGAACATTGTAACCGCATGAGGCGCATCGGTATGACTTGTCACACTTGCGAAATGTACAAATGGAACGTCTTGGTCACAAGGTCGTTCAATCACCTGCACAGTGCGGCTGAGTGCGTGACGAGGAGGACGCTATTGACAGCTATGAGCGCTCGGCCTGCTAGTTTACGTTTGCCATGAAAAGCACAGCATCAGCCATGGCCTGCCTGGTCCGCATGTTGGCAGGGCTAGAAAGATCTTTAGGCTTTTCATGCTGTCCTCCCCGCTTTGCTGCTTTGTGGGCCGTACTGTCTCGCGCACCCAAGCCTCTCAGAATAACGCCTCGGAAGTCATAAGAACTCCTCCTCCTCCGCAGGCCAAGGTCGCGCATAGTAGTTCATCATCATAGGTTCAAGTTCGTAATGACAGCGCGCTTATGCCTCGCCAAAGGTGTTCTCGCCGGAGTAGCTGTTAGACGGCGTCAGCAAAACCACCTATCACAAATTATCTTGCTTACTGCCGACTTACGTGATATACAGGAACCCATCCTCATCCTTGTGCTCTTCGTAGATGCTGCTCATCAGCGCCGCGGTGGGTGGCAAGACCTCGTCGACGAAGATGAAGATGGCCTTCTCCGGGCTGAGCTTGATGCGCTTGCGAATCACGTAGACGAACTGGCCAACGGTGAGGTCGGCGGGGACGAGGTACTTCTTCTTGTCGATGGTGGCGATGTCTGACTTCTCAACCTTCTCGCAGATCACCTGTATGTATCGCGTCATGAGTCAGCGCGCTTGTTGGTCGTTCACTAGTCGGTGGGTGGTGGTATTAACGTACGGGAATGCGATCTGCGTACTTCTGCCTGATACGTTCGGCCTCTGCTTTACGCTGTATCATGTTAGCTACGGACTTGCACGCTCGCGCATCATGATGTGAGCGTACCTTCTCGAAGGGGTGCTCGTCCTTGAACTTGGAGCGCATATTGTCCTTTGTGCGGGTGGTTGTATAGGTGTACTCGAGTGTCGCTTCTTCGCTTCCTTAACTGCCTGGATGTCTTTGATGATGGAGGTGATAGGTAGCAGAGGTAATGGTTAGTGATGGCGGTGTGAGGCAGAGGTGCTGATTAGGTAGGCAGCAGCAACGGAAGCGTCAACTGCTTTGGCGGGGCTGCTTTGACGGGTCCGTGCTCTGCTTAGCTTCCCGTCGCTTTAAGAAGGCTGAGTGTATGCAAAAGTCAGACTGCAACATTCACTTGTGACTGCTGGACACACGCTGTCCTCGGGCCATGATACAGTCGCAGTGAAGCTGACTTTCATTTTGAGCACGCGAAACGTGTCACGTGGCTGATGAGACAAAGATCCGCAACAAAGCCATGCTTTAGACAACTACTTTAAGAGACAACCGCACGATGGAGTAGCCTCATATAGCATTAGGTAGATACGGCGTACACAGAGCTCATATCGCTCTCAAATGGACATCTTTATAGTCATACAGGTGCTTTCCCCAGAACGCCGGTAACGCCTCGCCCCCCACACCCTGACCCCGGTGTCTGCCCGCTCGGAGCGTACCACCCCCTTTACATTACGTCGCTTACGGATCGGCCATTCTCCATGTCGACAGCCACCTGAGATGCTGCCACTGCTGGTTCGGCCCAACCATACCGAAGCATATCGCCCTGAACAGCCAGAACAGGTAGATTACCACACCGTACAGCGCCATGTGAATGCCCCATTGCACGCCGCTCCTGAGATCCCGCGTGTACCAGTCCACGCAAAAGCCAGCACATAGAATGGCGAAGTAGAGCGCAGGGTAGTAGTGATGCACGTACGTCACTCTTGCCATGGCGATGAAGGGTAGGTAGTGCAAGAACCAGCCGAGCACGGGGTAGACGCCGCTGTAGTGGAAATGATCGACTTGCTTCCAGGTAAGCTCGTCGAAGCCTCGCTGCCAGCGGATGGCGTACCACGCCACCATGCCGAAGAAGAAGACGAGCGAGAAGGTGCTGCCCCAGTAGACGATGGGGTTGCCGAGGAGGAAGTACTTGACGATGTGATCGTCCCAGCCGCACATACGAAGACCAACGTGCAGGAGGGGCCATTGCCATGGACTGGAGGCGAGATCGTCCTGCTTGTCCGGATCAGGTACGAGGGCGTTGTTGGAGGTCATCATAGCGACATTCAGGTGAACAAAGTCGCGCAAGAAGGGAGACTTGTATGAGCCGGGGTCACCAGGAGGAACTATCTCACTGTCAGCAAGCCATAAAGATGCGGTAGTGACAGTCAACTTACGCTTCTCGTTCCAGTGCGACTCTACGTTCCAGTGGGTGTATGGGTCGCGAGGGTGGTTCTCTTTGACGCAAGTTGTTTCGATCTGCTTGAAACCCCACTGCGGCAGGTTCACGTTACCCGCGCGGAGATAGCAGTTCAGATCAGCGTGCTTCAAACGAAACGCAGTTGTCAGCGTCCGAAGCTTTGAGTAGTCGCTCGAAGCAGCGTCATCAACAACTTCAACAATCCAGTGGTCTTTCGTGTCTCCGACGGTGGTGTTGCCATAGCAAGACACTTCGTAGTCAGCCTTCGTAACCGGCGCTGCGACTTGATGCGAATGCAAGTTGCGCCCAGTCTGCGCGTGGATAAGGCGAATGGTGTCCTTGTCTCCAACGAACTTGAGGGGCGCTTCTGCGTCAAACTCCGGCTCGTGTCGGTTCGGGTAGAAGAACCAGTCATTGTTCGCATCCTTATGGTGATAGCACGTGATCTGCTGCTGCGTCGAGCCTTCCGGATACGTCTGCACGTGCGAATGCAATAGTCCACCGCCATAACCCATGTTCTTCAGCGTTGCCCTTGACCCCAGCGCCACTTCGAGCGGACTGTCCTTGCCAACCTCCGTACCCCTCAGGTTTGCCTGGAACAGTGAAGACATTTGCGCGTCACCCGGGCCGCTGTTCTCTAGCACCAGGAAGTGCAAGTAGAAGTTGAACATGTACACCGCGAGCGGGATCATGATCAAGCCTACTACACGGAAGCCCAAGTGTGCCGCCAACGTCACCTTCTTCATCTTGAGATCGCCGAACTTGTTCCATAGATCTTCAATGGTGTACAGGCCAACAAGCGCCGTCCCGAACATGCCAACCCACTTGACACTGCATACACAGCCAATGCTGATACCGCTGAGCATCAACCACAGCGCCCATTCCGGGCCAAAGGGGTCATGTCGTTGGTTGTGGAACTTGGCCCAGCAGAAGACAGTGGTGAAGGTGAAGAAGAGCAACATGCTGTCAAGTAGGATGAAGCGGCTGATGGTGGTATAGCTGTTCTCAAACAGCACCATCATCGTGACCAGCCAAACGGTAGGCCGCTTGAAGTGCAGCTCCTTGGCCGTGTAATAAGCGAGCGGAACACACAGCGCGCCAAACGCGGAGTTGAACAGTCTCATGAAGGTGTAGTTGAGCTCAGGCGGATACGTCTCGCCAGACTTGAACTCGAAGGAGCCGTTGTAACCCGCCAAGTACCCCGACAGCCCAACGAGCATCTTGCCAAGCGGAGGGTGGACATCGAAGTAGAACTCGCGCTTGAGGTAGTGCGAGCCGAACTTGCCAAAGTGTGCCTCGTCCCAGGTTACGATGTCCGAGATGCCGATCTTCCACATGCGTGTAAAGAAGGCGAGGGCGGTGAAGATGAGCGGCGCGATGATCCATTCGAGGTCGTCGAGAGTCTGTAGTATGGACTGCGCCTGCGGCTTGACCCTTTTCTCTACCATGTCGTCCACTGAATCCTTCGAGATGTTACCGTTCGCTTGGCTGGGAACATATCGTCTCCTGGCGTCGCCCTGATCCATGCCGCTTGCTGTAGCCTTGGAGGCATCTTGAGCCGCCATGGTGCGAGCGGTGCGATGGCTCTTCGCTTCGGTATGCTAGGGTGTCTTAAGGCTCGCTCGTCGAACAATGTCTCTGAGTGGGATCCTGCAGATTCAGCTCTGTCTTGTGACTATCTGTGGACGCGCTGTTGCGCCAACGAAGGAGTGTAGAGAAGCTCAAAGGGGCAGAAGTTGATTACAACAAACTCAGAAGGCAAGGATTGAATGCACAACTGCAAAACTAAGGTATAGCAATACAACGAGCTGAACGCGGCTCCTGCATTGCTCGGAAAGTAGCTGCAGGGATACGGCCATACAGCCAATCAGAGAGCAGGGGCCTATATAAGGAACCGTTACCCTTCGAAGTACCAGCTGTCATTTACGTTACCGCGGGAATGCCTGCCAAGGCGAAGACCGTTGGGCGCGACTGCATGAGTGGCAGCAGTGGATGTGAGAAGAACAAAGGCGGGAGCGAAGATCTCCAAGGTAATTACCGTACTATGTAGCGTACAACCATTAAAGCATTACAGTCTGTCTACAGACGCGCATTCAGGGTATCGTGAGCGATCAACGCGCCAATCCTGATCAGTGGACGAGAGCCAACCTTCCCATGCATAACGCTCCAAGTGATCGTGTGGTCGAGATCATGGGTATCGTGGTAAGAGCTGTGGAGGAGCGGAGCCGTCCAATATCGTCTGTCACATATCCATGCCCAAAAAACGCCCTGCTAATACAAAAGAAACGCTCTGTCCCAATTTAAACCGATGTTGTGATGCGCGATGTTGCTTGTTCGCTCAATGCTTCGCGATGCTGCTTATTATGGCGTGAAGATGCTCTCTAGAGATAGGCCTGGAAGTACTGCTCGTCGAACCAGTTGGCCTCAGTGAAAGCTTGGTGCAGCTGCGAAGCCTTTCCGACATCGCACTTGCAAGCCTGCTGAGCCGCCGTCCTCGTGAAGTCCTTTCCAGGCACCCGCTCCTTCAAGAACTTGACGTATGCGGCGAAGATGCGACGTTTGTTGGCCAGGTACTTCTGCGGCTCGAGGCGAAGGACGTTGCACACCTTTTGTTCGGCAGGCGCGAGCTCCTTCCAGTCGGGCTTGGCGGACATCTCCTTGTCTGTTTTGTCCGTCTCTTCCGACGTGTGCCTCCAGGTGACCTTGAGCGCATTTCGATTGTCGCCGAGCGACGGTAGATGCTCGCAATAGTCTTTAATCTCACGCCACTGCTCGTCCGCCTTCCCGTCTGCGACCGTCTTTGAGGGAGCGTGACGTTGATGCTTGTGCTTCTTGTCGTCTTCCAAATTGTCCGTGTCGGCAGATCTCTTGCGCTTATGCGTCCTTACGGCGCGATCACCCTTCGTTGAGGGTGTTGATGAAGTAATGCGAATGTCGGGTGACGCCGATGGCGCTGGTGATACAGCTACAACATCGCATGGCGTTTGCTCGACGTCGACCTGACGGCTCCGTCGCGGCGCTGCTGCCTTATTTGGCGTGAAGCGGTTGAGCATAAAGACATCCATGGGCTCGCGACGTTCGGCTGTTTTGGACGGCGCCGGCAAAGGGCGAAACCTTGCAATCATCTGTTGCCTGTGGTTGCCGAAATCGCGTTGATTGCCCCTCTGCACACCTTGAATGTACCTCTGGCAATCTTCCTTGCTATCAATCCGTAAGGTGGTGAGTGGCACGCTGAACGGCTGGAACTCTTCGGTCGACGGCAGCAGCGGGCCGTAGAACGACTGTGAGTCATCGGGTGACTGATTGGAGAACAGCTGGTAGTCCAGATGAGGCTCGAGCGTGAGTTGCTTGAAGTCATGGAGGACTTGGGTATTAGGCGCCACTGCTGACGTGTCAGACACAATAGCCGGCAGCGTAGTCGCGGCCTTTTCATGCCGCTCGTCGAAGTCGTGCTGCAGCGGCGACTCTGGTGTCAGTTGTTGACCGGCGCCGACAATCGCCTTCCCGGGTGGCGCTACAAAGGCCATTGAGGACAGTAGTTCACGATCTGTATTCGGCACCGTTGTTGTTATAACTTGAGAAGACAATGCGATCTGCCGGAGGCTTCCGGAGTGGCGAAGATCGATGCTTATGCTGCTGTATGCGTTCTCGGTGATTACACTTGCTCTAAGTCCGTGCTCTTCTTGATGCGATGTATTGTTCGTTTGTGAGGCGTACGGCTTTGGTGGAAAAATGCGACTCTTATACGATTTTAGATGTAAGAGGCGCAGGTGTAATCGTTTGGTATGCCCTCGTCGCAATTGGAGGATGCGTTTCTTGCGTTAGTCAAAAGTGGCCGAAAGAAGAAGACTCTGTGGTAATATGCTGCAATCTTGGGAATGGGCAGGCAGCAGCGTATGACAAGTCGGAGATAGGTGAATGAATCAGAAGAGGGTGAACAATGGGAGACAGATACTTCACCAGGTCAATGAGTGTTTCGCAAGGGCGGGCGTGTGACCTCCCAAGGACAAGGTAAGGCAGCGACTGCGACGGTGCCGGGAGGCTGCTGACGAATGTGCTGGCCTCGCCATCGGGAAGGCTATCGAATGGCAAGGAAGGAAGGCGGGCGAATGCGACGTTCAATGCCATTGGCTCGCAATGTACTGTCAGCTGTTGTCACTGGGCGCGATGTCAGTGTAAGAGCGAGTGACTCAGAGAATGCGGCCTCCTTCGGCCTTGCAAAACCCGTCTCCGTACTCTAGCCGTACATAAAGCTTGGCGTGGACGGCGCAAGGTTCGCCACACCCGTGCCGATCAGAAAATGCACGTATTCTACCTGGACGTCTTCGCAATCGTCCTCGCATTCTCCTTCTCGCGGAAGCCATTGGTTGCGCTCATCGTCTTCGCACGTAGGCGTGGACTGATCAAGGTTGCGAAGCTGGCGCGGTAAGCGCCGTCATGACCTCGTGGAATCCCACGGCTCGCCTGGATGCTTTGTTGCCTGCGCCACAGCCATTGGCGATCACATGCGTGCCTGTCTCAATGGCTGTCGCATTTGTACCAAACGGGACGCATCCCTTCCAATGCTAACAGGCTGCATGCATAAAGCAAACACTTTCGGATGCCGTGTATAAGCGGTCGCATATGCAGAACCTGGGACAGATACGAGTGGCTCGATCCTCTTGCGCCCGGATTACTGATTCCATTGCTTTGCACTCGTCATCGCCGGAGGTTTCAGGAAGCTCCGCTTCGTCCGGTGTTGCTCGCCATTGCATTGCCATTGGCACAAGTCCGGAGCCTTGGTGGCATCCGGTGAGTCTTCCAATGCTAGGCTGCCTTGTTTCGTGTTAATGACACCACCTCAGTACCGTATCTTGGCGTCAGGCTACCCTTTGTGCCATGCATCCACTGTGTGCGTGGGCTGTCTCAACGATGCCTGCAGCGCGGCAACACTGGTTTGATCCGTTCTCTCTCATTGGGTCGCAGACCACGCGGTCACATAGGCAGCATTGGAGTGTATGTGATTGTGGACGTGAGAGTTGTGACTAGCATGTAAGATACTGGTTGAACTTCTCGTTCGTCACCCCAATCGGTCCAAATAGAGTGTGAATCGGATTGATCAAAATTTAGGTGGTCAGAGTCACCGTTACGGATGGCGTTCCCTGTCCCGTTGCTGAGAACGGCAGGGACGACTTTATGAACGTTACCTCGTGGAAGCGATATCGTATTGCACTACGACATAAACCCATGACTGTCTGGACTCCGGCGCGGTGTGGCATGGACAATGCTGGCGGACAAGCAGAGTATATGGAAAGATCAGATTAACCGTGTATTTAGTATCACAGCGCTAACAGCCCACAACGGGCAGGCCTGGCAATATATCACTTGCGCTTCGACAGCCACGCCTTCCAATCCGTGTCCCTCCCCAACCGCGATGGGCGGGTCATTTCCTCGTTGCGATCCACGACATCGCCTTCCTGCCAGCTTTGCCATGCACCCAAGCTGGCCAAATGTCTCATCGTCGGCCTGCCGTGCGGGCAATTCCACGGCTTTTCCATCTCTCCCATGTGCCTCACCACCTTCACCATCTGCCTGTGCATCAGCGTCTTGCCAATCATAATACTGCTTCTGCAAGCACGCATGGCAAGCATGCGTTGCACCTTCTTCGGCCGCAGTATCTCGGAACTTCCCGGTGGTGCCTCGCTCAGTAGATGAAGGAGTTCTTCGAGATCAGACACGTCAAATGTCTTCTCGCCGCTGATTGGGAGTGTGAGGAGGCGGCAGTGTCGGTTCGTAGACTCATCGTCATCGTCAGTTGATGAGCTGACCTCGATCTCAAAACCATTGCTTTTTAGCGCAGCGGAGTGGTTCAGAATGATCTCTTCCTCAATGGCGGTCAACTCCAGCAGTTTCGGCCGGACAAGCCGTTGGCTCTGCAAAGTCACAGTTCGCTGCAGACGCTCATAGTTGTACTTTTCGTCGGCTGCATGCTGATCAATGATGAAGAGCTCATCCTGTTCTTCTTCGTCCTGAGCGGACCGCACAGCTACAATGAACCCCAGGTTGAACTGACCCACAACCATCATTCGCTCAAAGTCGGGCTTGCTGACGGTGAGCGAGAGCTTGCCCTCTGCGCTTGCGTCATCGAATTCGTCTTTCACAAAGACTTTATCTTGTGCGTCGTGCGCCAGATCAACCAGGGCTTGGGTGCTCATGTAGAGCGCGTTGGCTCGCTGCTCGATGTCTGCAAGGGAAACGGACAGCATTTGCATGAGTTTCAATGTAGACTCCTTACGGTTAGCACCACTTCGAAGCGCCTGGGACGCGCGCTTCAAGTTGGCTTCAGTCGGTCGAGCAGCGGCCTCCTCAGCTTCTTGGATCAGTCGTGCAACTCTTTCGTCCTCCTGTACCCGTCGCTCCTTCTCGTCAACGTAATCCTCGTCCAGCTCATCGTCATCAGCGCCAACCGGAGGCAGTTCGTCCAACGGGTCCGACGTGCGATCATGCTCAGGTGTGCGAGCCCCGGTTGCGGTTGGCGAGCCCGTACGTTCGCCATCGTTACTGGACCTATCAACCACAGATCCGGCACTGTCGTGTTCAGACGGTGCATCATCCGCCATGGGCACGTCACTACTGTCTATAGCCAGCTGCGAGCCGGGAGCAGCGAAGGTGCGTAGACCGCGAGCCAAGAGCGGGCTTGCACCGAACTTTGCGATCGATTGAGAGTTCTGGGGCGCATAAACTCGGCGCTTCTTGTATGGCGGACTGCTGCCGATGATCGCGGTGGTTGTTGTATCACCAATTGTAATCTCTGCCGTTTGCAATCGGGTCCGCTTTGGGCGCATCCGATCGAATGCGCTCTGCACTGCGCCTGATGTCGCTTTCTGCGAGCCGGTTGCAATGGCTGAAATGGACGACTCTTCTTCAAGTTGACCACTAAGCGGCGTGGTTTCATGTTGGTCAGCCGATCGAGCCTGCACGCTAAGGACTTTACACAGTGTATCCGGATGGTCTGACTCGTGCCGGTGGTTGCCATCATCGCCCGCAGCGCTTTGAGCTTCAAGCCCGACTGCTGCTGCTTCAGCATGTGTGTGACTCAGATCCCCTGTAAGATGAGCAGGGCGCTGCGAGAAAAGGTCATCATATGGCGTGCCCATGGGATCGGGAGCCACTTGGCATGTACCCGCATTATGTATCGTGGAACGGTGCGGTGACTGACATTTGATCGCGTTTGTCGTTGAAGGAATGTTAGCGTCACAGGCGGGAAGCCTGTCCGCTCCTAAGTTTGGGTCATCAAACTGTGCACTATGCTTAGCATGCAGGGAGTCCACATGGTTGGTTTCGTGCTCCTGCGACATATTAACAGGCTCTGTCGTCTCCTTCTGCAAGTCCATTGTCTTGCGCTTGGCAATCGTAAACGATTTCTCATGACGGTCGTCCGCTTCGCGGCCTAGCCAGTTCCGCAGCAAGTTTGATGGTGTGTCAAGCGATGTTTCATCTTTGGGCGTTCGCACGGGATGCGCGACTACTGTCGGGTTGGTTGGCTCGGTCTTACTTCTGCGTTCATCTGAGTCTGATTCGGCCTCATCATCGACTGACTGTTCGGTCGAATGTGGTCGAGGAACGTTCAGTGTCTGATACGCTGGCAATCTGCGGTTTGGTAGCGAGGATTGCGGGACTGTGTGATCAGTCTGATCGAAGAGCTCAGTCAAGGCGGTCTTCAGGCTCTCCAGCAATGCTGTCTGGTTATGCAACATGATTGTCCGCTTGTCAGGCGAGACATTGACGTCGTAAGAATTGGTATCTACGATCAGATTCGCAAAGATGAACGGAGACTGCGATACATTGTAGGATTTGTAAACCTCGTTGATCGCCTTAGAGACCTGCGGCAGCAGGCAAGGTCGGGAGTTGACGAAGAACATTTGGCGATCGGGTGCCTGACGTCCCTCGCCAAAGACCGGTTTCGAGATGTGACCCTGTACAAGCACTGTCGTTGAGCAGTTTGCAGCCTGCGTGGTCCAATTACGCGCGCTCTGTGTGCCAGGACCTACGCTTGGCTCCATCTCGAGCTGCAAGTCGAGCTTGATCAGCGCGACGAGGGTCTTGGTGCCAAACACATTCACAATGTTCTCCTTAGTCGTGGTGTTAGATTTGGTTGAGAAGACGGCAACTTTCTTTCCCTTGGGCATCTGGTTGCTGACGGAGAATCGTACACCGACGCTGATACAAGCATAGGCATGTAAGTAGGCGACGACCTTGCCAAACTCGCGCTTGATGTTCTTCTCGAGCTCCTTGCGGCGGACCGGGAGGTTGTAGAAGAGCTCGCCTACGGAGACTGTGGTACCTTTCTGGGCAGCTGTCACGGTTGCAGACCGCAGCTTCCCCGAGACCTCGAAGTCGAGTCGCTTGCCGACTGCTCCGTCTTCCGCACGCGCCGTGACGATATGGAACTTTGACAGCGCGCATAGTGAAGACAGTGCCTCGCCACGGAAGCCGAAGGTGTCAAGCGAAGTGAGGTCCTCATAGTTGGACAGCTTAGACGTATAGTGCTTCAGCGCGACTGTGTCAAAGTCGTGGGGTGCGATGCCCTTGCCATTGTCTTGCACTTCGATCGTCTCGAGGCCGTGATCTTTGAATCCCACATCGATCGATGAAGCTCCGGCGTCGAGGCTATTCTCCACTAGTTCCTTGACGACAGAGCAGAGATCGACAATGACTTGTCCAGACTGGATCTGGTGTATTGAGCGGCTTTCTATGGCCTTAATAGTGGCCATCTAATGCTTTTGTTTAACCCATTATGTTGATGAGGAGAGAATGTTTGCCTTCAGAAGTTCGCGTAAAGTGGCGCGCGTGGACACGTGACCTGATCTCGTCTCGAATGCAAGGCTCCGATGTCTCCCAGCGCTTCCGCCGCTTCCAAGTGTCTTCCCACTTCAACCGTATTGATGATGAGGTTTGTGGTGCTCGCAGCATGTACGATACTAAGGCCTAGCCCTACACGAAAGCGTACCGCTGTCTGATCGCTTGCATTCTACGAGGCGCGGCATTACAGTCCGCAGCTCTGCTGGGGGCCTAACTGCAGGGTCGAAGTATCATGTCTCTCATGTCGTAAGGCGTGCCCTCATACCGGCCATCGTCCTGAACCCTTATGTCCCGTTTGGTACGCGTCTTGTCCCTTCCACCCATCGGTCTGATTCCCCACTGTCCTTCCTCGCCGCAATGAAACTCGCAAAAACAGTGTCGGCGTTGCTAGGCCTATTAAGCACCGCAACAGCTAGCAGTAATGCCTCCTACTTGCAGGCTACAGCCATTGTCACGAACGCGAACAACCACTCCGAACTACAGTGCTGGCAATTCACTTCGCCGGTCAACATTTCAACTACCGCAGGAGTCTCTGGTTCGATAACGTTCTCGTTCGCCAATACCACGAGCACTGTCTATACCGTAATTCCACCACGCTTTAATGGGGGTACCCATACTGCACCAGCCGCCCAGTTCGTCCACGATCTCGTAGACTAGCAACATACTCATACGCTGACGCCGTTGGCAGGGTTGTAGCTTTCGTATCCGGCCTTGCTCACATTACGCTTCCGGTCGCTGTCCACGGCAACAGCAGTCTGGACGAAGCTTGGGTTCTCGGTGGGCCAGACGGCTTGATCGTCGCGGCAGACACATTAGGTGCCGGCCACATCACGACTTACCCCAGCAACGAGCCGACGGTGGCGCTCCAGGCCCCCTTTGGGAGTGCGAGTGACATCCCTGCGCACTCCGTTGTACACAGTGGGCCGTGTCACTTCAATGTGCGCGGAAGCCAAGTTGTCAAATGATCGCTTCAAGGCTGAAAGGCGGGATCGTACAGACTGTATCCAGGAAACGTAGCCATAACATCACAAAGGTATCGTCACCTTCCCAATATTTGCCGTCACCGCCGGGTTGGGGATTCATCCCCCATCTCACTATCACCATCTCTCGAACCAACATCCGTCCAGCTATCAGGCGTAACGACCCTATCTCCTTCCTCTGAAAGCATGTCCAGATCACTATCGTCAACGACATCAATGACCTCCACGTTCGAAATCTCACTCCGCGCCCTCGACTGCGAGCGCGATGGCGTTTGAGGGGGCAGTGAAGCGTAAGTCTCCGAGTCAGACTCGACGTCCGTCAAAAAGCCGAGGGTAGGCGTCCTTGTGTCTCCACGTGGCGGCACGTCTTCCAGGTCCACCAGATGAGGAAGGTCGTTGTCCATAGTTCGCAAGCTAGCAAGCGGTGATGCAGAAGACGGCGCGGAGTAGAAGCTCGCTTCCATCAGCTGCGGAGCTGGGCTAGATGCCGCTTCCCGGACCGGGTCGTTAGGTAGACTTGGTGGGCTCGAACGGACTGGTAAATGCTGCGCTTCAACAGCGGCGAGCGTCGCACGTGTAAGCTCAGGGGTCAGACGGTAGAGCTCATCATTCAGTTCTGACGGTGCATGTTCGCCTCGCGACAGTAGCTCCTGCGCAGGCGAGAAGTGGTGGTCAAAGACTGTTGCCCAATCACTGCGCCCTTGCGATAGTCCAGAACCGAGACGTGGACTGAGAGGCGTAAGGTCCACAAGAGGCTGGTCAGCAGGTGTGTCAGCAGGCGTATCAGTGACAGCTCTCTCTGCAGTCTGCGCCGCCTTGCGTTGGTTCGTATCCTTCAAGCTGGCCTCGATGGCAGCTCGAAGCTCGGCGTCGTCCTCGTCCGTCTCCGACTGGCTGGCATTGCGTCCGTTTGCGGCGCTGTCCGCTTCAGAAAGCGACAACGCAATGGCGAGCTGTTCTTCGTAGCTTAGCTCTTCGTGATTGACCGCTGTTGCCTCTGCGGATGGTTTGTGTGGCAGAGGAGAGTAGCTGCCAAGCACAGGTCGCACATTTGGAACCTCTCGATTCAATGCGACCTTCGGCGGGACAGTCGGCTTCGGCGTCTCGCTACGGTCAAGTGCATACTCATCGCTGAATGGATCAGCGAGTCGTGAGCCTAGGCTAAAGGCGCTCATAGCAGCACTGGAACTCGATTCACCGGCTAGCAAGGGTTGGAGAAGGCGTTGCTCAACCTCACGCATCTCCTCTCGTATCTTCTCCGGGATGGGCACAGTTGATGGTGGTGAGAGCAGAGCATCTGCCGTCTCATCACCACGGACCTTGAGCTTCCCATCGTCGTCAACAAGCGCGTCGAATGATCTTGATGCTTCTCCAACAGAGGCTTGTGATTGTGCTACAGCCTTGCGTCTCTGCTGCATCTCATACATCTGCTGGTTCCTCTTGGCGAGGTACTCCCTACCCTTCCGTCGTCGCTCCTCGGCCTCATCTGGATCGCCCGGCCCGCGCACAGGTACCTTCCCGATGATACCCGAGCCACCAGACAGGCTACGTCCAGTCGCAAGTGCGGCAGCCTCTCTGCTGCCGGAAACCTCACGTCTTAGTCCTGCATCATTGACGGGCGAGCGGCCTTCAAAGGCGAAAGCTTCCGCTTGACGTCGGCTTTCGGGATCGAGTTCTTCGCCTATCGAGCGAAGCAGTTCGGCAATCTTGCGGCGTTGCTCTTCGATCCATTCCGCGATCTGTGGATTCTCGAGTACGGCGAGACCGAGAGCGGCAATGATGGAGAGGGAGATGACGATGCCTGCGGCCGATACTGTCAGCATGATCGGAATGTCTCGAAGTGTCGCATCGTGCGAGAATAGTGTGCTTGTCTCTATACTGGACACGCCTTGCATCTTGCAGTATGGTGGCGATGGCTTACCTTTGACTACGGCTGCCGACATCTGATTGGATTTGACCGATGTGATTGTGATGATTCTTCCTCGTTGTCCGATACACCCTCGACGAGAGATCAACACACCTGCAAGCCCAGTTATTGATAGCTTGTTAAACACTCAACATGCTTCTCAAGGTCGTTGATCCAGGCACCAGCTTAAGCAGCACAAGCTTGCTGACGACAATCAAGATACCGAGGAGGCGTTGCGAGCCGACTGCGCCACAAGGTGGGGGCACGGGTCCTGAAGTCCGGCTTGAGTGTTCATGCAAATCCCATGTCCTACACTGCATGCACGTAAACTCCCGTGAATCCTTCCCTTCCATTTCAGCCCCACACGTGCTGGCATATCGCAAGAGTAGCTCAATATGGGCATCACTTCGCCCAAGCCCTACCGCTGTCCGGCCGGTATAAGTGACATGCTCATAATGTAGGAACAAGACTTCGACACTCCTATACTCATGTTATTACTCTCTAACCCCTTCACTGCCGCTATCTGTCCTCCCGACCTGTACGCTACTCGTTCACGATATGGCACCGTCACTCGAGCAATATGACTCGGAATGGGTGACGGTAAGACCTCCGAGATGCGCGTGATGCAGTACATACTCTTCGTGTTATTGACAAGCCTGGCAGCTCATCAACGCTCTCGGCGGCAAGCTGCCGTTCTTGCCGCAGGATCCAGCGGCTAGACGAGATGCCTTCAATCACATGCTTGCTGAGAACGGCAGAAAGCTGCCTGTAACTGTCTCCGAAATCAGCACGAGTGTGTACTATACCCACCTAGCCCTTGATGCTCTACGCCTGACTGTGCTCCAGAGGACGTGCAGGTTGATGACAATGTCAGTGTTCGCATCTACCAGCCGTCTACCGCAAAGCAAGGTGGCAAGCTGCCTCTGCTAGTCTTCTACCATGGCGGAGGGTGGATAGCCGGAAACCTCGATATTGAGGACCATATGTGTCGCACGGTCTGCGGCGAAGCCGAGTGTATTGTCGTCTCTGTGGATTACAGGTTGACGCCTGAAGTTGACTTTGCCACGATGCTGAACGATTGCTTTGCAGCCGCCGAATGGGTAATTGCAAGATACTCCCACAAACTACGAGCTGTAAGCTGTGCCGGACTGACACCCATTTTTAGGCCCACAGCAAGGCGGCTGAGCTCAACGCCGATCCTCAGAGATACGGATACTGGGGCGGATCTGCCGGAGGTGCCCTCGCACTCGCTGCGGCATATCGTCTCATCTCGAGCGGCAAGCGCGACCATATATCAGCAATCATACTCATGTCTCCAATGTGTCTTCACCCGGATGCAACTCCGGAGAAGTATCGTCATTTGCATCGGTCGACTGTCGAGAACAGTGGTCTGGTACCCATTGTGACGTGGGACGATTGTGTAGCTTCGTACAGGGCCAACGACGTCCTACCTCCCTACGGCGACAGGAAGGCAGCGTGGTTTCCCACGTCTCTCGGCTCGGAAGCGCTGAAAGATATGCCACCAACGTACATCTACAACACTGATCTTGAGTGTATGCGGGATGATGGCACGGTGCTGGAAGCGGAGCTCCGTGATGCAGGTGTATCGACCAAGCGAGACGTAATGCCCGGCCTACCGCACTATTTCTGGGTCCTGCCGTAGATGGAGAAGACAGGAACGGAGATGCGTCAGAAGTTGGTTGCAGGTGTGAAGTGGGCGCTGAGTGCGAAGTCTCAGCCTTGATGGTTGTAGATTGACACTGGCCCCAGGCTGACGGGAGATGGTGAGCGGTAACAGATACCAGAGCAGCTAGTCTAAGCAGCCGACTAATCTTGTTCGAACTTCTCGTTCTTGTCGTAGCTTCCATCCATATCTGTCGGTCTCGTCCACCCCTCCTCCAAATCCGGTACCTCCGAATGCGCCATCAGCGCTTTGTTCAGCCCATCCCGCTGCATACACTGGTCAAAGTGGAAGCTTTTCGCGCACTCTTCCAGATCCTCCATGCTCATACCTCGGAACTGCTCCGCAAACTCGTCGGAGAGACAGCCGGACAGCCAACACTGGTTGATCAAGCGTGTGATCTGGCGCTCCGTGACCCAAGGTGTCGGATACTGATCCTTAGACGTCGGAGCATTCTTGTCAATCCACGCAACGAGCGGCTCGATGACCTCTTCAGCTTGTTTGCTTGGGTATCGGCCCCATGCGTTGAGCTGGAGGGCACGAGACTTCTTCAGGAAAGGAGCGATAGTCTTCATCCATTTACTGTCAGGGTTTACGTAGACCATACCCTGAACACCGATGTCTTTGTACAGCCAAATCGACCAATGGATCTTATACTTGTCGTATATCCGCAGTTGCTCATCGAGAACCTGATAACGTGCAGCGTTGGTCTCCTCATGATCCGGCTCTAGTTGCGGGTTTGCGTATACGGGCCCAAACTCGCCGTTCCAGATGGGCGTCTTGTGTTGGTTCATGAAATCCGCCTTACGCACGAATTGCCGTTCAAGTTTCGACTTCTGCTCTGGTGTGCCGGTGAACTTCTCGCCTTTGGGAAAGCCCATCATTGAGTAGTCGTGCAGTGCATATACGCAGTTGGGAAGGGTGTGCTCGAAGTGCTTCCACTCCATGGCGAAGGTATTGCCGTCCAGCCAGAGGATGTGGTCTGAGTCTATCTTACGGATCTCCTTCTCTATGCGATCGTAGTACTGCGGCAGTCGGTAATGTTTCGGATCGCAAGGCTCGTTGATGGGGTTGTAGCCAGCTACCCAGGGGTTGTCCTTATAACGCTTCGCTATCTCGCACCAGAGCCAGCAGACGCGATCTTGATGATCCTTGAAGTCCCAGAATGCGGCGTAGTTGGTCGTGTTGTCAGAATGCCAGTCCGGATTCTGCGCGCCAGGCACGGTATGAAGGTCCAGGATAGTGTAGATCTTGTGCTTGGCGCACAGATCTATAACGCGGTCAAGATGCTTGAAGCCGCCTTCCTTTAGCACACGAGGGTTCATATCATCTTCGAAGTGGCGGTAGTTGAACGGCAGGCGGAGACAGTTCATCCCTTTTGAAGCGAAGAATTCGGCATCCTTGTCCGTGAAGAAATACTCGTAAAATTTATCGAAGAAGTAGTCGTGCTTCTCCTTGCCCAGAACATTGATCATTGATTCGTGATGCTGGGACTCGTGACCCGGGTAGCCGGTGATAAAGTTCTCCATGCTGCCAACGATGATGAGCTTGCTGTTTCCTGCTCATTATGACAAGGGGAAAGTTACTTCAGCCATCCTCCCAAGCCCGCGCCGCGTAGAATGACCGGCTTGCCATCGTTGCCTACCACGCGGTCACCTTGCACTTTCAGTATGCCGGTGGACATGTTGGACAGGTACGTAAAGCACTGGGCGGGCAACAAGCAATAAACGAGGTGAAGGAACGATTAGAAGGGCAAAAGTATTATCACGGTCGAGAAGACTACTGATGTACGTCTTGAGAAGAGCCGTATGCAACCACAGATGGTTCCTAATCTTTGATAGCCATTCTGCAGTGCCCGCATATAGCTTCGGCAACCTGGTATGGCAAGATTCAGGCTAAATCGGCTGGCTTGGTAGACCACCTCGAGCTCAGGCGGCTCGCTGGCTTGATGTCATGTCGAACATCACAACATTGCAGCGGAATGCTTTGAGAGGCTCGGTAACAGTTGAACTAAGGTCAGATGAGACCAGGTTCAGTCAGCCAAGATGTTGTATACATTTAGCGTTCTGTGAGTTTGTTAACGACGCCACTGTCCATGCACGCACCCGGTTTGTGTCGCTAGTTTGTGTTGACTAAGCGAGCGCCACATTGTACGCCACACACACCCCACCATCGCTGCATGACTCTTCCCTAAAAAGCTCGCCGTTCACATGTGTGCAACGCGGTAGGCACACGACCAACTATATCAATTTGAATAAGCCTGCCACTGCGGCACCATCTAGTACTCGCCATGTCGCTCACCAACTGCCGTTTCTACGAAGAGAAGTACCCCGAAATTGACTCATTCGTAATGGTCAACGTCAAGCAGATCGCAGAAATGGGCGCATACGTGAAGCTACTGGAATACGACAACATAGACGGCATGATCCTGCTGAGCGAGCTCTCTCGGCGACGTATCAGGAGTATACAGAAGCTTATCCGCGTGGGGCGCAACGAGGTGGTGGTCGTACTACGTGTGGACAAGGAGAAAGGTTACATCGATCTGAGCAAGCGGCGAGTCAGCCCTGAAGACATTGTCAAATGCGAGGAGCGATACAACAAGAGCAAGATGGTGCACAGCATCATGCGACACGTTGCAGAGAAGACAAACACCCCGATCGAGGAGCTCTACCAGGATATTGGCTGGCCGCTCAACAAGAAGTACGGACACGCGGTGGACGCCTTCAAGCTGAGTATTACGAACCCCGACGTATGGAACGAGGCCACATTCAAGACCGACGTCATCAAGGACGAGCTGCAGTCATACATCAGCAAGCGACTCACGCCGCAACCGACAAAGGTCCGCTCAGATGTGGAAGTGACCTGCTTCGGCTACGAGGGCATTGACGCAATCAAGATTGCACTGAGGACGGCGGAGGCACGCAACACTCCTGAAACGCAAGTCAAGGTTAAGTTGGTGTCGCCACCGCTGTATGTGTTGACTTCGCAAACTCTGGACAAGGGCGATGGCATTGCCGTGCTCGAGCAAGCGATCAAAGACATTGACCAAAGTATTCGGGCTGCGGGCGGCTCGTGCGTGGTGAAGATGGCGCCAAAGGCGGTGACGGAAAGCGACGACGCCGAGCTGCAGAAGCTGATGGACCAGCGGGAGAGGGAGAACCAAGAAGTCAGTGGTGATGAAGATGAGAGTGAGAGCGACGAGGGTGTCGTTGCCACTGGCGACTAGACGCAATAGTAGGCTGGGTCGCATAGCGTTCGGAGTAAGGCAAATATATCATGGTAGCGAGATCGTGCGATCACAGAAAAGCGTTCGGGACGATTGCAGTCATCGACCTGCTTAGCAGCTTACACACCTTGCTACACAAGTAAGAAGGTGCCGTAGTCTGGTACCACCCGAAAGCATAGCCTGTTTCATGTGGATATCAGGAGCTTCTATGCAGCTCAAGGCTTTGCAACCTCTCCACCCTGCTTCTCCCAGTCTAGCCATGACCCTCTGTACTCGGCAACGTTCTTATAACCGTGCTGCTTCGCAAGCTGCGCGGCGGCACTACTCCTCACACCGGATCTGCAGTAGAACACCACTTCCTTGTCCAGTTCAGGTTTACTAAATCCTAGGCGATCTTCAAACTCCTCCTCCGGCAGGAAGATCGCATCCGGTTGCGACTTGATGGGGATGTTGATCGCCCCCGGGATGTAGCCAGCTTCGAATTCTGAAGGCTCTCGCACATCTATGATGAGCCGGTCTGGTGATGGAGAGGATGTATACTTTTGCATATCGGCGAAATTGTAGACTCTTCCATTCGCTGGAGCTGTATGCCATCGCGCCTGGGCGAAGACTGGTTTCAGCCCAGCGTTTAGTGATGGTTGCGGTCGAGGTCTTCGCGGCCCCACCATGGACTCGGTGTTTGCTCGTGTGCATATCCTACGCATGTTCAGGCTGAGCGCTACACGCGCCACTCTGCCAGGGAGGGTCATGGTGCCGTTGTCTTGGGGGGATTGTATATTGTTTGCACGGAGAATGTTAAGCCCTGCGAAGGTGGGTCTTGAATGTTACATCAGCAATCACAGCGGATATGCCTCGGTGCTAGGCGGATTCGACGAGCGCTAGAGAGCAAAGCTGCAATTAGATAGCTCAGCCATATATCTCTAAGAATGCTCAACCACAAGTCAGTATCACGATCGTATGCATCAGTCAAGCCTTCATTCCGACACAGTGACCCTCTCGACAAGGTATGCTGAATCGCGGCGAAAGTCCGACTTCCATTTCTGCACGGAGACTTCCGCTTCCTGCAGCCACGACCAAGTGATCGCCTCGCGCTCTCTCCGCACTGCCTTTTTATCCAGAGCAGCCTGCCGTTCTTTGTCTGTTTGTATCTTTTTGGCAGCAGCAGCATCAACAGACATAGCTTCGTGAGGGTGATTTTCCAATAATGGGCAGGCTCATGGAGCACTCAGACACAGTTGCGTCGCCGTCGATCGGTACGTCATCCGAATGGGCTGTGCTTATACGGTCCACATCTCCAAGACTCCGTATCCACTCAACGCTGAGTAACGACAACCCAATTGAATGGTCGTGTCTCGTTGGACGCGTAACGCAGGTTTGTTCAGGTAGGAGCGCACTTCATTTGTTGTATTCACTTTCATTCACTGCGTGCAGCTCTTCGTTGACGCCCAGCATGCGGTTCATTATTCAGACAGTGCTGCTGGCAGCTGCAGGTATCGCTCTAGCACAAGACTTTTCAAAGGAAGGCAACTTCGGCGCACCGGTAAGTAGTCCATGCAGACTGCTGATTTACAAAGCGGACAGTTGATGACGGCCGCAGTTCCCAGACACCACTTACCCTGGCTTCGACTCCACCAACCCTAGCACGATTGCTGGCAGTCGGACGAATCAGACCAGCCCACCGAAATATCCGTCGCCATGGGGTACTGGATATGGGGAATGGGCTGCCGCCTACGCCAAGGCTCGCGCCTTCGTCAGCCAGCTGACGCTTGAAGAGAAGGTCAACCTCACGACTGGGACAGGATGGGAGCTGGACCGATGTGTAGGCCAGACCGGCAGCATACCTCGTCTCGCCTTCCGTGCCCTCTGCCTGCAGGACAGCCCGGTCGGCGTGCGTGACACCGACTTCAACTCAGTCTTCCCTGCCGGTGTCAATGTAGCGGCGACGTGGGACACGGGTGTAGCGTTTGCCAGAGGTCAAGCGATGGGGCAGGAGCACCGCGGTAAAGGCGTCGACATGCAGCTAGGGCCTGTCGCTGGGCCTCTGGGCAGGGTGCCAGAAGGAGGGCGGAATTGGGAAGGTTTCTCTCCGGATCCAGTCCTGACGGGTGTCATGTTCGCTCAAAGCATACAAGGCATACAGAGCGCTGGCGTCATGACGAGCGCTAAGCATTACATCGCGTACGAACAGGAGCATTTCCGGTTAAAGGCCGACTCGGCAGGCTATGGCTTCACCATCTCGGACGGCTACTCGTCCAACATCGATGACGTGACGATGCACGAACTCTACCTCTGGCCGTTTGCTGATGGCGTGAGAGCCGGCGCAACGAGCGTTATGTGCTCCTATAATAACGTCAACAACAGCCAAGCATGCCAAAACTCGTACATGATGAATTATTTGCTCAAAGGTACGTCTGTTCCTGGTCGGTTACGCACAACCTACACCTGCTAATGCTGCTTTGTAGGAGAGCTAGGGTTTCAAGGCTTTGTCGTATCCGACTGGTTGGGCACGATGTCCGGAGTATCCAGCATTCTCGCCGGCCTCGATATGACCATGCCTGGAGACTCCAATGCCTACGATTCTGGTGATAGCTTCTTTGGCGCCAACCTCACCGTTGCTGTGCTCAACGGCACCGTGCCCATGTGGCGTATCGACGACATGGCAATGCGGATAATGGCAGGCTTCTTCTTCGTGGAAACCAATACGACAAGAGGACCGATCAACTTCTCGTCTTGGACGCTAGACACCGACGGCCCTGAACATTATTATGTCGGCCAAGGGTACACACAAATCAATGACCATGTCAATGTTGTCGGCAATCATGGCAGCTTGATCCGGTCTATCGGCGCTCGAAGCACGGTGCTGCTGAAGAATGTCAATAACACTCTGCCATTGACTGGCAAGGAGCAGCTTACAGCTGTCTTCGGCAACGATGCAGGACCTAATGTTAATGGCCCCAACAGTTGCTCTGATCGCGGATGCGACCTTGGCACATTGGGCATGGCTTGGGGCTCGGGCAGTGCCAACTTCCCATACCTAGTCACGCCCGATACCGCCATCCAGAACACGGTGCTGAGCGCTGGTGGCGCTTACGAGTCGGTTTTGGACAACCAGCAGCTGGCCTCGATCGGCGCCTTGGCGCGCAGAGCGAGCGTTAGCATCATCTTCGCCAATGCTGATTCCGGCGAGTTCTACATCCAGGTTGATGGTAACTTGGGCGACAGGAATAATCTAACCTTCTGGCAAGGTGCGGACACGGCGATTTCAACCGTTGCAAGCAACTGCAGCAACACGGTTCTGGTCGTCCATTCGGTTGGACCAGTCATGCTGGAGCAGTATAAGCGGCATCCAAATATTACTGCGATCTTGTGGGCCGGCGTACCAGGCCAAGAGTCTGGGAACAGTATTGCAGATGTGCTGTACGGCCACATCAATCCCGGTGCAAAGCTGCCCTTCACCGTCGGCTCGAATAGGTCCGAATACGGAACAGACGTTCTGTACACACCAAACAACGGCGCACTAGTTCCTCAGCTCGATTTCGAAGAAGGCGTCTTTATCGACTATCGCGCTTTCGACAGGCGCAACATTACACCAACGTACGAGTTCGGATTCGGCATGAGTTACACGTCATTCAACTACAGCAACCTTCGCATCACCAAGCTCAACGTCTCCGACTACGTACCCTTCTCCGGCTACACTCCGCAAGCACCTGTATACGGTAATATGAGCCTTAACGCCTCTGACCATCTCTTTCCGGCCAACTTCAGCAGAGTGCCGTTATATCAATACCCTTGGCTGAACACTACGGACCTCGCTCGAGCGTCAGCGGACCCACAATATGGTTCTTGGAGCTTCGTGCCAGAAGGTGCGCTTGATCAAAGCGCGCAACCTATACCACCTGCCGGCGGTGCGCCTGGCGGCAACCCGATGCTTTACGACGCTCTATATCGTGTGCAGGCGACCATCACCAACACGGGCTCCGTAGCTGGGGAAGAGGTACCGCAGTTGTACATCTCTCGAGGCGGGCCTTATGACCCTGTGAGAGAGCTGAGAGGCTTCGAGAGGCTGAGCATCCAACCGAACACTTCTGCCACCTTCAGCGTGGACGTGCTGCGTAGAGACATCATGAGCTGGGATACGGTGGCGCAGAACTGGTATGTCCAGAACACGACTAAGACGGCATGGGTAGGGAGCAGTAGCCGTGATCTAAGGCTGCAAGGCGTTTTGCCATGAGCGCACCGCATGGTGGGGCAGAATGTGGAGGCACACGGAACGGTAATTTCTAATGGAAGACTCGAAAAGCATAGACGATAGAACATAGACCACTTTGCACAGGATAGACGCGCAAGCAAGCCGCGCGCTACGCGAGCAATCGGACCGGCCACCCTTGACCAGGCCATGCATTAGAATTGTTCCTCATCTGGAACCCTCTCTGCCTAGGTGAACTATTGTTGCCCAGCGGTTTACTTAATGCGTTGAAAAGCCACGCTACCGTCGATGTCTGTACGCATTCTCATCGATATACAATAGCGAACCGTCTCAGCCATAAGCATCTCCAAAATTCGTTAGGCGACGTGCGAACGTGCCGTTCACCGGGCCCGACTCCGGCGCCGTAATTGCGTGCTGGACCACTCGGACCCTCGTCGCCATCTTGTCTATCTCAAGCATGCAGGTCTCTGGAAGTTCTATACGACATGGTGATGCAGACTCGACAACTTCGGACAGTGCTGAATGCACCCGTCACTCTTGAACCTCCGCAGATGGCCATATACCGCCCATTTAGTGACCTGTCAACATTCGACCGGGCTGACGGTTCGAACACGCGATCGAAAACGGCTCGGCCGTTGGAACATCCCTGCAAACTCTCACGAGACGCGTCCCCTAAATCAACTACAGATCCTACGTATGGGTACGTTCATTGTAGTCTTGTCCCTCAGTGACATCCCGTAATATTACTTATCGGATCCAGCCGCCTTTCGATCCACCGCACGACATGCTTGGCCAAACCCGTCGCGTAATTTGCGGCCGGCAATGGCTTCTCACACACGCGCGCTCACGTCTTCCCGTTGTTTAACGAACACGGCACAAGAGCACCTACCAAGGATGTCGTAGTACTGGAAGACCCCTCAGCTCCACAATTTCCGGTCTTTGGGGTCTATACATGGATATGTCCTGCATGAACCCGGTCAGCTGTCAGCCTATCTGTGCGACTCCAGACGCGCCTTGTCCTTTTTCGAGTTCTGCCCATCGAAGAACACCCGATGGAGCACAAGACTCGCAGCCGTTATTGATGCCCCTCACGGACCGGCCCTCTGTCATCGCTTCATGTTCGCGTCTCGCGTTTTAACGTCTTTAGCACACGATGTTGTTGCGCCTTGCCGGTAGAACTTCAGTTTCCTGCTCGGAGTTGTAGTCCCTCTTCACACCTAATACGGCAGAGCACGACACGGCTTCCATACGAGCTCTTAATCCCCGCTCACCAGACTCAAGTACAACTCTACCAGAACGCAAAGATCAGCCGCAGCGATGTTGGAGCCTCGACGATTACGATCGATCGTCTTCTGGTTTGGCATTGGAATATGCTCGATTGCAGAAATATGCCTTGCCGCACTGCTCATTAAGTCCTACACCGCTGACACGCTATCTCCGAGACGGGATCTTGCTTTGGCAGCATCAGTTTTGGATCTCTGCAGTCTAGCAGTCTTTCTGCCCGCCCTAGCGTTGACGACAGCGACAAGTCGAGCACCAGGCAAGACAACACTGATAGCAACCTCCGTCGGGCTGGCAACCATATCCGCTACGTTGTCTATGGTGGCGCTCTGCTGGCTACTGGCAGACCGTACTGTTGGACGTGCTTACCGATTTGCCGCAGCTGGCATTGCTTGCTGGACAATCGTGGTATTCTTTCAGACAGGCTTGTACATCTACATACTGAGGCCTGGTGAACGCACCCGAGCCCAGCAAAGTGGCGAGGAGTCAGTTGTCCGAGGGTCACCCTCGCAGTCAGTAAAGAACCGCCTTTCCGTGCATCTTGCGGCCCTGAAGCCGCCGCCTTCGCTCAAATTCCAACCATCTTCCGGAGCAAGCACGCCGGACTTGTGCGCGTACACTGACAGCCCAGCATCTTCTTTACGCGGTCCACTAGGTCAGGCTCTGCGTCCTATGACTTCAAGGTCGCGCCTCTTGCGTCGATCCTTCATGTCCGCGGACGCACGCAGTCAGCGAGCTGAGCGGACGGTATCACTCGATACCCAGAGGCACAACGATGGCTTCGAGACATGGGATACCTCCGAGGTGCAGCTAACGCCTGACGACGAAGACGGGTCGCCTGTGATCACGAAGCGTACAAGACCGCTCGAAACGATACCAGGCAGCAGGCCCGTTTCTCCGGCGAAGCCACTCGACGGCCCTTTTCCGGAGGAGGCACTCAAGATGGAGCAGACGCTTCCCGACTCGCCTATGCAGCCACTGGAATCTGCTCTGCCTCTTCATGAACTCTCACCGAGTCGTCGGTCTAGTACGACACGGTCACACATACACCCCCTTTTCCGGCCAGAGTCGCCGCTGCCGCCGCCTCTGCCTTCACCAGGTACTGTTATAACAGCATCGCCACTTGCGGGACAGATTGTAAGCCAGGAGCAGGCATTGAATGGGAGATTGCTCAATGGAGCGCAAGGTCAGAGGCTAGAGAGCGGGCATGCAACGCCACAGTCACCGACACGTAGTCGGGCTCAAAGTCGTAACGGCAGCATACAGAGCGTGAACGTGGAGTCAGCTTGTCCACAGGAAGGCCTGCCAAGTTCGCCGCTTTGCAGAGAACACGGTTACGGTGACGCTGTATAGTGGATATGCTCCTATGCTGTAACGATTAATATCATCTTAACGCGGTGTGCGAACTCTACTATATACAAGAATATATGGATCCGCCCCACCTCTGAGACTGTCGGATTCCGGGTCGTAAGTCTCGGACCCACATCTCGGGCGTTCCACTTCGTTCACGTTTCCCAACCAACGAGAGTGTTTGACGTTGTCATCGACGCACACAAACGTCTTGCCGTCCATCTCGCGCACTGCGGATACGTAGTGACCACCCTTGGTACTGCTACCCTGGTGAGCCACGCAGCCGTCCAGACGATACATGAGCGGCTCCTCGTCCACAGTATACTCGCCAAGGTTGAGGTACTCTTCGTAACCGATCTTGGTGCGAAGCTTTCTCATGACCACGTTACCTTCAGCATTAAGGTCCTGCTTCCCCCTCTCGAGACGAATCACTAGGATTTCCGGAGGCCGCGTGATGAGCAGCTTCCGTTGACGCTTCTTCATCGCGAGCTTCCCAGCGCATTTCCCATCCGTGCAAGTGATACTCACAACGTCAGCGAAAATTTCGCCACGGAGGTACTCGACAAGTAGCGTCCGACGCTCTTCGCTTCCAATGCTGACCAGTAGACCTACTGCGTCTGAAACTGGGTCCCGATATCCAGTGACATTGCCGCAGTCTTCGCAGATCCATTGACGCTGGAGCTCAAACTTGAACAGTTCGGCTGTAGAGCGGTGGTCTTCAGGAGCATCTGCCTCACTCACGGTGACGTTTGCCTGCTGTGGAGCTGCATCTATTCTTTCCTTTTCCTGAAGCGACGCCACAAGGAAGGCAAGTAGCTCGAACGGATCGTTCTGGTCGTTCCTTAGCAGATCGTTCATGAATTCGCGAGAGCAGAAGGATTTATTTGAATCTTGTTTCAACGCCCTTGTGAAAGTCTGGATGCTGCGTTCAAGTGCCCTGTCTAGCTGGACTGGCGTCTCGAAGATGGTCTGCCAGTATACCCGAAAGAGCGCCTGCAAAGCGCAAACGGCACACATTCGCGCTGACTCGATCTTTCCGTCTCTATGTTCGCAGGTTTGATGCGAGTTGAGCAGGTACCGGAAGAATGCGGGCTGATGAACAAGAACCTGCATAAGGCTGTTGCGATAGCAGTCCACCCCCTCGTTCACGATACCTTTTGTATGGTAGGTCTTGATGCCTCCAATGCGTTGCCACGGCTTGGAGATTCGACCATCTTTTACACGTGCATCAATAGGTCTGTTCTTGTCTGGAGTTGATGCCTTGTTTGACCCGGCGGCTGTCGCGCTGGTTGTAGGTACCGACTGAGGTTGTGCAATTGAAAGACTGGCGTGTCGGACCCATCGCTGTGCCATCCATTGCAACAGTGTTGTGGCATACTGCGCTATTATTGCGGGTGGGTCGTTGTGGAACTGGGTGAAAGTCGGAGCCTTTGGAGTGCTGAGTGGCTTGGCTGCCTGCTGCTGCTGATCACCAGGATCCACTGGCTGGTCCTCACCATCTGCCAACGAGTCTTTGGCCTTGGACATGCTAGACACAAGGCATTCAACATCCAAGGACTGCGCCAGTTTCTTTGTCATGGCTTTGTATTTTGACAAAGGAATGCAAGGTTCTTCCTTCTTCGGGTACTTCTTACGCCGAGTCTGCTCAACCATACTGTCGTCTGATAAATATTGACTGTGTGAGAGATAGAAGAGACGGGTGTTGTTGTGAAGAATACGCTGCAGAGGCACAGAAGAAAGGGAAGTATACATCACCTTGTTGTTTGTTAGAAGTGCATTGTCCTTCCATTAAGACGGCAATGAGTGTAATCTTATTGCATTCGGCGAAGAGGGTGAGCTTTTGACAATGGCTGTAATCATTCTTGCAAGGCCAGCTGAGACCGAGAGGGCACCGCACTGTTGTGTTGACTTCACTTTCGATGATGGCTTGGACCACATGTTGCAATTCTGAGCCTTGTTTCGATCTCGATAAGGGTAATAAATATGCGTGCCTATCAAGATGGCACCAGTGTCTGAATGCATGAATGTCAAAGTGTACCTAGGTATGGTGAAGTTAGGACTGAGGTCTGCGGTTCAGGAGGGTTTCGGAGAGGCAACCAAGGCAACCTCCGCCGCAAAGAGCCCGTCCCCAGAGAAGCTTGGTTGCCATAGCGCCTTCCGGATTGTATTGGGGCTCAAAGTCCGTACCTCGACATAAGAAAGGCACACGAAGAAGCTCTTTATGAGTGGGTGATTCTGCATTCACGCCGTTCTAACCTCATCGGCATCGAACGGTGTGGAAAGCTAAGAGCTAATACTACAGATGGTGAAGCCGGCAAGACATTCGTGCCCTTCTCAGCGCACCTACCAAGCCTGCAAGATCTCTACCAGTCTCCATACAGCAGAGTCGGTAGTACAGGATTCGGAAGGTGCAAGTGCGAAGAGGGCAAAAGTGCATATCGTCGGGATCACAGATGGAAGTCTTTCCAACCCCCAACCCACTCAACATCGGAATCCATTCCGATCTCATCATCGCAGTCATCAAATTCGGTATTGAGAAAAGTTCTCTCCTGCTTAGGCGGTGGAAGCGGAGGGGACGGTGACGGCGCCTTTAGCGCATCCGGAGACATCATATGCTCCCTCCAGTTATTGTTGCGAGACCAAGCGTCACTCGTTGGACTGTGCTCTTTGCGTTCCCAGACGCGGCTGTTGTTCACGGATGTAGAGCGAAGTCGTGTGGGACTGCCTTGACGCCAGCTGCTGGTCTTCTCATGAGAATCGGCTTGCGACCGTTGCCTTCTGCTGCTCGAGAACGGCGTGAAGTTCGAAAAGTTGTCGGAGTACTTAGTCTTCTGTGGGGTGATCGTAGCTGGTTGGGTGACAATGGTCGATGACGGAGCAGTGGCCTCTGCACGAGCGCGACGGAAATTTCCCAAAGCAGCCCACTTATCCATGATTGAGTTCGAACGTTGCTTGGGTGACTGCGTCTGCTCAACCTTCTTGTCGGCTTCAACTAATTGACGGAGCGGGCTTGCAGTGCCGGAGCGCGTGTTGACGTCGATCTCAGCAAGACCTGTACGAGCCAGACCCTGCCTCGGCGTAATGCTCCCACGACCCTCCTCGCGAATGGCATGTAGGTGAGGAGTATTCGGCTTGGCGGTATCGACGCGCTCAACGTTCATGCCGGCTTCAGAAGACGTCGCCTCTTGCTGATTGATCTCCTCATCTTCGTCGTATAGGTCACTCCAGCTCTTCGAAAAGCCACCACTCTTAGGCCCATTTAGCGTAGCAAGCTTGCTACCAGGTCGCGAGAAGCTGATTGGCAAAGATCCAATGAAGGTTGACAACGGTTTCGAGACGGACGACTTGGCCGACTTGTACGACATGCCAAGGCCAGAGTCAACATTGGAGGAGAGCGAAGCCTCATCAGTGTCGATGTATTGCCACTCGGATGACTTGACAGAGGCAGGATACAGCTCTTCGTCGCGAATAGTCGACAGTTGGCGCGGTGTCTTTTGTGGCGTCTTAAGCGCACTTGCAGCCCATGGGAAGGAATCTGTGCCAGCTTGTGGGCTGGTAATGGACGGGGTGCGAAGCGGTTCCCGAGCAGCAGTAGCAATTGGGACCAAAGCAATGTGGTCAGTTGTGCAGAAGTCGTCCAAGGTCTCGTCGTCCGTAGTGAAGGTAGTGGCTCTTGTGAGAGCATCGCGTACTGCGGCCAGAGAACGGTATGCAGGATCAAGAGCCAGCGAGTGCACTAGGATATTGAAGGTATCCTGTGACATGTTCGGGAAGATATCGAACAATGTCTCTCGGTTGCGGGCAAAGTCGGCGAACAATGGATCCTTCTGGGTTGGCGTAGCGAAAGGGTTGCGCTGAAATAGTACGTTGAGCAGCACAATGCCGATGGCCCAAACGTCTGCAGACGCAGGCGAGTATCCGTACCCATAGACAGATGAATCATACTGCTCTGGTGACATATAGCGGTCTGAGCCAACAGCGAACTCTGTCGACCACGTGTCCATCGTCGCGAGCCCGAAGTCGCCAAGCTTCATGGTACCGCTCGACGTGAGGAAGATGTTTTCGGGCTTGATGTCGCGGTGATACACGCCGTTGGAGTGGAGGTGGTCGATTGCGCTGACCAGCTGCAGCATGAAGTCTCGAACATGCTCCGTCTCGAGCGGGCCACGACCGAGCCGGATAGCTTCGTACAAATCACCATTGCTGCAAAGCTCTATCACCATGTATTGATGATGGTCCGTCTCGAAATGGTGGATCAAATTGACAATATTGGGGTGCGAGCTGAGTCGAGAGTGGATAGCGAGCTCTTCCGAGCGCTCATCGATAGCAATAGCAGTAGGGCAGGCGCTGTGCTGCGGGGCTCCAGCCTTGGGTATGCATTTGATAGCCACGTCATCGCCGGTGATGGTGTCTTTGGCGGCAAAGACCATTCCGAAAGAGCCATGATTGAGCGGCGAGACTGTCAGGAACCTATCGCCGAGTAACTTTCCTTGTACAAAGCCATCACGCATACAGTCCATCGAGATGGTTTGTCCGCTCGGTCAGTATGTTGATTCCAGAAGCCCAACGGGAGTCCTGAGAGGTAATATGGACGAGAAAGTCGCTAGGCAGGATCTCACGGCGATGCCCGCCCACAAAGCCTTGAAAAGGCAGCAACACTGCTGTTTCACCTCGTAAGCGGAAGGTGTATGCTGGATAATTTTTAGAAGCTGCGGTCGCAACCAAAATAGGCTCGATCAAAGCCAGTGTGCGCAGTCTTTTTGGTATGCAGGTGAAAATGAATGCTTCGTCTTCAACAAAGAGCCACAGCAGTCTCCAGTGTTGCTCAGTCAGTCCTCGTCGCCAGTGCTTAACTCCGTTCGCTCCAAAATCCCCAAGGGTATCAACAACGCTTGCTTGATGGTAAAGCCCGCTCAGGCAGACAAGAGAAGGTGATAGCTATCGTTATATGTTCATGAGTACAGTAGTGGTTGAATATGTCCAACGAGTGGAGTGGCAGTGGAGAAGCGGTGCCAGCGTAGAAGGAAACCAGCTGAAGTTCGTATCAGCTGCTCACGAAGAGGTCGGGTGGAGTCGTGAAATGCAGAATTGAGTCGTGATCGCGTCAAGTGTCGGATGGTAGTAGTACAACAAGTACTCGTAAAACGTATGGATACACACTTAAGGAATGAGTAGGTCGGTAGCAGTTGCCTGCGCCAGGTGGTGCCTTTATGTGCGGCGTTACGACCTCATCGGTAGCGTCAAAGAGCCAGCCTGCGTGCGTGCGGGTAGCCTTTGCGAAGTGTTGATAAGAAAGCTCCGAAACAGTGCGTGCTGATGTCGTGCACTGTCCGGACCACCGATGACGAAGCTGCCGACCGCAGCCGGTTCGAGTGGTCAACTGTCTTGAAAGGAGCTGGGATGGCCTCTTCGCTCTGCGTGCGAATAGTGCGGTGAAGAAGGTGTGTTGGATGGATTATGAAGGTCGTAGGTGTGTAAGATGGTAGGTGTTATAGAAGTAGAGTCGTCGTGATCACCACGGTAGAAGTGGAATGTGGGGTGGCAGAGCAACAGACTGGAAGGAGCGATCTGTCGCCGAGTGGCAGGTACGAGAGGAGTCGAAGTCGGTTTGTTGGTAGCGGTCGTCCTGTAGGTGTAAAAAGTATGTGAGGGTATGAAGGTGGACTAATAGCGGTGTACAACAAGGCAGAGTGGGATGGATGGGAAGCGGGACTGGGAGAGATGCGGGCGAGAAGATGGCGTTGCAGCCTCGACGGGGTGCTTCGTTGATTGGATGCAGCAGGCTGCGGCACCAGCGCCAGCGCCAGCGCCCGCACCATGCGCACGGACTCTTCCAAGAATGGAACCGGGCTTCGGCAACGGCACGTTTCTCACGAGTTCCTTGATCTTCCAGACAAACAACGTGATGAACAATGCTGTGATCGTCATCTGACTTGATAGAACATGCGGCTCATATTAAACAACAACGTATAGCAGAAAGCCGTGCTTCGTCATCCTTTGTGCCTTGGTAGCAGATGTCATGCCTGCCGAAGGGAAGCCTGCACAGCCGGTTCGTAGACTCAGCGTCTCGCCAACGTTCCATGGTAGTTACACAAGTTACGCAGCACGAGGGGTGGTTGACGAGCTTCTTTCATCGACAAGGCCCCGCATCAGGCACGGACGTGTTCGAGAGCACTGTGTTGGCGCTGAAAGGCGATCTCGCTATCGAAGCGCCACGGGGAGAGCGGCAAATTGCACTCCGTCATTGACTTAGGAAGACCCCTCCAGATACATTAGCTCCCAAAGGAATGTACCTCACCAGCATAGAGCATGAACGCGGTGTGACTGCAGTCCAAAGCTCAACCTCAACCAAGACGAAAATTATTTCATGGTCACTATAGTCGACGTGCAGGAGTGCTAGCAAATGGGTACAATACCCCAGCACACCATCCTGCAGGTGCAACGACGCTTTCGCTTGCGTTGCATGATGCATAAGCTTGCCCGAGTGCGGAGCTTTTAACGACGGCTCCCAATGAGTGGTCACGAGACTTTTGCTAAACACACAAATACAGTTCGGAACAACCTGAATACAATCACACTCAGTCAACTCGGATAGCCTGGTAAGGTGTCGGTCTCAACCTTTGACTATTGATGGCTCCACGTGGTATGATCGCTGGCGCTCGATGTCCGGTCCGCTGTCGAGGCCCGCGCCGACACGGTCGTCAAGTCGATTGGCTCGGACCCTGTTTCTCCGCCCAGTCTAGAACGAGCCATCGCTCTTTGTATTCCGACTGTCTCATCGGACAGAGAGGACGGCAGCGACAGCGGTGTATAAACTGCCAGCGGTACAAGTTGTCACTAGCAACGCAGGAATCTGGTCAATATGTACGATTTACATACTCTCCACCCTATCATCGTCCGCCGTTACGAAGTGATTCTGTACGTTTAGCACACCGTTGCGTGCAGTAGGTTCATTAATGGTGGAGTCCACACCCAAGGACTGGTGTCGCGGCCCCGTTACGGCAACGGCACGCTGGACCTTGCTTGATAGCGTGCGCAGATGAGCGGTCGATTCCTTTTTGCCTGATGTTGCTCGTATTTGTAGGCTGTTGTACTATATCCTACCAGGTATTCCAGCAACAGTCAAGGGAGCCGCCACTGTACCAAACTACGAAAACATGTGGACGGCTATTGACTCGTGCCGAAGCCCTTTGGCACAGGCATTGCCTCTCTCCATCGTTGCCCGAACAGCATGAGAAGCAGTATTGGTCCGGAGCCGAGGACCAATGTCAGCGCACCCTGTGCGATGTATGAGTTCTGAAAGCCCTGGTTCTCGACCCACGGTAGGAGCCAGTAATTGACAGTGAAACCGAAGAGCTGTCGGCAGAAGATCATGGCAGCAGCTACGTAGGGCGCTTGCGGCTTATAGCAGTCAATGCCATATGCCATGCCTAGCGAGACGGTCTGCTGATAGCCAAAGATCGTGACGGCCATCATGCTGACAGGTCCGATCCAGTGAGTTTGGTGCTGAACACAAACGCCGAACCCGGCCAAACCAAGAGGCATCAGGATGAGTCCTGGTATAACTGGATGTAGGCGCATTTCAGGGATGAAGACGCCTCCGTTGCGTTTTAATCGGTACCGGATGTACTTTTGCCATGTTAGCATCGGCTCCGTCGTGCTGATCGGACTACTAGGCTTACCAAGTCTGACATGGGCCCTGCAAATGCTTCTCCAAGGAGGCAGCCGACCAGGAAGCCTGCGTTGGAGAGGCCTTGGGCGCGTGGGCCCCAGCCATAGACACCGCCGAAAGCGAGTGGAACGATGTTTGAGATTCCAATGTCGGGCAATGCGACCCCAAAGCACCACGATAGTGCGATGAGTCCGACCGAAGGGTATCTGAGCATGTAGAGAGGCCGGAAGAACTCAAGGAACGAAATGGGCCTTGGTGAGATGCGGCGGAACTCCATCTGCGCAAAAAGCCGCTTTCGCTTAGGCTGCACGCCCGCAGTGTTCTCGATATTCTCTGTCCCGAGATGGCGAATGTAGCTGTCAAAACTATTAGCGCTGCCGCTGAACCTTGTGTAATACGACTCACAGCGTCTCCGGCAGAAAGAAGAACATCATCACTAAGAACACGCCCGCAAAAATGGCCATTAGCCATAAAGACCATCTCCAACCTGCGTTCTCAATGACAGCGCCTGTGATCATAGGTGCGATGAAGGGCCCACTCTGGCCAATTGCGATCCAGCACCCGGTGTAGAGTCCTCGCTCGTGGAGGAAGTATACATCTGCGATGCTCCCGGCACCCACCGTGAAGGCTCCCGACGCGCCAAAACCTTGCAGCATCCGTGTGAAGACCTGGATGCCGTAGCTCTTGGCAACAGCGCAAGCGATGGATGACACCAGAGTGATGAACATTGCGAGCAGATAAACGGGTCGCCGGCCGTAGGTGTCGCATATCGGACTCCAGATGATAGGACCCAAGGCGAGCCAGAGGACGTTCACGGACACGAGGTAGGAAACATGGTTGATGTCCGTATGGTACGCCTCCGCCTACGCATCGTTAGCGTGCGATGACTGATTGAGAACCACGGAAGCGCACAATCGCCATGAAGCCTGGGATGATTCCCGCAGCGCAAAAGGCGATCATCAGCGACGAGCAGCAGATGCAGATCAGCACGCTGATTTTCCAGAAGAATGGCCAGTTCTGCTCGTAGTCAGCGCCGAGGTTTGCATCCCATGCGTTGGCTGCTGGCTTACTAGCGGATCATTTGGATCCGTACTCGGGGTCGGAACGAGCTCGATCCCATTGCGGGTGACATAGATGTTGCCGGTTGTGGTTCGGTGCACGACTTCATGATGCTCCGCAATCACAGCAGTCTTTTCGTCGCTGCTCGCGTGATGCAGGTGCACTGTGCCTGCGATATTCTCGTCCATTTTCGCTACCGTTGACACAATGTATATGGCTACGCTAACTGGGGACAAAGGAGTAGAGACTCTGTCAAGAAGGCTTCCAAAGACCTACACCACCTGCCTATTGATATCCATATATGCCCAGTCGTTCAAGGAGGCTTACAACTGCCGCGCCAGCTCGCGGGCTTGCTCCGCCCGTGGGTTGTGACCCAGAAGCTATCTCTGCGAAGGCAGACGCCATCATTGGATTGAAATGCTTGCGATAGCGTCTCCATCGTTCCACGCGACACAGGCCATTGTTTGGGGCGAGCCTGTGCATACAACAGCCGAGCTATACTGCCACCGTGCGCACCCCGCATCTGCTGCGTCTGGGGTGCTCCACGCGGAGAAAGACGAGCCACTAGGCCCAGCATGTGGGACGAAGCACCTCCCCTGGCAAACAGCCGCTTTTTGCACGCGGGCGCATTGACTAGCTCACCTTGTCAGCATATGTGGCTTTTCGTTGCTCAAATGAGCCTAAAAGGCCCCCTTGTCTGTGTTGTGGTAAGCGCAAGAATCGTGCCAAGCGTGTACAGTTCTGACCAGCCCCCGGCCTTCTCCACCCGTCCAAGGCCATATCGATCTCTCGCCACCCTTTTCTAATCTGGTCTGAGTCGAGAGGGGGAAATGCGGGAAAGTGGCAGGGTGCGCCTTGTAGTCCTCGTAATCCAGCTCGAAGGTCCAAAGTGCCGTGTCTTCGTCATGAACAATGTTCGATGCTTGACACTTGCCGGTCATCTGGCAGGTCAGGCAAGTTCGGGGGAGCACGTGAATCAGTAACGTCACCTTTGACCTTCGAAGGCTTCCGCCTAGGTCAAAGCTTGAGCGAAGCAGGCAGATGCGCAAGCGCAGCGTGCCAGGCTCGAGGTAAGCTCTGTAAGCGCTCGAAGCACGGGCTAGACTTTGTCACCGCACTTCCGCCAAGTGGCCCTCATTTACGCTGGATAAAGGTCTCAATGTACAGGGGTCGCAGCCTGACGGAAATATCGCGTATATTCCTGTCGATTAAGTAGGCTAAGCCGGAAGCCGCTCCAGCTAACACTCCTCCAAGACTCAGCTGTCTGGTAACGATATGTCCGGCGAGGTGGAAGTGAGTATGATGCAAGCAGTCCGTGACAGGAAGTGAGTGGGATGCAGGCAATGCGTGGCAGGAACCGCTTCCTCGCCGCCTGGTATTGTTGCCTCCGCGCTCTCGACCCTGGCAGTCATATACGTGAAGCGAGCAGTTCTGAGTAGGGCATCCATTTGCTTGACCTTGATGTCAGCCATGAAAGAGACGATACCGTGCTTGGAATCTTGCCGTATTTGCGCGAAATACTCCAGCACCCACATTAGGATTTCACCCGAAATGCGTAGCGTGCATTTCGTGGTGACAAACACACATTCAACAAAGGCTTTGGAGGATTGCGATGGTCCTTTTAGATATTTCGTTCAGAACTCCACGTCCCAGCGCAGGCCTCCATCATAACGGTTCGACTGTATGGAGTAAGGCGGATAATGTGAAGCGCATTTAGACATAATGAGAACACTCATAGTTCTGCAGTCTTCCAACCTGCCGACGGTGGCGCCGCACATGGCCCCATCGTTGTTGGGGAACCCTAGTCGGGAGGATGTCTTGCAGAAGAGCAGCCGCCTGGTGAGGCGATCGCAGGCTTCACGAACCAATACCGATGGCATTGTTCGTGACGGAATCATCCACTGCCGCGCGACAGAGATTTGCCCCTCAAGCAGGGACGTAAGAGCGATGCCATGAAGTCACGGTCAGATGTATATGCGCACAAGTGTATGCTCGAAACCCTCCAGTATGTATCGGCAAAGCAGTCAGGGGATAGGTAAACCTCTAGAGTCATAACAACTCAGGTCGGTGAATGGTGTTGTTCGCGCCGCAAGTGCACGTTGACGTCGACCGCCCGGAAGGGCTTAGTGCCACAGCCGTAGACGTCCGAGCTTGGGGCATTCGACGACGGCGCGGAGGAGCTTGAGTGCGTTGTAGTAGCTGTTGCAGCAGCACGATTGTACATTACACTGAGCGCCAGCGCTTACTAGATTCTGTCTCAATATCACGAAGCTTGTCCAAGGCGGCTTCGTTTGCGTGATATTGTACTTAGCCAGCGGATGCTGGCACCATGTCAGACAATGACTTGAGTATGGCCTGCTAACTTGCTGCCTGCTTTGACCTTCGTGTTGACGATAAGCCAGATCACCCCACGCTGAACTTGACGGAGCAAGAGAAGCGTGCATACGGCTTTCTGTTCGCGCAAGCCGACTCGGATCAGCTCGGAGTCGTCACAGGCGAACGAGCTGTCGCCTTCTTTGAACGCACGAAGGTCAGTCCGAACGTGCTTGGCGAGATATGGCAGATCGCGGACACGGAGAACCGAGGCCTTCTCACGAAGCCGGGCTTCTGCATGGTTCTACGCTTGATCGGGCACTATCAAGCTGGTAAAGAGCCGAGCGCGGAGCTAGCCTTCAAACCCGCGCCCATTCCGCGCTTCGATGGGCTGCAGATACCAGGCGTGTCTGCTCCTGTAGGGCCAGGCGCAGCAGTACCGAGCCCGACGGGTGCGCAATTCCCGATCAATGCTCTCCAGCCTCAGCTTTCCGGTCAGGCGCCCATCCGTGTTCCTCCGCTGGATGCGCAGAAAGTGCAACAGTACTCAAGTCTGTTCGAGCGATCTGGCATGCAGAATGGCTCGTTGGACGGTACTACCGCGAAGAACATATTTGAGCGTGCAGGCTTACCGAACGAGGTGCTTGGTAAAATTTGGACGCTCGCAGACAGGCAGCAGCGGGGTTTCCTGGACCAGACAGAGTTCATCGTGGCGATGCACTTGCTTATGAGCATGAAAACGCGAACCATGACTGCGCTACCGAATACTCTGCCTCCGGGCTTGTACGAAGCGGCTGCGAGGAGAGGCATTCCGCCACCACCTGGTAGCCGAGATGGTCCGCCCATTGTACGAGGCCCACCTTCTCGGCAGTTCACAGGCGGCTCTGTCGGCGTACCGGCGAGGACACAGAGTCCTCTCGCTCAACCTGCAGGGTTTTCTACGCCAGCCCCCCAGGCTCCACAACCTACTGGTCTGCCGTGGCTTGTTACCACCCAGGAGAAGGCAAAGTATGATCAATTCTTTAGCACCATCGACATCCAAGGCCGCGGTGTCATCACCGGAGACCAAGCGGTCTCGTTCTTCTCGGATTCTCGTCTGCCGGAGGACACTCTTGCAACAATCTGGGATCTTGCGGACATCAATAGTGAAGGACAGCTGAATCGTGACGAGTTTGCCGTTGCAATGTATCTCATCCGTCAGCAGCGGGCACCAAACCCTGCACCGCTCCCTGCCTTCCTGCCTCCGGCACTCGTGCCGCCCAGTATGCGACAGCAGCAGCAACAGGGCCAGTCTACAGCTCCCGTGTTCGACAATGCGAGCAATTCCCGGAATCTACCAAAGTCTGCGGCAGATGATCTTTTCGGACTCGATGAGCCCACCGCAGGAGCAACCCAGCAGCCGGCCTTGCAGCCGCAGATGACAGGTCTGCAAACGCAGACAACAGGCACACAAGATCCTTTCGCTGGTAGCATGCCTGCGAGTCCCAGCAGTCCTCAGCATTTCCAACCACAATCGCAACAACCTGCAAGTACCGTTTTTAAGCCTTTTATGCCGACTTCCGCCTTCGGTGCGGCACTCACCCAGCAGCATACGGGTGGCTCAACCAGCCCAAACCAGCGAGCATTCCAGCCGCCTTCTGCACAGCCATCTCATTTGAGGCAGACCTCAGCGGCCGAGGACGACTTACTCGGCGACAATGTCACGCATGCCGAAGAGGCCAGCAAGATCACCAACGACACGACGGAGCTTGCCAACATGAGCAGCCAGATCGGGAATCTACGCACCCAGATGGAGCAGACTCAGAGCAAGCGAGGTCAAACGCAAGCCGACGTAACGGCGACACAAACGCAGAAGAGGGATCTAGAGCTTCGCTTGCAGCAATTTCGGGCTCAGTACGAGGCCGAAGTCCGCACGGTCAAAGAGCTCGAACAGCAGCTAGCGGCTTCGCGCGACAGTACCAAAAAGCTCAGCCAAGAGCTGGCCATGCTCGAAGGCACATATCAAGACTTACAGACGCAACATTCCAGCGTTACGCAACAATTGCAGGCCGACCAGCAAGAAAATGCTAACCTAAAGCAAAGAATCGGTCAACTCAATGCGGAAGTAGCCCGATTGAAGCCAGAGATTGAGAAGATGAAGCTGGATGCGCGGCAGCAGAAAGGTTTGGTGAGCATCAATAAGAAGCAGCTTGCGACCTCTGAAGCCGAGCGGGATCGGCTTGAAGGTGAAAGGACAGACCTGGAGCGTGAAGCTGCCGAGCGGGCAGCGGCTGCCAGAAATGTACCAGCAGAGCAGCCAGCATCACACTTCGGACGTGACGCCGCAGCAGCTACCGGGCTCGCAGCGGCTGGTACAGCTGCGTTTGGTGCTTATGAGATGAGGAAGGAGCATCAGACCACAGAGGGTGTCATAAGTCCCGGCAGCGCCATGCACAGCTTGACGAACCCTTTCTTCCGGAAAGCGAGTACAGAAGGCGCAAATGAACGTGCTGTTAGTCCGCCCGCCACAAGCTCAACTGGTGCGCCGACACCGAGTGCATTCGATGCGCTGTTTGGTCCTTCTGCTGCATTTGCGCCCACTGGTCAATCGATTAGTAGAACAGGCACGCCACCCTCGACTAGCTTCATTGGGAGGAGTATACCTGCAGCAACCACGTCGGCTGCAGTACCTCAACACGGCATGACGGACAGTGTGCAAAGCGTGTCTTCCGTCGGCGAGCCAACACCATCTGCCACCCCACCATTGAGCGACCAAGCCAAGGACAGCCCCATCGCAGCAATCGACCCGCCACCTCCACCACCAGAGAACCGACAATTCCTGCCAAGTGAGTTGCCTGTTCGTCCGTTACCAGATAGGTCTCAGGAGGAGAGCGACGCAAGCTCGACACGAGTCCTGCCTCCAGCGAGCCGCATGGGCGGCACTGAAACGCCCCGAGAGCCTTTCGAATCTCGCGTAGCATCTCCTACACCAGCTGCCGTCGCCGAAACTGTACCTGGCGCGTTCCCGAGTGACGAGCTACAGCCCACCACGAGTGCGCAGGAGGTAGTGCCGGAAGACGAGCCAACTGCTGCACCTGGCCATCCACCCGCGCCGCAGAACGCGCGCGACGACTTTGATTCTGCTTTTGCAAGTTTCGGAGACAGCGAGAAGGCGAGAGACGCCACGGCAGAAGCAGAAGATCCATTTGCACCTGGATCAAGTCAGCAAGCTAACGGCGGATACTCTTCGGAGTTCCCGCCCATCCAAAGCCTCGAGCCGGAGGATGAAGAAAGCAGTGACGACGAAGAAGCGGACCGCCCTGAAGGCACTCCGGCAACCCACGGCGCCGCCGCATTGGCGCCCCCTGCAGCATCTGCTCCGTCTGCCTCAGAGCCTGCTCCCGAAGCCAACATCGCTGGTGCAAGGCCAGCTATCGCCACCGTGGACTCGACCTTGAGCGATCTGCCTGGTGTGAGTGCACAACAATCGCCGCCATCGTATGAGCAAAGCGACGCACAAACGCACGGCGGCAGCGGCGAACGAACAGACGCGAACCATTTCCCGCCCGAATTTGGCGGCTTGCTGCCGGCGAGGGAGGACCCTACAAGTCCGCCGCCCCCGGCCGGTGGCCCGCCGGTAGCGATAGCCACTAACAGCAGGGAGCAGGAGGTACCCACAAGCTACGCTGCACCTGAACGTACGACAACTGGCTCATCGAGTCTATATCCGAACACCGTCCCACAGACCCCAACCTCGAATGACATCTTTCATGATGCGAACAGCAGGCCTTTTAGTACCGTAACAGAAGCGACTCCAACACAGCCTGCACAAACCGTGGGAGGTCCTACACGATCTCAGAACGCCTTTGACGATTTCGACGACTTCGCCGGACTGTCGGAAGCTAAAGAAGCAGAAAGGACTGGTACCGACTTCGACTCCAGCTTCTTCAGCAACAGCACGCGAAGTGTAGATGAGTTCAACCCCGCATTTGACTCACCTGCTGCCAGCATGACAAACACGATGGCCTCATCACAGCAGACCCCGCTTGCTCCTAGCAGCCATGGTGATAGCTTCCCAGGCTTCCAACCGAACAACAGCAGCAGCAGCCCGTTCGACACCACTGGCCGCATACAGAGCAGGATTCAGAGCACGCCGCAAAATGGGCAGCATGACTGGGATGCCATCTTCTCGGGTCTTGACAGCAGCAAAACCGTGGATACATCGCTCAATACTACTGGTCACGATGACCCTTGGAGCACTCCCGCAGCAGCTGCCACGAATGGAGATACATCTGCGGCAAAGACGCCGACTCCTGCTTCACCAGTCAGAACGTTCACAGCCAGACCCGCAGATAAGGCGGCGCAGATAGGACGGGCAATAACGCCCGGCACAGAGCACGATGACCCCATACTGAAGCGGCTAACTGGCATGGGATATCCAAGAACGGCTGCGCTCAACGCGCTTGAGATGTATGACTATGTAAGCTTTCCACAATCTATCGGTCCCCAAACGTGTGGTGTTCGCTAACGACGTATGGCAGGACATTAATAAGGCCGTTGATCACCTGACGACCAGCTGATTGTATATCCACAGTACTTCAACTAGATGGTGTTCTGTACAAAACCTACATAGCGGCTTGTAATGTGTGGATAATTCATGCGATTCGCTTGTTCACAATGCCACAAAAGAAAGTGGCATGGCGTAAGCTGTCAACTACCAAAGTTCATCTTCAGTGCTATAGAAGGCTCCCGGCCATTTAATGCGGCGTCCTGTGTCTGCTGGACGCCATTTCGTGACTTCAGTATCTGTTCGAGCAAGCCGCGCCGCTCGCTACGCATATGCGATACGATGACCCTGAAGCTCGCATTGTCCATGACCGCTAGATCCAACAAGCGCACGGCAGTATCGTCGAATACTTTAGGTCCGTCACGTTGCGCGCGCTCCAGCAGCGTCTCCATAAGTAGAGCAATGAAGACGGGCCGCTGTTCAGGCCTGACTCTAGACGTGTACATGATTAGTGTTTGCGCTGTCAAGCTTTTACTCTCTTCCAAGCCCTCGAGATCTGTAGGGTGGCGCAGGAAGGCCAACGCGCAGGTTATTAAGGGCGCCGGCGCCACTCCAGCCATTAGCAAAGTCCGCATGCAGCTGGCTGCAACTCGAGACGTCGTAGGGGCTTCCAAGCTTTCGCACAGTTCGACAAGGAAACGGGGCACCAGAGTATCGTCATTGTCGAAGGCACTCGAGGCCGTAGACAGCAGGATGCTCACGGCGAGTAGGGTACTCTTCTCACATTGGAGACTCCAATCCATCTCACGCTGTTGTGCATTCTTTAATATCACTAACATGCGTGCTAGAACGCTCTTGAGCTGACTGCGCGTCTCGGCGCTCATGTCGTCTGCGATACTGGCTACGAAGCGACGGAAGATCGGCAGCGACTGTGGCACGACAGAAGCTTGACAGGATCCAGTCATGAGGATCGTCACGAAAATGTGAAGAATGGATGCATGCAGGTCGGTCTGGATGATCGCGGGGAAGACCTCAGAGACATCGACAAGTGATTGTAGCGCAAGCCGAGCTAGAGCTTGCGCTTCCTCCGATGTCTCCAATCGAACTGATACCGGTATGTCGGCAAGTCCAGAAACCACGCCACCAAGCACCAAAACGATAATGCGGGTGAGCTCGAAGAGTTGCTCGACATCGTCATTGAGTGCCTCGCCATTCACAGGTGTTTGAAGGCCGTGCCTCGCGGAAGGGTGGGCTAGACAAAGGTTGCGCGCAATCTCCACCACCAGCACCTGCACGTTGAGAGCCTCCAGGAAAACCATCCTAGACAGCAGGTCCACCGTCTCAGAGAAGACGACAGGTTGGTAGATAGCGCTGCCGGCCACTGACGGTAACAGTATCTTCTTTAATGCGCGTAGTATATCAAGGTTGCGCTGCTGAGTGGTGACAACATCGTCCATACTACGCGCCGCCAGTGATTCGAAAGCCAGCCCGAAGAGTACGAAAAAGAAGGCCACGGGCTCTTCGCGGTAGTTTATCCCGGTAGGCTTCCTTGTAATGCCGTTTACAGCCTCTACATCGGCTGGCTCGTGGTCATTGGTATCCTGGTGTTTCCCGTCTAATGCCTCGAACACGAACTCGCTGTCTTCGTCGATCAAGCTTGCAATCGCATCCACAAGACTCAGCCACGAGTCAGTGTAGAAGCTGAGTAGTGTCTGCCTGTTCAAAGCGGCGTATACCGAATCGAGTTCAGACGACAACGGTGCAGTATCTGCATTGGCTGAGATTTCAGGCTCGAAGCGTAGACGCGAATACTCTCTCAAAGACGCCAACCATAATGGGACGAGCTGCGCGATATGCGGCTTCACGACTTTCTCCAGGTATGTCTGCTCTGAGCTGGCGATCTGCAGTTGCGCCCAGGCGGAAAAGACCGCCATTCGTACCATCAGCTGCGCATTTGCGCTGAGCGCTCTGAGGTCACCGATGCTGGCTGACTCGGCATCTCTGGAGAAGCTATCGAGTGCGGACACAAGGACCTTCAATATCCGGCCCATTCGGTCCACATCAGTGACAATGCCGGTCGCGATGAATGTAGCGCACACGCTCACAGCTGCAGCTGCAAGCTCGGGGGAGGAATCTGTCGCGAAGGCCGGAGTAAGAGCAGAGCTGATCTGAGCCTGATACTGCTCGAGCAGCATGGCTTCGGGAAAGTCCGGATCTGGGGTGCGGCCGAACATCTTCAGCACTTTATCTATGATTTGCATGCCGACCACACGAAGCGCAGCCACTCCCGCAGTAGAGGCGGAAAACGCAATACGGACAACATCCGCCACCCTTTGTTGCAGAGCTGCCTCTCCTAGGCTGTTTTCGGATACTGCAGCTTCTTTACTGATGTCGATGATGAGGTCGTGCAAGCATGACATGGCGAAGAGCCGGACCTGCCATCGCATAAGTTCTTGCGTGGAGCTCGGCGCTTGGGTCTCTTCTTCCTCCTTCGTTGCGCCATCAGCAACAGCAAAGCCTGCAATCTCTTCGTCCTGCAAGTCAGGACCAGCGGTGTCTTTGACCGCAGCCGTTTTCGGTTGCTCAACCTTGGCCTTAGTCTTGGTAAGTATGGCATTGCAACGCTGGATCCATCCCGCTGGATCACTAGGTCCGCTCTGATGCAGCCAAGTAGTGAAGATACCGCGGATAACAGCCGTCGCTGGCGACATGTTTAAATGGTCCCACAGTCGTTCTTCGAGACCCGGCCTTGCGGTACGCATGATCTGAGGCGCATCTCGCCGCATGATTACGGACAGGCCATGTAACGCAACGCTCGACAGCTCGGCCATCTCTGAGTCGATGTCGGCCTGCAAACGTTCTATGTAGGCCGTGAAATCGACATAGCCAGGTGCGTAGAGCGATAGATGCTCCATGCACCGCAGGCTCTCGAGCAGAACAGCACAATCTTCCTCCAGCGAAAATAGTCGTACCAACATCAGAATCATATCACGTGGTTTCGCCATATCCTGGAGATCCGGACCCAAGACGTTGATCGTGGAATCAATAGATCTCGCAATGGAGGCCGTGACCGGCAATGCCATTATCATGTTGCTTGATGCAAAAGCGGCAATCTCAACATTATGGGTGTCAGAGACGTATAGTTGACTCAGGACACCAATTGTACTCGTAACATAGCCCGAGAAGTTCAGTCCAGCTGATTCGGCGACCTGCGCCAGGCTGTCAAGTGCCCAGAAGTGCACAAGCGGGTGGGTGTCTGCCGCCAGCGACATCAGTATACCTACGATGTTCTTCATGTGGAAGCCGGCGGCCATGCCGCCGAGCTGATCGTGTATCCTTGCAAGAGCGATTGCGCAGCCTGCGCGTACGTGCGGCTCCCGGTTCTTGATGATAGTGTCTGTCAGAAACGTGATTTCAGCAGCGGTTGTGGCGTTGCCAGACTGGAAACAGAGGTCCGCAATCGCGTCTGCAGCCATCAGCCGCACACTGTGCTCAGGATCTTGTATAATGGCGTGTAGCAGAGATTGCAATGTCTTCTCTGTTGTTCCGCTTCGCAAACTGCCCTGTGTAACGGAGACTTCTCCATTGCAAACATTACAGGCCGTCTTCAGCGCGAGTGCTACGTTGACGGTGATGGCAGACTTCCGCGCTGGATCTTTTGATAGGGACGGCGCGCTGAGAGAAGACGCTATCTGTTCCAGCATGCCTTCTTGAATGCGCGGAGCTTGCAAGGGTAGGCTGAGGCCAAAGGCGGCAATAGCAGCATTCACTGCTTCAGTGCCTGCCGGAAAGACCTCGTCACCACCTTGGCCATCAGCGTAGACTGATGTTGCATCATACTCCGGGGCGCAGCCGATTGGGGAGCTTACTGCATCATTGATGGTGTGTTCTGTGTCCTGCCGGCAAGACCAATGACTGCTGGGCATGTGGGTGACGGGATTCGTAACGACTAATCCGTGGACAAGTCCAGTGACTCCAAACCCGGTGTTATCTCCAACATCCCAGATGGTCTCAAAGGCCGCGGCTGCGCTTGCAATGGCCGCGCCTAGCGAGATGGGTGCAAGATAGTCAGGGTCTGAGAAGCTTGCAACGGCTAATGGTAATACAGTGGAGTGTGCAGTGGTCTCAATGCTATCAGCAGGGGCCAGAGTAAGTAACTGCGAAAAGCATTGAAAGACCCTTCGGCGCACCATCACCTCGTAATCTTGCAATTGCAGGACCGGTGAGAGTCTGTTGTTAGGATCATCACTCGTCTTCTTCTCAGGCAAGCCCTGTAGGAAAATGACAGAGTTCTCCAGCATAGCCGACAATCTTCTTGAGATATCGGATGTTAGCAGCCTTCGATTGAAAGTGAGAAATGCTTTGATGGACCCAAGGGCACACTCTCTGACGTGTGCAAGGTAGCTGAGCTCAATCATGTTCCGGTGACTCGTGTGGTCTTTGGTCGCAGGCCTTGGCAAAGCGTTCTTCCATAGTAGCATAAGCTGCGACAGATGTATCTTGACAAAGTTCGGCCCTAACGACATTAGACCCCCTATCATGACCCAAGCGACCTGCAGCTGACAGCTTGAGATGCGCAGGTCTGAGCTACCGCTAGACTTCAGCAAGGTCGTGGCTTGCTGCAGCACCCTCGCATAAACGTCCACTGAGCCGTACAGAGGATGATGACTGGATGCGCTGAGGACAGCGGCAAGCCCATGAGCATACCCAATGCAGCGTTTCGGACCTTGACGTGGGCCGGCAAGCAGATTAAGCTCCCTGCTAACGCTGTTCATGCATATGGTAACGGTGGGTAGCAATTGCTGCGGACAAGCAAGCACAAACGTGCGCAACGCTCGCGCGGCATGGATCTGTACGGTGAAGTTAGGATGCTGCAAGACCTGTATAAGCGCCTCTCTACAAGTATCAGCGAGAGTCGCAATCGCTGCTCCCAAGTACTCGGTGAGTGAGGCGATCGTGCTGAGGGCTCCGATCAGTGTCTGCTTAGTTGGCTCTGGGCGCTCCCTCACTGCTTGCGGATAGTCCTTGACAATGTCGTTCAGTAGAAAGCGGCATGCGTTAAGCTGTGCAGTCTCGCCAAGCATTCTCCCGATTACGCGCTCCAGAATAACACGAATGAATTTCCGACTTAGCAGCTGCCTATACTTGTTCCAATGCAGGCTTGGATGGCTCAGCACATCACTAAATAGATGGCGCGCGATGTCTCCGAAGGCCTTCTCAACCACGCTTTCACCAAGCGCCTTGAACACCTTGATGTAGCACACCGCGATGCCTGCCCGAGCTTTGTTCGTTGTCGTTGCGCGTCCGTAGTGGGTAGAAAGAATCCTGAGCATTTCAATCAAGGTGTAGGAAAGTGTGGTGGCTGGCTTTTCAGGCGCTGGTGAAGACGAACGTGCGAGCTCTTCGTCCAACTCTTCACTTTTGGCTGCCTTCTTTGGTTTACGCGGCCTCCGAATTTGAGGCACGGCATCTGGACCAAGCGGACCAGAGTAGCTCTTCACCAGTTGAGCAGCAAGGCAGGAAGCTGCCGCATGTCGCACAGCCACAGAATTACTTTCGAGAGCTTTATAAAGAGCCGTCTGCAGCTTGTCAAATTCGTTGGAGTTGTCAAAGTATGGCGTAGTTCGTATGAGCTGCTCGAGGCATGCACATGCGCTCGCTTGTACTAGCAAGGCTCTGTCGCCACTCGCAGCATTGCGTGCCTGCTTCCAGGTACTGCGGCCGATCTCCTCGTCTACAGCTGTATTGATGCCCTTCAGAATGCGACTCAGAGACTTGAACAAAGCGCTCCGAAACCCTGCGTCACCAGATGCGACCTTGAAAGCCTTCAGAAGTGCCGTACAGGCCAAAGGCGACAAGCTCATGGCACTGTCACCAGCAGCTTCGTACACTGCCCCCAAAGATGAGGTGGCCGCATGCTTGGCTCTGAGATCCTTGTCTCTTGCCTGCACGATGGCGACAAGTTCGTTGATGGTCTCGTACAGGAGCTTCCGGTTCCCTTTGCTGAAGATGCTACCAAAACATCTCGATAGATTATCCCTTATAACACGTGAAACCGGCGGGGAGGACAATGTTATGATTTGGAAAAGCTCTTTCTTTAGCGCCGATTGTTCAGCGTTGACGCCTTCAGCATCCAGTGCTTCAACATGACGAACAAAGTCAGCCAGGAAGGTAAGTAGATACAAGCTCTGCTGCTCTGACGGCAAGCTATGCAGCTTTTTTAAGTCGAGGGTATATTGTGACTGCGAGTGCTCGCCATTGACGGCGGGCTCGGTTGCGCCATTGGCGGTCGAGGTAGGATCAGGCTCTGCCATTGATCGTTGAATCTGCGCAAGCCGCACACATATACCAAGAGTTGTGCCAGCAGCATGTATGTGAACGCATCCACTGCACCGTTTCGCCAACGGTAATTATCCGCAGGCGATCGGCCGCCGGAGGTTTGCATATTCTATCTTCGGCCGCTCTAAGTGGCCCTACAAAGGCCATCACACTCCGGACAGCTCACGTTTCACCGCCCAACAGGAAGCGCTGCACGAACGTCCTAGAATTTCGTCTGGCTGGCCGACCCTGTACTCGGAAAGCCGCTTACAATCCCTGCGATGCGATAAGTAGACACTGACCGAACACCTGCTTCATGGTGTTGGCCGCGGTGACGGAATACTTCTTCCCGTCTCAGCCAGGAGCCAAGACGAATCTCAGTTACATTGACGATGGCCGCGAACGCCGGGCCAGTGCCACTTACCCTGCGCAGAGTGTGCGACGGCCGGAAGAAGAGCTTCAGCCGGATATGAACCGCCCAGTGCAGGAAGCCATCGATGACGATGCATATAGGCCGCCGTATCTTCATGCTATGTTAGCTGGCGGCTTGGGAGGCACCACAGGTGACATGTTAATGCACAGTCTCGACACGGTCAAGACGAGGCAGCAGGGTGACCCGCACATGCCGCCGAAATATACCAGTATGGGAAACACTTACTGGACGATATTGAGGCAAGAGGGTGTTGGTCGCGGCTTGTACGGCGGTGTCACGCCGGCCTTTCTGGGCAGCTTTGGCGGGACGGTCATCTTCTTCGGGTGCTACGAATGGAGCAAGCGCTTCATGATTGATCACGGAGTCACGCCGTCTGTAGCCTACCTGACATCGGGCTTCTTCGCGGACTTGGCAGCAAGTCCGCTTTACGTCCCAACCGAGGTGTTGAAGACGAGGCTGCAGCTACAAGGGCGCTACAATAATCCTTTCTTCAGCAGCGGGTACAACTACCGGTCGTCACTGAACGCACTGCGAACCATTTACCGAACAGAAGGTGTCGGCGAGCTGTTCTCCGGTTACAAGGCCACACTTTTCCGTGACCTGCCATTCTCCGCTCTACAATTTGCCTTCTACGAGCAGGAGCAGAAGCTGGCCAAGCAGTGGGTAGGTCCTGGCAAGGACATTGGACTCACGCTGGAAATTCTGACTGGTGCAAGCGCTGGTGGTATGGCAGGCGTGCTAACGTGTCCTATGGATGTCGTTAAGACAAGAATACAGACTGAGCTTGATCCCGAAGTTGCGGCGAAGGCAAGACAGGTCAAGAAGGCGAAGACGAGCGCACCGACACCGAACGTGCCTGCCGCACGGGTGGACCCGCACCAGCCAACGCATAGGCCCTCTCCTGCTTCCACTTCGCCCGTCGTACAGACTGCAAGGCAGCAGACGCATCCAATCTCAACTTCCGGACCAAGTACCGCACTCAAGCACCACGGTCAAGTCGCGCTTGACACCGAGTCAGTAGTGAAGGCTCTACGCATCATCTACCGAACCGAGGGTTTTGCAGGGTGGTTCAGAGGTGTGGGCCCTCGAGCCGTCTGGACCAGCGTCCAGAGTGGCACGATGCTGCTCGTCTATCAAAAGCTGATAAAGTGGTTCGATGCACATCCACTTTCACGTGACTTAGATGATGAAGGCTTGAGAGGAGCGAGCTTAAGCTCTTAGGCAGGGCATGTACAACATGACGGATCGATTTTGGAGAGATGCATGGCGTTTGGGGTGGCGTCAAGGGAGTTCAGCGGTCACACAATAAAGCAAGTGCTTGTGACTCGCCAATGTACATCAGTTGCTCAGTCATAGAGTCATCGCACCTTACGTCGTAGCCACCTCCGCTTCAGCTTCACGCCTCTATGCGCAGGTAGTCACCAAGCATAGCCGTCCTCATCATCAATGTCATTTCCCTCCCTCCAGTCTTCATCTCCACTAACCTCGCTGTCGAGGAAGTCGCCTTCCGTGAACTGATTCTCCCTCGGACGCTGGTTGTCAATGCGGATGTCGACAAGATCACACAGTCCTTGGATGAAAAAGTCCTCGGTCCCTTGTTCTTCCTCCTCTTCTTCTTCTTCCTCGTCATCTTCATCGTCCTGTTGTTCAGAGTGGTTCAATTGCATCACGGCCGGTGCTGGCTTGGCTTGGGCCACGCGCCTACTACGCCTGACAATCGGATCGGTATGGTGCTGTCTCTCTGGCGACGAGTCACTGAAGACCTCAGTATCGCCAGCAGAGGTTTTCGCAGGCGAGATTTCTACATGCGACAAGTTTCGTCCAAAGGTAATATCTTCGTCCGAATCGTCGTCGGCGCGCGCTTTGCCGTTTCCGGCTGACTTCCAGCCCTCCGCTTGTGCGTGCTTCCACAGTCTGAACTGCTTTAGAGAACCAAGGTGAGGGTTCGGAGGATCTGCTCGACACGCAAATACGCGCTGTAATCGATCAATCCAGTTGTCGCGGAAGTCAGCACGTTGGCGCCATGGTATGTTGATGTGGGAGTGAAGGATGAGGTATCGCAGATCTGGCAGCTCCGCCGCGTTGACAAGGAGCGAGCGAAAGAGATTCTGCGCTGCTTCAGCACTCCAGCGCTGTAGGTGTATCAGTTCAAGACGGCGGAGCGAGGACGGCCATTGCGGCACTTCATCGTTGGTGAGGAGATTTTCGTAAAGTGGCTTAGAGTCGTCACTGTTTACTCTCTCGCTGTAGTAGCGCAAGTTCATGCTTAGCACTTCCAGCTTCGGACAAAGCACCTTCAGCCCAGTCGTAAAGGCTAGATTGAGCGCTGGGTTATGGTTGAGGATAAGCTCACGAAGCCGAGAAGCGCCGGTCGCTAAGAAGTCGTGGAGCATATCGCTCGTAAGCTCTAGGCAGTTAGTAAGCTCCAGCCGTTCCAATGTCTTGGGCATATGCTCGAGGAAGCGGTCGACCACAACCTCGCTCGACACAAATGTCAGATCGACAAGACTCGGCAGAAGACTGATAGCTATTGCGAGGCTTGGCTGGCCGGTAATCTCGCCCTCTCCGTTCCCGTTGAAGTCGCAGAATGTCAGCTTCGCCAAAGACTGATAAGGCGTGCTGATATGTGTCTGCGTGATGAACGAGCATAGCTCATCTTCGTTGGTAAAGGGTAGCATGGCACGATGCCATCGCCAGGTCTTTAGTTTCGTGCCCGCTTTTGCGAGCGTGTCGAACAGATCGCGCGGATACTGCCAGCGTATCTGATGCGACCGTCGAAAGGGCGGCTCATCGATTGGGTGGAAGATCTCGACATGGTGAAGCTGCGGCAGGTGGGGTATGAGCTGCGACATGTCGAAAAGTCCTTTGCCAGGTGCGGAGTAGGCGAGCCTCCGAACATCGACAAACAGTGATTTGACCTTGGCGTTGTAGTTGGTATATTTCTTCTCCATCCGCAGCAGCTCCAGTAAGTGGTGTGGTTGCAGGTTGGTCAACAGAGACGGTGCCTGATAATAGGCCTCAAGCGCTGGCAGGGCGAAAGCTCGACAGACTCGAGCAGCGTTCAGCAACCAAGCCACATTCGCGCTTGCTGTTCTAGTCTGCTCGTGCCGTGGCAGAGATGCATATGCCAACACCTCGCGCAGAATGTCGATCGGTAGCGACGTCCAGTCCGGTATCCTGCGGTCGCTGGGCCCAGTAAATTCCTTCTTGAGCGGCTCACCAGCTGTGTTTCGCCGCCTGGGCCTGCCAACTGCCTTCACGACAGCCTTTGCGGCCGTTCTCGTTGCAGGCGTGGATTTGCTGCGTGTCACATGGCGAGTCCGCGGTACGGTTTTTGCTCGCTTGAATGGGAGTGAAAGTGGTTGTTCAGGCTCGTACTCCGCTTCAGCGTCTTGCTCAAGGTCATAATCATCATCGCTGTCGGGTTCGGTATATATAGAGCGCTTGGTCGCTGCCTGCCGGGTCGAACGTCGCTTGTTCCCTGGTCGCGCCATGGCTTGCGCACGATGGCGTTGAGGGCGCATGAGTGGCAGATGGAGGCGGCGAAGTGAATGTGTCTTGTCGGTTCATGCACGATTCATGCAGGGCCTATTGTTTGCGCGTTGACTGTCGCATGCGCACATTTTCGGGAAAGCGTGATGACGAGCAGGCGCATCGGCTGCAGCCGGCGCTAGTACTTGTCCATCTCGCCCCTGGCCGCAACCACCCAGCACTCCGCATACCTCCCCATTAGCTTATCCAGCATTCAATGTGTAGTCGACAGCTTTGAGAGGCTCGGAGAAGTAGTCACACCGGCGGTGATATCGCTATATGTAACTGCCATTGCGTGCGGGCTCCAGGGTATGGTGGGCATAACAGACACCCTTTGAGATGTGTGCGCCTTCAGGCTCGACGCGTTGAATGGAGATGTGCGGTAAAGTTCAGTTCAGCTTACCAATGACCAACTCGTTAGCCTTCCATACCTATCAAAGTCTCCCAAGATGCGCTTTCGTGCTGAGATCCGCAATGTGCACACCTTCACCAAGTTTACAGCATCCTTAGCCACCCTTGGCCAAATTGCGTGGGTTCGTCTCGACAGCAACGATGTTCGCTTCACAGTCATTCCGGAGCAAGGCACCCAGGTATGGAGCGTTCTCACACCGGACGTCATCTTCGATACCTACACAATTCAAAGTGCGGCGCCAAACAATACGATCAATCTCGAAGTGCCGTTGGCGCCATTGCAGCGAGCGCTAAAGAGCGCGCAGAACGCGATCGCGGCCAACATACGCTTGACGAAGAAGGACAACATTCCGCTACTCAGTCTTACGATTACGACCACAGCGATGAACAGCACGCAGCCGCCGCCTAATGCACCGGGTGGCAGCGGCTTCGGCGACGAATCCGCGTCAAGCGCCAATGGCTTTTATGCAGACGGCCACTCAGACGACCTACGCGGAGAGAGCGCAGGTTTCTTCGGGCCTCGACACGATCGCGAGACTGTGGTCACTCAAGACGTACCGATCCGCGTGCTGGCACCAGCATCAGTTGATGGTCTGCATGAACCACGATGCCGAGAGCCAGAAATCCACATCACGCTGCCGAACCTGCTGCAGTTGAAAAGTATCAGCGACCGCTTTACCAAGCTTGCCATGTCTAGCAAGTCTAGCAACCGCTCAGGTCTGACCAAGAGCTTGACCTCAGGGCCCAAACTTGAGCTCAGTGCTAATATGCATGGCTGTCTTCGACTCGCACTCAACACCGATGCGATGAAGATCAACAGTCTCTGGACTGGGCTGGAAAATCCCGAGCTCGACCCCAGCCACTATGCGGACAGAGGAGGACTGGCGAACCACCCAAGTGCGAAAATGAGAGACCTGGGGGACGCCTCCGGCCAGAGTGAGGAAGGGTGGTCGACTGTGAGAGTGGAGGGCCGGGATTGGGGAAAGGTGCTGAGTGTAGGCAGGTTGGGCGGAAGGGTGATTGCGTGCTTCTGCCATGATCATGCGCTCATTCTCTACGTGTACCTAAGCAGCGATGAGCCCGGAACGGCTGAGTCGGTGCTCACGGCAAGTCTCACTTCATCCCACGGTGTCGTTGTGGCATCGCTAACAAGTCTTGCAGTACTATATCAGCTCGTATAGCGCATAGTAGCTGACGTTGCTAATACAAATGATTAAGCGAGGTGTCCGGGGATCTCGTTGTAAGGATTCGCGAACAGGATTGAGTGCGCTGCATGAGAAGGTCCCCCGTCCGTAACAATGTCTAAAGCTGCAAATACTGTGTCTTAAGCTGTCTCGCCAATGTAAGCTTGCATCTGAAAATAGGTAGGTTGCGGCGCCTCCCGCTGCATTAGAAGCACTGCACGCCTGCCCCTAATGCCGAAGTTACTGGCTTGGAGAGTCTGGGGAGAGCGTCTCACGAGCACCAATTGGGCTGCCACACATCCCAGTCCTGCACATCCTCGCCGCCACCCTGGACGCTGGCACGCCCCGCCAAACTACTTGTCACCGTGCGTAATATTCTTCAACGGCGTAGGAGGTTGGGCTACAGTGAGACACACTGGTTCATTCAATCAGGATCAACGTTGGGGGGAGAGTTTACTGCAGGGCCAGGGCCAGGGCCAGGGCAGGACGCGAGTTGTTTCGTGCAACCAGAACCGAGAAGATCCACGTCAAGAAAAGATCAAGTAAAGTTAGTGGTTTACTAGTGAGGTCTGAGACACGGTGGAGTGGAGTCGACACCAGGCACTCTGTGGCGGGGCGAGGGACTGGCGATACTGGCCACAACCAAAGCGTGACCGCGCCTCGAGCGCCGGTTCTAAGCACGACCGCCGCCGCCAGCGGTGACATCCACACAACACACCATGTTCTCTAGCGACAAGCAGTCGCGCCAGTCGAGCGGCGGCAAGTCTTTCTTCTCGCGCAACAAGAAGGACAAAGCGAACAATGACAACCCCCCGCCTGCCATCCCCGACACCCCGAGCCTGCATTCGGGCGCCGTCAGCTATGCGCCGAGCATCGTATCTAAGCACTCGCATCGCAGCAGCATCTCCACCGTCGACCCGTCGGAAGAGTATCGCGGCTACCAGACCGGGTACGATGGCATCAATATGCAGGCAGGCGTGGTGACTAGCATTCCTTACGATACAGTCCCCGCAGACAAGGCTCCTTTGAAGGTGGATCACGTGGAGCGACCCAGTAGTCGGCGGGAACCGCTGCCGCATCATCTGAACAAAGGAGGAGGCGAGTACTATCAATCTCCCATGGTCGATGGACAGCCACCAGCACCAAGACCGCCTGCGCATGGCACCACTGTACGGACAGGAACGTCGAGATCGTTCGAGAGCGATGCGATTACACTGAATGGACACTACGCGCCGAGCAGAGGGAGTAGTGATCACGGCAGTATTCGCAGCAACTCCTCGCATGAGCGGAGAGGGTACGCGACGAGTGCCAGTCAGGCTTCTTTCCCGAACTTGGACAGTGCTGCTCACTTCGCTCATTTAAGTCCGGCTCCAACGCGAGACCGATCGCAAAATTTTCTGACCGTCAACCACAGCTCTGCCGCTTCCAGCGCACTGTCTTTCTCGCCCGACGTCTTTTCTACTCAACGACCGCCTGACGATGTCGTGGAGAGGGAGTTCCTAGAGCTCATGCTGAAGCGTGGTTGGAAGTCTTTACCGGAACAAGCACGACGGCAGATGGAGGCTTATCCAATTAGCAAGAAATGGACGTTGGTCCATCAGGACCGATTGTCAGAATGGCAAGGCGAGCAGAAGAGGCGGCAGAACGCTCGCAACACGATTACAAGTCTTACGGAAGGCATGGGCGGGTATGCTGGGATTGTCGATAGAGCAGGCGAGGAGGGCAGCCCTGAGTGGTTCGTCAAGAAGGTGTTGGACAACACCATCACGGCGAAACAACTGCAGAGTCTGAGCGTGAGCTTACGAACGCAGCCAATCGTATGGGTAAAGCAGTTCGTTGAGGCACAAGGGCCGGTGGCGTTGACGAACACGCTGGCAAAGATCAACAAGCGGCAGCAGTCCGGCCCTGCACCAGCGACAGGCTCGACGAACGAGCGTGACCTCGATCGGGAGTACGACATCGTGAAATGTCTGAAGGCGTTAATGAATAACAAATACGGGGCGGACGATGCACTGCAGCATGACACTATCATCATGGCGCTTTGCGCGTCACTCACCTCACCTCGTCTCAACACCCGAAAGCTCGTTTCGGAGCTGCTGACTTTCCTGTGCCATTGGGCAGAAGGCAGAGGGCACCTGAAGGTTATCGAGGCGCTGGACCACCTCAAAGCACAGCAGGGTGAGAACGGCCGCTTCGATGCCTGGATGCGGATCGTCGAGGTTACAATTGACGGGCGAGGCAAGATGGGTTCGCTCGTTGGCGCCTCGGATGAGGTCCGCTCTGGTGGCATTGGCATGGAGAACCTGCTCATGGAATACGCTGTTACTTCTCTATTCCTGATCAACAGTATGGTGGACGCGCCGGAGAGGGACCTCAAGCTGCGCGTGCACTTACGAGCGCAGTTTGTCGGCTGCGGTCTGCGCCGTATCTTGAACAAAATGGAGGAGTTCCAATACGACGTTATTGACAAACAGATCGAACGGTACCGGACTAACGAGGCGATCGACTACGAGGATCTATTGGAGAAGGAAGGTGCTTCCATTGCAGAGTCAGTAGAAGGTGAGACCAAAGACTTGAACGACCCTGTGCAGGTCGTGGAAGCGATTCAACAAAAGCTGGGCGGGACTAGAGCAGCGGACTACTTCCTCAGCTCCCTTCAACACTTGTTGCTGATGCGCGATAACGAGGGCGATGACCGTCTGCGGACGTTCCAGCTCGTGGAGAGCATGCTTTCGTATGTTGCCATGGATCGAAGGCTACCGGACATGGAGCTCAAGCAGAGCCTGAACTTCACCGTGCAGAACTTGATGGACCGACTGTACACCGATGGTGAGGCACGACAAGCAAGAGATGAAGCGCACGAGGCTCGGTTGATCGCCGACGCAGCCATTGCTGAGCGCGATGAGATGAAGTCGCAAGTCGACCTTGGCTCGGAAGGGCTAGTGGCGAAGCTCAAGCGAGACAAAGCTGAGTTGGAAGCCCTGCTCGACCTTCAAAACCGCCAAGCGGAAGCGTTTAAGGCCGAGCTTGCAGAGCTGCAGCGCCTTCGAGCGCAGGACCTCCAGCGGCATGAGCTTGAAACGCGAGAGATGTATCTAATGCTGCGGGATGCCCAGGACATTGCAGCCTCCAATGCGCAGAAGGGCGGCAAGAACGGCGAAGCGGTAGCAACGGTCGAGCCGGCGCAGTTGCAGGGCATCTTGGATCGAGAGAAGCTTATGGATCGACTCGAAATGCAGATCGAGCGCGCAAAGACGCAGGCGAAGCTGGAGGGTAAGGTATGGCAGCAGTTCAACCCAAGCGACAAGCTGCGAGAACTGCGCGAGAAAATGGAGGGGGCGGGCATGCAAGCAGATAGCTTGGAGGCGCAAATGCCATATCTTGGGACGGCGTCGAGAGGGCGGAGCGGCATTCAGAGAAAGCCGGTGGCGAGGCGGCTGGTTGACGAGCATATGGAGAGGAGCGAAACGCCGGAGAGTGAGGAAGTTATGAGCGAGGGGGAGGAAGCGATGGTGTTTGAACGGCCGCGACTGGTGGAGATGAAGAGACCGAAGATGCCGTCGACGGTCGCTGCGGCGCAACAAAATATGCTGGCCGAGCTTACGAGCAAGACACAGCGATTGGACGGTAGTGATGATGAAGGCGATGGAATAACAACCGGACCGAGCCATCCCAGCCTTGAGTCTGAGAGTCCGAAGACACCAAGCGATGCCGAAGCGCCCAAGGACAAGTTCCATGGCCCTCCCGCTCCGCCTGCCCCTCCGCTCCCCGGATTCGATAGTGGCGAGTCTGCGCCTGTGGGAGGCATATTTGGCTTCTCCGGAGCTGCTCCTCCACCACCGCCGCCGTTGCCACCTTCTGGCTTCTCAACAAACGCTCCTCCGCCTCCGCCTATGCCGGGCTTCCAAATCGGAGGACCACCACCACCACCTATGCCCGGTTTTTCTGGCGCACCGCCGCCTCCTCCGCCACCGCCTTTGCCTGGCATGGGCGCACCGCCAGCTCCGCCAATACCTGGAGCACCACCGTTACCAGGTGCGAAGAAGGGCGGCTTCCTGCCACAAGCGATCTATACTGGGATGAATGGCTCCATCGGTCCTGTTGCGCCCCGGCCGAAGAAGAAGCTCAAAGCTCTGCATTGGGAAAAGATTGATTCCACGGAGTATACTATGTGGTCCGCGCATACTCCAACGAACGAGCAGAAGGAGGAGAAGTATCAAGAGCTGTCTAAGAAGGGCGTTCTCGACGAGATCGAGAAGCTGTTTCTTGCCAAGGAGATCAAGCAGATTGGCAAGTCTGGCGGAAAGTCCCGGAGTGACAAGAAGCAAGTTATCTCTCGTGAACTCATGCAAGCTATGCAGATTTCGTTAGCGAAATTCAAAGACCGGGAGGCGGAAGATGTTGTCAAGATGATCGTCCACTGCGATCGAGAAGTGCTTGACAACCCGACGGTAATGGATTTCTTGCAAAATGAGCATCTTTGCACGATTCCGGAAAATGTTGCCAAGCTGCTAGCTCCGTATAGCAGGGACTGGACTGGTCCGGATGCGCTCCAGACACCGCGTGAGCAGGATCCTGCCGAGCTCACGCGCGAGGACAAAATCTACTTGTATACGGCGTACGAACTGCACCATTACTGGAAAGCACGTATGCGGGCTTTACACCTAACAAAGAGCTATGAGGCAGAGTACGACGAGATCTCGGCGAAGCTGAAGCAGATCGTTGATGTCTCAGAGAGTTTGCGCGACTCTGTCAAGCTGATGCCAGTATTTGGTCTGATTCTGGACATTGGTAACTACATGAACGACACAAACAAGCAAGCCTTTGGCTTCAAGCTCTCTTCGCTGGCACGGCTTGGCATGGTCAAAGACAGCAACAACGAGTCAACGCTCATGGACTACATCGAGCGCCTGGTCCGGAAGCAGTACCCGCAATACGAAGGCTTCACCGATGACATCGCGGGCGTACTGACCGTGCAGAAAGTCAACATTGAGCAATTGCAAAATGATGCCAAAAGGTACATCGATAACATTAACAACGTTCAGCAGAGTCTCGACGCGGGCAACTTGAGCGATCCAAAGCGCTTCCATCCCGAAGACCGAGTCAGCCAGGTAGTGCAGCGCAGTATGAAGGAAGCACGGCGGAAGGCCGAGCAGATGCAAGTGTACTTGGATGAGATGAAGCGTGTGTACGACGAGATCTTGACGTTCTTTGGCGATGACAACAAGGATGAGAATGCGCGTCGCGAGTTCTTTGCTAAGCTGGCAAACTTCGTGCAGGAGTATAAGGTGAGCTTTGCCTACGGTTCTACCATTGCCGAACAGCTAACCATTCTCCTAGAGTTCCAACAAGAGAAACCTTGTTATGGAAGAAGCGTGGCGGAGAAACGAGGACAACATGCGCCGTAAGCAGCAAGTGGTTGCGCAAAATGCAGGCACGGCTACTGCCGCGGCAGAAGGGTCGGATGCTCCGCCTTCGCCGGCGGGCTATGGGGACGTTGATGATCTCATGAAGAAGCTTCGAGCTGCTGCTCCGGAGAAGAATGTGCGAGAGCGCAGGCGTCGGGCATACCTGAAAGATCGCCATCAAGTACGTGTTGCATCTGGGCAGAAGATTCCGGAGACGGGAGAAAACATGGAGAGCGGACTGCTCAGCCCTACCATAACGGAAGAGGGAGGTGAAGCCGCACCTGCGGAGGGCGCAGTATCCGAGGGCGAAGACATTGCCGATCGTGCTGCTTCGCTCCTGCAAGGGCTACGCGGAGATGGTGAAGGTGCAAGCGAGGCATTGGTTAGAGATGACAGTCTGCGGATACGCAGGCGAAGGGAGAGCGCGAACGATGAACGTGCCCAGCGAAGAGCGAGGCGGCGGGGAGCTGGTACCAGCACGGATACGGCGACGCAGAGTATGATCGTTGAGGAAGCGGAGACTACTGATGCGACTGCGGAGGAGAGGCGTGACGGTGCGCCCAGACATCTGCCTTCGCCACCAGTGCCAGAGACGGTGGTGGTTCCACCATCACCGACGACTTCGGAGAGGGGCAGCAATGTCGGTGCTGGCTTTTGAGGAGGCAGCGTCCTTTCGTCGGATTACTGTTCGAGGCTATTGAAAGGCGCCCATTGGGAGTTTTGGCCCTGCGCTTTGAATTGAGCGTTTCCGTCTATTAGCGTCGGAGCCTGGAGTTGCTAGCCAGCGCACATCAACGCACTCAAGAAGCGCTATGCTTCTTATTATAATATTGCAGCTTCTGCTCGATGTCAAGGTTGGTTGCATGTATGCCTTTGCGGTTGTAGAGTCCCATCAAGACGCTTCGGCGGATTCTCGGCGTCGCTCTTCACTTCGCACTAGCCTTTGAGCACTGCCTCCTCAAGTATAGTTTGACCAAGCACAAGCTAGCACGTCCAGGACTATATGAGAACGGTGTTACCGACGTGGCGGTCTACTGCATCTCAAGTGAGAGGACTTGCCGACCTCATTGCATACCAGCCGTTCCACCGACGCTCTAGCGTCGTCCAGTGGCGGACATGCATCACTCATCGAGGGAGGGCAGACCGGTTCGCCTCGAGCGCACATGCATACTCATATGCCACGCCGTCCTATGAAGTCTCTCGAAAGCATGATCAAACGTCCACCATCTACGCACTCTCCACTGCTCCAGGTCGAGCGGCTATTGCGGTGATCAGAATATCCGGATACGCATGCCTGGACATTTATAGAAGATTGTGTCCGGGGAAGGCCTTGCCGAAACCACGGTATGCCACTGTGAGGACACTACACGACCCGAATAAGCGACCCGCACCGGAAACGGTGCTCGATGCGAACGCGTTGATCTTCTACTTCCCAGCACCGCGGACAGCAACCGGTGAAGATGTCCTCGAACTGCACGTACACGGTGGGACTGCTGTGGTGAAAGCAGTTCTATCTGCTGTGCCTACGTGTGCGAGTGAGGGCGACTTCAAGAGCATTCGCTACGCCGAGGCTGGCGAGTTCACAAAGCGAGCCTTTCTCAATGGCCGCCTTGACCTCACACAAGTTGAAGCATTGGGTGACACACTCGCTGCAATTACTGAGGAACAACGACGCCTGTCTATGCGCGCCACGACGAGCACTCTGTCAAAGCAATACGAAGAATGGCGAAGGCAACTGTTATACGCTAGAGGCGAGCTTGAAGCCCTGATCGACTTCAGTGAGGATCAACATTTCGATGAGAGTCCTGCTGAGCTGTGTAGATCTGTCTCTACGCAAGTCCGCAAGCTCAGGCGGACGCTGCAGATTCATAGTGCTAATGCCACACGAGGTGAGCTGCTCCGCAACGGGATCAGCGTATCGTTGCTGGGCGCACCAAATGCTGGCAAAAGTTCATTGCTGAATCGCATCGTCGGTCGGGAGGCGGCGATTGTCAGTCAAGAAGCCGGCACCACTAGGGATGTGGTCGAAGTCGGGCTTGATATTGGAGGCTTTCTCTGCCAACTTGGTGATACTGCCGGCCTGCGCAAAGCACAGAAAGCGATAGCCCAGCAGCCTGGCGCCGAAGGTGCCCTAGGATTGGTTGAAGAGGAAGGCATGCGCCGAGCGAGAGCTAGGGCCAGTGACAGCGACGTGGTCATTGTTGTAACCAGCTTTGAGGCTATTGGCGGCAGGATTGAGTTTCCACTGTACTCAGAGGTCGTATCTAGCGCAGCCGAGCTGGTTTGCACGAAGAACAACGTTATCGTTGTGATCAACAAGACTGACCTGGCAGAGCCTGTTGGCGTTGAAGCTGCTGTGGAGAGGCTATTGGCAGCACTGCCTGGACTTGATCGAAGTAGGATCTACTGCGTGTCTTGCAAAGAGGCTGAGAACGAACGTCTGCATGACGATGGACCATATTCCGATTCGGGAAAGATCCAGACCTTTCTGCAGGGCTTGATTGTGCACTTTCAGCAGCTTACCGCAGCCTTGTCGCCAGAGTTTGATTCGAACGCATCCATATGGCAAGAGTCATTGGGTGCTTCAGAACGCCATCGACTACTGCTGGAGGAGTGTCTCGGCTTCTTGGACGACTTTCTAACTGCAGTTCAGCCAGAGCTGGCGTCAGAGGGCGGCATCGGGGATTCGGAGCAAGAAACGGACATTGTAGTTGCGGCTGAGTATTTACGTGGGGCTGCTAACTGCCTTGCTAAAGTCACTGGTAAAGGCGAGGCCGGAGATGTGGAAGAAGTGCTCGGTGTGGTGTTTGAGAAGTTTTGTGTAGGCAAGTAGTACGCTTCAGAGAGCCTGCCCTATCCCGCTTATTCCAGGCTTGACTACAGAAAGGATAGCGAAGCGTCATCCGACGCTCCGCAGACCATCTAGGCCATCATTATGTCGTACCGTGTAACTGAAACAACCAAATTCCGTGAATGCCAGGATCAACGTCATGCCCCCGAACATGCTCCATCCATTTCCGTGCCCGTAACTCCTCGCTTGAACGCTATCAAATGTCGAAATGCTGGTGCTCGCTTGAACGCTATCATTTTGTCGAAATGCCGGTATTCGCTTGAACGCTATCACTGTGTCGTACTACTGCCGTGGAGTTGTATGCGTCATGGGTGTGACATGATGACATGATGCCGTGTTTCGTATTATGTGTTGTGGTGAAGAATGCTGCGAAATGACTGTAGAAACGGGTGACCGCCAACAAGGTAGTGCATGTCAAAGATTGCTCAAAATAAAGAGGCTTTGACCATTGCCGGCAATGGGTGCAAAGTGATGTAGAATGAATGTCGTCTCTTCACAGAGGAGAGTTGTAGCCACTTTGCAATGTCAGCGAGACTCATTGCAGCAGTGGTGCAACTGACGTACCCTCTGCCGTCATCATTCTGACCAAGCATTGCCACCACGGCAAGATGGGACGACTGCATGTCTCCTGTCGCTGTATGTCGAATTTGTAGCGGTTGAAGATCGGTGTCGGTCAAGTCGCTTTAGTTGTACCCACCACGGCCCATCTTGACTGATATGATTATTGAGACTGGAGAGATAGGAAATAAAGAGATGTTGTTGTCGTCGAGCTGACCAATCTGACTGAAGAGACGTAAAGAAACACTGAAAGCTAGCGTACTGATGTGTCGATTGTGACAAGAGCTTGCAGGAAAGTCGTTCGTCCGGTGTGAAGTTGGATCGAGCAAATGTTGCTGTGAGAGACAGTGCTTGACAAAGGAAATAAGCTTGATTGTACTGCTGGATTGTTAACGACAAGATGAGGATCAGATGAAACAGGCCGGAGTCGAAGAGGGTACATATATGCTTCAGGATTGATTATCGAGCTCCAGCGCAGACTAGAGGAACTGGCGGGACACAGTCATACTATTCCAGGGACGTGGCCGGTGAGAGGACCCATGGCTTGGTCAAGCCTCTGAGCGTACCTGCAGCTTCCTCTGCAAGCCGCTGTTAGTACGACATTGCTAGTCTTTCCCCTTGGTAAGTGGTTCATCGCCTCGAACTAGGGAATAGAGCCCTCGAATAGACAGTGAGGGAGCAGTGTAGTAAAAAGATTAAGCGTCTGACAAGATCCTCGCTCGACGGCGGGGCGGTGCTAAAAATACGGAAGCCATGCACTACATGCGAGGCGCATGGCAGCACGCTTTGACCACCAATTCACATCCCCGGCCCATGACACCGTCCTTCAGCCCGCTCTCGGCGCAGTGTTGGTGCCACGCTTGCTATTCGCGGTCGGCGTCGAAGATGGCGTCGCAAGGCATCATGTCTTGCAGATCCGTCATTCGTTACGTCTAAAGACTCTCCCCACCACCATGTCCGTCTGTACTGCCGTTGGTGCTACTGCAGCCTTACAGGCAAGGCGATTAGGGAACCGTGCGGCCGGACATTGCTTTTGGGACTGCTGCACGATTGTCGATGACCATGCAGAAGAAGTTGACAAGTCATCATCCACACAGCATAGCCAGCTGCTATTCTTCTCTGCAGCACTATTGGATCTTTTCGCGCAACTTACATTGGTTCTACATTCTCATGGTGGGAATCTGGCTCACTAAGACCGACATCATAAGCCACGAGGAAACAGCGTGCCTGGTGGGAACAGCACAGCACATCACACGGTATTACAAGGATCATGGTTGCCTTCTAGACTCTACTTTTCCTTGGAGCAACGCCTGCGCTGGCAAGACTAAGCAGAACTTTCACGAGCTATGTCACTCGGTAAATCGTTTGCGTGAGCGAGCGACGAACCGACGGAGCGAGTATGAGACAGTGGACGTACAATGTTTCCGCCGTATACCATAATCAGTTGACAGAGTTGTCCTGCAGACTCGGCATGCTGTTACGATGCATTGGTACGTTCTCACCACTTCTAATATCCAACAGTATCGACCCCCTTCAAACTTTGTTTACATGTCTCTTCATATGTTTACGCGTACCCGATCTATTTCTTCTCGCGCTGGCCGTAGGCCTTTGTGGCGTAATCGCCCTTGTGCACGATGAGATCTTCCGGCCTGTAATCTTCCCGTCCGCTGAAGTACGAGTCCAAGATGGCTTTCGTACCAGCAGCGTAGCGCTTCTGCGCGTCGAGCGAAGTACCAGACATGTGCGGTACCGTGGCGTTTCCGCCGCCCCAGGTGGTGTACGATGCGTAGCGGAGCGAGTGGTCCTTTGGTGCTGGTTGCGGGAACCACACATCACCACCGTAGCCGCGGAGCTGGCCGCTCTTGAGGGCCTCGGCAACATCCTCCTTGACGACGATGGCGCCACGGGCAGTGTTCACGAGCCACGAGCCTACGAGAAGTTAACGACCGACTTCCTTTCATGTTACAGCGAAGCATACCTTTCTTCATCTTGCTAATGAGCTCCTTGTTAAACATGCCACGGGTCTTCTCGTGCAGCGGGCAGTTGATCGTGACAACGTCACACTGAGCCAGCATGTCCTCGAGGTTCTCGACTCGCCTGCACCCGATTTCCTTCTCCTTCTCGGCGGAAAGTGGCTGGTAGTCGAAGTAGAGGAGCTCCTTGCATTCGAAGGCCTTTAGTCTGCGAAGGACACGCTCGCCAATGCGGCCAACGGCGACAGTGCCGACGACCTTATTCTCAAGATCGTACTCGTTCTTAGCGACTGCAGCAACGTTCCAGTCACCGGCAGCAATCTGCTCGTGGGCTGGCACGAAGTTGCGGACAAGGACGAGGATGGTCATGACCACGTGCTCAGCTACGGAGACGACGTTCGAGCCGGTGACCTCAGCGACGGTGATGCCACCGTTAGTTTTGTTGGCAGCATTAAGGTCAACGTGGTCAGAACCGATACCGGCAGTTATAGCAATCTTGAGCTTCTTCGCCTTCTCGAGACGCTCCGCCGTAAGGTAGCCTGGGTGGAAGCTAGCAGGTCTCGTCAGTCCCTGCAAGCTTTCCAGGCTCTCCGCTGCTAAACGTACGGGGTGGTAATGATGACCTCGGCATCAACGAGCTCTTGGTCGAACTTGCTATTCTCACCCTCCTTGTCGGAGGTGGTCACGAGGGTGTGACCCTGCTCCTCGATCCACTGTCGGAGGCCAAGCTCGTTCTCGGTCGTACCTAGCAACTGCGGCTCCTGCTTGGCGTGTTCGAAGCCCTGAACCAGCGATTAGCTCGAAGTCCGACATGTGCGGCTTGATGAAGCTCATGCGTACATCATACAAAACGAGGAGAACCTTGCCCTGTCGCGAGGAAGTGGCAGTTAGCGTCCTGACACCACCCAAGCTGGTTGTCTTCGCAAGCGAAGCCCCACGCTGACAGAATGCCGGCGCCGCTCTCTGCTGAAGCAGAGAGCTGGCGGGGCGGGCCAGACGGAGTGCGGAGCGTGCAAATACCATTGTGAATGTGGGTGGCCGGGTATGCGGTAGAGGTGAAAGATAAGGGCGGTGATCAGCTTTATGTAGGTCAAGCTGCCATCATCGTTAGCGTGAGCTTGGGCGAGCGGGTCTTGCGGGGATGGAAGTATCACTCGCCCGCGTTTTTAGATCACTCTGATTTACGAGGATGAATGCTCGGTTGAAGAAAGGTACAGTGGGTGAGTAGCTAACAAGTAATATATACCTGCCGAAGTCGCTCAAGCTGTGGAGCTCTTCAATGGTCGTGGCGCGCACTCGAGTCTGCTCGCCTGATCGCAGAGATGTGACGAACTAGATGATCAGGCAACCCCACCGACCGGCATTTAACTCTACCGCTTCCACGGCACTCAGCAACAAGCACAGCATCGCATCATGACGGTCGCTTGTCTCCCTCTTAGCAGCACTGTACAAGTCACACTCCCCGCACATCACATGTGGAGATGTTCTTGCGATTGTTTGCCATCGCTTAACACGACTTGAAGTAATATATCTAGTCCTCGTCAACGCGTAACGAGCTGATGTGTGGCGGGGTGCAGCCGTTGTAGCTTACCAGCAATGTACGTAAATCAAACCATTTGATCCGTTCCAGCCGGTGCGAGAACAAGATCTGGAACGCCTTGCGCTTGGTCAACGGCATGTATTCAGGAAGTATTGCGGAAGAGAAGCCGCAAGTTCGCACAAAGAGTACCATATTGGTCGCTTCTCCCCCAACGATATCCGCTCTCTCCAACGGACGCGCCCGCCCATAGCGCAAAGGATGGACGGTGGGCCCGAACGTCAGACGAGCCGAATCTCAGGAACCCGAGGAAACGCCCAGAGATGGAGAGTCTTCTTCGGCGAAATGGAAAGACGAAATACGGTCACGTGATATGAGTGGTGCCTCAGTACTTGAAGTCCCTCTTGATACCTCAACCTCCTCAGCTATCCTGTCTTTTGCGTGTTCAGGAAGCCTGTACACACCATCTTCTGGCCTCGTCCAGGGACCAAGCCGAGCAAATGCTCGCCATTAGTATATGTTTCGCTCAACAGCTGCCGTTCGCGCCTAGTGCACTGTGCGCTGTCGCAGATCTGATTCAGCGCTATCAAGGCCAAAGGATGCGCCAGATGGCATTGCGAGCCATCTGCAAAGTCGCTTTGCTGGCGCTTCGAAGGTCCATTAGTCTCACTGCTCTCGAAGTCCCGGTTTATGAAAGCTATCAAGGCTTCCTCGAACTGCTCGAAAAACTTGGCCTCCAACCGGAAGCAGCAGAGGTTGTTCCGGCCCTGCTCGTCCATAACTGCAAGCGCAATCCGAAGGCGCCAGGTAGGGCAGAGCGGCCAAGTGGCGTAAGCGACGTTCGTCTGTTGTTGGGGACTTTGCTTTCCTACCTTGGCGTTGCCCCTGGCCAGCTGTTGAAGTCTGCTGTCGATGTCTGCTGTTATATCTGCTCGTGCGTCTGATCGAAGCTGTATAGGCTGGATGATTCTGAAGAGGAAAGAGGAGTTGCACGTACGAACACGCTGCCTTCGTATGTCGGTCATTTACTCCTCGCAGAAAACCAAGCGAGCCTTCGCTGTCCATGGTAATGCAAAAATGATAAGGTCACAACTGATTCAAGAGAATGAACGTGGTCATGCTGCGTTCCTCAGTACCGACTGGACTGGGTGTTCTCCCATTATGAGGACACAGAGTCAGCATTCGGCGTGATTCCGAGCACACTACATTACGCGGCACTGCTGCTGGGTACTATTCTCCTGCTCATCGTGACAAGTTCCACAAGTTTCTACGCACTACTGATCGTTGTCTTTGCGCGTCTGAGTACTCGCCGATGGAGACATTCCGGTAGCTGTCTTAATAAGCGATGCCTCTTTCACGTGACCTAGACTACACCGGCTTTGCGGCACCATGTGAACTTGAACTACTTTACGACAAGGAACGGAATAAGTACCACATGCTGTTTGACGAGCGTCTACTAGGCGCCAACGCAACACTCGAGACACGCGATGCTTGGGCGAACGAGACGTGGCCGCAGATCAAGCTCATATGGGCATGGATGATACTCTTGCACTTTGCTGCGCTCCTACCCCTCGACCCGGTCGTCTTACATTGGCTGTCTGTTCTACTCAGACGAGTCTCGGACACGGCGACGCCAGTTGTGAGCCTACCGGAGTATTACCAGCTCTGATCGTGCTCGCGAGTGTGGGATGAAGACACATCTGCGGAAAAGTGCGCTCAATCGTGCATGACATCAGCATTGCATCGACGACATCGCGAAGATGCTAATAATGATAGAGATCGAAGGCTCTCCGATGACCGAGGACAATACTAGCTTTGTTAATAGCCCCAGACGGAGGAGGTAACGTGAGGGCACGGCTACGCGCTTCCTTGTGCGCCGTGACTGGGAAGGAAGGCGACTCCCACATTGGATATCGGTAGGACGGCCGAAGCCAAGCAAGCTGGAGACTGGTCGTAATGGTCTTACCAGATGGCCGTCATTATATGGGCCTGCCGTGAGCGATTCCTGGCTGAAGGGTAAATTGGGCTGCAGGTTAATGGCATCGCTGAGTTCAACACCAAAACCATGAGTTCAAGCAATCGTCCGTAGTGCTGTATATTGCTCTCCGACCAAGGCCCATCTTTTACCAAAAGGATCAACAAGCACATGCGTACCCCGCAAAGAGGTACAAGCGGAAATACCACGGACAGCTGGAGCTCTATGAGAGTTCGCAAGGGACTGAAGAGGAGATGTCGAGTATATATGGCGAGCGTAGATGCTGCTGAGGTCTGCATCCGCCGTCAGTTGTGACACGTCGCGCCTTAAGAACGCAATACGAACCGGATAGCTTGAGTATGGCCTCCTTCAAAGGATACGATTTGATCGTCGTCGGCTCCGGCTTTGCTGGGTCTATGGCAACATTGACTTTTCTCGAGGGATGTAAGAGGGAAAACAAGACCGGACGCGTTGCGTTAGTCGAAGTGGGCAGGGATGGGGAGCGCTGTGGCGCGAGCAGATGGACCATGGCATATTTGCGGCTAGACAAGAACCTCGAGTTCGGTAAGCCTCGTCTTTGAGCTTCCAATCTGTCGTGCACCCGGTTGACGCTTTGCGAAGATGAGGATTGGGTGAAAGAAATGCGCCTTGTTAGCAACGGGCTTGCCGACGAAGAGTACTGCCTTAAGCTGCAGAAAGAGGCTCCGATCACCGCCCGCTACCTCGAAGACCATGGTGTCGAGTTCGTCCACCATGATGAACCCAATGTTCTCCTCGAATTCAAGACTGGCCAGCATTTCGTCTTCCCAGAAGGTGGCGGAAAATCCATCATCTGGAAGCTCTTCGAGCATATCCAAAGCTACCCAAATGTTGACATCCACTGGGAGACGGAGGGCGTCAAGCTCTTAACGTCAGATGCTGGTGCGATTCGAGGCGTAAAAGTGCGGAAGGGCGACGGCCTCTTACATGATCTCCTTGCGCCGAACGTGGTACTAGCTTGTGGTGGCTTCGAGGGCAACCAGGAGATGTTGGCAAGGTATGTCGGACGGGATACACACAAGTTGCCGCTGGTGAGTGTCGCATTTTTGTAGCATGTTAGGTCGCAGGCTAATGTCCCAGATCGCCCCAGGGCTCAAGTACAATCGTGGCGCTGGTCTTCGCATGGCACTTGACGTTGGCGCTGGCACCGCTGGATCGTTTGATGGCATGCATTGCGAGCTTGTCGATATTCGCGCAGGCAAGCCGGATGCCGTGAGTAAAGCGCCGCGTACTTCCCTACGAAATTGTCAGAATCATAGCTGACTGTCCGACCCATCGTCAGGTGATTTGGGGCCACAACTATGGCATCGTGGTCAACAAGGGATGTAAACGCTTTTACGACGAAGGCAAACGCCACCTTTTTGCGACTTTTGAGATGATAGCTTTGGATTGCTGGAAAGATCAGAACCAGTCGTGCTTCTTCGTCACGGACGACATGATCATGAAGAAGTTTGAAGGCTCATGGGTGTACGACACCACTGACAAACCTCCGGAGAAGGCGGACACGATCGAAGAGTTAGCGGAGAAGTTAGGGCTGGATCCCAAGGAACTGAAGAAGACCGTGGACGACTTCAATGCCGCCGTCAACGACAAAGAGTTCGATCTGATGAAGTTGGACGGCAAGGCGACCACCGGACTCCATCCGAATAAGACCAACTGGGCCAGCAAGATCGAAAAGGCTCCTTTCTACGGCTACCCTATGACCGCTAACTTAACCTTCACCTATGGTGGCGTCAAGACGGACCTCGATGGTCGCGTGCTGTCCACCAACGAGGTCCCCATCCCAGGTCTCTGGGCTGCCGGAGAGTTGACAGGGCTGTTCTACAACGAATATCCGCCTGCCACGAGCGTGTTGCGGAGCTTGACTTTCGGAAGAGTGATAGGGAATGAGGTTGCGCAGCATCTGGGCCAGCCGCAAGGAACGTCGAGTTCTAAGAAGGTCGTACCTTCTGAGCACCGCGCCGACTCCGGGATGGAAATGAGACAGCGAGTGCTCGTCGGAGAGGCTTGAGAATGCTTATGAAGTCATTGTTGTCGTAGATATTTATCTAGCAATGCGATGCTCCTTGATCGTCCCGCCAGCTAGCGTTTACTCGAAGTGGTTGGACGGCATATGTAGTACGCTTACATGTAGATCACATGCAATGCTCAATTCACGTGACGAAGCTTTAGCGCCACCATAGCATCGACCGCCACACTACATGCCACATGCAGCCCGCATCTGCGTGTGGATGTGCATATCATCGCCTGCTACGAACTCAGTACGTGTAAGATTGTGTTCATGTCAGGACTGATCAGTCTCCGAGTGAGATGTCATCGTACCTCAGCAATCTCCTAACTCAGACAACCTCGAAGTACAACTCGCTTCGCCGCACTCTACTTTCGAACGAGGAAGACGGAGACACCGAGGACGACTCGCACATTGCCAGAGTACTGCGGGCCTACTACACCGAGAAAGGTCGACCCTTCCCGCCATGGCTTCCACCTGATCCCAACGACAAGCGTGCCGTGACGCCGCAACCACATGCACAGCAGAACAACGCATACTTCACAAGCGCGACCGCAAAGAGCCAGTATACTAGCATACAGAACCAGCCAGGAGCGAGAGGAAGTCTGAGTGATCTATGGGACACTCCGGCGCAGACCGTAAGCCCGGCGCAACCACAGAGTCTGCGTGCCGGTCGCAGACCGATGCCCACTGCTGCATCTACAAGCGCTTCCAGCACTCTAGCACCCCCAGCGCAGGCGAGACCACTCCCTTCGCAAAAGTTAGGCTCATATCAGAATATGCAGTCGCAAAGACCCGCTCTGGACCAGAGTCCACCTTCGAGTAGCAGTGGCGGCAGTTCGGCACAAGACAGACTTAAAGCTAGGCTTTGGGGCGGTAGCAGGGGAGGTACTCCGGCGTCAAACTCTACGGGCAGTCCGGGCCTGAGCCAGGTTGGCTCCCCGAATCCGTACGAGCAGTCCTCTACCGGCAGCAATGCGCCGTACGGTGGCAGCAACTCGTACGACATGGGCAGCAATGCAGGCCGTAGATATGGCAGGCCGGGTTGAGCTACAGGGCCGTCTGCGTGCACATGACATACTGCGGTAAACTGAGAGTCTTACGATGCGTGTCTCCAGCGATTGGTTGACCTCAGACGAGCCCCAGCATAGTCCGGCCACCTTGTGTAAACATTGAACCATGAGCGAGTGTGTACGCTACTACCACGCGATCTTGGACTGCTCGACAACTCGGCCAGCGCATGACCGCAATCCTGATATCGAAGTAGGCAGCTAACCAAGAACGACGTGATTGCTGGATCGAATGCGATCGGTGAAGCCTAAGCACACGCACAGATGGCGCAACTGGTTGATGGGAGGCTTGCCAAACAAGAGAAAGCTGCGGCAGATGAGGCACGGTTGGAGAGGTCCTTGCAACGGCAACGTGCTGTTGGAGGCAGGCACAAGTGGGTATAGACATTTCACTCTTGGTGATTGGTGTGCCGTGAAGGCGTAGCGCGCGAGCATTCGGCATATCGTGAACGAGTCACGATCGGCACATCTGGCAAGCTTTGTTACTCCAACAGATAGATGTGAGTGGAGTATAACCATTGAAGGCCCGACGTGCCCACAACGCACATGCTACTACTTACGCAATGTATATACTACTCTGCAACCACATTACTATGGAGAGCACGTTTCGACAAGATTCTCACCTACGTAGCACTGAATGTTTGCTGTGGCACATGGAATTGCTCGACCACAACCTGAATGTTCTCAGGCATTCAGGCCGCATCTAGCTGCATCTCTCGACTTCTGTTTCTCGAATGTTCGCAGTGACGAAGGTGCACGGACCTGGTGCCCACCAACGAGCTTGCCCATAAAACTTCCAAAACAGCAACACCTGCACTTCGACATACACACTTCCCTCTCACACATTTTCTAGTTTTTGCTTAACGGCCTACCCGATCAACAATCACTTCAACGACACGAGCCTTTATACCAACAAACCAAGATCTAGCACACGACTTACCAACCATGGCAGGCGCAATGGGCCCCGCAGTCGGCATTGACTTGGGCACGACCTACTCGTGCGTGGGTATCTTCAGAGATGACCGGATTGAGATCATTGCAAATGACCAAGGCAACCGGACAACGCCCTCTTTCGTGGCCTTCACCGACACAGAGCGCCTCATCGGCGATTCAGCGAAGAACCAAATCGCTATGAACCCTGTGAACACCGTCTTCGATGCGAAGCGTCTCATCGGGCGGAAGTTTGCGGACGCAGAGGTACAGGCCGACATGAAGCACTTCCCATTCAAGGTCATCGACCGGGCCGGGAAGCCTGTCATCCAGGTCGAGTTCAAGGGCGAGACCAAGGAGTTCACACCCGAGGAGATTTCCTCAATGGTGTTGACGAAGATGAGGGAGACTGCAGAATCATATCTCGGTGGCACGGTCAACAACGCAGTCGTCACCGTACCAGCATACTTCAACGACTCACAGCGGCAAGCGACGAAGGATGCCGGTCTCATTGCTGGCCTCAACGTTCTCCGTATCATCAACGAGCCCACAGCCGCCGCCATCGCCTACGGTCTTGACAAGAAGACTCAGGGCGAGCGCAACGTCCTCATCTTCGACTTGGGTGGTGGTACTTTCGATGTGTCGCTGCTCACGATTGAGGAGGGTATCTTTGAAGTCAAGTCAACCGCCGGCGACACCCATCTTGGTGGTGAGGACTTCGACAACCGTCTCGTGAACCACTTCGTCAACGAGTTCAAGAGGAAGCATAAGAAAGACCTGACCTCCAACGCCCGTGCCCTTCGTCGTCTCCGGACAGCCTGCGAGCGTGCGAAGCGCACACTGTCATCATCTGCCCAGACCTCCATTGAAATCGACTCGCTGTACGAGGGCATCGACTTCTACACCTCCATCACCCGCGCCCGCTTCGAAGAGCTCTGCCAGGACCTCTTCCGCTCCACCATGGAGCCGGTTGAGCGTGTCCTGCGCGATGCCAAGATCGACAAGTCTTCCGTGCACGAGATCGTTCTCGTCGGCGGTTCCACCCGTATTCCCAAGATTCAGAAGATGGTGTCCGACTTCTTCAACGGCAAGGAGCCGAACAAGTCCATCAACCCGGACGAGGCTGTCGCCTACGGTGCTGCCGTGCAAGCCGCCATCCTGTCCGGTGACACCTCCAGCAAATCAACCAACGAGATTCTTCTGCTCGACGTTGCGCCGCTGTCTCTCGGTATCGAGACCGCTGGTGGTGTGATGACGCCGTTGATCAAGCGCAATACTACGATTCCCACCAAGAAGTCTGAAGTCTTCTCTACCTTCTCGGACAACCAGCCTGGTGTGCTCATCCAGGTCTTCGAGGGTGAGCGTGCCCGTACCAAGGACAACAACCTGCTTGGCAAGTTCGAGCTTACCGGCATCCCTCCGGCGCCGCGTGGTGTCCCGCAAATCGAGGTTACCTTCGACCTTGACGCCAACGGCATCATGAACGTCTCCGCCCTGGAGAAGGGCACCGGCAAGACCAACAAGATCGTCATTACCAACGACAAGGGCCGTCTGTCGAAGGAGGAGATCGAGCGCATGCTTTCCGAGGCCGAGAAATACAAGGCTGAGGATGAGGCTGAATCTGCCCGTATCCAAGCGAAGAACGGCCTCGAGTCTTACGCTTACTCGCTGAAAAACACCATGTCCGATTCGAAGGTTGACGAGAAGCTCGACGCATCCGACAAGGAGAAGCTGAAGGCTGAGATCGACAAGACCGTGGCATGGCTCGACGAGAACCAGCAAGCGACGAAGGACGAGTACGAATCTCAGCAAAAGGAGCTTGAGTCTGTCGCAAACCCTATCGTAGGTCCATCCCTTTCCCAAACTACTGTTGATGAGCTAGACTAACCTTGTTATAGATGATGAAGTTCTACGGCGCTGGCGGCGAGGGTGGTGGCATGCCCGGCGGTATGCCAGGTGGCATGGGTGGCGGCTTCCCTGGCGGCGCTGGCGGCGCACCCCACGGTGGCGATGACGGCCCGACTGTTGAGGAGGTCGACTAAGCGCTTGCTTTCCAGCATTGACTATTGCATGCATTTACATGGCAAGGCGTTTCGGTTAGAGAGGGCATGGCGGTATGCCACACGATGCCATGACTGGGAGGAAAAGCGACATGGTGTAATTGTACCTTGCACTGTTCAATAGGATTGAATGAACAATTCGACAACATCTATCACAATTGCCAGCCAAAACATTACGTCTTTTCAACACGTGCGATCCTGTTTTCCAAGACCGCAGCTTCAATGATTTCAGCACTTATTGAAAACAGCGTTCGTTGCCTACATGCATGTAGACGGTTGTATCCACGTTGACGGGCCTTGCCTCAGTAGAGTGCGTTTGGGTTGGCATTGTCTAGTAAGCGAGCCTCCTCCAACGCCTACGCTCCTCCTTCAGCGTGTCAACCACACGATCATACGCATCGAAGATGATTCGATAGCTGGACTTCAGCTTCTCGTGCCGCCGCTTGAGATCGTTGTACTCGCGCTCCTTGCGCAGCAGAGCGTCGCTCTTGTGTCTGAGCCTCCGGTTGAGACGTTCTATCTCGTTCCACAGGGTCGGCACATCGGTGCCGTACCGATCTTGAGAAAGCTGATTGATGAAGTAGGATGAGTAGCCGTGTGACATCGGTTGATTGGAACGTGAGCCAATGAGTATGGGCTGTAGGCTCCGCGATATTAGTGCATCGGTACTTGTCACGCTCTCGATGGCACGTACCACAATGGTCCGTGAAGCTATCTCCTTGTTGTTGACTTTGTTGACTTTGGGCTCTCAGGCATGGGATACGCTCCACTTACGCGGCGACCTTTATCTATACCGCTCAATGGCTGTGCATGCCTAGCTGTCAGAATACATCACGCTCACTCCACTGCTTGTCAGATGGCCCACACATGCTGCATACGGGCGTCCCCAATGCCGAGCTACGTAGGGTACCCACCGGCTTATGGTTGGAGAGGCAGTACATTGTTACCAGTTGGTGAAATGCGGCAGCGTCTTTGCGCGGTTGCAGTCGGCCGATGAGCTGCAGCACTGCCACGCCAAGGCCTGCAGCTGCACAGAGGGAGAGCTTCAACCAGTCAAGGAGCTTGACGTGCCACCATGAAGCGAACGGGCGGCCTTCGAACTGCTGCAACAGTGGCACGTTCGATGGTACGAGATGCATCACGCACATGTCGTCGCATCGGCCTGCTTGATGCAGATGGTAATGGCATTGGTATATCGCTGCCCTGAGTCAGCGCACATAGTTTGATATCTGTGATGCTCTTCGAAACAAGCAAAGTAGAACCAGTCCATGTTTTGGGTATCTTCTCTATCACCATCCAAAGCCACTTCGAAGACGAGAGGCACCTCAGCCAAGAGAGACGAAAGCTGGGTTGTCTCCTTCCTTCACAAGCATCTCGCCACCACCAATGCCTCTTGAAGCGTCTGTTCGGTCGCGGATCTCACCACCATCCGGCCCGCCAACGCCCGCATCCGTCTGCGTCCCCCCAGATCTTTGATTTGCGCGCCGCTTCGCGTCCATCTCGCGCTCGTGCATCATCAGAGAGTATTGCCGCAAGCTGAAGAGGATCATGACGACCACAATGAATAGACTGAGAATGACACGCCGGGTCATGACCCACCGCAAGCCTTCCACCTCCGAGCGGGCGTCCGCTTGCAGCTCGACCGTGATCTTGTAATTGAGCTGCTGAATCTTGCTCTCCATGCTACGCTGCTCGTTGCGGACAGCCATCTTCCGGTCGTCGAACATGCCCTTCAGCTCATCTTTCAGCGTGGCCGTCTCCTGGCCCAGACGCTGGCCAAGGATATCCACTTCGTGCTGCAGCTGCGTACGCTCCGTGCGCATCTTCTCCTGCTCGCCCTTGCGTCTGCCCATGACCTCCGTCTTCAATTCTGCGCATGCCGCACGAAAGAGGTACGTCTCGTTCTCCACCATGCTCTTCGAGACGAGCGCTTCCTTTGCCAAATCCATATTGTCAGCCAGGATGAGCCGCATCGCTTTCATGGCGGTGACGGATTGATCTTCGCTCCAACCTCCATCGTTCAGCCGCTTTACCAGGCCATATGAGTCGAAGTGATGCACGTAGCGTGAGGGTTCCAGATGTGGCGCTTTGACAGGCGGACTGTGCTCCTCGAATGTCCGTCCTGGATGCTCCTCAGGATGCTGATCCGCTGAGGCGTGCTGTCGCTCACCTTGTGTTTGCTGTTCAAAATCGGGCATTTGGTCCAGCAGTGACTCCACAGGTTTGCCGTCTGTAATCTTTGCGCCACCTCCCATGCCCGCCGGCTCACCAGCATCAAGCATAGGGTCAGGTCTTATCGGCGTTTGAGCTTCGCTATCTACCGTCGTAGGCTCTGTCCGCTTGTCTTGCTCCGCCTTGCTCGATTCCACCTGCTCCGCCTTACTCGCTTCCACTTGCTCCGCCTTAACTTCCTTCTCGCCATCCCGTTGCAGCTTTTCTCCAATCTTTGGGAGCTTCACCTGGACATCGGCGGACTGGTCGCCCGTACGCGGGCCGAAGCTCTTCCCTCCACCCAGATGCGGCGGCGGTTCGTTTGCCGTGCCATACCGCTGCGTGATGGTTTCTTGCTGTTTCCGGCGACAACTTGGGTGATAGGCCCGATTGCGGACAGCCGCGCGCGCCGCTCTTACGGGAGGAGCACACGGCTCTGCCGCCCTCATGAGCACCGGCCATAGAAAAGGAAGCCGTGGAGCGGCCATAGCGAAGTACTTTCTGATGTTGCTGAGGCCTGAAACAGACTGCCCGAATTGTTGCGATCTTCCCTTTTTGGAAGTGGACCTGACGCAACGCGCCGAGACCGTGGCTAGTACATCCAATAAGAAGACTAAGGTACAGACAGATGGTCCACACACCACTGACTACACGGTGTTCCAATGGTTTGTCGCAACACCTGTATACTGCGAAGATGCATTCATGATATACTTTTAAGCGCTACACCACAGTGGTGGGAAGGCTCCGTGTCTGGTCGAATGTGTCGCAAAGCAAATACCACCGTCCGCCATCATCCTCAGTAGCCAGGGGTATTCCTCACGTGCCCGCCCAACGCTACAATGCACCACAACTTCCGTTCTCCTTCGCTATGCTAACAGTCGAAGTAGTCGCCGTCTACCAGTTGGTCTGGAAGAACTTCCTATCAAGCAGAGGTAACGAATATTTGTTGCTCGTGATGCTGGCGTTATCATCGAAGTCCTTCTCCTTCTCCTTCTTCTTCTGCTCCGCCTCCTCTCCCTGTTTCCTCTCCTCATCCATCATCTCTCCTATGCACGTGTTAGTAGTGAACAGCGCACACGCAGGCTGGTCAATGCTTATGTGAGCTTGCACTGTCATCTTTCTAATGTCGAGGGTTAGAGCGGCTGGAGACACAGTCTCTGGCGGAAGATCCGGAGCCTTCACCCATGGCGCATCGACACCACCTAGAAGCCATGGGAACTCGGTGCTGCGACCGCGCTTGACGAGGTCTCGGTCAAGATCTAGCGCTTCGGGTTCTGCGGGCAACACCCCCTCCCTGGCCTCAGCTACCATCTCGCCTTCGCCGGTACTGTACCTACTCGCCTATCAGCAGGTGGCAGAGGATGGCAACGCGTGGTTTCCGGAGTCAGACATATGCTCGCAATTCTGCTCACTGGGCGCGCCCCCAATCGAACCTGCCCGTCTGCGAGTACACAGACCTTCCACTTCGGCAAGCATGCTGTCTTTCCGTTGGTAGGGATATTGGCTGGACTCATGGAGCTAGAGCATACTTCTCGGTATTGGTACGGCACCTCCGGACAACGTTGAAATACAGTGAGTAAGCCCTTAGATTGTCTGCCGAGATAGCAGATGCTGCATTATCTGAGACTCAAGGCGAGGCAGATGGCAGGAGTGCTGGCTCGACTGCACAAGAACCATCGCTCGAACCATGGAACCTAGCACGAATACTCTTCAAGCGCCGATGCCTGACATTGGGCCGTTGACCAGGATGCATGGGATAGGAAGCGAGATCCATACCTGGTGTCTCAGGAGAGCGGTGGCCAGCCAATGCGGAAAGAATGAGACTTGTATCTACGAGGCAGACAGTGTATTCCAGATCGTCATAGGCGCCGACGATACCTTCAGACTTGGGAAGAAAAGAGGCGGTCAGGAGCCTATCACCCGTCCTTTTCTGCAGCATCCGCTCGCTTTGAATGCTGAACTCATGAGAACGCAGCGAAAGCTTGACCAAATTGACGGCAGACTTTCGGAAGGGCTTTTGTAGAAACGACGTGGACAGTACCATGCTCAGTGTGATCCAGTCTTGTCCGCAAACAGCATGTAACAGAAATAGGGTGGCGGACCTGTACGCATACAAGGAAAGGCAACCACGTGCGAAGCAGAACGACGTCCAGCAGCACAAGTACGTCAAAATACGAGGCGCTGTCAACATTTTCGGCACTGCATTGGGCCGGTAGATAGAGGTTCTAGCAGATCCAGTCCGACATTAGATTCGCTGATCACCGCCCACTAGCAGGAATCGTTCCCTTTGCTCCAGTCAAGAACATTTTGCAGCTCTCACATGAGGAGAGTAAGACACTGGCGAGTAAACTCTTTCGACAGTTGGCGAAGAACGTGGAAATGGCGTGGCTCTTGGTAGTGGTGAACGCTGAAGTTAGGATCCCGCACGTAGATGAATTGGAGACTTAAGGTAATGCACGGGTAGGGCGACAGATGCTCTTCCCGAGAGGATCTGGACAGATAGACGCGGAGGCGCCGTGGCCTTGGTGCCCATACTCATTCAAAGGTATAGATTCCTTCTTGACAGCAGCATGCTCCGATTCACTACGGTACTTCGGGATATCGTGCTCCGACGGCTCGGAACGTATCTCATTTGCCGCTAATCGCTCCCAGCAGAGCCAATGAGCTGGTAACGTGCGGAGCAAAAGCCACTCAGTGGAAGCGTCGTCAATGAGGACTTGAGAGCCGCGCTTATCTGGCAACAACATCTCGAAATGGCGCAGCAAAGTCCCATCCAGAGTCGGCATGGCTGCTCACCGGACGCAGAATATTCTCATTTTTGGGGCGACAGGCCTCATCGGTGAATTCATCATAGATGCAATCCTCGCCAGCAAGGGCAAAGAGTTCAGCCGCATTGGGATTTTCACGTCAAATAACACGCTATGGACCAAGTCTGACGAGATTGACCGACTCAAGGCACGGGGTGTTGAAGTTCTCAGCGGCAATCTCGCATCCGCGGACGCGGTCAGTGAAGCTTACAATGGCTTCGACACAGTGGTCTCTTGCGTTGGTCGTAAGAGCACCTTATGCATCGACTTTGACATTCATGTTAAGCACCAGCTGACATTCCTACAGGGCCCATCATTCACCATCAAGTACAACTGATAGAGTTGGCCGACAAGCATCCAGATGTAAAGAAGTTCTTCCCATCCGAATATGGCACCGACATTGAGTACGGACCTTCATCGGCCAACGAGAAGCCTCACCAGCAGAAGCTCAAGGTCCGTGCAGCACTGAAGGCGACTAAGGATCTGGAGTACACCTACGTCGTGACAGGACCTTACGGAGACGCTGACCGCGGATTGTTCCTCTCCGCTAGGCCGCCAGAAGACGAGGCAGGCGGCACGTTTGATGTCAAACGCAAGCGTGCGGTTCTGCTCGGCGATGGCAATGGCCGCATCAGCTTGACGACAATGCGAGATGTGGGTAAGCTTGTTGTTGCCGCACTCCTTCATCCAGAGGAGGCCAAGAATAGGGCCCTGCGGGTCAATTCGTTCACGACGACGCCCAAGGACATTGTGGCAGAGTTCGAAAAGCAGACTGGTGGTCAATCCTGGAGTGTCGACTTCACGCCGCTAAGCCAACTCAAGCAGCTGGAGCAGCAGGCTTGGGAGCGAGGAGACGCTCATGCAGGCACGCTAACGCTTCGGAGGATTTGGTCGGAAGGCGGCACGCTGTACGAGAAGCGTGACAATGCGCTGATCGGCATGGAGGATAGCGTGGACTCCTTGCAGGACGCAGTGAAGAGGGCTATTGAGGTGCAGAGCAAGGCAACGTAGCTACAGCCGCCAGGTTCCGCTCGCAGTGTGTTCGTCATGGTAGCGGTTAAAGGTGATCACCGGCATCCTCCTAACAATTTGCCCTATCACGATGTGGTGCAATAACAATTGAAACACTTAACCACGGCAATACGGCGTGAAGAAGCGACCCGAGGCTTAACTAGCCGCAAGCTGATCAAGCAAGCTCTTCCACTTCCACTCCACATGCAGTTATTAAAGTGGCAGTCAGGTGGGTCCCCGCTTCGCCACTTTGCTGTGCTGGAGCCCAAGCCATGGTAGTGCTCCGCCGCATAACGTGCAGCTGTGAAGAATCGACATAAGTTTCGTGCCGCGCACGCGATGTCTGTCCACAATCATTCGCCGTGTGCAGCATCATGGACCAAGACAAGAGAGGCGAACATCGCAAGCACTTTCCGGAGAGACCACGAACAAGTGAACCTCCAGCATACGCACCAATCCCACATGTCGTCGCTAGTTCAAGGGCACATACCGTTGAGTGTACATTCAACATCCGCGAGCAGATCTTAGGTACACAATCTGTCCAGTCGTTGCAGTAACGAGAGACGGCGGTCTGATGGCCTTGCAGCCAACGCTCGCGCATTATGGCCCATTGCAGAGCGCCAACACGGGTCGATTGAACATCACAAGAGCTTCATACCGTACTTTGAACTTGTCATCTACGGAGATTTGCCCAAGATCCGCGCCGAGGTCGTGTGGTGCTATAACGATGTTGATGCATCTGTTGGTCAGAAGTTCATGTTCCTCACTACGCCAGACGCAGGAAGTGCTGAGGAGGCCCTTTCCTTACTCCTCCGGCTCTGCATGGCTTTGATTAGCAGGTACCGGGCCGGCTTTTTCTTCTACGAGACTGGGACTACTTACAGAACTGTAGGGTCACTAGGAGGCTGGTACGAACCGACTGCGGACTGCGGCCGCTTCGTGTCGAAGAAGCTCAAGAAATGAATCATAACAAATTTTGCTTGACAGTGTGTGCCAAATGAATGATGTACAAGTGCAGCCGCTGTGAAATCGCTCAACAATCCGCACTCTTTGGATCTAAGGTCTGGCCTATATACAGATGTGTTACCCCAGCCCTCTTTGGATGGACGTTCAAGCTGTAGCATGCAGTCGTCGCGTCATATAGACAAGGCAGACCGGTTTTTGCATTGCGAAATCGCTAATTCCGCCCATGTCCCTGTATGACGTTGTCGAGTATATCAGTACTCACCCTCTGGTCATTAAGCACATCAATGAAGCAAGACATAGGCCGTTGTAACGCTCACAAATTGATAGGGCAAGCCAGTAGACATGCCCGCGAGGATAGCTGTACCATGCACCTCCGTGCCTATGACTGAGCAGATTTTGCTGGGGCTGGCTCCGCCTTGGGAGCCTTGACGTCGAAAAGTAGCGTAAGGATGTTTTCGATCGAGTCCGCATTGTATTTGTCGCCAACCCAGACGTGGTTGAGTCCTTGAGCGATCTCGTTCAGCCAGTCGTCACTGCCGAAGCTGAACGTGGTGAAGGGTACTTGGCGCGCTCTCGCTTTCAGACTGTTTGCTACCGCTCTGCCGAATTCGACCTGCTTAGCCAAGATGGCTTCGATGCTCGACCTTTCTCCTCCAGTCAGTTGCTCCGGCACACACGACACGACGAGGACAGCGTCTCCTGCAGCTAAGAAGGCCTCGTGCGTCTTCGTGAAGCCGACACTCGGCACAAACGGCACATGCATGATGCGATTGTGTTGTTTGCTCATCGCCCGGCCAAGCGTCTCGAACGGGTCAGTGTCGCAGTGTCCGTCTTTCGAACCAGAAGTCGCGGGTGCTTTGAAATCCATTGCCACTTGCAGACTTTGCTGACCGTGAGTGCCTTGATACCCTGTCGGGACGATAATAGGTGTAAAAAGGAGTACAGCCGCAGTCGGATGAAGGTCACGAAACTTGGACAGACTGCCAAACGAGGAACCGGACTCTTCAAACTCCGCTATTAGGGCTGAAGCCTTGCCTCTCGCGACTGCTCGAGGCGTCTGGGTCTGCTTGGGTGACGCCATCCTGAATTCGCTGTTCAGTTTCAAGCTACGCTGTAGGCCGTCAGCCAAATCATCCTGGTGCCTGGAGACCTTCATAATAGGGTGGTGCTGGCGAGCTGGAACACGCTAGGTGACAGTCGCGCAAGTCAGCCAGAGGGATTCGCATGAACGAGTGATAAGTGCGACAAGAATCCAGCGTGATCATAGGAGCCAGGACCGAGCCAATGAGCCGACGGTATGGGAAACCTGCAACGTAGCACAGAAGAAATGCGCTACTGCTTTCGGAAGCGCAGGATGCCGGGCCTCAGTCTAGCTTTGTTCAACGTCTGAACAGTGACGGAGCAGCCTCCAGTCTAATTCGCGTAGAGATGAAGACAAACAGCACCGCCGCCACCCATGACACGGCAGATTCCGGTGACTAAAAGGCGAGCGGAAGCATGCTTTGCAGAGTAGTGTTCTGTGCTTCGCCAGATGCAAGATGTTGTGACAAGATGTAGACAGTTCAGCCGGAAGCTCGCGTAATATGAAGATTGGTGATAAATGGTAGGTCGTACAGCAGAAATGTTGTATGATACTGCCGATATCTGGCTTGGTGAGCACGGCAGCAAGCAGGGAAAGGAAGGGAAAGCGGGATGCGAAGCAAACAGCTGCATGAAACCGAGGAAGTAGTGCATTACCGTATGCGTCGAGCTTGCATTGTGTTACACAGCGAAGAGCGCATAGGATTGGGAGATGACGCCCGCACCGCTGCAGGATAGCATTTCGCCCGTGTCTGATGGGTGAGGTGGAGGAAGTTGTCAGTGTTTGGAAAGCGCAGCGTAATGAGCCCGAAAGATCTTGTCTCAAAGGTGTCTCAGGCTGAGGAGGGTATAGTGTTCGCATTAGCAGTGTTCGGCAGTTGTTCCGAGGTTCTCTTGGGGACTCGTCACGTCGAGACAATAAGACGGCGCAACCTGGTCAGATGCACAAGGATGGGTCATCTTCCTGCGGCCTCCAGCTCTGCAGGCTCTCGCCTAGCGGTTTGTACGACGGCGACAATGAGCTCGGGCAACAGACGGAAGGCAATTGGCCGCTAGTGAACTCGCAATACTATTCGCCAGGGTGATAACGCGAGGAAGAGGAAGGTCCCAGCTGTCGGACAAGCTGCGTAGCCGGTGTTGCACGAACGCTGCCATTGTTCCCACCATGCAGGAGCGCGCCGGCGCTGCACATGAGGTACATTGACGCTAAGCCAGCGCCGTGGAAGCTCCACGAGCATCCCGACGTTCCCACCACACTAGTTCAAACGTCCAATAGCGACGTCGCTGAAGAGCAGTCCTGATGGCGAGCAAGAAGAAAGTGTTCTCCTTCACGACAAGAATTGGAAGCTTGCGGAACGAGCCGAGGGAGCGGCTTCCAAAGCCACTCCTCGAGAGCTTTGGTGCGAGTTGCCGCTTGGTATGATCTGTGCGCCCTTGAAGAGTGTGCGTGAGGTGGTGCAACATTCAAAGACAACCTGTTGATGCTACAACCGCTTAAGTATCTGCGCCGACTTTGCTTCGACCGGAAGGAGACCGCCTGTCCGAGCGGAGTGGCACAGAGATATGGGTAAACGGAACTTCGAGGAGCTTTCAGTAACCGCCACTGGCGTACAGAACCTCGAAGACCGCTTTGGGAAGCGACGCCGTCGGCATGACTACGATGACTTGCCACCCATAAGACAATGGCGATGTAACCTGGTGCGTGGCACACACTCGACCCGCAACCAAATCGCTCTGTATTGCTTCTCCGGACTGACTATCCATTCGTAGACTGGTCTCTCCCAGGAACAAAATCTGTACTTCGTAGCATATGGTCAAGATGTTTATGTCTACGTGCCACAATACCCTGCGCAAGCGGTGTCTAGCCTACCAGTCTTGATTGTACCGTCTCAGCCCACGAGGCCCGATCTAACAGGTTTCCTTGATCCGCGCGAGCCGCATACGATAAATAATCTCATTGTCCACCACCTTGGCACGGATGAGGTCCTGGCGACTGTCCGAGATGATGGAGACGTGGAGATGGTACTGGTGCGACACATCTCGCAGGCCATAACGCGACGAGCAGAGTCTGACAATACTCTTCCCCTACGGGCTAGTGAAGTGAGACCCTTCTTCCAAGAGAATGTCAGCATCAGCGCCTGGGGCTTGTCGATCCACACGCAGGCTCGCATACTGGCTACCAGCTCCAATGCGCATGAAGTACGGATTTTCAAATTCGGGTTGTTGCACGCAGCGAACGATCCGTCATACCCGGACTTATCGCACAACCAGGAAGAACTACCGGATACTGGCTTACGGGCGCCTGGTCCTCACTCTACGAAGAGACGGCCAAGCAGACAGATGGACGTGACACAGCGTGTCATTAACGGCGAAACCAACGTGCCCTACATATCATTCTGTAATACAGGCGATGACCCGGAAGCACGATGGCTGCTCACTACCGACATCGGCGGATACTGCCGCATAATGGACCTGCATTCTGATGCCACGCCTACAACACAGAAGTTCCGCTTCGGGCGATCGTACTTGGGTCAAGGTGGCGGTTTCGACAGGCTTAACGCTGGCTGGGCGATCATGTTTCTGGACAGGCGAAGTTTCCTCTTGGAAGACACGCTGCACGCCGCAGTCGGTCTCACCGAAGGCCAAAGCTTGCCGGGCATTAAAGGTGACGTTCGGATGTGGGACCTGAGTGAGATTGTGGATCAAGTACCTAACAACTCGCTCGCCTTTACACAGAATGGTGTGCGCACGTCAAGGCAGGCGCCTGACCACATTCGCCAGCATGAACGGCAAAACGGCTCTCTCGAACCAGGGTCTCCAGGCATAGGCGCTACTGTTGACCATGATGCCCAAACACCAAGGGATGCAATCGAGATGATCGTGGAGCAACTGGTAGCACAGACGGCGGAAGCTATTGATGACGAGGTTCTGTCTTCCGTACCCGATGATGACCCAGAAGGTGACATAGAAGATGAATACGATGACGATATTGTGCATCTCGTCGAAGATGACGGCGACCCTGATGATGAAGGCACGGAAGACACCGTGTCATTCAACAACGTCTATGGAGGCAGGCGCATTTTTGGAAATCAACCCTACTTCTACCACCAGACGGGCATATGCCACGATCTACCTTGTCCGATCCTGCACGCATCGGTCAAGAACGTGTACCTGCTGCAGCCTTCTAACCAGCGGCTGCATCCAGGTCCTTTCTCCCCGCCCATGGTCGGCATGGCCAACCCTCTCCGGCAGGCAATCCAAAACCAGTTCGCTTACCTGAATGTGTTTGACCGCCTCAATATGAACGCATACATACCGGCTCTTGGCGTCGTTGTGCTCGCTTCGCAAAAAGGTCGTGCGGTCGTGCTGTCGCTTACCAAACTAGCTGCTTCTACGAAGTACTCGGCAGAGATGCGCGGGCATCTCGATCGGCCGAAGACGGACTATGCGATAAGAGTTGAGTGTATACTGCCGTTTGCTCATCAAGAGATGCAGAACCAGCGCCCGTTTGCGCCACTGCATGGCATCGCTGTCGGTCCCCTGCAGGGAACGGAAGGCTTGCTGGAAGAGAAGAAGCGGTGGCGTCTCCTCATGATGTATCAAGATCACTCCATCCTCAGCTACGAGGTCAAGAGACAAATCTGGAGTGACTCTGTGGTAGAGGTAGGAAGAGTGATGGTATAAAGTCATTCTCCACGGTTTACCGATCGACGCCTAGTGGGGTATCTTGCACATGTCCAGCCCAGGAGAATGTGGCAACCACAATGAAAGCTACCGCTTGAGTGTCGTAACGCCTGTCCGTTTGCCGTGGCTTGTGGAGCTTGTGGAGTTTGCCACATCGTGCACCCCCCGGCTCGTGACCACGCAGCGCCAAACACCATGCTAAAGCCTTCACGGTATCTGTCCTAAGCCCACCCCAGTGACTCAGCGGCCTGACTGACAGCCGCTTGAGCTGCAACAGCAGTGTTGACTGCAGCCTGATATGCTGTCTCTGCGAAATCTGTTGCCGCACCTAGCACGGCTTCCGAAGCCTTACTCGCCGTACTTCCAATGTCCGTAAGAGCCATGTCGCCAACAACGTACCAGTATGCTCTCCGACTAACCTCGACTATATGGCTGGGTAGGTAAAGCGTCACGGCGATCGTAAACATGGCTAGCGTCAGGAAGAGGATGGAGTCTGCAGGGCGATCAGTACAGATGCGAACATTATTGGGCAGAAGGGCGCATACTGAAGATGAATTTCTCTGTAGGAGTCAACATGTATAAAGCGAACGTGACTTCATATTGGTAGTTCTTCTTCTGCAACCACTTGACGAACTCGGTCGACTCGGCTCGCTGAAGCAGGAGGAAAGCGGCCATCATTATGATTAGAGCGGCGGCGAACAGCTGGAGGAGTGGTTCATTGTAAAGACTCATGGTTGTTTGCAGCGCACATTCACCGGATGATAGTATGGCTCGGATGCCTGTTGCGCCTCTACATTACATGTAGGAAGGAAAGGAGAGAAGCCACACTAGAAAGGCTTGTTAGGCTCGGCACAAGCGAGATTGTTCCTGAGATCCCCGGATTCCAGACAGCATGTACCTGAACCATCATGAACAATGAACATGTGACTGTATAAGAGGTTGTTCATGTCGGGAGCATGCTGCAGAGGCTGGCACGGGGATGGAAAGGGTTGCGAGCTGAGCAGCTTCGAACTTTCACCACGGCCTGTAGACTCCATGAGACTGCTTTACCGCCACGTCCCAAGATTGTCGAGACGGACATAACGGAGTCTTTCTTGAAAGGCTCGGGACCGGGCGGGCAAAAGATCAACAAGACCTCATCCGCAGTACAGATCAAGCATATCCCTACAGGTATCGTTGTCAAGAGTCAGGAGACTCGTAGCCGCGAACTGAACCGGAAGTTTGCAAGGCAGCTTCTGGCAGAGAAGCTCGATCAGCTGGAGAACGGCGATCAGAGTCGGACTGCGATCAAAACTGGGCGGGCGCGGGCGAAGAAGGCTAGCGCGAGCAAGAAAGCAAGGCGAAAGTATAAGAAGTTGGCAGAGGAACAGGAGGGCAAGGATGATGATATCTCGACTAAGGTCGCAAAGAGCGAAGAAGCGGAGGTGCAATCTTTGGACGACCAGCGGAACGTGATAGGGGTGGATAATGAAGACGGCAGACGACCACCAGGCCCCAGCCCGCACATTGGCTGATCGGATGTTATGAATGAAGCTTTGAACACCTAATTCGGACCAGAGCAGAGAAATCTGCACCTGTGACGAACTCTGGCCGTACGTCTCATGGTGTCAGTCTTCGGGCTAGGCCTGTTCGGACTCGAATGCATGGTGCCTTGCGCCACCTTCAGTGCCTGTATTCGCTACCCACACAACGCGACTGGCAAGGAATAGCGATGACGCTGCTCCAGATTGTCATGGGAAGTCGCTCGATCTCGGTTCACAGATCGAGCACAACCTACGACAGCATAGAGTGAACCTGCCTGCGCTGACTGAATGCAAGGAGCCGGTCAGCAGCCCTCGACCGTCGCCGTTGACCTTTTGCCCTCTCGTACCTGAATATCGATCCAAGGATCTGCAAATCTGTTCTAGTCTTAGATTTCGATGTTGGCAATGCAAATGAGCAAGAGAATACCAGAAGTATGAATCGCGGATGTATTTGGTACCCGTCACCACGGTGCAGATCCTGTACCTGAAAAGAATCGGAAGGAAGATGTTACGTCTGTGCTATCTCAGGATGAGCACGTCTAACCGCTCCAAAGCGTCGAACAACGATACCCACTCCAGGGCCACACGGCAGTGCTTTTATTCCGAAAATGCATGGGGGTGGATGTCCATTCGATTCTCCTTCAAAGTGCAGTTTTTTGATTCGCAATCAGATTACAAGCATCGAAGCTCAAGAGGCCCTACACAGGAGCTTCGACATTCACGCTCGTTCTGGGACCGCGTGGGTGGTTCTTTCCTTATAAGCCTTCAAGGGTCCAAGCGTCGTGACTGCCTGTTTGTTTGAAGTTGGACCACAAACCTCCATAAGTCTCGCTCACACCTTTTCGCAAACATCCAGCAGAGACAAACTCCGTCCTGGATTAGTATTCAAGCTACGGTCAAGCCATCAATATCATCCAGTCTCATGCACAACATGGCGACAGACTTCGACAGCCTTCACAAGCAGATCATTGGTGCGACGCCCCATCTGGTATAGCTTTCTGCACGCCTGCTGACATTCCCAGCAAACGCCGAGTTCCTGCTCGGTAGCGACACCATCAGCGCAGCGAAAGACACTCGCGATGGGCTGAACGTGGTCGTATTCGGTACCAACGCGGCGTACACCGGCGCAGTCGTAATCGGCTTACGCCCAGCAATCGAAGGGCCTGAATGCAGCACGCCCCATCTCGCCCTGGCCAGGCTACTTACCACTACGTGCGAGCTCCTCGCCAGGTATGTAGGGCCGCAAAACCTACGTCGAGCAGTATCGCTAATCATAGAGCGCAGCTACGTGCCCAAGCTCAGCGCGCACCAGCGCAACATTCATGGGGGCGGCGTCTTTGACGAGGACTTAATCAGTCCCGAATTGGTAGAAGTGCAGAAGTCTTCTGCATAATGCAACCTCAGGTATTCCAGGCAGGCGTCGCGCAAGTGCAGTGGCAAGAGTAGTTCATCTAGCGATCAAGACGGCGATCAATATGGCGATTGCTACAGTTGCAACTGATGCCAGCAAGACGCTCGTATATAGCACGCACAGTTTGCGTCTCTACGCCCCTACGTAGTGAATATTGCAAGTGTCCGCAGACTCTCAGAATCCATTCCACGTCGGCATCGATGGAAGTCCAGACCATGTTCGCGCTAGCGAGTTGCAGGCTTTTAGCGTGAAACGGCTGTACAATGACGAAAGGTAGGCCATGTGGAAGGCCAACTTCCCAGCCTCCATTCGGCGTTGATCGTCCGGCAGCCCTTCCGATAAAGAGCGTGCAGCTGTCTGCGACGTCTTCCTGACGGCAGCACTTTATACATTATCACCTGGCGCACCAGTGCTGTAATCGATCCACTCCTGAAAGCCTGAGAACCATTGTCGCGTAATCCACGGGCAGCAATTGACCAAGTCTTATCCGCTCTGGAACGAGCCACTGCCACAGCGCATCGCATCGCATCGCATCACACAATGGCGGAACCACGAGACCGACCGCTTCATGAGTATGTGCTTGGCACGTCCTACTCCACCGCACGGCTACGACGAGCTGACAGACAGCTAGGCTTCTCTCCCGTGACATGGTCGATATCTACGTCGGTCAAGAGAACACGCACTGGGTGCTTCACGAGAAGCTGCTCTGCTACCGAAGCCGCTTCTTCCGCAACATCTTCTACAACAAGGAAGGCAGCAAGAACCATGTCTACGGCCTGCCGGACGACGATGACGAACCCTTCCGCCTCTTCGTTGGCTGGCTTTACTCCGACGCGATTCCACACCCGAAGGAGGAGAAAGACCTCAGCCCGTTGTTCGACCTATACCTTATGGCCGAGAAGTGGGAGATCAAGAAGCTGATCCTTGACGTGCTTGACGCCGTCCGCCGCTGGTACCACGATACCAACACCTGGCCTGGTCTGCGCCGGGTACAGTACATCTATTCCAACACCGAGCTCGAGTCGCCTATGCGGCAATTGCTCGTGCAGTGTGTTGCGCGCATGCTGGTTGTTGGTGACAAGGGTATCCCATCACATTGGGAAAATGCGCTAAGGAAGAACGGCCAATTGGCTGTGGACATAATCATGACGGTGCAGAAGTGGCACGTTGACCCGGAAGGCGTGCCGGATGCGAGAGACGAGCCGGTTGAGCCGATCGTCGAAGAGGCGGAGCAGAAGGTCGAGGAGCGCAAGGATCGGGAAGATGATGCCGACGAGGGTGCAAATCAGATGAAGACGAACGGGGTGGACCACGAGGAGGAGAACGGTGAGCAAGAAGAGGAAGAAGAAGAGGAAGAGTCGTAGATCTTTCGCACTAACGGCAGGATTGATTGGAATACTCCGGGTTTGGTATCTTAGCGAAATTCTGTTTGAATAGGTAACATCTACTTCGATCTTACTGTATTTGCTTAACCGGCAGTAGCGACCTTAGACATTTCTTTACCATCTGTTCGGACCTTCCAGGCCGGCATTGTTGTAGTCGAACGGTTGCACATCGTCCAGGAACGAGAGGTCGTCGAGATTGAGGGGATAGTTGGGATCCAGATACATGGTGAAAACATCGTCCATGCCGTCAAACAGACCTAGCTTTAGCCCACCGTCGGCGACGCGGTTTCCTGGAGGCTGATCCACCGCTGAGGTAACGTGCCTCTCTGCATTCGTCGCTTCGGCAGGCACCGCGTCGCCCGTAGGAAGCGCATCAAGCAGACCTGTCCGCACGCCGTTCAATGCTGGCGTACAGGGCACATGGTGCGCTTCTTTGGCATTATCCGCAGCTCTTCGCTGTGCCTCACGCGTAATCCGGAACGAAGCAAGAAACGGCGCCTTCTCGATCTGCCGCTGCACCTTGCTAGCAAGAGCGGCCATGGTGTCTGCTGAGCCCCAGACTCGCCGCAGGTTCTGCAATATCTTGGTGCACTTACGGAACTCCACGCACGCGTCTTCCTGCTGATGCTGAAGCTGTGATTGCCGCAGGTGCTGGTAGGAGACTGACAGGGCAAGTGATACCGAGTAGGGAATGAAAGGCAGTGCATGCACTTCTTTGGCGTAGTCCGACTCCATCACTCGGATGATCTCGCCAGCGCATAGCCTTTGCCTTACCGCCGAGTAAGTCGCACGAGGTACCTGCTTGACGCCGCGGGAACGATGGGAGAGCACGGCGACGGTCAGATAGTACAGATGCAACGTTACGAGAATGCTTGATGGCAGTTGCCACGCTGCAGTCTCGTCGAATATCTCCTCCAGACCAGGATATTCATCCTCCCAGCCCGTGTTGTCCAGCGAGACGTGCGGGCGGTAGAACGATAAGATCTTGTTGAGCAATTCAGTAATACGGATCCAGGCCTCGAATGCCGGATAGCCGCTCTCTCCAGGCGCGAAGCCGTCGATGGCTATATCGATGTCGCTCATGATAACGGGCCGGGTATCGATGCAGCCATTAATACGGTCGAGCACCCACAGGCACCAGAAGAGCCGCTTCGCCGGTAAGCCGGTTTCTAGCCGGTTACTTGACTGCTGTCCAAGGTGTATGCCAAGTGTCTGAGCGTGGTGCATTGCTTGAGACAGCAGCATCGACGACTCTGCTGCACCATCTTGTCCTTCACTGTGGAGCGAAGCAAGCGCAAATATACGGATCAGCGTGACTTTGTCATATTGACAAGGGGCCTTCAGATAGCCTAACACAGACGCATACAACCGACTGCAGAACTCTCGTGGCGGGAGAGTCGATGGAGACAGGTGGATCTTGAGATGGACCGCTGCGTCAGGGTCCTTTGCAGCGACCAAGCACATGGCGTGTGCCAAAGGTTCCCAAACATTTCCAGAGTCATACTGCTCTCGGAACTCTTTCTCATCTACGAGTGGCAGAATGGGATGGATCTTCTTGAAGTAGAGATCGATAAGCGGAGCTAGAACGCTTGAATGTGGCCGCTGACTGCCGCTCATGCCATATTGATAGGTTAGCTGCGTTGCGCTGCGAGTTTCGTTCGCGTTCTTGTCGCGTTGTCGGATGAATTCATCCCACTCGCGCCGGTCAACCCAGACGCCAATGTTTTCACTGGGTGGCCGTTGCTCCTTGTCGCCGTCTGATTGCTGGCGATCCAAGAACGTAGCCTCCGGGTTCAAGTCGCTGAAGAAGCGCTTCGGTCCAGCAGATGCCGGCCGTGCTTGCGCGGTGAAGCCGGATGCGCGGTTGGCTTGCTGCTCGTCTGCCGCTGCCGCGGTCACTGCGGGTGGGCTCACGGCGGAAGGCGATCGCTCTTCTCCATGGTGTTCCGCATCACCGTTCGCATGGTCGAGTTCGTCATCTCCGTTAAGCTTGTCGTTGTCCGCGAAATGTATACAGCGTTTCTGGTACACAGAATCAGACTCGCACAGGCAAGAGGCGTCGGACCGAACGAGCACAGACCTTGCGCGCTCTGCAGGCGTCACACGCTTTAGCAAGACGCCTTCGTTTCGGCGTCTCACCGCCGTAATGGTTAACGAAGGTGAGCTCGACCATTTCCACTCATGCTCGAGACGTTCACGGAGATGGAACGGTAACCATGTTTTCCCGACCAGACCAACTGAGCTTTGTCAGCATGGAGTCTTCGAGGTGGGCGCGAGTCAAGAGTCAAACGCCGAGGCTGCCGATTGCGGAAGCTCTGACCGGCCGTTCGTGAATGCGCCTCATGTTTCACGCTTGCAGCATTCTCGAGCCACACATCAGCAGCTGTGGTAGTGGACGATGTTTCGTACATGCACTTTCCCGGTGATGGATGGTTAAGCTTGCTGGAGGGACTTGCAGCACCATTACAGTTCTATTGTACGGACTGAATTAGTGCAGTCAGGCATCATGGCAGCCGCCCACGCGCCACTCGACGAGATCGTAGCGCGTCGTGATGAAGTGATTCAATGGTGGATGGAGGCGGACAACAACGTGCCACATCCACGCTATCCTATGGAAGAGCGGATGATCCATCGCTACTTCAGTACTCTCCAGTATTTTGATCACTCCTCGAAGAATGGCCTCTTCTTTCTACAGTCAGAGGTAAATCCGGACTTCTATGCACTCGTACACGACCGAAAAGGATTCGAGGATCGGCTACGTGAAAGGCCGGGCCTCGAATATGTCATTGCTGGTGTGCCTCAACAAGCTGTGGGTGCGCCTGCAGGAGAGAATAGCGCAGTCTGGGTGATCAGGAAGCAAGAACGCTTGGACGAGAGGATAGAGGGTATCGACCCAAGCACGCCATATCCTAAGACAGAAACCAGAGGGACGTACTATATCGTCAACGAGAATGCGTACCAGGCGCCCAGTGTAGCCGATGTAGTGGGCAACAGGATGCTCTCTGCCATGTCAAGCCTGGAGAAAGCGTTTGGCAAGGCGAAGGATCTGCCATCTTTTACGCCTGCCACCGGTTACACGTATCTGCCGCCAACAAACAAACCGGTGGCCACCACTGCTTCGAGCCAAGCTTCGCCGACGAGGTCACGCGAGGGCAGCGTTGCCCCAGGCGTGAGCATCGATAACAGCTCTGTGCGCTCCGGCTCCGCCGCACCTGAGAGCCATGCTAGCGGCACAGCTGTAATTAACGACCCACAGGGCTCTCGACTGCTCGCGCAAAGCTTACAGATGAGCGTCCAATTTGGCGAGGAGTTCATGGACGAAAACCCAATCATTGGTGAGCCTGGAAGCTTCAGATTCACTTCCACTCTCACAGCCGTCAAGAAGCGGAAGGCAGACGAGGAAGCATCAATAGCTGCGACAGTAAACGCTACTGAGTCGAACCACCCTTTATCTGTAGCTTCTGCGCCTTCCCCAGCAAAGGCACCTACGCCACCTCCGGTCTTCTCTGAAGCGAAGACCGCTGCGAATGCCAAGGCAGAGAGGGAGAAGAGGAAGGAGGAGAAAAGACGCAAGAAGAGTCGCGCAAACCTTACCGGTAGCGGAACCACTCCGACTACGCCTGGTAGCAGCGCAAGTGCGTTGCCAATCAATGCCGGTTGACACTATTTTGTCCTTCGCACCATACTTATTAGGATGTGAGGTGTCAGCAGACCATCCAAGGTTGTAGGCCGTGTCAGCTTTAGGCGTAAACATGACAAGCCGCATGATTCGGGACGATCTGGGAGCACTGGCTAGGAAGCTCGTCGTGACTGACACGACCAGTAACGATACTGTGAGGCGTCACGGTACAACGCTACTGCTAGGTACCTTGGATGACGAATATGAATCGCGAAGCAGCAGGATCCAACTTTCCCACCTCCGAGACGGTCGGCCTTGGCATGATGGATCGGCTCTGCTGACACGAAACGCCACTGTCTGCACGCAATGCAAGTGTGATATTCGATGAACCGCTGCATAAGATTCTTCTGACCATTCGCGTAGGCATGGGTTCACTGCATTCACATCTCTCAGCCTCGTGGGGCTACAGGAGCGTACAATATGGCGGTCATGTCAGAAATCCTTGGCAAGCATATGCGCGCCGCCATGGTTGCAGGCTCACTACACCACGGCGATCGATGCATACCTCTTGTGGGAGGAAGATGACTGGTGATATGCACCAAGGCATGCTTGGAGGGCAGGTCTGAGACCTCGCGTCCTAGATCTCATCTTCTTCCTCATCGAAGTCGTCCTCGCTGCCCATGTCATACAGAATTCTGCCACCTTCTCCTCCGCCCGTCTGAGCATCAAAGTAAGGTAGAACGACACCATCCCTGTCCTGCCGCTGCTTTGCGGTAAGTCCTAGCTCGAACGTACCGTCCGCCTCGCTAGGTTCAGCAGCACGATCGTGTTCAGGCGTACGGTACAACGGATGATCATCGAGTAGCATCACGGCTGTTCTATCCTTGGCTCCAGACCCTTCGGGACCGTCCCGGTAAGTTACAACAGGCATGTAATACCACTCTCTGATTCCACGTCCGCTTTTTCGACGGTGCTCCATCTCTAGCACCACCCCTTCAGAACCATTGGCACCAAGACTTTGCAGCACTCCCTCTTTACCTTCCGCAAGGCCAAAGGAGGGCTCGATATGGCTACGATCTCGTGCTGTCTTGCGCTCCAGGACATGGTGTAGCGAATGTACCGTACAGACGGTCGTAGCCAGATACCGCAGCAGCGTCAGCGGGCTTGGAGCGTAGACATTCTGATGTAGCGGGGTCCTCGCGCTCGGGCGCCCAATGTCAGTATGGTACACGGCAAGGAGTGAAGTTGTCGGACCGATGAAGGAGGAGAGCAGGGCCGGGAGGTTGTTGGAGTCTGGCGTGGCGCAGAGTTGATAGAGGCTGTCAAATACAATGAGACATCCTGCAAAGCAGTTAGCTCGAGTCTTATATTAGCGACGACGCATTGTCCGAACATACTTCGTCTTTGCAGTCTACGGAGTTCATTTTGTAGGGACTTCTCCCATGATTGCAAAGTCTGATTCCATGCTTCTACAAAGACATCCACATTAAGAGGCTTCGAAAGCGTTTCAGATGAGACGAAGAATACGTGCACTCCTGTAATCTTGGCTTACAACGTCAATCTTTGCACATCCGTCACTCGGCAAACGACTGCGTACCTTCGCTCTGCGAACATACTCTGCAATTAGCGGTCTTGCAGACTGCTCGAGACTATCGAGTACCAGCGTGAACGGCGAGGTAGCATCACGCTGATCCAATAGCTTATTGATTAAGAGCAGATTGTGCGTGCGACGATGTTGGGATGTTGTAGGTGGCATTGAGATGCAGTGTCGAGGTCGGAGCGCGTAAGCAAAAACCCTTGAGGTGGCGTATCGAATTCGATACATGCCAACCATTTTGCTGCTAAAGTGAATGCTGAAACACTCAATACCATCGCTATAGAATTTGGACACGTTGCTATTCTGCTCTGGTTACAGAACCGCTTCATTCTTTCAATCGTCCTCCTCCTTGGCCTGCCTCGTTGCGCCTGCGGCCTCCTTAACATTTCCACTCGTCTCGTTGGGGGCCCGAACATTCTCGACGCCCTTCACTGTGCCCCAATACTGCTCCCTATCAGCCTCCTTTGCCTCATCAAATTTGCCTTCCTTTCGATCCTTTCCAGCGTTCATTGCCTCCTCTCGCCATTTCTTACCATGCTTACCGCACGTTAAGTCTTCCTGCCAGACACGTAAAGCCTCTTCAACGTGAGGCCGCAAAGCAGTGTCGAGTGGGTTGACGTTCTTATCATGAGTTGCCTCACCAGCCTCTGGCGTAGGTAGTAGCGAGTAGAGTTGCTGGCGAGTCTCTTCGGAAAGGTTGGACCATGCACCTTCTTTCTGTAGCATTGCCTGCCGGTTGTAAGTACATCCACGAAGTGGCGGGCGATCAGTGAACCTACAACCATATCAACTTTGCCAAGTCGCGATTTCTCGTTCGTGAGCATGCGTTTCTGCTGAGCTGCCATCTCACACGAATTCTTGCTAGATGATGATGGTAGATTCCTACGTCTATACGGAGGGAGAAGCGGACGTCCAGCCGTGTCTCATGAGCTAGATATGTTTTTATAGCAACTTTGCATGTCTAAGACACTTGATACTAGCACCTAGTAAGCCCGTGTCTGGTCAGCCGTGTGCAGGTTCAACTACCAAGGCGACAACCACGAAATTGCTCGTGGTCCTTTGAGCTTCAGCCTCAGCCCGGTCCGCGAGTGCTTCCCCTTGCGAAGGCCAACGTAGGGTGTGAAGAGTGCTTCGGCTTAGGTGTTGATATCCATTGGTTGATCTACGAAGTGTATCCGTCCTGTTTGTGTACTCCCATGCCCCAGCAACATTGGAGTATGGTGTTGCAAAGTTTCTCTATTCTCAACTATGGGATGCAGAGACTAAGATCTCGAGTACATTGCAACATCTTGTACACAGTGAGTGGATTGATGAGACTGGTTTGGACTGCGTAGAGGAGGCACATCGTACCGTGAGCGTAAGCGAGGGTGGCGCGGGCAGTTTGCAGAACTCTGTTGGGAAGGTCAACCACAGGTGCTTGATCATACGTCCGCTGCAGCTCTATGGGAGCAAATATGGACGCTTTATAACAGAGGGTCTGATATTTCTCTCAAGCGTGATCGCTGCTTTGTGAGAGTGGGTGGGAATGAAGGAAGGCCGCATCTCCATTTGGGCAGCCACAAGACGCGGGTGGCTGCTCGACTTCCCGCTGTTTTTGGGCTTCGTTCAAGCAGACAACCTGTAACCGTCAACGCAGTCGACATCCTCGGCATTCCCATATCGGCATTGGATGATTCTGTCGCTCCCGTCAACATGATTTTCACAACTCAGATTGTCCGCCTGGACGGTATGTATGTCGCATTACCGACCTTGCGGCCGCTGAGTCAACCCAACGACTCACGGACTTGACAGGCTTAGTACTCGTCGCGTCAGTGGATGACCAGCAGATCAAAGAGCTCGGCGAGCTCAAGCAACAGATTCGGCAGGTCGTCAAACGAATCACGCCCACCTCCGAACCTCGAGCGAGCATAGAAAGCGTAAAGTACACCATGCAGTGCGTCTCCGCCGCCTGATCCCCGACAGTCAGAGCGAATATCGCATTTCGTGTCCAGGCTCGAGAGATGCAGACTAACACACAGTAGCTATGTCCTAAACGATCAGCTCTGCTACATAGCCATCACCGAAAGAGCCTACCCCAAGAAGCTAGCCCTTACCTTCTTAGAGGACATTCGCGCCGAGTTTCAGACATCGTACAAGCGCGACGACTATCTGTCCCCGCAGCTACGGCCTTACCAGTACTCGGAGTTTGAGCGCTTTATTGAGCGAACGAAGAAGACGTACCAGGACAGCCGAGCCACTGATAACTTAAGCCGGCTGAACGATGAGCTCAAGGACGTCACGCAAGTTATGACAAAAAACATTGAGGACCTGCTGTACCGTGGCGACAGCTTGGAGAAGATGGGTGACATGAGTTCCAGGCTTCGAGAGGACAGTGCCAAGTACAAGCGCGCAGCCGTTAGGATTAACTGGGAGCTGTTATTGAAGCAGTACGGTCCTTTCGGTGCGCTCGGGCTTGTCATCCTCATCCTGCTGGTATGGCGCTTCTGGTAACCCATACTATAGCGGCCCGCGTGTTCCTTGTTAGCGGCTGCATTTGGGAGCATAGCGCCGGCGTCTGCGGCATGAATCGACAACGGCCTGGTGGTCATGTAGGCAAAGAGATACCCATGAGCGCTTGGATAGAGCTCTCAATGACAAAAGCGACGTTTCTTCTTTTAGCCCCTGGGCATGTTTGACCTTTAACAGGCTGGCAAGGGTTCCGCACAAGCGCCATGATCAAGTGTCTTTGAAGGGGTCTCGCTTCGGGGCTGAGCGAATCATCCTGCAACAATTGGAGCACTGGCGTAGAAGATCAAACAGTGCTGCATGAGCCGATCGAGGCGCCGAGCCGTTGCAAACCACGCAGACAAGCAGTGCTCGGCTGGATATCTCGACCGCGACAGGCCAACAGCCCGCCTGATTAGCCGACATGCCCAGGCGTTGAAAGCCATAAGAGAAAGGTCTAAGTACAGCTAACAGAACAGTGGGAAACAACGTGGGAGAAGCACCCGCTATATTACATCTCATATATTGCTGGGGAGAATGCAGAATTTGTATTACCTGGACTATGACCTTCTCTAGCGCAGCCTGGTCTGGCGGACACGCCAACACACGTGGCTCGTATACCGCATCATTTTTGTCAACAGAGCAATAAGCTGCGGATGAGTGCTCGTACGGCTCGTCTGATTCTGTCGCCTTCGTCCATGTTGTACCTCGCTGGATGGCTCGTTGGATGGTCTCCAGCCCTGCCCTACCGAAGCGTAGGCTACTCTGGAAACTTCGCACGGCCTAGTCTCCGGGATCGTACCAGCTGCCACTGGCACCAACGGTAATACACCGTTTCTCGGTGGCCTTACCGACTTTCGCAGCGATCCTCCCACATGTCCCAAGCTGCGTGGACATGAATGTTTGTGTCGGGATCCATGTTGTGGCGTGCCCTGCAAACAGATGTCTCTGACGGTCGCCTGCCTGGGAGTTGATGCTACCATAGCGGTTGGGCTCGTGCTGGTGTCAGAGTTCTCGTGTCAGGGCTGTTCCAACCCGTGTCCGAGGATGTATCGCATATGCGCCACCTCAGCCAGTGCTCTCGGGATCGATACTGCGCAAACGTACGACGCGGGCGCTTCGCCGAACGCCCTTTTGCAGAAGTCATGGCGCTGCTGTAGTCATTGGCCGTGCGCTGAGTGGCTCTACGAGTGGTTTCGCTCGTCTCGCTGTGCGTGCCCAATTTACAAGTCCGGATGGCCTGCTGTACGGTCAAATTGGGGATCACGCCAACCACGCTGAGCGCTCCGCTTCCTTGCTCTCTAACCGGCCGTTGTCTGCAACAGCATGGCAGGCAAGAGCAACGCAACCATGTCTCGGCCATGTTGTGGTACCATTGCGTACGTGTTATGCGCAATGTTCTGATCGAAGCTGAACACTGGCGCGCAGCTACATGCTTCAGCTTCAGCGCGGAACCGAGCGCCAAGACCATGGATTCTACCCTCAACATGACGCAACACTACAACGCCTGGCCATAGACACAACTGGGGGAAGGGGAGGCTGCTCTATGGAGTCGTCTGAACATTCATATACCCACAATATGTGGTGAGTCTTTGTGTGGTGTGCGTGATGGTTCTGTCGGGAAAACTACGGCAGACTCAATGGAAGAGATATATATGCAGAAGACGGAGTTATCCTCCACCCGAAAATGCCCAACTCGGATCTGGCATGGTCTAGGTTGAGTAGGTAGGATCTGCTCGAACTGTGCTACTATCGATCAGATCGATCGGACCCCCCGAACGAACGAGCGAGCGATCACGAAAGTCACCTGACCAGCATCCGGCCCGTCTTTTTCGCCAAATTGACGGTCAAGAGCTTGGGGCGAACCGCGGTCGCTGGACCTTGTGGTATATCTATTTCCAGGTTCAGTCCGATCTACTTATCACGAACATTCAGCTCGGATGCGGCGTTCTCTAGGCTCAGTCGCTAGGAACCCACATAATCGTAACTAGTTCGATCGGTAGAACCTTCGATCCTCCGACCTATCTACTCGATCTGAATCAGGTTCGTCATTCTCCAGATCTATTTTGCCGAGCCTCACAAAAGATTCGTTCGCTCCGAATCTGAAGCTCACACAGACATCCACGTACTCGAATCGGACATCGTACCTGAACCATGACGCTCCAGCTACTGTCCGCCTCTGCTTAAGAAGATGGTGAGTCGTTTTAATGAGGCATCCACGAGCCGGTTGTGATGACTTATGGAATGCTTCCGGAGAAGCAGCGGATGAACTCTGGCGAGGAAGGCTGGCTCAAACAGTTTGTGAAGAGGCTTTTATGGAGGACTAACATCCTCTGACTCCCAAACCGAAGCCGCTCTGCAGCAAAATACAGACGGATTAAGTAGCTCCCAGAAGCACATCAAGCAGGCTTTGGCGCTTCGCCAACATTTCCTCCCATTCCGCCTGCTCATCCGATAGAGCCGTCACTGCCCCTCCCGCCCCAACGTGCCAGCTGTCCTCACCGAACCACTTGTAAGCTGTTCTGATGACGACCGAAAAATCACCGCCACCGCCTACCTCAAGATAGCCTACCACGCCGCTATACAAACCCCTAGGCTTGTCCACACCTTCTAGACGCCTCAAGATCTTACAAGAGCGCTTCTTCGGCGCACCAGTCATCGAGCCAGGTGGTAATGAGGCCGACAATGCCGCCATTGGCGAAACAGACCGATCAATGTCACCTTCAATAACAGAGACAAGCTGGAACACCGTTTCGTACTCCTCCACCTGCATAAGCTTCGGGCAGCTTACGTTGTGTGACCTATTCCAGCAGTTAGTGAGACGTTCGATCCTCTGATGGCCATGACAGCCGCTCATTAGCAGCGAGCAACAATTGGGAAAGGACATTGCACCACGGGCAGGACCGCCTGGATTGTGCCCGCTGCGACCTCCATCGAAACGCTATAATCTGCGATGGCGGTGAGAGCAGCCCAACGGCAACAGTGAGAAACAGAGGGTATGTTCGCAGGTGTTGCCTGGACAACGCACGTCCCGCTATCGGCAACAGAGAAAATCGTGCTATGGCGGTGGCAGTGGCGGCAGCTCAACAATGAGGATGGTAGTGAGAAGGGTTGGTGTGACATACCCAGGGGTACCGCTCAAGTCATGTCTGATTTCACAGTCAGCGGTGCACTGAGCCTACTACAGCGGTGATAGCAACTCACCTGATCAGGTCTACAATCATGAGGTTTTCCGCCTGCTCTTTCTCAGAGAACAATATTGCTTCCGCGTCTTCCCTCGTCATTCCTGGCGTCTTCTTCACTGTCCCTTTGATGGGCCGGAACTGGCATCTGCCACTCCGTGACCATGACAGAAAGCGCTCCGGGCTACTGCCGATTACATCGAGTCCGACTTCGCCTCCGTCATGGAAGCGGAGATAGGCGCCGAAAGGCGCCGGGTTGGTATGACGAAGCTCCTGATATAGCGACCACGGCTCTGCGGCGTTGCGTACAAGAGTTTGCTCGGTCAGACACAGCTCGTAGGACTCGCCTGCACGTAGCTCATCCTGGCAAGCGCTGACTTTGCGGCAATAGTCATGCTGATCCGGACCGCTTACAATGCAGCCTGTACATGTGCTCTCCACCCCAGGCGGCGTGAAAGGTGGTGTATATGGAAGGCGAAGTAGGCTCTCCATCTCCGACAGCCAGACCTCGTCCTTCGCTTTTATGCTTTGTACGTATGCCGCATTCAGTACGTGGTCGATGACTACCGATCGCTCAACGAGCTCGAACCAGATGTCAGGCCGGACAGCTGGAGTGTTGGTTGGCGCCACATTTATGGTAGCTAAGCCAGCCTCATACGAGATATAGCCTACCAAGCCGCCCCAGAAGGGTACCTCTGCCAGACCGTCGGTGGCCGTGTATTGCTCTAATTGCTCATCGAGTAGTCTGAAAGCATCCGGCGCGTCCGCTTTAGACCGCGAAATAGTGCACTCCCCCTTTGCGACCATGAACACCTTATCCACAGTAGACCAGCACAGCTGCAGCGATCCCTGACCACGCATACCGATGATGGTGAAGCGGCCAGTCTCCGAATTAATCGGCTTTCCTTCACGGCAACCTGACTCCAACAGGAACGGTTCCCTGTCCCAACTATTCCGAATGGTACTGACAAGGCTCGCTACGTTAAAGTCATGCGGAAGCTGCACTGACATCCACCCCACATTGCGAGGCGCGGGTTGAGCACGCTGTGGGCATATATCGGTACAACGAAACTCTGCCTGACTCGGTGTCGTTGCCCGATAACCCTCCATGCGCTTGACCGCATTCCATTTGCGCACAGCATCCCACCATCTTTGCACAAGCCCCGGCCCGCCACTGGAGCATACGGACTCCGGATGATACTGAACACCCCAGAAGGGCTTTGAGCGGTGTCTCAAGCCCATCAATATCGGATCGCCATCAGCGGTAGCCTCTGTCCGCGCTAATGGTATGAGCTCTGCCAATTGGCGCAGCCGGACGTGCAAGGAGTGATACAGAGTCGCGTTGAGTTCATCTGCATTTGCAAAGATATCACTGTCACAGTGCTCAATTTGCCTGACCAGGCCATGCCTGGGGCGTGGCAGACGGTGGACACTTGCGCCGAAGGCAAGGGCAAGACTTTGGAACCCTAAACATATTCCAAGCACCGGCAGTAGGTCATCATCCGAGAGACTCCACAGCTTCCCGATCACTCCGACATCCACGGGGTTGGCTGGATGGCCAGGTCCAGGACCTGCAACAACTGCGTCGAAGCCATGAAGGTAGTGGCGGAAGGCTTCGTCGTTGAGGACGAAGCGAGCATCGTTGATCTTAATACACTCGACGGTGACTGGTAAGCTGTCGCGTAGCAGGCTTACGATGTTGTTCGAGAAGGAGTCGTAGGCGTCTAGGAATAGGATGCGGCCTTGGTTCATTCAGAAGACTTGAGTAACGAAACAGGGATGTTCACACTCTTGTGAGGTCAACGGCGTAGCGATGTAGTGTGTCCCATCATCGCAGTGCTACCCTGTAAGGCCTAATCCTCGACATCGACTATATGTCGCTAGTGACTCCGGATCATTTTCGATTTGTGCTGTCCTGAAATGTTCAAATCGCCCGCAATCCGCTCCGTCATGCGGCCGCCTCGTCCCGCACATAACCCGTTGTTGGAACTCCTCGGTACGCATGCTCATGCTCCTCGCTCCTGCAACTTCCCGGCTATAAATCTTCGACTCAGGCGAGGACGGCATGGTTAACAAGCCTGAATCTTTGAGCGGCTTCGCTGCAACACAAGCATGTCCAAGAGCGATGAGCTGAAATTGCCTCGCGAGCCCAAATTCCCCACTCATAATGCGCCTCGAGTCTGGTTTCTGACTTGCTCCAATGGTCCGATTGGCATCAGCCTAATCCGGCATCTCCTGGCTCATGGCGATTACGTGACGGCTGGCGTGCTTCCGATCGAGTTTGAGAAGAGCGAGGAGCGTAGCGCCGACTTCAAGGAGTTTCTCGAGGAGGTCGGCACGCAGCCGGACAAGGAGACATGGCGTGCACGCCTGCGTGTCGTGGCCTTGGACGTGAGAGTGAAGGGTCAGTGCCAGAGTGCGGTCGCAGAAGCAGTGCACAACTTCGGCCGGATAGACATATTGTTCTGTTGTCACAGTGAGACGGTTGTCGGCACGGTTGAAGAGCTCAGCCAGAACGAGAGGACTCTGGCTTTGGTGCAAGGTGCGTTAAAACATATACATAGGCATTTCGAGTCTGTTTCTTATCGCTCATACATGGCAATGATCTCGCAGAGCAATTCGAGAGCGTCTTCTTTGGCCCGATCAACGTCATAAAAGCTACCTTGCCCATCTTCCGAGCGAAGAAAAACGGTCACATTGTGCTACTCTCAGCCATCACGGGACATCTGGGTACGCCTGGCCTGAGTATGTACTGTGCTTCGCAATGGGCGATTGAAGGCTACTGCGACAGCTTGGCTTACGAGGTGGCACCGTTCAACATCAAGCTGAGCATCGTGCAGCCGAATCTTGAAATCAACGTGTTGACGCACAAGATCACAAGCGCTCCGCCAATGGCAGCATACGCCGAAGAGACCAACCCGGCACCACTGTTCCGAAACATTCTATCGGGTCTGTTGGACCGCTTGGAAGGAAGCGCAGAGCCTACCACTGGCGATCAACTCCACAGTAACGAGGTCACCAGTCTGTATCCGCCACTGAGCAAGGCGATGAAGGAGCGCTTAGTGGCAGAGACGGTGCATGCCGTTGCCGCAATCGGTGGCCACGATAACCCGCCTGCGCGGCACATTGTCGGCTTCGAAGGCGTAACGAGCGTCAAGGAGAAGCTTAAGACCGTCAGCGAGGAGCTAGAAGACTTCATCGAGTGCAGCAGCGCTGTCGACATCGAGAAGACTGAAGAGACTCCGGCGCCGCAGCAGACGCCGGGCCAGACCCAAGCCGCAGCAAGTGGAGCGGGATGAGCAACAATTGTCTCTGTTGACCCAAGTCATCAAGCAAGTCCTGATCAGTGCATTACGCGTTTGAAACAATGCAACGGTCTTCCAGCCGAGAATATCAAGTTTCCGCGAATGGCGCTGCGAGGTAGGGCACCGGGCAAGATTGGCTCGCTGCCGTGCGCGCCACTGCGCAATCCCCGCATTTTCGCACGCAAGCGATGCGCCAACGGCTCCCAGCCCGGCGTCTGGATCAGCCTATTTCACAGCCCTGCCCGCCTGCACGTACGCACGACCAGTTACGCCGACATTTTCACCGACATATGTCTGCCGTCAATCTGCGTTGCAAAGTGGCCTTGCGCAAGCGCTGTTACCGCACGCATTACTTTGTATAGTGCCGGCGCGGGAGGTGGTGCAAACAGTCGGAACAGGCTGACTGTGTGCTGTGGAAAAAGATGGCATCGGATACACAAAGACGACAGATACCATTGACGCCGGCGCAACCAGGGCTGTCAAACAACAGCAGCCACGGCGAGGATCGCGTCTCACCGTCGCCAGTATCGGTGCGACGTGCGTGTGACTGTTGTCGGAAGCGCAAAGTCCGGTGTGATTTCGGCTCACCTTGCACACCTTGTCGCAAGGCTTCGATACGATGCGCATACCTGCAGCCGCCGAAGAAGAAAGGCCCGAAAGGCTTGCGGAGTGCAAGAGTGCTGCATGCATTACGGCATATCGATGATGAAGCGAGCCGGAATCCTACAAGCCCACTGAGTCCGGAGCAGCATGGTGCGTTCGGCAATTGGGCATGGAACTCCGCAACGTCTTCACCTACAGGCGGGAGACAGCCAGATCCAGCGCTGCCGACTTCAGACCATGCGTTCGTCCCACCTACAAGTGTGGCGCCGGATCAGAAGTACTTCCAACTGGCCCCGACGTCCGCGCCAACCTATGCGCAACAGCAACCCCAGCTCCCACTTCAGCCTTCTCTGTATCGAGAAGATTCGCATCAGTCAGCGTGGTCAACGTTAACAGACGCATTACCCTCCGGGCCAGCACTGCCAAGCGTAATTCAACCGACGAAACCTGCGAATCCGCCGCTTCGCTTGCCTACTGAAAGCTTTCTACCTTACACGCGACTGTTCTTCCGGCACATGTTCCCGATTATGCCCATCATCGACCGCAACGTGTATCTTGATCCTCACCTGTACACCAGTGCAAGTGCAATCAGTCCAGATGTCTACTGCTTGCTATGTGCCTTGTGCGCGGCAACCATCGTTCAGTTGGATGCATCAATCCAGCAGCCTCCGCCCTTACTACCTCACGCTAATACAGACGATTTGTTGGCCGACGAGTGCTTGCGGGAACGGAAGAATTACGACTATGTAGCGACTTCTTCAACGCTTCCTTGCATAACCTCGTTCTTCCTTTTCGCTTACTTTGGCAACCACGAGAGTCACGTGAAAGCATGGTACTACTTGCAAGAAGCGATAACGCTCGCCCAGAACCTGAACATGGACGATGACGATATGTATGCAAGACTAGAACCGGAGGAGGCGCAGTGGAGGCGGAGACTGTATTGGCTGCTGTTCGTCACTGAGCGAGCTTACGCCGTACAAAGAAGGAAGAACACTCGGCTACATGCGAGCATTCAGCTGCCAGCCGTCTTCGAGAGTGAGGATCCGCACCTGCTGAACGGCTTTGTCAACCTTGCAAATCTTTTCTCCGCGGTGGACGACAGTTTCATAGCCGCCTGGCGCGGCTCGAGAAGACAAAGTCTCTGCGACGAGGCGTGGCTTGCGAAAACGCAGAAGCAGCTTGACGCGGCTGCACTAGCACTGGACAACATTAGTGAGACACAGCATCTCGATATTAGCGTGACGCGGGAGTGGCTACATGTTCTGGCGTGGCAAGTTGGCGTTAGTAATGGCTTGATATGGGGCAAGGGCGAGGCGGGTATGAGGCTCGATTATCCGATCGAGCTTGCACGGAAAGTTGTGCAGATAACGTCGGGAGCGAATGCGCTCGCACTGGACTCGCACGGAATCGGAATGGTATGCGCTAGCGATTTATGAAGAATTTGAACCTCACTAACGCTTCCACAGGAGCAAAAGCTCTCGGACATTGCAGCCTGTGTAGCAGATGTGCTCAGATGCACCGCTGACGGCACGTCCGCAACGTTCCTGGAAGGCAGACAATACCTCAATATCATCCTACAAAAACTGTCAAGCATCCGCGGCAAAGAAAGTCGCTACCTCAAGCCTCTAATGAGCAAGGTAGAGGGCCTTTTGGGGTACGAGACCGACAACCAGAGCCTTCCGCAACCCACCGCAGCTCCTACGAGCTATCCGCCGGTATCGAGCGACTACTTGTCCGCTGTGCCTCGCTTCAGCCTGAGGGATAGTGTGGGGATGCTTCGAAGCTTGTCGATGAGCGGCAACCTCGGCATGCCACCGCTGATGGTGCCGATGGACGATTGGCAGCAAAGGCGTCCTAGTGCGCGAATGTACGATGAAGCGGAGACTAACGCGATCGCGTCGTGGCTGGCGAATAATAGTGCTATTGCGCAGACAGTACAGTAAGCAGAGTGTGCTGTCCTAGATACCTTTACCAATCCCATGCTATTCGCTTAAGGCACTGAATCTGGGAAACCTGCATGTGTCTCTCTAAAGGGCATTGTACATAAGCTGAAGCTCTCCCATCTCGTTCAAAGCTTCGCAATGCTGCCATCAGAAAGCCTACAGATATTGGTAGTACCAGTCAGCGTTGCCGGCAATCGAGGGGAGGCTGATAGTGCAGAAGTACTTACAAGGCGTACATTCCCGCGACAACGGATCCGATCATAAGAGACGCACGTCCTGAATTTTATCAGTTCCACTCCTTGTAGTACAACAAGTCAAGGCTGCTTACCGTAATTCAGCTTCTGCCAGGTTTGCTGTATCTGCCTCATCTCCTTCTCACTCTTCACGTCACTCTGGTTCACGCGGATGTTCTTCGCCAGCAGGGTCATGCGCTGGTTACGCGGCACCATGATCATCAGCGCCCAGGCAGTGGTGGCGATGTTGAAGGCGGTCGAGATGGCGAGGAATGGGAGCTTCTCGCGGCAGGCACGGGAGCGGTTGCGGTTGAGGTAGCAGTAGATGGTGAGGCCGAGGTTGGTGACGGTGCAGAGAGCGTTGAGAGGTGGGAAGAACTTCTCGCTCTCGTGGAGGAGGTAGCTCAGCATCTTGCCCGCTTCGTGGGCTGGAACGTCGGGGAGCTGGAGCATGGGCATGATCAGAGGGGATTGGAGAACCGAGCCGCCTGCAGGAGTGCCATTAGGGATGCGGTCCTGTATTGATGTCTTGCAGTAGAAGCTCACCAAAGTTGACTGCAGCGCCCAGTGTTGCGACTGCTTGGAGCGGTGTCATCCACCAGAGGTTCCCTGTTGATGCCATCTTGCTTGTGTGTTATTTATTTAGATTACAAAGAAATAGTGGAAGGCGAGGTCAATGATAAGAGTCAATGAAGAAGACAGCGTTAGTCGAGACGACGACAGAGAGGAACGATAGCTGGCTATAGCGATTCAGGAGAATGGAAAGTCTATTCTGTCGCGAGCCAAGGAGCCGCACTGCGATACTGTACATCGGCTCCTCACAGGCCGGACATGGACAAGGGATCGCCCGACAGGAGGCGCATGCATGTGAAGAGTGGCCCCCCTCAAACACGGCACCGACCGTCTGCATCGGAAGGAGCCGTCCCTCTAGTCTCCTGCATTCACGTCTACGCTTGGCGGCCGGGAAGTAGACTGACGGATCAGTCAGCATTGCATCAGAGTATGGCGCTGTTCATGCGCTCCACGATGCGGGTTAACGAGTGGGTCGACTGCCCGTTCGGCCGAGATTGCACCAAAGCAAGGACCTCGGGAGGTCTTCTATACTGCTTTAAAATCGACAAGTTCGTGTCTACGCCAGGAGCTTATTTATAATGGCGTCTGCATCAGCGCTCCTGCGGAGCCGCGTCCGGCGGCCTTCATATTTACAAAAGCTTGCCAAAGCAGAGGACCTGATTGAGCTGTTTCCCAATAACACTTATGTGGGCTGGTCTGGTTTCACGGGCGTTGGCTATCCAAAGAAAGTGCCCACAGCGCTTGCCGAGCATGTCGAGAAGAACGGTTTGCAAGGCAAGCTCAAGTACAACCTGTTTGTTGGAGCCTCATCTGGATCGGAAACTGAGAACCGATGGGCTCGCAACAACATGATCGAGCGGCGAGCACCGCATCAAGTCGGCAAAGAAATTGCCAAGGGAATCAACAATGGCAACATCAAGTTCTTCGACAAGCACTTAAGCATGTTCCCGGTTGATCTCATGTATGGCTACTACACTCTCCACAAGGAGAAGAACCGACTCGACGTGGCAATTGTCGAAGCCTCGGCGATCACGGAAGACGGCGGCATCATTCCAGGTGCCAGTGTAGGAGCGTCTCCGGAGATTATCCAGATGGCCGTGAGTTGACCATGGCCTGTGGTGGATACGGTCGCACCAAACTGACTATGAATTTGAATGCAGGACAAGATCATAATTGAAGTAAATACTGCCGGTCCGTCGCTTGAAGGTCTGCACGATATCACCATGACGGATCTGCCACCCCGCCGGAAACCGTACCTTATCATGGCGCCTGAAGACAGGATAGGTACTCCGCATATTCCCATCGATCCTGAACGTGTAGTCGCCATCGTAGAGTCAGATTACCGAGACCAAACCCAACCAAATACGCCAGAGGATGACACTTCGCGAGCAATCGCGGCCAATCTGATTGAGTTCCTGAAGCACGAAGTCGATCGTGGCAGGCTACCGCAGAACTTACTGCCACTGCAAAGTGGTATTGGCAACATCGCCAATGCAGTCATTGGCGGTCTGGCGTCTGGCGGCGCCAACTTCAAGAATCTCAAGGTGTGGACCGAAGTCTTGCAAGACAGCTTCCTCGACCTTTTCGACTCTGGCAACCTCGAGTTTGCAACGGCAACATCAATCCGCTTCTCGCCAGATGGCTTTCACAGATTCTACGACAACTACGACAACTATGCTCCCAAGCTACTGCTTCGTTCTCAGCAAGTCAGCAACAGCCCGGAGATCATCCGCCGACTTGGCGTCATTGGCATGAACACGCCGGTCGAGGTCGACATCTACGCCCACGCCAACAGCACCTGTGTGCTTGGCTCTCGTATGCTGAACGGACTTGGCGGGTCAGCGGACTTCCTGCGAAGTGCAAAGTACTCGATTATGCACACGCCTTCCACCAGACCGTCAAAGACCGATCCGCATGGCGTGAGCTGCATTGTGCCAATGTGCACACACGTCGACCAGACGGAGCACGATCTCGACGTGATTGTCACTGAGCAGGGTTTCGCGGACGTCCGTGGCTTGTCGCCACGGGAGCGCGCTCGAGTGATCATTGCCAAGTGCGCTCACCCAGAGTACAGGCCAATATTGCAGGTAAGCAGAACAAAACGTTAACATTCCTTTAGATGTCCAGGACATTGCTGACGCTTCTCACCAACTATTAGGACTACTTCGACAAGGCAGAGTATGAATGCTTGCGGAAGGGCATGGGCCATGAACCTCACTTGCTTTTCAATGCGTTCGACATGCACAAGCACTTCGTGGAGCATGGAACAATGAAGTTACCGAAGTGGACATAGGCTACGTCCACCGAGCCAGCGACATGTAAACATAAACCATCATATCCCTGTCGTCCACATCATTGTCTGTGACCCTCTTATGCCATCCTCGAGCCCACTCTCTCGACTTGCATGGTGGTCGCCGCCTTGGTCTCCGGGTCGACGTCGATCATGTCCGCCTTCACCTCGCTAATGTCGGCCACACCAGTCTCGGCGGCATCGCCATCGAAAATCTTAGCAATTTCCTCAAGAGTCGGGCCCTTGGTCTCGACATAGAAGAAGTAGACCACGATCAGCTCGATGGCAATCCAGACACAGTAGATGACGTAAAACTTCCATGTAGGGTTAAGGCGCTTGAGGGCAATGGGGTTGACGTATCTGTGAGTAGTCGTTAGTATTGAAAAGGCGCAGCGAAGCTTTGCAGTCAGGTACTAACTGGTTGAAGACAAGCGCAATCTGCACGAAGAGATTCATTAACATCAAACCCTTCGCACGAAGTTTGAACGGCATGATCTCGACGGTGTATGCGACCAGCAGACCGGACCAAGCGAAGGCGTACGAGACCGAGAAGAAGAAGATGAGGGCAATGACGGCCTTGCCCGCTGCAAGATTGCCATTGACTTCGAAGAGAGCTGTGCAGGCCGTCCAAAGGATGAAGCAGACGAGCATGCTGGCAGTTGCAAGCAAGAAGAGCGGACGACGGCCGACGCGGTCGATGAGGAAGGCGAACGAGACTGAAACGATCAGGGAGACGATGGTGAGCGAGCCGTTGATCTTGAATTGTGTGTCCGTGGATGTGACGCCGATGCTGTCCATGATCGAGTGGAAGTAGTAAGAGGTCAATCCGTTACCGCTCCACTGGGAGAAGAGGCCGAGGGTTGCGATCAAGAAAAGACGGTAGCGGTTACCCTTGGTCTTGACGAAATCGAGGTAGCTCGTGGTCTTCTTGTAGAGATACTCGAGGCGTAGGGTCTCCTTGATCTCAGCGTACTCGAACATGACGACATCGTCGGTCTCGTCGCCATTGGCATGGTCTAGTCGGTCTGGTCAGCGACAATATCTGCACGCACAAACTTGGAAAGCAACTCACACTTCGCCAGAACCTTGAGAGCCTCGGCGCCACGGTCTTGCTTCATAAGCCAACGTGGAGACTCGGAGCACATGAAGAGCAGGGCGAACTGGAGCGCGGATGGGAAGGCTTGGAGGATGGACGGAATGCGCCATGCCCAATTGTTCTTTGGCCTGATGTCAGTCTAGTCCTGCTATTGATTGAATTGGTGCACATACGGGGATCGTGAAAGTGCCGTAGGTGACCCAGGTCGCAATGATAGCTCCAAAGTTCCACAGACAGTTGTACACGGCAGTGACCTTGCCTCCTATGGGTGTCGTCAGCGCAACTCGAACATACGGAGGTTGTTGCGAGACTTACGATGAGCTGGGTGGGCCAGCTCCGTGAGCAGGAGAGGCGAGGCGACTTGTGACAGCTGACAACCCATGCCAACGAAGAATCGGGCCGCAATGAACATGCTGAAGTTCTGTGCCGCGCTCTGTACAGCGACACCGACGAAGAGAATCAAGCAACCAGTCCAGATCGAGGCACGGCGACCAAAACGATCGGCGATGAATGGTGCGAATGGAAGACCAGCGAGGGAGCCAATAGAGTAGATGCTACCGAACAATCCAAGTCGGCTGCCAGATGGGTGTTCGAAATAGTCCTGCCAAACAGGCAAGATTTGGAGACCGTTCAACTACCTCATGGTCAGCGATGTTCGGCGAGTGTCCTCGTCTTGCACACATGGACTTACCATGGACCCATCGTAGCCGGTAGTCGCGGAGGCGAGACAGATGACGGCAGACAGGGCATACAGCTTGCGGAGACCTGGGTCCTTCCACCATGCTGCCCTTGCCTGTAGGTGAGGTGCCTCAGCCTGAGCGATGTGCACGGCATCCTTGTGGGCACCTCCGAGTTGAGGAGCCATGATAGCCAAGTGTTTCGAGAGTTGAGTATGCTAAGGACTCCAGAGAGAAGATGGAAGAGGTGGGAATGGTATCGTTGCAGCGGCGGAAACCCAGGACTGTTAAAGGCACTTTCGAACAATGTTCTCGCCATTGACTCCGGTTAAAAGCAGTAACGCCACAAAGGCCAAGGCACCACGTGAAGGGTACAGGTGCGAATAGTCGGAAGCCATGTGCCGCCCAGGATAGACTGCTGACCGCAGCCCGTGTCCGCGAGTTGGCGCGCTAGACTTCCAAGAACGGCCTTGAATGCGAGCCTAGATCACGAGCGTCTTGGACTGGACCGAGCTAATCATAGCCCTGGTCAAAGTGGACCAACTGCGTCTGGGGAAGGAGTCCGGGGTGCAGATGTTGCGTGCGGGGATAGAGGAAAGTTTGGGACGGTGAGCTCAAGAGTCCCAGTCACGGTCTCAGGCTAAATGAGTGCCAGATCGGCGGGTTTTAGCCAAATTGTTAGAATGGGCATTATTGCAATCTGCAAGATGCTTGGGTCCAAGATTTGGCTTCTGGGCAGAACGTTAGCTTCGCGCGCGTCGATGCCTCGGCTGCAGTAGTGAGGCCCCAGTAGTCTGGTGCAAAACGCGCAAAGTCTTGGACGCTTCTCTTGGGCTAAATAGAAAAGTGCATCATAATGCTACGGAAACTCAAGATTGGAAAAAAGAAATAGGCAGTCTTCCTATGCCACCTCGAGACCACCTGCAGCGTGATTTAGGATAGTCCTGGCCTTTGCGACGACCTGCTCGGCGCTCAATCTAGGAAAGCGTATCTCCTCAAGGTCTCCACTGTAAGCTTGGTATTGTGATACGTGGGAAATCCTCTCGGTTGATACTGTTGGGAAGAAAGACGTTGGCTCTTCGTACTCATATACCATAGTAAACGTGCCGGTTGACACTGTGCCGTTGGAGAGTCGGACGCCGGCCGGACAAGCTGTCCAGGTGTGTGGGACACCACCAACGGCATCCACCAACGAACCAGGAGCGACGGCGAAGATCTCGCCGGTCAATTCGACTCGGCCGACCCCATGAAGTACCATAATGCGTTCGTCGACCAGTCTCTGCTTGGAAGGATCTATGTGGATATGTCTTGGTAGCCGCATCTCTGTATCGAATTCGATGAACCCAAGCTGGCCCTTGAAGCCTTGTGTATTGGAAGGCGACAACTCGTGCATGACCAGGCCAGGCATCATCTTGGGAAAGGGACTCTTTACGTTGGCTCCCCGGCCATGTGTGATCCGACATCCATTGCTGAGCAGGATGCCGACCTCATCAGCCATAGCGATTAGAGGGCAAGTACACCAATTCGACTCGACCGCCGGAGACAGGGTGATAAGCTTCGCCTGAGCCTGCGGCAAACATTAACCAGTTGTCGCAACGGACCTTTTTGGGTAAACTTTCGTGTGACCCGAAATGGTCATCAGTGAAGATTGATAGCCTTGGGACAACCTTTGACGTCAACAGGCCTCTTCCATGACTACCCTGCGGTTGTGACCGAGAGTCGTTCGTAAATTGAATCGCAGCACGTAGACAACCAATAGCGGGTGTCACGAGATGGCGATGCGGTGGCAGCGGCGAGAACCACGGCATTTGCGAAGAGCCTCGGCTTGACACTTTCACCAGCCGAGATCCGATTCTCGTCGTCGTGCCGCCTTCGAACACTCTCTACTAATCACTGTGATCTTTGCCTTCGCACATCTTCTTCAGCTTCATCACGAAAGGCAGTACAGTATGGCAACTCAACGTCTCTCCTCCGTGCTGTCGCACTTGACTCCCGGCCAGAAGCCCATGGACAAGATGTATGCTATCCCCAGAGCATTTGCTTCCCCGCAATCTCCCACAATACACAGCGCTCGCATGCGAAGCTCTCAGACTGCATTACTGACCTGGGGGATAACAACAGCACGTCGAAGAACCCAGACGACATCGTCATCACTCTTGCGATCCGGACGCCACTATGCAAGGCCAAGTAAGCGAGTATCCGGGCAGTCGCTTAGTAGGTAACTGACATCTCCGCAGGAAGGGTGGGCTCAAGGACACGCCGCTCGATGGCATGGTCTTCAAGATCTTAGAACAAGTCATTCGAAAGAGCAGGCTCGATCCGCAGATGGTTGAGGACATCTGCTTGGGCAATGTGAGTACCGAGTTGGAGCAATCGAAACGCATCGAAGCTGAGATGAGTTCAGGTCTCCGACGCCAAAGCCGCTTACTACGTCCGCGCCGCCTGTCTCGCCGCTGGATTCCCTAACACCACCGCTGCCTCTTCCGTGAATCGTTTCTGCTCGTCCGGGCTTAAAGCCGTGCAGGACATTGCCAACCAAATCATCACCGGCAGCATCGAAATCGGCGTCGCTGTAGGCGCTGAGCACATGACGACCGGTGGCGACCGGCTTACCCGTCCTTTCGTTGACGATATCCTCGAATCGAACCAGGAGGCGCGGGATTGCATGCAACCAATGGGACAGACCTCGGAGAACGTGGGCAAGGATTTCAACATCACCCGCGAGCAGCAAGATCTATACGCTGCAGAGTCCTACCGCCGCGCCGAGGCTGCTCAGAGGTCAGGCTGGTTTGACGACGAAATCACGCCCATTACGGTCAAGCTCGATGGTAAGGATGTAACCCTTACCCGGGACGAGGGTATCCGCGCCGGCACGACTTACGAGAGCCTTGCCAAGATTCGACCAGCCTTCCCAGACTACGGCGACCGCAGCACCGGCGGAAACAGCAGTCAGGTCACTGACGGTGCCGCCGCTGTCTTGCTCATGAAACGCTCCAAGGCGCTGGAGCTTGGCCAGCCCATTTTGGCTAAATTCGTCAACGCAACCGTTGCCGGTCTGGCTCCACGCATTATGGGTATCGGTCCCACCATTGCCATTCCTAAGCTCCTTGGCAAGCTCGGCATCACTATCAACGACGTTGATGTGATTGAACTCAACGAGGCCTTCGCCTCGATGGGTGTTTACTGCCGAGACACACTCAAGATTGACTGGACTAAGATGAACGCGCGTGGTGGTGCAATTGCTCTTGGCCACCCTCTCGGCTGCACTGGCACGAGGCAGATTGTCACTGGGCTTAGTGAATGCCGAAGGCGGAAAGGCAAGATCCTACTGACTTCTATGTGTATCGGTAAGCATTATGGACCACCATCTCATACTCGTTCTCTATAAAAACGTTGCTGACGCTTACCACTTTCTCTAGGCACCGGTATGGGAATGGCAGCATTGTTCGTGAATGAACAATGAGTAGGATATATCGGGACCGGCGAGAGACGTGGCTAGTCTGTATGTGAATGAGCATTAGTTGTTTGGTAGCAAAACGATGTGCGCCGGCGCTTTCGATGCTTCGGCCTCCAATTTCTCAGAAAAAGTTCACATTGTAGCATATGTGTCGTTTTCACTGTCGTCCGCAATGGGTTACTGCGTGCAACGTAGGACAAGCAAGAGACCTGCCTCGACCTCGGCTCACCCAAGCTTCAGATTGAGGGCCTGAGGCCATTACGAAGTCGAAGGCATCGGCTTTGCATATGCGCATCTATAAACTGCATGTCACCCGGCGCGATATAGTAGACGCCAAGCATGGCGCAGAAACGGATAGAGCAGTGGGAAATCGACCGGTATTGGGAAATCTTCTCGTCTCTTGCCAATGGCGGAGCACATCTGGACGGCAGCCAAGCGGCCACTGTTCTCAAGAACAGCGGCCTACGCGATGATCAGCTGGAGAAGATCTGGGATCTCGCAGACATGGACGGCGACGGCCAGCTAGACTTTGAGGAGTTCTGCGTGGCGCTACGGCTGAGTTACGACCTGATGAACGGAGAGTATCTGGATGTACCACAGTCGCTGCCGGATTGGTTAGTGCCGGAGAGCAAAAGCCACTTGGTACAGGCTTCGCGGGCGGTGAGAGGTGGTGGCGAAAGGTTCGAGCAGGTGCAGGATGACTATGATGACGAGGGAAGTGGCCTCAAGGACGGCTTCGATTGGTATATGAGTCCGAGCGACCGATCAAAGTACGAGGAAATCTATACTGCCAATCGGAACTCTCGGGATGGTATGATCACTTTTGGGGCTCTACAGGATCTCTACGACAGTCTAGATGTACCAGACACCGATGTGCGTTCAGCATGGAACCTGGTTAACCCCAAGAGTGGAGAAGGCATTAACAAGGACGCCTGCTTGGCGTTTTTGCATATTCTCAACAATCGTCACGAAGGCTACCGAATACCGCGATCGGTACCGCCCAGCTTACGAGCAACGTTCGAGCAAGGCAAGATCGAGTACAGCGTCGACCGCGTCCAGTCGGCTGCGGATCGATGGGGCACAAAGCGCGACGACAACACTGTTTCAGGGCGGAAGGCGAAGTTTGGTGATACCTATCTCAGCAGGTTAGGCGTTGGTGAGCGACAGCCGAAAGGCACAGACTTCTCTTCGGCGCCTAGAGATGGCGAGTGGGAGGAGGTGCGGCTCAAGAAGCAACTGCGGGAGCTTGAGGAGAAGATGGCAAAGGTAGAGACGGCCGCAAAGCGGCGGAGAGAGCGAGGTGGTCGAAAAGAAGATTCGAGGCCGGCATTGGTCAAGCGCGAGTTAGAGCAGCTTCTTGACTACAAGCGTCGAGAACTGCGTGACCTTGAGAACGGTGACAGCAAAGCGCAGGGAGGCCAGTCACTCAAGCACTTCCAGGACGATATTGCCACTGTGAAGGAGCAGATTGATGGCTTACAAGAGCATCTCAGGAAGCGAGAAGCAGTGCTGCAAGATCTGCGAAGCCAGATTGAGGCCGAAAAGGCTGGTGGGCGGTAATATTCTCGTGCATAGATACCCCGTCGTTGCAGACTCTGTACAATATTGTAGCGTCTACGATACAAGCACAGTCCGAGCGCACTTCGCCTTCATCTGTCTGGCGCTGATTGTCGCAAAGCGTCGTCTCCACCAGCCAGCCCATCGTGTTCCGGCTGCTCAGCCGCACGCATATCGTCACCTTTGGCAGCACCCTCAGCTACCACCATGTCCTGGGTCTCTATGGTCGAATCGCTAACACGAGCATCTTCCGTCTCCGTGCCTTCTCCAATCATGGCCTCCTCGTCGCCTATCTCACTACCAAGCGTACTCCCCCTGAGCTCTGTAGCACGGAGCGCCTCATCCACACTTCGCAGGAAGTGAACCTCTCCACCACATAGCTCGAAGATTCCAGTGACATTGAGAAGCCTCCATACCTCCGTCTTTCGGCTTGGTACCCTGCAAAAGTATACGTCCGTTCCTCGATCTATATATGCCTTCACGATCTCCAAAAGCACCTGGCTTGCGGCAGGGTCCATGGAAGTTACTCCATGAACGTCAAAGATGATGTTTTGGTTGTGCTTTGGCTCTCGCACACGCGGTAACGCTGGATGAGCGCTGTTGGTTCCATGGTCTTCGAGTCGCCTCAACCTGTCTTTGAGCGAGCCAGTGTTAGCGAAGGTAAGCGGCTCCGGAATCTTGACGATCAAGCAGTGCGGCACAAACTCGACACTGTCAGGCATCATCTCTGCATTTTCGAAATCTTTGGTCCCGGGCACGCGTCCAAGGATCTGAATGCGAGGTCTTGTGCTGTGACGGAGAAGGCGCAGGAGTGATAGGCCTATGCCTACAGCTATGCCGATGCGCAGGTTCCAGAAGAAGGTCGTAAGGAAGATGAGCAGCATTAGTATCAGCTCGTTCCATCCGGAGATGCGCCAGAAGAAGAGAAGGTCATGGGGCGCTTCTTCGATCAGGCTGTAAGCCACCACGGAGATCATGGCGCTGAGCGTTGCTTTCTGTGGTTGCGTACTGTCAGTGTCCACCACGAAAAGTTGTATCGGAAAACATACCGGTATGTAGTGGAAGTACGGCATGAGAAACATCACACAGATGATCGAGATCAGGGACAAGAAGACCGAGCTCATCGGCGTCTTGCCACCCGTGCTAGCGTTGACCTTGCTGCGACCATACCCACCAAACGCCGGTAAAGCCATGAAGATACTACCCACGACATTGGCGACACCAAGCGCAAGCAGCTCGCGATTAGCGGAGACAGTCACGCCCTTAATGCCGTCGCCCTCCACAACCTCTTCCGTACCGTCTTCCTTCTTCACGCGCTTGGGCTTCGATATACCAGTGCCCAAGCTCTTCGCCGCGACCGAGCTCTCGAAAAATCCGAGAAGCGCAATAACAAATGAGGTACTGAATGCGTCGTTCACATGGTTGAAGTTCGAGGCCGCGTACGGGAAATGCGGCTGGAAAGGCCGGCCTTTGGCTTTGATGTCTCCCAGAATCTGCAGACCTTGCGCTTCCCAGTTGAAGCGCCAGGCGAAGACGGCGGAGAGCACTACGACCAAAAAGCGGTCGGGCACGTAGGCTACCCAGCTCATACGAGGCTGGAGTTGGCGCTTTACTTCCCGTAGCACCAGCACTATGGCTATTGTACTGAACGAGACTATTGTCGTGAGACGGTGCGCTTCGTGGCTATGGCGGCCGAGGAACAGGATCTTGTCAAGACTGCTTCCGTGCGCGGCGTTGGAATGTGTCGCCGCCGAATCGAGGCCCATCTCCGGAATGAGTTGGTCAACCAGGATCACAATGCCTATGGCGCTGATGAAGCCTCGCAGGAACGGCCGGGAGAGCACAGAGTCGAGGAAGCCAAGCCGACAGACACCAGCAGCTAAGATGATGGCGCCGGCAAGCCCGGTCACCATGCCTGCCACCTGCGCACTCTTCGCGCCGTCGTGGTCTTGGTGATGACCAGCTTTGATGGCCTCCTTAACAACAACACCTGTAAGCAGCGAGCCAGCAGCTTCTGGCCCGACTACCATCTGCGGGCATGTTCCCAGGATGGCGTAAATCAGTGGGTTGAAGACAAATGAATACAGGCCGTTGATTGGTGGTATATGACCAAGATTGGATGCGTAGGATAATGACATGGGTATGTAGAAGGACGCCATCGTCAATGCTGCTACGAGATCGCCTTGCACATAGGACCATTTGTATTGCCGAATCCAATTCGTAATCGGCAGGTAGTATATAAGAAACCTACTATGAGATCAGCCTGGAGCTGCGCATAGCGGAGAGAAGTATCGATGAGGAAAGAGAAAAGTGGTAGGTAAGACCATACATTAACCGTTCATGCTTTATCCCATACTTGCTTGCCAGCCAATGCGTTGTGCTACTCTTGCTCGGATGACCAAGTAACCCATCCGTCACAGCATCGCCAAGAGCGTGTTCGATGTAGTCGCCTCGATACGACCCATCACTGCTCCCTGCGTCCCGATTTGGTCCTCCATATCCATCGGGCTTGGCATTGGAGCGAAACGACCAATTGGTCGCGAAGCTCCCATATCCTCTCAAATACCGCGGCCGCGGTGAGAAGGTACCATGACTACAGTTCTCTTCGCCACAATCTGCTGCCACGTGATACTTCCTACCATGGCCCAAGAGCTTGGTACGGGCATCTGGCTGCTCGGGCAGCTCGTCAAGATCCGCCTGCGCTTCTACAGCTTCCACACCCTCGGTAGCCGGCGCATTGTCATAGGCATGAGGATGAATTCCGTCATCCTCTACCTCTGGTTCAATACCATCTATGCGCATATAGTGAGCATCCTCCGGCGATGAGGGAGGCATATGCGCCTGTCGCAGGGTAGAAGGCACGGTCGGCCGATGTTGCGCTTGTGAGCCTGAGACCGAGGAGGTCCTTGACGACCTCGCCGTCCCATTGGCAGAGGTAGCCGGTGTCGCCATATCGCGGGAAGGAGACGATCCTACCGCTGTATTGACACCCCAATTACTTTTCTGGATTTGCTTATTCTAGCCCTCATACAGGCATCGGGTATCACACCCTGGACTCCATAGTCCTCGGTCCCAAGTGGCCAAACAAAAGCAGGTCAACCAAACGATCCCAATGTCAGAATGAGATTTGCGCCCTGTATGTTAGACAACTCTTGCTCTGCTCATGCTATATAAATGGGAGTGCTTGCGTCACGGCAGATAGTTTGAAAGCTCAAGCCCAGGGCAAGGGCGAGCGCGGGGTGGCGCAAAATGCAAGGGCCCGCAACGGCAAAGCTTGATGAGGCGAGCAAAATGCTTCAAAATTCGAGGTACGACACACGCTTACTCTGATCTTCGTATGGATAATCTGCGCCGAGCCTATGGAGTATGAGTCATTTGCGAGACAGCACATGAATATGGTCGCTGCTTCTCGTTCCGCTCCGACAACCACACCTGTTATGCCGCGTCACCCTCTTGGATATCAGGACGGATATGCACGCAGCAGCACTGAATGAATCCTTCAGCCGACCTCCGCGTCATGACAGCAGTAGGTAAGTGTCCGGGCCTCCCATCTGCGACTGCATAACAACGCTGCCCGTTTACCGACTACTTTTCCAAGCCGCCTTCATCGTCGGTTTAGGCCTTCGCACTGGGGCTCTCATAGGTGGGCCCCATGGATTTCGTCGGTGCACTGTCTGTGCGAAGAGCGAGAAGACGCGTAATCGCTCAATCCTACTCTCGACCGAACTCTTGCCGCAGGGTGGATATCTTAACAACTTCCAACGCGTACGATGTCTTTTCACCCGCCTTTTCTGACAAACCTCGCCAGCGCCGGGCCCAGGTCTTCGGCTTGCTGTCCCTCTTTGGCCTCCTTCGCCCTCCTCCGCTGCTCCTCTCTCATCTCGATCACCCGCATCTTGTGCTCATCGATGACGTTTTTATTGCCCTTCTTCCGTAAATACTTTCGAAGACTGCTGTTCTTACCCCTACCGCGGTTCTTCAACTTCTCAATTCTCTCCCTCTCCGCCTCCGCGCCAGTCTTGCGGTCCAAGTCCTTCTCCAACTGGCGCTGCTTGTTAGTGGCCGTGTCAAGCGAGCCAATAAAGTCCGGAGTTAGGCTGATCATCTCCGGTTGCAGCTTGTTGAGCAACTGCCGCACTTCGCCTTCCTGCCGCTGCTTGGTGTTTTCGTATGGATTCTGTTCGAGTGCGTCGAAGTTCGCATCACCAGCTCCGGGTACGATTAAGGATGAGAAGCCTTTGTCATGACTAACGCCAAGCACGTCTTCGTATGGGCACCAGCGGACGCGCTCGACGTGCTGGCCTTCTCCACCCCAGCTCATGTACGGCGACTGTACCTTGACCTGGTCTAAATCCGAGCGATGCTTCGAAAAGAGGTCTTTCCAGATCGTAGTCTGCGTACCCCAACTGACCGCCGTTAGGTTTCGATCGCTGATTGCCACCGACGAGCCTGGCTGCCGCAGGAAGTACTCATGCACCGGCTTGAAGTTCCGTACGTCCCAAACAGCCATCTTCATGTCTTGGCCTGTAGACACCATATATCTCCCCTCTCTATCTATGGCCATACTACGCACGGGACCACGATGACATAGCATCTTTACGAGCGGCGTCGTGCTGTTCGGTGACCAGAGATCGACCGTTCCGTTCTGATGACCCACGTGCATGACTGCGTTGTACGGGTTCTGAGCGAGCGCAGTCGGTGTACCTTGCTTTGTACTGATCTGCATGACGAGCTTGCCAGTAGATGTGTCCTGCCACTTCAGCCAACCCGCCTTGCCGATGGTGGCGAGCAGAAAGTGATAGGGCAGGAACTCCATGTGGGTGACCTCGACGTGCTGCTCCAGGTTGTGAATCTCAATACCGTGATGATCGTAGATGTAGACGTTGCGTTTCTGGGCCACGGCGAAGAATTGGTTGTTGTGCAGCCACTTTGCATCTCGAACGGTTTCCTGCAATTGCAGCTCGCAGCCTAATTTACCGCCACGCCAGTCCATAGTTGCGACATGCCCTTTGCGACCAGCCAGGAGCAAATACTTTCCATTGCGAGTGTAGTCGCACGTATACGGCCCAAGTCCGTCAAGCTTGAGCTCGAAGCTTTTCTTGGCAGTCTCGACACCGACATCGCCTTTGATGTCTTCCTGTCGCACCTTGTACGTCCGCTCAAGCTCACTCTCTGGCTGCAGAAAGCCCGACTCGTGCTCAAGCAAGATCTCAGCATCCTTCGCCTTCAACGCGGCATCCTGATAGCGCTCTTCCAGTGCCGTCAAATTACCCCGGAGCTTCCTGTCGCGTATGTCTTTGACAGCGATGCCCTTTCCACGTCCATACTGCCGGTTGGCTGCAAGCTGCCTCTTCTTCGCCGCAGCATCTTCGAAACTTAGTTGTTTGGTTGGCGGAGCCTTCTTGCGCTGGACCTTGACCTGACCATTCCTGACCAGGTCATGTGTCTTCAGCTCCGCCATTCTGCGACGGTGCCTCACGATTATTGTGTCATGGAGTTTCCAGTATCTATATCAGGTGGTATCTTCCGGGTAAACTTTCTTCGCAAAGTGTGGCGCATGTCTTGAAATCTTGGCACGCTACAAAGAAGTGACATGGAGGTAACGCTTCGAAGCGGCGCGATCTCCGCTGTGGCCGTGCGCAGTGGTCAGAGCTCTCAGTGCCATCGAACAAATTTCCGAGCAACATGAGCTAGCAGACGTTTGTGTGACTGGAGTCTCCAGGTTCGTCCCGTGCTCCTCCAGCACCTCGTCATATCCATACCTCGCATACTGCTCACACGACACCCGTATCTTCATCATCTTCTTCAGCACAATGCTCACTCGCACTGCGCTACAGCGCGCTGCTGCAGCTCCTCTCCGCAAAGCCTGCACCCAGCAATCAATCCGCGCCGCGTCCGTCTGGTCGCAAGTCCCCCAAGGTCCGCCCGATGCCATCCTTGGCATCACCGAGGCCTTCAAGAAAGACAGCGCCTCCAACAAGATCAACCTCGGCGTTGGTGCGTACCGTGACGACAAAGGCAAGCCGTATGTCTTGCCGTCCGTGAAGCAGGCCGAGCAGAAGATCTTGTCTCAGAATCTTGACAAGGAATATGCCGGAATCACCGGTGTACCCGACTTTACCAAGGCCGCTGCCCTGCTTGCCTATGGACCTGACAGCAAACCGCTGAAGGAAGGTCGAGTCGCCATCACTCAGACCATTTCCGGCACTGGCGCATTACGGATAGGCGGTGCCTTCCTTCAGCGCTTCTATCCGGGGTCGAAGACAATCTACATTCCTACTCCTTCATGGGCGAACCACAAAGCTGTCTTCTCAGACAGTGGGCTAGAAGTCAAGCAATACCGCTACTACAACAAGGACACCATTGGCCTTGACTTTGATGGCATGGTTGAGGACATCAAGAATATGCCGTCAGGCAGCATGGTACTTCTTCACGCCTGCGCCCACAACCCCACTGGAGTCGACCCGACCCATGAACAATGGAGAGCGATCAGCGATGCAGTGCAGTCAGGTGGCCACTATCCATTCTTTGACATGGCATACCAAGGCTTCGCTTCCGGCGACACCGATTACGACGCTTATGCCGTGCGGTACTTTGTCGAGCAAGGTCATACGCCTTGCCTGTCGCAATCGTTCGCCAAGAACATGGGCCTCTATGGCGAGCGTGTCGGCGCATTCAGCATTGTCACGGCCTCGCCTGAGGAGAAGGCTCGTGTCGACTCGCAGATCAAGATCCTTGTAAGGCCGCTGTACTCCAACCCTCCGGTACATGGTGCACGCATTGCATCGACCATTCTCAATGATCCAAGCCTGAACAAGCAGTGGCTAGGTGAAGTGAAGGGTATGGCGGACCGCATCATCCAGATGCGTGCCTTACTCAAGGAGAACCTGGAGAAGCTAGGAAGCAAGCATCAGTGGAACCACATCACCGACCAGATCGGCATGTTCGCGTATACCGGCCTTACCGCAGAGCAGATGTCCAAGCTCGCTGAGGAACACTCCGTGTACGCCACCAAGGATGGTCGTATAAGCGTCGCTGGTATCACTACGGACAATGTGGGAAGGCTTGCCGAGGCAATATACAAGGTTACAGGATAAGTGGCCGAAGATTGGTCGATCGTGCTGGACTCGAACGCTTGGGTAAAGGTGGAGGACCCGCTCTGGTCTTGCGGCGTAGCATCGCAGAGCTCGTGAAGAGTTGAGGGGTGGACTCTTCGATCGGCCTGCTGGAAGCTTTGTGGCGACTGATTGATGGTTTAATGTATTCACGTTGCATGTACTAACGTCGCTTCTGTGGAGCAGAGGTGGGACATGGTGTGTTACGGCCAAGCTCGGAATGGAGGCTGTAGCTGTAGTCATTAGCATTACTGTAGTGTTGATAATTCTTGATACCGCTTGCTGATGTGGTTTAGCGGCAGAGGTGTCTATTGTGGGTTGATCCAGGTGGTCCCGGCTAGTGTTTCCATGCTTGCCTGTCTTCGGCAGGAGCACCGATCGACGTCATGTGCACTCGTGCGGCCGGTCAAAGCGCCTAGTTGGCTTTACCATATTCATGTGCATATCTGAGCAGCTTCCAGAATTGATACCACCGGACCTAGACAACAAGACACTTCGCTGACCGACCAAGTAGGGATACGTGCTTGGTTGTATTACAGCGCCGCTGCGCATCTAGGTCTGCTCGAAGCTGCTTAAAGGCAATGTTGCAACCACAACTCGCTTGCTTCCTGATAACCGCAAAGCCGTGGAGCTTGCAATGCAGGGTCTCCCCATATGCGTGAGGGATCGTCGGTCCTGCAGCGGGAGGAGCCAGCACGTCAGGCCCTGCACCACACTAACACCAGTGCTGAAGCTGGTTGCTGGGCTCCAATTTCAAGACGGCGCTTCGTTCGAGAGAGGCGTGCCACAAGCGAGACTTCCCCCATAGCACAGGTCTCACAACTGCTTCGATGGATGCTTCCATTCGGCAGTTGCTGCACGAGTCATGAATGTCGTAGTTTCAGAGCTCTAAATGCTTCAAACCTTCCACGGCTTTTCTGCTGCATCCTCCCGCATATTACAGGTCGCGATCCACGTGCTGACTCCGCTTTCGCAGCACGACCCGGCAATCGCCTGTGCTTCTGGCTTCGGCCGTCGCTCCGCAGCCCCTACGCCGGCTCTGATAGACAACGATACTAAGGCGATTTTGACCGCTGAAGCGGAGATTGTGGGTTTGTGCTACCACAAACCTACACCTTGGCCGATAGGAGCCAGCTGAGCGGTTGTGGATTGGACGTCCGTCGAGGTGAGGAGAAGTAAGTCCGAATACTGTAGGGCGAAAGCGATGGTGCGTGGGATCGACAGCGTCAAGACCCTGAAACCTTCCGTTCAGAAGTGACGTCGGGCCCCTGAATTTGACGGTCTTCGAGACCACATTCCATGTTGGAAGGAGTGAGTTTCTCAAGGCAATGTATTCATAGCATATGCGAATAGTCCAGGGAAGCGTGAACCGGGATATCGTCTATAGGTCCAATAGGTAGTCGCATCTCCCAGCGCAAACGCTTCGTGCATCAACCACTATAGATGCAGCACGAAGCCTACGATGACGCCGGGGTGGAAGAGCGCTGATCAACCGCTGTCCGCATCGCCAGCAATAAGCGCTGTAGCACTGTGGGGTGGCCCTATAGTGTGCCCTTTGCTTCCTGTCATGGTGTGCCAATGAGCGTTCTGCACATGTAGTTGAGACCAACTAGATATTGGAAACTCGAAACGCACCCCACTCACACGCTCAGTCGGGCCAAATTCGCCGCTCTCCCATAAACGACTCCTCACCATCTTTGCCCAATAGCGGTCTGAGTGTCCGTGACCGTTGCCTACGTTCATCTGGTTCGGTACGGCTGCAGGTACGTGGCTGCCGTTCTGGTTGTTCGGCAACTGCTCTGGTCACGTACCTAACATTCCTGCGTGTACAGCGAGTCAAAGATAGCCGACAACAGGCGTGCGGGAATATCCACCGGTCCTCCACCAGCAGGACAGACACACAGATCATTCGGTCAATACGGCTACTGTTATTTTACCAAGCCTAGGACCCGATACAGCAATCCTAGTTCACCCACGCGACTGGTAACCGACCCGGGAGATCAACATCCTCTAGAACGAGTCAACGCAGGCCCGCTGCTACCTCAATTGGGAAGGAAACCGCACGACAGCATCTGACGTCAACTCTAACGAAACCACAGATTTGAGCCTAGGAAGCCCGACCATTCGGACCACTCCTGCGACTTTGCTGCATAGCGATCTGACTGCGACCACCACGATCTACGATTCAACCTTCGCTAACACCGCGGATAACAACAGTTCTCACTCTACTGCAGGGACGGCAAGCCACGTATGATACACCTTACCGTCGCCTGAGAGTAGAGCACCCTAAGCATTCATAATGCCGGGCCCAACTCAGACCCAGGACGTTCGGGTAAGCACTTTCTTCCATACTGAGCCGGAAGCTTAACGACCTTCAAGCGAACTGCAACCGACTTTCACATATTACTGGAGTGATTCATTGCCCGCGCCAGCACCATTAACAGGCATCAGGCGCGTCAGGCGCGTCCGGCACGTTCTGAAGTTTGATATAATGCCCAGTCGTGACATGGCCGCTCTTCGCTTCCTGTGCCGCCGTAACTATGAGACATGTTTGGCACTGACGTTGCTCCCGTAGTCTGAAGATGGCTCCGCCGGGTTTCCAGAGTTCGGAGACAGCATCGATCAGACCACCTTCGAGCAGGTATGTCCACGAGCCGAAGAACATCGCACCGGATCGATCTCGGCCTGCTGATGACAAGTGAGGCAGATACTCGAGATGGACGATGACGAGGAGGAGCGTGAATTCAGCAAGAGTATAGTCTACGACTTCTTCACGCAAGCCGAGAGCACGTTCCAGAAGATGGATGCAAACCTGTAAGAACCTCCTCATCCTTTTCTTCTATTCGGCTGCGAACCAACCATGCTGACCCTTCTTAGTGAAAAGAAAGACCTGGCACAACTGAGCTCGCTGGGCCATTTCCTGAAAGGATCAAGCGCCACGCTAGGCCTCACTAAAGTTAAAGATTCGTGCGAAAAGCTCCAACACTTCGGTGCACGTAAAGACGAGACCGGGACCAAAGAGGAGCCTGATGATGAGAAGTCTCTGCGGAATTGTAAGGTAACCATTGAGCAGGCGAAGACCGAGTTCAAAGAGGTTGAACAAGCCTTGAGGCGCTTCTACAGGGATGACAGCTCTTAGGGAATTGACGGGCTTGGCTGACGAATGAGTTGTCACCCTACCTATCGTGGTAGAGTGGGCGAAGTGGCTGTCGGTGATGACATGTACGACAGCGCTTGCCCGCTCCCAATCCTTGTTGAGAATACCAGTCTGCTTACAGCACAGGGCGCACTGGCGGCGGCATAGCGTGCGGTCAGCGTTACCTATGAAATCTGACAGTCATTCCTGCTGGATACCTATCCAGCAATGATCATCCAACACCATCATCTCCTTCATCATCTTAACTCCCGCTTGTGGTGCATACCGGCCTGTCGGCGGCAGCGGTGCGCGCATAGTCAGAGTTGGTCATAGGCTGTGCGCTCACTGCGCCTTATTTGGGAAGATCAGGCCCAACCCTTCCAGCTGCCCGCCCTCCGCAACATCCTCGTCTGTAGCGATCATTACCGGTCCTCCGGTTTCGCTGGCCCTGTGCAGTACGGCATTGATATCGTCGGTGGTGTTGGCTCTCAGAACTCGCACGGACCTTGGGGCTTCGGCGTCCGCCAAAACTTGCACGTCGTCATTGCCGGAGCTGCTGTCGCGCAAGCTTTTGGCGGAATCAGGCGCCTTTGAACCTTTTACGACTGCACTTCTCTCTCTGATCGCCCTTTTGTTCAGCAGATACTGCACAGTGGTGCCGACATTGTGGAAAGTCACGGCATTGGCGTCAGCATCGTGCTTTCCGCCCTCGTCTCCCGACTGCGATGTCAAGGCATCGGCAAACTGCTGAAGCTGCTGGCGCTCGCGTTGCGCCTTCTTCTTCTCCCGCTGCTTTTTGCTCCTTGTCTTCTTCTGAGCAGCCAACTGTGCTTGTGACCCATCTCCATCAGCTACCTCCGAGGACATAGACGCGTTCGCTGACGGCTCAGTTGATGCAGTGATTCGGCGACGATGCTTCTTCGCTTCCTTTTTCGCCCTTCGCCCTTCCTCCAGCTCCGTTTGCCCGATCTGGATGCGCTCGTCCCAGAAACAGGCCTCAACTTCCCGGCCATCTCTGGAGAAGTAAGTGGCGAAGTCGTCAAGATCGCCGCACCTCGTCTCTCCATTGTGGTAAGCGCCGAAGATGCGGTACGTACAGTCATTGGTGGTAAACTCTGTGCGATCGAAGTATTCCGCAAATGTCGACTCCGTCAGTATGAGGAGGAGGATCTTGCGACGCTTGTCGGTCTTGCCCCGGGGGCCACCATCAGCTAGTAGAGCGCACTTGGTCGGCAGGTCGGTCTTCTTCTCACGCACCGCAATGGCGTGCTTGAGTGTATCGAGGCAGCGGGCGAAGACTGTCTCGTCCTTGCTGCCCCAGAGCTTACTCCAGGACGGGAACTTGCTTTTCTGCGGCGGTGCGTAAAAGCGAACTGTGAAGCCCTTCTCCTCAAGTTGCTCCCGAAGGTCATCTGGTTCCTAGATGGTGAGGTGATTCTGAGGTGAGCATGTTGCTGTTCGATGCCAAGCTGACGCAGTCACAGACGGAAGGAGCGCTCGGACGTACCTTCCCGTCTTCACCAGTGAAGAGTTCAAATTCGTTTCGCACCCTGCGACCATGAATTCGCTCGATGACGATGTCGTACAGTCCCCTCTGCACAAACGTCGTGTGGCGGGATGGAGAGTCCAGGTACCGCTGCCTGTCTACCTCCCGCAAGGCGATGGGAGCCCAAGTGTATTCCTTACCTTTGTAGATGTCTTCCACTCGCTTCCTGGCGCTCGACCTGAGGAGGAAGAAACGTTCGTGGTCCGGCTGCTGCATGCTCATGTTAGCTGTGCTCGGTTGTTGATGGAGATGAGGTCCGTCGGCGGGAATGCAGGCTGTCAGTAGAGACTAGCCTTGTCGAATGAAGTAGGCATGTCAAATGGAGTCTGAGCGATGATCTTACCGGCCGGCTGCTGTTGAGAGCACCCATGAACGACAACATGTTACTGATACCGTCCGCTTCGTTGGCCTAGTAGGTGTAATACAATGTGGCGGTATACGATGTGGTGAGATGGTGAGACGGGGAAGTATCCGAAGGTAGGTGCGCGATTCGTATGACAGTGTTGTGCTGCGACCTTCTCCCTAACGTCACTTCACAGGGTGCTGGTAGCTCAATAGGAGGCAAAAGGTGAACGCACTGACCGCGACATTAAGTCGACCGTCTCTCCCACAAAAGCAGTTCCATGTAACATTGCCAGGGAGTGTGTCAACGGCGTGTCTGGTGGATCGACTGTGACATCGTTACGATGGGCACCTGACCTCGTGATATTGCAACGGGAAGGGGGTTGCTATGAGGCGAAACTCTTGGCGAGGCTCGATTAGGAGATTTAACAGCAGGAGATTCGTGGCCATGCTGCATTCGAGCTGTCTATATCAGACTTGACACACCGAAGGCTAATCGTAACACCGGAGCAAGCTCGCACCTCCAGAACGCCGTTCCCTTGCCGCCGTTGCACGGTTCTCAAGCAATCTACGATGATGCGACAAGATCCTTCTTGAGCGTGCCCAGGAATTGCCTCTTCTCCGCCGGCGTCTGGTACGCGCCGTGACCGAACTTGCTGGAGGTGTCGATCCACTTGAGCTCAACCTTCTCGAGCGCACTGCGCTTGGTGTGGACGAACATGGACTTGCGCAGCGTCATGACCCGCTTCTTTACGCCGGGCACGGAGCCCTTGAGAAGGATGAAGTCGTTGTTGACCTCGCCGTAGCGGACGAAGCCGCCCATACTACACAATGTCAGTGTTGCCACCCAGCATTTCAACGTGAACGAGATGGCTTACGGCGTGATCTTCTTCTTGCTGACATCAAAGTCAGTGCTAGCATTGCCTTCGTCACTGCCCTTGCCAACACGGTAGATTTTGTGGTTGACAGAAGTACGATGATGGTAACCCATCTGACCGGCACGGGCGACAGTCCACTGGACGTGAGACGGATGCCAGGCGCCGATACAAGCGACCTTGCGCAGACCCTTGTGTGTCTTGCGCGGCAGCTTCTTCGTGCCCCATCTGCTCGTCACACCCTGGTACCCATGGCCCTTAGTGACAGCGATACAGTCGATCATCTCGTCCTGCTCGAAGACGTTGTCGATCTCGACCGGCTTCTCAAAGAGACCGTGCGCATAGTCGACCTTGTCGCTGAGCGAACCGCCGTTGACCTGGATCTCCATCAAATGCGCCTTCTTCTGCTTGAGCGGCGTCTTGCTAATCTGCGTGTGGGCGAGGACACGGACGACAGTGCAGTACTTCTTGATGCGCTCGAGGTCTTGGGTGATGTTCTTGCCGCTCTCGTCGGCGTGCTTCTTGGCGTACTTGGTGAAAGCCTTCTTCTTGCTCTTGTACCAGTTCTTGTAGAAGCGACGCTTGAGCTCGTCGGACAGATGCTCAGCCCAGACAGTCTTCAATGAACGCAGGCCGCGGGGAGTCTCGATATAGCCAACCAAGCCAACGACAATCATCTACAGGCAGAACGTACGGATTAGCGCATGCCATATATGGTATTGGCGCCAAGTCTCGTACCGGAGGAGTTTCGATGACCGTGCAGGCTTCGACGATCTCCTTCTTGTGATTCTTCGCACCGGGCCGGTCAAGGTCGCGCACGATGGTGGTCATGCCCGCCTTGTAGCCCATGGCCGCGGTGAGGTGGACGGCCTTCTTGGGGTCATCCTTGGGGAAGCTGGAGCAGTGTCAGATGGTCTGCCATATAACGATGTTCGGCACTCCGTACCTCTTCACCTTGCCCCGGTGTCTCGCGGCACGCTTTCTCGGCAAGAATGCCAAACTGCCGTGGCGAGGAGCCTCGAATTTACGATGAGACATCTTGACCGCGAGTGTGTTATTGACTTGCGAGAAAAGGTAGAACGGTTCAATGCATTTGATGTTGGCTTCAGAAATGCTGTCGGCCGGAAAATCTGGGACGCCGGTGTGCTTTTGCCAAGACTTCGCCGGGTGAATGCCTAAGGTTCGGCGTCGGTGATGGCAGCTTGCAGTGAAGCATCCCCAAATTGACACTTGGACTCGCGTGACATTGCACACATACACCCCCAAAACCTCGACTGGCAGCGCTACCTCTTACTGTTGCACCGACTGTACTCTCGTCTTCTCGACAACCCCTACTCTTGGACGCGAGCTAGCTTGCCGCGACAACCTCCATCATGTCGTCTCTACGCTTCCTAGACCTCGTCAAACGTTCGTCCCTTGACCACATGTCACCTAGCTTATGCACATGCTAACTGTACACCCATACATCAGCCTTCACGCCCATCATTCCCGAGGTACAGGTGCCGGAAACGAAGGTTCCGTTCAATCAGCGGATAATATGGACGGGCGTAACATTGGTCATCTTCTTGGTCATGAGCCAGATGCCATTGTACGGCATTGTGTCTTCAGGTTGGTCGCGAAGAGCCTGTGGAAGTAGTGGCAAGGCTGATATGCAATGCTACTAGATACGTCTGACCCGCTCTACTGGCTGCGCATGATGCTCGCGAGTAACCGAGGAACGCTCATGGAACTTGGTATCACCCCGATCATTTCCTCCGGCACCGTCTTCCAGCTCCTTGCCGGCACGCATCTGATTGACGTCAATCTCGACCTGAAGTCCGACCGCGAGCTGTACCAGACCGCGCAGAAGCTTCTGGCGATCATCATCTCGTTCGGCCAAGCTTGTGTTTACGTCTTGACTGGTCTCTACGGTCCGCCTGAAGAACTCGGTGCCGGAATCTGCGTGCTCCTTGTCGTTCAATTGCTCACGGCTGCGCTCATTGTTATCTTGCTTGACGAGTTGCTACAGAAAGGTTACGGCCTGGGCAGCGGCATCTCCCTCTTCATCGCAACCAACATCTGCGAGTCCATTGTTTGGCGAGCCTTCTCTCCTACCACTGTTAACACCGGACGTGGCCCGGAGTTCGAGGGAGCGATCATCGCTCTCGTACATCTGCTCGTCACCTGGCCCAATAAGCAGCTCGCTTTACGCGAGGCGTTCTACCGCCAGAATCTGCCGAACATTATGAACCTACTGTCTACCATTGTTGTTTTCTCTGCGGTCATCTATCTACAAGGTACGTCAAACCTTATAGCCCTCGCTTTCTGTGCTAACTTTCTTGCAGGCTTCCGCGTTGAGATTCCGGTCAAGTCTTCACGCCAACGTGGCATGCGCGGTTCTTACCCCGTCCGACTGTTCTACACCAGCAACATGCCCATCATGCTGCAATCCGCCCTCAGCTCGAACGTCTTCCTGCTGTCTCAGATGCTGTACAATAAGCTTCCGGACAATCTTCTGGTCCGCATGATTGGTGTCTGGGAGGCTCGCGAAGGTACCTCGCAGGTCATGCCCGCAGCCGGTCTGGTCTACTACATGTCGCCACCGCTCAATCTCAAGGATGCCGTCCTTGACCCGCTGCATACCGCCATCTTCATCGTGTATATGGTCAGTGCTTGCGCCGCCTTTAGCAAGACCTGGATCGAGGTGTCCGGCTCCAGTCCTAGGGACGTTGCCAAGCAGCTGAAGGAGCAAGGGTTGGTAATGGCTGGCCATCGCGACGAATCCATGTACCGCGAACTGAAGCGTGTCATTCCCACCGCAGCCGCCTTCGGTGGCGCATGCATTGGCGCACTTTCTATCGTCAGTGACTTGATGGGCGCTTTGGGAAGTGGCACTGGTATTCTAATGGCTGTAACAATCATCTATTGTAAGTCTGACCTCTTAATGGTGTCCTGACCTTGCTAATGGATTTGCAGCCTACTTCGAGATCGCAGCACGGGAAGGCGACATGGCAGGCCTGAAGGGAATGGTCATGGGCCAATAATTGCTCAGCCTAGAACTGCAACATGGCGTTTTACGTGCAAAAGCGTGCTTGTACCAATTTGTTGCTATGGTGGAAGGCTCTGGCCACATATTTCAGACAATAGGTCTGCGTAACCTCTGCTTGGTACTGCTGAGCCTTCCGTAGGAAATGACAAGCTTTAGCATATCGCCTTCTGAGGCAGATGCACCCACGACTTCCGCGCAGCTTTAACCTCTGCTTTTGGCACCCAACCATGATGTCGTCTTCTCTTTGGCAAGTCAATCAAAATGAGAGCAACGACGTTCTCCGATGATGATTGGGTAGACTATAATGAACGCAAGGCCTTCCGCTTACGGCTTCGATCGCCTTCCGGAAGGATTTAAGCTGATATGGTCCAGTGCGATCAGGACGTTGCTAACGCACCTGGTCGCAAATTCGCCAAACTTTACAGTCTTCCGACACCGAAATGGAGCTTTTGTTCCGTAACAGCAGACGTGCGCATCCTGTCATTTGCACCCACCCACTACCACCACACCCGCAACCATGGCTGGCACTAAAGAGTCGTCGACACGTCGAGGACCTCAGGTCATGGACGTTTTCGGCCCAAGGTCGACACCAGTGGCGCGGCGGAATGCTATTCGCACGGTACCAACGGAGCTTCTCTGTCTCGACCTCTCACGCACAGGCACACAATCCCTCCGGGAAGCACTCTTCTAGCTCGGCTAAGAGGGTGTCTACCACCAGACGAACTTCAACCAGAACAAGCCCATGACTCTGAGCTATGGCTTGATGCGTACCGCGATCACTTCGAAGGCCGGGGGACGCCGTGGTCTGTTGACGAACGGCGACGCTTCTTCGATGCTGCGGTCGGACATTGTATGGCCGTCAGCGATGTACCATGTGTAACTTTCTGGCGACAGCTGATGGGTGCCTACCTTGAGTTCAAAGTATTGGTTAACGTTCGTGAAAGTCGCGAAGCGTGGTACAGCTCTTTCATGGACAGCTCTATAAACATGCTCGGAGGCCTGTTCGGAAACAGTGAGACCGCAACGATGTCCCGCATTTTCCTCCCACGCCAACTGAGCATGGAGTATGCGAAGCTCTTGCTCAAATATGACCCTGTCTACAGCAGCTGCTTCCGGGATCGAAGCGTACGATCGACATAACCGTGCTGTTCAGCACTACGCGAAGGCACAAGGCCGTGACGTGCTTGAGTGCGATGTCAAGCAAGGTTGGAAGCCTCTGTGTCAATTGCTGGACGGCCCGGTACTAAACACCGAGCTTCCGCGACTCAATGACCCGTGCGTACTTCGATGGAGCGGCGACGAAGCTGCATCGGTTCACTTTGTTCGGCGCACCACTATACACGCTGAGATGGCTTGTTCCAGGCATTGTGGGCGTGCTTGCGGTTGGGTATGCGATCAGGTTGATGTAAGCGGAAGGCTTCTCATAGTGGTAGCGGTGATGGCTGGTACCGTTACCTGCCCGCACTGGGACTTGAATAGAGATATATCCATGGAGTCAATTGTGCACGTCGTGTGCATGTGTGTGTGAAGACACATGCGATGTTCAAGCAAGCGCAAGGCGAGATCAAGCTGCCTCGTTCGGTGCATCTGTCGCTTGGAATGCTTGGTGCCTCTCGGTATGTCGTTCCTGCCTTCTACGGCTAGCGCCGGGTTGAAGCCGTAGTCGGATGTTGCTGCCTTCGACTTCCAGACCAAGCGGTGGTCGAGTCGCATGCAAAGTGAGTAACATGCGGCTCTTACCTTCCGCCGAGCGAATAGTGAATGTGAGCAGCGGATGGCAATTGCTGCTGCGCCGTCATCTTCACAGAGACACCTCTTCCCCCCAACGAACCCTCTTGCGAACAACCCCCTCTCCCCACCTCCTCCAGCAAGAGCAACACCGTGACAGCAGCAGTATCTAACTCTATACCCACCATGGCGCCCGACATTGAGACCTTCTCGTATCCACATAAGACGGCCGAATACAGCTACCGCGTGCCTACGCCTCCTCGCATTGTTGTCCCGCCGCCACCACTTAACGGCGATGCCTTACCAGACATCACATTGAGCGCATTCCGTTCCGCCAACTTCCTCAAGGGTGTGGATTACAACAACATCGTCAGCCAAAATGCGATGCTGGAGTGGACCTACGAGCGACGACGGGAAGCCCAGATGATCCTGCCCTACCTCTACCTCGGTCCCATGACCGCGGCAAAAGACGAGGCGTTCCTGCGCGGAGACAAGGGACATGCGGGCGCACCGGGTGGCATCACGATGGTGCTGGGAGTGAGGCAGAAACACAGCTTTGAGAGCAAGCTCATGACCGGTGCACTGCGGAAGGCGCAGGAGGCGGGGATTGAGTGCCACACCGTCGATTTGGCCAGCAATCAGGACCTGATCCATAACTTCCCGCAAACGACAGCTCTGATACTTGATCACATGACGCGTACGCCCCACGCAACGGGGGGGTTGGGCAAGGTGCTTGTGGTATGCGAAAGTGGTAACGAGCGGAGTGCAGGCGTGGTGGCCGCATACCTCATGGAGACGCATACAGATGTCGATTACATCAAAGCTATGCAACTAGTCCAAGCGCAACGCTTTTGTGCGAACTTCGACGATGCGATGAAGCGCCTTCTGCAGGGCTACTGGGACATTCTGCGTGCAACGAGGGAAGTGAGGGCGGTGAGCGGCGGAGCGGGCGCGTCAGATACGCCAAATGGTTCTGTCGGCAGACCCAGTGAACTCAAAGCGAAACGAAGGCTGCAACGTGGTGGAGCCGATGAGATGGATGAAACCATGGACGATGACATGGAACGGTTCGGTGACAGAACGTTTGCGCCGTTCGTGGATCAGCCGCTGTAGGGTGCTTCCCGCTTGGTCAGGAAACACACGAACCGAAGCGCGGATAGTGGCAGGTGGTGAGCTGCATATGCTTACGTTCTTGCGATGCCTATGATACCCCATTGTTTCTTGACCCTTTCCCAGCGAGGAGTCATGGCGCCATGACGGATAGCGCTCCCTTTGATAAGGGCGTTCGTGGAGAAAGAGTCCCACGAAGTACTTGAGCGTAACGGTCCAACGCAGTACCTATGCTTAAAACTTCCCACACAGTATCGAAGCTCACTGTCACAGATGCCGAACGTCTGTTCCTTCCGAAATGCTTGCTTATTCTTATGTCCGCTATCCACGATGGTCTCCCGTCCTACTGACGGAACTCAACTTTGGACTGCCGTCATCACACCGCATGCTACTATCGCGGAATCGTCCACCATCCCCGTACCGGTGCCGGCAAAGAAGCTCATCCCAGCGTGATGGATCGGTATCTTCAAGCACTTTGGGCGCAATAAAACTACGATATACGCTATCCGTCTTGCCTCCACAGCCTCTCCGGCCGCCTCGTGGCCTACTTTTGGCGCCAGTTTCGTCGATAAAGTGTTCCATCCGCTGTGCCTCTGCAGTCTCCGTGCGCTTGCGAGACTGGGGAGCATTAAAGAAGCGGCTTCGTACTCCACGCAGCTCAACTTCAGCCCGGTATGTTTCTCAACAGCTGGAGAAATAGCATCCCAGGCCCGTCTTCGCAGCGGCCAGTTTAGCTACCTGGCGGATGCTGCACTCGCACGCAACGGGCATAGTAGTTACAGAGGGCATGGTAACGCTTACTGACAAACACGGGATTGAAGACAAGCTCGGCAGGGCCGCTGGCCGACTTCTGGAAGTTGACGACCATCACAATCGTCAGCATCCAATCGTTGTGAGTCTTCGAAGAATCCCATGATGATCTCGACGACGAAGGAGCGAAGAACGTCACTCGATATACCATCAACCGGTCACAGCAACACCAAGCTTCCAAGACCACATATCGAGACTCAAGACAACCGCTTCGTTCCAGTCTCATAGGCTCCCAATCCACACTTTAGTCGCTTTTTCATATCGCGAACCGCGACAGTTCGAAGTCGTGAAACGGTTGGAAGTGGTTCCATTGCGGAAGCATTTGAGAAAACATTCAGATCTGTGACTTGCATGTGACCTTTCGACCTGCTCGGCGATGGCGGCGATGCTTGTCGGAGCGCCATATACTGCTCAAGCTTCTTCTACCACCCGGAAACGTTTCTGATAGCACCAATGCCATACGACTCAGCACTCGCACGGACAAGCTACGGCCGTGTCCTACCCGCCAAGTTTAAGACGGAGTTACCGGTATTAAGATGTGTCGATCTTGGAGTCGGGACTGTGGTGAGCGTATAAGAGGTAAATATACTGTCGTGGCCTATTTCCTCACCAGTTCTCATACTACCCTTGTTTTCGTCGCCCCCACCAAGCCGTGATGCCCTCGACCGCAGATCTGGAAGCAACCATGCGCAAGACAAGCGAAGCCTTCATCCATTCCTTCTCAGGCACTTGGGGCGATGATCTCGCTTGCGTGGACCTTCGGACGGAAGACTGCGAGCATACCATTCTACCCGCCTCGCTCGGCGTCGCGAAGCGAAGCAAGTTGGAATTCGCACGGTACTACAGGCAGCTGAAAGGCGTCGTTACCGAGAGTGAGGTACGTCCACGCCGGATCAATCGCATCCTACTCAATCGACAATCGCTGACGTCGACCTCTTGGTGCTGGTAAGATGACGATGGACGATTACATGGCCAATGTGAAGGAACGCCGCATTGTCGCCTTATCGTCGCTTACCGCCATGTCGCCTGTCGGACCGTACAGTAACCAGTACGTCTGGTTCTTGACGTTCACCGAAGATGGCAAACAGATCAGCGACATCACCGAGTTCCTGGACTCGAAATCGGCAACCGAGCTATTGACCAAGCTGCGAGATTCGGGGGTGCTCAAGGGTCATTGATCGGGTGAGATAAGTCATTGACTCGGTAGTGTATGGCTCCCGTCAGGCAAAGTCGTACTTCCGTAACAAGTCGCTTCAAAAGCTTTTGTCCACCGTGCAATCGTAACCCTCAACGCCCCAAACACCCCACCAACGCTCATGACCCTTCCAAAGTGCACTACTGTATATCAAACAACCCCTTCAAATGCTTCGCGATCAACGCCCACTCATCCTTGTCCACCTCATCCCGGTAAAACTCCTTGAGACAATCAATGGAGGCGCGGGAGATATGGCTGTACAGCATATCCTTCTCCTCCAGCTGCCGGCCGTACATGGGCTGGTTCGCGCCCTCGATCTTGATCGCCACGGAGGGTTGGCCCTTCTTGCACAGCGGGATTTGCTTGTGGTCGCGTTCGATTGAGGATCTGCAAGCACACAAGTTAGCCTCCCCTCTCCACATATATGGTAAGTAAAGGGAGTAAGTAGGGGTGATGAACGCACACTCTCCCCAAGGAAATGATATCCTTCACATTCGTCACCGGATTCATCTTCACCGCCGCCACGGGGGTATTCAGCCTCAAATTCCCATCCACCACATCCACCCCGATCACAATCGGATCCTTCTTGTTGAACACCGCCACGGGCCTCAACACGCACGGGAAAACGGCCAACATCTTGCTCTCCTCCTTCTTCTGCTCCTGCAGCGCCTTCATGTGCTTCGTAAACTCATCGAACAAATGGTAGATAATCTCCGCCGTGAAGATCTTCACCCCCATCTGATCCGCCAATTCCTGCGCGTCGCGGTCGACTTTCACGTCGAAGCACAGCATGACGGCGTACTCCTTCGCTTTCTCCAGCATCGTCGACGCGGTGATGACGTCGCGCTTGTGCACGGGGCCGATGGAGATGTTGCTCACTGGGATTTTGCTGGTGCGGAGGAATTCGAGCAGGGCTTCGAGGGAGCCGAGGGTGGAGGCTTGGACGGTGACGCCGCGGCCCGTTTTGGAGATGCGGGACATGAGGTTCTCCAGGTCGCCCATGACGTCTTCTTCGAGCTCTTCGATCTCGTCTTCGTCGTCCTTGTTCTTGGCGACGAGGAGGCGGGAGCCGGCGATGGCGTTGTCGAGGCCGTTGGCGGTGATCTTCACGCCGAGTGCTGCTTTGACCGTCTTGTTGTGGACGTATACCGACTTGACGCGGAGCTCCTTCATCTCGGCGGGGGTGAGGAGGGCGCGGACTTGCGTGGTGATGGGCCCGTCGGTACCGCAGAGTACGATCGTGTCGCCTTCGTGCATGACACCATTGCTGAGCACGACGTCGATCGTCGTACCCAGACCCTCAATAACTTTAACTTCCAACACGGTACACTCGACCTCGGAAAGGTACATCAACTGCTTCGTCATGCGCTCCTGCGTAAGCGTGACAAGCAACTTAAGCATATCCGGGATACCCTCTCCCGTATGCGCGGAAGTGGGCACGAGCGAGACGAATTTGGCCATACTCTTGTTCTCGTAGAACAGCTCAGCATTGAACCCTTGCTCGCTGAACGCCAGCTTCGTCTTCTCCAGGCGGTCACGGAACTCGTTCTGCACGCCCTTGTTTTGCAAACCAAGCGACTCGCGGAAGCCGTTGTTGGCGATGGGTTTCCAGCCGTAGAGACGGTCGATCTTGTTCAAAGCGACGATGAAGGGCGTCTTGCGCTCGCGGAGCAGACGCATGGATTCGAGCGTTTGCGGCTCAAGACCGTGCATGATGTCGACCACCAAGATAGCAATGTTGCAAAGTGACGAACCGCGACTGCGGAGGTTGGTGAAGGACTCGTGGCCAGGCGTATCGATGACGAGGAGGCCTGGGACCTTGAATTCAAAGGCGCCGTCTTGGTTGACGACTTGCGTCTTCTTCTGCAACGCTTCGACGGGGAAGTAAGTGGCGCCGATCTGCTGCGTGATACCGCCCGCTTCGCCTTCTTGAACGTTCGTTTGACGGATCTTGTCGAGCAACTTCGTCTTACCCGTATCGACGTGACCGAGGATACAGCAGATGGGGGAGCGCAGGTTGTCGCTTGAGGCGGCATTCCGAGCAGCTTCGAGCTCCGCTTTGCGCTTCTCGGACGCTTGTTGTTTCCGCAGCGCGACCTGCCTCTCGGCCACCGTCTGTCTGGCCTCTTCTTCGTCGGAGGACTCATCTTCCGATTCATCCTCACTATCGTCCTCATCCTCAGCCGGCTTGCTATCAACAATCTTAGCCTTTGCACCAGTAGCGCCTGGCTGAACAGGCTTGCCATTGGGCGCCTTGCTCGACACCACACCTTCCTCTCCATCCTCCTCATCCTCGTCTTCCTCCCAGCTCTCCTTAACGTCACCCTCTTCCTTCTCGGCAATAGCCTCCCAATCCTCCATCTCATCATCGTCGTCATCCTCCACCTTCTTAGCCTCAGCCGCCACCCTCGCCTTCTCCGCCTCCTCCGCAGCCAACCTCTCCTGCTCCTCCCTCAACTTCAAGTCCTCCATCTGCCTTCGCGCCTCCTCCTCCTCACGCTCCTGCTGCGCCTTGCGCTCCGCAGCCTCCTTCCTGGGATCCTTCTTCTTGCGATCATCCTTTCGACTCTTCTTCGCCGTGTCCTCGCCATCCTGCGCAGTCGCCTCGCTCATCCCCGCAACCACGGCACCCGACTCGATCATCTGTTTCAGCCGCAGTTTCGCCTGCGCTTCAGCTTGACGTTGCTTCTCTGTCTTGTACGTACCCTCGCGCTTCTGCTGCTCGATCTTAGCCTTTTCTTTCGCTTTCTTCGCCGCCTTTTGCTCGGCAGCACGTCGTTCTTCCTCTTCCGCCTTGCGACGCGCCTCCTCCTCGCGAGCCTTCTCTTCGGCCTCTGCCCGCGCCTCTTCATCTTGGCGGCGCTTGAGCTCCTCTTGCTGCTTCTGGATCGCCGCGAGCGCTGGGTTGAGCTTCTTCTTCTTGCCTGCTGCAGGCTCCGGCGCAGCAACTTCAGGTACAGCTTCAACAACCTGTGGCTCGTCCTGCTTCTGAGCGGGTCCCGTCTTCTTCTTCGACGCGGCCTGCTCCTTCTTCCGCTGCTTCTCGCGCTCCTTCTTCTCACGTTCTTTCTCCGCCTTGGTCTTCACCCGACCCGTGTCCTCGTCGCCGTCTACCGCAGGCTCGTCTTCAGGCTCGACGGCTTTCTTCGCCGGTTGTGGCTTACCTGCCTTCTTACCCTTTGCAGGCTGGTCATCCTCCTCGTCTGCGGCTCCGTCACCGTTTTCCACCGGCTCCGGCTCAGGCTCAGGAGCTTTCTTAACAGGCTGCTGTTTGCCACCCTTGCCCTTCTTACCCTTGGCCGGTTGGGCGAAGACATCATCCTCATCCATAGCAGCACCATCCTCCACAGGCTGATTCGGCTCAACCTCAGCTTCCGCCTCCGGCTCCGCAGCCTTCTTTCCACCCTGCTGCGGCTTCCCACCCTTCTTCCCCTTCTTCCCCTTCACCGGCACATCGTCAAACTCATCCTCCATCGTCGCCTCCTCCGGCGCCTTAGCCGCCAAATCCACGACCGGCTCCGGCTCGGCCGCACCATCCTGCGTGGGATCCTCCCCGTCCACAAAGTCATTCTCAACAGCCTTGCCCTTCTTTTTGCGCTTCTCCTTATTCTTTCGCAGCGCGGCCATCAAGCCGCCACTGCCCCCGGCGCCTTCATCCTCCTCGGCATCCTTGGCGGCGTCGGCGGCTTTGGCTTCCTCTTCCGCCTGCTTGATGGGGTCGACGCTCTCGCCGAGACCCTCGTCCCAGTCGTCGTTGCCTTTCTTGCCCTTCTTGCCTTTGGGTGCCATGGTGAAGGATAATTACTGTGTCTTCTGTAATATGTTTAGGTCTTGATGCGAATGTGCTAGCCTCCTGCGGCAATCAAGGGTTATTCGAGTACTAGTGGAAGTGGTGGCGAATATTGATCTCAGCTGTTAGTCAAGTGTGGGCGACAGTGGCAGCCTCCTCGGTGGTCGGGAGGCGGATCGGGGTTAAGGTGGAACGATCGCGCTTTCATACTACCCGGAGACGGCAGTATGATGATGACGCCTCTACACACAAGCGGCACGTCCGCAGAGGCTCGACTGCGACGGTGATGGTGTCTTAGTCAGGATGCTGTGTGGTAAATCGATGGTCGAAAATGGCCTGTGGTGGAGTCAAATGGTGGGGCTCCAGTCACTTCTACAGTGGTGGCGGAATTTTTGCGCTGCTGCAGTGCTGCCTCTGTTGGTGCGCCGAAGGGTGGGACAGTCCATATCACATTAATCGGATGGTGAGTGTGTTGTGCTGGGAATAGATTGAGACGTCGCACGTAGACACACAAGCTGCTCTGTGATGCTCGCTGAATATCACAAAACAATGTATTGCAACGCTGTCTCTAGAATTGTAGAAGCCTCCTAATCGCTTCTCCCGCCCTGTCCGAGTCACCCATGGGATCCGGCACACCCTCCATGCTGCCACCTCCACCACCAGATGAACCTGCATTACTCACCGGGCTGCCATGAGCGAAGAAAAGGATCTTGATTGCGATCGCAAGTCCCGCATGCAGAGCCAGTACCACTATGAGCAGCACACGGGATGTCTTTGCATCAGTGGCGGAGACGACAGGGTAGCTAGACAATAATAAGTCAGCGCGTGTACTCAACGAGGCGTTATTTGTTATTGTGATGTGCACGTACAGGTTCCGAAAAAGGAAGACGGCTGAGAGCGCGAAGCCGACGCCCACGAAGGCGTAATTGAGTGCTGTAGTGTAAATGTCAGCGAACCAGTCAACACAATCGCAACTTGATAGAGATCCAAACTCACCACTCAACGGACTCCAACTAACAAGCGCCACGGGAATCCAAATCAAATTGGCATACCCATACAACGCCCAACACTCCATCAAATTCGCACTCTCACTCCCAAACCACTTCAACACCCCCCACAAGCCCGCGGGAATGACCAGCGTATACCCATACACCAACCCCGCCGCACCCGACAAAAGCCGGAAGTCATACGCGAAATGCCCCTTGTCCATCCTCGCCAGATAGGCACTGATGGTCCCCGTCAAGAACAAGATGACGACGACGGTGGTGGCGATCCAGAAGGGCCCGTAGAGGTCCGGGTTGCCCTCCATGACGTCGAGGAAGTTTTGGCGGGGGAAGAGGGCGGCGCGGCAGCGGTGGGTGATTTGCGCGGTGTCGACGTCGAAGAATTGTTGGTAGAAGGATAGGGTCCAGAGGTAGCGCTTGCTGGTGCTCGGGCTGCCGTAGGAGGTGCTGCGCGGGGGTGGGGGGTGGAGGAAGGAGGTTTGGTTGGGGGGGATGGTTTTGCGGGTGTTGGTGGAGGTGGGTTGGTCGAATGCTAGATATAAATTTACATCAGGTACTTTCCTTGCTGTCTAGCGAGTCGAGGCCTTACTGGAGTTGTGGAATTCGAGATCATCATTTAGATCTGTGTGGCCAAGATCGCCCTGCTGCTGCTTCAGTCTCTCTCCTTATCTTCATTCAAGCCTAACCTTCTCGTACGCGCCGGCCATACCTCTTCGTCCACGTCAACCACGACGTCATAGCCTTGTCTGTTAGCCATGCTGTAATGTTATTGGTGGCGAAAGCTTCGGACAAGGCAAATGCACGGGACAGAGTTGCAGTTCGTAGACTCGGGAGCGATGCAGTAGTAAAGCTTCGCCTTGGGCAGAAGGGCGTAGTCAGCAGGTTAGTCAGACGGATTGAGCCGATCTCCACAGCTGCAGCAGTGGGGCGCTTGTTACATTCAGCCAATGGCGTCAATCCACTTCACGTCGTGGGTTGTGACTCTGTGAGATGAGCTGCAGGAAAAGGGTAAGGCATGACCGGCCACCCGCTATTCGGCCCCCATCACGAAGCAGTAGGTATGCACTCAGCACTCAGCCCTCATCGTCCACACCACGGTAACGAGCATTGTATATCCCTCATACCCACCCACTTCACCACACACGCTTAAGTAAGAGTAGTTAAGTAATCGCCACCATCTCCTCTCATCTTCTTTTGCCGTACTTCCAATACCTTACTATCCCTCATTCGCATATCACTGCTACTACTAATACTACTACTACTACTACTACTACTACTACTACTACTACTACTACTACTACTACTACTACTACTACTACTACTACTACTACTACTACTACTACTACTACTACTACTACTACTACTACTACTCGGCACCCAAGATGTACCGCAAAAGCGATGGCCGCACCGGCTTCTCCGCCATGCGCATGGTCACCAACATGTTCCCCAACTTCGCGCGCGACGACGTCAACGACGTCGAATTGACTCCCGATCAACTGGACGGCATCTTCGCCTACCAAATGGGCGAGCCCAACCCGATGGTGCTCGGTGATTTGGCATTCTGGCATGCCCGTATCTGCGGTAATTACCTCCTCCCACCCACCCCCC